CCCCCCCCTTTCACAGGACCCCTTTCCCTCATGCTGCACGAAAGCGGGCTCGTTCGCTTACCACATTAACCACTTCTCTTCTAACTTCACCCGTCGCAGCAAAGACCAGGTGGCTTGATCCTTTCGTCCTCAGTCTAGGTACGAATAAAATAACCATCTGCTCAAGCCTGGACCTCTGGATCATGGACAGGACGATGATAAACATGATTATGACGTTACCCCCAGTGTGTGCATGCACTATTGCCACCTCGTTGCATAATATCATGTCATCATTCCGCTTTCGCACCGTGGACGTGGTGATGGTGGTGATGATGCTTCGTCTCGTCTCCGGCAGCACCGCCAGCCAGAGCGGCCTTCTTTCCAAACTTGCAACAAGCCTCATGCCTGCGCAGATTATCGAGGCGGGGAAACCTCCTCTTACACCCCAAACCGTGGAACTTGCACAGCATATGCTGGTGCTTGGGTCTGTGCGTGGCCATGTGGCGTTTGAAATTGCTACCCTCGCCGTTCAGATACTGTCCGCAGATGTGACAGTACATCTTGTTGCCCTGGTGGCAGCTTGCCACGTGCTCGTCGCGGACTTGCTTGTACATGAAGCTCTTAAGACAGCCGGGGAAAGTGCATTTGAACGGGCCTCCTTCGCCTCTTGCACTTGCACTCGCGGTGCTTGACGTGCCGTCGGCCTTGGTGGCGTTGGATGAAGGTGCAGCAGCGGAGGAAGCAAGCATGGGAGCGAGATGTTTCTTGGAGATGTGGCCTGTGAGGGCGGCTTCGGAGGCGAATGTTGCCGAGTCGCAGGACTGCCAGGAACACTTGGTCACGCCCTTGACGAGGTGGACTGCTTTCAGGTGCTTTTTGAGATCGGTCGCCGAGGCGAAGGATGCGCCGCACACAGTGCCGCAAGGCATGAGCCATTGGCAGGCGCGGGATGTGGGAGGTGCCGTAATAGCAGCAAGGAGGTCTGATGTTTTGGCTAGCGGGGTGTCGCTGGGCTGGGCAGGATGTTGGGATTCTTGCTTGATGTCGGCCTGCGGTGCTGCTGGGTATATGGTAGGATTAGTGGTGATGGGCGGAAGATCGGGGAGAGGGAGTTGTTGGTGAGCGGTCGCAGGGTGGCATCCGAATTCTAGGCCGAATGGTGGGAGCGGGAATTGTTGAGCTGGTCCGGGTGTGCCAGTACAGAGCTGTGCCTGAGTCAAATTGTCCCAGTAGGGGATGGTGTCGCCGAGACATTGATGATGCATGGGCACATCGAGAGGTGGTGCCATGGCACCCGGTTGCATACTTGAAAAGTCGGGTTCTTGAAAGTTGAGCAAGTCATTCTCGTCGAATTGTGGCTCGGGCTCTGGAAAGCTGTTCTCTCCAAGCAACGGAACGGAGAATGAAAGTCCAAGGGATTTGTCGTGTTCAAAATCGTTCCAGTCAATGCAGTCGAAGCAGGAAAAATCACACTCATCGCAGGTGTCGGTGCAAGCCGGGTCATTGTGTTGATGGTCGATTTGAGCCTCATTACACTCTTGGCAGTCATCGACGAATTGATCGGGAGTGCCGTCCTGTTCATGATATCTTCCGTGTTCTTCCACACAGTCGTCACAGTCGTCCACACAGTCTTCGCAGTCCATCGGACTCGGTGAGGTATGGAGTGAGCCATTGCGGCTGCTGGAAGACGGTGGGACATCGAACAGGCCACTCCCCGGGCTGTCGTCGGTCACGTAATTGTTGAGGCCACTCGATGGGCGGAAGGGAAGCGCTTCGTTCCCGCCGCAACAGCCGAACTTGTGAGACTCGGTGGCATATCTGGCGGGACTTCGAGACGACACTTGACCTCTTATCGGTGACCTGTAAGTCTGAGTCCGTCCGGTTAGCCGGGATTTCGACGGAAAAACATCGAGTGGGTTGACGTAGGGCTGGTGATGGAAGTCAGATGCCGTAAGGCCTTGAGGTGAGTCTCTGCCCATCATGAAGGCCTCATAGAAGACAGTCAATCGATGTCAAGAAACAGAGACTCGGGTCTGTCACGAACGGAACCGAGACGAGATTCCACAAGCGCTGGAGATGATTGACGGCGTGGGGTTTCCGGGAACGGATGATACGAGTGAAGAATTGATAATCGCGCCAAGAAAATTTAAACAGCCTAACCGAAAAGAATTAGCCTCAGCCTCGTGGTGTGCTAACTCAGCCTTGGGGAGGTTTTTGTGTTCCCATCCACATCCATCTTCGATCATAATCTCCCTAATTCTACGTAGGGACCATAGTTCACAGCTAACACATAACGATTTACCCGGCATCTTAAGCACGAGTGCATCAACCTCTATCTGCCCAACGAGCACCTGCTTAAGCGTCGCCCATACCAGTAGTGTAGTAAACCTGTTTTCGTCAAGCAGGCAAGTCTATGGAGACATGATAACATGACCTTGTTCAAGTATGATGAGCTAGACACGTTTTGCTTGGCGGACACTGTTGCGCCATCGTTGACGCTATCGCATTGTATTTACCCCTTTGATCAGGGCAAGGCGAGGTGTTAGACGACCACATCAACCAGAACCTCGTCAATGCCCAATACCGGCCATGGATGGTGAGAGCAATAGGTCGTTGAGAGCCTGGGAACTTCTCAGTTTGTCTCGCTGTCCTTCTCCTTCACTTTTTTGACCTCTTCACCGCCTCCACGCTCAGTCATTTCGACGTGCTTGCGCTTCTTCTCGTCCATGTCCTTCTCTTTCATGCCCTCCTCGAATTTCACAATCACATTCTCATCGTCGTCTATCATGTCAGAGTTGTTATCAATGCCCTTCCATTTCACGATGCCGTCTCCGCGGAACTCTGCAACCCGTTGAGGATAGAACATATGGCAAGTCGGCTTGAATGCTTCCCTTCCTTCTTTCGTGTTGATGTTCTTGATCAAAGGGGGGAATAGAAGTATCATATTTCGGCCTTCGTCCATGATTGGTGACCGACAATATGCGCAGGAGACTTTGCAGGGAAGGTGGTGAGAAGTGTCCTTGTTGGTAGGATCGTACCAGCCTAGGTCATTGATGCCGTTGGTGAAGTTGATGTCGGACTTGTGAAAGATCGCTGCCCACTGAAATGGTGACTACTTCACTGTCAGTTTGCAGTGTAACGGCGAGGGATTGGTCACTTACACCGTGTAATCTCTGGCAAGTCGTGCAATGACAGTACTTGGCTGCGAGAGGCTTCTCTCTGCTGAGCTGGTATGTGACTTTTCCGCAATGACAACTGCCTTCCCACTTGACAGGGAAGTTTTCCATTTTTTCGTGAATGCGGTATGGTTCTCGAGACTTCCATTGATCTTCTTCTCTGTGTGTGGTATCGCCCGACTGGAACTGATGAGGAGCTTGGTCGTCAGACATGTTTGATGAATGCCTCTTCTGGCAGACTATTGTCCGAACCGGTTTAAGCGCACGCGCGGAAGGTCTGCAGGAATGAAGGGTGTGATATGATTGTGAAGTGAGGAGGCTCGTAGATCTGAAGTGTCGAGCGGGACTGAAGACTAGAGTAAAAGATCTGGGATTCATGGGAGGAAAGAGCCACGAAAGGTGAGAGTGAGGAAATAGAAACTAACACACAGAACTGCTCGATGCCATTTCTGTTAGGTACCTAAGCCACCAGTGAATCTGTGCAAGGGACGATATATGGTGGCGGATGCTTCAACCGATGATGCTCGCTCCACGTCAGTGTTACGATTGGTGTCAGATTCGCCAGTTTGGACGTAATGAATGGGACGTGTAAAAAGCTTTTACTGTGTCGAGCACGCGATGATGCTACGATTTTTCTGGGCTCCGAGGTAATGACATCGTCATAAAAGTGTTAGACATCTGGAAACAGCTTGCAATCTCCCCTTGTTCCCCAGACTCGATGCGGGATTGAAAGTCGATATTCCATGACATCATCAAAGGACAACTTCTCCGTCATTTCCACCAATCATCACTGCTGCTTTGACCTCTCCCCAGGGGGATGGATCTGCTTTACGACGAGGAGCACGCGAGGAGCAGATACCAGGTAAACTTCATGGCTTATGCACATTACTACCCACAGGTGTCTTGCTGAATACTGTCTGCTTCAGATGATTCATTATTAGCCAGATGGACCTAACAAGCCCATCGGTATCGTGCTATTCGAGGTCCGTAAGTGTGCCCTCGACCCACGGAAGAGGCTCTGCCAGATGAAAGCTTCACTTAGCAAAAGCTCAATGTCCTTTTCCGTCCATTCCCGTGTAGGAAGTGCTTGGAGAAACATCAATATCTCTTGAAAATTCATCTTCATCAGCTGCTCCGACCACTTGACCAAGAAGGCCGCGCACACGTAGAGATGGAATTGTGAAAAGCCGGTTTCCTCGGCCTGCAAACACCAGTCAGCAGAGGTTTGGCGGGTGGAATCTTGAGCCAACTCACCATATATGTGTCCCACATCCGAATCACATTTTTGATGCTCAATTCCCGCATCAACAGACAATTCATCCATCGAAAACTGAATTGCATGTATTCCACGTGCTCGTTCTCAAAGTGCTTTGCTAAGCCAGAGTCAATTCTTGTTGTGAGATCCCTTAGCGCAGCAACTTGTCGGTGGATGCCGGGCTGGGCCACAATATAGTTGTCTTGTATACCATCTAGCAGCTTTGTCAGGCACCAGAATGTGTCCGCTTCGACTGCATCTAATACAGGGCGTGGCAGTTGTCCCGGGTCCATGCCGCTTTCGATATCCAAATCTGTGATATATGTCCCGAGAAAGACCTGCCAGAAGGGAGTAGCCAGGTCATTAATGCCCTGTACATAACCGCTGGCAGGATGTCGAATTGCCCAGACGTACAGAATACGTTCGAGCGACCTTTGTGTGGCTTCATATTGATAGAGAGGTATGTGCGGATTGGTTCTCGGAACATCGATGCTGATTTGATGCCAAACTGCTTCGTCCAGGCCTCGACCCCTACCGGCGGTGACAGGGGGTTGCGAAGCGAGCCCTGTCAAACCTGCACTTGATCCATTGCGGTTGGCCATAGTACCAGAGTTGAAGGCCTGTCGCACTGCATCCAGGTATTCCTTTCGCTTGCGCTCGAGTGTCGTCACTCGTCTTTCGCTGTTGGTTGGCAGATGCCCTAGTAGAAGCTGCCACGTTATCGCGCGTAATTCTTCAGGCACACCCGACCATGCTGCAGCTCGTAAGTCCTGCAACGATACTGAGCTGGATTGTAAGATTCGTTTGAATTTGTTGATACGTGATATTCGCGTGCTGTAGGCTTCCGCTTCTTTGGGTGTAGCATTACTCGGTAGAACTGGATGGTTGATTAGATGGAGAGTATTGGCAGGATCCCGTAAGATGTCCTTGTACTGCGGCCTTAAGATCTTGCCGTCTCCTTTCTTCGCGCTGGGATAGGAAAGAGGATTTCGCTCTTCGGCTATATCAAAGCTGTTCGATCTATGCACCTGTGGCATGGGAGACGGTGCGAGTGCGGGTCTCGACGTCGTTTGCGCAACACTCGGGTAGGTTACCTGTTGTGCTTTGTGCGTCCTGCTCTTCATGCTTCTCTTGCGGCGCATGCTAGCTATGCTGGGCAGACCAAACTCGTCTTCATCGTCCTCGTAAACCAGGTCATCTTCATCGTCTCCCTCCATGTCTTCGTCGCCGACAACATCCCAACTCTCGCCCAATACTGACGAGGTATAACCGGTATATGGCTTTCGTTCTGGTGACTGGAAACTTCGGTGGTCGGCACCAGGTGCCTGCCATGGTCGTGATGAAGACGTAGGTGGTGTTCTGGGTCTTGAACTCGTGCCCAGCGATCTAAGAGAGCGTCGTTAGCCCCGCCCTACCACCATGGGATACCGTGTCCGGCGGCGTACAATGAATCGAACTTGAGCATATCGGCGTGCGAATATGACGCGCCAATCACCTTGTTCGACTTTCCTGAAGCCTGACGTGAGGATGATCGACTCCGCCAGAAGGGCGAGGGCGACCGCCTTGATTCTGTTAGCATGGCTCTGGTGTGTTTGTTTGAGGGAGCGGATCGTCCGTACTCTGACCTATCTGCAGAGGCATTTCGATTAGCATGAGGGATCGAAGGGACAGCCATAAGACATAAAGGGCTAGGGCGTCACGAACCGACCTGAACCATTTCCTGAAACCAGTCAGCCCAATGTACATGAGGATCTCGAATGTTGATTGTTTACCTGCTGGCCCGGCTTCTTGTGAGCCATAATGGTGCACTAGGCTCACCTAAAGCGTAAACCGCGGGAAGAAGACACTACCGTGGCTTTCTTCTGAATTCCTTTGCATGTACTGGTGAGAACATGCTTGTTAGACATGGAACCCGTCCTGCATAACTCTGAGGTGGCCGCCGAGTAGTAACGGAACGACAGCCTTCGAAGCGCACTCCGCTGCTGAGGCCACTGCGGCGCCAGACTCCAGGTTCGCCAAGCCTGCCTGCGCCGAAAGACTCACCCGCCGACTTTCACTTGGCCTCGAAACACCTGGAACTTCCTCTCCTGTTGTCCTCTCCTCTTTCCTAGACATCCTTTTCTAACCACATCAAACGACTCGCCTTCGGACATACTGACCTCCTCCGTCTACTTGTATCCTCATCTTCCATCTTCCTCCAGACCTTTTCAACTGTTCTGCTCAATCATACCTTCAGCGCTGCTTGTTCCCCTCCTCTCAGGCTACCTAAAAACGCTTCCTGCTGTGGTCGTAGTTAGCGCAGCGGTTTTCTTTTCCCCTTCACTGAGCATTAAAGATGACAGACGAAGTTGACGAAGATCTCTTCGCCGATCTGTGAGTGTGGTCTTCCCGCTAGCCTTGACAATGGTCACCTCGCCTTCACGACTTTGAACGTAGCTAATCTCATGTGCTAGGTACGATGGCGATGAGAATAACGCATCTGGCAGTGCTGCTGCTCCGATCCCCTCTCAACCGGCTCCAAACGATACAGCCATGGATCAGAATGACGCTCCAGGCTACGGCGAAGAGCCAGAAATGGCCTATGATCCCACTTCCTTTGACGTTGAACCTTCAGCCTCCGAGGAACCTTCCTCCACCACGCAATTCGAGCAACAAGGTCATGCAAGATTGGAACTACCACATGAGCAAAAATACAATGTCACTCTCAAAGAAGACGGGTAAGTAAATGATACCCTTGCGATTCTGCTTTCTTCATGGTGCCCCTGCTCGTATTCGCGCGTTAAGTGGAAGGTATGAGAACAATGCATACGTGCGAGATCAGAAAGGTGATGTAGACACATTGGAGAACAATTTGTTACGAAAGTCATGAAACCACCTCAAGTTCGGCCTGAAAATCTCGGCCTCTACAACTGGCGCTGTGAGACCCAGGTGGAAATGTTAGCGCTTGGGATCCACTATCACGGATGACTGGCGACAGCTATGGGACCGTGCCGACGAACGCAGCATAGTGCTACTTGGCCGTTGTGTGGTAGTCAGATCTGGACTGCAATCGATCGTGGACACATTATCGGGCACAATCAGGCTTGCAGTACTCGAACAAGGCGTGAGGACGAGCCACTCTCATAAGAGCACTCAAGAGCTAGAAGGATCTACCGATCTTTCCACCCGAGGAATGTCAGTCGGATTTAGCAGAAGATGAGTGGCACGAAATGTTGGACCTAGCATCGAGCCATAGCTGCTTTTCGAATCACACTAGCCGACACAATTGCAAGTCGAGACATGTCATTCAGCCGGGACAGAAGAGGACGATGGATGCCTACCATACAACGAGATACTATTCCAAGCAGAGCAGAGTAACAGTCCATACTCAGGCAGGAGATAGATGCTTATGAGTATCTGTGAATCTCAAACAAGTCAACAAGAATCATCCTCTATTCGCTAGACCAAGTCAAACCTCTTCCGAGAGAAGGCGAAGTCATGGAGGAGAGAATCTGTCAGAGAAATGCAGTGTATGGTGCAAGTCGACACGTTTGCCAGCAGAGAGTCTCAGATCCCGTGTCTGCATGCTTCCACCGTCACGTATAGCCTAGCAAAGTCGTGGCGATGCTTGGACAGGACACAGTGTTTGCAGCCGGGTTCTCCAGCTAGTCTTGGCTCAGATGCCCGGCTGTCTCTCGCAATCTTGGTCATCTCAGCCTTACCGTCACCAAAAACCAAAGTATTCAGGAGGCCAACCCAGCCTATATTCATTGTCGCCACAAGAACTACACGGATATGCTCAGGTTTCTGCCGATGCGCCTACAAGGCTATCATTGGCCATTGGGGGGTGATATCCCTCGCTGCGTTGCATCTCGCTCCATCAGCCTGCTGATCTGTTCTCAATGGGAGAATCAACATGTTGAGACGGGCGTCATGGGCTACACTGGCTGCTTTCATTCATTGACTGTTCTTGTTCTGCATCATTTACACTCGCTTGTCCCTTTGACAATGACCTTGGTCCATAGCTAACATAGTACGTCATGCAGAAAAATGTTTATTGGCGGCCTGAATTGGGAGACGACTGATCGTGGGTGCCACCACCCTTGCAAGGTTACTTGCTTCCATCTGTGTCAAGCTCTAACTCCATGCAGAATCCCTTCATGACTACTTTTCCCAATTTGGTGAAGTTCAAGAATGTACCGTTATGCGAGACAGTGCCACCGGCCGCTCACGAGGCTTCGGCTTCCTGACCTTCAAAGATCCCAAAACAGTAAATACCGTTATGGTCAAGGAACACTTTCTGGATGGAAAAATCGTAAGGACCGCCCTTGAGCACCCAGCAGGACAGGAGAAGTCTGGTCCCCATCCCCAGACCGCATTCCCAAAGGACAAACGCTTACGTTATCGTGCCCAGATCGATCCTAAACGTGCTATCCCCCGGGACGAGCAGGAGAAGACTGCCAAGATATTCGTGGGCGGAGTGAGTCAAGACGCAACCGAGGAAGACTTTGAAACCTTTTTCGCGCAATTTGGTAGGGTAGTTGACGCCACGCTCATGATGGACAAAGATACCGGTCGGCCACGAGGTTTCGGTTTCGTCACTTTCGACAACGACGTTGCGGTTGAGAAGTGCTTGGAGTATCATCCACTAGAGATTCTGGGCAAGCCTATCGAAGTCAAGCGAGCGCAACCCCGGGGCAAGATGGGCGAGGAAGATGATTTCCCACGTCGAGGGAGAGGAAAATTCGGACGAGATGAGCGCTTTGGTGGTGACGGTGGTCAATCTGGGCAAGGTGGCCAGGGTCAAGGTCAAGGTCCTCAGATGATGGCCGGTAACTCCGGCATGAGCCCTCAGATGATGGCACAATACTGGCAGCGCATGCAACAATACTTTGCTATGATGCAGCAGCAGATGGTCGCGAACATGATGGGCGGTATGGGGAATATGGGCAACATGGGCATGAACCAGATGACTCCTCAAATGATGCAACAAATGATGCAGATGCAGAAGATGCAGGGCGGAAACAGCCCCAACCCGCAGAGTCCTGGCAACATGAGTAACATGCCAAATATGCAAGGCATGAACCCGCAGATGATGCAGCAAATGATGCAGATGCAACAACAAGGAGGCATGAATCCTATGCAGATGGGCGGCAATCGGCCACCGATGGGCCCAGCTGCCATGGGAGGAGCAGGTCGCTCTAGTTTCTCAGCACAAGAACAGCTCGCGTTTGAGCAGCAAAAGTATGAGCACCAGGCTCGTCGTGGGGGTGGATTTCCTCCCGGCCCGAGAGGACAGGGATTTCAAGGTGGACCACAGTCTTGGGAAGGCATGTACGACGATGTCCCGCAGCCTGATGGAGGACGAGGCTCTGCTGGTCCGGTGCGAGGACATACACCGAAACCACCCAAGGGTCCGGGTGGTGGCACACCTCAACCAAGTGCTGCACCAGCAAATGCGCCCACTGGTCCCAAGAATCCTGGCAAGCCTGGTCCGAGTTTCCGAGGCGGAAGAGGTCGGTATCATCCGTATGGAAGATAGAATCACTCTGGCCTTGCCTCCAGGGGCTGCAAACTTTTTGTTAGGAGGTGATGATGCATTGCGGAGATGCCGAATTCACTTTCCCCCACGATGGTCGAAGCGTGAGGCTGGATGGGGCCCTGTCGTATGTTTGATACAAGAACGGCGCTGATGAGGGATTTTTCACAACAAAAGCAACCAAGGAGAGAGAATTCGAGCTGTTTTCAGATATGGATGAGCTGATGCGATTACGCCATGGGATCATGGATGATTATTCCGAACTGCTTTGACCTGGGTTTGGGGATGAGGGTAATGTGTGTATCATAGCAGAGCAGAGGCGGAGTAGGTCATGTTGAAGCATTGGTAGCACAAAATTCAACGACATTTCCATATCGCTCCATTCCAGGTAGACACTATCCAGATAAAACGCCGAAGATGATGGTAGGGAGCAGCAGGAGGAGCTAAGAGTCTGAAGAAATGACTTCAACAACCGTAATTGAGGCGCAGAATAACACTAAGTACTCAGAGGCCCGGGCATTGTGTGTACAAATTTGCTCACTGGCGCGACGGGAAGCCTAGCCTGGATCAAGGCCATTTTCGGTGCGAGCAGGGCGTTGGGGTCGACGGCGAGTGTGTGGATAAGGGAGTTCGAAATCAACTCTGGGCTGCGACGGCATCGGACGCGAAGACGGGGAAGTATTATGAGCCCTTGGGTGTATAGGGGAATACAAGTAAGGCGAGTCGGAACTCGGAGCTGGCGTTGGGGGAGCGGGATAGACGGAGGAGGACTTGGATGCGTTTCTTGGGATGGACTAGAAAATGATGGTTGAGAAATGGAGGTTCATGGGAAAAGGTCGTCAATGCTTTTGGCCGGGAGAGTCGTCGAGCAAAGCCTGCAGCTCTGGCAGGTTGGGGATCATACTCATCTCATCTGAAGGCCTTTGGATATTGTGTTGAGACTGCTTGAGCGCGGTCCCGCCAGCCATATGGCTATTGCAGCGCTGGTTGAGGATGGAGTACAACTGGAACAATTAGCCCTTGATTTATCCTTCGCGATGACCAGCATTCAAACACTGCGATGTGTGGTACAGCTTGCCCTCAAAGTCGCTGGACCAATACCGATGGAAGGCGCGCAGGAGGTGGGTGAGGTGCAGAAGCAGGTACCGGTCGTCTATCAACAGTGAACACAGACGGCGAAGTGGCTGTGTCCAAGTTCGGGGCAACACTGCTGGCCATCCGCCATGCCACTCTTAGGCTTGAGTATACAACAACAAAGTTCCCAGCTTGCGTAGTATCCAAGCAGGCGGATGGTGAGCGATTGCCATTTCCGAACAGCTGTCTTTCTCAAATGGTCACGTCAACAATGGGTGTTGGAGATTGAATGACGAGGCTGTGCCAGTGGCATGCGGTTACAGTAGATAAGGCTATTAATAGGCAATAGGGACACGCTGAAAGATTTGCTCACTGTCAGACTAAATGCTTGGCATAAGTGTAGTCGCCAGAAAATTTTTGTGTGGGATTTGGAGATAATTCTTCTGTCATGACCAGTGAATTATGGAGCTCTCGGGCGCCCAAAGCCGGGGAATCTGTGCTTTGCCTTCCCGTTCACCCGTAGTCGAAGCACACGACCCTCATCATTCGACGGTGGAGGAACAGTCAGCACCGTCAGGGGTGAGACTAGAATTGATGCTTCTTCGTGCCAGATTGGGTCGCTTGCAATGATTGATCGGACGAGAATCCTCGCCACGTTTCCTTCAGGTACGAAAGGCCTTTGGCAGTTGTAAGTAGTAGTTACCTTGCAAAGGCTAGGTACTGTAAGCAACTGGAAGCACGTTCCTGACAGCCAAGCATAGGCGAAGATTTTGGCGAGAGGCGCAGCCAAATGCTTGCGAGGAAAATCCCAATGCCCAATAAGAAGCCTACGAATGCCAAAATGCGGGCAACTTTTGGGCTTGATGGGCTCACTGGTTAGGGGCTTGATGTCTCGCAGCTTTTCTGACTGCGCCTCAAATTCCACCATCATCGACCCAACAAACAACTTCCTCCGGAAGAGACCCATTGATGTATCCAAGAACGAGCGATGGACACAGTACGCAGCACAACACAGTTTAACACAATCATCAAGGTCTGATGCGAGCAAGACAGCGTCCCGTCTCGGAAGTATTTGGAGCACTTAAGGTTTCATGCCTCTAGGCTCTGAAACAGATGCCGAAGGTAACGCAACAGTGGCCATGGTGACATGCGCTGCCAACAAGCAAAGCCACCACCAAGAGGGGACCCATCAGGACTCTTCCCCCATCGTGCCCCATGCGAATCCTCCCGCCCATCCATCAGTATCCATCACCCAAATAAAGTCCCGAAAGACTTGTGGTGCCCCCTTGACAGGCCATCGATCGAGAACCGCGGGTGCGATATCCACTTATCCCGGCTCTGACCAACGCCACGAGCCCTACCTGGATGTGTACCTGGATCCTGAGGAGCCCATGCCCCTGTCGGCCCACTAGTTAGACACTCTCCATTGATGCCTCGAAAGCCTTTTCATATGCTGAGGTTGCGTATGCTCTGAAACGGCGTTCGCCAGATGTGGAAACCCCATGCTCGCTGCCATGCGCTGAGGCATATCTTTCGATCGAGACTCCCCAGCTGAATCCGGTCCTTTGGTCTATTTGTGCACATCATTCTCATCTTGTCGATCACAATCGTTACTTCTTCCAGTCTTCTTCTCAGACACTCGCTATCTTCACGTTCGCTCTTGCGTCTTCAAGTCACTCGCTAGACTCCTTCCCGACGATACGATTTCCATACATTCCTTCGCTTGACCTCTACGCAATCTACTTTGTCTTCGAAGAATTTCTACGCTGGGGATCTCAAGAGAGGGACTTGGGAAAGGCCGTCTACTCTAGAGGCTGAACTCCGCCGCTCGACGGCCTTGGACAAAGTTCAGTGGTACACAAAACGAGACACAAACATGTGGACGTCTTCTGTGGTGGCTTTTGCTTCACTAGCTCTCCTTCCATCGGTGCTGGCGACAGATATCTTAAAGACGAGTGGTGTATCGGATTGCAATAACGGAACATCGAGCATAAAGGTCAATAACGTCGATATTTCCTTTGATCGTTCAACCAACAACATAGACTTCGATGTCTCGGGTACCAGTGAACAAGTGCAATATGTCACCGCCGAGTTGATCGTGAAAGCATATGGTGTACAAGTATATCAGAAAGAGTTTGATCCTTGTTCGTCAGATACCAGAGTCGACCAGCTATGTCCTGGTAGGTGGCACATTCCAACACTTTTCGTGGACAGCGCTAATCTCTCAACAGTGCCCAAAGGAACATTTGCCGCCAACGGAACGCAGGAAATCCCTTCTTCATATACCTCTCTTATCCCCTCGATAGCCTACTCACTTCCCGACCTCGATGGCGACGCTCAAGTGATCCTCAAGAACAAGGGTGGCCAGCAGATTGCCTGCGTACAATCCGGTGTTACTAACGGTAAGACAGTGGAAGTGCCAGCTGTCTCATATGTTGCGGCCGCCGTAGCGGCTGCAGCTTTGGCCGTATCACTCGTTGGTGCCGCTGCTACTGGCGCTCATCCTGGTTCGAGCACTTCCAGCCCTGGATTTTCAGAAGTCATGTGGTGGTTTCAAGGAATGGCAATGAACGGCATGCATTCGGTTCCATATCCTACCATTTACCGCAGTTTCTCCAAGAACTTCGCTTTCAGTACTGGCCTGGTTTCCTGGGGTAGCATGCAGAAGTCGATCGACAGCTTCCGATCGCATACCGGAGGCAACTTGACCAACGACAGCTATGAATCCCTCAAGAATACCACCTTGGTTTTTTCTGATGGTTCCACAACCCAGACCACAACATCTATCGGCAAACGGGCACTTTCTGTGTTCATCCGGGATGTCAGTACGTCGGTGAACGGTACTGGTTCGAGCGCGGACTCGAGCTCAAGTGATTCGGGAAGCTCGCACTTGGTGCAAGGTATCCAAGGATATGTCGAACAGCTCACCATTCCACAAGCCAACACCTTCATGACCGTGCTCTTGATCTTCGCCATCGTGGTTGCGGCCATTGTTGTGGGTATTCTGCTCTTCAAGGTCATTCTCGAAGCTTGGGCACTGTTCGGCAAATTCCCCAAGTCATTGACTACCTTCCGCAAAGAATACTGGCGTATCATGGCACAAACCATCACCACCCTGATTCTCCTGCTCTATGGTGTCTGGACACTGTATTGCATTTTCCAATTCACTCACGGAGATTCATGGGCTGCTAAGCTTCTTGCTGCTCTGACGTTGGGGACATTCACGCTCTTGCTCGGCTTCTACACTTGGAAGATCTGGAGCATTGTTCAGAAGCTCAAGAAACTGGAGGGTAACGCCGACGCCCTGTACGAGAACAAGGAGACATGGAAAAAGTACAAGCTGTTTTACGAAAATTACAAGCGTGGATACTGGTGGCTTTTCGTTCCTGCGATCGTCTACATGTTCGCCAAAGGATGCGTTCTGGCTGCTGGTGATGGTCACGGCATGTTCCAAACCATTGGTCAACTGGTTATTGAAGCTCTCATGCTTGTTGTGCTTCTATGGAGCCGGCCATACAACCGCAAATCTGGCAACTGGATCAACATAGTCATCCAAGTCGTCCGCGTCGTCTCAGTCGTATGCATCTTGGTCTTCGTTGAGGAGCTCGGTATCGCCCAAACCACGAAGACAATTACTGGTGTGGTGTTGATTGTAGTCCAGTCTGGACTGACAGTTATCCTCGCTATATTGATCTTCGTCAACAGCATCATCAGCTGCTGCAAGGAGAACCCGCATCGAAAGCGACGCAAGGCTGCTAAGGAAAACTTGTCTCAAGATATCGAAGGCGATGCTTTCCTCATGACACCAAATCCATACACCTCTTCTCCTTCCCGCCATACGAGAAAGGTCTCCGACCCAGCGCAAGGCTACGAGCCGATGCGTGCCAACGCCTTTTCTCGATTTGGACCGCGGCCGGAGGAAAGTCAAGAGACGCTCGTCAAAGGTGCTGCTGGTATGGGCTACTCAGGCTACCGAAGCTTGAGTCACGGACGGAGCGACGTAGATGGAAGTCCGCCCCCTCCTTTCTCACGCGAGCCAAGACTGCCCGACCTTGCTTTTGAGCAGTATAGGCATAAGTAGGCGGCCATGACACAGTGACTGTTTTGGACTTTTCAGCAAGCCTTTGTCAATATCATGGGTCGGATGTTTCATATTATCACGGCAGCTCGATGCTGAACCGATGTGGGAAACGTTCTCTTTACGTTTGGTCTTGTTGTCAAGTATAGCGTGGCTTTACATCGGGAATAGCAGATGAGATGGACACTCGTAACGACTGGGAATGGACATACTATCGCCTAATAATACATTGCATATGTTTTCCATTCTTTACTTCCCCGTCTGATGCCGCTCTCCATGCGTATCCCAGCTCTTGTTTAAAATAAGATACTGCAGTAGATATAAGGCTTCCATGTGCTGCTCAAACGGTCTGTGTATTGTACCGTGCTGTTGCACCCACTTTGGGCCAGCGATCGCCCGTGATGCCCGAAAAGTTATTGGCATGTTGGCACCTTCCATCCTAATTAACGACGTACCGTTGAATCCATCCATCCATCCATCTATGCCATCCTTCATCTCGCATCAACGCCACAAAGGTACTTGTCCCGATACCATATGCTGGCCTGGCATATGCCCAAAGTCAGGGCACGCGTCTCCACTGTGGGTAGTATGGTCGACATGAAAGTGAATCCTCTTATCTTTCGTTATCCCTCCTTGATATCAATCTATGCGATCTTGCTGAAGTCTGCGTCTCTTTGAACGTGATAGATCCTCTATGGCGGATGCTGTTCGAGACTCCGTGGATTGTACTACGATCTCATGGATTACTTTCTAACAGCGTTCCCCATGCCCTCTCGCATTGTTCGATTGACAAGCAAGAGCAACGTCTCTCGGTAAAGCTTGTCTAGCTTGCTTCAGCCCTTGTTAGAGTGAAATTGTGCTATCCGGCATCCAATGGATGAAAGCAGTAGTATCTTTGCTGGCCACTGATACCCCCCGTTTATGAATCCCTGCTGGTGAAAACAAGCCCATGACAGCACAGTGTGCGAGCCGCAGTGCATGCAGCGTGAGCCAATAATCAGGCTGAAGAACTGCCTGTTGGATTTCCATCTAGCACTGTGGGTGGCTATGTTGACCAGGCACATACGGTCCGCCGCAAGGCGAACATCGGCATCCTTGCCACACACCGGTTGTCGGTTTCCAAGCCTTTCAGAGAAGTTCATCACCTCAACATTTGCGTCGTGCAATGTATGCTGTGTCGCGCTCAAAGCATGGCTCACAGTCACTTCGATTTTGGCGCGCCCACTGGTATCAAAAGACAGGAACCTGATTATGGGCACGAGGCTGAAGAAAAGCTTAAAAGGCATTGTACACAAGCTGTTGAATCCCACCAAAACTTCGATTTCCTCGAAATTCCAACAGACGGCGTACTACGGGGAGAATCCAGCCATGGTAGCGACGGATGGCAGCACCTTTCGCAGCACAACCCTAACTCTACCTATCCATATCGCTTTCCTGAACCTCACCATCTCGCGGATTGGACACCACAGCCTGACTGGAACACGACTCTGCCCACTGACTTTGTATCGCCCCAAGAATGGGTAACAATCTACCCAGATCAAAGACAAGGTGTTCAGACATTTCACCCTGGGCTGAGCTCTAGCACGGTCCAATTATACTCAGAACCATTCATCGAGACAGTTCCCAACGAGTACATTAGTCGTTATCTACCCCTCTTATCAGCTGAAGCAATCGACGTTCCCCGGGTCGGGACTGAATCCCCCACGAACGACCAACTACCTTGGCTTGCAGAAGTCCCACACTCTTTCGACCCATATGCGAATCCGTCGAGCACATGGCAATTGAATGACAATCATGCAACAAAGATCGGAATGAGACGCGCGGAATCCCAGAACGATCCCAGCATTGCTTACTCACCGCAGACCTTGTTGCCATCAACGACAAGCCTGGCAAAACATTTGGTAAGGGCGGAAGAACTGGAAGCAGCAGTCGTGAATGCCAAGTGCGCATAGTCGTGCACGGGTTCAAGAAGGAGACAGTCGTCATTGGTGACCTGCTTTCTGATGCTGAATTGTTTTTCCAGCAACCGTCGATGGAGGAATGTGGCCGAGATATTGAATACTGTAACCCACATTACCTGCTGCGCCCAGGAGCCCAAATGCCGAACTTGGAGGACTTGTCAATATCACCTGAAGGCTGCTCGACACCGGCTGGTGAGGCTCTGGAAGAAGCGGAAAAAAGCAAGTTCATGCGCATATTTGATGATGCAAGCGATCTCGGCGATCCCGGCGTCTGTTACTCAACGACTCCGAGCCCTCGTCTTCGATCCACATTGAAGCAGTAAGCACTCATCCCTCAATGACAATACGAAACTCACAAGACGCCAGTCATCAGCTCACTGCGTTATCTTGGATGATTGCCAAAGAGAACTGCAATGTCGAACATCCTGGATTCTCTTCTCTGTGGGAGTTGGATGCTAATCCTGGGTCCAAACCAAAGTGGGCCATACACGACGATGGACGAAATAATAGTGATTTCTGGCTAACGCCGTGATGTAGATACCGCCATCGAATCACTGGACTTCGAGAAGGGTCCCCGAAGCCGATGCAAGGAGAGATTATCGCCGATGTGAGTCTCGTCAACCTTCGCACTATCTCCCATACCGATCAGGGCTAATGCTACTGCCAGGAAATGGGTCTTGGGAAGACACTCAGTCTACTAGCCCTGGTTTGTGCTTCTTCAGATTTAATGGGTCACAACGAAGCTCATTCAATTGGCGGAGTATTAAAATCGACCCTCGTGGTCACCCCCAAGTCCAGTGCGTAAAGCCTTCGTAGGCTCGTTCGCCTCATCTGCTAAGTGACTAAACTAGCGATACCTGGCTGGCTTGAACAAGTGAGAAGGCATGGAACGCTGCTTATGTGGTACTCCAAATCTCTAACAATCGACAGACATATACAACACAAGTCAGGTGCAGGTGGCGACGTATCATGGAAGCCTCACGAAACGCTCCTCGCTCCCGTTTGAAGAATACGACATTATCCTAACCACCTACGAGACATTACGATTTGAATGGAAGTCCAAAGGGGCACTGTTCCAAAGAAAATGGAGTCGACTTGTCTTAGATGAAGGTCCGTGAGCATCATATTGCTTGACGTTTCCTAGCGTTCGTTGATGCTTGAGCTGACTGCTCGCTATGAAAGCGCACCACATTCGAAACAGGTCCTCTCAAATTTTTGAAGCGGTCAAGAGGATTACCGCCAAATGTCGATGGTGCTTGACGGGCACACCGATCCATAATTCTCTCGACGACTATGGGGCTCTCTTGAGTTTCCTCGTTGTTACACCTTTTGATGACAAGTCTAAGTTCGACTACTGGATCGCTCACCCCTTAGAGGGCGGTGCACGAGACAGCCTCACGAGACTCCGAACCCTTGTTAGAGCAACCTGCCTTCGACGTACGAAGAAATCAATCGGAGACTCGTGTAAGTTGCCACCACGAACTGAGAACGTTCACGAGGTAGACCTATCCAGCAAGGACCGAGAGCTCTACGAGTTCTTCAAGGAACGTTGCTCGAGCCTTGCTGCCGGTAACTCCAAAGTGGTCAAAACAGGCCGCAGAAGAAAGAACGAACAAAAAGAGGGCAACATCCTAGCGCTCATCAACTTCCTGCGTCTCATTTGTGATCATGGAGAACAGATCCTACCGGCGGCGGCGCTCGATGCATGGCAAGGCCGAGACCGGACGGCAATCGACTGGAGCATGATCCAGGCTTGTCGAGCCAAATGCTGCATATGCGACAATTACTTCATCGAAAGCGATGTTGGTGCATCCAGCGGACATCAGTATTCGTGCCAGCACTCGGCCTGTTTTCCATGTGCGTCACATAATGGGGATATTGATGCCGAACAGGCACAGCCTTGTCCCAAGTGCCGTGTTTCACGAAAAGCAAGGGTCGATTCGTGCACTACGAACTATTCAGGTGCACCCATGCAGCCATCCAGCAAAGTTGAGGCTCTTTTGAAAAACCTTCAGGCAGAGCAAGCTGATGGGTGGAAGTCACAAGGGACCACTCCTGTGAAAAGGTACGCAAGACCCTCCCTTGCAAGGGTTGCCCTACCTTTCTCCCAGCTGACCAGTAACCCAGTGTCATTTTCAGCTGCTGGACCAAAATGCTGGACCTAGTGCAACAGGCCCTTCAAGCAAACAAGCTTGGCTTTGAACGAGTGGACGGACAGACGAGCCTTGACAACAGAAGCAAAGCCATCAATCGGTTCACCAACGATCCTACATGTACCGTGATGCTCGCTAGCATAAGCGCTGCCGGAGAAGGGTAAGTCGGACTCAAAAGTAACGCACGACATTAACGGGTCGAAACTGATACTGGCGTTCTCCAGGATTGATCTCAAGGCCGCCAACCATGTCCATCTGATGGAGCCACAGTGGAATCCAATGGTCGAGGCCCAGGCTGTGAATAGGGTGCACCGAATAGGCCAAGAGCGTGAAGTATGGATCACTCGGTACATAGTAAGCGACTCAATCTAGACGGTAAGCACATACGCCGCCCTCCGGCGTCAAGAAGCTGACTGCCTGCATAGTACATCCAATGGGTGCAAGCAGACAAGTTAAGGCTGATCGAGAAGTCGCTGAACTCCTTGGACGAATCTCAAACCGAAACTGACTTTAAGCGATGGAAGGTAAGTCATGTGTCTGAATGATGCTCTTTGAACCCGCAACCTTGACACTAGAAACAGAAATTACAGACTTTCCTGTCGTCCCGGAAGCTGGGAACAGCATAAGCCCAAATTCTGCTTTATATTGTACAATGCGACAGGAGCCTAGCAGAACATCCGATACGATCTAGCGGGGCAAAATCTTTTCTCATCCGATGGAGGATTTCAGGCCAACAGATGCGCATCCGTCAAGCCGTTGAAGGAGGGAGGCTTGCGTTGTTATACCTCGGGTAGAGCCGACATGGTCATCTGTATATTTCTATCATAGTCTTTCGGTCGACCTGGTTCCCATGCCGTCCCGCTTGACAACCTCGCGTTCAGGCGGCGTGGTGGATGGCCAGGCTCTCATCGAACCGTCTCGTAATCCCTTTTCTCGTTCCTCTTTGGATTTTACAAGAAGTTCGTCCCAGGACATTCCCAACCACTTTGCAATTCCCCTTGGACCCTTCTCGTCCTGGATTTTTGGATATGCCATGCTGGGCTTGGTTGGTGTGAGATCAGGATCAGCTCCGTTCAGGAGGAGGTATCTTATCAAGTCTGCGGCAGCCGCAGAATCGCGTCGCGCAGCATGCCGGACTGGCGTTACAGCATGGCCCTTGGGGGCAAAGTTCACATCCGCCCCCAGGTCGATCAAGTACTTTGCGAGTCTGACAGAACAAGTAGTCTGTGCAACAAATGACAATCCCATCCCCAATGCTCTTTTGGTGAATATGACGTCCGCACGGGCTCTCTCCCAAAAGGAGATGAGGAAAGACTCCTTATTAGGATCTCCTTTGGTTACTTTGATGGTGTCTAGGAAGTTAAGCTCATCGTGGACGTGACATGAGCGCTGTGTAACAACTTTGGGATTGAAGTAGAGCTTCCACACTTCCAGTAGCGGCTCTGACCCGGAAGCCACTAGAGGCGTAAGGAGATGCATATGTTCCAAGATGCGCACATGCTCTGCCTTATCCAGTAAATGTTTAAGGGTATCCACGTTCAGGCCTTCAATTGCTTTCTTCGCGAGTGTGCCAGGCTGCCAGCATAGTTGTGCCGAGATAAGCACGTCGATCATCGTGGGAGACCCAGAATAGGCTGCAATTTCTAGCATTGCGTTTTGAAACTCCCAGTCCAATTTTTGGAAGTATGGTAACAGTTCCCTCACGCGATCTGTTTCGTCGGCTTGGACCAGGTCGAATAAAAGCGGTTGAACCTCATCGGGGTCTGGCGGATTTTGGTGGACTTCGGTTCGAGTGGCATTCGTTGTATAATACTTATTCAAGTGATCGTCCCGCATCTTCCGTGAAAGGAATCCTCCCTCCGCAAATTCGCAGTCTTCTACGCTGCATTTCCATGGACGGTCATGGTGTTTCATGTGTGATTTTCGAACCGAGCTTGGCTTGAAGCCATGACGGTGGAACAAACAACCGGTGAAGCCACATTCGAAAATCCGCTCACCGTAGTGCCTTCGCAATACCTGACAACGACAGTGTTGGTGGTGGTTCGTCGCACAATCTGTCAAGATCTGGTTGAACTGCTTGTATATCTGAACCGAAGTTCGTGATATTGTAAGCGGATCAAGGTCCATCCAGCCAGCACCTATTGATGACAATGTTAGTTGTGCCGTCCACCGTGGAGTTTATCCTAGATCATACCCTCTGCTTTGTTGTAGGTCCCTTTCTGTGACATTCGACGAAAGCGAGCGCTCTCGCAGAGCATCCCATACACGTCGCCCGAGGCTGCTTTGAAACAGTCCAGGTTCGGTTGAAATGGTGCTGTCGCACTATCGGCATATGCATCGTTATGCCTGTCGCTGATGAGTCTATCAACAGCATCAATGACTGTATCAGAAAGGGGTTGCGACCCCTTCGAATGGATATAAAGCTCCAGTGTATCAAGCCAGCTGGTCGATGCAAGGTTGTGAAGGCAGTATGCACCAGTCGTGATATTTTCGGCTATCTCTTCATCAGACAGATCGGGATCATGGTGTCTCTGACAGAGATAGTTGATGAGACATGATGCAAAGCTCAGCGTGGCTTCCATCTGGCACACGTATCCGGGAACTTTGGGGCTGAATATGTAGCTAAGCCATACAAGGTATAACAAGATTCTCAACAACTGTGGCCGTCGACTTACTCTTTGACGGTGAAGTGAACGAATTGCACATAGTCGTCAACTACTTCCACAATCGGGCCACATATCCTGGGAAAGTCGACCGTTGAAACACTTTTTCTGACAGCTTCTTCATCGGAAGGGCGCACAAGCAGAGCCTGCCCTAACTCTATTGTTGTCATAGGAGTCGGTGCGCAACCCACCCATTTGATGATCTTCAGGGCCTTCTCCTTCAGATCCAATGGGCGAAATTCGTGGATTGGGCTCAAAATTCTTGCGTAGCTTTGTTCTGTCAGCTTATGCGATCGAGCATGATCGCCATCTACCTTACGCATCTTGTAGGTCTTCAGGAAGCGCCCTAAGGTATTTGCTGATCTCATCTGTTGTCTGCATATACCTCACACTGTTCAAAACCACTCTGGCGTAAAGAAACAAGCCTTTTCAAGCAATCAGATCAGCTGGTTCCACTTGTTATGATATCCAGAAATACCTTTAGCATGCGAGGCAAGCGGCGAGAGGAGACCTTCAATTTCGGATCTCTCTTCTGGGTGGAAATTGCGCTCAGAGAACCATTTTTGAGCCCATTGATTGACGAAATTTTGAATGCTGCCTGCGTTCTGCAGATCGACGCGGATGGTAGTATGATCTTTGAGTAGTTGTTTAATGTCGACCTCATTCCGGCTGCTTATGAGGATCCTTACCTCGTCACAGACTTCCGACAAACCCAGAATGTGCCGCAAGAGCCTACAACGCTCTAGCTCCTGGATTTCGTCGAGGCCGTCGATCACAACATACACTGGTGCTGCGTAACCCACCAGAGTCTTGAGCAGCTCTGTCGCCACATGGATGTCATTTGTGAGCGCCTCTTTACTCGATAGACATACTAGTTCCTGCAGATGTTCGTCACAAGCCGCCAACTGGAATATCAATGAGTGGAAAATCGACAGCGTGGACAGACTGCTGCTGTATTTGTAACTGAGGAATGCGTAGATAACCTTGCCAATCTTCTGTGACTCTGTGATCACCGCAGTAGATAGAAGTGTCTTCCCTTTGCGTTCATCTGTGTTAGTAGACAAGGTTCAAGAAACTTATGCGCGAACGGGCTCACTCACCTGCTCCGGGGATGCCCTGCAACCACAATACCTTGTCGACATGAATTTTGGTATCAAGCCACTTCTTGAAAACCGTGTCCTTGATCAACCATTTTTCAGTCCCAGGGCAGAACTCACCTCGCAGACGGTACAGCTCGTGTCCATATGCCCTGGGAGACATGTTGTTGGCAATCGTGTTATATTCAATTTGCCGAAGAGATTTTTCTTTCTTGTCGAAATCTTCAAACATTCTAAGTCGAGCGTTATGGGCGTCTTGGATGTGCTGTAGCAGGGTTTCTTTCCTTAGCAATAGCGTATGCTGTTGGATTTGTGCTTCGACAATCTTGATCTTCTCGCGTTGCGTAGGCCACATCGCTCCGAAGACGAGTCGCCACCCTGCAAGTCTGTGTCAGCGGTTCTGCCACCGACGTCAAGAAGTTTTCAGAGCACACACTCGTCTTACTGAAGAATTTCAGGGCGATGAAATAGAAATCGAGGACATCACGAAAGAAGAGAACGTGGACCTATTTGATGAGTGCATTCTCCTTGAAGAGCGATCCAACTGCCTTGAATTCTGGTAGAAGCTTGCCAACTTCTGCTGCGGTATTGATGATAGCATCGAATGAGCTCTTGAGACAGTCAGTCCATTGTAACAATAGCTTGATTGGGCCCCATATGAGACTAAGTACATCCTGTTTCGACTGTACGAAGACTTCGATGACAGCGGTGTACTCTTTGAGGCCATTCAAGAAAGGTTCGAGCTTCGAAAGATGGCGCAGATGCCCATTTTTTGCCTGCTCTTTCTGGAGAGCGTCTGTGGCATCGTAAACCTCGTCAATGGTTTTTGTCTTAGAGATCTCCTCGATCAATGCGTTGTCTCCCGGGTTTGCCTTGAAGTCACGAATCGCGTTGTGGAAACCTGCTTGGACTGGATCGAATTGCGCCGACATCGTCGACATGGGGATTTCCGAGGATTTTCATTACCCGATGCAAAATCAACAAGATGGTCAACAAGTGTGAGCGTCCTCCGTAGAGGCATGGTGGAAGAGAACTCGGAAAGGATCAGGCTGAAGGGTACTTGCGCATTCGAGAAACTGCTTGAGAGAATCAGGCGACATGGCGGGGGCCCAGCAGCTGCAGCTGCATGAGGGCCCAAATCTCCAGCCCAATCAGGTTTCCTGCGAAATGAATGTATGCAAGCAGTTCGCACATGCCCCTTATGGGAGTTGCAAGGCAGAATCGCGGCACCTCTGGCGCATTCGCATCCCCATCATTCAAGTTTGGAACAGATGAATCAACATTCTCCAGAGGTCTGCGGGTGGCGTCTCCCGGATGAACAGGGTAAAAAAGTGCAGCCCACTCGCATCCATGGACAGGTGGCGCCCTGTCGCCCGCACTTGGACAGGCGAGGTTCTGTAGAGTGTTCGAATCCAGACTCTGGTTCGCACTCCCATAACGGTGGCCTGTTCCACTCAAAACAGCTCGGGGAACGTTTGCAATAAATACGGCGAGACTCTTTTCTACCATACGGTACAGATAGTATCCAGCATCCCAACCGCCAACCCGGCGAGCAGATACCTTACAGCAGGCCGGAGTTCAACAACAGCAGTAGCAGCACTGCTGTGTCCCTGACCCTCTGCGAACCCATTTTGGTGTCCACCGAGATATTCCGCTCCAACGCTGGTCAGTTTCCCACTCCCATCGAGCATACTCACCCCGTCTCCAGTCCACTCGTTCGCGTCGTCGGACCTGAACGTGCCAAACCAACTGTATCTTTCCACATAGCCCAGTCCGTCGAGGTAAGGCAGGGTCTCGTTCATCATTGCGAGAGTGGTCTCGTCGTCGGCGGCGGGGATGGCGAACTCGGTTAGCCAGATTTTCTTGTTCGGGTAGAGCTCGTGGATCTGGCGCAACCAGGACGCGAGGGATGGGAAGGGTCCGTAGAAGTGCGATGCTATGAAGTCGAACTCACAGCCGTGGGTTGAGTTGAGGCGGTAGCATGAGGTGTTGAACTTGGCGAGCCAGGTTAGACCGGCTTCTGAGCCCGATGTTGCGGGTCTAGATGTGGAGGATCGTCAGATTTCATTCTATACGCTGCCCTTTGGACTTATGTGCTGGTCTTCTCCCACCAATGGTGCGGCGGACACATGCGCCATGTTGAGGCTTCAGTTCCTACTTACAGGCTCAGCTTCAAACCATACGGCTCCTCTCTTAAGGGTGCCAGCGTATCCAGATACGCTTTGGCAGCATCGTTGGGCAGAGTGTTCGTGCCACCGTCAGCTGTGTCGATATCGGGCTCATTGAACGTGAGGATGTGGCTAACGCCAGACAGCGATTTGATTGTGTCGACGTCGTCTTCTGCATTCGACGCACCATGGACCATGGGGACGAATTCCATGGCGTTGAAGAGCGAGTCCGTCGGCCATGGTGAGTAATTATAGTACCACGTCAACGGCGATCCGGATTCGGTGAAGATCGAATCGTCGTGGGACGAGTGTGAGGTGGATATATATATCAGGCCGCGCTTTGGGTACGTTGAGTTTGTAGAGGCGAAGGCAGTGGCGCTGAAGAAGATGACTAGGGTAAGGAAGACGGTGGGCCAGAAGGAGAGGCTTGACAGCACCATGGCTAGAAAGGCTCGACTATGAAGCAGGGGTTTCTGGTGCAATGCCTCTCCTCTCCCTCGTTGAGTCTTCCGGCCAGGTTCGAAGATGACGTGGGTCAAGTATATGTGTAAGTCGCTGCAGATGTAACAACTCGCTTCGCTGTACAAGCCAAGGCAAGACAAGGACTTGCTTGAGAGGGGTATCATCAATTATTCGCGTTGTGTGGGAACGAAAGATATGGTAACGATGGTTCGCAAACGCCAGGTGAGTTGGTGGTTACTTGGTGGACAAGACTCTTGTACTGGCTATCTTTCGGCGAGCTCGAGGTTTAGATCGATATATACTGAACGTCGGGTGCCTCTTGGCCTGGTCATCACCATATGCTCATCTTGCATAGAACGATCATCAGTGGGAAGTAATCGGCAAGTGCCGAGCCACCAGCCACGAAACTTGACGCTGTGGTCGCGGTAGTAACCAGGAGTAACTTCGCGCAAGTGGGATAAAGCAGATCTAGAGAATGATCAGTAGGGCTATTCCTTGGTACACACCTTGTCTGCCAACTTGGACTTGTAAGGTGGTACTGGTGGGTGGATAGGCCGCAGCATGGAAGTTGGTGTTTTGGTGTTGACGTCAATGGCTGTGATAAGATAGAAAAACCCTCTGAATGCACAGCCACAACAGACAGGGATTCTGCAGCCTTGTCCGACGATCACAATGCATAAAGTGAATGGGCGCGCTTGGTGCTGGCAAGCATTGACCCGAAGGGCTTCATCGATTTCAGTCTCGCTTCTCGTTCGACTATGTCTATTGCAGTCTGCTTGGCCATGGCCGCCAATATCCCCTGTGCAGAAGCGGGGATACTGTCGTTGACACGAGTTATCTTGTTGACAAGCCACGTACATCTGCTGCGAAATATATCATCTGCAGTCTTATTCATAGCCTCCTCGACCCAGCAACTCGGAAACGGAGCCTAGAAGCAAAAGACTTGGTCTTCCAGCTTACTGACGGGTCGAGCCTTCTGGTATCCGAGGCTTTCTGTCGCCTTCTTCATAGCACTGACCATAGGGGGAGGCCCGCAGATCAGGATCTTCATGTCTGCTGCTGGAGGAGGTAGTTTCTCCTTGATCATGTCTGGAGTGACGAAACCAACACCGCCAGTCCAGCCCGTAGGTGGGTTGTTCAGGACATAATACACATTAAAGTCTGGGTCTTCCCTATCCAGAGCATCGAGCTGTTCTTTGAGAAGGATATCATCAGGATTAACGTTAGCGAAAATCAAGTCAACCTTGGTGGTGTCGTTGCCTCCATTTCTAGGTCGCCCACGGTTGATGGCTCGGATGATTTGAAGCATAGGAGTAATGCCAGTACCACCAGCAATCATACCAATGCGCTTGCAAAGATTCGGAGTGTAGACCATGGCTCCCTTTGGTCCCCGTACCTTCATGGTATCACCAATCTTCAAGGTGGCCATGTGCGCGCTGATGTTTCCCTGAGGATATGCCTTGATCAGGAGCTCAAACCAACCCTGGTCTTCGTCTGAAGAGATGGGAGTGTATGACCGCACCACCTCCTTTTCAGCACCCTTGGGCGTCGCAGCGAGGGACATGTGCTGCCCGATGGGAAGACCAAGAATGTCGGTGGGCTTGGGAAGACCGAATCGGTAGATGGCGACATTGTGAGAGGTCTTCTTGATGTCGATGAGAGGGAATTCTTGGAAGGTGTCCGGCTTGAGGATCTTTCGTGACGAGGGCGCTGGGAAGGAGTTAGCGAGAGTGTCAGGCCACTGGAACTTGGGGGTTACTCACCACCACCGGCGAAGAACTTGTAGCCCACGAAGACCGCAGCGAGAGCAGCAGCAATAGCGGCTGCGACAGGAACCCACGACATCTCTGGTTCAGTGACTTTGGCGAACAAAAAGACCGGAAACTGGTAGATCTTTTAGAAAGTGTCCCTGATCTAACTTAACTCTGGTGAGGGTGGCAGCAGGGTGTTGACGTGGAGCTATTCTTACCTCGTTATTGTACTTGTGTTCGCCAACCGCCCTGCTTGCTCCGTACCTGGGGCCTACACACACCTGCAGAATAACACCGGGAGTCTGGTCAGAGTGGTGTCTGCTTGGGTCGCTGGGGTGGGAAACAAAAAAATATATCGGCGTTGGGGAAGTTCGCAGCGAGAAACGGAGGGCAGAAGAGAGGAACGAGGAACGTGGGGCTTGTGGCCGCTACTCGCATCTGTTCTCGCCGCGCCGCGCTTCAATTTCGCTCGTCGGACTTCGTCGTGTCGAGTGCAGAATAATCTTTGCCCTTTTCATCCGTTCTTCGGGATCTTGTGCTTGGTTCTGGTCATTGAGTGCGGGGCCTTTCCGAACCCACGGAAAGCCCATCCCCATCTTTGGTCAAAGCGTCCGGTGAACATTGCCTGTTCCTGAAAGTACGAGCTCGAGCTCGGGTAGGGATCGGAAAGGGAGGCTATTATCATGACTACAGACAGCACTGATACTCCTGTTCCATTTGCCTTGACGGCTCTTGATAGAGAGATCCTGTCTATGAGCAACGATGAATTCTCTCCCCACACATGGGAGGAAATCAAACAGATTATTGGTATGATCTAATGTAACAATACGTTTCATATCTGCGTGACTGTTGACACTCTAAAAATGTGTAGCTGAGAACAATCTTCATCTATTCAAAAGATGGCCTTCCGATCTGAGGCGATACATCAAATGGTCGGCTGAGACCAAGGCCGCATATGGGAGTATCCCAATTTTCGTCATGAGAGAGAGACTCAGATGGACACCGTTGGCTTCGTCGACTGCTAAAACTGGACCCGAGTTTGCGGTGGAAGATCCGACCCCCTTCGCTCACGAAGACGACTACAAAATCCTGATCAACGATTGGCCTTACGGACTTGATGAAGGCATTCGGCACATCATAGTCTGGCTGAAGACCAGATTGGAGTCGGAGCCCACCAAAGGCGATATGACTCCAAAGTCACGGCAGCAAGTTGAAGAATTCATACAAACCAAATTCGTGAACCGAGTCAAGGATTTGCCTGGCGAGGAGGAGAAAGTCGTGTGGTTCAAGAATTGGACGGCCTTGCAATCTGTCCCGGGTATGGAGCATGTTCATGTCCTTGTAAGAGGAGTACCAGATCTTGTCGTTGCAGAATGGACTGGTGGTGTACAGCCGTTAAATGTCGAGACCTAAACATTACTCTTCTGATCAAAACACAGTAACCTAGACGGTGAGGCAATCGCAACGAAGATTTCGTCAGCGCAATGACATTTTGATAGCTGTCCTCTTATTGTCCCGTCTTTCGAACGTCGGCCCAGATGTCGTCGAATATTTGGAAGACGGCTGTGACACCTTTCAAGGTGCTTTCGTCAATTTCCATGAATCCGTACCGCTGCTGGATCTTGTCAGGATGCCATCTTACCCGCTCCGCTTTGAGGGCATTAGCAAGAGGGTCTCCGGTATTCTCGTCCGACTCTAGGCTGGCCGTTCCTTTCCTGACAAAACGCTCAATCTCGTCTCGGTGGACATCTTTGCGCTTACCCGATTCAACCGGCCACGCTATTTTGTTGCGGAGAAAGACTTGCTCTGTATCTTCCTCGGGCTCTGGACGGTTCTGCGCCAATGCCTGCAGCTCATTCCACCGCTTCAAATAGTCCTGCCACAAGGCCTGCCATCGTCTACGGTCTTTTCGTCTTTCGCCGCGGCGAAGACTGGCCCCAACTTGGGCGTCGAATATGTAGTCATCGTGCTGGGCTTGCCTCTGCTTGTTCCTTTTGTTCTCTTCCTCGCGTATCCGCTGCTTTTCTTCTTCCCGCTCTCTTCTCTTCTCTTCTTTGGCAGCTTCTATTCCTTCCCAGCTCTTCTCCCACATTTTCCGACGGACAAACTGCGCGTATTCCTCATCGGTCATGCGTTCCAACTCGCCAGTCTCTTCATCTTCGTAGGTGTTCGGGTAATCGTGAATGGGCTGTCCATATACCCCCTCCCAGAATGCTGCGCCTTCATCGTCTCCAAGCGCATCGAAGAGTGACTCGCGAAAGGCTTGGTCTGCAGGCAAGGAATTCAACGAGTGAGAGTGTGCGGGTATGTGGTCGGGGGAACGCTTAGAGGACTTGCGACGTCTCTCGCCAGCGTGAGATGATTCATGGTGTCTCCTGCGCTTGTGCCTTCTCAGATTGTCCTCTTCACGGACATCATTCTCCCTTTTCGACTTGAATCGGAAGCGCTTAGATTGGGGTTCGTGGCTATCGTCATCCTTCGCACTTTGAGGCTCTATCGAAGCCTTGGGCTCCTCGGACATTGCTGGCAGAGAAGTTCAGACATCATATCTGGTGGAGGAAAATTGTACAGTGTGTACTGTGGTAGTAGCGAGGTGCTTTGAATCCTGCGAGGCTGGGTTCAAGTAGTTGGAGGCGAAGAAGCCGCAGAACAGGGCAAGGCTGTGACGGCAAAAAGATTGTCCCGGTTCGCCACGCCAAGACATCAACTTTTCAATTGGCTCATGAGCATCGTGCAGGAAGAAGATATGACTATGCAAAAAGAATTGTCCTTATGCTCCCACGCGCATTTCCTTCTGTTCATTTTCTTAGACCTCTGCAAACTCTCCCCTCTAGACCATTGAAGCCTCGGTCTCTTTCTGGTGTCTTTTTGAAGTCGGTTCTGCCGAGCAGATCCCAGTCACACTACGACAAGAACTTTGGGACCATCATAAACTTGTCATATTCACCCCATCGACGCTTCTCCACTTGTGCAGCGAGAAAATCCGTCATGGCTTCAGAAATAAGTGAGAAGATCACATCTTTGTCAATAGACGAGATGGCCAAGGCCAAGAACCCCGTCGACTTCTACCGACAACATATTGCAGAGAGGCTAGCTCCCATTGTAAATCGAAAAGATGCCGAAATTATTCCTCTGCTGCAGTGGACGGCTACACTCGACAAGGGAGACCTGATGCTGCCGGTGGCTGCACTGCGGGTCAAAGGCAAACCACCTCAGGATCAAGCCAAAGAAATTGCCGAAGCATTTCCTACTACTGACGACACGCTAGCAACAGCATCTCACAATGGTCCCTTTGTTCAGTTTTTCTACAAACCAGAACACTTGATCAGAACGGTGATACCTGAGATCCTCACAAGTAGGAAAGCATACGGCACCAACCCGACATCTGGCCTCAAAGATCCATCGGATCCCTCCAAGGGCCAAAAACGGGTCATTGTGGAATTCTCGTCACCAAACATTGCCAAAGAATTCCACGCAGGTCATCTTCGAAGCACGATTATTGGAGGGTTTCTCGCCAAGCTATACAAGATCATGGGCTGGGAGGTTATCAAGATGAATTACCTTGGTGACTGGGGGAAGCAATACGGTCTTCTGGCCAACGGTTTCAAGCAGTTTGGAAGCCAAGAAGAACTAGACAAGAATTCGATCCAGCATCTGTTCCAAGTCTACGTGAAGATAAGCAAGATCAAGAGTGAACAAGATGAGCCTATCGATGCACTCAAGAAGGAAATCAGGGAGAAGAAGGCCAAAGGAGAGGATGTCACAGGCCTAGAAGAGAAGCTAGCTCCACTGGTCGAAGCCAGTGAAGACGAAAAAGCACGAAAATACTTCAAGAGCATGGAAGATGGGGATCCAGAGCCACTTGCCCTGTGGCAAAAGTTCCGCGATATGAGCATCGAAAAATACAAGAGGACGTATGCGCGGCTGAATATTGAATTCGACGTCTACTCCGGTGAATCACAGGTCAAGGCAGAAACCATCAAGAAGGTGCTCGACAATCTTATGGCCAAGAAAATTGCCGAAGAATCGGACGGTGCGCTTCTGGTCGATTTCTCCAAGTACGGAGCAAAGAAATTGAACAAAGCGATCATCGTTCGAAGAGATGGCACTCCGCTATATCTGACGCGAGATCTGGCAGCGATCCTAGAACGATACGACAAGTACCACTTCGACAAGATGATCTACGTTGTGGCGGATCAACAAAATGAACACATGGCTCAAGTTTTCAAGACTACAGAACTTGGTGGCTACAAAGAGGTTGCGGAGAAGTGTGAGCACATTTCCTTTGGCATGGTCAAGGGTATGAGCACTCGACGGGGCACAGTCAAGTTCTTGGACGACATCATCCAGACGGTCAAAGAAACCATGCTCGAGGTCATGCAGAAGAACGAGAAGAAGTACGAACAGCTGGACGATCCGGAAGCTGTGGCCGATATCCTGGCTATCACTGCCATCATGGTGCAGGATTTGACAGGCAAAGTCCGCAATGGCTACGAATTCAACATCAACCAGATGACAGCGTTCGAAGGAGACACGGGTCCATACCTGCAGTATGCCCATGCACGACTGTGCTCGATCGAACGGAGAGCCAATGCGGATCTGACTGCCCTGAGCTCTGCCGACCTGTCGTTGCTGAAGGAAGCTCATGCTATCAACTTGGCCCGGTCGTTGGCGCAATATCCTGACGTGGTCCTCAACACGCTCAAGACTCGTGAGCCAGCAACGCTATTGACGTATCTGTTCAAAATGGCTCACGCTCTGAGTTCAAGTTATGATCATCTGCAAGTTGTGGGAAGCGAGGCCGAATTGCAGAAGGCTCGATTGGCGCTGTACGAGGCTGCCCGTCAGGTTTTGTGGAATGGCATGACCTTGCTCGGCCTAACACCAGTGCAGCGAATGTAACACGGCGGCTATCGGCAGGTAGGATGAGGTGACGGGTTGATCCGACCAGGGGTGTTTGAGCATTTTGAGCGGGAATATTCGGAACGCTATTACTGGCGAAAGTGACTTGCGATTACGAGAATCTTGGGGTTCGGGCTCTGGGTCGAGAAGAAAGCCCACAACGAGGGTACAACTTGTAGACTGACGGCGGATCAGATTTTCTCCGGGGCGATGAGACAGTTGCAGCGATCAACAAGGATCTAACCTAACACTCTTATGATGGTGACCAGGTCCAGCTCCAGCGGATGAGGCGATTCCTTGTTCTTTAAGATGCTGATGTGTGTTCATGCAACTGTACAGACTAAGCACTTTTAGTCAGGGCAGGGAAGGCTGTTCACGTCACAGTGCGTTGGGCACCGATATTGTTTCGAGCTCCTGGGACATACGGGACCTGAGATTCTTCGTGTGCTGAATCTGCGGATCATGATCATGGACCTCGACGATGGGATGAACGTGTCTGCACGCTAACATGGTCTTGGAAACTCCATGTCTACTATACCTCACTGGACGAAACCTGCACAGTCTACTACGTCCAAGGCCAGCCACAGACAAGCAGGCTGCACCTTCTGTGTAACATAGAGCTAGCATAGCATTGAAGCGAATGAAGGATGGGCTCTTCTCATCAGCATCAGCATCACCATCTGCAGGTAGGCTCCCCGCGTTTTCCTCAATCAACAGCTTGCCAACAGCCGTGTCGTACTACAATATCATCCCCTATCGGAGTACAATCCACGTTTCGTGACACCTGAAGTACGCTGAGGGGCCACAATCCCGAGATGAACAATGCAGATGATTTCATTCCATGGACCCTGATTGTCTGCGTCGGTCATCCCTGGCCATGTTGTTGGCCACTATTCTCTAAAAATGAGTGCTGACGCCGCCATGCGAAGGGGCGAAGCAGAACAGGCCAGCAAGATGTGAAGACAAGTTGACGAGCATGCGGTCGCAGGAAGTGGCCATGGCTATTCGTCGAGTGGACTTTAACGACGAAGCTGTGCCTGCAACTGCGTGCGAATTCTCCCTCATCGGGCTTCAATTGGCTTATATCAACCATTCACAAGGCAGCAAGCAACACCAACCCGCACATCACGCAACTAATACAACACCGGTTGGCTCTTGCAACGACTTCTCACGCGCATCAGTTCCCGCTCGCCAATGCCATCCTCGAACCATCCGCAACTTTTGCCAGCCTAGAGAAAGAATCCCCCCTGCCTACTGCACCCTGCTGCTGCCTCCGGCTACCCTGGTCGTCATATCGCAGCCAACCACTTGGTCAACAGGCAGAGACAGGAATTTTTCTCGTCTCTCGTGTCGTGTCTTGTCATTGCTCCCTCTGTCTCGCCTGCCTAGAGCCACGCGTGGTGGGGTTGACAAGAATGACTCGTTGCTAACAATTAAAAGGAAATCAATCGCAGGCGCATTCGGCTCGCTTCCCTCCCCTCTGTTCAGTTGACCATTAACGCTTCCGACATCTTGGTTGAGCATTGCCGTACTTTCCTTTGCACTTTACGCAAATCTCTGCAGCCATCCTTCGTTTTGACACACGCACTCCCGGCGAGCAAATCAAGACTGCACACGACTACCACGTCAGTCAAAAGATCTCGAGCTGCGATAAGCTTCGTCTCGCTCCTTGTCCGCAGCCAAAAGATTACACAAATAGGAGCACAGCGCTGCGCACCAGCGGAAGTGCGCACCTCGACTACGAAGACATTGTCACAGCATCGGATGTGGAACATAGGTGCGGCAACACCAAGCTAAAGCCCAACCCAAACTACGAGCCAGACGCCCGAGGGGATCCAGTGACAAGGTTGGTGAAGAGCCCCATTCAACCGAAATGGCAGCTCTTCAGGACAAGTTGGAATGAACAAACAAAACGAAACAGTCGAAGCAAGTCCACCACATTTAACCCCAGGCTCAGAGCCATTCCTGGAGAGGAGGCATCGCAATCGCTTTCACCGAGGGCCGAAGACGAGCGACACGAGGAATACATTAGGCCCTGACGCCCTTAGGCCCGCCCACCAACCGCCCGGAACGAGCCTCCAGCCACGATCCGCACCTAAAGTGGGCACACCTGTGGCAAAGGAAAATCCGGTCCTTTTTGATTATCAGCCCATCGATTGGGGTCAGGCCTTGGAACGACGGACGACCCCTGTCACTCCACCACGACGACAACCCCCTTCCATCCTCAGAACCATAATCCCGTTCGGACCTTGCTACAAATAGCCTCCCTCACTTCACCCCTTTGATCTTTGCTACCGCGTCCATGCCAGATATTGAACGCCGTCGCCCTCGAGTAGCCACAGTCGAGGATTATGACGAAGATGCTCAAACGACTCTCCCTGGCTCTCGAACTTCTGCCAATGTAGCAATCAAACGATCTGAACAAGAATTGACCGCTAGATCACACGCGCCAAAGTCCCCCAGCAATGGCATCGACTCACGGTACGTTAGTGGAACAGGCTCTCTAGTTGCTGAACCTACTACTATCACACGACGGAAGATGCCAGATCTCAAGCTCGACACTGCCGTCATTCTGGAAAGGGAGCGACAGCCTTACCACATGCCTCATAGCGGCCCAGCGAAGCCTGTCAGCCGCCGTCAGTCTGTGCCTCAGAGCAAAGAACCCATTTCTGATCAGCCGCGACTGGGTAAGGTGAAGCATTTTGTCCACGAGCCTCGCACGTGCTGGGTCTGTGACCAGTATGGCAAACACATCGACATCAAGAAAGAGATGTCTCGAGCATCCAGCGTGGCTCCTCCACCACCATCTCCCAAGGCGATCAGACAGAATGCGCCCCGAAGCGCGAAGGACGATGACGCATTACCCGATAAATCGAGACGAATGTCTTCGTCAAGGCAGCCGAGACCCCTGAGCATGGTCAACCCACCAATTCCTGTTCAGTATGTCAGTCCGGGCATCTACGCGCAGCCTGTTGTTGCTACTTCTGGCTGGGCCACCCCAGTCACCCCTTCACTCCCTTACAATCACGTACCTTACTCGTACGCTCCGACGTCCCCGGTCCCAGGTGCCTCTTTCGCCCCTTTCCAGCATATGCTGCCATTCATAGACAATCCGCCTTCGTCCGAGTTGCACTCCACAAAACCAAGCCGTCGACCAAGCCCTGTCCGAAGAGTAACAACGTACGGCGATCCAGTCATCAGGCAGACCTATGCTGAGCCTGGGGTGATTGGGTTTGAGAGGGTCTCCTCGAAGGAGGACCGACCTGTGCTTTCTTCTCGAAAGTCAGCTCGCACCAGTGATGATGATCGCATCATAATGCCGCCGCCTCCGCCTCCGCAGCCAAAGACGCAACCTGCCGAGGTCGTTCTCGTCCGGAGACCAAGCACCAGAAGGTCGAAAACCTATCACCCCTCAGAAGGACCCCTTCGAGAGCGGCTTTACGAGTCAGATCAATACGACGACGACGATGCCGACTCTCACGAATCGCGACAACCTCCTTCAGCCACGAGAGGACGGCGAGAATCTCACTCCCCATCGCGTCCTCCCACCTCCTATCGCGGGCCATCGGTTGTTGAAGCTCGCGATCGTCCTGCACTACCCAGAAAGTCGGTCTCCTACTCTACGCCCACCACGACGACCAAGGTGGCTTCAAGCAAGGTTGACCCTTTACCGCGCCGGACTACAATGCCAGCTGGGGCCGTGCCACTTGATCAGAAGGAGATCGAGGCTGAGCAATATCAGCAAAGTAGGAGCAAAACCTCAGGCGAACTGACTGCTCAGGCTCTTCGAGACTTGAACAAACGCACTTCTAGCTCGAAGTCAGAAACAGGGAGCAGCTACAGCCACAAAAGTCACCAGTCTTCGTCAAAGGACTCATCCGGTCGTGGCAGAAGTCATACAAGTGGCACTAGGACGAGCATTACCCTACCTGGCGGCCTGAATATGAGTATTCCAGCTGACTACGTGGAGAAAGAAGGCCGGCCGATCAGCTTCAACGTCGGCGGCCTCATTGTTTCAGTCGGCACGGAAGCAAAAGAGGAATCCCGATTCAAAGAGCGGAAAAGTATTGAACGTGCACCCAGTGTGACTAGTCGCACGTCTCGCAAGAGTGTCTCTAGCAATGTCTCCAATCGTGAGCCGAATCAATCCTCCAGGCGTCTTTCTCACATTGAAGACCGGGTTCCGAGCTTAAAATCAAGTCGACAACCCAGCCGAGCCCCAAGCGTCAGTGGACGCAGCTACGAATACACCCGACGGCAGAGCGTCGACTATAGCAAGAATTACGAGGATGCAGTATATGGAGCTTGAAAGGAACAGACTGAATACGTTCTTGCACTTTTGAGTGTGCCGGCTTGTAGTCGCATAGGCGGCCTTTTTGGAATTGCTTCTGTTTTCTGCCCTGTCGTTCTTGTGGAAAGCCTTTTTTGCAGTTGAGCAGGCAACGTCTTGTGCGTTGAAGTCTCATCGGTTCTTTTTTTCACCCAAACCATTGCTCCTTCGGGAGCTGCTATCGATGGCGGTTACGTTGCCGCCGCAACTTTTCGGGTATGGATACTTTGCAGTTTTCTCTTCTTCGACAAAAGAAAATGTCAAAAGCATACTCCCAAAAGTCACTGGTGACTATCAGGAGATCTGGCTGGAGTCTAGTCCACCCTGATCAAGAATGCGGCTGCCCGAGCTGCTTAAAGTATCTCCAGTTTTCTTCGAAATCGGGAAAGCTGATGAGCAGTTCGGGAATGAGTCCAGCGAGCGGGTTTTGTGTCATTGCGAAAAATTGTATCGTTTCTCACATTTGTCAATGGTTGGCCATGTTGGATTCTCTTGCGTATTGATTCTTCGACATTAAGATGCCGTCTAGATGACTAGAGATTGACTCTGCTGGTCATGGTCGGTCTGGAAAGCTGAGTTGTCCGGTCAAACAGTCGGGGTTGCAGGCAGGATATCTGCCTGGGCATAGCAACAGCTACGTTGGTTTTTGTTGCTTCCAGTTATGCTGCCTATTATGAAGCTGCACCCATCCACTGATCGAGGCTTGGAGGTTTATTTCTTGGAGGATACTGTGATGTTTTATTAGTGCTGGATCGTTTACCTGCTGTGATATGACGAGATCATGAAAGGATGCCTACCTGGTATGGAGGAAGATGATATATTCGATGGGGAATCGAAGATAGGGGTCACTATGAGAAACGCAATATAGCGACCAAGGTAGACACAATAGTATAATCAGTGACAATGCCTACACTTCTGAGAAGCATGCTTCTTTGACTGAAATCTGGTATTGCCCACTTCCTCTGATGTGGCCTGAAACGAATCGAACTTTTGTCTATGGGGTATCTCGTAAGTTGTTCGTCATATAAATCATAAGACTTTTCCTCTCATCTCTTCACGCTCGTATCCGGCCTCGGGGCCGAATCATTCTCACCGAAAGTGTATGCCTTCGAGGTTGAAATTGTATAATAGCTTCAAAAAGTCGCCCTCATCGCACATCCGGGCACGTTTATCGCCGAGTTGCGTCTTATCTTCAAGGACCGAGCGGATTTTCTCGCGGACGAGCTCAGAGACTTTGCCTCGCCTTTTCCGGTTGGCACCCTTTGCTGTTTTGGAGGATTGCTGTTGTTGCTGCTGCTGTTCCTTGAAGAATGACGGTAACTCGTCCTCGTCTGCATCGACGTCCATGAACCCATCCCATTCATCGCGGTCTTCGTCTTCTTCCTCGGCATCGACGGCTAGTGTATTCTCGACTTCCATTAACGTCGTCGAGTCTCCGGCTGGGCCGTCTTCGAGAGGGATATCATTCTGGGCGCACCAGGTTCGATAGTTCGTCTCGAGAAGGTTCAATATGCTGGTTGTTCCTAAAAAATTGGCCCGGAGGGTCTTGTTCTTCCGCACAAAGCATATCCGTAGCAGGCCGTCCCACTCTTCATATGAGATATTGGGTCGCGGGTTCTTGGGCACGAGCCGGACGACGCTGCTCTCGACGGCGGGTGGGGGCTTGAAATTGTTCTTGCCGACTTTCATGATATGGTCGATTTTCGCCCACATCTGGGCGTTCACGCTGAGTCGCGAGTACAGTTTATCGCCCGGTTTGGCGAACAAGCGCAGGGCGAATTCGCGCTGAAACATGAGTATACAGACTCGCGGGGACGGGGTGGTTGCGAGTAATTTGAAGACTAGAGGCGAGGAGATTTGGTAGGGCGTGTTGCTGATGCAGACGTCGAAGTAGGGGAGGTCGGTCTTGATCACGTCGCCGAGGACGACGTCGAGGCGTTTGCCCTGCGGTGTGCCCTGGACACGTTTGGTGACTTCGGCGGCCATGCGAGGGTCGAGTTCGACGGCGATGCATTTTTTGGCCTTTTCGAGGATCTTGACCGTCAGGTTGCCGGAGCCGGGACCGACTTCGAGGACTATGTCGGATTGTTTAAGGTCAGCTTTGTCGACGATCGCAGTAGCCACGCCGGGGTTCTTGAGGACGTGCTGGCCTATGTCTGTGTTCATCTTGAAGATGGCGTTCGAGGCCGAGGAGGAAGAGGGTTTTGTGTAGGGTGAGGAAGAGGCGTTGGGCACCCCGCCGGGGAGCTTCTTGTTGGCTTTTGGCATGCTGGAGGACGTTGATTGAGGTAGGGAGAGGATGAGAGGGTATTTTGGGAGTTGAAGCAGCCTGGAGGCGGCTCAGCAGAGGTGTGTAGAGTCGAGGGGCGGAGGACTGGTCTTGCTGGGGAACTTTTTTGAACTTTTTGGCGGTGAAAGTTGAGAGCGGCAGAATCTTTTACGATGGAGACCGCAGCAGATCGTGGGGAAATGGATGCCTTCGGATTTTTGATCTACCACAGTACGCCAACTGCTTTTCTTCCAGGTCGGTTACTCCATACGGTACTTTCAGAGTACCTCAGAGTATTCTTCCCAATTGATGACTTTATTTCCAACAGTCCGCCAGTACTGACACGCCCATCATGGCGTCGCGACGAGATTTCCTAAGTCAGGCGGCCCCGGAAAATTATGTCGCAGGTCTGGGACGAGGCGCGACCGGCTTCACAACTCGATCCGATCTTGGTCCTGCTCGAGAAGGGCCTAGCGCAGAACAGATACAGGAAGCACTCGCGAAGAGAGCGGCACAGTTGGGCGCCGCGCCTCCAACAGCCTACGGTGCCACCGGCAAGAAGCCAGAAGAACAAGAAGAGGACGATGAGCGGTTCCAAGATCCCGACAACGAGACCGGGCTGTTCGCCTTCGGACACTACGACAGAGATGATGATGAGGCGGACAGAATATACCAGGAAGTTGAAGAGAAGATGGAAAGACGGCGGAAAGCACAAAGGTTAGTACACTCCCATTCCATTGTTCCTGCCCTTCCTCGTTCTGTCAAAGAAGCCTGTGGTTTATCTTTTCCACTTTGGGATGAACAGATTACCGACGTAAATCCTTCGCGGTCCTCTAGGGAAGCACGAGAACGAGAAGAAATCGAAGAATACAATCGAAAGAACCCCAATATATCGGAACAATTCGCAGACCTAAAGAGACCTCTAGCCACGATAACCGATGATGAATGGGCAAACCTACCGGATCCTGGCGATCTGACGGGCAAGAACCGAAGATCGAAACAGAACCTGAGGCAACGGTTCTACGCCGTTCCCGACAGTGTATTGGCCGGCGCGAGGGATTCGACGGAACTTCAAACGACTGTTCAAGATGAAGGGGCGGACCCTGGTGTAAGTGCCGACAACAGAGATGGGACGATGACGAACTTCGCGGCTATTGGTGTTGCAAGAGACAAAGTCCTCAAAGCCAGGTTGGATCGAGCTGCGCAGGCAGATGCGGGAACGGGATCAGCAACGGCGATTGACACCAAAGGATACTTGACCAGCCTCAACACTGCAGAATTCAAGGCTTCAGAACTAGCGGTCGGAGACGTCAAGCGGGTCAGAGTCTTGTTGGAGTCAGTAATCAAGACAAATCCTAAGCATGCTCCTGGTTGGATTGCTATTGCACGGTTGGACGAATTAGCTGGAAAGATCGTGTCCGCCCGGAAACTCATAGCTCAAGGCTGTGAGCAATGTCCCAAGAGCGAAGATGCCTGGCTGGAGAATATCCGAATGAATGACAACCACAATGCGAAGATTGTTGCTGCCAACGCAATCAAGAACAATGAGCGCTCGACGAGGTTGTGGATCGAAGCTATGAAGCTGGAATCGGAACCTCGAGCAAAGAAGCGAGTCTTACGACAAGCAATCGATCATATTCCTCAATCTGTTGCCATCTGGAAGGAAGCAGTCAACCTGGAAGAAGATCCGGAAGACGCAAAGTTACTGCTTGCCAAAGCCACCGAGATCATCCCTTTGTCTGTCGAATTATGGCTTGCCCTGGCTAGACTAGAAACTCCCGAAAATGCACAAGCGGTCCTCAATAAAGCCAGGAAGGCTGTACCGACAAGTCACGAAATCTGGATCGCTGCAGCACGATTACAAGAACAGATTGGCAATGCGACCAAGGTCAATATCATGAATCGTGCGGTCAAGGCGCTTGTCAAGGAAGGTGCTATGCTCAAGCGTGAGGAATGGATCGCCGAAGCCGAGAAGTGCGAAGCAGAGGGTGCTGTATTGACCTGCGGCGCCATCATTCGAGAGACACTTGGATACGGTCTTGATGAGGACGACGATCGGAAAGAAATATTCAAGGACGATGCAAAGGCTAGTATGAGCCGAGAACGGTTTGAAACAGCTCGAGCTATATATGCATATGCTTTGCGTATCTTTCCCACTAGCACATCGTTATGGCTCGAAGCTGCTGATCTTGAGAGACATCACGGTACCAAAGAAGCGCTCTGGCAAGTCTTGGAGAAAGCTGTCGAGGCTTGCCCACAGTCTGAAAACTTTTGGCTACAGCTTGCTCGAGAGAAGTGGTATGCTGGGAACGTCGACGATGCTCGTCGCGTGCTCGGCAGAGCCTTCAATCAGAATCCTAAGTCCGAAGAAATTTGGCTTGCAGCTGTCAAACTGGAAGCAGACGCCAAACAGGTCGATCAGGCCAGGGATCTTCTTGCCACCGCACGACAAGAAGCCGCCACTGAGCGTGTCTGGTACAAGAGTGCCGCATACGAGCGTCAACTGGGTAATATTGATGTGGCGCTTGATTTGGTCCTCCAAGGTCTTACTTCTACCGTGGTCGACAAGAAAGAGACACGCTTCCCTCGCAGTGCCAAGCTATGGATGATCAAAGGTCAAATCTACGAGGACAAAGGTATGATACCTCAAGCTCGAGAGGCATATTCTCAGGGTACGAGGGCTTGTCCAAAATCAGTCCCTCTATGGCTTCTTGCTTCACGACTCGAAGAGAAAGCAGGCATCATCATCAAAGCGAGATCAGTCCTTGACAGGGCGCGACTGCAAAATCCGAAGAATCCGGAATTGTGGGTGGAGAGTATCCGAGTTGAGCTGCACGCCAAGCCACCGAATGTTCAACAAGCGAAGATATTAATGTCCAAAGCACTACAAGAATGTCCCAAATCAGGCCTGCTATTGTCGGAGAACATCTGGAGTCTACAACCTAGAACTCAACGCAAGCCATTGGCATTAGAGGCGATCAAAGCTGTCGACAATGACCCGATTCTATTCGTCACCATCGCGCGAATATTCTGGAGCGAGCGGAGATTGGACAAGGCTATGAGCTGGTTTGAGAAGGCCATTGTGCTCGATCCCGATCTGGGAGACACGTGGGCGTGGTATTTGAAGTTTGTGATGCAACATGGTACTGATGTAAGTATACCCGGTACCCCGGTGCAAAGTCACAGTGCAAGACTAATACTGTCCCAGGAGAAACGTGAAGACGTCATATCGAAGTGCGTATCTGCCGAGCCCAAGCATGGTGAAGTCTGGCAGAGAGTGCGGAAGGATCCTAAGAATGCGTATCTGAGCACAAAGGAGGTCCTGATGGAGGTGATGAAGCAGCTGGAAACCAAGGATGTTATTGCTTAGAGGGATACTGAGGAGCACAAACCTGGTCCGGCAGCCCGGTATCCAGCCACTGAAATCAATAGCGTGTGATCGATCAGACTAAATATCCTGGTTGAGTGGTGTCTTATACCCGACAAGGCTGTGCGAGGCTGCGGACTTGTCCACGTGACTAAGATGTGTCATCATCACGTGGTTTATTCTGGCCTCTGCCTCGGCGCTGACTGCCGATAAATGGAGTCTGCCTGCGCCTCCTCTTTTTCTTTCACTTTCCATCACTGGGAGCCTCACTCGTCCATCACTGTTCGTCTCATTCCATCTCTTCGCTATTCACCGACTTTGCTGCCTATTGTGCCCCGTGAAAGGACTCACGATTCAGTTGCTCGGGCACCTCTTTGTAATCATTCGTTCCTTATTGCCGCAAACGGCGGAGTGGGGTGATTAACAGATTCAGCTATCAATCGGTACCGCTTTTGTGAATCATCTGTGAACACACTGTGTTTGCTCTCATTTCTCGGGGTTTCTGTGAGGGAAAGGGTTTTATTGTTTCAAGAATCCAATAGCATTGGGAAAGGTTGCAGACTGTCTTTCGTTCTGGGAGCCGCAGATCGATCGGGTAGTTGGTGCAAGAACTGCTGGTGCGAATTGTACAGAATCTCACCTGAGTTGGAAGCAGCGCTCCTCCGAGAACTGAACTATTACTTGTTTACCTTGTCAATATCATCTCCCTTTGCCCTGGCTATTTTTGACTTCTTGTCCCTGGAACAGAGTCATAGCACTTGCGCCACAAAGTTCACCATCAGCTTGACCTAACAAATCTCACGACTGGTATCGACTTCATCCCTCGCCACTGGGCCTTGCCGCCATGGCGTCCTATGTGTATTTCAAGTTCAAATCACAGAAAGAACCTCAACGTGTAACAATTGATGGCCCACACACGGATGTCTGGAACCTCAAACGTGAAATCATCAACATCTCTCGCTTAGGAGACGGTACCGACTTTGACCTCAAGGTCTACAAGGAAAACAGCAATGAAGGTAAGACTGTACGATGCCGGGTCTTTGTAGCATGACTAACACCTGCATAGAATACACCGACGACACCGAGATCATCCCCAAAGATTCGACCGTCCTGGCTCGAAGACTACCTGCCTCAGCCCCTGGAAAAGGTCGTGCCGCTCGTTATGTCTCCGGAAAACCGCCCATCAGTGCCAAACCCTCTACAAATGCGTCAAATCGGGCTGTGAAGAGGGTGGATCTGGATAAAGCAATGACAGAAGAAGAGAGGCTGAAAGCAATGTTGCAATTCACCGATGCCCAATGGCAGCAGAAGCAAGAGGAGATGTCGCACGAGGCTCGAGTTCCCATGACAGGAAAGCCATTCACCAAGAAAGCCAATGTCCCGGAGGGTGAGCCTCCTCACGGCTACATTTGTTATCGTTGTGGCAAGAAAGGTAAGCACTTCTCATCCCTGTATGAAACAGAACTGGACTAACCTCACATTAGGCCACTGGATTCAGGCATGTCCGACAAACGACGATGTCAATTACGACAACAAGAACCGTATCAAGCGCACAACTGGCATTCCACGATCAATGCTCAAAAAGATTGATCAGTCGGACGTCGACAAGCTGGATGATGCTGACAGACAAAAACTTATGGTGAATGCTGAAGGAGAATATGTCTTTGCGCAAGCAGACGAAAAGGCATGGAAAAAGCATCTGGAACTAGTCAAGGCTGCAGAAGCGGCCGGAAAGAAGGTACAAGATGGCGACAAGGAGCTCCGAGATCGAGGCCTGGAATGCCCGATTGACAAGCGCTTGTTTGTAGACCCAATGAAGACACCTTGTTGTGGGAAGACATATTGTCACGATTGTATTGAAAATGCATTGCTTGAGAATGATCTCACATGCCCGGGCTGTGAGACTGAAAATATCAGTCTCGAACGTCTGGAGCCTGACGAGGAGATGAAGACAAAGATCAAGGAGTATGAAGCAGACAAGGCCAATGAGAAACAACGATCTAGAAGTCCCACTGCCACGGCAGAGTCAGCAAAGGAAAACGACTCGGCTGCTGGGTCGAGACCAAGCTCGCGAGACGGCAATGGCTCGCCAGCGTCATCAGCGGGACAGTCTAGGAAACGCAGCGCAAGTGAAGTTGAAGAATCCAACACGCCGGGTAACCTTGACGTTCCAGCGATGAAGCGCCAGAAATCTGGGGACGCAGTAGCATCGTTGACATCAAACCCAGAAGCCGAGGTACAGAAGGATGGTGACGAGCAAGTCGCGCCCCCTCACGTTCAGACCGACTTTCCTGCCAACATGATGCCTCCTGATCTTTCACAGATGCAAAATGGCATGAACATGCCTATGATGCCCGGCTTCAACCCCTTCATGATGAATCCAATGAGCATGAACATGGGCATGGGTATGGGTATGGGCATAGGCATGCCCGGGATGAACTTTATGAATCCGAGTCTCAACATGATGAACGGGATGAACGGCATGAACGGCATGAGTGGGATGAATATGTTTCCCCAGGGGAATATGAACGGTATGGGTGGCGGCTTTGGTGGGAATCAGCAGAATTGGAACAACACGAATCAGAATCAAGGTCCCAGCCAAGGACAGAATTGGAAGAATCGGGGCGGCTTCAAGCAGCGCGGCGGTTTCCATCACCAACACCAAGAGCAAAAACAGCCGCCAACACAGCCTGCTGGCATGGCGGGTGTGCCAACGGGTCCGAAGGCGATGGGTCAGACGCAGCCGCAGAATTTCTATCCGCCTACAGGCCCGGCCGGCGCCAAATTCTCGAACCAGCAGCGGCATGTGGGCAATGAAGAGGATAATGCATATATGCGGCAGCCGGTGAATCCTCATCGGCACCAAAATCGACAGAAACGGGCAAGGCAGGCCGATTATAGGGAGCTGTAATCGAGAGCAGGGAAGTGACCAGACGAGAAGAGACGATAGGCGTGGATATGGTTGTGGTGTAGCAAGGAAGGGCATGAATTTTGCGGCGACTGGATGACTTGGATGATGCAGTAATGCAATCTTGCCTCGGAGATTGGGGCATTGTCGCTGTCTAACTTAGCTTAGTACCAGACAGCTAGCATTCTACACAGTACGTTGAATGCATTCTACCACGCCTCTGTGCGGGTGGTTCAGACCATGATCAAAGGAAATTACAGGATAAAGCTCTTATCCTCGTGTCTATGAAAGTGTTTAATTCGTTCCGTAGTCTCTTCTAAGCTCTTGTCTTCTACGTGTCCACACTTCGTGATTTTCGGAGTGCTGGATGTGAGGCTCGGCCTCGTCCGGCCTGGACGACCTCTCAACTCTCGAGTAAACTGAGTTACAGCATCTTCATGAGCGAACATGAGCATGTGGATTGTCGCGTTGAAGGACAAGGCCGGCCACAGTTGTCATTTTCTCAGCCACCTTTTCTCCGACGCAGACGCTGTCAAGGATCCTCGTCCTTGTCGCCTTCCCCAGTTACGTCATGACTCTGCAGCAGATCGATTCTCGAGTAGGAGGAGATGCTAGTCAGGTACCAGAGTACATGAGGAGCCTGGCTGGCGCAATTGTTGATTTCATTTTGCTTTTCTTCTCTCCCTTCTTTTCTCACTGTTGCGGCTTTCCTTCTGACCGGTCGTAATGGCTCCAAAGAAACTACACCCCAAGGAGGACGCTGACTTACATTCCGACCCTAAGCAAGAGAAGGGGACTAAAGAAGCGAACGAGATGCTGAAAAGGAGAACAACAACGCACAGGAAGAACCCGAACCATATAAAAGCAGGAGGAAGAAGCCCATGCAGGACAAAAGCGCAAAGACGCTCCGACTGACGAAAACAAGCGTTAATCGAACAAGGCGCCACGACAAGGCTCGCGCACTTCATCTCGTACAACGGCAAACCCTGCTACGCCCAAGCAGTTGCTGAACTTCTTGCTTTCGGCCGAGGCTCTGCCGTACTGTTTCTCCCAAGATGAGCTCGAAGCAGCTAAGAAGTCGGCGAAGTTGAAATGTTATTCGCTCACGTCTCCAACGAGCTTCACGCCATTTGAGCACCTGATTTGCGCACACCTGCTGAGCAAGCCGCTGAGCCACGTCCTCGGGATGCGGAGTATCAGGACTTTGTTGAATGAGCCGCACAGCTTTTCGACGCCCGAGGCCATAATCGAGGCAGGGGAGAAAAGAGTGTGGGAGGCGCTCGAGGACGCGAGGACATCGACAGACGACGGCGAGTTACATCTTCGCGACGGCGGAGAGCTATGCGGACAGTGAGATCATGTTTGCCTTGGCTGAGAAGGCGAATGATGAAGGGTCCGCGGGCGTGATGGCGTATATCAAGAATACGGTGCCAGTGCTGGGGAATGTTGGTGGTGAGATTTTTGGTCGGCGGATCCAGTATGTGGACGGTTGGGGCGATGCGCTGTGGCCATATGCGGATGGTAAGGCGCTGGATAGTTTGAGGGAGACTGGGATTAAAGTGACGATGCGGAGGACTTGCAGGATGCGATTGAGCGGGAGGTTAGTTGGGATAGGGTCGTGGGATATGGGGTTGCACGACAGTGCTCTGAGTAAAGGGGAGCTGGTGGGGGAGGAAATGGAAATGCAGGTGCAGGCCGAATTTGTGGTTGCGCTGGAGAGAGCCGTGGGTTGTGTGCTTGAAGGAAAGGCCGCGGAGTTTCAGAAGGCGGCTGCTGAAGCGTGAAAATGTATAAGAAGAGCCACTGAGAATTGAAAGTGCTGCCCTCATATGTAATGCCTGGAGTGAAGTGATGAATGATATTGAGGTCGTATCCGGCGAAGCAGACGACCACATGTGCAACGGTATAAGGCGACTCGCCCTTCCGCACCCGGTCAGACAGGGAGCCCAGCAAGCGTGATCGTAGGATGCCAGACGGGGATAGCCGCTTGACGCTGTGAATCAAGTCAGGCAGATGGAGGATGGAGTCGACAATGGCCTACAGGCGCCGAAGCGAAAGAGAACCTCCTTGGCTTGCAGGTGAGGTGTGGACACGGGCAGAGAGGAGACCAAAAGCTGATTTCACAAGCCGTTGTCGGAGGCAGAAGTTGAGATGCAGTGGCACAAAGCCTTCCTGCACAGGTACTGAATCCCAACGTTCGTTCTGTGAAAGGCAAGTTGACTGATCACGGTGAGGCAGCTTGTGTGCAGCGCGCAGCGACATGCGATTATCAAGACCCACGGCTCAACCGAGTCAAGTTTGTGATGCAAAAGCCCTGCAAGGATGCTGATCCGAAGCGCAATGACGGTCCTGTCGACGGAAATGCGCCTGCTACGTCGCTGGCTAAGGAGGTCAATACCATTGTTGTCCCTGACAAGATCGTCGAAACTCGATCAATCAGAATTCCCTTCTTTCGCTGGTTTGGTCCAACAGGCATCGCTCCCGGGTACAAGAAGATGTTGTTCGATGTTAGGCATCCATCTCAGCAAGATGCAGAGGACCCTGAAGCTCTTCCACCAGCCGAGGACGAGAGTAAAGTCCACACGAGCATACGAGAATCGGCAGCTGCGTCCGTCTTCGAGACTGACGGCATCACTCCCGCTCCTCGAGTGCTGGGTCCTTTGTTGGACACCTTTTTCGATCACTACGGCTGCCACTTCCCATTCTACCGTCGCGATGCTTTCACTGTACTGGTCAAAGATCGAAAGGTATCGGCTCTGGTCCTGAACAGCATCTGTGGCCTTTCAGCCCGCTTCAGCCCTTTGCCAGAATTTCAGGACTACCCCCTTTACCTGAGAGGCGACATCTTCGCGCAAAAAGCCAAGGTGCTTCTTGTACCCTTGCTCAACCTCCCCAGCTATGACGTTGTAGCTAGCATCTTGATGCTAGTATGGCTGGAGCTAGCGAGCAACCACGACGTAGGGGTCTGGATGTATATGGGAATGGCTTGTCGTATGGCCATGGACCTCGGTATGCACAAAGTAAGGAGAAGGGATGCCTCTACCAACAGTCAATGCTAACGTCATAAAGGCCGCAATTTCTGGTCCTGATAAACTTGCCCCTGAGGAGTACTGGACTGTTTCGAGAACTTGGTTCAGCGTGCATCACCTCGACCATATCATTTCCTTTGCAACCGGACGCCCCTTGAGCATTGAGCGCAAGTATATCGACGTGCCATGGCCCCGCATTGATGCCAATGCAGCACTTCCATCACCCTTTCCCAGTATGGTTGTCATCATGCAGACTTTGGGTTTGCTTCACGACGAGCTTAATAACATCAACCAACTTGCGGAACTGGCCGACAGCACCAGAGAGAAGCTTCTCCGTTACAACGACGAACTCATCAACTACTACGCTCACTTGCCACCGGCGCTGTCATTTGACATCCACAACTTCCAGTCGTACGTGGCTACGGGTGAGGGCGGCACATATCTGATGCTTCATTTGTGGTTTCATGCGGTAAGCCTTGGACACTCCGCCACATCAAAACTGATTTGAACGGTGTTTAGATAGTGATAGGGCTTCATCGGCCAGGGCTACGGTACGGACAAGAAGCCCGAGCTAAGAGTATTTGCCTCACGCTAGAAAGTCGAGGGATTGCTCTCTCGTCTGCGAGAACGATCACTTCGATTCTCAACCTGGTCGAGGTCGTTGACACCAGGACTCTGGTCTCCAGTCCATTTATTGACCAAGCAGTCGAAGTGGCGGGCTTGGTCTTTATTGCCGAATCATCATCCACATCGAACCCGCTCAAAAGAATCACGAGCCGGTCGAACTATGATGTATGTCTCAGAACGCTGCAGAGACTTATTACATACTGGAAAGGAGTCAGCTGGGTTACTACAACCATGGAGCAGCAAGCTGAAGGCATAAGAGAAACCGACCCAGCGGAAGGCAGCGTGGATCCGCACAGTCTCATAGAATTACAGGACACCAAAATGATTCAGAAGCTGTTTGAGAAGATGCGACAGTCCATGCCCAGACGAACAATCACCAAAGCTCAAGAATGTGAGTACAATGATGACGGATTTGGAGACGTGGTCACCGAACTGACGACGTATAGCTATCGGAGTCGGCTTCAGTGGCCTAACGAACGACTCCAGCCAAGGTAATGTTATGATTCTGCAGCCAAACAGCCCAAGCATTGGCGATCAGATGAATTACACTGGCGGGCCCCATTCAGCTCCGATCGGGGCTCGTAAGTACGCCTTCTCAGAACAACATTTCACCTCGGAGTCTGCACTCATAGGTGGCGAATCTTGGCACTCCTGGATCGACGACAGATTCTTGGAAGACCTCGATCTGACGTTTGAGACACTGCCGGCCCAGATGGCGAATTCCCCGAATTCATAAGGTGTGAGCACCGCTATACCATGTTTTTTGGTCGATCGACCGGTCAAGTCAGAACTGGTTCTGCCCTCGTTGTCGAGAATACTTCTGGTCGGATGATTAAGCGGCAGGCACTATGCAAAGGTACCAGGAGGCACCTTGCAGACTGCGAACCCTCCGAACTGAAGGACACCTGTACTGATGTAAAGGTCGAGATATGGGTCGCCCGCCGCCGCCGTTTGGAAGCTGATTACCGAACCATCGTTGAAATAAGCAAGCTCCGGAGCATAACCCTTCGCCTGTCTGAGGCGAAGCGCCGCGGCCGGTACCAACAAATCTTTACCGAGCGACTTCACGTTTGCAAGATACTTTGGCAGATCTTCCAACGTGGGGAACACTACATTCTGTTAGGCAAGTGCAACTACTGTGCGATAGTTCCCTACCTGAAACGAGCAGATCTCCCGTCGTAGGCAAGATATTGATATTGTCTGCTGCGGCGCCCAGATCCTGCCATATAGATCAGCAGAATACCTTGGCGTTTGAAGAGTTGTTTTCTGCTTACCACCATTTGGAGCTGGGTCACGGATTTGTCTTTGTCTATCTCGAATATCGTTACGGTCCCATTCTTGGAGTCTCCCACAAATAATCGATCCTTCCACAGGTTGAGACCATTTGCACCCGGGAAGGTGTCTGTCACTTGTCTGCACAAGACGTCCTTTTTGCTTTTCATCAGCTTCATTCGGAATTGCATAAGCGTCAAGTCGTACCTCGGTACTGGCATCGCAGTATTGAACATGAGTTGCCCAGCCCCAAGGACCGAACATCTCTTCTAGGTCACGCATCATGCCGCCTGCGAAGTAATGATCGTTGGTGATATAAAACTCCCTAACGCTGTCAACATGAATCAAGCAAGACGGCGGACCTTTTGTGCTCACAGCGAACCAACAGCAGCAACTCCGTTCGCTGTTTTGATGTTGGCATGTTTGACGTTCTTCACAAGCTCGACGACATTGGAGCCGAGTTCATGGAGGAAGATTGCAATCGAGTCTCCATCCCGAGCATGATTGACGGCGAAAATATGGATCTAAACAGACTTGTCAGCTGTTGGAGTACAGTCTGTAGTACATGTGCAAACCTTCGAAGAGTCCTCGGCTACCGGGAAGATGTCGATACCATGGGTGATAAAGTCGCCTTCCAACCCTCGAATATCGAGCTCGCTGGTCTTGCCAGTCTTCAGGTCGTGCTTGAAGAGAAACTCCCGGAACGATGTCTCGGACCGGCGTTCGACAGTGCGCACACCAGCGCAAGGGTACCAATGTGTCCTTTCCAGAGGATCCCCGCATGCCAGAAATGCCGTCGACGATGCAAAATGGATTTTTACATCCTCACATGCATTGGCTTCGTGATAGACTTTGCAGTTGTCACTGTTGAGCGCGGTGCTGTTTTGCCATCGGACAAGCCTCGTCCTATCGATGTATGCTCGGCCCGCTAACTTCCAAAGGTTGGCCGACTGACTGTACAGGAGGAACGAAAGTAAAGGCAAAAGAACTGTCAATGGAACCTTGGACGACGCCATATCTTCCCTCCCACGAGCTTGAGAAAAGTGCTGAATGCGTACCTTCGGGAGACGACAACTCTTCAATGGTCGAGGCTGGGAGTGCCAATACTTCACTCTTCGATTTGACGTTAGCGTACATCGGAGAAGAACGAGCACAACGAAGTCGGCATCGAAGCCGAAAAGCGATCTCCACTGCAGCGACACGATCCTGCATTCAGTAATTCTGAGCCGTTCCGGTCCCATCTGGCAACGCTATCGACAAAGCCTACGAAATTGACAAGGCTTTGACCCCGACAATCGTCCTTATTGGACAACGCGGGTGGCCCTGTGCTGGCAAAGACGAAGATCACTTTTCCTATATCTAGGTAATATCGTCGCGACTTGATCAATGCCTCTTTCCATACGTCCAGAAGCAAGCGAAAATGGCTGAGAAGAAGCGCAACACGTACAATATCCTGATCGTGGCCTTTGTGGCCTTGGGTTCGTTTGCCTTCGGGTACTCTAATACCATCATCGGTACGACTCTCGCTCAACCTTCTTTCATGTAAGTTGGGCGCCTCATCCTCTGTCATCAAGAGCCCAATATTTAACGAAATTCCGAAGATCATATTTCGGCCTTGACGAAAGCTCCAACAGAAACGAGATTGCTGGCGCCACCAATGGCATTTACACAGGAGGAGGCCGTAGGTTGGCAACACCACTGTTCAAGCCACATACTGATCAAGCTGTAGTACTGGGCGCCCTTTTCGCATCCTGGTCCGCAGAAAACCTTGGTCGAAAGAAATCAATCTTCATTGGTGCTGTTCTTGCCACCATTGGAGGTACGTTGCAGGCTGGTTGCCCTCAGCATATCGCCGCGTTTCTCGTCTTCCGGTTCATCAACGGGCTAGGAGTTGGTGAGTGGTTCTTGCAATAATACGTGATAGAAAGGAGGGCTGACTCTACAAATAGGTATGCTCTTGCCGCTCGTCCCCTTGTACCAGAGCGAAGTATCTCCTCCTCATTCCCGTGGTATGATGGTTGGATTTCACGGTATCTGTGTAACTATTGGCTACGCATCTGCAAGGTGAGTGTCACCAATCGAAATCCTAGGCTTGTCATCATATGATGCTAACGACAGGGCAGCTGGGCAGGGTTCGGGTTTTATTTTGTCAATGCCAGCGGCGCGCAATGGCGTCTACCTTTGGCAATCCAAGCTATTCCGGCGCTCTTCTGTGCCTTAGGAATCCTCTTCATGCCTGAATCACCTCGTTGGCGTAAGTATACCGATTAATTCACGGGAATGGCAACGCTTGCTCATGCATCAGAAGTCATTTCTCGAAATCGAGCTGAGGAAGCACTCAAGATTGTCCAGCGGCTGCATCGAGACGAGACCGACCCGGAGGATGTGTTCGCGTTCAGGGAATACCAGCAAATAAAGCAGCAATACGAGATTGACAAGAACAATGAGGTATCTTGGAAAGAGATGTTCGTCAAAGCCTCGTACAGAAAACGTGTCATCATTGGTGCCATTGTAATGTTCGGATCGCAGACAACAGGTACCACAGTGATTGCAAGTAAGTTGTTGCTTCTTCCGGCTGAGGACATGGCTAACCGCCTTCTAGACTACGGACCAGAGCTTTACAGCGCGCTTGGCTTCGGCACCACGATGCAACTGTTGTTCTCTGGCTGTTATGCTAGCCTTGCGCTTTGCGGCAATTTCTTCAACGCTTTCACTATCGATTACATTGGCCGTGTGAACGCTCTGAAGATTGGCTGGATTGGAGATGCCATTGCCTTGATTGGCGAATGTGCAGCGCTGAGTACTTTCGAGAGGACTGGATCACACGCAGCAGCTGTTGCAAGTGTTTTTTTCCTCTTCCTGCACATTGCACTGTTTGCGTTCAACATCGATGTGACCACATAGTAAGTGTTTCGGTTATCCCACCTGGTGGGCTTTTCGTGAATGGGGATATCTGACATGGCCTAGCGTTTACACATCTGAGATCTTCCCAAACCATATTCGGGCAAAAGGAATGTCAGCATCCATCGTGGCTTACTGGAGTTCGCTCCTTATCTACTTGGAAGTTGCTCCAACGGCGTTTGCGGACATTGGTTGGAAATTTTACCTGGTCTTCTTGAGCCTGCTGGTTTGCTTCATTATGCCGTTGTTCTTCTACTTCCCCGAAAGCAAAGGCTTGTCGCTAGAGGAAATTGCTCGTCTTTTCAACGACGAGACTACCAGTGTCAGGCTCGATGCACCGGGAACGAACCAGGAGAAACAGGACATTGGCAAAGAAAAGGAGCTGGTCAGCCAAACCGAAAATCTCCAGGAGAAAGCATAGGGAGCAGTGAACGGGACAAGGCAAGCTCAGACTAGCAGTGTACATGTCGGAAATGGCATATTCTAGACCCGAGTCAGAGCTGCCGTTCTCTGGCGCAGAGAGCAAGGCGCTGTCACGCTTCCTCATAAGCTCGTATAGTAGCTCATATGGTATTGTAGGGTTCTTCGAGATCCTTAATGAATTGAGCCATGATCGGAGCACGTTCTATGCCTCGGCACTTGGAGGACATCGAGCCTGAAAGAGCCTGAAGCAGCGTGGAGGACCTGCTGTGGCAGCGGCGGAGGTGGGATCGAATCGTGGGGCTGACAATACAATAAGGGACTGATGGGGACGATGTGGGGTAGGCACTGCCGCGGCACTGGTCGCAAGTGGTAGGTACCTTAGCTGCTAGACCAATGTACGAGGCTGAAGGAGAATAACTATTCGATTTTTGTATCACCGACATCTTCACTCCTCTCCCAAGCAGCTTGATTACTAGTATTTAAGAGTCAAGATGTCGACAGTCACCATCCAGCACCCCTCGATAGGTGAGATCGTCGGCCGTGAGGGTGACGGTGTGCATCAATTTCTCGGAGTCCAATATGCAACACTCGAGAACCGCCTGGCCGAATCCAAAGTCAAGACGTCGTATCCTTCAGGAGGTTCTGTGGATGCCACCAGGCATGGGTACGTTGATGTCGTCCATCTGCATTCCGTTCTTCCTCTTCGTCTTCTTCCTTGATTCTTTCTCGAGGGGTGGAAATTAGCGAGTAGAGTCTCTTTGCGAACGAGAATTAATCAACGGACTTATGAGGGCCGTAATGGGGCTGACCTGAGTTAGACCGTCGTCTTTCTACCCCCAGACCGCATTCGACAATGAGATGAGCTTCATTCAACAAACGGTGCCGAAACCGACGGTAGTCCATTCGGATCTGGAATGCTTGAACTTGAACATCACCGTGCCGAAGAAGACGTCGACGACGAGCTCGAAGAAACTTCCCGTGTTCATCTGGATCCACGGTGGCGGGTTCATTCTCGGAGCAAATTCCTGGCCGCACTATGATCATGCGAAGTTGGTCAAGTTGGCCAGTGAGCGCGGCGTTCCTGTCATTGGCGTTGGTATCAAGTCAGTACTACCCTCTTGGAGAATTGCTTCCCTGAATACCAGGTAGTATTGGTACCAGTACTGGTACTGGGCCATTCACGGGGCACTGGATTGTCTTGGTACTAACGAAGGCGCTTGTGCTAGTTTCCGTCTCGGCTTCGCTGGGCTATTGACGTCCGAGGAATTACGCTCAAAGGGTTACAAGGCCAACAATCAGCTCCGAGACCAGAGGAATGCGTTCGACTGGGTCAAGCAGTATATCTCTGGATTCGGTGGTGATCCGGACAATGTCACCGTCATTGGTGAGAGCGCTGGAGCGGGTAAGAGTGGTCTTCTGCCTTTTTGCCCCTCTCTCCTCTTCCTTTTGAAGAGTGCCGACCTCTCGCTTACCCTATGACTGACCGAGTTGATCTAAACTAGTGGCCACGACGTTGCACCTTTACTCGGAAGAAAAGGTGTATAACCGCGCGATAGCGACGGGCGGGTCGTGTCTCCTGGTCCCACCATGCGGTCCTGATGCCTACGAGAGAGTCTATCAGCAGGTCCTAGGTGTCCTGGGACTTGATTCTCTCAGCGCGGATGAACGGGTCGAGAAACTTCTCAGCATGCCGGCGGACGAGGTCATTGCCAAGATCCCTCCATTCGTCCAGTTCGTGCCGATGGTCGATGGCGACATGGTTCCTGTAAAACCGAGTTACGCGGCCATCGCCGATCCGAACGATGCGAGTATGCCGGGGAAGCGCTGGGCTGACGGGTTGATGATTGGAGACAGTCAATTCGATGTGAGTCGGCCCATTGTCTGTGCAGATGAAAAAAACGTTGCGGGATGCTGACGAGTAGACAGGCGTCCGTCTTTGGCTTTATGTTGGGTTTTCTCAAGCCAAATATCCGGCAGACTTTCTCGAAGTCGATCCGAAATTCCTTTTCCTCGAAGCCACAGGTCGCCGAGACCTTGCTTGACTCGTACGGTTTTACGAGTAGCCCGGCCGCCGAGAACGATGATGACGTTTCGTTCATGAATTTCCTGCAGCTTGCGACCGACATTGGCTATTACGCCGCCACAACGTCGTTTGTGCGAGGCTGGCCCGAGTCCGGCGCCGGGAAGTGTTACACGTTCTGCTTCAACGAGCCGAACCCGTGGCCAGGCCCGTTCCAAGGGAAAGCAACTCATGTGCTGGACGTGGCGTTCTTGTTCCAGAATTACAACGACAAGCTCGGTCCCGAACAGAAGGCTGCCGCTGAAGGATTTGGTCTGGACTTTATGAAGTTCGTGTCCGGCCAAGATCCGTGGCAGAATAGCACGGCCGCACACAGGACGGCCAAGGTGTTTGGGCCTTCGCTGGGTCCTAGCAACAAGGGCACAGAGGCCGTGGCTGTCACGAAGGTTGTGGACAATGCGGAAGAGTCGCCGGAGGAGACGGGCAGGAAGACGACGATTTTGGAATTGGGCAAGGAAGTTGGGTTTGACATGATCGCGCAGGCGATGCGGAATTTCCAGATGGGCATGTAAGGATACGTACAGTACACTTCACAAAGAGTCTCATCTTGTTCGACAGCAGACCTGATAGTGGTACTCGTCTTATCAGCTATCACTTCGCTAAGCTAAGCTGGAGGTGTAACCAGAAGAGTGCACCGGCGCGCCCCCAGAGCGAAAAGCAAATACCGTCCCTTGCAGACCTAACGAGTTACGTAGGTATTCACCGTGCATGAATATCGCCTCGGCTATATGGATGGCTTGTGTTATGCGCCAAAGTATCTGTGGTACATACTTCCCCCACTTGACCAACTACGGTACGTTTGTGGCCAATGTTTCCTGTCATGCTGCATTGCGTGCCCCCCGGCCCGGCTGAAAAGATACGTCCGCGACGCTTGCACATGCCCACAACCGGCAACCGAATACTACTTGGTACTTGAGTAGTCAAGCTTCGGCAATATCGTAGAAGCCTCCGGAGGCGGCAAAAGCTTGTCCACTTAACTCAACTTTCAAGTTGGTGTACCGAGTTTGGGGGAAAAGGGGGCACGGGGAACACGAGTTGGAGATCTTCCAACGACATTACATTCCATTCCATTCCACCCTGAAGTCACTGGGGGTATGGGGGAGTATCGCTATCAGAGCATGCAGGACAGACTTCATTCTAGCAGGGTATCCTTGATAGCACGACCAATCAACACATATGATGAGTCTAATGTACTCTACTATTCTATTCTATTGGCATGGCCCTCTAGCGGAATCTACGGGCATGGGAACTGCAACCCACAAGTAGGAAGCAATCTCCCTCAACGTCCCTCAAAACCCCCTCAATACACAGTTTATCTTCACTCCTCGTGAGTCTGGACATGCATCTTCTCCAATAGATTGTTCCTAGCCCAATAACTGCGATACTTCTTGCCAAAGAAGAAGGCCACAGGTACCGTAGCAACCAGCGCGAATGCAACAGCTCCCCAGACGTAGAAAGCATGCGCAGGCCCGACCGCGGCAGTCCAGTCGTTGACAAAGTAACTGAATCCGAACAGAATGATGTTCTTGACAGCCATACTTGCAATGAAGATTTCATTCGCCATCCCTCGGTACGCATCGAGCGCATAGTTCGACGTACCAATGCACACGAACATAACGCCGAAAAGCATGACGCCATGAACCGTGGCAGTTGCGTAAGGCGAGGCGCCTATTGAAACCAGGTGGCCGAAGAGCATCAGGCCGAGACCTGAGAAAACACCCAGAATGCAGGGAATCAACCGGTATTCAGGCTCGTAGACACCCTTGTTCCGGCGGGCACACCATTTGATGAACGGATCAGACAGGACACCGAGTAGGACTGTGCCGAGGATGCCACCAACAAATGGACCAAATGAGAGGTATCCGATACTAGCTGAGCTGAGCAGATATGGTGGTGGAGCGAAGAGTTGAGCCAGAACAAAAGCGATGACGACGTACAGCACAACAAACATGGAATTGATGATCAAGATCCAAGAGACCGCGATATTGACGACGACGGCAAACGGAGCCAAGAAGAGTTGCAGGAGGTTCTCGGAGGAGTAGGTTCCGCTGAAGATGGCCAGCTCTTGGACCCAGGTTTTCTTTTTGTAGACACGTGGTTCTTGCGAGGCTGAATGCGTGACGCCTTCTTCGGCATGAGTTGCCCCAGTGCCTGCTTTTTCCATGTTCAGTTTCTCTTGATATTCAAGAGCGGCTAGATCTTCGAGGTTGTCGTTCTTGAGTTCGTCAATGTCGAATCGGTGGTCGCGGTTGTAGCTTGTCTCCGGGACGAAGAGAAATTGTAAGATCAATTGAATCCCTCCAAATAGGACCAGGAGATAGTAGCTGCCGCAACGATCAGTGTCAAGTTTCTCTTTTTGAGGTGGAAATAGCACTCACAGCCACCTCCATCCTAGATCGGACGCAATAGGGCCAGCAACCACACCTGTCAAGTTCGAAATACCAGCCAAGATAAAGTTGATGCAGGAAGCGTACAGTCCACGCTCGTGAACAAAGAACATGTCGCTGATCAGGGTGAAGACGAGTGACTCATAAGGCGCAATGGCGAAGCCTTGGAGAACTCTCGAGACAAGGACTCCGTTATAGGTGGGGAGGCAAGAGCCGACGATATCTGCAACTAAGCAGATAATTGAAGCCAACAAGAAAACTGGTCGCTTGCCCCATTTTCGAGCCAATGCTGAGAACAGAGGTCCAGTTACTCCCACCACAAGGGTCTGATAGCCTGTTGCAAGGACGAGATCTGGGATGCTTGTGTTGATCTCAACTGCCATCTCAGCGAACGCCGCGTTGAGCATGGCACTGACGACCGCCGCATATAAGATCGAGCCCCAACATGTGATACCCAGAACGGTGAGCTTTTTGGACGTCGGCCAGTTGAGAGGATCATTGGGATCGTTAGAGGGTTGAGGGACAAGGACAATGTTGGCGTTCCGGCCCTTCCCATGCTTGAGACCGCCCGTCACATTTTCGGAATGGGCGTAGGCTTCTTCGAGGATGACAGTGCCTGGAATGTGTGGGATCTTTGTATCATCGATGATACCCAGGAAAACCATCTTGGATGTGTTGTGAGACGTCTTTTTGATGATTTCAACCGACCAGCATCAATCAGATTCGGAACAGCGGAGGGATATTCACGGAGTCCTGTCGTACTTGCGATGGGCAATCAGGGGCCAGATAAGCTTAAGAACCTCGAGCCATAATAGATATGGACACCCCTGTCATCAGATTCCCCGACAACAATGAGGCTCCGTGGCCCATTTCGGACATGGAGGTGGAAGCACCCGCCCCACGTTCTCCAAAAGTCCCCGGTCAGCGTACTATAGTGAACTGACGCGACATGCCCATGGAGGCGGTGCTGGGGTGTTGCTGCTGCCCAAACTCGGCCTGGTCTAATATGCCCCAATCAATTAGTCATTCTCGAGCTTCGTAGACGATCAAAGGACTGTTTTTGTGCCGATATGCCTGATCAGCGTCCCGATTTGGCAGTGTAACCTCGTGGGAGACCCCGGAGTCGCCATTTACTGACACTAACAGGAGAGCTGTAATCGTCCACCTGGGGTAGGCGACCAGCATTCATCGAGACATCACGATGCTGTGCACTAAATCTTTGTGCTTCGAGCATAAGATAGCATGAAACATGGTTCGGAGGAGACACCGAAAATACCTGTTCAATTTCAGGATCCTCGTTTTCAGTAGCCACCAGCCAACCTCTCAGCCGAGCTGTATGGACGCACAACATTCTGCAGAACTGTGGTATATCCCCACAAAATATTCCGTCATAAATCCCAGCTACTTGTTCTTAAAACGTTGACAAGTCGAGCAGCTCCAGAACTCCATGCGCCACGGACATGGTATCATGCAAAAGGTATCCAGCTTTTCACCCAGTCTCCAAACCAAAAGCAAATCATAATGCTAAAAAGAACGAATTGAATGACTGGCGATGTTTGCCATTCCAGAAAAGTTCAAGGGAGAGGTCCATGGGCTTCGGCAACTGGTTCAATGGAGGGTCTCACTGGCACGACAGCCTTTGAGGCACCCTTTGCCGGGGCGAGGTTGCTCGTCGCCATTTCTCCTCTGAGCACTTCATCACGTGTGATTTGCAGCAGGTCAGTCGGTAAACCCATGCTAGCCAGGAAAGTGACGGACTCTTTCCATTCAGCCTCCTTTCTCTGCTCGTTCCATTTCAACTCATCACCCATAATGTCAATGACCTTGGGAAGGGCATGTAAAGCAGCTTGAGCATTCAAAAAGCTCAATCTTGTGCGCCGAGCGAGAACATCAATTGCCGTCTGCGCATACTCGCTGCGCACAGCGTAGCGCACTTCGCCGTCGATGAATGGGTATAACGTTGACAGGCGCTGGCCGCGATGAGGGTAGTGCTCCGTGTTGTCCGTCGGAGAAGCAAGTGCTGCAACATCCCAAGCTCGGTCACCATAGTCAGCCGCCAAATGCTTGGCAACATCGGTGTCGAGACCGAAGTGCTGGATCAAGTTGATGAAGAGGGTCGTGGAAAATCCGTGAGCACCAAGCAAGCGGATGTGATGCGTCTGGCAGGTACCATTGAGGATCTTGGAGGTGGGGTCAATGCCATTGACGCCGCTGATGTCGGGAACATAAGTGACAGGCTTAGGTTGCAGCTTGAAGGCCTTGATTGCTTCATCGACTGCATCCTCGGCCATTTGGCGGTAAGTGGTCCATTTACCACCAGCACATGTAAGCAAGCCGGAATCAGAGACCGTAACCAGGTGACTGCGGACCAGGGACTCGGTGTTCTTCGACTTGGGGTCTCGGACGAGGGGACGGATACCTGGGAATGGAAGTTAGTATTGACATTCGAAAGATGATGTATTGACAGCGTGCTTACCTGACCACGCGGCGAGGATATCTGACCGCTGGACGTCGATATCTGGTGTCAGGTACGTCCGAATTTCGTCCAAAATCCACTGAATATCTTTCTCACCAGCCACTGGATTCTGCGAAATAGCACAGGGTGCATCAGTCGTCCCTGCAATTGTGTTGCCTTGCCAGGGTAAGAAAAAGATGACTCTGCCGTCGGAGGTGGAAGGATCAATGAGACCCATGTTCTGAGGACTGAGATAGCCAGGGAGGACGACATGGACGCCCAAACTCGGCGCAACAATATCCCTCGTGCCAGGTTCGTCCATTTGTTGGATGGCGTCGGCGAACGGACCGGTTGCGTTGATAATGCCCTTTGCCTTGACGACGAAATCTTCGTTTCCTGATTTCCCATCTTTGTCTGCAATCAAGTCGCGGACTCGTGCACCGGTCAGTTTCCCACTCGCATCTTTCTCGAGACCTGTCACCTCGAGGTGGTTCACCGTCGTAGCACCGTAGAGAGTAGCCGTCATAGCCAGCGAAACATTCATTCGGGAGTCGTTGTGTTGGCCATCGTAGTAGACCAAAGCGCCAACCAGATTGTCCTTCTTCAACATGGGGAACGCGTCCAGCGCCTTGCTTCTCGGCAGGAAATACGAGCTTTCAATGCCTTCAGAGCCCGCAAGGAAGTCGTAGAATTTTGTCCCTGCCCAAAAGTACGGCAGTTGCCACCACTTTTGCAGAGGTAGCATAATGGGGAGCCATGAGCTCAAATGAGGTGCGGTGTACAAGAAGCTCTTCCTTTCTCTCAGCGCCTCTTTGACCAGTTGGTACTGGTTGTAATCCAAGTTCCAGACTGCCTTTTCGAGGTATCGAACGCCCCCATGGACCAATTTCGTTGATTTTGAGCTTGTTCCACTGCTGAAATCGTCTCTTTCCACGATCGCCACTTTTAGGCCTCTTGTGGCCGCGTCTAGCGCAATGCCTGTGCCTGTGGCTCCTCCGCCTATGACCAGAAGATCGTATATTTCGGAGGAGGGCGCGGAAGTTGATTTCTTGAGGTCTGCAATCTGCTCGTCTCTCGTTTTGATGTAGGGAAATTTGGGAGGAATGATGACTCCGTTCTCGTCTCTTCGAGGAGGTTTAGGAGCGAGTGTATCCGCACCGGGGACGTTTCGAGGGCGATAGGCAATGTACATGACCGTGGTACCTGCAACGGCCAATCCTGTGCCATAAGCCAACGGCTTCAGGAGCCGCCTCGGTGAGAATCGAGAAGACATTATGAAGGAGTGTGATCAGTTCGCTGTCAGCGTTCACAAAAATAAGTCTCGAGTTGGGCTAAATGGCTGGTTCAACGCGGTGCAAAGATGCGAAGATAAGAAAGCACCACACGCTCAAACAACAACCTGACGATTGGTAGATGGCAAGATGGCAAGATGTTAAAGAAGGGAAAGCAGGTTGCGGTATTTCAAGGTATTGCAATCACGCTTGGAGAGATCAGCTGTCAAGGAGAGAAACACCATGGGCGATGATACTGCCATCATTGAAGAAGTTCGGGCCATATCGAGGACCGAGAGTGGGCTGGGCATCATCAGGCTCTGAGCTTCAATTCCCCGGATCTGGCTGGAACTCGTGTCATGCTGGTCTGAACTCTGAAGAAGTGCTTGAAGCGAGAGATCTGGCGTGGGCCCAGACTGCGGAGAAATTGGGTCAATGGCTCAAGGACGACGCGTCTCGGTGAGAAGTGACCGAGAGAACTGTGGCCTGAGGCTCATCATGTGACTTCGGGCTCGGATCACCGACCTGCATTGTCACATGTAGCCACGCTGCCACAGTATCCCTGTTAGGTGGCTTGTCAGGCGGAGATCTCTTCTTCTCAAGGTTCCATGAAAATACCAGATCTGGCCGAGATCTAAGCCATTTTGGTCGCTAGTCGGAAAAATTCGATACCACTAGCAGCGTCGCAACAATAACGGGTCCTTGCGAGCGGTCAATGCAGAGGCCTTTCCGTCGTGGTCATATGTCGGTAAGAGGCAATACCGGCAACATACTGCCATGTATAGTATCTTCTACCGCCCACGTCCATCGGCTGCTTATATGCGAGATGAGAAGAAGGCGCGTGGTGTGAGGCATACTCTTCGTCCCGCCTATTATGTCACCATTTACCGGCGGCAGAGCTCGGATATCGTTACTGCACGGCGCATATTGACCCATGGCTCTGGGAGAGGGGGTACTCGGTAGCTTGGATCAATGATATGCCATATTAGGAAATACATCCAATCTGCGGGAAACGAGAGGTAAGTGCTGGTCGTTGGACCTGGCCGAGCTGGCCCCCTGGATCTGAGGTTTTTGACCTCGTGGCACATGCTTCTGTTTGACAGGGTCGAACAAAGAGGCCCAATTTTCTCTTCCAGTCCAGAGATATTCACAGACCCTACCCAGGGTGGAAGGGGTCATTTATCCGTCTGCAAGGGACGATCGTCCTTATCCACGGAGAATCTGCAAGATGCACAAGGCCTAGCAATCTGTCGAGAGTCAAATGCCGCCCTTCTACTTTCGTTGAGCACCATGCCTGTCAAATTGCTTAGCTGGACAGGTTTATATTGCGCAGGCGAGCACACCCAGTGTCACTCGGTTCTCCTCCTCACTCAGCTTGTTGGTCAAGGAGGTCGGCATCTTTCCTCAACAATTCTTCTTAGTCCTGTCTCATGCACATGTCAATGTCACCAAAAATCTAGGGTCGGGGTCCGGATGCTTCTGCTATATTGGTATACTCTGTCTCCAGGCTGGCTTGACAAATTCCAGAAGTGAAGTCCATCGGCTTGATCTCATACTAGTACTTGACTGCCTCCAGAAGAAGAGAAAACATTTCCGGTCTATTCTCTTCCCTCCTCCGGAGCCAACACAAATGCGAAGAGACTCTTACAATACTTATTATACAGATTTTCATGCCTCACTCACGACAGACATGGGCTGTGGATGACGAAGTGTGACTCGACAACTGACAAATCTCCGCAGGCTCGTACCATCTTTCTTCATCTTCTATACACCCCTCATTGCAATGGGCATGAGCCGGCCTTGACACCCCTTTCAAGGCCTCTAAAGCCTCTTGACTGCGATAAGACCTGCTCAATCTAGTCTGGAACAGAGAAGTGAGAAAAAGCCAAAGAACCCGAAGAGATTCCTTAAGCCAGGAGTGATCCCTTGGGCTCCAGCTTTCAAGTGAAATATGTCTGTGATGTACACCAGCAATACAAGCCAACAATATCGGAAAAGAGGGAAGGAAAAGGGCAGGACTATCAAAACACACTTAGGTGGCACAGGGGTGTCTAAGCTGTATAGCCACTTATACAATGGTAGAGAATTGAATACACACCAAACACCCATGAAGGTGTAGTGCATTGAAACAATTTAGCTTGCATGAAAAGCTGCAGTAAACAGCAAAAAGGATCCATATTCATATAGGCAAGCCATCAAGGATGGTGGAACAGCTACGAAGCAGTCGCCGTTCTAGTCTTTAAAACACGACGATTTGGCGAGAATATCCGAAGTAGCGTCGATGTAGAACTGCTGGAATCTGTTCAAGTGTAAGAAGGCTTGTTGGGGAAGTTCAAGGACATGTGTCGAAGTAGAGGCAAATTCAAGGTCGTAATAAAGTCATTCATCCTATGTTCATCTCTCTGATCATCTCCTGTGCTCGAACGTCATATGTACAGTGACCTTCCCTTCGAGCGAGCTGTGGCCACTTCGTATTCCACAGTAAAGCAGGTAAATTGCTTCAGAGTTCCCGCATTGAATTTTCTTGCCGGTGACACTCTACCGATGACGGGCGTGGACGCGCAAATCTCTTATATCCACACCGCAAAAGTTTTAATCTCTCTGACGCCTCCGCCGAAGCACCGATATTTACGCCATATGTTCGTCGATATTGGGTTGGTAGGTATTGGACCAAACGGATCGCTTTGGCTGGGTGAAGCGCTTCAAGCCCATCCAGGGAGTGTTGATCGGGCTTTCACCTGTGAACAAGAAGGTATCATAAAGCCAGCCTCCAAAAGTGCAGCCCATGAAAGGTGCGACCATAGGGATCTGGATAGAGAGTCAGGTTAGGCTTTGACAATGGCTTCAGACCACTTACCCAGAAGTAGTAGCCACCGAAGGACCAGACCTCATGGCCATAGCCGATCATGTAGGAGACCAAGCGAGGACCAAAGTCACGAGCAAGGTTGATAGCATAGCCGGTTTCCCTGTCGATGTGTCAATTTCAACATGCTTATGCTATATATGGATGCAGTAACTCACCAGCCAAAGCAAGCACCAATGCCAAAGATGACAAAAAAGAGACAAAGTGGTGTAAGGGGTCCAGCTCCAATGTTTCCGTCGTCTTTCAGGGCGTAGATGAGGAACATAAGGAGGGTACTGGCAATAAACTCGGAAAAGAACATGCCAGTTCTGGTCATGAATGCCGCGGGGTAGGTGCAGAAGATGCCAGCAGTCGAGGTCTCGCCACCGACAGTGCGGATATGTGCTCCTCCTTCGAAAACATCAATAGCTGATTTGTAGTTGGCGTAGACAACCGCAGAGGCTACCATAGCGCCGAGAACCTGAGCCAGCATGTAGGCAGGGAATTTTCTCCAGGGGAATTTTCGGAAGACGCAGTTGGCGAAGGTTACAGCAGGATTGAGATGTGCGCCTGAGATACCACTAGAGTAGACACCTAACATGACACCAAGACTGTCCTCTGTCAGCAAATTTGGTTCTTGACCAGGAGTTAGGAACGAACGTACCCCCAGCCCCAAGAGATGGATTGATAATCACCCTTGGTGCCGCCACTGAGAACGACTTGGGCGACGACACCGTCTCCGAACATGATGAGGATGAAGACTCCAAAGAACTCGGAAAGCGGTTCTCGAAGATAGTGTCGGATTCGGCTCCATGCCAAATCTGGTTCTTGCTGGACAGCTTCAGCCTGCGGGATCTTGTGATCAACTAGGGGACCGTGTTCCGCAAAAGCAGGCATGCCCGCCACCGAGGTACGTCGGCTGGGGGCTTGAGGGACATCGAGGTGAGGGTGCTCTTCGTGAGCGGTCTTAGCCATTGGGACTGAAAATTTTTCCACTGAACCTGACGAGGAGGTGGACGACATAAGCTAGGCAGTATGCTATGCAGGAGAGAATGAAATCTTGCCACGTGGGTTTGCGGGGATGAGATGAGAGTGATGACAGAAGCCCATGGGGGAAAGGATGAAAGTTATATAGGATGGAGGAGTTGAGGTATCTCCATGATTCCGCCCCCGTTGGTACCATACCACCCTCGGGGTGAGCGACCGATATGGGAATCTCCATTAGTATGACAGGCCTGACCGGGGCACACGGCCGTTACAGGTTTGCGTAAAGTCTAGAACAAGATTTGGTGGTGGGTCGGTGGTACGACCAAGCAGGACGCGGGCTGGTCGGCTGGTACCAACTGTTACAAGCTGAAATGTCTTCGGTTTTTCATACCGAGGCGCATTGATGTCAATTGCGGATATCTCGGACGCTAGACTGTGGCTGAGATTTCTTTCGACGGTTTGACATGTTTTCACGGCGGAATTATTATTGACCTGGAGCGCAGAAAGTGGGAGAGGAGCTGGGGATTGTTGGGGATGGCTGCAGTCTGTGCCAGGGTGGTCTTGGGATTCAGGCTCGAGGAGTAATAAATCCTTATCGGATCATGTTGGCGGCCGACTGAGGCTCGCGTAGACTTGCTGACACTGCAAGAGAAAAGTCTGTACACCACATGTACACTGTACTCGTAGTACTCGTACTAGTGAGGAAGAGACTCCAGAGAAAGACTCCAGTGAGCGGCTCAGCGGATGAACTGAGCAACTGAGGTTGGTCCGCCGAGCGACTGCCGGCCGCGATTCCGGTGGCTCGGATCCGGAATTATTGATATTCCGTGGACTTATACTGGCGAGCACCTAGTGAGCCGGCACTGCAATGTATGAGTCTGACGGTGCTTCACTACCAACTATTCACTCTTACACACATATTCATGCCTCCAGATTCCACCCCTTCAACAAAATACCTTACTCCTTCTCAGGTATCGAACGGGGCACGGGGTTATTCCGTACCTGGCGTCAGGTATATCCAAATTTCGCCGCTGCTGGGCTCTCGGTGGCAGACGGCATTACTTTTCCCGCCGTGTCCCGCTGGCGGAGCCAATAACACCAACCGATCGTTCAGACTATGGAGAATCTCCAGCTTCCTCGGTCTTTCGACCCCGAGTTCCCCTCTGCCCGTAGTTCGCTCTCCACAAACGATGTCACGCTCGTCAACACCGAGTACGAGGTAGCGGCATGCCCTGAGTAGCTCGCGCTGCTCGTTTCCAACTATCCGGAAAGTCATGCCCCTCGCACTCATACAGTATTGCGCTTGCTTCTAGCGTAATTCCCCGCGCCATGTGCCTTTACCCCTGGCAATCTTGCATCTACTCCTGTCGACTCCGCTCATTTCAGTCTTCCCATGGGCCGAACGGTGTCCGAAGCTGCGGATTGTGGGTTCTACCTTCGTGGAGTTCGGGGCGAAGACATCCCATGCTCGGGAATGACTCGACTTCGTGACACCGAGCACAGCCAAACCCTCGACTGCCAGATGTCCCGAGAGTCTCGATTTCCATTCAACGGTACCGAAAGCGTTGCACGTAGGGTCATACGACCATGTGCCTCGCCTCAAAGTTAGGAAGAGCACATGTCCAGACACTTTCTCCGCAATCTTTTATAAAGTACGGCTCGTTCCCCCTCCCCAGAAGTCCTCCAGACCCCTCAGACAAGCCTCCAGACTCTCCTCCAAAGTCTTTTCAGTGTCCTTCTGTCATTTTATCTTACAAAAGTCTTCCAGCCGGTACTCAAGATGGGCAGCATTCAAGAAGTCTTCGTCGGTTCCATCGACCAGGGAACGACCAGCTCTCGGTTCTTGATCTTCAATAAGCAGGGTGAGCCTGTTGCTTCACACCAGCTGGAATTCAAGCAGATCTACCCTCAACCTGGGTACGCCTGCTTTCTTACTCACCATGACCGTTTCCTGACTGACCTTTGCACAGCTGGCACGAACATGACCCTCTTGAAATTGTGTCTTCGGTCGAGGAATGTATCAACGGAGCCGTCAAGCAGTTCGAGACCCAAGGCCACAACATAAACAGCATCAAGGCCGTCGGTATCACGAATCAACGTGAAACCACGGTCGTCTGGGACAAGGAGACCGGAGAGCCTCTTTACAACGCCATCGTTTGGACAGATACCCGAACCCAGGGCCTAGTCCGAAAGCTGAAGCAACGTCTTGGTGCCGACAAGCTAACCGACATCTGCGGTCTCCCTCTCTCAACATATCCTTCAGTCGGCAAGCTCCTGTGGCTGCTCGAGAACGAGCCCAAGGTCAAGCAAGCCTACGACAGGGGAACTTTGGCCTTTGGCACGATCGATGCATGGTTGGTCTTTAAGCTTAATGGTGGTAAGTGTTCATTAAATACTCTCCCACAAAGGCCGACCGCTGACACCATGGCAGGTATCAAGAAAAACGTCTTCGTCTCCGACCCGTCCAACGCCAGCAGAACCATGTTCATGAACATCAAGACCCTCAAGTACGACGAATCCCTGATCGACTTCTTCCGAATCGACCGAACGAAGGTCCACTTCCCCAAGATCGTCCACTCCTCCGACTCGTCAGCATACGGCTCTCTTGCCTCGACGGTCCTGAAAGGTGTTCCCATCACAGGTTGCCTGGGCGACCAGTCAGCTGCCCTTGTCGGCCAAAAGGGCTTCACCCCGGGTTTGGGCAAAAACACCTACGGAACCGGCAGTTTCATCTTGTACAACGTCGGCGACAAGCCCGTCATCTCGACCCACGGCCTCCTGACGACCGTGGCGTTCGATTTCGGCGGCACCAGCAAGCCCATGTACGCCTTGGAAGGTTCGATTGCCGTCGCGGGATCCAGCGTCAAGTTCCTGGTCGACAATTTCGGCTTCATTGAGTCCTCGAGCAAGATCAGCCAACTTGCCGAGACCGTCGACGACAACGGCGGCGTCACCTTTGTCACGGCCTTCAGCGGCCTGTTCGCTCCTTACTGGATCGACGACGCCCGGGGCACCATCTTCGGCATCACCGCGTACACCAACCGTGGCCACATTGCCCGCGCAACTCTCGAAGCCACCTGCTTCCAGACCAAGGCCATCCTGGTCGCCATGGAGAAGGACTCGGGCCACAAGTTGACCGAGCTCGCCGTCGACGGTGGAATGTGCAACTCGGACCTCTGCATGCAGACCCAATCCGACCTGATCAGCATCCCTGTAGTGAGACCCGCCATGCGCGAAACCACCGCCCTGGGCGCGGCCATCGCTGCCGGTCTTGCGGTCGGCGTCTGGGACGGCATCGACGAGCTCAAGGCTGTCAACATGGAGGGAAGCACGACCTTCAAGCCAGCCATCTCAAAGGAGGAGAGCTCCACCCGCTTCGCCCGGTGGGAGAAGGCTGTGGAGATGAGCAAGGGTTGGGCTCAATGAGCAACTTGCACTTGCAGCTTTCAGCTTGCAGTCTCGATTGGGGGCACTTGATTTTAAGCGTTTGGCGTTTACACTGGGAACAAAAATTCGTTCATGTGTGCTGGGAACAGGGAAGGACTTGGCTTGGAGGAGAGTCTGATATTTCTCCATAAAGAAAGCTATGAGAACTGACATACCCAATGTATCTTTTGGAAGTTCGAATATTCTTCTCCCCTCACATCAAAAAGTGGCGAAGCCCTTGCGCATGCCATGCCCGTTACTTTTCTCAATCATCCACAGCCGTCTGGTTAATGCTAAACCGATAAGTCGCCTCCAGCACATAGGGCTGCGTGCCCGGCCCGAAAATCTGTTCCTCCTCCCTTTTCCACTCCGGATAATTGATCCCAGCAATCCAATCCTCAACCTCGATCACCACGCACCCCCAATGCTGGAGCATGCTATTCGTCGGCGTCCCTTGCGTGGCCTTCAACGGCACCGACCCATTCTGATTGTTGCAGCTGTAAATCTGCAACGCATCCTGATCCGTAAACACGTCCAACTGGATCCCGCTCCAGGCACTCCTCAGGGTGGCCACTTGCGCCCCTGTCTGCTCCCACGCTTCTTTCTCTGCCTCTTGCCTCTGCGTCAGAAAGCACACATTATACCCCAGACACGTCGGGCCACAACTCCTGTTCAACTCCGGCTGGTCAAACGCGTAACCCACCTGCCGCGGCTGCGTCCAGAAGTCGAACGGGCCATCCGCCCAATTCGTATCGAGCGTTCCCGTCGGGACCTGCGTCGTGGTAACATTGGTCCTCATCCCCGCGTAGGGCATGTACAACGTGTGATTCAGCGCGGTGTCGGTCTGGTCGTTGGCATACCCGTCCAAGTTCCAGTACACATGACTACTCAGCATGATGGGAGTCTTCTCCGTGGTAGGGATTGCGACCATACGTTCGCGCCACTCGTACGGTGCGGCCGTGTACGTGATGAAGGCGACGACCTCCCCCGGGAACCCCTGGTCACCGGCCGGGTCCGTCATGCTGAAGGTAATACTGCTGTCCGTGTGCGCGACAACGCTGAAATTGCGGTACGACCAGCCGTCGGGCCCGCCGTGGAGTGTGTCCGTCGAATTGTTCTCGTTTGGGATGATGTGCGAAGGAACTCCGTCTATGGTGAATGTGCTGTTTACGATCCGGTTCGCATAGCGCCCAGGCACTGCGCCCCAATATCCGTGCTGGCCGGTAGTGTACATCCACGCTTCATCGAAGCCGTACACAACGTCGCGCTCGATGCCGCGGGAGTCGTTGATGAAGAGGTTAGAGATACTGGCACCGTATGGGACGAAGGACACGCGGATCCCCTCTGACCAAATAGTGTATTTGCCGTCCGGCGCGGGGTTGTTGTCTCCATTACCACCGGTGACATTGCAGTAGGATGTCAGTTGTTGGGCGGTTGCCATAGTGCTGAGGAGCAGCGAGATTGAGGTGAGTGAGAGCATGGTTGTGTAGGTCCAGGTAGCCACGGACTCGTGATATTACTGGTGATCAACTGTCGGGCATCCCTTACCACAGGTGACCTCCAACATCTGGGGATTGCGGTAGTGCCATTCCGTATGGTGAAGTCCTCCGAAGATCCCATAGCTATATAGCTCTTGAAGCATCTCAGGCCTCCAATATTCTGTCTTCCATAGTCAATCTCATCGAACAGCATCGCCAAAGTCGCTGTCCGTCGGATGTCGGCTCGGAACTCGCTTCTATACGAGATGTTCCAGCATGCATGATCCCAGATCGCGGGAAGGGACGGTAGTAAGTGCTTTTCAGCATGCGGAGGAGAGTAAGAGACTTCTTCGTCTCCTCGGCGGATGTCTCGGGTTCGTCACAATCCAGAGTATCCGGTGCTAATCGCTGACTTGCTGCGACTACATGAGAGCCCAATGCTTGGTGTCAGCGCACTCGAGAATGCCATCGCCAACTATCCTCCCGATACTTGCCAGCTCGGATCGAAACCACTGTTGCTGCTTCCCGTCAATTCCTTCCACGCTTGAAGCGACGGTCAGCGGCCACACCATCAGCGTCGCCAGATGAGGTTTCACAACCTCGTCTGTATTGATCTTGATCGACCCTTGGCATGACGGCGGATTGGGATGGTCCATCTTGACTCGGTCCAAAACAAAAGGCAAGGCTGCTGCCAGGTGATCGGCGATCTCCTTCAGATTGGCAGCACATCGGAGCCTTTTCTGGTCGTATATTGACCCCGCCTCTTCATTTGAGCTTTGTAGTCGAAGGATCCGCAGCCACGTGCTGTTCACCAGTATTCTCGCAGCATAGTATATCGTCCACATCGCTGCATAGCCAGACCCTTCATAGGTGCATACAGTCGGCGAAAAGAAATGTACTCTAGGCCAGGTCCAATTCTGCACCTGCTCGTTAAGAACGTGGCACTGGATAGACCCAGCGTAGGGAATGTTCGTAGCATAATCTCTCAGTGCCTTATCAATCTCTTGCGCTTCCCAGTCCAGGTCTCCAATTGCATCCAAGTCAGCATCATAACGTTGCTGCCCGAGCCGGAACATTGCATGGCGTAGATTGACCGTCCGCACCAATATCCTATCATACTCGAGCTGATGGCCTTTTTCGCCAAACCGTGCACCATCTAGAAGCCAGTCCGCCAGTGGAAGACCTCTCAGAAGAGCCGATTGAATGGATCCCCTGCGTGCATGCTTGATAATACAGCTTGCAGAACCGAGGTGGCTCTGATTGTCATTCCACACCTTCAAAATCGCCAGTGCTCCGTCGTGGTGGAGCCAACTGCGCAAGTCCATGAACGAGTCCTTCGTCGTTGAAGCAAACTTTGCCGGGTAGTGCATAGACCCTTCATACCGACTCATCAGCAAGACCGTGAGAAGGCAGGCCTCAATATTCTCCTGGTCCATGGTAGGGATTCGTTCCCTAGTCATGCCCAGAAGGCGGTGGTACACCGACCATGCTTCCATGGCGGCCGCCTTGACTTGGTGGGTTTTTGCGAAGATGGCGAGTGCCAGTGCCGACAAGGCAACATCGATCATTGGACCAGCATGATTGCGTCGGGATTCTTGCCAGGCCAACAAGGATCCGGCCACGCAGGTGGTAAGATGCGGCAGTTCTAGCGTCGGTTCAACATAGTAGTGGAGATAATATGCCTGTGCGCGCGCCTGGATGTCGAAGTGCGGACGAAGCAGGGTCAGGCTCGAACGAGGACCTCTGGGGCGCCGGATTTCGCCACTTGCATAGCGGTTCTCGACGTGGATTGAGAAAATTGCTTGCTTAACGGCGTCGGTAGGTAGGCAAACTCTTCGAGATTTGGTGCACCGCTTACAAACTGGTTTTCCTTCGTCACACTGTAGCGTGAGGTCAGCGTACGTTGCAGGAGGTATGTCGAACGGAGCCGGCGTGCCTTGATCCGTCGGATTTTGCAAGTCTGACACCCACTGCTTGTAATTGCCATGGTAAGGGTCAGGCCCTCGGCAGAGTATTGATGCCTCTCTGCCCAACACGGTCGTGCTTGATGGAGAAGTCGCAGGGTTTGTCCTGATATGGATTGAGACTGGGCTAGTAAGAGGGAAGAACGTCCATCGTTGCTTGATATATTATCTGGAAGGCTAGAGAGGGTCTGTGCAGAGCGCGATCAGATGGGAGTCGACGGCGATGCTGAATAATTGGGCACAGTCGGTGGCTGTACTATGTAAGCCATCCATCAAGCTAATCCCAATTCTCGGAAACACTGCGAGCTCGCTTATGGAAACGCTCTCTGTGAGTGGCCAGCCTTCTCAACTGAAGATCGTCGGTCCAGATCATCTCCAGTCTCTGGCCTCAGCCTTGCCTCCACGTACACTTCTCGGTCGAAAAGCAGACACCCAGAATGGAGAACTAGTCCTCTCAAGGAGATATTCGTCCGAGGAGTTTTGGTAAAAGCTTGCGAAGAATTGTTCGGCATCTGTGGACTCCGCAAGGCCTGTAGAAGAGGGTAATTCGACAGGCCCACGACAGGACAACAGTATGAGTCCAGGAAAAGTACATAAATCATGCCTTCAGCTGCCATGGGATTCAACCATTCCATCAAGCAGTTTCAATCTCGCAGAGCATAGATAGTTCATTGCACTCTCTCCTCAAAGCACCCCTCAAAACAACCTTGGCCAGCTTCTCAATCAAAACATTCAAAATGTCGTCTGAGCTCAAGCCTATCAAGCTCTATGGCTCTCACGGCCCCAATCCACCTAAAGTCGGCATCATGTTAGAAGAGCTCGGCCTTCCTTATGACATTGTTGACGTCCCCTTCGAAGATGTCAAGAAGCCAGAATATACTGCACTCAATCCCAACGGTCGACTGCCCACCATCCAAGATCCCAATAATGGCGACTTGACCATTTGGGAGACAGGTGCCATCATCGAGTATCTTGTTGAGAAATACGACCCTGAGTATAAGCTAAGCTTTGCTCCGGGCACTCCGGAGTACTACCATGGCAAACAGTGGCTTTTCTTCCAGGTCTCCGGCCAGGGACCGTACTTTGGTCAATACGCCTGGTTCAAGAAGTTCCATCCCGAGAAAATCCCAAGCGCCTGGGAGCGCTACATCACAGAAATGAGGCGCGTCAGTGGCGTGCTGGAAGGCTGGTTGACGCAGCAGAAGGAGAAGCACAGTGGCGGTGACGGACCTTGGCTTGTCGGAAACAAAATCTCCTATGCGGACATTTCCTTCCTGACGTGGTATGCAGTTATACCCTTGGTGATGAGCAAGGAAGAGTTTCAGATGTCTGAATTCCCTGTCATGTATGACTGGGTCAAGAGAATGGTCTCGCGCGAACCAATCAAGACTGGTCTCAAGAAGATGAACTTTTTGACCGACAATATCTGAGGTCCGTCCGGGGGTGATGCTTTTCTGGTCGATGCAATAGGTATGCCGTGGGAGGGTCGGTGATTCTTGTTGCAGGAGCGGCTTGACGAAACCCAACGACATGGTTGTAGGTGATGAGGGGAAATTTGAGCTAGTCATAGCAGTGGAATAAATATACGTTGCCTCAATAGAGAAGAGCCTTATCATCGAGCAAGCCTGTTCGTAGCCCGCCAGTCCAATGGAAATGGCCCTCCACGAGCCCGGGTGCTTACAAAGGTACTAACATGATATGCTGTCTCATTCGACGGTGTCCTTGACAGGTCCACAATCATTCATAAGGTGGTTTGAATATCAGCCAATCCGACTCTGGGTTTGGAATGACAAAGGCTGGTGTGGCCCGAAACGATGGTGCCTGGCCTTGCGTTGATACATGAGTACCTACAGGCGATATGATGACAGAAGGATCGATGCCATTGCCGGCAATGGCGTTCAGGCGGGGATAGTTGAAAAAGTCAAAGACCTCGAGATACTCCAATTCGTTCTGAGGCGCGTTATGCGTTGTAGCAGGTTCCAGGACGGATCGCGGGCGTTGTGAGATCAGTATGTTTAGCTCGTAAGCGGTCCTACTTGCATTAGCCAGAATGATCGCACTTATGAGGCGGCCACTTACCTTCTCATCGCTGTGAACGTCCGACCAGCACCGGTGCTTCCTTCTTGCAGAACATCATTCAAGATCCTAGCATATTCTCTTGCGACTTGCCAATGCTGACCCATTTGTTCAAGCGTAGAGATGAAGAATGTGATCTTGGCATCCACTTCACATTCCATGGTAGCCGCGTGAACAAGTAAGAGTCGAGCGGAGACCCACAAAGCAAAAGCAAACGGGTGGCCGAGAAGGGCGAGCATGCCAGTGTTGAGGACGTCTTGTGCAATCTCCCTTAGGCTCTCTACCGCGCCGAGGCATCGCTGAATAGCATGATAAGACGGTGTAAAGACTGGGGATTTGATGGTGGGATATGCAGCTGATGAATGCAGCCGAATGACCGACGTGACAAATGCTGCATGAAGCATGATCCAGTTGGAAATTCGACTCCCGGGATCCGAGTGGCACAGTTGCGAGATCTTGCCGTATTCGCCAGGTAAATTCTGGAGCCAGTTATTCAATTCGCCGTCAAGCTCTCGATATGTCTCACGCCATCTTTGGATATCGGAGTGTCGCGTGATGTCAAGCGGCTGGTGTAGGAAGCGGTGGATGCGGCTCAGAATGCCCAGCACCTCACAATGATATGAAAAGCTGCCTAGATTTTCAGGTTTGTTAACGATCATCTCCGTCTGAGCTCCGCGGCGGTGCCATCTCGTCTCGACGGGCTCGTTGCGGGAGAAGAGATCGTAACGACAGGGAAGACAACGGTCCATCTCCCTTTCATCGAATGTGAAAGCGTCTTCCGTCGCGACCGTTGCATACCGGTCAAGCACGAATGTCATCCAGCATAAGCGCCGGCGCTCTTCACTTTCGATCCAGGATTTGGGCTGGGACGCTTGCAGTAGCGTTGCTGACGGATAAGCGGTCGATTCCAGGTATGCGCCTTTCTCTACCTCCAAGCCAAGCTGGACAATATTGCGGGCTATGAGGGCCAGGAGGTTCCAGCCTTGTTGGCCATTGGAAGTTCCGAGAACATCGACGGCAAGGATTACCAGAGCCTGCAACGCTCTCACGTTCGGATGATCCAGAGCGTACAGCATGATCTTCTGGCGTGAAGTGTCGTGGAACTGGGATCGAGATTCCGGTGTCAGACGCGGATCCTTGGAGAAGCGCAGAGTGGTGGCGACTACAGCATGCATGAGGACTCGATCAGACTCGTCCATGGATTGAGAACCGAAGAATGCATCGAACGTGTTTTTGCGGTCGAGGATCGGTGACCACGGGTTGACATGCTTGAAGTACAGGTCGACAAGCGTGTACAATAAGTCATACGGAGGCAGCTCGGATTCTGGCACTGACGGAGCTGGAGTAGAACTCGGATACCAGGCTGTCGAAGCAGCTCGGTCGCTTTGGGACACTATGTCCTGACCAGCAGTGTCGACAACGGACCGAATTGACATGGCGTCATGAGGTCGAGGATACTGCATGCGTTCGTAGGCATTTGAAGGCGCCCATCTTGGGTCGGACCCGGGAGTATCCTGAGACAATATACTTGCACTCGTCGGACCGGGATCATTTTGCGAATAGGCCGGATATTGAACGGGTTGGGAAGTCATTCGTACTGAGCCAGGCCGAGGCTGGGAAACATCACCATGGTCGACGATGTGCTCTTCAAGCCGGCGGCCCATGTGTTGGAGTAGAGCTTCGAGGCGGTTGATTTTCTCCTCCAGTTCGCGACCGTATCCTACCCGAAGGCCAGGTTTCTGCCTTTCTTTGTAGACGCATACTCGGTTGTTGCGCGCGCACCAGCCACAAGCGGGCTCGACGCGATCGCATTTCACTTTTCTTGTCTTGCAAAGTTCACAGCTATGGCCGAGTGTCAAGAACGGTTCCCGAGGGAGAGGACGGGCAGTACTCACGAGATTTTGAGAGACCTCTTTCTCTTTTTGCTTGCATTACCCCCGGTTGGTGTCTCGCTTACATTGTCGTTTTCGCCATCACTCCCGGAGACTGAAGACGCTCTCTCTTCGGAGGCGGCCGTCGGAGAAATCTGGCCAGCATCATATGCAGCCATTGGAAGGTGCGTGATGCTCCTTCAAGAACCCCAGAGCTATTGCGATGGGTCTGCTACTGCTGCAGCTGCTGTGGAGATTGATGCTGAGTAACAATGATGAAGAGGAGGAAACTCCGGGACAACGAGACCGAGGCTCGGGCTTCTGAATTGATGGGCGAGTTTTGATTTGATTGTGGACGGCCAGACGGCTGGTTCAAACCAGGAACCCCACACCTTGCCAGGAGACATTTTTTTCACCCGCAATTTGGTGCCAGTGGTGCCCCAAACTCCCTCGCTTCCGATTTACCCGAGAGGCGGCTCGACTGCCTGTGTTGGGTGCATCATGGGTGCCATCATGATGCCCCGTTGGGTGACTCACGTGTCTGTATCGAACGAGTCTAGCGGGTGCGGAACAACACGAATCCGGTCCGCTGACGGTAAGGCGACGAGGCGAGTGGACAGTAATCACGATCAATCTTCGATGCGGCCATCTCCACGAAGCGCTACCAGAAGATCGTCGACTGGAAGGAATCAGACGCAATAAGCAAAAGCCGTGTGAAGCTGGTAGAGGTAGGTCAGCCGTGGTCAGCATTGTTCACAACATCCAGCACCCCATCACTGCATATCACCCCAGAGTTTGCCAGCAACCCACCACAATGTCTTCCCAACTCATCAATCCACCTTTCGTTCACCCTCCAAGGCCAACATACAGTCATGTCCAAACCACTCCCATCTCTCCGACGAGCACATTGATCACCATCGCCGGCCAGATCGGGATAGACGGCAAATCCAGGACACTTCCGCCCACATTCTCTGGTCAAGTACAGGTGGCTTTGGACAACCTGGGCAAGTGTCTACAAGCAGTTGGCGCAACACCGGCCGATATCATCAAGGTGACGCATTATGTTGTCAACCTAGATCCCAAAGACACTTCCAGAGCAGAGGCGTACCTCAAGTTCATTGGTGATCATCGACCACCCAGCACTCTACTCGGCGTTGCGGCATTGGCAGATCCAGAGTTGCTCTACGAGGTTGAGGCTATGGCTATTTTACATCAGAAGTAAACGCGTCGAACGCGAGAGAACCCATCTACCATTGAAGAAATTCATGCTGGTATCAGCAGTAGAGCCTCTTGCCGAAGCGAGGCAGTGTAATTTCCAACACCTTCATACAACACCATCCGGGTCATCAACGCATTACACTCCCGGATCCGCTGCGTCCTCAACTTTCGCCTTCTTGTCGTTGTGAGGTCCTTCTATTTGATCAACAAACTCGACTTTGCGTTTCTTTGCTGGCCCTGCTTCAGGCGCTTCTCCCATGGTGGCAGGAGTGGACGCAGAAGAGCCCACACCGCTGTCCCCTCCATTGGCTTGCGTGCTTTTGGGCTTTTTTCTCTTGACGAGCCCAGTTAGGTCAGTAGCCGTCTCTGTTACCTGAGCCAACTTTTCTTTTCTTTCCTGCTCGGTCGCGCCACTGCCTAGGATACTGCCCAGGACACCCGAAATCTGTTCTTTCATCTCCGTCTCCTCCTTGACATTAACAGGCGGCTTGCGGAGTTCTGCCAGTCGCACTTCCATCTCTCCAACCATGTCTTGAACGTCTTCGACTTGTGCCATGGCCTTGTCTTTCTGCGGACCTGGGTCCAATTTCTCCAGTGCTGCAGTCTCTTTAGATATACGTAATTTGCAGCAGTCGATGGCCTTTTCCTGCTGCGTGATCGCCTCGTTTCGAATGTCCCAATCAATCTGGAGATCACCGGTTGGATTCCCATCCGCATCACGCTCTTGCGTCTGAGCACTGAATTCCAGAGCTAGGCTGAGCTTGTAGTGGCATTCAGCGAGAATGCTTGACTCCGGCGGCTCCAGCTCCTCTCTCAAAGCAAGACAGTTCTTCAGATCCGTTACGGCAGCGGAATATTTCTCGCCTTCCAACGAGACTTCCGACTGTAGATCGTAGATATCTGCGACACGATTCTTGAGGGTCTTGACTTCGGGCGTGAGGTCTATCGACGCCACGTATTTTCCCTTTTCCGATTCTTCCAGCACTTCTTCCTGAGCATGATCCAACTTCTTCAAGTACAGGACACGGGCGAGGTCCAAGAGTTCGTAAGCATTCGTGAAATCGTCATCCTCTTCATCTTCCGCCTCCTGATCCTGTTCCACTTCTTCTTCGTCTGATTCGTCCCAGTTTTCATCATCACCAGTGATTTGGAAGAAAGGCTTCTCTGAGGTCGTCTGCCCCGGCGTGACGTCTTGTTCTGGCACAACATCGCCCACGTTCGGGACGGCCTCTTCTGGCGCGGCGCCTACAGCCTTGGAACCGTCACCCGCCTCTGCACCGTTTGTAGAGCCATTCGCAGTCACTTTTCGCTTCTTTGGAGCGGATTTTCCCTTGCTTTTGGACAACTGCGCAGATGCCGCAGTCCCGCCAAGTACCGAGCTTGTTTGTTGGGCGAGGAAGAACAGACACTTTCCGTAGGAGTACAGCAGATCCGCGTTCTCGAGCGCCATCTCGCCGTTGATCTCGGCTTGCAACTCGGTCGCCTGTGAGTACAGCTCAGCTGCTTCCGAGTAGTGTTTGACGGCATATTCAGCAGTGGCCTTTGCTGTGAGGTTGGCTAGGCGCTCTTGCGGAGATGAATTTGAGGTCTCGTCAGGGACAGGAAGTACTGTAGGTATCTCGCTCTCTGCGCCGCCAGTCGCCGACATTTTGGAAAGTGGTAGCTATTGCTGCTGTTGTCACGCCTCAGACTATCGCGATGACAAGGCGTTTAATAGTGGTGCAAGTGTGCGAGAATAAAAAGTCAAGTCAAGAGGGAGAGAGCAATGCGACAGGTTGACAGTTTGATCGAAGGTGAATTGCCTGCGCCTTCAGAATCCGTCACTTTCTCTCCTCCAAAAAGTCTCCAACGACGCGTCGCGCGCCTCCGACTCTCGCGTCAACAAAAACCACTTTACAGGCTTCCACAAGCCACCAGCAAAGAGAACTTCTCTACGACTCGCTCCAGTTTATGCACAGGATGGAGGACCCAGTATCGACTCCCAGGATTCCAGCACAAGCCTTCAAGCGCAGTACTGCGGCTACAAAAGAACAGCTGCTCTCCTCCTCGCCCGGATTTGGCACACCTGCATACCCAATTGCCAGCCGACAGCCGGTTATCAGACAACCTTTTGCAACGCACTTGAATGACACCGCGAACAATGTCCCTACAGTGCTCTCGATCCTACTCCCTCCCCAGACGCTACGCCCTGTCGCTTTCAGGACCCTCACCAAGAAACACAATCTGACCCTTACATCGTCAGGGCTGGGGCTTCTTTCCACGTTTGTTGGCAAATTCTGCGGCAGTCGGTGGCGGGAAGAAGGGCTTGCGGAAAGGGTTCTCGACGAGATCGCGAAAATATGGAAGCGGAACGGCGGTGGACTCATCATTGAAGATGGACCGGACAAAAAGCTGTCCGGTATTCTCAAGTTGCTCGAGCCATGCATGTCTGGTGGCCTACTCGATACCGGCAAGCTATCACGAACAAACGGTTCTGTCGGGAGTCCAAGTCTCTCCAGGTCTAGCTCTCTCGTGGACCGGCCTGGGATGGACAGAGACGACAGTCAGACCAGTCTGGGTCTTTCTGGGCTAAATGTCGAAGAAGACGACCCCAACGGTGAGGACCATAGCCTAGACATACGCTCCTACTTGAAAGCCATCTCGGCTTTCGACCAGCCAAAACTCTTATACTCGATGTCAAAGAAAACCTTGGAGCCGATGCCAGGCTCAGCAACCCTCCTCCCTCCTATACAACACAAGATATCCATGTTCCGAAACCGGTATCACCTAGTACACCAACGCCTCATGCGCAATGAATCGTTCCAGACGCCATCATTCTCAACCTCCGGCAGACCGCCGAGTCTCTTACATTCCGGCAGCAGCGTGGCAACTCTTCAGCAAGCATACAAAATCACCCCTATCTCCAACCTCCTCGGGCGCTCCGGCTCATCACACCTCCTTCTCGGCATGCTCGTGCACTCTGCAGCCGGCGATCTCTCTCTGACAGACTTATCCGGAAGTGTAGCCCTTGACCTGTCCATCGCTCGCCCCATCCCAGCCAACGGCGCATGGTTCTGTCCGGGTATGATTGTTCTGGTCGAAGGCACGTACGAGGAAGACGGCTCTCACAGTTCCAATCTCGGCGCCGCATCAGGGGTCGGCGGCCAAATCAAAGGCCATTTCATCGCGGAGACTGTGGCCGGACCGCCGGCCGAGCGACGAGGTCTAACAATCGGCTCTTCGAACGGTCTGGACGCAGACAACATGAGCGTGCACACCAGCGTGGGCGCTGGCTTCGGTTGGATCGACTTCCTCGGCGTGGGCAGCGACAAGGGCGTCGGCTCGCAAATGCGTCGGCTTCGACGACGGTTTTACTCACCTTCGCCCGACACCATCGGCGCATCAGACGCAGACGCAGGCGAAGAACATCACCGCCTTCCACGCACCAAAATCGCCATCTTAGCAGAATGCACTCTCGACAGCCCTCGCACGCTCGAAGCCATCCGCGCCATTCTCTCGTCTTACAACACATCTGCAGGCGACGCGGACGACCTCCCGCTCTCCGTGGTACTGATGGGCAACTTCGTCTCCACGGCGAGCATGGCCGGCTCGGCTAAAGGAGGGAGCGTGGAATATAAAGAGGCCTTCGACGCGCTGGCCTCGATATTGTCCGACTTCCCTTTCCTCCTGGCCAACACTACCTTCGTATTTGTGCCAGGCGACAATGATCCGTGGGCGAGTTCATTCTCAAGTGGCGGTGCATGTGTGCTGCCCAGACAGGGCGTCCCAGAGGTATTCACGTCGCGCATCCGACGGGCCATCGCAAGCGCGAACAGCGAAAGGAAGGACAAAGATCGAAATACGACCACGGGAGACGCGGTATGGACGAGTAACCCTGCTAGACTGAGTCTCTTTGGACCACTGGAGGAAATTGTACTGTTTAGGGACGATATCACGAGTCGGTTCCGAAGGAATGCGGTCACTTTCTCCAAATCAGAAGATGAGAACGAGGATGACGAGGACATGTCCAACGACCAAAATGAGAATGAGAATGAGAATGAAGATGGCAACGGTGAATTCATGGAATCGGACGAAACTCACAATCTCGACCGCCGCGTGCACGAAGCCACGTCCCACCTGCCCCAGCAGAACAAGACGAATACTAGTAGTGCAAACACGGCACACTCGACACAAGCAGCCCGGAAACTCATCAAGACGATTCTCGACCAGTCACATCTCGCGCCCTTCGCGCACTCGATCCGCCCCGTGTTTTGGGACCATGCGGCGTCGCTGTCCTTGTACCCGCTGCCGACGGCCCTGGTGCTCGCGGACGCAGAAATGCCCGGGTTCGCAATCAGTTACGAGGGGTGCCATGTCATGAATCCCGGCCGCGTAGTGGATGAGTTGGGACTGAGTAGAGCGTCCGGTAGAGGGAGTGGTGTCGGAAGATGGGTTGAATTCGACGTGATGAAAAGTAAAGGGGAGATGAGGGAGGTTAGATTTTGAATGTGGCGACCGAGTGGCCGGAGTGACTTGTGTACGAAATGGTATGATTGGGTCTAGGATGGGTACCGATGTGAGCCTGGGGATGGCGCTGTTGTACCGTACATGATCTTGAATCTCGATTCCTGTGTATACAGGACGTTGGCATTGGAATTGACCTTGGTTATGGGAACCTCCCAGTCCAGGGGCTAACTGTTTGGCCGGCCTAGAAAGTACATGCCTGACTACGAGACTACGAGCCCATGATGGTATACTGGGTTAGTCCAGAGAAGCCCAGATGAAGAGGATGCCATGCGCAAAGATTACAGCTAATATCAACATATTCCGGGGTAGTCCAACTCCCCATGCTCCGTGCTACCCATGTCGAAATCCGGATCTGCCTTGAGCGACCGCGCGATTCAAACTCCATGCCAATGCCAGGCGTTTCAAATCAAATCTGTACTGTACACATCCTCAGACACCTTGCCATACAGAAGGCCAGTTGACGACCGCTCTTTTCAATTCCATGCCATATGGCTCCGTCATATAGATATAGACATACACTCACAAACATAGATATCCATCTCACGACTGATCTTCAACCGGCCTCGGATCCTCCGTCTTATACCACAGCCCGTTGAAAGCGCTAATCAACCATTTACTCAGCTTCTCAAACACGATACGATTCGCATTGTGGAAGAAGATGCTATGATCACTGTCCGGGAAAAAGTGGACATCATAGTTCTCTATCCCGGCAAGGTCAAATTTGTCCAGGAGCGTCAGCGTATTCTGCATGTGTACATTGTCGTCCGCGACACCGTGCATAATCAGAAACCTGACGTTCTGACTGATCGCCGTGACATTACTGATCGCCGTTCTGTCATACCCGGCGGGATTGGCCTGGGGCATGCGCATATACCGCTCGGTGTAGATTGAATCATAAAACCGCCAATCCGTGACCGGTGCGACGGCCATGCCGTACTTGAACGTCTCGCCCGCGTCGGCCTCGAGGACTTTAAGCGTCATGAAGCCGCCGTAGCTCCAGCCCCAGATCGCCATGCGCGACGAATCAACGTACGACTTCGCAGCCCACATCTTGGCGGCAGCGATCTGGTCGTATGCTTCGTACTTGCCGAGCTCGTTGCGGACGATCGTGCGGGCCTTGCGGCCATTGAATCCTGTCCCGCGCCCGTCGAGGGTTACCACGACATACCCTAATGAGCTGGCCACGTAGGACTGGAAGTCGACGTGAAAGCGCCGGTTGACCATCTGCGAGCCCGGGCCGCCGTAGAGGTAGAAAAGAACAGGATACTTCTTCGACGGATCGAAGTGGGGAGGGCGGCGTTCAACAAGTTGCAGTGTGTACCCATCGATGGTGATGTTCTGAAAAATTTGGTGAGGAAGTTCATGCGACGAGGCCAATTGAGCCAGGTCTTTGTTGTCTTCAAGAGTCTGGTCGATTGCTTCGGCGTTGGCGGGCGTAGAAACAACCTTCTGATACGGGATGCTGGGGCCTTGGTATGTTAGGACCACGTAACCTGCCCCCGAGGAGAATGAGCTTGTCCAGTATGCTGCTTCGTTGGACGGGACGAGAGATGTCATGTCTGTTCCATCGAGCTTGACGCTGTAGACATGGCGTTGAGTCGGTGCTTCTTTGGCGGCCACGAAGTAGACTAGGTTGTTTTTGAGGTCGACTGCGGCGGGGCCACCGTCGACTTCCCACCGTCCTTTCGTGAGCATGATGGGTATTGAGCTGTTCAGAGGAGAGAAGTAGGCTAGGTGGTTTCCGTTGTCGGAGATAACAATGTCAACGTAGCCATCTTCCGGCCGGCCGTTTGCTGGGTCGGCTGGTAGGTATTCGGTGGCTTGAGTAGGCTCGATCCATCCTCCATCAACATCCTTCAGGTCCACTGTCCTGACGGTTTGACCTGTTCGACTTGCAACGTCCACAAGTACAACCCTGATGCGGTCGCTCACGCGGTTCGACTCGGAGACTAGAGCTTTTCCGTTGTCTGCCCAGACAATATTGAAGATGATGCGGTCCTCGTCAGGAAAACCACCGTCAATGTCGACAGTGAAGACTTCCTGCTTAGCAATATCATAGAAGAGCATGTCAACCACAGGATTTGGTGCACCAGCTTTGGGGTATTTGATCTCTTTAACTTCGGGATAGTTCTCGAGCCCGTCAATGGGTTTCTTGCCGCTAGGCCTCGAAAGGAAGTATTGAACAGGATATTCGGGAACCATAGTTTCGTTCGTGCGCAAGAATGCAATGTACTGGCCATCTCTCGCCCACCAGGTTGCGGTATTAGTGCCAAAGACTTCCTCTTCATAAGCCCAGTCAGGGATGCCATAGAAGTACTCTGGGCCTCCGTCGTCCGTGATCTGAGTAACCATTGGAGAAGATAATGATCGGAGGAAGAGGTTGTTGTTTCTTGTGAATACGATGGAGTCACTGTTGGGAGACCATTTGGCCAACTGAAGCTTGGTGTCCGGGTATGCTGGATCCAGAGGCTGCACACTCTGGGTTTCCACGTCTAGAATGAAATAGAGTCCGAGGAATGAGTGTCGATAGACCTTTTCGCGCTTTGCCATGACGAGGACATGTTTCATATCTGGACTGACCCAGAAATCATCTGTCCACATTTGTTGTCCATTGACATTAAACCACCCACTTTTAACCAAACTCCTGCTCTTGAAAGCATTTGCCGACGTCGACGAGTTTCGACTCCTGATATCTTCGACCATCACATAATCCTCGCCGGGTCGGTTGATCTCCAATAAGAGGCCGTCTTCGCCCTCCGGACCAGCAGTCCACTCGATATTGGCGTATCTAGGCTGCCAGTGCCCAGACAGAACTCCATCGAGCGAGACTTTCTTCCCGGAGCTCTTGACGGGCGTCTCGTGGTCGTACTCAAGGGTTGAAGCATGTTTGTACCGGCCACCTGCCAGGAAGGCAAACAGCGCAACGGCCCAGCCGACAACAGCCACCACAGAAACTACCCATAAGGTCCGTCTCAGGCCTTTCGACATGCGATTCCCAGCAAGGGTATAACTTTTATCATTGAACCTTGGCAGCTCTGGATCACTGTCATTGTCGCGGTATTGTAGAGGTTCGACGGCCTTCTTGCTCGCAAATACCGAGTTAAGGTTCTCAAGGACTAGGGACGTTGTCGATGCAGTTGTTACGCTTTCTTCGGATGGTCGTGACGGCGTGAATGCAGAGGACGATCCTTCTTCCTCTTTTATCAGTGTTTCACTCTCTTCAGCCGAATCCCTGGCACTCCTTCCCATCGTGGCCATCGTCGCGGCGACGGTCCGCCAGGGAGCCCCTGTCAAGGAGTCGTAGTTGAATGCAAGGGAGGTGGATCTGGAATGGAAGGAATCGTCGTTATCGGAGCATAGTGACAGGCGACTCAGACGCGGCGAGACAGCATCCTCGCTATCTTTGCGTACAACGGCAGATATTCTTTTACGTGGCGAGAGTAAGGGAGGTCCTTTCGCGTGGAGGCCGGTGATGATCTTTAGTGAGTCGGCCGCATTGGATGTCGATGTCGCCGGGGACTGCGACTGCGACTGCGACTGCGGAAGTGGAATTGCGTTTCGAGGCTTCATTACTGCACCGTACAAAGACTCATTCCTTGACATGTATTACAACATCCACAACTTGTTTACTCCTTCTACACTACATCAAGGACTATAGCCATGTTGGATAATGTGGTTGAGATAACTATGGAGCTCTGCCTCTACTGACATCTTTTCTGTTTGCAGAACCATGATGCTGTTAGGCTATTCTCGTTCGCGTCTTCCCCCATGTCCGGAAACGGCCACCACAGCAGGAATGTGGTGTCTCCCCAACAGACCTCTCTCGTTCTGAAGCGCACACGTCTCATACAACATTTCTTCCTGTGCCAACCATCGAGTGGTCTCTATATCAGAGGTAGCCACCATTTTATCACCCACAGATAGACCACGACCGACCACAAGCTAGTATAGGCGATCAAGGCGCACGTATCCAGCGTCCTCCGTGGCATTTTTCTGATAGCTTGCAGCCCGTACAGAGTAACAGCGAAGATGGCTGTCATGCCGCAAACTGGCAGGCCCAGAAAGAGAAAGAAATATTGCTGACGATCCGGCCCTTGGTTTCTGCCGTGCCCAAACGCCACGTCAAAGATCCATGGCGACAGCAACAGCATGAGGCAGCTGAGCGTAAGCAGAGCACAAGCGGCACTTACGGTCCTAGAGAGGTCGCCCACTGCATGCCCGCACCTTAGGCATCCTGGTCGTCCCTGTGCAGGTGTACCTGCGTTCCGCTCGACATCTCGAGGGTCATGGGTAGACCCTCCCGGTCTTTGGTGCTGTCGTTCACTCCGCTCACGCACGTGTCGCCTGATATCTTCCACATCCTTGTTTAAAGCCGCCTCTTCTGCGTCCAACATGTGTTGAATCGTCTCGCACTGTTTGTCGACTTGTTCCAAGGTGGTGGTAAGTTTCGACTTTCTTCGTTCCTTCTGACCTGGTCTGGTGCCCCCGGCTGAATCTGGGCTCGAAGCTCGACTTGCGTTCACTGACTGAGAGCTCGACCCTGCGATTGTCGTCTCGCTTCCGACAGCGGTACTCCAGCTTGACGTACTGCCTCGCTTCAACGGCCATGGCCCGACGCGATCAGGTAGCTGCGAGGGCGGATGGACCTCAGTGAAGTGAGGCCATCCCGGAAGAGCGGTTAGGATTTGCGGATGCCCAGGGCGATCAGCTAGCTGTGAGGATGGGCGGACTTCAGTTTGTCGAGCCCATTGCGAAGAAGCGGTTGGCATTTGCAAATGCGGAGGATCTTGCATGGCGCGAGGCCCAACAACAAGGCTTGGTACACAAGAGAGGCACGGAAGAAGCAGCTGTCGCCCTCAGCAACGACACCAGACAATATAGCAGCAGCCGACTGCTGTCTGCGTGAAAGCAAAACAAAATCAAGAGTGAAGAGCCCGACAAGCAGTTGGCAGGATATTTGGGATCAAATCGGCGGCACACGCTGCTTATGAATACCTGAAGCCAGCATCCATCCAAGAACACGAATCGACCCCTTCCTCCGCAAACAATCCAGGAAAGAACGCAACAGCCCCTCCAAAACACCCCCGAAGTTGAAGATGCAGCAATGATTTTCACGAATCTGCCGAGTGGACCAGGTCTCCAGCAGGCGTACTCTGTCCTACGACAATGACCATTGGTGCGAGCAAACTGTACCACACAACCACGAAACAGTCCATCAAGCTTGCAGCCCGCCCCCAAACAAGGCGGTCAGAACAAGGAAACCGCTGGGTCGCACCAGACGCGCGTTTCAAGCAACAAACACCAGGCCAAAGCTTGGGCTGCGACCCCCCGTCTTCTAGAGTTCTCGGATACATCGTGGTATACCGAGTCAGATTACCGTGTACGACCGCACCGTGCCACCTTTGCAAGCTAAAGAATCAGGCTTTGAGGAACAGGAGGGGGAGGGAAGCGGAAAAGCAAGAAGCATGTCGCGCAATTTGCTTGACCTCGAACTTGCTCCACATCTATACCACATCGCCGGCTATATATCGACTGGTTCTACACTGCTCATTGGTCAACCCCGAATTCAACAAGGCTGGGTGGCAAAAAGATCTTCAAAGTCAAGGAGCGTCGAAGAAAAGATTGACAGGCGCACTGAGGAGGGAAATGGGTTCTCGCATGTCCGAAGTTGGCCGGCTGGCAAAGTATACTGTGCATCTCCACGCTCTGAGCGATTTCTACCAGTATATGTCAAAATCGTAGCTTTTCGCTTCGACTTGCTTCACACCATCTGAAGAACCAAGCGTGACCGGCCAACTTTCTGATCCATTTCCTCTCCCGTACATGTGCGGATAAAAAACGAATATCACAGTAAGGAGTGCCGCATATAGCGGGGAACATTCGGCAGTGAAACACCCAGCAGCTTGGACCCATTCATCCTCATAGTAAAGTGCTCATTCTTGAGAACGCGGTACACCTTGGGTGCGCCTCAGAACGAACAAGTAGGTGTATCATGCTCGTTTTCACGCTATGCTCATGCTAACAACACGCCTGCCCCGTTCCATGTTTCGTGAATAACAAGATAGTCTTTCCGAGTGTGCTCCAGCGAAAGAGTCGACAGCCCGCGACGCAGCCTCTGAAAGGATATGCTAGACAGGCCAGCGTGGCCAGCGTCCCAGCGTATCTTTTCCCCGACGATCTTACCGTCTCTAAAGCCTGAGTTTCCGAATATCCTCCCATCTGTCCTGGATGTGTGCTCTTCTTCGGATCTTTCTTCCAATGAACCTTCGCTCATGATTTTCTCTTCCACTAAATACTCGAATGCTCCATTGTTTTGACATATCTCACAAAAGCCTTTTTATGCACCATGCCGCGGTACTCTCCGTCATTCAGAACACAGATGTATCTTAATCCTAGCTTGACAAAACACTGATACACGAGGTCCATAGGCGAATGCATGTCCAAAGCCACCGGAGCTGGGTCGATGTACGGAGTCATATCAACCGGATTGGGACTTGATGTCTCCTCACCCTCTGAACTTTCACGGCCAGAATCGTACCCCGCCTCGTTGAAGGCTTCCCAGTATCGATGATGGTTGCTGTGCGCATGATCTTGGGTGGATAAGACACACATAGCCGTGTCCTCATCTTCAATTCTGTCCAATGCAAATTCAAGGTCTGGCGCTGGAATGAGACCCACGAGAATCTTGTCTCTGATGATAGGCAGACCACCATCAAGCTCGCCAAGTTGCTGCAGTCGTCGAAGTTTGGCACGAAGATCGCTCGCCTTGACTAATGGCGAGATTGTGATGTCGATAACTTTGTCTCGTCGGAATCGTGGTGTGATATCCCCGAGCTCCGAGTCGAACACAGGACTGCTTCTGTTGTCGAGATAGGGGTACGAGTTCATGTCCGTCAGAAGGTCGTATATGCTGAGCGGCTCGACAGCATCTGCCGTCCATTTGGCGCACAAGACTCCCAGGGAAAATGGTAACACATGGTCCAGACTACCAGTCAACTCGAACAGAATGACCGCCAGTGTGACCGACAAACGCGTCACTCCACACATGGTAGCACCTGCGGCCACAAGAGCATACACACCAGGAGTAACACAAGCTTCCAAGTCTCCAGACTGATGACACCCGCCCCACAAGAAGAAGTCTGGAGATTTCAAAACAACATATTGCGTAAAATGACCCAGCGTGCGGCCCATTAGACCACCAACAACCATCGATGGAACGTAAATGCCTGCGGGAACTTTGATGCCGAATGTGATGATGGTAAGGAAGGCCTTGATGACAAACGCAACGCAAAGGTAGCCGACGACGGACAGAATTTCGTCTTCTTTTGGACACAGTCCACTAGTGCTCTCCTTGTTGCAAGGACTCGCCAACTCGAAGAGTAATTCCGTGACAGCAAGCCGAGTGTATCGGTTCCAAAAGCTGATGAGACCGGTAACGAGTGCCACCAGTAGTACTTCCAGCATCGGATAGCTTTTGATGACTCTTATTCTGCGAAATGTGGTCGCCCAGAATCGAGATGCTTTGATGAAAAGTGCTCCTGCAAGACCCCCTGCTATGCCGAGCAGTGCAAAATTGAAGAGCTCAAAAAAATTCCAATCCGTGACATAACGGACTTCAAACAGGACAATCTTCGAAGTGCCATAGGGGTTTAGAAATTTCAAGGACAGCGCCGCAACGATGCAACAGAAAAAGGTGCGGAACAAGGTCTTCGGAGGGAAATAATAGCTGACTTCCTCAAGACTGAAAAGAACTCCGCCCAGAGGAGAGCCAAATGCAACAGCAACACCGGCTGCAGCACTAGCAGAAAGGACTTCTCGTCGCTTACCGTCGTTGAGGTTGTATTTCGAGAACAATCGACAAGCGATATTGCCGACGCATGTGGCAATATGGACATACGGGCCTTCTTTCCCTAGACTCATACCGGAGGCTACGCTCAGAATGAGAGCCGCTGTCTTGATCAAGAGTACTCGTAGACCGAGGTATCCGTGCAGAACAAAGCCGCTCAAGATAACTTTGACTTCTGCAACACCACTTCCGGCGGCAGAATAGTAGACATTCGGTGGCGGAGTATCGTTGGCAAGTGACTGCGCATTGGCACTCTTCGCTTCTTCGTTCTCCGCATTGTATTTACTCGTTTTCATTGCACTGAGGTCTTCGTCGAATGTCGAGGCGATTTGAGAGGGCACAACAGTCTTGGAGTACAGGGTGAGAAAGCAAGACAGAGACGCTAGCACTAGGCAACCGAGGACGAATGCCAGAAAGTCAATAGACTGCTCATCGATTCCAGACGGGTGTATGAGTTGCGACCATGTCCGCCATCCGTTGCAATTACGCTCGCCAGAACAGCATTTGACCCTTCCAAGATACCAGGCACCTCGACAGAAGCCTCTTTTGATGTCAAAGATGGCCGACTCAGTCACATCCACAAAGTATGCTATACCCGCGGTGATGACTCCGATCAAAGCAACAAGGATCCAGCCTTGAGCCGAGTCGAAGAGAAGAAGCAGGCGGCCACGAAGTCCTTTCTTCTTTTTCAGTTCCAGTACTCTGAATCCGTCGGCAATACTGTCATGTACCCAGTCTGTAGAAGTAAACTGGTCGTACCACAAGCGATCATCTTTCGATATTGAACCCATCAAGGATTGATGTAACTTGGGTGTACGCAGGCCAGAATTCCGCACCCATGCAGGGCTCGTCTGGCCCGACGGCAGAGCACTGTAGATTCTTCGTCTCCTTAAACTGCCACTGACACTGTTCACTCTTGAAAGCTGCCTCGAATGCAGGGAATCCATCAGGTTGTCTGTGTACCTCCGCATGGAGGAGTGATGGCTGCCGCCGAGCAGCTCGGACGTCTCATTTGGTGTAGAGGTCATGATCAGGGAGGGCAGTAAGCGGCGTTCTATATCGGGTGCAGAGATCGAAGGTGCTCGTCTGCGGGCGACTCCTGGAGAAGAGGGCGTGGTTGCTGGACGAGGAGCAAAATACTCGAGGTCATCATCCTCACCGGGCTCCTGAAAAGAGACATATGACTTCGGCATGGTGACTGCAGGCAGGAGCGGGTCTCAAAGTGAAGGGAAGGGCGAGAAAAGGAAAGAACAACAGCTACAACGGCGTGCTGCACAGGCAGACACCGTCTCGCTGTGCTCGTCAGCTGGCCATCAAAGAGAGAGTCAAGAGTACTCAGTCAAGAAGCCGGAGACGTTCTGGATATCGAGGGTCAGCAACGACTTGGAATGAATCAGCTGGGGCCTGGCACTGCGGCTATTTGACCCCGTTAGACGGAGACCGGGCACAGACCGGGCTACCGAGAAGGCAGAGGAGGGTGTGAAGATCCTCAGAAAAGAGTCTACTACACAGCGCCAGTAGATGATCAGGTGGACGGTGTGCGGTAAACATTGGGTATCATATGACAAGTCTGGAGAGTGTCATGGAGTATGAAGGATTGATAGGCACGCGTCGGCGGGTGTCAGTGATCACAAAGGGACCTTGGAATGCAAAATGCCCCGCCAAGCGACGTTTGCAGGCGACTCGCAAGCAACCGAGAGCAACTCGCCAATCCCTGATCCACGCATCGCAGCCATCCAGAGGTCCCAAAGCCACAGAAAGCAGAGGAACAGCTTAATGAGTGTATCAATGTCCACAAAATGAAGTGCCGGCGCGTTTGGTCATGGTTCGGTGCCTTGGCCTGATCTAAACAGCATGCATGTTACGGGGGCCAGCGACTAATCTTTCAGACCTCGGTCAGTTAGATCAGGCTGCATCACGCACGCTGACGATGTCTTGCAGATGCGGCCAGGATTGATATGTACGACGTACGTAGTATGTATGGTGGCGCTGGGATGCACCCAATGGTAACCCATCGTTCGTGGAGTGATCGAGCCCTCGAGAGGGTACAGGGGTAGCCTAGGTTGTTTCGCAGAGACGTCGTTCACTGTTCACTGACTCGAAGTATTCCCACGATATGAGCACTGTCAAGAGAAAATCGTGCCACTGAAGAAGCTGCGTTCTCTGGTAGCAAAGAGAGAACCATGTATCCGTGAGTAGACGACAGCCTCGTTGCGATGCACCAGAGTCTGATACTGGCAACCACAACCAGAATGTGCCATGCGGTCGCGAGAAATCGATGCGCCACGCCTCCATTGGCCTCCCTTCGAAGTGAATATAAATCACAGAAATAGATTCTGCCTGACACCACGCCCTCCCTCTACACAATACAATCCCACTCATCTTCCCTGCGGCGAAAGAACATCATCTAATCAACTCTATGACTACCTCACCAAGAATGTCACCTCGATCTCAACAAGTGCTCACAAGTGTTTACCGTATCAACCAGCACTGCTCCGTGCCTTGTCATTGCCGCACGTCAAAGCCCACGAATGGTCGGATCGTCGGTTATTTACTACTAGTATCTCCTCCGTCAGACAAGCCTAGTGAGCCATACGCTCCCTTATTGACATCCCTCTTCAAAATCTTCAACACCATATCTGTCTACCACGTCGTCTAGACTTGATATCCTACATCATCCATACCTCTTCGCCTCCTCCTCCATACTCCGTATACCCAGACCAACCTTCCATTTCCAACTAGACCCAACATGTCCCATTCCCCTTCCCGTTCCTTCACCACCCCTTATCCGAAACCATACCCTCAATTCCTCCTCTTCGGCGACTCCATAACCCAAGGCTGCTCCTCGCACCTCTCCTCTGCTCTCTCAGAATGGTACATCCGACGCCTCGATGTCCTCAACCGGGGATTTTCCGGCTACACCAGCCAAATGGGCCTTGACCTGCTTCCACACTTTTTCCCTGGCGCCTCCCAAGGCCACGCACAAGCACAAGTCTCCCTGATGACGGTCTTCTTCGGCGCCAACGACGCGGTCCTCCCAGGGCACCCTCAACACGTCCCGCTGCACGACTACACTCGAGCCCTCCGCTCCATCATCGCCTACCCGGGCATCGCTCTCCACGGCACAAAGATCATCCTCATCACCCCTCCACCCGTCGACGAGTGGCAACTCGGCAACGACGAACGCACCGCGGTAAACACGCAAAAGTACGCCGCCGCATGCCGCCAACTCGGCGCAGACCTCAATCTGCCCACCCTTGACCTCTGGACCATTTTTATGACTAAAGCGGGCTGGCGAGAAGACAGTCCAAAGGGTACTCCTCTGATAGGAAGCAAAGCCGCACCACGGAGCAACGTGCTCGACGAGTTATTATCAGACGGTCTGCATTTCACGCCCAAAGCATATCAACTTGTCTTTGACGAACTGGTCAAGCTCATCCAGGAGAAACTGCCGGACCATGTCCCCGAGAGTTTGCCGTATATTTTTCCAGACTGGAAAGATAAGCTCGGGATTGAAGCACAATGACAGCAGTAACTCCAAACGAGAGTGACAACGAGTGAGTTGAGTCTGGAAAATGGGTTGCCTTCCGTAGAAGACTGGTAGTACTTACGGTCTCATGGGGTAAATTATATAAATAAAACTTACTTAACCGGGGTGCAAAACAGCTGCCGCTTAAATCGGCGAAGCATCAGTTCGGCATCGCATTGAACAGGAGGTCCTCCTACCATGCAAATTGTCCTCGCTGCTGTTGTCGTCGAATGACACCCTAGCGCCATAAATGACAGTGGAAGCGGATCAAGAAGCAGTGACGCAGAAGCTGGATCTATGCAAAGAACTGGATTGAGGATTCTAGTTACAGTGATGATTGCCTTTGCGCAGTCAGACGCTACACCTGACCTTACAAGGCATATCGCTCTTCAATCACGAAAAGAGTGACCCAAAGCAGTTTCAAGGAGAGTAACGTGGCGCCGAGAGTGGAGTGCCGACTACAAAGAAGTAGACCATAGATTCGAAAACTGAGAAGCTGAGCGATGAACAAAGTAGCTGCGGTAGAAGCAAGCCATTTACTCGTCGTCGCTCCCTTCCTCGCTGTCATCGTCGCTCTCGGCTTCGTCGAGCCATTGCAGGAACTTCTCGGCAGCGAGACGAACCTTTCGGCTGGTGCTGATGTCGACGTATTTCTTGCTCGCCTTTTGACCCCACGCCTTGGCGACCTCCTCGCTGACGAGGTCGTGCTGGTAGTAGCCCAAGAGAATGGCCGGCACCTGAGTGATCAGTTCTGGATGATCATTGCCAACAAATCGCTCTGTACCGCCAAGGAAAGCCTTCATGTGCTTCTCGGACTCGCCGATCATGGTCTTGAGCATACCAGCCCGAGCCGGAATTTGCTTGACAATATTCTGGTCAAAGATGGTCTGAGCCAGAACAGTGAGTGTCTTGTGCTTGGACTCGATGCCCAGCTCCTTGGCCTTCTTGTAGATGTCAACATCATCCACCTTGCTGACGGAACCTTTGTCCTTGGTCTCATCGATGATCCAGGTTCCAAGCTGGTCGTAGGCATTGGTACCATTCTCTTCAGCCTCTTCATCATCGTCGAAGGCGAGCGAACGCTTCAAGTCAGATGGAAGTTCCTTAGCACGAGCAGCAACAGCTTCAGCAGACGTGTCAACAGCCCATTCCTCTTCCTTGGTAGGTCCATCTGTGTTGATGTTTTTAGCAACCTCTTGAATCTGCTTGGTGAACTCGTCGTCACTGCCAGCTGCAACCTCGTAATCACCGTCGTCAGCGTCTCCTTTGTCGGAGTTGGACTCATGGGGGCTTCCCCCGTTCATGGAACCATTCTCCTGGCTCTCGCCTTTGGTGCGGTCGCGACGGGACTTCTTTTCCTTCTTTGCCTTTTTTCCACCTTTATCTTCGTTCTTGAGAATAAATCCGCTCAGTTTGTGGCGTATGTCAACCTGGCTGCGTTGACCGCAAGCCTTGCAGTCCAACAAGATGCGCCCGTCCTTAATGTTGACCTCGGTCTCGGGGTTCTTGCAAGATTTGCAGAGAACAAATCTGGAAATGAAGCCATCCAAGGAATCTTGGAGCTTGCCTGCATCATGAGCTCCATTGATGATCCAACGATCGTCTTTTGGGTTGGTATTGGTTTGAGCACCGAGTTCGAAGCCGAAGTATTTGATCACATAGGAAGGAGGACGAGCTAGGGAAGCAGAGACACTGGGAAGGTTGACAATAACGGTTCTGGATATATGGTTAGTATTCAAGAGCGTTGACGGTTCGTAATTCCATGCTTACTTAATACCATTGCCTTTTCCCTCGATCTTGGACTGCAGGCGTTCCATCTTGTACCGATAGAAGGGATCGGTAACGTCCCGACGGATATTGACGGTCGCCATTTTGAGCTAGGATGGATATTCTCTTGTGTAAAGATTTTTGACCGAGGAATCGAACGAATTGGTATTTTAGGCGGTGGTGAAGAGCAAAGAGGACGACGAGACTTCTCCTTTCAACTGACCAGACATGCGTGGAATATTACCACCTGGTAACGGTACTTGACATGAAGAAAATGTTTGCTTTTTGTGGCGTATCAACCATAACAAGACCTTGTAGGACTACAAGGATCTCTGCTTGCCGGAAATATGTCCAGCTTTTGCTTGGTGTTGGTTTTGGAGGAGTGGAAGAATGCTCGATACATGAACAATCCGGCGTGTTGCGCTTGACTGAGACTGGGGGTTCAGCAAGGTTGGTGGAAGACAGCGAAGGGTCGCGCCTAGGCTTTTGACGGTGATTGCGACGAGGCAGGATCGAAAGGGATAGATCGATGTGGCGATGATGATGAGAAGAATGTCTGATGAGACAGAGAATTCCCAAGGGTTCACTGTGTCGTAGTGATGATGGGAAAGTAAGAGGAAGAAACTCCGGACAAGAGGCGAGCCAGATATTAGGGAAAAGCCTTTGGGTGCGCTAAATGACTTGGGTTTTGTCGAATAGGCAAGGGGGAAGCGGAGGCCAAACAAAGGAGCAGAGGGCGCAGCGTTTGTGTTGTCCAGTGATTGTCTTGGGCGATGGAGTCAGTGTGAGAGCGTATGACTGGATGTCGGCGGATACACGGTTGCGAAAAAATTTGATTTTCGAGGAGCGAAAGGGCCGAGGATGAGAAAGCGAGTCGGTTGCCTGTGCGCGCCTGGTGAGCCTGTTGAGCCTGTGTTGAGCCCGAATCCGCCTGCAGTGCATGACAGGCACCACTCGGTAGGCACCTAACAGGCAGCGAGGCAGTAACACACGCACCCGGACCAGACTTCCCACCGAGCGACCTTCACCCGCAACACCCGCTGCTAGCCGCATTCGGGAACTACCAGGTATGCTGGCTGTCACAGTGAGAAATGCCAATGTGATCACTGCCTCAGATATTCACCAGGTGAACACTTGAACTGATTGAAACTTTCACCATAGTAGGTAGCCGTATGAAGCAGTGTCCGCTTCAGGGATTCATGATGCTTCCTTTGGTTGTAGAACCTCAATTGGTGATACTGAAGCTTTCCCCCTCGCCCCATCTGACCAACCTGACCATGACACAATTCAAGCTTGGTCTTTTGATTTTTTCTACATTCCAGTACACTGTCGATCTTAGTAGTTTCGTGAGTAGAAGCAACCTGCTCTAGTGACACCAGAACCTCTATCAGCAGAAGGGTGTTCAGGGAAGAACCAGGATGACTTCATAAAAAATCAACTGGTTGAGATAATTGCTCCGGTTCTCGCACAGCCACGACCATGGCACCACGATCGAAATCCAGCATAGACTGGTCAATATACCTGGTAACAGATTCCACTGCGGCCATCCTTGGTGACAGAGACATCGTTCAGGTAGTCGAGCAGGCCATTCAGGGAGGCGTCACTGTCGTCCAATATCGAGACAAACATGCCGACACCGGGTCCATGATCAAGATCGCCAGCCAAATCCATGCCATCACTCAAAAACATCAAGTGCCTCTTCTGATCAATGATCGACTCGATGTTTGTCAAGCCGTAGGTGCCGAAGGCGTCCATATTGGTCAAGACGACATGGATTGCCTTTCAGCCAGGAAGGTCCTCGGCCCCGACGCCATTATAGGAGTTACAGCCTCGTCAATACAGGAGGCACAGAAAGCCATCAAAGACGGTGCAGACTACCTAGGGATCGGGACGACGTTCGCCACTCCAACAAAGACAGACACGAAATCCATCATCGGCACCCAAGGTCTCCAAGGGATCCTGGCTGCTTGTGACACAGGCACAGAGAAGTCTATACCATGTGTCGCAATCGGCAGCATCAATGCGAGCAACATTCAAAGAGTGTTGCACCAGTCTGCTCATGGCTCCAACCGTCTCAACGGTGTAGCTGCGGTCAGCGCCATCATGGCTGCTACAGACCCCAAAGCCGCGGCTAAAGCTCTCTGTGATCTGTTCAAGACGGCTACGGAGACGTACTATACCGCCGTACCGCCCAGCAAGACACCAGTGATGGACGTCCAAGGCTTGCTATCCCAAATGCCTGCAATCATCAAAACACACGTCTCCTCATCAGTGCTCTGTCACAATATGACCAACACCGTCGTCCAGAACTTCGTGGCCAATGTCTGTCTAGCCACTGGCGCATCACCCATCATGTCCGAGATTGGCGCCGAAGCCCCCGACCTGGCCAAACTCGGGGGAGCTCTCGTCATCAACATGGGCACCGCAACGGCCGAGAAGGTCAACAGCTTCATCGCAGGAATGCGGGCGTACAATGCCGTCGGTGCTCCTGTGCTTTTGGATCCTGTCGGTGGCGGAGCAACGGCGCATCGGCGCGAGACCGTTAAGAAATTGCTCGCTTCCGGTTTCTTCAGCGTCATCAAGGGCAACGAAAGGGAAATCGGTGCTGTGATGGGCACCTCGACGGCTCAGCAACGGGGTGTGGATTCGGGCCCATCTGCCTTGACGGCCGATGAGAAGACGAAGATGGTCAAGAGCCTTGCCCAGCGCGAACACTGCGTTGTCCTTATGACTGGCGAAACTGACTACCTATCTGATGGAGTCCGTACAGTGGCAATCAGGAACGGCTCATCTTTTCTAGGTAAGATCACGGGCTCGGGTTGTGCTCTGGGTGCCATCATAGCCAGTTACATCGCAGTACACCGCGAAGATAAGTTCCTGGCAGCCTTGACAGGGATCCTGCACTACGAGCTTGCTGCGGAGAGCGCACAAAGAAGAGAAGATTGCAAAGGTCCAGGCACTTTCATTCCAGCACTGCTGGACGAACTGATGGCGTTTGGAAATCTGGCGGTTAGTGACTCGCTGGCTACGTCAGACGGTGGGCTTGAAAAGCTTGCGAAAGTCGAATTTATTACAGCGGAATGACTGCGTGAACGCCATTGAAGTACAACAAACAAAGATATCCGCTGTCGCAGCAAAGCAATATTGAGTCCAAGGGAACAATATTGACGTCCTCCAGCCATGACTCCAAGCAACTTTTCCTCTACTCTGCTGCGCCTAACATAGATCTGTGGTAAATACTCCCATCATCCCAAACAGTCACACTTCCCCTCCGCGCAAGGCCTGATATCATTCTCAATATCCAGCCTCAACCACCACTTCACCTCGATCCCATCTTTCACCTCCTCCACACCCCTGGTCGCCGTAGCTACCAGGAAGTCCTCGTCATACGCCACAATTTCAATGTCCACGTCCTCGACCTGCTTGCCCCGAAACAAAGTCGTCACCCCCCGTTCCGCTTTCTCGGACGGCGTCCACTTTTCCACCTCATGCTGCAAACCAGTCTGTGGATGTAAATGACTGTGGTTGTTTGCCTGGCCATTTGGCACGTTGATCCCGCCGACTCTATTTCGACTTCTGCTCCGACTGCGCGCTCTGCTCACGGCCTCCGGCACGGCAGGTGGCACGACGTCCAAAAACTCCAGCTCGCGCAACCAACTCGCCAACAAGCCCTCGCCAACCATCTTGATGTACGCCTCCTTCAAACCCCAATATGCGTAGAAGCGACGGAGTTTCTGCTCAATCATTTTTGCTTCCTTTCCGCCGCCCGTGAGAGGCACGGGCTTGCCATCTTCACTACTGGTGCTACTGTCCCAGCCATAGTCCCCTTCCTCGCGTTCAGGAACAGGGACATGTACCGGTGCATGCATCATTATCCGTCTCTCCCGGTCCGAGAACATCTCAGCAAAGATGTCCACCCACTCCTCAAATTTGGCTTGTGTGTTGAGGTCCTTGGGCGTGCGCTTATCTTCGTTCGTACATGCTATGTCTACGCCCAGTCTGACTTGCCCCGCACCGAGCTCCGGAGTGTGGTGCCCGACAAGACTTAGCTGCTGAAGCTGCTGCGGGGGAAGGCTTGGTGAGAGGGGTGTTGCGCTTGAAATCGAGTGCGAGGGATTAGGCAGCTGTGCCGTTGGCGTGGTACACCCCATGATTGCGACCAGACCTGCTTGGTGGGAAACGTTGAACTCGAGGCCCTTTACGTCAGACTGTGCTTCGGATGGAGACGGGTGCGACGAGGCGGACGTGTTAGAACCAGTCCATAGGTCAGGTGGTTCCCAATACGGACGCTTATGGGGTGCGGGTGTGCGCGAGAGATGGATGTCCGACCAGGGGATGCCGGCGCGGCGGTGGATGAATGTATATTTGAGCAGTGCGCTGGCGAGCGACATGAAGCGGTCGGCAGGGCGGATGAAGCGGGTCACATACTCTTGATCTGTGAACTGGAGGGTGGACAAGAGAGGGAGCGACTTTGGCGATGAGGAGACCAAGGGCCGAGTGTCGATATAGTAGCGTGTTATGGTGGAACGGTGTTTCAATGGTGGTCGAGGTTGAGGTTGGGACGACATTGTGAGGATGGTGGTAGGGGGATAAGGCGGAGATAAGGCTGGAGAATGTTTAGCACTGCCTCGTATCTCGCACTGGTGTCGTTTGCATGGAAGTCGTTGGTGGATATCCACGATTAGTCCGAAAGATGTCCCAACTGTCTTCCTCCTGACCAGACAACTGCTTGTCCGATGTACTGCTGCTTGACAGCAAGGAAGTGTGCCCTCTGTTGACCACGGGTTGGCAGCCCGCCAGCGTCGTCGGCTGTTCTGACCGTCCGTTTGAAAAGGACCAGTTCGGCTAGTACACTTCCTACGGCCTGTACAGTCTCCGACAAACTTGTAGGGGCAAGCCTGTCTGCTGGCTTAATCGTTGTTCAAAAATGACAGACGGCGAGGTATAGAACTCAGAGTGCTCGCATATAGGACACACAATATCTTCCTGCGGCTATTGCGGCCCAGGAACTTCTTTGTTAATGATTGCTGGCATCATGACTTGAGCAGATCGTTTGAGGTGTTGTTATTGGGCGAGCTGGATCTTCTGGTACCGGAACGAATGTAGTTCGCTATCAGCGATGGGTACGTGCTCCGTCGGCTGATGAATCATGCATCTAGGTCGCTGACAACCTCAAGATCGGAACTTCCTGCAGGCGACACAAGATGGAATTTAGTTGTTCTCGTCGAAGCTCACATGGACCCCAAGATGAGCCCGCCGTAGTCATGAAGTGGGAAAGACTGGTCAGGTGTAGCTGCGGCTTAATATAGCACGCCTGAGATTCGGTCCGCAATAAGCAAATCATCGACCCGCGACGGAGTTCCACAAGGCTGACAGACGAGAAGGCCCTGTTCCCTGTCCTCGTATAATGATGCAACAGCGGATCATGGATCTTTCTGGTGAGGTTGGGTGAGACAAGGCGCGATGGAAACAGAGGAGCATTGGACAACCAATGATGATGAGTCTTGGGCGGTGGCAGAATATTTTTCACGATATCGCTCCAATGACTTGGTGGCTGTAGATACTATCTTCGACGAACCGTCCATTCTCGAATATTGCATTTTCATTCATGTCGTGTCAATGACAATAACAGTCGGTGTGTTGGCCTTACAAGGCGCGTTCCTGGAGCACCTGGTCCTACTGAAACGAGCCGCGCAGTATCTACAAAGTCAAGGAATTACAGAATCATTCGAATTCACGGAAGTCAGGAATGTCGACCAATTGGCACAATGTGATGCTCTGATAATACCTGGTGGAGAAAGTACCACCATCTCCTTGGTCGCTGCACAATCTGGCCTGCTCGAGCCTCTACGGGAATTTGTTAAGTATGTCATTATGTACCCTAACTGGTCTCCCACCATTGACATTCTCCTTCCAGGGTCGACCGCAAACCGACGTGGGGAACATGTGCTGGACTGATTCTCTTGTCTGAAGCAGCAAATGCCACCAAGAAAGGAGGTCAGGAACTGATCGGTGGCCTGGATGTTCGAGTAAACCGCAATCACTTCGGTAGACAGGTCGAAAGTTTTCAGGCAGACATAGATCTGCCGTTCTTGAAGTCCGATGAATCCGTATCCGACGATCCCTTCCCAGGTGTCTTTATCCGAGCACCTGTTGTGGAGAAGTTCCTGCCCCATGTTGAAGGCATCCAGCTAGGAGAGCAGCAAGTCGCCCAGACTGTTGTCGCACCAGCAAAGTCTGCCAAAGACAACCAGGCACGAGGAGCAATGAGCTCTCACGTCGACATTATGGGTATATTACCGGGCCGGCTGAAGAAGGCTGCGGCAATGGGAGCTGCAGTAGATGCTGGAGAAGAGGTCGGCGATATCATTGCAGTCAGGCAAGGCAACGTGTTCGGGACGAGCTTTCACCCTGAGCTGACCTCCGATATCCGGATACATGTTTGGTGGTTGAAGCAAGTATTAGGCGCCATTGATAAAAGAGCCGCATCTTCGTCATAGGCATTTCTCGAGGTCGCCCTCGTCTGAAGGATCCGAATGCCAGAATTCAAGAAGGGATATATACAGCAAATAGAGTCAGACCTGTCAGATCATCTTCCACTGCCATATTCTTCCTCTTCCTTTCTTCTCTCTGCATCGATTGCTCGACCGTAACCTCCACGTCCAGGATCAAACTCGTCTCGGTACTCGTCACGAACCTGTCCGCCTGACTTGCCGCGACCATATTGTCTTCCTTCCTGGAATCCGGCATCAAGGTCAGTTCTGATGACTCGTTCGTCAAGCTTTGTCCCGCCGATGTATTTCATGCAGTCCAGTGCATCTTGGTGTGTATAGTATTCGACGAAGCAGAATCCGCAGGGTGTCTTTTGGTAGCGGTCAAGTCCCATGATCAAGCGTTTGATTTCACCACATCTATATGTTGTTAGTTGGAAACGAGGACGTAGAGGGCTGGTTTCCTACTTGGAGAAGAGCTCGTGGATCTGTTCTTCGGTCGTGTAAAATGACCTGGAGGACCAATTAGTCTCGCAGCTCAGGAAAACAGTAGAGCGCATACAGATTCCCGACATAGAGAGTGGTCGCATCCTTGAGCATTTCATCTTCGTTCGCCTGTTTCTCTGCGGTGTCACGCTCGTCTGGCCGATCTCGACCATACTTGCGCTTGTTCTACACACATCGTAAGTTTGGTGAAATTGTGTAGATTGGACAAACGCGAACCCTTCCGGAGTAGTAGGTACTAGGCCTGTCTAGCCGCTCGACTGTAGAAGTAGCCATAGCTGCGTGCTGTTGGTGATGAGCGTTTGGTGGAAGAAAGTGAAGACTGCGGTTGCGGCAGAAAAGAGGAGATGCGGAGCGCGTTTCTCAGAACGCGAATCGAGGTTGGACTTCTTTAACTACAACTTTTATTTGCTCTCAATACCACGAGACCTCTCTCAGGGTTTCTTCAGCGCCGTCCTCGTCAATGAACAGCTGAGGTCTGGTCAGGTCTGGTTGCCAGTAAAGATGCCCAAAATTATTGGACATACTCCCCCATGGCTCTCTCGCCCATCGCCAGGCGCAAAGATATTCTCAGACCCGGCACCTCAATCGCCTGCGTCGCCCTCGAAGCGCTCATCATACCTGGGATCTCCTCCTCATACAGACTACCAGGGGCCTAGGCGGTTGGTCGCCAGCCGTGGAACGGAACTATTCACGGTTGTGGGCAACAAGATACGATGGGCTGACCTGGCTGCAGTCAGAGATGAATGGGAAGAGAATAGTCACTCCGGTAGCAGTCGGTTTGGGCTTTCTAGGTCTGGAGGAGATGCGCCGGAACCGCAAGCCTACAGGGTATGTCAATGAGAGTCTCCTGTATAGTCTGACTGACCACCATAGGTTCTGGACGTCTCCATTTACTACCAAATCCGCCAAATCGTGCTGTCTCCCTCTGGCATATTCCTCGCAATAGCCACCGAGCACACTGTCCATATCGCAGTGCTCCCGCCCTCTTCCAGGCTAAGAGATCATGACCGTTCACCCCTCAAATTGAAGACATTCCAACTCGGCCCTACAATCCACGTTATCCCAGAGTCTCCACTTGCGTCGGTGCTATGGCATCCCTTAGCAGCTTCTACAGCTACCACAGATTGCATTGTCACAGTGACAGCAGAAGCAGCTGTAAGAGTATGGGAACTTGACCGGTCTAATAAATGGTCATTCGAACGCCCTGCGCTAGCGATCGACCTGCGGAAGCTGGCCGACGGAGTCTCATGCGACCAGGATTTTGAGCCGTCAGGGTTTGGAAAGACGAGAGGTTTCTCAGTCGATGACTTTGATATGGAGGCCTCTGCTGCATGCTTTGGCGGTCGTGGGAAGGACGATGAAGACGCCTGGGCAAGCATGACCATCTGGACGGCAATGAGGAATGGGGACATCTACGCCCTGTGTCCATTAATTCCCGCAAAATGGAAGCCAACATCAACCACAATCCCTTCCTTATCGACGAATGCTGTTTCTCGCATGGCCTCGATTGCTGGAGAAGACGCCGATATGGATGAACGACGAGCAGCCGACCAGCAGTACGAATGGGTACAAGAAATCGATAGTGAGGAACCCCTGCTTCTGGAATCGACCGATAGTCTGGGTGAATTTGAGGTACGATTGCGGCCACAAAACCCAAGTGCCATTCCTCGTCTCCAAGGTCCATTCGCCATTCAGCCCGAAGACGATGCTGCAGACATGGAGATTTCGGACATTTACGTGCATGCTGCAAGCATCGACGAGCGCGATCTGGTGGCTGGCGAAGATGACGATGACTTTGACCAATTCACTTCTCATGGCGTTCCTTTCACGACGATCTATGTGGCTACCACAGAAAACGAGGTATGGTTTGCTATGGACCTCGATGGGGTGTCTGGGCAATGGCTTCCTAAGAAAGGCAAAAGCGCATTTGGTGTGCCCTCCTCAGATGCAAAGGAGTTGACGCTGATTGACACCTTCGCACTCGATGATGACGGGACAAGCACACCTACCAACTGGCCAATGTTCACTTGCGACGTTGCACACAACTACAGCGTATTCCTAACGACCTCGAAGCAGATCTATTCCTTCTGTCTGAACGATTGGATTACTCGGCTAGCCGCTGAAATGACAGGGACAGAGGCCGTCGATCCCGGCATGAGGACTCGACTCGAGGCGGCATGCGACAGCCAGATATGCATTACCAACAGACTCCTGAGTGTTGAAGACCCGGCAGAAATGTTCTCCGCCCCCACCATAGTAGACGACGTCTCTCTTGGGTACCTCCTATTAAGCGCGACTCCATCTTCCGCTTACTCGGTCGTCTTTGACCAAGCTCACCTGCAAGCATCCACCATTGGCCCATCTTCGCCTGAGCTTATGGCAACCCCGTCAAGTCGACAAATCGTCGCAGTGCCTGAACAGGAGGACAACGACGTCGAGACCCTTCCCACGAGGTCGCCTTATGTTCCAGCGAAGATATTCTACGCCAACCACCTTTACCCGATCGAACAAATGAAGCAGCGCTTACCTCCCAACCTCAAGAGAGCCATTGCCGAAAAGCCCATGCGCCTCAGCCCGGCCATGTTGGAGATCATGACCGTTACTCACCGCACCATCAGCGCACAGTCAGCTCAACTCGAGAAGGCGGCCGCCGAGCTCTTTCGACGATGCGAACGTTTGCGCGAAGAACTCGGCGGTCAAGTCCAGCAGATGAGCGAGCTCGCTCAACGACTGCAGCATCTCAAATCGAGTGAAGAGGTAGATGAAGATGGAAATGTCACGGCGAAGAAGTCAGTGGGGACAAGGATACAAGACGCGCAAGAGAGACAAGCGAAGTTATCGGCACGGTACGAAAACTTGAGGAGAAAAGTCGGGCGCGTCGGGTCGGCGAAGCGAGAATTGAGCTCCAAGGAGAAGACGTGGATCGAGGAGATTGACGCGCTGGGTCATAATGTTGGCATTGGCGGCGAAGACGATCGCAACGCCGATGCCAGATTGGACAAGAGGTTTGAAATGGTACGTATATCTATCTGCACGGTCGGTCCGTCATCTAGCAAAGATAAAGGTCTAACGTGGTGTGTCTAGGTCAAGCAATTTGCCCAGGAACTCCTCGAAGCAAGCAAGAGCGTCGAACAGCAGCAGCAGCAGGCATCCGCATCCGAGTCTGTGCCGTCGCCAATGTCTGCATCTATGTCCGCGTCAATGTCGACCACTAAGTCGGGCGGTTCAGGCACTTCGACCTTTGGCGTGTCGAGTAGGCTGCAGAAGGAGCGCATCGCGGATGTTATGACTATGGTGGAGCGTGAAGGTGCTGTCATCGATGCTGTCATGAAAAGAGTTGAGAGGTTGAAGGTCGAGTACTAGTTGTGCTTGGCCATGCCGGAGGTTGAGCGCGAGCGGGAGAGCCTGAGCTGGGTGCTTGTAGATGGATCCGGTTCAAGACCCCGGTCATAGCATCAAATGATACTAGTACGGTGTATGTCCGTTTTCGGTTCCCGTTCAATTCTTTAAAATGCGAGGTGCGATTTGGGTCACGGCTGGCTTCGAGCTCATGTATCAACAAGGAGACCAGATGCAGGTGACGCTCAAGGACGAGCCAGCTGGCTCCTAGCCGGGCTTCATCTGGTCGACAGGACAGACGGCTACAATTACATGAAATGCGCGGGGATCGTGTGGCCGCAATGATCGTCAAGCCAATCCTAAACTCGTTTCTCTTCGGGCGAGCTAAGTCAACAGGTTAGTTACTGCATGAATTGATCTGTAGGGTCCTTAAAGAGCCCGAGGCTGTGTCTTTGCCCAGTCCTCATGGGCGAGATTGAGTTGGGTATATAAACATAAGGCTTTCGCCAGAATTCATAAGGGCACAAGGTCCGCTCGATCCTTGATCGAGCCGGATGCAAGCCGAGGCCGAGCTGCCAAAATCATAAAATTGACACGTCCGCCATTGCGTTCTGGCCCGTTCAGAAGTAGAGCGTCTACCGCCTTAGGAGTGGAGTGTCCGCCCTTTTCAGAAGTAGGGTGTGCGCCGCCTTCGAAGAGGAGCGTCCGGCCTTAGTGATGACCATCATTCCATGTGGAGTCCTCCATCATCATATCCCATTGTGCCCAGTCCATAGGCATATCCGCCAGCGCAAGATCTTGTACCAGAGACGGATCGGACGCATACATCAGGTTGTCTGACGGTACATCCTGCATTTGTATCGACGTGGGGATTTGAGTAGGCACAAAAGTTGGCAGCGGTAGTTGAGCTTTACTGCTATTTTGGTCTGCCGTCAGTTGCTGGTTGGTGGAGCTCAATGGAGTTGGGATTCCTCCTTGCGAAGGTTCAACCTGCGTCTGTTGCGTGCTCAACATTGCCGTCGCCGTTGACGCGTCGGACTTTGTTTCTGGCATCGACCTTGGCACCAGGTGAGTATGTTTTCGCTGCTCTCGTAACAGTCTGATATAGTCTGGTGTACTCTTGGGGAGGAGTCCGTTAGTCTTTTCGCGTAGAGCAGACTCGCGCGCGTTATACGCCTTCAGACATAGACTGCCCACCGCAGCATGAAGAGGTCTCTTGTAGTCTGTGATGAGACTCGCTTGGTGGAAGAACACCTCGTCCACAACGCTCCATGCATGGTCGACCTTGTCACCCAGAGTATGTGTTTTTAGCTCGTTCAGCAGATAAATCAAAGCGGGCCACCCAAAGAAATTCCTTGTATGCCACATGAATTTCCGTAAGTATTTAGTCGAATGTGCAAGGCTATAGCCCTCGAGCAGTTTGAGGCTGAATTTCCACAAGAGTTCTTTTTCTGAGGCCGGCACGTCCTCTGGATTGGCATATTTTCTCGGGTGGTGAGCCATCAGCCTCATGCTCGCGACACTGCCTCTGCCCATGAGGATGCACATGAATTGAACAGGAACCGAAGGATCGCAGTATTTCAGATACTTCTCTTCGAGAATCTGCTCTAGCTCATCGATGTTGGCATCCCGTTCCTGCAGGGTCGAGTTGAATCTTGAGTCGAGGCTCAGATTCTCCATTGTCAGGCCAGATTTTGCCGCGATCTTTTGTTTCCAAAAATTGCCAAATTCGCAGCGCACTAGACAGGCTACCATTTCGGTAGGCCGCTGGCTGGGAATAGGCGGCTCTTTCATACCAGGCCATATGTCGGCATCGTTGACGTTGGTTGGAGGCTGCGTATCGGAGAGAGCGAAATCTCCGAATCGACCGGAGCCGCTCAACTCACCGGACCTGAAGTCAAGAGTAGTGACCTGCCACCAGATGCGTCGACGCATCTCGGTTTCGAACGGCGGGGTACCCAGGGTGGTACCATCACGGTGGAGACCCATACCTTGGCCGATTCTGCTAGCCACACCAGCAAGAGCCCACGTGGTTCGGGAGTCGTAAGCTTCGCGCATAGTTAGAAGGTAAAGAACGAATGCCGCAAGGACCTGGAGATCCGAAGTTCCCATGAATCTTGCCCTTGCGAGCGCCTTCCGTGTCGCATGACGGTATCTTGCAAGTAAAGTTTTGCGAGGTTCGCCGAACTTGATGATGCATTCGTCGTCCTCCATTGCATACACAGCGGCGCTGTAAATGGAGAACATTAGCACTTCGAGGTTTCGAGGCACATTGTCCAGGTCCGACGAGGCTTGGACAATTCTCGCTTCAAGGGTTGGTTGGTGCACAACCTTGGTCAGCGGGTTGATGCTGTCTAGGAAAGACTGCCACAGCTGGAAGATATGATCTGGTGGCGGGTGTAGTTGCGCCACGGGATTGCTGCCGGGAGTGTAGCCTAACACGAAGTCGGTGCTTTCCTCGGTCGGTTGAGCAAATTCGTCCTCGTCGTCCGAGTATTCTTCTTCAATGGCTTCATTGGGATGGAACTCGCCTGACACGCTGGCCCATAGATTGTTCTCAATGAACCGCGACTGCGTTCCGTCCATAAGTAATTGCCCAGGCTTCTTGGCGGTGCCATCTGGATACAGCCCAGGGCGACCATAAGTCAGGCCAAAATCTGGTTCACCCGTTGAGGCGGGATCCACAGGAGGCGTACTGCCTGTCGGACTCTGAAGGCTATCAATGCTCAGGCCTTTACTCTTGAGGAGCTCTTCGCATTTTCTCAAACGTTCTGACAAGACGTCCTCCTGGGGTCGTTTCTTGCGTCGACGCGGTGCCGGTGGTATACGAAATACACATTCCACTTTGGATTTGACGCAATTTGAACAAGGGTTTTGTTTGTCGCATTTTACTTTGCGTTCAAAGCAACGTATGCAGGAGAATGCTTTGGGCGGGCGCTCCGGCGCACCTTTCATGTCAGCGGACATAGCCTTGAAGACGGCTCCGGCCTCAGAGCGACATCTGTATGGGCGATATAATTTCGCCTCTCGAGAGACGTCTTGAGGATATAGTCTGTTTCGATGACGGACCCAATGGACTTGAAGGACGTCGAGTTTTCAAGCTCGAAGTCAATCCAGTTCTCCGCAAGTAGTGTCTGGTGGACACGACGTCGACTAAGAATGGTATCGTCCCGAGTTTGCAGTAAAGATTACTATCGTCTTGGTGATATCAAGACATGTTGCTGAGTCCAACTCCAAGTGCGGCAGGGAATTCAGGCAGCAAGGAAGCGGCTTGGCATCGCTTTAGCTTGACAGTGTGAGCGGCAACTGCCGAAAGCACAGAGTGCTCGACTTGGACGCCATTCCAACAATGTCCTGAGTACATGATATTGGAAACGAACATACGAGTGACTGCTGGGGGACGAGGGCAGTGACTTGAAGTCGTGGTTCAACTAGCCCAGAAATTGTGGATGCTGGAATAACATCAGCAACTTGGCTGAGCTTGGCAATCTATGTACCGGGTACGGAGTACCTAGCTAAGTACCTAATGATTTGTCGCTGTACCCTAATGCTTCATCTGTGGCTGTTTGAACCATTTTGATAATGGATCCTTGTGCATGAATATCACCCTGCATGTCCTCTGGTTGGACACTGAAAAAACTTTTGATGCGCAGTATGGCTCCCCGCTCTCAACCGTTGACCACAACACCACCGTTGGGGTGTAGGCTCTGGGCACTGATCATGCTACTATCTGGGCTGGCCAGAAAGACAAAGCAGGTGGCAATCTCGGCTGGCTGTGCGGGGCGTCCCAATGGCGATGTGAACTGCTCTTGTGCCTCTTTGGTCATTGTTGATGGAATCAACGGAGTCCAGACAGGACCGGGACACACGGCGTTGACCCGAATGCCTTTGCTCATTTGCTGGTTCGCAAGACCTCGAGTGAAAGAGACGATGGCTAAGACTCAGGTCAGTAAGATTTAGAGAATTAGGACCGGATTACTTACCTCCTTTCGTTGAAGTGTAATCTAGAAGATCAGGACGACCAATGTAGGCATTGATTGAAGCACAGTTGATGATCGAGTCGCCCCGGCTCATGTGCGGGACTAAGGCCTTTGAGAGATAGAACATTGGGTGGATGTTGGTGTCGAAGGTCTTGAGCCACTGTTCGGTTGGAATATCGGTAATATCTTGTTGCATCATTTGGTAAGCAGCGTTGTTCACCTAATACCCAGTGTCAGTGTCAGGCAAGTTGTCAGATTGTTCCGACATACCAAGATGTTGACTTGTCCCAGTTCCTTCAACGCAGCCTCGACGAGCTTCTCGCAATTCTCTTGCTTTCTGAGATCGGTGCTCATCAGGAAGCATTTCCTGCCATGTTTCTCCACCTGGCGTTTTGTCTCCTGAGCATCCTCCTCTTCTTCTGGTAGATAGGCAATGAGACTGTCTGCGCCCTCCATGGCATAGAGGATGGCAATGGCCCTGCCAATGCCACTGTCTCCACCTGTGATCAAAGCCTTCTTGCCCTCCAACTTGCCAGCTGCCTTGTAAGGTTGCCATCCGCCGTCAGGTTTGGGAAGCTTGTCATGGATGGCTTCGACGGGCAAGTCGCCCTCTTTGCCAGGAAGGTCTTGATGTGAGACCGGGGGCTTGAAATCTTGCTGGTACTGCGACATCTTGGTCAAAGTTGGATTGAAGAATCAGGGTGAAAAGACGAAGTGAGAGATGGATGTACTGTGTAAGGTAGTTAATAAGCGTTGGGAAAAGTGGTTTGTTCGCTCTTTCTCATTTTTCTCAGCAACTGCTCACAGAACGTCATCGTCGTCAACATTGAACACTGATGTCACAACGGGAATCGTCTCCGGCTGCGTCAAATCACTTGTGTGCCTATCACGTCGTGCCTTTGCCATCATGCCAGAACCCATCGTAATGGTAGCACTGACTGGATCGAAGAGGCTTCTTCATCTTCTACATGTCTCGTCGCAAGAAGACAGCAAAGAACGGTGCAGGAGAAATCAATACTAGTATCAACAGCCCTCGCCTGACCAATAGGAAATCCCTCCCAATTTCGGACCTCTTTGAGCCGACGAACTAATCACGTTATCTGACATGTGACCACCTGCATTCCTCCTCCAATTCGGGTCCGATTGTTCTACAGCCAAATAGCTGAAACTCTTGAAACCACAGCTTCAGACATGGCGAAATTCTTTCTGAGTCCGCAGCATCTATAGACAGCATTGCAGACAGAATCAGTGCCATTGGATGTGGGGTCCGTTCGACGACCCCGCCTTGCCCTTCCACCTCCAGTTCTTCGCTTCGGCTCGCCTGAGTCAAGGGGTTCGGGCCCGAAGAAGTTCTCTTTGCCCGTTGTTCGACAACGCGCCGGTCAACGAACTATCCCATTCACCGTCCAATCCACAAGTCCACCAGCTACTGTAACACGATTTCAATCAAGCTCTATTTCGTTCTCGCGTCCGAACGGACTTTCAGCTTCATAGTGAAATCATGATATTCAAGGTTTGTTTTCATTCAGGTAAGGCCTCAGTAGCAAAATCTCCTTTATTAATGTCGCCTCATAATCCCTTGGTCTTCATGTCCAAGATCTATCTATACATTTAGTATAAAGACCACTATTGTGAGAAGACGTCATGATACTGAAAGCAGTTCAACCCTTACCTTCTACCACAATGTCAGACACAGCAGACCTTCCTACCGGGAGCAGCAGCATGGAGAGCAAGCACACCGCCCCTGATGCGCTCCAGAAACCACAAGAACCGTCTCAAGATGAAGACGAATATCCTCCTTTCTCGACAGTAATTATCACAATCGCAGCACTCATGCTAACGTCTCTCTGTGTCTCTTTGGTGCGCCTACTCTCCCATATTGTACCTTGCTCTTACTAACATGAGCTCCAGGACCGTACCATTATCGCAACCGCTATTCCTGTCATAACCGACCACTTTGACTCCCTCGGCGACGTGGGCTGGTATGCCTCCGCATATCTCCTTACCATGTCAGCATTCATGCTCCTCATGGGCCGGGTCTACAAATTCTACAATCCGAAGTGGGTCTACATCAGTTGTGTGGGCGTCTTCGAATTGGGCTCTCTAGTCTGCGGCGTTGCCCCGAACTCGACCGCCCTGATCGTGGGCCGTGCCATCGCTGGTCTAGGTAGCGCTGGAGTTATGAGCGGCGCCATAACCGTCGTTGTCTATGTAAGTTTCCTCCTCTCTAGAAAGCTGCAGCAGGACCGACGAAATTGCAGCTTGTTCCTCTCCAAAAGCGTCCCGCCTATACTGGGATGTTCGGCGCCGTGATGGCCGTTGCTTTCATTGCGGGTCCTCTATTGGGCGGCGTCTTCACAGACAAAGTCTCCTGGCGATGGTGCTTTTACATCAACCTGCCTCTGGGTGGCGCGACAATGGTCATGCTCGCGTTTGTCCTGAAACTAAATAACTACAAACCCAACAAAACACCATTTAAGGAACAACTGCACCAGCTCGACCCATTGGGCACTTTTGTCCTGATCCCCGCGGTCACCTGCTTGTTACTTGCTCTGCAATGGGGTGGTACGACGTACTCGTGGTCCAACGCCCGCATCATCGTCCTCCTTATCCTCTCTGGCATTCTGTTCATTGTATTCGTCTACATCCAACACTGGCGTCAAGAGTCTGCCACGATCCCGCCTCGCATTATCAAGAACCGGTCCGTTGCCTCTGGCATGGCTTATGTTTTCTGTTCCGGCTCTGGGATGATGACTGAATCGTACTTCCTGCCGATCTGGTTCCAGGCAATCAAAGGCTCTTCGGCCGTGCACTCGGGGATTATGTTTCTGCCCGCCATTCTGGGTCTGACGGTGTCCTCGATGTTCGCGGGCTTCGCGACCCGCAAAATCGGCTACTACACGCAATTCATGTTCCTCTCGACCGTGCTCACTTCCATTGGTGCCGGGCTCATTTGCACATTCACCACCACCACGCCTCATGAGAAGTGGATCGGCTATCAAGTGCTCTGGGGCCTGGGCCTGGGCTTTGGCATGCAGCAGCCCAGCGTAGCGGCGCAAACTGCGCTCCCGCGGTCGGACGTCTCGACAGGCGTAAGTCTAATGTTTTTCTGCCAGACGCTGGGAGGGGCCGTTTTCGTCAGTGTCGCGAATAACATCTTCGACAACAAGCTAGCAAATGGGCTGGCGGGTATTCCAGGGCTGAATGCGGATTTGGTCACGCACGTTGGCGCTACGGATTTGCGAGATGTCGTGGCCCCCGAATATCTTCACAGTGTGCTGGTGGTTTACAATGAGGCGCTGAGGAATGCTTTCTACGTGTGTGCCGCGTTGGCTGCGGCGACGATTGTGGGAAGCGTGTTCATGCCGTGGAAGAGTCTTAAGAAGGCGGCCGCCGAGCAGCAGGCGCAGTCAAAGGCGGACAGAGAGCATGAGAAGAATGAGAGGGAGAGTGCGTCGGGAAGCCCAGGGACGGACACGAGAGCCGACCAGGGGACAGCGCCGCAAGAGCAGAAAGAGCTGGAAGTATAGCCATGATTCTGTCCACTCTCGTTCATGGAAGCTGGGCATTGTCAAATCTGCCGACGCTGGGCTTTCTTGTGCATTGTATTATTACGGGCGCGGCGTTCGGACGTTGGATCGGACGGGTATAAGGAGCGAAAGGCGTATTTCCAGGACAAAGTTACCGGCAGAGCAGTGGTCTTGGACAAGATGGCTGCCCTCATTTTATAACCTACAGGAAATAGAAATGATCAATAGTGGAGAAAGTGGGAAGATTGAAAGTTATCACTGCTCATTACTTTTGCTTCTCGTTGGCTGTTCGTCGTCCGCTCTGTTAGACACTGCTAACACAGGTACGTGGACTTCCAAGTCTCGCCTATGCTGCTCGACAGCAAAGAGTGCTTAGTATCATGACGGACTCCCATTTCACATCGGGTCAACGTTCAAGGTCCACTGCCCGCACTGAGGATGTATCCACCGTCTACCGCTACGGTCTGGCCATTAAGATATTGATTTGTCGCCAAAAATAAGATGGCATTCGCCATGTCTCTATCTTCACCAGGTCGTGCGGCGGGCACTTTGCTCTCATACTTCTCGCGTGGAATATGGCTCTTCTGGTTCTCGTCGCTCTCACCGGCCGTCATTTCACTGGGGAACACACCGGGTGCGACACTGTTCACTCGGATCCTCAGGCCGTTCTGGGTGATCTCGTTGGCCAGCATGCTGGTCAAATGGATTGCGGCAGCCTTGCTGGCGTTGTACGCAAAATGGTGCTGGGACGTCTTGACGATGCCGCTGATACTTGAGTTGTTGATCACGGTGCCGGAGAAGTTGTCGTTGTGCTTGTGCGCGGCCTCGAGAAGCGGCAGGAACGCCGTGGTCATGAAAAACAGTTGCGGCACGTTGGTGCGGTATGTATCTGTCCACATCTCGAAGGTCTCGTTCTCGTCGTCGAATAAGTTCTTGGACATCTCCTCGGCAGACTTGGCTTCTGTCTGTTGCGTGTTGAGACTGATGCCGGCGTTGTTGAAGAGGATGCACAGGCACTTCTCTTTCGACGAGATGTACTCGACGAGCTTTTTGATCTCGTCTTTCTTGGACACGTCGCATGTCACGGGGATGATTTGGCCTGGGATGTCCTTGCCGTAGACCTCAGACACGCGTTCAAGCTTCTCCTCAGTACGGCCGACGATATAGACCTTTGCTCCGTTGGTCGCGAGAGCTTGTGTGGCCATTAGGCCGATGCCTGGTCGAGTTAGCAAAAGTGCCGTGGGCGGGTATAGAGAGCGGATGGAGGACTTACCGGAACCACCGCCGGTGATGAGAGCGACCTTTCCTTGGACATTGAAAAGCTTGTCGAGCTTGAAGTCTTGGTTATTGTTGTTTGGTGCCATTGTGGTGCTGAAGTGACTCTTGAGATTGACGAGCCGAGAGTGAGCAGCCGTGATGGGTGTGATGGAGGGTCTATGGACGAGTGTTGATGTTGTGAGGGTTGCACGTCGTGGAACTTGAAGTGAAGGTTTGAATGTTCGAAGGGGAAACTTGGGCGGCATCGGGAATGAATATATCAGAGAACAGAAGATACCTTCATCATTCCCTTGTCCTCAAATTGCTCAATCTGGACGTCGACGTTACGAGGTCATCCCTCAGGGCCTACGTCAATGTTATGACGCTCCGATGATGAAAGCGCTTCTCCATCTTACGGATCCATTATCCGTTTCTCTTCTTCGCTCCGCTACTACATTTCCGGTATGTATTTGTGCAATGAGAGCCTCTTCCTCAGAGCTTCAATTAGGATATCTTCGTAGTTGCAGGCTCGCTACTCGCGATGGGGCAGGTGAAGCACCGACAGACTTTCGAGGGCTATCGTCGAAGGGCGCCATACCATGCACGTCCCGGAATCCGGGGTAAAACAGCGGACCAGGGACACCTCACATGCAGTTTGACGTCGACGTCCAGTATTGCTCATACCCATCTAGGCTTTCTCTTCCTCGCTGTTTGTCCTGTTCCACGGTTCGCGTTCACCGCTATGCCGCGACCACGACCAAGATCATTTGTAACCAGCCGTCCTGACGTTCCCAACTACGTCCCTTAGATTCTGCGCAGCATGTCTAGTATGTACGCCTACGGCGCCGGCGTGCCACGCTCCTACGTATCCCCCGAATTTCCCAGTCTGTACTGGCCTATCCGCGCGCAGCCAGGCGAAGTGCGATATTTGTACTACCTGTCCGATATCTACCGCTACACGCTGTACTGGTCGCTCATCACCATCGTCTCTGCACATATCTGCGTCGCAAGTTGGGCTGTCCTGATGCAATTCAGCTCCGCGTCGCAAAGGAGAAAGTTTCTTGCCTCGCCCGCAGGGAAAAGCCTGAGCTCAAAGAATAGGAGACTATTAGGTGAAAACCCGATCGGAGAAACGCTGGGCTGGGTCTGGATGATCCCAGTGGTGTATGTCGTTATGGGTGCATTGGAGGCGTTGCTCGCAGGCACCATGGTCGGACTGGTCCTTGGAGCCGTCTACAATGGGGGATACTTTGCCATGAGCACGTGGACGCCGTTGCTTTGGGGCATCATTAATATGCTCGTACTGGTCGTAAGCAGCTTCAGGATACAGGGCGGATTATAAAAGTTGAATTGCCTACTATTGAAGGACAGACCACGTTTAGTGCGGTTATCGGACTCTGCAACGGTTCATAACGTGGAACTCCAAAAAGCAGCCTGCCATCGAGATGGCGACCGATCGTATTTGCCTTGCCCACATTAGAGCATAGAGGCGTCTCAACAACCCAAGCCGCTGCACTACGAGGCTTGCGATGTCTCTCGACAAGGCCCATCGTGGGCGAGAACGAGTCTACGGTATGGCTCACAGCCTGGACTGGTAGCGACTCGAGGCTGCCAGAGCGCCAGGAAGCGGAATTGTGGATCACACCGTCTATCAAGCACGAATGGGGAGATATTTCCCGGACAACGATAGCACCCATGCGTGTCGACTGGGGCCAACATCAATCGCTTTGACCAACCACAAACAGACGAGGTTCAAACATTCTCCATACAAAGCATTGACGCTGATATGAGAGCCCTGCAGACGAGTACACCATATGTCAGAACCGCCGCAGGCGAGAAAGGAAGATACTTGTCTGAGGATGGAATTGGCCTGTTCGGGCTTGGTACATGTAGCCGTTTTAAGTCGCAATATCTGCAGTGTGCAAGACGGTCAGCTATTGCTTCATAAAATCATAAACGCTCAAACTAAAAAGAGACAGAACGCAAGGTGCAAGGCCAGCTCCAGCAGCACTCCTCCATCAATCATCCTGACTGCCTTGCTGGTAAATATGTCTTGCCCGTGATGGGTCCTTGCGCATCTCATGGCCACTGCCGGTAAAGCCGACTAAGAATAAGTTAGTGCAAATGATCCTCGACACATTCCAGATCTGGAGCTCTTACCTCTGGCATTAACTCCTTCACCTGTTCTGAACATGCTTTCCTTCTTCGTAAACTTCCCAGCTTTGGACTTGGCCGCAAAATCCTGCCATTTGGACTTGCCTGCTTCCAACTCCTTGTTTGCCTTTACTTTTCGAGGTATCTTAGCCGGTCGAACCGGGCCGTCGCTGACTTTGCTCGGCTCACGTTTGGCTTGTTGCGCCAATGTAGGATCGACATTTGCGGCCGCCGAAATGACACTCGGATTGGATGGTGGAGGAACTGGAGCGGATGATCCTGATATGCCATCAGCCTTGCGTTTCTTTGCTTCATTCGACAACGGCTTGATGTCTTTGGCTCTCAAGGTTTCGGTGTTTCCATAGCTCTTGAATGTCACAATATAGACTGGATCACTCGATGAGCCGGTTATCGACGTAATTCTGGCTGCGTAGAATCCACCATCGCCAGACTTCCATCTGGCCATGACAGTGTCATTCACAGAGAATGTCGACGGGGTGTGAGCCTCTTCTGGTTCGACTTCAGTCTTTCGATAGCCAGCTTGATATGCTGGATGATTTTCTTTCGACCATTTTTCTTTTACCGGTGGCGGAGATGGTCTGGCAGCAGGTGTTGTTACTGAGGCAGGCTTTAGTTCTGCAATGGCAGCTTCGGTGAGGGAAATAACTTCTTCAAGTTCTGATTTCAAGCTCTGCAGTTCGGTGTTATCGGGATCATCTTGCAGACTCGACTGCACTGTCTCTAATTGCAGTCTGTATTCTTTGAGTTCGTTCTCAAATGCGGTCAACTCGGCGACGCTCATTTTGAAAGAAAAGGCCTAGCGTGGGTGGCTATCTCGGGGGAAATGCAGCGAATGATGTAAAATAATGAGATCCTTGGGATTCGCAACGCAATAGATCGAGGGCTTTGCCAACGCAGTTGTTGCAAGGTGAGGTCGTTGCAGACTGCGCCTTCCTCGAGGAGTTAGAAGCGCCAAGACTACCCTCCACTACGCGATCACCCGAGGTCTTCTCCGTGCCGTTTTCACAGCGTCACAGGCGACAGGCTTCTGGCGTCTTCAGATCGTCGCTTAACAATATCAGATCTAATACGAATCCTTGAGCACGATGCACTTCTTGGACGGTTGAAACCAGCATTATTTAGTTCTTGCATGATCTGGCGAACTAACCATATGTGACCGAGAACAAACAACCTTATTATCCGGAACAAACGGATTATTCGAATGTCTGGGTGAAATATCATTGCGCTGCAAGCACGCAAAAGGACCCTGGTTCTGATGTCCCTCAGGTGACTGAACAAATCCAGGCACGGTATCCATGACGTTGCAGAAGCGAGGTCAAACCGCCATACTACGAGTACTGTAAGCAGCGTGAGTCAAGCGAACAAGCGTATCATGGACGGAGGTACCGTGCTATGCAGGCTCTTATTCGCTGAGCCGTCTCAGAAATGATTTTCCAACCGGTATGTCAGCAGAGATGCTCATCGGGAAGGGTGCCTGATTGCTTCCTGGACAGTTATTTGGGTGTGGTGCTGGCATGGACTTTCATGGATGGGCATGGACCAGTCGCGACTCAGGTCGGCTTAGAAATCAACTTTGGAGCAGGTCAACGCTCCTCCCACCCGGATAGTTCGCCACCTCTCACGCACGGCCCACGAGTCCTTTTCCTCCACTCAGAGCGCTCAATCGGCGGCCGGCTTGAATGACTGAGAGGAGCTATACCGGACATGAGCCTTCTATCAGAACAAGACCAACCGGCAGAGTCATCCAAGCAAGATGAGGCCTGTATGTATCTGCGTCGAAAAAGGCAGCGCGTGCTGGGACCTTCAATCCGGGCAGGAAATGACATCCCAGCCGGTCTCCAATCTACGGGTGCTGAATGCAGACTGGCTATTTGGAGGCTATAGTTAAACACTGGGACTCTGGTCAAGGCTCACGGGCGTAAGTCTTGGCAAGGGTCCTCGCCTGAGTGGTTGCAACTTTCAGTGGTTGACCGGCTTTCCCCCTCTCATCACTCTTTCAACCACCATAACTCGCATCTTTTTCCTGTGAACAGATCTCACCAGGATCGAGTGCCGATTCTTAGACGTCTGGACCACTTCCATTCCGTCATTCTCGCCCCTATCTACTGTGTACTTTGTTCTTGCACACTGCCCCCATTGAACACCCAGCCTTGTTGTCAATCCAAGGGTGCGCTGACCGCCCCGCCTACCGTTCCCGCGCCCTCACTTCAACCCACTATTCTGTCATTCTCAACTTATTCTCTTTCCCATCCTGCCTCTACCACTATCGAATACTATTGCAGTTCATTTCTTGCCTCTTGATACTGCTCTACTTTCGCAGTAGAGGGAGGCAATATTGGGAAGTGTCAATTCGAGCTTCCCGTTCGACTCCGCAATTTCCGCTTGAACCAAATCCTTGCTGAACGGGCCGGCCTTCCCTGCTGAAGACAAAGGCAGCAGCGGCCACCTCCTCATATTCAATGTCGCGCCAGTCCACAGACGGTCTCTTTCTCTCCCGGGACCAGCAAGACCTGCTTATGGCAGCGCTAAACTCCAACAAGTCCTCGAACCAACAGTCCAAACAGATAGCGACCCCTCAGAATATCAATTTCACTCCCACCATGTCTGCCCCAGGATCCGCCAATCTCGACTTCAGCGATGAGAGCCCTTTCCTTGACTTTGATCCCGATGCCGACTTTGACGAGAGTTTCGACTTTGACGAAAATGCCCGCATGATAGGTGACATCCCTGGAGAGCTACATGACAAGAGAAAAAGCCTCGACGGCAAAGACGATGACGACGAGGGCGGAGGAAAGAGACGGGAGGGCGAAGACAAGACTGCCAAAAAGCCCGGCAGGAAGCCTTTGACCTCCGAACCTACTTCTGTATGTTCACTTGGATCATTATATGCAATCGTGTCATACTATTGCAACACGGATAGTACTAATTGTTCAAATGCAGAAACGCAAGGCTCAGAACCGAGCGGCACAACGTGCCTTTCGCGAGCGCAAGGAGAAGCACCTGAAAGACCTAGAAGTAAAGGTGGAAGACCTTGAAAAGGCTTCGGAATCTGCCAACCACGAGAATGGCCTTCTCCGAGCTCAAGTGGAACGTCTGCAGGTCGAATTGAAAGAATACCGAAAGCGTCTGTCCTGGATTAGCAGCAATGGATTGAATCGGTCGCAGCCGATTGTGGCCCATCCAAAACAAAATAATTCTGCAATCAACAACCACAATGACTTCCAGTTCGAGTTCCCAAAATTCGGCGATCTTCCGTCGATGCCGTCGAACGTGTTCGGTAACTCGAAGCAGCAGAAACCACAGACCACAAACTCGACTCGAGCCTCATCGATCTCAACACCTAGGTCGACATCAGTCTCACAAAATAGTAATGGCCGTCGGTCGACATCAGGCTCACAAAATCAGCCTGCTAGATTTGGCTCTTTGACCCAATCACCTCTAAGTAATGGACAATCTAGGTCTCCGCAACCTCAAAATATACAGAAGGACCAGCAAGGAAGCGTCGATAGCTTGTCCGGGTTGTTCAGTCCTTCTATATTGGAAGCAAGCCGTCATGCATCGTTGGGTGGATACTTCCCCCAAACCACTTACAATGCCCCAGGCCAAAACGCTCTGGGAAACGTCTCGGGACTATATTCAAATTCGAGCATGTCCAATTCCGACTCTCCGAGTTCGTCGACAGAGTCGCAAAATCACATTTCATCCATTGGGACTTCCCCAGAGCCGAGCCTCAACTCCCCTGCCAATAAGGTCAACGACTACAGCCTCAATCCTATCAACGAAGGTGGTCTATTGACATTTGGCGGTAAGGACCTCTGCGATCAACTCCAACTGGCCTGTGGCTGCGCGGACGATCCAATACCACCTATTTTGAACATGTCTAACGAAAGCTCGTCAGGATTCAATAACAACACCACCGGATTGGAGGTTAATGGCATCAACGCCCTTGCTCAGCAAAACAACAACACCTTCGATCCCGTCCTGTTCGGCGACTACCGCGAGACTCAAGACAATATTCTGTCGCAGGATTTTGGAGCTTTCTTTAATGACGCCTACCCATTGCCGGACCTGGGCAGCCCTCTGCATAATTACACCGATATCACAGCTGACCAAGCTCCCAAGACGGATCTAATGCAACAGGTGGAGGCAGCTAAGAACGAAGAAGTCGTTCCGGATACCGACAGGCCTATGAGTTGCAATAAGATATGGTTGGTAGAGTCCAACACTAGTCCTTTGAAACGAGCTGACATTTGGTGTAGGGACCGCCTCCAATCAATGGAGAAGTTCCGCAACGGCGAGATTGATATCGACAACCTCTGTAGCGAGCTGCGTGCAAAGGCGAAGTGCTCCGAAGGTGGTGCAGTGGTGGATAAGAAGGACGTTGACAAGATTCTGGGTGTCGTCTAGGCAGTGTGTACTGACACTTGGAGTTCACGGCTCAGGTTTCGAAGGATATATGATACCAACAACCAAATTGCATGAGGATGGCGGAAAACCAGCATGCATGTGCTACGAAGTTTCGCAATGCTTGCTATTGGAGTTATGGAGTGGAAAGGTGAAGTGTCCTTTCATGTACCACCCTGTGCGATCTGAACTCTGGTTGAGTTCCGACGCTCTTTATCGTGTTTGGCCAGGAGATTGGAAGTATCCTGCAACCAGCCATGCCAAAATACCAAAATCTTGGAGAATATTTGTATGAGACAGCCATTGCAACATTATTCATGATCTAGATTCTAGCGATCAAGGGGGACTTTTCGATTCATGAGCTGCAATTCATACTTGGACCCTCGCGGTTCTGATTCTCTCAACGAGACTGACATAACCAAAGAGGATAAGCGGCATGCCAAGCGGACTCCCAGACCGATGGAGACTGGCGCCATTTACAAGCAGCGGACGTAGCTTGTCGCTTTTCCTGGGGGTGCATACACTTGTTACAGACGTCTCATTTTTGTTCTGCCTTTGACCCAGCATCAATCTATTCCTTGTGTTCGACCTAGTAGGAGTCTTCACACGCCATTCCACTCCCCAGACACCTCCTTTCACTAATACTAATCGAGCCGCGTCCTTGTCACTTTCTGCCGCGCCTTCAAAACGTGCCTGCGCGATCAGAGAACCTTCCGGTGCAAGTCTGCAATATTTCACTCCAGCGATGGCTTCTGTGAGTTCTCTTTTCTTTCATCTCTCCCTCTACCTCTCTTACTCCTCCACCGAGCGGTCTACCTCGCAATGCATCCATACAACGCAGGCAGAGGCTTCATGCCAGTTGCGGTCCCTCCGCTAATCCTGCGCCGCCCACAGCCACGCCCTCAATTCCCAAACCAAGGCTATCTACCCAACGGTACCTCTGGCCCGACACCTGGAGCGCAAGCTCTTCTTCCCAACAATGGCCGAATCATTCAGGCCGGTTCCGTCCGGGTCCTCTGCATTGCAGATGTGAGAGGTGAGTTACTCCTGTCGGCCGCAAAGCTTAATCAATCTGACCAACTCCTTTGACAGGAAACCTGAGATCTCTGAACGAATTGGCAAGAACCGCAAGAGCCGACTACATCCTTCACACTGGTGACTTTGGATTCTACGACCACACATCGTTAGAGAGAATAGCTGAGAAGTAAGAAAACTGTGAGGTTGAACCCGAGATCAAATGGCTGAACCGAGTTTAGGACTCTGAAACATGTCGCACAGTATTCGCCTCTGCTCAGTGAACATGTCAAGCGACAGATTGCTCAGCCTAATCCGCCACGACCGATCAAACAGATGTTCTCACCAGACCAACTGCCTCTTTCGGAACTGCCTCTCCTACTCAACAAGCAGATCACCTTGGACGTACCGGTCTACACGGTATGGGGAGCTTGTGAAGATGTTCGGGTCTTGGAGCGTTTTAGATCAGGAGAATACAAGGTGGATAATCTACACATCATTGATGAAGTCAATTCAAGATTACTCGATGTCGGAGGTGTAAAATTGCGGTTGCTGGGCCTCGGAGGTGCTGTGGTCATCCACAAGCTCTTCGACAATGGAGAGGGCAAGACATACATTGCGGGCGGGCAGGGAACAATGTGGACGACGTTGTTGCAGATTGGTTCCCTGATCGACACTGCGAACCGAGTCTACGATCCTTCGGAAACCCGCATCTTCTTGACTCACGCCTCACCCGCGAGAGACGGGATTCTCAATCAGTTGTCCGTCACTTTGAAGGCCGACTTCTCCATCTCGGCGGGTCTGCACTTCCGATATGGCAGTTCCTACAACGAATTCTCGGTCAACCCTTCTCTGGATCATTACCGTGGCAAATTGGCTGCGTCGAAGGCATCCTTCCAAGATGTGTGGGAGACAGTGAAGGTTGACGTTGAACAAGCCATTGAGTCCAACCCCAGCCACAAACAGCTGCTTCACAGTGCTCTCGACATCATTGAGAGGATGCCCAGTACTGCCAATGGAGGAAATCCTTTTGGAGGCCCAGTTGGTGGAGGTGCTGCCGGTCAAGTGGATGAGAGTGCATTCAAGAACATGTGGAACTTCAACCTTGCTGACGCTGCTTTTGGTTATCTTGTTCTGGAGATTGAAGGTGGCCGCATTGGCACAGAAATGCGTGCCCAGGGCTTCAACTTTGCTCATCGCGGCAAACAACTCGGTTCAAACCAAGCTGGTCAACAACAGGGATCTCCTGGACAAGTTACTACAGCTCCAGCGCCACCCATGACAGCGCCGACTGGTCCAGCTCAAACCCGTACGCCAGCATTCCCAGCTCCAGTGCAGCCATTCCCGCAACAACAGAGACCGGGGCAACAGCCAGCAAGACCCAGCCAACCTGGTCAGCAAACAGCGGCTGCGAAATCAGCCACTCCACCTACTACAGGATCACCTGCCCCACCAGTGACTCAGGCCAAACCGCTGACACCGCAACCATCAAGCAGCTCTGTACCAACTACCTCCGCACCTGACGCCAAGCCTGCCACTCCGGCCACAAATGGCGCGGGTACAGACAAGGTCACCGATATCGAAACATCAAAAGCTAAACCTGCAACTCCAATGTTAGAGCGCAAGCCTCCTACCGCATTGTACATGTCCTTCGTCGACACCGAGCAGGCTGCCAAGGAATGTTTGGCCGAGGAGGACCGTGAAAAGGTCAAATCGATTGTGCGGATGGGCAAATTCAGCAATTGGAAGCTGCAATTCGAAGACCACGAAACTGCACAAGGTGCTTTGACTCGCGCTCAGTCAGAGGTGCAGAAACACAAGGGACCCACCGGCAAACCTCCAAAGGTGGTGTTCTTCGAGGAACGAGGTGGTGGAATTCATCAGCGCGATAGCCACAGCCAAGGTGGAGCGGGAACTTGGCAGGGTAGCGGCCGTGGCGCATCCGCTGCTGGCACTGGCCCATCCCGAGGTGGCTATCAGAGCGGAGGTGCCAGTGATAGTGAGGGTGGCCGTGGCCGAGGAGGATTCCGTGGTCGCGGTCGAGGACGAGGTGACGATCGAGGCGGTCGCGGTGGACGCGGTGGACGAGGTGGCTTCCAAACCAAGACAGCTGAAGGACCATCGGACGCCAAACCATCTTTCGAGTCAAAGCCAAGCGAGTCGAGAGCAGCAGCTACCCCAGGCGAAAATTAAGCGACTGGACACTTGATTTCGACAAACCGACAATTTCATTTTGTCTTAGTATGGAGAGCGAAGAACACTTGACAGCGAAATTTTCAGCGAAACTCAGGTAGGATTGTGTGCATTATGAAGGCGCCATAGGTTGTCAAAATGGGGGACTTCGGCTGGAGTCGAGAGCAGGCTGAGGTTCGACCTGACATGAGGGATTCCCTTCCTGGGATCAAAGGCATTTCCTTCATAACACGTGTATTCTACTCTTTTCCCCTCTTGTTAGAAAAGACAAAAGTGAATAGTGCTGAGGCTGGAGAGACAAGAGATAACAAACGAAGAAAATCAAATGCCACGCTAGAGTCTGTGTCACATTGTGTACCTGAGTTATGGAAATCCCGTATATTTGCTTCTCCATCTTTAGAAAACCATTCCGCATCTCAATTCTCCATCTGTCTAGACTGGGTCTCCGTTCGTGTGCCCATGTGCCTGGGGTCGTGTGCAGGAAGAGGGTTGGGTGAGCTCCGAATGCTGACGTCTTAATGGATCCGACCCCAACTGTCACACGTCGCCCTGCATCTTCCATGTTTGCCTGCTTCCATATTCCACAAACCAACCATCCATTCCCTCTCGTTTGATTCTGTCAACATGTCTGCTCTTTACCTCCAAGTGTTCCACAACAACCTTCTGTTGCAGCTTTGACTCTGTGGCTAGCATTACATGATGAGCTACACTGTGGACTATTCCAGCCGGTGAACTAAACAAGACGACTCGCACCTTACGAGTCCCCAACGATGCGCTTCTCCTCCTCTACCTTGGCAGCTTTGGCCGCAATCTGCTCTATTCCTGTCGCATCGTCCTCCGTTGCAACTCCTCTTCACGAAGCCGGCCGATGTGCAATCCGCGGTCATTGCGGCAAACAGGGTTTCTTTGGATCTGATCTACCATGTCCCGACAATGGAAAGGCGTCGCCTCCCTCCGATGATCTACGCGAAAAGCTAGTCGATCTCTGTGGTGCAAAATGGGGAGATACCGATGTATGTTGTGAAGAGGAGCAGGTGGACACTCTGAAAAAGAACCTCAATCTCGCAGAGAGAATCATCGCGTCATGTCCAGCTTGCAAGGAAAACTTCTTCAACCTCTTCTGCACTTTCACTTGCTCGCCCGACCAGTCCTTGTTCATCAATATCACAGATACCGGCAAAGCTACGAACGGGAAAGAAATCGTCACCGAACTCGATAACACTTGGTCGAAAGACTACCAAAGCGGTTTCTACGACAGTTGCAAAGAGGTCAAGAATGGCGCCAGCGGTGGCAAAGCGATGGCATTCATCGGCGGCGGTGCTGAAAATTATACCGAATTCTTGAAGTTCCTGGGCGACAAGAAGCTGCTTGGAAGTCCGTTTCAGATCAATTTCTTGGAAGAGCCGCGATATGATGATACCCAGGGCATGAAGCCCGCGGACCCTCGTGTCTATGCTTGCAACGATACGGATCCCAACTACCGGTGCAGCTGTGTCGATTGTCCGGCGGTGTGTCCAACTTTGGAACCAGTTAGTTCGGCGGAAACTTGCCATGTAGGAAAGCTCCCGTGTCTGTCTTTCGCGGTGATCATTGTCTACTCGATCGCCTTATTACTACTCATCACCGCCATCTCTGGCCATGTGGCATACAGACGGCACAAGCAATGGAAGAGCGAGAGATTGCAACTTCTGCAGGATTCTGCACCCAGTGACGATGAGGACGAGGGCGATCTGGTGCATAACGCGGGCCTCTTAGAGAGACCGCAGCGGAATTACTACTTGAATCAGATCTTCGATCGAGCGTTCAGCAAGCTTGGGGGGTTCTGCGCTAGATACCCGGGACTAACGATCGGCACGAATATTGTGGTCATTGGTCTGCTCAGCTTGGGTTGGTTACGATTCGAAGTCGAGAGAGATCCTGTGCGTCTGTGGGTCAGCCCGAGCTCCGATGCTGCTCAAGAGAAGGCCTTCTTTGACGCGAACTTCGGTCCGTTCTACAGAACCGAACAGGCCTTCTTGGTCAACGATGGCTCGCCTAACAGCTCGGTTCTGACTTATGAGAACCTTGATTGGTGGTTCGACATCGAAGAGCGCATCTCGCGCATGATGACTCCGGAGAATGGCGTCACTCTCAAGGACGTCTGCTTCAAGCCTACAGGTTCGGCTTGCGTTGTCCAGTCAGTCAGTGGCTGGTTTGGAGCTGGTTTGACTGGCGATTGGAAAGATCAAATCGAGCTCTGCGCGGCGCATCCTGGCGACCAGAGATGTCTGCCGGAATTTATGGACCCTCTTCAGCCTGGGCGCATCCTTGGAGGCTATAAAGATATTGACGAGGTCACAAGCGCAAAGGCAATGATCACGACTTGGGTGGTCAACAATCACCAGCCTGGGACGGAAGGCGAAGCCAGAGCCGAAGAGTGGGAGCGCGCCTTGAAGCACGAACTGCTCATTTACCAAGAAGCCGCCAAGACTCGAGGCTTGAGGTTATCCTTCAATACAGAAATCAGTCTTGAAGAGGAACTGAACAAGTCAACCAACACGGATGCGAAGATCGTGGCGATCAGCTATGTTGTCATGTTCATCTACGCTTCATTTGCTCTAGGATCGGCAAGCTTGTCGTTCAAGTCACTCCTCAGCAACCCGTCGAACGCCCTAGTCCAGTCGAAGTTCACTCTCGGCGTGGTCGGCATCATTATTGTCCTCATGTCAGTCTCCGGATCCGTGGGTCTATTCTCTGCTGCCGGGGTCAAGGTCACATTGATCATCGCGGAGGTCATTCCCTTCCTTGTTCTGGCCGTCGGCGTGGACAACATCTTCCTCATCGTCCATGAGTTTGAGCGTGTCAACGTCAGTCATCCAGATGAGGAGATCTACCAGCGTGTCGCCAAAGCTCTCGGACGTATGGGCCCGAGTATTCTCCTCTCGGCGTCCACCGAGACAATCGCGTTCGCGATGGGCGCCTTTGTTGGTATGCCCGCGGTCAAAAATTTCGCCGCGTACGCCGCTGGTGCAGTCTTTATCAACGCATGCCTGCAAGTCACAATGTTCATGTCCGTCCTGGCGCTCAATCAACGACGCGTCGAGAGTCTCCGGGCTGATTGTTTCCCGTGCGTCACTGTTCGTGGCGCCAACTCCGTCAGCATGCCCGGCGGCCACTTCTTCGGTTCAGATGAAGAGGGTTGGCTGCAGAGATTTATTCGCAAGGTCTACGCACCGCGCCTGCTCGATAAGAAGGTTAAGACGTTCGTCGTGGCATTCTTTGTCAGTTTGTTCGCCGCAGCTATCGCTCTGTTGCCCGAGGTCCAGCTTGGCCTCGATCAAAGATATGCGCTGCCGAGCGATAGCTATATGATTCCGTACTTCAACGACTTGTACGCGTACTTCGGTTCCGGTCCGCCGGTGTACTTTGTCACGCGCGATGTCAATGTGACGCAGCGAGAGCATCAGCAGCAACTCTGCGGTCGGTTTACGACGTGCAATGAATATTCGCTGTCTTATATCCTCGAGCAGGAATCCAAGCGACCGGACGTGAGCTATATCAACGCCGCGACGGCGAGCTGGGTGGATGATTTCTTCTACTGGCTCAATCCGATCAGTGACTGCTGTACCGAGGAGGATGGCAATACGTGCTTCAAGGAAGGCGAGTGGAACATAACGCTGAGTGGTATGCCGGAGGGCGCCGAGTTCGTGAGGTATGCGCAAAAATGGATCCACGCGCCGACGGACGAGGAGTGTCCCAACGGGGGACAGGCGGCCTACAGTAATGCGGTTGTCATCGATGCGAACAATACCGATATCCCCGCGAGCCATTTCCGAACATTCCACACCCCGTTGAAGGGCCAGCGAGATTTCATTCAGAGTTACGCCGCTGCAAGACGGATTGCGAAAGAAGTGAGTGACAAGAACGACGGGATTGATGTCTTTGCGTATTCAAAGCATTACATCTTCTTTGATCAGTATGGAAGTATAGTGCGCCTGACGGCGACGCTGGTCGGTGTGGCGGTAGCGATCATTTTTGCGTTGAGTAGTAGTTTGCTGGGCAGTCTGGCCACAGGCGCCGTGGTCAGTGTGAGCGTGGTCATGATCGTTGTGGATGTGCTGGGTGTGATGGCGCTCGTGGGCGTGAGTCTGAACGCGGTTAGCTTGGTTAATCTGGTGATTTGCGTGGGCATCGGCGTCGAGTTTTGCGCGCATATTGCTCGGGCGTTTATGTTTCCGTCCAAAAGTGTGATGGAGCGGGCCAGGAATAAGTTCCGTGGAAGGGATGTCCGGGCGTGGACGGCGCTGGTGAATGTCGGTGGCAGCGTGTTCAGTGGCATTGGCGTTACCAAGTTCCTGGGCGTCGTCGTGCTGGCGTTCACGAGGAGCAAGATCTTTGAGGTTTATTACTTCCGCGTCTGGTTGGCGCTGGTGGTGCTGGCGAGTGCGCATGCCTTGATCTGGTTGCCCGTGGCCTTGAGCTTTGCCGGTGGCGATGGTAAGTCAAAACTCTGTGTTCTTTGTTCTTTGTCCTGTGTTCTTGAGGCGGAGCGGCGTGGCTAACGTTTGTGGTGATTGATAGGCTATATCGACCCGGAAAGCGAAGGTGGTCTGGAAGAAGATCTGGCTAGTAGGAGGTATAGGAGTCTCTTGCCCGATGACGATTATGACTCGGATGAGTAGGATGGAAAAAAGCGGAAGCGTCTTTCTTCTTTGTCTGTTGCGGTTGGGCGAGTGAATGAAAGCCACAAAACAGGCAGAGCAGGTTGACAATGGGGATCAGACGCTTGCAATGTGAACAAAGTGCAACCAACTGCAAGAGAAAATAGAATCGAGTTAGGAAATGTCATTCGTTGAGCTACTGGTAGAGGATATCACTTGCAAAGGCTGTCTGGGCTTGAGGCAGCAAAGCCTGATCGGTTTAACTTGGACTGCTGGGAATGGTTCATTTCGTGGCTTGTGTTGTGGCCGCTCGATACGTCAGGAAGATGGTGGTGGCTGAGTGGTCGATAGATACAACGATGGTCATGGGATGACCATTACGGTCAGAGTCAAGTCATTTCCGTACATCAATTGTTCTCTGTTCTTGCACAGTCTACCCACAGCCACACTGACACGCATCAAACGAGCTGTACCTAATCATCATCCCCGAGCTCTAGGATAGTCGTTGTCCGGGCGGTCGAACTCGGCGGCTGCATCCCAGAAGGTGTTCCACTCCCACTTTGCGCTGTACCAGGTCTGGAGGACAACTGCGTCTGCGGAACTACACCCGACAATCTCTCGGCCTTGAAATTCCTCTTACTTCTGGCTGTAGACGGCGCCACAGGACTCGACGTCAGACCAACGGGAATTCTCTGGGTGCCTCGAACGCCATCATCGTCTTCGTCTTCATCGACATCACTCGTCGCAGTTTCAGCTCGATTCCTCTGCTGGGCGCGGGAGAGGAGTCTCTGCACACGTCGTTTCAAGGGTAGGTTCGGCTCAAGATCACCTTCCATAAGCGGGACATTGCACTCCGGGCACTTCACCATGCGGACTTGCATTTCCTTTTCGCGGCGCGCTCGTTCTCCTCGATGGGAGATCTGACTAAGTTCCACAAGTTGCTCCTGGTCGAGAGAAGCGTGGTCCTTGGATGTTCTGAGCATGTTTAAGATTGCTTCTCTTTCGTAGGAGTGTTTGCATCTCCGGGACGTGACCGGGTCCTGGAAAGGAAGTAAGGTGATCGGGCATTTTATACGGGTCGTTTCGGAGGCAATTTCGAAGTCGCTACCCTCACTGTCGGAGCCGCCACTACGGTGTCTTTGGGAGGATATGACTTCTCGACCTTCCTCAGCGGCGAACCATAAGCCCGGGTCAGGCATTGGCGGTTGTTCTTCACCAGGATGCAGAGCGTCATATAGCAAACGCTTGAAGCCAGTGTAGAAATTGTGATGCGCATATTTCTCGGTGGGGGTCTTCGTGGACCAAGATTTGTTTTGCTTCTGGAGTGCCGCCGCAAGAAGAATGTGCGGCGCGTCAGAGGGATGAGGAGCGGATTGCGTTTCTAGAATGCGGTTGTTCTCGTCTTCTTCTTCGTCCTCATCTTCATCCGCGATCGTTCGTCGACCAGATCGCATGGGGGTGGGATCGAATGATGACTGCTGAGTTTGCGTAGATGATTGCCCGGCCTTGTTGACAGTCTCCTTTATCACATCTGGTAGGTCCTCCAACCAAACTTGGTCGTCAACAATGGCTCGAATGCTCATGTCCATCTTGTTTGTAAGGCTTTCGACTTTCTTTTGGAACTGTTCATGTTCCTGATCCGCCGCGTTGTCTCCGTCTTCCTGTCCATCTCGCCGCTTTCGCTGTCTTTCATACTTTATGCGTCGGTAGTAGCCAGCCTCGTTGAGTTGGTCGACGGTTTGAGCTAGCTGCTCAGAGGCGTCCTTGAGATACTTGGCTAGTTTTATGGTTCGAGATCTGTCTTTGGCAAGTTCTTTGAGCGATGAGATAGCGTGGTCGTTGAGGGGTGCACGGAGAGGCTGCGCTTGGAATGTCGTAGACGCCATCGCCCTTGCGCGAATGAAGAAACCGCAAACAGTCACCGAGAGGCTTGGGTTCTCTTCGAGAACGATCTCTGTGTACCTGGCTGCTGCTCGTTACTGTTGAGACGTGCACGTGGACGCGTCGGCAGCAGGCGCGTTGATGGCCCGATCGAAAATGGAAAGCTTGCCGACCACTTAGAGGGATGAGAAATTATCCGGTCAGGCAGAAAATCGCATGCAAAATAACGCCGCAGAATGAATAGATTTGGCCGTCAGACGCTTACAGACTTCCCATCGAGGCCATTCACGAGTCTCGACCTAGATCGCACCCGGAGCTCCTTCGCCGGCGTAAGAACAGATCGAAGAACAGAAGGACGTTTCAACCAAGGAATCACCCGTGGAATTCTATTCTACCCTTTCCCAGGTACCTCAGCACGTACAAGCCAGCCACAAGAGGCTCAGGAAATCAAAATACAACCTGGCCGTCCGCCGATCTATTCGAAGTTAAACGGCGGCCTAGAATCCCTTGAAGGGATTACATGAGTGATTCATTGTGTCGTCTACGTCCTCCCGCTCGGCATCACGAGGCGTGTCGTCTGGCAGCTATGGCAACAGTACTCGAAGCACCAAGCTGATCGACAGCTGAATGATACACATTGCTTGGGGTCGGACATTTCATTGGAGATATGGACGTATTCGTATTGCAAACTTGGCATTATGGACTCTTGCAATGTCAGCCTCCTTGGCCACAGGTCCTGGTGCAAGGCTGATTTCAGAAATCAGCTCTGTCTTGTAATCCGACTCTTGATTGCTGCTAGTATGGAAAGCAGAGGTCTCGACAATGACGCGAAGTGCTGCATTGGCGATGGGTTTGAGGCTGTGTTCGTACTCGGGTCGAGAGAGCCCACGAACGTCAGGAATGTAAGTTATCGAAAGTACGAAACATGGTATAAGTATTGCCCGTGAATTTTCTGAATGCAATATCTTTTCTTTGGACAAATATTTTGATGCTTCGACGCAATCACAATGAGTCTTTTCTTGTTTAAGGTGTTAGCCTTGTTCTTGCTTAATACGTCCAGCAATGCTTCACCTACTCAGTCCAGACGGCATTGTCGATTCGGTGATACTTGCTGGCCTGATGAATCGACATGGCAAGCCTTCAACCACAGTATTTCAGGACGACTTGTGCGGACATATCCTGCTGCAGCTGTCTGCCATGGGCAAACCTATGACGCTGCTGAATGTGAAGTAGCAAAGGCCGAGTGGGACAACAGCTTCTGGAGAACGAACCAGACCGGAGCGTATACCGCCATGGTTTGGGAACTAGGCAATGGACAATGCTTCATCAACTCGTCGAGAAACGACGCATGCCAGCCTGGCCTTGGTAGGACTAGCTGAACGCGATCGGAAAGGCCAGAGATCGGTGCTGACGAGTTCGACAGTCCCTCACTACTCGGTAAATGCCACTTCTGTTGCTGATATTCAAGCTGCAGTCAGGTTCGCTAGTGACAAGGATCTTTATCTTGTTGTCAAGAATACTGGGCACGATCAGTGAGTACTTGCGTTCTATCAGGAGACATTGACGAGCACTGACACCTATCAGTCTGGGCCGCTCTACTGGCCGGGGTGCTTTCTCTATCTGGACGCATAATCTGAAAGGCAGAAAGTGGATGAAGAACTTCGTCGCGAAAGGGGTGCCGGAACAGGCCAAAGGAGTTGCTGCTGTGACTTTGCAACCTGGAGAGCAATGGTTGGGTATGTCAGCTGCGCCAACGTATGCCAAGGCACATACTGATTCGAGGTACAGATGTATACAGAGCGGCCTCGCAGGAGCGGGTCATCGTCGTAGGGGGTGCGGCAAGGACAGTTGGCGCCGCTGGAGGGTGGCTCACAGGTGGCGGCCACTCGCCCTTTGCGAATGCCTACGGTCTTGGTGTTGACAGTAAGCGTTCGACCGGACTTTGCACTCCCTGTAGCTAACCAAGTCATCTAGATCTTCTGGAGGCCACACTGGTCAACGCGAAAGGAGAACATTTGACTGTTAATCAATACACAGATCGCGACTACTTTTACGCGATACGAGGCGGAGGAGGAAGCTCATGGGGCGTGAGCCACGGCCAATATCCTACGGCATTTTCTACAGATACTGACGGCACTTTCTCAGGTTCTGACGTCCGTAACCTACCGGACACATCCCGAACCCAGCCATATTCAGGTCGCCTTCGTCCAGGTCAACGCCACGAGCAACTCAAGTCTCCGGCCTGTCCTCGAACGCTCCCTCGGCGCGCTGGTCAATATGACTGACTCTGGGTACACTGGTTACGGTTATCTCAGCGGCGCCGGCTTTACTTCCCTGTTCATCAAGCCGAACGGCACAGACGCACAACTCGTCAAAGCCGCCGCAGCATTCTATGAGATAGGCCAACTACCGGAAGCAGCCTTCGCCATGCTCAACTTCACCTTTCCTCGCTGGATTGACTATTGCAATATGTTCTTGCAAGACCCAAACATCGCGCAGAACGTGATGGACTCATCGCGGCTGCTCACGCCGGACATGGCATTCAACAAAGCTGATAAGATAATTGACATGATGCTCGAGCTGAGCGAGGAGAATTATCCATTCTTCAATTTCAGTAAGTTGGACGGGGCTATAGAAACGGGTACAGCTAACACAAATGTCACTAGTTGGCAAAGTCAACCCGGCTGAGCGGAACAAGACCTCGGTGCACCCTGTTTGGCATAACAGTCGAGCTGTCATGAGCTTTGGCACGAACTGGAACGATACAGCCTCGGATGCCGAGAAGCGCCGCAAGAGGCAGCTTCTAGTCGACATAAGCAAGCGCTGGGGGAACATTACTGGACCAAGTGGAGGCACCTATGCCAACGAGGCCAATCCGTAAGGCTACCCTTTCCAGATCAAGTGACGAGCAAGGCTGACACAGCTGGGAGGTACGAGCCGAATTGGCAGCAAGTCTTCTGGGGAGCGAACTACGACCGACTGTTGGATATCAAGAAGAAGGTAGATCCCGACAATTTGTTCATTTGTAATCGATGTGTTGGAGGGGCTGTTGTTTTTGAGCAATAGTGAAGGAGTGTAAGGAAGTCTTTGAGGTTTCCAGCCTTGCAGTAACTTAAGTCCATCGTTTCTTGGCAGAAGTATCCCTTGACTCGTCGAAATTTCTGCTTCATCCTTCTGTACCATTTCATTCGTTTTGTTGTACGCAGTCGCCAGCACCAGTCCTGAGCGGACCTAACTGTTTTTAACAGCAGCATTCATGTCGGGACCACTGCTAATGCAACAAGCTGCCGGTCATCAGAAGGCGCCCTTGCAGTTGTTACTATTCGACGCAGCAGATCCTGCTAATCTAGGACAGAACATTCATCTACGTTATGGAGAAGTTGGGGTCCTTCAAGGGCAACACTCTGTGCCCGAGATGCCGACTCAACAGAGCACTCACGAGATGCGCTACAGCCAACTTGCCCCGTAGACACTGCTGAAGAATGATATGCATTTCAGGCGCTGTACACCAGCAGCAGCAGCAGCAGCGACCCGTGGCTCTATGTCGCCCTGAGAAAAACAGCATCATCAGGGATTCATCTGCATGTCCAAGTCCCCTTCCGCACTATGGTCACGCCTATTGAATTCATGCCATCACTAGCATGAAGCCTTCCGCAGCTCAATGCTACGACGTCCCTCCCATGCTCAATGCCATCGAGTGTTCGAATTCAGCATGGACGTACGTTCACTTCTACCTTCCCTTCCGACCCGCGTCCTCATATGCCTCATCTTCTGCTTTTTTATAGCCCATCAGTGAAGCAAAGATATCTCACACCAGCAGACCTCGACTATGTCTACTTCCTATCACTTCGACTTCTCCAGCACCTTTCACTCTTTCCTGCCCAGCTCCCTCCCACATATAACTCTGCTTGACACAACCTTTCTCCATCGTCACTTACACCAGGCATCTCGCAGTCATCCATCGTCCTGGTCATACGTCTGCGTCGAACATACTAACACCTACAGAGCTGCCAGCTACATCTCACCTACCCTTCTGAATTCTTTGACCAGTCCCACTCACCACTTCTTTTGATTGTCATCGTGCGGGTGGGGTGGCCATCCTGCAGCATCTGAAATATTTCACATACACGACCTGGTTGCTGCTCGAGTACATCAATTCGCCGCTCCTCATCACCAAACTTCTTCCGGATTTCACTTCTTATCAACCACCGAGTTCGAAATCCCCTTCTACACAAACCTTGACTTGTTTACGCGGCAAACAAGCAAAGCATGACCTGCCTCCGGTGGTACGCAGCGGCGATGGGTGCCAGTACCTCGAAGATCGACGATGCAAAAGATATCAGCGTCGCCGAGTCTTCGCCTCCCAGTGTGTCAGGGTCAGCATCACAATCGACTCCGCTGGTAGAGTCGCCGCTGCCAATAAAGTCATCTCCAAAGTGTAACCGCCTTCCTCCTGTCGAGAGTCGAGAGACGGTCAGATCTCAAATCTCTCTGATCCGCGGTTGGCGCCTCGTTGATGCATCAGACGATCTGTATGAATCTACACCAGGCAATCACTCAGTCGTTCGCCAGTCTAGAGTCCCGCCTCAATCTGTCAAGCTAGAGGCCTTGCCACCTGATCCCAGTCCGGCTGCGCAGGTTCGCGCAAGAACTACAGCTGCAAGAGTCCCTCCTAATGGTGTCCATCCTGTCTTGCCCGTGAAACGCACGTATTCTCCTTCATTCCAGGCCAACAAAAAGCGACGGCTCATTGCCACGTCAAAGGCCGTTGAAATTGCGCTGTACAAAGTGGAGGAATCCGATTGCTTAGGCGAGTCAGCGCGAGTCGCAGATCATGCGCCTGGGGTAACGTCTGACATCTTTGGAGAGCAAATCGACTGGTCTTTTTTCGATAAAGAACCACAGATAGGTTACTCGACGTCCAATGCTGCTGCTACTAGAAACGATGTGCAGTATAATGACCTTGGTCTGAAAACGTTCCCGCTCTACCAAGACGAGGACTTTGCGCCCAGCGAGGAATCTGAGGATGAGGGCTACCACTCGCTCACAGTCAGCCCGACGAGTAAACTTGAAGCACTGTCAGAGGACCAGAAGGAACAGAAGCTGGCTCAAAAGTTGGCCTCGTTACAGCGTGAAAACATCGTACTGTTCAAGCCGGATGCCTCAGTCAACAAGTGGGGATTGTCGAAGTCATGCGACGAAGAGGAGGACGACGATCTGAAGGAAGCCAGACAATGGATGCTGCAAGACCAAGAAGCCGGGGCTGAGCGGAGTAGGATTCTTCGGGAGAAAGCCGTGCGGCGGAAGCGGCTCGAAGAGTCAGCCACCAGTCCTACGAGCTCGAAGACTGAAGCCAGTTCCGATCTCGTAATGGTTGACAAAAGCATTGATGACGACTCCTTCTCAGACGTTGATATGGATGAGGCCATAGACGACCAAGAACCCGACAAGGAGGAACTTCTCGACATAGCCCAGCAACATGTCTTGCAGCGCACAAAGCCACGCGGCCAAATACTCAAAGAGCCGTTGATGTACGTCTCACTATCGTAGAGAGTCTCGAATTCCACTAATGCAAAAGTTTTACAGGGCGCGCCGTCAGAAAAAGAATCCAAACGCCTTGAACCCCGCTTCAAGAGCTGCCGCTGAACAGTTCAGAACCCAAAGCAGGCATTTGAGCCACGGCAAATCGACTCGTTGGGACGAAGGCCCTTGTGCTCGAACCACTCTCGAAGAGAGGGAGCGCCGCCTTCGTGAGCTCGCAAGAGCCACGTCAAGTGAGTCGTCGATGGGACGCAGTGTGAGACCTTTAAAGTCGAACAATCAGTTCATTCAGGATGACTTTGAGCGTAGGCCTCACCAAGCCAATGCGCATGACTCATCCTCAGAAGGCATCGCAGTCGCGTCACACGAGACACGAGAACCGTGGCATGAAACTTTCGTTGATCACGCCGGTGGCCACAGTGCTCGAAATGCGGCACGCCAGAGAATTTCTGGTCTGGAAATGCTGGCTAGGAAACGAAGTGCAACCCTGGAATTCGACGATGATGCGCCTGGTAGAAGCCAGACATCGAGTGACGATGTCCGCGATGTGGGACTTCTCAGCAATCACGAGGCAGATGAACCGCCGGCTCAATACTTATCTGGTCACGACATGCTCGCAAGGAAGGACGGAGTTGACCATGCCGTTCGGCCTGCAAGTAGAACCAACCCGAGCGATTCGAAGGCTACAGCAGCACACCGTTCGCTTCGGGGATTAGACATCACCCTTCCACCAAGTTTCGACAAGTACCCCAAGGAGGAGCAAAAGCACATTCTGGACCACGAAATTGCAAAGGAGCGAAAGCGCGACCTTGAAGCAATTGACAGATCGGCATACAGTATCGCATATTTACGCTGCCTAGGCATGTTCACCGACACTGATCAAAAAGAGATCAATGAGGTCCGCAAATTCATCACACTGGTGCTTGACCAGGGAGAAAGCGGCAAACTGAAACGCAAACGTATACAAGACATACGTGACAATATGAAGAGAAGGGCTGATGGATTTCAAGAACCAGCGTCAGCAGATGTTTCCAAGTGGCTGACAAGAATATTTCCGGGCAAGCTCGATCTAGTGAGAGAAGAGTTGGCAAAGGTCGAAGACCAAGTTTCAGATCTGGGTGCTCTTCGCAGAAATATTTCGGCAAAGCGTCACAATAAGAGCGACAGAAAACATAGGAAGAAGCAGGTTCATTTCGCCGAGCCCTCCGACGAGCGTGAGACAAAGGCGCCCAGAACGCCGAAACTTCAGCGGCCAAAGCATGACGGAGCGAATGCGACTGAGAACAGAAGACTTGCTCAGTACGCCCGGCAAGATAAAGTTCGTGAGCAGCTCAAGTCTCGGCTGAAGCTCTTCGATGAAGCCGAACAGCCAGAAGTGATTGATTTGCCGGAACAGTCGGAACTTGATCTATGCCAACATAGTGACAGTGAGGAGAGTGAAGAGGACGAAGGTGCGCAATACGTCTATGGTGCTGGTCGAACCGCCGCAAGCTCAAGTTTTACTGCATCAGCACCATTTCCAGGCACTCGAACTTTGGACATTGACCAGGACATCCAAGAAATCAACCGGCTTGAGGATGCAAGACAGAAAGAAAGCGGAAAACGTGTATCACAACACTTGTCTGCGGCGCCCCAGAGTCAGGCTTTTGATACGCAGCTGCTCAAAAAGATGCAGGCAAAGAAAGCGCTGCAAGATCTAGGCATAGATGTGGAAGCGATCAAGTCAAACACTGCTACAGAAGTTGAGGGAATCAGCGACAGGGAGTCCTCCACCTCGTCCGACGATGACAGCGAGGACGAGAATCGACATGTTTTCAGATATACCGTTTGGGCTGTTTTCGCGGGCATACCCATCTACAGACTTGGGGAAGAGTACTGGTTCAAGAAAACCTACGACCTCGAGTTGGCGAACAAGTATGTCGGCATCCTAATTCAGGGGGTGATCAAATCTCATCTGCCTGAGGATGGAATCGACTCTGGTGACTATTCTCTTCGCTTCGACTACCGGCAAGGCCTGACCGAGCAGCATCTTGAGATTGATCAGGATGTGAATGTCGAAGCACGGGTATGGGTAGAGAAGGAACTTATCGATCTGAACAAGAACGCTTTTCGAAATGCTAAGGCGAGGAAGTATACGGGCCAGCATGCGATGTATACCGTTGATTGGGAGAAGACGGTGACGCCGGTCGTTGATGAAGCGGAAATTGACGTGCAGCCCGAAACATCTGCCACCACTGCTACCAGAGCGCCGACACAAAGCGCAGATGCAGGCGAGATAGGGGAAGGAGCAGGAGAAGGCGAAGGTGATTTGGATAGTCTCTTTGGCGACGATCCTACTCCCCCGCCTGAACCTGCCGAGCGACAAGCCGTCACCGGCACCACGACGACAAATTCAAGAGAAGAGAGCAGGTTCTTCAGCACGCCGGTCCTGGCAAACCGCCACGCCAAAAATCTGTACATGGCGTGGCACGCCACATTCCTTCCTGGTGTGCAGAACGAAGGGTACAGAAGACTCGAAGACGAGGCCGTGGAAGAGCAGCTTGAGTCGATGGGCACCTGGGGCCTGTGGAATCGTGAAGAGAGTTTCACCCGTGTGGCAAGCAAGGACGAGAGTGCTAATGGGCGGGGGATGAGAGTCGAAGAGAAGTTCAAGGTATGGGTGCGGAAAGTCGGGGTGCTGGGACCCCGGAATTAGAGGGAAAGTCTGCGTTGTTGAGGAATGTTGCACTCGATTGAGAACGGGATAAGAGGAGAGCAGAATGTGGACATTGTACTCATTGCTTTTACCTTCTGGAGTTGAGTTGAATCTGATGTGATTGCCTTCGTTGGACCAGCAGAAGAAGGGAGCGCGGTGCGTTGGGTACGGGACGACATCAGAGGTCTGAAACTGCACATTGGTGAGCTCAAGCAAACAGATAGGCATTGCATCTTCGCGTTTATGTTCTTGAATGGAATCAATTCAGTATCTTGGACCAGGACGTAGCTTTATGGTCTGCTCCGTACATGTACTTCATTTCGAGACTCTGGAGCTCGAAGATGACACTGTCTTGCCTGGATCTGGTTATAAGTTTGCAGTTGGATTTGCTTGGTTGACCAGAGGTCTGACTACATAGGTAGCCCGCCGCTCGCGCACCTTGAAAGGAAGGAGTATGTGGCAACACATATTCCTGACTTTCATATGAATCTCGAGGGCGGGCTCACAACGATGGGCACTGGCCTTGGAAGGTATTCAGTCAGGTAGCTATGGATAACCAGCTGCCCTCGTGGTTTAGTCTACAACTGAGTGAGACCGAATCCAAGGCCCATACTAGGTTGGTCCAGTCCGGCCAGCATCTCCCCGTTTAGGAAGGAGCGAGGTCTTCAAACAGAGTGGTAGGGCAATCCATATTCTTGTTGCTTCAACCCGCGAGCATCTTTCGCGCGAACGGTGACCTTGCATGAAGACAACATTAGCACCAGCGGCGGTGGTTCTCGCGACTGTAGAAGGGGACTCATGTTGGGGAGAATGAGATAATCGAAGCGGTGATGGTGCAACGTTGTAAGATCAACCTGTCGATGTTTGTCTGTGGCCAGACTGCGTCAAAAACCTTGATCAGCCAGATGCCAGAAAGGTTGGGGCAAACCCATGGTAAACCCTTGCTACGAGTGGTAACGATGTTCTCGCATTGCCTTGCATTGACATCTCTGGCAGCGTTTGGCCAGGGCCTTTCAAGTGCCCTGATGAGGGAGGGGTAGGCGGCTTGACGACAGCTGGCACAACTCGACGCAAGAAGAACCTCGTCCGGTTAGACAATCTGCATACGTGCACTCCATGAGAGGTGTAAAGTGAAGTACGTGCTGCACTCGCCACCGTCTGGGGGAAGAGAGCAGAGGGTTAGCATCAAAATCGGCGTAAACCCAGAAGCGTGTGAACAGGTGCGTCTGTAGCGTAGCATGAAGAGCATCAATCTCGATCTCGATCTCCTCAATAATATGTGAGAGCAGTATAGAGATGGGAGTGCTGAACGCTGTCATGCGGAGTGAAGCGAATTGTTGAACCTAGATCAACAAAGCATTGCTCAATGGGGCCCGATAGAGATCTTCAACAAAGCCCTAGCCGCACACGACGACAATCGCGCCCTGCTGCAGTAAGTGGTGGCATGAGAGTGTCAGTGGCGACCATCTTGTTGCTCACTCGATGTCAGAGCGAGTCGCTACCATGACGATCGAAGGTGATAGACAAACTGAAGGGTTTGCACCGCTCATGCGTTCGGCGGTGGGCACTCAATCGTTGGTTCAACAATGCATTATTTGAAGCACGCGGAGTGCGCCGATCACGTCCCAAGGGTCTGAGACAGATTGGTAAAACCTTTTCCCCCTTGGTAAAACCCGGGGAGGTGGGGTGTTGAGTGACGATCTGAAGCTGATGGGGAACATCTACACACATCTCCGTAGCAGACTCTGCATCATGAAGTCAAGGCGGCACCTGAGTGGCGTTGCCACATTGCGTGCACGTGCACCACCAGATGCGGTGACTCCTGAGCAAGCTGTACAGGACAGATCCAGTATGTAGACAAGGTGGTCTGTATTTTCGGGGCAGTCCGAAGACAGGGGGCTTCCGAGCCATCCGTAGGTATTCGTATCAAGAGCCATTGCTGACGAGTCCAGTCTCGTTGATATTCCCGAAGTCGCTGGATGAGGGAGGAAGAGATACGGGAATTTTCACATGTCGAGCTTGGCTTGCATGGAAAAATGTGCCAATCACAGGAGGCACGTCGTCGAGAAACCACACAGCGTGGGGGGCAAACTGCACCCCGCCATTGATGCTGCTCACAGATAGATCCGTAAGCGATCTAATTCCCAACAAATTTGAGGGGCGCTGGTGCAACGTTTTTGTGTATCGTGTGAAAGGCCAAATGTTCCTGTCGTTCGTGTGCAGTCGATTTTGACACGAAGCATGTGCGACATTATTGGGAAGGCGGGAGCTGCACGATCGCAGGTGGCGACGACGTTAGCAAGCTCCAGTTTTTCTGCGTGAGATGGACCCCTGTGGCTGGTCAGCACCAATTCAGCGAGCGGGCAAGCGATGGCGCCAGTGTGGCTTGCATAAGCCTCAACAAGCCCAGGTTTTGCACAGAGGCGGTGGTAGGACCTCAACTGGATGAGAAATTCAGCGGTGGAGTTGTGGAAGCGCCCAAGTGGCCCCCTGGGCGTTCTCGGTAATGTTTGAGGAGCATATGTATCCACGTAGATAGCTCCATTCATGTCAAAAATCTGGCATGTATCACACATAATTGCGGAGTGCATACTGTGTACTGCGTACACCGCCTGTTCCTCGTCAAATGATAACGCGCATATCACGGACCTCCAGAGTAACAGCCTGGGTTCTGGACTCCGTGGAGTAATGCAAGATTTTCCTGGATACGAGACACCAGACGCTGGAGACTTGGAGAACCGAGGGGTGTGTCTGGAGACTGACAGTTGGACTTTCGAAGGACGTTGGGAAATTTTGCTTTCAGCCTTTGATATTGGATGATATGTGTGGCATCAGATTGGCGTCGCCGCGTCGGGCATGTAAGACAGTAATTTGCCACCTCAACGGCGCGAACGACACGGTTTTGGATTTCATGATTGAAGCTTCGCAGCAAGCAGGAAGGGAGTTCTGAACGGGGCAACTGCTGCTTTCGAGGCGATCATTGATTATTGTTGAATGAAGATCTTTTTTGTCTCTTTGTTAGACTGCGAACTGCGAATTGTGGCTGCGAATTTTTCCACCTGCTGCGGATTTTATTTTTCCGAGGTCATGTGACCATGAACAGGCGCACATGCTTCACTGCATGACCACGAGTATTAATGCGTTGCTGTTACAGTATGCTCTTGACAAGTCTCGATTTGGGTTGAGAATCATCTAAATGCTGCGCTGGCATATAACCCACTAGCAATAAGATCGATCATCCTTGCCGTTTCCCTAAACCGTAGGATCAAGTACCGAAGTGTATGGACAGGCAAACAGGGGATTTATGGAGACCGCCATGCAGTCAACGGCAGCTAAATGATGGAGGTGTGGGAGGGTGTGAGGGTGGTGATACCAACCCCCAAGCGAGCAGGGTATGCAAAAAGCTTGAACGACCCCCTAGACAGCTTCTTGGTCGGGAGCTGCGCGCGCTCATACCAGGGTCCCTTCCCACTTGCACACCATCATTAGCATCTCCCGCCGCAGGGACTTCACGTTGGCCTTCGTCTTTGACGCCCTTTCAAAGATTTACAGGCACCTGTCGATCGATAGACCCTGAAAATCAAAACGAGGGCGTATGCGGAAAATTTTCACTCATATGGCTTGCATGCATTCACACCCCCTGGAGCAAGATGCGGGATATTCCCTGTCGAGGATTGCGCTCCGCATTGTTCGCATCAACCCAGGCGGAGTGCGCCATCCATTTGTCACGCATGCCCCAGCGTGCAATCCTCGCCTGCTTGTACTGTTTGTAGGTGCCCAGTTGTGGGTCGTCCGCGGCCAGATGCTGCAGCAGACTGCTCGTAAACGGACATGTCCTTCATACTAGATGGGCAAGGCGCTCGAGACGTGGTTGGGGCTCCCTTGCAGAGGCTGGATCAACCCTGCTTGGAGTCAGAGACAGGAGATTCCCCAGGGAGCCTCCATGTTGCCTTTGCACCTCCAAAGAGTCATACACGATATCAGATTAAGCCCAAAGTCGATCATCTGCTGGCTTCTGCTGAACAGTTTCAAGATGGCCATCTACCCAACCTCGCTTACAGATTTGCATGCATGACACCCCAATGGCTATATCACATCGGGAAACCTCACCTGTAGTCGCCCTTGGAAGTGACTCGGCTCGTGAGGAGCGTACCTCTGCAGACCGCTGAGTCGAATAGTACTCGCAAGCCATAGCGGGTGTGTGCAAGGAGCGACTTGCACACTGAATGAGTGTGTACTGATTGCTAGAGGAAGCAGTCGGGGGAATCGAGGAGATATTGCTGTAGACTTCAGCGCCTGAAGATGTTATTATGTGACATCCGCCCTGTTGATATCGCTGCGTTAGCATTATTCACTGCATCGCTGAGCCAAGGTCATTCAGTCACAGCCGTGTAACAGAAACATCAGCATCCGTACAATACGTGCTCGCTTTCACCTAAAGTCATTTTCATCCTTAGTAACGACTGTGGTCTGAGGTCCATTATACTGGCAGGAGCCGTCGGGTTGGACTACCGCTTTCGGCAGACCTCAGGCCACACAGATAGCGCAAACTTGTCAGACAGAACAGTCACCTAGAAGGGCAATATCATATCACGAATTGAATGGCCCAGTCTGTTGCGCACTACTGGACCCCACGTTCGGTTCTCGACTCGGGCGGCCATGGTGCGATAGACCAAAACACCAGAGATAAAGTATGTCAGAGCCACGAGAGGGAGTGATTGGCTGCAACTCATACCGCCTTTTAGGCTCTCACACTGTGGGGGCATTGCCTGTTTGCCGTGGCCTGTGGCTTACCTCCGAGGTGAAGGACTTTTGATATGCGTCAATTCAATGTCCCGTGTTATACTTGGTACGCGCGGGCTGAGCACGACATGACAGAATGCAGAGGGACATGATTGATAACAATTCCGGTTGACGGTCCGTCATGAGTACAGCCGGTGCCTGGCCTGCGATCATTAGACGCAATAATTCCGTAATCATGATGATCCTGGAACTGAGGATGACAGAGCTACGTAGCATCATTACATATCTTGCCCAAAGCCGCGAGATTTCTCGTGGGTGGGTGGACGAGACCTTTGTCAAGGACAGCACAGGCAAATAATAATCATGAATAATAGTGTACGGAGAAATAATAATGTAGGAAGCCAGAAAGTCGAACCACGGTGGAACCTAACGTCCATATGTCCAGGGGCTGATCCTCACTGGAGCCACCTCGCCACCAAATCTTTCACCGCTTGGACCGCCGCCGTGAGGTTAGCTTCCTATGGTCGCGTCGCCGTCCTCGAATCGGGGGGTTTTCTGAGACCTTGGACGCGTACGAGGCTTCCTCAAAGGAGCATGTTTGATTTTGTGCCGTTGACATCTGGATGGAGGCGGTCAAGGCGGTCTCCTCGTAGCGAAGGATCTGACTCGCCATCTTTCAGGAGTCGCGGGGTAAACGACTCGCTTGCTGAAAACTGTCAAGTTGATCCTGCAAGTCATGGCGATGAAGCAAGACCTCTGTCAACTTACTGGATATCTCGTTGATTGATTAGCTTGATATCCAGCCGATGGAATGCTTCAATAATGGCGCCTCATGGTGGACGAGCATCACGCCGGCCATGGTCTGGTGATGGTCACAAGGACATGCCATCCAGGACGATGGTACTTGGTTGGTAACCTGTTCAAAGACAGCAGCATGCCTTGGGAAAAGCCACCTTCCTGCCATGCCTGTTGCCAGGTTGCTAGCGCACGAGAGATCCAGTGCTCTGCGGAGCGATTTTCCGCGGTGTTCGTATCACTGGTGCCCTGTGCAAATAAGAATGGGCACAGGTCCTACCAAAAGCGGGCAGCTAGACGGCTTCTTATTAGGGTCGAAAAACTGATGACGCTCAAGGCCATTCTAGGCGGTAACTCTCATCTTCCGGGTAACTATCGTACCTGTGCGCGCGGAACGGTAGCCGGATTCAGAAGCCTAATGTGCCTAAACGAAGCTCTTTAGAAGGTGTGTGGCTGATTCTCTCGACTGGGCGGCCCTCAGGCTGGACGCCTGGTCTCTTCCTGGTTGGTCGTCATTGTTATTATTCCCAGATTTCCATGAGATCAGCGCTTCCACGGCGAGGATTGCCAGGCACGCATCTCTAGCAGTGGCCTTCGGCGACGGACCGAGACTGAAATGCCTTGGTTCTTCCCCTGTCTGGCGTGGGTGCAAAAACTGTAAAGCAGTCTGTAGAAGGGGGGCATTTGAGATTCTGATTGGCACACAAAACTAGTCCCGGTTCGCTCACCCGAGCTCTGAGGTCAGAGGCACGTTTGTGGATGAAATTTCTTGTTGAGATTATTGGCTCAAGACTTGGTTTAGCCAGTCCGTGCCAGTCCTGGGGAGACAAACGAGTAGGCTACGCGCCAGTAGGTAAGCTTGTGTCGCAAGGTGAATCAGGCTGAGAAAGTCTATGGAGTCACTCGTACAAGTAGAACGACATCACTAAAGCGAGGGGCAGAATGGCATTTAAGGACAAGATATCCGTGCGGTGAACTTTTGTGTTCATGATTGTATACAGTACTCCGTAGTCGGTCGTAGAATCCGGAAGACGCAATCTCGCCGATTTTAGAGTGTCTATGCTTATCAGCGTTACATAGAAGGTACTGCTGTGTTTACGAGTACGGGTTGTCTTTATCGTATTCAGGGTGTCTGGGCACTGGGAAAGGATTGCCACAATTATTGTGCCAGACAAGCATGACGAAGTGATTGGTGAGTTTGGATAGCTCAGCCACATCCTCTTATTATTTAGGTGCATGATGGTGCCATGGGCTTTAAGAAAATTTCCTTCTGCCAGACAGGGCGCTTTTAGCCGGGCTCTGAGAGTTTTGGCGGGGAAAGCTCCCTGCGCATTGGGCACCTCACCCAGCAACGAGCCTGCACAAAAACCTGGAATTCGGCGCTCAGGCCATCATCATCTGAGGTACCTGAAGTCACTACTACCGCAAAGGTACAACTTCATGTCCATTCCGTCGCCGCCCGCAACCGGGCGTGCCGTTTCCAGCAGTCGATGATGCTCGCTACCAGCCATTTTGTGCGATGCCTGCGGGCATATCACATTTACAGATTGCTGTGATGCTGTCAGCAGTCAACCGGATGCATGTGCTTTTTTCATAATGCCTTGATGCGGTGCTGGGACCAGGAATTATCCCCTCGTCTTTGAGTCTTATACCTACCTTATCGCATCCATCACCAGTCAAGTCAAATTCCTCCGAGGCCACCCGCCACTCAATCCGACAGCCGTTTGGGTGATTCTGTTCGCTTGCGACATCAGAAGAGTGGAGGGTACCGTCTGTAGGTAGTTGGCTAGTACTAGTGTGTCGTATACAAACAAGATGCACAACACACTCACTGCATTTCTCGCTTCTTGGACGCTTCTCAATCGCATTGTGGTGATTCTCTAGACGTCGCTTGTGGCATTCTGCGACACTTATCTTGTACCAGCACCATTGTTCGCCCCACTGGAATTGGATTTCGCGTCCCCGCTGTACTCCGTACTCGAGACGCCTGCTTCTGTCATCTCACAGCATTCAGCATTCATCGCTACACCGAGCTCTTGTCCAGTCCACTTCGCCAACAACTTTGAAAGCTGGCAGGCTATCCTGCAGCTCCCATGTCTTCCCGTCATTAGTGTCCTCTTCCATCTTGTTAGCCGCATGTATGGTTTCGCCCGACCCAGAGTTTGTTCTTGACGCTTGATCCTTGCGCCACCCAGACTGCCCACTTTTTAGCTGCAGCACTACTCACCCTGGTCCTATCTTTTCTTCGCCTCTACGCTCGAGCCGCGCCCTCCACGACAGAAACCCACCCATCGCCTACTGCTCGCCCACTCGATCCCTCACCCGTTCTGTCGCCCAAGCCCACCGAAGATCCCCAACTGCCTGCCTACTTTGGTCCGCTCGAGACTCAACACCTTTGGCCTGCTCGCCAGCTTTTCCTTAACCCATCATCCACCAATTTATCCTCTCCTCTATCAATCACATATCCTCCTCTGTTCCCTCTCCCCTTCACCCTCTAGGCACCCCCCAGCCTAGTTGTCCCGGCATTTGAGAGAGGAAGAGTGGGAAGTCGGAAAATATTCGAGGATTTGGCATCTCGACCAATTCATCGGTCACCGATTAGCGAGCATACCCGGAACAGCGTGGGATATTTCTCAGCAACAAAGAAAACCGGGAAGGATTAGATTCTCGCAACACGAAGCATTGTCACGACACTGACCTTGTTCCTCTTGCACTGTTCACCTCCTTGTGTGCAAGCGACGAAAAGACGAGTGATCGCTGTACGGTCGATCTCTGATCCCGTGGCGTGACTGGGCTTTTTCTCCTGCACCTTGCAAAAGTAACAGCCCAAACCACCTCGACAGGCTGCGTTCGGCACTGGTACGGGCTCTTCGTTCCTGCTCCTTTTATTTTTCGTAAGTACCTTCCTTTACCATGTACGACGCACTCGCTTCGACCTCAATTTCGTGACGGTCAACCAGATTGTCAGAAATAGTCGAACGTGGCTGCGCTCTGACAACCTTTCCACGGCGATCTTCGATAATCTCACGTCTCTCACCTACTGTTTCTCCGCCTACAGCGCTCCTACCACCAGACTATTTTTATTGTTCACAATGCTTTGACCGAATACTGACAACTCATTGTCTATATTAGACCAGCCTCCTCGAGCAACCCTCCTTCAGCCCTCCTCGGGCTGCTCTTGATGAGCCTCGTAGCGTGCTCTAATTTGCAGCTCCCGGTTCAGGTTTAACAACCTCACAACCGACCGAATGCCTTACACACCACCTGCTCAGCAGTCACCGGCATCCTCCAAACAATCCAGTCCTACTCCGAGCAGGTCTCACTCATACATCAAAGGACAATTCCTCTCTCCGGAGCTGCCGGCTTCATCCGGTCGTCCCAACCTTCCTCGATCCAGCGGGTCATCTTCCTACCTCACGAAACATCGACGGAGTCCTTCGTTGAATGAAGCAAGAAATGACATTGTTTACAACGGTGAGGCGTACCAAGAGAACGGGATTCTGGATCCCTATGGTAGCATCCGGCAGTCGCCTCCGCCGGTGAGCAATTCATTGATACCCGCAGGAATGACAATCTCTCCTCCCGATTCCTCCCACAACTCTAGCGACGATGAAGAATCTCAGATCAGAGGTCGAACGAGGGATCTCGAGCTGGACAATCTCGAGGCACTGCAAGCAGCCATCAGGTCAATAGAACAAAGAAAATCAGGCTCACCTACTCGTGGGTCTGCCAACGACACAACCACCAAAATGGACTCTGCTGCACCTGAAGAGGATGCGCCAGCTTCTTCGGATAATTCAACATCACAACGGCCTCCGCTGTCTCAAGAGGCCAGGAAGATCTCTCACTCTCGATCGTCCACAGACTCGAACATAGTGTTTGAGCCTCCCAACCCACAGACCCTGCCTATCCTCTCTCGGCCAGATACCGATGACAGTGATAGTGACGGCCCTCCATCCGACCGCCCTCCGATGGTTCGAAAGAAATCTGGCGAACTGGTTCGCCCAGCTCTACGACCATCGTCCAGACGGCGGCCTTCAAGTATGCCGGGGACCCCGACCTACTCCAAGGCTGTCCACTTTGACTCCCACCTTGAACATGTCCGACACTTTCTCCAGGTTGATAGACCACTTGCCGTCAGTGCAGGTTCCTCACCTGTCGAGAACTACGAGAGCGAATCCGAGTTCCCTTTCGGCTCTGACGAGTCCAGCGCTCGACCTCGTTCAAACGTTCCTGAATGGGATCTGGTCCTTCGAAATTTCGACGAAACCAATATCTCAAAGCAGAATCAGGTCGTCTGCGTTGAACGCATCTTCCTGTCCTCCGACAACAAGAATCTCGTCGGGACTGTTGCGGTCCAGAATCTTGCGTTCCAGAAACAGGTTGTCGCTCGATTCACCTTCGACTATTGGAAAACCACATCCGAAGTCGTTGCCGACTTCAACACCGATGTCCGTCGGAAGCCAAACCACGATGGCCTTGACCGGTTCAACTTTAGCATCAGGCTTATTGACCAAGCCAATCTAGAGAATCGAACTCTCTTCTTCTGTGTTCGCTATACTGTCAATGGCCAAGACTTCTGGGACAACAACAATAATCTCAACTATCAGGTTGACTTTGCCAGGAAGTCGAAAGCCCAACATGGTAAAGATGGCATGCCTGGACTTGGTGCGAGGCCAGTGACTGCGCTGCCTCGGACTCGACAATCCCCACCTACCTCATCCGGACGACCAAAGAGCTTGCCATCATCGTTTGACGATTTTGCGACCGGCTTCGACAATTTCGGCTTCCCATCAGCGGGTGCTCTGATGGGTGAGCCCAAGCTCAAGCTTAGAAGTCCACGATCGAAAACCGAACTGATTTCTGATCCTCCATCGCGCCGGAAAGCCAGTGCTGGGCAAGCATTTGGAAATAGATATGACTTCAACTCGTCGTTGAACGCTGCCAAAAGTTCCGCCTTTGCCGCCTTGGGTGACTATTCTGGCTTGACGACTTCGAGGGCAGATACAAAGCGGTCTTCTTCCCACGAAGTTCCTGCGAGCACTCCTGCGAAGAGCGTCGCCATTGCTCCACCCAAGCATGACATTGGCGTCAATGGTTCAATCACTGGAGCTCCTTCCAATGCTCCAGCTGTTGCTCCTATGACATCGAAGCCGGCTGCTCTGGTGTCAGAGAAACCATCGCTTACCTCTGAATCCTATCAGGACCTCGCGATGAAGGAACTCGTGGAGAAGAAATTCTGCTTTGTAGGTGCCCCGAAAATGAGCCAAGGGGAGGGCGCCGAAGTCAAGACACATTGAGTGCTAATTCATGTTGCAGTTTGGGACAATCGCTGCAAATAAGCAGGTTGATCCACTCAAGGCTGCTGCTCTGAGTATGGTCGATGGTGCTGCTGACTATACGTCTGCGTCGGATGTGAGTGCTGAGGATACTCCTCAATCCACGAATTCATCTGGGTCTTCCACTCCCACACCGCCCCGGAGTATGTCGCCGACTCCTTCATCTCAGTCAGCCAAAAGGACTGGCTCCTACCTTGGTCGAGCACCCTCGCCAATGGCACGATCGGGCTCATATTTCGGCTCTCGGTCTCAATCGCCAGTCCTCTTCGGATATCCTTATCATTCATCATCACAACATAGCCTGATGAGTGAAACGCCAACCCCAACGGCGATTCGAGGCTAGCTATCGCTTCAGCCAGCTGCGCAGCTCCTCGCCGAGTTGACTTGCACATATTTGCATTCACTGATGCCGTCCGATGCTTCTCATGGTCAACAAAGCTCACAGTAATTCGGATGTATGCCTATTGGAGAGGTGCATCATGAGAGCCAATGGCCCAGCATCATGGGTGCAGGCGGTTCGAACATGTGATTTTGTCTGCTGTTCTTTTAGCGCTCAGACAATACGTTCTTGCGTCATTTTCCAGCATTGTCAGGTTTCAAACGGCAATTCTCTTTAACACCACAGCAGCCTCCGTTGTCTCGTGCTCAAGAGGTCAGAAAAGTCCTTTTCTGTTTGGTGTCCGGGGTTTGGGGTTCTTTGGGTTTTTTTGGTGGCTTGGCCTCGACCACTTAATGTTTCGTGCATGGGGCATGACGAACAGCCAGAAGTTTGGTCGTCGGGTGATGTACTGTGCTTTGCGACTTGTGTGCAAAGGAATTAGACGGCAGCGTTGATATGAGCTGATGAAATAATGCTCAGACTCGGCGGCGTGTTTTGTGATGTGTACCGGCAGGACGTGATTGAGAAGCAGGAGGAGCGTGCAGTTTTAGTATTCTTAAAAAATCTCTTGCCGCTGACCATGGTCCATGAAAATTGTCAAGATATATGTTGTGTGGTCGTCGGTGCATCGGTGTGGTGAATCGTGATAGACATGTCCCCAGAACCCTGATTATCCGTAAGGAGAATAGGGTGCGGTACGGCGCGGCGCGATCGCCAGCCTTGTCGGCAAGCATTGCATCCCGACAGAATTGTTCGCGACGTGGACGATAGTCGATAATCGATTGAACCAAATGATGGTCGGTCCAAGATGTGATGATGCGGTTGCGCTGCGGAGCGCCGTCGGGCAGCATGGCTTGTATGCGACCGAAAGGGGTGTGTGTGCATACAGCCAGCCAACTTGGGAGGCAGCGCAGAAATGGCAGGCGCGAACATTCAGCCGTGTCGAGCTGATGGAATCCCGAAGCGCATGGCTCAACTCAGGTCGCATTGCCATTTCACACCTTGTGCGTGCACGCGTGCAGTGCGCAAAAGGTGAGAAGATGAAAGAAGGAGAAAAACCATCAGGGGGGTCGAGTAGGCAAGACCCAAATGGCCGTGACGATATATACCCATGAGCAGAAAAGCAAACCACGGACCCCCTAGGTAAGGGCCGGACGGGAGGGTTGTCAAGAATGTTCGGAAGTGCCAGGCACAAACGCCAGGGTCCAGAAAAAAGGGACTCGGGACATTTCTTATTGGCAATTTGGTATCCCAGTGGTCGGGGAACAAGGAAGGCCGCCAGTGATTGACAGGGGAACAGCCATGAGTGCCCAACGTGGTGAGTAGGCGTCGAATCGGTTCCTGAAGATGAGCCAGTTGTATGATGCCATTTGGCGGTTACCCTTGTTCAGGGGGGCTGATGTTCCGAATCAAGGAAAAACAGGGCCGACGTTATAAGCAGAACAGGGCTGATGGTGATGGTGTGTGTCGCAGCCTGGTAGGCACCACGAGGGTGGTGTGCCAGGTGTCCATTTGTTTCTTTCTTCGTGATAGGATGTACGGCCTTTTCCTGTGTTATAGTTGGTGGCCCTCATTATGTGCAGACCGGACCAGGCGCAAAAACGAAAAGAGATGGACCGTGTCTGGTTGAAGGGCGAACCACAGTATTTAGAAGATAAAAGCGGTCGGGCAGCACAGGGAGCCAACAAGGACTCGTACTTGTACAAAAAGAGGTACTAAATTAGTATTGTGAAGCTGTTCCAAAGACTTCCTCCCGAGACGTGGCCTAGCAGCCAGCCAGGGAGGAATAAAATCGACTTGTCAAGTTACGAGTACCACTGCGTACATTTTCTAGGCAATTCCTTGCCTCTTGTGGCATTCCTCAGGTCGCCGAGCCAATGGACAGAATTGAAATTGACCCAGGTTCGAGCTTCTTGTGCCCGCGTGACCATGTTTACACAGCACTATGGATTTTGTGGTGGTGAAATTGGCCTGTCGTTAACACGGAATCTGTAAGTCGCTGGGGACATCGATGGGACCATCAGGGACTTCATTGGAATCTGGAACGCTCCAGCTTTGGGGGACGAGTGGCACGGTGCTGTGCGGTCGGTACCTGACGATCCACTTGGCCTGCAAAATTCAACTGCCGGCCTTCGATGTTGTTCCTTGTACCTGTCCACCAAAATCTCGGTGAGGGAGACTCTCGGGTACCTGCCCGCCTGCCACACCCTGTAGGTACGTGGCCTGGACCCTGTGAAGCCTTGTTTTCCCTCCCTTCCTCCGCCTTTCTTTTTTACCTGCTCCGCTTTTTGTCTGCGCGTGATCTGGTGAATTGCGAATCTCTCGTCCACTCGGCGTGAATCCAGGGTCACTGGGTCAGCAGGTGAACCCGGCTAACGGCAATGATTGCAAATTGTCAGAGGCCAGCTTTGCCGTTTCGAGGTTCACGAGAATTCTCGGGGCCGCTAATGCATCAACACTACTTGACTACTGGTACACATTATACTGTAGGACTTCGGCACCGTCACGACCGGCGGTGTGATCTTGTTACCTGTCCACAAGGGCTGCCGGCGAGAATGGTTTGTCTTCAGCTACGAACAACCGCCCCTGGAACACTGGCTACATTAACTGAGCTGAAACAGCCTTTTAAGACCCTTAGTGTACTGTCAGTCTCGACTGTTATGTGCTACATGGAAAGACTTTTCTTCCCCAAGATGAACATCTACCTATATCAGGTGGGATTGCTCATCTGGCACCGGAACTCCCCGTAAGCGGCACGGAGATTCCTGGAGAATGAGAACTAGGGTCTGAAGCTAGACCATCATTCGACCGATTCCAGCAAATGTCTCCAGCATTCTAGAGATCGAAGCCATCGCTATCCTCGTCTTGTTCCCAAGACTGAGCCGAGGATTTGACTCCTTGACACTGTGGCAGGTTATGCGCAAAGGATGAGCCTACACAGTAGAACCTTGCCTGATCGAAGCGCGGTCACTGGATTGCTCTTTAGCTACAACAAGCTCCACGCGACCTCTGCATCAGGAGGGCGCAAAGAAGACATCATGTAAAAGCATTATTCGGCCTATTTCGGCTGGAACCAAATACCCTCCTCGATCCACATTATGGGTCCCTTCGAGCCGAATTCCGAATCTGCCACTCCTTAGGGTTGTCAGGACACTCCGCGTGAATGTATGGTAAGAACATGGCATTGCAGCCGACAGCGTTCTGTTCTGGCCGTTCAGAGCTTTGCATAAAACTCATCTTTCTCCTTCAATGCTTGCATCAAGTCCCGAGCCCATGCCCTGGGATTCGTTGCAAAGCTTACATGCATGCCCGGCAGCAGGGCAACCTTCAGCCCGAGCCTCTCCCCGATTGCCACGTTCGCCCGAAAATGCAGCGCCTCGTTGTTCGAGTCACGACCATTGGCTAGCAGTAGCAGGTGCTTTTTCTTCTCCAGAACTTTGGTGTCGAATTCTCGAAAGGGATACTGCAAAAACTCCCGTTCGAACCAATACATAGTATTGAACTTGACATCGGGTGTCGTCGAAGTGAAGCCCTGAGTTAGCGCTGGCCTCTCAGCACCCGCTTTGACCATGTCGGCAAACTTCTCTATGGCTGGAGCCACACCAGATTTGCGGTAGGTGTTGTATATGTCATTCTGAACCTTCCACAACTCGTCGCAGTCGGGCAGGAACTTCACAGCCGGTGGCTCGTGCGTGATCACAGTACGAAGCACATCTGGATGGCTGCTGAGCAGTTCGAGGGACACGATGGCACCAGAGCTGTTGCCCAGCACAGTGGCCGTTCCGTCGCTCGACAGATGCTTGATCAGGCGGCTCGCATCGTCGGCGTCGGTCCCGAGGCGATGCTCATAGTCCTGGGCGCCGATCAGGTTACTTCGTGAAAACCCACGGCGGTCGTATAGGGCGACGGTGAAGTGAGACTTGAGATGCTCGGCTAGCATGCGCCATAGATCGCATGAGCCGTTACCACCGGGGATCAACAACAGCAATGGGCCGCTGCCGATGGTCTCGTAGTAGAGCTGTGCTCCTGGGACATCAAGGTGGGGCATCTTGGTCGACGGAGGTGTTGTGAAAGGTCTTAGTGTTTGATCAGGGATGGTGCCTGGGTAGGTCTCGGGGTTGGATGCTCGCCAGGGTGAGAAGGTCGAAAGGCATGAAAAGATTGGTACCAGACCGCATGACTCCGGAAGCTTTCTTATTGCGAACCTCAGGGTCAGGCAAAGGCGGGGTTCAGCAAGAGCTCATGGTGGGACCTTGTCGACATTCTCAAAGGGTCTGAAGGTCCCGTCTATTGCAGGAGTTGCGAGTGTGAGTAAGCCGCTTTTGTTCATTGCTCGTAGATGACCTGGGGGAATTGGCCGTATCGAATGGGATGAAGGAATGGGTATATGGCATTTTTATGTGACATCCAATGTTTCTCACACAAGGAATCGCTTTTGTACGTTGAATTACGTTGTCTCATTGATAGGCTTTCCTCCATTCTCGATGTATTTGGCAAGCTCGACGAAGACGCTTTGTATCTGGGCACTATCAAAGAATTCCTTGACCTCCCAGACCTTTTCTCCATCCTCGGTCATTTTCAGCATGACTGTCTGCTCGGCCTCGTAGGCGCCTACGACTGTCTCGGCGTTGCTTTTCGCGTAAAGAACGACTTGGTTCGTTTTGGCGTCGACACATGTATCGAAGATGGTGACCCGAAAATCCTTTAGATAAGGCATGACCATGCCAGTGTAGTATTGTCGGTATTCCTCGTTGTTCATTTTCGGCCGGTTGAGAGACGTTGGCAAGGTGTAGTACGTGCAGTTTGAGGCTCGAGGAGCCATGATGGCATCGATGTCCCAAAGCTCATAGCCCTTTATGATAGCGTGAGCGGTTTTGAGGAGTTTGGAATATTGCTGGTCCATAGTGTACGACTTTACTATGATGATGAGATACAGAGGCAAGTAGATACATAGGTTCCTCGTCAGCCACTCCGTACTTATAGTTGCAATTTCTTCAGGCCACCCAGCCAGGGTTTGAGGTCTGATCGGAACGGGACTAGAAATATCCGTATTATCTATACCTACATAAGCATGAGGCGTATCCAGGGCCGACTGAATTCGCCTGGGTGCTGGATGGTGAGGAGAGGAACTTCGAGCAGTATGGTGTGGGTGAGAAAACTCAGCCTCGCTCCCTCCTTGGTCCGTTTTAGGATGAGACAGCGGCCATTGGTCCCGTGGCATATCCTTGCATGACGAGTACATAGTACGGACGCGCAAATGTCATCTCATGGGACGGGTTGGCCCCTCGCAATCCGAGCCAAGTGAGACAACGAAACAAATCTCCTCAGGTAGGTTCAAGTTACTACAAATTTCGTATGCCTCGCTGTCCTCGCTGTGTCACAGACGAAGAGAAGGAGCAATGGTTCACCGTAGCGACTGGAGGAAAATCGTCAATGCTTGGCACTAAAATGACATCAAATGACGGAATATTTCAACTTGGATATATTTATATATTTTTCGTGGCGAGAGAGACCGACGTCTATATCTTCCATGGGCACCTTTTGTATCGCATTTAACTCAGTATGGCGTCTCAAAATCCACCGAGCGATGCTGTCGTGGATGGGCAAGCCAGTGGCGTAGCTGATGGTCAGGCTCCCACGCATACATACGTGCCAAACCGTGGCTACGTGAACAGTGACGCCGCTGGCTCCCAGCGGAGGCTAGCACCAGGCCAGTTCGTTCAGGAAGACGACGACGAAGACGACGAAAATGACGAGGAAGAAGAATACGATGATGACCTGGATAACGACCACCTGCTTGACCCCGAAATGCTCGCCTCATCCAACCCTTCCGATCTTACAAAATCATATAACCGCCAGCGGCGCCTCGACCAGGCCGTTAGCGACGCCAGTGTCCCATCATGGCAGTATCCCAAATCCAACCCTCAAAGATCGGCCAAACCCGACATGGGAGAATTAGGCTACGGCGTGAAGAAGCTCAAGATCGAAGGACCCGAGTCCTTACCCACAGGCCCATCCAAAGGTAAAGACAAGTCCGACCGTGCTACGTCCGAGCAGGTCCTTGATCCCAAGACCCGTCGCATACTCTTCCAAATGATCAACTCAGGCATTGTGTCCGAGATCAACGGCACGATATCAACTGGCAAAGAGGCGAACGTGTACCACGCCGTGTCGGCCTCGGACGATCCAGAACAGCCAGACACCCAGGTCGCGATCAAGGTGTACAAGACGAGCATTCTCGTCTTCAAGGACCGGGAGAAGTACGTCACCGGCGAGTTCCGGTTCCGTAAGGGGTTCAACAAGGGTGACAACCGAGCCATGGTCAAGCTCTGGGCGGAGAAGGAAATGCGCAACCTCAAGCGGATTCACACCGCAAAAATCCCGTGTCCGGAACCGCTCTACTTGCGCAGACATGTGTTGGGGATGAGTTTCATTGGCGACGCGAAAGGCAAGGCCGCGCCACGACTGAAAGATGTTGTATTCGAAGATGAGAATCCCGCAGCGAGATGGCGCGGCGTGTATGTCGACGTGTTGGCGTACATGAGAATTATGCTTCATGTTTGTAAGCTTGTACATGCGGATCTGAGCGAGTACAACATCCTGTTCTATCGGGGCAGGCCGTGGATCATTGATGTGAGTCAGAGTGTCGAGGGGGATCATCCGCGAAGCTTGGACTTTTTGAGGATGGACATCAAGAACGTCAGCGACTTCTTCAGGAGGCAGGGCGTGAATGTGTTGAGTGATAGGAAAGCTTTTGAGTTTATTACGGCGCAGGTAAACGGCGGAGATGAGATGCTACAAATGGATGCGCTAGGAGCGGAAATCGATAAGATCATGGCGGAGAGAAAAGAAGGCGAAGAGGACGACGAGGTTGCGAATGAAGTGTTCAGAAAACAGTACATCCCCCAAACGCTGGATGACGTGTACGACGCAGAGAAGGACGCCGAGCAGATGAAGACTGCCGGCCGGGATACATTGGTGTACAAGGATCTACTTGCGCCGACGAAGCGTGAGGAGCGGGAAGAGGAGGCGTCGTCAGACGTCGATCAAGACGACACTCTCGGCGCGCCCTTGGAACGGGTTGAATCTCACTCAGCTCAGGAGTCGGGGTCGGCTGGTGAGGAGTCGGATGCCGCGTCGGAAAGCGAGTCTGAGGGTGATGGGCGGCCGCGAGGGAAAAGGTTCCAGGACAAAGACGAGAAGCGCGAGCACAAACGCAAAGTTAAAGAGGAGAAGCGGGAGAAGAGAGCGACGAAAATGCCCAAGAACGTCAAGAAGAAGCTGGTCAAGGAATCTTCGAGACGGAAATAGGTGCCTGCAGCGTGCAGGAAGGATTTCAAGTCGAACAACGCACCGGCCTTCAATTGTGCCACTTTCCCTGTCGACAGTTTTGGCACCAGCTACGCCGCTCACCCGGGCTGCGAGCTGGTAACGTCAGATTTTCCGGAGTGATGGACCGCATCATTGAACCGGGCCAGAACTTCAAGGAACGTGTTTGGCGGATGAAGCCGAGCCTGCCAGAGCAGGGACTACTCTGCTTGTTCTCGCGCCGCCGTCGGACTGGTCCTGTCTGCTGCAATATGACCGAGCAGGAGCGGTCCCAAAGGTGGTTTCAGAATCAGATTCAGATTCACATCCGACTTTGAAAATGATGGCAACGGTCTCAATTGCCCTTGACGAGGTCGGGTATGAGGACGAAGTAAGTACTTACTTATCATCCTCCACACCAAGCACACCTGGCATGCACATGAAGACACCATCACACACTTGATATGATATCCAGACCAGCGGGAGGTGGCCAGACGGCCGTGTTGCCTTTAATACAGCCTCGCACCTTCCGCTCGTCTTGCCCCTTGCTCACAACATGTGGGATTCAGGGGATTTATGAAATACCAAAGAGAGCACTGAAAACCCATTCGACGATCGTGTCATTGTCTACAATTTGTACTCTGCCCGGCAGTTATAGCTGACTTTATTCCCGTTTAGGCTCCCCAGAAACACAAAATAATGGTGGCCGCATCACCTCCCCGTTTTGAACCTCCTTGCCGCCTCTTCCACCGTCTTCTGCGGCAAGTCCGGCACGCTGGCATCGAATCCATCCTCGTCGACCCTATGGATCTCAAACCGTGGTGGTAACGCATTCACCCCAGGCCAAATGTCTCCCGGCAGGAACTCACCCAGGTCATCTCGAAATTTCACCCTCAACTGCCGATCCTGCTCGTATATCTGCGCCAATTGAGAATGAGCCTGAGCGATCACTCGCTCCATCTGCTTCTTCGTTGCGCGGCGTCGATCCACTTCAATAATCAAACCGTCATACGCATGCAGAAAATTGGCATAGTAACTGCAAAGTTCTTCCATACCACCGATGCCATCTTCGATTTTAGCTTTCTCTTCGTTCCATCGACTTGCGCGTCGTGCCGTTTCTGCCACATAGCCCGACAGGCGGCCCGATATCTTCTCCATGAGTCGAAAAGCCGTAGCGACGTCCGCGTAGGCGTTTCCTTGCCGTTCGCGCCATTGAGAGATTCTGTCCAATTGGGCTTCCATTTCGGCGTGGCGGTCTTGTAGTTCCATGACAACTTCGTCGACTTCTGCCGCGTCGTTTTCCAGCACTTGGAGCATCTCCAGGCGTTCTTCTTCATTCATGGGTTGTGCGGGAGCCTGGAGTTCATCCATACCCATGCCGACTGCTTCGGAGAGGTCTTCGGCATTGGCGTTCATGGTCTGTACCACGGCTTCACCGCCTCCTTCGGTATGTTTGATGGCGGTGACGCAGAGATCGAAATGCTTGACCAGACTTTCCAGTCCTTGTGCCATTTCTTTTGCATGATGTTCGAGGATGGACAAGCTCATAGGAATGGTGGGTTGTTGGAGTTCACTTTCAGCGGCCGACTCTTCGGCTCGGTTAACGAGGACTTCATTGATGGACTGCAGATCCTCCTCGAGCGTCTGGATGGACTGGTTAATCTCGTGCTGGTTGTCCTGGACATTGTCTATGGCCGCTCTCATAGCCTGCTTGATGTTCTCGACGCCATTGTCGTCGACAAAGTCGTGTAGAGTGTCCTTAGATATGGTGCTTTGTGTCCCTGTGGTCGATCTGAAGGCTTCCTCGATTGTGGTCTCTTTCAAAGAGTCTATGCATTGGAGAAGTCTTGCGCCAGTTTCGTCCAACTCTTTGATGATTGCTTGGAAATCATGTTGGATTGCCTGGGCAGCTGACTCGAGTTCGAACTGCACGCCACGCAAGATCTTCAATTGCGAGGCTACGGAGCGACGAAGGTAGGTCGTCTTTGCCAGGAGCGCAGTGGTAGACTCGATTGAGGCACGTGCCTCGGTGAGGATGGTTGTGGCTCGATGGACGAGAGTGATGCTGCCCAATGAGCGTTTGGATGCCACTAGGTGTGAGACAATTGTTTCGACAGTCGCTGGAGGACTAGTGCCTTGCAAGGAATGGGATGGGGAGGAACGAGCAGATGGCTGTTGAGCGGAGTACGGGGATTGCGCCATGACAGGGAAGAGTGAGGAATCAGGCGTCTATACAAGGTTTGGTGATGCACAAAGCCATCTTCGGTAGGGAGAGACTTCTCGGATGCCGATGGCCTTGCTGACTCGACATGCTATCTCATGATGGAACAGATATGTCCGCAGCAGCACTGGAACTTGATGGCAGCTCAGAGATCCAGGCGCGTGTGGGGAAGGGTAAACAAGGTACCTTGCTAAAAGCCGGATACCAGTGGCGATCGTTTAGGCGTCAAAGTTTGGTTCTGGTGTTCTGGTGGTTCTGGTGGTTCTGATGCTTCTGACAAATGTCCAAGGCGCCCCGTTGGATGGTCAGTGGATGGTTGGAGATGATGAAGGACATGGTGGAAATGGCGTGCGAAATGATGCCATCGCCAACCAGAAAGGGCGCGGACGGAGCCACCAGGAACCTTCCCCGCGAGGCTAATCAGCCAATAGGAGACTTTAAATCTTCCCCCAAATCACATGACTGGCTACGATTGCCTACCGGCCGACTTCCATCTTTTTGCCCTCCTGCACCATCCTACACCCGTTGACACCCAACAAGTCTGCTTGAGATAGGACTAGGCCTCTGTCAGATTCCTGCAATCTAGCACGTTGCACGAACCCTGCTCAGTATTTTATCTTCCTACATTGCCTCTTAGCCACCATACAACAGCCCCGAACTCTGGTCGCACTAGTCCTTGGTCGATAACCGAGATAGCCAACTGTCGGGCGAGGGACGACATGTAATATACCCTCCTTCGACATTCTCAACGAAATTCTTCACTATGCCTTTTGACCTGGTAGAGAAACACGCAAGGCATTCCCTGGTCGAAACGGAATGGGAAGAGCCGGCTAGAAAGAGGTTGCGTCACAACCCAATTGAAGAGGAGGACTACCATGAACACACCGCACATGCTGAACATCTGCAAGATGCCTCCAAAGACAAGAGCATCACCATTCAATCTACCGCAAAGCATGCCCGACAGACCGTCGCTCCTTTCCTGGCAAAACACATTCCTTCCCAATATGCGCCACTCGGAAAGAATGGCATGCCAGCAGGCGAAACCAAAGACCCCAACTCCAAATTCTGTTACCGCCATAGACCAGATATGTTGTGTCGCCGACAAGCAGATGAACCATCTATGGACAAGCTACAGAAGGACTTGGATGCGCTGTCACAAGAAGATCGCCAAGGCATAGTCCAAGTGTGGTCCTTGTTTTCTGCTGCGCCGTCCAAGCATCGAAACCTCATGTTGCAAGGTATCCTCGCTCAGTGCTGCTTCCCACAGCTATCATTCCTCTCTGCAAACGTCCAGAAACTCATCCGCATCGACTTTGTGTCGGCACTACCTCCCGAGGTCGCTTTCCGCATTCTTTGCTTCTTGGACACCACCTCTTTATGCAAAGCCGCACAGGTGTCGCGCAGGTGGAGGCAATTGGCAGACGATGATGTGGTGTGGCATAGGATGTGTGAACAACATATCGATCGGAAGTGCACAAAATGTGGGTGGGGCCTACCGCTGCTGGAGCGAAAGATGCTGCGTGCGTCGAAGAGACAAATTGAGCTCCGCGCTGCCGGCAGTCTTTTACGTGACTCCGATTCTGCGAGCTCGTCCCAAACCCTCGAAAACCGCTCAGAACCATCTGCTGCGATAGATGATGAAAGTCATCACGATTACTCCGATCTCGAGAAGTCGTCGGATGGTCGCCTGTCGCCGGTGACGATACGAAGACCTCCACTAGGAACGACGGACAGCGAGTACAGAAGAACGAGACCTTGGAAAGATGTATACAAGGACAGATTCAAGGTCGGAACCAACTGGAAATACGGCCGATGCAGCATTAAGATTTTAAAAGGTCACTCTAACGGCGTCATGTCGCTTCAATTGTGCGACAACATCCTGGCGACAGGTTCGTACGACGCGACAATCAAGATATGGGACCTCGACACCGGTGCAGAGCTGAGGACGCTCAGAGGCCACACCATGGGCATTCGCTGTTTACAGTTTGACGACAACAAACTCATCAGTGGCAGTCTCGATAAAAGCCTCAAAGTCTGGAATTGGCGGACCGGAGAATGCATAGCCACATACCACGGCCACTCGGAAGGCGTTGTGGCCTTGCACTTCGACTCCAATATTCTTGTGTCTGGTTCGGTCGACCACACCGCTCGCGTGTGGAATTTCCAGGACCGCTCGGTCTTCACACTGCGCGGACACACCGACTGGGTCAATAGCGTCAAGATCGACACCGCTTCGCGCACCATATTCACTGCGTCCGACGACTGTACCGTCAAGCTCTGGGACCTAGACACCAAGAAATGTATCCACACATTCGAAGGCCACGTCGGCCAGGTCCAGCAAGTTCTGCCGTTGCCGCCCGAGTTTGAGGCCGATGCGGAAGAAAACCCGGATCAGGATTCGGACGCAGGAAGTCCAGATAGCCATACCTCCATCCCACCACCCGACGACATGCAGTCTATGTGCATTGACCATGTTGGGTTGTTCTCCTCGGAGCCCACTCGTGCACAGCCGCCGCGGTACATGCTTACTTCAGCACTTGACTCGACGATTCGGCTTTGGGACGTGCACTCGGGACGGTGTATACGGAAATTCTTTGGGCATGTTGAAGGCGTGTGGGCCGTCGCGGCGGATACACTCAGGTTTGTGTCCGGTGCCGAGGACAGGATGGTCAAAGTGTGGGATCCGCGGACGGGGAAATGCGAAAGGACGTTCACTGGGCACGCTGGACCAGTGACGTGTATCGGGTTGAGTGACAGTCGGATGTGCAGTGGTGGCGAGGATGGGGAGGTTCGCGTTTATAACTTTACTGCTTGATCTAGACTTGACCCGAGCCTCTGTGTTGTCAGGTTGGTTGCGGAACGTTTGGCGTCTGGGTACGGTCATGTCTGCATATGGATTGAACATGGACGCGGCTGGGGGCATGGCATCCAGTCCGGAATATCTTCTTTGTCGGAAGTCCATGCTCGAATATACCATTGGTCATAGGGACGTTATTTTATTACATGTTGGGGGCCCGTCTTGTGGATTGGTATCATCTATCCATCTAGCTATGTTGTGGTCGGAAAGGTAGACCAAATGCAACGAAGATACTCTATACTCGAACATGATGTGGTGATTCTTGCAATGTTCAAGTGAGAGAGCTCTGGTCGACGCACATGGTAATAGAAAACCGAGTATGTCAAGCCACACTCTAGTCTACATACGCACATCAGATAAACCAGAACTAGAATTAACCGGACTCCGTGCATGTGCACATACTATATGTAATCCCAATCCTAACGCCCATCATCGCCCAATGTCATAGCATACCAGCCTCGTTCATGACACGATACCACATCACTCATACGCCCATAAACCCCTCATTAGACGATCCGTGTCCTCGTCAATGTTCATATCCATGTTCAGCTTACTCATTCAGCGAGCCAACCAAGAGCCTTCCATTTGAGCTCAATGATGAAGACAGAGCAGACCGGATGCAAAGAAACCAAGGGTTGGGACGAGACCAACTTAAATGCCGGTGATCCTCCTGACACTCCTCCGGCCACCTTCGCCGGTAACCTGGACTTTGCCCTCCTGTTCCAGGGCTCTGAGCACCTCCTGGAACTCGGCGCCTTCGATCTCGACTGTGCTCCCCTCGCTGACTTTCCTGTACAAGTCGGCATACCTTGCGGCGCCACCACTTCTCACACCTGCGTCGTCATCGACGGCGCTGAGCACCGCACGCTTGAGGTCCTCTTTCCGGCGCCGATCACTCGCACTGCCGCCCTCCGAGAGCAGACCCATGTCGATCAATCCCGTGCGGGCGTCTGTCGCGCTGGCCTTGATTGCGGATCTGATCAGGCGCACCGCCTCCGCCACATCGGACTCGGTGACGGTCTGGGACAGGCGCATCTTCGCGTGCGCCTCGCTGAGCCGGATCATGCTTTCGAGTTGACGCGTTGTCGCGGTGATCCGGCGGTCGGAAGCTTGGATCGATGAGCCCAGGCTGCGCATTTGAATGTACGCGTCGACGAGCGCTTGTGAGGCGGCCGGCGTGAGAGCGGGATGGATGTTTTGGCGCGCGTACGATATGTACGCTGTTAAGAACTCAATCTGCTATAAAAGGGTCCCCCGACGTCAGCATTTGTAGAACGAATACAAGGAAGCAGCGAAGGAAGTGAAGGGACATTGAACTTAAGGCGGGCTGTTTACAAAGGAAGACTTACAAGAATTTCTTCCCTGGACGCATTTTCCGGCGCATCTTCAAGGTACATTCCGACCAAGTGCTTGGCAAGTCGACGGTCGTTGACTTCATCGACGCGATCCAGCACGAGATAGACGAGGTCGAAACGCGACAGCAGTGTCGGCGGGAGATCGATGTTTTGCGGGACGGGCAGGTTTGGGTTATATTTACTCCCAATGGGATTGGCCGAGGCGAGGATACTTGTCCTGGCGTTGAGGGTGGTAATGATACCCGCTTTGGCGATGGACACTGTCTGTTGTTCCATGACTTCGTGCAGAACCGAGCGGGTGGATTCATTCATCTTGTCGAACTCGTCGATGCAGCAGACGCCGCCATCTGAGAGGACGAGGGCACCAGATTCGAGGACGAGTTGTCTCGATTCCGGATCGCGCGTCACATATGCTGTCAGACCGACTGCAGACGAACCCTTGCCGGAAGTGTAGACGCCTCGAGGTGCAATTTTGTGGACGTACTGAAGCAATTGGGACTTGGCCGTGGATGGGTCACCACACAGCAGGACGTTGATGTCGCCTCTGTATTTGGGGCTTCCGCCTTTTTCGAACGACTTGTTGGTTCCGCCGAAGAGTTGCAGGAGAATGCCCTTTTTCACGTCGTCGAGCTCGTAGATGCTGGGGCCCAGACTCCTGGAGAGGATCTCGTAGATGTCGTCTCGGCCTGCGATCTCCTGGATCTTGGCTTCTTCTTCGGCTGTGATTTTGCGGGTTTGTTCTGCGTCGCCTGCGACTTGTTCGGAGAGTTCTTGCTCGATGGTGGATGCATCGATGCCCAACTTGCGCTTGTCCACTTTTTGAACATGCAGGACATCGACATATGTCTTGAATAGAGATTTGACTGTTCTTTGACGGGGATTGACCCGGACGGGGTTGCTTCTGAAAATTCCAGTCACCTCAATGCGGTCACCGGCTTTGCAGACATCCACCAATTCGTCATACACGCAAAGAGATACGCTGTGTGGCGTCTGTCCATCTGGGACCGAGTCTGGTGTTTCTTGTAGCTTGATGACCTGCTTGTCTGCAAAGACACATCGGTTGTGGACAATCTCCATGCTGTCCCTCGATTTACAAGCAGTTCGAGGGCATTCGGTTGGTTCTGCGATCTTGCCTCTATCAATGGAGACGTAGGTGGTATGCTTGCAGACAGCGCACTTGAAGAATGCTTCTTTCATGTCTGGAATGACCGGAGTGGCTCGAATGACAAGGCCCTTGATAGAAATCAGTTTGTCGATGTCTGCTGGATCAAGGTCACGCATGTTGACGGTTTTGTCCAATCCGAATGGCAAGACTTTCCAAGGTCGAATTTCTGCTTCTTCCACCAAATCAGGGATTGCGTCTGCACCAGGAGTAGCGACCGGTGTAGCGGCACTACCAAGATCTGATGGTGGTAGTGGAGGCATTGAGCTTCCATTACGTGCCCTAGAAGCAGTTGTATCATTGCGTGCTCTTTGCAACTCTTGCATCTCCATTTGCGCAAGCTCTACCATGACATCTTTGACGCACTGATCCATTAAAGGGATAATTTCTTGTGGGTATGCTTGCAGTTGGTGCCATAATTTCAAGGTCGCAGGATATGCTTTGAGATTGCGGGCATCCAGATTCAGACCATGAACACCTAGTTTTCGCATGTCTTGTAGCATTTCAAGGTACTCTTTCTGGTCCGCACCAGCTCCTAGGGCTGCTGTTTCTTCCTCGGAAGCACCATCAGCCCACATTCGATATTTCTTTGCAAAGTTGTAGAGAAAGTTCTTGAACGATGACATAGAGTCCACAATGGAAATGTTTGTGCCCCAGATAACTCTTGTGGAGTCGCCTCCCATTGCATCTGCCTCTGAGGTATCCGGGTTCAAGTTTGAGAAGGTGGCTTCTGAGGCTGGCTCTTGACCATCTCGCACTGGCATGCCATCTTCGCCGACATATATGCGACGTCGATTGGCAGGAGAGGAGGCAAATGTGTCTGAGTGGATATCTCCTCGTCGCGAGGAAATTCGTGGTGGACGATCTTGACGCACGAACAAGCCGCTGCTGCTTGTTGGCACATCGGACTGCATGCGATTTGAACTCCGCACAGGGCTTGAGCTGGGGTCATATCGAACTGGGGAAGACTCTGCTGATAGTGAGAATACTGCTACTCATTGAAAGGGGGTCTCATTACCTGCAGCTGGCCTGGTGGATGGTCGAGGTGTCGTTTCGCGGTCACCCACATTGGATGACTGTCGCGGAGGCGAGCTGATAATCATGCCATCGCTTGCCAACTGCGAGGGAGGTGCGGGTGTTGACCGCACTGGCGACGATTGAAAGAACAAAGGTGAGGAAGATGCCACTGCAGGGCCTCCGTTGGCCTGCTTGGAATTTCTGGGGGTCGCTTGAGACTGTTGTGCCGGAGTTGAAGATTGAGATTTGCGCGAAGAATGGCCTCGACGGCGCGAGGATGGTGTCGACGACATGGTAGATGGGGGTTGTGGTTGTGGTAGTCTGTCGTCTGGCCTTCAAGACATTCAGGAGTCCCCCTCGGAGTGGGCGATAAAGTTATGAGCAGAACGCGTCCCGCGTCGAACGCGAAAACGCCAAGGCCGAGAGCGCGTAAAGTGGTTTCGCCAGGAAGGCCTCGAGGAGGTGATCACGTGAAACAAACGGGTTTCTTCTTCTACCGCCATGGTGCAAGTAAACAACGCCCATCCTCACTCATATGCATAGCACAGAAACCTTTCATCCATGTCTGCTAATGCTCGCATTGCCTACGACGTCCTCTTGTTATGCTTCAGTTCCATTCGGATAGCGCTGTTGACTACTCTACCTCAGGCGAAGGTATGAACCAGTTCTCATCTGCTATCAGCTTCACCCGATGCAAATCTTTCGACCTTATCTTCTCCTTGTCCGCAATATACTCGTCAACCTTCCTGGAACAATCCACATATCTGCCCGACATGAAATCCATCTTTCCGCTGGCAAGGGCAACTACCATCCCAGCAGCCATCTGTGGAGTATCCCAGGATACCTCCTTGAAAAAGTGGACAGCAGTCTCTGCTGACTTCTTTTCGCCCTCTAGTGTTTGCGACACATAGCTATCTGGCTTGATGTTCCCTTCTGCCGCTTCTTTGAAGTCGGTATAAAATCGGGTTTTAATCGCTCCTGGATGAATGGCGAACGTCTTGATGCCAGAATCCTTGTTTTCGAAATGCAACGCTTCACAAAGCCGGACCATGCCTAGCTTTCCAAGCATATAGCTGGTCATCCCTTTGTTGACGTGTGCACCCGCACTGGCGGTGAAGATGATGCTTCCGCCGTTCTCCCTTCGCATGGTGGGAATGACGGCTCGACTGAAATTGAAAGCTCCCTGGAGGGATATGGCAACGGTATCCCACCAGATTTGTGGGTCTGATTCGTGTGTTGCTAACCACTGAGGTGGCCGACCAGCATTCATGAACAGAACATCAATCCTGCCAAATTCTTTGTCGACATCTTCGACAAATTTTTGCACTTTGGCATAGTCCCTCACATCAAATGCAGCCGTCTTGGTTGTGAGGTTCGGATTGATTTCCTTGCACAACTTAGCCGTTTCCTCCACTTCGGCAGCCTCCAATGCCATCAGGCTGAGAGATTTGGCCTCTGTATGGGCGAAGAACTCCGCAGTCGCTCGCCCAATGCCGCGCCCGGCACCAGCAATAAGAACATGACGACCATTTTGCGAAGCAGCCAGATCTTTGTTCTTGCGAGGATCAGAAGCGTATTGGCAGTCATGCTGGTTACCAAGGAATCTTTCTGGCGCTGGCTCACCCATCGTTGCTGGTCAATAGGTCCAAACAGGAGTACCAGTTACTATTTCGAGTTCGAGGCCAACGGTGACACATTTCTACGAACTATATGTACTCCCCACATGTTCGCGAATCTGGGTTGGGGGTTGAAGGGGTGGAGTAAGTGCCTTTGCCGTTTGCTGTCATCGGCTAAGAACCCAGACTGACTACCGTACATATGAGGATGTGGGGAAGACTTTGTGGGGTCCTTGGAGCAACACGGAGCAACCACAGACGGATGAATCATGGGTTCCAGCAACAATTTACTTGATCTTTGGCGATCATCAAGCTTTTATTTTGTCGAGGTAAACTCCGGCAACCGAGATCTCGCTTCTGCAATGGGATCCTCGAGTGCAGAGCATCGCCAAGTCATTGTGGTGGGCTGTGGCCCGGTCGGTTTGACTACCGCAACAAACCTCGCAAGACTTGGAGTTCCTGTTCTGATCTTGGAGAGAAATCACGAGGTCGATCAATCCCCTCGGGCATCTGCATACCAACCATGTGCGCAAGCCGAATTACTCGAAACTGGGACATTGGATGATGTCAAGGCACAGTCTGTCATCAACGATCGGCTCTCATTCTGGGTCAACAAAGAACGGGTTGCATACGTTGACAAGAGGGAAGGCGGAGAAATCTTCCCGGCAGGGATAAATTGCCCTCAGCCACAACTCGCAGCAATCTTGCTTAATCATTTGACGACTCGGTACAACTCTGAGGTCAGGTTTAATCAACAAGTGACAGAAATTACCCAAAACGATGAGAGTAACACGGTGTCAGTCACGGCTATTAATCCGGCTACAAAAGAGCAAACCAAATACAGTTGTGATTGGCTTGTGGGCACCGACGGTGCAGGCTCAAGTGTCCGGAAGCTTTGCAACATTCCTTTCGAAGGCTTCTCCTGGCCGAAAGAGGACTTCGTGGCGACTAATATCAAGTATGATTTCTACAAACATGGCTTTACTACGGCAAATTTCGTTCTGGATCCCGTTAATTGGGCTGTGGTTACCATCCTCGGTGCTGAGAAAGACCTCTGGCGTATTGCGTTTGGGGTGAGGGCAGGTTTGACGAACGAGGAAATCCGAGCTGAGCTGGACGAACACTACAAACATATCTTCCCTGTCTGGCCGGTGGATTATGAGCTGGTCCAGTTGAACAAGTACAAACCTCACCAGAGATGTGCTCAGACTTTCAGAAAAGGAAGAGTCCTATTGGCAGGAGATGCTGCTCATGTAAGTGGTCGCTCCCCGGGGTTACTACCTCCATGACGCTCAAGGATGTGCTAGAGTAACAACCCAATCGGCGGCCTCGGACTAACAACAGGACTTCTTGACGCCGGCCCACTAGGCAGAGCTCTTGCTGCCGTTATCAATGGGAAAGCCCCAGAGTCTCTTCTTGACGTGTGGGCCAAGGCCAGACGCGACAAGTGGTTGAACTTTACGAACGAGTTCTCCATTGAGAACAAGAGACTGATCCAGCGAGGAGGATACAGCGACGATCCTCTAGACATCTGGAAAATTGACGATGTTGCCCGAGAACACGAGATGGAGCAGTGGTTGGCGATGGCGACTCCAGCGAAGAAGGACGCTGACCTTAAATTCTACAAAGCGCTGGAAGACCCTCAAGTCCAGCTCATGAGCCGAATGAAGCAGTGGGAGATAACCATGGACCCGATGTGGATGGCTCAATATGAAGACCCGGAGGTGGTTAAGTACAGAATCTCGCTGCGGCCTCCTGCGCTTTCAGCGACCACAATGGCAGGTACCGATTAGCAGGAATGAGAAATATTAATTATCACATGTTTCTTCCTTTCTTCTACGCTCTATGAAAGACAAGGGTATTTCTCTACGGAGACTTTCTCGTGAGCTGCGGAGACTTTGAGCAAATGTTTCCGCTGCCCTACACATTTCCTGCATGAGCAAAACGAGGACCATACACAGTTGGGAGCATATAATTGGCCTGCGCAACCAGCCAAAGACCTGAAACTGCACAGACAGACTATCCAGATTACTTAGCCACCATGAGCGACACTGAGAGCAAGAAGCGGGAGATTTTTGAGTAAGTTGTCCTCTCTTTATGCCATAGACATGTCATCCGAAGCCTTGTGCTGCCTATGTATTGATGTCTCTGTAGTCAGACCGCTGTGAGCCACCAGACCGACTTTGCGCCTCTTCTCAAGGCTATGATCCAGGAGATCCAGGATCGACGTCTCTGGATCCGTGGCAACTGGACGGGCGTTCGCCTGCTGGATTATGCCTGTGGTGCCGGTACCGCTTCAAAAGTGAGCTCAGTGATACCTTTGCCAACGCAAGCTTTTGCTGTTTGCATTTCAAACCTGACCAGATATACTACTCTAGGCCTTGATGCCTTTCGTAAGTCAAGCTGTGGGCCTCGACTTCTCCGAGGGCATGGTTGCAGAGTACAACAAATGGGCGGCGGCGAGGGGGTTTGGCCCAGAGCGTGCACACGCGTATCAGCATAATCTACTAAACGACGACGAAGTTCAGGCTGTAACGAGACAGAAGCCTGAGCTTGTCTCCAACTTCGACGTCGTCGTGCTAGGCTCGGCGTTGCATCACGTCGATGACACAGCGAAGCTGCTGGAGCGGCTCGCGAAGTGTCTGAGGGCTGGAGGTGTTTGTGTGGTCTTGGACAAAGCCCCCGATACCGATGAGAACAGCGAGTCAACGTCTCTGGCAACAGAGAAACCACGAGCGTTCACTGAAGCGGGTATGCGACAATTGTACATGGCTGCAGGGCTTGGTGGGAACTTTGAGTATCAGCTCATGAAGCCCGTTGAGTTCACGCTGCACGGCCGGAAGATGAATGTCACTGGCTTCATTGCGAGAGGAGAGTTATCGTAGGGCAAGGATGGTTTGTCAGGCATCTATATTCAATTGCATGCAACAATGCTACAGGGGTATCTCTTTTCCAACGCCCAACAGATCATACACACCCTCCGAAACAAGAGACGCTCATTCAATGTCCGGTCTCAGTCGGGCACTGAGCGCAGGAAATCCCATTGTCGGTCAGATTGATCCTGCAATTGTAATGCCATAGTCTGTTTGAAGAAACGTGCCTGCGCCATGATCTGATCCATATCAAACCGGCTAAGCTTGCCCCCGTCTCCTCCATATGCATCCATGATGTCTTGAAATCTCGTCCCCGAAGTGTAGACTTGCAGCGCGTGGAGCAAGACTATCTTCTCCTTGTCATCCATTGCCAGCGGAGGAGGAGCCGGTATTTCCTCAGTAGGCTCCCTTCTGGGCTGGGATCGGTGTGAGCCACGGTCAGACAGAGTCTGTACGGCTGTTGCTCCATGATCATCATTGGCACGATGCTGGTCGTCCACATCAAGCTCATCAATATCAATAACCTCTGACTCAGGGTGCTGATTGGTCCGAGTTGCATGGCGGCGATATCTCTCCCTGACCGCAGCCCTTTTACATTCAAACCGGGACATCAGTCTCTGTAGCTCGGCCCGTTGCTTAACCTCCAGATCATTGCGATACTTTTCAAATTCTTCCGGCGCGATCTCATCAGAGTATCGTCGGATGATATAGGCAACATTCGGTGCAATTTCCGACTTCATTATCGACTTGTTGGGGTTATCGAAATTCGGCCGGGGTAACCATACATTGGCACTTTTCACCAACAACATTGTGATCTGCAAAACACGAACCACGTCTTTGAGTGCGGTTGGGCTCAGATCACCATCTTGGAATTGTGCCCTTAGTACATATTTCGCCAACTTCATCGAGTCTGGAACGAGGTGCTCGAAAATGTCCCTGACCATCTTTTTGCGCTGACGGTCGTGCGTCATGTCAGGTCGGATTTTGTAGCTGCTGATGTGCTCACATCGTTCTTTGAAAATACGACGATTCTCCCGGATTGTCCTGATGTTCTGTGAAAGAGCTTCGGGCTCCACGCGCCCAAGCCTTTTGTACGCTTTGATCAGGATCTTCAGTGGTCGTGCTACTGCTCTGCCGGGAGTTGAAGTTGGCTCTGTATGGGCTCGACGTTCCACAACTTCAGCCGCACCTACAAGAGCCTCCTCCCAGGCTGGCCCACATTCATAGAGCTGCGCCGCGGTTTCGATGCCTCGCATGGCAGTCTGTATTCTCTCTTGCCGCTTGACTTCCTCTTCAGCTTCTAATTGCTCTCTTCTCCTCCTCTCAGCTTCAGTCTCTGGGCGCTGACTTGAAGCATGGTTGGCCGTTCCCTGTAAATCATCCTCTTCTGCTCGATCCCCGTCGTCTTCTCCTCGATCTGCTTCTGGTGCTGATGCTGGCTCATCTTGCTCGGCTTCAGATGCCGAATGCTCATCTACCTGATCATCTGGTTCCTGCTCATCGATTCCCTCATCAGCAGCTTCCTGGGGACCTGCCTGACGGCGGGCTGGGGCACGCCTTTTTGGCGAAGCGGCGACTCGATTCGGATAGCTCTGCTCATGCCGAGTCTGTAATGCAGCGTGCGCCAGCGAATTTACTACTTTCGAAGCTCGAGAGTCCTGTGCTGATTCAGGTTCTCCAGGCACAATCTCAGGCGTTCGGCCTGGCCCCACTCCTCCCCGGCTTGGTTTCTTGCTAGGAGATTTCCTCGCAGGAGTGGGCTGAGGCTCAACAGCTGTGGATGCAGATACCTGAGCAGGTGGCAGTACTGGAGTCTCTGGACCATCAGGCTGTCTGAATGCCTCCGCGAGGACGTCTTCACCATCGAACGGGGCGTTGCTCGAGTCGTTCTGGTGCGTAGTAGGACGCAACTTCAGGATGGAGGTTCCGATCTTTTGCAGCTTGTTTCTTGTCGGTATTTTCCTGGGAGAGTCGTCCAAATAGACAGTAGCAGTCGTCCTGATATCAAGCTCTCCCTTGCCCCGAAAGGGTGAAACTGGCAACTGCTTCTGTTTGGTCTTATTCAAAGCCCTCAGCTTCTTCGGAGGCTCAATAGCCGGACGCGTTGATGCAACAGCTTGTGGGGAATCGGGTAGCTCGTATTGATCACGTCGGCTGACTGGCGGGCGAGGTGCAAGGGAAACCCGCGCATGAAGCCGACCGGAGGATCGTGTTGAGGAGTGGGCATTTGTCGGGTTCGCAGGCGTCGACGTCGATGTAAGTTCCGCAGCTCTTCTCTTGTTCGGGGAACGTCCAGCATAGGACGTCAGCGTAGACTCGCGTTTGCGCTTTGGAGTCGACTGCTGGGCCTGGCCGCCAGCTTCTGCATTGAGAATCGCGGTAACGTCTTGCGACGCGTCCTCTGCTCTGTCGGTATCCTGCTCTTCTGGAACCCCGTTTATTCCAGAGAGCCGAGCTGAGCGCCGCATCTTGATGGGTATGTTATCGAAGCTGCGGCATGTTAGGAATAGGAGGATGGTGGGAATGGCGGTCGTAGATCGTGGACATGGTGGTGGGTTCAGCTTCTTGCGGACCGACGCGCGACAATTGATAGACGCGGCGGAAAGATTCAAGTTACTGGGCGACTGTTATGTCATCTTCATCTCGGGGCCTCCAAAAAGCGACATCTCGCCTTCAAACAATCAGCAATCGACTTTTGACATTCGACAGTCGTCCCATTCCTTCTATCTCTCTGCAGTTCTCTACGAACTCTTCTAACAGGTCTTGCGTGCTCACAATCCTCGATCGTGGTCCACCATGACGCCGGCTCCGCTCCTGGCCAAAGTCAAGGATGTACAGAGTCATCACTTCGAACAACCAACCAAAAGAATCCATGATGGTGCAGACGTTTCATTCTTCTTGACTTCCGTTGCCTACAGAGACATCATCACCTTTATCCTACAACTCAGTCGAGCTGTTATCCCTCGAAAAGAAGAAGTGGACGGCTGCCTCAAAACTAGGACCTGGCCATTGAATTCGGAGGATGTCACGTATTCTGACTCTGACACGAAATTACGGACGCTGTTGACCAAGTTAATCAACCTCATTGATGAGGTTCCTCCTGACACTGGACCGAGAAGATTTGGCAATGTCAGCTTTCGGAAGTGGTACAAGCTAGTTGAAGACCAGGTGGATGACCTACTTCAAGAGTGTCTACCCGAACCGTTATTGGCGGCGCGTGAAGAAATAGGTCCTTATCTCCTGGGCAGCTTCGGCAGTCCTCAGAGATTGGACTATGGCACTGGACATGAACTCAGCTTCATGGCATTCCTCGCTTGCCTCTGGAAGGTGGATTTCTTTCCTCAAGCTGAGCCGGGAATCGAAGAAAGAGGCATTGTGCTAGGCGTCTTCGAACTCTACCTATCCCTCATACGGAAACTCATCAAGACATACACTCTTGAACCCGCAGGTTCGCACGGAGTTTGGGGACTCGACGACAATTCCTTCCTACCCTACATCTTTGGCTCTGCTCAATTAGCACCCGCCATCACAGAGTCCGATGATGCTCCAACCGAAGGCTCCTTGCCGGATGCACCAGAGGCTTCCGCCGTTACCAAATCGAATCTGGTCGACAAGGAGAAAGACACAAACATGTATTTCTCCGCTATCGCATTCATCTATGATGTGAAGAAGGGCCCGTTCTGGGAGCATAGTCCGATGCTTTTCGACATCTCTGGTATCAAAGACGGCTGGGGCAAAATCAACAAAGGTATGATCAAGATGTACAATGCCGAAGTCTTGGGCAAATTCCCAGTTGTTCAGCATTTCCCATTCGGGTCTCTCTTCAAGTGGGAGAAAGATCCAGAAGCAAAACCTCCACCGACCTCGACACACGCAGCGAATCAACCTCTCCGAAATCCCTCAGATACTCACGCTCCCAGTACCATGCGACCTACAGGTCGGCCAATGGGTACAGGGGTTGCCGCACCCTGGGCTGGCGGACCTACACAAGCGCCACGGGGATTCGTGAACGGCGTCACTCAAGCACCATGGGCGGTTCGTGGTCCTGCGCCACCTCCACCACCTGGTGGTTTTGCTGCAAGTCGGCGGACCCCTATGCCAGCCCTTGGTGAAACGCATGGCAGGCGGACATTGGGCCCTTCTGCTGAGCAGGAAAGCAAAAGCAACACTGAATGAGTGCAGAACGCGAATACTATGGAACGCTAGAGCTCAAGAGCCGCGCAGTGAAACGCGGCTTCGAAACCGGATGTATGAATAACTGAATGACTCTCGCTAAGGGCTGGGTATTCCTTAGCGAGCTGATCTAGCGGCTGCGAAGCTCATGCCCATGAACGAAACTACACCCTATTCCCCACAACACCTTGGATCCGACGATGAGACGCAGAGTATGGAACCCTTGACACATTATGGCCACATGTACTCTGTCTCAGCCGACCGGATAAATTGGTAAGCTACGTCTACGACGGTGTTGGAATTGAAAGTGGCTATACCAAAGCGCAAGCAGTGTCCATGTAGGTATTGCTGAAGTCACCTTCCCAATGTGGTCGTGAACAGCATACAAGGTGACGGAGAATGGCCGCTGGGTAAAAAGTGATGGATAAAAGGCATGCTGGATAAAATACCGACTGCGGAGGCCGACTTCGTGTGGGGTTGTGGAAAGGTACTTATGTCGTACCTGCATTCACTAAATGCTTGGGAGGGCTTGTCAAAAGCCTCAAATCGGTAAGATGAAGAGCCTCATCGTCTTTGTTGCGGCCACTGGCTGCTCAGCCTGGAGCTACACACCAAATACGACATACTCCGCCTCGATATCGGTAAATGCACTTCAAAAGTACCAGACAATGATCGGCGGCGGCTGTTCTGGAGCATTTGGCATTGCATGTCAACAATTTGGCTCAGCCGGCTTGTCTGTGGCCAAGCAGGACATTGTTACTCAGACGCTTTTCGACGAGAACATTGGTGGTTTGTCCATCGTTCGTAACGATATCGGGTCGACTCCGAGCTATGTTGCTGGCGACGTCGCGTCCATCCTACCCATCTGCCCGGCCACTCCAGCTGGGCCTTTCAATTATGTTTGGGACGGCAACGATACATGCCAGCTGCAGCTCACCCAGACCGCGTTTAAGTACAACCCGAATATCTATGTATATGCTGATGCATGGTCTGCGCCGGGTTGTATGAAGTCTGTTGGCACCGAAGATAATGGCGGCTTCATTTGCGGTGTTAGGGGCGCCACCAACTGCTCTGCTGACTGGCGACAAGCTTATGCGGACTATCTGGTGCAATACGTGAAGTTCTATGAACAGGAAGGCATCGAAGTATCTCTGCTTGGTGCCTATAACGAACCGGACTTCAATCCGGTGACCTATGCAAGCATGGAGTCGGACGGCTACCAAGCGAAGGACTTCCTGGAAGTACTGTATCCCACGGCGAAAGCTGCATTTCCCAATATCAGCGTCGCGTGCTGTGATGCCACCGGTGCTAGACAGGAACGAAACATTCTGTACGAGCTGGAACAAGCAGGCGGCTCCGACCTGTTTGACGTTGCAGTAGGTATTTCGTTTCGCAGATCGTAAAGAGCAAGCTGACACATGCAGACGTGGCACAACTATCAGAGCAATCCCGAACGACCCTTCAACTCAAATGGCAAGCCGAATATGATGACTGAATGGGCCGATGTAAGTTGCGTAGCCCTCAGGACGCACAATCTTGCTGACACCGTTAACTTAGGGGACTGGCAAGTGGAATGCCTATTGGGATGTGACCGGTCAACTTGCGTAAGAAAGCCCCCTTCGCACATGTATCCCTACGTAGGTACTGACTGCTGTAGCGAGGGCTTTCAATGGGCTTTGTACATGCACAACGCCTTCGTAAACTCCGAAACCTCTGGCTACACTCACTGGTGGTGCGCACAGAACACCACGGGGGACAACGCTTTGATAAGACTCGAGTACGACAACTACTATGTCTCCGCTCGCTTGTGGGCTTTTGCGTCTTATTTCCGCTTTGCTCGACCCGGAGCCGTCCGCATTGAGGCGTCTAGCAGTGCCGAGAATTTGTATGTTAGCGCATACATCAACACGAACGGCACCATCGCCATTCCCGTGATCAATGAGGCGCACTTCCCGTACGAATTGTCGATCGACCTGACTGGGATCAATGCAACGATGGCAACAGCGTATCTGACAAACAACGAGCACAATGTTACGATGACCGGACAGACGCAGATTGGTAGGACTTTCATGGCTACTATCGAGCCACGGGCAATGAAGACTTTCTTCTTGTCGTGAGATAGTCTAGAGGGTGGAATGATGAATATGCTCTCCCAACATGTGTCGTCGCCAATTCCATTCCATACTGATGATCTTGTCAAATATGGCCTTGAGATAGATGCGCCATCAGTGAAATGTCCGGTGCCAACCCGGAGCAGCTGAAAAGGCCATTTCGTGGCGAGAAGTAGATAAACAAATGGACTCAAGTGTCCGGGGTATCATGAAGAATCCGAATTGTAACCGATCAACGCCAACCCGTCCATTTTGGCGGTCTTCTTCTGTTCAACCTCAACCTCGTCTCGTTTCCGCTTGACTCTAGGCTGCCAGATGTCTCCTTCTCGCAGGAACGGATCCGTAGCAATCCTCGTATTTCCGGCCAATTGACTCTGTAGCGCCTCTTTCTTGTCCAGCTTCGCGCTGGATTTCAATCGGGAAGGTAAGTCACCGTTGAAGTTCCTGAACATAGGCTTCGACGAGCTGGGAGCCTCGTCGGACTGTCCAAACTCGACGAATTTGACCCTGTCGCTATCCTCGGGCGCCTCGCTCAACATCTCCACACCCAGGCCGAACTTCTCTTTCAGAGCATCGCCCGTCCTCTCATCAGCCTGTCTCTTCCTCCGGCCGACCCTGAACTCGGCACGCAGCTTCCTACTCTTCTCATAGGGGTCCGCCCAGTGCCGCTCGCTTTCTTTCAGCAAGCCATCCAGCCGGGCCCGTTGACTATCGAACGCAGTCTTGTCGACGACCTTCTTCTCGAGTGCACCAAACCCGCCCTCCTTTTCAAAGCGCTCCTTGTCCTCTTCCGACAACACGCGCCGCGTAATCTCAATCTCGCCATCGAGTACCTTGTCGACACCCGTATCTCTTCTGCGTCCGCCCTCGACGACCAGGTACTCCGCGTTCTTCGGGTCGGTGCGGACTTCGATCGCCCCGCCGCAGAGAGTGTGTTTGAATCGGAAACTCCAGATCGGCGTGCTGAAGTAGTTGCCCACTTTCTTCTTCTCGGCGTTGAACCGCACGCCCTGCCCGATGATCTGTTCGGGGCTGCAGTGCGTGCACCAGATGGCGAAGGGGCATTCGAAGCGGACGGTCAGGATGCCTTCGGTCTGGAGTTTGCGGGCGCGGTTGCCCAGCGCGTGGCCCTTGCCCGAGGCTTGGTTGAATGAGACCGTGCCTTCGAGGTCCGGCGGGACGTAACGTCCCATATTGAAGCCTTGCATTTTGAAGTTGGAGCGTGAAGTCGGGTTGGACGGTGGCCGGCGGCTGGAGCTTGTCACACAAGGGAGAATTGAGCGTGTTGTGTGGGATGCAGCAGTCCTTCCTTCAGGTGACCTTGTGAATGTGAGTACAATGTGACGGGCACTTGATGCCGGCTGGAGGCAACGCCATCTCTACCGGCAGAGAGGGGACAGTCGAACAGTAGGTTTCCTGCGCTCAAAATAATGCAGAAACATGCTACTTCGGCGTGTATTTGCAGCGTGAATGATGGATGTCGCATGATGTCGCCAATAAAGCTCCCGAAAGCTGATCCCCCGCAGTTTGGATCGAGTCCTTGGCATGTAAAGAAGAGTAAAGAGGGCCCTCATCTGCGCGCTCACCTGGCTAATATTCCTCACCTTCACACTCACCATTCATGCTGGTGCTTGTATACTGCGGGGATATAAATATCTTACCAAGATTACATTATATCTGGTTTCTACTTTATCTATATTTCTATAATATAGTCGTCTAGGGTTGACTCTCAGTGCGCTAACCCTAGAACCCTTTTACTATCTACTGAAAAATTGTGACCTTGCCTACGTTGTCCAGTGTTAGCCTTGTCGACTAAAGGCTCTGCTTACTGAACTCGACTCCTGACAAGTTCTACTCGTTCTCAAGTAAAAGACCTGTAGACAGGATAGCACTTGCCATGTTTTCCGTTCTCAGAGCAGTTCAAGAGATGCTGGGCGGAAACAAGTAGCCAGAGAGTTGGCATAAGAGGTCAAGATCTTGCCAATCAAGCCCACTATTGGCCATATGCTTTCCTGGCCAAGGAGACGGGCCCAAATATTGACCAGCCGGACACTGAGATGGGCATCTGGGTCGGCGGTATCATCCACCTCACCTTCGTCCAGGATACCCTGTACATATGACAGAACTTGCTTCTCATCTTCGTCAAGCGGTACAGCACTTGGTGAGCGCATCACCATGGCAATCATGTCCAACCATTTGCTGAGGAGAAACGCTGACTCCAGATATGACAGCGAGTGTTGAAGAGACCAAGTCAGTCCTTGTGTTCGGGCTACCATCTTCACCACAATCTTCACTGGCGTACTCAGTGTGTGAGCGGCGTGCAGGGCGGCTTTAGTACTGTGCTGGTTGCGCGAAATGGGGGGGCTGTGTATCATCTCGATTGCCACCTGATCAGCGTCATGCGACTCCAGCGTAAAGGATGACCCAATGTCCATACTCAAACGGATATACGCCATTCGAAACTGGGCGGTCGAGTTGAACGGCAAAGGACCATGAGGGTTACCCGGTGCAGTAGACCTGTGCGGGTCCATCTCCCACATCTGCTGCCACCGACTGAGCGCTTGGTACAGATTGCTAGCCTCCACAGGTGCTATAACATCTTGTTCGCGAGTAAGAGCTTTGCCCATTTGGCGCACAAAGTAAATACGTTGTATCACAGCCGATATCAGAACATAGACGCCCAGAGAAGAGCACGGTCCCGAACGCGTCGTCTGATTAAGATGGAAGAGGCTCCTAAACGCCATGGCGAAAGTCGGCTGCAAACCGGCCTTTTTGTGGTGCTCTTCTTCCCACGACGTGGCCGTACTATGATTCCATTCTTCCTCGTCACAAGGCAGCGTCATATGGATCTCGGAGTTTAGTATTGGTGGAGGAGTGTTGTAGAGTATTGTGTGAAAGTTGAAAAAGCAAAATATGATCAGAATGGTGCGCTTTGCACACTCTGCCTTGACCCATTCGCGCCAGGAAGTATCATTCGTCGTCTTTATTTTCAGAAGGTTTTCTTCTCGTATATAGGTAGTTAAGATGCCTCGCAGATTCATGTCCTCTCTGAGCGTACTTCCGACATTGCCCCATGTCGCAACCACCATGAGCAGAAGTAGTGTCTGACAAATTTGGATTGAATCGTCTTGACTGTCAGTCTCAGCTGGATGATGACTCGCCGAGCGCTGGTTGCACGTGGCGCGTTGCATTGCTGCTCTCCGGCGCATCTCGATTTTTTCCAGGACAATTGTCTTCCCAATGGCGAAAAGCGAGGCCACAACCTTGGTTTCCAGGCAATATTGAGCGCCAATTGTCGCTATTGCAACGATCAAATGCGCTTCTGTATCTTTAAGATTGATAGTATGAGCATGTAAAAGAGGCAAATGCTCATGGAAATTGCGGAAATATGCAGCCATGTACCGGGACATATTTTGACGGGATGGACACGTAGAACTTGCAATCGCGTGAGAGCTTTCGATCTCTGCACAGAATGATAGCCACTCGTCATCGATGAAGCTCCAATATAGCGTTCGTTCCGTAGATTTCGACACAGATACGTCTTCCACGCCCGTAAGAGAATCTGACGAACTTCTCGACGACCTCGAAAGCTGCGAGTCTGGAACATGAGGGGTGGACACAGGTGTATTTTCGTCTTGTCTCGCCAAAAATAGAGGCTCGGTAGAGGGAGAAACATGCGAAAAGACCATGAATTGATCAATATCGAAGTCGGGTGGCAATAGGTTGTCGATACCGAGAAAGGGATCATCGACTGCGTCCATGGTCATGGGAGAGCTTTTGCTGCCCCCTTCGACGATTGGAGGAGGCTCATGCATCATTGCCTCGTTTGGGGCATTCGGAAAAGTAGCGGTAGAGGGTTGCTCGCTGCAATAATTCGAGCTTGTACTGACAGGACCGGATTGCATGGCCATCGGAAGACATTCTTTCTTCTTACCGAAGGAGGCGGCTTCGAAGTTGACAACGCGGAAAGGTGAGGGTGTTGGATCTTGATTTTTATGTGCCGATTTAACATGCCTGACAAGCAGATCCCTAGTGTGAGCATCAGCGTGGTCGCGCCTGATAAGTGTCGTTCCATGTTAACCTTCTTGCATAAGCAACCGGGCATTGGATGCATCGGAAAGGCTTCTCCTTTGTATCTGTGGCATGAAGCTTAGTTTTGGTGCTGCAAGCGAGAACAAATGTGGCTTACGAAGTCGTTCATGCCGCTGAAGATGCTCGTGCCGGCTGAAGTGCTTTACACAATACGAGCACACAAAGTTGCCTCGCTGCCTTATTGATGACTGCTTTCCAATAACCTCCATAAGTTCTGCGGCCCCAGCTGGAAGCATATATCAAGAGCGTGGCTGTTATTAAGGGAAGATCGAGTAGACACTACTCGTGGTGGAACTTGACTTCGCTGAATATCACGCTGTCACTGCGTGGATGAGTCATGGCGGAATGCCTGTCGCGGAGTGATCAGCCTCTCCGAGAAGAACTTACATCGGTGCGCGGGGATCATCGGAAGTCCCGATCTTTTGCTGTGTGGTCTGGTCGACCTGGTCGCAAGGTCGAAGCATCAAATAGGGATACCTTGCTAAGTGTTTTGCTCGCGGAAGTGTTTTGTTCCGCGAGCAATCCAAGTTCGGTGCCCTGCCTCCTTAGTTACTGGAGTGGTTTGGAGAATTGCTTTATGCAGCAATATTCCCCGAAGCCTACGGCCGGCTTGGCATATTGGAGACTTCTCCTGTACTACTATGTACAAAGAGCGTCCAAAGGGGGTAAAAAGCAAGAAGCGGGCCCGTTTCTTGTCTTCACCCTATTGAGCATCTCGAACAGGTCTTACTATTTGGTCCCGCTTTCACAGGCGACATCTACCAGGTCAGACTCATCTAGGTTCCAAGACCTGCTCACGTTGATCGATCAGCAGGCGATCATGAATTCTCCAATCGGCTCAGATCCTCTGTCTTCCTTGCGCGAAACAATCTGTAAGCGTCTCGTCAAGAAAGTATTGAGCAGACTATCGTGGATATGTACACGAAGTAGGTACCATTATGCAAAGCCATCTTAGCTCGACAGGTATTAGTAATGGGGAAAGCTCATGTACACACTTTCTTGTAGATATAAAAACGTGATCTAGGATGGCTTTATCTTCATTGCTTTTCCTGACCAAAGATTACTTACATGCAATCATGCTTATTCAACTCGAGGACAGAGCTCCTCATCGCGACTTGATAAATGATGGACGGCACGCCCCATCCATACCAAATTCATCAGCATGGAACAATGTTAGAGAAGCTCTTCGACCTAAGACACAAGGTTACAATGATCGAGGGTTTTCTAAATGGTAAACCAGCTTCCAATATCCCACATGATGTTCAACCACCTATGTGGCCTGTGGCCTCACCACCCAGGCTGCGTTCATAGTGTCGATGGAGCTGACCAGAAACAGGCGCCAGGCGTGGGCGTTACTCGCCGCATTCATAGTCAACTTCACGACGGGTGGCATTCTCTTCAGCTTTGGCATCTATGAAGCTCTCTATGAATCTCAGGCGACAAAGGGCTAGACTTCATTCACTGACGCCTCTTCTTCCGACATAGATCTCATTGGCAGTCTTTCAGCCTCCATCATGACTATGTGCGCGCCTTTCGCTGTCACCTGGGTAAAATACTTCGGCACATCACGGGTCGTTTGGGCCGGTGCAATACTCTTTGGCTTGGCCAATGTCCTAGCTAGCTTCGGCACGACACTCTGGCACTTCCAGCTCTCTCAGGGCTTGTTGCTGGGTATAGGGACGAGCCTTACCTTTGTGCCGTCCATGGCGGTGACACCTACATGGTTCAGGGGACGCAGAGGACTCGCTATGGGGTTTGTATCTGCTGGTACGGGTATCGGCGGGCTTGTGTGGGCACCTGTCATCACAGCTTGCGTTGCCAACATAGGATTCCGTGATACTCTCTGCATGACGGGCGCCGTAACGGCTGCCCTGCTTGGTGGAGCCGGCTTCGCGCTGGACTGGGAGCCATAAATGAGAGTACGCTTACACGAGGAGAGCGCCACCACTGCGCCCATGAGGGGCTTATTTACGATTCCGGTTCCTGCATGGGAAGTCGTCAGACAATGCAAATTCATTGCGCACGCTCTTGGGGCGGCTCTGCAAAGTGCAGCATACTACACACCCGTCTTCTTTCTGGTGTCTTACGCCAAGTCACTGGGGTATACCGCGAACGATGGTGCAAGTTTCGTGGCTGTAAGCAACGCATGCAACGCCATTGGCAAGGTAGCGATAGGTTTCGTCGCAGACCGTATAGGGCGTGTCAATACCTTTCTGCTTATGGCATTTTTGAGCGCAACCGTGACACTGGGACTCTGGGTCCCTAGCGCGATCCTTGGTGTGCACAGTGTGGCATTGGGAAGGCATCTTTACATAAGCTTCATGGTGTTGTACGGCCTCTTTGCCGGTACCTATGTGAGTTTGTTTCCAGCTGTTTTGGTGGAGCTATTTGGAATGCAGCAGCTCCCAAACAGCACAAGCATTATGTATATGGTGCAGGGTATGGCTGCTCTTGTTGGTACACCGGTTGCTGGAGTGCTTGTTGGAGGACCAAGGAGTGGAAAGGACTCGAATGACTATACGGAAATGACAGTCTTAGTTGGCAAGTTGCTATTCGGAACGACTATATGTGTTGCTTGGGTTAGGATTGACATGATATTATCGCCGACGAGCGAGAAGCGTCAGCATTGGAAATTGTAACTATATCCCCTGGCGGAGTATGTTCTATTATCTTGCTGCGATCAGGCTCAGTAAGTGAGGGTTCAAATCTTTGATTGTAATAAGAAGCTTGAATTCTATGCCCATGGATACCAAAATTGTGTCAGAGGAACCCTCTCTCCACCCTTCTTATACATATCTCGCAGGATTACTCAACAAAATTACCTTGGCCATGTTGAAGGCCAAAGACCATATGCTCTCTCACTCTTAGAGCCTCCACTTCCCTCGGTGTACGTTCGTCCCTAGCGTGGCCTCAATCCGCACCCATAGAACTGCTAGGGTGGCGGCAACTAGCAGACATCCCACAAGAATACTGGCATTCTCATATCCCCGAGAGGTAACTCCAACTGATGCCTTGCCGTCGACGTGCTTACTTCGATGAATCAGCGCTCCTGCCAAAGGGGTACCGACCAAGGTCGCCACGCCTCGAGCCATATACAACACTCCATTGACACTGGCGAAATGCTGTACCCCAAATACTTCGACCAACGACGTTGGGAAAAGTGCAGCATAAGCAGAGGCGAAGATCCCATAGAATACGATGAATGCGATGAAGAAACAGCGACCTTCAGACTGTGTGCTGGAGAGACACGACGGCAACCAGAGAGCCGGAGCAGTGACTGACGAAACCATTGTTGTTAAGAACAGCGCGTTGAGACGGCCTATACGATCTGCCGCATAACCAATGAGGACTTTTCCAATGGCATTGATGGCCGTCGACAAGGCAATGAAACTGGCTGAAGTGGCTTGGCTGTAGCCAAGCGTGCGAGTGTAGGACGCGAAGAAGAAAACTGGAGTATAGTAAGCAGCCGATTGCAACATTGCACCTAGGGCGTGAGCAACAAATTTGCGTGAAGTAGCGACCTTCCAATCGACCAGGGATATAGTGAAAATGGAGGCGGTGCGACTGAGCGAGGCATTCTCCACGGCCAGAGCCGCTTTCCGTGATGGAGGCCATTCCAAGACTAAGCCGGCCATGGCCATGAAAGTAGAACAAATCGCACCGCTAATTCTGAGGGTATTGCGGAAGCCGGCTTTCGATATCAGTGCCCGGAGGACTGGTGCCCAGAAAACCCCACCGATGCCAGTGCCTGCCAACACGATACCCATGGCAAGACCACGACGTCTGTCAAACCAAGTCGGTGGTATACTGACGGCAGGCATATATGTGATGCAGATTCCGACCCCCAACAGCAGCCCCTGTGTGAGTTGAAATTGCCAGAGATGCGCGGAGACGCTCGCCAGCATGGAAGCGAGCAGGAAAATCGCTGCTCCAAGCCAGATCACATATCGTGGACGATATCGTTTGCACCATGCTGTAGCGAAAGGGCCTGCCATGAACATGAAAGAGACTGACAGTGTGCCAATCAAATCGATCTGGGCCGTCGATGCACCGCTGAAAGGACTCGACTCATCGTAAGATAGAGACTCGAATAGCTCCTGGAAAACACCGTAGGCGAACAAGAGGCCTGGACCACAGATGACTATCACCGTGGCCGCAACGACGATAAAAGCATGCTGCCTGTTAACTGGATCAGTATGCCACACAATTTAGCCTTTTGGTATATATTGACACCCACATCTTGTTCCTGGAGCTGCAAGGCTGACCCTCGGGTGAGGGAAGCGTCGACGTTGCTGCAGGCTGTAATTCTAACGCATCTGCTTGGGTTGGCATAATAGCAATTGATGGCACAAAGTGTCAAAGAAGCCTATAGGAGGAATAAAGAGGATGGTCAAGTTGTCAATGTCTGTACTCAGAAGGGGTGCTTCGAGGTACAAGTCTTTGGCGTTCCAGGAGATAATGATCTAGAGCGAGGGATACGGAGCATGACTCGCAGCCTTCCTTAGTACGTAAGTCGAATACTTGATATGGGATGTTGGGGAACCAGCCATACATGTAGGGATGATTACTATGTAGAATTGATGGCAAATCTTGGCACTATGGAGAAAGCGCTCCACTTGAACATGGGTACAGACTCTGTTGAGCAAGGACCATTCACACAAGCCAAAATCATTGACATCGCCTGGACTGTGCCTCCAAACCTAATCTAGCAGACTACTTTCATAGCTTCTCGGAGGCATTGGAGTTGATGGTTACTCGAACGTCTGTGGGACGTAGACACTCATCTCTAGGCCTTTGGTATAGGGTAGCGTCAGGTTGATGAAACCATTACCAGGGGCTCGCATGAACTCGAGTAACTCCTCGTATCTTTTGGCAGATCCAATGGTGTTGTCGACGATAACAACAGCTCCATATCGAAGCTTTGGCAGGACAAGCTTTAGTGCTGGTAGAGTCATAGGCGCCCAGACTTGGAAGTCAAGTCAGCATAGGGCTTGTAGAATAGGCTACACCTCGAATTCAAAACCAGCGGTGGCCACTTACTGTCAATAAGGACTAGGTCGATTTGAGGCAGATCAACTCTTAGAGTGTCACGAAGATCCCCAACCCTTAAGTCAATATGTCGAGAGATTGCCTCCCCAGCCTCACCCCAGTACTCTTGAGCCCTGCGTGCCTTCACAGGCTCATGCTCTGTACCAATGACAGTGCCTGTACCTCCCGTGGCTTCGATGTTCCTGGTCACGGCTAGGCCTAGGTACATGGTGCTCACGCCGAAGCTGGTACCGGCTTCAATAACGTTCTTGGCATTGATAGCCCGACAGATCTGGTAGAGGAACTGACATTTATCCTGGTCTAGGGCAATGAACTTGTCTTTGACTGCATCATGTAGGCCATCAGCACTGTAGTTTGTCATATCAAGGGCGGCTTCTTGTTCCTCAGATTTCCTGTGCAGTCGATCCAGCAACGACAGCACATGCTGCGGAGCTTCAACAGGGTTAGGTGTCTCAGCAACCATGATGACGGGTTGTATGCGAAATCAGTTGTCGTCGGCGGAGGTGACTTGTACAATGATAGTCAAAAGTTGACCTGCCAGAGGGATTGTAAGGCATGAGGTACAATGTGACCGTTCAAGCATGGTCTCCGAGTGCTTGGCGAATTGGAGAAGTGGAAGTATTGGGATATGTCATGCGCAGGGCACATGTCCAACGCAAGGGCGCGTTGCACTGTACCAGAAAGGGACAAACGCCAGGGCCATGAGGGACTTTTGGTGAGATCGATTCAGCTTTCACGGCTCTAGGTCATTGAGAACCGCTAATTCGTATCTCCGAGGCCGTTGTGCGCACGAGTACCCCTTACAAGAAGGTTGATGCCCAGTATTATTTGGCGACAACGGGATCAATAATAGTGACGCGGTGTCACGTTAAGGAGAGCTTGCTCGAGATGAGCCATGGGAATAGTGGTCAACTTTTTCTACCTTTTTGAGGACTTTTCTATGATTGAACCTCATCTTGCCTGATGCCAATACTTCAGACCGTTTTGCCGGAACCGACCTTGCTCTGAATCCATCCTCATCAGATCCGGCTTGAGATATTCGTGCCATTATGAGACTCAAGAAGATTTGGGAAAGTGTCTCAGCCGACCTCATACGCCTGTTCCAAGTTGATCTTACCTCGGAGAAGAGCTCCGACTCACACACACACGGCTGCATGGTGATTGCTACGAAAAAACCAGATATTGACTTGCCAAGGGTTATCCGCGGCGCAAGATCATCCTCTTCCTTCTCAGCATCGGCAGAGAATCAAGGCCGTGAGATATATGAGAGGCTCGGAAAGGCTGTTGGAACAGGGGCCAAGGGTACGGTCGGCCTCTGGCGGTGCAAGTTGGGGGGCCAGCTGGTGGCTGTAAAGATTTTTCACAACCCTTTGCCTTTTGAGGCTAAGTCTCGTTATGACAAGGAAGTTCTTGCGGAGTATAACATAGGGAAAACCCTCAACCATGGCAACATTGTTGGTGTTCTTGAGCTCTTACAGGTTCAAGGTCGATGGTTGCAAGTGATGGAATATGTGCCCTTCGACCTCTTTGCCACGGTTGCGAGCAGAACCATGTCATTGGAAGAAAACAGCTGCATCTTTCGACAAATTGTCGCAGGGATTGAGTACATGCATGCCAAGGGGGTCGCTCACCGTGACATCAAACTCGACAACTTCCGCCTGGATCAGCATGGCATTGTTAAAATCATCGACTTTGGCACTGCAGTGCACTGGAAGAGTCACGTCCTCCGATGCGTGGATGGCCGGGGTAAGAGATCTCGGGCGTGGATGCCTACGCTTTGTCGTTGGTATTGCTGACAGCGTTTTCTGTGAACAGAGGTCATCGGCAGCGATCCATATATTGCCCCTGAGGTATTCTCCCCGTCCATCGTTTCCTACGATGCAAAAGCATTGGACGTCTGGTCCATAGCCATTATTTTCTGTACAATGCTTAGGGGTCGTTTCCCATGGGCTGTAGCACGACCAGAAAACACTGCTTTCGGATGGTTCTGCCAAAGATTACTGGAAAAAGCACCAATGAAGCAACCGAGTGATGAGTCGCAGATCAATCAGACTACGTTTGTCAGGAACGACGGCGAGGTGGCATCTGACAGCACAGATAACAACAAGGTGTTGAAACATGCGTCAGAGGTCTCGAACTTCTCCCGAGTAGTTGTCCAACAGCCTGAACATTGGAGTTATCTTCCAGCCAGATGCCATAATGTTATAGGAGGAATGCTGGAGATCAGCCCAAGTCACCGTTTCAAGATTCAGATGGTGCTACAAGACTCGTGGGTGCAGGAGATACCATTCTGCTATGAAAGAGAAAGTGGAAAACCCGTTGTCTCGGGACAGCACGAGCACCACTTGCGCGAGTAGTAAGTGTTGAAGGCCTAGTGCTGATTTGTTTACAACTCGTGGCGCACAACGGAGTAGGGACTGTCTGTAAATCCACTGTGGTCAATTTTGGCTCCGAAGCTAGGTGGGCGAAGGACGATAAGTAGGCATGAATCTTACCTTGCCGTTCAAATTGGTGATCAATTAGACGACCGAGTCCATAATGACAGGTGAGAGGTGAGGAGAGGAGGGGGGAGAAATCGCGTGTAGAGGTAAGACGGCTTTAAAAGCGGCAGCAAATGGCTTAACTGTTCCGAACGATGACGGCGCCGCTTTTAAAACCAGTTACTCCTGACCCACCCTCTTCTCTCCTTCTTCTCACCCTTCGACCTACGCTCTAATTCACCCGCGCCACAAAAGTCTGATTTCTACTATAGTACCCCTAGTACGCCTCGTCTTAAGATAGGTTCCATTATTGGCGACAACTCGGTGGCCTTCGTTTTTAGGTCCTTATGACGGGGTCTTTATATCTTTTTAGGTTACGTCTTGATCACGGTCCGCTTTCACGGGCGCAGACTGACCAAGATATTCTACCTCTCCAATGTTCCAAGTGAATGGAGTTCCCAGTCCTGGGCATACAGGTCGGTGAAGGACAGATCCCAGTCGGTCCAAAATATATCGTTCGGTGGAAGACTGGAGGCGTAGGAGTTGAACGCGTTCGAACCGATGCCACCGCCTGGCACGAATGGGCCGAATCTAGCCTCAACTTCAATGCCATCGTCCACGACTGGAAGTGACATGGAAGCGTCTGCGACATCGACGTCTTCATGGTCGTCGAAGGGGGTGGTGCGAGACGGTTCATCCAAACTCATTTCTGTCGGGCCCCTCTTATTTTCTCCCGTTGTGCCGGCGCTGGCGTTGAGGCTGTTTTTGCTGGAATAAGGGTATTTTCTTCGTCCTTCTTCGCCTTCGAATCGTGAGAGCGCGGACCTCATGATATCATGAGCCAGATTCTGACTCATCCTCGAGCGAACTCGACCTATTGATCTCGATAGTAGCGAGCTTTCTCCAAATCTATCGTTTCTAACGCCGGGATCTTGATAACTTGATGTGTGGGCTCCATCTTCCCGAACATCGCGGTCCGCCAGCCGACACACAAACTCAATAATGTCACAGACTCGAGACACCATGTCGTGTTTGAGGGGCGTTCTGTCCGCCTGCAGAGCAGTGAGTGCTTTGCGAATTGTGTTGTCGCTTAGTTTGCTACGCGTCGGGAATGTTGAAAAGCGCGTGATCTTCAGGAGAAACATGACTGCGTACACCAGAGCTGCTCGTTCGAAGCCAGTCCAAGGTCGAGTTTGTAGGGGCTGCGGCAAAGCCATTTCGGTGTTATCGCTTTTCCGTAGTTGAACAATAGCACCATCCGCAATAGCACAAGCTATGTCTATGGTCCGGTTCGCCGTCGTGAATCCTCGTGAGGCGCTGTATGCCTCCCCATCACGCCGTATGGCTTCGGGAAGACCGTCGCTGCAAGAATCGAAGAGCATAGCGAAGGAATAGAGACGCAATTTGGTCCAAAGGTAAAATACCCGCACCGTGGCATCCCAGTTAACCCACTCCCGAGCCTCAAGACCGTCCAGATCTGCCTCGAAGACGTGCATGACATGGTCAGGCTCTGGAAAGAGACCATCAGGTGTGCCGTTAAAATGGCCGAGAGTGTTGGTGAAGGAAGATGATATGAGGGAGATATGGAGCAGGTGCTTGAGAATCATCGGAAACTGCTCTGGCCACTCTCTCAAGGCGTTATTGATGGTGTAGTCGGCCTTTACCGTGGCAGGAATTCCCCACATGCTGCTCACCCTGTTTTCCCCGTTCACACTTGTCAGCCGCCTGGATATGACTTGGCAGATAGGTAGGGACGTACGTCTGATTGACGATAAAGCAAGCAATCCAAGTTTTCTGACGCGTCAGAATCGCCTTTTCGTTGGGAAGGCTCCAGTTGACGAAGTCAGCTAGGAAGGCTGGACGATGCAAGCCCAGAGCGAGAGCCTTATGAACAGCAGCCCCACAGTAGAGCCACGATGGGTTTTCACTCGATGCCCCATACGGAAGTGGCCAGTATGACAGAATGAGAAGAGCATGAATAAGAGGCATAGAGGGGATTGCGTTCTGGAACAGTACGTTCCCTGCGAGTTTTCGGATCGGTTCAGACAGACCAACAGCCAGGTCCCGACGAGTGATGCCGACTATAGCCCAGAAGAGTAATGGACACGACTGAGCTTCTTGGACGACAATCCCTACATCTTGTAGTAACGGGAAAAGTGGGTGGTAGCGAGAATAATACCTAGAATGGTCAGGAGTCAGAAAATTGAGGACTTCAAAATGCCCGGGCATCAAATTTACTCTAAGAGGATATCGCAAGCATTGTCAATGCTGATCGTTGTCGCTTCAAGGACTGGTGTGTCCAAAAAGAATAGGCTTGTCGACAACATCAAGCGCAATTCCTCTTTGCTCGGTAAGTCTTCGTTGAGGTGTTCATCCGGAATGTGGTCGCTAGGCGATGCATCGCTCTGAATGGCATTGCCCGCGATCGGCGGCGTGATTTTCGACGTTTGTGGTGAATGAAAAGCGTGCCGAATATCCTGAACCTCTTTTTCTAGAGTGTTGAGGCGACTATATAAGCCCAAAAGTTTTAGTACGCTAACAGTCAATATGCCACGAATGCCAAAGGCACTCACTCTCTCACTGCGGTGCGATGGAAGTCAGGGTCAATGACACAGCTTTTGCCCGCCTTTTGGCATCTCGAGCAAGCTGCTGGAAACATGTCACTGGCGTCACATCTCATCTGGAAACGGTGAGCGATTCAGTGTAGGCTTTATGACGGACGGTGCTTCAATCTACCTTCATCTGTCGACAGTGGATACAAGCGGCACCTTTGTGCCTCTTGCGCTTTCCTGAAGACGGCATGTTGGTCGTTCTTTGAGTCGAGAGATGAGTCAAGGAGGAATTGGCGAGTCGTCGAAGTAACAGGTGACGCGTCAGGTGACACTTGCCTACTCTGGACGTAGTGGCAAGCTGCCGCATGCATGAAGTACTAAATACACTGGGAAAGCGCCCCTTATACATTCTACTCTGTGCCAGCAACATATTGCTATAACCATTCATTGTATAGCAGAGAAGCTTGGCTAGAGAAATGGTGATGGTTGTTGGGCAGGTCGGCCCTTACCAAGGGTAATTCTCGTGGACCCGTCCCGCTATAGAGCTACCAAAGCTGATTCAAACTTCAGCTCTTGAAATGATCGAGCTGGCATTTGTTCCACATCTCCCCACAGTATTCATAGCCAGAATCTGAAATCGGGGTGATCATCACCAATTTCTTCGACCCCAAGCCTACGCTTTTCCGCCGCCTCTAGACTGTGCTGGTTTTTGTCTTTTTTCTTATTCAGATGGTTGATGAACAGCATAAAGACTGGAACCAGCATCGCGGACAGGGCTGAGGCAGTAAACCCAAGACCTTTGCCTCGGTGGTACTTTGGGGCATCCGTAAAGATTTCCAGCCCCATGACGGCAAAGCACTGACCGCAGATCATGATGAATGCTAGTCCACCAGCCCTATGTTAGTCACAAGTCAGTACGAGTGCTCGACATGCTAAAAGCGTAGTCACGTACCTCTTTGTATAGCCGATAACGTTGACGTTCATCCAAGACTGTATCAGTATGACTTGGGGAAAAGTACCCATGCCAACCAAGAAACAGCCCGCGTATGACAGACGTCGATTCTTGCTAATCAGTAACATCAACCAGCCAGCCGCGGCCAAGGCGAAAGATCCAGCAAGGTAAACCCCCCGTCTCTTGGTCTTATCCGATGCAATCCCCGTAAGAATGAGCGTTATTGCAATACAAACATATACCGGTATTGTGAGGAGTTGCGTTCGCACTGAACTGTAATGCAAGCCGCGCAATATGACAGGCAAGAAGCCGGAAAACGAAGTGAGGCTGATGTTCATCATGCTATAGAAGAATGCTGTATTGTGATATAACGTCAGCAAAATTGGAACATCCACTCCAGGCCAATGTCAGTTTACTCACCGTAACACCAAATCTTCCTGTCCTTCAACACCGCAATAAGTTGATGGACTTTAATGCCTGTGTGAGGCGTATTGAAAGCTTGCTTGGACCGACGAATCGCTATCTCTTTTTCAGCCGGGCTGAACATCCACCGTACGCGTTCCGGTACAGGGGGCAGTAGCAGCATGACAATGAACCCACAGCCAACTGATATAACGCCTTTTCGAACGTCAATTGATGTGCAAAATTGCAAGGAGAAAGGAAGTAGAGACGGATAACTCACCCTCGATCAGGAAAATCCATCTCCACGCAAGCCAGCCATTCACAAGCTTCATGTCATTTTCTATCCCATAGGCAATCAGCCCGTTCATGCTGCCTGCAACGGCGGACATGGCAAAGAAGATGGCAGCTCGCGTAGCCAATTCATCTAATTTGTACCAGAACGTCAAGTACAAAACTCCTGCTTGGAGGAAGGCTTCAAAAGACCCAACGACTGTCCTTAAGCCAGCAATGGTGCCCCAGTCGGTAGCCTTGCACATACTGTGCGACAACAAAGAAGAATAAGTTGGGGTTCACCATCGAAACAGACGGGCTTTTCCTTCAACTTACACAGCAGTGGCCATCCCCCAGCCAATCATAGCTATACCCAGTTGGTATTGTGGCTGTATCTTCCGGATGAATATAGTCGCGGGAAGCTGAAAGACGATGTATCCGATGTAGAAGAAAGCAACACAATTGCTGTATTGCTGGGAAGTCATCTCGAGCTCTTTTGTCATGCCAGCCACTGCAGCGTTACCGATGTCACCACGGTCCTGCGAAACGCGGGCACAGTTAGTTGACATTCAATTAGCCACCGAGCGTTGATGGAGGGATGACTGACCATGGAAGCAAGAAAGTACATCAACGATAGGAGAGGAAGAAGGGTCAGGTCCAGCTTCCACAGCAGCTTGCGCTCTGCTCTTTTTTCTTCTGGAGATAGCTCGACCTCTTCATGCATCTTGATCCCATTGCTATCTTTCCCTATCGCCTGTCCTTCGCAAGGGGCTTCGCAGTGAGCCGCACCCATCTCTTTCTGGACTTCCATTTGTGACATTGTGAAAGATAGAATTCACTGAATTTGGACCGACGACGGAGAAAATTGATAAGCGAAACTCCTGCGTTTGATTCAATTTTCCTCCTACTTATATTTCTGGAGGGAGGACCTCCTTGATGTCTAGGGAAGTCCGGCCTGGATGGGGTCTCCGCATCTCGACTTCAACCAGTGGTGGAAACTTGGGGCTCGCCTATTGTTGGTGGAGCTCTGTGCCGGTGCAAACTTCGCTTGGAAGCGGTTTCGCTTCAATGCCGGGTCCGGCTTCGTGAAGCTTCTTTGCGTATACGAATTGAATGGCAAGGAAACCAACCTACGGAAGTACGTGCGCATAGGTGCCAATCTCTGTCTCGTGGCTTGGCTAGCTCCGCGAACCCGAACCGGTCGTGGCAAGATTAGAGAGAATCAACGACCGGAGCACGAAGGATAGGAGGTTCGTTGCGGGTGCGCAAGGCACCAGGAGGGTTAAGACCACAGGGCACTAGCTATATTGTTAACTTAGTGTGTTGGGCTAGACTATAACTCGGTTCATTCTAATGTCCAGTTCTTCGCCCAAGGGTTCGACCTATAGCATATCTCTCCTCGCTTCAGATATTACATGGTCCAAATGACCCTAAATAATCTCAGCCCCAGCAAGCAAAAGTTCAAAGAATGGCCAGAGCATTGCTAGGACTTGCTATCCCACCCGGGACGTCCAGGGGTTGGCTAGCGAGAAAGAAACTCCACTTCTTTTGTCTCTGACATTCTTCAGCCAAACTCTCCAAGTCCCACACCTCTCCGATGGGCATCCCCCAGCCAGCGAGGAACACCTCATGAAGGGCGTGCTTGAGATCAGAGCCCTGGTCTGGTGGCCAAGCCTCGTATGCATTGGTATCTCCAGCAACGGCAGCAAAGCCCGTCTCCCAATGCCATTGAGCCATCTCGAGTGAGTTCTCTACCCCTACAAACTGGCGACGGGGTCGGCGAGCTAGCTCTTGCTTCTCCAAGTCGTTATATTGGAGGTAGTCTTCTGTCCAGCCTGTACGGATGAGCAGGATATCTCCTAACTTGAACTCGGTCTGCTGATCCCGAGCGCATTGCACTAGGTCGCTCTTCTTGATACGATGTGTGGTGAATGCATTGTAGGTGACGCCCTGCTTGTTTGCCCATCTTCGATAGTCTAGGAGGACTCCTCGCCCTGCAATAGACTTTCTTGAAATGGCTGACTCGTTGGTTAGCCGCGATTGAACAGAAAGCTAACAGCGAAATCGGGTACCTTGAATGCCGCAGCGATGGTTAGGATTACTTCCTGAGATATCCTCCTGTGTCGTGTTGTTGTAAAATCTCCTCGATATTTGATACCCGACGTGCCTCAGTCCATCCCAATGACTTGAACCTTGGGTATTGATTGTTAATTCATCGTCGTTGCTCTGTGGCTTAACCTTGATTCTGTGGGTGCAGGGCTTGCGGTCTGGGTTCATTGGGACAAGTGGAATATTGATTGGGAGGCTACAAAACCAGGCTGGTTAGCTTTCACACTCTGAACGGAGGGCTGGTATAACAAGCACATGACGTTTCGAGGATGATCGTGGTCACTGGTTGTGCTCACTTGAGACTTATCGTCTTTCCCGTTATGATTTCGGCTTTCGCAGCTAGAATTGTCTCTTCTGTCAAGAGATTCAGAGTCCCCAGCTCATCATCGCTACCATACAGCCCCCAGGCAGCAAACGGTGGATCCGATTTGTTGAGAGGCAGCGATTCGAATGGTGGACGTGACATTTCTTATCCAGCGCCAATACCAGCGCATACCGTTGCAGCAGCGACCGTAACTGGTATATATAGGTAGGTCACTCAAATTAGGCTGCTCCTATGCCGATTGATGTTGGAATATAGCCAGCGTCCGCAAACAGGGCCCAAGAGAAATGGTAAAGGTTGCATGGACAGCACGTGCGAAGGCGCAATATACGACGACAAAGCCGGCTAAACCAAGACAACCCATGTGAGAGATCGTTCATGGATATGTCAAAGCTCAATAGACTGGCTTCGAAAAGGACTGCAGACTGTTGAGCTTTCGAAAGGACGGATCCGCGGACGGGCCGATTTCGCTTGGAGAGCGGTTCCGGCTCACCAGCGAATGGTCCGGAGGGACCCTACCAGGCTACCACCAGCCCTGTGGGCTACTCACCCAGCACCCCTCTGATGAAGTTGGCAGACATTATCTACTCCAGGTCCACACAACTGCTGAATTCCTCAACCTCAGGCTCAGAACAACGAGACACAAAATGGAGAAAGGACTCCGTGTTTTCACGCCTATTGGCATGCTTGGTTACGGTTTCAGTGAAACAATATTTTGGGATACCCTCAAACAAGGAGTGGATGCCATCATCTTGGACAGTGGCTCAACCGACAGTGGGCCGTCGAAGTTGGCCCTTGGCAAGCCGACCGTGTCGAAGCAGTCGTACGAACGAGATCTGGCCCTTTTGGTCGCTGGTGTCCATCATTACCAGAAGCCGCTGTTGATAGGTAAGACAATTCTCCTATCCAGACAACAGCTCTTCTAGGTCATGGTCTCATTGTCGTATTAGGATCTGCAGGCGGAGACGGGTCTAACTCTGGAGTCGATCTCCTTGTCGGCATAATAAAAAACATCATCGAGCGAGAGGGTTATCGACCCATGAAAGTCGTTCACATCTACTCAGAAATCGACAAAGGAATCGTGCGAACAAAACATAAAGCAAGACTAATTCGACCATGTAGTAGCGCTGTGCCAGAGCTGAAATACGATGACATTGACCATGCAACCAAGATTGTTGCCCAGATGGGCATGGAACCCTGGTTGAAGGCCATGGAGCAACACCCGGACTTTGATATCATCGTGGGAGGGCGGACATACGATCCAACGCCCTACGCAGCGTTCTGCGTTCTCAACGGTATCACAAATCTCGGTGTAGCTTATCACATGGGCAAGATCATGGAGTGCGGAGCTCTATGCTCGACGCCGAAGAGTCAGTCAGCCTTGGCCATTGTTCGCCACGACGACTTCGAGGTGACCCCACTGGATCCTTTGTCACGATGCACGGAGGTCTCGGTTGCAGCTCATACGCTGTACGAAAAGACCAGGCCAGATATTCTCCTGGGCCCGGGCGGCGCCCTCCACCTGGAGACGGCCAAATACGAACAACTACCAGACGCGAGAAGTGTCAGGGTTTGGGGCGCGTCTTTCGTGCCGGAAGAGCAGTATACGGTGAAATTAGAAGCCGGAAAGGTCGTGGGATACCACAGCATGTGCTTTGGGGGGATCCGAGACCCTATTTTGATCTCTCAGATCGACGAATACCTTCGCAGAGGCAAAGAACTGGTCACCCAGAATGTCAACTATCCCTTCGAGCTGGAGTTCCGGGTGTATGGCAAGAATGCTGTCTTGGGTCCGTTAGAATTGCGGTCGGAACCTCCATACGAGGTGTGTGTATGCGCACATGCTCTGGCGGGCACGCAAGACGAGGCCACTAACGTGGTGCATCTCGCCAGGGTCTTTCTGATGCATTCATCGTACCCTCACCAGCGCGCGACCGCCGGAAACTTTGCCATGCCGTATGCACCCCTCGATATCCCTCTAGGACAGATTTCAGAGTTTTGTATCTATCATCTCATGCCAGTGACTGATCCGACCGAGTATTTCCCCATCTACGAGCAGACAATCCGAGGACCCACTGGCAAGTCACTCAGCACTGGGCCGCAGCAGCTTCCTCCGCCCATACCCGAGCCCAATGGCCACGTCAACGCATCACCTCCGGCAGAAGCAACGGAGTTTCTGGGGGGAAAGCCGAAGCCAAAGCTCAGTGGGCACACTACTGCAAACCCACAGGTTGCGGAGGGGAACCCGACCTCCGTCCTCCTCAAGGAGCCACCTCCTGGCCACGTTTTTCTGGCAGACCTGGCCACGTACATCCGGAGCAAGAATGCAGGGCCTTACGAGCTGACATTTGACGTGATCTTCTCGGACGAAAAGTCCAAGGACATGGTGAAGGCCACCAACGTACTGACCCGAGCAACAGTGGCTCAACTTTATGGAATACAAGAGGAGGATGTCATAGCCAGCCTGTGGTGGGATCCAGCATTGGCGTTCAAAGCCACCATCAAGCGGCCACGAGTAAGCGGTGGGGTTTGGGAGCATGATGCACACGGAGCACAACAGCACGTACCGCTGATGGAGTTGGCTGTGCCGGTCTCATCTTGACCTTTGACCATTACTGGGGGAGGTCATCACCAGGATCCCAACACTGAGAATTTGTAACTTTCTGTCTCATCGTCCTAGGTGGATGAATGCAAATGCAGTACGAGAATTGGCTACATGGGCCATGGCTCTGGCTTAGTCCGGTCCTGACTCCTTCGCACGCATTGACGAGGTCCGTACCTTTCTCGTGCGGAATTCAGATATTTGGGGTGTAATGACAGTGACCTCGTTTATTGCCCGATGCCTCATTCAAGAACCCTGAAAATGGTAGTATACTGCTACTAATACAACTCTTGAGGGGACCCACCAGAGACAACCGTAACCAACAAAACACGAAATATTGGCAGCAAGGCTGTCTCGAGTTTCTCACTGAGAAGATCCTCAGAAGGCCACCAGAAGTCTATTTACTCGTCCGATTGTTGCTAGGTCATAACCGGAATGACAAATATCTACCAAGTCCCTGGCGATATTCTTTTGCAAATCGCGCAGTACATATCGTTCGAACCATACGGTACGAGTGAAACAGGCGGGGACTTACTAGCCCTCTTGTATTATTTGAAGCACTTCTATCTCATGACGGCTTTATAAAGCGAGATTATTGCTGTCACCAAGGACTGCTACCATACCAGGTAGCCTTACCTTCTACGAGGCTACTTCGTACGTATTCCAGTCAAGACAGCCGAGCCATCGAGGTCAAAATCGGCATAAACTAAGACACGTTTTGAGACTCCGCGAAACGAATAGACATTCATCTCCTTCACAGAGAACATCCGGTCTTCTCGACTGCCTTTCTCTATGCCTCCCTTTGCTGCAGGCCTTCCAACCACTTCCTCACATTCGGCCAATCTCCACCCTCGGTGCCCAACTTCCTTGCGAAGATGGACTCAATGCTGAATCCCATGAGGATATCGGCTGACGTGACGTCGTTCCCCACGAGACACTGTCTGCCCGCGCCCTCTGACTCGAGCCAATTCAAATCATTTTGGATATTCGGTGAGAGACCTTTCTCCATTTCCGGGAGATGCTCGGATGCAGCTTTAGGGATGCGCCAGCGCGCATAAAGGAGCTGGAAGCAAGCAGTCAATCCTCTTAAGATCTTTGTGGCAATGCTCAAGCTCAATATACTGTGACACAATCTCCTTCCGGGGTGCCTGTCACTCAAACAGGGGAGGGATCAAGACAAGAACTCACTGCAAGAGCATTGGAGCATGAAAGTCCCCTCTGCAGCGTGCCATCCATTCCCTCACTTTGGCCCTCGCAGCAGGCTGCTTGGGCAGCAACCGGGAGGCAGTGTCGTAAATCTCGCAAAGGTACCTGAGATATTGACCTTAACTTAGCGCCTCCAGCTACCGGTACTGACATGGTCTTGGTCTCACGTACTCTGCAATGGCACTGCTCTCTTGGATTACAATGTTTCCATCCTGGATCACAGGACTCTTCCCCAACTTGGTGGGGATCTTGGCCTTGAACTCCGGCGGCGCGAGCCCGTTCGGTGCTCGACGTGAAAAGACTAGCTTGTACGGTAGCGAGAGCTCCTCCAGTAGCCATGCAATGCGAATGGCTCGACTAGCACCAAGGAAGTACAGGGTAATGTCCGAATCGTGCTGGGCCATGATGTCAGGAGACGACGGTCAGTCCCGAGCAGCAGTGCAGATTCTCACTTGTCTCTTCTTCTCACCCTTCGAGGCGTGTCTTCATTGCTCGAGACGAACAGCGAGCGAACTTCATCACTTTCTCCTCCCTCCGCAGGAAGGAATGCTGTTGCTGTCGGTCTGTGACGTCAACGACATAAAGTTCTGGGGAAGACTGAATCGCCGGACATGAATCATTTTTGCAGCTCTTCTCTCTCGACAGTGAGCATGCATTGGTGCAAAGCAACAGCTTCCGTTTGCGGACGCTCTGGCATCAGCTCCTCAAACGAGGATACTAGTATTTAACGAACGTTCACTTTTAGGCCAGCTCACATCGACGAAGATTTTCCGACTCCGGCTAGCTGCTTACTTTTTTCGCCCCAGATGACGGCTCGGAGGCCGAAAAGTCAACTGATACAACTGTGCAAGAAATGACTACGGCAAGCAAGCAAGAACAAGGGTCGTTGGCTGAGCAATGAAGACGACTTTTGATTAAAACTATCACTTTTTTCCAAGGTAAGGAATATTATCATGATTAGACGCCATTCCAGAAGCTGGTATCTCCGGTCCCACCACCAACTCCGTGCTTCGTGCAAGCATAGATTACATTCAACATTTCTTTACTGGATTTCAATCAAAGCAGGTCCGAACAAGGTCGCCTTTGCCACGGCATCAGCATCGGCAAAAGGCCCAGCGTTGGAAGTGACAGCCGCAATGGTGAGACCGAACATCAGGTTCTCCGAGAATGGGAAGTTGGCGGAGAAAGTGACTTTGCCTCCGTTGTTCTGTGCTCCTTGGATAGGCACAACAACAGGGACGTTCTGCTGGTTGATATACACCAAGCTCAAACCCTGGCCGCTGGCATATTGGCTGTATTGACCGGTGGCCTGGAAGGAGAATTGGAGTTGCTGGTCCTGGGCCTGGACTTGTGGTGTTTCCAGAGCAAGCGCGCCAAAGACAGGGAGAGCAATGGTGTTGGCATTGGGGCAGGATCCGGGGATGACAAAGTTTTGGTTCAACGCAGAAAAGGCGAATTCTCGAGCAGAGGCAGTCAGGAAAGGAGCTTGACTGGGTATCTCGCCGAGCAGTTCGCGGAAGAAACCGTTCTGTTCGCCTTCCTGACCGATAACAGCAGCAACACCTCGGATCAGACCAGCATCTCCATTCTGGCCAAAGTGGACTTGCACGTCACCCAGGGTTCCGAGGACGACATCAGTAAAAGTGGAAGCCAAAGCGATGGCATCTTGGAAGTTGTCCACCGGCGCGTTGTACAGGCATGGCTGGATCGGACCGGCGTTGAAGTGAGCCAGGGCGCCGTTGGCGTTGAGCTGATGGAGTTCCTCTTGGGCTTGGATGGCAGTAAGAGCTTCGATGACCGTCTGTCTTTGGTTTTGGTCTTGGAATTGGTAACCGGGGAGGTTGTTGGTGACGTTGGCCAGGAGCTCCGTGAAGTAGGCAACCTCGAATAACTCGTTGAATGCGATCAATCGAAGAGATGTGAGGTCATCGGCAGCTGGGGCAGATGGAGGTGGTGGTCCATTAGGAAGAAGACCGTGAGCCTGTTGCTCGATCTGTGTCAGAGCCGCAGAAGGGTTCTGAATATTGGGAAAGCCATTCTGGAGAGGGAACTTGAAAGGGTTTGAGCCCTGGCTTGCCGGCGAAGAAGGGGTCGCAGGACCGGATGTCTGTTGGGGAGGAGCACCGCCAGTTGCGCTGGGTGTGTAGTAGCCGTTGCTGGCCGATGCAGAGCTTGACGGTTGATTGGCTTGGTATTCCTTAAGATGATGAGTTCGGTCGCCATAGAAGACTGAGCCGCGCTTCTCGACAGGAACAGCTGAAACGAGAGAGGCGATGGCCAAAGAGCCTAGGACTGGTGCCAATGAATTGAAATGCATGATGATTATATGGTGTAAAGTTCGAGTGAGTGTGTCTTCAACAGCAAGGAGATGTTCTGCGGCAGATTGAAAGAGAGTAAGAAAGGTCGGAGTATTAAGCAATAAGGCGACGGAGCTTGATTAAAGTAGTGAGATCTTGTCCTTCTGAGAAAGTGAGAGTTGTTCTGTATGAGTGAGAGCTAAGACTAGCGAGCAAGGGTCATTGGGTTCTATATACCTGTTGGGCGACCATGGTCACCGATGGGAGGCCATATCAAAGCACGAGTATGGGCCTAAGATTTGGTACGATCTGGGGGCTGAGGTGTGGTGGGTGGAGATTGCTGTGCTGACGGCCTTCTGCTGCGATCCGTTTGAGGGATTTCGTGCTTACCCATTTCCGTATGCTAACTTGGGACCGCAATCGTTGGTCGACCAGTGGCCTGCGCTTAGCAAGCACCCGACTGGTCGATGTTACCACGAGCTGCGAAGCGAAACGGCTGCATTGAGATCGAGCTCGTGCGCATTTCTATCTTGGTGTCGCACGGAGGCTGGTCGCCAACGGATAACCACAGTAGACCCGTCGTACCAATCTGCCTCCAGAACGATCGGTCTCGTCGCAGCCAGCGCCGGCCTGAACGAGCGTCAGCAACACCCAAGGGTAGATGCGCCACGAGTATCAATGGCGCCTGGACCAGGTGGTAGTTTGGAGATTCAGGCGGTCAGAGCTTGTGCGAGAAGGGCAAGATTCATGATGCCGGCATAGCTTTAGTGCTGATGAGGAATGGAGAAGAGAGTAGGTGGAGAAAATCCTCGGCAGAAGGCCAAAATCCAGTCGCTAAATTTGAGAGATCAACTAGAGATCTAGCGAGCTTGGCGGCCTAGAGAAAAACAAGCTTCTCAAGGTTTAATGCCGACGAGGCTTGGCCTGGCCAGTGCTTGGCTTAGCATTGGCTTGGCCACACTTGGCTTAGAAATGTTTCTATTCTCAGCCACAGCCACAGTCACGTAACCGTACTTACCAAATCACCTTGGCTCTTCGTTGATACCTTGTTTGCGAATACCGCTCCTCTGATCAATGCCTCTGTATGTGCCGCGGGAAAACTCACACGGTCAAAGCACTGTTCTCTTCGCATAACATTCGCAATGAGGGGTTTATCACCTCGAAGGCTATTCTTGCTCCCAGACTGATGAGAACAGGATGCTTGGCCGCTACATTACAGGGTGAAGCCATCGACATAGCGATCCCATATTCGGTTCAGCATCTTGGAGCCGACGCTTTCTGTACCTTGATCGTGTCGCATATGTTACGGGGTAGAAGCCGAATGTATTTGCAATTGCTTTCATGAAGTTGCGCAGGTCTCGAATTTGACAACTTGACTGCTCCAGCCGCGGACGACCATTTCTTCGTCCCGGTTACTAACATCTACTCTGCACCACTGGAGACTCATCTGCGGAGAATCAGCCCGACCGGACCGACCCCGCAATGGGCAACATCCTACCAATATAGCATCATGCGGGCCTTTTGATGACCCCGCATGCTTCGGTACAACGAGAAGATTGACTGTGTTCCTTGGGATTTTCGTCTCGTTGATGTGCTACAATGTAGAAGTTCAATCACAATGGCGACCGAGACGATAACAAGACCGGAATCCTTATCCATCCCGAAATGGTCGCAAGTCCCAGAGACCAAGCATGACCGTAAGTGGCGCAACGCACACAAAGTCGCACCAGAGAAAAACAGGCAGGGCTAACCACTCTGTCCCGTGCCAGTGGACTGGGCAGATCTAGTGACGCTTGACCTCGGCAAATTCGATACACCAGGCGGAAAGGAGGAATTGGCTGCTCAACTCTTCGACGCAGTGAACAGGATAGGTCAGACACCGAGAGAGTAAGAGACCTCGTAGTTTAGGATACTGTACTTACTTGGCTTTCGGGATAGGATTCTTCTACATCACCAATTTCGGCCTGACCCAGGACGAAGTCGACCGTCAGTTCAGCTTGTGCAAGCAGGTCTTTGATCTTCCTGCCGACGAGAAGATCAAATATCGGGCCGACCTCGAGAACGGTGGGTACAACGGATACAAGCCCCTCGGCACGCGGGAGGTCAAACCAGGCATCCGAGATAACACGGAGATCTACAACATCCCGAAATTCACGGCACAGTACGAACGCGAACACCCGGCCGTCGTCAAGCAGCACTGGGACGAGATCCAGCACTTCGCAAAGTACATCCACTTCGAGATTGTGCGGAAACTGTTAGTCCTCTTTGCCATTGTGCTTGAGTTGCCCGAGGATTTCTTTCTGAAGAACCATCGCTACGAGGGAAAGAGCGACTGTCATTTCAGGTACATGAAATATCACCGTCGCACGCCGAAGGAGAATACACAGTTAGACAATGTCTGGGTCAAGGGCCATACGGACTTTGGAAGTTTGACACTGCTCTTCAGGTAAGCCCAAGCCCGGGTCCCCAATGCGCCTGGCTGTGTTCATCTCTGGACTGGACTGGACTGATGGACATTGTCAGACAACCCGTGGCCGCGTTGCAAGTCCGCACGCCCGAAGGTGAATGGAAGTACGTCAAGCCGTACCCGGAGAGCATCACCGTCAACATAGCAGACGCCTTGCAATTCTTGACGAACGGGTTCTTGAAGAGCAGTATCCATCGGGTGATCGCACCGCCGCCGGATCAGGCCCACATCGACCGTCACGGGGTCCTGTACTTTGTGAGGCCGGAGGATGACACCGAACTCGTTCCCATCAAGAGTCCCGTCCTCGAGCGTCTCGGGTATGACAAGGCGTTGGACCAGGCGACTGTGGGGCTGACAGCTGGGGAATGGGTCAGGGCACGTGTCGCGAAGAACGTGAGCCGGCAAGGCAAGGAGGAGGAGTCGATCATCAAGGGTGTCAAAGCGAAGTACTACGACTGAACGGAATCGAGCATTAAGGAGCATAGATATCATAGCAGGTACCAAAGTCCGAAATACAATAAAACAAAGAACACTTTTCGCCATTTGAAACCCGGTGTACACCAATCGTTCGAAGAGGAAACCTTCGAGTCCCTCGTCACCATCATTCATGATCATCAGCGTGCCCTTCGACTTCATTCTTCCTTGATCATTGTTCGGACCCACTCGAAGAGACAGTTGTGGTGGGTGAGTTCCTGGATGACCTGGAGCTGACATTCACACCATGCTTGAGCTTGACGTGCCTTCGGACAGCGTCCGGCCTGATCGACGCGTAATCGCAGGACTGGCATCTCCGAAGGTCTTCATCGGTGACCAACCCGTGCTTCTTCTTCTCGTGCTGCTTACGACGTCTGTTCTCGGCGAATTCAACCCCACAGCCTGGCTGAGAACATTTGAACGGCGTGGTATGCTTGTTCATGTGTCGGTCGAGGTCACAGCGACGTCTGAAGGATTCGGAGCAGCGAGTGCAACGGTGCTTGTTGCTGCTTGACTCACGGGAGGACGCTGAGCAAGGAGTAGGTAAGTATGGAGACTGAGGGTTGAAGTCGAATTCCGGAAAGAAATTGAGATCTGGGCGGTGGTCAAGATCTACGTCGTTGCTGGTAGGAAACAGGGTGGAGTCGAAGTCCGGAAAGAAATTGAGATCTGGGAGGTGGTCAAGATCTACGTCGTTGCTGGTAGGAAATAGGGTAAAGTCGCTGAAGTCGATGTCATCCACATAGTTCATGTTGTTGAGAATATCGTAGTCAAGATTTGAGAGGGCCATGGCGGTGGGAGAACCTGGCTGGAGGTCGCATAAAATGTGGTGTTGGCTGGTGTATGGACTGCAACGGTTTTAGCCTGGAGCCGATGGAGTACCAGCAAAGCGTTGTTGGTGTACTGAGTCTGCAAGGTACCGACAGAGGTCAACCGACGATATCGGACCTAGATGGATAGAAGTGGATAGTGAGTTGCTGGCGTGTGATGCCTTTGGAGTATAGTGAAGCTCAACTGGGGATCAATGGCCAAAGTGCGCGGAACCGTGCTCGATGGCGAACCATGTGAAATGGCGAGGAGCTGTCCATGTTGAACTCGGGTATGTGGTCGTCGTCGGGGACTTTGATCATTTTCCGACCATGCCAATTTAGAGGATCGTTAGACATCAGCGAATGCGAACAGATGTTTGTCGAGGACGACCTGTCATCCCCATGATGATCCATAGGCAGCCAACAGTGCGATAACATTCCGAATGTTGCAAAGGACTCGGCGGAAGTCGACTTCTCACAACCAGGGTTTGCTGTCTCTGAAGGAAGACCTTCATTTTGACGAGCCGACCGATGAATGTTGACCTCGGTATTCATCATCGGTTCCCCTTCGACGTCTAAAGAGATCAGGTTGTAGGGCGGGGAGTACGCCCCATACAGATGTGGTTCCTCCATGAACCGGGAACAAAATGTCAAAAATTCCAAAAAGTGCCCTTTCTTGGCTACTCTTGTGAGACCTTGAAGGCTTAGCCACTCCGTCGGACACTGGCGGCATCGAAGCAAGGACTTGTGCTTGGGTAACCAGGCAAAGGAGAAGAGAACTCTGGAGTCTGGGGAAAGCGACGGGCAGGATGGATGGAGGGATTGCGGATGTTAGGAGAGAGGTGAAAGAAGAAAGGAAGTAAGGCTTCAAGGCTGGAAACGTGCCCGGTTTTGAAGTATGAGTAACAACAGCATTGAGGGGCCTGTTGCCTGTGGCCTACAATCTCCATCCATCTTCATTCGCTCGCTTAGACTGCGCCTCCTGGCGATGGACAGACGAGATAAAATAGGAATGTCTGGCAGGATTCAAATGACGACATGCAGGAGTTCTCCACGGTTCTCATAAGTGTCCCACGTCATATCCCATACAATTCCTATACAATGACTCGGTCAGTCCAAATAATTATAATGGCAGCACCTCCTGGGGCTGAGCAAAAGTTCCACCACTTCTGGTGACAGGTCCGACTCGCTTCCTCCAAGCCCGCTCAACTACATATGCTCTGTCCAGTGTTGACTCGGCCAGTAGGACCTACATTGTGATCAGCTCTTTTTGCTCCCAAGTTTAGCCGAGGCTTCCCGCATCCAGCCAATTCTCGAATGCTTAGTCATCCTGGTTGTCCTTCAAACGCTTGAGAACGCTGAAAGACATTGATCTTCCAGATAGAAGCCCGACTTTCCTATTGTCGACTCGGAGCTGGAACAACTTACAACAACGAAACCTTTCTCGACCATGAGCCTGTCATCAGTTGTGTGGCAGTACAATGGCCGAACGCTTGGCAAGGCTGCGGACAAAGGGGAGCCCACCGTTTTCATTGTCCTTCCAGACAAAGATAGATCGTCAAGTATTCGATCATCTCTCTGTGTGAATCCTAAGGACGGCAGACTTCGCTTAGTGGCTCGGGATTCTTTCTCCATGTACATCAAGAGGCAAGAGGGCGGATGTTGAAGGTCCAGCATGGTTAGTTACCGCCACAAGAACGAAGGTGGGTTACTCCTGTTCTATCCCGTACAGCGACATGACCGTGTGATAAAGCACTTTGTACTCAAACACCACCACGGAACAGATGATGAACAAAGAGGTAATCGAAAAGGGTGTTGAATAGGATGCTTCCGAAAGACGATCCATATATTTCGTATACATCCAAGTCTCAGTCTCTGCGATTCTCCACAGAATAACTGCACCTATCACACATCAAACACAAAATTACCTGATATCTTCGGAAACATGAAGCTCACAACGACCAGCATCCTCTTCATCCTCGCGATGACGGCATCCGCTTTGCCAGCCGCGGACCACACCGTCGTCACGGACGCAGCTCCATCCAACTCTGCCGCCGACGTTCCCAGCTCCACAATCGAGCAAGCAGCTCCAGCACAACCGCTCAACACTTCTGACGATTTCGATGAATCGTACGACGACCACCACCACCAGCTGTCTCTCCAGGCTCTGGCCTACGCGGCTTCGGCCCCCGATGCCGAAGCTGAGAGTCATCACGACAAGAGGTCCCCCGGCTCCGGAGCGATGCAGCCCAAGGGACAAAAGCAACAGAAGGATGCCAAGAAGCCCAAGCAGTACATGTGGTGCACTTCGAACCGAGACTACTGCACTTCGTGGTACGCAGCGCCCGGCGAATCCTACAAGGCGAGACGCGAAGTGGAGAAGCGCGACGGAATGTCCAACACCGCCAACAAGAAGGACCAGGAGGTCTGGTGCAATGCCGCCGGCAAATGCGTTTACTGGTATAAGGACAATAAACTCGACGTTCTTGGTACCACGCCATGCACTGACAAGAAGAGAATGGGTACTGATCCGGCATGCCTTCGTGTGCCGAAACACACAAAGACTACCTAAAGTTAGGGTTTGAAGGAGCAGACTACACATAATGTATTCGGTCATTAGTTCCATCCGTCAGAGTAGAGCAAATTGTTCTTCCAATCGAGGATTTGATTCCAAGAAGCGTCCATACGTGACCTTTGTCTAGAAATACGACGTTATTCTGCTATCTCCCTAACGATAGTCTGGATGCTATCCTATTACATATTGTGGTATCGCAACCACTTGCTCATGCCGTGGCAGGGCCGTACAAATCCGGATCTTCATATTCCTGATTTGAATTTCCAGGTGCGGCCGGCAATGGAGGTGTGAGCCTGAATAACGTGAACCGCGATGAGGGTGCAAGCCTGAATATCAATGACTTCTTCATATCTGGAATCATTGACGCAATCGTTGCACGGATCGAGTTGATGAACTACATAAACTCGATTTCGTCTTCGGAAGTGGCTCTTTCTTTGCCCTTTCCCTTGTCTGTTTTCGTTTCCAGAGCCGAATATGTTGCGTCAGGATCTGGTTGGATTCTCCCACTGTCTTTGGTGCTTGAACGTAACGGTTTTCTTTGTGTGTCAGATGCCAGATTCCTCAAGTATGCGACTTCTTTCTCGTTGAGCTCGACCTTGCCATCTTTGTTTAGTTGAAACTTGAGGCTCATCTTATCGATGACTTCCTGCGTTGCCGCATCAGGTGTAGCGACCTCTCGTGCTTCCAAGCTGGAGACAAGTGCTTGGTTTTCTGCATTTCCTTCGAGAAGGAATTTGAGACACATGACGGCGTGCTCTTTGATGTAGGGGTTACACGCTAGATTGCGCATTAGTGGAATGCAGATTTAAATCTGGGTCAGGACACTACATACCATCATACTGCGTACAGCTTAAGATTGTCTCAAGGCCGCCATGTTGTCTGATCTGGTTTTGTACAGTTGGAGACTTCCATACCAAACTCGATAAGACCAACACTATCAACTTCTTAAGATTTCGCCATTCAAAATCTGCAGGCTCTTCGGTCACTTGTGGTGGAGGTGGAGAGTGCGATGTCGGCGGTAATGATTCAGCTTCTGGTTCAATTGAAGCCTGTTCCAGTTTTTGCGTCACCGGATCGACAGTAGACGATGCATCATAAGGTCTTTCAACAGCAATCGGGCCCGACTCCTTCGTATCCGATTCAGCCTCTTTGAGTGCTGTGCCATTAGTCGTCGCTTTTGCAGTTGGAGGGGGCATTGTCTTTGTGAGAGAGACTTTGGCGATGCTATTGTCAAGCTCTTTGATCAGTGTGACCAGATCATATACGATCTCCCACTGGACAAGCAGGCTCTTCCAGTCGTTGTTCTCGGTCAAGACGGCAAAGAATTCCAGGAACTGATAAACACCTTCATAAACTCTCTCCATATCCCACAGATTAAGTGGAAAGTCCTCAGCCAACGCTAGTCCGGCACGAATCTGACCCTGCAGATAGATCAGAGCGCATGTCTCAGGGATGATGTTGCCACGGAACACAATAAAAATGTACCGAACCGTCAAGACATCGACTCTGCTGAGAGGAGCGGGCACTCGTGATTTCGGTTGTGGTTGCTCATTTGAGTTCTGGACAACCGAAGCAGGACTGTACTTGGCCCGGAAAATGTGCGTAAGGATTTTGATAACCACAGCTTGGGCAGGAGAGATAATATCTTTCGGCTGTCCAAAGTCTGAATAGGCGTGAGACATCAATCCGTTCTTGAGAATGGCTTCCATGATCTGAACCATCATCTTGAAATAAAACTCGTCATCAGGAAGATCCCAGGCCGCAATGAAGATCAGTAACTCTCTCAACACATTGCGTCCTGCTTCCTGTGCGAGCAAGATGTGGCAGCGGACCGCCTGCATGTTCTTAGCACCGTTCCGTTCATTGTTCTTGGACCCGAAATTATCGACGATACCCGCTTGAATGATCATCGGAAGAGCTTCAATTTCGGTTGGTCCCAACACAAGAGGGACATCTGTGAGTAGACCTCTTTCTTGATCTCCGGAGCCACGATAATCTTCGTCATCGTCCTCTTCCTCTTCCTCTTCCATACTATCCTCGACACTATCAACTAGGTCGTCGTCGTAGTCTTCAGGATTGCCGTCCTCGTCATAAGAAATGTCCCCATTCTCATCCACAATCGGCCCGGACTCATGTAAGCGAGCCATGAGTTCATCCTTCGCTTCCTGTAAAGTGGCGGCCGCAGACTGTGCCGTCCTAGGCATGGTCAGATCCTCATCCGTTAAGTTTTGACCTGCTTCGGCGAGACCACCATAGGAAGCCACGTTGGGTACGTCACGTAACTGCGTCCGACGTCCCTGGCTGTTAGTGGCTTCCCCGTTGGTGACGCCTTCAACGCCATTCTGTTGGCTCTGAGCAACAATAGGTTCGCGAGGCGGTATATGGCGACGTAATTCTGCTCCTACTTTGAGAAGAATGTCGGGAGTGGCGTCTAATTGGCTGACCGTCATACCAGCGAGTTTCGCCATGTCGCTTTTGATCTTGTCCATGACAACATTCATCTGTGCCTGCGCCTGTTCGTCTGGCTCTTTGTTGATGCTCATCATGTCGAATAGAGCATGTACATCGTCGACATTGTATCCCGGTGCATCACCCGATTCTCCTTGGTCCTGGCGAGATATTTGTTCGGCAGCTAATTTGATCCGCTCTGCTCGTGTACCAGTTCCCTGATCGCTTTCCCCTTCGATTTCAGGCTCTTGATTGACATTGTCATCGTTCTCGTGCGCCTGTGCCTGGCCAAAGAGATCCAGCCATAGAACCAACTTGCGTTGTTCGTTGTGCATGATAAAGTTGTGCAAGAATTGCAGGCATGTTATCAACAATCTCTTGTAAAGGTTGACCACCTTTTGCCATCTCTCCTCGTTCCTGGGATTCTGTTCACCATCATACCCTCGAGCAGTCACGCGGACACAGACGTCGATTAGTCTGAGTATTTGTTGATCAAAACCCTTCTCAGCGGCAAGGTTCTGAGCCTTTTTCGTCGTTGCTAGCAGGTTGCGCGCAATGGTGCATAGATCATTCAAGCGCTCGATGTCCTTCACCAGAGAGAGGTAATGCGCGGCAATCAGCTCTGAGCTGCTTCCGTTGAAGCTTGAGGCGGGAGGATTTTTCCAGGCAAAGGATTGCTGTTCAAGCGCAGGAATGGCAACGGTAAGAACTCTAGTCAGACCTTCCCATACTCGAGGATTGAATCCCAACGCTGAACGGACATCGCTCTCTTGGTGTGACTTGTACAAAATTTGTTTTCCCGCAATCAACAAATGTTCCAGCCTCTTGTCATCGATCAGTCCTCTGGTCTCGTAGTGGGTTTGTGTCCCGGCGACGACGATTTGTAACAGAGTAGTTGCGCTCATACTGACACGGACAGAGACACATAGTCAAGTATTTGAGGATAGTTTTCGACGAGAACGAGCGCCCACTCACAACTTCACCTGTCGCCGACAGCAAAGCGCAGCCCGACACCCCAGACTGAAATCAAAATCCACCCGCGAGACCTTCCATTTCTGATGACATCATGGGAGTCTTCGTTCCACCGTACACATTTACTACGGTGCTACAAAAGTACTGAAGTCCGTGGACGAAAACGACACCACCGACTATTTGTGTCTGTGCAAACACCTGCACAACGTTCGTCTATCAGTCCGTGAAGGCATCAAGGATCGACCATACTGTTCAGTTCAAGCACGCGTTAAAACAAAAGAGGCTGCGGTCGAACAGTCACTCTCTCATGCTTACATTCAGTCACGTTGTGCAATTCAACCTATTCGTGAGCTGCCGCTTGGTCATGGCAGAGGGTCAATTGCTGGTCGGCCTACCCAGAGGCATCCTTCCATCAAGTAATGGACTGTCGCACTGGAGTCGCACTTGTGGCTTCGGCTGATATGTTACGGAAACGGTAGGCACAGTACTGAAGAGGCGACATGCCAACTCATGGAATGATGTCCCGGTTATTGTTCGACCACGCCCTTGTGGTCCGTCCAGCTCCACTAAGCGTTCCTCTTGGACGTGCTTTCCGGCGAGTATCTCATCTCATTAACATTTGAGTTTCTCCCATACATCCATGGGCTTCGTATTTGGACAAACGAATCCTCCCGGCAAGTTGTCGCGCCGGTAAAGAGATTCTTTGCCGGCATAGCCGAACTGGTTTGGGGAACATTGCCATCTGCGGGGAACTGTTCGGGTGTTCATCACAAATCACCGAGTATATCTTATGGTCATTGATATATACTCTGACGAAGGAGACATTGCTATCGTTTTCATAGTCTTCGTTTTCGTGTACGCCAAGTCAAAATGTCAGAGACAACGATAGCCCTCTCTTCAGCCGCCCCGGATGCAGCCTCACTGAAACCAAAGATCAATGGGGACTATGTGAAAACCAATGGCGTGAATGGATACTACCATGCAGAATCACATACTGAATCTATCGACGTCCCACTGCGACAGGCAAACGCGTGGACACCACGGAAGAAACTCCGAATCATTACAGTCGGAGCGGGGTTTTCAGGATTACTCTTCGCTCATAAGCTGCAACATCAGTATCCGGAGATGCAAGATCTGATATCGCACACCATATACGAGGCCAGAGACAAGATCGGCGGGACGTGGCTCGTCAACACGTATCCTGGCGTCCAGTGTGATGTCCCTTCTCATATCTATGTACGTATTGCTACATCCCGCTGGTATCAAAATATGCTGACAGACCAGGCGTTCCCATTCGACCCCAACCCGAACTGGAGTCATTTCTACTCAAGTGGTAAGGAGATTTACGAATATATTTGTAGTACGACAAAGAAGTGGAATCTGGACCGGGATGTCAAGCTCAACCATAGACTCCTTGAGGCCATATGGCAGGAGGAAACCGGTCAGTGGAAATGCACCATCCAGAATGGTGAACGCCAGTGGGTCGAATACACCGATATCCTAATCTCAGGACAAGGTATCTTGAAGTGAGTGCCCAAATGATACCCTGTATCTCCTAGGAGCATGTCCTCTGACACGCCCTCCATTACAGTAAGTGGCGATGGCCCGACATCGAAGGCCTGCACACTTTCAAAGGCCACAAATGCCACTCGGCCAATTGGGCCAACGACTACGACTACTCCAACAAAACAATCGGTGTCATCGGTAATGGCAGTTCAGGAATTCAAATCGTCCCGTCTCTTGCAAAGCTGCCAGGCACGACTGTGATCAGTTTTCAGCGGAGCCCGACCTACATCTACTACCGCATGGCACCCGCCAAACTGCTCGCTCGAGACGACATCAGCGGTAATCCGGAATACACAGAGGAAGACAAGCGACGATTCCGAGAAGATCCTGCACACCTTCGACAGTATCGGAAAATGCTGGTACATAAAATCAACAATGCTTTCAAAATGGTAAGCCAACCCTTCAACTCTCGCTCCCTCCCTCCACGAATGCCAGAGAACTAATTACAAGGGCCGTGGTTAGTTCTTAAAAGACACCCCTGCCAACGACGAAGTCTCTGACGCCGCGCGCAAACAAATGGCCGAGAAACTGAATCACGACCCGGATTTATGCGCGAAACTGATCCCAACCTGGGAACTCGGCTGCCGTCGCATCACCCCCGGCGAAGGCTATCTCGAATCGTTCCTGAAGCCGAACGTACACCTCGTCCAGAAAGGTGTCACGCGGGTCACCGAAGACAGCATCATCACGACCGACGGCTCGAGTCACAAAGTCGACGTCATCGCCTGCGCGACCGGCTTCGACGTCTCATTCACCCCTCAATGGCGCATGATCGGGCGCAACGGCGTCGACCTAGCGAAAGAATGGTCCGTCGACCCGGAGTCGTACCTGTCCATCGGCGCCCGGGACATGCCGAACTATTTCATGTTCATGGGCCCGAACTCGGTCATCGCCCACGGCTCGTTGATGGAAAGCCTAAACTGGACCGGCGACTACCTTGTCAAATGGTTGAAGAAAATGTGTACCGAGGACATCAAGTCCATCGTGCCCAAGACGAAAGTCGTAGACGAGTTGATCTGCTACGGCGACAAGATCCACAAGACACTCGTCTGGTCCGGTGGGTGTAAAAGTTGGTACAAGCGCAACACGGTGGACGGGCGGGTCACCGCGGCGTTTGCAGGCAGTGCGCTTCTGTACAAGAACTTGATCAGTGAGCTGAGGCCAGAGGATTTCGAGGTCGAGTATCGTAGCCCGAACAGATGGTCCTTCTTGGGCAATGGATTCACCGAATACGAAATGGATCCGGAGAGTGATTTGTCGTGGTATATCGAGCGATGATTAGGTTGGTTACCTAGGTATGGGAGACAACCCGAACATACCAGCTGAATCCAGATGCGTCCGCTCGATGCTGACAGATGGAAGGGCGGGAACAAGCGAGCTCCGTCACCAACGAAAGACTCCCAGGAGGCAAGCAAGTGAAGGCGAGTTCAAGCGTCAACAATATCCATCTACAAAGAAGAAGAAGAAAGAATAGAGATCAACGAGAAATCTAGAGCCATGCCCAAGACCTCACTATCCCTGACATTACCTCCACAAGCCCTCAATATCTTTGCCAATGAATTCTAACAACGATTCTTCAACGTCCCTTCTCGTGACAGCACCTCTCTTCGCTTTGGCGCCCGCCTGCGCAATCGCAGACTCAGCATCTTCCTCGGCCATGGTAACTAGCGAGCACCCCACGTGTCAGTAACGGTGCGGAAAATTCGGGCGGAATAGTAAGTCTAAAGATCCGGTAACACAATTCCGTTGCCCTCCACCAAAAGGGGACCAGGAGACCCATCTACTCCGGAGGACCCAGGGGCTATAGCACAGTATTGATAGCAAAGAGGGAAGGACTTACTATGACACTGGACGGCCGCACGTTTCCCACTCCACATGGCATGCGGCACATTCGTGCTGCCATCCGAATTCGCATCGCCCACAGCATACACACCGGCGATATTCGTGACCATTCCAGCTGTAAAGTTCGCCAGCAAGGATTTATCGTTGACCAGCGTCACGCCTAATTTCCGTCCCAGGTCACTGCGCTGCACCGATTCAAAGCCCGCGAAGAATGCGGCTCGTTCGATCGCCGTTCCGTCATCCAAATACACCATGAACTTGTCATACTCGGCCTTGTCGACGGCGGACTTGACGATGCCGCCATCTTGGAGTCTCCGGATTTCCGTGATTGTCCGATTCTCAATCTGCACGTTGTACGCCTTGACCAATTTTTCCCAGTCCGGCTCTGTCGCAGTCAATGCAGCCATGTTGGCCGGCGTGAGGGTCCCATTCACAAATGCAATCAGATCCGTGTTGAGCGTCTCGATCTCCCGGATGAGGCCGGGGACTTTGTCGAGCGTGCCGAGCAGACCCAGCGGCTGGTCACGGTGCTCGTACCCGTCACACCAGGGGCACCAGTAGATCCCTCTCGCCCAATTTTCGTCGATACCCGGCGTCGATGGGATCACGTCTTTCATCCCCGTGGCCAGGACGACCTTGCGGCTGGTATACTGATTGCCATCTGCGTCTGTGATGGCGAAGCAAGAATTGTTGACCTGTTGGATATCCGTGACGGTGCCGTTCTTCATGGACGCGGTCGGATACAATGAAATTTGTTCGCGGGCTTTGGCGCGGAAGTACGCCGGCGTTACACCTGCGATACTTCGTCAGCATTCCAGGTTCCTATAGCATGAAGAGGCAAGCTGGGGTTCCAAAGGGGGCTGGGTTGGGTACCGTCACTTCCAATGATATCATGAGCATGTCTTGTCAAGAGGTTGCGATATTCGCCCGAGTCAATCAGCAGCGCCTTGCGCCGTACTCGAGCGAGGCCGCTCAAAGCACTCAATCCGGCCGGTCCTCCTCCCACTATGAGAACATCGTAGTGTGAGGCATCTTGGTTAGCCTGCCATGGTACTGGAGAAGATAGGACAGCAAATGGCAGTGTCAACAAGAGCGCAAAGAAGTGGATCGGAGACGGTAACATATCTCTCTTTGTGGTTCTGAGGCTGGACTACGAGACGGCGAGCATCCGAAAGGTTTCGAGGAAGCCCGAACATGAAGTAAAGAGCATTTCCACAACTCCCAACGGCGCTGCGTTGTGCAGCAACCGTCCAACAAGCTTGTGCTCTTACCACAATACATGCTTACAGGACAGTCCATGTAGTCTTGGAATACTATTTTAAGATCCAATAGAAAGGGCATCGAACGAGCAGAGACCTAGATTTCTACCGCAATCTGGTCCGTGCCAGAGTTTCTATGTGTCAGGTCAGGACGCTCTGGTCAGAACCGGCGAACTTTTCTTGTCAGCCAAGCAAACAATCATTCTAGTAGCTGCGGGTCAAATCATGGAGTAAATAAATGGAAAAGCTGTAAAGATGCAATCCTGGTATGAGATTGTGGAGGAGTGCCGTTCCGTATTGAGGTACGGACTCCATTCTGGTGTGGGCTGTCCAGTCGGTTGTCCCTTTCATTGCGCACTATCCTACCTTCTAGCAGAGAGTGGATGGGATAGGAGCACGACAAAGCTCAATTGAAGGAATAACCATCCTCTCAAGTTCGTACCCGGACACTGAGCCTCATGTGAGACGCTTCGGAGTCACGTAATGGCGGCGGTATTGGGATTGACCTCGGCTACAGGAGACACGTGGTCAGTCATATACCAAGGTAGATAGAAGGAATATTGAAATCAAGTATTATCTCTTGCACAGCACTATGGACCAATTCCTGCCACGTTGCTAACATAGGACACCTTGGGTTCCAGTCCTCTTTACGAACTTAGCTGCTGTTTCACAGATTCGAGAGATCCGGAGGCATGTGACAATCATATGTGCTTGTTCTGCTCGCCCTCCTTGGTTTCATTGACAACTGCATCCAGGATCTTGCGCACTTCTCTGATGATCTCCCAGCTCGTTTCTTTGACATGCAATACCTCGAGGTTGACTTTGTCCAGTATGCCGGATGGAGAGGTCGTAACTGATGGATAATCTTCTTTCCTAGTGGCCAGAATCATAGCGTGTACCGGTACACGATTTGCATTTTCTGCCGGACGTGGCGACAGGATCGACTGTCCTTTGCGCGACGAGGCTGACTTGTAAACCGTTGCTTGGGTAATTGAGGCGGCAAGGTATGGTGGACGGTCAGGAAAGAACACGTCAGCGAAACGAAGAGGGATGTTCGGCGGCTGATATTCGTAGTTAACCGGCAGCAACGCGTAGATCTCAAGACGCAAGAAGCTGTTCTCATCTGAGGTGTTGAGGGAGTTGATTTGTCTGAGCGCCTCAGCAATGCGGAAGCAAGTCGGAAGTCGGTATTCGGTTGAGAAAATCTGCTGTGATATCTCAGTTGGCTTGTCCGGGATCTTGGTCGGGTATTTGACGGAGCGAAGGAACGGTTTCATATCTGGTAGAGGGTTGCTTGAACTGACTGACGCTGCGGTGGTCGTCCATTCCCGGCCGAAGCTGAACTGTGTCAAAAGACTTTTGAACGAGCTGTTTTTGTCGTTTGGCGCCTTGTATTGTGTGCTATTCTTTTGCTCCTTGGCCAATTCCGCCTCAGCAGCGAGGAGATCTGCGATGTCAGAGTCGTCATCGTCAAAAAGATCATCATCATCATCATCCTGATTCGCGTTATTGTTCCGACCGTTCGCCGCGACAGGGGGTTTCGCAGAGTAGACATTGAATTGGAAAGGGGACTCCTGGGGGTAGTCGAAGAAGTCAGTTGTCATCGGATCCAAGGTGGTACCGGAGCTCCTCATGTTGAGTTTGTTCTGTGAAGTATGCATAAGAGGAGTGTCGCCAGATCGTGTAATTTGGGCCATCTCTTGACCAGCTCCAAGGGATTTCTCGTGGTGGATTGACTTAGAATTCAATGTAGGCGACTTGGCCAGCTCGACGTTGCTTTTCTTCAATGATGATTCGGTAGCTCTCTTCTTCCGTGCGGTTGTTGGTGATAGTGAGGGTGCTTTTCGCTTGCGTGTAGTTGAGGTTTGTTTCATCTTTTCTGCTGAGCTGAGAATGAACTCGCGAAGTGGACTAGCGAAAGGGGATGGGATTTCATTTTCATTCCCAGGTTCAGACAACGGAGGTGAAGGGGAGGTTACGGTGAAGGTCTTGCAAGCACGATTGACGGGAGTCCAGTTGTTCAGCCTGACGTTGGTTAGTTTATGCACTCAACTTTCACAAGCTCCTGCCTTACCAGACTTGTGGTCCCGTGTTCAATTTGTTGACCTTCTCAAGCTCTTCCACATCTGTGAAAGAAGCGAGTGAATGCTTGTCCATCTCCTTTGTAGAGACCATGACGCAATCTGAGCTCAGCGAAAACATTCTCGACTGTAAGGATGCACACAGACAGCACAATGAACGTGGGGAACGCTAAGTGATGAGTCGGACGATGGCAGCGTGTATGAGGAGCTTTGAAAGAAAGTCAAGAAGTTCAACACTCTCAGCGAGCTCAGGGAAGAGGCCAACGAGGTCACGCAGGGATATGGCAGTAAGGAAGAGGAAGATGGCTTGGTGGTGTCTCGGCATCTTGTTCTCGAGGCTGAACGCGGATTTTGATGAATGAAGCTTAGGCAGTGGACGATGAGTGTTGTGAAATTGAGCTGCCTTGTCCATGTCTGCGATGAAATATTTCACGATGGCCGGATTCAAAGGGCGCTAGCGAAGATGAAGGCGGTGAAGCAATCGAGGTCGAACAGCGATACTCTCAATCTGGTGTGAAGGTGTTTTGTGCCATTCAGACTGCGATATGAGCTTCATTGTCCTTTTCCTACTAGACAGCCGACTGTCATGTAGTGTCTGACATAGATTTGTCGCTCGTGTACAGCCTGGCTTCATACCGTACCCGGCTGGCTTCTAGGATCATTACGTCTTGAGTGTCTGTCCTCATGCTCAAAGGGAGTGTGAAGTACTGCGGTGACAAGGTTGACGACTATCTGGCTAGGTGTCTGGTAGACGGAAGACACCTGCTGACATCATCAAGGGAAAGCCAGAGGCACTAACCACGTTTGGCATCCCAAATGTTTTGGTTGCTGAATGATGCGTTCGCTGAGCGCAGACTGACTCTGCGCAAGACCAGACCATACATCAATATGTCTTATGCTGTGGAAATCAAGAAGCGCAAGTTCGACCGTATCTTGGAGGCGCTTTCCGACAGTGCAGCATCACCATCTCGAACCTCACTCAATGCCCGCAACAATGCCTCAACCACGACGCTGACCCAAGATTCCGCCTCCGACTCTTCCAAACGACGTCGCGTTACTCCTACTGCAAAAGCTGTTGTCCCTAGTACTTCTGTGACCTCTCTCTGCGGCCACTACCTTCCCTCCAGCCGAGCGGCGTTTCTACAGAGACTGGAAACCTTCCGACATGTGACTCAGTGGCATATCCCTTCAACAGAGCCCATCAATGCTGCGGCATGGGCGAAAAGAGGCTGGGTATGTGTGGATACCGACACTATCTACTGCGGTGCCTGTAAAGAGAGAGTTCACGTTGATCTAGACGCCGACTCTGAATTGCTTAAGAACCAAGAAAACAATGAGGATGAAGAGGAGGAAGAGCATGCCGACCAAGATGACAGCGTTGTGATGCGCTCGGAAATCCACGAAAGCATGGTGAAACGATATCAGGAGATGATCGTCACTGCCCATGGTGAAAATTGCCTTTGGCTCAAACGTGGCTGCGATTCGTCAATACAGCGAATAGAAGGATTGTTGAATACCAGCATGGCCATTTCTGCACTGCGGACGCGTTACGAAAGTATTATTAACCGAGCAGAAGAGGTTCCCAGAGTAGCACCTCTCCCTGGCGATGGTTTCGAGGCCACAGAAGGTTTGGAGCGATTCCGGTTCAATGACAACGAGAAGCCGCAGCTCGACGCTCTGAAACTGGCAGTCTGTGGGTGGGAAAGAAAATGCGAAGATGTCATCGAATGTCGTCACTGCTTTCGGTCACTTGGACTATGGCTATATCGTGGTGAGACGCCTGCAATGGAGAGACTGGACGCTGTTGAAGATCATCTTGAGTATTGCCCGTGGAGATCGACCGAGGCTCAAGATACAGAGATTATTATTGGAGGTCGCAGGGACAGTGAGGGCTCCTCACCGAGCTTACAGCGAGTGGCAGGATGGGCTCTGGTATTGCAGGCTATGCTCAAAGACAACAGCAAGAGAGAATCAAAGCAACCAGTTTCCACTTCTGCCTCGGAGACAGAACTGACCAGTACTCCGAACAATGAGTCTCAGACGCCGGAGCAACGAGAAAAGAAAATGAGGGATTTATTGCGCAGAATCAAGGAAATCAAGAAGCCATTCAACGTCAAGGCGCTGCTGAAACGCAAGGACAAAGGCCAGACCTGATGAGACCACGACAAGGAATGATCCATCACTGACTTCCCTCTTCCGATAGCCGTGGTTGTTATATCACGGAATGGTTCCCGGATGTTGGCGATGACATTGTGTAGGTAGTCCGGCTTCCAACCTCGGCCGGCTTATGGTCAAATATCGGAAGTGTTCGGAAGATACCGCGACCTGTGCACGTGGGAGGCTGCGAACACCGTCTGTGTGAGATTGCACCAGACAAACTCGAGAGATGATCAATCATCGGAAGCGAGATCGGAGCTTTCTTTTTGCATGTGCTAGCGTTTGAGGAAATGCAGAGGGAAGGGTTGGTTTTTCCGCAAGGCTGAAGGTGGATCTGAACTAAGTGGACACAAGACTCGAGCCTTGTCGCAGGGTGGCCGCAGCAGACAATGTGCTCGACCATCTGTTAAGCTGGTCGCAGGTGGTTCCGGTCAAGGGCTTTGGGTAAGGGTGAATCAAAGATCCAAGACCTCAATGTACACAGTAGGCTCAATTATTATCCTTTGCAGCCTCGCCCAGAATGCCATCAACTGTACTCGTCCACAGTAGTGCCTAGGTAGAGGTGGTAGAGGTATCCCACGGTGGGGGTGGGGACCTTAGGGGACTTGCTCTGGAATCCGTGTCTCCATAAGGTCCCCTCTTCAGCTAGCCGACAATGACATCAATCTAAAGCCACCAAGCCTACCTCATGCTACCACGGCTTCCTAGCAGGACAAAGCCTCGTCCGGGTGGCAGTGGGATGAAAATGTCGCACTGTTCGACCGTGCGATGACTATGGAGTCGCCGGAAACCGATGGTACCCGAACCCAGCCCAATGGGGGTCATGTCGGGACGCGCTTTTCGAGTCACTGATTATTGGTTGGGGGGCAAGTTGCACTGGGAGCATGTGAAAGCATAGCTACATGAGATAGGTACTCGTAGCTATCAGCAGTGATTGCCAAGTCGGTCATGTTGGGGCCGTGTTCATACTCGTGCCATCATTGTACCGCAAGGCTTCAAATCGGAGTTCAATCGAGCGGGGATGGCAGACAGCGACAGCCTCGAGAGCATTCGTGGCATTCCAACAAACGACTGCGGTCACCCGCGATGCAGCAAAAGCACTGACTGTGGAAGCCTAGGGACGGTTTGGCATAGGCGCACCAAGGCATGTTAGAGCACCCCAAGGTGCCCACAACACCAACCGTGCTCTTGTCTATTCGTCAGTTCCTTGCCAGGTATGGGTTCCCTTCCTTCCCCGCATCTCACCATTCTTACCAAGCCCTGTCCAGTCTGTCCAGCCTGTCCCACGACAATCATGTCTGCACTAGATAACTGCCTCATCCAATCCTCGGGCCCATGAATCGCTAGGGTCATCATGCCCAATGGTCATCGTCAAACTCATAAACAGGGACTTGTCCATCCAAATCAAGTCGCGGTCAGGCCCATCACATCACACCTCCTCCTCCAAGCCCTCCTCCTCCTTCTCCTCTCTATTGCGGAGTTGCTTCCTCGTGCGGACAACCTTCTTTCCGACCGAGCTCTGCCGTTTGTTCGTAACCGTCTGATTGTTGCTGAATAGTCTCTCCTCTCATATACCTGACTCTTCTGCGCTTTTCGGTGACCGACAACTTGCGCCTGCTTGAAGCAGTCGTATTCGTCTCACAGAAAAGTCGCCGAAAAGGCACCCCATCTCCCGACTGAGGACGCCGAATCGCAGCAGGACCGTATTCCCGGTCACCGCCCGTCCGATAATCCTCGAGTCGGACTCTGACCACTGGTGAAAGTACTGAGTGTATAGTACTTCTGCTACTTGCCGCGTGATCTCTCACGCTCTTCAGGTGAGCTGAACTCGGCCACAAGCACTGTTCCCCTCACCACCACCCTCACCACCGCAATCCATGTATCAAGACACTGACTCTGGGCGCGGCTTAGATACAAGCAGCCTTCCTCCTCTCACCTCCACCATGTCCGGTACAGCCAACCGCATCAAGGAAGGGGCTCGATCCGCGGCCTCAAAGGTCGAAGAAGCTGCTTCAGAAGCCGTCCATAACCCAGCCCAAGCCAAAAATGACTTCCTCCACACCCCGATCATGCGAGCGGCCCTACCTTTCATCAACGGAGGCCTCTCCGGCATGTTTGCAACAGCCTGCATTCAGCCCATAGACATGGTCAAGGTGCGACTGCAATTGGCAGGAGAAGGCGTAAGAACAGGACCCAAACCCACAGCATTTGGCATAGCAAAAGACATCATTGCACAAGGCAAGGTGCTAGACCTGTACACGGGTCTCTCGGCCGGTCTGTTGAGACAGGCAGTCTATACCACTGCCAGATTGGGCTTCTTCGATACATTCCAGAACATGATGCAGGCAAGAGCAGAGAAGAAAGGCACAAAGATTGGCTTCCTAGAGCGAGGCGCCGCGGGTCTGACTGCGGGTGGTCTGGCAGCTATGGTCGGCAATCCTGCAGACTTAGCACTCATTCGCATGCAGTCGGACGGCTTGAAGCCCAAAGAACAGAGGGCCAACTACCGGTCCGTCTTTGACGCTCTGATGAGAATCGCCAAAAATGAAGGTATCGGCGCCTGGTGGGCCGGTGCCTATCCCACAGTGATTCGTGCCATGGCCCTGAACTTCGGTCAACTCACCTTCTTCGCCGAGTCCAAGGCACAGCTCAGACAGCATGCGCCGAATCTGTCGGAAGGCACCCGAACGTTGAGCGCATCTGCCATTGCCGGATTTTTCGCCTCGTTCTTCAGTCTCCCCTTCGACTTCATCAAGACGCGTCTGCAGAAGCAGCAAAAAGGTCCGGATGGGAAGTTGCCATACAGTGGGTTCTTTGACTGCGCCAAGAAGGTTGTTCGTGATGAAGGTTGGTTGAGATTTTATCGTGGATTCCCTACCTACTATGTCAGAATTGCGCCGCATGCGTGAGTACTCAGCTTCGCCTTGGTGATGGGTTTTTGCTGACGAGGGAACAGGATGATCACGCTGATCGTGGCCGATTATCTGAAGTTGATCACGGCTTGATAAACACATGACCCACGGGGGTCTCGCAATATGAATGAGGAATATCTTGTCGTCTTGAAAGGGTTCGGAGGAGAGGCTGACAATGTTGAAAAAGCAGACTACCAGAAAGAGTTGGATATGTCATGCCACGGCCGCGAAGAGGAGGAGCTGAAGACGAGAAACGCGCACATCCATTGTGGCCACGTCGCTGATTCATCTCATAGCGCCCAGCGCATCGAGGAAATTTTGCCGGATGATTTATATATCCTCTATGCGGTAGTAGATCTCCCTACCATTTGAGGACGATGTCTCACGATCTAGCATTCAGACGAGTATGGAGGTAGCATAGTCGACTTGGTAGGAAGATACCTAGTATAGACGTCCTCATGGACTGAAAATTGAACATCTAACTTACCTACTAGTCGCCCACGGCCTCCGTACCCAGGAGCATCGATGGAGACGAATGGAGACAAATGGATGCTCAAGTCGGGGCAACGGATGCCGACCACACGTGACAACGACCAGCCCGAACCGGATATGCCCACTATGCCTTACAACGGCATCTCGTACTCCGTACGTTTAGACCTTTCACAACCTTTCTGTCCAGCAGTATGGACAACCACATCTACTCAGCAGATTTGGCAGTCAGAATATTGTTGCGACACCAGTGAGACCAGCTCAAATGGAGAACATGGCCTCCTTCAGCACATTATGAGCAGCCTCGCCCATCGACGGACGCAAGGCATATGTTCCAAGAGCACTCGAGTGTTCGCCTAAGCATGGTACGGAGAGAATGTTCAGGTTCGATACAAGCTACATAGCAGTCACATTGCAGGTACGGTACCAATGCTCTGGCAACCAAAGTCTCCCTGCTATGATCATCTTGGTTGAGTAATAACACCATTGTCCTTGATCATTGAGTTTGAATCTACCTTGTCGGAGTACGCATACTAGGACATCTCCCAGTGTTCGCCAGTCCGGATTCTCGCGCCATGGCGCATTTGTGGCCTCGTCGCTGAACACTAACCAAGAGCACGGCCAAGCACACGCCCCAGAGGCACAACATAGCTCGCCATTGTCACCACTTTGTCTGCCTGCCAATGTGACTCCTCTTTGCCGGTGACACTCAACTCAACATACCTTACTCCCGATAGCTAAGCCCGGCAAGTGTAACCCAAGGAAGAAGTGCCAAAAGGGACAAACTCCCCTGTCGAAATACGTCAAAAAGAGGCATGATCATTCCGGTCTCCCCTTTAAAGGTCTTTCACGTCACTGAACCAAGCTTGTCGGTCTTCAGTCCTCGAAGTTCAAGCACCGACTGATCGACCACCCTCCCGACTCGCCCGATCTGATCTGATCTGATCCGATCTTGAGTCATGTCATGGACAGGATATCCGCCAGACAGAAACAAATACAACACACGCATGGAATGCACTCTTCCGCCCCATCACACCCGCCGCGGAGATGCAGATCGGTAGTCGTAGTAGTAGGATCCAACTGCTGCATCCGACTCGCTGGCTCAAAGGACATGCCAGCTCGGTTCGCCAGAGGCTGTGGTTGTGGCTGTGGCTGAGTGTCGCCAACATCGCTGCTAATCGTGGTTCGAGAGGATGCCATTGACTGTTGGTACGTCGGCAATGGGGCGCGCAAGGCCGTTTCATCCTGGACGACTCTTGGATCTTGTCCTTCGGCCATAGCTACAGAGGATGGTCTCAAATCGCTCATACCGCTCGCAGTGCTCGGCGCCATGTCGTTGACAGTGAGTTCGGTAGCTTGGGACTTGGACTGATCTTGGTGAGAGGTTTCCGCGGCAGGAGTCGTGTCCATCTGTGTGGATGCCATGACCTATGTCGGATACTTCCAAGGTGTGCTGCTGTCTAACTTTGGACTGTCTGAGAAGGACGCTGCCGACGAACAGAGGACAACTTGAAATTGCTCGCTTTCAATTCGGACTTCTTTTGCGTGAGGAAAGGGGGAAGTTGACGATCATGAAGTCCAGATCGCATAGACAGTTCGTTGTGATGGAGAGAGAGATATATACATATATACATATATTTCTCGAGATGTCAAGGGAAGTCGCCAACTTCCATCGCCAACTTCAATGAGCCTCGCTGCTTGCTGAGTGAAGGCCCGATCCCGGAGACTAAGCAGCACAATAGGGCCCCGGGAGGCAGTGACCCAGGTGCTCATACAGTGAAGCATTGCACTTTTCCTTGACTCCCCAGCATCGTGAAGAAAGCCGGGCCCTGTCAAGGCGATGTTCCATTCCACCTTTCATGCCATTGATCTCACAGTTCACGTGGAGTGAAAGAGGAATGGGAAAGGGTCATAATGATCAACAAATTGCGGGCGTTTGCCATTGCCGAGACCTTTTGGCAGTAGTCGATTATTGGGCTCGGGATATATCAAATTTGAGGTAAACGGACGAAATTCCCAGGAGCCGTGGGCAAAGCAGATACATTGGGCACATAGGCTGGTAAACAGGCATTGAACCCGAAGGATAAGATTTGCATCACGTTCGACCAATACTCCAGACGTTTCACCGAAGACAACCGCATACCTGTCCTGCACTCTGGTCAGCCGTCACCATGTGCCTTAGTCAAGACGATAAAAACAGGTAGTTAACAAGAATAGCAAAACATCTCGACAGTGAATGAGTGCTTTCGCAATTGCCTATCTTTGGTCTTCCAGGGCTGCTCTGCAGGATCCATGAAACTTGTTCGGCACCCCGCTCAAGCTTTAAGATGTGCAGGCACGTCAACTCAGTCTCGACCCCGGATACACAGCTCGTGCTCTCCGGTGGCGCGGAGCGTCAACACAAACACCCGGACTCAATACCATTCCAGCCACTTTCTCGCTGGGCGCAAGAATGTACATCTCCAATCGTGGTTTGAGTATTACAATGCAGTCAGTATCAAGACATCGTGGGCGGTGCACCCATAAAGGCTGCGTTGTTGTAGCCGTCTTCCTGCTTGATCGTGCCGTTGAGCAACGGGCATAATCTTTGAAAGATATCGTCAGTGAATGTTCGAAGGAAGCGATGGTTAAAAAAGGCAAGGGAACGTGATTTGAGTTATGATCTCGAAGACGAGTTGTAACAGGGGAACCATTTTCGACTCTCACATCGAGATATTGAGGAATCTCTCAGAGAAGAAGCTGGGTTTGCACCCCAAGGGATTTGGAGCCAAAGAGTTTTCGAGCCAAACATGGATAGGGACAGTTGGGTCAACGGGTTGTCGATGCTGGCCAGAGAGATTGGGGGCATCTCCCATATAAGTCATCGAAACTCGGTGCATCCATTAACATGGACCCAATCTTGCGATCAAAGGGGAGATTGCAATTTCGGCACTTAACGGACTTTTTGTTGGTCTTGATATGACCGACTTGACCACAATTGGCACATTTTCGTTGGGTCGGCTGTGTGTTCTTACCACCACCTCCACCTCCGTCGCCATCGGGAGACATCGCGGTACCACCAGGGGAAGTGGCTCCGGCCAGGGCGGCCTTGTTCTTGGTTCGTTGTTTTCTTCGAGCAGCGTTCTTTTCGAGCTTCGCAAGTTCCTCTTCGAGTCTGACGCACCTGTTAGCGATTTTATAAATTCTGCCATGAGAAGGAACAATATCTTGCCGTTTGCGCTGCCGAGCATCTTTCTCGGCGTCCCCGGTTGGTTTGATGTCAGTCAGGCTAATCAACTGTGAGCAATGTCCAGGTGCCAGCAAAGGCGTCTCAAACCTTATGGACTGCACTTCCTCCGTTTCCTTAATCTTCATGTACTGCTTGATCACCGCAGGATCAGTTTCATAGTATTCTTGGTCCATGCTCTCGCCATCTTTTGTGACCACAGTGCGGACGATACGCAAAACTCTCTGGGTTTGACTGTTGACGCTGCGTCTGCTAAACGAGGTTGCTGTTTCATCGTCTCGGCGTCGAGGGGCAGGCGTCTGCGTCCCTGACATTGGTGTAGCTCGGATGCTGGAACGATCCGCATACTTGTCTTCTTGCGCATCCACGTCACCATCCATGTCCAGATCCGAAGGTTCAATCTTTGATCCCAGACTCGCCTTTTGCTTGTCCCAGATATTTCGAATTGATTCTTCGTAGGATCTCTGCTGACGGGCAACGTTGTAGCTGTGGCCGCCCAGCTCTTTTTTCAGAGTAATCGCATCTTGAGCGGATCCTCCAATGGGTCTGAATCCACCTTTCATACTTGTTTTGATGAATGAAAACGCCTCGCCTCGGCCAGAGGGGTCACCTTCGCCGTACAATTTCAGCATTGCCTTGCCCTGAGTCGCCTGGATGAAGTTCTTGGTCGTTCGCCAGGGCGCTAGCTGCTGCTCTATACTATCGTTGTCGTTGCCTTCCTTAGTGTCGTCCTCGTCGTCATTGTCCGCATACCCTGAGTCCTGTAGGTACTGTGCGCCCACCTGCATGGATTCGAGCAAGCATATATCTTCGGGTCGAATGAGGGTTTGAATGACATCTTCATCAGGCACTGATTCACCAGCTCTCATTTCCCATTCCTTTACTTCCTTGTTGAAAATCATGAACTCTTTCATCTTCTGCCGGTTTTGCATGTCTGTGGTATCCGGGAAATGGCGTGTCACTTCTTCGACTTTGATTCTATTGTTCTTCTTGCGACGTGCAATACGGAACGATATGGCCTTGAGCCGATTTTTCGCGGCAGTGGTCACCATACGAGAATGAGTGCCTGGGACAGTTGTGGATGGAAGTTCCTGGCCCACGACGTAGACGTTGTCGAGGTTGCGGATATAGTGATTTTGTCCTCCCATGCCGGTTGTTTCCCTGATAACCAAGAAGTCCTGCGAGCTGGCATTTTGCTGGAAGATTGGGGCTCTATACATGTGATTGTAAAGTGCTGTTATTGTCTCACCAGGGTCGATCTGCCCGAAAATGTAAAAGGGCGATTTATCCTCGGGCAGTAAAACGGAAGTCTCACCAATGTCATGTTTGGGCCTTGATGTATCGTCTCTGGTCCGCCTGCGATAGTAATTGACAACCTTGTTACCCATTCCGGTCTCGGACAACATTAGCGGATGTTCTTCGGAGTATTCAAGAAGCAGTGTAGACGAATTGTCGGCCAAAGAGATGTCTTTCGTTCCGGCGTAGATTTCTTTCGTAGGACGTCCCTTCTGATGTTTCCGTTTGATTTTCGCGGTTGGCGAGAATGTGATAGGGTATTTGAAATGCATTCTCTTTCGATGGAAGTTTCGAAGCTCTTGCAGCGGAAGTCGAACTTGATAGTAGGGGTATTGAAGCTTGATGGCAGGAACTGAGTGTTCAATGTTGAGATTGGTAAGCTGTCCTCGGACCTTGTGTTGATGGTTTTGTTTGAGAAGCTCATACTCTGCGTCATTCGATGTCTTAAAGCGCTGCGAGATGCGATCTTTGAGCGTCTTGACCGTTGCAGTCTTCTCCCCTGGCCGCACTTTGGCCTTGACGGCTTCAGTATCAACTTCCTCTACCAGGAGATCGGAATCGTTCAGGTCAAGGACGACTTTTGCGGCAAGCTTGGCTGTCTGGCGCTCGGGGTCATCAAACAACCCCATGTCAATTTGATGGATTTTGACGATATCACGAGGGGCGAGACCGACGCGTCGCCTCTTGCGTGGCTGGTCGAAGTCCTCAAACCCATCAAACCCGAACATTTCGTCATCGCTACCGACAACACGAGGCCTGACCTCCTGCATCTCGTCGTCTGAAGCTGCAAGGTGAGAAAGTGTATCAAAGTCGGTACACATGAACTCCAGGTCGCACATAGTCAGGCCATTAGGAAGTGGCTCGTCGAGATCGGACTCTTCCGAGGAATCTTCGATTTGCCGTGCAGTTGTAGGCTCCTGGATTGGTACAAGGTCGGATGCGAACTCCGGCTCAGGGACCGCCACTGCCGAGTTGAAGGCCGTCTTCTGATCTTGCTCTATCTCCAGGTTGACCTTGGAAGGTCGAACCTGTTTGGGGGGCTTCAAAGGCGTCTTTGCCTGCCATTTCTGAGGTCGTGGTGGGAACAGCTTGTTGAAGTGGGGTGCTTCATCACGTTTGAACCGTGGAAATTCCAGCTTCAACCATTCCTCAACATTTTCCTGTTCAGTAGTTGGGATGTCTCTTCCAGATTGAGCAAACAAAGCCAGCTGCAGACGATACTGGGCATCTTCAATCTCGTCGACTTCTTGCTGGAGCATAGAAATGTCTTCTGTAGCATCGTCTTCGTGCTCAGATGCAAGGTCCAACTCTTGATCAGGATCTTGCGCCGGTTTGTCGATCGATTTCAAGGGTTCGCTAGCGGGCTGAGGTTCATGAGAGGTCAGGACAGGACTTGACGGCCCGAACAAGTCATCGTCGTCAAGCCCATCCATGGCGCTGTCCTCAATACCAGGCAGCATGTCTGTAGTCATCTCCATCGAGACATCCTGAGTCTGCTCTTCGTCCGGCAAGGACTCATCATCACCAATATCCTCATAGTCGACGGCATTGTCGGCCTTTTCGCCTTGCTCCAACGCTCTCGAATTCAGTTCATCCCAATTCAGCCCCTCGCCTCCGCCGGCCTCATTCATAAGTGCCATCAGCTCATCGTTGGCTTCGGCAGGCATGCTGAAACTTTCATCGAAAGGTGTGGCTGCGGCAGACTCGGCCATGCCTTCGTCGTCGCCGAAAAGACCGTCGAGGTCGTCGGCTTGTTGGTAGACGTCGGTCGCCATGATGACTGATGAGACTACGCGGGTGAAGGTGAGATTCGACCGAGGATGGTTCGCAAGGACCGAAGGGAAGCGTTGGCACGTTGACTAGATGGACTCATGGCAGTCAGGCCGTCAAGGATGATTCACTGCATCTGTCGACACGTAAACGCGAGACTGCACGAAGCTAAGCAGTCAAGTTTATGTTACAACAGAAGATAATTAAATGGTTGAGGCGCAACTGACGGATAATATTCACTTGTCTGGGGACGAGAGCCGTTGGAAAGTCTGAGGCGCATGACTCTTGTCTAGGCGCCACTAGGCCAGTAGGCGCGGCAAGTTAAGCGACACGCCCATCACCGCCACTTCAGGTGCAGCCTTGCCAATCATCCGCAGCCTTGTCATTTCCACTTCCACATAGTAGGATGACATCCCTGCCACGGTTGTCGGTAGAAGGTCTCAAGTTTGTATACTGCTACTTGACAGATATCATCCAGATATCCCTCAATACCCGTTCGACGACGCGGGACTTAGCTTCAGGAGAGCCCAGTCTCCAAGGTAGGTGCACAATGCTCGGCTGCTGCCATTGGTACAGTAATGAATAACTTGAATCTTCTTGTCCCCGTCAACCACCTGGGCAATTTGTCTCAAGTCGCTCGTTCTAGGTAAGTAGAGTACCATATTTGAAGTCACCTTTCCGAAGGCCTTGTAGAGATGACTGAACGTGTAAGGCTCCATCGACTCCAGGTCAAAGACTTCAGTGTTGCTGTACGAAGGTCCTGGATCAGGGTCAGCCAGGTAAGCTCTATCGTGAGCTCGAGCACCGTACCTCCCCAGGGCGGGCTGGCAAAAATGATGCCGAATTGGCCGGCAATTGCTTTAAGCGCGTCGACAGTCTTCTCCGTTCTGCCATCCATAGCTCCTAGAATCTCGAAGCAGTCACCATGAAACCAAGTGATCTTGTCGGATACGCCATAGATTTCTGCATTGTGTTTGGCACAAGCCAATGTTGCGGCATCCTTCTCAATACCATAGACTCTCTTCCACTTGCCAGAGAGCGCAAAGGCAATGGTGTTTCCACCCACTCCACAAAATGCATCAATGATGATGGACCTGTTTGGTGGTGCTGCTTCCGACACATGCTGAGATATTGTGCTGACAAGAATTAGATATGATGTCTGGCCAGGACCAGGGCACATACTTCGCAACAGACTCATGCGTGACACCATACCAGGCATCGTCGGTCATCCATATACCATCATCATATTTCGAAAAGATGGAGTAGCCTTGATGCCAGTACCTGCACGTTGTCAGATCTGAGTCCATCGGACAGTGGCTTGGCCTGTGAAAGAGAACAAAATGGCGTACTTCTGCACATCCCACGGTACTTCTTCGATTGTTTCATAGTGGTGGACACCTTCCGGTAATGGCTCACTCGGAGGTACTATTCTGGCTGGAACCTGACTGGTGTCTTCATCGCGATCTACATGCTTCCTTTTCTTTGCCATTATGATGTAGACTCATGCTGGTGACCATTAGACAGAATCGCTCAAGACATGTTTTTGGTTGAAGTAGTGAAGCGAAGTACAATGCTAGGTGGATTTGGAAATAAAATTGTCAACTTCCCCAAAAAGTCGCCCTACTGATTGCAGCCACTGCAGCCTACATCAACACAATCTAGGTCAGTCGGAAACCTCCCGCTCAAAGCTTTGACGACCCAAGTCCGCCTGGCCATACGACCCTATAATACTGATTACTATGGACAATTCTCAATTTCGGGCCCTACTTCAAAATGGGCGGCCGGCCAACGAATCGCCCACCACATCGTCCTCCGCGGGGTTCAAGAAGCCTGCACTCGGTTCAAGATCTCACGCCTCGATACCCATGACGCCTCGCTCAGTGCCTGGCTATAATTCTTCCAAGGAATTCGCAAAACAGGTTTCAGAACGCGGTCGCGAGCGAGACGGACAGCCACCGACGAAGAAATTCAAGTCGAGCGCGGCTCCGAAAGGCACCAAACTTGCGTCGGGATATGAAGACCGCACATTGGCTCGACGATCGGGCGGTGACGGCGACGTGACGAAAGATGACAAAGAGAAGCGGCTCAAAGCGCTGGAAGAGATGCACAAACTACAACAGATAGACGAGGCCATGTTCGAGAGGTTGAAGAGCGAAATTGGAGTTGGTGGACGTCTGAACAGTACACATTTGGTGAAAGGGCTTGATTGGAAACTACTGGACCGCATACGGAAAGGGGAAGATGTGAACAGCAATCCTACGAAGGACGAAGAACCATCTATTGAGGCTGCCAAACTTGACGTCGACGAAGAATTGGATCAAGTGCTGGATAAAGAGGTTCAAGCTAGGGATTCTGCTGCGAGAAAAGAACAGCCCGAAACAGCCGAAGGTGGGCCAGATGAAGAGCAGCCATTGACGAGAAATGAAATATTGCAACGCTTGAAGCAGAGTCGAGCTGGGAAAGTGGCAGAGTTACCACCACAGCCCGTTCTAAGTGATCGATTCAAGAAGGTAGGCTCGGAGAAAAAAACGGACAAGAAGAAATTCGTCGAGGTTGTGAACGGGAGGAGAAGGGAGGTCCTTGTTATAACCAACAATAAGGACGGCACAACCAAAAGGAAGACTCGATGGCTCGACAAGGAGGACGAGGGTGCGCCTAAAGAGACCCAACCTCTTGGAATGGAAGTGCCTGCACAATTCCTTGCCAAACAGAAGGCGGCTCTAGAGCAACAAGCGGCTGAAGACGAGGATGACGACATCTTTCAAGGCGTCGCAGATTATGACCCCCTCGCAGGACTGGGTAGCGATTCTGAGGAGGGCGACAAAGCTGGCGACACAAGCGCAACCGAAGCAAAGGCAACAACCATCGACAAGCCACGAAATTATTTCGGGTCAAGCAATCAACCTGACGAGGCCGAAGACAGAGCCAACCCAATCATGAAAGACCCTACACTCCTTGCCGCTCTCAAGCGGGCCGCTGGTCTTAGAAGAAGCGAGGAGCAGCCTGACGACGAGACGGCTGATTCGGACCCAGACCGTGCTGCAAAGCGTCAGCAATTGCTGGCGCGGCTGAAAGAACGCGATCGTGCAGATGCAGCCGATCTGGATCTGGGCTTCGGTGAAAGTCGGTTCGGAGATGAAGACGATGATGAAGGGGCTGTATGGGACGACGAAGAGGGGGCTGGGAAGAAGAGTGGGAGGAAAAGGGGACCGAAGAAACGCAAAGGTGACAAAGACAATGTGGGCGATGTGATGGCAGTGCTGGATGGCCGGAAGAAAGAGAAGTAGTTGTTGCCCTATGCAAAATTTTGGGGTTATCCATCAACTCTCGAAAAATTTGGTGGCATTGTGCGCTGTATGGAGTACGTCGTAGTCGATTACATGGGATCCCTTGTAGACTCGGACTGCTGCCTCCCTGAAGCACAGAAGGCTCTCTCTGGTCAGGGTGGTCAGGCATTCTTCAAGCACGAGTGATGGCCATCGTGGAAAGTTCGGCTTAAAGTTATGAGAAGTTTTTGTTTAGCCCACCAGTTTGACAGACATGGACCTCCCTGGTAGTTCAGGTTGTCCCTCGACTCATATACCCCGATGAGGTGGGAGGAAATATACAGCGTAGACTACATCGACGTGGCGGACTGCTTGAACATGGGTGCTTGGAGGCAAATTGCCAAGGGAGAGTGGTGGATGAGATCAAATTTTCAATGGAACTATCGTATCGGATATACCGTGGACTGTAGACATGGTTGAATAGTAGAATTTTCGAGACGACGGCTTGGTAGATGGCTGCAAAGTAAATCGACAAACGTGTATCCTGGCAAACCATACGCAGTGTTCGTTGTTTTCATTGATGTGCTGGGACCCTCCGAGACTCGAAGCCAGCTGACGTGTCTTGCGTTAAGGCCTCCGTTCGCACCTGTTCATTTTTTCTCCATCGACCACGCCAACTGACGTGGCTTGATTCCTAGGCAAGGCACCCAAGGTCCCAAGGATTCCTCCTCCGTGACCCTCCCACGCCCAAGCCTCCAAGCATTGGCACTGGGAACCCAGCTGGATCGTCAAAGCGAAAGCCACGTACGTGGTGTCTGTCACCCATCAATGCTCTTCTGACACGACTGAAAGTGTTCACCCATATCATTCTACAGTATATACACAGTCCATACTGCGGCGTGTGCGGTCTCTTATACATACTTCCATGAGACGATGTGATGCATACAAGCTTTTCTTATCTCTCGATCCGCTGATTGCTTCACAAGCGAAAGAACCATGTGCGGGTGCAGCCACTACCATGATTTCCGAGGTCACGGTAAGGACGCTGCAGCTCCAGGCTGGCCTTTTTCTCTCACTGGTGCAGATCTGACAAGGTTCGGGTTCCTGACAGTAGCGGCACGAGCTACACCTGTTTCGAGGTCTGGAGACTCTTCCCCTGCATGGTTGCCCCATGGTCGGTTTGTTTCACTGCAAGGCCTCGATGCTGACTGGCCGCCATCATCCAAGCCGCTGACAGGAGGCTGAAGGGGTCTGGATATGGCGCAAGGCACTTGTCTCCTTTCTCAACCCAAGGCTGCACGCCAACCCTCGCCTGCGAGCCTCTGCACCACCCCAACGGGGCCTGTTATCGCTGTCTCTCGGCTGGCGATCCATCTACGGGGTCCGTCCTGTATCTCACGGACCCAATACCGCGATTACTGGTGCTACTTCATTTGATGGGCTTGTATTTGCCTGAAAAGACGACGCAATTACTCCAGCTCAAGGGTATCTTATCCATGCCATGAGCAAGGATTGCCGTCGCACGACCGGTCACCATGAAACGTGCCAATCCACCTCCTGTCCTGTTCGCAATCGTCTCTCCTTCACCCTTCCAACCCACTTCCCTTGCTGCTGAGGTTATATCTGTTGTTCTTGTCGTTTCAATTGTCTCTCCTTCTTTCTTTTCCCTCAATCAATCCTTCAAGCTTGCAAGCTCTTGACACGTTTGTGCGACACACTGCACCTCAGACCTTCTTTTAACCAGACAAGGCTAGCCCTTCGTCTATTCTCCTTCTTACTCACTAGAGCTACGCTCGTGGTCACTCTTTCACCAACCAGGACGTTCATTCGCTGAATCCTGCACAAAAACAACCCCCGGCGGGAATATCACATTATCCAAATCCTTGTCTATCTCGTCTATCTCAAGTACCTCAGGCGAAACCCTTATCTGCATCAGCAAAAATTCCCCACGATCAACATGGTTTCCAGCATCCTGTCCCTCGTGCTCCTAGCCACTGCCGTCTCGGCTCATCCCAAACGACACCATCACTGGCATGGCCATGGCACCGGTACCGGCGGAGTCGCTGCTCCTACAGGCGGCACATACTCCATGAATGGAACGTCTCAGACCAACGGCACGGACTTCGGAGGCTCTGCAGTTGAGTCCCCAACCACAGCTGTCAAGACTGTCACCGTGAGTCCGATCCCCCTGGAGTCATCCGTAGATGCTGCCGGCAGTTCTTTCTCGAGCGTCCCTGTTGCCAATGCAGCTGTATCCAATACTGCAGTAGCACCTGTATCTGGAAGCACCAGCTCCTCTTCCTGCACCAGCAGCTTGACTTCTACCATCACCACTACTACTGTCCAATTTGTTACCGTTACTTCAACTCCAGATGTCAGTGCCGTTACTGACGAATCTGGTAAGGCTGCCGCTATCCCATCAAGCTCATCCACCACTTCAGCCGAGTCCAGTGGATTGGAAGATCTTTCTGGATCCTCAACCTCCATCAGCCTTGTGTCGGGAACAGCAACCGCTGCCGCATTCTATGGCAGACCATCAAATGGAGGTGGATATTCCTTCTCCGACTCTGGGGCATCGTCCTCAGCTGCCGGTGTATCATCCATATTGTCCGTCATCCCCACCACCTTCGCAACCATCTCCGGCTCTGCTTCGGCCTCGAGCGCTGCCAGTGCTACCATGGCATCTTCCTCCTCTACCGCTAGCTCCAGCCCCAGCACTGGCGGTTCAATCAGTGGCAAGAAGGGCTTGTCATACAATACGGCATCCTTGACCAATGCTTTCGCCGGCAAGGGTATCTCCTGGGCCTACAACTGGGGCAACGCTCCGGATGGCAGTATCGTCGATGGTGCAGAGTACGTCGCCATGCTCTGGGGTCTCGATGCCGTCGATGAATGGTCTAGCGCTGCTTCCTCGGCTATTTCTAGCGGCACCAAGCACCTGTTGAGCTTCAACGAGCCTGACCTCAGCACACAATCCAACATCGACCCCCAGACCGCCGCTACCAACCACATCAAGTACATGAATCCATTTGCTGGCCAAGCCGAGATTGGATCTCCGGCCATCACCAACGGTGCCGGCACAAGTCCATTGATGGGCATCGACTGGCTCAATGAATTCTTCAGCGCCTGTGGAGGCAACTGCAAGGTCGACTTCGTGGCCTTCCACTGGTACTCTGATGCCAGCCAGATCGATTACTTCAAGCAGCACGTGCAAGACGTCATCAACGCTGCTGCCCAGAACGGTGTCAACAAGGTCTGGTTGACCGAATTTGGAGCTTCTGGCTCTGACGATGATGTTGCCAGCTTCCTCAGCGAAGCTACATCCTTCCTTGACTCGACCAGCGCGGTTGAGGGATACGCATACTTCATGTGCAGCGACGGCATCCTGGTAAACGGAAACTCGATCTCCAGCCCAATCGGCACGGCTTACGCTTGAGTGGGCTCAGGTTGACGATAACGATTCTTCATCTTGGAACCACACGTGGCATGCTTATGGCAGCCCAGAATTCTTGCACAATTCTTTAAGGATATACGGAACCATTTAGGGTGCAGTGACCAGGACTCAAGAAAACAATAGACCAGCTCGTGTTGAAACACGCATTTGTTGTAAAATGGGCACGACCAAATTTGACGGATTTGACGAGGATATGATATCATCTGGCTCATTGGCGTAACTTCTGTCTTCCAACACGAGAGAAACAAAATACAATCTTGCCTTTCTTCTGCAACTTCTGTTGTTTGGTTCTACCTTCACTTTCTCTATGAAAGAGCATCGAACTGTGAGGGCATAAGGTCCGTCGTTGCGTGTCATCTACTCTGCCGAGTCAATCATGTCAATGCCATATCTCTTTCTCATGCGAAGACCTTCCCTGTCATCACCTCTGGATACAAACCTCTGATCCATGTTATCTTCGACATGTTCGACGTCGTCATCCCACCAATCCAATTTGTACCTTCGCTGCTGACTTCTCGGGAGCTGATGATCGTCTGCTTCCCAGTCGCTACCAGACTGACACAGTTGACTTCCAGCAAGCAAGGCCGCCCTCCCAAAAATTGTGCATGGGTTATAAGGAACAAGGTCGACTAGCCGGCTCAATTGCCAAGCGAGAGCTCCGAACAAAGTCATCAATCCAAGAAGAATCTGTAGCGCGAGCTTCGCATCACGGTGCTGCACCAGTCTCGATGTCTGAGAAGCATTCAGAATCGTACCCTGATGCATTGTAGGGCTAGGGATCGAAGCAGCTGAAGCGTTCGGCACTCGCATATTGTTCGAGATCGCTTGAGCCATGTACCTACGGTAAAAGGCGTTGATACCTTTCATCATGGTATCTGCTTGATCTTGTCCTACGAGTGCAGTTTCCGGAAGAGGCGTCTGTCCGAAGAGAACCCCTTGGAAGAAACTGTCTACTGGCGTGTCAGCAAGGTTCGCAGATGGGTATCTGCTTTGGTTGAAGAGAGAAAGTGATTGGTCCATGTGTTGTTGGATCCTGTATGGGAACGTAGTGTCACCGGCCTCGCTACTGGGCAAAAGCTCAACGGTGCTTTCATCGGGTATAGGTGGCTTCGAAGTCAGGATCGTCATTTCCGGTAGGCCGAAAAGGACTGTCGTTTGAACGCTCTGCATCTGCTGGTAGCAGGCCAGCGTCGTAATGGAAGTTCTGGTAGTGTTGTGAACATCAACAAAGCCATATATCATAGCCAGAGAAGGACAGCCTGGTGGATTGTCTTTCTGCGCCGTTGGTGAAGCCTCTCCCAAAGCCGAACCCTGAATAGCATCATATGGGCCGACATGGATGTCAAGCAGCTTTCCAATGTAACTCGTGTTTTGTTGGAACCCGACTCGATAGTTGAGGTCAACGAAGGAGAGGTTTCCTCCTGGTCCGCCAAATGGGCAGGTCTTGGGGAGCGGTATCTTCGCATCCACAGTCGCACTCGAGGACTCTAGCTGCGGGACATAGCTGGCCGAAACATTGAATGAGTCCAAGTCCAGGCTAGAGCACATCATCGATGCTCGAAGAGCGGGGTATTTGATTAGCAATTGTGGTGCAGCTGTCATATCAATGTTTCTCGGGGAAGGTATAGCAGGAAATGCAAGCTGGTCATATGTAAAGGCAGGATATGCCAAGTTCAGACTCTCAGTGAGGCTCGTCAGCACTGCTGCAGAGCTATCATTCGTCACGCTATCAGCCCAGCTAGTGTTGAAAGCGTCCACGGCCTGGAGGGCAGTCTGTCTGGTACTCGGCACGGACTCTACAGTGTAGAGACCAGAGACCACGATCGTCAATAAGCTGCCAATAATTGCTGCTGTTGAAGAACACAAAGCTGCATATTGTCGGTGTTTTGCTGCATTCCAGAGCGCAATAGGAGGCAGCTTGTCGATGAGCGAACTTTTAATGCTTTGCTCTGCAGAGACTGCCCGGAATCTCATAGAATTGAAAGGCGCCAGGACTGATATGTTGAAGTCAAATGAATTGAATGACGCCGCAATAATGAGCATCAGCAGAGCTGGGATCAGTCGTATGGCTAAAGTAGACTGAGTACGCCCAGATGTCGAAAGTGCCAGAATCCCAGCCTCACTGTCCGACCGTCGTTGTAGTAATTCAAGCGCGACAATAGCAGCTAAAGGTAGGATCAAGGTGGTGACCAGAATCGGGCGCCGGACCATGAGTGGTTTCCACCATAGCTGTGCATCATCCTGCTTTATGCGCGGGGTATCATGAGAGGTCGCAGATGCGTCATCAATGTTGTGAAAAGGGTATATTGTAAATGCAAGACTGCCATGGGAGTCGATACCATGCTGGGAAGAGAAAGAATATTCATGAAGGGCCGAAACAGCCTCCTTTTCCGGCAGACAGGCAGTATTGCGGACCAAGCTCTGCAGCTGATCACTCCTGGTCATAATCTGTGCAACGGCTCCCATTGTCTCGGATCGTGGAGGCAGCGGCCTTTTCGGTCTCATGTATAGGATGAGAAGGCATAAACCCAACAATGTCGCAAAGCCAGAGATCATGATCCACAAAGCCACAGTATCAATTTGTAGACGGTCTTCTGTAGACGTCAGGTCGGCTTGAAGAGTGCTATTCTCCCATTGCAACAGATTTCTGCTTACGACCTGCACAGCAATGTGTTGAAAGGCACTTTGAGCCGTTTGTGCCATCGAGTCCTGGTCTAAGAGGCTGTCGTATCTCCCGCCCTTCACAGATGCCATCAACTTGAACATAGTGTTCGGGAAATCCTCCGTCATCTGATCTTCCGACGGGTCACCGAACATAACCGCTGCATCTATCAATGCTGCGGTGAATGTTGATGCGAGCTCTTCATCGTGGAAACCCGTCAATGTCTTATTCGACCCCATGAGCTTGCCGGCGGTAATTATAGGGCCCTGTGGAGATGACATATAAGTCGTGTTGAGTTTGCCTAATTTGTAGGACGGTTGACACAGCAAGCTCGTTGTTTGTTTAATTCCGACTGACCAGGAAAGAATGTCAACATCGTCATTTTGACTTGGGCTATCGGTGCCGTTTGAAGAATTGAACGTCTGATTGTAGATGACTTCGGCTAGTGTTAGAAGCTGCCAGTTCGGGAGTTGTTCGAGAGCATCACTCGAGCAATTCACCCTAACCATATTCCCTCTGAACTGTCGCTGCGGACAGACTACGGAGTTTGCATCGAGCACAAAAACAGGTGGTGCGCCCCCCATCAATTGGCAACCTGGAGAGATGATAGCCATCGTGTCACCAGTTTGGGAGCCATCAGAACCGTAAGGCACTGGGTTTATCGAGACCTCTGCGGGCTGGCATTTGAAGTCCGGCATCAGCGCACCAACTTCTGCTGTGATTCGGTTTGATTTCTCTCCAAAATCCGGCGGCAAGTCGAAGGTCTCATAGACTAGGCTGCTTGTGGTGCCCTCTGGTAGCGGCAAGCTTTTGCTCATAATCCCGAAAGCAGTGTATACAAGGGAAGAATCGGATGTCGCGATATATTGCGTCTCGTTGTATAGGGAGCCGTCCAGCCTGGTGATACCCTGCAAGGAAATGGTACTACTTGTTAACGTAGTAGGCTGCTCTGCCAGAAGGCCTGTAGATGCGAGTGTAACCAATTTCAGTAGGATGAAGCCGATGATCGTGACAACTGTCAAAAAGTCGTTATTGCGAGCGGATTTCCATAAGCTCACAATCTGAAGTGGCGAAATGTAGTCCAAAAAGATGCTGCTTGCACCTGGAACACCCTGTTTCTGCAAATTCATCCATGGTATAGCCGCCTTACAGTGGTAATCGATCTGTCGCCAAAGTGCAACAACGACGATGAGTATGGCTGTAGGTCCGTATGTCCACGAATAGTGATTATACGTGATCAGTGCAAAGCCATCATTCCTCGAATTGTAAAGCCACAAGAACGCCAGGACGCAACCAAAGACCGCAAAGAGGCATGCGGTCAAGCCAAGAGTTGTTGCTGACAGCCATATCGAGGTGCATTTTTTCTGCCTCGCTTGCTCGACAGGTTGCGGCTCCTCAGATTCGACTATTGTGACGGAGTCTATCGTGCTGTTGGCATGTTTGCGTAGTTCTCTGTCCGCGCTGGTATTGAATCTTCCATCACGTCCCTTGGAGGCCCTTTTGTTCGTTATCGAAATGCAATTTAAAGGCCAGACAGGTAGTTTTGTAGGCATTGTCGGGTCAATTGATCCTCAGGAATGGAACTTTCCCCTTAAAGTTGACAATGTCATTGTCATACGCAGCTGCAGCGACGGGCCAATATATGCAAGCCCTAGACCTAGCATTGGACGACCATAGCAATGGCACATGTGAGAGGTGGCCAGCGACTGGCCTGGCGCTTAGACATGCGCCGGCCATGTCTCAGGTATGGCGTTGCGTTAGCCATATCTACCTCTGCGGAAATGAACCAGTAAGCGCCTCAAGTGCAGGTTGGACATCACCTTGTTCAGATGCGTTATGGACAGTCCCACGATATCTCCCCTGAGGGGACCATACATCATGCCGTAACAGTGGCAGGGCCAGGACATCGAGATCCCTAGAATGTAAGGTAGCTGCTCTCCGCACCGAGCTCATATAAAATTCACGGCCTAGCACGGTTGCGCAGGGGCAATGCAAAAAGCCCGACCAGGCCTGGTTGCTAAATTAAAGTCGATGGCGGTAGACGAAACGAATAGGTACATTTCGATATCCCGTTGATTTGCGACGCTGAGTGCCCGACACTCGAGACAAGCAGCGCCGAGGCTTTTGTAGTGATGATCTGATCGATCTTAGAAGGTGTTAGAAAGTGCTTTGATGTTGCCCAAGAGCCAGCAGTGCGAGAGGGAGAGATAGGGGAGGCTCTTTTGGAATAGTAAATATTCTGCGGCGCGTCACCGGCAACAAAAACACGTGTTCCATTTCTGGCGACGACTAGGCCGAACACACCTTCAGCAACAAATCTCAGTGTATCCGTTAGGCTCAAACATGTTTGGTGCTCTCAACCGCTTTATTGCTCGCCTGGACGGGGAACCATCTTCACGGCCAGCCGAGCAAGGCCCCTCGGACAACTCGTATGGGTTTCAGGTTCTGAAGAATCCTAACACAGAACTGCCACTGGAACCCTGGTTCGACTTCATCATTGGAATCAATGGCCATTTTATAGCAAGTTCTGATATATTCATGGAAGTGAATAGTCACGCTAATTTGTGCAAGGACTCTCCTGACCCGAACCTATTCGCGACAGAAGTCCGCAACTGCGCAGGCGGATACTGCTCATTAGACCTTTGGAGTGCGAAGGTATGTGATGCCATTTTGACCTCCGGCCTGGTGTCACTAACTCCTACAGGGTCAAAGAACTCATGCCCTTACCGTACCTGTACCGCCGACCGGCTCCCTAGGTCTGAGTCTGCAACTCGCGCCTCTCAATTCTACACAGAACATCTGGCACGTCCTGAACATACCTTCCCCTCTGTCTCCAGCTCATCAAGCTGGTCTACTACCTCACAGCGACTACATCCTCGGCTCACCTAGCGGTACACTGAAAGGGGAAGCAGCACTTGGCGAATTGGTCGAAGATCACCTCAACAGGAGCTTGGTTCTATGGGTCTACAACTCGGAGTTCGATGTGGTCAGAGAAGTCGAGCTTGTGCCACGAAGAGGATGGGGCGGTGAAGGTGCACTAGGAGCAGTACTTGGTTTCGGTGCGCTTCATCGCCTGCCAGTCGGACTAGGCGAAGAGGTTCAGGCCCCAGGGGAGAATCTATTTGACGCGGAAGGGAAGAGCATGCAGGACGCGCAATCCGCGGACGCTGCCAGCAACTTCCAGCCTGCGCCTACACCAACTCTGCCACCACCACCCATGGTCAACCCGAACATTCCACCACCACCTATGATGAACCCTAACGCTGCACCTCCGACGGCGTCAGCCTCGTCCAAAGCGCGAAAAGGAAGACATCACGCTGCACTTTCCCCTAGAGGTGGCTTTGAGGACATGTTTGCTGAAGGAGAGAAAAAGAGCGCCGAGCAAGACCATGTTCCTTCAAGGAAGGGCACTCCTGTAGCGCCTCCGCCCAAGATAGGATCAGCCGGAGTGACGCCTCACTCCGCCACCCAAGAGAAGTCCGATCCCCTCGAGCAGGCTGGCGATGATCTTGGCGAGCCTGGTGAGGCCGAGGAAGCTTGAGCCGTCCATCCGGCTGATAATGGGGCGAAAAGTTGGATCGATGGCTAGGTTCCAAAGATGACTTCTCCACTACGTCTGGCAAAGTTGTGGGAAGGTATCGTTCATGGATGGGATCATGCTCCCGGAACATATCGATGTCACTGGTCAGACAGTCACGGATCAATGTCCGATCTCATCCTGCCACCAGCCCACGAATTCATGGATCCTGCGAGATCTCTCCGCTGCCATCGCCTTGCCCGCATCGGTCTTCATCATTGATTCAAGCTTTAGCAGCTTGTCGTCGAAATGCTGGATCGAGTCTGCCAGACTCCTAGCCCCTTTGGCACCACCGAAGGTGAAACATCGACCAATCCCAATGGCTCCGATTGCGTCGAGTCGGTCGGCGTCTTGGACAATGGCGAGTTCTGGAATCACCTCCAACAGGTCTCGCACATGCTGCGGGTTCTTGATCTCAGAGGAGTATGAAACACTTGCAACAAGCAACTGCAACTGCTCTGCATATTCTTCAGACATACCCGCATCGAGAATTGCTTTTGCTAAGGGTGACCCTTTGCTGTCCGAAGTCGTGTATTTCTTATCCTCGACATCATGAAGCAAGGCACCCAGAATGACATTAAGCGGGTTCAGTGCCGGCAAAGCCCTTCGCTTTCTCCCGTCTTCCTCGCTTTCGAGAATGGTTAGCGCGTTGGTGACAACCCTTTTGACATGGTCGAAATCATGGGACGCGTCAAAGCGCGGATCCTGGAAGTAAGTCTCGGTGAAGTCGTGGATTTTGTGCACTACACAAATTTCCTGGTCGGATAGGCTGGGGTATGTTGCTGGATGCGTGTATTTGCCCAAGGACATGGCGTCTGCTTATGTACCGTCAATTGCTGGAAGTCTTTCGCACCAACGTGCAGGGTAAACGTTGCCGCGATGTCAAATTTGAACCAGTTCGAAGCAGACAATCACGGCATCAGTGAGCAAGCCTCCTATCATCCTAAGGTATTCAGACGAGACAAACATAGACACTCAAAGAACAATGCGATGTGGAATTGAGTCAAAAGTGTATGGGCGCCGAGCGCCAAGAACGGGGGTTGCTGGAAAATTGTGCCGTCCAACATGCAATTTATCCAGCCTTGCGGTTCGAAGACCATTTGCAAGAATCTGTCTATGGTACTGAATACCCGTCGCCAGGCTTTGTCATGGCTATCCATTACTATCTGACGGTATCAGGCTTTCTGCAAGTGGATGCACATCAGAAGCCTTATCAGACAGGACTTAAGATGCTATCCGGCCCTCGAAGGTCAAGCTCCATGATGGACAACGCAGAGCCCGGCGGTGTCACTATGTGCCGGAGTCCCAGCCTCGAGTCAGCCATCTTGAAAAGCGACGTCCAACCATCAAGATCCCTCTCGCCACTATTGAAACTTATCATCATGTTCATATCCATAACCCTGGAGGTGTGTTTGTCAGTATTTCAGTCAACGGCGGATTGGAGCTGAGATTCACCTCAACTTCCTCTCCTCAGCCCTGCTCAAAGTCCCAGGAGGCGGCGTTACCCCATCCATGATGATGATTCTGCTTGTTGGACCCATGGTAGACACAATGTTTGCCAGAATCTTTGCGGCATACTTGTCGGAATGATCATGACAGATGAATCGAAGAAGATAGACGTCTGCATTCTTGATTGGTTGGGGTTCGAAGAAGTCGTGCGCCTCGAATTTGATATTTTCTTCTTTCTGGTCTTTTACTTGCCCCGTCTTTGCAGCTTGGACCACTTCATCGAGATCCTGCACGACGAAGCTCAAGTCCGGAGCTGTTGCGGCAATGGCGTAACTGCAATGCCCAAAGCTGCCTCCCACGTCCACCACTAGTCCTTTCCCTAGAGCTTTCCAGCTGTACCCTTCGACCAAATACTTTACATCGAAGCTTTCTCGCTCAGACAACATCCGCATAGCCCCCATAAAACGCTCCATTCTGGATGGATGTTTCTCGAAATACTGAAACACTGACAAATCGGTGCCGTGGGCCAGGTTCCATGCTGTCTCATTGGTTTACTGGCTTGCAGGATATTTCTCGACTGCCTCTGCGAGTTTGCTGGCGGCAGGAAAGGTGTCTTCGATCACGTAGCCCACAGCATCCTTGAGATCTAGATTCAGGAACAACTTCGACCCTGCCGTGTGCGCAACGTAACCAATTTCAGGCTCTTGAAAGTATCCCGAGGTCATGGCCGCTCTAAGAACTCTAGAGCACTGGGATACATCCACACCAGCCTTAGTAGCGACTTGTTGGAAAGCGCATTTCCCCTCGACAGGCACGAACTCAGCAATGCGAAAATGGTACAGATACTGAATGGCGGCGGAGCTCAAGTGCAAGGTGATGTAGCCGCCAAAGCTGTCTGCGGCACCGCTGAGGAGTTGCATCAACTTTTCGCAGGCGTCGCGTGCCTGTACTCGGGCTTCGAGGATCTGCTTCGGCGGACGCTGGTATTTCTCGACAGGAGGAGGACCGGTGCCGGGAAAGAACGGATATGCATCTGCGGAGAGTGAAAGCTCTGGTAGGGAATTCTCGTCGAGATAGTTAGAGATGAGTCGTGTATCCTTCTGTATTTGTTGCGCAAGTTCGACGATGGATGGCGTTGATTTCACGGGGCTGATGACGGTAGACGTGGCACGAGACATGTTGGAGATTGATCGAGTTGATGAAACAGTGACGAGCTTGAAGGCGTTACCTTTATTTGTATAGCAGGTTGTGTGGCAACGCGCTTGGTGATCTCCTGTTGCAACATGACCAAGGCAGATTGTTCGTTCAATAGCGCCGTGACCGGACGCCTGAATACTTATGGCAATACAACCTCAAGGTACTCGACTGGGGCGGTAGATGTGTCTTTCCATGAACTTGATAAGAAATCAGGCGTCATTGGAGCGCGGTTCGAGGCTGGCATATAACCCAAACCAGCCATGGCTTGCGAGGACATGCAAGTAGAATGTCGCCTTCGAGAACCTCAATGGAGTCTGGAGGACTGCCTTGCTCTCACTTGCATGTGCCGTGCCAAGACAGGAAAGCCTAGAGAGACTGTAACACTCCCAGCACTCCTGAAAAGAAGCATGATAGTGCGAGCATGAAGATCAGTCATAGATAAAGAAGTCCATAGCTATGGCAGTGAAGACCTTATACTAGATGGGGCCACTGCTGTGGTTCGCGAACAACCTCATCCAATAACGTAGGACTGGGGAATCGCCCCAACCAGGGAGCCAGGCACCCACAGGTAGAGTTTGGCCAAAATATGCAGGATAAACCTTCAGAGGCGCCTCGAATCTACCTGCCGCACTCTCGCTCTTTGCAGTCAGTAGGCCCTTACCTAGGCATTAGTACAATAAACAGATCGGTGTTTTGGCAAATATAAGAATGGAAGCAGGTATTGTGCACGCGGAAATGTGTACCCTTGGAGATCGAGATCCGGCTTGCCGGCAAACCGCAAAATGGGATTCTCAGTGCTTACATAACAATTGCATGTCTTTCACCATGGAGATCTTGGGATCTCAAGTCCGTGGGTGGCTTAAGATCGTCCCTTTGGTCTGCCCATAATTTTTTCATTGAGCGATGATCGTGACCTCGGCCAAGTCTTTCCCAAATTTCGTCACCCCGCAGGTAAGGCCTGCATATGGTGGCTTGATGCGAGATCCTTCAGGTATGATGTTTTGCATTGGCCTTCAGGTCCAACTCTCGGGGACCAGGCTGCTGGTACGAAGACTGATTCATCGCTCTTGACGCTTTCAAAGCTGTCTTCGCGATATCGTACTTCGTATGGACTGCTGAAACGCCGCGGAATGTGACAGTTCTAAGCAGGAAGAGATTTGCAGCTCAACAGTGTTGCTCACTATGGTAGATTGGTGGATGCCTTGTTTTGCGTGCTTGAGATCGACAGATCGACAGCAGGAGCCCTCGAACAAGTACCCAGAGCGTGCCAGAGGCCGGAGGCACCTGAAGAGCGTCCTTTGATGCCTGGGATATCTGGGTTTTTCGACGTGTTTTCTTTCCTCAATTCTGAAGAATGACAGCACGAGAATATTGAGATGGAAATTTACGCCGTACATGTACTCGTATCAGTTCAAAAGCCAGAATGGTGCCGCGGAAATATACAGCCGTGTCAATGCTCGATCGTCAGTGGATATCTGTGGGTTCAATGGGATAGAGGGAAAGGAGTCGAACAAGAAGATGAGCGATCAGCAGCAGTACTGTGGCGCCGTCTGAAGGGTCTGCACTGGCACGACTGGTCATGCTGGGTCACACTGGTATGGTACAAGTGTGAGTACCCAGGTACCTTTGGTACCTGTACAGTACCTAGTAGATACCATCGTAGGCTACCTCCACTCTTATTAGGCGGTAGATGATGGGCACGTCGGTTAAGCTCCGTTAAGCGGGTCTGTTCATCGTCGCCTAAACCGAGAAGACATTTTCCAATCCCGAAGATCCATGATCCATCCATTGCTATTCCATCCAAACGTCCCGTCTTTTCAGCCACACCGCACCTTACACTTTGCATTTCACTCTCCTTTCGTCGCCCACCGAGTACAACCCGTCGTCAGCCTATATCCTTCCCTGAGTGGCGTCGCGTCTACCACCGTCTTCGCCTCACCTGCCCTCGTGCAGGCATTCGCTCCTTGATCAAATTCTTACCCGATCCACGACGACGATATCCTTTTGAACTGCACCTCGCCACGAGGCTTCTAGACCGGGCGTCCTGCTATCTTCGCATTCGAGGATCGACTTTTGGTTACAGTCCCTGCGGGCTGCTTGGCCACACTGATTCATTCCCACTAAACAACCTACCTGCCGAACATCCTGCGTCTTCCCGCCGTGGACCAAGGTCCCACGCAGAATATTTGGCGTGCCGAATTCTCGGCAAGATCTTTTGATCAGTCTTCGTGGGAGGAAGAGCCAGGACATGTAAACGCCAGATTATGTGACCAAGATAACCATCCAGAGGGAAGATTTGCGCATCCATAGAGGCTATAAGGCATTGCGATGCGTTTGCTCTAGTTTGGCAGAGCGTGCCATCGCTGGAGGAGACTTCGGTGGCAAAAACACACTCATTAAAGGACGGTTCGGCACGTACTTGACCCGGTGCGACGACACTGCTTGAGCCACCAGCGTGTTCTTTCAACATGTCAAGGCCTCTCTCGAGCCATGAGTCGGACACGACAAAGGCTCAGGCATCGCCTTCTCAAGATTTACATCAACAACAGCCCCAAGGAGAGCCACCGAGACGGCGGACTGGGCAACGCCCGCCAACATGGATCTCTTTAGGACCTACACAAGCGCCTGTCAGCATGTTCACTGGCAGAGGTCATGGTCCAGTGTCACCTGCAGCCTCGACCAGGTCCGACGATGCCTATTCGAATCTTAGTCCAGGTTCGGTAGACCGAGTCTTTCCTATCCGCTCAGCCGTCACGATTGATCCTACTGCCACACCTATGCCGAGGGGTGAGATGGGTTCGGGGTTTCCTGGTGTGAGACCAATTGCAAGTTCGAGGACAATACCAACACGAGCTTCAGAGAGGCCTAATTCGCCACCACTTCAAGAAACAGGAAGGACAACATTTATATCAGAGTCCTCGGAAGCTCCCGTTGCCGGCCCACCCCGCCGACGGTACTCTTACACCAAGCCTGCCTCCACTAACTTCGAGACTCAATCACTCTTCCATATTATGACAGGCTCAGGAGATGGCCAGTCCCAAAAGTCCCAAAAGTCAGAAGTATCCAGCCTGTCTGGGGCAGAGCCCTTATCTGCAACCCCAGAACCGGCTTTGGTCACGGCTCGCTTCAAGCACATAGTAACTGATGGAGGCCACGCCGTGATCACCGGTCGAGATGGCGAAACATTACAGCGTTGCGAGGATGAACCCATACACATTCCCGGTGCCATTCAGAGCTTTGGACTTCTGGTCGCGTTACGGGAGGAAGAAGAGAAGTTCGTGGTTCGAGTTGTCAGCGAAAACGCTGCCAAAATCATTGGCTACGCCCCGCAGCAGCTATTCAAGCTCGATTCGTTTCTGGACATTTTCAGCGACGACCAAGCCGATAACCTTCTGGATCACCTGGATTTCATCCGAGACGAAGGCGCAGGAGATGCAGTGACCAATGGACCTGACGTATTCATGCTCTCCATCAGGCCTCCTCATGGGAGAACGCGCAAGCTTTGGTGTGCAATGCATATTTCGGAGAGCGACCCTGGTATGATTATCTGCGAGTTTGAGGTCGAGGACGACCAGGTGAATCCCATTAGACCTCCAGACGAAGCCACTCCCGAATTTCCAGAGGATACGCTTGGGAGCAATCCTACCGAGGAAGAGTACAATGATAGTACTGTCAACATCAGCAGACCTCTTCGGGTGCTCAGAAGTGCACGGAAGAAAAGAACTGAAGCAGCTGCTATGGAGGTTTTCAATATCATGTCTCAGGTGCAGGAGCAACTAGCAAATGCGCCAACCCTCCCGGTATTCCTGAGAGTCCTGATTGGTATTGTCAAGGAATTGACTGGGTTTCATCGTGTGATGATCTACCAGTTCGATCAAGCCTGGAATGGGCGTGTTGTGGCAGAACTTGTCGACCCGAGGGCAACCCGCGATCTTTACAAGGGTCTGAATTTTCCAGCATCGGACATTCCAAAGCAGGCGAGAGATTTGTACAAGATAAACAAGGTCCGGCTTCTCTATGACCGCGATCAAGAGACGTCTCGTCTGGTGTGCAGGACAATGGAAGACTTGGAAAAGCCACTTGATATGACACACGCCAATCTACGGGCAATGTCACCTATCCATCTGAAATACCTGACTAACATGGCTGTCCGTTCCTCAATGTCGATATCCATCAATGCCTTTGGCGAGTTGTGGGGATTGATTGCTTGTCACTCTTACGGGAACAAGGGCATGAGAGTATCGTTTCCCATCCGCAAGATGTGCCGCCTTGTTGGTGACACTGCCTCTCGCAACGTCGAGCGCCTATCATACACCTCGAGGCTTCAGGCGCGGAAACTCATCAACACTACTTCTTCTGCTACCAATCCCTCTGGATACATCGTGGCTTCATCCGAGGATCTCTTGAACTTGTTTGATGCTGATGTCGGTGCTCTTTCAATACGCGACGAAACCAAAGTAATGGGAAGGTCTAGGGGACACCTCCAAGAGGTCCTTGCCATGGTTGAATATCTGCGTATGAGGAAGATGACCGCCGTGTCCAGCTCCCAAGATATCACACAAGACTTTCCCGATTTAAAATACGAGCCGGGCTGGAAGTACCTTGCTGGTGTGTTGTATGTTCCACTCTCCAGTGGGGGAGGTGATTTTATTGCGTTCTTCCGCAAGGGTGCTCTCCAAGAGGTCAAGTGGGCTGGCAACCCTTACGAGAAATTCATTAAAGAAGGAACCGAAGGCTACTTGGAACCGCGCACGAGTTTCAAAGCTTGGAGTGAGACCATCGTTGGTCGATGTCGTGACTGGAGTGACGAGGAAATTGAAACCGCATCTGTCTTGTGTCTCGTCTATGGCAAGTTCATCGACGTTTGGCGCCAAAAGGAGGCTGCCGTGCAGAACAGTCAGCTCACACGGCTGCTCCTGGCCAATTCGGCGCACGAGGTTCGAACCCCACTCAACGCGATCATCAATTACCTCGAAATAGCATTAGAGGGCCATTTGGACCAAGATACTCGGGAGAATTTGGCACGGTCACATTCGGCCTCGAAATCATTGGTCTACGTGATCAATGACCTTCTCGATCTGACCAAGACGGAAGGAGGCCAAAATCTGGTCACGGACGAAACTTTTGATCTGCTGGCGACGCTGAAGGAAGCCACGGACCCGTTTGTTGGGGATGCCAAACGCAAAAGCCTCGAGTATCATGTTTCAATTGCCGCTGATTTGCCAAAGAAAGTCGTCGGGGATCATCGCCGGGTTCGCCAGGTCGTGTCAAACCTCATCGCCAATGCTGTTCAACACACGAATGAGGGAAAGGTGGACGTCCAAGCTTCGTTGTCGGGCAACTCTCCGCAAGAAGGCAAGACCGAAATCGAAGTAATCGTCGAGGACTCCGGCGTTGGGATGACACAGTCGAAGGTCGATGCCCTGTTCAGGGAGCTCGAAGAAGTCACATATGAAGAGGACCTTCCGGACAGCAAATTGTTGTCGGGCAACCCCTTCTCTGAGCAGTCAGGAAGTCAGCAAGTGACGTTGGGTCTCGGGCTTGCTGTAGTTGCTCGAACTATCCGGCATATGCATGGGCAACTCCGGGTTAAGACTGAGGAAGGCAGGGGCTCCCGATTCATCATTGTGCTGAGTTTTAACACTGCTACCGAGGAAGCAGAGAAGACGGCTCGGGCAGTTCAATCCCCCTCACCTCGCCCCAGCACGACATCGTCTGCAGCTCCAAAGGAGGGTGAGGTTACGTTGATTTACAAGAACCCAAAAATGCGTCCTGGGCCTGGGCTCATGTTGAGAAGAGAAAGCGCCGAGAGCATGAACAGCGTGAGAAGTGGAAAGAGTGGTACTAGTTTGAAGAGTGACAGCAGTGCAAAAAGCGATGCTGACAGGCTGATTGATGCTATCCAAGAGCCGCTTCGCCTATCCGAAACGAAGAGCAATACGCCTGACGCGGGTGGCAGAGGAAAGCCTACTTCAATGACCTCGGCATTGAACTCGAGGGAAGCACCAGGATCTCCGACCAGGTCCAGACAGATTTCGTCGCCTCAAGAATCCAGGCCAAGTTCCATCATGAAGCCATACGGCGCGGAAAGGGTTGCTGGTTCAGGGACGCCTCTCCGGCCTGTGCACATGCCCGACGAATTTCAGGAGAATGCAGGCGAATCCAAGACGGTGGCCAGGGTGCTTTTCGAAGAGCCGGAATCTGTAGGGCCGCCGTCAGACACGACAGAAGTGGCGAAGGCCATCTCGGCTGAGAATTTCTCTGTCCTAGTGGCGGAGGACGACCCCATCAACAGCAAGATTATGAAGAAGCGTCTCGAAAAGCTGGGACATTCAGTTCACATGACAGTGAACGGGGAGGAATGTTCATCGGCTCACGGCGAGCAGCCTGCCTCTTTCGACGCGATTCTCATGGATTTGCAAATGCCAATCGTGGACGGTTTCAGCTCGACGAAGATGATTCGGTCATACGAGAAAACGCATGCAGGCACCTGCCTGTCGAGCAGAGCTCGGCAGAACGGCAAGATTCCGATTTTTGCTGTCTCGGCATCGTTGGTCGAGAAGGAGCGGGACAAGTACATTCAAACTGGCTTTGACGGTTGGATATTGAAGCCAGTCGATTTCAAGAGGGTTGATCTGTTGCTCAAAGGCATTGTTGACTCCGAGGCACGAAATAGCTGCCTTTATGAGAAAGGCAAATGGGAGAGCGGTGGTTGGTTTACTCCTGCGGATGACCAACATGGCCCTTTTACTGTTGACACTCGTCCGAGTCAAGAGAAGCCGACTATGGAGACAGAAGAGCCTCAGAAATAGGACGACGTCGGACCGTTATCAGCCAACTCAGCACCACGGCCCGAAGCTACGATTACAGCAGTAGCCGAAAGTCTCGAATAGTGCCTCCACGGCTACGACCACAACGAGCCCTCAGCAAGGTGAGCGACATGTATATGTGCTCATTGCCACGACTCAGCCGATGCAAATGCTCATTTGAGACCTCACGAGGCTATTATTTAGTAGGCAGGCGCTTCACACTGAACGCTGAACGATTGGGGTGGTATATTTATCTCTTGATGAGGATCAGCAGAATTGTCTAATCAGGTGTGCTGAGTTTGAATGCCTCTTATGCGAAGTCTAGCGTCTGGCGATAATGAGTTAAGATTTTTCACCGTCACCACGACTCCCACAAAATTGAATGGTGAAGCCATAGAAAGGACGAAAGCATGGAGAACCACGAGGATAGAGATGCATGTCATGGCGTTGGGCCAACAGAAACGGGTGCACAGCAAGCGCAAGAGCAAGATGCAAAGCAGGCAGCGTAGTTATCCGTACTGTATTATAATCCCAACAACAAATCACCGGCCTACTTTGGTAAGCAGTCATCCGTCATATGCTCCTCTTGTCCGTCCGACGTTGTTGGTGAGCCGCTATCTCGTAGATAACATTGGCTGCGACATTGGATGGAGGAGCAAGAGAAGGAAAGGGAAACAGAGGACCATTGAACATGGAGCAGATGCTTCTCCTGGAATCGCAGACTCGTCGGCATGTAACAGTCAAGACCGATTTCGCATTCATTCCTATGGCAACCTGGTTCGACACCTTGGACCAGAAACAGCCTATTCAACGCTTCTTTTTGGCACTGAAAGACTTCAAGGGGTCAAGCTTGCCTTTACTTTTTCCTCCTCGGTGACCTCTCCTTGTATTGCTGCCTCGCTTCTTCCTGTCCTTCCGCTTATCCGAATCAGGTTTCCTCAAGGCAACAAAGCCGACGTCATCCGTACTCATGGCCTTCCGACCCTGCGCCGGCATCAAATAGTCTGGGATGTGCTTGAGGTGGGACTGATGCCTGACCACGGCACCATGCTCGCCGTCGTGTCTCAGATGTCGCAGGTCGTCGGGGTTCTCCTCGAAATGTTTCCTCAATTTCTCGCTCTTGATCAATTCCTGCTTGATTTCTCGCGCGCGAGCCTCGTGCACTGCCGCTCTCGTGACCGCACGCAACGCGTCGTTCATTCGATACCTGAACGCATCGACCTGCGCCATGTCGAAATGGTACGGTTTCACCTCGTTGCCCTTCTTGGCCTGGCGGGCCATGATCTTCTCGAGCACCTGTTCATCCTTCCTGGCCGACGGGATGCTAGTGGCCTTGTGCTTGCCGTAAAGGTCCTTCGGGACCACGAACGACAGAGCCATGCCTGCTTTGCCGGCTCGTGCTGTCCGCCCGATACGGTGAGTGTAGGATTTGGATGTCCGGGGCAGGTCGAAGTTGACGACGCATGCCACGTTTTGAAAATCGATGCCTCGGGATACACCGTAATCCTTCTGTTTGTTTGCCAGCTTTGCCTTCTTTGCGGGGCGTGAGTCCTGTTGATCCTCCTCGTCGCTGATTTCGTCCTCTTGTTCTTCTTCACCTACGTCGGTACTCCGACGCCTCTTCACGACTCCGCCAAGGACTTCCTGGTCGTCCGCGGCAATGAGGATATCGTACAAGCCCTTATTGAACTCCTGGACGACATGCAGCCTGGAATTTACGGGGAGTTCCGCATTAAGTACGCACGACTTGATTCCAAATTGCTCCAAGTACAGCTTCAGACGGTAGCTCCTGTCCACGTCGGCGACGAAGATGAGAGCCTTGCCGCGCACCAGCCGTAGTTTGAAGACCACGAATATGAGCAGAAACTTCTCATCCTCCGCGCACCGAACAGCATATTGTGTCACACCTTCACCCTTTTCTTCCTTCTCGTCGATCTTCACCACCGTTGCGTCTCGGCAGAACATTGACTTCAGCTCGTCGACCTCGGGCGTGAGTGTAGCACTGATCAGGAAGGTCTGCACATTGCGAGGCAGTGCCGCAGATATAGCGGTCATATCATCTTCATACCCGTATGAGAGAACGATGTCTGCCTCGTCGATGACAAGCTGGCTGATATTTTCCAGTGAGACTCCCCCAGAGTTGAAGTATTGCATCAGCCTGCTTGGTGTTGAGACGATTGTGTCCGGGGAATCCTGCAACACGGCATGAAGAACCGCATCCGAGACCCGCTGTGTCAAGTTCAACGATTTGACCTCCTTCGCGCAGAAAGCTGAGAATGTGCTGAAAGCCTTGCGGACTTGATCCGCCAGTTCTCGTGTCGGTACCAGTATGAGTGTAGAGGTTGATTTCTTTTGCAGCGCGGCGCTCTTACGGCGGAGGATTGATTGAAGAGTTGGGAGGATGTAGGCGGCGGTCTTGCCGGAACCGGTCTTTGACTTTGCAAGAATGTCTTTTCCTTCAAGCGCCAGGGGAATCACTTTTGCTTGCACAGGCGTTGGTGTAGAGAATTGAGATTTGGCGACTGCTTGCATTAGGCGAGGGTCGAGACCGAAAGAGTCGAAGGAGGGCTCGTCATTGTTGCTCTGTTTTGGGACTTCCACCGTAGGTGCATCATCGGCATCAAGTTTGCGCTTCATGTTGTCCTGAATCACAGAAAGGAAAGCAACACTGACTGCATGCAGGTCACGATGGGAAAAGTTCTTGAAGCGCCTAGAGATGAAGATAAAATCAAGAGGACGTCACGTGACTATCGACGAGTTGGAGAAAAAAGTTGCGACCTGAAGTTTCTCCGCAGACGCAATTTGCAGGTCGAAAAAAAGTGAGCGCAAGCAAAAAATCATTGTTGGTTGATTCGTTGCCCTGAAACCTGGTGATAAGCAATGACGGCGCCGACGAAGATTAAGGAGCGAGGCCAGAAGACACATCCGACGGATGTGCTGGAAAAGGACGAGGTCGAATTGCGGCTGGAGAAGGCGCTGTTCGGGGACGACGCAGGCTTTCTCGAATCTTTAACAAGAGAACAACCTCACGAAGCCGGGCCATTAAGTCGACGAGAAAACATCGATGTTGAGGAACTGGGCGCCGAAGACGACCAAGAAGGCTTGGACGATGTTGCAGATGAAGATGTATGTATTACTGGCCTTGAGCACCTGAATTTATCTGACAGCAGTGACAGTTGTTCTTCCTCGACGCTGGCACAGGACAACTCCCTGCTGCAGTCTCGAAAGACCTTGAACGCACAGAGCCCCTCCGCACTTCTTTACGTGGACAGCCGACATGGTACGACAGCGACGACGACCGTATCACCGTCTCCCTTGCAACCAACACTCGACTACGTAAACTCCGCGATACAGAAGATGACGACCTGGTCAGTGGGAGAGAGTACATACAACGACTTCGTAGACAATACGAACGTCTTCACCCAACGCCTGACTGGGTGACTTATGCCAGGAAGAAGAGGCGGCTCTCTACCCAAGAAGACGACCGAGACCAAGACACGGATTCTGACGTCTCAATGGATGACGGCGATTCCCTCCCTTCAGCACAACCACTTGCCGAACTCCTGCGATCTGCAGGCTCTTTAACCCGGGCGGACTCGAAGACGCAAGATCGTAAAGCTCCCCGAAGACTACGACCCGAAGTCATCGACGTACAACGAACAAAAGACGTTGCTAGCTCTGGCCCCTCTTCCGTCGATACGCTGCAGTTTCATTCATATTATCCTCTTCTTCTAGCCGCCGGACCCAGTTCGACCGCCACGATATACCATGTCTCACCCCAACCTCCCAATCCCAATCCCATATTAACGTCGCTACACCTCAAGGGCACTCCTTTGCATACGGCTTCGTTTTGCAGCCCTTCCGGGAAGGCGATCGACAACAGAAACAATCTCGACCAGACACGAATCTTCATGTCGTCGCGACGACGCTACTTCCACTCCTGGTCCCTCTCCACCGGGGTAGTCACAAAAGTGACCCGCGCACTGTACGGGCAGACCCGAAAAGAACAGCGAACCATGGAATCGTTCAAGATCTCTCCGTGTGGGCGATACCTGGGTCTGGTCGGCTCATCCAGAAAAGGCGGTGGGAGTATCAGCGTGCTATCGACAGAGAGTATGCAGTGGCTCTGCAGCTGCCGTATCGACTCCAGGGGCGGCGTTGCGGACTTCGCATGGTGGCGCAATGGCAACGGCTTCGCTGTGGTGGGAAAGAACGGCGAGGTCAGCGAGTATGACATCGAGTCTCGGCGCGTGGTTGCACGATGGATCGACGAGGGCGCCGTGGGCACGACGGTCATTGCGCTGGGTGGCGATGTCGGGCAAGGGAGTCCCGGTGGGAGTCGCTGGGTCGCAATTGGTTCGTCGAGCGGTGTGGTGAATCTCTACGATCGACGAGGCTGGACTGCTAAAGTGAGCGACGAGGCGATGGTGGATGAACGGCCGAAGCCGGCTCGCGTGCTCGATCAACTCGTCACGCCGATCTCGCATCTCGAGTTCTCGGACGATGGGCAGATGCTGGTCATGTCGTCAAAGTGGAAGAAAGGTGCTCTCAGACTGGTCCATCTACCTAGTTGTACGGTGTACAAGAACTGGCCGACGGACAAGACGCCGTTGGGGCGGGTCAGTGCTGTGGCGCTGTCGGCGGACGGAAGTTACCTCGCTGTTGGCAACGACCAGGGCAAGATCAAGCTTTGGGAGATAGGGGAGTAAGGATGTGCAGAAAAGCATTTCATGTCATTGGCCGATCAGCCGCGTTGCTGTGTCCAAGAAGCTCGTGTCTATACCCCTTTTCTTCCCCAGTACATGCTCCGAAACGCTCCATGGTGTTCTATTTCATCCATATATCGTACTTGTGGACATCTCGCACTCCCACCGTGTTGCCTTGCTTGATTCTCTTCAACGTCAGGGCCGCGATCAGCGCGGCGCCAACACCGCTACCGTCTTCGGACGGCTGGATGACGACAGGATCCTTCTTGCCCTTGGGCCAGTCCAAGATCTCGCGTAGCGCCACCGCGCCTCGGGCCTTGAAGTGCGGGTACTTTGTAAACACCGACCCGTCGGCTCCGACGTGACAGCTCTCGATGTTCTTCTTCTTGCAGATGGCGGCGACGCCACATGCTGAAAGACGTGCCGCACGAGTCCCGATCAACTCGGCCAGCCGCCGACATAGTTCGAGCTCAGGCTTGGTCGCGTCGATGCCCAATTTCTCTCGGAACATGTCATGGGTCTCTTGCAAGTTCTCGAATGGATCTTCCTCGATAAACGCCGGGAACGATGCGTCCAGAGTGTAAGGCTTGCGCAACTTTGAAATATCCTGTCCCTCAAACAGCAGATTCTTGTTCTCGTGCAAGTCCACGACCACCAGGCGGAAGATTTCGCCCAGATACAAGCCGGCAATCATCTTCTCGAATGCTTGTTGACCGGGTCGGGGTGACTGCTCGTCGATTATCGTGTCGTACTTCGTGATGGGAAGAACCTTGTGGTCGTTGTCAAAGGCGCCGTATTCGCAGTTGATGGCCATGGGCATGTCGTCTGGTAGATTGAGGTGTTTCAGCTTCGGTATTGAGCCACAGTTCTCCATGTAGGCGGCATTGCAGCCAGTGCCGAAGATACATCCGATTCTCATGGATTGATCGGTATAAGCGGACGCGATGAGTGTGCCGGTGGTGTCGTTGATGAGGGCAGCCAGTTTGATCGGGAGTTTCTACCACATTTAGCAAACATCCCTCCCCTGCCATGGACTGGTAAGGCCCCGACTTACTCTTGCATCCAGAGCAGCTTGAAACTGTGGTACGACGTCCTCGCCTTCGACACCAGAGATGTCGAAGCCTTTCGTCCATCTCTGAAGGATTCCGTGGTCGATATAATCTTGTGTAGCTGGGTAGGAGAAGGTGAAACCGAGCGGCAGATCGGCCAGATCTCCTTCGTCGTGATGGTACTCAATAAATTGTTGCAGACAGTCGGCAATGTACTCCCACAATTCCTCGGCCGTGCCTGTCTTGAGCTCCTCTGGCATGCGGTATTTGCTCTGAATGATATCGAACTCGCCCTTCTCTTCGGTGAGAGTGATCTCGCACACTCGTAGATTCGTCCCGCCCATGTCCAACGCAAGGAAGGTTCCTTGCTCATCTCCGTCCGGGAAAGCCATGCACCAGGTTGGGTTCATGGGAATGTTCTGTCCATCTTTCTCCAGGCCAGCTGTCAACTCATGAACGAAATGGTCGGTGATTTCCTTGAGTTTCGCGGCGTCCACGGTGAATAGCTTCTCGAGGTTCTCGATTTCCTGCAGAAGGCTTTTTGGCACATCGGCCATCGAACCTACACAAACCTCATTAGCAATGCCCACTCTTTCACCGCTTCAGTACCGGTACATACCCTTGCGGGACGGCTTGCGCTTGGGGCCCAATCCGACCATGTTGGCGGCTTGAATGAGATATTTGGTCGGCCGGTTGAGGAGGAGAAATGTCCGTGAGTTGAGTGTTCAGGAGGCCAGCTCAGTCTAAGGTCGTTAGTGAGCTGACGGGCACAGAAACAACGTCACAGAAAGAAAATGCTAACCTAGCGGACACGATTTGACCGGCAAGGAACGGACGTGGAATTGTTGACGAGACTGGCGGGGCAGCTTCGAGATCTGGCAGCAGAGCGAATGCAAGGGTCCGAGGGGTAATTCATCCGTAGTCTCGAGGTAGTCAGGGGTGTCAGGGCTGGACGATCTTCAAAAAGTAGGTAATTGGAGACGACGAGCTCCCTTCATGCAATGTCATTCTGTACCTATTGCTTTGCCTCCGTCCGAGAATAGATGAGGGATTCATCATCTTGCAGAACACATTCATGCATCGCGTCAAGCGCATACCACCCTTGTGAGTACCTCTATTACTCGAGAACGAAAAACCTAATTCCCATTCATGGTTCGATCCTAGAGGGTGACCGAAGGGCCGCTTTAACCTGAGCTTTAAGTGAGCCTTTGGCGGAGCATCACTGAACCCTCCCTGAGCGCTCCCTGAGCAAACACATTTGGGGCCTAATCAGGTCCTTACGATCCGGCTATCCTTGCCTCCCGGCTAGGTATCCGTTTTAGACGGGCGTTGGGAAACCTGGTAGATTCCCTGCCCTTACGCTGCTGCCTAAAGTTCCTTGTAACGCCTAAGGTCTCCGCTAAACTGCGAACAACCAGCGGCTACTGTTCACACTGCGCTGACTCGATGCTCCCCGTGATGCCGCATAAAGTTCCACGCAGCTTAAACCTTTGGTAGGCTATCCTACCGCCGAACTAATGTGGACAAATATCGTCGTCTTCTAATTACGCGGCGTGTGAAAGCGTCTGCAGACTTTAATCCATCTCATAAAAAGGGGAATTTACTATTTACTCCTTACGGTGTTGAAAAATCTGAACTATAATGGGAAATAAAAAAGTAGAAAAAAAAATGGTCACTACGAGGGTCGAACTCGCGACCTTGGCGTCAACAGTTTTCAACGCTATTAGCACCACGCTATTTTAGAATTAGTTTTTATGTGCTAAATATCCCAAAGACTGAGAATTGTACCTCTAACCAACTGGACAAGTGATTAGTGTTTGATTGAGAGATTTAGTGAGTGGTAGCTACTAACCTGAGCTAAGCGACCGGTTCGAATGTTGAGTTGAATTCTCGTAACTTCAAATTATATAGGAAAATTTCGTTCTTACTAGAGGACTGTTTTATGACGTCATGATGTCTCCACCGTCCTAAATGCTTCGGTCCGTCTACATCTCCCTTCAAGCTCAGCGGCAGCCTCAGGCCGTTCTTTGAGGTCACAATCATACCGCTCAGGGACGCTATAATGGCTACTCAGCTGTCTCGTATCGCTGTTCATACGTCAATTCCACCTACCGGGTTCCCTGTTGAGGTAGAGGACCGGGAATCGTGGTGGTTATCAGTGACCGACGAACAAGACCTTCGGCCTGGATGCATATAAACACTTTATCCAAGATACTCTGGACGATGGTATGGTTGTGATTGAAGGTCAGTCATGCGTTAGCATTGTTTGCTTTTCTCTAGTCACCAGGAGAAGCCGAGATGAAGCCACATGGCCCCGAGCTTAAAGTTGTTCTGGTCCGCGGGGTGCCACCGGCCTGCGCTTCGGAGGACCTCTCGCGCATACGATCGGCGAGGCAAACGTCTAGGTTTGACCTGCGAGACCATGACTCCGGCCGACCAGCATGGCTTACCGTAGTCGATGGCGTCTGCATCATCGTACCATGGGCCGATCTGCTCGCGTGCTTCTACAAGCTCGGTAGGTCCCGTTTGGAGGTGTGGGTGTCCATTATGGCCTCGAGACGGACAACTGGACTATCAACTGTATGCCAACGCCAGGAGGCAAGATTCGTCCTGGTTCATGGAAATATCTGGAGGGATCTCAGACAATGTTCAGGGCAGCCAGGGGAAACACGCAAGGTAAAGGGTCACAGGGAAAGAGATTGACCAGTGGAAACCTGTCCACACCAAGCTATGCCATACAGAGTCGATGGCAGCAAGGCTGTAGAAGAAGAATATTGCAATTTCGGAAAGAGAGCAAGAATCCCTTTAATGTGTATACAAATTTGGTTTGTAACTTTATGCAACAGGCAAGGTTGGTGCCCCAAAGCATGCCCTGGGTATTCACTGCCTCACATGACACAGGAATTGACTTGCATAGGTTGTACGGTATGAAGTGAATCTCTGCCGTTACCCCAGATACCTTCTGTTTTGGCGCAGGCAAAACATCCACAACTCTTCGCTGCGACAAAGCTTTGCGACTTCGGCTCCTAGTTGCAAGGCCTGCACCTAGCTTGTCCTTCCTACCACGCAGCAACAGGTAGGCAAGCCAAAGGTTTGTCCAGAGAAGCCTCTATTCCAATCTCAGGTCCATCTTGACTCGACCCGCCTCTCGACCAGCGACATTCGGGACCACCTTATCGAGCAAAGGGTGAGTTGAAACTTGAAAGCATAAGGCGAACGAGCGAGGCTTCCTTCGGCCGGATCTTCTCCTCTATCATCGTATGTTACTTTCTCTGGGACGTCCATATCCTAGTTGGATGAGAATGAAGAGTATTCTGAGATCGTCTAGGATATGCTTCCGTTACCAACGAGTAAACACTCTCACAAATCGATTCCTGCCGGGCGAATTCGAACTCTAGAGGAAGCTGGAAAGCATGCTTCTGCGGCAAAAATATTCAAGGCGATCTTGGATTACCGGTCTTCCCGAAATCTCTCACAACCTTCCACCTCGGCTAAAGTCGTGTCGACGGCTCAAGTACCACCACGGGACGAAAATGACTTCTCCGAACAATCTACGGATCAGGGGCCTGTTACAGACATTGTGGACAAGGAAGCGCGAATGTCTCCTCCCCTCCGCAACATGTTCGACGAACCAGGAATGCGCTGCAATACTAAAAATGCACGGAGCCGAACATCTTCAGATGTGACATGCGCGCAGTTCTCGCCAATACAGATCGCCAACCAATTTGCAGAGAAGGCAGCGGGTGTCTTGAGCACAAAGCAGGTTGAAAACCTTATCATTTTCTTACAAGAGCCCAGACAAGTCAATCGAGAAACCCTGAGGGGAATTGTTCAGGATCGTTTCCATACTTTCTGTCAGGCCGAAATTGCAATGACTGGAGAGCCAAGAGACCGGCTTGCAGCTCCCTCCGGACCCGAAGATGCGGGCACTTGGTATTATACTACACTGTCAGTCCAAGGAGGGACATGTCGGGGAATTCTGGGACACTGAGAGCCCCACAATCCAGGCTCTTATTGCGAAAGGTCTCAACTCTGAATTTGTGTACGGCTTTGATTGGCATTGGCGTGCAGAGGAATCTGCACGACGTCCCGGAAGAGCCAACTGCCCAGCCACTCATTGGACGCAAGCGAAGCGCTCTTTACATGATGGTTTTTCATCCGATATCCTCGAAATTCTCAGCTTGCCCTGGTTGATAATTGGAGGGTCTTGCGCAAAGAACAGCTACAAACGAACCCTATCATCCCAGTCCCGGCTGATTACGCTACCTCTTTCGCCTGAGATTGATCTTCAATTCGAACTCGAGATCAGGGCGAATAGGATCAAGCGTATTGCGACATACGTCCCCCATCCGTCATCGGGCTTCTTTCATCCATCATTTGCCTCGGCCTACGCAACAATTCTGGATGCCGGTATTAGCTTTTTCCTTTGGCTGCAACGCAAGGACGATACCCCGAGTTTCTTCACAGCAACGAAGTCGGCAATTCTGCGAGGCATTCCCGGTGCGGCGCCCTTTCGAGAGCTCTACCAGTATCGGCAACGCGAGGAAGTTCTCGGCAGAAAGCTCACTGAAAACGAATATCAACCTCCGTTCTTGATCTGGGCTGCGAAGTACTTATCCGAGCGTCCTTCGGCCATCCTAAGCCGTGGAGATTCTCTAGCAAATGTCATCATCAAGAAAATCGGTCAAGCGATCAGTGCAAAGGCGGCAAATCGGCGAATGACCGGATACAAACCTTCTCCGGCCCTGAGTAGTTCTGGCAGGAAGGGGACTGCATCACGCTACGGATACACTTTCAAGCGGTCCTGGGACGGAGAATGCGTCACGGTCACGAAAAAGGGGTTATTCAAAATCTTCTTATCTGAAGACCAGCCCAATCTTGAGTTGAATGGAAGGAAGCGACTCTACGATCTTGTGGCACAGTCTTCAGACCCGGTAACAATTCATTTTTCAGCAGAAGTTATCATGCTCCAACAAGGCGGAAAAGTTGTTTTTCAACAAGCCTGCACCAACATTAAGGATCTGGGGCAACGAGAACGGTGGACTGAGCAGGTCAGAATCGAATGCACAAGGAGTTAAGTGGTCCCATTTAGAGGGCCCCTGGGAGAGGCGAACGAACGAACAATTGTGTAGAGAATAATCAGCCTGAGCGTCGTGAATTTCGCAATACCACCTGTGCCAAAGACCCGCTGTGTTTCGCCGTCCTTCATGTCGTTCTTCTCCAGGTCCAATAAGGGGAGAGCGAGAGACGGCGTACTTATATCCTAGAGAACCAACACAAAAGCCGACTTCTCGCCGGGCCTTCGAACGAAGTAGGCAGATATTCATTATTGCCACGCGAGAGAGCAGCATAGGAGGCGCCCAACTAAGCAGTTCGAGCGTATTAGGAAGGGGGCCGAGTTGGGATCGCCCAGCATCCTAAACGGGTCCCATCGTCTAAAGTTAACGAAAGTCGTTGTTGTGAAATGAAGACGAAGAGGGAAGACCAAAGGCTCAGGCAGACTCCGGGAGCGTTCAGGGAGCGTTCAGGGAGCAGCAGGTGAGCCGAAGGTGAGCCAAGCGGCGAGCGGCTAATCAGAAGGGGAAGGCTTAGGACAGGTTTTTCGTATGACGCTACCTAGGTGTGCTAGGTATTCCAAGATCCATCCGTCCATGAGCGACACTCCATAGGAATAGTCTCTCCCCACTACCTCAATACGTGTCGTAGGCTCTCTCCCAAGGTGCACGAATACTCAGGTCTGACTAACCAAGGCCAGCTGACTCAACCATCCTCATTCATCTTTTGCAACTTCAGAGCTTTCCAAGCTAGAGGCAGCGGCTGCAGCTTCGCAAGTCAACACCTAGACACTTGGATCCTTGCATGTATTCCTTCCGGCAATCTCTTCGTGGACAGCCATCGACACTTCATTCCTCGTCGATGTCAATGATGTCAATTGAGTTCTGTGCAGGAGTTGGTGCAGCTACCCAATCCTCAACCGTCCACCGATTAGGCCCAAGGGCAGGATCTCTACGCGGGTCTGCTCTGGCGACATCTGCGATCGCTCGAAAAAGGACAACGCGGATCGGGTGTACACCTTCTGAGAGAAATGTCTCGAACATGATGTTGTTGCGCGAGAATTCTGTGAAGCCTTGGGTCGAAATTTCGAAAGCAATCTGATCAATGAAGTACCGCATCATAGGTATGATGTGGGATGTAGGTTCCTCTGAGATACGGTTGATCAGCCACGTGAGATCTTCAAAGGTGACGTTGAAGTCGCGATGATATTGTCGAATGCAATCGACGAGCTCATTTTGAAGGCCGGTGATTCTGTATTGCAAAGCTAAGACATACGCCCGCAACAAGGTCTTGCAATCGTTGCGCATGGTCGGCTTGTTTGGACGTTGATTGTAGAGCCAATTTACTACGACCTCGAAGGCAGCTGGTTCATAGACGAAATTTTCGAGGTGGTAGGCTGGCTTCGTCGGCGACTGATATGTAGTGACTTGGTCGACCGCAGCTTCACCGTCTTCAGCTTTGATGGCAGGTTCAGGGCTAAGCGTCTGCTCGCGGTTATCGACCACGGAGGTCTCGCGGGAATGGTCTTGCTGGCTTGTTGGCTTGCCATGAACCTCGAAAAATGCGGTGCTCTCCAGCTGTGCATAGTGAACGTGAAATGGGTCATGGGATCGTCCAACGCTGATGTGAATCGTCTGACGAGAGTATTTGTTGTTCTTTCGAACATTCGAAGGTGGAAATCTCTTCGACGCCATGTTGTTGTTTGCCGCGAAGGTGTTTGGTGATTGTGGTGATGAGAAGGACATCTGGGAAGAGCGAAGTTTATGTAGGCTGTCGAATGGATCGAATGAGTCTGGGTCTGGGTTTAGCAAAGCATATGAAGCAAAGCAGAGTTTCTTCTTACCTGAAAGTGAAGTGAGCAATTTTCAGTTTGACCTCAGGACTGTTGCGTATGAAAGATAGATCGACCACGCAATGTGTCCAATGTGTAGGACTGAAAGCCACTGATCGTGGATGAGGTCGCTTGATCTCAAAGAGAGGGTTTCTCGCGCTTTTCTTCCTTCAAATGAGGGAAGACGTGTCTGAGATTAGGCTCTTCTTTCGAGGTGTTCACTTGAGTACTAAGAGCATCTGTGGATGATGATGTTTTGGGAGCTGCGTTGTCGAGTGATGTATTATTTTGCAGCTCTGCCCTCATCTTTTCATTTGCCTCACCTGTCAATTTCAGTGAATGGTCAATATCCTTAGTTAACTTCTCGATTTCGTCGTCCAGGGCCTCTTGGCGACTCTTTGGCACTTCCTCCTTCTTCCTCTCACCCTTCGAGGGGTTCGTCGTCTCCCATAATTCTTCAAGCTCCTCCCGCCAGCCAAGAGCATCTGCAAACATCCTGACGCCCGCATCACAATCGCCGAGCATCAACACATCGTCTGGTCGTGAACCGAGACCACCGACTTTCTCCAGGTTGATCAGGACTCGGGGTGTATCCTCCCTGACGAACGAGGGCAGGCTGGCGAATGGCTGCACTGTCAGACTTGTCCCCATGATGATTGCTAGATCGGCTTTTGCTGGCAAACTGCGGTTGCGGAAGAACGATTCGGGTAGGGCCTCTCCGAAGAAGACGATATCTGGCTTTACCAAGCCGTCGCACGTTTGGTTGATGCAGCGCGGCACCTCTTTCCTACCGACAACTTCCTTCATCTGATCATCAGGGTACTCGGTCCGGCACTCGATGCATCTCTGCGTGGCGAAAGAGCCATGAGCCTCCACAATCATGTCTCCCGGAACCCCAGCTTCACGTTCCAAGCAGTCTATATTCTGAGTAAACAGTTTCAGGAGTCTTCCCTTTTTGTGAAGTAGACTGATGAACGCATGTGTTACTGTAGGTCGATATTTCCCAGGGTACAGTTCGTGAGCAAGGGTGTAGAATGGATATGGATTGTTGCGGAAGTAGGAGATATCAAACACGGCTTCTGCATATGGGAGCTTCAGGCGAGCAAGGTTGGCATATAGGCCAGTGTCAGGAGAACGGAAATCTGGAATGCCTGCGCTGGTACTGATACCTGCTCCGGTCATGACCACAATGTTCTTGACAGCCTTCTCTTTGATATATCTTGCGACGGCCTCAACATTACGAGCATGAAGCGTTGTAGGACGGGTAGTCTCGTCGACCGGAGTAGAGGATTCGTTGCCCATTTTCAAGTTCCAGCGCCCACTGCGTGGATGAGAGTGACGGTCTCGTCTGCGGCGACCTATGATTGCGAGGAGGTATCGAAACAGAATGATGGCCGAATGATTCGATGGCGTTGTTCTGCGATGAGCCCCTGACCAAGGACAAAGGCGAGAATCAAGTATAGATGATGGGGAGGATAATAGAACAATAATAAAATGTCCGTGAATGTCCAACTTCAAAACCCAGTTGCGAGATGTTTCTGGTTGCCCCACGTCACTTCTACGAAGTCGGGCCTTCAGCGGAAATGAATTCCATCGCGGCTCGGAACGTGTCAAGTCCAAAATCCCTCCAGGGCTGTTTGCCATACGATAGGGGCAGCTGAGCCATCGTCCAGACCCTCATTCTACTAGAAAAAGTCCTTCTATCTAATACTCCGTTAGTAGAATTCATCTTGGACCCATGTCGGACAAGCTGGACAGTCTTCAACAACAATGACCCCAAATGGCCACGTCTCCGATCATGATATCGAGCAAGAGCCTACTACTGTGTACAACGCAAAGTCCGTGTCCGAGATCAAAGTCGCTCTGGCCAAATTGCACCGACAAGAAACCCAGGTGACCTCACAACTCGATGCATTGATCAGCGCCCAAAAAGATTTGCAACGAGAACTAGGTCGTCTGGATCTGTTCCGCGCAAATGCCACAGCTCAAGCTTCTAAAGCACGAGCAGTCAGCAATGGCATGCTTTCCGAGGCAGCGTCGAACGCAAAGCGCATTTCAAATTCCGTCAAGCAACTTGACCTGGAGCAGGAGAGAGTAAAGGCCACCCTCACGGTTGCAGAGCAAGTTGGGGAACTGAAGGCATGTGTGCTGGGTGTGTCTGGCTCGATGGGCGCTGCACAAGACTGGGAGACCGCTGCAAGCTATCTGAACAGAGCCTCCAAGATCCCGAGCGAAGTCATCAATGGCCCCTTTGCTGCCAGAGTTGTCCCGACGGCCGAAGTTCCTGATGCACCTGCTGTCACCCTGGAAACCGCCTCGGAGTCATTGTGCACTTTGTTCTTAAGAGAGTTCGAAAGGGCGGTCAAAGACAACGACGGCGCGCGAATAACCAGGTTCTTCAAGCTTTTCCCACTCATCAACCGATCAGATGTTGGGCTCGACGTGTACGGACGCTATGTCTGCCAAGGTGTTGCTTCTCGTGCTCGGAACAACCTCAACGCAGGTACAGGAGGGAGCCAGAGCAAGGACGGTTTCTTCTACGCAAACGCTCTGACACGACTATTTGAGCATATTGCACAAATCATTGACGGACACGGCGGCCTTGTTGAACGCCACTACGGCCCTGGAAAGATGGCTAGGGTCATCGAACGACTACAAGTCGAAGCCGACCTGCAAGGCGGTATCATTCTGGACACATGGAGTGATGAGCGGCGGGTTGATCGGCAGCTGACCGACATTAAATCGTACGCTTTCACATTCCTGGTGCAGAGCTTCATGCCCACGCAACGAGGCTCGGGCGGCACACCTCGTGCCAATTCTCCTGCTCCGGGTCGAGGTAGTGAGGACGAATCTGTCGATATGAAGCAAGTCGACGCTCTCCTGAATGAGATGACACTAATGCTAGGGAAATGGTCCCTCTACACGAGGTTTATATCCGATAAAAGCGCCGATCCCAGCACACAGAGCGAAGCGGCACGCATGCCAGCATTCCTGACCAATTCGAGCTTGATGAAAAAGGTGCAAGACAAGCTCATGTCTCCCTTCAACATTATGACAACGTTCTTTTTCCGCCGCTCCGTTGAGAAAGCCTTCCAACTGGATGAGCAACCACCCGAGCTCTCCCTCAACCCACATAAGCCTCTCAAGTCGAATCCTCCACACGTGACATCTGCTATCGAAGATATCATGTACATCGTCAACAAGGTTCTCCAACAGTCACTCGCGACATCGCAAAGACCTGTGGTCTCCAACGTCATCCCAACGCTTGGCCGCGTCTTAGGTTCTGACTTCATCGGCATGGAACAACGCAAAATGCGCGATGAAAGCTACCCGAGATCCGCGGTGCAGGGGCAACTCCCACCCGAGGCAACGATTGTGTCGTTCCTCGTGCTGATCAACAACCTCGACGTGGCGAAAGATTATGTTGACCAGATCATACGTGCACGGCTCGAGCCCACAGACGGATCTCCCCATCGAGCTCTCGAAGAGCTATTTCCAGAACCCGGCGACGCTGAGTCCGTTGCAGCTACGCTGACAGCGTTTTCGACGAGCTTTTCGGAGAAGTCGAACGAACTGATCGCCGACGCCGTGAATGTCGCATTTCACAACGTCATGAAGCCTCGGCTCCGACCAATTCTGATGGACGCGTTCCGCGACACGGACTATCAACTCACCCGTGAGGAGCTGCAGGATCTAGCGCAGGAAATAGACGGCGACGCCGAGACAGATGGGTTGTCCGATGAAGTCCGTATGCGTTTCCAACTTGGCTGGGATGCCTTAACCAAACCTATCGGGCGAATCATGACGGAGCGCACGTTTGATCAGCTGCTGACCATCGCGGTGACATACCTGAGCAGGATGATCGAGAAGAGGCTGTGGACGTACCACGGTCGGGTCAACGAGCTAGGAGCAGCGAGACTGGAACACGACGTCAACGAAATCATCAAGGTGGTGGTCAAGGGTCAGAAGTACGGCTTCCGAGAGGCGTTTCTACGATGCAGCCAGATTTGCATGATCATGAACATGGACGAGGAGGAATGGGACGAGTCGGTCAATTCTGGAGGTGATATTGCGGATAAGCTCAAGCCAGAGGAACGGCTCAGGGCAAGGAATATGGTGAAAGAGAATCCTTGAGGAGGTAGATACAAGCAGCTTCCGGATCTTTTCGGACATTGATCATTTTCTCGTGCCATCTTTCTAGCACAAAGCATACCTCAAATGCGCCGGCTCCGGCCATAATGGATGATGCAAATGGCTTACATCAATGTTGCTGATGGCAAGCAACAAAGTTTGCCAGTAGCAGCGATTCTCCTCGTCTCATCCTTTCCTCATCAAGCTCTCTCAGCTTCCAGCTTTTTCATTTATGCTCGAGACATGACACCCCAGGCGCGGATCTTGTTGTCGGTGTAGCCAGAGAATAGAGTTTGACCATCAGCACTCCATACCAAGCTGACACAGTATGGTTCTTGAGACTTCTTGCCCTTCTCGACGTAGTCTGGCTTGAGTTCATCGACCTTGTTCTTCTTCTCGAGGTCGAAGATGGTGATGGAGGAAGTGGTGGCAGCGCAGAGCCAGTAACGGTTAGGAGAGAAGACAAGAGCGTGGATCTCATCGCCAGCTTGCAGAGAGTAAAGGTGTTTCGACTCGTTCAGATCCCACAACATGGTGGTACCGTCCTTGCCACCGGAAGCGCACAGAGAACCATCAGGAGAGATGGTGACGGTGTTGATGTAGCCAGTGTGACCGATATGGTCGGTTTGGATGCGGCAGGAGGCGAGTTCCCAAACCTACGATGATCATGTCAGCGGAATGGTCGAACTGAATGAACAGAAAATTCTCCAGAACAATTTGCAAGAGCGCCTCAGTCCGCCGGTGAATGTTTGTCTCATAGCCAAAAGGCTCTGAAGTAGCAAATACTTTTTTTTATCGCGTAGCATCTTGGGCATGGGTTTGACGTCGGGGGTCTGCTCTTACCTTGACCAACTTGTCCCAACCTGCGCTCACAATGACCGGGTTCTGAGGGTTCGGGGAGAAGCGCACGCATGAAACCCAGTCGGTGTGGCCCTTGTCGGTGATGGTGAATTTGCAGTCTCCCAAAGTGTTCCACAGCTTGATGGTTCGGTCTCGGGAGCCAGAAACGATCTGTCTGTTATCGGCGGAGAAGGAAACGGAGAGGACGTCGTTGGTATGGCCGACGAACGTTCGGGTGGTGTTGCCGGTGGACAGCTCCCACAATCGCAGAGTCTTGTCCCAAGAGGAAGAAAGAGCGTAAGCACCATCGGAGGAGATGACGCAGTCGGAGACGATGTGAGAGTGGCCGTGCAGAGATCGCTTCGGGTATCCGTAGGCAGATTCGTCGCGAGTCAAGTTCCAGATGATGAGGCTCTTGTCTCTTGAAGCAGACAGCAGCATATTGGGGCTAGAATCGCAGTTAGCGAGAGTGTCGCCAATTCAAGATCGCTTCAAAACTGACTTCTCCAAGCTGGTTGCAAGGGAGGTGACCCAGCCGCTGTGGCCTTCAAGAGTACCACGTTGAATAAGTTGTTCAGCCATGGTGTCTCGAGAATCCGCTTGAAATTCTGGCTGAGGTGGTTGTCAGTGTCGCTGTCGTTCGATTGCGCTCCGAAGAGACCTCAAAGACTCAGTGTGGGAAAAACTGCGCCAAGATTCAATACACTAGCACTAATTGGGGTTGGCGCTTCAGGCCGCTTAAACTCCGGGAAAGTCGCCATCATTCGCTCTCAGCCTCAAAACATCATGCTTGACAAGATGAACTATCCCGTTCCTTCCACTAAGATATGTATGAAGATCGTCACACGCGAATGGTACAACATCTGTACCTAAGCTAACTCAATGACTATTATGTCCAGTGCCATTAGGGTACTCCGCACCATGCGAGGGACCGAAACCTCTGGGGTGCATCTCTCCTACTAACACCACTGAGTATTGTGCCAACGAATCGGCTTTATATGCTTCAACAAACTAGGAAGGTACATTACAGTCTGGTTGTGCAGACTTATCTTCGCCCCCCGTGAACTCGTTCTCAACGAACCGGGGAGCATAGAGCGACCAAGAATGCCGATTTGAAACGGAGTATCGCCGGCTAAATGCGATCAATGCCTGCAAGATCATCGTATATATTGACTGGCACTTTTCCCGTTGTGATTTGGTGGTCGTATTTCTGCTTTATTGCGCTTTCATTCCTGTTGAGTACAGCCAATTTACGTCTTTGACTACCTCCTAGCAAACATTTCAATATGGCTGCTTCCGGTGATAGTCTGCCTAGGATGCAGTATAGGTTCCTGGGGCGATCAGGTCTCCAGGTTTCCATCATCTCTATAGGTGGATGGTGAGATTTTTGCAGACTGGAGCTTAAGAGCAATGCTAATGACGCTCTACCAGGGTTACATATGGCGGTGCGGTTGGTGACGGTAAGTGGTGACCCCTGACGACACCATCCATTGTTAACCCAATAGACATCGCTTTTGAATGCATGAAAGCAGCCTATGATGCCGGAATCAACTTCTTCGATTGCGCTGAGGGCTATGCCGAAGGCAAGTCTGAGACGGTCATGGGCAAGGCAATCAAGAAATTTGGATGGAAAAGGAACGACCTAGTCATATCAACCAAGATCTACTGGGGTGGTGCTTTTGGCGACAATCCCGTGAACAACGGCGGTCTTTCGCGGAAACACATCATTGAAGGCACTGAAGCATCTCTCAAAAGACTCCAACTCGACTATGTCGATCTGATTTATTGTCATCGGCCGGATAGGAATACGCCAATCGAGGAAACTGTTCGAGCCATGAATTACCTCATCAACACTGGCAAGGCCTTCTATTGGGGAACTTCAGAATGGAACAGCGAAGAGATTGCAATGGCATGGGCGTGCGCCGAGAGACTGAACCTGATCGGTCCTGTCATGGAGCAGCCACAATACAACATGTTGGCAAGGGACAAGGTGGAAAGGCAATTTGCGTTGCTGTACGAGAATTATGGCCTCGGGTTGACCATTTTCAGTCCTCTGAAAACAGGAATTCTCACGGGCAAGTACAATGACGGCATCCCCGAGGATAGCAGAATTGCGAAGGCGACAGAAGGATATACCACCAGTCAGAGGGAGAGTTACGGGAACGAAGAATGGCAGAAGACCTTAACCCAAGTGAAACAGTTGAAGCCAGTCGCCGAAAAGCTAGGGACTGACCAAGCGACACTTGCGCTGGCCTGGGTTCTCAAGAACCCTCATGTTAGTTCGGCCATCACGGGTGCTTCCAAGGTCGAGCAAGTATGGAAGTCGGTGAAGGCTCTGGACTTGCTTCCCAAACTTGATGACACTCTGATGAGCGAGATTGATGAAATCCTAGGAAACAAACCGACACCATTGTATAGGAGGCTGTAGATAGACAGAAGCAGCGCAAATGCTTCATTGAAACATATAATTCCAGATATCAAAGACTAGTCTTGTTAATCGCTCTAGAAGGGAAAGCTTTCAAAGTAGTGCCTTACGATTGGTGTTTTGATGGACAACGGCCAAGCGGAGAGCAAAATCCGCCAATCGATGATGTCAAGAAATCGCAGTCGCCAATCGTCGTATCGAGTGCATCATTTCATTCCTATCCTACTCTTTGGTCGACCTCAGCTTTCCCCCCGAGACTCAATACCCGGTCCTGCTAACCATCATGCTTCAGCCGACACGACTCTTTGCCCGGACTCTTGCAGGCCGCGGCTTGACGCCGTTGGTGTCCCGACGCTTCAAGACCTACTCTGAGCCCAGCACCAAAGAGAATGAAAGAGTCCCATCAACAGCTGAAGAGCATCGAAAGTACCAAAAAGAAAAGCCAGAGAATCCTCATATGACCAACACCAACTCGACCATCCACAACGAAATGCCGTCTGTGGGCAAGGATAGCCCTCCGCCTGATCTCGTCAGCTCGGTTGACCCCAACTATGTCCCCAAAGACCGAAAGCCTGAGAACACAGAGAGAATGACTGGCGGGACACAACCGGGAGACCCAAGCAAAGTAAGCCCGACAGAATTTGGTGTTGGCGAAATAGAGGGCATTTCATTCAGAGTTGAGCCCCTGCGTCGGACTGGTGAAGACCTGACTACGATGCGAGCAAGATTATTATGTTGGTGCAGTCCAGTGCAATGCCGTGCACGCGTGGGAGCTACAGACCCTGAAAACTTTTGCTAACACATATTGTAGACCAAAGCAGGAAGCGAGGGACGCTAGAGTCCGACCTCCTACTCTCTACGTTTGCGGCTGAAAACCTCTCCTCCATGAGCAAGTCAGAACTCGAGCAATACGATCGTTTCCTCGATGAGAACGACTGGGACATATACTACTGGGCTACCCAGTCACCGGCAAACACACCTACATCGTTGGAATATGCTGAGGGAGCTGTAAAGGACACCAAGAGCGACACAACCGAATACACCTCCCCTGCAAACCCAGGACAAACCCAAGAGACAGACGCATGGAGGCAAGGAGCTCCGCGAAGTGGAGAGTGGGCGCAAACCGTCGGAACATTCAAACCGGCTTACAGGCCAGTACCGCAGAGATGGAAAGAAAGTGAAATATTAAGCTTGCTACGAAAACATGTTAGAGAAAGGAGTGCCGGCGGCGTCCTGGAAGATGTGGAAGCTGCCCCAAAATCCAAAGGCAGTGGGAGTGGTCTCGGAAGGATGCCAGATGTGCAGACCTTCCAGTAAAGGTGTATATAGGTCGATGAATGTATTTTCGTGCCTTCTAATTGTCTTGTTCCGAACAGGGTCTATCAAAGAAAATTTCCCACCTTCCTTCTCGAACACCTGGTACGAGTACGAGCTATTGACAGTGTGACAGGCTCTCCTCCACCGCCGTGACATATACCTAGGTACCCAAGGTTCCAGATTGTTTAACAACAAATCACACTCGACTGGTGACCGGATGATGTGCCGATAACCGGTGCTTTATCCGGCCTTGTCCGATCTTTATCCAATGACAATGACACAATCCTCGCACTCAACGAGATCGTACATCTCCACATTCTCATGGCCGTGCTGGGGACGCTGGAGAAAAAAGAGTTCAGAATCATGCCTGCCCAGAAATCTCGTTCTCTTCTCGCCATATTTGAAAACATGGCTTCCTTGCCACGCGGGAATGCAGATCGTGAGGCCCATGGCGTTGTCCACAGACATCTGAGAGATGGTGCTCGAGCGTAGAGAGTTTGGATAGACGCCTCCTTCGTGAAGTGGATTGAAAGAGTCCAGAGCCTCTCTGTTGGCCAGATCCGTCGTCCGCCTCAACTAAGATGATGGAAGCTTCGAATACCGCCTCACTGCAGGCCGACGCAGACCATTTGGACGACCCCCAGAAGAAAGAGAGACATTTGCGGCCTCTTGGGCAACAGCCAGCATTATTGACGCCGGTACCCTCCCGCCCAAGTCAAGACAGGCTCTCTCTGCACCACACGCGGTCCCATACGTCTCATGTTGACGGCCACGGATACTTCAATGAAGATCAGGATGGTGAGCAACAGGTGGCCATTGAAAGCTCCGCAGAAAAGGCGTTCGAGGTCGGATGGGACGGTCCAGATGATCCAATGAATCCCAAGAATATGGGTACAGTCAGGAAGTGGATGATTGTGATGATCAACGCATTCGGAGCATTGTGCGTGACATGCACGTCATCACTATATACTATTACCTACGGTCAGTGTGTCCAGCCCCAGACCTTCGCTAGGTACAGAGATGCTGATAATCATCACAGACCAGATGAACGCCGAGTTTGGCAATTCCCGTCTCGTCGCTACGTTGGGACTCACGCTGTTTGTCTTTGGGCTGGGTCTTTCGCCCATGATTCTGGGTCCATTGTCCGAGTTCTATGGCCGTCGACCCATCTATATATATGCCTATGTCTTCTTCACCATCTGGCTAATTCCGTGCGCCCTCGCAAAGAACATCCAAACCATGCTGGTTTTCCGTTTTCTGGACGGCTTCTCGGGGAGTGCCTTTCTGTCCGTTGCGGGAGGCACGGTCGGCGACATGTTCAGCCGCGAGCAACTTCAGGCCCCGATGATGATTTATACTGCAAGCCCGATGATCGGCCCTGGCTTAGGGCCTATAATTGGTGGCTTTATCAACTACAATACCTCTTGGCGATGGTCTTACTATGTCCTCCTGATCTGGGCGGGCGTGATGCTCGTCATCATCACGATCTTCGTGCCGGAGACCTACATGCCGGTGTTGCTGCGGAAGAAAGCACGAATGAAGCGAAAAGAGACGGGTGATGACCGATGGAAGGCTCCGATCGAGATGTATGAGAAGTCGCTCTTCTGGACCGTGGTAAGATCGCTGTATCGACCTTTCTTACTGCTGTTCATGGAGCCAATGTGCTCCAATCTTTGCTTATTGTCGTCCATTCTGCTGGGCATACTCTACCTGTTCTTCGGCGCCTTTAATCTGGTCTTCAGCAAGGTGTATGGTTTCAACACGTGGCAGGTTGGTCTCTCATTCTTGGGTCTCCTCATTGGTATGCTGCTCGCTATTGCTTCTGATCCGATCTGGCAGTGGAACTATCTACGCTTACTCCGAAACACGGAGAGGCGGACTGGCGAGCGTACGTCGGAGCCAGAGTTTCGACTACCGCCATCTATCTTTGGTCCATGGATATGCACAGTAGGACTCTTCTGGTTCGGCTGGTCATGCTATTCTCATATCCACTGGATTGTCCCGATTATTGCCACCGGCTTTTTCGGATTCGGCACCGTTTTGAGCTTTTCCGGGATCTTCACGTTTCTGGTTGAGGCGTATCCGCTGTACGCAGCAAGTGCATTGTCGGCCAACTCGTTTGCACGGAGCTCATTTGCAGGTGCTTTCCCTTTATTCGGGATTCAAATGTACAATCACTTAAACTTCCACTGGGCTTCGACACTTCTGGGCTTTCTTTGCTTGGCTTTGGCACCATTTCCGTATTTATTCTTCATCTACGGCAAAAGATTACGGCAGAAAAGCAGATTTACCAACCTTTCGGCATCATAACAGGAGTACCAGAGGAGCTCCACTGTCCACCAAATACTTGGCAGATACGGAGCTACATGGGCTGTCGATCAGTGCTTCATAAACTTACATGTACCGACAATATTCAGATCGCGGCCGACCTTCCAAGACCAGCTCGCATTAATACGAACAGAGTGCATCATGCTGATAGGTACGGTGCAGCTGAGGCGAGGAATCAATCTCCCGTTCCAGTTGCTGTTTTGCTTTGCTATGCGGGAGATTTTTCAGGAGGGTTGTCCTTGTCTCCTGTCGGAAGTCGAAACCATGGCATCATGTCGTATGCAGCTGTGATAGCAACGAGAGATTGTTTGGGTGCATGACAGTCGCTTGTTTGATGTTGTGCAGAATCGACTGGGATGGCGTGGCATAAGGCTCTGCGGTCAAGACTGGAACGTGGCAAGATCTGGATTGGCAATGCAGATAGGAGAATTGTTTGGAGGAGCTGGTGCAAGGGGCAGTGTAGCGCGCACACACACACACACACATGCATGCATGCATGCAGTGCCTGCTTCAGGAAACTTACATAGGCCAGGAGGTATCAGGTCCCAGGACACGTGCGACTGATTTTGTCGGTGTAGAAACCGGGAGCTGTGCTACAGTGTCCTCGGTTGCGTTGTCCGACGGTGTTCATATTCTGGGTCATGGACAGATACTTACGCTGAGCATGACCAGCAATATACTATATCACATATACCTGCTGCGACGTTCTCGGCCTGCCTGCTTGGGACCCATCTGACCATGGTCGTGCTGAGCCTTTCCCGCAAAAATCCGATGGGGTTCGGGCAGAATCGGGCAGCCTCGTACGTAGAAGAATGGAGGGCGCCAGGCTTGTGGCCAGGGTGATGGCGCTAGGTACTCCGTCCTGTCCGTCTCCATCATTGTACCCGCCTCTTCGATCTTCAGGAGCTGCGAGACGGAATCGATTTTATGGCGTCTTCGATGAGCAGGGACCCTGCGCGGTCCTGATGCATCGACAAGGGAGCCTCAGATACCACATGCTCTACTGAATTCGACCCATCGAGCCAGTGGTGAAGAGCCCCAAAGGGATTTACTAACTAGGTTCTCTTTTAGGCACGAACTAAGGTACTCGTAGCGAATTTGTGGGGAACGTGCCGCGGCACAGAACATTGACGGGCTCGAGGGCAATTTTCGGCGGGAGATGGGGGGAGGGAGGATGATGATGGGCCTGGGTATCCAGCGAGCCAGTATCGCCGTCCTGTGAAAGATGCTTTGTCGTCAGGAAGGGAATACATCTACATAGAACAGAATCTGTGAGGGAGCCCTTCTAAGCTGGCTCCTCCTCATAGGTAGAGGATGTGGGCGCAGAACTAAGATGAAGGGACTGCTTTGTTAGCTCTGTTCTGTTTGATTTTTAGCCCACCAACCCGCAGGCCCGTGATTTCTATTTGGCTGACTTATTGTACCAACAAGTCTTCTACTTTGGTGGCTGCAGTACTTAGATCTGGGTTTTTCTCCTCGCACAAAGCATTTCTCATTTGCATGCGTGATTCACCGACTGGAAAATGAGGACATGATCTTGCAGGTGGAAACGATATCTAGATCGGATCTGGTTGTCCTCGATATTTGATACGAGTCTTGCAGGTGGTGAAGCTGAATGGTGACAGCGCCACATTGGTTCGCCTGGTTGGCCTGGTTGGCCTCGGATACCCCCATTATTGTCCATTCCTCCATCGCCGCCTCCGCATCCGAAGGTCTGGGAGATTTGGCCTTGAAGCCCGCCCAGCGCCCAGCGCCAGTTAGGACTCAGTGCCAGTACCGGTGCCCGCCTCTCGCGCCTTGCCGAATAACCATTGCGAGCCCTCCGCCCGCATTTTCGAAAGGCCGAGCCACAAACTCTCCTCCACCATCGCAATCGAAAGCCTCAAGCCTGTCTTGTGCGCACCAAGTCATATAGGACTCTACACAACCTGCACCTCGCAGTCATCCATTGACGATCTTCTTCTCAGTCACCGACTCCCCGTACCTTTCACTGCAGACCGAAATACCTCGATTCCTTGCTGTGCGACTTAGGCCTCTTCTCCTCGTAGCAACATTTCCCCACGTCCGCCGCCTGTCCTCTTTCCAGCGAAACACCAAACACCATTCGAGCACTGTCTGCCTCTGTCCTACCTGACAAAGTCGTGCTACACCAGTCACCTCTCTGTTGACACCATATCTGCCGTGAAAATTCAACGCCCTCCTGTCGGCTTCGACTCCTGCGCCCGCCGTCTTACAGAAGCAACGAGCTTTCACCACAACACACTCGACCTGCGCTCACCCGGCGTCGCTGAGAAGAACCACACACTTGGGGGCTCCATTACTTGCTACTGCGCCGGCTCGACGTGATTCTGCATCTGCTGGGATACCGCCTGGTCTTGATCGCCGGGTTTGCATGAACACCGCCTGTCAACTGGGTCATTGCTTCAAGCCAGGAGGACCCATTTTTCGGTGTCGTGTCACTGTTGGCGTCTTCGTGCGAGCCCTTGTGCAGCCTGCATGATCTGGCACTCCTTGATGGTCTACTTATAACATCATGACGGCCTCTGATGTCGAAGATGGCCACTCTCGTTCGGCCTCTCCCGAAGACAGTGGCACCGAACACGTTCAGGATATCATGGCCGAACGACAACCCAGGGACGAGAAGCCCAAACCGAACGGTTCGACATCCACCAATCCAAAAGATCCTTCCCGTCCTAGACGGAAGAAGGCCCGCAGAGCATGTTACGCCTGCCAGCGTGCTCATTTGACTTGTGGTAGGTGTAAATCGGCTGTCAAGAATGTTGCGATGCTGATGAGTATGTATAGGTGATGAACGCCCATGTCAGAGGTGCATCAAACGGGGTCTGCAAGATGCTTGCCAGGATGGAGTCAGGAAGAAGGCAAAATATCTACATGACGCTCCGAACGAGGCTCTCATGCCTGGTGTTGCTGGAAATCTCTTCAATCACCCTGCCACGAAAAGAAGTTCAACCATCACCACTGATACGTCTCCACAACAGCCTTTCTTCCAGCAGCCGCAAACCTTCAACGGCTTTCAGAATTCCTCGCAGCAGATGCCTCCTCCGTTGGTGCACGAACGGAGCATGAGCGCTGCAAGTTTTTCCCAGCAATCACCACTGAATAACAACTTTAGCGGCATCACAACACAGGTACATTTGCAGAGTCCCGTCCTCGGCCAGGAGCAATCAGCTGCCAATGGAATGAATGCCGCTCCTTGGCCTGGCACAGGCTATGATGACCCGTCTATGTTCAACTTCGATATTGCAAGCATGAATTTTGGCAATCACTATGGTGCGCTGGAGTTTGGTATGCTTGGACACATGGCAACAAACGCCGGCGAGACACCTCCCAGCGACACGGCCACCCATCGAGGCTCTATGACGCAACAGTACCGAATGCCCCTAGGAAGCTTCAGTGAGAGCCCCACCGCTCGTCATCAGCTTTACAACGAAGCAACGATGCTGTCCGACTGGTCCAACAACAGTACTGACCCGTATGGTGCTCACAATCGTCATATGGCGCCGAATGCCTTCACAATAGAATCGAGTGCTGCCCATTGGACTTCTCCCGATACCAATGGCACCCCCAGCAACGGTGTCAAGTTTGAAGATTCTCCCCTCTTGACTAACCAAGGCCTGCAAGTTCCTCCGACGAGCGTGGAGAATGGGTATCTGAACCAGTCGAACAGTGCTTCCGATAATCGACTTCGGCAGCCACCACCTATTTCCACTCCACAACTCAAGGCGAAGTCTCAATTGCCAGTCAAGTCATTGAAACGACCTCGAGATCCATCCTCAATCTACACGTCCGTTACTCAACCTCACTCGTACACTGCTGGCTTTCATACTCTGGTTGCCTACTTACAGAAACGGTTCGCCACGCATCCCTCCAAGACGCTTGCGATTGCAAAATCGTTGGCGTCGATCCGGCCTTCGTTTATTGCTACTACCAAGACTTTGAATCGGGAAGACCTTATTTTCATGGAGAAATGTTTTCAACGGACGCTATGGGAGTATGAAGGGTTCATTGAAGGGGTGGGGACTCCAACCATTGTTGCCCGAAGGACGGGCGAGATCGCAGCTGTGGGCAAAGAATTCCAGATACTCACGGGCTGGACCAAGAGTGTCCTGCTTGGTCGATCTCCAAATCTCAACGTGAACCGGGGGCATTCGGGGTCCACTCCTGCCGGCGGATCTGGTAGCAATACTGCATCAAGGACGACAGGTTTCAACACGCCGACACAGCGGAACGTTGCTGAGACAGAAAACGGCGAGAAACGAACGCAGCCGGTGCTACTTGCCGAGTTGCTGGACGATGACTCGGTCGTGCAATTCTACGAAGACTTCGCCAGGCTTGCCTTTGGCGACAGTCGTGGCAGCGTGCTCGGAAGGGGCAAGCTCCTGAAATACCGAACAAAGGACGATGAAATCGCCCAGAATCTCAACGCTGAAGCCGAAGCACGGAATGACGATGGCAAAAGCAACGGCACGGATAGTCGCCGTCAAGATGGCCATTCCCGCAAAATCGACGTGAAGAAAGATGGCATTTCTGGCGAAAAGGGAATGCAGAAGTTGGGTTCGGCAGATGGGAAGGTCGACTGCACATATTGCTGGACGGTCAAACGGGATGTTTTTGATATCCCCATGCTTATTGTTATGAATGTAAGTGCTACCACCCAGCCAGGATGATTCGGAATCTGATCTAACGATATCACAGTTCTTGCCTTGTATATAGGCGGCAAAAGTTTTTGCGTTGACTGGGATTGGAGTTAATTCCATGGCTTCTAACCCACCGGTAGCTACGAACGAAATGGGACGGGGTAAAGGCATAACTACACCTAGGTGAGGAATTGCGAGTGTCATCTTGCCGCTGGCTGGGAGGGACAGTTCGACATAGCCTCGGACATTGTAAGGGATGCAGCATCTATCTGTCTGCGTGGTAAATGCAAGATTTCTATACCATCATGCTCGAAAGACAAGAGCAATTTGCAGACAAATTCTATCGTTGTTGACGTCTATCTTTTGGTCATGTACCGGCCCTCCAGCTCTCGGGGGGCGAAGTCTTGTGTCAGTCGTTCTCATCACGTCGGCTCTAGTTCAATCCTTCTTCAGGACCTCCTTCTCCACGTTCTCGGTGTCGGTCGATTTCATCCATTCAAAGTCCTTGAGCCAAGGTTCAGCCTTGAACCTCTCGTATGCTTCTCTCTGTAAACTCCGCTCTGCGGGCTCCACTTGTCAGCATATTTTCGGCTCTTGCTGTCTTAGAAGGGGAAAAGAGCGGCCCGGCGAGAGGAGGGTTGGAGGCGGAGGCGGAGGTGGAGGTACGCAGATAGAAATCGTTTGCAAAGGGGAAAGAAAAAGACAAAACAAAAGAGTAAAGGTGAGAAACTTACGAGCAACCTCGCAGTCAACCTTGATGTCCTCGACCAACGCCTCGAGACTGGTGTAGTCGTACTCGGGCCTGATGAAGCCCAGGATAAGCAGGTTCAAGGCCGCGCCGTAAAAGTCGTGCGCGAAGCGGTGCAGGATGTGGATTTCGACGCTGCGCATCGCGTTCTTGTAGAATGGATTGTAGCCGATGCTCAGGACGGCCGGGTAGACGGTGATCGAGGAGGACGTGGTGTCGGTGGACGAGGACAGCGAGAGCCCGACGAAGCCGTAATATACGCCGGATGAAAGGTCCGGGTGCGAGGATAGGCCCGAAGGCGGGATGTTGGCGGTAGGAATGCCGAGCTGGAAAAAGGGGGAGCGAGAGTAAGTGAGAGTCCCTGACTGCTAGTAACTAGTAGGTAAAGCAATGGGCGTATGTTATGACTCCAGATCGTTTTCCGCAGACAGCTGGAGATGGAGATTGAGATTGTTCCGCTGGGAACCCGCCTGGGGGAGGGGGGCGGTGATTTGGAGCCTGAAAAGGAAGGAAGATGGTGTGGTTTTGATGGCCCATTTTATGGGTAAGACGGTTGAAGGTGTGGGATAGATTGGGAATGAGATATTCGAGGAATGGAACTGGACTTCATGTCCCAGGCTGAGTGAGGCGCACTCGTTTGATGTGCAGATCCCTCGCGCCTGGTTGTAAGTAGGATCTGGATCTGGGTCTGGATCTGGAGTCCGAGGAATCTGAGGAGCCAATGCCGATCTCGACGAACGTACGTCCATACGCAACTCCGATAGACGTGGATCTCGTAAGGGCGGACAGATCCAGATACAAAGCCTTCCTCGCCCGATCGTGCAAAATACTTTTCCCAAACTCAAGGAGCGTGCCCCAGCGAGCGTGTCACTCCACGGAGGACGATGCCTCACACCCTGCAGACGTTGCCGAATCCCGGGGAAAACAAGAGCAAGATGAACACAAGAGAACACATGAAAAAGGAGACAGACGGCAACGTACCTCTTTACTACCCCGGCCGAACCCATGAATCACTGGGCCTTGAAGCCTTATCGGAAAAGGCAGTTCAGGACCGGATTCCGGGCCCGCATAAGGCTCTCTGGAACCGTTTGATGGCATCTCCGTCTCCGTCTTCCTTGTGAGTGTCTGTAGAATCGTGACTGCGTACTATTCGGTGTTGATTAAAGCGACGAGTGGGTTGCGGTTTTGCGACCGTAAGGCCAGGAAAAGTTTGTGCGATTGTTATCTCGAATTTGTTCCACCCAAATCAAATTCTCATCCGCCAGATGGTTTGGAACGTCAGTATCTGGGGGAGCGATGATTCCTGCTTGCCGAGCAGCGTACAAGTCCCGACGGGCGTTTGAGTGATCACAGCAAGAGTTCGTGGTCGTGCTGGGAAACTGCGAGTCAACTCGAGTTGAGTTTGTCGTCGTGTTACTCCGTAAATGATGAGTCTACCGATAGTATTCGCTTCGCCCCGCCAATCGGAGAGCAACTTACACCAGCCTTGAAAGCGAGCCTCGCCGTGCCTACCCGTAGTCAGCCTTACTGTACGCACTCAGGCTATTGTGCAACGCCGGCTAAAGCAGTCAAAGCCAGCACCAAAGCTCAAAGTATAGAATGTTTGATGATCTAGGTCTTCACGTATGTATACAGAATACTGCGAGATTGCAGCGCCGGCCTGAACGTCTAAGCATGCACCAGGCCTGCTTGGGTGATGTCTATACACTGGCCGAATACCCAACACTCGGCAACTGCCCTGAAGCTCGCCTTTTCTCAGTCCATTTCCTCAACTCATCCACCCAGAAGACAGTGCTCGTTATACACACCAGCCAGATAATGTCCCACAATCCAAGAGCTTCCGTTTGGAAGACTCGCTGCAAGAAAGGGAGATATATCACGCAAAGCTGTCCCGCAAGACTGCCTGCCACGGCATAATTGAACATTTTATTCCCAAAGAGTTTGATTTCGCCGAACAAGACAGATTTGGTCTCTGATCGGCATGTGAGAGCATTGAACATGTCGAAAAGCACAAATGTGGTAAAGGTCATTGTAGTGTCGCGTTTCGTCACCACACGACTGTGAAGAGGTGTCCCAGCGCCATCGGTAGTATTTGGATCGTCGATGTCGACCATTTCTCGGATGTAGATGGTGATGGTACCCATCATGATGATGAATGCTTGAGTAAGAACGCGACGAATGAGGCGTTTTGTTAGCACGTTGGCATTCCGAGGTCGCGGAGGCTGATTCATCACCCGAGGATCCACAGGTTCGACTCCAAGGGATTGAGCAGGAGGACCATCCATGAGGATATCTAGTCTAAGTCAGTCACCGCAGAAACGGCCGAACAGGCCGACTTACTAATCCAGAGAATCTGCATAGCATTGAGTGGGTTCTTAAAGCCAAACATTGTGCTCAACAATACCAACGTCAATGCCGCCACACTTGTGCTTAATTGAAAGGTGATAAAGTTCTGAATGTTGTAGAAGATACCCTTGCCCTGTTCGATAGCGCGAAGGATGGTCGAAAAATCATCATCGGTCAGAATCATGTCCGCGGCCTCTTTGGCAACATCCGTTCCAAGCATGCCCATTGCGATGCCAATGTCGGCCTTCTTCAACGCCGGTGCATCGTTGACTCCATCTCCAGTCATGGCAACCACATCTCCTCTAGCCTGCAGAGCTCGAATGATCTTCATCTTGTGGTCTGGACTTGTTCGAGCGAAAATTGTGGTTTTGCCAATAGCTTCGGATAATTCTTGTTCAGACATCCGATCAAGCTCATCACCTCGCAGAACAGACATCAAGGCTGATGAAGATGGGTTGAGCGGCATCCCCAGCTTTTTGCCGATTGCCACTGCTGTCGTCTCAGCATCACCTGTGATCATGATGACTTTGACTCCTCCATTCATGAGCCTACGGATTGACCTGTGGACATCTTTTCGAGGTGGATCATTCATGCCAACCAGACCAGCAAAACATAGGCCAGTGAAGACATCGCCATTGGTTGACTGCTTCTCTCCACCAGCTGGAGTCGAGCTCCTGCTGTTTTGCCTGTGCTTGCTTCTGATAGCCCCACTGGCGAAGGCAATGACTCTCAGCCCTTCCTCGGCCATCACCCTTGCGGCATCGTTTGCAAGGCGTCGACGGGTTTCATCTAGAATGACCTCCTGCCCGTCTCTGGTCAGATAGGTATCGGATCGACTGAGAATTTGTTCAAGAGATCCTTTCATGAATGCTGTCTCAGTACCATTACCGGTCCCATTCGTCAGCTCTCCCAAAGCACTGGCAATGACAACACCCATCCACTTTCGTTCCGAACTGAAAGGCGTCTCGTTTGTTCGATGCCCGACTTTATCGCGAACGTCATCCTCCCCGTATGCATCCAACAAATCAAGCATAGCAATATCGGTCGGTTGTCCAAGCCATCGGCTTTTAGTGGTTGTTGCTGATAAATCTCTCATAGAAGAAAGTACTGCAGCGGAAGCGGCCGTTGCGGGAGTTCCGGAGCTGTTCTGGGACAAGCGCCCATGATTTGCAATGTTGCCAATGCGTAGCATCGCCCTTGTAGCGGCAGAGGGTTCGGCAGCGGTGTCAATCGTGGAGGGCAGAGGCATGTCAAAGTGCCATAGCTTCGTGACCGTCATGTGATTGAGAGTCAATGTGCCTGTCTTGTCGCTGCAGACAACGTTGACCGAGCCTAGTGTCTCAACACTGGGCAGTTTACGAACAATTGCTCCTCGCTTGGCCATTCGCAAGACTCCGAGAGCCAGAGTCACGGTGACGATGATGGGGAGGCCCTCGGGTATTGCAGCCACTGCTAAGGATACGCCGATCGTAAAGAGGTCAAGGGGTTTCTTCCCCTGAAGAAGCCCGATCACCATGATGATCCCAATAACAACGAACGACATGTAACTGAGTTGCTTGCCTAGCAGATCCATGGACTGCTGTAGAGGTGTCCTCGGGGCCTCGATCTCCTGCAGTGACAAAGAAATGGTTCCAAACTCAGTTGCTCCTCCTGTTGCAATGACAATGCCCTCGCCATAGCCAGAACGGACCAAAGTGCCCATGAATGCGATGTTGTGCTGCTCATTGAGACGGACATCAGCTCCAACTGTTCCGGCTGCATTGTAGGGCTCCGGCGTGCCATGATGCTGGAATACGTGAGCCGGTCGGTCCAATGCTGCTGCATGCTTTTCCACGGGCTCATTTTCACCGGTCAAGTTGGATTCATCAATCGACAGATCCGAAGAGTGTGTGATTCTGATATCAGCCGGTATGCGATCGCCAGTGTGAAAAAGAACCAAGTCCCCAACCACAAGTTGGGAAGCGGGTATTGTCTTGGACGCTTTTGGTGTGCCATTAGCCAACGGCTCCAACTCGATTTCCTCATCTTCCTCATTACTTCTCGCCTGAGCTCCTGGTGGCGCCCCAGCGCGCCTGACATGAGCGTGATGGGGCACCAAGCGATTCAGTGCCTCGAGCGATTTCTCTGATCTGTACTCCTGGACAAAGCCGACTGTGACCACGATGGTGACCGCAAGCGCAATGCTGACAGCGTCATCTTTGTTGCCGATGAACAATGAGACCGCAGCTGAGCCAAGCAGCAAAAGGATCAGTGTTTCTTTGAACTGCTTTAAGAACCTCAACCACAGTGGCTCCTCCTCTTCATGTGGCAGTTCATTTGGCCCGTCTTTCCCGAGTCTCGTGTGCGCTTCGCGTTGCGACAGACCCTGCGCGAGGGATGTCTGTAACCGGTCTGCAGTGTGCTGAGGACTGAGGAGAGAATATACGGAGGTTATCGAGGATGATGTCCCAGGGACACGTGCCGGGGTTCGAGGTCGACTGCCGGGTGCGGTTTCTGCATTGAAGACAGGTAGCGCAAGGACCGATGGTTTTGACATGATTTCATTGTGCTAGTACTGTAGGTGACAGGCCATCCCCACTCAATACATAGCCTGCCGCATAAGGGTACTGGTAAATACAGGTGCAGCCGTAAGTGAGTGAGTGAGAGCGAGAACAACGATCAAGTGCAATTTGCTATGAGTACGGAGTAACAGTCCCAAAGAGCCAGGCTCATTTCCCACAAAGTCTGGTCTTCTAAGTTAAGCGACTAGATGAACGTTAGTGACGCAAGCGCCGGAGAATATGGGTAGAGTCGCGTAAAGGGCAAGTGTTCCGACGCAGCCTAACATTGGCTGCCGAACTGGATCAACCAACGATGAACCAACTACGCATTGATCGCATTCTCCCATTCCAGCCACTCACCTCCTCCTCGTCACCAACCACCTCTTTCGTATCTCAATAATCCTCTATTCCCACACGGTGCGCGTCTCTTACTCTTGCGTCGATTCATCGCGATATTATTGCTTCTGCAGTCGTCTACTTGTTCCGACACTTTTCTCGCTGCAAGCAACACCAAACCAACCACCGCTGGACGCGTCAGGCTGTCCCGAACCTCACTGTCCTCGATCCTGAAAACCAACGCCGACAAAACCTGATGTCTGTCTGATCGTCTCTTGCAAATACAAGATCTTGATCCTCCATGTTCTACGATTCGTCATTACTAGCCAAGACCGGGCCTCTGGCTCGCGTCTGGCTCGCGTCAAATGTCGAACGAAAGCTTTCAAAGTCGCAAATCCTCCAATCGGACATCCAGAGCAGTGTAGGAGCAATTGTAGACCGGGGGGACGAGCCTATGGCTTTGCGACTCAGTGGACAACTTATGCTTGGTGTGGTGCGCATCTATGGAAGACAAGCGAGATATTTGCTGGACGATTGCAATGAGACACTCATCAAGATTAGAATGGTAAGTTCGAGATACTCCGGCTTCTTCGCTCTCTAACCGGCATAGACCTTCAAATCCACATATAGCCATGATTTGCCTGCTCATGCGACAACCGCTGTCGACCTCAATCTCCCGGAATTGCTCACCATTGACGACCTATTTTCGACTATGGACTTCGCCTTTCCCCTGACACAACAACCAGCTCTTCCTGGCGCACAGACGCAAGATATGGAGGACGATTGGACTAGCAGTCTCAACCCACAGCTCAGCAGTACACAGTCTATGTTGACGCCTGGAGAAGAGCCGCTATATAACGACGAAGAACTGAATCTGGAATTTGGAGACCGCGATGAGATGGACTTTAATGACACGACCGTGAGCATGAACGTTGGACGAGATGCACCTACTCCAAAACCCGACAACGACCAAATATTCGGCGAAGAAGGCCTCATCCACGACGACGACGATCTGAACCTGGATCTCGGTGAAGACATTCCTATGGCCGACGACGCTGACTTGCCTGCTCCGGACGACGTGGCCCTTCCAGAACCTGATGAGCCATTGGCCTTTGGGGACGACGAAACGCTGCAATTGCGACAAGCTGCCGAAGAAGCCCGTGGTAGAGCCCCGGGATCCCCATTTTCGGAAGCTGGGTCGGACATGCTGCGTGCATTGGATCAGACTTTCCAGAATCTGAACACGGAAGAAGATATCGAAGAAGTCGTCGCCCATCAGCGCCAGAAGAGTCGAAGACAGAAGCCTCTTGCACCCGATGTCGAAACAGTGCTGCACAACAAGCAAATCAAGGCTCAAGCAGAAGATCGATCCAAAATCCTCCGTACTCCGTCTTTCCTACCTCGAGATCCCGTCCTGCTTACACTCATGGACATGCAAAAGAACGGCGACTTCGTCCGAAATGCAATGAATGATGGCCGTTCAAGAAACTGGGCACCCGAATTGCAAGGCTTGCTGTCCTTTGACACTATGACGAGGTCAGGGGAACGCAAGCGCAAGCGGGATAGTGGCATTGGCGGTCTCAGCGAGGACGAGCACAGCGAAAAGTCACCACGACTTGAAGGTCCGGATGACGATATGGAGGACGAAGGCGTGCAAATCGAGGAACCCGAGGCCCAACTTCCTGGGATTCCAGCTGATGACGGTGTCCAACCACTCCTAAGCGAAGGTGGACCAGCGCTGGAGGATATCGTTCCCGGAGAAGACGATGAAGGTATTTTTGGCGGCGACGACACCTTCGATGACACGACTATACCACTTGTCCATCCAGCGGACAGCGGGCCCGTATCGCTCGGCACTAAACATGCTGTCCATTTGCTGCGGGATCGACTAGGCGGACCAGACGGATCTCAGACTTCGTCACCTGCGAAGAAGTCTGTATTGCTGACGGAGCTGGTTCCAGAAGGCCGGACGAGTAAAGAGGACGCGACCAAGATGTTCTTTGAGGTGCTTGTGCTCGCGACCAAGGACGCTATCAAAGTCGATCAGGCCTATGACAAGGGGATCGGTCTTCCCCTAAGGATTCGCGCAAAGAGAGGACTGTGGGGCTCGTGGGCGGAGACGAGTCCCGGTGATGATCCGGCTGCCATGGCTTCGCAGGAGAGTGAGCAGATTGAGGCTTGAAGGTTGGATAGCTGGTGACATGACTTGGGTATTTCGGGTTTTCGATATCGATGATGGGAACGGCCAATGTATTCATATTGGATTTGAGGCATGGGGCACGAAATATCAGGTCTTGGAGAGGAACGGGTTGGTACCTCTATGAGCGAAGGCGTCTTGTTGGACTAGGCTTGGCATGATGGTCATTGGATACCCTGATCTTTCACAGTCATCTACTACGAATGGCCAGATTGCATTTTGCAATCAACTTGGGCGGTCGATGTAGAGGCAGCGCGATTCTCTTCAAATCTCCCAGCCTCGCGCTGGGATTCTCCGTTTTTGTCTATGGCTTAGTCTTGTTGGGAGTCTATGTATCCTTGACCCAACTTCCGTCGTCCATCTTGCCTTCTCTCTTTCCGCCTTCTTTCAGCCAAGTTTCGGCCACACCCGACTTGGGGTCTTCATCGGGAAGACCGCGGGACCGTCGTACTTCGAGCACCGCATCCCTAACTCGCTTTGTACACTCCTTCCTCAATTCAATGGCTTCTGGATGATTTGTCAAACCCTCTGGCACAATGCCCAGCATAATCTCGTCCCACTCGGGATTGCCTCTCTCTTTGGCGTCCTTGTCAGCTAGCTCGCGCCACCGTTTCCGCAGATCCCCAAATGTCCCCTCGACATCAAGTTCCCTGCCGAATGTGACGGTGACTTTCTTGCCTATTCTGGGTAGGAACCTTGGGAATGTCCGGCTCTCGTGCATGATCTGGTCAGTCCCCTCGATGAATATAGGCACTACGTCTGGAGCTTCGAGCGGTTCGAGGATCAGTCTCGCCACCCCCCATTTGAAATATCGCATCGTCTGATCCGGAGCTTGGTGGATCTTGCCTTCAGGGAAGATATGGACCCAACCATACGCATTGCTGGCGTACCGAGACGGAGCGTGATACCACCGCACATCACTCGGTTGGGAGGGGTACGCAGGCACAGGGAGGGTATCGGAGAAGGGGTCGACGCAGTCTCTGGGCCACGACGGGCTATGGTATGCGGAATGGAAGCGCGGGTTGTTCAGCGGGCAGAGGGCGGCGTTCTGGGTCGAGATCTTGGAGAAGAGCCGCACGCCCTCAGTCATGGTGGCTTGGAAGGGCCCGCCATAGGGAGAGTGGGCACTGCGATGGATGGGCAGGACTTGGCCGAGCGTGAAGAAGTGTGACAGAGGGCCATTCTGGAAGCAGATGTCGTGGCTGCCGAAGGACCAGCGGTGGTTCATGTAGCCGTGGAAGGCGGCAAAAGAAAGAGGCAGGACGCCCCATATTAGAGGGTCATCGATGACGGAGATGTGGTTGGACACGGTCAGGAGGCCTTTGCGACGGGTTCTGTAGTCGGAGCGGGATTTCAAAAGGTCGAGAAAGCGAGGGAGGCCGTGGACTTCGGTTTTGTTCAGGCCGTAGAGAAAGGCGCGAGCGACGGCGGACGTGACTAGGATGGTCTGGTATGAGGCCGCCCGCCAAAACGCACTGGGTAGCTCTGCATTAAGGTAGATGTCATCGCGGCCGACCATTGAAGCTGAAGATGAAGATGTCTTCCATCGATCGGTGGACAACAAGGCACGCAAGAGACTGCGTACTGTTGTCCGCATCTATACACAGTAGTCGATGATGGAATGGCCAGCAGAAAAAGTTGAGGGACCGCGTTGGGATTGGCTGGACGCAAAACCGCAGGGAGCTCACGTGTGGCCCACCCCGACCGTGCCGCTTTTAAAACCCTCCCTCACCCTCTTCTTACCTTTGCTCCCCGTTTCTCTATATCTCGTCGACTTCTACTCGATCAAAAACAGGTATCTTTTCAAACGTCTACTAAACATTAACGCCTTCGTCTCTAAACCTAAAACTAAACACTTACGAGTCATGGAGCTTCTACAAATGCCCAAAGATCTCCGAGGGCGAGAGAGTCAACCTTCCCTTCGCCGTAAAACTAGATTCAGGGGCCCTTTATTCCATATTACCCATGCAAGCTGATCGTCCCAATTCTCCTGGTTGCGGCACAGTTCGAAGTCGAACCGATAGAGAAATCGAGCCGCAAGAATCCGCATCTCGGCGTGGGCGAGTTTCTGCCCCAAACACTCTCTGTTTCCAAAGCTGAAGGGCTTGAACGCCGCCTTGTTGTCGTTTTTGAACTTTTCTTCATATAGCGGGTGGCCTGGTGGGAACCATCTCTGTGGCCTAAATGAGTCGGCCTCGCTGAAATTGTCTGGATTGTGATACGTGGCATAGTGGGAAACCGTTATGATTGCCTGGGACTCGTCAGTTTCATTCTAAAACGTCGCTCAGAATCCAGATTTGGTGATGTGGTAAAAAACTGACCCCCTTGGGGAAAAAGTTCCCATCGACGACGGTGTCTGCGGTAGACTCGCGCGGTGGCGACTCGCACACTGGAGGATAAATTCGCAGTGTTTCGTCGATGCACACAATGAGATACTCGAGGGAAGAAACACGCTGAGCGTTGATCTCGTCCGTCGAGGAAAACTTGGTTCGGATTTCGTCTGTCACGGCCTTGTATGCCCACGGAGTTTGGGCGAGATGGAAGAAAAGCCCGGCCAACGCGGTCGCGGATGTTTCGCTGCCGGCGCCGACGATGAGGGGGGAATTGGCAAATATCTCAGTCTCACTCAGGCCCTCGCCGTTCCGGTCCTTTCTCATCATGTAAGTCATAAAGTCACGACGGCCCTCCTCTGGCACGGCGCCTATGTCCATGCGTGCCTGGCTCCTTTGTTTAGCGAAAGCCCGGTTCTGGTGGACCAACTTCATGACCCCGCTGAGGTGCATGCACATAACGAGCACGCAGTTGGGAATGTACCAGCGCAGAAAGCGGGCTATCGACGCCATCCGGACGCCGGTAAAGATGCTCTGGACCCACGGATGGTAGCCGCTCCGTTCCAAGCTGTGGAACGTTTCGGCGAACATGAGGTCCCCAATGATGTCAAAGATGGTGAAGTTCACCCATTCCACGATGTTTACAGACTCCCCCGAAGCTTCCTTCTCGCCGACCTTTTCCAGGAGCAGGTCGACGGAGCGCCAGATCGTGGGCTCTTGCTCTTTAAGGGCCGACTCGCTAAAGGCCGGGTTGAGCTGGCGGCGTTGTCGTCGATGGACCTCGGTGTTGGAACCGATGATGGAATCGGGAAAGTCGAGGAAGTAATTGGCCTGCTTCGGATGGTCGACTTTTCTGTTGCCAAACACCTGAGGGAAGCCGATCGAGCCGTCTATGGCCAGGTGATTGGGACCGAGTCGGACGATCTTGCCGTACTTTTGATGGAGCCCCAAGAGTGACTTTGGGCCGTTGCCTTTGATCAACGTAGTGTACAGCCACGGCAGGTTGAAAATCTTGGATAGAGGAGGGCCGGGGAACTTTGAAAATGGGTGGAACCAGACATAGTAGGCATAGACGCCTAGCTGAAGGGCAACCTGGACTATGGTCAGCCTGTGTACTGGCACTTGGGGGTCAAGTTTGTACAATTCCAACCGCGATTCTGGCCACAAGTGGCTTCCCATCCCGACCGTCTGTCAAAGTGTGGCCTGCTGTGGTAAGATTATAATCCATCACAGGGGTATTCGGCCTGATTGTTCAACATTGAATTCAAACAGCCCGGGTCAACCTCGAGAGCGCGGCGCCGTAGGTCTTGGTCGACCAGTATAGTGGAAAGGCACTACCTTATACGATCTCGAGGATACAGCCCACCCCCCCTCGCTTCTCTATACGTAAAGTCCATGTCTCCCATTTGTCGGTCCCTCTGATCTCAAATACTTGTAATTTCAAATATCCAGGACCCAGTTAGGAAGCCCCGGCTAGGGGTACGGGGCAGATGGGGCTACTGTCGAGGCGATTAACCCATTGGACTATTGAGTAGCGCTTATGTCTCCTATACCCACGTGGTCTACTTATATACGAAAGGCCTCTCTTCGAGGCGATGTCGTGTGCTTGCGCTTGTCTGGCTATGTCTTGCTACGTGCACCACAAAATACGCGTATTCGTCTCTAGGATACCGCGTACTCGTCTCTAGGTCAGTCGGGGTCCACATAGGTACCTATTATTTGATTGTTTGATTGTTAGACTGTCTACATTGAACCGGAGCGACACGTCGATATTTGCTGGGTCTACCTTAACAAGAAGCATGTTCTAACTGTGAGATGGAAATGGATCATACTATCTATGCATGCTGACTGTGGATTCTACGCCTCTGTCGACAGTTATGTCTCTGATTGAACCTATCCAACGGCTGAGAAGCCAGCATCGATGGAAAACAATGTCTCCAACTCGGTGACTGTTCACCGTCAGTGCAACGGCTATCTCTCAATGACAAGCAAGCAAGAAACAAGACAGTAAGCCCAGGCCCCCTGCAGAAAGGGTCAACTATCCTGAGATGTCTAAAGGGAATTTGGAATGCCGTCGCTTAGGATGTTGTCTATCCACTCCACATGAGCTCGGACTTGCTCTGACATGACATCGTCTGGTATATAACTGCAGGCAGACGGATCATCACCGAGTCAGAACAATGCCTCGGGGCAAGATTGGAACACATAGTATCTCATTACAGCCCAGATTGAATTTTACTTCCAAGTCAACGACGATGCATTTGGAACAGGAATCGGCTGAGAGTCCCACGAATGGGGTCGCTACACATGAAGTTACAGTGGTCAACCGCTGGTACTATCCGCCGGATCTGGCAAATGACATGGAGAATATTGACATGCCTAAGAGCATGAAGGACGAAGTGCTGGCGACCGCATGGGAATACACGCGCTGCGTCATCCCCGAATTCACCAACTGGTCTCGGTATCTGGCGTTTGCGCGCGTCATCACCATCGGTGTCATTTGCGAGTTCAGTGGCGACATGATCAACGTGGCCGAGAGCAGGAAGATGCTGGGCTATGACGTTGACCAGGTGCTTGATGCGCTTTTCAAAGGCACCCCCGGCCAGTACGTTGTCGAATTCGTTCTCAGTTTTCTGTGGACAGAATGCTGAAATGCAGTGATGACACAGTGAAGCCATGTCACGCGAGTTCCGAGCATTTCTCCTCATCGTGGCCGACAAGACGAGCGACCGCCGCGGAGGAGAACTGTTCCGTCGATACGTCAACGCCCTGGCCCGGTCACCGCGACAGTGGTTCCGTATGCGGGACGGGGACGCGCTGGCTCGACTCACCATTGCCGGTTTGTTGGCGTGCAACGACATGGACGACGTCTACTTTTCCGACGCGCAATTCGAGATTCTGACCGAGCTGGCCGACACGCTGTACGACGCCGTAGCCTTTTTCAAACACCGTTCAGAGGGCGAGACCAACAGCACCTTTGCGTACGTCCCCACCGACCTCCGCATCCACGCCTTTCACCAGGCTCGCGAGGTCCTGTGGGCTCTGGACACGTGCTGGGCGAAGCGGCCCGCGCTCCGCGGCGTCGTCAATTTCATCCGCAACTTTGGCGGCCCGCTTCACATGGTGATGCGCCGGTATCGTTTCGTCGAGGAAAGCCTGACCATTGGGCGACCGGAGTCAAACAAGGTCATCGACCAAGCTCGCCGTCACGTCAAGCTGTGGAACCGCGTCGACGCGAAGAACGGAGGGAAAGAGGAAAGCTCCCCGGACGTCCAGCGATACAAGCATCTCATCCAAAACCACACGCAGGATCTGATGTACACCGAGCTCGACGAGTTTCTGGAGCACAGTGACGATTCGACCTGCACGGATTGCCGCTTCCGCCGGAGCTATGGCGCCGACAACGGGCACATCTTCGGCGGAGTCGTCCTGTGTAACCGGTGTAAGGTCGCTTGGGGAGCTTACCTGGAATCCTTTCCCAAGCGAACGTTGGAAGCTTTCCCTGAGCTCAAAGGTTTCGAAGGGTTTACTTAGGCTGGTGAAGTGGTCGGATGCTGCTGAGGGTCCGGACACGAAGCGGCCAATAAAGAGGGTGTAGGGCACTCTGTAGGGAAGAGGATAAGATCTACTTTCAGATATATGCAAAGAATAGAAGTTTGATATAGGACTCTGTCTACCATCTAGGCACCGAAATGGTAGGAAGGAATGTTGGCCCTGGGGCCTTGAGGATGTATAAATGAGGTTGTGTTCCAGCCAAGCTTGTGTAGTGGTAGCGAGAGAGAGTGTGTTACATCGCGATCTTGGGTGTTGTTCGTGTTGCCAGTGGTATCGAGCCAAATTAGTCGTTCACCTTTGCAATAGAGGCGGTCAGGTACGTGGTGGTTCGACCGCTGCACCGTGAGCCTGGGGTGAGAGAACAGGGCGGCGTCACCCTCGTCCCGAAGCAGGGCGAGCGGCCTGCAGGTTTCCCCGATTCTCCACATCGAAATTCATCCTCAAGCTGCGTCCATCGTCCCATCCTCTGCTCGCCCATCAGCACACTCGCTCATTCCTTTGAGCGCCATGTTCAATCCTACATCTCCGTTGCTGGGGGGTCTGCTATGGTACGTCTTCGTTGGCATCCTCGGATCCAGACACGTTATTGAGATTAATTGCGCCGCAGGAAAATCCCATGGCGACTCTCCTCAATGCAAAAGGCGCGTCAACGAAAGCGATTAAAGTTGGTTGACAAGGTAGTCGATACTGTTAGCATCGCACTACAGAACAATGGTGGCATGACAACGAAAGCAGTGGAGAGATGGTACAAAGAGATGCCACGAGAAGAGGAAATGCTTCCCAAGGATAAATACACAATTTTTGACCGCAAGGAGAAAAGGTATCGGAAGGGCATCCACAGTATGTTGATGGCGCAAAATCTGCAGCAAGCAACTTCGCTGACCTGCATTTCTAGAGCTTCCGAAGTGGACGAGAGTCAGCCAGAGAGTCAATCCGCCTGGTTTCTAGACGCCGCAGAAGCTGTTGGAGAATGACAATCGAGGAAGAACTGCTACACTTCGAGCTCCTCTATGGCCGCCGGCTTCTTTCTGATCTTATCCTCCCCGCAGCCAATGCTCTTCCGGTCTGGCCGAGTCATGAAGAGATTGGTGCCGTGTAAAACATCAGGTACACAACTGGGGGCGTATGGACGGCCCGTCAAAACACCTACGAAGCTATGAGAGGTGCTAAACATATCCAACGACTCGGAGCCAATGTGGAAGGTTGGACTGCCGGTAGCAGAGTGGCCCATACCAGCCGCTAAAGTCTTGGACGCGACATCTGGAGGGCTTCGGCCGTTGTAATATGTATGAGTAGGACTAGCGGCAAGAGGGTCATTGGTAACAGGGATTTGAACATCAGCCATTGCAGTTGGGTTTAATCTGGGGAGGAACACGTCCATGGCCATAGGCACAGTGCATGGCTAGAGGAGCATCTCTGAATATAAAAGCAGCAAGAAGATCCCACGCTGTCCAATGACATCAGAGCTGGCCTTCTGTTCTTTCGCTACACATTCTACTCGTACAACCTCGACCTTTCTCTCTTCATACCTTCATATACTCTTGTCCTCCTATTCCTCCTCACTCTTCCCGTACTTGACCTGATACATGCCCAAAAAGCATCAACAGAAAGCGTTCCTGACGAAACCGCAATCAAGCACTCCGCATACACTGTCATCGTCCAAATCCGCAACCCAGAATGAGTCAACTTCGCGCAACGTTAACGACCTAATTCGTGAGTCGCGACGTCTTCAGATAAGAAATGAATCTCGAAATCCCCAACCCTCTAGTGCCGCTTCCATTCCTCCTTCTCTAAGAGCAGTACTTGATCTTCCTCCGCCGCCGCCACCAGTCCCTCGATTTGGCGCCAGACCTGGCGGACCAAGCCGACTGCGACGGATACCAGGGCCCCCGCCACCTCGAAGCTGGCTTACAGACAGCATTCATGCTCCGTCCTCGGCGAGAACCGCAGCGGAGGCAGATGTTCGTGGCCTGCGGATCCAGGTTCGGAGCAGCAATCTTCCAGACGGAGCGTTTCCTCCAGCAAAGTCCCTGCAGAACTTGGTACTGAAGAAGATAGCCAGCACCTGGGAATGGCATGCGCAGAACGATTATGACTATCTGGAAATATTGCCCACAAACCTGAAAGAGACTCTATTGAGTTACCTTGCGGTATACAACGAAGCGCCCATCAACCCGCTACGGCTCTTGTTCCTCAACAATGAACATGAGGAGCGGGCCGAAGTGCATCGGCTTGATTTGAGCAACGCTCTGGGAGTGTGGACTACGTTCAAACAACTTGAGCGGGATCTTGTGGTGAAACAACCACCAGTGCCAAAACCTGATGTTGAAAATGAAACTTGGGAGACTGCCGAGGACAGCGATGGTTTATCGAGTCCTGCATTCATGTTGGGCACCGTGCACAACTTCATCAACCTCAAGCATCTTTCGCTTGCCATTCCGCCGGTCAATGCGAAAGCAGTATCCTGGTCTTCCCTCCTGTCGTTGGCCGCCGAACTGCGTACACTCACGTCACTGTCATTAGCATATTGGCCCCAACCTACTCTCACACCCAACGCCGCATCAACAAGAGCAGTGATCAAGACACCGAGGTCTCCGCCGGTGGTATATGGTGGATCAGACATGTATACTGCACATGACAATGACTGGCGCGAGGCTGCAGGGATCCTGAGGACCCTTAGCAGATCATTATATTGCCTGAAATGGCTGGATCTTACAGGGTGTGGTGACTGGTTTGCTGCATTGAGATGGAGGCCTTCTTCGTCGTCATCAGACTCGTCTTCTCTGGACAGATATGGTCCAGAGTGGAATGGTGGGTGGAGAGGGGTCGAAAGGCTCATACTAGAAGTAGGCTGGAAGCCAATGTCGCCATATATTGACGCCACAGCACCAGGTCAGGGTCAACCAGCTTGGAATGTTGAGGATGAGCGCAAGATGTATCGCTACAAGAATGAGCGACAAAGGTATGCAGAGATCCATAATACTGCACAGTCGGTGGCCCGGTACTTGCGCGCACTTCGAAAGGAAGGTGGAGGCAGGTGGATTGAGGTTGACATTAGCGAAGAGCTTCCACTCTGACCTTCCTCGCCATGGGTAGAGCTTGTATGTTGTTGGACTGAACCTGAAAAGGTCGTCCTGTATCGTCTGGCGAATCACTTGCCGAAGAAATTGGTTATCCGCTGCGTTCCTGCTTCGACTTTCTTGGCTGGACTGCTCTTCAATGTCATATCCTTATTGCTTGTCGCGCTTCTCGGCTTCTTGCCAGCAGACTTCAGTGGTGAGTCCACTTTTGGGGGAGACGACAGTTTGAGGTGCTTTTTGCCCGGAGACTGGTCGTCTTCCTCGGGATGTGCTCGTTTCTCGCCTTTGGTTTCGTCCACCGGGTTAGGAGGAACGGGCAAAGGCGCCTTGTTCTCGCTCCCTTCGTAATCAACTGTTGGTCGCTTCTCCTCCGTCTCCTTTTCGACTTTCTTTTCCTCCACCTTAGCCTTTGGCTTGTTCGCATTGCTGAAGAAATTGGCAATGTTCTTCTTATTCTCCTTGCTGTCGACTGGGACGATGAAGCTCGGTGAGTTGTTCCCGACTTTTCCCACTGCGCTGTCAACGGGGTAGCATTCAAGTTCACCTTGATAGGGTTTGAGCAGGGCCTGGAGTTCTTTGGACCACTTGTTTCTTGTTGGATCAAGCCACATTTTGACCGCGTCCGTTCCTGGGTCCAATATCACAGGCATCCGGTCATGCAAGAAGCTGAGTTGCTTGTTCGAGTCGGTGGTGATGATGGTGTACGTGTACAATTTCTCTTCCGAATCCTCGTACTTGACGCAATCCCACAGGCCAGCAAAGCACATCAAGTTACCATCTTTCCTCTTGACAAAGTGTGGGATCTTTTCCTTCCCGCCAGGACCCTTTTTCAACCACTCGTAGAATCCCTGAGCGACGACTAGGCAGCGCTTTTTCTGTTTCATGGTATTCCACATGCCGCGGTTCTCGATGAGTGAGTCGTCTCGACAATTGATGGTTCGTAACATGGAGCCGTAGTCCGGGGCTCGCTTGGTCCAGAAGGGGATGAGACCCCATTTCATGACCTTGATCTCGTACTTGTAGGACTCCGGTTGGCTCGAAGGAGGAGGAGGCTCGGCTTGGTCTTGGCCTTGCGTTGTTTGGTCTGCGTGAGCGGCATCGTTGCTGGCTTCAGCCTCGTTTGCATCTCGTACGCCGTGGTCTGGAACCTCTGCCCTATATACAAGGCCATAGGCGCCGGGAGGGAAGTTATAGGTCTCGCGCGCTTCGTCATCCTGGGGCGCATCGTCGACGGGGAGGCCTTGTTGTTGGAGTTGGTACCGGACGAAGGAGGCGCGCTACGTGCGTGTTAGCTCACCGTTTTCACGGACGAAGAGATGAGGCGCATACAATGCCCAACGCGTATCGCCCGCACATGTTCGTCCCATATGAAGCTCGGCAAGGACTTCTTTGAAAGTGTAGCGATCAAGCGTTTGCTGATGAGCGGGCTCGTGGAGTTGATGGGGAAGGCCAGTGACGTCAAGCTCGAAGTGAAGTCCCTCTTGTGTTGGTTAAAGCGGCATGGTCAACTTGTGTATTGGCGAAATTCATCCTCGCGAGTGTTCAGACAATGAACGACAACTACACACCAACTATCCATTCCCAACGACGTGGCATTCTGCGCGGAGAGTCTTCTATCGAGTGGAATACCCTATGACCCAACCTGAATGTCCTCATCTCAGCTCAAGGAGCCTTGCCTGTTACTCATACAGATGCCAACATAGGCAGCACATGATTCTCATTGTACTGGATCACATTCGCGGTCCCTTGAGTCGTGAATGCCGCGCCTCCGTACACAGTACCGCGGTGGCCTTGGAGATCATTCAGTCTGCTGTAGAAGTCCCCCGCGATTAGCTCTTTTAATACTGTGAGAGCGTAATTGTGGTGATGCTTGATTGCCACAATCTCCAGGTTATTTGTAATGTCTTCTGCTGCGATCACACCACTGCCCGTCAATCTCTCCAGCTCAGCTAACACAAGTCGTCGAGTCTCTTGCTCGGTCGCGGGATCGTAGCTAGTGTACACCCAGCTATGGAGCAGGGGATCTGGGGTAGGTTGATAACCCTGTGATCCTGGAAGTTGGATCTCTTGGAATGTAGTGTTGGCTCCCACATTCGTGATACTGGTGTCGGCGGGGATATTCGAGTTGCGCACCAGCCCGGTCCAGGCGTTCATGGGCCGGAAAGATCGGAATACATCCTCTTCTTGGGCGTCGAGGTCGAAGACTCCCATGTTCTCCATTACCGGGGGAACTGTCACAAGAATCCTCTTCGCGTGCACCTCGACAACACCGGTTGGCGTCTGGACCCAAACCCGGGTAGCGTTCTGCTCGGCCATTCTCTCGGTGCGAAGAATCGTGCTGGACAGTAGTGCGTCCGTGCCAAGTTCAGTTTGAATGCTACGAAAGACTTCTCCGTTATCGTTGTTGGCATTGTGCACCCATGTGGTTTTCCCTAGGATATCCGGGCCAGCGGCTCCGATCATATATTTCAACAGGTATAAGGCGGGCAGAGTCCGGAATTCAGGCCACTGTTGGAGGAATTGGTTGAACAGCTGTATCAACGGTTGAAGATCGTGCTTCTGCACGAACTCGTCAACTGAAAGCAGAAGGTCCGAATCCTGGGGTATCGTCCGAGGCAGATCATAAGAGTCCTTCAAAAAGGGGTATTGAGTCTCGAGCTTGAAAAGTCTTACAAAGGTGGCCTGTATCTCGGTCCCAGAGTACAAGTGCAGTTGGACAGGTTCTCCACTGCTGAAATCTGCATAAATATTGGGACGACCTCCGCCGGCGATGTCCACCGTTGTCAGGGGAATGTTATAATGAGCGTACAGATTTCTGACTGCAGTGGTGTTCCATAGAATTTGAACACCATAATTCGCGGTCTTGTTGTTGACAGGATCATGGAAGGCGTGAGCAGCTCCGCCTAACCGACCTTCCATCTCGACCACAACGACTGATTTGCCCATCTCCCGGAGCCGACTGGCCGCATGAGAGCCAGATACGCCACCTCCGTAGATTAGGACATCGTGCACGATGGTGGAGGTTGCGTTCGAGGTAGCATTCTCGCCGCCAGGGTTATCGACGCTGAGAGGGTCCGGAGTTTCCCAGCAGGTCACAGGTAGTCTAGCTCCATTTCCCACGGCAAGGAAGAAGGCGCTCACTATGTTGATCATGGCGCGCTGCAGATGTGACACCAGAACGTTAACCTGTAAATTGAACGCGGTTCTGATTTCTGATCTTTCACTTAACCTGCTGAACGCCGTCTTTCTCCAAAGGCGAGTTCACAATATTATACTCGCTTCCTACCGGCGTCCTTCGTCTGACTCGTGAGGCATTTTGGTCGAGACACGAGCAGAGTTGTGTCTTTGGCTGTGATCAAAGGCAAACACTGTTGCAGGGTGCGATTGCCTACCTGGACCTCAGCTGACTCCATGATGATGGTTTGAGAAAAGGTCCCTGCGCAAGAGAGCGCTCACAGGGTTGATCGAGTCAGGTGTGTCCCACACAGCAGTCAGCACCAAGTCAGCCTGAGGTGTGGCTGCGCTCACTCTGCAGTCATACATACAATGCTGCTACATGCTCACCATCACTATCATGATGGAAGGGCAGAAGTTCGATTCAAATGCAGGCTCCTGCTGGCTGACTCAGCCACGTTGTGCAAATACTTCGGGATATCACCTCACAACGACCTGTGTGTTCCGGGATCGAGGACGAGAGCTGACCAGCGACGGTCTATGTGGAAGGATTAACAGTCTGATGGCATATCTGATTCCGGCCGAAGAACGCGAACGAAAATGGTCATCATCCGCGTTGTTCTCATATTCGATCAATAGCGAAATATTGACACCGATATCTAAACATCTAAACATGTAAAGGCATGCAAGAATTATTCGATGACGCTCGCAGCCCTTCGATCCCTCTTAAGCGGCGAGAACTCAGCCAACGTCTTCGGCTTACCAACTGGATTTGCCTTGAGGTTGATCCGTCCAAAAATGCTGGTATTACCAGTAGCTCCTCGTCCAAGGTCTCTAATCTTGGTCGCCAGTGCACTGTCCTCCTCGTCGAAGATATTCGTCCGCTTCTTCAGCGCTTTGGGTCTTTTGCCAGGCTCTGCTGTGTCCTGATTCGTCGTCTGAGTTGCTCCAGAGTTCTCGGCATTTTCCTTGTCAGCGACATCGTCAGCGATGACTCCGGGCTCGCCTGTGTTGCTCTCCGCATCCGAATCCTCTTCGACGAGTTTGTCTAGTTGTGGCTTCTTGATCGTAGTATTGGCTTTAGAGCTTGTGGTTTCCTTAAGTGCACCTAATGTCTTGGATCTGGCGGCCGAAACAGCCAAATGTTTAGCTGCAGCTGCCTTGTCTGCCTTCGGCTTTGTTGTCCTCGCCTTGGTAGCGGCACCTATCGTTCCAGGAGCAGTTTTTGTCTTTGGTTGCTTCTCCTGCTCGGGATCCTCGTCCTGCCCTTCTGATTCCGGTGTCTCTGGTAAGATGCTCAAAGTGCGGTTGAGGAAGGGTGTGATAGAAAAGTTTGATTTATCGCCAACGTTGACCGAAGCACGTTGCTTCTTTGCTGCAGGTGCACCATGTCCAGGTGTGCCAATTGTCATGTCAGGATCGAATCGTGCAACATTCCTCTTCCTAGGATTCGTCGAAGCCCCAGCGACCCTCGCTCTTGTCATCTCAGCAGATTGTGCCATCTTCTCAGCCTGTAATCTTTCCATCTCGTCTTGAGCCTCCTTAAGCTGATCCTTAGTAGTACGCAGCTTGTTTCTGAAAGCATCCAGCTTGCCTTCAAGAATTTCTTTCTCGCTTTCCCACTCCATCGTCTTCTTCCTGTTCTCCCGCTCAACTTTCTGAGCGTCGCGTTGCGCCTTGGTCAGCTCCTTCTTCAGATCGTCAATTTCCGCTGCCAATGTAGAATCTTCCCGAGCAGCAGATTTCTCCTGTGACTTGATGCGTTGCACAGCTCTCTTCTCCGTCTCCAGTTCGACTTGTATGGAACTCAATTCTCGTTGCAACGCCAACTTTTCTCCAAGCAGTTTCTGTTGGGTGGAGGCTTGGGATTTGAGGTGTTCCAGCTCGGGCTTCAATGTGTTCAACTCTCTTGCAAGTGCCAGCTTCTCGGAAAGTATCTTGGTCGCTTCAGCGCTCGCAAAGTTGAGAGCCTTGACTTCCGTTTTCAGATGATCCAGGTCTCGTAGACGCGCTTTCAATTCTACCTGTGTCTGTACCAGCTCCACTTGGACATCGGCAAGATGCGCTCGTAGTTCTTCGTTCGTCTCTTCAAGAAACTCTCTTTCGTCTCCATGGCGTTCGGCTTGCTCGTGAAGTTCATCGTTGTCATATTCGGAAAGGAGAAGTTGCACGCGCAATGCTCGAACGCGCTCTTCTTCGTAGATACGTTCGGCTTCTCGCAGGGCACGTTCGTAGACCAATTCGAGTTGCGCAGACTGTATAGACTGCGCCATTTCCGCGCTACTCATGTGTGATAATTCTGCGTCCATTCTGCAATACGGCCGATGTCAATGATGTGCTTGCTGTATCGTTGTTGAGACTACTCCGTATTGTGCAGACAACCACTCCAAAAGTGACTTTGCGTTTGTTTACAGTCCAAAAAGGGAAAGGCGCGCCAAGACTCGATGCGGTACCTGATCTGCGCGAGACTTGGAGAGGACACAGGGGAGGACTTCAGCCGGCAGCCTGTCATAGACACCATTAAGACCCCTACACGATACATACCAAACTGACCACCAATCCAATACAACCCCACAAACATTACATATCCTTCTCATAAACTTCAGCCTCGTCATCAGTCATCTCTTTAATGACAAAACAATCCCTAACCACCTTCATATCCTCTCCCGACGGCAACGCGACCACCATGAGATAGAGTATCTTCGGTCTGGCAGCCCTTGTCGCCATCACGATCGGGTTCGCATCTCGCCCTTTGTATTTTCCATTACTAACCCTCTCGACAATCCGACTCAGTGGCGCCCCAATCGGACCTCCCCTGCCCGTGTGTTGATGCTTGGTCCCAAAGCTGCCCTTTGATGACTCAAATTCGACCTCCCTTGCCAGTACCGAATCGGGATTGTCCGCAGCAAATCTCGAATGCGCCCGCTTGTCCAAGTAGGCATCCACGAACCGGCGTGTTCTGTTGAGACGGCTAGGCCCATTGCCATTGTCATCACCATCTTTTTGTCCATCACCTTCATCGTCAACATACACCAGCTCGGCAGTGTCAGGCATATGCGCCTCTCCCTGCGTGGTCCCCTGTACTCCGCCCATGCTCTTCTTCAAATATGCCCTCATCTTTGGTGTTTCCGGATCGTGTGTCTTTGACACTGTCTTGGAGAGATCGAACGGCTCACTCGCAGCTCGTCCGTGAGGATTGTAAGTCATGATGAGACAGTATAACCCCTGAGGCATGAAATATCTCTCGTTCATCGCTGCGAAGAAGGAGTTCGCTCGAATGCGCTGGTACGTGGCTCTGGCTGTCTCTTCCGCTACAGTAAGCGCGATGGTTGCGGCAGTAGTAAAAGGATTCGGGACAAAGTGGTTGACCAAGCCAGTAACGCCAACGGCCAGATTGAAAACATCAAATGCTGGGCTTATCTGAACATTCATCAGCGCACGCTCGAGTCACAAAAAGAAAACAAGAACAAGATTCGAAAGCCAACATACCTTGAGAGACTCTTCAAAACTAGCCAGGAAATCAAACCAAGCTTTGGGCGAAATGCCGACATTCTGAAGAGTCGGTGCATACGCCTGGACGAAACCTCTCGCTGCGTTTCCCGGCCGCCTTTGCGGCAGAACTACAGGCGCGTCTAGCTGTCTGCCAGATGGTGCTGGAGGATATTCCCTGATGAAAGATTTGACAATGGCGTCGATAGGTGCAGGGCCGAGGGCGTTGCCGCTTGGGACTATGTAGCTTGATGTTGTCTTGTACAGTTTCAGCAATTCCACTTCCTCAACGAGCTCTTTCTCTTGGATATCTTGGTCGTACGTCTCCTTCTGCTCGAGGAGAGATCCCTTCTCAGGAGGCCGCTGCAGCGTCACTCGCTCTGTCGCAGTGATCTCGACTCCATCTGCCGCCGCCGTCTTGAAGGGAATGTTCTCCTCCACGATTAGACCAGACTCTTTCTTCGCCTTCCGGTGAGCAATGGCCTCACTGACAAGGCCTACACCTGGCTGCACCACATGCCTCGTGATATAATATCCAGCCATGACAAATTTCTACCTTTGTCGCTCTCTATCAGGATCTTCTCTAGGAAGAATCTTTCGTTCCAGTTTTGACAATGACAGGCCTAAAGTGCAATACTTGTCAGGAGATTGTGCTTCAAACGTGCAGCTCTGCCTTCGAGGGTCCGCTCCGATGTACATGGGGACAGCTCCTCCCATATCATCCGTCGCTGCCCGTGTGGGAGGGGGAAACGGCTCGATCGACTCTCCCTCTCGCTGACGTCAAAGACTTCGTTGCGACCTGGGAAGATCAACAGCCCTAAAGCCTCCAAATGGAACAAGCTCACCAAGCTTTCATGCAGGTACTTTGTACTAAGATAGATCTCCACGGTTTGCCATCTCCACTATCGTTGATCATCTTCCGTATCAGGGTGCCAAGTCGCGAGTATTAGTGTGGGTTCTTCTTCGTATCCTCCACATGGGTTGAAGCCCAAAAGTGCGGCTCGTACGCACGTACGCCAGTTTGCCAAAGGCGTGGGCACAAAGCCCCCGGACGGTGGTCGGTCTGCGAAACGATCACTTCTGTACTTCTATAAACGGACAGTGGTCACGACAACGCCACTCTACGGACGCAAGATCTACGAGCTACCACAGCTGGTAATGTTGACAATATGACGTGGACCCCATTCACAATAGCTATTTAGATCGAGCGGGTTCTCTGATGCTGACCTATATCTCTGTGTATCTCTCATCTTTCCAGCTTCCTAGTGTCTCACTGTTCTATCTATAGCAGCCTCGCTCTGTCGCACCGACTGACTTTGCACGCCCCGAACATGCGTACCTCTAGCTTTGTTGCTGGCTTGTGCTTGAGCCTCGTACAATGCTGCTATGGCACTCCGCTGTCCGTTGAACGATCTGAGTTAGCTACGACAGCCTCCGCTCTCCCTTTCAACACCACATACGTCTTCTCCGTCGCTATAGGACTTGGACAACCACCAAGCACTCTCACGCAGAAACCGATCACCATCCCCGGCGGCGTGGTCGTCCCCGAACCCATCCTCAACGGCACCGTCAGTGGCCCTGCTTTCAATGGCACCATCCTCTCAGGACTAGCGACTCCCGCGATATACGAGAACCAGACTCTCCAAGTGGTCACCATCGATCTGTACGGTGTCTCTTCCGACGGCTACCCATTCCGCATACATGAGACTGGAATTGGAAGCATCTCCACGCAGATCACACACATCGTAAGCATTTACCCTCGCTCTGTCGCCGCTGTGCAACAGAATACTAATATCTTTGCCTGACCAGGAAATCGAGATTGGCGGTGGTGACAAGTACAAAAAGCTTCGGAATGGCTTTGTCATGGCCACAGTGAACGCAGCCACAGACCGCAAGTCTGTAAGCGTGATGGGTTATCTGGTACAAAATCACCGCACATAGCAGACACATCTATCTGCCGCCGTGTTTCTCGGAAGCATAGTGATATGTGCGTGCGAGGATCTGAAGATCCATCTGCGGCTTCACTTTCTCCATTGGGCTCCGCCACTCAGCGCAGTCTCCCTCGGATTGGTTTCTTCCTTTTGGATGACGGTCGCTGCCAGGTCAATCAGGGTCAGCGACTCCATCACAGTTCTCGTCTTCTGCGTCCCCGTTCCAGCCCTCGCCGTCTTCGTCGTCGTCGTCGTCGTCGTCGTCGTCGTCTTCAATATCTAGCCCATCAACCCTGAGCTGGACATCATCCCGATCGCTTTGTTCAATCTGCTCTGAATCATCACTCCAAGCTCCCGGAACAGGGTAATTGCATTGAACAGAGTAGTACTTGACTCCAATGCTGAAATCACGAGGGTTGTTGGCCACAGTTGCGTCAGGGTTCTCCCAGAACGTCATTTCGACGTACCATCTGTGGTCGAGGAACTGCCCGGGGAACCATTCGGTGTATTTCGGTCGTACGTAGCATGCCATTCGATCCGTTGCACCAAGCTCGCACTGTCTGGCAAAATACTGGCGAATGCTCACTCCTGCTCTTCCTAACATTTCCAGCCAGAGATTCAAGCCGCTCGTTAAAATTTCAGATGCATACTCAGGCCGCCAAAGGCCGTACTTGTATACATAAGAGTCAATGCTCACCCAGGCGGCCTCCATAAGGGGCGTACCATTCCCCATAGAGTCTGCAAACTCGATCGCACCTACTTGTACCAGTTGGTCCAGCAGCAGTAGAATGATTCGCAGGGGGTCAACCTCAATATATGGTAGCCGGCAGAGCAGATGATGTAAGATGCCTGTTTTGATGTGATCATGTATACGCGCTAGTGTTGAAAAATCAGTGACCTTTTGAAAGAGGGCGGAGATCCTGTGTGCACTGAAACCAACGAAACTCCCGAGACGGCACTGCGTCCTCAACATCGACATGTAGAAAAGATCCAACTCCTGTCCCAGGAGATTGATTCTCTCGGGTGCTATTAGCCAGAGAAGGTCTTCTGGCGCACAGAGAGACAGATGACCAGGGGTCAGTCGCTCGAGGTCATCAATACAATCAGCATTGTCGCCAGAAAGTGGCGACCAGCCGATATCGACGGAGCTTCCGCCGTGCTCGACGATGACACGGGCAGTATTCATACTTGTTATGGTGGGTTTTCCAACCGAAACGGATTCCGACTGTGATTCTACCCAATAGTCGTCCCATGGGTTCGCATGCGCCTTAAGAGCAGCAATAATAGTATTGGGCACGGCTCTTGTCACAGCCATGTGCAGAGCAGTTCTGAAGGGATGATCAGCGGAATCAAGTGGGACTAGGAAAATATCATACAGTTTGACCGTAAGTATCTCCGAGATTTTTACTGGCATCGTGACCGTCACATCGGCACCAGCGTCAAGAAGAGCACGGCATACACCAGCTTGCAGATGGTGGGCAGCGACCTGCAACACACTGGTGTTAGCGAATGCGACTAACAGGCATTTCAGCCTCTTGCCTTCGGATTGCAATGCAGATGAATCCGTGATGACATGTACACAAAGGCTCACCATTAGTGGAGTCATCCCTTCATAAGTGACATCTGATGCTGAAGCCTTTCCATCAGCAATAAGCTTTCGTACACCTAAAGCGTCACCCGCAGCACAAAGGTGAAATATCTCTGCGTCAGGCCGAACAAGACGAGCAATCTGTAGCGTCATCTCCGTTAAATTCGGATTACAATGCGAGATGAGCGCCACCGCGCGATTGAAAAGCCAGGATGCAAATGAAATAGTCACTTCGCGAGCGTCCGCATGTGCATTGTTGTCAGTTTCATATTGTTGCGGAACATTCTTGCTCTTGATCATGACCATGGCTATTCCCAGATTGTACATGGTAATGCTGAAGCTTGATCTTGCAGCTCGTGGTCTTGCGACAGTTGCTTCGGGGGTGACGTTGACGGCATCGACAGTCTCCAAGGGTACGTTGACTGCCAGCTCTCCAAGTATCGTCGCATTTCCAGTTAAAAAGTGCTGTGAATATTGATCCATCATGAGAGCCAACATAAGTGTTGATTTGGCTCTTTCGAGGGCCGCCTGTTGGTTCGCAAGTCGTTTGCGCTTAAAGGCAGCGTCGGCCTTGGTCCAATTTATCCATCGCCTTGTGCGTGACGTCTGCATCATGGTCTCGAGCTCGTGAGCGATGTTGCGAAGAATATTGAGGACTTCAGAGCAATGGCTGAGGGAGGTCTCGGTAGCCGCTCCAGAGAGACTTGAGTAGCGGGTGAGGACCTCGCCTAAGGGGTCAACTTCGCGGAGAATTGCGCGAATCTCCATGGGAGCGTCGCGAATGTTTGCATGAAGATCATGTAGCTTGTGAATGCAATCAACTAATTGTACCGCAAGGCTAGCAAAGCCTACACCAGCTGCAGCCAGGCCCACGGTTTCAGCCATGTTTCAGAAGATAGGGACCGAGTAAAAGATTCAAAGAGGTTCTTGGAGTGAAAGAAGACAGTTCAACTTCTTTGCGAACGATTGATGACACACAACTTGAAATGAGCGGAAAGCATTTGATGGCATGCATTTGCGGTAGGGTACAGCATCAAGTGCGGAGTGATTTGGTATGAAGGGTCTGCCTGGCTTGTTCAATGGAGGTGCGCAATATCCTGATGGCTTGTTGATGCATAAGATCCTGCAACCAACGTTCGCTCACCCACGGCCGCATGACCAAGGGAACCGTTCACGCCACGTTGGAGCTCATGATTCGACGAGGAAGCGCTGCGCCTGTGTCGTTCTTGTAGGCTTAGCCAAAGGGTGTCCAGGGAGGAAGCTTAATCAGCCGTCACCATGTCTTGTACAACGCAAATGAAGACAACAATAGGCTGATGGGAAATTGATTGGCGAGTGTTTGCAGTGGATTTTGGAAGAACTTATGCAGACCGACGGGAGGTCGCCTTACGCAAGCAGATCACCTTGCCACAGCCCACACGCACAAGCATCTTCTGCATTGGGTGCATCAACCTGGCAAATAGTTGGTCGCGGTGGGTGTCGATGGCCACGCGTAAGATATGTGTCGAGGTGTAAGAGAGTGTCATGTCGTAGGAGCAATATGTAGTGCAGTCCACAGGCGGCAGGAGCCAACATCGCACACCAATAGGAGCATCAAGGTTCGCTTTTGTCGTGCCAGGCATGTCGTCGGAATGCACTGTGGATGTTAATAGATGATGGTGGTGGAAGCCTCTGACCTACTATGCTCACGATAGTTTCCAAGGAGTCAGATTAGATCATGATGTGAAACTTGACCCAGGGAAACATATCTTGCCATACCTACCTATCGCGATACCTTGTCTGCGACCGTGAGGTTGCGTTCGTGACACCATCGTTCCCGCAATCTTGGGTTTTCGAAGGGTACCAGTGAGCAGGATAGTAGACACTCTAACAGCTATAGGAGATACGATATATTTATCTCGATTCTACTGCATAGAGCTAGTGCAACGCAATATCTCACATGTATAGCTATACGCCTATAGAACGGACCGACGTATTAATAGAGTTCGGCAACTTGGAGGGATATTCTAATTTATCTATCTTATCTCAAGACCATACAACATCTGGATTGCCACCCGGTAGCATCATGAGAAAAGGCCAACCATAGGTACGATGAATCTCACTCACAATCTTTCGCGCCCATATATTTGCCACGACGGGGATAATATACTCGCATCTTTCGATTCTGGAGATCTCCAGAGCCTTGGCCCACGACTGCTTGCCACTGCCCTCGTCGCCAATACTTAGTTGAGCATGGGCCATAGATAATTGAATCAAGGCCGATGTCCAGGGATGCTTAGATCTAAAGATCTGCAGTTGTTCCATGTTCTGTAGAGCAGCTCTCCATAAGCCAGAGGCATCTTTATAGTTCTGTTTCATATGAGCAGTGCGTGCCTTGGCTATTACTCGGCGCATATAAAGCACTTGATCATTCGTATCGTCCAGAGCCGGAGGCTCAGTGTCGACTAGTCGTTGGAGCGTGGATTCGGCCGCATTTAGGTCCTCTTTGCCCAGGCTAGCTTCTACGGATGCCAGGAGCAGGCGTCTGTAGGGGCGACCCTTTCGTTCAGCCTGAGGTATGCTGTTAAATTCTGGCTGAAGAAGCTCGATCGCCTTCTGATATTGACAAAGCTCGCAATAAACCTCGGCAAGTCGACCAACCAGGAGAAGGCGGGTGTTACGTCGAATTGGCCTTGCGGAGTCGAGCCATAGGTGTTGTTCCAGGGAAGCCCTTGCGGTTGAGAAATCTCCGATTGACTGGAAGAACCTCGACGCTGTACCTTGAAGCCTGCGCGTAACCTCAGTTTCTAACGACGACAATGGCTGTATCCCCTCCCACGCGTAGATGCATGCGGCGATACCACTGTCGTAATGCTGTATCTTGGTCTCCATCAGAGAAATGTGGAGTCTTCCTTGAAGAGCATTCTCAAGACGAGTGGTTGGTGGTGGACTTGTCGAGAGGAAGTCTTGAACTGTAGAAGTCGAGTTGACGAGCTTTCCTTCCAAACGACGGAGTATGCTCTCGAACAAAGCGACACACGCGTGGAAATAGTAGGGCATGGACTTGGTGAGTAGTGATCGGGCTCGGTCGATGGCGATTCGGCGAATTGTAAACGAATCTCTCTCGGCGAAGTAGAAAAGTGATTCCATCACATGAGTTTTGAGAAGTGCCGCCACCCGCTTTTGCTCCGTGACCTTGTTTAACAAAGCCCAAGTGGCTTCCTTGAGAGGTATCGACCTGGAAAACGTCAGGGAACTCATGGACTCCTCCATAAATAGGTGGATAATCATACCAGGAAGTATTTCCTTCGAGGGGTGGAGGAGTGGCAAAGGCAACCAATCTGATGGCGATCGATAAGAAATATTCTTGTGTCTGTGATGTGAGGCCGTTCGAGAGAGCAGACCTATCCTCTGGACAGATAGAGAAAGCGGGAGTGCCATCCTCCAGGCTATGAACCTTGACATCCGGACGAGCTGCTAAGCGACTAAGATTTATATCATCGGACAAGAGACAAACCAGGTTATAAGAGACGCCGAAATCAGTAGCTGTGACTTCTTCGAGCTCACCTCCGGCTGTCCAGCGCCTTTTGGTGAGCCTTACGCTTTCAAGTAGCTTGATGGGAATATCCAAGCCACCGAGAGCATGAATGAGCAGGAGCAGCTGGTCTGAGCTTTGTATCATGTCTCCATATTCCGGAGCGAGATTATAGTACGGGAGAGGGGAAGACGGGTCTGAGAGTGGCAGCTTAGCATTTGAGATATTGGGTAGAAAGAGGGGGCAGGGGGGCTACGAACCGTTTAGTTGATCTGCCACAATACGCTGTACAAAGTCTGTGTAGTCGGGCAGATGGACACTTATCGACCGCAGGTGAGCGAAGACTATCTCGTCATCCATGTTAAGGTATCTCTCATAGCTATGCCGGATTAGTATTTTGCGGCATACCAGACAGGCTGACTTACGTAGAAGCGGGAACGTCCAGGGGGAGCCAGATCATCGACCCAATGCTACCAAGTCTACGCGCTACCTTGATGTATTTCCTCCCTGCATAGCGAAGTTCCGAAATTTTCATCCCTTGGACCAGGCTGGAAATGGCCGGTGGAACTAGGTCGTGGTTATTCATCTTAGATCGGAGATATATCATCACACATGCCAGACGTCGACGTAGCTTATCATGATCTACGTCGTCGGAGGGTGTCCAAAAGTGGTCGATTGCGTCTTTCACTTTTTCGCAAATCCGGCTTACTCTCGTGTTGTCTAGGTGCTGTATGGATAGTATCTTCGCGGTCCGTTGGTCGATCGGCACAATGCGGTACCGAACATCATGAGCCAGTGTTTTTGATTGATCCAGCATGGTACGGATCGAGCTCAGGTGCTTATTTAATTCGAGCGAGAGACTCCGGGCCTCGCTCTCATTGAACGCACCGGCTAACCGATTAATGGTGCTGCAGAGACACGTCTCCATCCCTTGGTTGTTGAAAGGCTGTCGCTCCAGATGATGAATAGCTGGCAATCGTACCACTAGTGGGCCCTGCTAGACCGAGACGAATGCTGTGCACTCCGCAACGAACCATAGGAAGGAGCAAGTAGTGGTCGGAAGACTCTTCTCCGTCGTGGGATGCTCGAAGAGCTATCGAGAGGATCTGTTCAGGAAGCCTTGTACTGGTTATCCCTTGCAACGTCGTCACGCTCCTTCAAACGTAAGAATTCGAGCACTGTCCCGAATGGCGATGCCCAGCTTCGACACGAATCTGAGAAGCAAATATCTTGAGGGACTCAGGAGGCGGGTGGAGGCCGCCGATCTCGGCGATGCGAAAGCGCATGATTGACACGGACGCAGAAGGCAAGACTCGAGAAACGGCACATGAATATTGAGTGTCTACTGGCTTCGCCGGAGGTAATCCACCTGGGTGCACTCGTGTCCGCAAAAGACCGTATACCGAGTGCTTTGTGGAGTGTCGCGACTTTGTTGAGTGGTGGAAGATAAATGACCCGGGCTCGGATCTATTTTTCTCGCCAAGCCCTAGTATCAGATTAGATTAGATGGGCTTGGCATGAGCTTGGCACGACCCCAGGCCGATAAGGACGCCGATTGCGCTGAAGATTTCTCTCACTGTGAGAACTCAGAAGAGCCACCCACCAGTGGGGAATCCCTCGCAGCTCAGCGATGTCGTGGCCTCGAGGTTCTCACTGTGCAAAGACCCACCGGCTCATCACCATGCTGAGCAGGGATTCAACGTCAATGTCGACGACAGGTTAGCAGTATTTAATCTGATAAAATCATGGATCGATCTGATAATGGTCTATTCTACAATTCTGCAAGGAGTAGGTCGGTCTTTCCACAATCTTTCATTCTGCAGTAATTATGGATGCCTTCGGAGAGAGCCATGGCAAGTCGGAGCTTCGAGCCATCTCGAGCAGTCACAGTGACGGTGACTCTGAAGAGCATGGCAGAAAGCCGGTTCCCTTGAGCATGAAGATCATCTCGGTTGCGGTTGTCAGTATGATTGGATTTGGTGGCCACTGGAGCAGTGGCGTAACCGGAGCGCTGAAGAGTACTTTGAAGAAGGCGAGTGAACGCTAAAGCTCTTGTCGTATTATGTCTTTCTGACGGTTTTTCTGCAGGAGCTGAACATCAACAACACCCAATATGCCATCCTCCAGTCAAGCGAGAACTTCATCAAGGCCACCCTGATCCTGCCCAGCGGCGTTCTGACCGATCGGTACGGAGGTGCCAGTACGTTGACTCAGCTCAACAATGCTGCAACATTCTACTAACGCTTCTGCTTTAGGTGCCATGCTCTGGGGAAACGCTGTTTTCAGTGTCGGTGCCATTCTGATCGCCGCAGCGACCACCGTGCAAAACTTCAAGTTCATGATCTTTGGCGTCGTTGTCCAAGCCCTCGGTGATGTTGCAACCCAAGTCGCTCAGTACAAGATCTTCTCATCCTGGTTTGCGCCCTCCGATGGGTTTGCGTCAACCCTGGCCTTCGAGCTCGCGATTGGCAAGATTGGATCTTTTGTTGGAAAATCCACGGCTAACGTCATCTCCGCGAACCTCGGCGACTTCAGCTGGGCTTACTGGATGTCGGTATTCATGAATCTCTTCACCAACGTAGCCACCCTGTTCTTCTGGTGGTTCACCCGCTGGTGCGGGAAGCGTTATGCGGGAACACGAGACCCGGCTACTCGCGAGAAGCTGACCGAGAGTAACCGGAAGTTCGAGATCAAGAAGATGCTGCGACTCCCCTGGTCGTTTTGGCTCATTTGTCTGTTTTCGCTTTGCCAGACTTCGACAGCCAACATTTTCTCTTCCAATGGTACCGAACTTGCCGAGCAGCGCTTCGACATTTCAGCCGTACAAGCTGGTTGGTATTCTGCCGCGTCACAATACCTAGGGTTCTTCTTTGTCCCCCTGGTCGGCATCTTCATTGACGTTCTTGGACGACGCCTCACTGTGATGCTTGTATGCGGCCTAGGCATGCTACTCGCCATGTGTTTGGCCATGTGGGGACCCACGGTGTCAGGAACAGCAGCTAGCTTTGCCATCTACGCTGTGGCCTCTTCGCTCGGCCCCACGGTCATTATCGACGGCATTCGCACGTCCATGTTCTATCAGGAGGTATTTGGTTCGGGCTATGCGATCAAGATTGCTATCAACAATAGCATGACCATCATCGTCGACATAGTAGCAGGCATCATTCAAGACCGAGATAACAACAGCTACGACAACGTTATCATCTTGTATGTCGTTCTAGCGGCCGGGTCCGTGGTTGTCGGCGCTCTCATGGTCATCCTGGGTTACCTTAGTAACCTCATAGCTTTTCTCCAATGGAGCCGGAAGAAGCGCGTGCTCAATGGTCAAGTCGTCAACGATGAAAAGAAAGCTTTTGAAACTGACGGGCGTGCTGACTGGAATCGGAAGCTCAGTACGATCAATTTTGGAGCGGTCATTGCCTTGGTCCTCGGTGCCTGGGTGGCATATTTCTGGGCCATTGCAACTGGCCACAATTACTGAATAGCAGGGGAATCGCCATATGCGAAGCTTGGGGACCATGCTTCTGCCATTGATCAGGCTAAGAGGAAGCAGGAGATTCGCAATTTCGTCCTCTAGACCTGCTTGTATCTCCAAGTAACAGGCAGGCAAACCCATAATGTAAACTCATGAGACAGACAGTCGTCCATCAAGCTTGAATTCGATGCAGTCCTGAACGGACACTCCTGTGCAATGTAGGTCGACCTTCGCCTGGTCATCTCGATTCTGAGATACCACCATGATCCACATATCTTGTATCAATGCGACCTGCACAGCATCCATGACGTTACCACCTATCGGTAACCCGAGACGTCCTTCCTTCGCCAGGTGTAGTACCAGGTGAGGAGACCGAGGCCAAGGCCTGTGCTCATGGTCTGACCGTTGTGGAACTTGGCGTGAGGAGGCCATTTGGGGTTGAATACGTGAGTCTCGTTCCAGTCCGCCAGGTAACCGCCAACTGCAGTAGCTGCGCCGATGAGGCTGAGAACGATGCGTGCCGGCAGGACGGCTTTGAAGGAGGAGGAAGAGTAGTCGGACATCGTGATGATCCTGAAGCAGCAGGTGCACAAGTCCTTTGGCTGGTTTTGAGCGACAAAAAGATCAGTGTATGGGAGAGTTCGAACGAAGCAGATGCAGCGGTGTGTCAGGACTCAAAGATCGGGAGCTGCGGGCGTGGAAGGATGCAAGGGCTTGAAGGGGTTAAGATTGCTCGCCTTAAAGGATGCGCGTTTGATGCTTTCTGTATGACGCGTTGTTAGGTGGTAGTGGAGAATGGATTAAGAACGGGAGGTGTCTCACCGCCAGGGAGGTAAGGCCACCATGGACTCTGACCTAAGCACTCGAGCTTTACTAAAACTCCTCGCGGATCTGGCAGTACATTTGAGTATGTCTTCTTCGAGTGCTCAATTGGAAGTCGGCATCGTCGGGGCGGGAATTGCAGGTCTATCAGCGGCGATAGCATTGTCCAGGGCAGGGCACGCTGTGGAACTCTACGAAAAGTCCAGATTTCGCAACGAGACAGGAGCGGCCATCGTTATAGGGCCTAATGGGACCAGGGTTCTGTCACGATGGGGTTTTGATTTCGACGAGGCCGGAGCTCTGGATTACAGCCAAATGAGGAGAATTCGGGCAGACACTCTGGAGGTCGACTCAGAGGAATACTTCACAGATATCAAGCAGAAGTACGGCGACCGTTGGTTGCTGTTTCACCGTGCCGACCTCCACATGGGCTTGAAGAAGCTTGTCGAGGGACAGGAACCGCAGCCCAAGATCAATCTGGGCACCGCTGTCAGGGATGTTGACGTCGATGGTGGAATCATCACGCTCGCCAGTGGTGAACAAGTCAAGAAAGACCTGGTTATCATTGCAGATGGTGCACACAGCGAGCTCATATCGAAGATCATTGGTCGACCGTGCCCTGTTACCAAGTCACCTATGTCGATGTATCGCTTCCTGCAGCCCTTTGACAAAGTGCTTGCTCACCCAGAAGCCGGCCAATTTTACAAGGGTCAGCCTTCAGGATTTACAACCTTCTACAAGACAGAAGTAGGCCGACCTGGCCTTCTGATCAACACCTATCCCTGTCGTAGCGGTGAGCTGCTGTATGTGGCGTTGGTACATCCCACCAAATCGGGGGAAAAGGAGCTCGATGGTTGGGATTCTCCCGCCGACTATCAGGACGTAATCTCAGATGCGAAGGCTTTCCATCCCGCTGTTCAAGCAATCTGTGAGGAGGCAACCGAAGTCAAGGTGTACACTCAGATGTGGCGAGACCCTATCGAGCGTTTCTCAAGGGGAAAGGCTGTATTGATAGGTGACGCTGGTCATCTCATGTTGGCCACGCACGGCCAGGGAGCTTCGATGGCACTCGAAGATGCCCTTGCCTTGGAAACTCTGTTCAAAAGTATCGCTTCCAAGTCAGATGTGGAAGCTCGAGTGCAATTAGTCGATGAGCTGCGGCGCCCCCGCGTGAGTGCTGTGCAGACCATGTCGAACAAAATGATGGGACCTCCTGACCGCATGATATCTGAGGTGAAGCGATATTATGACGGTCCAATACCGGGTCATCAAGCGAAGACTTTTTCGAAAGAGTATAACGACTTCTTCTTCCTGTATGATATCGAGGAGGAAGCGAGGAAAATGCTGAGCGCCTGACCGTGGACGGGTTGATTTCACTTGGGCTTTTCTCGATTGATGCATACCTTTTAGATAGACCCCGGTTGCGGAATGAATGACTTCTGTGTTCGCCAGCCTTCGCGGCAAAAGGTCAGAGTCGGCGTTCTTTTCATGGGTCAAAAGGCGTAAACTTCATCCAACACGCTGATTTGGCTCTGGAAGAATCGATGAAGTGACCATGCCCCAAACGAGGTGCCAGAAGTGCAAGCAGTATTCGTTCCAATGAAACCTTTTGAGGACACTTTCAAGTGTTTTCCAATCCTGAGTTTTCGGATATATGGTCAACATCTTGATCATCAGCTGGAACCGCCGGTCATTCCTGGACGAAGATCTTATCTTAAGAAAGGTCGCTGTCAAGCCTCCTGCAAGCTTCAAGCATACCCAGATCAGGAGATCACAGAGGCTGGTGTCATTTGCATCGACCTCATCTATGGCACGGGCGCAGAAGCCCACCCAGTTGAGAATCAGCGGGCCATAATATTTGCTAAATCGTTCTGCGTGGCTGACATCAAGGAGAGTATGCTGCATTGCAATAAGCACGATCCGGTCAGCCAAGCTGTTGCCTGCATATGCCATTAGCCCCCAGCCTCGCTCCCGGGCCTCTACATTAGCAGCGGATTTGCCTCCAAAGGGAGCGAACGAATAAAGGTCAACATCGTTCCAGTTGTAGTATTGTTGAACGTGTGACACAACATGCGGTGACAGTCGCTCTTCTTCCACAAGTTGCCTCGTTCCGGTATCAAGGTACCCATGGACTCTCCCAGCCTCCAAATTCGGCGGCAGAATCGATGGTGTGATTGGTACGAGATATTGGCCACGGTCGATTTCGAAAGGATCACCAGGCCTGGGCTGATTTATGGAGTACCAAAAGGCCAGAACGCTTGCTAATGTCAGTTCAGTGGTTATTCCACCGGCAAGGGCATGGACTTACCCGGTCACGGCTGGTTTCAGCAAGCCCACCCATCCCAACGAATCTAGTCCCCTGTGCAGGTCGACTAGACGCTTCAGGCCTCTGACGTGGGCGTCGTAAGCAGACATATTGCCCATTAGATACTAAAGTCATTAGCTACACTGCTTCTCTCACACATCTCTGCAGGCACACTGACCTCCACTTCAGGGAGAGAAAGAATCGAGAAAACGACAGCATCCTCGATGTAGGCGTTTTGGTTAGTAAGGCTATCTCTCAATTTGCTCAGTGCCTCGCCATAGTGGCCGATTGTCTGCTTGTCTGGCTTTGCCATGAAAGGGGAAGCGGGATAGATTTTCTTATCAAGCTGCAGAGCCTTGGACTGTAGAAGGGCTGGCTGAGTATGAAGGTCACAACTTCCCATACTGCCACGTGCACTTGGGAAGGGCATCAGGGCCATCACGGAAATGGACTCCTACAGTAGTATCCTATCACCCACGGCGTAATCTACTGAGACTCGGATGCTGACAGCGGACGGCATGCAACTGACACTTCATCCCAAAGTGACTCGGTTCTAGAAGCAATGGCAGCACCGAACGCCCGTCGACTAACAGCACCACCGAAACTCAGGACAAGTTCACATGTGAAGAAGAGATGAACAAACGAACTCTGCATCTTCTCAAGGTCTACCACTTCATATACTCCGTACTCCGTACCACAAAGTACCTTGTCAGGTACCTCGTACAAGTAGTTTGTGTCCCACGCTAGAGATCTTTCGCCGAAGGTGATTTCAGCCTGCAGCACCCCTTGTCTGAGCTTGTCTTGGCCATTCGCGCGATAAGGACTTCGTGTCGTACTGGAAAATCTCCTATTGGCGACATCAGAGTTGGGGGCCTGATGGGGGTCAGATATGCTAATCCCTGCTGCTCTTTTAGGGCCCTCGGTGGCTCCCGTGGAATCCCTAGCCTTAGATTTGGGCCACGATGGGGCTCCTTGGCTCGTCATTTGTGCCTATCATAGCTCCATTTCCTCCCGATCGTCAGGTACCCGAAAATAAATCATGCCAGATGATGCCGACTCCAATGCACCATCCCGCTCTATCCATCCATCGCCATCCCTTGACCCAATTTCCATTCCAGCAAGAAACATTGTTACACCGCGACGGGCGCCCTGAATCATGTCATCCCACCTCTCTCCCTTCCGTTGGATTTCTTGCCTTCTTTTACAGTCGACGACGAGCTCGACCTGTCGTTCAAACTCGAGCTTGCATCGTTCGAGAAGATGCCCTTCACTCTGCCCCGTGGCCTAGGGCCTCTGAGGCTTCTTATCGTCTTCTGCCTGGTGGCCTCCGTTTTCTTCTTCCGGTCTTACCTGCTACCAGCCTCTGATGCATCCCACTTCAACCTCGCCCCAGCTGCGAACTCCTGGTGGCATGGCCCAAACTCGGGTTATTCCGACCTGAGTGATGTCGATACCGAACAAGATTATGCTCAAGCTGAAGATCTCGGTTTGATCTCTGAAATCACCGACTTCGAAGATCCTGCCGTCCCCTCGCCTGCCTCTTCCACACCTGAAGCCACCCATAAACCTGCAGCAGCGCCAGGACTATTCTACAAGCCCTTCGATGCTTCCATGCCCGCCTGCCGACAACTACCAGGCGCAGATAAAGTCGTCATCATCGTCAAGACTGGTGCCACCGAGGTTTTTGCCCGGCTTCCGGAGCAGCTTATCACTCTGGCAGAATGCGTTCCAAACCTCATGATCTTTTCCGACATGGAACAAGACCTGGGACATTTCCATCTGTACGATGCATTGGACGAAATTGGGGAAGAATACAGAAAACATCACGAGGACTTTGAGTTCTACCATAACATCCACAGAGCCCATGCCATGCACGGCGACGTCAGCGTGCTTGGATCGGAGAAAGGCTGGAACCTGGACAAGTGGAAGAATATCCCCATGCTGCACAAAGCCTACACGAAATACCCCAACGCTGACTGGTATATGACTATTGACGCCGATACGTATCTTGGCTGGACGAATCTTCTTCTCTTACTTAGTCAACTGAACCCCGAAGAACCGCTCTACTCCGGCTGTGTCTACTGGCACGGCCCTACGCAATTCGCTCAAGGCGGCACTGGGTATCTCTTGTCTCGGAAAGCCGTCGAGAACCTTGAGGCGATCCGCACTCCAGAGAAGATCGTGGAGTGGGAAAAAGAAACGTCCACAATCTGCTGCGGCGACGTCATGCTCGGTGTCGCCATGGGCCAAGCTGGTGTCCCTGTTCGAGGAGCCTGGCCCATGTTCCAAGTCGACCCACCCTGCGCACTCAGCTGGACCGATCGATATTGGTGCACTCCCGCAATCACCTGGCACCATGTACACACTTATGACATTCAGGATCTCTGGGAATTTGAGAAAACATGGATCAATCAGACGTGGAATGACGACAAGCCTGGCTCGGTGCCCTATTTGTACAAGGACGCTTTTGAGTACTTTGTCCAGCCTAACATCGCACAGAAGAAGTCCGATTGGAACAATTACTCTGGCGACAAGACATTTACCGAACCATCCGAGGATCATGTCAAGGAAGACAACGACTGGGATTGGAAGAATGATGACGAAAAACAACAACTCTGGGACGACCTAAACGAGATCCAAAAACAGTCTACCGAATCTTTCGAGGCCTGTCAAACTGCGTGCATGGATGATGGTGGTTGCTTGCAATTCGCCTGGCATCCCGGCACTTGCAAATTGAACTATTCCGTCAGAATGGGTCACGCAATCGAGCCGAAGGAAGAATACTCGTCCGGTTGGATCTTGGAAAGAGTTGAAGCCTTCAAGCAGGGCCAGGGAACTTGTGAGCAAGCTCGATTTGAGATTGACTGAAAAACTGCGACCCAGAAGTGAGCAGAAAGCTCTTCACCTCTCACGAACTACCTCGGCCTGTCCATTCGCGGCTGCGCAATCGCTCACGAACAATGGCTTTGCCCATGTTGGCGGCTGATGGCACCAATCCGTCGACGAAAAGGATCTGAACGACGATCGACGTCGTATCTAGTCTTGTTGAAGCGACGCCCGAGCTTCCCGTCACACAGCCGAAACGCGCCAGGCTGTCCTATGAACGCAGACAGGTTACGAGCGGATCATGGCTGAAAATCTCCCCTCTCTCCTTCCACTATCTCCATATTGCAGTGGGGCGGGATATTCGAGGACCTCCGAAGCGAACGTGACTGCCCGGTCCTGAGGTACGACAACCAACACTTCACTACCTTCGCATGATGCACAGAGTGAGCACATGCTATATTCTTTTGACGATCTAGACTTTTCATGATGAGGAACGGAGATCTAATAGTATAGAGAGATTGACGACGAATTTAGACTTAGACTACTTGATGATACCAGAGAAGATTTCCGGCTGGCGTTTTCAGAATCTCAGCGGAAGGGGATATCGGCTTATATTATTACCATTTGTACGATTCCATAGGAGGGTCACAGTCACTTTGAGTTGTGGGCTTGTTTTTATCTGCTAAGACAGTCAACAAACTGCACTACTTGTTCAATTGTATTCTGAAAGTTACCAGATATGACTGCTAGCGAGCTACCCGTATGTCAAGTCAACGGAGTAGATGGGTAGGGTTGTCTATTATCTGCTATAGTAAACAAAGTAACGATGGTGGCACTCTCCTCCTCATACCTCTACCCTTTGAGTTTCATTTTTTTTTCACTGCTTTCTTTCCTTTCCTTCTGTATAGTTGTCATTCGTTCCTGCACTATCCTCCAAAGTCTCTCGGGTTGAACCTTGTCTTCTTCCCTGTTCTTGGGTGAATATACGATCTTTCTCTGTTCATGGGATTTCTCGACGCTCTCGTTGGTACAACTTCCCCCGTGGGTAAGGTCATCTGCTGTGTAGTCCTGTTGTATCTAGCCCTGGCTGGAGCTGGTGCTACATGGCCTGTTCCCGCCTGCCCGCCACCGTACTGAGTTGTGTCGCCGTAATGTGGATTGGTTGGATCGTATGCTCCATGCTGCGCCATCGCCCCGACCTGGCTGGGATCGTGGGGATCGGTATAAGCTTCCGTTTGCGATGCGCTTCCGCCGGGTATAGGCGCTTGCGCATGTGGTGCTTGATGAAGCTAAAACCCAGGGGAAAACGTTCAGTCAGTACTTAATCGGCACTCTCGCTTTCTTTTTGATTGTCACGACTCCATTTACCATCCCCGCCCCCCTTGTTGTGAGAAAAGGAAAAAAAGAAATTGGGTGACTTACTGCGTGTAGCTGCTGTCCTTGGCCAACAGCTTGACCAACTTGCGGTATCAGGTTGTGTGCGCCTCCGGCCGGGTCGAAAGCACTGGGCATGGCACTGTACCCTCCTTCTGCGAATTGTCCTCCCACGGATGCTGCATTCGCCATGTTGTCTCCGGTTTCATAAGGTCCCCCTTCCTGTTGCTGCAGCTCAGGCATAGGTCGATTCGTCTGTGGGTGATGGGTGGCTGCAGTGTCACCCTGATCGTGTGTATAGTCGTAGGGATTGTATGGCTGTTGTGGCACTCCTGTATCCTGGGCCCATTGTTGACGATTTCCGCCTGAAGGTGGTGGATTGGCCATTTTGAATTCGATCTCAGTGTTCGCTGATCTTCAAAGAAGCAGATCGGCTCTCGATGTTTTCCAAACAGAAAAGGTGTTGTATATGAATGGTTTGCGGTTGTTTGTCTGGCGTAGGGAAAAACTTGATGTGAATGCAGCGGCAACGTTGCCAACCTTTATACGTTGAACGACCGCTGATACTGTACGCAATAAGGTAAGTTATTCTTTTGATGCCTTAGTCCCATGATGGCGCTTTACTTCATGAATACGCATTTAGATGATGGCCCCGTCTCGTTTCTTAGGCCCTTATTTTCTTGGATATGCATTTGAGCCCCGTCTTGTTAGCATGGCCCTTTACTTCTTGGATAAGCATTCAGGCACCCTGTTGAAAGTATCTTCGAACAACATGAAATCAGGATAATTTGGGCCAATAACTAAGTATAGGATATGTATCCGGGTATATCGGAAAGTTCAAGCTTCAACCAGATGCTTAACATTACTACATAGGTGTGACAGCACAGGCCAGGCAGGGTGGCTGCCCCCTACTTAACGTGGGAGGGCCGGTGAGCGCCAAGAGGGCTGAAGCAGCACCCTCAGATAGAATAGGTAGGTTACGCAACCTATTTTGGCATGGCATTGTTTCTACCACGTAAAAGTCCTCCCCGCTGACATAGAGAACTACGATTACCACCTCATAGTCAACACCCAGGTCTGAGTCCTTGTCTTTGTTAGGCCTTGTTGCCGCGATGTCACGTAAGGGCCGGATTTTGATGGTACAGTACAGCTGTAAGGCGGAACAATTTGTGACGGGCCAGAAATTTTAGAGTCTGGTACCTGGCATACAACCTGGGGCGGTATAAAAGTGGACTCCGAAAATATACTTACGTCGCCGTGTGTGATCCAACAAAAGTATACGGAGGTACGGCGTACTCCGTATCATAAAGAGACTAGTGGGTGTTAATAAGCCCCATAAGGGCTCCCAGGGGGCTAACACAGAAGAATGGCGGGCCAGGAATGTTATAAATATACGTGAAGCAATCACATGGAAGTTACTAGCATGTGTTTCCGGTTCTCTCGCAGTCATTTATTGAGTAGTACTTATCACTCGAGCATATAAACCTGAGACCGTTTGGTAGCGACTATCGTTGTTGTTGTTGTCTCTTTTGTCTCCAAGACAAATCCGAGATATCATATTACCATTTCGCGATCTCTCTTCACCAAACGACCCTTTCTTCTCATAAACGGAAAAAGGATGGATGCACACCACTCTCAGCACGACGGTGCACAACAACAACAACATCATCCGCAACAAGGCGATGAACAGCATCACAACCACCACCCCGAAGGCGACGAGTTCTCCGAGCACTTCAAGAGTCAGCTGAACATTAGCATCACCAAAGACCACTATTCAAGCAGCCATCATGATGATAATGCCTCCGAGTACTCGGTCTCGGAATTCACTGATGACGGCGCAAGTGACGACGAGTTCGGCTATGAAGACGACGCTGATGATGATGGTGCCGGTGGTGGTGCTGGTGGCGGTGAAGATTGCTGGAACGACGATGGGGAGTTTGGTGGGGACCCTTCCCAGGGGGAAGGTCATGACCACGGCCACGGCCACGGCCACGGTCACGGCGACTACCCAGAAGAAGGAGGACAAGGACACGAGTATCAACATCAAGGCCATGGCCATGGTCATGGCCATCCAGGGCAACACCACGGACATGGCGATCAGGGCGAGCACGGCCATCAGGACGGCTATGGGAACGAGCATGGCCACGGGGGCGATGATGAGCAAGGCTATGGGTACGAGCACGACTATGCTGAGCACGAGCACGAGCAAGGCTATGGGCACGAACAGGACGAACAGGGCTACCAGGGGGACTATTAACTAAATACTCCGTAGGCTGCGGCTGCACTTTGTAGGGGGAGAAAATAAAGAACATCTGTCATTTTATGTTTTCACACAAGTATGGTCACAGCGACGATAGAATTACAACATCTCCTCCACCAGTCCTCTTCCCTTTTTCGTGTTGCCTGATATGATATTACATATACGCTTTCCAGTGCCGTTTGTTACAAAAGAGGACACTTATTCCCCCTTCCTGTGCCATGACCTCTTCTTCGTCTTTATTCTTTGCCTCAAATGTTTCGGTCAACCGAACATCCCGAACTGTCCTACTCCAGTTGGTAAAACCAGCCTTTGAAAGTCTCATTTCATGAGATACATTGGGCCAACTTCAGTGACCGTCCGGTTGTTCGGTGAAAACATTGAAGGCTGTCGACGAGCAAGAGGTCCTCCTTTTACAGCCGGTCCCGGGCGACCAGATGTGGTCTCGGAGGAAGCATCGGTGTTCGTGCGATGATTCAACCTCGTCCCCAACTCAGATCTGCTACGAGATTCGGACCGACTCCGATGAGCCAGCGTCAACGGCAGAGGCATAGTTGACGGAGACATCGCGGTCGCACTAGATGTCAAAGGCTTGCTTTGGAGCTGAAGTTGAGCCGGTCTCCCAACAAAAGACATGTGACTCTGAACACTCGGGGAGGGGTTGGGTGGAAGCCCAGTGGCGCTTGAGATGGAAGTGTTAGTCGGCCGGCGTCGGAGCCGCGGCACGTCTTCTGATGCCGAGTTCTCTCGGCTCCTGGACACGGATCTCGAAGGTGCTTTCGAGGACGGTGATGGTCGACTGGAATAACTTGATGATCGAGACTGATCACGCTGATGATGAGAGGTGAGCCGCAATGGCCTCGCGTCGAGCGTCTCTGCCCGCAAGGTAGTGGAAGGTGACGGCACATGCGGCTGTTTACCAGTCCTCCCATAGGCGGCCATGATGTGTTCGAAGCTCAGATTCGAAGGAAGCTGACTCAGCCGCTTGATTGATTGCATGTTGGTGTCCATGAAGGATGACATCGACTTCAGAGCCCGGAGAGATTCATGTACCTCATAAGACGAGGGAGCTTTGGCGCTGGGAGCCGCCCTTGCCGTATGAGAGTCGGCAAGACGGCGTGAACGGCCAGAGTCTGACGAAGGCTTTTGGGGTCTCGTCAAGTGATTGTCGTCCACAGCCATCTTCGCCTGGGACACAACCTGGGCGAAAAGGACGTCTTGGTCGACGTGTCTTGTTGAACGGTATGGCTTGGCTGCATCCTTGGATCCTGTGAACGCTGCTTCTTCGGTCAGGACGAAGAATGAGCCGTCCCATATCTTCTGCTTCAGAACATTCCACCTCGTGCGGGCCGGATTTTTTTCAAGCTCTGGACGATAAACTGATTCCCGTGCAAGACGTGCATAGAAAGTCTCCAAGCGTTGAGCGACCCTTTCAAGGACAGAAAGAAGATATTTGCTCAGGCTCATGAGCTTTTGCTTGTCTGATCCTGATGCTGACTCCATCGAGTTCACCACGTCAAAGGCATCCATTCCCAGACATATGTCCCCTCGAACCTCTTCAAGGAATTGGACATCGAGCTCAGTGACCGTCCCAGCGTATCTGAGTACGCCGTTCTCCTGGAATTGGGCATCTTGGCTGTTGCAGACAAATTCTCCGATACGTGCGATCTCCTTTGAAGCAGTGGCGGAAGCAGGCGACGATAGTGTCCTGGTGATGATGCCAATCACATCCGGGACCCGCATGTCGGGCGTTCCTGAGTTGACAAGCCCGAATGTGAGCTTCAAGTGCAGTTCTTGGAGTTTTGCTCCGAACAGGGTCGAGAACCCGTTCTGCATCAATCTTGATTGGAATTGGTAGAATTTTCTCACGCCGCCCATGTTGAAAAGATCGCCTTGAAACCAGGTTCGGGCATCCTCCTGGATGTGGTTCACCTCGAAGTATAAAGTTGTCAGGCTCTCGACGCAATTTCGCAGGTACTGATACCAAAGATCGTACAGAGTGCATATCTCGCTGGAACGGAAAGCTGGCTTTGTTGCGAGGTGACCAACAAAATATTTGGAAAGCAAGCTCATCACCTCGGGATTGGTAGTGTGAGCTACATCATCGAAAGTCTTGGACGCATCAAGGCCAGCACTGGCCTGCGCGATCAATGTACCACCTGGGTGTATTGGAAGGAAGTCGCTTATATCGTAAACCCCACCATGTACACCAATATACATCCTGGTTCCTTTCCGGTGACCTGTGTGAAGCGCAAGTTGCGAAATCGGTATTTGCGGCGTCGCGTAGCTGATGGGCTTCGGTGTCATGAATATATCCAGCATGAAGCGCCTCTCGGCAAATGCTTTTGCCAGCAAGCTGTCCGCTGAGTCTTTGGTGGAAGTCCAATTCTTGTAGAGGGCCTGGCGTATGCCCGACATGATGGTCTCGTACATGGAAATGGAACCACAGATGTAAAGGTGTCCTCCTAGGCCACCCTGACTCTTGGAAATGACCATATCACACACGGTTCGTCCTTGCTCGAGTATAACGCTATCGAGATATCGAGGGGCGATCTGTTTTTCGACCAGTTCTCGAGATGTCGCATCATAGACCAATCCTTTTTGATCTCGGGAGAATGCCGTGTGTAGCTCCATGTGGCCACTGCGCACATATTCTCTGAGTTCGTGTTCATAGGAGAATCGTTCTCTTGACTGAACTCCGAGAAAGAGAATATTCCTTCCAACACTTGTTTGTGCTCTGTTTTGCCAGAAGCCTCGGAATGGCGCAATGCCCGAACCGCCAGCAAACATCGCCACAGGTCCGGCCATTGTTGTTGGCAGCTGGAAGTTCAGAGGGCGAGAAATTCCAATCAGGTATTCTTCGTCGTCAAACATGTCTTCAGAATGGGATGGATCCGGGTTGAGGCAGCCACTGCTCACACCATAGCGAGTGGTGTTGCACAGGCCGTAGTCCAAGACGTCTGCTAATTTGTACTCACTCCGGGTAACGGTGAGATCCACCGTACTGGGAAGGAGCTCGTTCGTGTAGTTTGAAATGCTGTATGTCCGAGGCACTTCGATGGGAATCAACTTCGGCAACCACGATAGGTCAGATAGATCGAACGCTGTATCCCAGGTCTGCGGCGACACCTCAGCGACCGCCAGTTGCAGGAGATCCCCAACGGCGCCTTGGACTGGCCACATTTCCGACCCAAGGACTTTGACCACCGTCGAGGAAGAAGCACGAAGCGCCATGTGAAACTGCAATAGTCAGCAAAGCTCACGCTAGAAAACTCCAAAGTCAACATACAGCCACGACCAGGTCCTTTGTCAGAGGCGCAAGGTGCCCACGCCTCAGGATATCCTGCACACTCAAGAGTGTCGGCCCTTCTGCGTGATTGACCGACTTTAGATGTTTAGCGAAGCGATTCCAGTCTGAAGCCTGGCTCAGAGGAACCGGCTTCTGTAGCAAGTCCTCCAGGCCCAAGGCAGCTGTGACCTTGTTTACCTCTGACCAGCTATTCAGGGGCATCACTGTCAAGCGATCACCTGGCTGAAAGGTGATTCCCGTGTCCTCGAGGCCAAAAGTGACCATGCCGGTAGACCGTGACGGATCCATATCCACAGAGGACCTGGAAAGAATTCTGGCTTTGAACCTGCATTCTTCGAATGAACCTCGAAGTTCATGTGGCTGAAGATTCACTTTGCCCCGGAAAGGCTCAAGCCGCTCTCTCATTGATTCGGAAAGTGTTTTGTGTACTTCCTCCCACGGACGACCGGCATCATCCGAGGCTCCGGAATTACCATTCGTCTCACTTCGACCTGTTTTGGCAACGACTTCTAAGAAGCCGTAGACTTTGTCTGAAACGCATATGCAGTCAGCGTCCTCTGCCACAAGGAACGGCGGCGACCAACTTACAGCGATGCTGACCCATCCACCCTCGCTCCGAGAGATAACCTTCCAAGATACCTTCCATCACGCCCATCAGGCGTGGGTCACCGGACTCTTTGACGAAGGCAGGCACTTGGTAATGATACTCCACAGCAGCTATAAAAGCACGGATATTCATCGGCAGCCAGGCACGAAGATGAAGAGCCTCCTTCCCGAGAAAGCTGTCGTACTTTGTCCTCCCAATGAAGGCATCCATCAGGAGGAAGACCGGTAGTGCTAGCCCGGAGAGAGCAGGAACACGTTTTGAAAGAGGAGCGCTGAATTTGGCGTACCGTTGACCCCACTAGCAACGAGTCAGCACGAGAAGCCATTGAAGTATGTTTGACCTACCTCAACTGGATTGGCAAAATTCTCTCCGGAATTGGGGTTCACACTGATTTTTGAGAAGACATTGACGAATCTGTCGACGATGCCCTTCAGCTTGATCAACTCTCGCAGCAGACCCTCCTTGTCTTTCAACATGGCACACTCCTGACACCTCGTGATGATCTCCACCCCATCAACGAAGCAGCCATGAGTCTCTGCCATGCACAGCAGAAACATTGCCTCACCGCGGTCGTTGAAGACAGGCCACCTCAGATCCATGTTCTCACATCTCGCAACGTATGGGTAGATACTGGCCGGATCCCTGAGTTTGTAGTTGTAGACGGAGACATCGTACTGAGTTAGATGAGGTAACACTCTGCCCATCCTCGTGCAAACCTGGCGGAGAGGAATTGCAATGTTTCGGGGTATTCCCTTTGTCTCTTCTTCTTCATCGTCGGCTTCGCCAGATAGGGTTCGAAACGTTCCTGGAGGCGCCGTCACGCTGATCCCTTCGTGGCCATCATTGCGTTCTTCGTACCGATACACGCTCGCAAGAATCCCAAGACATACTGTTGCAGCCCAAAGAGCCTGATTGGGGATGATGTCCTCAGTCCCATACACCAGGGGAAGAGCAAGAATCGATTCACGCATCTTGCCTCTTGCTACAACAGCTGGCATCCGTTCGCACAGGTCAGACCATACTCTGCCTGGCGACATGGCAAGAGCAGCTGGAGCAGCCGATGGATCAGGCGGACAGAACCCATGGCTGCTTGTGAGGTACCCGTCTCTCCAACCAGTCCGAGGACCCAACTCTTCAGCGCGTCTCAGTACTTGTCGTGCTGGAGCACCCAAGGCAGAAGCAAGAACGTCGATGTCTTTGGGGTTGAGATGGTCTGCATTGGCCAAGCCGTTTGTGATTGAGCGTGCAGGAGCCTCGGGTAGGAGGAGCTCAGAGAGAGTCTTCCTCTCTTGAGACTCCAGATGCTCCGTTGATTGGCATTGACCAAGGACCTGGACAGTCAGTATTGGCGGTCACACGTAGAGAACAGGAATCCATACGCCTTGCGGAGTGTACATCGATTGGGATGACATCTGATAAGCAGAAAATGCGCAGCCTCTGGGACCCATCCTCTGAACACCAGCCCCGGGGCATATCGAGCCCGGGCCTGTCTTCATCCCGCTGACCGGACAAGATGTTTCAGACATGATGGTCACTGTTCCTCCTTCAGGATGCCACGCTTAGTATGCAGAAACAAGGGAGAAAAGTGCAGTGAGATTAGGGTATCACACTGGTCCCGAAAACAAACAATAAACCGCATAACATGCTCTCCAGAAAAACCTAGCAGGACAACAAGCGACCGGCACTTCTAAATATATTGAGACCTGCTCCAGTGAAGGGGAAGAGAATAGGATGATACACCTCAGAGGCTGAAATACGCAGTTTGGATATATTGGCACAGACATATATATGATGCCCCTTGGAAGGCCAACCTGTGAGGGAGTAACAGGAAATGGAGAAAGGCTGAATGGGGCCAGACCATCAATCCTGGCCAATAATTACGTGATGGAAATTCACGAGGCAGGTACCAGTATGCTGGGGACGAATCATCGTCTCACTGCAAACGTTGAAGGGACCTTGGCGGAGCAGAGAGGGAAAAGGAAGTGCCCAGCCCGTTGGTCTAACACGAGGCTGTGGCCAAGACTTCTGGGGACCATCGCAAAGCCTCTGCCGCTGGGGATCAGGGCCTTTCCCGCTGCCAGTGGGTCCGGGATACAACATAGAAGGCGAAACGAGGAGAGAGGAGTCGTTGAACCTGGATAGCGAAGTGGCATCGGACCTGTTGGGCGCTTGGCGAGGCTGTTCCATGGTCGAGGACAGCCGGGAATGAGGGAAGCTGGCTCAAATCCACCGGACTCGACACTGCCAATGCAGCCAAGAGCCAAGGTATGTGAAAGCAAATAATGGGAGAAAGAACGTTTCAGGTGGAAGAGTCAGGGATGCCAAGCAGCGGAGGTGTAAGAGGACGTTTGGAGCCCCTGAGCATCGATCTCGTTTCTTAACGCTCGTTTCAACACCAGTGTGAAGGCGTGATGGATATATTTCTGAAAGACGGATCATCCGATCAGAGGGTGCAAGAAAGAAACAGGAGAAAGAGGGAGAGAAAAGAAAGACGACTGGTCAAGTAGACGCAGTGCCAAGCACCAACCATCTCACAATTTCCCTACGTACCAGGTAGTGGTTGAATATGAAGGGCCTGGCGAGCCTCCATTGAAGACGACTCGTCATATGCTTTTAGACGCTCTTGTACAGACATCTTCCTCTTTATGCAGGTTCTTGATCATTCGGCGGTGCCTTGTCGGTATCGAAGGTAGGAGCTGCTTTTCTGGCAGATGTGGTAGTGGGCGCGGTTTCGGTGGTGATGTCCGGCTTCTGATCCTTGTTGAGGCGAGGAGGCTCGGCGTCTGGGTCTGTATGTCGACTAGCAGCCTCGTTGTTGGCTTTTGATGCGAGGCCGCCAACCGATTCACCACCCACGACATCGTCTGTAGCTGAACCCCTTGCAGTTGTGCTGGTATCTGTCTCCGGTACAGTTTCGTTGGCCGTGAAACCGCCAGTCAGATCTTCGACGACCGCTGCAGCTTTTGCCTTGGCTGACTGACTACCGAATGAGGACATGTTGGTTGATGGTCCTGGGAGTGATTGTGCTTCTGCAAGGAACAACCGAGTACGAGTCGAGCAGTGACTTTGAAATTCACGTATCTCAAAATCAATGACTGGTGGGTGACTGTTACTGTTGTGACAGAGTTACAAGACTACGTCATGGCACGCAAACCGGCGCAAATCTCCGATGATCACGTGACTATTTAGCACGTGACCAGCGAGGGGAGCAGTCTCTGGATATCTTCCTCGCTCCTTCTCCAGCAGCGGGTCAAGTACTTGTACTGACCAGATGTCTCCGAAGAACAAGATAGGACTGTCCGTGGCCAACTGACTACCTCCACCGTCCGCAAAGGCCTTCCTCTGACTCGCCCAGCACAGGATCCCTCTCCGGTTTTGGCACTGACCAGACTTGCTCATAACCACCAGCATTCTCTCCCCCTTTGGCGAAGTCCCATTCCCCTCCGCCCTTGGGATAAGCACCGATCATTGTGAAGCCCGAGAGCTCGATATTGGCAAGAGCATCTCTGACATCTTCGGCTGCAACTGAGTGCCCATCGCCCGGCGTCAACAGCTTGAACTCCGTCAGCGGGTTCGTGTTGAACGTCTTGTGCGCAGTTCCGGCAGGCAGGATAAACACATCGCCCGGTCCAGCTGCCACTTCGATGCCTCCCTCCTCTCTGCCAGACCCGAACGTGCTCTTCTCAAGGTCCGGGTCGGTATCTGCCACGCCAAAGCGGATGGTGGCGGTGCCAGTTAGAACCACCATGCACTCATGAGCCATGCTGTGGTAGTGAGAGGTCTGAGTCTGACCGTACCGGAAGATCCATTGCGTCTGCCATCCGTTGCTGGAGAAAAGATCGTAAATCTTCGTCGCGGCGTCATTGCCGGATTCGACGGACAGAAATCTGGGATAATGAAGGAGAGGTTGTGGAGAGTTCGGGATCAGAGCGGTGGGAGGGAGCTGGTATTGCTTGACTTCTACCATGATGTCTACCCTGACTTTGATGATTTCATTGGGGAGAGGGTAGTGTTCTGTTCAGTCCGTTGGCAAGGTAAGTCTTAATGCTACTTGCTTCCTCCCCGCACGGAGTTCTGCGTGATGTTTGCGGCCAGGCATTACGTTCTCTTGGTTCGAAGCCTCATCACGTGATCTATCTACTGTACTGTGTACGCTTCACAATGCACGGTTCTATCTCCCAATCGTAAGCTTGACGATAAAGTCCGGAGATACAGCTGAGGTGCATACGCACCGCCAGCTGCACAGAAGCTCCAAAATCTATCGGGACGAAGTCGTTCATGCATTGGGGCGCCCGATCTTCAGAGTCTCCTACGGTGCGAGCCTTGCTTCGGCTTTAATCCCGGCCTTAAGCCATGTTCCCTCTTTCACTTGAACTCTCTTGCAGCCTCAGTGGACAGGCCTCCTACTGAGGCCGTCCAACTCGGACTCTGCACTTGTTTCGGTTTTGTATAACCAAGCCTATAAATATGGGCTTGCTGGGGAGCGTCGTCACTGAAAGACGACTTCTGCTTCAACCTCATTACACCTCTTCTTAGGAGCCTTGAACTTCCCTCAACACTCGATTACGTCTGACAGGAAATGAGCACCGTCTACCTCATCACCGGCGCCAACCGTGGCATAGGCCGCGGTCTCACGGACCTGATCCTATCGAGGCCCAATACCAGTGTGGTCGCACTAGTCCGCGACCTCGACCACGAAACTTCAAAATCTCTCGCTTCCACCACGCCCGGCGCGTCCAACACGCTCACCATCCTACCATATGACGCCAAGCAACCCGGATCCGCCGAGACCGCGATCTCGACGCTCCGAAAGACGCACGGCATCACGCATGTCGACGTAGTCATCGCCAACGCGGGCACGCTTTCGAAGCGCGGGCCGACGGTAGACACCCCAGCCGAAGCCATCCTCGAAGCCGTCGACGTCAACACAGTCGGTCCGTTGCAGCTGTTCCGTGCTTGCCTACCTCTGGGCCCCGCAAAGTTCATCGCCATCAGCTCGGCCATCGGCTCGACCACACAGATCCCGCAACATGCGCACTCGCAGACCGTCGCGTACGGAATCAGCAAGGCCGGCCTGAATCACGCCATGCGCAAATTGAGCGTCGAGTATCCTGACATGGTGATCGAGATGTTGACGCCTGGACCCGTGATGACGGATTTGACGAGAGAGTACAAGTCATTCATGGAGGAGGCGCTTAAGAAGAACCCGACCCTGGCGGACCGATTTGTCCCGATTGATAAAGTGTGCAATGGATTGCTAGGCCTAATTGACTCGGCGTCCAAAGAGACGAGTGGTGGGTTCAGAGATTGGTCGGGCCAGGTCGTACCATTCTAGGCGGCAAAGAGCAAGCTGATGGAGAACACATAGGTCAACCCTTGTTTGAAATTGAATCATAGTGCCCAGCAAAGTCCTGGATATGTATGCATACAGCTGCATCGATCAAGGAACTGCTCGCTACGGTATGTATGCATCACCATAGGTTCGGACTAGCTTAGAGACACATAAGCTTCCGTTTTGACGGTGGCCAAAATCCAACGGAACACGCTGGGGCCAGAAAGGTTTCCCATACAATTCTCCGCTGAGATTTACTCCTTATACTTCCTGTCGTGGAAGCCAGCGAGCACCTCGACGGTCCCGTCGCCCTTTTCTGCCCATCTCTTCGCTGCGATGTCTGGATTGAGTTGAAGCAACTGCTTGGCTTTGACGTACTCCGCCATTGTCACCGGTTGATCGAACCTGGGCTCCACGCCAGCTTCGCGAAGAACTGGCGAGTCCGTGATCGGCACCAACACCGTATCATTATGCGGACGGGCAAAGTACAGCAGCCCCGTCCTCTTGTACTGGCGTTGGTCCTCGGGCGGCGCAACGACCCGGTGCACCGAACTCTTCAGCCATCCGCCCGTCAAGTGCGCCAACGTGTCGGCCAGGTTGACGGTGATGGTACCGGGCTGCGCGGCGACGTAGCGCCACTCGCCGTCGGTGTCGCCGAGGATCTGCAGTCCTGCGACGGGCTGGCGGAACAAGAGCGTCACGGAGCCCAGGTCGGTGTGGCCGCCGCCTTTGCCGTAGTTGCTGGCCTTCCACTCCTCCTCGCTGCGTGGGTAGTACAGCATGTAGCGCATGTGGTCCTCGGATTTCTTGTCGTACGTGTGCTGTCGGGCCAGGTAGTCCTCGTCCGGCAGGCGCAGGATGATGGCGAACAGGCGCAACAGCGGCAGCACGACGTTGGCGTGCAGCGTGCGGTGGAAGTGCTCGATCTCGGAAAGGTGCGCCTTCAGCAGCGCCGGCTGGTCGTACTTGCCCGCGAAGTCGGGCGTGAACTTGGCGAAGTTGTAGATCTCCACGTTGTCCTTGGCGTTGCCTTGCAGGTATCGGCCCGGTCGGCGCCAGCCGTTGTAGTCCGCGGCCGCGTAGTTGATCTCGTACTTCTCCTTCTCCGCCACGGGCAGGTCGAAGAAATTCTTGGCCAGCGTGAATTGTTGGTCTATTTGTGTCTGCGTGAGGCCGAAGTTCTTCACATAGAAGAAGCCGACGTCGTGCACGGCGTGCTCGAGTTGTTGGGCCAGTCGCTCCTTGCCACCCGGTCGCGCGTAGTCTTCCAGGTCGAGCGTGACGAGCTCGGCCCAGGGAAGGTCGGCCTTGGTCTCAGGTGGGTGCTCGTAGGGCGTAAGCCGGCTGTAGTCGTATTGGTGGGGGTCATCAGCCTGGTCTGGCTGGACCTTGACGGCTGCCGGTTCCACGGTGGTGCTGGACATATCTAAAACTTCGTTGCACGTCTGGGGGTCTTATGAAGATCTTGGCGCGGTTTGTCGTTCTATAAAAGTGTTCGATCAGCGTCCGTTGAGCAGCCGGACGACATACCTGGGCCCGTTGAGTGTGCTTCTTCTCGTTAAATATCTACTGTGAGGGGAAAGTGTTGTCATCCTTCCATGATATGTCGCCATCGGGTCGTGGCCGCGACTCTCATTCGCTGAAAGATAACCTCGCTTCACAATGCGTGTGCAAGGTAGACCCTCTCACTGGGTGCTTTGAAATCGAATCCGGCATATCATAGTGAGTACAGAGAGCGTGGGCTTTGTGAGGCCCGAGGGTTGTTGCATATCGGCTCCTGAAGTCCCGAGTGCTGACCGAGACATGTGGCAGTCCAAAGTATCTGGGCAGTCTGATTCGCGCCCTGCGACTAGTACACCATTGTTACATATCTCAGCTTGTCTCTTTTGTGCTAGCGACCTGGTCTCCTCCTGCGATAGAGCGGAGTCCTGCTTCGTAGATACCGTTCTACGCCGGAGACATCCGGAGTTGGTCGGGTTGGATTTTGAGGTAGGTCGATGATGGAAGTAATGTCCAAAATGTCGCAATCGCGTGCGGACTCTGTTTATATAGTGGTTGTCACCAGTGGCCGTCGCCGTTGTAAATCATGTCGCGAGAGACCTTCGTCCAGAGTACTTGCAATTCTTTGGCAAGAACCCGATCGATGCGAAAATATGGCCTTAAAGGTATCCGACTTAGACAAGCCTGCTTTGGAGGCCGATGCCGGTCCAGTCGGCGGGTCGATTTCGACAACAGTGACCCCAGTCGTTGATGCTCAACCTCTGAAAACTCCTAGGACGAGGACTCGACGTGTCCTACGCTCCATTCAGCGCTACGTCTGGGATGATCCTGACAGGCCGAAAGATGAGAAGTGGTTCTTGTTCAAGCTTGACGTCTTCCTGCTTAGTATATCCTGCCTGGGGTATTTCAGCAAGAACCTGGACCAAGCGAATATCAGCAATGCTTATGTATCTGGGATGAAAGAAGCGCTGAACATGAATGGAAGTCAGCTCACATATGCCGGCAATGTCTTCACGGCCGGATATGTTCTTGGCCAATTACCCGCGGTCATGTTGGCCACGCGTGTGCGTCCGTCCATCCTCATCCCAACAATGGAGGTTCTATGGTCCGTCTTCACCTTCTGCTCAGCGGCAGTCAAGACGTCGTCTCAGCTCTACGCCATGCGATTTCTGCTGGCCATATGCGAAGGCACATACTTCCCAACGGTCGTGTACATCATTGGCTCATGGTACACCAGGAGCGAGCGTGGGAAGCGTATGACCATATTCTATGCCACGGCGAGCTTGGCTGGCATGTTCAGCGGCTATTTGCAGGCCGGAGCATACCGAGGACTGGACGGTGTTCTTGGACACGAAGGGTGGCAGTGGCTGTATATCATCTGTGGAGTCATTAGTCTCCCTGTTGGCATCCTTGGGTACTTTTTCTTTCCGGACTTCCCAGAGACCACCCGTGCCTTCTACATCACAAAAGAAGAGGCTGAATGGGCGAAGAGGAGGCTGGCTGCCGATGGGATGAAACCTCTAGGGGCGTCGGCGTGGGATCGGACCAAGATCTTCCGCATCATGGCTCAATGGCAGTTCTGGATTCTCCCGGTCGGGTATTTTTTTGTCCAAGCCAGCTACCCAATCTACCAGCCGGTCTTTGCCCTCTGGCTCAAGGCCACACATCATTCCATCTACCAGATCAACGTCTGGCCTACCGGTCAATACGCTGTCGGCGTGGTAGTGCAGATACTGGCAGGCATCTTATCGGACTCCCCACTGCTCCGAGGCAAACGATGGCAGGCACTGATCGCCATGCAAGTGCCTACCATTTTCGGTTGCATCGTGCTCGCCATCTGGGATGTTCCTGATGGGCTCAAGTACGTGGCGTACTATTTGACATACACCTGCGCTGGCGTGCCCGGCATATACTATGCATGGTACTCTGAGCTGATCCCACATGATCATGAGATGCGAGGGTTTGTGATCGCTTGGTCAAACATGTTCAGCTACATCCAGTCGATATGGTGGACACTGACCGTTTGGAGGACAGTTCTTGCACCACGTTTCCATGCGGCTTTTATTGCAGCCGCATGTCTGGGCGTAGCACTCTGTTGTGTCTCAGTTCTGCTCACCATTCTTGGGGAGCGCGACCGCAAGAAACGCGCTCTGGCTCAAGAAGAGCTCCGTGACGAGGAGATTGTCGCCGCAGACAGCAAATCCACGGATGGGAGCAGAAAATCACCTGCAACGGTGGGTGGCCTGACTAGCTTAGTGTGATGATGCGCACCTATTTATGGCTTCACCAGGAGGACCCGAGACCCTCGACGCATGAAATTGATTTGAAGCCCGTTGAGCAGGAGTCGTATTCGGTCCAGAACTGCGGACTCGAGATCTGCAGTCGCGTACGAGGGGGGATTGGGCCCAAGATTCCAGCCTTCCGTCATAAGACAGATGCGCGACGAGAGTAGCGGGGAGCTACAGCGACGCTCGCGACGGGGGACGATAGCGAGCAAAGGTGCCGCCGATCAGGCACGCCGTTGCGACATTGTTCATAGTGAAAGCTGCAAGCTGGCGTTCTTTTGGCCGAGTGTGACTGTGCAAGAACCGCTCGTGAGATTTCAACACTCGTATTCGGACTATTCCTAGTAGTCCTCCCCATGACTCATTCGCGGGTTTTGTCGGAGCGTCCGGCAGTTGCCGAGCCTCGCTTCATCAACCCCTTATTAGACGCTGGGGTTGCACATTATCATGAGCATCATGTTCGATACTTCAAGTTGATGTGCCGTGTTGTATGTTCAGTCGTGAAAGCATAGATGGGCTAATTGATAGCTCAGCAGCACATAGTTCAGCCAGCCCTCCCGAGCTTCTCGCATCAGCAACTCCAATGTCGGTTACGGGTCTCGACCATGATAACTCAGACACGCTTCTCCTCCCGGATGGACGAAAGCTTGGATACGCGCAGTATGGCTCTCAGACGGGCCGCGCTGTCTTTTTTGTGCATGGCCATCCGGGATCCCGCATCGAGGGCGCCCATCTCCACGACATCGGCCTGAAACTAGGGGCCCGCATCATTGCTCCAGACAGACCTGGCATAGGTTTGAGCTCGCCGCAACCCGGTCGAACACTCCTTGACCACCCAAAAGATCTGGAACACCTGGCAGATCATCTCAAGCTGGAGAGATATGGTGTCCTGGTACGTGCGGCCTGGTACTTCTAATGATCTTCGCGACGGCGAGCTAATGATCATCATGGTCAAGGGAGTATCAGGCGGTGGACCATACGCGCTCGCTTGCGCTTTTGCATTACCTCGAGAAAAGCTCAAGTGTGTTTCGATCGTCTGCGGCCTTGGACCTGTATCTGAAATCGGTATGAAAGGGGCGCGATGGGTGAATTGGCTCGGATTCACATTTTATCCCTACACCCCCCGCATCGTCAATCGGTGGTTCTGGCAGTCGCAAACAAACGGCCGCCTGGATTGGAGTGACGAGAAGCGCCTTGAGCAGCACATGAAGGATTTGTCGAAAGCTGACAAGAAAGACGTTGAAGTTATGACGGATCCAGTCAATGCCCGGCTCATGTTGCGCTCGGGTCGGGAGACCTTCGCTCAAGGGTTTGATCCGACCCTGCAAGATGGCATTCTACTGTCCAAGGACCTGGGATTTCGCATTCAGGATATTCGTCCTGACCTGCCAGTGCAGCTGTGGTATGGGAAGCAAGATGTCAATGTTCCGCTCAACCACGGGGAAACAATAGCCAAGCGGTTGGGCGATCGAGCAACTCTTCGAGTGGAAGATGAGACACATGCAAGCATCTTTTTCAAATGGCGGGAACAGTTTCTAGGGGATTTGATAAAGAGGATTTGAGGTAAGTATCAACCTTGTACATCAACGCCCAAAGGCTCGCCTCTCCATCAAGGTAGCACATAAGTAGTCCATGTATAATACATCACAGCTCCAAATTAATAAAAGACGAGGCGGGCTTTAACATGTGTCAGTTGTAACCATGATGAACACAATAGATGACAATCACAGGGATCTGAGAGGCTGTGGTGGCTCTTCCTTTGGAATTGCAAACAACGTCCTGTCGAAGCGAGAAGATTGAGTGTCTGACAGCAAGGATTAGATTGATTTCCCCAGCCGACTCCCGCACCACATTGCGCCAAGTATTTTGTCATTCTATTTGAATTTCCAGCCCGCAGGAATTTGTTCATAGAGGGTGTTCTTGGACTTTCATCCTCTCTACACGACTCTTCGCCGATCAACCTAGTAGACAGCCAATGATTCGATGCGCAATATGGGTGAAACAGATTCAAAAGAAAGCACTGCTACCTGCGTGCGCTGAAGTGAAGGCAACTTGCATTTTCCGCGCTCCATCTCTGGATTTGAGCTGACCTGGTGCAATCATCATCGTTCCTGGTGCACCGTCCACTCGAGATCTCGTCGAGCTGCGAACATGATCCCGCTCCCGCCGGTACCTTACAGCTCCCCAGCAAGCCCTGCCGACGCTTTGTTGCTGTTACTATTTCGGGAGCAATATTGAGGCCATAGCACACGTGCTGAGGTACAATCTGGTGGTCCTTGCTTCGACACCTGGACCAGCCAAGACAGCCTCATTTTGAGGTCTGAGCGTCGGAATCTAGACGACAGCATTACTTTCGACAGGATTTCTGCCCTAGCACAAAGGTATGCGGCTTTTAGCATTCAATGGTGCTAATCAATATTTCCGTCCTTGCTCATTCGAGTGTTCCATCCCAAAGCCTTTTTCAGTATATGCTGCTCTGGAAAGCAACTGCTCTATGAACCTAGCCGAATCGATGGCCCTCATGTGGTACCTCAAACCAGCTATGCATCGCTCCGAAAGGAAGTCAATTCCTGATCCCGAGGTAACATCGCAATGTTTCTGGAAGGCACCCCAGATTTTATTATCCATTGACAAAGAAGTGCCATTCGAAGTCTTACTCTTTCGATCCGTTCTCACCTGGCAAAATGTTATCAACTGGTCTCCTCCTCGCAACCGCCTTTGGGCATGTCCTCGGACTCCCTCAAATATACTCTCGTGACGACGAGTTGAAAACACATCTGGGGGATGACAAGATTAAATGGAGTACACACTGTTCATACCTAGGGTTCGAAAGCGATCTGCCATACAGCTGTGCCAACTTCACTGTCCCGCTCGACTACAGCAACCCAAAGTCAAACAACACTCTGACGTTAACTTTAACCAAGATCGATGCGGTTAAACAGCCAGCAAGGGGAAGCGTACTTTTCAATCCTGGTGGACCGGGTGCTGGAGGGGCTGATATGATCACTTCATTCGGCGAGGAGTTCATGACGTACGGATTCAACATTGGTACAAGCCACAGAAGCTGACAGATGCTATACAGGGTACTCGGAGGTGAGTTCAATCTCATTGGCTTTGATCCAAGGTGAGACCTCTTTTTCGCCCATCCTACAACTCGAGACTGACGTCCTACAGAGGCACGGCAAACACACTCCGCTTCGACTGCTACGACAACTCTGACATGGACCGCGCACTCCTGGCTCCTCCGGACAACACTCTTGGCAACGCATCTGATACTGCGTTGGGACAAAATCTCGCATACGCCGAAGTCGCCGCTTCTCAATGCCTCGATGCTGCGGCCGACATTGGAGGATTGCTCGGCACTTCCTTCGTTGCCAGAGATATGGCCCGTATCGTGGACGCTCTCGGAGAAGACGGACTTCTTCGATACTGGGGTCAGTCCGTCAATACTCCTGATTGACCAATGCTGAAGGCGATAGGTTTTTCATATGGCACGGCTCTCGGGGCAACCTTCTCCGCGATGTTTCCAGAAAAAGTCGACAAAGTCGTCCTTGATGGCAATGTCAACGTACACGAATATTACTCCGGAGAGTATGGCGTTCCCGCCTCTTTTGCGGCATGGATGTGCTCACTAGCCATAGGGAAATCGAGAGCCTTGACAGCCTTGACAGCGTTGTGCAAGGCTTCTATGATGGCTGCGTCGCTAACCCCGATGAATGTGCGTTGGCAAAGGAAGGTCAGACGTCCCAAGATATTTCCAATGTCGTCGAAGCATTCCTCGCAACACTTCGATACAACCCGATCGTCGTGACGGACGAGATCTCCATAATCATTTCCTATGACAAGGTGAAGACATTCATGTTCGAATCAATGTATCGACCAAATAGCTGGCCAACTGTCGCGGTACTACTCGACCTATTGATTCAAGGCAACTCGACTGGGTACGTGGACACGCTCGAACAGTTGGCAGGGGGAGGGAATGGTACAGACCGAGAAGCACCTGATGCTTTCAAAGGCATCCGATGTGGAGATGTCGCCTTCCGAGCCGATATCCTGTCTGCCTTCGATTCTTTCAAAGAGGCTGTTGTTCCGACCAGCAAATGGGGCGGTTTAGATTTGGGACTTGATAACATCATGCAATGCGCACCTTGGAAGATGAGAGCCAAAGAAGTTTACTCCGGGTCTTGGTCCAACATTCGAACCAAGAATCCTCTCTTGATCATTGGCAACACCTACGATCCTGTTACGCCTCTGGTGTCTGCAAGAAACAACAGCGCTGCGTTTGAAGGCAGTATCGTGCTTCAGCACAATGGCTACGGTGTAAGTGTCTAATCCTGCGCTGCGAAGCGAGATGTCTGCTAACATTGCATCCACTACAGCACTGCTCTATTGCGCAACCGTCGTTGTGCTCGGCCAAATATGTCCAGGCATATTTCAAGAACGGCACTCTGCCGGCTCCAGGGACCATCTGTGAAGTTGACGTTCCGCTCTTCTCGGATGAAACGTGGGCGAATGCATTCTCCCCCATTAGTCTCAATGGCACATCGGCTGGGATGGTGAAACGGTCAGTGGAGGATAGTGCTTTGCTGAAGGCTATGACGGGGCTTTCCCGATCACCAGCTCGCTATGGCAGGGCACAGTAAGCTAGCAATGGTTCATTCCAAAGTGTCTGTACCATAGGCTGCCTATCAACTTGTGGACAGAACTTGTGGCATAGTGTACCACGGTACCCTTCTACACCACAACCTCTTCCTAATTCGGACCAGTCTACTCCTGAGGTGTATTCCTTTAAGGAGTGGAGAGACCTATTTTCCATTCATGCCTCAAGCGAGGACTAGAATTCGCCTTATGAAAAGCACGGTTAGATTCTGCGTCACGTGCTTCACCCTCCACCCGCTGCTCTGTTTACCTAGTTTGCCTTGTTTGCTTGGTTTGCACCGGCCCCTGTCCCTTGACATCACCACCATGTGCCCTCCCTCAATGCGCACCGACACCGACAAACTTGACTTGTCTACCGTGTCCCTACTCCTCATTTCTACCTACCTGTTAGCATTCACTTAATCTGCGTATCCTGTCCTTTTCGCCTGCATACCACCCACCGACCATGTCCACCGTTCAGATCCCCGCCGGCAAGACCTGGTTCGACACGCACAAAGTGCACTTTGAAGATGTGCCCATCTCCGCCGACGACCAGGGGATCTCGACCACCGAATTCCTCAATGCCTCCGAAGCCACCACCACCCTCTTCGACCTCTTGGGCTCGGTGGCCTTCACGCCAGTCAAGAACGACATGATGACTAACGTGACCAAAGTCCGCGAGCGGCAAAAGGCCGCGCCCCAGGGCTCCTCGGACACGCTGCAAGCACTCTGCAAAACCGAGCTCGCCTCGAAATCCCACAAGGCTACCGAGGGACTGCTGTGGCTGGTCCGGGGTCTCGACTTCACTGCACAATCGCTGCGCGCAGATCTCACGAGCAATGCGGCCGTGGCGCCGACAGAGGCCAAACCAAACAAAGAGTTGGCAGACGGGTTCAGAGCAGCCTACAAGAACACGCTGGCACCGCACCACGGATTTCTGATCAAGCCAATTTTCAGTGCGGCTATGAGTGCCACGCCGTACAGAAAAGATTTCTACGTCAGGTTGGGAGGTCAGGGGACTGATCCAGAGACCGTGAGACAGGCACTGGAGAAATGGGTGTCTGCGTTGGAGAAAAGGGTCGAGATTCTGAAAACATTTCTCGCTAGCAAGGAGGCCAAATGGTAGGAGCAAGGATAGGGAAATTTGAGATCGATCAGATGCAGAAGTGCGCTCGAGCCAGTAGGCCAGGCCAGGCTCGCACAGAAGAGGAAGGAATATATCTAAGACACGGGACAGAGGAAGATATGATGAAGCCACGAGATAGATTGCAGCTCGTTCCGCAAGTTCCACGCTCTGATACCTTTGCTCTTTCGCATTTTTATCTTCGACTCTTTATCAAGTTTCTCCATATACCGTAATTCCGCTTCTACAGAGTGACCCCGTAAGCGCCGCCGCTATGTAACAGTCGAAAAACTCGACACCAACCCAGATGCCGTACAGTAGCGGCCAAAGTGGTGATTAAGCCGTACTCAAACCATCATTGCCGACCGTCTTCGAGTCCTTCTGTCGTTGTCTCTCCAGATACTCATCAAGCAATTTCTTCTTCTCGACATCGAGGTCCGACTCATCGTCGTCCGCCGAGGCCACGACGGGCGGCTTCACGGGTGGCTCAGTCCCGTCCTTGTACAACCCGGCACTCTCGAACGCCGCCTCCAACTCACCCACGAGCTCCTGGGCCACGTCCAGCGACACTGGGTTCTGCTGATCCAACTCCCACCTCGCATGCCGATAGATTGTGCGCATCTTGGCCAACTTCTTCGGGTCGGCCATCATATCCGGCAACATGTCCCTTCGGGACTTCATCGCAACCAACTCCCTCTCCGCCGTGCCGTCGGCGAACGCCAGGCTCATGCGGATCTTGTCTGGGTTGATCTTGGCCTCGCCCACGACGTCCTCTTCGATCCGCCCGCTCTTCTTGGCCGGGTAGTCGTGCTCCTGCCACTTGACCGCCGAGGTCCACTCCCAGGGCCAGGACCAGGGGGTCCAGACTGCTTTGGCGAAACCAATGACCAGATTCTGGCTGATCGGCCCATACCAGTTCGAGTCCAGCGTCTTGTCGCGGCTGTTGGCGTCGCCTTCGACCCAGATGTGGTTGTACGGCACGACCACGGGCTCGTCACCGCCTGGATAGCCCGGTAAGGGTTGGACGCGGTCTCCCGGGATCCCGACGACGCGCTTGACGGCCCATTTGGTCGGGTCGTGCGGGGCGTAGAACACGATGATCTGGCCGCGCTGGATCTGGAATTTGGGGTTTCGAAGGATGATGCTCGGACGTGACGGGAAGGCCACCTTTTGGAGGAGGATGCGGTCGAAGGACGTCTCGGGGAGTTCGGGGGAAGAGTGCGTGTTCAGGTACGGCGCCATGGAGGGCCCGCGCACGGTCACGATGCGTAGGGGGAACTCGGTAATGATGAAAGCGATGGGCGGGAAGAGGAAGAACAGCCGCCAGAGCCAGCGGCGGGCTGTGGCAGATGTGAAGGCTGAGAATAGTGGGTTGCGAGGTGGAGGTGGCGGAGGAGGCGGTTCGCTTTGGGAGGGCGAGGGCATGGGTTGAGGGATTGGCTTGTCATCTTCGGCGCGTAGAGGGAATGATAAACTGGGCTTTGCGTTCTCTTTGAGTGCTGTGAGCGGTCGAGGAGGGAGGGGACGAGAGATTCGCGTGCTGGAGGCATGCCGGATGAAGCGTAGTATGACAAGCCCTCTGGACGCGGGAGGCATGGGCTGTGTTGGGAGTGGAAGACGGGTTTTGCGGAGTAGTAGCTTTGACAGCCAATTCGAGGCTACAAATATGGGCTATAATTCCTTCTCTTGTGCCATACGGAATACTGCAGTGTATAGTTCAGCGAAGTATCTCGTAAGCAGTGGCAGTGAAGAAGCTCCAGAAAGAATCAAATCTCCCATGCGGAGAAAAGCATGGCAGGTTTGCCGAATTTTGATATCGATACTGGGTCACAAACTGTGCCAGTGTTGCCAGCACCTTCCCATATATCGCCTTGTCGCTGCTGCGATGAGGCGTGCCCAGGAAGCAGAGACCAAGGATCGCATTTCCTTGATGGTTTGGTATCGTGGCCCTCGCCGTGCTTGCAGGAGAGCCTACGACTACGGTTAATCATCGGTTTATACCTCCTAGAGAACTAGGGTATCAGCCGTACTTGTTTCACCAAACGATTCCTCCAAGGGAGTGGGCGATGAACATGAGAGGACGATGGATCTCCTAACACAACATCAACGTCTGTCTCAGCCCGCCCTGTTTGATATACCGTACGTCCGCCTCCTCTCTTTTCTCCAGCAAACTGGCCAATAAGCTTTTGGCGTGATCAATGATCTCCGCTGCCGACTACCCAAACGCCGCATCGGCATTATAGCCAAAAGTCATAATGATCTTTTTACTGTATGGAAACTTTCTAGATTTGGCGTGCGTGCAGGTCGCGAAGGCATCGCCGACGAGGCCGTGGACGGCTACGATACTGTGCAAGGGTCGCGTCAGCGAACCGCCGTCCCAACGTCGGACGCTAGAGTTGATAACTCAAAGTTGAGGGAAGCAAAAATCACTCAAGAGTAGGAGACGAGGCTGATCCTATGGCAATAATGGACAGCGACATAACGACGCAGTTAGACGATTAGAGACATAAACGCCGAAGGGGCCCTTTATCGATGTAAGTAGCTGTGACGGTATATCCGTAGGCGGGCGATAGAGCCGGCACAAGGCTACAGTAGCGTTGACATCGTAGGCGGGTCGAGTTTTCAGCCGCAGACGCTTCAGCGGCAGCTTCTCTTGACGTGTTTAGCAATTGAAGCGGTGAGAGAAGTAACCCAGGTGACTATGGCTTGTTTCTTGAATCGTGGCTGTTATCTTTAGTGGTCAGACACGCCCGGCCGTGAGTAGGCTCGGTCCTCGGCTGTTTGATGATCAGTATATATGTACCTCTAGAGCATCGACTCCAACCTGAGATATACGAGTCAAAGTAATACAATTTGTTAGTTCAGCGAGATTTAAGACCCAATTTTATTCAGCCACGATCACCAAGATCTTTGGGCCTTGACCTTTATATTGTATATACCTGATGGGCCTTGGTACTTTTCCTTGGTAGCATTGAATGATCCGTCAGTAACCTTTACGGCGTATCTTGCTAAAGAGGTGCAAGGTATTGGAGCGGCAGTCGTCCGCAACCTGGCAGCAAAAGGATGCTCCATCGTGATCAACTACACCTCGGACTCCTCTGCGTCGAAAGCGGCAACACTTGCCTCGATTCTAAATGCCAGCTACGGCACCGTCGCGATAACCGTCCAAGCGGACATGGGCGATCCCGGTGGACCTGCAAGCATCGTTGCGGCAGCGAAACAACACTTTACAGATAGCAAGACTGGGAGGTTCCAGATCGACATCATCGTCAACAACGCGGGTGTCGTCTCGATGGAGTGGATCCAAGATTTCAAGTTCGAAAGCTTCCACCAGTCCTACGCTGTCAACGTTCTTGGGCCACTTCTGTTGATGCAAGCGGCCATGCCTTATTTGCCTCACGACCGCTCCGGAAGGATTGTAAATGTTTCTTCCGTGTCTTCCCAGCTGGGCTGCGCAAGCCACAGTGTCTATGGAGGATCGAAAGCAGCTCTCGAAGCGATGACACGGACCTGGGCGCGAGAGCTGGCAAGCAGAGCCACCGTAAACGCCGTGAATCCAGGGCCTGTTGCCAGGAAAATGTATGCACACGTGCCCGGGAGCGAATTTGAGCGCATGAGCAAACCCTTCCTGCTGAATACTCCGTTGGCTGAGGTACGGCCACAGATCGATGGCGAAGATCTGGTCAAGTATGCGGAGGCGGCTGGAGGACGGCCAGCTTACGACCATGAAGCTGCTGGCGCGATCGGCATGTTGTGTACGCCTGACGCCGCATGTACGGGGAGTGTCGTGAATGACAATGGTGGCATGAAGTTCTGTATCTAGCCGACATGTCGCGTCCAATGGCGGCGGAGGACAAATATGGGCATTCCAGTCGATCTATATTGGTCGAGCCGTTGATGAAACTCCGCCAAAGTCCTCCGCTAGCGGGGTCGGCGCCTAGCTTAGTCTACCGGAGTGAAGTTGGGTAATGAGGAGGAATCAGACCTTTGCATTGACTCGCCTCACTCGCCGCTAGAGCCATCTTCCCCCATACTTCGATCTGAACAAACGTCCCTACAGCAATTTCAAGGAGCGTATGCGGGTGATTTGGTGGCGCTGCACAGGAAGACATCACGATCCTAGGGTATTGATTGAATGTGGTCAAGCCCCATGGCCTTGAACGGCTTGAACGCCATGCACGAATCACCGGTTCAAGCTTTCAGCACAGGCGACAACGAGAACCGTAACAACTGTCAGCGGTCCCGTCAAAAGGCATGTCTAGCGTGCGCCCAGGCGAAGCGCCGCTGCAATCGAAGACTTCCCCAGTGTGCTCGATGCCTTGAGAAAGGTTTTAGATGCGCATATACCAACCGTCTCGCCATGGCCAGCTCCGGCATGGCCATCAACCTCGATGTTCCTGCTTTTTGGTTCAACCAACCTCCAAGTCAACAGCTACCCCCGTCAGAATACGCGGGGTATGTCGGACCCGAATCTTTCACCTTTCCAGTGTCCGATTCTCCTGCTCCGCCAATCTTCACCGACTTCAGTGAGGGTAATTGGGTGTGGCAGCCTGTGCTCGATGAAGGCACCTTTTTCCAAGAATTTTCGGCGCAAGATGACGGTCGATCCGATTATTGCTTGCGTGTATTGAAAGGATACCCAGAGACCTTCGTCCGCGAGGGCAGATCGGACTTTCTCCACCAACGTCTGTACCGAGACTCTTCGCCCAAGCCTATCCAAGATGCCTACTGCATCTGTTCGGTCTATTTGAGCAAGACCGAGGCCAACGAAAATATGGTATACCGCATTATCGACTCGAAAGTCAACGCCTTACTAGAGCCCCACTCAAGTTGGACCTATGATGTTAACTTGGCGTGCGTGCAAGCCTTAGTCCTGGTCTTGATCATTAGGCTGTTTGATTGCAACATCAAGCAGAGAGTGCTTGCCGAACAGTTGGAGGTGGTTCTCGATTTGTGGACTGAGCAACTACGGAGACGAACTGTTGTGGAACTCCCGCCAATGTGGTCAGCTCATCACGTCTGGGCTTCTGTCGAAAGTGCGCGGCGGACTATCATGATCTCCTTTCTGTTGAGAGGCCTGTACTCTTTGCTCAAGAGAAGAGTCTGTCAATTCGCCTCGACCATGCGAACCCTTCCGTAGAGTACACGCAAGGCTCTCTGGGAACCCCCGTCTACAGATGAATGGTCGTTCGCGAGTCCACAAATTCCGATCGACTCAACTGTCACGTGGGAAGAGTTCACGGCGTCGTGAGCCGCAGAAGGGCCAGGTGTCGAATATTGGCACGTTCGAGTCTTTGCTCATTATCGTGTGCCGCGGTCAAGATACACTCGAAGGATTTGACTGCTTTCGTCTCAATTAAAGCACAGTTCTAAGTTGCTCTTCGTGGACGGCACAATCGATCTTAACTTAGCCCCTTAGATAGGGGACATAGTGGTACCCCTTAGTTCAGCTAGATCAAGTGGGAGCATATATATTCTACCCTTTACGCAGAGCGCATCATTGAGATAGAAGAGGAAGGTCTCGAGATAAATGCTGACTGTATATACGTGCCTAAGTATCAACGGATTTAGAAGGTATCTATAGACCTTAACTATCTGGGAAGTCTGCCGAGAGCAGATATACGCGTCGCGTTGTTCTGCATCCTGTTTGTGGCTCCTTGAGCTACGTCCTTGTGCTAGTCATCAAGCCTGCCTGTTGAATAGCTTCACGTAGAGAATACACTGCCTAGTCAATACCTATTTCCTATTCCGCCCGCCGCCCGAGACACCGACAGCCAACAATCGGGTATTCGAGGTAAGGCGACGACCCTTAGCCAAGTTGTCCAGAAACCGACCCTATGTACACTTGAAGATTCGCATAACTAATCGCAGAAATAATCCCACTGCTATATACGTCTCCGCCAACCCGGACCCAAATCTCGTACTCATTGCGGTAGTCAACCGGGAAGGAGATTGACAATGGAAAGGCTTGCCGGGAACTAAAGTCGTCGTCGGTATCCAAATACCACAAGTTGATCTTCTGGTTGATGACCTCCGCGCCAACCGTACCACTTGGTGTAAATTCTGCGACAAAGAACCCAATCCAAGCTCGAGTATGCGCATGGGCAAGGGGTGCTTGGTTGCCGTAGGAATAGGTTAATCCTAGGGTGGCCGATAGCCTCATAGATGTCAGGCCAGGGTGGGGCAGTCGATATCTTCTTCCGACCGCGACCGCACAAGATCCGGACGCGTTGTTGGCATGCAGGTTAAAGCCTATTATGCCGCCAACGCTCTTTCGGGTTTGAAAGAATCCAGATCCATCGTGGTCTTCAAAATCCCAGACAAACTCCCATGGAGCCGCGAAGACCGGATTGAGTAGTCCAAAATCTGTGAGAGGTGGGCCAATTGCCGGTACAGGCGTTGGAAGGGGTGCTTCTGCCAGAGCAAGAGACTTCTGCCGCGCATTTTCCAGAGCTTGCTCGATATTATCATCTCCTTTTGTCAATTTGCGCAGAATTAGGGACATCGCTTCTCGCCTAGAAGATCCCTCTTCTAGGAGCGCCTTTCGCCTGTTGAACTGCTCCACACATAATTCGGTAAGCATAGCTGCACTCTTTGCGCTCTCGCACTCTTTTTCTTCTGTAGACGCCATCGCGGATACGTGCGAATTACTCCCGCGAGATAGGTATTCGCTGGTAAAAGTTCGAAATAGGTTCACCTATTACTGCAGCTGCTTAGTCCTTCAAAAGCAGACTTTCAGCCCTAGATATCCTCAGTAGAAGGCCACCCACCTCCTTTTCAGCTGCATATTTCGACGAATAGTTCGCCCCGTAAACTTACGAAGCCAAGGACCCCAAAGTGTAGAGTTAGGCGAACTGTAAGAGCCTGGAGCGTTCCATATTGCAATGTGGACGTCATGAGGAGTCAACGTATACGAGTTGGAGGGTGATCTACATGGATGTCCCGTATATCATGGCCCGATCAACGACATTCAGCATTCAGCTGCATGCGCACTTTCACTACTGTCTGCCTAATTCCACACCCTGTCAGCCCAATGTCCCATAGAAATCCACTAGTCTTGACCCAGCCGAGCAGCGTCCAGATCTTGCTCCTCGAAACGCCTCATTGTTTGTTTGTCCTGCCATCGGACGTCTCTGGCTCATCACATCACCATGTCCAACAACTACGACAACGTCGTTGACTCCAAGATCGGCGACGGTGATAGTGTTCATGGCGTGACCCTGGGGACTGTTCGACTGCGCCATGAGACCACCAACGAGATCATTCTTGCCCCAAAACCATCAGATGACCCCGATGACCCGTTGAACTAGTTGGGACACGAAATACTTCTCGTAATTCCTGATCCCAAGCTAACTCATCACACTAGGCCGCCGCGTGAGAAAAACTACATCTTCGCCCTTAGTTACTTCAGCTTCTTTATATATGATATCTACGCTCTAGGCCCTTCAGCGGGCGGCGTAGCTATAGCGACTACTTGTTTTGGTGCAACGCCCACCGACCCCAACTTCCTCACCTACGTGGGCAAGGTAACGTACTTCTTCACGGGAGCTTCGCTCACCATCGGCATTGGCCAATTCATCTAGACCCCGATTGCCATCAAATACGGCCGTCGACCAGTGTAACGGAGAACGAGTAAGTTTCCGCTAGGCGTAATATAGATACTGGTGACTACCATTCACAAGATGATGTTTCTGACGCCACAACCCAGGATACGTCACGACTTGGATTGAAAGGAAGATGAAGGCAAAAGCCTCCGAAGGGGCATCAAGGAAGGCAAAAAGCTGTGATACAGATCCATGGTCACCATGATTCACTTGCTCGGGCGTCATCGCCAGAGGCTGGGTTTCGGAGATAGATCGTGTTGAGACCGTTGCTGCGAGTTTAGAGACTATATCAAGTCTTGATTCTTTAATGATGGTTTTTGGACACTAGCTGTTTGGAATTGCCTTTCACATGTTGGTCTTGCAGCCTGAAACGTTACGTGCCACAGCTAGGCGGCCAGCGTAGTTACAGCGCCTATCCAGAGTGATATTATATGACTGAAGAACCAAAAACTTATGGAACTATCAAGGCAGATAGGATGTAAAAGGGTATTCCTAAACCGCAATGTCGGACCAAAAGCAATGATATTCCTACGTTTTCTTACCGCCCTCGCGCCTGCTAACAAATATATAGTGAAAAGAAGCATACCTGCTCCTACCGCGCCAGGCACGGCCCTTTATAATAGGCGACTAAGCCGAACATTCGCTTTGAGGTGTCGGAGACGACGACCTCCTCATCGTTTCTCATTAGCATTTCATATTACTATTTCATTCTCTTTCCAATGCTATCATCATATTCAATTTCCCGTCAAATTGCTCCCGGATTATTTGAATGAGATTTCCCGAAGCTAGCATCTCTACATTATCATCATGCAGCCCAACGCGACCAGGATCTGGAGGGCCAAAGCACGCACTGGCTGTATCACCTGTCGGTAGGTACGAGTGGCGAATCTCTCCGTCCTCTCCACCTCCACCGCTCTTTGTTGTCGTTCATTGCTAAGCATAATCGAACAGGTCCCGGTACGCCCAACGAGCCCGAAAATGTCATCTGACATGTTGCTAAACTTAGTGGCAGACACCTAAAATGTGACGAGCAAAAGCCTGCTTGTTTACGCTGCATAGCCTCAAAGCGGATTTGTGAGGGCTACTTGATGTTGTCCAAGTCCATCTCGACTGTGGCCCAATTTTTGAATGATGAGGAACGACGCGCATTTGTTTTTTTCCAGGCTAAGACCGTTCACAGAATCCTCGGTCAACAGGATGCGAGCGACTGGATCCCTATTTTTCAAGAGCTTGGGTACGCCGAATCGGCGGTGAAACATGTCGTTGTCGCTCTTGCTTCGTTACATGAAAGCCTGGAGCCTGTCTATGGCTTTGCTTTGTCACGAGCACTGCCAAAGCACACGAGCAACTGCGCCCAGGTGGCCGCCTTGAAGCATTACAACAAGTCCATTAAATTTCTCCGAAGCGAAACCCTGAATATGTCTACCCGGCCTGATATCATTATGATCCTTTGCATCTTATTCATGAGCTTCGAACAACTGCAGAGAAATGATGCAGCATGTCTTGTCCATCTCACAGCAGGCCTCGAACTCGTCTCTTCATGGCGGACGCGCACAGATAGCTACACAAAACTTCGGCACTTTTCCAGACCACTTTTGGAACTGATCAATGGGAAAATCACACCAGCCTTGCAGCGGCTGCGCGTACAATTTACACTGTGTATGGACCGCCGCCATGCACTGAGAAATACAGGCTGTCCTCCCTGTTTACCTCCCCAAATTATACCACTAGCATATGATTCCCTGGCGAGCGCGCGTATAGGTTTCGACCGGGCGATGAACTACATCTTCTCAACCTTGGAGTTTCACGGGACTACGGCGCAAAATATGCCAAACCAGAGCCTCTTGATAACTTTAAGACGGTGGAAACAGGCTTTGGACGACGGTGTTCAACCCAGCCAACATTCAATACTTCAGCTTTGTGCACACAAGCTATTGAACCTTTACTATTATACGTCGGTCATCATTACCGGTGCCTATGGATCAGATCTCGAGACCGTGTTTGATGGGTACAATCACATATTTCAAAAAATTACGACGTTGGCGCAGGAGCTCGTTAAAAACTGGAAAATAGCACCGCAACAGTATGGCTTGTTGTTCAGTTTCGACCTGGGAATCACTCCACCTATGTTCTTCGTCGCTTCTCGCTGTCGACATGCCCATATCCGCCGAAGAGCGCTTGCATTTATGCTACAATCGACCCATTATCGCGGAACCTGTTCGGACCGATATTCTGGCCTTTGCGCGGAGCGCATCATTGAGATCGAAGAGGAAGGTCTCGAGATGAATGCTGACTGTGTATGCGTCCCTGAGCATCAACGAATTCGGAAGGTATCTGCAGACGTTAACGAACAAGGCTCGATGATCGTGATGCGATATACTCGAGCGCCGTTCGACCAATATTCCGAAATTTATACAACATCCATTCCACTCCACTCAGATTTTGAATATCTTATATCTTGAATAATAGTTTCGATACAATGTTGCTTACACCATTTTTTTCTGAAAGGGGGGCTTTCAGATAATTGACTGGCGACCATTGTTCTTAACAGTCATTTTAGAAGCTACTCCGTGATATAGTACGTTAAGCTGAGACGTCCTCGGTATCTTATACGTCAAGGCAATATATAGATAATATTAGGTTTTAGAAGATATTTGTAAGTTTCATGTAACATTGTCGACCTATCACTTTGCTGCTATATAAATAAAATAATAGCTTTTCAAGGCTGGACTGATAAGCTACCATATACTTATCTCCATATCCAAGGATCAGAATCTCACTGCCAGTGCTCGTTCCTTCTGATATCCAGGACACATCGTACTGTCTTTTTGTTTCTTTTTTCAAGTGCAAGTATTTACGCCGGCGCAGTGACATCCATTTCCAACGGGCAGCCAACAGGAAGTTTAGCGACCTGGACGGAGGTACGAGCGGGCTTGGAAACGAAGTATTGGCCGAACACCTCGTTCACAGCGGCGAAGTCATGGAGGTTCTCAAAGTAGATCTTGTCAAACCGTCAGCCCCAAAGGTCATTGTGCAGGAGTACCCCACCAGGGTGTATTGGAAGAGAAAGAGTTTGAAGGAAAAGGGAAAGTCTACCGTAACCTTGACGACCTTCTCCAAGCTCGAACCAGCAGCCTCGAGGACAAGCTTGGTGTCTTGGCACATTCGATGGGCCTTCTCAGTGATGGTTCCAGGAACGACCTTTGCCTGGCTGCTGGTGGGACCTGGCCAGCAAGGAAGACGAAGCCTGCAGCTTTAATAGCTTGAGACTATGAAATGTCAGATCGGAAAGAGCCGCCAATGTTGTTATGGTGTCAAAGGTGATATGCTTACATAGGGGCCGATTGCTGGTTAGACATGCGTCAGCACGGTTCTTCGACCTCCAAATCCCATTCCTGTCAGAGAAGGTTTACATACGGTGAACACCCTTTTCGGTAAAGATGATCTCCATGTTCTTATTGGCCATCATTGTGTTATTTGTGTTAGGAGAGAGTTGGAGAGAGAGAGAGATGGTGTTTTTTTTCTGAAATTGAAAGAAGTAAAGACCGGCTATCATACGAATGTGCTACATCATTCAAGGGCAATAAGGTTGGTATATACCCGCCAACAACGACAACCTCAGTACCGATTGGCCTTTTCGGGCTCCTTGCTATCATACCAACCAAAACATTCAAAGATATCGCAGCCTTTGGTTGCTTAACTGAAGAGACGAGCTGACTGTGAAGATTGGCCCCCGGGTCCACGTGTGACAAACCTCAGACCTCTGTACTCCGTACATGAAGACCAACAGCAGACGTGGATCTCCAATGAGAGCTCGGGATTGTCACGCCCCAACCTATAACATATTGCCTTGTGGGAGATAAGAGGACACCAATTTCTCCAGGTTTGTCGTCGGAGTAAGGATCGTTAGTTCCCACTCCAAGGACCCTGTCTACAATAGGAGCTGCAGCTTTCAAAAGAGCTTTGGTACCCCCTCCCCACCTTGTCCCCCTCGGCGTTCTCGTGCCGTGGCTAGGTAACAGGCCTTCACCACCCAAGGAACGGACACTACAATGATGATTGGTTCCCATGTCCGAAATCCGACCAGGCGTATCAATGCTCCCCAAGTAATAGTAATCTTCCCCACTCGTAACTAGCCCGTTCAACCGTTAAGAACCACAAATACCAAAATACCGGGCTTCAACAACATCAAGTGGTGAATGTCTGATTGTGGGCTGATTCTTCTCCCCTTGGGTAATCCACGGCTTCCTGATTGACAACGGCCAAAAAAACCTTCCTGACAGGCTTTTTTGCTGATCTCATACCGTTTGAACGGTGAAGACCCAAAAAAGGACCGAGAGGCGCCCCGCGAGCTTAATGCCAGAGAGCTTTTTTCAAGTTATCCAGACTTTTGGACTTCTTGAACAGGTACTCTATCTTGTCCCTTTCTCTCTATCTAGATCTCATCTACGTCTTACCATCACGGCAACATACATCTACGTCCAAGAAGTCAGGACCATAACTTCAAATCCACTTATTTTTGCTCCTGCGCAACCATGACAAAGACGGTCGGCCTCATTGGGGGGTTTTCGTGGCAAACGATGGCCATCTACTACCAGGAAATCAACGAATACGTGAACTCCAAGTTGGGCGGCATCCATTCTGCAAATCTCCTCATCAGGTCCATCGACTACTCTGACCTTGCTTCCATGGTCAGCGCAAAGGACTTGGGTGGCATGACGGCGATGCTCTGCGCGTGCGGCCAACAACTAAAAGCGGCCAACGCACAAGCCTTGGTACTCTGCGCCAATGTCGCCCACAAGGCAGCTGACGAATTGGAAAAGTCCACCGGTCTGCCGGTGTTGCATATCTGTGACTTTACCGCCCGGCAGATTGTGGACAAGGGGCACAGAAGGGTTGGGCTCCTGGCCACCCGGGCGGTCATGGAAGAGGATTTCTACAAGGACCGACTCCGAGGCTTTGGGCTCGAGGTCTACGTTCCAGATGAGGACTTTAGATCCGACGCCGACCGGATGATATTCTGCGAAATGAGCAAGGAGCAGATTTCCCAAGGCGTCAAGACTACGTGGCACACAGCATATCAGGATCTCGTGCAAGATCACAATGTTGACTGCATAATCTTGGGATGTACTGAGCTGCGCCTCGTCTTTGGTCAGGAAGATCTGACAGCTCCAACTTTTGAGACCACGACGATACATGCAAGAGGCATTGCCGACTGGGCACTTGCTGAAAGCACTGTATTTACTTAGATCAGTTTATTCAATACGATTCAGTCAGAACGTTACTTAAATGTGTCACATCCAATTGGATCGCTTTCTACTCAGAGCAGCACCATATCCTCAAAGTCTGTCATGGCATCATCCACAAACAGTGAAACACAATCTCTTGGAACATAGAATCAGTCATGCGACATCTGTGCGGATTGACCTTTCCCCCCAATAGTTTGGTCCGTTTTCAGAGCTTTGCCTCGGTATGTCCTTTCTCCCATTCATCGCTCAACCTCACACCACGCTTACCACCTCTGGTCCCGTCATCTGCTCCATCGAACTTGATGGGGGGTCTCGACTCTCCACCTCCACAGCTTCTTGAGGTTGGGCTCAAGCTTTCCTTCAATGGCGTCAACAATCTTGTGTCCAATGATGGGCAGGGCCTTGAAACCGTGGCCGCTATCCCCTGTCACGAGGAACAGACTCTCGTATTTGGGGGTGATAATCAATCAAATAGTCACCGGTCGGTCTGCCGAAGTGTTAGTTGAACGTGTCAAGAGCCATTAAGGTCTCGAAAACTTACGTGTCACAGTACCAGCAAAGCTTGGTCTTTAAAAACTTCTTTTCTCTCCAGTGTGGAAACAGCTCAAGCAAGAAGTCTTTGCAGGCTGCTTCTGCTTCGGCCGGGACAGGTAAATCAGGTCTTGGAGTGCTGATAAGCGCGTGCTGGCCTTCAATAAAAAGTGGAGTGGGATTCTGATAGCCAAATCCATGTCGACCAAGTTTGAGCTCTCGACTCCGTGCTGGAACCATAAACATGCCTGTGCTGAAGTTGAAGTAGATCGGCATGTTGTCCAGTATCGCCTGCTCCTCTTCGGTCAACTTGAGATATGCGAGGACCTGACCTGTCGCCACCGCGCGACCTCTTGTATCGACCAAGGAAGGAGTCCAAGCACTCGCAGCAACAATAACTAGACCGGCGTTGACACGAGAGCCATTTTCAAGCTCGGCACCGATGCAGCGGGTCACGGTTGTTCCGGATTGCTGATCATGGTGGTAAAGAAGCCTGCGGACTGTTGAGCGGTGCTTGACCTTGACACGACCTCGACCTCCTTGTTCGAGTTTGTGATAGAGATATTTGACCACCCTCTCAGCATTCACCCAGCCACAACTTCGGTTCAGGTAGCCATAATCTCCGCTGGTACCTGGAAAAGGTCCCTCCTTCTTGAGCGCGTCTTTGTTGGGCAACTCTTTGATGTCATCGATGGTGAAGGTATATCTCCCACTCCGAGCAAGATCCTTGGAATTTTCAAGACTTTCTTCAAGATATCCCTCCACATGTGCAAGAGCGAGGCGTCATAGTATCGGCCCTCTCCACCCCAGGCGCTGGGACTCAAGTCTTTCCAGTATTTATGAGCCTCAGACACTAGTTTTGTATATTCCTTTTCGGCATAATCTGCCCGGAGCATGCGACTCGTATCCCATGACGCCGAAAAGCGATTGGGAAGCTCCGAGGCGGCGTCTAGGATCGTGATGTTGGCTTCGGCATAGCTGGGCCTTTGTAGAAGAGCGATGGCAGTGCTAAGTCCAAAGACACCACCCCCAATGATGAGAATATCTGAAGGGACCGATCGATGATTTGCCATATCTGAGGACAGCGACGGCCAACGAACTTCTCAAATGGTGGGAGATGACAAGGCTCTCAAAATGAAGGTGCAGCGATGGTGGGATCTGGTAATCTGACTCGGTGGTCACCCAGAGGTTGTAATAGGAAGAGGAGAGGAAGCTCGTGTATGTGAAGGAAGGTCCAAATTCGTTGTATTGGTGGGACAGAAATCTTACCGTTTATACGATTGCTTTCACAAGGCCAGCGGCTCGTGCGCTATGAATGCGGTGACTCTTTTTTGAGACCGGGTCGAAGCCGACTGATACTAACGCAACGCAATAGTAGTACTGATAGGACAGTAAAATTCTCATCAACTCACCGGATCAATCTAATGCAGGCCGTTCATAGCCGCCTCGAGCTCCCTCCCGGAAGGAATATTCGCGGGCCCCATACAGTCAAGCCACGAGAATGGCGGCTCTTCTGACGAGCATAGAGTTAAAAAGCCGAACCAGGAAGAGGAGCAAGGCACCTAGTGAGGGGCATCATTCTCTGACGCTCTGGCTTACATAACCATAGAGTTAGCCAGAACTACTCGTACAAGAATCATTTACATTATCGATATAGGGTGCGTCATTAGTCGAGACCGCATAAGACGAGTCTTTCAAATGTTAAAAGGTTCTGCAAGGGTTTTATCTTTGGCCAATTAAAAGTTGAGCGCCGTTTCCCACGGCTCCGATTAGATGAACGAGAAGCCCGCAGGACAGGTAACGTACCACTGCTATCCAAGGCTTTAGGAAATTGTGACCTACACCCACATCTATATATATTAACCGAGTTAGGCCTATGAAAAGGCTATCTAGTCTAGCCGACGACTTATATAGGTGTGTAAAACTAGACTATACCCAAAACAGTCTTGCACCACACGCCCTTAAGGAAATGTGGCACCTACACTAGCTGGCTTGTCACGGGGAAGGGTAGAGCAGCGTTAAGTCCCTACTACATACTTCGGCTCACCGCCATTTCGCAATAGCCCACGTAACGCCCACCACATCACACCATTCCTCCAACCCCCTAAATCTCGCCCTTCGATCCTTTCGTTTCAGATCTCGAACTCCTTCCCATTCTTCGTTACGCGATCAGTTCAGCGACACTCCCTTCTCGGCATCGCACCATTTTACTACGTACCGTTAATGGTTTTCGCACGTGGCATTTCCTCCATATCCGTTTCGCTTGTTCTTTCTGAGCGGGACATATCCTCCGTACTCCGGACAGTACGAGTACGAGATACTACTGGTATTTCTAGGCACGGTCAAGCATTCCCCACAGTACACGTACAGTACGTCCCAGTGGAAACTCCGTCCCAGTGGAAACTCCGTCCCTAGTTAGTACTCCGGACACGCCTCGCGAACGGAACGAACGTGCCGTCATGTACAGGTCGATTCAACGATTCAACAACCTGCCAAGATAGCCCTGCCCGCGAGGACTGTCCACCGAAGTGGCTCGTCGGGACTGTTTCAAGCTCAGTCTTGACTTACTATGTAGAAATCCTTCCTTGACGGGCCCCAGTCGATTGACTTGTTCCTGCTCGCATGTCTTGCCGGTTTTCACGTCTCCTTTGCCGTCCCTCGCAAGGGGCGCTTTTTGTACGGAGCACGATGTAGTATGATACGATGTGAGGTTTCTTGCACCATGTGCATTTCTCCAGTATTACTACCTATGGATTGGTTTGTCGTAGTGTCAGGGGGAAGGGGCCAGACTTGAACGTAATCGGCTACCACCATCACGCCCGACAAAAACTAACTTGCAAAAACATCCACATCTGACATGTGTGTGCATGTAACCTCGAAAGTTACTCGTCGAGTGCATTCGAATCATACCACAGAACAATCACAACAATCCTACCGACTTTCGGCCTTGATGGCCTTGGACATCTGCCAGCCCGGTGTCGGTGGTTCCGAATGACCGGCGGTAGCTGTCATTGTCACACCTCGAGTCAGACATACGTCAAGCTAGGTCCATGCCAGGTCAGGTCCACCACTAGTCCACCTCTCGTCCACCTCTCGTCCACGGAAAGTGCCTTGCCTTACGTGATCGATTCCTCCCATCCCCAGTGCTCCAGTGTCTCGCGTTTCCTGTACGCGTAATCATCACCCACGGGAAAGACTTTTGGGCTCGCAGACTTCCAGCCCTCCTCAAAACACGTACTCTGTAGGGAGTACTCCTTTCTAGGGTTCACGTGATGGCATGCTATCTCGCTTCGTCACGATGTGAAAGAAGGGGAGAACAAGACATAGCATCGAACACCAAGGAACAACGAAGTCTGAAATATTTCCAATGTTTTTCTCATTGTTAGCAACCACTTATAATAGTAATGCTATGCTATCTTAATACTATCACATTAAGCTCATCCTCGAATGCTCGATGATAAGCTATGCAACGAATATAGCTGCTGGTGTGCCATGCTATATCCAATCCAGTATCTTCTATGCTGGCACAAATAATCATGAGTCCAATCCCAATACCGATTTTTGGTGTCCCCATGCCCAAATGCAGCCTCCATTCCGTCGAAGTGCCGCCCAGTCTCATGCTGAAAGAGTGATCATGAGTTGTCGCTGTGTCAAAAATGTGTTATAGTTGTTGTTGTTGTCGTCGTATCCAGTCATTAATGTCGAAAATAATGTGTGTCGAAAAGAGCAAAGGAAGCCATTCGAGAATGTGCGGTGACTTTGCATATTAATCTCCCCCAAATGTCCATGTCCAGGTCCAGCGCGACAAAGTTGAATCGAAAGGCGAAGTCAAAATTGCGCTGGACTCGTTTAGAGCATGGCAGCGACCATGATGGCGGCTGCAGCACCGGCTATCTTGTAGCCACCAGTGGGCATGCTAGCGGCGGCGCCAGTGAAAGTGCTGACGACGGGAGCGACAGGCGTCGTCGAGGATGGGACGACGGTAGACATGGTGGAGCTGGTGGTGACTGGTGCTGCTGTAGTCACTGGAGTGGTAGTGACTGGTGCAGGAGTGGCGGATGAGGTCCATTCTTCCCAGGCGGTGCTGGAAGTCGCAACTGGAGCTGGAGCGACGGAAGATGTCCAGTCGTTCCAGACAGTGCTGGAAGTCGCAACTGGAGCTGGAGCGACAGATGAGCTGGTCCATTCTTCCCAGGCGGTGCTCGAAGTCTCAACCGGCGCTGGAGCAACGGTTGTGGTTGGAGCGACAGAGGAAGTCCAATCATTCCATTTGGACTCGGTAGTAGCTGGAGCTGGAGTGGGAGAGATCACGTTAGTTGTCGTCGTTGTGGTGGTCCAATCCAACCATTTGGTTTCTGAAGGGGTAGTGGTGGTTGTGGTTTTGGTGGTGATAGGAGTAGGGCTGATGATGGGGGTAGTGGTGGTGGTAGTAGTAGTCCACTCTAGCCACGCTGTCTCCGAGGGAGTCGTGGTAGTTTGGGGGATTGGGCTAACACTGGGGGTAGTGGTGGTTGTGGTGGTAGTCCATTCTAGCCACGCTGTCTCCGAGGGAGTCGTGGTAGTTTGGGGAATTGGGCTGACGCTGGGAGTGGTGGTGGTGGTTGTGGTCGTACTTGTCCAGTCTCCCCATACTTCATGTGAAGAAATGGGTGAAAGGATAGCAGAACTCGATATGGGTTGAGGGGTAGGAGTTGTTGTTTCTTCGCTAGAAGTCCACTGACCATTTCCTCCAGACCAGTCTCCCCAGCTGCCTCCAGTTTCACCACCCTGCTGGTAGCCGCCTCGTCCACCGGATCCTTGACCTTGGCCTCCCCATCCTCCAGGAGCTGCGACAGCAACTGTCGCAAGACCGAGAATAAGAGTTGACTTCATGTTGAGTGGTTGTTGGTATTAAGTTTACTTGCCGATTGTTGTAGAGATGGGCACGTTTACTGTTCTTGAACGAAGGACTCTGCTGTGTAGAGTAGTGAATGGATTGTGCAATGAAGGATGACAGAAAGGAAAAATGTCAACGCGGAGTGAGAGACGAGTTCAAATACCTGCGAGGGCGAGCGAGGCACGTCATGCAAGGCGGAATGGTTGACATGTGCGGCTGTGAAACTGGACCACAATTCGGTCTCGAGCCCTCGCTAGTGCTTGGTTCAGGGGTGGCAGGTAAGTCAATGAATTGAAAATTTCGCACGGTGACATGAATGGCAGGCGTTGATCTGCTGAGCGCTCAGGTATAGAATAGGGGGACGGACCAGGCTGGACTGGGCACGGTATAGAATTGTGGGCCTCGTCGGACAGAGAAGAAAAAGGCTGGTCGCAGGAACACGACCAGATTTGCTGCTGGACTGACCGGGAAAAGTTGGCTGGGGAACACTAGCGGAGCAGTTGTCGTGCATCATGAGCGAATGGGAGGCGGGTATCAAGGTGAAACGACGCCAGCCTCCGCCAAGGGTGTTTTGACAGCCCTAATCAGGACTCGGTTGGCAGCGCGATGCAGGGGATCCGAAAGGTTGATCCGGTCGACTCCTCTGAAGCTTGGGCCTGATGCGCCTCGATTGCGCCAGTAAGCCTGTCGCCAGGCTTGGTGGCTTGACCAAGATCCAGGAGGCTGGCCACGCTGGCAGGGAGCTTTGTTCGCTATTGTATCCAATAGGGTCTCCCAGCCACAGCCTCTGAAACCAAAGATCTTCTCCTGATCTTTGCGAGCAGATCGAAGCGTGATAGAACAATGAACGCTGGTTTGATGGCGCAAGAGATTGAAGGACTCAAGGGTCGAATCCTGCAATTGTTCCCTGCTTGCAAATACAATTGTGCTTTGTTGCATCTCCGCATCGGTTCGATGGCAGAGCATGACCAATCGAGCTCCGGGCCGGACGTTCATGCGGCGGGGCACAAAATGAGGAGGTCAAAACATCGATCCAGATGCCCGTGTCGACGCCGGATTTGCGAGCATATGCCGTCAGCTTTCATCATCTTGTGCTCGACTGCATCTTGGTAACAAGGCAGAGCAACGTGGTCAAGCTTTCAACTGCAGTTGACCTGTAAACCGTGCAGACTTGATTTTGCCCGACAAAGTGGTGCAAGCGGCACGGACACTTGCAGGAATCGGGGCGCCCCCACCATGACTTACGAATCTCAGGTGTCGTTCACCTTGGATACCATCTGCCCATGGTAAGACATTTGTCGACCTTGATCCTGGAAAAGTTGGCCGCATTTGAAATCCGGCAGACGTGTTGTTTGTAATTTGAGCTGATTGGTGCCGTCAGGACATATCTGGCGAAAAAAAGGTTTGCTGATGCCTGCAACACAACATATGCAAAAAAGTCGTTGAGCAGCTGACCCGCCTTTGCTGCATTACAGACTGGATGAAGGTCTGTACTTCCGGAGAAGATGATGTGTATCTATGCACCATCCTCGGCGGTCAATTTTGTCCGACCACCATAGCGCTGCCGGCTGACGCGTGACAGCACTTCGCCGATTCCGTCAAAGTGATGACGCCAAAAGTACAACCTTTGTGATAAAGTACTTCCCGTATCAGTTGTATCCAGAAGCCTCGAAAGAGGGGGAGGATAAATCCGAATGGTACAAGAAGTCGCGCTATGGCGATACTGAAGATAAATTGAAGATGGTAGGTGCTCTTGATTTACCCCGGTTTCGACGGTTTGATGGAAAGGGCTGAAGCACGTCACCTGTCCTGTCCACATGTAGAGGTTGCTTGATCTCGGGTGCTTGGAGTTGAGGTACGCAAACAGAGATTGGCAACGGTGGAAATTAATGCGCTTCGTATACTGACTCGGGCATCAACGCGCTGACTCTGCTCCCGGGATGACAATAGTATACCACGTTGATGACAGCCTACGGTGAAAGTGCAGGCATCAAGTTCAAATTTGGTGGGACCATCGCGAACACCTTGGATGCGCACCGAGTGATCCAGCATTTTCAGGAAGAAAAGGGTTCTGAGACTGCTGATAAGATCATCAATTGTAAGGCATTCCGGTGAATGTAGACCCGGACGATAGCTTACCTCTGTCAAGCGTTGTACTCTCAATTCTTCGAGAACGAGAGAAACCCTTCATCGCACGAGACACTGCTGAAGGCGACCTCTAATGCTGGAATTCCTGAAGATGAAGCGAAGGCGGTGATTGAAGACAAAAATGAAGGTCTTATGGACGTCACGGCCTTGATACGCGAACAGGCATCAAACGGAGTTGATAGCGTTCCGACCATTATCTTTGAAGGTAAGAGAAGAGATTTTACGCTGATTGGGGCCAAAGACGTGGAAGAGTATGAGAAGGTGTTGCATCAAGTCGCGAAGGAAAGCAAGTAGTAGTTGGGTGTGATATTTGAATAAGGTGTATTGATCCCTGAGTCTGGAATGTGGCCAACCTGTTCCTCCATCTGACTGGCAAACACCCCACGTTCTTTGTATGCATAGAATGATACTCGACAATCCTGGATTCTGTTTGATATTATTTCTGGACTTCGTTTGGGGACTTCTAGACGTCAAAGATCTCTCCAAAACCAACACCAGCACCGGCTCTCCTCGCATCAACCAGGTCTAACCTCCATCCAACCCATTGCTTCAATCCTCTCTTCACTTCTCGCACATGTTCAACCATCTTCCGTGCCTCCTCTTCTCTCTGCGCTCGTGCAAAAGCGCTCTCATCAAACGCATCGTCCTCAAATTCCTCCAGGAGAGAGTCATTCCTCGGCCGTGTCGCATGTCGTTGCTGTGTATCCGGCGACGTTGTACTCGCCCTGAATGCCGCAAGTCCCGAATTCAGCACCTGTGAGAAACCAGAATGCCTCGTCTGTGGCGGTAGACCACTAGCAAAGCTCCGCCGCCGACTCGCATTGCCTGAGCCAGACAAATCGACCTCATCAAACTCTTCCGCCTGGTCCATGGACGTTCTCGATCCTTCATCCCCTCGTGGCTGCATCTGTACCCTCTTGTCCCTCCACATTCCTCTTTGTAGTTCGAACACCTGCCCTTCCAACTCTCGAATCCGCCTCCCGAGCTTCTGCCTCTCTTCATCCTCAAGCTCATCCAGTCCCTCTCCTCCTCCATCGCCACTCATAACCCTTTTGTGCTTCTCTCTCAACCTTGCATTTTCACCCTCCGCCTTCTCAGCCTTTGCGCGCAAGCCAGGCACTTCTCTAGCAGCTGACTCCGCTGCAGCCAGCCTTGCCGAGCTCCTCGCCTCCGCCTCCCTATGCAGCTTGTTCATCGCTTCAATCTTTTTGTCCAGCTGCTCCGCCTTCTTCATGACCTCATCCCTCTGGGACACCGCCTCGCTCAACTCCCTTTCCAGCGCACGTATCTTGGTATCCTTACTCGTCCGTTCCGTCCCATCTAGCACCGCCTTCTCACTAGCCTTGCTCAGCGCCTTCTTTGTATCAGCCAATTCATTCTCAAACCCTTTCAACTTCCCTTCGGCGCTCGACAAACTTGCCTGCAACGCCGCAATCTGCTCCCCATGCGCCTCACATCCCTCGGTCTGGCTCGACAATTGTCCGCGTAACCGCGATATCTCAAGCTGCATATCCGCAATCGTTGAATCCTTGCTCTCGAGCTCCGCCTTCAACAAATCAACCTCGTCACCACTTCCATGTACACTGTCCCGCCGACCCGTCGCGCTGGCTCGCCTTCGCAGCGTCTCAATCTCAGCGCGTAGTCTGTTCACTTCGCTATCCGGTGCCCCGCTCGCTGATGCAGTCGCTAATTCCTCGGCATTCTGCTCCCTGACTTCTTCCAATTCCTCTTCCACCTTGCGCCATCTCCTCTCATGTTCCTCTGCCTCTTTGGCTAAGCGCTTATTCTCCTTTTCCAGCTCTTCAATCCTCGCCAGAGACGCGGGCGTTGCAGCCGGGCTCAAGGGGCCGCCGTCCCGGAAACTTGTGCTGCGGATCTTACTTTGCAGACTGACGCTGGGCTGCCGATTGGAGCGGCGCGGACCCCTCGTAGAAGATGAAGACTCTTGATCATTCGAAGGAGGAGGCGTAGTGTCCGGCGACTGAACATTCTCGATCTCCGTCTCTAACTGTGGTGAAGCCACGTCTGCGCTGCTGATCGCTTCGTTGAAGGCCTCTTCATCTGCATCGACATCTCCCGGTGTCTCATGTATGGCCTTCTCTTCCAAATCATCATCTTTAGTCTCCTTCCCTTCAGTGGTCTGCGTCTGCTCAGCTTCGCCGCCGTCTAGTTCTCCATCTTTGCGTGTGTCTTCTTTCTTTGATTTGTCTTTCGCGGATTTCTCGCCGCCGGCGGCGGAGCCTCCGGCTGCTTTCTGCTTCTTCTTCTGGAGTTGGGCAACCTATCAAATACCATAGCATATTAGCATCTAGTCAGTCTATAAGAAAACCGCCGTGACAGCCAAAGAGAGCATTGCAAGGTTGCGGACATACTCTTTTCTTTGCAGCCGCTAGTTTCTCGGCCTTCTCTTTGTCTTCCTTCTCGCCCATGCTTGAAAAGGATACGCTAGTGTTTGTAAAATGTTGGTTTTCAAGGCTGCGTCGAGGATGCTTATTTTATGATTTGCAGAGGAAATCGTATACCTCGCAATCAAAGGAGACGTGGTTTGTTACGCGACTCAAGCCGCCAATTGGGGTGCGTGTACTCCGCATGGGAGGACCTGTGCATACTCCGTAGAGACTTTGACATGTACACATCGAAACTCAAGGGCAAATCCGGAAAAGAATAGCACCGGCTGGGGACGAAAGAGATCTGTCATCGGCCATTTGCTTGATGAAAAGGCTACAACTTATTAATACGTATAGCACGTTTTCCCGGTCCATAAGCCATGTGCCTGTCCATACCCATACCGGATTCGCCAATCCAACACCACTACATCATAACTCCATAACCATAACAGGACGCATTCAGCGTGATCATATCCAGGCAGGTCCGTCGAAGCCGCTCCCACCGGCCTTTCGAACGCCGCAACAGCCTGGGTATCATTATAAGTACAGATACTCCGTACAACTCCAACAAATCAGTCGCACACAAAACTCCTGCCGGGCAACGAGGCATAGAAGACTTAAACCTCCATAGGTCCCACCACTTCCTCGCTGGCTCCTCGAACGGTGCTCTTACTAGCGCTTCTAGCGCTTCTGACTTCCTCATCACTGAGAATGTAATTATCGTGCTCATCAACCACAGGTCGAGCTGGAGGTGAGAATTGCTCGTCCTCAATTTTGCCATTCGGACTAGCCTCCTCGACCGATTTCTCGACGGAGGCCATCTCGACATCGGGACTTTCCGTCGTCTCGACGCCTTCTCTGACTCCAAGCCAGTATCTCGCTCTCTTGTGAGCTCCCAAATCGGGTGTGGTCCATCCGTCCGAATCGGTGTCCGCGAACCTCTTTGCCTTGAGTGGCGTCCGAAGAGTATCGATTGTCGCCATGGCAAGAACACTGATTCCGCGCAAATATAGATAGCACACACGCTTTCGTTGCTTGTTGAAGAAGAAGTAGTTCATCGACCACAGGGATCCTTCTTCATCATCCTCGAACGGATCATAGTCCTCTGGAGCGTACCGGTATATACTGCAATCCCGCAAGCTCATCTGTTGGTCAATCAGTCTCCACATTCCCGGACCCCAGTGTGGTTGACTTGAGGGTGGACAAGCTGATTCGGGTACTATACCAGGCGTGTTCAACAATGAGTTCAGAGGCCGTGGACGTAGGTTGTATAGAGCTGTATCCAAAGTATTCATGACATGTCGTAAGCTCTTTTCTCGTTTGAAGTCCGTCGGTCGTAGGGTGTGGGAGAAGTCGTAGTCTGGGTGACTCGCATTCAAAGTGGCGATCAGATATGCATATGTCCTCCTCGAACTGATCATACCCAGGTTGCCAAATGGGCTGCTCCGGCTCAGATTGAGACTAGACGCCATCATATGCGCCTGTGGGGGCGAGAGTGAGTGGGAGAATTGTAGGTTCGACTTATATTGCGCTTCAAGACCATTTTCGATGTTCTTGTACAACTTTTTGTCTCCTCCTGCTGCCTTTGTGGTATACAGGTCACATCCTCCCACGACGTGAAGATCGGGGGTCGTGAAATTGAGGGAGGACGTGACGGTATCGAGATCGCGATTGGGCACAAACTGCAAGAGGATGTCAGCGCTGATGAGTTCAATGTATTTGAGATGTCCTATGATGCGTACCTTCATCTTGTCTTTGTCGGGTAGGCCGCGTCAAATCACTGCGTCGCATTCAAGCGCAGGCGCAATCTCCGTCCGTGTCGGGGACGACCAACGTCGCAATCAGACGAGGTAGGGACGAGTTTGCGAAACGACGAAAGGCGCGCTGAGGCGTACGTAAGTCTTGAGTCGTATCGAGTTGGTTGGCCTGATCAAGCTATGCGGTCGCTGACAGAGATATCCAAGCTGGCTGCAGAGACAGCTCTTGGGCGGTTCGAATAGCTAGACGATTGACGTCTAGCAGGTCAAGTAGAATTGATAGAAGGCCATAGCACAATGGTGATGATTGATGCGATGGAGTGAAGTTGGCAACCTGTTTGCGGAGGAGGTTGAGGTTGACTGCGACCAAGACACCCGGGATGTCACGTGATTGAGCGCGCATTGACCACCAATAAGCGAGCAAGGCGCCCTCCACATGTTCAAGGCGAGCAACGACAATGGACTCATACTCACGGCATCATCATGAGGTCAATCTCAGCCGACAGAGAGGCCAGCTTGCATCGCGGAGCAGATACTCAGAGAAAGCGGCCTTACCTGACACGGACCCTTTCGCACGATTGCTCCATGATTCCAATACAAGCCTGGAAGCTTTCGCAACCGCTAACGACGAAGAATGCTCCTGACGACTTACATGATCATCCCCAAGATAAAAGCAGGCTCGGTGGGCTCATTGCACTAAGATTCTGGATCGTGTACGCGGCACTCATGTTGACATGTTAGGTGCGCCACATTTTCAGCTTAGGCCGCTTTTCGGCCTGCAAGCAGGTTGAGGGATGAACAGCCGTCAGGCAAAGTAGCATAATTTGAACAGGTTAGATGGGTGGATGGGTACGTCGTCGAGGATGATGCTGGATAGCTGTTTGCGTTAGCCTTCAGGCGACGGGTGATGGTCTTAACATGCTTGATTGGATCATCACTTCAGTACACTGTACATGTTGCTCCTGTTGCACTAAGCATTCAGAAGAGAAGACCTTGTTTGCAAAGTCCATGTATCCTCCAGGGGTATCATCAATATCTCCCCGCCTTGCCCTATTCCCAGGACTCCTGTTCATCGAAAATCGTGATTGCAGGTCATATTAGACCGGATGCTCTGAGCGTCGCTTCTGTAACCTGCAGATAGTAAAATCTGTCAATTATTGTATAACCTCATTACATGAAACGGTGGAAAGACTCGACTCGAGCATGCCAAAATCATCAGACGAGCTCGGTTTTGGTTCGAACCTGTACCGGTGGCCGTGCACCAGCCTTGCGACATCATGGTCTACATGAGCTTGGTGACTTCTTCTTCGACCTGAAGTGGCGTGGCATTGCGATTAGTTGGTGATCCCCAGGGGAAAGGCAGGGATGAGAACGTACGCAGATGGTGTGCTAGGCCGATGGCATGAAAACGCCATCCTGAGACATCAGGGCGCGAAAAGTCCAAAGGAGGTGCACATGTGCATGACAGAAAAATATGAACACACGTAAAGCAACTCACCTCTATATCTTCAAGGCTGTCCTCCTGACTTATGCATCTCAAGACATTTTTCTTGCTGCTTTCTTGCAATTCACCAGCCAGAAGGAGTTCGTCTAGGATGAAGTATGCTTTCTGGAAGTTGAAAATAATATCCAACTCGCAAACATTGCCATAGTATTTGTCCATTTGTTCAACGTAGCGGTGAACGATTTCAAGGGAGATCAATTCATTATCGGTGGAAGCACAGCCGGCGATGAAGAAAAGAGAAGCATATCGGCGGTAGACAACTTTCGTGTCTGATGTGAGTCAAGTAATGTCAGCCAAATGCTCGAGCGAAAACGAAGCAATACGGTTGAACCAGCATTCAGGAAAGTGTCATTGTGTGGACATCCGCACCCTTGTATTCAAGAAAATTGCACATTCGAGTGCGCCGAGAAAGGACGAGTTGGGTAACATCTTTGATGATTTTGGCCTTTTCTTTAGGAGAAAGAGTGGTAAACCATTTTGCAAGTCTCTATTTGCGCAGATTTGAGATCAGCCAAAGTTCGATGGTGGGCAACCGTGGAGGGGATTCAGCATACCACTTTGCCCTGTCGCGACAGCAAAATGAGATAGCTGTTACAGTGTTAGTATATCCTGAGGGCAATGGCAGAGTCATATGCCCTTACTTGATGGCCATCTTGCGTCCAGGAGTTACAGGTGCGTCAAGAAGAAAGTGGATGGGATGGCGGAAGGTGCAGGACGGAGAAAGTGCTAGCGCAGCCAAGCCCTGGTCTTTCTCGTGCCTGCTTTTGCCAACTGACGTTCGACTGAGTAATCCGCCTGCGACTTCCGCCTCGTATCGGTTCTAACTTTCAGATAGCCTTGCGACAATCTCGAAGACATTGGTACCCTTGCCTGATGCCGAGCTGACATATGCTACGAAGCACCGTCGAGCTATGCAACACTGAACAATACAAGGCTACTTTGTGCGTGCTACTGGGTACAACCCCGCGCGACCACAGAATCTCCTCTATTTTGGAACCTGACCCCCATTGACCACACCATCCGGGACAGTAAAGAGTGGTTGCAGAAGATCCCGAGTACGAGTTTCAGATATTGCAGCAAGATGAAGTTGATCCTCTCTACCTCGTACGGGTTTCGCTTGACTGGCGCTTCTCTAGGCTAATTCCATGGTCGCAGGAATATAATGTCCTCTGGACAGTCCATTGTCCGACGGCCGCTGTTTTCCAAATCTAACGTCGAACTCATAAACTCCTTGCGCGCAAACTTTGCCTCTTTCCAGCACCATTGTTCGGCTAGCGCAGATTCCCAACCACTCAACTATAGACAATGGACAACTCAAGAAGATGACACTCTCTATGTGCCGTCCTGGCGACCGACGCCTCTCTCTGAGCCTCGAGACTCGTACGATGTGACTGTCAAGCTCTTTTTTCTTCCAGGTATTCCGAGCTCGAGGCGTTGTAGACACACCCGAGATGCAATCGATTTAGTTCTCAAAGAGTTGGGCATCGAAAACATCGACCTTTTGATTGTCAGTTTCCCTGGTGTAACATTCGATGCCGATGATGAAGAGGAGGTCTCAGCGGACGAAGATGAAAGCGCCGGTAGTGACGAGTCTGAGGGTCTGGACGCCCAATTGAAGACATGGCAGGTCCTGGAATCCTTGCATAACAAAGACGTTATATCGCAGCTGGGCGTCTCGGAATTTAGCTCAGAGCGCCTAAGCAAATTCTTGCCCGAGGTCAAAGTGCGGCCGACAGTGGACCAGATCAATGTCAAGGACTGTTGTGTTGTGCCCAAATCGCTGATCATGTATGCCAAGGAGAATAAGATTGAGCTGCTCACCCATGCTGATTGCATGGACATCCTGCCGCCTGGGACGACGAGGGAGTTGCTAGGTCCGGGCAAAGATGGAGCTGGAATCATTGCTCCACATCCAGACGCTGGTCCTGAAGAGCCTGGCCTGAAAGGCGATATTGAGCCACAGTGGGTGGTCAAATATACCGCTGTGGTCAAGAACCGTGGTGTGATCGAAAACAAAGGATATTTCGCGGTTGCTCAGCTGGGCAGCTGCATCGAGGAGAAGCCGGTGGAGATCTCATAAACCTGTGGCGGGGGCATTTTGGATATGTTTTAGCATGGCGTTGGTGCGATGAAGAACGTCGAAGATGTTTTCAACCGATCATACTTCTCTTTCTGCCTCTCAATCTGACTTCCTCAAGCCTCTTTAGGACGACATTTGACCCCTTGTAACTTCCTCTATACCCATCTTGACTCTGTAGCACCTCAGCGTCGAACCAGTCCTCTTGTCTGGGATGGGTGGATCCAAATGCCCGTTCGAGAACGTACAAATCCACGGCTCGATCTTCGTCTTGTATCGACTGTGTAGCGAGTCCAAAGTCAATTAAAACAATCTCGCCGTTCAAGTCCGGTGCGGTTGGACCGTCTTGTTCTTCCTTTTCTTTCAAGTCGCCATTAGTGACGGCGCTCGACGACCCATTCACCTCGCCGCTCTTTGGGCGAATGATGATATTGCTGCTCGTGAGATCACCGTGGACCACTCCGCCTTTGTCATGCATGTTTCCAATGGCCCGCCCGATCCTGCGTAGCAGTCTCTTCACTTCGTCCTCTTGACGCGCAATCTCTTCCGCTGGCACATCAGCATTCTTCTTATACCACTCATCCCATTGACGCAACAAGTCCTTAACACTCCGCCCTTCGATCCACTCCATCAGCAGCCAAGCACCCGCTCCGCCGCTTCGTGCACCTCGTTGCTCGTCGCTCAGTCCCTTTACCTTCCTCGCGGCATCCCATTCGAGGCTCAGGACAGCAGGGACATTGATCTCGTTTGCGGGATCGCTCGCCAGCCCGGCCAATTTGACCAAGACCCTCGCTTCAGCGAGCACGCGCTGCTTCGTGAGTCGGGCATCGAGAGTTGGATGTCTGTAGGGTTTGCTCGGACGAGCCTTTAGTGCAGCGGGCGTCGAGGGAGAGAGGAAGTGTGTGCGATAGAGTAAGGCTTCGGCGCCTTGGGCTACGAGTTGCGGCGGCGGGTCTGTGGTGTTGAACGGGGCTGGAAGGAAGGATTCGTCTTGTCGTTGCGGAACCGCTACAGGATCTGCCATGGTAAAAGAAAAGAAGGCGTAAGCAGACAAATTACTTCCTCCAAGCTCCCGGCGACCCAGAACTTCCTTAGCTCTCGAATACTTCCTGAGCCTGTTGTCCGAAATATGGTCTTCAACACATAATGCGGGCTATCGGAAATTTCGCATAATTTGAGTCAAGGAAATGTGATCGACCCCTTAGGATGACTCGAGTACTGTGTTACTGGAATGGCCTACCCCGCACACGGTTCGCCAATCATTTGACCACGCTTCTGCCTTCATAGGCAGCTGCGACCACATGGTCGCATGATGTGCATAGCCTCACCTCATCGTTTAGGGGCCAAAAAATATTTAAAAAAAACCGTCCAAAGCCTCGAAGACATCGATAGCAGCACCAAAAAGATGAAAAACAATCAACAATGAGGATTCGCTGCTCGTCACCGACGCAACTACTAACTCATCGACACATGGCTTAAGTACGGCTGAGCGGACGGGAAGCCCTGTTTTCCATGTTCTGTGGTTGATTGCGAAAGGAAGTCCGCAAATTATATATATATCTTACATCGACCACTGCTTGGCGGTGTGCAGTAACGGTCTTGGGCACGCACGTAGGTCATACAACGCAGCCTGTTTCCTGCCCTTTTCTACCTCCAATGTTCACCGAAGTTCATTCCCTTTCGCAACCATAGCACACGCTCCCGTCTTGTATTTCCCGAGTCATATTCCTCCATCGCTTCATCGCTCCATCACTGAGATTTCACCCGTCTCGGTTTATCACCTATATTTCCAATGTAACTTGGCAAGAAGCAATGGATTCAAGATAGGATGGCTTGCCTCAAGAAGTCCGGATTCTTATTCTACAAGCCCTGATACAAGATGGTTGCAAACTGGGTCGCTTGGCCACAGTGTCTCGAGAGTGGCAAACAGTGCTCGAGAGATATAACTTCGCCCGAATCAAAGTGACACCATCTCGTCTCGTCGATTTGGTTAGATGATTCATCGCAATCGGGCTCTCGTCAACTATATCTGGTTCTGCTTGGAACTTGATGACTATGACTGCACCACGTGCGCGCCTACCCGTCCAATGCTCACAGACGACGAGCGGGAAGAGGCATTCAGTATCTGCGATGCAGATGGCTGTCCTATCACCACGGCATTCCAGAATCTGTTCTCGATTCTAAGCACATGGGATCTTAACGGCGATTTGGTACTCGATATCAGTATCTACTCGCCTAGTGACTCAAAACATTGGTTCAAATATCTGACCTTCATGCCCGATATCGCTTCAGATATGCCAGGTGGTGGTATAGAGCAGACGATACTAAACAAAGTCTATGATGATCCTCAACAGGGCTGGGTTGCTAGTTTTCGACACTCCGCTCCGCCTAGGTGGGCTATCCTCAAAGTCTTTCATTGCATTATGGAGGTGGGACCATTTGATAGTGAGTGGGAGGAGCGCCAATGGTGGGATCAGCTTCCATCGGTCCCGGCGGTAACCAGTTTACTTCTCCGGCAACAGAACCGCCGGAGATGGAAGCCTGCCTCGCTCGCACATATGTTCGCCCGTTTCCCCAGACTCCAGGAAGTCCACTACGAGCCCTGGAGGGAATGGGGCTTCCCACATCGCCAGACAGATATAGGTGAGTATTATTGCATACCTAGGTGCATACCTACCCAACCTGTTGCTCGCTCTCAGTTGTATAGGTATTCCATTGCTATTCATCCGCATCCGGTATCTAGATTTCCAATATCTTTTCGAGTCTATCCCACGATTCAACAATAATCTCAAAAGACATGTCTTCGAGAACTTCAATCTCAACAGTATCCAGGTATCATGCAGCGATTCCAGCACGGAGTTGACTTAAGCGGATGATGCGACAGTATTCGCAACCCAGCCCCAGCTGTAAGTTGGATGGTTGCACTCGCCAGCCTCAAGCTTGAGCATCTCGCAGCATCCTTCATCGTAGATGCCAGCCATTTCTTTGAGATCGAACCCTCTTGGGAGTGGTCAAATCTAACCTCGATCGTGCTTACTTCAAACCTACTTACGCCAGACAAGGATCATATTGAGATTGGAGTTATGCTTCGGGCAGCGGCGGCAGCGGCCATAAAGATGCCACAACTGGAAACAATGGAGATTTGGAACGGAAGAAAGGGGTTGGCGGCGCTCTTCAAGTATCAGGTGTTCCGCGATACACAGGAAGCTACAATCACTTGGAGAGGTACCTGGAGATTTACTATGGAACCTTCGATAATGCAGGCTTGGGAAGCCGTTATATCTCAGTGTGACGGTTACAGACTCAATTTGGTTCAGGAACGGCTGGATGAAGCTGCTATTAAGTCTCACGGTGATGCAATTCACTATCTAATGCTTTCAAGCCAGGTCATTCGGCCTATCTCGTTGCAGCAGATTCAGATGGAACAGAAATTTCCAGAGGGCGTGCCGACCTTACCTTCAAGTGAAGTCTTGCTGGAGGTTGAAATCTCTTGGATTTCATCATGGTCCAATCGAGCTGAGCAACACTTCCAAAGCACCGAGTGTTCAAGGTGGGCTACAGAAGTATGAGACATTTGAGCATCATCATGTCACTTGACGTCGAGGTAGGGCACTGACGATGTGATGGCAAATTATGTGACCAGGCAAAGATCCAGGACATCATTACATCAATTACTTTTTAAGCTGGCCGCAATCGTGAACCACCGGCCCCTTCCAACCGACGCCATGCCAGCATATTCCTTCCCAAATTTTCAAAGAACATCAAGCCTCTACAATCCAGACTCTGTCTCTTTGCACCAAGCTCACTATCCTTCCGGCTCAACGCTCATCCCCCTCACCATCTCCTTGAGCTCTTTGATCTGTTGCTTCAGCTCTCGAATCTCCACAACATCCGCATCAACATCAACAATTGGCTTCGAGCTCTGGACCTTCTTGTCCCATCCCTCGCTCTCAAAATCCAGCTCGTCTTGCAATTCCTCCCACTCCTCAATTGTATCATCGTCCTCCTCGCCACGGCGGCGGTTATCGCGTACTGATCGCGCCTCTCTTGCCTCCAAAGCCGCTGTTATCAGCAGAAGTGGGCTGTAAATGATTCCCATGACATAGTCATTGAGTCGCTGGTAACGCCGCTTCTCCATCCACCACTCGAACGGCAGAATGAGGAAGAATAGCTCGATCAAATTCAGTGGTGCGATGAAGACGTTTTCGTCTGGCGCTCGCACGAATTGCAGTGTCTTCTGCGCAAACATTGCCATGTACTCATCGATGGCGTTCTCCGTGATATCCTCGTACGCGGAGTTGTACAGCGCAATCAAAATGTTCAGAAGGATGACCATCACGACAAAGGTGAAAATGTAGTACAATATCAGGCCGAAGGGGTGAGCGTAGTTATCAAACCCTTCAAAGTCTGGAGACTGCATCACTGAATTGGCCATGCTGGTGATGATGAATGTGGTGATACTGGCGTTACCTTCGACTTGGTTCAGGCCGATGAACGCCTGCAGGAACCCCACGCACACGACGATCAGGAGCAGGAAGAAGATCAGACTCTCACGCATCATGACCTTTAGGACAACAAGCATAGCGCCGAAGAAGCGGAAAGTGTCGAGATACAGCAGCAGGCGCATCCAAAACATGGGCGCAGAGAAGCAGAAGATGTGGTAGCCCAGCTGATTGAGCTCGCGGCGGCGCTCGTCGTGCTCGTTAGGGGAATGTGATAGAGCGGTCATCCTTATGACGAAGGAGGCCGTCAGTAGTGCATAAAGACAATTGTTGAACACGTTCCAGAATCCGATGTAGAAGATGCCAACTTTCCAGAGCTTTGCGACCTCGTCGCATATGAATCCTAGGGTCATCATGTACAATATCCCCTCCACGAGGTCAAGATCGCCTTCTTCGTTGATCGTGTTGACGGCGCCGGTGTAGAGGGCTAAGTAAATAATTGAAACGGAGACTTGGACCACGTTCTGATAGAGAGGCGTGCGCATGCGGTCTGGGTCGTAGTGCGCCCAGAAGTTGGTGTTGTCGCGCTCGTGGTAGAAGCGGTACACCGCCGCGTCTTTGTCGTCCTGCTGGATCCATCCTCGCCAAAGATACTTGATGCATTTCTGGTAGCCCGAGGATCCGATCACAGTGAGACAGTGCAGGTCGACGGCGCGCTCGATCACATTGGTGGGGGCACTCTCTTCGTCGCCGCGGACAACGCTGTACCGCTGGAGGAGGACCTTTTGCATCAGATATTCTTGGTCTTCTTCCGCTTCAATGATGCGCTTCGCAATGATCTCGCAGGCCACAGCGCGAACTTGGTGCAGGTCGGCGTCCCACAGCTCGAGTACGGCCTGGCGGCTGAACCATCTCTTGCATACGAGCAGGCAATATACGACGCAGGCGGCATAGTCTTTTCCTCCGGCTTCTTTGGCAGTCTGGACAACGTTTTTGGTGATCACGCCGGAGTTGGCTGCGGTGATTTTGTCCTCGGGGAGTTCGATAGGAATGACTTCTTCGATTTGGTATTTCAGGCGAAGGGCTACTTTTGTTACTTCGCGGGCGGGATAGGCTGGCGCCGGAAGGTCATCGTTATTGCTGGGAAGTACTACTCAGCGTCAGTTGAGACGAGAGCGATATAGCAGTATACGGCAGCTCACATCTCCACATTTCATCGCGAAGATGGCGAGAGTTTCGCTCTCTGCCAAACAACTGCGACCATTTGACCATGACGTAACCCTGTAGCGCTTGACAGTTGGAGAACTACTAGGGAGTCCGTGATAGAGCAGACTGGAACGATTGCTCAAGACAGCAGTATGTCAAGGTGGACAGGCTGAGGTCGTCTGTAAACAACACAGAGACAACGACAGAGGATCGACAGGACTTGATTGAGTCCTTGCCATTGACTTTTTCAAGCTACGAGCAGCTAACTGGAAATTCCTCGAAAATCAAGTTCTGAAGCTGTCAAACCCCCCGCATTTATTACGACACACTTGACCTCTCTAGGCCACTCGGCCCTTGATTAGCGAGCCAGCCACGGGCTTTAGGGCCCAAAGCCCCTCCGAGCGGAGCCTTGTCGTTAAGGCTGCAGAGCCTGAGACTGATTGCCGGGCCGATATACGCTGCCATGCCAAACGAGCCAGGAGAAATTGGTTTCTTGAGACCGCTGGATTGATAAAAGCAGACTGGATGATTGTGATGGCTCGGCGGAGCATCTCACCACCCCTCAGGACCGAAAAGATCATGCCACAACTTTTCTCTTTCCCACTTTGACGTGAACTTCGTAGACATCGTCCAGCCCGGTAGGTGGAGATGCTTATGCAACCTCGGGGCCCTCGTCACTCTCGCTGATATCTTCATCTCCGCTCACTTCTTCATTCTCTTTAGCCCTCTTGTCCATGAGTGCCTGGAGCTCTGCATCATCATGCTCCGTCACAGCCTTAGGAGCCATCTTGACCACACACCCGCCACCTGCCTCCTTGATGTTCTCGTCAATATCCTTGATGGCCTGGTCCAGTAGCTGTATACCCATACTCTTGTCCAAGCACTGGCTCGTTAAGACGTAGTGAGGTGGTGATACTAGCTTCACCTTGACTTGAGTCTCTGGAGTGTTTTTGGCCTCTGCTTTTCGAAGTGCCTCTTTGACTGCGTCGATGCCGTCGTACTTGAAGCATGTTACTTCCACATCAGCACGAACTTTTGTGGGATGCGGCGTCAACTTCTTGCCGATATATGAGATGAGTTCCTCCTTGACAACTTCGTTAGGGAATGTAACGTCGTTCCACACCTCAGGGTTGGTAATTGACAGTTTGAAGGCGTCATTTGCATGTTGGTATCTCTTGTTAAGCGGCCAGCCAATGTTTTCATACAGCTGCAGAATAGGTGTCTTCGTCTTCTCTGCGACGTGGCGGAGGATGGAGTGGACGGATTTGCTCTTGTTGTAGCGTTCTTCGCAACGAACAATGTCTTCGGCGGAGACTCTTCGTTTTGACAAATCGATATAGCCTTTCTCTTTGTCCACTCTTAGCACGACAACCACCTCGTTCCGGCCAATTCTGATGAGTTTCTGTATCGATCTGATACGTCTCCGGGAAAGTTCTGAGAGGAGAATCATGCCGTCGATATTGTCGTATTCTAATAGTTTGACATAGGCACCCATTTCTGCTATCTGTTTGGACTGTGTTAGACTCGCCACAAGCGCAGCGTTTGGGCTTTCTTACCTGCTTCACGTTTACCATCACGAAGCTTTCGATTTCGGGATATTTTTCTTCATAGAAGCGACAATTCGTCAAAGAGTCTGAGTCCGACATGATGGCGGCTTTTCGCGATGTCCGGCTAGATGGTCTGGAGGTCGGGGTGCTGGGGGCTTCTAAGGTCTCTCAAATGAGTGAAGAGAACAATTCTCTACACAGAAAAGGTGTTTCGTGACTGTGACTCGATGCCGCTTTTGGCCCACTCACCTACTCCATGTGCGGCGAAACTTCCAAGCGCCTGCGCCCGGAGGCTTTTGTCCGTGCCAAGAAACGAAGTGAGCATAGTCACGTGTTGATTAGTCATTTATGCCCGTGCGAAGCTTTCTGCCCAACCCTCGCTAGTACGTCACTCCACATGACCATTTTGTGCATGTTCATTGGGAGATTTGCAGAGGTGTCAGAAGCACCGAATCCCCTTGGTTATTGGGGTTCTTGCGGGATTTTTGATGCATCTACTTGGGAATGCCGTTCGGATTCGTTCACCTGGGCTCAAAGACTGTTGATCTGTGGTTTTGAGCGTTACACAGCTAAGGGCAGCTTTCCAGAGACCATGGAACTGCGAGTACAATAACAACAAATTCACTTGTCAAGGCCACGTTTAAGCCTCGAACAGGATGGCTAGTACAACGTCTTCCTCCTCAAGAGGCTCCAGTCCTCCAACTTCTCCGCGGCGGCCCTCGCATCACACCGCTCGAAACCCTTCGCTGCATGCACCCATAACGCCGAGCCGTTTACGAGAAGCCACGACTTTGTCCCCAGTGGATCGGATGGCCAGGTCAAAATCAAGCGAAGGGATGGGCGCTGACATTGATCCGTTACCTCCAGCACTGCGGCAGAATCAAAGCATACCTACCGTTGCTGAGCCCGAGTCCATGCTGGATGAGGAAGAGATTGCAGTCCAGGGTCAGATAGAGGAACCCTCTGCAGAAGAGCTCAATGTCAGGAGTGCACTCTTGGGGAACTATCACCACAACCGCGTTTGCGGACTCAAGGATTGCAATCATGGCACGTTTTCCCCCAGAGCGCCATCACTGCGAAGTGAAGAGGAGAGCATGGATAGTAATGCTGTACGGTTTGGCGGAGCCTATGGCAATGCTATCGCTGACGACGGCGGCCCAAGAGATGGCATCCATGGAGTCCTCGGCGATTCTCTCGCCGACTCGATTGGAGGCAGCAAAAGTCTGAGCACGACCAAATGGCTTGCAAAGAAGCACGGTATCAAGAGCCACAGATGGATGTACTTCTCATACTACTTCCCCTTCATCAAGTGGGTCCGGCAATATCGATGGAGCTGGTTGCGAGGTGACATAATCGCTGCACTCACCATGGCCTCCTTCTACATTCCGATGTCTCTATCTTATGCATCGAATCTGGCTCACGTTCCTCCCATCAACGGTCTTTATTCTTTCGTCTTCAATCCGTTGATCTACGCCTTTCTTGGAAGCTGCCCACAGATGGTGGTGGGACCTGAGGCAGCTGGTTCCCTCCTGGTGGGCCAGGTCGTAAAAACTTCCATCAACCAGGGCCATTCAGGAGACAATGATGCTGTTCTCAATGCGCAAATCGCTGGAGTTGTGACAGCAATAGCCGGAGCAGTGATCTTTGTCGCCGGTCTATGTCGACTCGGCTTCCTGGATAGCGTGCTCAGTCGACCATTCCTTCGTGGATTCATTAGCGCTATCGGTTTTGTTATTCTGGTCGATCAGCTCATTCCGGAGTTGGGGCTTTCAGCGGTAGGTCGAGGTAGCGAAATCGCGCACGGCAGCAGTGCTCAAAAGTTGGTGTTTCTATTCAGGAATATTGGGAAGTCTCATGGTTTAACAACAGCTGTGTCGCTTACAAGCTTTGCTATCATCATGCTTTTCAGGTAAGCGCACATACTGTCCTTGTATCTCTGTTATACTCACCCTGTAGAACTCTCAAACGGACGCTACAGCCACGATATCCCTCGGTTGCATATTTCCCCGATCGCTTTCTGGTTGTCGTTCTCTCAGCAATTTTCACCTGGCTCTTTGCTTGGGACGAGCAAGGTCTCTCGATTCTGGGCGACGTCAAGTCCTCTGAAGGATCAGCTATTCCCTTTCATTGGCCATTCCAATTCAGCCATATGAAACATATCGACACTGCCTTGAGCACTTCGTTCTTGATTGCGCTACTCGGCTTCTTCGAATCTTCTGTGGCCGCGAAGAGCCTCGGAGATGGCACTCATGGCTTGAAGGACATGAACTTGAGTGCCAATCGGGAAATGGTTGCTTTGGGCGCCGCCAATATCGTTGGAGGCTGCTTCATGGCTCTACCTGCCTTTGGTGGGTATGGACGAAGCAAAGTCAATGCATCGACCGGCGGCACTACACCTATGAGCAGCATCATGCTCAGCATCATCACGCTTATATGCGTCTTATTCTTACTGCCGTACTTTTACTACATTCCGAAAGGAGTACTATCAGCCATGATTTCCGTGGTTGCATATTCACTCATTGAAGAATGTCCCCACGACATCAAATTCTTCCTCAAAATCAGAGGTTGGACAGAGTTATTGTTGATGGGCGTCATCTTTCTGGCAACCGTCTTTTATTCTTTGTCCGTGGGGATCGCACTCGGCATCGGCCTCTCTTTGCTGCAACTCATCCGACATGCCACCAAACCTAGAATACAGATTCTCGGGAAGATTCCTGGTACCACCAATCAGTTCGAAAATGCAGAGCTCAATCCTGAGAACATTGAATACATTGAGGGGTGCCTGATAGTCAAGATTCCAGAACCTCTAACTTTCGCAAACACTGGGGAGTTGAAGACACGTTTGCGGAGGTTGGAGCAGTACGGTACCAACAAGGCCCATCCCTCGCTGCCGCGGGTACGACACGAAGAAAACAACAGAAATGTGATCTTTGACGTTCATGGTGTCACCAAAATCGATGGGTCTGGCACCCAAGTGTTCACCGAAATTGTGGACGACTATGTAAAACGCGGTATACGAGTCATTTTTTGTCGACTGCCTTATCGTCGGAGTAAGGTGTTTGTGGCTTTCGAAAGAGCCGGCATTGTAGACTTGTGTGGCGGAAGAGGGCATTTCGTGGGCAGCGTTGAAGAAGCATTGCGCTTGTCAGAATCAGAAGATATGGAGCGATATATCGAGGAACGTACTGACCATGACTACCGGCGAGAGACGCATTGGTAGTGAAGTGACCATTGGATGCAGCCATAAAAGTCTTTTAATATCTTCACCACTTTTCAACTCGTTTATGCCAACAATCAACACACCTGTACGCTCTAATGGCTGCGCGTTTCCTGCCAACTGTGTTGCTTTTCATCGCCTTCTTGGTGGGATTTGGACATACTGCTCTACACTTACCATTGTACAGAAGAGGCGGACGGCTGTCTCGACACGAGCCAGCAGATCTGTCGCATTTTGCAACTCTTCTGGCAGAAGCTGAAGCTCGTTATGCGCTCTCTTACCGAGAAATCGAGGGTAATCGCCTTGTTCGCAGGTGGCTGCCACCCGAAGGAAAAGACGAGAACGATCCGAGTTTGATTGATGTAGCTGGTGGGCAGCACCGATGGTCAGTACAGTACTGGTTCACTACGTCAGGGACGAGCTGATAGTGAAGGAGCAGGTATACTGAACTACGCGCTGGCGATCCGCCACAGAAACTCGAGATTGATATCGACATGCTGAGCTCTGACTTTTACACTATCATGACCACAAGCGGGAAGGGTTCAAGATATGATACATTTGCGTCGAAGTCTCATGGTATGGAAAGAAAATCCGCAATCTTGCAGCACGGATGACCAAGTGACTGACAGCTTCTCAAGGACACAGTGAAGCAAGAGTGCATCCCCTCTGTCGACGCCCGAATGACGAATTCCATTTCCCAGACTCTAACATTCCAGTCCGCCTCGATTTCCCAATCTGCAGCCCGTCCAAAGCATCGCGAGTGACACTGGCGAACTCAGGCTCGTTTCTCGGTCTCGCGCCACACCAATCCCTCGCCCGACTTTCTTCGGCACCGCTTCTTGTTCAGCTACAGAAGAAGAATACAATACAGGACAACACATGGTCAGTAACACTCCTTGACGCAGAAAGTGGGATCCTCAGTTTAGGAGCCACAATTGCAAAAGAAGTCGAAGAAGCAAAGATACGAGGAGAAATCGAGTTGAAGTATTTCGGCGATCCTGTGGCAAACCCACAATGGATCACAAAGCAGGTCGACAACCAGCTGAGAATCTTAATGCTCTCTGAACTTCCCTGGGACCATCACTTCAAGTGGACAAAAGTCCAAGGTGCGGCAGGGTGGTGGACGGCACTGATGAGTGGGGTGTGGATAAACGGAGCAAAGGTATGCACCTCCTTTCTTCCTCCTCTGGCCTGCATGGGAAAGAGACTGAGACCGCCGCTTTGTTGTTTAGGTCCTCAAGAATCAGCGCGTCCTCTTCGACATCAACGTCCCATATATCCTCGCACCACCTGTCGCAGCGCAACGATTCTATGAATCAATTGGCGGGACAAAGCGGCTTGATCCACCATACGACTCCTTCTTTGCATTTCCATGCCTCAACGGCGTCAATATCGGCCTCGAGATCGGCGGGTGGATTTTCCCGAGCATGAGCGGCGAAGGGACAAGAGAAGATGCCCTAAACGGCCCTGCTGGCGGCAGATTCAGCTTGGGGAAACTTGGAAACGGCACGGGATATTGTGTTGGCAGTGTCGTCGAGACGACGATGGGTTTGCGGAAAGAGTGGATGGCCAGTGGTATGAAGGATATGTGGGTTCTTGGAGAGCCGTTCTTTAGAGGACTTGGTGTGGCTTTTGATGTCGACAAGGGAAGGGTAGGTGTGAGAGTGTACTGATCTGACTATGTGGCAGGTTTGCTCAGGAAAGCTCCTTGACCAAAGATGTGTGATGTCTCTGCGTTACTCAATCCCGCAGCTTTTGACTACAAAAGAATACTGTTCTTCGAGAAGACTCGAACACCATGTCGGCTCTGTGGTCTAGGTGCTTGGGGATTGTATTCCTCAAATTTCATCAGAACACCATCAATACTACGGAATAACTCCCTGGCAGTTTTCACCTAATTTTGTCCTAACTTAGTGCAGCAGTCTCAATGTCGCAACTCACTCGCCTTTGGCAATATTCCCTCCTTCTCCAACTCCGCAAACGTCTCATCGAATGCGTCCCAGGTATCTTTATACCCCGTCCAGCCCAGTTTTCTTGCCTTGCCCATACTCACGACACACGAGTAATCCCGACCGAGCAAGAATGTCAGAAACCCCCAGGTGGCTTTATCCCAAGTCTGTTGGTCCAGACCATGCTGGTCCCTCAGATTTTCCCACGCTTTCACCACCTCAGGCCGCTGCGCCCACTTGGTCGTATCGATCTGCTGATGGATGACGCTATGCTTGTCCTCGCTAAACTCGTCCTTGAGACCAATCGCCTCGGCAACAGCACTCACAGGCATGGGCGTGGGTAACTCCGTATGACTCGCCTCGTAGCCATCGTACGCGCCATCGACACCTCTTTCGCCACTACCGGGAAACATGTTGGCTGGGATCTTCGCGCCGTATCGTTTAGCAACTTTGGGCCACAGGTTCTGCCAACTCTCCGTGTCCCCGTCGATGACGTTGAAGGTTTGATTGCCCGCCTTGGGCTCGAGCGCGGCCCACGTGCAGAAGTCGGCGTGCAGTTTCGCAGACGTCCAGCAGTTGAACGCGAGGTAGTTCGCCTTGCATCCCGGGAAGGGCAACTCGTGCGCCGGCAGCGTCGCCATCACGCTGGCATACAGCCCCAGCGCAGTGGCGAGGTTCATGAAATTCGCTTTCGCCACGCCAATCACGTCCTGCGGAAAGGTGACCACCCACGTCCAGTTTCCCCCGTCTTTGCGCGCAGCCTCGGCCAGGATGTCTTGTTGCGTGTAGTAGAAGTTCTCGGGCCACGGCGAGTTGTTGCTGGGCTCCAACCGCGGGTCCGATTCGTGCATGGGCTGCTTCGGCCGGCCGAGGTGCACGCCCCATTGTTTCAGGCCGTTGACCAGGACGAAGCGCTTGAGGTGCTTGATCGCACCGGTGTGGCGCAGCGCGTCGATGAAGTTCTGCAGCATGGCGCCGTTGACTTTGGCCGCCTCGGACTCGTCGTCGCGTGCCAGGTACGCGCAGAAGAAGACGTACTCTGCTTTGATGTCGGAGAGGGACGAGGACATGCTCTCCGCGGACGATTGGAGGTCCAGCGTGGCGTGGTGGACCTTGGGGTCGGAGCAGTGAGATTTTTGAGAGCGTGAGAGGGTGGTTATGCTGGTCCACTCTGGCAGGCTTAGGAGGTGGTCCGTTATGGCGCGGCCGGTCATGCCGGTGGCTCCGGTGATGAGTGCTGTCGGCATGGCTGTGTTTGATTTTGTTCTTGGGATATTGTTCTGGTCGCTGTCCGGTTGATCCGGAAGTGTGGTTCTGTACGCGAACAAGGCTGCTGCAATAGGGGCGTAAGCTGTAGCTATCGGCACCGAAGGGCTGATGTCGATGGAGAGTGAAGTGTTTGTGCTGATTTTCAGAGTATTTACTTCCAAATTGTCGACGGGAGAATGAGAGTATAGAATTTGTGACTGAGTGGTGGTTTGTTCTTTTTGTTCATGGCAAGACGGATATAAAAATGACCGTGACGTCGAATGCACTTCTTTGGACGTCATGTCTATGCAGGGTTCGGGATGCCATTCCCGAGGACTGACTAACCATCTGTCAGGCTTCAGCTACAATGATCATGTAGCCATAGGATGCTTCATCAGCGATTTATAACATATATCTGCACTTTACTTCTCTTTGGTCTGCTCGCTGACAGGAGCCCGCCAGTCATTTCTCACAACCAGAAGTCTCCCATCAGCAATTCTCGCAACGGTAAATCCAAGATTGACGAAAAATACCAAAATCAGAAACAAAGTCAAGATGACCGTCATAACTCTGAAGAACGGAGAATCCATCTCCATGCCCAAAAGTAGTGTCGAAGTCGCCAACGTGCCAGTTGGGAATATGATAGCATTCCACGTCGGAGCCCAGACCATTTCTCGATGACACACGCGGTCGAGCATGCCGATGAATGCCAGTACCAGCCAGACCGCCCCGAGACCGACCATCAAAACCGCTAGCAAGATACAGGCAGCCTCGAGCACCTCAGCCGCCGTGCCGCTCAGGAAGAGTCCTCTGTTATACGCCCGGAACGCGCCGTGTGTGTTGGCCGCAGCCCCGAGCAATTGTAGCGCCGCTGCGGATTGGCCCATGGGTCCGACGAGTATGAATAAAGTCGCCGTGTTCTGTGGCGCTGGCCATCCTTTTGCCAGAAGTTGATGGAACAGATACGTGTACAGGAATAGACCGAGCAGGATGCCCACACCAACGGCGCAGAAGGATAGGATTATAATCGGGACCGCGAGGCGAGGGGAGATGTCGTGCGAGAAGGACGCCACGACGCCGCCGACCAGTGCCAGAGTCGACACTCCAACGGCGGGGATGATGATCAGTGTCGGGATCTGTTGGTTCAGGGATATTATGGTGTGCTGCCGGATTAGAGTGCCAAATGCGAAGAACAGCATGGCGAACATCCACAACGCTGCGATCCACCACATCACGGCGGCGAGGATGGTGAAGCGGTGACCGCCCCAGGACGCGTTGCTCACTGTGAGACTGATGAAAGATACCAACGTCATCCACGCGATGCACCAGCATGGTAAGAGGCACAACTCCACCACGCTATCGACTAGTTCGGAGTATGCCTGTCGGGTGTACATAAGGAAGTGTAGAATATAGATGCTCGAGAAGACGACATAGAGGACCAGGTCGACCGTGAATGCAATGGTCGAGAGCACTTGAAGCCCGCGGAACTGGTAGGGTAGTTGGTGAAGTAGTGTCGCAATGACTCCGGCGTTCATGCACCAGGTGAACCTGGTCAGTTAGCATTGGCCCTTTGCGAAGCGTTGGGTATACACGCCAGGAACAAAAGCATACCATATCGGACTGAAATCTTGGACCAGGGCGCAGAAGCAACTCCTTTTCGCCCGCCGCAGTTCTCTGTCGTTTGGCTCTGAGTCATGGTAGATGTTGTCCTCTGCAGACTTGTCGGAGCCGCCCAGCCTACGCTCATCTACCGATACTGTCATCTTGCTTGCTGAAATTGGTATGATTCACGAGAGGTCATCTCTAAGCATGGTGTGCCATATGCATTTACTTTGATTTTATCGCTCCAGCTTGGTCTTGGAGTTCAATTGTCGACTCAGACTCGTGCATGTTATTCTCCTTGGCTGACGAGGTCGCGCCGGTCATTCGCCGTTTGATGGAGGATCAAAGGATCAAGGCAAAGGCCGGTAGGACGGTCTTCTGGCCGGTTGAAGCTTTCATGGTTGTCCACGGGCTTTGATTGGTGCATGTTCATGTTACGCCCTGGCGCTGACATTGGTGCCCGCAATTGTTGGTCATCCAAATATTCCAGGGATGATGAGAGGTTTTCGCCGGTGTCATGCTTGCTATAGAAATGGTCAGATGTTACCCAGTCACGCCAGTATTGGTCCAGTAATTGACAGGTATTCCAGATGAGCACGACAAAAAACAAGAGTGTCGTTGGCAAATGCCATTGCATCACATTGATCGGGTCCTTCGATCCATGTTTAAATCTAGTAGGACAGTCTATTGAATGAAGCAATCCCGAACATCGTCCACTACTTCCTCACTGCTGCTGGTGCGGTGCTATCAGCAACTCCTCGCCTCCGCTCTATCTCTGCGATTCTCTCTTGTTCAGCCTTCTCGGCCAATTCCCTCTTGCGCTTGTCATCTCTGGCCACTTGATCTGGCCGCTTGATGGCGATATCTTTGGGTCTGAAGTCGCTGAATAGTCTCTTGAAGACTTGCTCAACGACCCAGCAACCACAGTAGTCAACAATCATGAGCATCGTCAAGGTCCACTTGAAGTCACTCCTGAAAGGCACAAGGCGCAACTTGTCATTGAGCTCAGGCAGCAACTCTGTACTGCCGGCAAAGGCGACGAAAGAGCAAGCCAAGAGTCCCCAGTACATGCCTCTGTTTTCTCGAATACTCTCGCGAAACGGGCGGCCCTGGTAGTTGATGGCAAAGGTCGAGACTTGTTGAATGAGCTGCATAAGATACACCGCACTGTTGAGAAGACTGGGTTCAAATTCACCCTCCAAGTCGACCTCTGTTGAGGGAGGAACGATTGAGTAGACAACATTCGAGAGGTAAATTAGCGTGGCGCAGTGGATGGCGAACTGACCAAGAACAGACCCCAGGATATATGCATTCAAAATGTTGGGTTGAGGTCGTTCACGCGACAAAGCTTCGACCGGTTTGGCTCGTGATATGGACAAGAAACAGACCGACATCAGCATGCCACTGATGGTGACTTGGCCGTCCCCGAACTTGATGCCGGAGAGGTAGATGACTGACAAACTGTATGCACTGATCAGACAATTGAGGGCAAGGATCTTGTACATCTGGATCGTTGCAACCAGCGTACATCTGCCCTGTCTGATAATGTTCGGAATGGCGACGACATTTGCCAACTTGCTGGTAAATGGTGCAGCAACCGAAGCGTCACCCAACTTGATGGTGGGTGGCTCACTGTCATCAAGCTCATTTTCCATCATGGATGATGTGAATTTGTCAGCCCAATTGGCGGCCTTCTGCTGTGCTTCCTGCTGGCGTCGTTGTTGAGGCGTCAGGCTGGAATTCGCATGCTGCACAGCCTGTGCTCCAGGCGACGTGATGGTCTCGATGGCCCCGTTCTCAGCATCACCATTCTCTAGTTGAATACCCTTCTTCTCCGCAATCGCCTTGACCGCTTTCTCATGATGAGGATTGCTGGGACCGGGTGGGTAGAGATGGGCGATACCGGGTGGGACAGGGGGCGCTGGCTGATTGAATCGCTTCATGAGCTGAACTTGCTTCTCATAGATCTCTTTCATCTTGGTGGTCCTAAAGTGATCGCTGATTTTGGTTAGGTCGTCTGGGGAGCCATTGAGTAGAGCAACACCAACGTGCGCTTGCTTCAAAGCACCGACGTCATTCGTACCATCACCGCACATGAGAGTTGTGTAGCCCAGGTCTTTCAGTCCAATCAAGATTTCTTCCTTCTGTTTCGGCGACACTCGCGCATACACCCATGTATATCTGAGGAGGGTCTTGAAGGCTTGCTGTCCAGTGAACTTGCCCAAAGCATAACCTGTAACACACAAGTCTTTCGTCTCAAGAATCTTCGGATCAATGTCTTTGGCCGGATCAACAGGAATGATGGTCTTTTCATCGACGCTTCTCCAGACGAGCTTCTTGCCTGACTCGTCATGCTCAGGAGCATCCAAGATCAAACAGTCCCGGTCGACGATCTCGACCTGACGAGCAACGTGGACAGCAGTCAAAGGATTGTCTCCAGTGATCATCACAACTCGATGGCTGCTCTCATTCAACATCTGCACCGCTCTAATAGCATCTTCCTTCAGAGGAGTTTGGAGGACCAAAAAGCCAGCAAAGGTCAACTCGGCTTCAACCTCTTCGCGCTTCAGATCGTTGATACGCTTCTGACCAATCTCCGCCTCCGTCGAAAGATACTTGTAAGCAAGGGCGAGAACTCTGGCTCCATTTCTGGTGAAGTATTTGAAGGTCTCTTCGTACTTGGGAGGGACCTCGACAAGCATCTTGGAGATGGTCTCAGGAGCACCTTTCACACCGACAAAAGTTCCTTTGCCTCGTCGTCCGGTCTTGGGATCTGTGACAGAAACAACTGCCACAGAGCTTTGCCGTTTAAGAGCCGAAGAAAACTGGAACCGTCTTTTGATCTGAACGATATGAGCAGCGCCTGCTGTGGAATGAGCCTTCTTTGACTTCGAAGGCGGAGCGCTGGTCAATGTATCGTTGTTTCCAAGAGTCCAATTGAGAGCCGTCAATGTAGCCTTCTCCATAGGGTCACCAACGATATCACCCTCATCCAGTTTGACCAAGGCATGAGCGGTAGCCAGAACAAGCGTGGTGTAGATGCCACAGTCGGGTACTTTGGCAATACTAGACTGCGCACCATCTGGCTCAGTCTCGCCATTTGGCTTACCCAAACCCAAGCCCGCAATGCCGTCGACGACAAGATCTTCACCTGTGAGAGTTCCAGTCTTATCAAAGCAGGCGATATCGACACGTCCAGCAAAGGGTATCCGGAATGGCTCCGTGCAGAAGATGGCGAATTTGCTGAGTGCTGCCAGACTGGTATTGACAGCCAAGGACAATTCCATGGGCAATTCGGGCGGCACGACACTGGTAACGATCAAAATGCAGTCGAGCAGTAGCTTGGATCGCTTTCGGTTATTTTTGACACCTTCTTGCCAGACATATCCCGATGCTGCCAGGGCGAAGATCAGCAGAAATAAAATGAACCATAGAGCTTCGGCGTTGTTTGCTGAGACACGTTCTGTGGAGTAGATCATAGTCCTGACGAGGCTACCTTGATTTGTTTCAAAGCCGGTCTTCAAGACAACAGCCATAGCTCCCTTGTCAGGAGGCGGAGGCACCCCTGACTTCACAGAAGGGACTGTCTCGTGGGCATCTTCGCTGGCAGCTGGATGGGTGATTTGAAGGACCTTGGTACCTCCCCAGAGCAAAGCGTTCTTATCCAGTCCTTCAGGATCGATTGGTGCATCGCCTGGGCGAAGCATAACTGATTCCTTCAGTAGTGGCGTACTTTCACCAGAGAGCATGGCTTCGTTGACAATGGCAGTACCTTCGATCAGAAGCATATCGCATGCCACGCCGGAATCTTCCTGCGATCGACCCACGGATGCCAAGTCGCCTGGCAGCAACTTGTCACTTTTGATCTCAATCCACTTCTTTTCTCGGTACACCCAGATGTCATAGGGTTTGATGCCCATTCCTCGGAACTCATTCAAAGTGCGTTGCCGCTGCCAGACAACAGTGCTTTCGAAAGCCACCAGCATGAATAGCGTGAACAGCGAATAGTACCAATAGTCGTCGAGCAACCACAGACCGACACAGAAGACTTGGAAGATGAAGAACGGCGCCACAGCATGCTCTTTCCACAATTCCATAAACGTAGGAACCGGAATGTCGAATGTGTTATCTCCATAATGCTGATGAACAGTGTCAATCTCAGCTGCAGTGGTCAGGCCCTTTGACAACTGGAACTCCCGGAGCAGGGGTTTCTTCTCCGCGTCAATCTTATAAGTCAATGGCGCGAATATCCCTTTCTCCGAATAATAGTCGAACCGTCTCTTTTGAAAAAGGAAGTAGATCCTGCCATCTTGACCCTTTTCCAGCTTGCAGATGGCTGGTGCACCGGAATTGACAACGGGGATAACCTTGATCAGTCGAGCATCTTCAACTTTCGTCGCTTTAGTTGTGGTGAACGTAGTGTCCAAGTTGACGTTCCATTTCGTAGAAAGCCACGTTAAAGACTGAAGAGTGGTTATGGTGGCCACCCACACAAAAGTCCATTCTTGACCATCAATGTATTCGTCGTAGAGATCTTCATTGAGATAAAATGCGAGGAAGATGGGCCATAGTATCGTATAGGGCCAGATGTAGGCCTTCAGATAAATAGGTAGGGGGTTATGGAGGCTTGCGGCTTGGATCTGGTCGTTATCCACGAGTTTAGATCTGCATTTTTGTTCAGTAGAGTTGGCAGAGAGTAATAAAGGAAGCCTTACGTTCTCTGCGCCATAGCGAGCGTCAATAAAGAGCTCGCGCTCAGACTAGATTGCGCAGAAATGTCTGCTCGATACCAAAGGCGGCGAAAGGCGTTGAACAGGGTGTCCTTGGGAAAAAAGGTTGCAGTTAGACTCGCGGACTCGATCAAGACTGACGCAGATCTCGGGGAAATTCACGCCGCTGCATCACGCCGCCTTAAGCCACATCGCTTGGCATGTTTGTCGTTTGGCCCTATTCAATTGCTTTGATAAAACATTCTTTGAGTCATATCGACAGTCTCGAAGGGAGTCAAAACTTGCGAGACAACAGGCACCCCGAAGCAGAGACAGTTCTTGTTATTCTCGAAAATCCCAGAAACTTCCCGACTCGATCTTGGATTCTCACCAGCGGCAATTTATTGGGATCTCTATTTGCGTCTCATCTCACGTGCCATTACTGTACCACTGCTGGGCTTTGGGAAGAAGGTTTCATCTAGTAACAATTGATACCTACGATGGCTGAATCGACGGAGGCGAGCAAGTGCTTACCCGAGCGGCTGAAGGAGACAGTTGAGAATGCTGTTGCGGAGAAGAAACCCAAGAAAGAAAAAGCGCCCAAACAGCCTAAGCCACCAAAGGAGCCGAAAGCGCCTTCAGCGAAGCCTGCTAAACCGGCCCAGCTGGCACCCGCAGCACCGACAGACCCCAATGCTATGTTCAAGGAAGGATGGCTCGCTGCAGTCAGAAAGGAACGACCCATGGACGAACCTGTCGTTACTCGCTTCCCACCAGAACCCAATGGTTACCTTCATATAGGCCACAGCAAAGCTATTGCAATCAATTTTGGCTTTGCGAAGTTCTACGGCGGAAAATGCAATTTGCGGTTTGACGACACGAATCCGGAGGCTGAGGAGGAGGTGTATTTTACTGCTATCGAAGACATCGTGAGGTGGCTCGGCTTTGAACCTGCACTTATCACATATTCTAGCGATTTCTTCGACCAGTTATATGAGCTTGCAGAAAAGTTGATAACCCTGGACGGAGCATACGTATGCCATTGCACGGACGAAGAGCTGAAGGACCAGAGAGGAGGAACAGACCCCAAGAACAAACATGATAGATACGCCTGTCGCCACCGTGATCGACCCACTGAAGAATCATTGACAGAGTTCCGCGCAATGAGAGGTGGCAAGTACAAGCCAAGAGAAGCCTTTCTACGTATGAAGCAGGACCTCACAGATGGGAATCCACAGATGTGGGATCTCGTTGCGTACCGTGTCTTGGAGAAGCCACATCATCGGACGGGCGACAAATGGAGGATCTATCCTACATACGACTTCACACACTGCCTGTGCGATAGTTTCGAAGGCATCACACATTCATTGTGCACTACAGAGTTCATTCTGTCCAGGGTATCCTATGAATGGTTGAACAACAAGGTCGACGTACCTCATAAGCCGATGCAGCGAGAATATGGTCGACTCAACATCACAGGTACGGTGTTATCGAAGCGAAAGATCAAGAAATTGGTGGACGAAAAGATCGTCAGCGGGTGGGATGATCCGAGATTGTATACTCTGGTCGCCTTGAGGAGAAGAGGTATTCCACCTGGAGCGATTCTTTCTTTTGTCAGTGAGCTCGGAGTCACAACTGCAACTATCAACATTCAAATCAAACGATTCGAACAGTCGGTCCGAAAGTACCTAGAGATGACTGTACCTCGTCTCATGCTTGTCCTGGACCCCATACCCGTGATCATCGACGACCTGCCGGATGACCACTACGAAGAGCTTGAAAATGCATTTGGGCCCAAAGATGTCGACATGGGGACTCACAAATTACCCTTCACAAAGAAGGTGTACATTGAACGTGACGATTTTAGAGAGGTGGACAGCAAGGACTTTTTCAGAATGGCTCCTGGAAAACCTGTTGGGTTGTTGAAAGTCCCATACCCTGTCATTGCGACAAGCTTCAAGAAGGATGAGGCTACTGGTCTGGTCACCGAGATCCATGCAAAGTACGAGAAGCCAGCGGAAGGTGAAAAGATCAAGAAACCCAAAGCATACATTCACTGGGTTGCCGAAGCACCCGAGCATGGGTCTCCTGTCAAGTGCGAAGTCCGCGTCTTCAACCCTCTCTTCAAGTCGGACAACCCAGATGCAGTAGAACCCAACTTCATGGCCGATCTGAATCCGGATAGTCTGAAAGTCTACCCAAATGCGATAGCTGAGGTCGGGTTGAAGGAGATCCGAGAAAGGGCGCCATGGCCAGAAGAGGCTGGGGAGAAGAAGGACAAGTGTGGATATGAGTCTGTCAGATTCCAGGCAATGAGAACGGGGTACTTCTGCATGGACAAAGACACAGATGAGGGGGCTGGCAAGATTGTGTTGAATCGGATTGTCAGCTTAAAAGAAGATGCTGGAAAGAGTGCATGAACGGCAACGGATGGCTATAGTTATGGTGATGGAACCCATGATTGTATGATGATGACTCTTCAGGCGGTCTCCTGAGATACCATCGGGTCGATAGATTGATGGCAATGCTGTGCTCACGGACTAGAGCTTGATTCAACATACTACCATGATGCAGATCTTTTTTGTTGGACGTGTGAAATAAGCCCATGCTATCGTCCCTTAGTAGAGGGAGGTGATTACGTAATACACCCGCAGCCCAGTGAAGCCACCAACGGACGCCTTCCTCTCCGCTGGGCTCCGTCGATGCCGTGGGATTTCCACCCACCCCCTCAACCACTACAGTTGTGCAGACACTTCAACCCCCTCGGCTTCATGGAAGCCAAATCCAAGCGCAATGTCCAAGCGCACCATCGGCGGTGGAAGAGTGCTAGGAAGCGGTAGGACCTTAGGACCAGCTATCCCACCGCCAAAGTCGACTTCACCCCTCCCTCCCCACGTCCTCTCTCCTTCAGCCTCGACTTTATCCTTGAACACATCCGGGAGCGAAGCGTCCACACCCCCATCCTCAGATCCTCAAGATATTGCCGGTCGAGTCTCGCTCGATCATGGCGGGCCAGACCTTTCCGCGGCGGCAGCAGCTGCGGGAGACCGCTTGGTGTGTCCGATATGCAATGAGGAGATGGTCACGTTGTTGCAGTTGAACAGGCATCTGGATGACGCACACAAAGAGATTGAAGAGGAACAACAAGATGAGGTCAAAGACTGGTTTAAGCAACAAATGTTCAAGGCGAAGAAGTTCCAACCCCTGGCTGTCTTGAACCAGAAACTCAAGGGTTTGGACGTCTTCGAGTCGAATCATGATATCGCTCGAAGCATCACTCCTACCCCTAGACATGAGTCCATTCCAAAAGAGACAACCGCGCCTCCTACACCGCCGAAGCCAGCCCAGACAGTCGTCGACCCGGAGGATGTGATAACGAAACACCATTGGCAGAAGAGAACAGGCTACGATGTATGCTCAGATCCCACCTGTGGAAGAAGGTTAGGTGCTGGTATCGGACTCGTGAACTGCCGACACTGTGGAAAACTCTTTTGTGACGAGCATACAATGTATCAGATGAAGCTATCGAGGTCTGCACAGCATGAACCCGTTCGAGGATTGTGGTACAGAGTATGCGAGACCTGCTACAAGAGTCGAGAGTGCTACATGGACAGACGCGGCCTTGAAAGAGATCGAATGGGTGACTTCGACAGCATAAGAAGGAAGAAGTCCAGTCACAGAGAGATGGAAGTCTCCAGACTAGAGAAGAGACTGTCGAGATTAACACAATTGCTGGCCAACCCGCCGGAAGAGATCCCTCAGCCTACCACTAACAAGAGGTGGTCACTGAATTGGGGTCAAAACGATCCTCGAAAAGCCCTTGAGCAGAGCATCGTATCTTGGCAGAATGATGCCGAAGTCCCACGATGTCCATACTGCCAACAGGATTTCACTCAATACACATTCCGGCGGCACCACTGCAGGACCTGTGGGAAAGTGGTTTGTGGAGATCCGGTCACAGCTTGCTCGACTGTTATCGGTCTCAACGTGGCCACAAGTAAGCTCGCCCCTGTCTCCTTTCCAATTCGTCCATACTGATTTGTCTCACCAGCTAACACGCGCCTCTCCGCCACAGAAAAACCGCCTCCCGATAATACCATCGCTCTCGATATCCGCCTCTGTAAAGATTGCAACCACACAATCTTCTCGCACCGCGACTTCAAAGCCTCACTCAGCTCTCCTGGCATCGAAACATTCGCCCGTGCGTACAACAACCTCGTGCAATTCGAACGGGGTATCCGCCTCCTGTTACCGAAATTCCAAAAACTCCTTCAAGCCCTACAAGACCCTGACCACCCACCAGCCTCGTCCCAGATCTCTGACGCCTCTCGCACGCGCAAACGTCTGATGGACTCATTCACGCAATACGACACTGCCGCACGGCGGCTACGTGATCTGCCCAGCCACTCTCCCACGCAGCTCAAGCTGCAAAAAGCAATCTACCAGAACGCTACACAGTTTCTGCATTTACACATGCTACCCTTGAGATCTCTGCCGAAGGTGCTCAAACACGCCACTCCACACGGTAATAGTAAGCTCGACATGAAGGATCCCCGCTCCAGTCTCGCCGTGCTGAATCACAACCACATCCGGCACGATAGCTCGTCGAACCTATCCATCGCGAGTTTCGCGTCTTCTCGCGTAAGCGAGCTCGAGGCCGAGGAGAAGCAACTGCGTGAGCGGCTCATCGTGCTCGAGGAGCAGAAGTTCATGGTCCAAGAGATGATCGCCGACGCAAATCGACGGAGAAAGTTTGACGAGGTCGCGGCCTTGGCTGTGAATGTCGAGGATTTGAGTACGGAAATCGACAGTGTACAGAAAATGGTGGATAATCTGCGAGGAGAGTTTGAAGGGGTGTATACGAGCGGAGGGGGGCTGGGTAGTGGTGTGAACAGTCCCGCAAGGAGACCTAGTGATATGGGTATCTCAGGGACTAGTATGGGGAAGATGAAGAACGTCGTCGGCGCTCGTGGTGAGAACGGCTGAGTGGCAGGGTACTAAGCGGGCGATCGAAGTTCTTACCGGGCACTCCATGCACTGTGGTTAAAGAGGCGGTCAGGACGTCGAAGGAGATCCTGTCGCCAATGTTTTATTTGGCTTTCTGGTAGCGAGCGGGTGTTGGCGTCAGAAAGTTAGGGTATAACCGTTGAAGAGTCATTTCTGACCTCGAATTTCTGAGCCTGAAAATGCTACGACAAGTGGAATCTAGAACATGTTCCTACTCCTCTTGTGCACAAGCACACTGATCCGTTGTCCTCTTCCCAAGCGAACGTCGGGTATCTCTGTTATTCATGGGTTACCTATTGTACAGTCGTTCACGTAGTGTTCAGTCGGACATCATCGACCTTCGTCTCATATCATACAATCGTCCCAAAAGCCTGTGCTGAGGCTCTCGCAGCCAAATTCCACCAACGCCTGAACCTAAGATTACAAGATCAACGCAAATTAGCTGTCTTCTCTCACTTGCCGCCGCGCCTCTTCCACAATCGCAACCAGGAGTTCCTGATTCGCCCTTCGTACACAGTTCTCATCCGGCTGGTCCGGGTCGTCAACACTATGGAGTGGCCTCGACACGAATTTTATCCGGTGGTCGCATGAGATGGCATATGCGGCATTGGATATCCTGGAGATCTTCATCGGAGCGTCTGATTTAGCAATATCCGCTTCCTGGCCTTTGAGCGACTGAACCACGTTGTCTCTGTCATCGAGGACAGGAATTTTAAGACCAGTATTTGCCCAGATATATCCTGCTAGCGTAGACATGAAGTGCTCGATGCCAAATCTTCCATTTTCCGGCAGGGCCTTCAGAACTGCATAAGGAGCCACGGCGATGTCTAGAGATTTGAGGTGAGGGGCGACCGGAGCAGAGAAGCCAATCGTGAGTCTCACACTGCTGATGATATTGATGAAGAGATCTTGTACTTGGGATTGCGTCGAGCCAGGGGCTGTGGATAGGGAGGAGTAGATTGTTGAGAGATAGTTCTGGAGTGTCTTTTGGATGAGTGCTGACGGCATTTGCAGAGGGTGAATTTTGGGGAGGGCGAATGTGTCCGATAGGTAGGTCGTCAGGGATCTTAACAAGGAAGGGGACGACTTGGAGAGGAGGATGGCCGTCCGGCTCTCCTGGTTCGAGCTTGCGCGGTTCGATGTTTCTGTCCTGCTGCGCTTCGAGGAAATGGTATTGGGGGTTGTGTATATGATGAACTTGTAAGTCGTTCTTTCATAGATGAGCGAGATCAGGATTCCGTGACTCGTTGAGCTGTCATCATCTCCGTCGTCTCGCATTCTTTTCCTGTTGAGTGGCTGCGTCTGACCTTCTTCGGGAGCGAGTCCCTCTAGCCTGTTCCATTTGCATTGACTTAAAGAGCCCAGCCTTTCTCTTTCTTCTTCTGACTCGTAGCGTGGCCGGCCTTGGCTGATGGATTCGCCAAAAGCACCCGCGTGGGTTGAGAGGTCTCCTGTCAGTTGTGATCGCTCCCGCTGTGTTGACGGTGGTGCAAGGAGTGCGAGGAACGACGGTGTCAGGGCTGGAAGGCTATGGATTAGCCACGATGTGTCGTAGAGGCAGTCTTCCATCCTGTACGGAGGAAAGTCGTCTTCTACGCAAGTCTCTTTGGTCGCAGCAGATGGTACCGCTGCGGACCTTGAAAAATAACACACGCCATTTAGACGCGGGTCGAGGCTGGTGCCAGAACGCGGTGACACGTGAACCTTATCGTTATCAGCACTAATCGGGGAAAGCGCCATGCACCTGGCCACGGAGAAAACGGGTTCACTTTCTGAACGACCTCATCCATGAAGAACGAAAATTCGGAAAGAATAGAAATGCGACCCAGCATGCGAAACTCACCGAAAGCACCATGTCGTCGAAAGCGAGATGCCTATGTGAGAGTATATGAGTCTAAGCCGAAGAGCACCGCTCGAACAGCCGCGGCAGCTTCAATCGATCTCCAAAGCATAACCCTCCCCCCAGCCGGTTGATGAAACGAACATGGCAGAATGCTTCGTGCAGTGGACTCCTCGGCCCATCTTACCATGCAAGCAGCAGCAAGGCTGGACGAGATGCCCATTGTCCATGGAGAAAGCTGTCGCCAGTCAATCCCGTACAGCTACCTCCGTACGGTCACATCGTTACAGCGATCCGAGCTTATCCCGATTCAGAAGGGCCCATAGATAAGAGCTCGCAGTAATATTTCCTCGCATCGTCTCACCAGCTGAGTGAGCTGAGATCACTGTGTCCCCGCGGATCTTCAACGGTGCACAGCACTGATTCGCCTTTCAGGTGTATCGGTACTGATCCAGAAGGCCTCACAAATAATGTAGCGTCATCATCTACATGCATTTGCTGGATGTTCTGTAAGTGAGATGTCATTGTACCTTTCCTAACGTTCTTTTCTTTCGTTCCTTTCTTTTGCACATCGTTGGGTGCACAAGTGGTCCTTGGCATCGAGGATACATTGCCTTGCAATCTTTCAATATCTATATATCCGAATAGCATGGAAGATCCCAAGACGGATTCTCAGGGCATTCCTGAAAAGATCGAAACACTAGGCACTCAGCAAGCCAAGGACATTTTACCACCGTCACCACCGCCCACGGATGGTAGCGTTTCTGACGCGGACGATGAAAATGTGGAGATACCACTTCCACCCCCAACTACTATACCGACCCAAACGTTAGATGTTGATCTGAAGACGCCGGATAGCCATGTGCCGCGAGATCCCAGGTTAATCAGGCTGACTGGCGTTCATCCTTTCAACGTCGAGGCACCTCTTACCGCGCTCTTCAACGAAGGCTTTCTCACGAGTCCCGAACTATTCTACGTCCGAAATCATGGTGCGGTACCGCAGGTCCAGGACCAAGATATCATCGATTGGGAGTTCACGGTGGAAGGCCTTGTTGAAAAGCCGATCACGATATCCTTGAAGCAATTGATGACGGAATACGAGCAAGTCACATATCCAATAACATTGGTATGCGCCGGTAATAGGCGGAAAGAGCAAAATATGGTCAGAAAGAGTAAAGGGTTTTCTTGGGGCGCAGCAGGTCTATCAACAGCACTTTTCACTGGTGTTATAATGTCCGAGGTGATCAAGAGAGCGAAACCCAAGAGAAAAGCGAAGTACGTCTGCATGGAAGGTGCGGACAAGTTACCCAATGGATATTATGGCACGTCCGTCAAGTTGAATTGGGTGATGGACCCGAATCGTGGTTTCATGCTCGCCTACAAGATGAACGGAGAGACTCTGCGGCCTGACCATGGAAAGCCCTTGCGTGCAGTCATCCCAGGGCAGATTGGTGGTCGATCTGTCAAGTGGCTGAAGAAGCTCATCCTTACTGAAGCACCCAGCGACAATTGGTATCACATATACGATAATCGAGTGCTGCCAACCATGGTATCACCAGAGGAGTCTGCGAATAACCCGAAGTGGTGGACAGATGACAGATACGCCATCTACGACCTAAGTCCCAATTCTGCCATTTGCTATCCGCAGCACGAAGAGCAGCTCTGCCTCACCGGCGCCACGAGTACCTACTGCGCCAAGGGATATGCATACAGCGGAGGTGGACGACGCATAACACGTGTCGAAGTCACACTCGACAAAGGCAAGACTTGGCGCTTAGCCGGTATTACATATGCCGAAGATCGATATCGTGAGGTAGAAAGGGACCTATTCGGTGGCAAGATCGACATGTCATGGCGAGAGACGTGCTTTTGCTGGTGCTTCTGGTCAATAGACCTGCCAACATCAGAGATTGCTGCGGCCAAAGATATCTTTGTTAGAGCGATGGACGAAAGTATGAATGTCCAGCCTCGAGATATGTACTGGTCTGTGTTGGGCATGATGAACAATCCGTGGTTTCGAGTCACGATAACACTGGAAGGAGACTATCTGCGGTTCGAGCATCCCACACAGCCTGCTCTCATGCCAGGTGGCTGGATGGAAAGAGTGAAGAAAGCCGGCGGTAACCTTGCCAATGGGTTTTGGGGAGAAAAGCTCGAAGGCGAGGAACAAGTCGTATCCAGTGATGAGCAAGCTGGGGAGGTTCCAATGGTCAAAGAAGGCTTGAAGAATCCCATCACGATCGATGAGCTTCGAAAACATGACGACGAAAAGGCCCCCTGGTTTGTGGTCAAGGGCGAAGTTTATGATGGTACTGCTTTCCTCGACGAACACCCTGGCGGCGCTCAAAGCATCATCTCAGCAGCAGGACTGGACAGCACCGACGAGTTTATGGCAATCCACAGCGAAACAGCAAAAGCCATGATGCCCAAGTACCACGTCGGCTCCTTGGACGACGCGGCCAAGACTGCTCTGACTGTGGGAGAGACAGAACCTGACCAAAACGCCAGTCCTGCAGAGACATTCCTCAATTCCAAGGCCTGGAAGAAAGCTGTCCTCCACGGCAAAAAGATCGTCTCTTGGGATACTCGAATCTTCACATACAAATTGGAGCATCCGACACAGCGTCTTGGCCTGCCTGTTGGACAACATCTAATGGTCAGACTCAGAGACCCTGTGACTCGCGAAGCCGTGATACGCAGTTACACGCCAATATCCGAGATCGACGATCAAGGTTATATGGAGATGCTTGTCAAGGTATACTTCGCCAATGCCTCGGGCAAAGGAGGGAAAATGTCTCTGGCTATGGATGCTCTTCCCATTGGCCACTTTATCGAGATGAAAGGGCCTATCGGCAAGTTTGAATATGTAGGAAACGGTAAGTGCTTGATTCAAGGCAAAGAGAAATTTGTGCGGACATTTATCATGATATGTGGTGGGAGTGGTATCACGCCGATCTACCAGGTCTTCCGGGCAGTTATCCGGAATCCCGAGGACAAAACGAAGTGCATCATCTTTGATGGGAATCGTCTGTTTGAGGATATTCTCTGCAAAGAAGAACTTGACGCCCTGGCTACAGACAATGGGCACCGATGTACGATCCTCCACACCTTGACTAGGGCTCCAGACGACTGGGCAGGCCTTCGAGGTCGTATCACTGGGGAACTGGTCCGGAGTAATTCCTCGAGGACAGATGATGCATTGGCACTGATATGTGGTCCTGAAGCGATGGAGAAGACCATGCACAAGGCTCTACTGCAGCAAGGCTGGACCGACGACCAATTGATGTTCTTTTGATGAGTATTTGGAAACTGTTGACGAAGGTAATGAAGACTAAAATGGGCATGATTTGGTGCATGGCAAGGCATCGATTTTCAGCCTTCGGGTATTTGTTGACCAGAGATAGCCTTCGTTTCAGCTATATGGCCCTGTCATTTTGGTTATTCAGTACGAGCTATGATGTACCATCTCCTTGGAGACACGATGAGATGGGGACCTCTCAGAATTTATGGGTCACCACTGGTGGGACCGTTATGTTATGCAAATGCCAACTACGAGCAGGTGATGCCGAGCACGGAAGACAACAAAAATTGGACAAGCTAGGTGACAAGCGACCTAAGGACTGCTCTGGGCACGTGACATATCAACTTTACAATACGTGACGACTAGTCTGTAATCGGTCGGTCGAGATCAAGCTAAAGCAACGTTATCTCGACCACTTCCTAGCCACTCACAACGCAGCATTTTCAACACCAGATTTCCTTATCTCAAGAGACAAAGCCTGCAGCACTACCGAGTACAAATCCACACATGTCGAATCTCGTTACCCGTGGAGAAAGCGATCTTCATATGCTGTTGTCGAGAAATGCATTTCGCCCAGACCTCTCCGAGTCTTGACTGACGACAGAAAATGACATTGCAATGCTATCCATTGGCTGTTTCACCCCGTGGGTGTAGATCGGCCACGGAGGCTACCCTGACAGGCTTGAGCCTCACTGATAACGCGAATGTACACATTCTGTTGGCTGGACGTCTGTGATGCTTCATCCCCGCGGATATTGGCTTTACACAAGTGGCGTCAGACATATCGAAATGGTTTGCAATAAGGCTCAAACTCCAATCTACCTATCTCTGGTGCTTTTCATCCCTCTTTCCTAATATCTGTGATTTCCTACTGACCGTAGCTCACCGAAGCTGTGTTTGCCTTGTGCTCAATGTGTGAAAATTGACATCTGTTGCAGGCCGAGCCTTCGACACGAATAGCACTATCAAACTATGTCGTGGTCAGACGGATCACCAGGCATGGCTATCAGCCGAGCCCCAGAAGGTGCTGAAGTCAATGGAGACGCTGTACCAAGTGATGGGCGAAAGAAGAAGGTCGTGGTTGTTGGTTTGGGGATGGTCGGCATCGCATTTGTGTAAGTCTGACGAAGAAGAGACAAGTTGTAGGCCATGCTGACATCGCCGGACTTAGCGAGAAATTACTAAAGCTCGATGCGAAGCGACATGAATACGATGTTGTCGTGATCGGCGAAGAGCCACATCTTGCATATAACCGTGTCGGTCTGACCAGTTTCTTCCAACATCGACAGGTTGAGTCACTATACCTGAACCCGGAGGAATGGTACAAGCGCCACCCGACAGAATCTTTCAATTACCACCTCAATACGCTCGTCACCGAAATCAAGCCACAAGAGAAAGTGGTCTTGACAGCCAAAGGGGACACCATCTCCTACGACATTCTCGTCCTCGCAACTGGATCCGACGCTGTCCTTCCACGACATACACCCGGTTACGATGCGAACGGAGTATTCGTATATAGGACCATCGAAGACTTGCAGAAGCTGATTGCCTTCTCCTCAACCGTCAAAGGTACGACGGGATGCGTCGTTGGCGGAGGTCTTTTGGGTCTGGAGGCTGCGAAGGCCATGATGGATCTCGAAGAATTCGGTCAGGTCAAGCTCATTGAAAGAAATAGATGGGTGTTGTCGCGACAACTTGACGCTGATGCGGGCAATATGGTTGTCGACCTTGTCCGTAATCTAGGCTTGGACGTCATGATCAGCAAACGTGTCGGCAAGATATTGACCGACGACAAGAACTCGGTGAAGGGCCTCGTCTTCGAAGACGGCGAGCAGATGGATTGCAGCTGTATCATGTTCGCCATTGGCATCAAAGCCCGCGACGATTTGGCCCGGAAGGCAGGCCTGAAGTGCGCCGATCGAGGTGGTGGCATCACAATCGACAACGATCTACGCACAAGCGATCCGAATATCTATGCCATCGGCGAATGTGCAAGCTGGGAGAACCAGACATTCGGGCTCATCGCACCAGGCATCGAGCAAGCTGATGTTCTGTCATTCAACCTGACCCAAGCGAAAGCCCATAGCCCGCGGACATTCAAGCGACCTGATCTGAGCACCAAACTAAAGCTTCTCGGCGTCGAAGTTGCCAGCTTCGGAGACTTCTTCGCCGACCGCGACGGACCCAAAGACCTACCAAAAAGGCACGTCAAGCGTGAAGAGAAGAAGGTCACCAACGGCCTGGACAAGGTCAAGGATCTAACGTCCGGTCCACCACCTCCTGCCGTCAAAGCGCTGACGTACCGCGACCCCTTTGCCGCTGTGTATAAGAAATATCTCTTCACCATGGACGGCAAGTACCTCCTAGGCGGGATGATGATCGGCGACACGAAAGACTACGTCAAGCTCGTGCCGATGGTTAAGAACAAGAAAGCGCTCGACGTCCCGCCGTCGGAATTCATCATTGGCGCGTCCAAGGATGGCGAGGAGAACGCCGACGACCTAACTGACGATACGCAGATCTGCTCGTGCCACAACGTGACCAAGGGTAACGTCGTCCAGAGCGTCAAGGAAGGGTGCAAGGCTCTTGGCGAGGTGAAGTCCTGCACGAAAGCCGGCACAGGCTGTGGTGGGTGTATGCCCTTGGTGACCAGCATTTTCAACAAGACCATGAAAGAAATGGGCAACGAAGTGCTCAACCATATTTGCCCGCACTTCCCCCACAGTCGGGCGGATCTTTATAATATCATCTACGTCCGGAAGCTGCAGGACTTCGGCCAGGTGATGCGCGAAGTGGGCAAGGACCCCAACAGTCTGGGATGTGAGCTATGCAAGCCGGCCATTGGGAGCATTTTGGCTGGTATGTTCAATAAGCATGTTATGGACAAGCCATTGCATGGCCTGCAGGACACGAATGATAAGTATCTCGGTAACATCCAGAGGAACGGGACATTCTCCGTCATTCCGCGAGTGGCGGGAGGTGAGATCAGTCCAGAGAAGTTGATTGTCATTGGACAGGTGGCCAAGAAGTACGGGCTCTATACCAAAATCACTGGCGGTCAGCGGATCGATATGTTTGGTGCAAAGAAGCAGGATCTCTTGGACATTTGGTCGGAGCTGGTCGCTGGAGGTCTGGAGTCTGGTCATGCCTATGCCAAGTCACTGCGGACGGTCAAGTCCTGTGTTGGCACAACGTGGTGCAGATTCGGTATCGGCGATTCGGTTGGGATGGCGATCAGGCTGGAGGAGCGATACAAGTCGATACGATCACCGCACAAGATCAAGGGTGGTGTTTCGGGTTGTGTGCGTGAATGCGCCGAGGCTCAAAACAAGGACTTTGGATGCATCGCTACGGAGAAAGGGTTTAATCTCTTCGTTGGTGGCAATGGCGGTGCGACACCCAGACATTCAGAGCTCTTGGCCAAGGACGTTCCCCCGGACGATGTCATCCCCATATTGGACCGGTATCTCATGTTTTATATACGCACGGCAGATAAATTGCAGAGAACGGCACGATGGGTCGAGCAATTACCCGGTGGTATCAAGTATCTTCGAGAAGTCATCTTGGAAGATAAGTTGGGGATCTGCGCCGAGCTGGAGAAGCAGATGCAAGAACTTGTGGGAACTTTCTTCTGCGAATGGACAGAGACACTGAACGACCCCGAGAAGCGCAGAGCGTTCGAGCAATTCGCGAATTCGGAAGAGAACCGCGAACCGGCCGTCGAGAAGGTCGAGGAGAGAGGACAATCGAGACCGGCCTACTGGCCCAAGGAGTCTGCCCACGACGACTTCAAGGGTACGAGATGGACGAGTCTGACATGGCAGCCTGTTGTTGAGGCCAAGAAGTTCCAGGATCTTGATACCGGTTCCTCTCAAACCGTCATCCGCGGCGATACACAGTTGGCCGTATTCAGGTTGAAGGGCAAATACTACGCAAGCCAGCAGATGTGCCCGCATCGGAGAACCTTTGGCCTCTCGGACGGTCTGGTCGGCGAGACGACCTCGCCGGACTGCAAGGACAGCAAATTGTACGTCAGCTGTCCCTACCATAAGCGGAACTTCCAGCTCAACGGCGAGGTCGACTTCGACAAGAATGACGCCGGCGCGGGGTCGTGCTCGACCGACAAGAGTATGTCCATCGCCACGTTCCAGGCGGAAGAACGGGATGATGGCTGGGTGTATCTCAAGCTTCCTCCTGTGCAGGAGATGGACAATGTGCTTGGAACGAGCAAATGGGTGGTCAAGTCCGATGAGGCGGCGAATCCGTTTGAGAGTCTCGACAAAAAGCTGGGCTTGCAGAAAGGCCTGCGACCAACGCGGACAGTGGGTGCGATGCCAGGAACTGGAAACGTCGCGGCGCGGACGGTTCGTGTGAATGCGCAAAGGAGGATCGATTGGTGATTATTTCTTTTTTTGGTTAAAGAAGTACTGAGTATCAATGACGAAATATGAGGTAGAAATGATCTGGTATTGTATGAAATAGTACATAATCCATTACGCCGTGCTTTTGCTCTTGGACATGACTCGTAGGCGATCTTTGCAGTACCTTGGTGAAAACCAGCGAGGACCCCAATGGCTTATGGACATGGAGCCGTCGATGAGTCGCCAACCAAGGACCATGAGAACACACAGTGGAATCGCCACTGCGAAGTAGATCCAAAATTGACTCTTCCCCGGCTGGAAATCCCCGGCCATGCTGAGCAGGCTGGATACGTAGGCCAAAGGGATAAAGATGAGTCCGACCACGGACAGTTTTGTGGCTCTGGAAGTCTCGTCGAGTGACACGCCGCCTTGGATCATCTGCGATACCCCTGTGATGGCTGCCAGGGTCGATTCGAGCTCGGCCCGGTAGTCCTTGAGCTTCTGCAGAACCAGCAGGAAGTCGGTGTTGTAGTCGGAGAGCGGGTTGTCGTCGTTGTTGAGGGACTCCATCTGCTCGGTGCTGGCGACGCGGCCGATGCCCAGGCTTTCCAGGCTGATTTGGAGCCAGTCGATCAGAAAGCCGACTTTTCGTCGCCACTCGCTGCTGCGCGCCGTCTGGGTTCGCAGAAACTCGTACAGCTCTTTGCCTTCGAGACGCATCGTTTTGCCGTCGAGCATGACAGGTCGGCCCTCTGGCCAGGATTCTTCGAACTTCCACACGCCTCGCGAGCACCAGCAGACTTTCTTCCACAGATACTCGAGGGCAATGTTCCATTGTGCGATGGCGATGCGCTCCATGTAGTGCGCACACATGCGGGGGTCGTTGATTGCTGCTTCTCGCTCACGCTGAGTGGCCCGCTGTGTCCAGTAGAATTTGAGGTCGTCCAGTAATGACTTTCTAAAGGGGCCTCGGGCGCGGTTTTGTGTCTGGCCTTGCCGGTGGGATTCTGGCCACGGCGCTACGTCGTAATAGCCATGCTGGTACGGTTGGTATGGGGCCGACGGGTCGCCCACTTTCACGGGGGGCTCGGTGAAGATGATCGCTGCAAAAGGGAGGTCAGTCAGTCTGCTTGCGAGGGCGATGGAGATGATAGCGAAGGGTTTTTGGGGGCTGCTTGCTTACTGTCCCAGCCGTGGTGTGTCTTTCGCGTCCAGAAACTTGCATTCCGACGGACGTAGAAAACTAGATCTCTCCGGTCCAATTTATCCCATCGCAATTCTCGTCCGAAATTGTCGTGGCTGTTCATCGACCATACGAGAGGGTCACTTCTTAGTTCCAACGTCTCCAGGTATCGAAGTGTGAAACTCAGCGGAGTATGCGTCGTATCTGGGGAAGATGGTCCGGAATTCCATGACTGAAGCCGGTCCCTCTGCCTCGAAAGCGCATCGACCGGACGGCCATAGGCGCTCTGGTTTGCCCAGAAGGAAGTTGAGCACTGACAGGCGAGCAGATAGGGGTCGATCCAAAAATGGCTTCCGAGAACATCGACGATTTCTCTGTCCAGATCTTCCACCAGGAAGACACGGTGTTGACAGCCGGCCTGTGAGGCCGATTTTAGATAATCACGAAGACCCTCAGCGGAAGAGAGAGGCGGTGAGACCACCCTATCAGGCCTGAACTCTAGGATAGCCACACGAGGGATGGATTTGTTCCAGCGATTTCTACATATTGAGTGGAGATATCGAACTTGGGGGTATCGAAAGCGGTACTCCCATATTGCTGACCAGTAATCCATAGCTGGAGCGGTGGGGTCTGTCCTCACGATGTAGCTTTGGACAAGTGTAGGTGCATATCTTAGCAAATTTGAAGATATGTCTGATGAGTTAGCATCATTGCGGTCCAGCTACTGGCATACCTTGTGCTTGGTCACGGGTGGCCTCGTTCAGCTGGCACTGATCGTCCCCGGAAAGTCAGAAGCGAGAGATTGGCTAATGCAGGTATGGCCAGGGTGTGTGGCTTGCAGAAGGATAATAGTCCCACCTGCGGCGTGTTGCCTTACAAACAGGTGCTGTGTCTGGTCCCCATGGTATTGACATTTGGTGGTCTATGGAAGTATTCCTCAAACGGGATCTACTCACATTGCTTTCCTCATGATAAGGGAGGTTTGTGGCAACAGTCAGAAGAGCGGGAATGCCAGGATATTGAGCCGCAAAGTCGAGATCAACATGACGCAGAGAACACATAAATAGATTCGGATGCAGCATCAGTTCCTGGCAGTGTCGTCCAAAGGAAACGTGGTGAGTGGTCTGATTCAGCAGATGATCCGTGATCCGTACTTCGTAGTACTGTTCCTGTTCCCGTTTTGCTGCGGAGATGAATTTGTGATGTTTAATAATATGGAGGCGGCGAAATGCTCTTTGTGGCCAGCCTGTTCTTGTTCTTGTTCTGGTTCTGGTTCCAGTGTTTCTTTTCCATCTTACTTCATTCTTCGAGTTTTGTGCTCCTTTCCATTCTTTTTGTACATGCTACGCTTCTTTCTCCTTATCTTCCTCATTCACCACATGTGAAGCTGACAATACCGCCGTTATGCGTCTTCAAAACGCCTCGCAGTTCTTCCTCGCCCTCTACCTCTTCCTGCGCCCTCACTGCGTCCGCGCAGAATCCCAGTGTGTCATAGACCCGAACTCGATCGTTACAGACGCATGCACTTCCTATTCCGATCTCGAAAGGCTCAATGCCGAACTATACCCTTCGCTCGAAGACCTGACCCAAAAGACCGACTTCTTTGCCTACTATAGACTAAACCTGTACAACAAAGTCTGCCCCTTTTGGACCGATGAGAATTCTATATGTGGCAACCGCGCATGTGCGGTAGATACCATTGAAGATGAAAGCGACATACCACTGATCTGGCGCGCGGAAGAACTAAGTAAGCTCGAGGGCGCTCACGCGAAGCACCCGGGCCGAGCCCAACAGAGAGAAAGGCCAAAAAACAGACCCTTACAATACCAACTGGGGGAGAACGTGGATGAAAGTTGTGTCCTGGAAGATGACGACGAATGCGACGACAGAGACTACTGTGTGCCAGAAGATGAAGGCTCGACCGGAAAGGGAGACTATGTCAGTTTGGTTAATAACACAGAACGATATACAGGCTATTCCGGCATGGGTGCTCGACAGGTCTGGGACGCAATATACAAGGAGAATTGCTTTTCTGCAAAGTCACTTCGTCCTGCCTCGCGGAACTCCAAGCCTCTACAGGCTGCCCAGAATTTGAAGAATGTCTTTCAAGAGTATGGACGCCATCACGTGGACAACGGGGATGACTTGTATCCGCTGGATGATGAATGTCTCGAGCAGCGTGCCTTCTACCGTATCGTCAGTGGTATGCACGCTTCAATTTCCACGCATTTGTGCTGGGAGTTCTTCAACCAAACGACCGGCCAGTGGGGTCACAATGTCGAGTGTTACAAAGAACGGCTGCATAATTACCCTGAACGGATATCGAATGTGTATTTCAACTATGCTATTCTGACGAGGGCAATCGCTAAAATCCGGAAGCATCTAGAGTCGTACACGTTTTGTTCGGGTGACCCGGAGATCGATTTCGAGACCAAGCAGAAGGCCCTGACTTTGGCAAGCAAGGCTGCAGCTGGACCGCATACGTTTGACGAGTCTGTCATGTTTCAGGACCCGGCCGTGTTCGATCTCAAGGAGGACTTCAGGAACAAATTCCGCAATGTGTCGAGATTGATGGATTGTGTGGGCTGCGACAAGTGCAGGCTCTGGGGTAAAGTGCAGACTGCGGGCTACGGTGCTGCCTTGAAGATCTTGTTCGAATTTGACGAGAACAAGAACGGTGAGAATCCTCACCTCCGGCGCACCGAGCTTGTTGCTTTGGTGAACACCCTTGGCCGAGTCAGCCACAGTTTGGACGCAATCCAGAAATTCAGACGAGCTGTCAATACGGGCGATTACAGTGTGCTGGACGTCCAAGGCCCATTGCCTCCGTCCGATGATAGCATTCCCGCTAAAGACGGGTCCGAGTCTCCGAAAGTGGCAGAAGCCGATGATCAAGAAGATTTATTTGACCTCGACGAAGACCCCTACCACCCCAACCAGGACCCACGACGTGGTCAGTCAATATCAGAAGCATTTTGGACTGAGCTCGATCTCGTCTGGCGTGCGTACAAGATGGTGCTCAGAAGCTGGGTCGATATGCCGTTCAAACTGTTCGCCATTGCCGTTATGGAGTTGAATCGAGTGTGGAATTACTGGCTGGGATTGCCGGTCCCTCCTCGATCATGGGATATCCATTTTCCCAGCAGAGATGAGTTGTAACATTAGACAAGATTAAGAGGGCTAAGTCTTTGGGGTTGGCATTTTCAGCAGGAACATAGGGCATACCATAGCGTCGGCGTCGAGGTTCATTGTGTTTTCGAATTGATACATTGCCTTTAGTAGGGCGGAAGAGACTAGGTGCTCAGACTAGAGATTTTCTTGCTGCCGTGAATTCTCTCTCGTATCTTCATCGTCGTCCCTTGTTTGACGCTTGCTACACGAAAGTCTAGGCAAGATGGTTTCTGGTCGAGGGGTTGATGTTGCCCCTAGCAACCACCTTTGTCGACATTTTATCTCAGCGACGCGTCTGTACCGCGTCCAGGCCACTTTAACACCAGAACAACCTCATAGACTTCCAGCGACAATAGAAAGAATGCTCGATCGAGGTTGACAGCATGTTGCAATCCCTCTCAGGAACACCGTGCCCCGTCCCGCCATCGAGAGTGGAGGATTCCACCATCAGCTCTACCGAAGACGATACAACCCAGAACATCGAATTCACCTCAGCTTTCTCAACATTGAAAAATACCAAACCGCGTCGATTACCCAATGCAGCTCGAAAACCTACCCATGCGGTAGATTTCGCAATTTACGAAGACGCCGAAATTGCTGGCGGGAAGCAGAAAGCATTATTAGGCCAGCCGGCAAGACGGAGCGTTATATCACACACGCCTCAACGACACAACGTCAATGCGAGGGTATCATTTGCACCTGCTATTGCAGAACAAAGCCATGTGACGGCCGCTCCGTCCAAACCATTCAGTAGACTCACACAAGCACCACGAAGACCTATCATCAAGCATGAGGATACGAGAGGAAAACTGCCTCTACCGAGCCTGCCCGAAGATGTCACCACCAATCTGAATATGACTTCCACCAGGGTGCTAAAACCGGCGCGACGTGGCACGATATACATACCGACCGAGGATACCACGATGCCAAGCATGTACATGGGCATCTTCAGTCCTATCAAGAACCTCAATGCCAGTGTCAGCCCAGACGCACACCGAGCCGAGACGGAGATCACGGGCATCGCCGCGCAGATGGCCAAGAAGAGGACCGGACGACGATCGATGATTACTTTGTCGCCGAAGCGTGGCGGTCCACTTCAGCTCTCCTCGAGAAACCTCCAGGAAACTGCTATCGTTGAGGATCGGCAGGGACAGGGCGGCGGCAAGGAGAATGTGCCGCCTGGACATGCCGAACACGCTGCACATGCCTCTTTTACAGGCTCGAAGGCCGAGAAGCACGCTGTAAAAGCGAAGCGTCAAACGATAAGTTGTCCTCCAGCGAGGGACCATATGAAGCACGAGCTGGAACCGTCAATATCGAGGTTATACGGGCAAACTGCCAGTTCGATGGGAAGGGTGGTGGACAAGAAGGCAACTCGAGTCGGTGCGAAGCCAGGATGGAATTCTGGTGCTCGCGTTAGGACGAGTCAGCCGGTGCCTATCAAAACAGCACCTCCTCCACCACAGCTTCAGGACAAGGCTGTCGCCAGAAAGGCTTCGGTTCCAAGTCGCTTCATCATTCCCAACCTCAGATCAGAGCCACTCATCGAGGCGTATCCGGTGCTCGCCGAAGACCTCGCTTCTACCTCAATGTACGAGGATAGTTGGCTGAATCATCAGGAAATCGCCATCACTCAGCTTGTCAACAATCTTTTTGCGTCGTCGTCTCCGACGTCTTGTCACGCCGACGATGGCATGTTCAGGATTCGATTGCTGGAGATCTACGGTAGCACCGATCATGCAATGCTGCATAAGAGATTGCAGGGAGCTTTGTTGTATGGTGCACTGAGTATACCGCAGGATGTCCTCAAAGGAGCCAAACAGTTGAGCAACGACTTGGGCAAGCGGAAAGCCTTTACCGATTTGTGGCTCGAAACATATGACCTTCGTTCCCTTCGGGCTGCAGTTGAGGTTGTGTTTGCGAGACAGTGCAGCATACCCACAAGAGTATCTTCTCCAACGAGGAGAAGCCTCGACAAGGAAGACGCCGCTATCCGCCGTGCTTTGCAACGATTCATAGAGGCCTTACTCATCCGGAATGAGGACGGGCGCCCAGATAACGCTTCCATGGATCGCGACTCCTGGTCATATCAGCGGACAGTCCTTCGCAGCTTGATGGTTATCTCACTACTTGATGCGACTAAGATTTCATCACCACAGGTTGTCAGCTCCTGCCTGTTTCAAGCTTCTTCACCATATAAGTCTTCTGTCGATGTCGTCAAAGCTCTTTTCCAGCTCTTGAACCCAAGCGCCGGAGATCCTGTTCGTGCCTTGAGTCATGTCGGCTACAACGTCTCACACGCACAGTATCCCCTGGAGGAATACGCGTACAACATCAACAACCTGGCGGTTGATCTGCGTGATGGTGTACGGCTGACGAGATTAGTGGAGTTGCTCCTTTATCCGTCTGCATCACAGCTACTGGATCATGCAAATGACCCCGACTCGACGACCACTGTTCTCTTGCCAACTGGAGAATTGCTTTCATTGACCGAGGGACAAAATAATTGGCCTCTGTCTCAACACCTCAAATTCCCCTGCCTAGGTAGGGCAACCAAACTATACAATGTCCAGATTGCACTCACCGCACTGCAAGGGGTCAAAGGAATGGGCGGCCTAGTGCATGATGTCCGTCCCGAGGATATCGTGGACGGTTTTCGTGAAAAGACCGTCAAGCTACTTTGGGGACTGACTAGCAAATGGGGCTTGAGTGGGCTGCTGGAGTGGGCTGACGTTGAGCGGGAGATAAAGAGACTTTGTCGGCTGAGTGCAAATCACGACAATGACTTTTTCGACATTCTCGAAGACGGAGACGAAGACGATCCAGCGCGGTACAAGTTGATGCTGAAGTCTTGGGCCCAAGCTGTTGCTAGCAGGAAAGGACTTGTAGTGAACAACTTGACGACCAGCTTTGCAGACGGTAAAGTGTTCGAGGCTATCGTGGACGAATATGAAGGATATATCAGCAACCGGGGCCAGGTCGAGAAAGCCCAGTCCCTGTGTGACCGACTGAGAGGGCTGGGGTGCAGCGAACAATTCTCGACTCTTTTCTCGGCCTCGCAGACTGACTCGAATCACATGCACATTTTTGACCGCGACTTCGTCCTAGCAGCTCTCGCGTTCCTGTGCTCAAGGCTGCTGGCGCCCTCGAAAGCTGTGAGAGCTGCTGTCACGATACAGAAAGCATGGCGAGCGCATTGGGCGAGAATGATTGACTTGAGAAAGAGGCGCTTGAAGATCGTGGCTGAGGACTGTGCGGAAGCTGTCCTCCGCAGAAGCGAGGCTGGAGAGGCGTCGCTCAAACGAGATGAGGAGAGCAAGATAGTGTTACAAGGCACAGACCGAGAGGCTCTGTACCAATACCAACAGGAGCCCAAGGAAGAGGATATTTGGCTCGGTTTGTGATAGATTCGAGCAGGAGACGTGGTAGGAACGAGCAGGGAAAGCTTTACTCCCATCGGTAGAGATCTGTCCTTGTGACGATGAGTGCATGATAATTATCCTTAATGCATCAGAGAGGTCGTGGATGGCAGGTCCCAGGTGACGACCATTCCTCGTGCAGATGCAATCTTTCTCCGTTTCTAAGTTAGCATTCCTCTATGTATGGCTGGTCTGAACCAAAACCTGTGATATCGCTGGATGAAGCACAAAGTACTGCGAACTCTGGGCCAGCCTTTGTTCATGTTCTGCGGGCTGTCGTCTTCACGCATATCACCATCATCATTTCATGCATGATGCCCCAGCAGTACCTAGCGAGGCTGGCTCACTGGGCTTACAATTCCACACCACGCCCATTTCGGGGTGTAACTTCCACCTCAAAACTGGTAGCTCAATGCTGACACTTATTTTTCTTTGGTTCGCCTGCAAGTGACAACCACTTCGTGCCTGACCTAGGCAACTCCCTACACCCCTCCTTCTGTGCTACAAGATGTGTTTGGTTAACACCAATCCCGACTGTATGGAAAGACTTCTGTTTGGATCGGATAGCCATTTCATGACTCCTGCAGGCGGACGTCAAGACTAGGATTATTTTTCTATTTCCTTCTGGGTTTCGTCAATATTTATGACCCTATTCCAGGATGTCTCTGCGATCCCACTGAATTGAGTACCTTAAAGGTCTCGATATCTCATCCCGACTTTCCTATCAACAACTGGACACAGACTCTCCTCTTATCCGACCTCGGCCTGATCAACCATGTCGCTGGTTACGAAAAAGTCACCAGGAAATCTCTCCACGCTCCCACCAGAAATCCTACACCAGATCCTAGCATATCTGCCCATCAGCAGCCTTCTAAGATTTGCCAGAACTTCTAAGAAGCACTACTCAAGATCGATTCTAGCCCTACAAAAACTGCAACTCGCCGTACTGCCCAGGCGCGTCCATGGGATCCTGGCTTTTCTTAGCACTACCGATGTCGATGACCTCGACTACGCTTGCGCCTTTACAGGTCAGGACTCGCTCGGGCGTAATCAAATCATCATCACTTCGTATCTTCCTGTACCCACTATGACCAGCAGGAGACATTGGCGGGAGGATCCTTTGCCTAAACAGTACCGAGAGGAACTCATGCAGTTACAAAATGCTCTGGCCTGTTCCGCCCTCTCCTCATCAAGCCTTGTCAATCTACAGTCATTGACTCTGCACATGTACGATATCAAATCAACCCCTCTGACAGAACTGCTTGCCACTCGATTCCCCCATCTTCGGCATCTCCATTTGAACTTCAGCCACCCGTACGTTCACGATACTTGCCTACCAGCAGGTCAATGGGAGTCACCCCTGTTGCTCCGTGGAAGCCCTGTCTGGAACGCCCTGGCAGGCATGGGCGAGAAGCACGAATCAAACCTGAAACTGAAAACATTGGAGAGACTTACCCTCGACCGAGCCGGCATCACTTGCGCGCAGCTACGAAGATGGATCAAGAACAATCCTGGCTTGAGAGAATTGACCCTTCGTAATTGTCTCGGTGCCGACAATGAATTCCTGGACTGGTTGGGCGGCTACTACAGCAGCAAAAGTATCGAGTCAACACGACATGCAAAGTTGACGCATCTAGCAATCGAAAATTGTACATTCCTATGGCTAGAGACGCCCGAAAAGTTCAACTGGCTGGATTCTCTACTGGAACCTGGTGCTGAGGAGCAACATTGTGCCGATGGCCACGACAATTCGAGTACCACAACCTTGCAAGTTCTTTCGTTCCACTTGTGTCCATCCGTTTCGACGTTTGCCTTTCTCGGATACCTCGACAAGCGGCATCCACTGCTCAGTCGAATTGGTTTGCCGAATGGTCGCGGCCTCGTGCCGAGGACAACTGAGGCCGAGTACCCTCCGTTGGAAAGTTGGATCGGTAAAACAAAACTCAGCACGGTCCGAGTCGCCATTGACTCCCCGGATCTTTGCTTCTCCCACTTCCCCATGTTCTCGTACTTTCGCAGCTGCTTGGCAAGGTACAGAGCAGTCAAGGAGACCGAGTACAGGGACGGAACCCGTGTAGGCTTTATTGAGCCAGATACGCGATGATATCTGGGTCATCTCAGCACTACGCACCATATTTGGGGGTGGAGCAGATTTTGACTTGGAAAAGTACAGAGCCTATTGATCTTGCAACATCTCCTCCCTTCCACTTGACTTCAGTCCATCATCCGTCCGTCTTCGTCTACTTTTCGAATCTCGGACAACCAACCACGTACGCCTCTGCACGCTGAAGATTCCTAAGTATCTCCGTTTAAAGCTCAACGACCAGCTTTTCCGCACTCACACCACCTTTCAGGATATCAAGCGCCTTGTTAAGATCTCCCAATCCCGAGCCAACAACCCTAGCCTTTGGTCCAGGAACAAACTCCCCACTCGCCAGTCTCGGTGTCAACCACTCGTGGAAAATTTGCGTCATCTGCTTGGCCCGGTCCTCTGGATCCGACGGGGCCACGATAAACTTGATATCTACGCCCTCGGCCTGCGGTGTGTCGGCGGTCAATGGGCCTACTGCCGATGCAATCGACCCACCACCAAAGGCACTCACGATGTCCAACTGAGCCTGTACATCTGAGCCTCCACGGTCGCCGGCGGCGCGGAAGATTGTGTTCAAGCTGATACCGTCTGCTTTGGCGGCGTCGATCAGTTTCGAGACGACTTCGGGGTCTTTGTAATCAAAACACTTTGTCGCACCAAGAGACTTGAGGTACTCGAAGTTCTTGGAGCTGGCCGTCACGTACACAGTGAAGCCGAGTGATTTGGCGGTCTGGACGGCGGAGACACCCATGCTGGACGCTGCACCCCAGACGACGACGCCCTTTTTGTCCGAGGGGCTGAAATGCGTGGAGAAACCGAGACCGATGATTATCCAGCCATTCCAGGCGACGCCAACAGCCATGGGAACGGTGGCAGCGTCGACGAAGCTCAAGGTGTCTGGGATGACGGCCACATACTCCACAGGGACCAGAACCTTGGCTTGGAAGCCGGCGTAGTCGTTGACGTTCGGTTCCCCCTGGTGGTAGAAGCTAGATGCGAAGGCGAGGACGCGGACGCCCTTCTTGAACGGTGCGGACACGGAAGAGCCGACAGCCTCGATGGTGCCAGCAACGTCAGACCCAATTATGGCCGGGTAGTTGGCAATGAAAAAGCCCATGTCGCGTTGGAAGTAATCGACTGGGTTCATGGCGATGGCGGCAACGGAGATGACGACCTCGTTGGGTCCGGGTTGAGGGGTGGGGCGAGATTCAATGATGAAGGGTTGCCCTTTGGAGGGGATGATAGCGGCTTGGTGGGTTGTCATGTTCGACGTGCTTGAGGTGTTGGTATTGTGATGGATTGTATGTCAGAGGGAGAATGGAGGAATGCTGAAGTATGGCTACTAGTACTTGATTATTGCGAAGAGCGAGTCTGTGAGATTGATGGAGGATGGCCTGCAGAGAGCAGCCGAAGAGGTTTATATCCCTTTGTATCTGCCTCCCAATGCCATGACAGGCTCTCCCTGCACAGTATGATGTGAGCGGCATAGATCAGCTAGCATAAGGGAGAGGCATGGCCAACCCCGTTGGAGGATGATTCGCCAGCTTGCCAGTTTCAGTTTCTTATACGAGTCGAGGTTAGCGTCGGTCTTAATGGGAGTAACTTACCAGCGAGGCAGGTGCCGGGTCCTTGTACTCCCGTAAAGGCCCTCGAATGACAATTGGTTCCGCATTCTCATCAGCATCAGCATCAGCATCAGCATGCTGTGTCGGTGCAATCGGCGCCTGCTGTGCCATCCTGCGAGCCTGATCCTCGTCAGACAATGAAAAGACAGAGAGTGACGGAGATAAAGATAAAGCAAAGGAGACTTGACTGAATCCGCACTAGTCTCCACGTGATCCAGAATTTTTATGGCGGTCGAGGGCGAAACTTTTCCTCCGTACCAGGTATTCCGTACGGGTATACCTATAGTCTTCTCATCCTCAGTAACAGACAAACCGTCCCTGCCTCATTCCTGTCTTCAGACGACAACAAGCTCCGTGTGAATCGGTTGAATCGGCGGCAGAAGACGAAGCCACCATGCCTCAGAACGAATACATTGAACGGTTTCAAAAATTGCATGGCAAACGTCTCGACCATGACGAGAGAGTACGAAAGAGACAAGCCAGAGAAGGACACGCACTGTCCGAAAAAGCACAAAATCTGCGTGGTCTACGAGCCAAGCTTCACCAGAAACAACGCCATGCCGAAAAGATCCAGATGAAGAAGGCCATCAAGGCCCAGGAGGAACGAGACGTCAAATCCGCCGCACCTAGCGAGCCGTCCTCCACGCCTCTGCCCAACTACCTGCTCGACCGGTCACAAGCGAACAATGCAAAGGCGCTCTCCAGTGCGATCAAGAACAAGCGAAACGAAAAGGCGGCCAAGTTCTCCGTGCCGCTCCCGAAGGTGAAGGGGATCAGCGAGCAAGAGATGTTCTCGGTGGTCAAGACGGGCAAGAAGACGGCCAAGAAGAGCTGGAAGAGAATGATCACACAGCCTACATTCGTCGGGCCCGACTTCACAAGACGGCCTGTCAAGTACGAACGCTTCATCAGGCCGATGGGTCTTCGATACAAGAAGGCGAACGTGACGCATCCCGAGTTGGGCGTGACCGTCCAGCTCCCCATCATCAGTGTGAAGAAGAACCCACAGAACCCGCTGTACACGCAACTGGGAGTCTTGACCAAGGGTACCGTCGTCGAAGTCAATGTCTCCGAACTCGGTCTTGTGACGACCGGGGGAAAAGTCGTCTGGGGTAAATACGCCCAGGTTACGAACGACCCGAGTCGAGATGGATGTCTGAACGCAGTCCTCTTGGTCTGAGGTGGCATTTACGACCTACCCTACGAAGTAGGATCAACGAGACTAGACGACAGTGCTCCAACTCAGCAATCACCATCGTTGGCCCATAGCTGTAGTGCTGTCCCTGCTGGATGATCACTTGGAGCTACAATTCCTCCGCAAAAATGGCATGCTCTGAATACCCCATGGCCCTCACGGCAATTTTGGCACTCTGCAGGACTCTCCCCTTCAAACTTAACGTCTGACCAGGTCTCTCAACTAAACTCGGGCATCAGGTCAGCATCAGGTCAGCATCATGCTCAAGCTCAAGCTCGACATCCAAATCGACAACGCAAGCGACGATACTCACAAACATTGGCCATCTTGGCGAACACGCCATACGTGGCTTTGAACTCAAACGGCTTCAACGCTTTCCAGATCTGCATCACCGTATCTGGCGGCAAGGGAATGTAATTCGGAATACTCCAGAGAAATTGGTACGCTATCGTATCCTTCCGCTTGCCCGGGTCGGGGTTATGTCCCGACGCCACAGCGAAAATGGTATCCGCAACAAACAGCGTTGGGATCGGTGTATTTGGTGGCGCGGAATGCAGGACCATGCTGCCGGGGAAGTGGCCGCCGCATATCACTGCGGTGAGACCGGGTAGGAGTTCGGTTGTCGGTTCGTTAAGGAGCTTGAGCGTTGCGGTGGGCGAGTCTCGTCGATTGGCCCAGACTGAGTCGACTTCGGTCATGTACACTGGACAATTGAATGTTGCCGACCAGTCTGCCCACGTTCTTTATGTCCTGTGGTATTAGCCACGCCCGTGATGTTGAAACACGAGGTAGAGGTTTCCAGCCGCGGCAGAAAGAGGGGAGGCTGGAAAGTGACTACTACCTTGCGGCAATTAGGGGAGGTGATGGGCTTAAACTCACGTGTAGAAATGAGGATGAGAAATGATGATGAATTTCAACCCGCCTAATTCGGTGATCTTTTTGAGTCGTCATAGCCCCTGGTCAGTATATGTTGTTATGTTCCCGGACTGGACCATTCGTGCCCTCTCGTCTCGTACCTTGTCGACGGTCTCCTGGTCCAGATACGCGATCAAGTCCCAAAGGACATTGCCGTGCGGTGTGCGGATCAGACGCGCCCCTTGTCCTATGCCGAACTGTTCGGTACATTGGGGTCGAATTAGCATGATAAGATTTCTCTTACGTGGTGTGCCGGAAGCACGACAATCGCGGGTTGCGGTTTGGTTTGGGTGGGAGGTGAGTGTCGCCGAGGCAGAGTGGGTGAGTATGTGAGAGAGAAGCTGGGGTGTCTAGTTCGGGTACGTTCACTGGAGGTGTACTTAGTATTTACCTACCTTTGGCTCCGTGTGGATCTCGATGACCGAGTGATTGTGCTCGCACTGCTCAAAGACGTTCGTGTGCTTGCCGTCGGCCCTGAGTCTGCCTAGGGTGGTGAACGACTGGCCTCCCGGGGGGATGAATTGTCGAGGGTCCTAACGTTCAGGTAGGTTAGACAGGCAGCGTCTCTACGTAGTAGTACAGGGGACTTGTTGGGACAGAAACACGGACAGGGATGGATTGACGGTAACGAAGACACGGCCGTATGCACACAAACCCCATGACAGGCAATGACCCGATGTGTCAGGCATCATGCATCGTTCATCATAGAAGCAAGGGAGGCAAGACAGGCAAGACAACAGAATGGCACATCAAAACGGTAGAAGCAGAAGCAGAAGCAGAAGCAAAAGCAAAGGCAAAGGCAGAAACGTACATCGCAGATTCTACAACTGTCCTTGCCCACGCTCTCGTCGACGTCATATTGTGCGCCGCAGGTGTTGCAGACGAGGAGATCCTCGGATGTTACAAGATTCGGAGAGGTCATCGTTGCTGCTAGTAATGTTTCGGATCTCATATGGCCGCGTCGTCCGTGAAGGGCGGTACGAGTACTATTCCTCGCACAGAATGTGAATGTGGTGGTATCTTTCTCTCGCGAACGAATGCTGTAAGTTAGTAACAAACAGTTGGCTGGGCCAAAAGTGGGGGAATACGATGTCGATGTCAATGTCAATGTCGACTCCTAGAATACGTAGTAAACGAGATTTTGAGACAGTCACGTTGCGAATTGGTAGTCCTGTCAATGTTGATCTGCTCTGCTCAGACATGTTGTCGCCATCGAGGTCCTGACACAGCTACAAAGGCAAGCTTGTCCTAGATACATCATACAGAAGCCTCCAACCTTGCCTAGGTAATTGCTGGCCCAGCACGACCTCACATGTACAAACTCGCCGTAAACACCACGTCTCTGCGAATCAGCTCTCTTGCCTTATCCATCTTCTGGTACAGTCCAGGGTCTCCGATAAGTCTTGCCGCACTCATCACTTCTCTACAAGTCTCATCGAGTCTTGTGACGACTCTCACAATCGTCCCCTCCATGACATCGGTGAGGTCGGTAATACGGTTGAACGACATTCCTCTTGCCCACTCGTAGACGACCTCCACAAGCCCAAATCTCGGTCGGGATTCAAAATCATTGGCATCGTCCGACGACAGAATGACTTGATGCAAGATCTGATATTTGTTGACCTTTTCCGCGATTTCAATGATTGCTTCTTTGCCACGCTTGAGATTCTCGCTGAGTTGAGGCTCACTGTCCGTCTTCTCCTGGAAGACGAATGCAGACAACAGAGCAACGATCTCCTCCGGCTCGAACCTGAACGATCATTAGTCATAGTCCCTAGTCGGCGGCGCTGTTACTTACTGTGCCAACACATTCTCCAGGATAAGTTCGGTGAGCACCAATTCATCAGCCGAGTGGATCTCGCAGGCCACTTTTCCTTTCAACAGGACGCGAGACTCTTCGTCAATGAAGCCCAGATCCTTCAGGACTTCAGTCCGCTGCTGGTAATCCGGCAGCAGAGCCAGATTCTGATCAGACATGAGCATCTTCAATGCTTGAATATTCTCCTTGATTAGCCATTCGTCATGCTGCATGCCGTAATGCTTCACAAAATTCGGACACTGAAGGCACTTCGCATGCTGCACGATGTCTCCCACTTTTCTCCTCTCCGCTAGTAGTTCTCGAACATGCAGATCATGCACTCTGTCCCAGGCTTGCTCGTCCCACGCCGGTGATATCCACGACGAATAGATGTTGACAAAATCTTCTTCGGCAAACTGCTTTTGAACTAGTTGTGAGCTTAGTAACGACCGCAAATCGACCTGTTGATGAGAATGTGTAAGTATTACCTTTCCTAACTTTAATGTACCATTGAGGGCCTCTAACCTTGACCAGCGTCTGGGTAACGCATTGCACGTCGTCCAACAACACCTGGGTAATTCCATGCCTTACTCGAGCAGGCTTGTCCGGTAGACGGGTGAACATTATGCGGAAACAGGGAAGGTATGGTAGTAGATCGCTTGTTGATCGTTGCGGGTCGATGTCGGATATCTCCAGCACGTTGAGATGGGGTAGTGGTCCGCCTCGGGGCCCATCTTCGAGCATGACGCCAACCTTGCGGATGCCATCCTGAGTACGTTAGCATGGAGTCAGAAGGAAAGCGCTGCCTCTCACCTTTTTGTAGACTATCAATCTGCGGGCTTGCCAGAGACGACGACCAACCGGAGACGACAATAGATTAATGTGAAGTTCTTTCGTCAGCTGTTCGTACTTCATAGCTGCTGCGTGACACGCTTCCAAATCAACATCACAGATATCGCAGGGTTCACGCTTGATCTTGTCCAAATTCGCCTGGGATAGGGCCACTTGCTTCTCGTGCTGTGGTAGTAGAGCCTGGGTCGCGTTTTCCGAGAAGCTGCGTTTGATCATTTCTTCGATTTTCAGCGCCTCAACTCGCATTAAGTTCAGTATCATGTTGTAATGCAACCTGAATTGACTGCGAAGTTTGGTGGCCGGTCCAGTAATCATTTGAGTCAATTCCCCAGCAGGGGGAGCTTCCGACTTGCCCGGACAAACGATGATGACTGTACCCACAGTATCGAGACCTCTTCGACCAGCACGTCCGGCCATCTGGGTGTACTCCCCAGGCAGCAAATTTCGGAAATCACGGCCGTCGTGCTTCCGGTAGCCTGAGAAGACCACGGTTCGTGTGGGGAGGTTCAAGCCCATAGCAAAAGTCTCGGTAGCGAACAGGACTTTCACGAGAGTCTTCGCAAACAATATCTCTACAATCTCCTTGACGATGGGTAGCAAACCACCATGATGCACAGCAACACCGCGGCCAAGCATTTCTCGCAACCGTCTGATTTGCGGCAGCATTCGATCTTCCGGCTTCAATCTCGCAATGGACTTCTCAATGGTCATGTGAATAGCACTCTTCTCCGTCGCCGTGCAGAAGTCTTGGTTTGACAGAGAATCTGCATTCTCCTCGCATCTCTTCTTCGAGAAGACAAAGATACAAGCAGGGAGAAGATTCTCTTTGCGCAAATGCTGGACAAGGTGAACCCAAATATTTCTATCCTGAGCAGCAGATGTCCTACCGCCACCACGACCTGTACGTGCAATATTGCCGTGCCCACGATTGGCAACTTGTCCTCGTTGCTGAGCGCCACCACGCTGATTTTGGCCGCCACGTTGGTTGGACCCACCACGTTGTGGTCCACCACGCTGTTGTTGACCTCGACCGCCTCGCTGCGGAGCACCCCCTCGTGACGGTGCTTGTGCCTCAACAGCTTTCTGCTCTTTGACCTTGTCAAGACCCGACAAGATATCATTTGCAGCTTTCCAACCCTTCTGGAGGAACCGCTTCTCGGAGTCGACAATCTTGTGCATTTCCTTCCCAGCCCAGAGATAGTGTTCTAGTGGAACAGGTCTTTTGGGTGTCGAGATGACGTAAATGTTCTTCTTCTTGGTTCTGCCGACCCAAGAAGCGAATTCATAGGTATTGGGAACAGTAGCCGAAAGGAGGATGAGTGTGACATGCTCAGGCAACATGATGATGACTTCTTCCCAAACCACACCCCGCTCAAGGTCATTGACATAGTGTACTTCGTCGAAAATGACAAACTCTACATCTCGAATGAGGTCTGCTCCTCGATAAAGCATGCTTCTGAGGATCTCTGTAGTCATGATGAGGCAACTAGCCTCAGGATTGATCTGGACATCACCAGTCAATATGCCGACATCTTCAAAGACGGTTTTGAAATCGCGGAACTTCTGGTTGGAGAGTGCCTTGATGGGAGAGGTGTAGATTGCCTTGGTCATATGTTTGGCAGCCAGTGCGATAGCATACTCGGCAACCACCGTCTTGCCTGCTGATGTATGTGCCGCCACGAAAACCGAGTCGCCATTCTCAAGATGATAAACAGCCTCTTTCTGAAAAATGTCCAATTCAAAGGGCCATGTCCGAGCCATATCCGGGACCAACTCGTGGAAGTTTGGAATCTCCTTGTTTATATCGACCACATGAGCCCATTCTCTTCCTGACTTCTTTGTGGATGCAGACATCAGTTCGCTGTGCGGCTCGAGTGAAGGGAATTCCACCGGCAACAGGTCGTTCAGGTCGGTGTCTTCATCTTCCTCCTCACTCTCCGATGTACCATTGGTCAGGGGCGGGGTTGCCTCTCCATTCATCTGTCGGTCTTGAGGGGTGATAGCATCACCTTCGTCTTCTTCCAAGGTCTCCTCAACGTCTTCGACATCTTCTCGAGATTGGCTGGTCTTCCGGTCCGCAAATTTCATGCCTCTCGTGAATCCTGGTGGAATCTCGAGCAAGCCGTTTTCGCCACCAAAGTTGATGATGCGGTCGAGTCCACCAGATTTCTTCCTTACCGTGCGATTTTCCTCGTCGAGCATAGTCTTGTCCTCGTAGGCCTGGATAGCATCCACTCCATCTAAACCACCAGGAGCAAAAGGGAAGTAGCCTGCAGCACCCCGGACAAAGTCGGCTCGGTTTGCTGGTCGTCGAAGAAGTGAAGTAGAGTTCTTTGCTGTGGCACTTGAGGCGGGCACGGTAACCTGTTTGTAGCCTGTCACTCTGCCTTCAAGACCCTCACGCGTGAAGCGGGTGACTGTTCGTGTCTGTGTTGGAGCCATCTGGCAAAGGTCGGTATAGTCCGGGGTTTGATAGTCCCATCTTTGCTGCAATTTGTTCAACCACTCAGGATTGAAAGTGGTTGGTGGTGACAAAAACTCTTTCTCTAGATCTTCCTTGATCTGCTCCGGCGAGCGTTGCGTGGATTGAGCTCTCATCTTCGTGCTCACAACCACTTCCCAGCACTCTCAAGAAGCGAATTTAGATGATGAGGGTACGCTCCTAACCGACTAACATGACTTGATTGGCATTTTCTACTCCGATTTGATGGTGACGATGATGTAAGGGCAGCACACGGCAAGCAAACGTGAAGAACTTGCCAAGAACTTTTGATTAAAGCAGCGAGTCAGCATTTCACTTATCTACCTTGAGCACTTTCGTTTTCGCTCACATTCCAAACCTCCTTCTTGACAAGTGAACTGCTCAAATGATCGGGCCTTGCAGGCAACGCTTATAAATCCCAGCTACGGCTTCGGAAACGTGCCCATCTCATGTCGCATGCAGATCCCACGGACGAAGAGCCCTGCCAGCGTCCGGCTGCCAAGTCGACTTGGGGATCCTCTGGGCAGACTCTGGTACTACGAATACCTTGGCAATGTTCCGACCACCCGTGAGCGCCTCATCTTGATGTGGGCATGACTACGTCAATTGCCTATGTCGGAGCCACCGAGGTCAAGTATGCACCTGTCGTTTTCAATTGTGACTCTTCCATACACACTTGGCATTCGGACATCGCGGGACGCAACCCCAAGGCGTACTCGCGCCATGGCAGTTCCCTTCAACAAATGGACCAAGAGTCCGAAGAATGCTGAGGCTTTGCCTGTTCACGAAATCCGAAGCATCGCTTGGCTACAGTACGCCAAGATCATCAAGACGCGATCAAGACCTCTTGTCTCGCCTTCTTTTGTTGGTGACGATTATTTCCTCGTTGCAGATGTACGAGGAGGTGCCTACATTTTCGAGCTCATTGCTACTACATTGCCGTGATCTTCTTGTACTCCGTGTCTGTTTCATACGGGAGTCTGTCTTGCTGAGCTATCCAAATCCTGGAGACTGCGACCTGTCAAGCCGAACAATTACCATTCCAGCCAAGAAATGCCTACGTTAGACCTCAGCAATTATAACATCATCTGCGCGGTTGCCGGAGGATTCACCGCTCTCTATGGCTTGGTATCATACCTCCTGAAGGAGAAATTCTACTTGTCAGAAGCACGTATGTCATACTTGTCCGTCAATAACCAAGGTCTTACCTCATTTCTGCAGTGTTATCTCTAGGTGTCGGAGTACTCTTTGGGCCTGCTGCGAATTGGATCCGGCCTCTCGATTACGCTCTGGACGATGAGGTCAACCTAGAAAACATCAACCGCAATTTCTGCCGACTGGTCTTGGGTGTTCAACTGGTCATCGCCGGCATCCAACTGCCTCCGAAATATCTAAAGACGGAATGGAAAAGCTTGGCCTACCTCTTGGGTCCGGGAATGACGTTGATGTGGATATTCACAAGCCTGCTCGTCTGGGCGCTTGTACCAAACATCACCTTCCTGTACTCCCTCGCCATTGGGGCGTGCGTGACACCTACAGACCCGGTGTTGTCAGCGACCATTGTCAGAGGCAAGTTTGCTGACAAGCACATCCCACGGCCGCTCCAGGATCTCATCATCGCCGAATCTGGCGCCAATGACGGCTTGGGCTATCCCTTCCTGTTTTTGCCACTGTACCTGATCACCTACGTTGGGCAGGGAGCATATGGGCATACCGCAGGCAAGGCTATCGGCATGTGGTTCTATGAAACATGGGCTTATGAGGTCCTTGTCAGCTGCGCCTACGGGGCGATGTGTGGTTGGATCGCCAAAAGACTCCTGCACTGGGCAGAAGACAGAGACTGGGTTGACAGGGAGAGTTTTCTGATCTTCGCACTCGCCTTGGCTGTGAGTGTCCAGCCCAATTGCGAAAGATTAGCTGCTGACGATGCTTAGTTGTTCATCATCGGAACCGACGGCCTCGTTGGAAGCGACGATGTCTTGGCCTGTTTCGCCGCCGGCAATGTCTTCACTTGGGATGATTGGTTCCGAGTCGAGACAAAGGATGATTCCCTGCAACCGAGCATCGACATGATCCTTAACGTCACCATCTTCATCTGGTTCGGTGCTGTATGTCCATGGTATAGCTTCGCGCACAACGACCTGATTCCGATATATCGCCTCATTCCTTTGGGCATTCTCGTTCTCTTGCTTCGTCGCCCACCGGTACTTCTGCTCCTACACAAGCGCATCCACCAGACCGAGCGATGGCGACAAGCCACCACCGTTGGGTTTTTCGGCCCAATTGGCGTCGGTGCTATCTTCTATTTGTCAATCAGTCAGGAATATCTCCGCGATCAGGTATTGGATCGGAACGGCAATCCCAGGGAGGACGCTGTGAGACTCAGGGAGACCATGACAGTCGTCATCTGGTTCCTGGTTGTCTGCAGTATTGTGAGTGGCCATCCCTTCGTGACTGCAAGCAATGTTCTGACAAAGTGCAGATTGTCCATGGCCTCACTATTCCCATCGTGAAATTGGGACTGCACCTCTCGGCCAGTGATGAGTCAGAAGAGAGTGGTGTCGTCCAAGAAACCAAACGAAGGCAGGATGAGAATGGCAGCGCTGAGCCTGTGTCACACTTGGCTGGTGGTGATCCGCTTACAAGCGGTGACCATTCGACCAGCGAACCAGGTCAGGACAACAGGGCCCGGTGAGAATACGGTTGAACTGGCCTGAAAAGCAGTGCTCCTTCTGTTGCCCATATTCATGTCAAGACCGGAACAAAGGTTTCAGTGCTCCATTGTCGTCAGTCCGCCGTTTTCTCTGTGGACTTGATATCGGAATTCTCAGTTTTCTCTTCATGCCCCATTACTTCTCCTCTTAAAACGACAGCCACTTTCACCACATAAACAATCTTTGTTTAAGTGATTCCAGTACTCATTCGAATAATCGACCGTGATCTCTTCACCCGCAGAAATGCCTTTGGACACGAGTACGATACGCTGGACACCAAGCCACATGAACCGCTCGTACTGGGAATTAGGCTGGCATGAATGATTGATGAAGCGGGTGTAATTGCCCTGTCGCCCCTGCCAGATCTGATATATGCCCGCTGGTCCGAAACTCTGCATGACATCGATATCTCGGAGGCCTCTGGTGACGAGGCCGACAAATTCGCCGACGGCGACGCCTCGCTCAAAAGGCTGTGAGACACTGTTAGCGAGGAGATGTTCTTCAGCAGGGAGGATGACGTTTGTTGGTCCCGGCGAGAAAAGCCAAACGGGGATGGCAGTCTATCAACTTCCCAGAACAAGACATTGGTTCGAATGAAGAATGGTAGACTTACGCAGCAGGCCAGAAGACCATTGTTCCTCCCATTTTCCGTGCGAAAGACCTGCACCGGATAAGGTTTGCGCGGACCGCTTCCAAACATGCCGGGGAAGCAGTGGCATTCGTTGATTCCAGGATCATTCGATTGGGGCGATCCGCACCGTTCACACAGAAGCCGTCGCGGCAATGTCTGATGGGTGTTGTGATTGTTCTCCGCCCGAGGGTCCATTGGACCCCAAGCCTGCTCGTCAATAACGCACTCTTGCAAGTGTTCAAAGGAGAAGTCGGAGGTCCATTGAGAGTAAGTGTCAGCCAACGGCACTGGCGGGCCATTTCGACTTACGACCCAGTCGCAAGGGTGCCCTTTGTAGACGCGAGTGGTCGGCTCCCCAATAACGGACAACAGCTGACGCCACTCTGGATGAATGGTGTCCGCCGCAACCTCGAATCGAGTACGAAGGCGTTTCAGAGCAGTCATGTTTGTTGGTGAAAATCCGAGCTTGTATTTGCAGAAGCGATAGAGGCCCATGCCTGCGAATACCAGGCACGGCCAGCCTCCAGCATCTCGTATGATTTCGTAACCCCGCCAGATCGCCCTTCCAGACTGAAAGTCAGCGACACTGGAGCAAGCATCTGGAGGAGCAAATGCTGAAAACTTCATGTTGGGAACCCAACCGTTGGCTCTTTTACTCACATTTTGTTACGCAACTCCTTTGACGACCAGCCGAAATCTTTACTTGCCTCCGCAAGTGCAATCATGCGAGCCTTGGTAAGAGAAAGGTCGGGATCTTCTGCCGCCATCTTTTGAACGTGCTCGTCGTAACATTGGATCCATCGTGCTTGGACAATGACTTCGAGTGACCTGCTGCAACGACTTGCTTGCGTGATTTGCCGACAGTAATGATTCATACCTTGGAAAGCGCCCTTTCCAGGAATGAAGGACGGCAGCACTCCTTGCTGAAGGGCTCCATTGGATACTGCGGCCCGTAACTGATTTATCTGGGTACATAGATCGACCTGTACATGATTAGTTCACAAGGACCATGGGTAGGGTAGCAAGAGATGGAGCGGAATGTTCGGCCAGTTCCTGTTTGCATCAACGTACCAGGTCAGACGGTTTCATCTCAAAATGCCCGTGAATCTGCTCCCAGATACCGATAATGAGGCGTTCGAAAGGTGAGATTTCAGGCTTGCGAAGATTCTTTGGGGGATTCCGCTTGGGAAAATGGCGAGCATCACTTGTCAGGCGTCGGCAACTTGGCTCCTTCTCAGGGGACACGGCGCGAGTGATTGGCGCAGAACGTGCTAGCCTCAGGCATCCAACCATCTTCCGCCGCTTGACTGGACGAGCATCGGGTTGACAGAAGTCATCGTTAGAGACGGAATCTAGAGCACGGGTTTCCTCTTCGCTGCAGTCGCAGTCTCTGCTGGTATCCTCTTCCATAATATCAGTACTGCCGTCCCTGGCGGGAGTCGATGCGAGCTCAATCGTCGCCTAGAGCTGCTGGTCAACACAAACACGACCCTGAGGCGGATCCTGTCTTACCAGAGTCACCCTCCCGGCCTCATTTTGCCGGTTCTCGGTGCTCGAATTGTCGAGCCATGCCTCCAGCCGGAGCAGGGGTACTCTACCACCTGCTTGATGGGCCGAGAGAGCGTCGTTGAGTACCTGGGTTAGAGGTAGCCGGATTTCATTTAGAATTGATTCATACAATTCGACGTTCTGAGCCAAAGGAGCACCTGAGTCGTCTGGCACCATTTTGCGAGGTGACCTTTGGATGCGCGGATTGACTGGTGTGGTACAAGTGAGGAGAGAAGAGAGATTCTAGAGGTCATGGAGACAAGAACGGACAGTTGGGTATCGACGAATGACGTCTGCCACTTGCAACCAAGACTTCTTCTTAGCGAAGGCCACTCATATTGTATTGTGTATCGGGCTAGTCGTGGCAATACCCACTTATGAACATTCTGCCCGGGCAGATTTTCAGACGCGGCTCTTACTATGCCATACTCTTGGACAGAACCAGAACAACGGTCCGGTCGCAGCTGCAATCGCTCCATCCATGGAATAATGCAGACTTTGAGCAGAAAAAGCCTACTAACCCGGGGAATAAGAGTCCGCAATCACTTGAATCTCTACCGACCGGAATTGTCCCTCAACCAACATCCTCCACCCCGCTATACGAAGAGCCCAGTACTTTAAGCTGCACCGCCACCACCTTCCTGCGTTGAGCCGAGTGGGAAATGCTCATAGAAGAAGCTCACCTGTCCTCGAGTGCTAATGACTGTCAAGTCGAGATTTTCAGAAGTCGGCGTAGTACAGGCAAGCATGTATCAGGAAAAGCTTGTGAACATTCAGTAATGCAGCCCTCTTTGCAGCTTGTCTCACGCCCGAAATCCCGCCCTCAACAAGCAGGGAATCAGCAGAGTGGCGCAGGTGAGTATGACTGACGTGGCTGTGTAAATTCCAGCTTGCACAAAAATACGATGTTGATCAGGGGCATCAACGGTGCCCAGGGTGGCATTGACGAAGCCTGTACTGAAAATGGTCTGTCGTCTCCATGTCCTTGTCAGCCTATCTCGACCCTCGAAGATACCAGCGGATGAAGGGGATCTTTGGAGCTACCTACCGCCACGAAGGTTGCTGGCACGTAGATGACAGCAAGCATGGCGAGAAATTTCATCATGGACGAATCCTGTTTCATGGCTCTGCTAATTCCCAGTGCCAGTTTGCTGTCATGCTGCGAGGACTCTGCGAGTTTGCCCATATGCACATTGTTCGAAATCAGTGCTTGAGTGTATGCTGCATTAAGGAGGCAGGTGATCTGTCATGGGTCGTTTAGAGGTACACAATGCCAGTAGAGGTTTTGAGGTGACCAGTGTACTTACCATGTCTGCAGCCTGTTGGGAACGTTCCAGCATGTCTGTCGCCCAAGCACGCTTCAGAGAGGCTTGGGACTCACATGCATCCAGCTCCCGGCTCAGATATCTTAGATGCTGTCTCTCGCAATGCATGCGCGAGGTCAAAGCCAACTGGTCGATAAGCGCTCGGAGTCCCCTCAGAATCTTTGTTTGGGAGATGAGGACCAGAGCTACATCGCGGATCAGCTCCTGCACATACCGCAGATCTTGAACTTTCGAAAAGGTGAGGTGAAAGTGCGGTTTTCCGCCGGGAATGTCAATGGACATATCGAGTCGTGCTTCTCGGCTCTGCAGACAGACCTGTCAAATTCTCTACACGCCCAGCCTTAGAATGCGCGTGCCGACCTACCTCTGCGCGTACCTGTGCATCTAAGTCTTGGAGGTATGCCTGCCAAGACTGCAATGTAGAGCGCAGAATATAGTTGTGCATCACGAACTGCCTACAAAGAGGCATCTTTGAATATTCAAGCGGTGGTCTTCTCATTGCTGAGGTTGGCTGAAGGATGATCCATGTAGACGATCCTATTCCATGATCGTGTGTTTGGAAGACCCCCACTTTGCGGATGGACCAAGGCCAGCCACCTCTTCCGGTCTTTACGGCGTGATTGACGTGATAGGAAAGCTCTAAGGAGTCGTCAATTCATATCGTGTTGTTAGCTAACGCGGACTCACGCGAAATTTGCCTTTGAGAACGGTGGCCTTGGTCTACCACGCGAGACCAGCTCTGGTACCCACCTATGAACGGCTCTTTGTCGTGTCCAGCAGCGGGTTGGCCAAAGGTATGAAGTATGTCTAAAAAGGATGGGCAAAGATTCAGAGCCGTTGCCATCTTCCGGAAACCGCTCTCAGAGATTTCGAACGGCGACCAGCTGTGGGTCTGATGTAGATATCTATCGGAGCAGAAACCGAGCGATGATCAGTACAAGTTTCAGGTAAGGAGCCACTTAAACGACTATAACAGGGTCGACACACATGAAGTGATCCCCTGGGGCGTCTAGATGTTTCTATCAAATCATTAGCGCCAACAAGGGACATAGAATATTGGGTTCTTCACCCGAAAGGTGGCTTCAAGTCGTGCCTCGGTGGTGATATGGTCTGTCATTCGCCTCATTTCGCCATCTCCATCACTCACGCTCAGGCTTTCGAGGTGCACAGAGAAAAGGCTCCGGTCGAACAGTCTCTGCCCTTCTTTGCTTAAAAGTCGGTGACATAATTCCAGGTTGAAGTCAGAAAAACGGTCATGAAGGTTGAGAGGATAGCTTTCCCAACCTTCGTAAATGCTGTTCTGCGCTGATGTCGTGTAACTCATACCGCCGCCGAGATGTGAGGGCGCCTGGAAAAATTCTGATTTGTGAGCTCTCGGATGCCCATGGACATATACGTTAGCGAAACAGATTGTACACAGACAGAAGTTTGTCTTGTGATTGCCAGAAGGGTTGGGCTTATTTAAGCGACTGCTGCCTAGGCTGGCACAAGCTGTGGCTGAGCCTGGTGAGACTAGTGAGGCTTGCTCAGCCTTGTCACGATTACTACTTCTAGGGACGACTGCAGTAAAATGAGCAAGGCTGTTGAGATCCCTTAATCCTATAGATCTTGCTATTTTTCACCTGTCCTAATAGATAGTATCACGACGCTCGAGCTGTTCAAGCGCATTATGATTGAGAACCTAGTACGAGCAGATCATAGCACCAGGCAGTAGCCAACAAGCATCATGTCACGGTGACAGATAGGAGGTGCAGCAGGAGCGGTCAACTGGCAGCATCTGCTTCCATTGCGTCTAGGGTCGCTTTGTCGTAGTAAACCGATTTAATCTCGGCCTAGAATAGGTTAGGATGCTTTTCCAGGAGAGAAAACGAAGAGAAAAAAAAAACAGAATTCTCGCCGTGGGCGTGATCGTTATTTACATCTGTCATCAAACGTGGAACTTCGACAATATAGGATCCTTGCTTGATCTGAAGTCTCAATGGTCAGCACAGTGTGAAGGTCCCAAGTTCCTCAGAAACCGGACCGTGATTCCACAAGATTTCCCCTTAAAGTCATCAGAAGTCTTCCAGAATCTGAACAGTTTCGCTTTATCGACATAGCGCTGAGGCAGGATTTGTTGAACGGACATATTGTCTTTGGTCAGACTTATGAGTGCTTTAGCTCAACCACGACCGTGAAGGGAATGCATTGATATCAATACTGCAATCAGGCTGGCAAGAAGGAAGCACAGGCACAGGCACAGGTGGGACGAGATATTGCTTTTGATGTCAAGGCGTAGTAAAGATGGCTGAGCATGTGAGATTTGCGGCTGAGAGGAGGCAAGGAGGGGAGCAAAGTGGTTTTCTGGGCAGTCTTGTGAACCCTGCATCTGATGATGTTGGTTGAGCATTGCAACCAATCCGCGAACTACACGTGGACAGAACCTGCAATAGATTGATTACGCAAGCAGATCTGGGCTTGTCTTGCTACAAGTAACCGAGACGACTCTGCTTGTAGCCTTCGTTTTAGAACCACTTTGTCTAACTATGTAAGGGCTGTCAGAAAAGAGATGCCAACCAGAAGAATCACGCGTGTCGCCAGAAGGACTGGCAAGGCTGATGTGGAGTCTTCCCAGAAACCGATTGGCTTCGCCAGCCTTGTGGACTTCATGACCGTGCTGCAGCGAACCAACACCACTCTCCTACCAGTTCTCCCTCATAAAGGGACAGAGATCCTAGGTCGCGGTCTATCAGGTGTTGTCAAACAGTCTACCGCCGACCTATCCACCAATTTAGCGTTCAAAGAAGGGATCCCGTCCAGGAACTTGCAGGACACAGAAATTGATCAAGACTGGTCTGCACTGATTACTGAGGTTACTATACTTCAACATGGACCCATCAAAGCCAATCCCCATATCATTGATCTCCTAGGGATAGCATTCGCTGCTCCGCCTGGGCCACCCTCAGAACGCGGAGTTTGGCCCCTGGTTGTAACTTCCAAAGTCAATCATGGAGACCTCACCACTGTCCTGCGGCGTGATCACAGTGAATTCCTCACTGACGAGGCTAGAATGAGTCTGTTCGCTGGAGTCGCGGAAGCGATCTTTGTGCTTCATTCTTGCGGTAAGCGCGTGATTCGAGCCAACGTGCAAGTGTCAGACTGAAGAAGTACAGGCATCGCCCATGGGGATCTGAAGACAGACAATGTTCTCATATATTCATCAGAAACAAACAAAATTGAACCGATTCTGATAGATTTCGGTTCGAGCACAACAGCAACTCAAACTCGCCTGCCTACGAGAAGCGACCCTTGGACTCCACCAGAGATTGAGAACACCAGGGTGAATCTCAGTCATGCGGAACTGGTACAGGCTGACCTCTACACATTTGGGCTTCTAAGTCTCCATCTCCTACTCCCACTTGAAGGTCTGCTGAGCGCCAATTTGTGCCTGGTGCAAACCAGGGAGCAGAGTGCTGACGAGTGGGCTCAATTCCTCGGAGAAATGAGCGAGAAGAAGTCTGATAACGCTGGCGATGAATTTGTTACGCAGATTTTTGACTTGATTGCTGGAGCTGATCTAACGCCAGAAAGGCAGTCGATCCTAGAACAGATCGTGAAAACAACCATCCAGCCTGTGCGTGGAAAACGAATCCTACCATGGGAGTACCTCCTCCCGTACATAGAGACTTACTTGTCGGAAAGGCAGGTCGTGCAATTTAATTTATGCTTATACGCCCCAGGACGGTCTGTGCTAATCCTTCTCTAGCTATCAACAAAATACCCCCTCGACAATACAGGAACCCCCAACCACATCCGACTCTTTGGCGACCGAGCACTCCCAACATAGAATCCTCGATGTGAGATCCCATAAGTCATTGACTTCCAATTGCTAAATTTCAGCCAGCTTGCAGCCGCGCTTGGTGACCTTGATGATATGGACTATCTTCTTCCCTCCAGTATTTGCCAAGATCTGATGCACAAAGCAGGTCATTCATCGTGTGGATTGTGCCGACACGAATACGCCTTCCAAGTCTCTATCTGTGCCATGATTGGATTTGGCCATCCAAGTGAGCCTCTTGATTCTGATAGGTGGCTGTCGAAGAGCAAGAAGACCGAAGAGGACCGAAGACGTGCTATTCAAGAGCTTGGGAGAAAGTACAAATATCCTGGCCATGTTTCCAACGATGTTCTTGATGCTCTTGGTATTGGCGTCCTTGTCAGCAGTGACAGGACTCAAGAATACCAAACGTCAGGACGACTCATGGATGCAGAGGAGACAATCCAAGCACAGATCCGAGCAAGAGCATCAAACTTTGGGGATTCCCACTTGAGTCAAGCGAAGTGTGAGTCCGAACTATCAAAGATCCTGCAGGCACAACTTCGTTTCGAAGAAGCCGAAAAGCACGAGATACGTGCATCTGGAATCTTGCGCAATCATTTTGGAGATCGCCATCCTTCTGCCTTGATGGGAAATGTTACCTTGGCATATCTCTATGCCAAACAAGGCTTGCTTCGAAAGGCACACCGGCTTTCTCGTGAGACGCAGCCCATTCTGGAGGAAGTTCTCGGGCTCGAGCACCCAGAAGCGATATCGGCACTGCAAGTTCACGGGATCATTCAATACGAACTTGGACTCGCCAAGGAAGCCGAGCAATCGATGAGGAAGGTGATAGATGTGCGGACCAAGATACTGACTGGGGCGCATCCATTCACCGTCCGCGCTGAGTTGTCTCTCGTATCTGTCCTCCGAGCCCAAGGCAGACTGACAGAGTCGAAGGAGCTGACGGCGAGTATCAGTGAAAGGCTTGTCAATCAGCTTGCGGGCGACTATCTTTCCAAAGCCGAGCTTTACATCGTCTGGGGGGCATTGGAATCTGAGACAGGCTCTCTTGACCAAGCTTTATTGAGGGTTACAGAAGGATTGGCGGCTATGGATATGTTGAGACTTCCGGCCACTGATCCGCTGCGGTTGGACGGCCTTGAAATATTGACCTCGATTTACGGCAAGCTAAATGAGCGGCAGAAACAGGAAGAAATTCTTCGCCAGATCTTAGACGTCAAGAAAAGCCAAGACCGGAGAAATCGTGAAATTGCAACAACTATGTGTCTGCTCGCAGGCTGCTTGCTTGCTCAAAATCGGTGGGAGGATGCCTCTGCCCTTGCGGACAAAGTCTTGACCGCATCGGACAGGTCTGTTGCCGAAGATCCACAAAACTATGTGACGGCAGTTGACATTATGGCCAATGCTGCGAGCTACCGTGGACAAAACGAAGAGGCTGAGAGACAGAGGCAAGACCTTCTCCGGGCTTGCAAGTCAGACCTGGGCGAGGGCAACCGCTTTACGCTAGATGCCACTTGCGATCTGGGCGCCTTCTACACCGATCAAGGCCAGCACCAGAAAGCACAGCATCTGTACGAGCAGGCAATAGCCCAAATTGAGACGGAAACCCAACCTGGCAACACTTTGATCAAACTACAGAGACTTTTGGCCGTGGCGCTTACAGAGCAAGGCAGGTTTCAAGAGGCCGAGTCAGTGTGCCTTACCGGCATTGACCAGGCGCTTCAGGCTGTCGGAGATCGCCACATCACCACACTTGCTCTTTACAATGCGCTAGGAAGAATATACATCCTGACAGGCAAGTATGAGGAGGCTGATGAACTCTACGCCACGAAGCTTCAGGAGCAGAGCGTTGGCACCGAGGCTGACATTTACGTGCTGGAGCACATGGCAGTCCTCCGAAGATGTCAACAGCGGATACCAGAGGCGATGGATCTCAAGCGAAGGAGCGAGGTTCTGATGAAGTCAATTCTAGGCGAAAACCGACCCGAATACATTAATATGCAGGGAAACGTGCTTAGCGACCACATGGCTGATCCCGAACTTTTTACACCCGACGTGGAGAGAGACGTAATGGCGAACATCCACAGCAAGAAAGTCCTTTTCGGTGCGCGCCATCCATCCACCATCAGCACCATGTGCGACCTCGCTTATGCGTACCTGATGAAAGATCGCATCGTCGAAGCCGACGCAATCTTCAAGGAGCTCTCTGACTCCATTCGCCAGGTTAAGTCTCCGGACAAGTACGCGAAGATCTTAGGGAAACGCGCCGATGTTTGCTTCCGGCTCGAGCGGCTCGACGAGGCTGAGAGATTTGAGCGCGAAGCGCTTGCAGTACGTCGCAGCATCTTTGACGAGGATAACGTGGCCGTCCTGACAAATAAGAGCAACCTGGCTTCGACACTGAGTGCGCAGGGTCGGCACCCAGAGGCAGAAGAGTTATTGCGCGAAGTAGTGGCAGGACGAGAACGGACACCGCAGGGCAACTCGCAATCCGTCTTTTCGTTGCTCAAGGCGAGGACCGCCTTGGGCGCGGTGCTCTATTATCAGGGCAAATACGAGGACTCAGCACCCTACTACGCTTCGTCAGTTGAGGTAGCCCGAAAGGTCGGTCTACCAGCTCAAGTAGTGAACGGCTGGCAAACTGAACTTGATGAGGTCTTGGAGAACATGGTCCAGGTTGATGGCGAGGTAGCTACAGAGGGGGTGGGCACGTGAGAGACGCCAAAGTAAAGAAATACAGTATCACGGGCTTATTGATTGCATATTCATGTGGAGGATTCGGCTCCTTTCGTTTGGTAGGGAAGCTATCTCTGTAACGAAGCCTGAATGTGGTATGGTGTGAAATCACGCATAGCAACGCGACAACGGCTCCACGACTCTGCTCCAGAATAGGTCCTGTCCGTGTCCGTCTAACGCATCTCCAAGCGTCTTTAGGTTATCCGCCATTAGCCGTTCTGCATCCAGACAGAACAAAACCGCATCGCGGTAGACAGAACCCACGTTCTCGCTGAGCTGTGGCACATACGATTGCAACAGCTTGCAACGGAAATCCTCGTCGGATTCGACCTCTTTGTGGTCCTCTCGTAGCTCTGATACCGGCAGCCACAGGCCCAGCTCCAACAGCACTAGCCCGAGTCCAAAGTAGTCAAATGACTTGCGAAAAGGCTCGCCGCGAATGTAGGCTGGGTGGCGGTAGCGTATAAGCTCATCGCGCGGACCAACGGTGTAGCTGGATGCTTCGGGTCGGCTGTCGTGGAAGCCAGCGAGGACGGCAGAGGCGACGTGTTCGTGCACTCGGGACGGGGATGGTGCAAATACGAGCAGGTTGTGCGATGAGATGCTCTTGTGCAGCCAGCCTGCAATATGAAGAGCGTGTAGGCAGGAGGCGAGACCGGCTGCAAGGGTGAAGATGGAGCCCAAGTCAGGACGGAGCGGGAATTCTAGTATCGACTTGTTGGGGTCCGTCATCCTGATGACATTGTTTAGCGAGAACATCTTAGCATCCGCTATCGTCGTGAAGGCTTTGAGCGGGTAGAGGAAGCCGAAACGAAAGTTGTGCCGCTCATGGAAAAAGCCGCAGCAGGACACAACACGTGTGTCCACAGCACCTTCTCGGGGCGTCACGTAGGGGTCAAGCAGATTCGTCAGCGCTTCCATGGTGGCCAACAATTGCTCGCCGTGCTTCTCCCGCCATCGAGTGTCGTACTCAAGCCATTCAATCATGACTCTCGTGGCGGTTGTGGCGTCGTCGTGCAAGTAGCCCAACGCCTTGCTTTCGTCCCTGATCAGGTGACGCTCTTGGGATCCCCCAAAGTCTGTAGGCCATCCACTGTCAATCTCAATACAGCCCGATTCGACGTAGCGGGTGCGCTTGCCGAGCGAAATCGAGTCTGTTAGGAGTCGAGACATGTATCTCATGGCGACACTGGCACCTACAACTCGATAGCGACTGACTGTCGTGACAGAGTAAATTGCTTCGAGCAGGCCGGGATTCTTCTCCTCGCAAACCATTCGAGTCCAGTTTTCCAGCATTTGCCGGTGCTTTTCGCCGGACAGGCAGGCGGAGAGAGAATCGAAGGCGGCCCATATTCTGCTCATGATGGCTTCCTCACTCTTCGTTAGGCTGTCGTCGTTAGTGTGGGTGAGGTTATTGCAGGACAACACATTCAACATCTCTGTGAGGCCGGAAAATAGCGCCATGCGACGTTCAAGCCGCTCGTCCTCGTGCTGGCTTCGGAATGCAAGCTCCCACGACCTGAATCTCTTGTGCTCCAAGCACAAGCGAGCTGTAAATCCATCGAGATTGTTCCGATGGAATCTCGGTTCCATCAGTGACAAATACGCCTTGTCAATTGCTCGTACTTGCGAATCGATCGCCGTCAAAGCGAGGGATTTACTAACGACCGCAATAGGTATTCGACGGTACGGGTTCGGCTCGAGCATCTGATATATCAGTCCGAGGAGTTTCGGCAGTTCTTTATCGCATGATACATGTAAAAGGTCGTCCAGCCAAGTCAAGACCGCAGGTCTGACCTTACCATCCAGGTGGAAGGCAGAATCAGTAATTCGGAATTCAGTGCCATAGGTTGCTTCCCGCAGTTCACGAAATCTTGCGACGCTCCTGCTTTCGATGAAGGTCGCCACTTCCGCAAGAATACACCCAAGGCTCCATATATCTAGAGCGCGGCCAACCCTACCGTTAGTCATGTCAACCATATCGAAAGCCTCTGGGCCCAGGTAGTCGTCGTGACCGCCTCTCAGCCTCGTTTTCGAGTCTCGATCATCACGCTTCAGCCGCGAAAGTCCAAAGTCAGCAATGAGAAAAGCATCCCCTTGCACAAGGATGTTCGGAGGTCTCAAATCATGATGGTATCCAATCCTGTTGAACTCAACACGCCCGTCCGAGACAGAGAAGTGGTGAATCTGGGCTAGAGCATCGGCGATGCCGCACATTCCAAGGTAGATACTGTGAGCAGGCAATTCACGGTCCTCCTGAAAAAGCTGAGCAAGATTCATCGGCACGTAAGTGAACAGAAAGTTTTCCACACCGTACTGCGCGTAGGAGCCCAGGAAAGGGACCAAGTTGGGATGCTGCAAAGCCGCCAACGCTTCGAGGACAAAACGCTCGTCGGTGTCGCCGTGCTGCTTCTCTTGGATCTCCTTGCGAGCAATAATGGTTTCCTGCGTCCATATCAGTCCACATCTTCCAACCTCCCCTTTGCTCCGAACTCGGTGGGAGAGAGGTGAGCACACAAACCTCACCGTGGGCAACAAGATTCTGGCAGGTCGGCTCCAGCTTAACCTTGAACACCTTCCCAAAGCCACCCTCAACAGCCTCCACGTCATCCAACAACGGCAGCACCTCACGGGGCCCAATTTCCCTATGGATCTCCCCCTTGTTCAAACAAACAGGCCGCACCTCCCACTGCCGAGCGACAAATTCCCGCGCCACTACGTCAGGCAAGAAATACAACCCTTCAACTGTATATGGTAGCCGCGAATCCGTTTCTCGGCGATACAGAAACTCCGCAATATACTTTTCATGCCCGATCAATAACAGGACTGCGTAGATGAGCAAGGAAGAGTCGCGAATCAGCGACGAGAAACGGCGGACGTCAAGCGTCCCGCCTGACAGCGACGGGATCGACGTGGTAATGTGCGTGCGGATTCGGTCAAGGGTAAGGAACGCCCTCACATGGTGGGGTGGGTAGAAGGATTTGCGTTCGCGGGCGCCATGCGACTCGACTTGCAGTCTCAACAGGCCTTCGCGGAGATCAGCCATGTTGATGCCGCGACGGTGCTGATGAACAGGTTAGATTTGCCACCGGTCTACCATGAGAGTCTGCTGAACAAATCGTACCGGCGACTGATCCTCAGTGGGAATCCGGTACATCCATGTAGCTCCGATCTCTTCATTCGCCTGTTGTTGCCTTCTCGACGTTAATCACATAAGATCGCTGACCGTTTCAGCCTGAAAGCCTGGCTTGTGTGTACTATCCCTTGGTCAAATGTCATCACGACGCCCTAGCCGGCTGAAGGGAGAGGAGAGGATACAATACAAAAGAGAAACTGAACTGGCACGGGACCGGCAAAAGAAATATATACCCAAATATCCATCGTTGCTGACTGATCGAAATAAAGGCGGTCAGCCGAATTGGGCAGGTAAATTTGCCTCATAAGGTAGCATATTGGCAGTAATTTTTTGTAAGTCTGGAAGTTGATATGTCGGCACGGCTTGGTCTCAAAAATCATACTAGGATTGGTGCGAGGCTTAATGCAGGCCTGGTAGCGACATCACTAGGTTCGTGTCGACTCAATCAAGTGGAGTGGGAACAAGAGATTTATGCACGAGTCAAACTGTGCTATGGCATTACTTGCCTGAGACGAGGACCTTTGGAGCAAGCATAGACGAAGATTCACTCGGTCACTAGGAAGAACTACATACTCTCGAATAGTGTGCAGCGCTGGCTCAGGGTTCCATCGATTCAATAGTCCATATATGTTGCCCCCCCATTGAGATCAACCTAGAAATTGTTCCACAGTGCTGATGACCGAAACAGTAACACTACAGCCAAACTGGAACTACAAGCCAACGGCTAACATCAACCCATAACCCACAGTGATGACGACCACAAACGAAAATATTGACGCGGGTATGCCCCGTGTGAGGAAATGCTTGACCCGCAAATACCGGACACCTGTCTCGGGGACTTCCATCATGATTGCAGCTGGACACAAATTGTTAGCACGCGTACCCTCAACAGACTAGAGAACGTACTCATGTTTGGAAACCCACTCGTGGGCAGGCCCATTGCAGCAGAACACATCAACGCCGAGCCCATAACCAGCAGATTCGGATGCGGCTCGTTCATACCGGCGCCAACTTGCTGGACAAGAGGGAGAATGATCAGCGCAGCAACGGTGTGCGAGATGAATGTCGCAACAACGAGAATCAGCGCCGCAAAGACAACTAGCACACCATAGATGGACAGACCAGACACGCCGTCCGTAATGCCGCGCGCGATAGTATGCAACAGGCCCGACGATGAGACGGCGCGCCCCAGGCTCAGTCCACCAGCGGCAAGGATGATGATCGTCCACAGGAAATTGTTGAAATCTTCTTTGGTAAGGATCCCGGTGCCGAAGAACAAGACCATCGGTATGATGGCGATGACACCCATATCCCCGAACACACCCTCCAGTTGGTGTGAAGTGCACCACAGCACGATGGTGACCAGCGTGACGAAGATGATGAAGTACTGAATCCCATTGAGCTTGTCCTTCATTGGACGAATAGGCACGATCGTAGTTCCCCTGCCGGGTTTGAACGAAACAAGCAACAGCAACCATATCAGGACGATGCTGATGATGCACACTGGCAGAGCGACGAAGAACCACACGCCCCAGCTGGGACTGGGCTTCATATTCTGCAGCGCAACAATGTTCTGGGGCGAAGCAATCGGAGAAGCCATGCCGCCGATATTCGAGGCCAGTGCGATACCCAAGATCAGCGCTTTCGACATGTTGCTGTCTGCCGGTAGATTGCGCAAGATGGGCTGGATGATGCTGAAGCACAGAACCGGCGCAGCAACGTTTGAGATCCACATGCTCAAGAACATGCCGACAAACATGTTCGTAACAAGCACAGTTCTTGCTTTGGTGCCGGCTTTGCTGAGCACAAAAGTGGCCATCATTTTCGCAATATGGTACTTCGACAGTGCGGCGGCGATTGTGAATCCACCGAGCAACAGCATGATTACAGGCGTCCACATGGCTGCAAAGACGGCCTTCGTGGCTGCTTTTGAATCGAGTCGGTGGTAAGGTTTGTCTTCTGAGCGCATGATTCGGAGGACGACAACCAGGAACGGAACCAGGAGAGAGGTGACGAACAAGGGAATGACCTCTGTTGCCCAAAGGAGGGAAACGAAGACCAGCATTGCCAGACAATTCTGTTGCTCTGTTTTCTTCATTATCGGCACCAAGAGCAGGACCAAGAAGATTCCCAGAATCGCGATGAGAGCGAAGAATGACGAGCTGAACAGCCATTTCGGACATCTATACCTGCCAACTGGGGTATCGATCTCCTTGGTAAAGGATTCGTCGCGGTCTCCTTGTAATCGTGCTTTCGACGGGTCTTGTACACCACCGAGCAACGTCTGTCTGATTCCGAAATTCGCTGCTTGCGCTTTGCGTTCAATTCCGATCATTTCTCTCCAAACAGTATTCCTCTCCCAAACAACGTGCTCACGAAGGTGGAGTCGAAGTTCTCGTCTGGCTAGATCCTGGTCACCTTTGGTAATGATATCGGCGTAGCATTTTTCGACTTTGCCAATGTTCTCCTCTAGATGGGCCATTGTACTCTCTAGAAAAGGGTACGAGGGGTTGACGACCTTTTCCAGGTAGTCTTTTCTGATGTCCCGATTGCAGACTTTGTCGTACTTTTTTGCGGCCTTCTTAAATCCCGTCTGATTGAGTTGGATGAACGATTTCAGCTCGCACAGCGACACGTAGATATTGATTATCCTCTTCTTGAGCGTGATTGCAGAATCGTACAGTGCCGACATGACTCCCGGCTCCGACCCTTCCAGTTCCATGGCCAAACTGGGTCTTCTTCTGAGGTATGTCGGTGATTCAGGCCTGCGCAGATCTTCCCGCGACTCTCCCAGATCTGAACGATCAGACCCGGTGTTCCAAGCACTCTTACTCCTCGGCTTTATTGAGGGTTTCTTCTTCAGCATGGCGGCGTGGTCTTCAGCGTCACTATCGCTATCATCGTCCAACTCAGGCTCTTCCATGCTCACGCTCATGGTTGACGCCCTCCTCTTGCGCCGGAAAGGCACGGTGAATATACTTTGCGACCTGGTCATTTTGCGCCGATTCTCAACGTCAACCACTTCATCCATGTCTAGATCATTTGTTTCAAACTTGTAATTTTCCGCATCCTTCAACAGGTGTTCGAGTTCGCCAAAGATTTCCAGCTCTTTTAATCGGTAGAATGAACATACTTTGTCGAGTTCCGAGTCGAGCATGCGCTTGAACGTGGTATCCGGGTCCTGGTGGCCGCCTAACAGAGCCGTATTTTCTTCATCTTGAGCCTCGCCTGGAGGTTTGTTGATTTGCTTCTCGAGACTGTAGATGGCTTTCTTCAGATTGCTGTAGGAGATGTAGTTGCTGCTCCAGTCCGGGACGGCGTTGAATTGGATACTGTGCGAGAACTTCATCTCTTCTCTTTCGGCAAGCTGCTCGAGCTTGCGGAGTCTTTTATTTGACCGATTTGCTGCTCTTTCTTTGAGGGTGTGTTGTGTGCTGTCGAAAGATACGAGTTCGATGGACGGACCGGCCGATGGAGGATTAGGAGAGTCGAGAAAGGGACGAGTGTGAGGCTGAATCCCGTGCATCCGACATGAGGGAACGAACGGTCTTTAGGACGGACGTGGAGAGCGAGATGAGGTAAGTGGATGGGTGCGAAGAGTGTGTGTGAACTGTGAAGTGTCGATCTTAGCGGGGCCTGTCAATCGGGCATGGTCAGCCGAACATGGTCGTGTCGACAGGAGCTGAGGCACGAAAAGAATTACGAGGTATGGTTCAAGATTGGGTCGGACTTCTGGGCGTGCAGCGGATCGCCAAAGCCATTCGTTACCATACTGTGCCTGGCATTGAACTACCAATCCAAAATCTCGCTTGTCGACCAGAGACTTGATTTCATGGAAAAAGCAAGCAATCATCTGTTTGTATCCCACGCCTAGCGATACCTAGTCGGTTGGCGGCAAGAAGCCCGACTGGCGACCATTGTCATGAGATCCCTATCCAACTACTTCAGCCTCGCCAAAATCCATTCCTTGCAAAAGTCTTCACTTGCCAGCGGCCCAGTCAAACCGAATGCTCGATCCATCACCAGCGCATCGTGGCCCTCATCAGTCGCCTCAAGGTACTCAAGGCCCGGATTGTTGACCTTGACGTGTTTCTTGAATTCGCGAATATCATCCACCAGAACCTCATTGGAGCCGGCAACAATCGCAATGTCTTTATCGCTGACTTTCATTCCCTTCCACCAATCTGGCGGCGCATCCAGAGGTGTGTTATAATTATCGGGCTGTGCGCTACCCATGAAATTGTCTGACCATGTCTTCAAAGCTTCCAAGCCCAGGCCATCCTTGTAGTAATTCTTTGTGAATGCCGGTGCGCTCTGGTCAAAGGTAACCCAGGGAGATACGAATAGGGTACCGCGAAGATTTCCTGAGAGGGACACCTCAGGCACGTCAGGTTTGGGATGCGAGAGGTGGCCGAGAAGGGCTGCCGTCAGATTACCTCCAGCGGAGTCACCACCAACGATGATCTATAGCGTCGTTAGCACGTTGAAGAGCATTTGGGACAGGGAATCTTACTTGAGAAGGCCTGACGCCCATATCAAGCACGTGTCTCAATGCAGCGACAGCCTGCTTGAGTTGCAGAGGATACATGCCGTGGGGAGCCAGTTCTGCGGCAAGAGTTAGCTTATACACTCCTATCCACCATGTGCATCATTCCAACCATATTCAAGCATCATGACCCGCAGCTCTTCGCCATTATCCTTGGCCTGTTGGATCACCTTCCAAAAGAACTCGAAATGCCCAGGCGTTGCAGCCAAATTATATCCTCCGCCTGTCATCAAATCAGCCCATACCCGCCACGAAGCAAATAAAGGACATACCATGAAACCATATCACAGTCTTCTTTGCGGTCGCAGGCCCAAGCGTTAAGCCATGTCCATCTTCGTCGAGTGCGACAATGTCAGGCTCGATACTGCATTTCTTGCAGAAATCCCGGTACGCGTCGCCAGTAGTTCCGCCAGCGGCTCTTCCATCATGTCAGTCCTGCATATCCGGCCTACGTAGTAATTCATGGGAAGACCATACTGAGCTTGCTTCACAGTGATGTAGTTGAACATCGTCCGCGTCATGCTGTAGATGACATGCTTCTTATAATCCTTAGGGCAGTCGTTGCCTCGTGCCCATCCTGTTGAAGCAGCCCATGTAAGGGTTGCCACTATCGACGGCAGATGGTATCAGTAGATAGCAAAACATGGTCGAACCAAACAATATGGGAAAGCCATCTTGAGTGAGGAAGGTAGATACATACATCCTCTTGAAGCTGCATAGAGCAGCTGCAGATAGTCTGTCGCGCCCAACTGAGGTCTCTTCATCGTGCCAGGATTTGCTGTCTCGGCGAAGATAAGAGGAATCGCGGGGGAGTGGATGGACTTTTGTAGTATGGGGAAGAGGTAGACACGATTCGATCAAAGGCATCGTTCGGGTAAGCCCCGTTAGACGAGGTGGGCGGCTCATCAGGCGCACCAGGCCCAGACCGATCAAAATTGCCAGAGCACGTTCCTAGTGAGGAGAAGGCTCACTAAGTTAGGCGCATCACCGCGGCATTGGAGGAATTGCAACTTTGAACACTTTCCCAAGATGGATGGGTCAGATCTGAGGACTAAATTGGTAAGTGGAACAGAGACACTGTCGACGCAACAACGAGCAGTTTGGTCGGCAGCCATAGCATTGTGAGGTGGCCTGCCTCAACGCAATTCTGCGCTTCGCACAACCGTGGCAGTCGCTAATGGAGAAATCTATGTACGAGGCAATTCAAGCACGCCCCAATGCCGACTTTCATAAATCGTATGTTCAGTGTGCACAAGCTTTATGAGAGGTCGAAACCTGCTCCTGCATTAACGGCATAGAGAAGTTTCTCTTTCATCGTCCTGATATCCCCATATCGTGGTAACTTGAGAAGGTTGACACAAGTGCTCGTGCTGGGAAGCCGTTCTTGATCATCACTCGAGTCACGAATGCTGAACTTGGGGTTGAGATGGCTGAAACCTAGCAAAGGCGCACGAGGGGTGCTGGTGACAAACTTGAGCACTTTCCTCCTATCGTCATCACTCATTTCCTGAAGTGCTTTCCAAAACAACCGGACCGTAGGGTGTTCGAGTCCATCATCACCAATACTGTAGACACCACCATATTGGGTATTGCGCCTCAGATCAGCAATGTCAAGCTCAGTGTTGTCACCTCCCACGAGTTTCTGCAGCTCTTTCTGATTGAACATGGCAAGCCACATTGGCTGAATAATCTGACCGAGACCTTGGAGAAAAGCATCAGTCACAGCTTTTGGCTGTTGTTGCAGCTTGTATCTCACGATACGGTCAATGTAGAGAGGCCGATTTGTATTGGTGACTGGAGTGTTGGCGCCATTTGGAATCAGTTCGGTGGTGATTGTATGGGGCGTCTCCTTGCCATATTCGTCCATGATGTTCAGGGTGTCTGTAACGGTGAAATCAAGAGCAAAATCCGCCTCAACATCACCGGGGTAGTTCTTTAACTTCAACAGGCCTTGATACAGTTCTTCATCATAGTCACGAACATCATTGATGGTTGCATGATATGCCGACTCATTCGAGCCTACTGTCGTACCACCAGTCAGAGCCCATTTGAGAAGGAAAAATCCTGCAAAAGTGACGTCGATGAGGATGCCTTCATACAGACATTTCCCCACGATTCGACCCAGGAATTGGAAGCGACGAAGAAACTCCGTCAGAGGCTTGTCAAAGCCGTCTGTGCCAGGCTTCCTGCCAACTCGTTTCAAGTACTCCGCTGTCTCCTGATAGATCAGGGGATTTGGGTACAAAGAATGCTGAGGATTCTCCTTGAACATGCTGAGGCTCGCGTTAGGATCAAAAGCCTCGCTAGTCACACACATAAGAAATTCTTTGGTGACGCCACCACCATCGATACCGGCCTCAGGAGCGCCAAACTTGTCGATGAATGTGATCTGGATCGGTTCTTTCAGTCCTTCACCAAGCTGGAAAAAGGCATCATATGCATCTTCAAATACATTCTCGCGGTGAATTTCGGCATGGTGTCGACTTATGATATCGAGCCCCCTAGGTCGACCGTCTGCACTGCGTCCTTGTGTCATGGTTGCGACGGACATTCTCCATTGATCCGGATCGATAGCACCATCTCGTCTCCTCACTTGATCTTGGTGGATGAACTCACGGAAGATCTGTACACGTGTTTCGAAGGGAATAAAGAAAGGCAGATTGCGCAGTATCTCAAGCCGTGGCGCAAGTGATTCGAGTTGTCTTTTCTTTCTAGCATGTTGTCGCTGACGTTCCAGGCGATCGGCCTGCCGTGATGCTCTGGATCGTGGCATATGCGATGGACGAATACCGAACATGGAGCTCAGTAAAGCGTCCGACGCCCCTGAACCTGCCGACATGTCCATTTCAGTAGCCTTGTCGATGTCGTCTTGCTGTTCTTCAGTCTCATCCTCATCCCCCAGTTGATGTCTCTTCTCTTCCTCTGCAACTACTGCTGGGATGAAGCCAGACATGTTGATCTGATCGCTCATCAGCCAATGGCCTGGAGGAACAAAAGAACGTCTAGAATCCCTTTCGTGTAGCATGCGTAGAAGTCCAGTGACCAAGCCTTTGAGATAGCCTTGGGAGACACCATTACCCGTTAATGTCTGCTGTTTCTTCTCGGCCGATCTCGTAGCTGGCGGAGCGGCGCCACCAAATAGAGCCGACAGGTTAGCCTCTTCCTCAACCTCGTTGCTTTCAACCAAGTCCGCCGCATTCCAGTAAAGAGTGAATGCTAGGTTCTTAAGAAATGTGGTCATAAGTGCGACGTCCTCCAGAGGAAGTGCACCTCTTCTTGAAATGATGCTGCTGGGAGTATTGGACGTGCCGAATGTGCGGGACTTGTCTAATGCAAAGAAATCGTCATCATCCATGAATTTGAGGACAAAAGTGTAGAGCTCCAGCAAAAGCAGAATTATCCGCCATTCGTCTCGCCAAAGAGAGATCTCTGCCTTCGAGACAGGAGCCTGTCCAATTTGATTCGTTTCTGGAGCGGCTTCGCGCAACAGCGACAAGACGCTTCTGTAGTTGTTTGTAGCTTTCTTCAAGACGGCTGTTGTTCGTGCCGTTTGCCAAAAGTACTGAATAGTCGACATATCGGTATCTTGCAAAGACCGTACAGAGCCCTGATACAGGGACATCCGAATGTTCTGTGCTCGGGACGGGAATGCTCGTAACAGCGCCACAGCATAGTTCGCTAATCGTTTAGCGGAGTCGAACTCAGATCCCTCTTGCGACTGCTTGTTAGCGCCCATCTCCTTGAGGACGTCGCGGACATTCTCTTGTCGAGGTAGTCTCAATATCATTTCTCTCACAAATGGTGGAAATGGTTTGGCGGTACTGCGGCCATCTTCAAACATAGGTTGATCGGCAGGATCCAGGCTCTGCGCAACCTCATTCGCACCTTGCCCTAAAAGTGCTGATACCGCTTCGATGTAGGTGGTTTGACTGGCATCGCCCGTTCGCAGAGAGTCGTGGATGTATATGAGATGAGCTAATTGCCACAGCAAGTGGGTGGTGTTTGCTTCTCTGGTGCCTGCGGTGAGATCTTCCACCTCAGTAGACATTGCTGATGCCAGTTCGTCGAAATCCAAGGCCATGGCAAGGTGGTCCAGAAGACTCCTGTCACCAGCAAATGCATCCTGACCTAACACTCTCGTGGCGAATGCAAGGTACACTGACCGCTTGTGAGAACTGGACGACGTAAGTAGGGCCACGATAGCCGTAGCGCACTGTCGCGATACAGCTCCTCTTTGCGAGATTAGAACAGTTTCTATTGCATCAAAGAAAATCTCCGCATTGCTCGTCATCTCATCGGGCAGAAGTCCACAAAGTAGTCCGATCATGTCCAGTAACCGAGATGCTTGCGATGTCCTGGTCTGTTCCGACTCATGCCTTAGCACACTCTTCAAATGGCGAGCAACGACGATACCCATTCTTAACAGGGTCGACCTCCAAGTGTTGTCAAGGTCACCTTGTGCTGATGGAGGAATGGTATGTCGTAAAGCCTCGCCAAAGTAGATCAACCGCAGTGTGTCTGTCTCATCTCTTACTCTGTCCCTCCTAAACTCTTGAAATCGAAGAAGCAGTCTTGTCTGGTATAGGAGTTGTGCCGAATCTCGATAACGAGTAATGTCGTCCACCGCATCGATCAATCTGCGGTAATCTAGTCTCTGTGACGATCCGCACCGTTGTGCCTCATTTTCATCCCACATATGTCTCCAGTATGCTTTCTGTTTCCGCCGAGCCGAATGACCTCTCCAGACATTCTGTATCCTTCTTGTGGCGGTCAGCCTGTCTCTTTCTTGTTGTCTCTTCAATCGATCGGCCTGAGCCTGGGCGACGGTGGCTGAGGCACTGGTTTGACCTGGTTTTGCCAATGCGGCCCATGGATTTGAGGCGTTCCGACCAGATAGGTTGACTTGCCTAGCCTTACGGGCACTGCCTGTGAAAGACTGATGCATGGTTTTGTGCGTGGCGGCCGAGGCCGTGAGATGCGGGTTGGGTGTTGACTCGCTATCCTAGTCAGTAGGTGTTATCCTAGTGTTGGCACTCGAAGGGAACGCTGGACGCATTGCCTCTGGTACGGCGAAGCAAGATCAGATGAGAAAGACGTTTGTACAGTAGGAAGAAGACGAATGTTGCCGTCGTTGTAGTGAGTGGATTGGCAAGCGGCGAAGTGAACTGAATGGAATAGAATGACGCCGCATCCAACCCACGAGGCTGGCCACGCTGACCTAATCCGCACCGCAGCCTTGTCTCTCTGCCTGCTGCTGTGGAGTTCGACTACATAGTGTTTCTCCGAAGGCACACCTGATCCATCTCTCAACGGCAATCATCATTTCTCTCCATCTTTGGAGAACTCTATTCACATGGCACCAAAGGAAAGTGCTACAAGTTCCCAGACGATGAGGTCTTCCAGCCATTGCACGGATATCTCCCAGGCCTCGAGATTCACCGGGGATACCCGCTACGGACCTGACCACGAAGCTTCGTTATTTTCAGTTTTGTCTTCCCACGCTGTGAAGCCTTTGTGGCGTCGCACAAGGTCTGCAGTATCTGCCAGACCTTCCAGCTGCGTTGACCCTTTGTGCCACCAGAAGATTCGGGAGGTTGCTAATGTCGTGCTCTTCGTATCCAACCAGACCTCATGCGACTACGACCTGTAGTGGTCCAATGTTGACCTCCGCCAAAGTCTCTGTGGCTTCCCCAGTCTCTCGTCCCCGAGGCTGGATCTTAGCGAACTTGCGAATGCCGTTATATTGGCTCTCACCACTTGACCCCATACATAAAGTCTCAAGCGAGGTCTCTCCTGACATCGACTTAGAGGTTCACCGGCTTCAGCCTCGAGCCGCAAACTTAACCGGACATTCAAGAATGCGGCAAGCGCAACCAGACACTTCGAATTCAGATCATGGGGGGCTTTCGTGTCAAGCAGCTGATCCTTCCGCCCTGGTATCATTTACGTGAAGCACGTCCGGATCAGATGCGGCCGTCTTGGCGGTGCGAACTATAAAGGTGCTTCTCAGAAACTCTTCTCTCGAAGTCCTCTGATATCACTAGCTAAATCAAACAAGCATTTATCATCTCTATCAACGATTTTCAAACACCATGAGCCCCAACGACACTATTGGTCGTTATCTTCCGAGCGATTACAAGAGGGCCCGTTATCGATGGGAAGACGGGTTTTTGAGCGACGAAGTGGACTATCTCCAGAACAGATCAATTACAATGATCAAAGAGGAGGACAAAGATCGGAAGTCTGCTGAGGATATGAGAGAGAAATACGAAAGACTCGACGAGAAGGCGCGGCAGATTCGCGAAAACATGCAATTCATTCGTCCTGGAGACTGGGTCTAGCAGTACATGAACGAAGAAGGCGAGGACAAGGAGCGAGATGCCAAAGAACTCTACCTGGATTATATTAGGAAAGCGATGGCGGCAGAGCACGAAAGGGGTCAATTCGACGAGGATAGCACTGAAGCGATACGGCTGAGAAAACGAGAAATCCAACCTGCTGGGAGCACAGCCGTATGGGATGGTCCCCGTCATTATCCTCCGGGTCCTTACAAATGGTACGCTCCCTGTCATTGTCGTTGCCATTGGCATCCTCACATCTGGAAAGGAATTTGTTGGTGTTGTACCTAAGGTGCCATTCGACGACAAACAGCAGCGAGGACATTTTGTGTGGCAGGAAGGCCTCCTGTTCAATGCGGTGCCAATTGTTGCTTCGACCATTCAAGCGGCAGCTGTTTTGCATTACACGATTTACCCATGAGACCGTAGTAACTCCTCATCATTACCATAATTTTGGCAAAGAGTTCTATCACAAGTACTTTTGTACCACTTGCAATCACACCATCCTCGTTCCACCGAGACCAACCCACTTTCCACATTGGACCAAGACTTTCTTATTACTGCATGACGGCAATTCTCAAGTCTTGTATAGTCACAAGCCGTGCTCGTGAAATTGAGGTCCTGTGAAGCTAGAAATAAAAGCCTAGCTGGTGATTCTCCATCCATAGCCTTGCGAACCTTGGACGAGGCGCGGGTCTCCGGATATCTTTTCCGAGAAACGACGCACTTGCATCTGGAGCCCCCCAGATCTTCATTCTCCGCGTTCTCGATCCAATCTCATAATTCCTCCTCTATCTTCAGCTTCACTCTCACCCGTGCCGAGTAAGAGAGACGTCAGCCCGAGGCAAATCCATCTCGACAACAAACATTTTCAACACCCATCCTCCAATCCAAGCCCCCAGCACTTTTGTCCCCGTCAACCGCCAAACCATGTCCTCGGACATCCTCACTCAACTCCAGACCTGCTACGACCAACTACTCACCCAATTCTTCTCGACCATCTCCTACCTCTCTCAACGCCACCCACTCGTCGCCCCGATCCCCGACCCAAATGACCCCTACACCAACCCTCCCTCCGCGACCGCGCCCCCACAAACACCCAACCTCGACGGCACACCCGCAGCTCCCTCGTCAGGCCTGCTCCCTGGCCCCGAAGACACAGACCGCTCCGTGTATCCTCTCCGGCCCGCGGCGCCGGAAGTCTTCGCGTCCGCCCAGCGCGAACTTAGCGACGACCTCGTCACCAAAGCCCAGCAGATCGAATATCTCATCTCCAGACTTCCGGGCATCGGACGTGGCGAGGAACAACAGGCCGAAGAAATCCGAATATTGGTCGAGAAAGTACGGGAGATGGAGGCGCGAAGAAAAGAGAAGCGCAGGGAAATGCGCGAGTGCGTGAGACGATTGGACGCAGTGGTGTTGGGTATGGCCGAGAGTGTGGAGTACGATGCAGATAGCAATAAGCACGAGCAAGCAACAGAGACGTGACGATCAACTTTTGGTCACTTCGAGAAACAAACAATCGTCACTGAAGGTTGATTCAAGAGCCTTACTACGGGCTGGTGTCAAAGGTCGGAGTCGTGAATGGTCATTATTCAAAAGGAAAGCAAGAGACTTGATCTCCTAGTTACAAAATCTCACCACGCTTGCTCGAATGACAGACAACAGAAGCAACGACATTATCAAGGACCATATCCATCGGAAAGCCGCAAGAGCCACCACGACAATGCTTATTCATTCCAAGTCGAAGCTCGCGTCCTCGGCCGAGAAGTCCCGGTCTGCTAAACCATCATGCTCCTCCGCCGACTGGCCGCCCTCTCCGTACTCGGAGCGATGCTGTTGCCTGAGGTGGCACTGCTATCAGTACCTGATGGTCGTATATTGGAGTTAATGCTGCTGGAACGCTTCAAGCCCGCGGCTCGAGAAGAGGACGAGTTCTGTCTCAGGCTCGCAGCCGAACTGGGGCGCGGAGGCGGCGCCCTCGGAGTAGGATTTAACCGCGAGGACAGTAGCGGTCCTGCGTTGTCCTTGGTAGGATTATCGACGGCTGAGTCGGAGGCAGAAGACTGCATAGAATGCCTTCTGCTCAGCAAATTTGTGGTACTTTTCCGCTTTGTCGTCCTCGCATCCTGCTCATGAGGCTCTTCCATGGGCGAGGACGCTGGCGGATCGAAAATACTTAGTCTGTCGACCGCCTTTTCCAATTCATCACCGTAGCTCTGCCGGCTTTTGTGCTTTTGCTCACTCTTTGTGTTGGATTTGTCTCGACTGACTTCTTTTCTTTCCTTGTCTCGTAGTGGACTGGTAGGTTCTTCCTTGTTGTTCAATGGGGCCCCCTTCCATCTAACTTCTTCGCTAGCGGGTTTCTCGTGCTTGGTTTTGAGGCCTCCTTCATCCATCGATTGAGGATCGTCTGAATTTCCTGGCTCGCCAGACGTGCCTCGAATGCTCGTCCTTGCACCCGAGTCTCTCGGTTTCTCAATGCCCTCGACTGCTCCGACCAAGTCCTTAGTCGGCCTTCTCATTTTGTCTCGCAAATTAGGCAATGCATAGCTAACCGCTGGCCTCGATCGTCGTGACCCTCGCCCGATGCTCCCATTAAGTACATCCTCCACCGAGTTCGAGATGGCAGCCTCTTTCGTCTGGTGAGTCCGAGCTGAGGGCTCAGTCGAGATGGGAGAAAGAACATCGTCTTCCAGAACCGCTGGCGTCTTTGGGGGCAAGCCGTTCGTCTCAGCCTCCTTTTCTGGTTCCGGAACTATCTCTTGCGCTTCAAGTGGGGGTCGAATGTTAAGCCTGTGTGAAAATTTGGCTGAAGGCTTTTCCTGCTCATCATCTTTCACCACTTCCAGCTTTTGAGCCACACGTACCCTCCTCTTCGCAGGGGAGTTCGTGCTCTTCGGCGCGAGGATCTTCCTCTCTGCTGGTTTCTGTGGTGACGGAACCGTTGCTTCCGCGTGTTTGTCGTTCTCCCGACCAGGCGCCCTTGTGAATCGAGATGCCTTCTTGCCGGTAGCCTCGGTGGTCCAGAGTTCCTGCCTTCGCTGAAAGACAAAATCATCGTTCTCTCTGGGTTGCAGCACGGGTTCTTCCAGCTCAGTAACATCCAGCTTCCGCTTAGCACCAGATTTCAGCAGCAATGGCGTTGCTTTCTCTGGCTCAGAAGAATCTTCGATCGTCATATCTTGTAGCAAAGCACTCGTGCGTCGTTTCCGCCTCTTCTCCAGCGTCGTCGGCAATTGTGTCCCTTCCTCACTGTTTCCGTCGAGCGAACGCCTAGGATTGTCGAACGAAATTGCGTCATTCACATCGAAATGCGCAATAGGAGGAGGACCTAGTTCAGGCGACTCTGAAGCGTGCTGCATTGCTTCTTCATTCCGGAGAGCCGTGATTTCAGCACTCTCCAATGTCCGCCGAGGGTATAATTTGTCTTCCAGGATGGCCGGTAATCTCCCATCGTGCATGTCCCTTTCAGCGCCCGCTGCCTCCCTCATCGACAGGCGATGCTTCCAGTCTTGTTCCGCGAGGCTTTCTGTCTGGATGCGACTCTTTCGCTTGGCCTTTCTCGCTGCTTTCTCGGGTAGATCACCCATCTCCGCCAGTAGCAGTGACACTTCTTGGACCTTGGTTTGCAGCTTCTCTTTCAAATTCAGAATCTCCTCGCTAACACTGTTCGTTCTTCGCCATCTTTCGGCTTCGGCTTTGGCGGCGATGGCTTGTTCTCGCCAGGCGACATTCTCAGCGACTAAGCGGGTGATTTCGCTCTCGAGGTTTCGAATGCGTTGAGACTGGGTCGAATTCACTCTGGCTATTTCGCGGTTCTGTCGGATGAACCGTCGTTTTACTGTGTCAAGTCAGGTCTTCGGTCACAACATACGCAGGACAGTCACGAACGTACAAGCATCAATACTTTCTGTGGGTGGAGGAGGAGGATCATTCAGTCTTGCCATCTTGTAACAAACCACGCCAGCAGCAGTTTTTCTCAATGGGTAGCATCACCAAAGACAAGAACAGGTGCCGGTACTGGACGTCCGGCTGCGGGATCTTTGTGGTAGCAATGCTCTGCTGACGATAAGTGAATCACCCTCGATGTCTTCCTCCCAGTGTGTTCGATTTTTGTTTACAGTTTTAGTTAGGGTTAGCGTTGTTCCCTTGTTCCACTATTCTGCGCTTAAGCCAATTGCGGACGCGTTCCGCACTGAAGCACTGGGACTGATTGCATGTGCCCTCCACCACCAGAAGCGCAGCGCACTTTAGATTATATGTGCAGACACCGCAACCTCAATTACAAACAGACTTAGCGAAATCCCAGTACAAGAGCCTAGGTTGTGTTGTCTGCAATCCAGCAGGAATCTAAACCAGAAATAATGTCCTACGGTCCACGCCATACGAACGTCTACGCCTCCGGTTCCGGTTCGAACACAACCATCAGCGCCCACACCACATCAAACACAAATACAAACACATCCTTCCTGCGCCAACCCAATCAGACCCAGTCCGCTCTTCAAACCCGGATCAACTCCAAACGCGCCGAACTCGAGAACCTCTTGCAGTTGCGCGACCTCAGCGCGAACCTGGCGAACCAGTTATCCACGCTCGAGCAGAAATTGGGTACGTTGAAGGACGGCGCACACAGTGTCGCATTGGTGTTGGCGAATTGGGAGAATGTGCTTAGGGCGATCAATATGGCTGCTAGTATGTTTTCTCTCTCCCTCTTTCTCCGGGTTCTCTCCTATCCTGTCCTGTTATGTCCCGGAATGGAATGGAATGGAACGGAACGGGAATTTTCTGCCTGACATTGCGCTTCGAAGTTGTGGAGGCTTCGTATCAAGAGTAGTCCATAGCGCGAAAAGAGGGACGACAGAGATACATACACAGTACAGGGATGCTGACGCAATCTACTCAACACAGTGAAAGTCCCGATTCCGAAAGACCAGAACGACAACAACGGCGAACAGACAGAAATCGACGACGAGAAAGAGAAAGAGAAAGAGAAAGAGACGGCGCAAGAACTGCCAGTGCCGCTTGTCAGGATACCTGTTCAACAGATGGAGCCACCCGTGGGTGGGTGATTGATTGATTGATTATGATTATGATTATGATTCTCCCTGCGCAACTCTTCGAATGAGAAGAGTCGAAAAAGAAGGCACGACAACAACGGCCGGACAGAAAAGTCGGAACGGAACCCCGAAGGACTAGGGCTAGGGCTAGGGCTAGGGCTAGGACAGGTCTCGTCGCTGCGAGACACCTTCACTCCCCCCATCCCATCTTTGGCCGAGACGAGACACCGGTCCAGCTGAAGAGTCAATGGGCATGGAATAGGATGAGATAGGAGTTGTTTTGCCATCTCCATTCGCATGAGGAACCGAACCAGTTTGCATGTCGCGGCTGAACGTACTATGGTACTGCCTACAGCGGTAGTGACGTTCAGCAGTGCCCGGGACAAGACAGTAAATGCCAGGGACGTTTCCCTTGAAGGACTCCGGCCTGCAACATCAACCGGAGAAAGGCCCAACGATGTGCAGAAGCCTGTCCCTTCAGAGAGCCTGTTCCACCTGAGGGAAGTCTGGCAGGGCTGATGAGAACAGAGCATCTACGACGGACCGAAAAGCACCCCACTAGCGAGAAATTGTACGACACAGTCTGCACTGGAAGAACGGCTAGAGAAACGGTACAAAGAAATATCCCAAAGTAGACTATCTTTCTGTCTGGCTCAAGCTATAGAAGTACTATCTCATAAGCGACTGACGACCTCTTACAGTGTTGTCCTGGATTCCAGGCCCCTCGTCCTGCATATTCGATACCTTCCGGTAACAATATCAGTGGACCTCAGCAAAAGCAAGCATACCAATACCAACACCAGGGCTGAAAAGAGCATAACCTAAACAAAATCGTTGGTTCGTTCATCCGTTCATCCATCCATACTTCACCCAATCCACTCACGTCAAACCTCGAAGCAGTGACTGGATCTTTGCATCACACTGTCAGCTACGAGGCATTTACCGCAACCAGACCTCGCCCTTGTCCCTCATCCTTGCCAGCTTTTGCTGCTGCTGCCTGCATGGCCATCTTTTCTTCTGCTTCTCTGCCCATTCACGACTAGCCTGCCGTCCTCGTTCCGCAGCCTCGGCCCTCGCCTTCCTCGCAGCATCCTCCTTCTCCTTCCTCTCCTTCTCGAGTCGCTCCATCTCAATCTTGGTCCGTCCAAAGACAGCTTTGGCCCTAGCTTTCTGCTGTGCCTGATCTTCTTTGGTCACAGCCAATTTCTGGCCGGCCGTCAACTGCAGCGACGATACTCTGGGTTTCGCGGTAGATCTCTCCATGACACTAGTTGTTCGTCGAACGCTCGAATTCGCCTTCGTTACATCCTTGTGCACCGCAGCGTGGAACGAGGATGGTCGTGTCTTCGGCGCAACGTTTTCTTTATTCGTCCCGGTCGAGTAAATGCTAACCCGCGCCTGACTGGCTTTGTTCTCGCGTGGAAGGACACTGGGTCGACATGTCTTCGGGGGAGCTGGTCTAGCTTTAAAGACTTTGCGCTCTCTCTCGGCTTCTTCTTCACGCCTCAATTTCTCCTCACGTTCCGCCTTCACTTTAGCTGAAATCGCTTCCCCGGGAAGAGTGAACGTTGGCTTTGTAGGTGGTTTGGCAGACTTCGCCGGGACGAACGCCGGCTTTTGAGTGGACAAGGTAGCGCTAGGCACCCGTTTCTTCGTTGTGTTGGGAAGGGACTTCGCTGGAGAGTTGGAGAAGGATAGTGCTGGTAATGTGGAAGATGCCGAAGGTTCCCTAGTCTTCAAGCCATCAATGATGGGTTTCTTTGGCTGTTTGTCTACCAAGGTGGGTTTTGCTTTGATGCTCGAGGCACGGCTGACGCTAGGTCTGGGTTGAGGAGGACGTCCAGTGGAAGGTGCCTTTCGGGGCGATTTGCGTAACGATCTGGCAGATGCTGGTTCTGCCTTTCGGGCTGTTCCTGGTGTACGGTGCGAAGTCAAGGGTACGGGTGTGGTTTTGCGAGATTTGATGGGAGATTCAATTTCGAGACCATCCAGATCTGGCAATCTTTCAGAGACCTCTTCAATAGCGTCCTCAAGTGCGTCTATAGCTTCAACTGAGTCCTCAATTCTCGGCACATGTGTAGTCTGCTCAACCGAATACGCTGGAGACAACCGTTCTTGTGGCTCGAACTGCATCTTGCTTGGTGATCTTGTTTTGATTTTGTCCACAAATGAGTCCTCGACAGTATCTGCGGGCGTTGCTACTTCCTCGGCTACGTGAACGGCTGGGTCGAATTTGGGTGTCTTTGGAAGATCGTTGCGAGGTGGACTAGGAGTAGGATTATATGTAGGGGGTTGGCCTTCTTCAGCTGCCGCATCCACTGCCTCAGCACAGGCTGGGAGTTGCACAGACTCCGGTTCGACCAAGGCAGTCTCTTGACCTCCCTCAGCTTGACCCGTCTGTTCTTGGCTGCAGCACGTCGCTGTCTCGAGCACTTCTTGTTGTTCGCCTTGGGTGGACTCGACTTTGTCCTTGTCCTTCTTGGTCTGTTTTCCTTCTCCCTTGCTCTTGACTCTACTCAAAGGTGGATGTTCTTCGATTGCCAAATTGTCATCTGCAGTCGGATAGTTTTCATCAGTGATGTCTTTTAGAGCTGGTCGTTCAGTTTCGTGGATCGTGCCTGAGTCGTCTCGAGAGGTGTCCGCGTCGGTGTCTTCGTGAATCAATTGCGTCTCGTCATGAGCTTGAGCTCGGAGGGCAGCACGGGTCATGCGCATGGTGCAGAATCTCTGAAACTTCCAATTTGAAGACGTAGGTAAGAATTGTGGTGGAGGAAAAGAAGTGTTGTTTTAGCGGGACAATTCTGTAACGCGTTTTGTTTGGGGAAGTCGCAAAGGGCAACCACGACCCGCGATTGCCAAGACATGTGTTCGTCAGACTGTCAGCCTCCAGGGCGACCAGGGCCTCTCCATGCACTGGTAGGGAACATGGCGTCTTCACTCAAATAACCTCGAGCGACTAGGCAGTAAAGTCGACTTTCATGAACTATAGAAGTTTATGGTTGATGAAGAAGTGATATTTGCTAACGCCCTCAGCAGAGAATAAGAGCCATCAAGCCCCGAATCCTACTCGTCTCATAAGCTCTAGGCGAGAGAGTCGGCTAGGTATTAATTTCCAAGTCATGGCCCGAGCAAGGGCTGATACAGGGAACTTTCCCAAGGAGCCTCATTCTGTATCATTAAAGGGTGGGTTCGTTGTTGCTATTAAAACTCATTCTTGTGCTAATACAATTAGTTCTAAGGTAGTGCCTGGTTCACCTCGAAGCTCGCGATTCCCATGCTCATCCAATTGCTAGGCTCTCACGACCATCATTGGTCCAAAAGCACCCGCTGCCACGAGAAATCGATACCAAAATACCTCATATAGCCTCGTTGGCTTATCCAAGTGAGGCCACCGACCAAGAGTTCATCCTTTCCAGTAATCTCGGGTTGCCGCCGTCTTTCGGCGCCGCCCACGTCGGAGAGACGTTCTCATGTGCATTATGTGCCAACAACGAACTCTTGCCAGGAAAGGCCTTCAAATCGGTCTCCGGCACCAGGATCTTGGCGGAAATGCAGACCCCATCGCAAGCCATACCGTTGGAACTGTATGCTGCTGACGCAGACGAGGAGCAAACCGGACCCGGTAGTTCTGTTCAATCAATTATTCGGTTCGACCTGAAGGAAGAAGGTAATCATGTCCTTGCCGTAAATGTCACCTATACCGAAACGACGACAGGTGATGGACAAGCCACCAGTGGGAAGGTACGATCTTTTCGAAAGTTGTACCAATTTGTGGCTCAACCTTGCCTGAATGTACGGACCAAAGCCACGGAATTGGCTGCAGTAGAAGTTCCTGATAAGACTCATGGCCCGTATGGCAGAGCAACTCTGGTTCGGTATGTTTTGGAAGCTCAATTAGAGAATGTCTCCGATGCTTCCCTCGTGCTCGAAGCGGCCAGACTTCTGGCAAAGGCGCCGTTCAAGGCTATTTCGCTCAACTGGGATGCTGAAAAGGAGAGTGGTGTTGTTGTACAAAATCCTATCCTCAAGACTCGGGATGTAATTCAGGTTGCATTTCTGATAGAGCAGGAGCAAGGTGTTTCCGACGGCGTGGAGGAGCTCAAGAACAGTATGAGGAAGGATGGCAGGGCAGTCCTCGGTCAGCTTGCGATACAATGGCGAAGCTCGATGGGCGAGCGAGGCTCTCTGAGTACAGGCAATCTCCTGACAAGACGGAGAGCACCCTGATGGCCCTATTCGATTGTGGGTCCAGATTTGTGCACGAACTCCGGCTCAAGGCGCATGCATGCCTAATCCATTCATCCTCCCAGTCAAAGTGGTTGCTCTCGTTTTCTTGGGTATGATCGTGGGCAGGTCAGGCACTGTTTCTTCTTGCTTGAACAGACCGTCTTCCAATTTGGCCGGGGTTCGTGTGATGATGCTGTGATAGTCTCGACCTTTTGCTGCAGAACCTAGATCTGGCCGCTCCGAACTACCCGGAACAGCAACAATACGCCATTGATGTTGTGATGTGTCTGAGAGGAAGTCTGCCCTCGTACTTCCCGACGATGATCTGGGGACGAAACCCTTCCGACCAAGACCCGGAAGAGACGACCTCAACAAGCCCGCTCGTCCTCGCTTGGCCATGATGATTGCATCGAAAAGTGCTATCGAACCCTTGGAAACATTTTCTTCACGATCCATGACAAATTCGTTCCAGGCTTGAGTTTGCTGAAGCATTTCCATATACGCGGCATGATCTGGAGGAAGACTTCGAATGAATGCTTGGTTGTCGAATTGATAGACTGCTCCAAGCTTCGTCTTTTGAGGTGGTGCTGCATACATGAATTTCCGATAGGTATAGAACAAGCTTGCCAAACATCTGACGAATGCAGCTCGAGCCTGGTCAGGATAGAAGGCAACTGAGCAGACGATAGTGATCTGGTTAGCACATCGATCATGGATGACGAAACCACATCCGGAGCACCGATAATAGCCATCTTGAGCCTTTTCGTCACAGAGAACACAGGTCGACGGGCCATCCGCCGCTCGCCACTGTAGGCAATGACCTTCAATCCAATATGTTGACTCCGTATTCTGGGCAGGCTGGACATGCAAATTCGGCATTATCGAAGACGCTGCCAGTGTAGACTGAGCATAGGTGGAGGGAGCATAAGTCGATCCATTTCTCATGTCGGGAGATGACAAAGTGGATGGACTTGCGTTGTGTCTCACGAATGGAAGACTCGCCTTTCTCATCATATGAGTAGGTCCAGAAAAGCTTCGCTTGGAAAGAGAGTCGAAATGACCGGACCTCTTCTCTCGCAATGAGGTCTGCAGAGTGTAGCCTGAATCATTCCGTGGCGATCCGTTGCTCAGCGAATAGGGAAAGCTACCAGTGATAGGAGACATCTCGTCGGAATTCGTGTGGAAGGATTGTCGAGCGGTTGCAGTCGACGTTGTTCTTGGTCGATCGATGCTCTTCCCTCGTGTCGAACCAGCACTTAGAAAGACGTTCAACATCGGAGCACGACGAATGGAATCGGAAGCAGCCTGTGGACCGAATGAAGTTGAGCTTGTGCTAGCCAACTTATCCAAACTTGTGGACTTGACGATGGCTGTGAAAGGCGACTCGAGTTCGGCTGAAAACGCATTGTGTGGAAACGTCTCGACAGCGTAAGGTGGTGCGCCTGGCGTCACTCCAAAGCTGTGATGGAGGGGTGCTGCGTGATGCAACAAAGACATCAATTTTCTGCGTTGTTGTTTTGGGAGATTTGGTGGAGGCGCAACACTGTGCAATTCGTTCTTGTCCAAGTCGACCAGAACAAAATCGTCTTCCGGCAGGTCGTACTTCTCGTAGTTGCGATCGATCCCGCAGATGTATGGACAGGGAGCATCAAGGGCCTGAACCAACCGTGATGGAAGGACTGGAATATAGATTCCGGTCCATTCGAGGGGCCATATCAGATCCAAGATAGCCTTGCTCACCAATTGCAGCATGGATGTATGTGATGACAGCAAGATAATTCGTGACTCGGCCAGGACATATTCGTAGAGAAGAATAATGTTGGGGATGGTGAGCGTCCTGAACAGCGGATATAAATCTGTTGTGCGGCTCCCAGGGAGTTCGTTTGCAGCTTCTTTTTTCGCGTACAGTTTCAATTCTCGGATGAAGGTCTGGACCTGCACCTTCGAGGATATCGGGCTCGGAGCTTCGAGGCACAAGCTAGACACGTACCGCTCCAAGGGCTGCCACATGCCGACCTTAGGAGAGCTAGCAGGTACTCGTAAGATACCGCCATCAGTCATGGGGACCACAGCCGCACGCAACCATTGTCTCCAAAAGTTGGTCAATGCAACTTCTTTGCCGAGGATACCGTAAGCTCTGGGAATCCAATATCGTGTTTCGCCCATTCCCAAACCATGGATTTCTGATATCGAGCCATGCCGCAACGGTCTCAACATATCAGACATGACGCTAATTTTCTCTTCTACTGCGCTGATCTCTTCTTCCAATTGCTCTCTTTCTTCGGAGTCCGGAGACACTTCAGGCAGTTCAGACAGCAGCTTTGACAATTTCGCACTTTCAATTGTCAATCTGTCTTCAAGTGAGGCGGCCATCTCTCGTTCCGCTTCTGACATGTGAGCCTTTTTCCACTCGTCACATTTCTTCTCCAGGTCTGCTGCAATCTGATGGCTGACTGGAATCCAGATTGTGACTTGTACAGCTGCAACCCTCGAATTATCCGCCGCAGTCATGGAGAACTCGTGCCATGTCGATCGTGGTCTGTTGTCCGCGCAGACGATTCTAATGTCGTTGGGAAAGGCAAACATTGGAACATAGTCTGGAAATGGCCCTCTTCGGTGAGCTTTATCCAAGGTCGACGCTCGAGGGTACCTCTCCAGCAGAACAGGCTCAAATTTGCGTGCCAATGGATGCTGGCTGGGAGAACTATGGAAACTCTCCGGGCTGGGTATGACTGAATTATAACTGCTCAATCTGCGGGACGTGCGTGTAGAGGTGCGTCGAGCCATGGATGGTTGGCGTTTGGTGCTGGTCATATCTTTGAACGAGAGATGTCTGCGAATACTGCCGAAGTTACGATTGGGCAGCTGGCCGGGCTCGTCTTGTAGTACAATCTTCTGTGTTTGAGGCCGTGACCTTGATCGCATGGGTTTTGGCGTCTCTGTTGGGTTAAAGGTAAGGTCGAGGAAGAAGGTATCTCTGTCGGTGGCAAACTTCTTCATTGCCTTTTCAAAATTCGCTTCGCTGATAGCAGTTGACATTCGTGTATCGATATCCGGGCCAGGAGGTCGAATGGTGAGACTGCTGCGATCGCTCCTTGGTGAATGTGCGACATCGCCCAGGCTCCGGATGGAATCCCTAGCTTCATCCGAGAGTTGAGATAGTCGTTGATAGGAATCATGCCGCGAATGACGAACAGAAGGCCTCGGAGATTGCAGGATGGAGTTTTGGTCGTCATGGGCCGTGGTCTCTTCCTTGATAGGCACATCAGTCCCGTTGCTTTCGTTGAACTCGTATGACCATCGGGGTTGAGAAAAAGCATCCACCAGTTGTTGGCTGTCCAGACCAGCGATCCAAAAGTAGTCTGCAAGTGGTCGAGATCCGTCTGCTGAATCCGTTGGAGCCATGGCTTCGCAGATCGTGCAGTCGTGTGGTTTTGGTGAAGAATTTACTGCATCGTCTCTGGCTCCGTGATTTCAGGTACAGGCTTTGCAAGCTCCGAAAAATGATGAGTGGCCGGAAAGGTTGTGTTGCAGGGTGGCATCAGTGGTATGGACAAGTCGAGATGTCTATGGCTCGCTTATCATGTTTGAGGCGAACTTGACTGTTCCTCGTACTCCGTAATTGAGCAGTGAGATACACCTCCCACCCTGATCGACAAATGTCCGAGTCTGTTCTGGAGAGGTGATCCCTGTGCTCTGAATTGACAGAAAAGGACGACCTGTTCACAGAGGAGATGGAGTTCGAGATCCAAATACAGTTTTTGGATGGGGGAACAAGGATCGTGGAGACTGTCAGGGATGTGTTCAGAACTAGTTAGCGAAAAGAAGAGAAAAGGTCGCGCCACGTTGATGATCTTTGTATCTCCACCGAGTGAGGTTCAAGAATTCGAGAAGCGAGGGGCGCTCTGGAATGAAAGCGCCAAAGATTGACGATCGAGGCAGTGAGTCTGCAGTGAATACTGGTTCATCTCCAGCACATGTTCCCCTGATTGAAGCGCATATTCCCTCTGCCACATTCTCCGGCACATCCAATTGCAAGAGTAATGCGCGTTCCCATGGCGTGATGCGCGTCCACAACCTTACACACACGGTGGGTGCAAGAGGTGGTGGTTAGCAGCTTGAATCCCCAGCGCTAGGCACCCAGCTAGGGAGCTTAGGACGTGTCGGTCCAGTTAAAGATAGCAATGTCTTTCCCCATGATGGCCCCTATGTTTCAGTCTGCTTTAGCCTCTGTCTCGCGGGGAGTAAAAGGACCACAAGAACAAACACCACCGCCACCTGGCGTCGAGAACATTTTGAGACGAGATGGCAATCATTCGCTGCAGGTGGCTCGTATTCCCTGAATGCATGCATTGGCTGTCACAATCCCATGTCTGCCGAACAGCAATCAGCACCGAGAATCCCATGTCCCTTGTGCCCTTCCATGTTGTGCAGCTGCCATATTGACGCCATGCAGAAACTGCGCCTGACCTGACCCTAGCTCCTATTCTTCTCCTCACTCCACAACATCCGCGAGATACACCACAGTACTCCGTACTAAGCCTTTGAAATCGATCCCTGCGTGTATACAGTATAGTCACTGCGCCTTGGGCTGACCCGTACGGAATGCGAAACTTCCGACGCCTCAAGACCTCGTCTGGCGGGGTATGGTTTAGTTGAGTATCGCCATCAAATCACATCCTCCGCTACTGCTCGTGGGGTGACCACCGTATAGAGCTGAGTAGAAGCAGCTATATATGTACACAGTACGTACCTCGTCCAGTGCTTGCTCACTTCTTTCAAACAATAGTCTTCCATCCACGCAACAATCCTCTCGCAACAATGTCGACCGCAACCAGTGTAGGACTCCGTCCGACTCCTGCTCTCACAATTCCTCTCATTTCCTCCTCACTGACCCTTTTCTACGCCATGGTCGAGCCTACAGTATTCATTCCCTTCCTTCGAGCCGCAAAAGAAGATGCTCCTGCGGCCAACAGGATCGTACGCCTATGGTGGATGAATTACCTTCCTTCTGGCCTTGTCACAATCTTCGGCACATGCCTTCCGAGCATAGTCGGTGGTCTGTACGCTGCACAACATCTTCCAGAGAATAGTTTAAGGCGGAGATTGTGTTTGGCTGGCTCGGTTTTTGCGGCTGGACACTTTGCCTACGGCTATACCATTGCTCAATCGATCAAGAAGCTCGTCGACGAAGAAGAGGAAGCAAAGGGGAAGAGTATGGACTATGTCAGAAAGTGGCTTGATATTCATCTATGGAGGACGTTGACCACAGATCTGCCAGCATTGGTCTGCTTCGCTTGGGTTGCCTTCGGACCTGACGAATGACCCATGTACAACAGAGTATTATGCAGAGCTTGACCGCCATCCAATACGAGCCCCTTATTCACGCTTGCTGTACTTTGCCTTTGTCACGCCGACAGTCTCCAAGTCCAATTTGGCGTAGGTCGGACGGCCATGAGTTCCATGTCTAACGACCTTAGCCTTGACAACAACAACCTTTGTCCCGTTCTCAGCCCCTGGAGTCACGTTTGCAGTCTCAGTTGTTTTCTTCTGTGCCATTTGGTATTTTCCTGCACCAGCGTACTTTCGACCCGGCCCTGGTGGACTCTTCTCACCACGTGCCTTCTTTGCGTTCAAGATGTTGTCGATTGCCTTGTTGAAAGCAGGGATTTCCTCTCTCAGTGTACGGTACGATCCCTTGGCTTTGAGAGTTTTGTTCCAGAAACGGACGGCAACGTGCTCGGCAAGGAGCTTTTGCATTTCAATATCTGGCGGATTCTGGAGCCAGAGCATGCGGACATCTTCACTGTGGATCTGAGTTCCCGCCAGACCATCCATGCGCTTGATGATGTTCTTCTCGAGATACTCGCACCCAATGATGGCAGCACAGTTACGTGCAAAGTACAGGTAGGCGAAAACTTTGAATGGAGGGTTGTCAAAGTGTTGGATACCCTTTCCTTCACAGCAAGACACCATCCAATCAAGGATGTTCTTGTGAATCACCTTGTTTCCCCCAACAATCGTGATTTGTTTTTTCGCAGCAGACTTTTGGAGATCAGCCACCTTGAGCTTGTTGACCGGCAGGAACTCATCCTTCCACTTGGTGGAGAAGGTAGTTGCTATCTTCTTGGGCAGACCTTCGCGCAGGACATGGGCTTCTGCATTCTGATGTCCTTTGTACAAGATCGATACCGTCTCGCCCGACTTGAGCCTGCACAGACATTGAGTTAGCCACGACCGACAATCATGCCAGACTCCAGATCGACACGAGGGGTACCTTACTCTTTGAGCTTGGCTGGGGACAGTGAGACCAGTGATTGAGACATTGTCAGTGTCTGGAGGAGGTCACCGTTGCCGATGGTATGGGATGACAAGGGGCAATATGAGGCAAGACAAGACCAAGAACTATTCCTGATATCAGAAGAGCTCTTGTCTAGCTTGACAAGGGATGGAAGAATCCAGGAGGTCCTGAGCAGGGCTGTTCTATGAGAGAAGGAAGGTACACCAGAAGGGTGGGAGGACCGGGGTACTTATACTTGTTCAGTTGTTGAGAGTGACAAAGATCGAGGCGGACAATTGCTTTATACTTGATTTCACGACTATCCAATATCACTTTCTATACAAAAGGGAGTCACAAGGAGTCACCGCCGTAATGGTCCGTGCCTATATTGTGGCGAACAGGCGACAGGACAATGACGGGGAAGTGAATGGTTTTATGACAGATGAACAGGTGAGGACTACAGCATAGATCGACTGGTCGATCTGAGCATGAACAACATCGCCAGAAGAAGGTATACTGGAGGTTAGTCTGTTGAGACCAGCCTAGGAAGCGGACATGAACATGGACGTCCGATTATATCGTCCTCGGCGAGGCTGAGATACTTATTTGGCTCCTTGTATCGGAGCATCGGCATTGCATTGTGGCATGGATCGACCTTGGGAATGTTCTGTCTGCTCGGTAGATCGACTGGTGGATCTCTCCAAGAAGGCAGCAAGATACCTAGTGGGCGATAGATGTGTGACACTGTGAGCGAGAAGTAAACGAGGACGAGACAGCTCCACGACCATATTGTGATTGTCGATCTCAAAAAGAACGGACTGCTTGAGACGTACAGATCTTGTTGCAGAGCAAGTACTAGTATTGATTAGATAGATAGTTATACATTTTCATTCATCATCGAGGCTATCGTATAAGTATTGTACATTTAACTTTAAACGCAAAGGAGATGGGACATCAAGGCTCGCCTGTCTATCGTACATTGTCGTCAAGTTTTGCTTTTCAATTTTGCTCGCCCTGTCGATGTCTTCTTCGGTGTAATTGAATTGGCGTTGGACAAGTTCGGTGGCTTCGATACAGCGGTTGACGTCGAGTTCGGCTTCTTGGGCACGGCGGCAGCATTTGAGCGTGCGGAAGGTTGGTTCGGGACTTTCTTGACTGGAGGGATTTTCGTTGCGGCGGCGCTTGTGCTGGTCTTCTGAGGGGGTTTCTTTGCTGTCGACGTGGTGGAAATGGTGTTGGAAGGCTTTGGAGTGGCCGTGAGGTTGTTGGTCGACAATTTCGATGCACCGGTGGGCTTCGATGCGCCTGTAGGGGCCGGTCTTGAAGGTGTCTGTGTGGTTCGATGGTTGCTAGTGGCTTTGGCCTGCGTTGACACTGGCTTCGGAGCGGACTTGGTGGCGGGCGCGGGCGTGGGCATTGATGCGTTTGGCTTCTTCACTGTCGTTGCAGCTCCAGTCATACGTGAACCTTTTGCCGCCGGTGTCTTTGTTGGAGCAGTCTTGGGCACAGGCACAGGACTAGCCGACGATATCTTAGTTCCCTGTCGTGCCTGTCCCAGTCCAGCGGCCGATGGAGCTTTGCGCGGACCAAGTTTGGGCACAGAACCTTTCGTCGAGGTCGAATCCATGGATGCAACAGCTGTCGAGGCATCACTGGACAGAGTGACGACCGTGCCGTATCGACTGTTCTCCTCGGTCTTCAAGTCATCCCAGAAATTGCCTTTGCCTTTGCCTCTGGAGATTGGAGCGGTCCTTTTGTTTTCGGCGGCCTCGAGGTCGTGCCAGAATGTCCCCTTCTGCTTCTTGCCGGCAGTAGATCTCGGTCCCGACACCACCGATCCCTGCCGGCTCTTCTCCTCGGCGTCGAGTTTTGACCAAAAAGTGCCAGTGCCATTCTTAGCAGATACTCCGTTTGTGATGCGTTTGACGCCATTCGGAGCTAGGCTGGGGATGTTATTCACCTCGGTGATCCTCCCTCGCTGCCTTCTTGCCTCTTCTTCGGCCAGTTGCTGCATGAAACTCTGCTGCTTGTTCGTGATACTCTCTGTGACCATTCCCTGCGGATCCGATAGAAATTGCTGAATAAAGTCGGCACGATTAAGCAGCATCTGAGCGGAAGGCGAATTGATTAGCTTCTGTACAGCCATGGCACCAGCTTTGAAGCTCTCTTTTTGCTGCTCGGGGTCGAAAAAGGAGTCCAGTGTCAAACCACTGAGCGACGTAGATGCGGATTTCACTTGTTTTCCAGCTTGTACCCCGGCTTTCTTGACGTCTTCTGTTCCAGCCTGCAAGGCTTGTTTGTTGATACTTCTCCAGAATCGTTGCGGTAGATCTCCGTAGAAAATGTACAAGACCATGGCGAGGATACCCATTGGTGCGAAGATTTGCAGGAATTCGTACCAGTGACTCGATCTGATGGGGACTTCCATAAGCCCACAACCACGAAGAGTCTTGCCTGATTTGTACTTGGTAACGCCCACGTCCGCGGGGAACCTGCCAGTCTGGTACCATTGCTCAATGAGGACATCTTTTTCACGCCACCGAGCCAGAAGCCAAAGTTCGAAGGCCTTCTCGTTATGGAGTGGGATGTCTTTCACCAAAAAGCGACGCCAGTGCATGCTGACGGATTTCGGTGGTCTTCCTTCTAGATAGCCTGACTTGAGGGTAAATATATCTTGAGCGTATTGGCCTCTCGGAACGCCCTCATAAGCAACCGTACAATCGTAGACATAATCGACAGAATCTTTGAGCTGCTCGAGACAGAAGTGCAGACCTGTACTGCGTGGTAACAGGACATGTCTGGTATCCGAAATGTTGTTCTTCTTTGCCCAAGCAGCGCTCTTTGCTCGAGTGCTCGGGGCTAGATTCGTGCCTTCAGGAAAGAGGAGAAGCCACATTGGATCTGCGAGCTTGTTGAGCTTTTGTAGGGCGGTGGCCATGTTCGGTCGATCTTGTTCCCAGTTGCGTTTGAGGAAGATGAACTGGTTGAACTGCATGCCCCAGCCCAGGATGGGTATCTTTTTGAGGGATTCTTTGAGAATGATGTATAGCCGTCCATGCATGCCATTGCAGTAAGCTATCCACCATAAATATAGCCAGTCGGTGTAGATTTGGTGGTTGGCAATCAGGACAAGACGCTCTGGAAAGTCAAGAACGAGATCGCCTTCTACCGATTTCAGCAGTTGACCCCGAACAGATGCATCTCCAGAGACGATGACTTTTGTAGGTGCAAACGTTTGAGTCAAGGTCATGGTCAGCAGCCCGAAGGACTGCTTGGTGAAAGCAATCCACGCATTGTACCAGTCTTCGTTGACCAGAGCCAATGGAGCTCCCAGAAATTGTGAGAGATTGATGGCTAGAGCTCCGGACAGAAAATATGTTGACAACGCTACGGCCCTCGATGCAATTGAATATTGTCCTTTCTGGAGAGGCACGCGATCAGGGCGATTTGCTCGCGATTCGAGCGAGAATCCTGCAGCTGGCTCGAGTGCAGGTTGTGCCGTCGCCATGTTGTCAGAAAGGAGTACCGAGTGTGAATGCTATCGTGCTTCACTCATCTTCGTCGTCAGCTACCTTGCTGTCGACCCTCGTGGCAAGCTGCTATGATGGTATCCAATTTGCGAAACGGCTGGAGCGACAATCAGAACGCCACCTCTGACGTACAAGTGTCGACATGTTACAGGGACTGGCCTGTTTTGCTGACAGTTGGAATGCTCGGTATCGAAGTCACTGTGGCGCTCAGGCGGTTCGATTCACTGCACAAGCTCGAATGAGACGCGAATAGGAACGACGCCCGCTTTGAGGATCCCTGCTTGATCTCTCTTCTGGGCCACCATCAACGATCGATGCGTGGCCGTTGGAGAGTCGACCCCGGTCATTTTTGTCCAGACCGGTCGTTGTGACAAGGATGGACGGGTGCCAAAAGCAGGGAAAACAGGATATCAACCCTGTGGCTGTGCGAATCTCAGGGCTCAGATGGACCCCGGATGACGTTCTGCCCGCCCAGCATGATCTCGATATCAACCTCGAAAGGGGATGTCTTGTTCGACATAAACTACGAGTAACTTCCTACCCCCTTGACATCACATCCCTCTTGTCGTCCCTTTTAATTCTTCCCTCAAATCTTTGACACTACGAGTAAGCAGCTCGGTCGTATCCAGACTGAGTGACCCGACTCCATCTCCCAATGCCTAACATATCCTTTGATATTTTCTTCGATAAGGACTTTATCAACGTCACCGCCACTCGAGGACATACAGCTCCCAAGGCCAAACCAGAGTGGAAAGTCCGGACTGCTCCCAAGCTACCTCCCAAGCCGATTCCCGAAGACCACAGCGGTACTCCACGACCACCACCAAGAGAGAAGCTGACCTCAACCCGTCAATCGCTCGTTCCTCCTAAACAATCCCGAGCTACCGACAAGGTTGCTGGCGATTCTTCCGACGCAGCTTCCCAGACCAGTGAGAAGGCCAGACGAAAGCCACCCAAGCTCGGTGCCAAAAAGCCAGCGGCTACCCCAGCGGCATAGATAAAGCATAAGCATGGCAACTCAGTGGGTCTTGGGCAAGGTGTCCGAGGCACTTGCCCCGACTGTGTCGAACACGGTGTCAAGTGCAGGATCCTTTGCAGGTGGAGCTGTGAGTGCAGTAGGGAACACCATCAACAGTGTGGGAGAGGGGATCAACGCGTCGATCCGGAGATATGGAGATGGAGCCAAAGACTATGGCAACGCCATCATGGACTGGACGTCGGCTGACGCGGTGAGAGCGACGACGGCAGCCAATCCACTGGGGTTGAGTGCTGGTAAGACAGGGGGGAAGAGAGGAGTGACAAACCCTTCGGTCTACACGCCGCCGAAGTCGTCGAACCCTTCAAAGACGTTGATGACGACCAACAAGACCGTGGCTGCACCTCAGAAGAAGATCGAAGCCGGGACGCCCAGGAAGGCTCTGCCTGCTCCTGGTCCGAAGCCAGCTCCTGCGAAGAAGGCTATTTCTGCACCGCCACCAAAGTCGACCCCAGATAAGTCGGCATCGGCAAAGTCGACACCAGCAAAGACTTCTACCGCACCAAACCCGGGAGCAATGAGGAAGAAGCCAGCTGAGACCAATGGTAAGGCTAAAAAACCAACTTCGGTGAGCAAGTCGACTCCTGTCAAACCGGCTGCTCCCAAGACAACAACTGCCGGACGGCACCGGGTAGGAGGGAACCCTACAGCTGCAGCGAACCCTCTCGGTCTGACGTTTTGATCTGATGACATGATCTCTCTCTTGTACGATTATGTTCTGTCTCTGTTGAGCTGGATGATTTCTTTGTTTTGTTCAAGACTAGTTTTGCAATATGGGAAAAAGATTGGCGACAAAAATATGATACTTTCGGGTCAAATTTCTTGGACAACGTTTTTTCAGTACTTATTCCATTTTCATTGTTCTCGTACAGTACTATCTCGACGCCTTAGGGAGACACTCTGGTCCGTCATTGCAGCTATCACAAGTTGACCACCCTAGATTGTTCTTATCCAAACAACTTGCTGGACTCGCTGCTGTCCCTTTGTGCCTCTCCCACCGATCGCTCAGACCATTTACTTGTCCCATGTGGACGCCTCTCAAATATATCCACGGACAGACCGATGACATCCAGATGACCTCCCGAGTCAACAATATGTTTGGGTGTCTTGTGGCAGAAAAAGCTGTGATCAGTCCCCTCGCATCCATCGGCAACAACGCTTGTCGTATCCAGCATCATCCTCCCGCACTCATCACGACAGCTGAGCAAGCCGCAACTCCTTCTCCGCTTGTTTCCGATGTGCCGACATATCCTTCATCTCGATCCATACCACCCCGTCTTCGTCCACGGTCCTGGGGCGTGGTCGTCTATCAGTGAACCTGTCCCATTTCGTCCGGACAGGGGCGAGCAACGCGCTCACGGCGGCCACAGCTGACAGACCAGGGGTTGTGAGGATTGGTGTAGTGTCGAATCTTGACATGGGGGGCACTTTGAGATTCATGTTGGTTATTTTGGTTTGTTATGAGGGAGGAAGGAATCGAAACTATCGCCCGGGTGGCCTTTCCAAGTCGGAATGGGTGATCGTGCAGAGGTTGTATCCAGAGGGCTGTGGACGGCGCAATTGGCAATGGAGTATGACTGAGTGACTGTGATGATTTTGTCTGTTCGAATAAGAGAAAGAGTAATAAAAGAGAAAGAATGCAAGGTACGTAGTTTATCCTCTGGCCACGGTGAGGACCTGTTGTTCAAAACTTTGGTACTGAGGACCCTCAGACCAGATATCAATAGACCAAGAGAAAGAGTCTTGCGGTGCCGTGAATCCACTTGTGAGGACCTACCATTTGGTACGGCGTTCCTGTTGGTTTTCATGATTGACTGTCTCTACATGACTGGCATCAGTCGGTGCTGCCATCTGGCCGGACTCTGAGAGCGAGCAAAGCTCCCCCGTAGCCAGGAAAATAGTGAAAGCATTTTCGTAGATCTGAAGGGGAAAAATTCAAGTGCGAGTCGCCCGTCTCACAATTTGAGAACTCCAAGCCGGAGGGAGGCTTTTCTTCAATTGTTCTTGAGGTGGGAAGAAAATCGCACGACAAGCAAACAGCATCAGGATACTGCGTGGCCTTTGCTAGTCGCACTCAGTAGCCATTCAGCCCTTTGACCACGCCGAACGCACCGCCTTTCTTGCCAAACATCTCCCTCACATCACCTATCAGATATTCGGGTTTTTCATACGCAAAGAAATGTCCTCCGCTGTCGTGCGTCTTCTCGAACACGACGTCGCCTTGGGTCCTGGTCCAAATGGACGGCAAGACCCTCAGCTCTTTCGGCGCATGGCTGAGCCCGAGTTTGACGCCGCCAATGTACTCCCTCGTCCGATCTCGCGTGACTCTTGTAGTTGGATCGTCCCATTCATGGGTAGCTTCGTAGTATATCCGCAGATTCGCAGCCGGTCCAGCGGTGGAGAACCAGTAAATGCTGATCCACGTGCAGACTTCGTCTTCTGTCCACGGGTACGAGTCTGTCCAGTCGTGCAATTTCTCGTATATCCACGCCAAGAGGGCGACCGGAGAGTCCGCAAGCGCGTAGCCCAGAGTTTGTGGTTTCGTAGACTGCTGTGCACGATAGCCTGAGCCTTGCTCGAGGAACCACTTCGTCCGCGCCATTCCCTCCTTTTCTGCCGCCGTATATGGAGTGATTGCGTGCTGAAGAGCGAGACTGGGATGTTGGGTCCAACTTGGAGCATTGCCCTGGTCCATATTCACGTGTGTGGCCTTGCAGTTCTTTGGATACAACAACGATATGGCACGAGTGATATAAAACCCCCAATCACCGCCCTGACTGACGTACTCGGTATAGCCGAGCTTGAGCATCAATTTGTTGCATGTCTCAGCGTATTGGGCCAATGCGAACCCCTTCTTCTTGGGCCCTTCTGAGAAGCCGTAGTTGGGCAAGGATAGAGCAACGAAATGAAAAGCTGGCGCGTCAGAGGAGGGCTCGGGAGACGACAATTTGTCCCATATCTTGATGGCTTCGAGGAAGCTGCCTGGCCAACCGTGGACGAAAAGCAGAGGTATAGCATTCTTTCTATTTGACTTCGCATGGATGAAGTGGATGCGTAACGGTTCGAAACCGTCGCATTGGATTGTGGTGGTGTATTGAGGGACAGTGTTCAGTTTCTTCTCTGCTTCTCGCCAGTTGTATTGGTCTTTCCAGTGGTTTGTCAGCCGTTTGACGTCTGCTAGAGGGGCGCCATAGTCCCATCCTGCACCATCGATCTCATCAGGGAATCGAGCGAGGGATAGGCGAGTCTTGAGATCGGACAGGGAGGAGTCAGGGATGGAGATGGTAAAGGGTTGGATGTCTGCCATCGTGGAAATGTGAGTTCGGAGACTGATTGATTGTTGTTGAGCCCAGGACTGAAAGAACAATGTCCTTCGACGAGGCTACTGAAGCAAGAGTAGTCTTTTGTAGTAAACCTGAAGCGCAGTACGTTGGGCCCGTCTTTATATCAGTGGAAGTCTATATGGTGTTTGTCAGCTTCACAAGCTCCCATCAACCTACCAGGGCTAGAGCAAGGCATCAATTGTAGGCGATGGTGGAGCTTCTGTAATCACAAAAGTCGTGTATCGTGAAAGGCGCGTCGTGGACACGAGTCGGCAGTGATTGTCGGTTGGGGGGAAGGGCTGCTTGGTGCTCGATCGGCTAACAAAGCTCGATTTTTCCCCGCAGAAATACTCCGTACGCTCTGGGCAATCATTGTTGAGGCTGGTGAAGGCTGTCTGAATATCTACGCCGGGAGAAGTCCCAGAGGCTATGAGAATCGAGATACGACCAGAAGTTCAGAGGAAAGGATCGGATACTTTGTGGTGACCATGTAGCGTATTTTCCTGCTTCATACCTTTACTGCCTTCCAGTAGGACTCGATTGGGTTCTATCTCTCTACCTACTGTGTCATCGAGTCGGTTCCACTCTTTACACATCCCGCTGCTCTCTTTTACGGGTGCGCAATGTCCTTCTCGTCGTGACATTCTAGCCGCCGTCTCTCCTCAAGACGAACACTTCCTCATCGTTTGGGTTATAATTTCCCACCTCTCCTTTTCTCTACCGCATCCCTCAGGACCTTGATGACCTGACCCGGATCCTTCGCTCCAAACACAGCACTGCCAGCGACAATAACATTGGCACCCGCCTCTGCTGCCTGGTCGATTGTGGACTCACCCAATCCACCATCAACCTCAATGTTCATGTCAGGATATTTCTTCCGCAGGGCCGTCACTTTCGGTAGCTCGCTGGCCATGAACTTCTGACCTCCGAACCCAGGGTGGACAGTCATAACTAGTACCATCTGTTCCCATTAGTAAATTCCAGCCTTATTGGATATGGACAAGGAGGTAGGATATACATCGGGCCGCTCCGCTGCGTTTTCGTTCTCCAGAATACCCCAAAGTACATCGACACTCGTCTCGGGCTTGATGGCAATACCAGCTTGCATGCCCAGGTCGTGGATATATTTTATCAATTCTTTTGGTGAGGTTGGCCGGGTCGTGGTTCGGTCGGCAGGTTCGGTGGCAGCAACAGACGTCACAGCTGCTTCATAGTGGAAGCAATATAAGTCGCAGCCGGCGTCGCGGAAGGTCGAAGCCCATCGATGAGGCTACAAGAGATTAGTTAGTAAATGTACTTCATGTTTAGAGCCGGCGTTGAGAATGATATAGCATTCCTTGTTGGTGAGGGCAGCGACAGTACGTATGAAGGATCGTGTTGTTCCTACCTCTGATATCATCATATGGCAATCAAATGTGCCCCTTCCACCTCCGCTCTTCGGCCGTTCGACATGGGACCGTATCTTCGAAACGACAGGCGCTCCAAAAGTGATATTCGGCACAAAGTGTCCGTCCATCTATGGCCAAATGTTGTCAGTATATCACTCGAATATCAATCTCTCTGCTCAGGTTGTATGATGCCGTCTCATTCTCCTCTCCTGGCTTTGGGTAGCATACAATATCAACATGAAGCCAATCGGCACCATCTTCCATTGTTTTCGAACATGCTCCTCCTAGCGCGGCGAAGTCGGCGCTCAGTATGGAGGGTGCGATGATCGCTGGGGGAGACATCTTGTCCTGTTTTCCTCTCCTCTCTTCTGAAATGTTCAAAAGATGCCTGTGTAGGTGCAAGTCGCTTGGTAGGTGTTTCGGAGGTTGGGTCAGAGATCGGCGGCACGGCAGGGAAGGCGAAGGAGTAGTCAGAGGTAAGTCGTGCTTGTCAAGAGGCTCTTAACGTATTCGAAAGATCGCAAGGCACCGGTTTCTATTCCCCACGAACCGAAGCTGAGTCAATTGCGGTAAGTTGTTGTTGAAGCCCGAAAATTATTGGAGAAGCTGCGTCATCGGGCAGTCAGTCCCCCGGAGCGAGGGGCTCGGAGCCTTGCGGAATGCAAAAGCTTCGTTTCATCCCTTCCGTATATTCGTCGCCTGCTTACAATGCAGGTATTGAGCTGAGATGAGCAATTCGAAATAGTCATGATGCATTGAATATATCGCTAGTGCCTGCATGCTCAACGCCGTCAAACACAAAAGTACACAAGATTCACTGTTCGCTGATCGTCAAATATAAAGGAGAAACAACAGTCTCGCATCCGATCGCTCGGTTGGGTAGATATTGTACACTCTATCACGCTTCCGACAAACAATACCCGCCCCAGCCTGCATCAGACGATGTGCCAATTCGAAAGCCTGTAAACAAATTCCCAGCCTGCCACCCTGAAGCGAAAGTGAGTATAGGCAGATTCCAAAGCGATGGGTGCTGTTATCAATAGTGTCTGCAGAGGTGACACATCTGTCTCGTTCTGATATGGCGACACTCTGCTGGTGGTGCCGTCAGTGGAAGGAACTGGTTCGCAAATGCAGCTCCGATGCCATTGATCAAATTCGAAGCTGTGACGCTGTCGGTTGCTTGTAAGAACGACACTTCGTATTGGCTCGAGAGGATCGACATGTCACTGCTGCTCGGTCCTCCAGTCTCAGCATACAAAGAATCATGTTCCATGTCTTCAGCACCAATCATGTTGGAAGAATCAACTGGCTCAACATCGTCATCATGGCTGAGGTACTGACCACTTGTCCACGGATCGTCGTCTTCGTCGTCGTGCACTTCCCCCGGTGGATTGACAGGATCATGACGAGCCAAGATGGTGGCCAAGTCCGTGTCGTGCACCTCAAAGCTGTTGTTGAAGCTCATACTTTGGTCGTTTGAGTCGATGGTGCTGAGAGACGATGGATATCCCGGGCGTACCGTCACAGCATTCTGAGGAGTCGGCATAGGCTGGCCACCCTGTCCGTTATATTGTTGTCGGTTCGAGTCATCTTGGATAGGTCTGCTTCGACAAGCACAAGCCCGACAGCCACAGCCGCAACCATGGCAATGATCCCCACAGCATGAGGATGGCATTTGTGGATTGTGATTGGTTCTAGTCGAAGTATCAGGAGCTGAAGCACGGCGGCGTACTGGTTGGGCCATGGTTGGACCGTCAAAGACGGGTCGAGATAAACAAGGCATAGTTGTGGCAAAAGTAAGCGAGGGACCCTTGTAACCTGCGTAAGCTCATGCAGGTCCCTTTAGTGATACAAGTGTCTTGATAGGTATTCAAACAGCCGAACGATAGGTGATCGATATGATGGCAAAGCAGGAAACAGACAAGATGCTATCGTACAATAGTGATTGAGAAGAAGCGGCAGAAGGGGAGCCAAACCTTTCGATTGATGGAAATGAAGGATATAAATAAGGCACCCAGGCATCGGAAACTCGAGGTTACTGAAGGAATTTGTCATGGTCAGGTGCAAAGGGACAGTGTTGACCCGAGATGGCATCACGAGGTAGCTGCTCCATGCCGGTAAAAGACAAGCACTGTAGACGAAGCCAGTAAATCTGCCTTGCGAACGAACTGGAGATCAAAGCAAACGAGCAAAGCATAGCATATGGGGCGGCGCCAATGCAGGATCGATACAGGCCATAAGGACCGGACATGAGGAAGTCGTCAACCGGAGAGACAAAGGACGAGTAGGAATAGACCAGGCGACACCCGTTGGAGGTGGTATGACCACTGACCAGCCGTTTGGTATATCATTGCCGAAGGGAGGGGCCGTCATGGGCTACTTGCACAAAGTAGAACCTCGGTCTTGTTGAAGCGAGAAGAAGAGTGTGCCAGAGAGGAGCTGGGCAACGGTCACGGGGGGTTCAAGGATGGCCTTGCAATGACCATATCCAGATCGAAGCGAGCACGTCTACGCCCGTCCTTGTTGATCGACAACCACATGGTCTTGCAAAACACCTTACTACGTATGTAGACGAGAATTGTATATGCAGGGAAAGGAAGGGAAGCTCAAATTGCCATGTCACAAGGCGTGGAGAGGAGAAGACTGGAAACCATACCTAGGTAGTCTCTGATCGATGCCTCTGCCTCGGAGGCACCCACTGGCATGATTGCTGAATGGCTGCCTTGATATTTTATATCTGTGGGATTGTTTTGAGTCTTGACCGGTGAGGACACCGGAGACACCAAGAGGAGGGGCTTTCCGTAGGGATCACTCCGTAGGGCACCTGCATTTCCGTCCCGATTGTCCTACCGAATTCCTGTATTCCTGTCCTGTTCTCATGTGTCGTTCCTTTCCTCCATTGCCTACCAGCTGACGTCCTGCATTAGACACTTTCCATCTTAGACACCATCAAATGTATTCTGACTCGTACAGAACTCATTGAGTTTTCCCTACGGACTACCCTCTGAAGATCCCTCGTTACGAGTACCGCGGTTGCTACTCGTTGCACCGAGTACTCGAGCCGCAATAACCGCCTCATGGCTCTCCCGCATACGTACCGTAGACTCCACTGTCACAGCTGTCACAGCTGTCACAACGACTTTAACACTTACGCAGTGATGGAATCTTCTCTGACTCTTCCATTTTTGCTTTTTCTTTTTTGGCAGGGATCTTGATCTTGGCCTGGCGACTCGGACATGCCGCAACTTTGTTACTCGTAATCCTCGGCTGTCTCAAACTCCGTGGGTTTGCATTATTATGTGCTGTAGCAATCTTCTCACCGCCAGTCCTGTCTTCTCCAGTCCAGTCTCAAATACCGAAAGCTGGTCTGATTCTTTTCCCTGCCTCTCTCACCCTGTCTACTTCTATTTCATCACCACCACTGGCACCGCCCAAAACTTTTGAGTCCCGGGAAAAAAAAAGAGAAAATACTCGTCAACTGTCAGCCCTAACCTCGTCGCCTACGTAGTACGGCCACGATGGGCTTTTTCAGTGTCAGCCCCGCTTCGCAACAATTCCGTCACCGTGCAGACGTCTACTGTAGTTAATGGTCCAGGTTCAACCTGCCCAGAACCGAAAAGGATCTACAGTATCGTGTCTTCTCCACCGCACATCCATCCTTTGCTCACGAATGACCCTTGATCCTTGACCCCATCCTTGAACAACCGATGATCCATCGACCCTCCTTCGGCCTGCTCCGATGATTTTGTGCTGCCCGTGTGCAGAGTAGTAGGCATGTGAGAACATACGCCGTGTCTACCTTATGGAGCACATCTCTCGTGTTCCTCTACTGAGTATCAGTGACCCGTCTGAACCGGAGTTCAAGACGTGGACTCGCTAGCAGCGAATCGACCTCACCACAGACTACGGGTCCGTACCTTACTACATAAAAGATCAATGATGACCGCGACGCAGGTTCGGGGTAATTGCCACCTAGCTCCATCACACTCCAGGATATTTCGGGGTATCAAACCCTAGTGAACGAAGAAAAAAGGGGAGTCCCAGGGCGACACTGTCGTTCCGCGAACTATTGTCTTATTGTCCAGAGAATAGTCACAGGTGATTCTCATCCACAAATCATCCCCGTGTTTTGCCAAGTGCTTCGGCGTCCACGTCGCATCGCCTCGCTGACAAAGAGTCCCAACGCAGCCACTTGTCACGAACCTACCTGGTATAGAGCCGATGCGCTGCAACGTCTACAGTATGAACGTCCAACCGTACCATAAAAGTTGGCAATTGAAAAGGCCATCAACTGTCACTCCCCGTTAGACTAGAGGCAGAGACACTGCCAGACCAAACTGCCAGACGCGGGTCTCAAAAGTACAGTGCCAATACTACCAAGATTTTAGTCTGAAACACACCTAGGTAGGTGCCCATGGCTACCGTCAATATATACTAACCTAAGTACGAGTATTTCATTCGAGTACCAATCTTTTAAAGCTTTATCCTCTGCAGTAGGTCGACATCAGTGCCATGATGATCGGACATGCTACCCAGGTAAGGTACCTAGGTAAGTGTCTCAAACCAAGGTTAAGGTAACTCGTAATTCGTACTCCGTACGCGTCAATATTGCTTTTTTTTCCTCTTACTCCCCAGTTTTCCTCCACGAGGCTCATTGGACCCGCCAACGTCACGCCCTTGAAAGGGGTAGTGCCAGTGAATACCTGGTACACAATAGTAGTGGTATGCCAGGACGGCACGAAGTCACAGCCTCGCCGGGAAATCAATGCACATGTCATGGCCACAGCCACAGTTGCTTTTTGTGAATTGGATTTCGTTTCACATCACGGAGATGGGTATCATAAGGGATTTCCTGAGCAGCTTGTTCTGCTCGCTATGGCAATTCGTGTCCAATGTCCAATTCATGACCAATTCATGACCAAACCCCACCCAGTCAATGCATCCCAATCACTCATCTCATTGTTCGTACCAAACTCCAACAGCGTGTCCTAACCTAGTCCAGCCCACCTAAACGTGACAACCGAGTTTTCAAACAACCTCGGAGAAATACCGTTTACTCGTATGCCTCCCTGGACTTCTTGGATCTGGCGGCAATGGCCCGCTATGATGCACAACATGGGGCCGGAACACAGCATCGACCGGGGGCATCCAGTCGTCCAGACCGAGAGGGAAATACTCGTAGAGTTGATCTGCACTCTCGCCCTCGGCGTGGAATGGGAGTGATTTCGTGGATAGTAGCTCTGGCCTTTGGTTCTGTGACATGGTGGGGACAGAAGCCTGACTCGTCATCGGTCCGTTCAAGCTCGGCATGCTTGTGACGCTGACTTGATGGGAATGCAGTCGTGGCCGGGCCCCTGGTCCAGCACCAGCGGCAGCTTGATGTTGGTGCTGATGCGGTAGATGACCCGGCGACGTACCGCGATTGTACACACCTGCACCTGCACCCTTGTTCACCAGTGACGGGCTTGGATTGCTTGTCGGCGGCCGAGAAGAGTGTCTCGACTCCGGTGGATGAGGGTACGGACTTCCTCCGCCTTCATCATCGCTGCCAAAATGCAGACTCATCGGGCCTGAATTTACAGTCCCCATGTCTTGGGGAAATGTAAAGGGAAACGTCCCTGGCGTGCCTAGTTCGGGTGTGCTGTCGTGAGAGAATGTCGGCATGAGTGGGGGATTCATTGACGATGAGTACGGCGTCGCCAGGGCTTCAGGAGCCATTTGAGACATCCAGTTACTTGTGTCCATGTCTGCTGTGGGCTTGTAGTCGGCTCCGTCATAGGACATGGTTACTGCCGGAACGTCTTCGGGTGGTGTTTTTATTTTAGGTGCTGAAGTCACCTGAGGCACCGAGGTTTGGCTATTGCTGGCGCGGGATGCTGATGGGAGATGTTTGCGAGCTGTCGAACTGCTGCTCAAGGGGAGATCTTTGCGAGCCGCGAAATTCCGAGGACTTCGTCCGCGAACTATGACTGCTCCAGAATGGGCTTCGGCGATGGAGATCTTTCCGCCTGTTGATAGCGACGCCATGATCTTGAGATGTAGAGTAAAATGCTGTTGCAATTCCTTCCGACGGCCATTGTTGGCCGTGGCTATCCGGAATTGAAGTCTCTTCCACTGCACGGGAAAGGTGGTGAAATCCGTATCCAGATCTTGGCCGGACATCTTGTCCAAAGGGATGGTAGGAGGTTCCTTTTCGATCTTGTCCTCCGGTTTGGGTGCTTCTCCGCTAGCTGGTGTTTTCCAGGGCACAGAGATGATCTTGACGGGGTTGCCTTCCACCGATTCAGTGGCAGAGACTGCCAGCTCTAGCTCGTAAATTGGTATTCGTGACCCGTCGTCGGTGAAAACGTATCTCAGGTTTCGGGGTAATGTTACTGAGCCTGTAATCTGAAACAAGTTTCGTCGGTAACATGTGAGTTCTGGAGGTGGTGGAGGCGTATCGGCTGTTGCTGGCCATTGTGACTCTGCGAGAAAGAACATTCCATGTAGTTGCGCATTGATATTGACCGAGGACCGCCTGAACGAGTCGTCCAACAGGGTAAAATTATAATGCGGCATCGAAAAACTTAGGTATTTGCTGTCTCGGTCAATTGAAGGGCTTTCGGGCATGCCGTCCGTGGGCACTTGGTCGAATTGAGCCATTGTACCTTCTGCGAACGGATCTTCGTAACCTGACGAGAAGCGCTTCAAGAGCGCGGGGTGTTGCATGCTCGTAGAGGGCGCAAACCCAAGTTCATCACCACTGCAAGCACAAATCAGCAAGGACTCTATAGATACAGTGGCCGAGCAGCCTACCTCATATATGGCTCCGAGTCAAAGTTGGAGTATTGATCTTGCAGGTCCATCACGGACGGTACACTCATATAATCGAGGTTCTGGAGGTTTCCCCCGGTAAAGGGCATAGGACTGTGTAAGTAAGGCATTGCGAGAGGATCAAAGCCGTCCATGGTCGCGGCCATGAAGCGAGAGGAGGTGGAGACGGATCGAGGTGCGCGCAAGCGACGGAGAGGAGCTTGAGAGATGGATGGTTATCGAGAAGAGGTAAGAATTCTTTTCTGCATTCTCGAGAGCAGGAATGTTCTGCTTGAGACCGGCGCCACTGCTGGAAGGTGATTGAAGACCCGGGAGTGATCGTTAATCAGCAGCCCAGAGGCGAGTGCTGTATTGGTGTTCGGTGTGCACGAGGCCAAAGGCGGCGGGCGGGACACCAGAATAATGGCGCGTCAATGTCGATTCGTTGCCGCCAAATCCGTCGATGGGCGAATCAGAGGGGCAGAAGTTGACGATGAAGAATTCAATGTTTTTGACTCGAGGGAGCAATCAATGCGAGAGTAGACTTGTCGATAAATTGAAAAAGAGGCGCCCAAAAGAGGTGTGGGACGATAAAAGAATATAGGCCCGGAAGGGTCTGACAGGTATATAGATCAAAAGAGGTCTATGCACCGAGCACAGCGTCAGTGGCAGACAAGCAGGCCATGGTCCAACGGTCTGTGTGTTTCTCTAGGCGGAGTTTGCGATGGCAGTTGACAAGGTTGACGGCGGAAGTGGGTGCCTCATCAAGTCGTGCAGGTGCCCGCCTGTGCTCGGCCACCCAGTCACCATCAGAGTTGCAGTGGTGGCTGGTTCTCAAACTTACGGAGAGGAGGCGGACAATACGATCGAAGACACCAAGTGGCTTCTAGAAGGAACGGGTCATGCATGCTCACAGCAACAGGCAAGGCTTACGAACCAGCTTACTGCCGGCTAAAGCAGCTAATCCGGCATCATCGTCGCCTCTGTGTCTCTCAAGGGTATTGACGGTATTTGCTCACTACTAGTTACTAGCCGACTCGAGTCAGTCGATTATCACAAGCACTTACAAGATACACTTGGCCTTTCCTTGTCCTGTTAAGAACATTGACACTACCTAGGTTCAGAAGGAAAAGTATCTCTCCCAGAAGGAAACAACCTCAATCTCCTCGAGTCCTCAGGGTCAAAAGGTACCTCGGAGCTTCCCAATCAGCACCTGCAGCCCCCGTGCCCACATGTTTCTGCAAAAGTCCATACAGCTCTCGGAAGGGTGAGCCTGAGTGACTGAGGACTTGAGTGACCGACTGACTGAGGGACAGCCCGGGAGGGCACCTTTCCCGCTGCTCGTACCGAGGTTGGAGCTGCAATTGGACATGCACTTTATGCACCGAAGCAGCCCTGGAAGGCTTGGAAGCCCTATTAGCCACGGCTAGCCTGCATGATTTGGGGGCTCTTGCACCCGAGCTCCAGTCAATTCGCGGCGTCCTGTTCAACATGTTAGGGAGCGCCTAAGCTAGGGCGACCCCCCTCCAGTGTCTCATTGCTGATCATCGCTGCGCCCGAAGGCCTGACATGCATAATTATAGCTTGGAACGCATGCGCTTGCCCACTGCGGTAAGGTCGTCTGCAATGTCTACCGGCCCCCAGACAAGAGCACGAGAGACTACATCATCATGCCCTCATGTCGTGATCATCTCTGCCCGGAGTGCATCTCACAAAGAAAATTCTTGGTGTCATCGAGCGGTGTGTCGTTCCCCTGGTCATTGTCGCCCGGGGAAACACCTTGGAAAAGGAGATGCGTCGAGTTTGTGAATCGCTCAAGCTCACCAGACGACGCCATCCAGGTACCAGATGCGTTTGTGGCGGTCAGATCCATGTCTTGACAGATAGCCTCTGGAACCAGTCCCCATTGATGCTCGCTATCAGCCCACCTCGTCTCGTCGTTGTGGAGTGAGACAACGATAACAGTCCGTTAGCTCCGACATTCCGCTGAACCCTTGGGTGCTTAGCAGAGCGTCTTTCACGTCTTTGCAGCTCAAGATCAAATATTCCGATCATCTGAGCTAGCGAGGCAAAAACGCAATGGCCACCAGGCGACACAAGCGCTGTTCGGAATCCTCGCTCGATTTTCCAAACAAGGTTTCCTCCGTGCATCCGTTTCCCTCAAGCGAGTTAGCCTCTCATGTTATTGAACTAAACCGTTTCAAGTCCACCAATTATTGGACTTCATCCCCTAGCCCCAATGGTCGATTGCCCTCTCAGCTTTGCCTGCTCGGTGCGCGAGGACGATCGGTTCGGTCCATTTGGACCCGTATGTCAATGCGCACCGGGCTATCTCTTCAATCTATCGATGCCTTGACAGACATTTGGATATAGATATCTCAAAACGTGCCTAGTGGCCAGCCAGGTCGCGGACCGATGTATGGCCGTCTGCGGACAGTATGAACGAGGAAGAAGCTCGGACGGGATCGTCATTCTCCAACGTCTTCCTTCCCAGGTCTTGAAAGTCGCCCGCGCAGCTCTGGCAACACCGTGATGGCAAGATTTGCGCGCAGTTTCAGTCATGATTGATTACTCAGAATCAAGATAGTAATTGTGGCGACATCTTCTAGCCGGCGTCGTCCGGCGCCGATGAACTTGACTCATTTTGTACTTTTGTACCGGCAAAGAAATCCGATGCGGGAAGGCATGGAGAGGCTGGGTGGTGTCAACGTAATGTGATGCAGGCTGTTGATCACGTTCCCGACATCATTGTCCAATGTATCGGGTCACTGGAAATCTCTTCAAAGCTGTTCGTGATGGTGAAGCCCAAAGCCTTGAGACTGTCTGCCGTGACGTCTTCTCGAATCTGTGGCAAGTCAGCAATTATCCAGGTCTGAGTGCACAATTGCAAAACCCACATAATCAAGGAGTACACATCGCAGTCCTTGCTTCTTGAACTGCTTTATGCCTAACAGAACGAGGCCTTGGAAGAGGGATTTTCTGTCGCCGTGCAAAGTCGAAATCACCGGAGACGATATACATGCCATTCCGGCTTGTTTGTAGAGCGACGGAATGAACTTGGCTATCTTCGACTCCGCTCGGCAGACGAGTATGGACCCGAGGACTGACTGATCACTGGTTCGTTTTGCTCGAATAATGCCACAACCTTCCTTGTTGCTCATCGCTAGCTGGTAGATTCCTTGGAGGTCGGTTCGGGCACACCGCTTGAGGTGTTCCATCATAACGTCCATGTACTCGCTGCCGTAGACAAGATCGAATTTGACATCAGGATTGGCCAGTTTTTGTCCGAGACCATCTGGAACTGACCACATGGCTAGATCGCGTATCATCATAGTGGCGACAGAGGTCGAAAGCGACGTATTCCAGCCCAACTTTGCAAACCATTGGCGGAGCTTCTTGTATTCGCCAGGGTCGAGCTTTGGAACGCCCAAATATACATTTGGAAATCTCACGCCTAACTGGAATTTCGTAATGCCCTTTTTCTGAAGCAGAGCTCTGACAGCTCTGTCATGCAACGAATGGCCGATGGACAGTCGGCGGCGAGTGGGGTCCACGATGATGGCTCCGATATGTCCTACACCGCTGCTCTTGAAGTAGTATGTTGCGCAGAACCCGAACAATTCTTTGGTGCTGCTGTTGCGGACCACAAAGTGTGCTTCTTCGACCTCTGGATCTCGCAGGATGAAATTGCCGGTACGTGTATTTTTGAGTGTGACTGCATGCACTGATTGTTCTTTCTGACACTGCACTAGCAAAACATCTAGTGCAGCCGAGTCTCGCTCTTCGCTGAAAGCTTCCACGAGCCATTGCTGCCGGGTGTGACTGGTTTGAGGCCTTTGACTGAAAGATCCCGGCAGTACACCTGTCGGACTGAGCTCACCGTACAGCACTTGAACCAGGGCTCGGAGCGCGGTTTCGGTGAAATCATAAGTGCATATGTAGGTCCCGATGGAAGCATCTGCCGCGAAGTCAAAGGGCGAGCTGACTGCAACAACAACGCAGGGCTTCTCCTTTCGAGTTCCGTCTGCCCCAACGGCTAATTTGCACAGCATTGAAATGTGTTTAGCAAACGCATTCTGGTACATGTTTCGACCTGCATCAGCCGTGACCACCACGACGCCTTGTGCGCGACTCAGCAGATTCTCGTGCAGAGGTCTGACTCCATTTGCAGTGTATGAGGTATGAGATATCTTCCCATTCCGATACCTTGCTAGTGACCGACCGAGTTCTCGAAACACTTGCTCCCCACTCATGACTGAGGTATTGGCGTCGACACTTGGACTACGCCCGAGGTGTGGAATTGATGTCATGTCATGTTGCATTTGATGAAACAACGCCGACGCGGGTAATGGTTTGACCAAAGGCGTCAAAAGGAGAAGCTCTTCATCGGCTTTGACCACTCTGGACAACGGCAGATAATGCTTCTGGTCTCTTACTACCGTGATGGACTTGTTGTAGGCCGTCGTTGAAAGACTGGTATGAAGAGGCTGCAGTCGGGCGAGGTTCTCAATTCCAGGAGGAGAGAATGCTTTCTCCCATGACGTATATTTCGCCTTCATGTTGAGAATTCTTTGGACAGATTCCTGCACACGGTACCTTTCGATCATGCCGTTGTCCAAGCCAGCTTTCAGGCCGTTCATGGCATCTTCCTGGACCGACATACTCCTGCACGTCAGGATCAAGTCGCATCCTGCCTTGAACGCCATGACGGTCCCGCCACTGATGCCGATATTGCGGCTCAGAGCTTCCATTTCCAGGCATTCTGACACGACGACTCCTTCGAAGCGCATTTCGTGACGGAGAAGATCCCGGACAATTTGTTCAGAGAGACAGGCATGCATTACATTGACCTGTGAGGTGGCCATTGCAACACCACCTACCATCATCGAATCAATGCCTTGGGCAATCGCAGTGCGAAACGGGACAAGAGCACTTTGGCTCAGATTTTCGAGTGACTCGGTTATAGTGGGCACATCCTCTGGAACGCCAAAGAATTCGAGGTTGCCGTAGGAAGGAAAATGCTTCCCGCACGTTGCAACTCCGCCTTCCTGATATCCGCGAATGGATTCGACTCCAAAAGCAGAGACTTCATGAGGGTCGTCGCCTGTTGATCGGACACCAAGAGGCTGGTTTCTGGCGTTAGTCAAGACATCAAGCACCGGACCGAGAACCCAGTTAATGCCGCACGAATTTAACTCCTGTGCTGTAGCCCTTGCTATCTCTCTCGCCAACTTCTTGGAGCCTGTAGCAGCGACGGCCATGGCGCTGGGAAATTGGCGGATATACACTTCATCGTATAGACTGTTGACGCCGCCATTCTCTTGATCCAATGCGATGAGGAGTGGGACAGTATGACCAGCTCGACGAGCAATAGTTTGCAGTTCAACAGTAAGCTGGGTTGCCTGCTCGGCAGCTGTTGCATTATCAACGTTAGTCGATGGTCACACGATGAGCAGAGCAAGCACGTAGCATGGGAATGCAGGGGCAGCACATTTGAGGTTTTGAGCCTTGAGAAGAATCGAGCCTACGTGATACTTCTCAATGAGAGTCCTCACTTGCTCAGTGACCGAAGTGCCATCAAACCCCATCATGAACAATTGGCCGAGTTGTCTGGCATATATAGGTCAGTTGTGGATTGTCTAGCAGCTTGATGACGGCATGTTAGACGTACCTCGATTCGTCCCACAGGGGTGGTAGATCCCCGTTGGTGGCCATAATGGTATAAACGCGTTATTCCCCACATATACTCTGATTGGATAAAAAGCAGGTGAGCAGGTTGTATGAGAGGAGTATGGGAACAGGTGATCGCGCCAGAAAGCCGGTCAAAACCCAACCCGAGCACTCATTGATGCACGAGCAGACCATTGAGGGTACTTCCGGCTGGGGTCAAGGTTGGCGCGTGGGCTCTGCGCATGGCGTTACAGAAGCAATTGGCGAGAGAATGGGAAACGTGGGAATGGGGGAGCGAGGTGATGTTGCATTTGTCGCAAGGAGAGTAACGTTGCCGAGAAGTGTGATGGATGATGGAGAGTAGGAAAAGCTTGACAGATGGCACTCTGCTGGCAGTCCGATTTCCACCAGTGCTACCGGAACAGCTCCAAAACCAGCCAAAATTCGTGGGCACGTTACACTGGCTATCGGCAAAAGTCACGTGCGATAAGCCTGCGCCTGCCACCTGCCCCGCCAATGCCGTTCTGCTCCATTTCTCTCTCTTCCTCTTCCTTTCCAACCAACCAACCGAACGACAGCGGCGCCCTTGACTTCATCCCGCTCACCGTGCTAATCAGATGCCACTCGACTGGTTATCTTACTTAAGCCGCTCATGGGCCGGGCTCCCCTCTGTGTGATTCAATGGTTGGATGATACGCAACAGTTGCATCGTTACATATCCTCTCTGATCATCCTTTCGCCTCTCCCCGGTCGCCTTACCACCTATCTCAGTTGAGGCTACGCAGCCTTTTCAGTGGTTGATATGCCTTACTCCGCCTGAGGACCATGTTATCGTCGCATGACTGCTTGCTTGCTGAAAAAACTAGCTACGTCAAAGGTTTGTCCTTCCTGCCGGCGTCTTCATATTCGCTCTACAGTCTTCCCTGCGCATTTTCCCATCTCCTGCTTCCCTACTAGATTTCTTCCCTACATCGCCAAAATCGCTCCTGCACAATGCGGGTCATCATCCGTGACGATGCGGACGGTGCGTCAAGGTACGCAGCCAAATACATCATCAACCGCATAAACGCTTTTGCTCCCACACACGAAAAGCCCTTCGTACTGGGACTCCCTACTGGCAGCAGTCCAGAAATAATCTACAAATACCTGGTCCAAGCCCACAAGGCTGGCGAGATCTCATTCGCAAATGTCGTGACATTCAACATGGACGAATACGTCGGCCTCCCAGAAGACCATCCCGAATCTTACCACAGTTTTATGTACAAACATTTTTTCGCCCATGTTGACATCAATCCTGCCAATGTCAACATCCTCAACGGCAACGCTCCTGACCTTGCAGCCGAGTGTGCGGATTACGAGGCCAGAATTGCCAAAGCAGGTGGAATCGACCTCTTCTTGGGCGGCATCGGACCAGATGGCCACATCGCGTTCAATGAGCCAGGCTCCTCTCTAAGGTCACGGACGAGAGTAAAGACGTTGGCAGAAGACACAATCAGGGCCAATTCCCGGTTTTTTGGTGGTGATTTGAGCCAGGTGCCCAAACAGGCCTTGACTGTAGGAGTTGGGACGGTCATGGACGCAAGAGAAGTGCTGGTCATTGTACTGGGTGCGAACAAAGCAATGGCACTTGCTAAGACCATCGAAGGCGGAATTAGTCAAATGTGGACGGCCAGTGCCCTGCAGATGCATGAGCAGGCTATGATTGTCTGCGATGATGCCGCAACCGACGAAATGCTGGTCAAGACCGTCAAGGTGCGTTCTTTACGAAGCCTGAATCATGATCTTGTACACTAACAAAATATTCAGTACTTCAAAAGCATCGAGCATATCGCCGCAGAAGAAGAAACAGGCAAAGCAACTCCTCAACCGCACTTGCCTACGAAAGCGGACAATTGGCGAAGTGCATTGAAAGACCTGAAGATTAATACCGAGAAGAAAGAGCAGTTGGATCAAGAGGACGGCGAATTGACACCAGACAGTATGTCGTCGAGGCTGGTGGATTCGGCGATCGGATTGAATGACAAGAAGATGGATGATTTTATGTTCGAAAAGATGGGTTCACGAGTCTCCACATCTGCAGCATAGTTGGCAGAAAGCTTCACTGTTGTGGAAGTCGGAGGACAAATAGCAATCGGGTTTTCTGGTTGAGTATGGCGTTCAGGCTGCATGATATCCATGGTCAAAGCCGAAGGAGTTCATTGGCGATACAAGTGGCAAGAATAGCCCAGCAAAAGGATATGCAATATTTTGATGTTGAGCATCGAATCATCTTACCTGTCCAAGCCCGTCTCAAAGCTTCGCAAATACTGTAGGCACCGCGCCGCCCATCTCCACCAGCGTGCTTTTGTTTCGAACCCAGGCTTCAAGCCCTCTTCTTCCATTTTCAACACCAACACCACTTTGCTTCCATCCACCAACGGCCATCTCAGCTGGAGACTCGCCCCACGTGTTGATCCAGGTGATACCTGCTTGCAATTGTTTGACCACTCTATGACATTCATTGATGTCTTTGCCGAATACTCCAGCGGCCAAACCTAGTTCGGTATTGTTCGCTCTAACGATAGCTTCGTCAAGCGAGGAATATGTCAAAATAGTCATGACGGGGCCAAAAATCTCCTCCTTGACAATCTTCATCTCGTCCGTGCAGTCCGTAAAGACCGTCGGTCTCACCCAATACCCATTATTTAACCGCTCGGGGAGATTCTCCGGCTTTTCCAGCCCACCACGAAGTAACGTGGCCCGGTCCACGTTGATGCCGTGCTTGACATATCCCACCACCTTCTTATAATGGGCCTCGCTGACCAAGGGGCCGAAGTTCGTGTTCATATCCATCAAATCACCGGGTCGAACATCGTCCATTTTCCGCAGGAGGACCCTTTCAAATTCGGCCTTCAGCTTTTCGGGCACGAAGACCCTCGTTCCGTTCGTGCACACTTGACCGGTGCTGAAAAAGTTGGCCATCATAGCCCCATCGACAGCTTGTTCGATATCCACTTCCGGCAAGACAATCACAGGACTCTTCCCGCCGAGCTCCATCGTCACGTACTTCATTTCCCCAGCAGCAGAGCCTGCCACTTTCCGACCGGTCGAGACTTGACCTGTAAAGCTGACTTTGGCAATGTCGGGATGTTTCGTCAGATAAGCGCCGACTTCACCAGCACCATACACGACGTTGAACACGCCATCCGGTACTCCGGCCTCTGTGTAGACCTGAGCCAAGAATTGAGCATGAAGCGGCGTCACTTCGGAAGGCTTGTAGACCATCACATTACCAGCGGCTAGACAAGGCGCAGATTTCCAGAGCGCAATCTGAATCGGGTAGTTCCACGCACCGATACCAGCGCACACACCGAGCGGTTCTTTGGAAGTGTACACCCAAGCCGAATCGCGGAGGCGGAATGATTCGCCGTTCAGGCCGCCGGAAGCGACCAGGTTAGCAAAGTACTCAAGAACATCGGCGCCAGTGACTATGTCGACTGTAGATGTCTCGGAAAAAGGTTTGCCAGTGTCGAGTGTTTCGATTTTGGCGAGCTCATCATTCCGCGAGCGAAGTATCGAGACCGCTTTTTGGAGGATGCGGGCTCGTTCGACGGGTGGAGTGCTCGACCATGACGGGAAAGCTGATTTTGCTGCTGAGATGGCTGAATCTATGGATGATGGAGAGGATGTGTGAATCGTGCAGACGGGTTTGGATGTCGAAGGATCGACTGATTGGAAGGTCTCTGAAGAGGTTGATGATTTTTGTGGCTTGCCGGCGTAGAATGTATGGCGGTCTGGAAGAGATATGGTGAGCACCATTGTACTTAATTGGAAGTGAGTTGATGTCGCTCTCTGATGTCGCTTCGGTTGTACACTACCAAGGTAGGTAGGCTGGCCTGCAGGCCTTGTGCAAGTCGTGGATTATTCGTTGCTATTCCTTTTGACCCAGGACTCAATTCGAGGCTAGTTGGACCTGTTTCCGCTTGCGTTGGCTTAAGTAGCAATGTCCAAATAGCGCTGAAGAGTGATTGCGGATGGCTCTCTTGGCTCTACGGTGGAATTGATGCAGAATCTGATACCTGTACAGCAGACGTAGAAGGATTACTAGGTGAGGTCTAAGGGCAACAAGGTCAGGTGTTATTGCGTCTCCGGCAGTAGTTCAAATGACACTAGATTTCGAGATGAACACGGGTACGAGGAGAACTTCTAGGCGGTAAACTTTCCAAGTTAGTTAAGTTAGTTAGGTGTGCTAGGCCATTCTTAGCTGGACTGATCGATGTTCGGCTTGCCATTCCGCTTATCTTTTGGGCTGTCAGTGTCAGTGATTCTTTTCCTCTTCCAGGCATCAAATGTCGTTCCCTTAGCTGCCGTTCCACAGTCTTTGGTCTAGCATGGCGATATCAAAGTACTAAGATAGTACTCGTATTGATACCTAGGAAAAAGGTAATTCGCTCCTGTTCAGGCAACTACAACCTGAAAGACTCTCCTCTCCTTGCGCCAAAAGTCAGTGCCGAGCGCTCTTCGTCACTCGTATTACTCGGACTTGGCCTGCGCAATGTTGCAGTCCGCACGAGTTCGCCAAACCTTCTCTCCGCCTCAAGCCGAGAGGCTCCCACGAATGAGACCAGCATCGCAGCACGCAAGGCCCTCGTATCCACCCCCTCGGTTCAGCTGTCATCCCGAATGCTGACTGGTTGAGTCAGTGGCAATGACTGCACGATCTGGGCATGACGACCCTGGCACCCTGGTTATCGAAATCAATGGCGGTCCGACGTGCAGTATTTTTTCCATCCAGTGTTAAAAGCAACTACAGAAACCATCCTGTCCGGATCAGTGGACTGATACAAGATTTTGTGGGGTCTGACTTTGATATCTTGAAGCTCAAACTTCTCAATCTACAATTTCTGTTGACGCATATTCTCACGACATCCCTTTGAGTCGGATTTCAAGTCGATTGCGTACCAACTTCTCTGTGTCTTGTGTCACACAACACCTTCGTACTAGCATTGTCCGGGAGACATCGGCCATCATCATGACAACCACGCAACTCGACGCTTCCGAAGTCAATAGCTATGACTACCTTATCGTGGGTGGTGGCACAGCGGTAGGCCTCCTCGGGATAAATCATGAGCATCCATCAATCAAATGAGTTTGAGAGCGGGAAACAATCATTGGAAGACATTAGAAAAGACACTAACAGGGCATGATAGGGCTGTGTCATTGCCTCTCGACTGGCCGAATACCTCCCACACAAGAAGATCCTACTGATAGAAGCTGGGCCTAGCGATTTCATGGACAACCGCGTCCTCGACCTCAAGCAATGGCTCAGCCTTCTCGGAGGAGAACTTGACTACGACTACGGCACCACTGAGCAACCAATGGGTCAGTCATCAACTTTTGTATTCCAAACAGCTCACCCTAAATCCTTTGCAGGAAACTCACACATCCGCCACTCCCGCGCCAAAGTCCTAGGCGGATGCTCCAGTCACAACACGCTGATATCCTTCCGCCCGTTCGAGTACGACTGCAAAATCTGGGAGTCTATGGGCGCCAAAGGCTGGACTTTCCCCATGTTCATGCGTGTGCTCAACAAACTCCGTAACACCGTGCAACCTGTACACTCCCGGCACCGGAACCAGTTGTGTAAAGACTGGGTCGAATCGTGTAGCACAGCCATGAACATCCCCGTGATCCACGATTTCAACAAGGAAATCGCCACGACTGGGTCTCTCAAGCAAGGCGTAGGCTTCTTCTCCGTCTCCTACAACCCGGACGATGGCCGCCGCTCATCCGCGAGTGTCGCATACATCCACCCTATTCTCCGGGGCGACGAATCACGTCCGAACCTCAAAATCCTCACCAATGCATGGGTTTCGCGAATCAATGTCTCCAATGACAAGGTAACGGGGATCAACCTGACTCTGCAATCTGGAACGAACCTGACTCTCACCGCACGCACCGAGACAATCCTCTGCGCCGGCGCCGTCGACACGCCTCGCCTCATGCTGCTCTCTGGCCTTGGCCCGGCGGCCGATCTCAAATCCCTTCACATCCCAGTGGTCAAGAACCTCCCCGGCGTCGGCGAGAACCTGATCGACCACCCCGAGACCATTATAATCTGGGAACTTAATCGGCCCGTTCCACCTAACCAAACGACCATGGATTCCGACGCTGGTATCTTCCTGCGCCGGGAAGCCCCCAATGCAGCGGGCAAGAAGTCCACGCCCACCAACCCGCACGCCGTTCCCGATGGTGATATAGCAGACGTCATGATGCACTGCTACCAGATCCCGTTCTGCCTGAACACGACAAGACTCGGCTACGACACGCCCATCGACGCGTTCTGCATGACACCCAACATCCCTCGTCCGCGTTCGCGAGGCAAACTCTATCTGACCTCCGCGGATCCCAGTGTCAAACCGGCGCTGGACTTTCGCTACTTCACGGACCCCGAAGGGTATGATGCAGCGACATTTGTCTTTGGCTTGAAAGCGGCACGCAAGGTCGCACAGCAAGCGCCATTCAAGGACTGGATTATACGCGAGGTCGCTCCCGGCCCGAAAGTGCAGAGTGACGAGGACTTGAGTGAGTACGCCAGACGTGTGGCGCATACGGTGTACCACCCGGCTGGAACGACGAAGATGGGCGATGTGAAGAGTGACGCGATGGCGGTTGTCGATGAGAAGTTGAAAGTCCGCGGGTTGAAGGGTTTGAGGATCGCGGATGCTGGTGTGTTCCCGGTCATGACGACCATCAATCCCATGTTGACGGTGCTGGCTGTTGGCGAGAGATGTGCAGAGTTGGTGGCGCAAGAGGCTGGCTGGAAAGGAGATGGGTCGGTCAGGGCGATGCTGTAAAGAAGAAGAAGCTCCCGGTATGTTGGATATGTTAGGGAAGTACGGTGAGTGGCGCAGAGATGTCCGGATAGCAGGGGTGCTGTGACATTGGCTGGTCGTGCCAGAGACGTACCACATATACTAGGACAGCGGACAATATGCTCTGGGTCTGATGCGAGGCTCAGGATGACGCGAGTCCTTGGAGACTCAAGACGGATTCAGCAGGAATTTGGATAAGAGATGAGTGACGCTGCATCTTGTGGACGACTATCTGGAAAGAGTCGTTGCGACGTGGCAAATTGGCGAAGCGATCAAGTATGCAGATTGGGAGCGACAATGGAAAGATCAAGATCCGAAGGACCACGGCAAGGAAGTGGACGAGGCACGACAGCTTGATGTATGTGTGCCCAAAAAAAAGGACTGCCAGGGATAGGCATGGCATGGCCTCGGCTTCTTGGGGGTCTCTGGAGTTTGGCGGTTGATTTGTTGGGTGAACAACGCTAGTACTCTACACTGTTAGGAGACGTGTCATAAGGCATCTCGAATTAGTGAACAAGACGCCGCAATATGAATACGTTGGACATAGACACAATTCAGGAGAGGTTCTCTGGTTTGATCCCTTTCCAGTGATGCCGCCTTGGCCAGCATCGCCTAGTAGACATACAACATGGGGAAGAACCGATGAAGCCGATACTCCCAGTAACACGGCATCTCAGCTCAGCTCAGCTCACTCAATCACCAACACTAACGCCAGCCTTATCCGCCTCCTTCGCCCCCGTCTGCTGCGGGTCTGTGCCTTTGGTGACCTGCTCCTCTGTCTCATCCGTACCTGTCACAGGCTTGTCTTTTGCGGCGTTTGTATTTGGCACATCACCTTCCTCCGGCGCCTCGGGTATACTCATGTTCTTTTCCAGCTCTTTGATCTCTTCGGGATCCGCTCCTCCTATATCGCTGCCTCTATGTTGCTTCGGCATATCCGCAGGAGGGTCGGTGTTGACTTCTTCAGAGTCTGGCACTGCCATCCCGGTGGCTTGTGGTGGTGATGCCGAGTCTTCAAGTACGGTCTCACTCTGATCCGCGGGAGTGGAGACACTCAATCGTGATTTCTGCTTCGTGACGCTGCTTTGTCGTCTTTGTTCGACAAGCTGTGCCTCCGTCGACGGCCCTTCACTGTCGCTGCTGCTTGCACTCGCCGTGCCCTCGGATTCGGCAATCTTGTCCACAGATGTTCTCTTGGCACCTTCCGATGCCAATTGAGCAGGGGTCTTTGCTGCCGTGACCTCCGTTGCCATGTCCGGAGATTCAGCGGCGGCATCTGCACTTATTCTCGTTGCTGCAGGTACGGGTGTCTGCTCCGTAGTATCTGGTGCCTTTGTGGGTGCTTTTGCAGCTTGTGCCGTGGCGGCTTTCCTTTGGCCTGCTTTGGCTGCAGCTTCAGCACCCAGTTGTCGCATGGCGACATTCATTGGAGACTCGGCAGGCTTCGATGAAGATGTTGGGGCGTTGTCCGAGGTTGTGGATTCTCTATCTTTTGGCTCAGTGATCGAGATGTGCCGAGTTTCGGACGAGGCTCGAGAGGTAGGGCCGGACGAGGCTGTGCTCGTAGATGGGGGTTTGGGTGCTAACGTGTTTGTTGTCAAAGTCGCAGCTGGGGCGCCGAGTTCCGAGAATCCAGCAATCTGATCTTTGAGTTCACCGTACTCGTTCCATTCTTCGACCTGTTCGAGGTCCTATGCAAGGATTAGCCACGGATGATCGGAGGTTATCATGGGAACGTACACCGATAATGGTGCCATATTTCACAAGTCCGGGTAGTTTCCTGCCTTTCGATCTTCTTCCCCATAGCATACGAGCCTTTTCATCTGTGGCACAGTCGAGTGCTCGGAAGGGTATCTTGTTCGCTTTAAGGATGGTTTCAAGTCGAGAGGTCGCTGTGATGATATGAGAAGATCCTGCAGTAAGAGAGGTATATAGGTATAGAGTAGGGTCTGCAGAATAGGATGTCGCCGCCATGGTGAGCAAGCTAACGTCGAACCGACCGAGCTGCGGCGGGGAAACGAGCAGCTCTCGATCCTCTGTCAGAGAGATAAGACGGTAGATGGATTCTGTAGTCGGAAAGAAAGCCTTGACGATGCCTCAAGTCAAAAGAGTGATCTTCGTGTCGCCGAAGTGGTCAGAATGAACATGATAGCAATAGATAGTGAGATTGGTGAAGCGCGTGAGTTGGCAAAAGCATGCCGCTCGGCAACCGTAAAGATCTGCGTTGATGTCATCAAATCTGCCCCAAGGCTGCCTGCCTTAGGTAAGCATGGAAAGGTATGTGAACGAACATCAAAGGTTTAGGCACACGTTAGTCTTATTCTGATATTACTTGCAGAGAGCTTGAGACTAAGATTCAAGCCTATGATGTCCTCAACTGAAGGCTACATGCGCCGAATAGCGGGCGAAGAATCACCTCGTAATCGCTGGTCCGATGAATAGCATTGTGAAGTTATGAAACATACACTACCTACGAACAACAGACCTTGTGTCCGGAGGGTACATAATGTGAATGTGATCACGTAGATCCAAAGCAGCATTGCGCCCCACTACCATGACCATCAAGCAGAAACCTTGAGCTCGAAAGCAACCATCAACTTTTGGGGGGTTGAGCTGATGCCTGCAGAGCTATTCGAGGCGGTATACGGATAAACCGGTCAAAATCCCGAAGGATCTCAAGAATGCCTAGAACGACGAGACACGCTGGGCGTGAGACAAGTCCCCTGGAAGGTTCTTGAGATCTGTGCGGCGGAATGGGCATTACGATCCTATAATTTCGTCGTCATCCTTCGTGAGTGGAACTCGACTGTTTTCCGTAGGTGCTTAGCTCCGTAGATGCAGATGAGATACAGCATATGGGAGAGAATAGAATACGAAATGATCGGCCGACACAGTGAAATGATAGTGCGCACGAGTGCGGTATCTTCGAAAGACTGTTGCCAGGCAAGCAGGCGAGCAGGCTGCACCATCTGCACCATACGCCATAGAGGTGTCAGGGGGGTTTTGCGGGTGCAGGCGACAAAAGGACCCTTGAGTGCCTTGACACTGACAGCGCCTGGTGGCTTTCGCCCAGAAACAAGCGTCTGATGGCGCCATCGCGCCTAGAAGACTCGCAGAGTGAGCCTCCACGATCCATCCACCCAGCCATGGTCAAGGTGAATGGTACATGGTAGAGGCCATCCGGTTCCTTCCGTGTACCACACTGGTGATACCGGGCCGTGAGAACAGACGGTTGAGGCGAATGGCCATGAAGCTTTGTGTCACGGAGAAGTTGGTATCCGTATAGTGCAACGATACCCCGCCAAAAGTGCACAAAGCTGCTGTCATATAAACCTGTATTCAAGAACTCAGAACTTGTTTTTAAATTGTGATGTCACTGTCATTTTTGTCCACTGTGGCTTATTTACAGTTCCCGCCTAAGTAATTTTAACTCGTACCAAAGCGTTCGGGCGGCCAAGGCAGCCAGTAAGACTCGGAAACACCACATGGAAAGGGATAAGCCTTCGGGTAAGAATAACCGGTCACTACTCTATTTGCCTAGGTATTCGATGCTCAACGTTTCCTGCTTTTCCACTTCCTGACTTCCTGGCATACCTTAGGCTTCCTTGTCGAGGGTGAACATCGATGCTCTGGCGACAAGAATTATGACGACAATGGCCAACTACCGAAGCCTCATATCTATAGCCACTGGATTGATTGTCTTCGCCTTTATTGTGTATTTCAGGTTGGGCCATGCAAAACCATTTGCGATACCACAGCTTGAATTCGGTGGGCCGGGACATAAACGATTTGATGGAAGATGGAATTTCAAGAGGGACGCGGAAAATCTGATGCTCGACTCCCATCAATGCGAACAGGCTTTTCCAGGCTTGTTTCATGAAGTCGAAAGACCTGGGAATGACAGGAAGGATTCACCCATAACGCTTGAAGAGCTTGATTCGGTTCCACAACAAAATGGATATGTTCGTGCAATGATCTACGATCAACAGGTAAGGGTTAAACTCTGAACGACTTCCGTCACGCATCCTTTCTGTTCATGGCATCCAGTCACTAATATACGTGCCTTCAACTGATATAGCTCTACGTTATTGCAACAGCTGGAGGTATCTATTCTCGCGAACTCGCTACCCTCCATGCTTTACACCGGGCTATTCTATCATCACCCGAGCCTCTCCCAAACATCGAGTTCGCTTTCAACACCGACGATCGAATCCCCTCGGTCGCTATATGGGGTTATGCCCGGCGCGCCGAGGACACAAACATATGGCTCATCCCTGATTTTGGCCATTGGTCATGGCCCGAGACAAAAGTTGGATCTTTGCGAGAAGTCCAGATGAAAGCCTCACTGACCGAACAAGCCGATGGCTGGTCGTGGTCCAGAAAGATACCAAAAATCCTCTGGCGAGGCGCTACCATGGGTCTGGAGTTACGGGAGCGATTTCTCAACGTCACCGCCGACCAACCTTGGGCAGATGTCAAGGCTTTGAAATGGAGGGATAAAGACTCCATGGCTAATGATCTCAAATCAATGTCTGAGCACTGTCAGTATAAATATCTGGCTCACACAGAAGGAAATTCCTATTCGGGACGACTCAAGTATCTCCAAAGCTGCCGGTCCGTCGTGGTCGCGCACAAAATGGACTGGATCCAACATTACCACCCTCTTATGCGATCGAGCGGACCCCGGCAGAATTTTGTCGAAGTCGAGCGCAACTACGAGAATCTCGCAGAGAAAATTACTTGGCTTCAAAAGCACGGCAGCGACGCCGAAAGAATTGCTTCAAACAATGTCAAAGTGTTTCGTGAGAGATATCTGACCTCTGCCGCTGAAGTCTGCTACTGGCGAAAATTGATTCACGGTTGGTCAAAAGTGAGCTTTCAACCAGAGTTCTTCGAGCTTGTGAATGGAACGAAGAATTGGAGAGGCGTACCAGTGGAGTCTTTCATGTTGGAGCGAAGACTTAGGTGGGATCCCTATTGATTGTGGAACGACTTCAGAACTTGCAACGGAAGAACGTGAGATATGTCGAAGCATACGAACGACAAATACCGACACGGTACACAGAACGCTACGCAACAACACTTTGAACATCGTTAACATGCATGGTTGATGGGAAATGGTAAATCCTGAGGGAAAGTTCAACTTCATGGCTTTCAGAGGAGTCAGTGTCTTGTCCTGGGATCCTACACGGAATCAACATTCGATTCACCCCTCTAATCGAGGTATCAAAAAGGTGTTTCTAGAATCATTGAACTCAAGGTCCACAGACTGCAGGGAATTGAACATGCATCGGTCTCCTGGAACAGGTACGTAGCCCCAAGGGATGCTTTGAATCTACTCTCACACAGTTAGCCTGGTAACATACGTAGCTACAGATACGTTGGGAAGGCCCGTTGGTCCCGGGAAGACCGTGCTTCATCAGAGCTCGACGCGACACTGGCAACGGCATGTGCAGAATGAAAGCTGGTCACATTCATATTCATGGCTCTGGCTACATCTGTTTCGTCCCCATGGATTCTTTTACTCCATTCTCGACCTGATGGGACACCTGGGCAGAAAGCGGGTACAGCGGATAAATGAAGCCTCCGGCCTTCCAAACGCAAACAAGAGTACAGACTTTATAGATGCGAAGCGATCACACCCACATCGCTCCACATTCAGTCCCCATGGAACCAAGGAAGGCTGCTGAAGCGATGACTCCCACTGTTCTACGTCGACCAGGCTTTGAGGCTAGCCGACCCACATGTCCCCTAATGGCCGTCGCGCGTGCATCCTACGAATGTACCACAACTCTAGATCAAGGAGAGGGTACTAGCCTAGCCTACCTTGACAGGATGGAATGGATCTGCTCTCCTCTCTGGACCTCACTTTCATTAATACCTAGGTGGGTAGCTCGCTGGACAGTTCTAGACTCGCTTCATACGAATGCAACGGTGGTGGAATGTCACAGTCACAGACAGGAGTACCACGGAACTACAGCCTCACTCATGCTGGACATCATTCTCTGATTCGCTACCAACCCCGTCGAGGTTATCGGGCATAGTATACGACGGGACGTCCCCAACTACTTGGTGACCCAGGCTGCCCTAAGCTACTTCACCGAGCATGTTCGAAGACTATCATGTGGCTGTCACCACCAACTGACAACTCTATGTATAGAATTCTCTGGAGTCGAAGGACATTGCAGGACCCGCCTTTCGGCCATCTCTGAGGTACTCCCTACAGTGCAGTTCCGCTCTGTGTGATCCACTTCACCCACACAACACTCTTTCTACCACTACGAGGTACCATGAAACACAAAAATAGTGCTGGCCCACGACGAGCCATCTACGACTAGTACAGCAAATCGGTCTCCTCGAAGTCGAACCAGAGTTCGAGGCCCCTCTTTTGTTGACGGACCAACCTCAGCCAAAAAGAAAAGAGTTGCAGGGCTCTTGACTGCTTGATGTTCATGGCGCGTTTTGAGTGCCACCACAGTACGTAACTGGACAGCATGAGCACACGTTCATCGACTTATTCAACCACATTATTCTGAAGTGCTTCCCAGCTTTTCTGTTACCCACTCGGGGTCCGGGATCCTCACAGCCTATCCTACCAGGCTCATGATGCCGTCAAGATCGTTTTCCACCGGTCGGCCATCACTCGTCATTTCTGTGGCTCTGGTCGCGTGTCTGGCTATTCATGTTGGTGTCGACTATGGCTACAGCGGCGTCGCATTCTTCCCAAGCTTCTTCTCGACGGACAACACGGCAGAAGGACAAATCAAACAGAGTCCCGCGTGTGCGGTGGATCGACAGCTGGACTGGCTTTCTCAATCCACAAATCAGACACCGACGACGATGAATCTGCTGCTGGTCTGCCCTGGTGTTGCGGTCGCCTTGAAAGACCATCACCAGCATCGGCTTCAACAGTCTCATGCACAGTCTCCATTGCCAGTATTCACCCAACAGCTTCGCAGCTACATTGAATTCCAACTGCAACAACGGGCAGACCCACGTTTGGAATGGATATTCTTCCTCAAGGACCACGAGACGTTGTTCTCGCACACACCCGGATTACTTCGGAAATTCGTCCACCATGCACCAAGCGAAGTCCACGTTCTCACTTTCGCACCACCTGGCAAAACGAGTGCGAGTAGTAGTACGGATACCCCGTGGGCAGCGGCGCTCGGTCTCTTTGCGATTGGACTGGATCGCCGGAGCGTCCGCCTGCTCGATTCCGTCCTGCACTTACTTGAACAGCGACCGGGCCTGACCGAGACCGATGCCATCGCGATTGCTCTAGCATCTTCGCACAATAATGCCCGTGGCGTGGTCGTTGTTCCGGAATGGTGGCTCGACGTCAGAGGTAACTGTGTCGAACGAGCTACATGGGAGGCGCAATCCGGAGTGACTCATGTGGTGCCGACGGATCAGCTTTGTTGTGTTTCGGATGCCTGTCGGGATGCTCTGGCCCACATTGCTACACAGCGCAGGACGACAACAACAACCGGGCAAGTTGTCGATCCACAAATCCCTCTCAACCACGATTCCGAGTTATCCATTGAGCACGTCGTTGAAGCTTTCTGGATGGGTGTGAAGACGAGATGTGCAGAATGATGGGTGAATCGGAGGATTGATTTTCCGAACTGGCTAGCGTTTTTCTCCTCAACCCTGCGCTGATTATCTGTACAAGTACAGAGTATGAGGTCGCCAGCCCCTCAATTGCAAGCACCCGGTAGAAACCCGAGAGCAGAAAATGTATGGTTGATGCTATCTAGAAATCAGAATGCCATGAACAGACATCCTCGGAAGGGAATCAGACTTGGGCACATGAGTACTCTGTAGGTTTCGCCGAAATGACTACACAGGGGCATCAGCCATTTCGGCGAAATTGATGTGCACCAGTGAGGGTCGTGATGGTACGTTTTGGCCTTGAGTTAGACAGTGCCAAAGTCTCTGCCCATCCATGGACGTCGCGAGCGTCATGACCACAGGTCAGTTCATCCAGCAAAGGAGAGGATGAGAGGAGTGAGTGGCTCTAGCTATCCTCATATCTAGAACATGACACTGGCAAATTCCAGGGTCGCTGAAGGCGAGGGATAATACGAGTCTTGTAGAGACCCTGCCCCATGAGGCCATCACTCACAGAGGATTTCCATCAATCAAATCAAATTACTACAAAACTGATCAACATCCCACTTGCGATTGATACAGACCTTACGCAATTGTTTTATAATCCCTTCTGATCTTGACTAATGCTGCGAACGAGCATCTCGTATGAGTAACAGGTGAGCATCCTCCAGCAATCGCCTCGCTATGGCTGGTCCAAGAGTCTTCGTCCCGAGATCTGTATCAACCCATAAATAAGTTAGGCTTCGCACTACTAGTAACTAAGCGTACGTACAATGACACTCGGGGGTCCAAAAGGCTCTTCAGTGTCCGTCCCGTCGAATACGAGGCCCCTACGAGGGGGTTTGCGGGGGTCCCGGGACATGGGTAAAAGCAGTGACCAACCCACCGGCTCTCACGTCCACTCATTACTTTGATCTCACATCCTGTCGTAGGTTCACAAAATCATTATCCCTACACTAAAAGATTTCTTGACTTGCAGCTGTTCAGCAATGGAGCAGAGCTCAAGTCGTGCGTACCGTCGCCGAAAGCGCAAGTTGGCGTGTAAATACTGCAATTCTCGCCATATACGATGCAAGTTGCCAGAGCCGTCCGACAGGACCACCAAAGCAGCTGGAAAACCCGGTCGATATCAATGTCAAGCTTGTTTTGACGCCAATAAAGAGTGCGACCTCGAAACACTCACAACCACGATGGACGAAGAATTCCAGCCTCAGTCTCAACCAACGCAGCGTGCGAAAGTCAAAGCGCGTCTGCAGGGGACGGCCACCTCGGACCAGCAACATTATCCCACGCTTCCAGAAATGTCGCCCACACACCTATCAGAACACTACGACCACAGCACGCAGAGTGGCGCTCCCAGTCTGCCTTCAGTGGACGTACAAGTTTCGTTCTCGCCTCGCTCCAAGAGTACACCGGCCCAGGAAGGCTCGGAGATGCTCCTGGTACGCTTGACGGATACGCAGCAGGACAAGAACGAACCTCGCCAGCCTGCTAAAACGACGGACAGAGTCTTATATTTTGGAGACGAGTCGGTCTGGTCTGATAGCCTTCGAAGAGCTCGGAGCAGCAAATCCAGATATCCTGCAAGCCTACAGCCTCTGAGCACCCGATTAGTCGACCGCAACATCCACTATGCAGTGCCTCCAACAGTTGGCGATCAGCCTCAAGATACTCCACAGGATGATCTCGACGTGCAGCAGGAAGAAATGAAATTACTCCAAAGAAAAGGAGCCTTTTCTCTGCCACCTCTCGACATCCAGAGAAACCTCCTCGACGCCTACTTCACGTGGTTATATCCCTTACAGCCCATCCTCGACAAAGAGCAGTTCCTTGACGACTTTGACAGGGGCCAAGCACCCATCATTCTCCTCCAAGCATTATTGTTTGCTGCCACTACCTGCTGTGACGAAAGCATCATCATACCGTTTTGGCCAAGTCGCCGATCGGCTCAATCTACCCTGTACAAACGGGTCAGGGCGCTGTACGATGCGGATCACGAACAAAACCGCGTCACGATTGTTCAGGTTCTCTTCCTCATGTGTTTCTGGTGGGGGAGTCCCATGGACAAAAAGGACTTCAGCCACTGGTTGGCGGCATCTATCCATCTGGCACAAGTGACTGGCATGCATCGGTCGTATGATCAAATCCACGGTCCATACCACATGAGGGGACGGATTATTGACTGACTACCGAATAGAACCAAGGACTCACATCTGTCACCCAAAGACAGAAAGCTCTGGAAACGCATCTGGTGGACTTTATATGTAGGCCGCAGACCCCGTTCACACAAATTTGGTTCGCTAAGTCGTCTAGGTACGGGATCATTTCGATGCCGCGTCAGTAGGCCGGCCCATGATCATCAATGACGACGATTGCGATATTGAACCCTTGTACCTGTCCGATTTCGAATGCGACGAGAACGAAACGCCACCGCCAGGAGCTCGACATTGTGTTGAAATGACGAAACTGGCGACTCTAAGTATGTGCCACCAAAAATCTCGTGCAAGAGAAACAAGCTGACGTGAATTAATTTGTAGTTGGGCGAGCAATTCGAGCCGTCCGATCCAGTCAAATTCACAGAGATTCCACCGACTCCAAGGGGGCCATCGATGAAGATCTTTCGGCTTGGGAAAAGCAGCTGCCAGAGCCATTACGCTACCACGAAGGGGAGCCTGACCCACAGGCCATGCAGTTTGCAGCAATGCTAATGTTGGGCTTCCAGTATGTACATGATCCACGATTTTTGTTGCAAGAGTTGGAGTGTCTGACGAACATGTCCAGTTTTTGCCGGATTGTCCTACATCGAAAAGGTTTCCTAGACTCGAAGAACAAAAACGAGTCCGTCTCAATGGCCCCGGCGTCGGCTAATGTCGTAACCCGTATCGTCGAGGAATTACTCAGCGAGGGTCTCCTGCCGCGGGTACAAGTACATTTGTAAGCTGTCATGTTGTTGTTTTGATCGAGGCTAACATTGATGCTTCAACCGGACAGAATCGCGGTCATCTTTGCGTCCTTCACGATCCATGTTGTTTCGATGGAGCAAAGCCAGGGAGCACGCAGGCGAGTCCTGCAACACAAATCCAAGCTGTGCCTCTTGGGTCTTGCAGAGTTTCGTGACTATTGGCCATTTGTGGACTGGATGTACCGACTCTTCAGTAGCCTCCTGCACTGGCTGGAGGTTGGAGACAGCTCCTCCTCTTCCTCTTCCTCCGGGGTCCACCACAATCAGGCGCTGTGGACCACCCAGCTTCGCCCGGAAAAGTTGAATCTACCACTAGTAGTACAACCGGAATTGACGGACAGCACCACCGAGGTCACTCGTGGTGACAACACGGCCATGTCTTTCCCTCTCTACGAGCAAGATGCAAGCTCCATCGCGGATGTTCAGCCGGATCAAGGCATGCTCCAGCAATTCATGTCCGGCATGCTAACAGAAAACTTTCTCGACCCGTTTATGCCTCTGGACAATCTCGATTGGGACGATCCAAGCGTAACCAACTTGGCCAGCCTGGCAGGAAATTCCATGCTTTGAGGACCTCCACACCATTACCTATGGTGGACAAGGGTTCTCTGTCCTGAGAAATCCCCTCGCCTTCCACAAGTATGGGTTTTGAGGCGGCAAGACTGCTATCATCTTCAAGAGTGGCACGTCCAAAAAGCCTGAGCTTCTTCATAATTTATATTTGTCACGCACTCGGCACGTGGGACTCCATTGCATGTTCGCGATAAGGAGCACCGCCTGCGCCTTGCGCCTCATATTCTCGCGCATCCTAGCATCCTTGTACATAGTTCCTCCCACGTGGCGATTTTTCGTCCTTTGGGATCCTGGCCGACACTTTGTCGATGGGTGTGAGTACTTGCCCACTAGGCTTCACCGATGTACTTGGGCCAATTTGGACTTGGGTTACGAGCAATCCATCCACCGTCGACGATAAATGCTGTGATCAGTCAGTGTGGTCAACAGATGACTAGATTTCTTTTCCATTTTTTCTTTTAGCATGGGAACACTCACGATGCCCGGTGATATAAGACGCCTCGTCCGAAGCCAAGAAAAGAACCAGCTGAGCCACCTCGTCCGGGTGCCCTCCGCGATTCATGGGTATGCTCTCGAACAACTCTTCCCTCAGCTTTTCATTTTTCAACGTCGCTTCCGACATTGGAGTGTCCATAAACCCCGGACAGACTGTCATTGCTCGAATCCCGTCCCTTGCATGGTCCATGGCAATCGTCCGCGTGAGATTGATCAATCCGCTCTTTGCGGCATTGTAGGAAGAGAGACCATAATCTCCACCAATGCCGGAAACACTGGCAGTGTTCACGATGACTCCTTTTCCTTGCCTTTTCATGTGGGGAATGATAGCTTTGGCCAGATAGAAGGCGCCACAGAGGTTGGTCATGATGACCTTGTTGAAAACGTCCACGTCATGGTCGGCCACCGGGACGATCGGACTCAGCATTGCTGCATTGTGGAACAGGACATCGATTCTTTTGAACTTGTCAATGCAGGCATCGACGGCAGCGAAGCAGGATTTCGGGTCTGAACATGGTCTCAGTGTCAGTTGTGACGGTTTGCTAGCCAATGGCATCGTACGAATCCGTGTAAAAAGGGTATGGAAGGGAAGAGTGGGGAAAATGAATGTGAAGGTCCAAAGGCCTGTCGAGGCAAATGGTTTACCTGAGACATCACACTGGTGGAAGTGAGCGTTCGGACCGAAGTGCTGCATTGCATTTCGCTCCTTGATGGTTGATCTTCGTTAGTAGTGTGCAAGGAATAACAGTATAGTGCTGGAAATAGAGGTGCATTGTCTGTCGGCTTGAGCTTGTGCCAGATTCTTGTGGGGGAAGATCTTTGATTGTCTCGATGTATCATGGGAACAATTTTTACCTTCAGGTCCGTAACAAAGACTCTGGCGCCTTCGCCCAAGAACAGCTTGCAGGTCTGTGCTCCCAGTCCAGAGGTACCCCCGGTGATGAATACCACTGCATCGTGAAAACGCTTCGCCATGGTTTGAGCAATATAGCCGCCGATTAAGCAGCGCCCTGTTGCAGTTCAAACTGGCTTCTAGGGAGTTCAGGTCCGAAGTGGCAGAGAGAGAGAGAGAGTGAGTCATAAAGTCATGCTTTTATGTGGCTCTTGCACACCAGCTGTAAGCCCCAACGAGGCTGACTCAGGCCCCGACATCGAGGGTCTTTGGGGAAGGGGAGATGAGCCATAATGGTGTCTGGCCTAAATTTCGCCGAAACACACACGTTCAATGGGAATTTCGACCAAGAGTCAGAATTGCATCTCCGATCTTACGTCTAGCTCTGATAGTAAAACGTGGACCCTACCAGGTACGTTCCGAGAGGTCTTCGCGAAGCTGCATGTAGGGGCAGTCGAAAGTGTGTCTACAAAAGCAAGGCACTTTGCAGCAGAAAGAACGGCTCACTATACTGAGCACTGCCTCGACCACTTATCTGTTTCAATAATGGCGCCCCTTTTGATGACAGGGTAAGAAGCCATCTTCCACCGAGCAGTGATGTTATACTCACCGGAATAACAGAGTCGGCCTCGTCACCGGAGCCGCCTCAGGAATTGGACGAGCATGTGCCAAGATCCTGGTCGAGGAAGGATGTACGAGGCTCGTGCTCTCGGATTTGACTGGGGATGGCCTGAAGGAGGTCTCAGACGAGCTCAAGAACATCGACCCTTTGGTGGAAACTGTTCTCTTCATCGGAGACATGAGCAAAGAGGTCGATGTCAACCGGATGGTCGAGGTTGGCGTCGCTAGATTTGGAGCAATTCACTATTGCATCAATAGTGCGGGCGTGACAAGTAAACCCAGACTGCGGACGCACGAACTGGAGACCGAAGCATTCGATCGAGTCATCAACATCAATCTTCGAGGCTTATGGCTTTGCGAGAGGGCGCAGATCCGCCAATTCCTGAAGCAAGAGCCAACCCTTAAAACTCGCAATCATACCCAAGGCATAGCGACCCAGCGAGGAGCTATCGTAAACATCAGCAGTATTTTCGGTCTCACAGCACACGCAACGGCTGGGGCTTACCCGGCCTCGAAGTCCGGAGTATTAGGACTGACAAGGACGGATGCGGTAGCGTACGCGACAGACGGGATCAGAGTCAACGCCATTTGCCCTGGTTTTATCAATACTCCGTTGGTGGAACAGGCAAAAGCGGCAGGCGCAGACTACAACAAACTCGTCAGCTTGATCCCGTTCAGACGGATGGGTACTGCCGAAGAGTTGGCCGAAGCGGCCGTGTGGCTAGCAAGTGAGCGAGCAAGTTATGTGAGCGGTGTTGAGTTGCCAGTGGACGGTGCTTGGGTCAGAGCGTGCAACACTTGAGGACTGCAATCGGAAAGAAAGTGAAGATTACAAATCATCTTCACGTCGGGAGGATCTCCTGAACAGTACCTAGGTTACAAACCGCGTGGAAAGATTCGCCGAATAGCAAAACATTATGCCAGTAAAAGTGCGCCAACTTCAACTCGGCATTGACATTTTCGGTCTTCATTTCTTGTCCTGAGAGTATATCTTCAAGTGTGCATAGCCGTTAGTTGATCTCCTATTCCAAGCTTAGCAAATATCATGGCTCACGCGGCGAGCAAGACGCACCAAGTACGGTCAGAAGGCATTTTCCACGGATTGCCATTCATCGATGCTGCTCGAAAGAACCTTCGGGCTATAATTGTTGGCGCAAGCGGTCAGTCTGGCCAACCCGTGGTTGATGTGCTAAGCTCCAGTCCGGACCGATGGGAGAAGGTCTATGCCCTGTCAAGGAGGCCGCCCAAGACGGAAGCGAAGAACGTGGAACATGTAGCTGTGGATTTGCTCTGGGAGCCAGAACAAATTGCTGGTGCCTTGCGGAAACACCAAGTCCAGGCGTAAGTCGACCCTCAGTTCATGTTCGTGTAGCAGGGAAGCACTTGGGAATAACATTTCTACCTGCCCAGTGATTATATCTTCTACTTCGGCTATGTGCAGGTTGCAAGACAAGGTGTCGACTCGGCGGTGTTTGGGGATGCAAATGACTTGGCCGAAATCAACGGTGAGAGAACTCCTACCGGACACGCAGAAGCCTCGTTCTAATCGCTTGTATGCAGGACGGCTCTTTGAGAGCTTTCTTCTCGCCTTAGACCAAGCGGATGTTCACCCCAAACGAATTGTGCTCCAGACCGGGGGCAAGAACTACGGCGTTCACCAAGGCCATGTGAATGTCCCCCTCACCGAGGATTCTCCCAGGGTGGAATTAGAGCCCAACTTCTATTACACCCAAGAAGATTTACTGGTGAAATATGCCAAAACCCACCCTGGGGTCAGCTACAACGTGACCATGCCGCAATGGATTTTGGCGGCAGTCGCCGGTACAGACATGACCATCTTCTATCCGTTGGCAGTCTATGCTTCCATTCAGCGAAAGCTAAAGCAGCCCCTGCAATATCCCGGTGATTTGGTATCTTGGGACAACAATCATCCTATATCGACAGGTGTCATTCTTGGTACCTTTTACGAATGGCTGGTATTGACCGACGACACCGCGGGGGAGTCTTTCAATATCACCGACGGATCGGAGTTCACCTTTTCCAAACTATGGCCGATTCTGGCGTCGTGGTTTGGTTTAGAGTGGCTTCCCCCTCAAGAAAACGGCAGCTACCACGAGGTAGAGCTGCCATATGTTCCGAGAGGGTATGGTAACCCCTTTTAAAGGTATTTTGTCAGTTCTCACTTGCTGATTTCGTACGTCAGATATGGCCCGAAAGGCAAGCTCCGGTCAACCTTTAGCTTCATCGATTGGGCAAAGGAGCCAGCAACTCGACAAGCCTGGGCTGAGCTGAAGCAAGAGCACGAACTCAACACCGAGCCTTTGCAGGATCCCGAGAAGACATTTGCTTTTCTACAGTTTGCGCTCGAGCTGACATGGTCCTGGTCGACGAGGTGAGAAGTTCTCACATACTAGTAAAGTGTCCAAACCAGACAATACTAACAGTGATCCTAGCTTGAATAAAGCCCGCAAGTTTGGCTGGCATGGCCATGTAGATTCTATCGAATCTATACACGCCGTGTTCAAAAAGTTCACGGAATTGAAAATGCTTCCGCCGTTCTGAGATGGGGAATTCATGCCACAAAACAATGCGACTCATTGGCCATGTTGGTTGGCCGAGACAGAAATACAGCAAGTTGACAGGTAATGGTTCCACGGGATATTGATCTTGTTCCAATTATTCCGTATAACAAATGAAAATACTTCCGCTGTTCTAGCTTTTCCTCCATGCACTTTACCAAGTTCCAGGACACTCTCACGAAAGTTGTGGATTGCTGTGATGCGATAGACCTGGTTAGAAGAATAGAAGAGATGCGTTCAACTGCTTTCAGGGCTTTCGTCCGTTCTAGATATTACCCGACAGTCCCTTCCACTGGAGATTGCCTGAGGCATACATAGCCGTTATTGACAATGTATAAAGTCAGCCAATTTCGCCGGGAACGTCAGAGCGCTTCGCCGAATTGTGTAGCAACACCACTTCAAGAGCTCCAGTACATGATTTGTGCCCGACCTACAGTAACAGCCAAATATTGTAGCGCCTAGCATATTATAGCTCAAACCGGCCGATGTTGTAAGTTAACTTCCAAGAGACTTCTGCGACTGATACCAGATCATTGTGAGAGCGTTGGACAATCCATCCGCAAAGCACGTATGTGTTGAATTGTAGTTGTACAACGACAAGAGATCTAACGAACCACAGAATACTGTAAGAGGGCTCAGACAAGTATGACGCGGGTCCTCCTCACGGGTGGCTCTGGCTTCATCGCGACGCATGTATTGGACCATCTCGTCCAGCGAGGATACAGTGTGGTGACGACTGTGCGCTCTGCAGCCAAGGCCGACAAGATCAGAGCTGCGTACCCAACAATCGGTACAGATCGACTGGATTTTGCGATTGTGGAAGACATTGCCCAAGATGACGCCTTTGACGACGCCCTCATATCCACTCCACCATTCGACGCCGTCATTCACACGGCCAGCCCGTTCCATTTCAATGTCACAAATGTGCAACGAGATCTTCTAGATCCTGCAACCAAGGGGACGACTGGTGTTCTAAGATCTATTGTCAAGAATGCGCCCACGGTAAAACAAGTCGTCATCACTTCCTCCTTCGCCTCGGTTGTGAATCCTTTCAAAGGAACTTGGCCAGAGCACACGTACACGGAAGAAGACTGGAATCCTGTCAATCTGCAACAAGCCTCGGAAAGCATTGTCAATGGCTACCGGGCAAGTAAGACTTTTGCTGAGAGAGCGGCGTGGGACTTCTTGCAACAAGAGTCGCCTCCTTTCTCACTCACGACCCTTTGTCCGCCGCTGGTATTGGGGCCCGTGATAAACCCTTTACTAGTAGGCAACCTGGACAACCTCAACACCAGCAACCAAGTCATCCGTGATTTGATTCAGGGGAAACATCAAGACAAGATCCCGGACAACGCCACCTTCACGTGGGTAGATGTGCGTGACCTCGCCCTCTGCCACGTCCTGGCATTGGAGAAGCCCGAAGCCGCAAATCAACGCTTCCTAGTCTCCGCCGGCCACTTCTGCAACGCGGAGCTTGTGGACATAATCAGGAAGAAACACAATCGACTGCGGGATCAGCTACCTGCAGAGAGGAGTCCTGGTGGTGGGTATCCAGAGGCTGGGCTGTACAAGGTCGACAGTAGCAAGGTTGTAAAGATCTTGGGCGTCACATGGAAGGAATTGCCCGACACCGTCACGGATACCGTGAACTCGTTGCAAAGGTTTCTATCATGAGTCGCAGGAGTCTAGGCCCACCACGGGACAAGAACATATCACAACACTCCCCGTCTCAAGCTCACGTATAGGAATTGACCAAGATTGCATAACGGAATACTAGTATGCCAGGCCAACTCCTTGCGTTTGACGACTTGCATGCCAATGCCCGTAATATTTTTGGATTTTCACGTCGCCACCAGTGATAGGTCTGTATCAAGGGTTGTAACTCCAGTGACTACTAGTATAGTATCTTGAAAATCATGCGAGCCCGCAATATCCACCTAGGATCTATCCAGTGTGGTTACTAGTTAGCATCTGAAATAGGTTTGCCTTGAATCAGTCAAGTCTCGCACAAGCGCGTTTTCGCAGGAGCTGGTACTCTTGTCTTACAATCACCGTCGTCGTTCATCAACTACTAGTAAGGAAGATAATGCAAATTCGCCGGAAACTGGCTCGAGGAGTATTCACGGAGTACTGTCTAGTGCCAAGCTGAGGCCGGATTACTATCTGTGTCCTAACCCACCGGTGGATTCACAAAGCATACAGTAGATAGGTAAGGTCACAAACGCGCCACATATACTAGTAGTACTCCTAACTCCAGGCTATCTACTCCGTATACCCCAGTCTATGTTTGGTGAGGCGTACTCCAGCAGCACGCGGCCGCCGGGCTCTAGATCTCAAAGCTCCTCTTCAAATCAATCTGATTGCAGGTCGCTCGCTTTCGGCGAAAGTTGTCCGCCACACAACTGGGCAATATTTTCTGAGTTCTCCGCGAGGGAACCTCTTCCCCGCGATCTTTTCTCCCGTTTGCATCTACTGCTTAGATACCCCAGAATTCCGAGGGAGGACTCCCATGGGGCTCGAGCATTGGCTACTATTATATAGTACATTTATCATGACCATATCCCGATATTTGACATTTTTCTGACTCCTACAGTATTATACCTACTAGTGCCCTGGCTCACTTACAGTCCTACAAACTCATCGTGCCCAGCCTTTTCAAGTACATTCAATCTTGAATCTTTCTCATCTCACAGTATGGGCGATGACAAGGTGGAAGCTGAGAACTGGGAGGTCCAGCCCGACATGGTTGGCACGGAGCAATACATACAGGGTCTGTCTGTCCGTCACGAGCGCTTCGTCTTGTGCCTTTTGAACTTGACTGACGTACCGTGTCTTTTCCTCATCAGCCGAACCCGCGTGGGCGAAATATATTCCAGGAGGCTACTCAAGGTCGAGATGCTTGAAACTGTCGGGCATGCCTATGGTGGCATGTATCCTTGCCCTGGCAGGGACGTGTCTGCTTTTCTTTGGCTACGACGCTGCCGTCATGAGTCTGGTCAATATCAACCCGAACTATCTGCAACACATGGATTCTGCTGGAGGCACGGACCGTGATGCCGCCCGTGTCGGAGGGATCGTGAGCTTCTGGTTTCTGGGCTTTCTCGTAGGTACGTACTTTCCCCCCGAGTACTTTATGCCTCTTTTTTCCCACCTAAAGGGCATGCCTACTTGCGGCGGGGGAAGATCCAAGTGTCCAAATTAGCAGAGAAGTGTGCGCGCTGACATAGTTGCATTGCATTGCATAGGTGCGATTTTGGCCGGCAGCTATGCCGACAAGATCGGTCGACTCAGAACCATCCAACTGGGATGCGTTTGGGGAATCGTGGGTGCCTGTCTTTTGGCATCCGCTCAGAACTTCTCTTGGATGGTTTGTGCCCGTATCATCAGCGGCATAGGTTGCGGTCATCTCAATACCATAGCCCCGATTTGGACCTCGGAAATCGCAGACTACAACCTACGGGGCGCATACGTTTCGGTGCAATTTACCATGTGCGTCGCTGGGGCGACTATGTAAGCCGGACAGAACACATTAGCACGCATTTTCGACCCTCCATACTGACTGACATTTGTTGGTAGGACTTATTGGATGGAGTACGCTGCTCTCAAGACCAGGTCTCTTCCATTCGCCTGGCGGTTTCCACAAGCTTTCCAAATGGTCTTTTTACTACTTATTGTCCTTGCGGCCAATTTCTTTCCAGAGTCACCTCGCCATCTCGCCAAAACGGGTCGCTTTGAGGAGGCTCGCGAGATACTTCACCGTTGTCGCCTTCGACCTTCGGAGCAGGCGATTGAGCAGGAACTTGCCGAGATTCGGGAAGCCATTCGCATCGAGGCCACTTCCTCGGCTCATGGATTTCTTTCCATGATATGGAAAAAGGATGCTCTGCATACCCGCCGTCGCGTTGCCCTGGCCATGGGTATCCAAGCTATGGAGAAGCTTTGTGGTCCTGATGCTATTGCAGCCTATGGGCCAACCATCTTCGGTCTCAGTGGGTGTAAGCACCCCAAGTCCTCGTCTGTGTCAACATTCATGAAACAGAGGAAGTCTGCTGATCACTTGTATGTCGCTTAGTCACTGGTAACTTATCTGCCATGTTGGCTGGCTTCAACTTTATATCCTACACGTGCAGTGTACCAATCGGCATGTACTTCGTGGAGCGAGCCGGGAGACGCAAGCTGATGTTAATTGGTTTGTTAGTCATGGGCTCTTCTCTGCTCATTGCTGGGCCACTGGCGAGAGTAGCCATCAATACGCCAGAGACCGAGTTGTCCAAGAAAAGAGCTTATGGTGCCGCGGTGGTAGCATTCGTATTCTTGTACACCTGCGGGTTCGGCAGTACCTGGATCACATGCTGGTAGGTCCTTCTCGGCCCAATGCCCCTTGTGTTTCTGTCCCCGACATTATGTGTGACTGGTTCAATTGCTAACATGCATTTAACATGGCAGCTGGGTCTATCCGACAGAGGTCTTTCCTCTCGCCACACGAGCAAAGGGTGTCTCCTTGTCTATGGTGTCGTTCGCCATCTGGGGTGCCGTCATTAATGAAGTCATCCCGTATGTCATCAGCGCTGTGGGGTGGTGGGTTTTTATCATGTTCGCGGTCATGAACTTCATCCAGATCATACCTGTGTGGCTTTTCTACGTCGAAACAGCCGATCGTCACCTGGAGGATCTTGACATCCTTTTTGCCAGCGACAGTCCTTTGGCGTATAAGATGGAACGCGAGTTTGCCGAAAAGAAACGTACCCTCGGCTTCCACACAGATGTACAAGAGCTTGTGCGCACCGCCTAAGACCCTTGATCTCTGGTGCCTGATGGTCGAGGTGACACGAAAGTCTCGCTGACATCGAGCTCGAAGAGCAAAGATAAATTTCCATGGTGGCGCTGGGAATCTTCATTGACCGGGTTTCGTCACACAAGCTCGGTCAACTGCCTGATAGTTTGGAGTCAAGTATTCACAAGTACATTCGGATTTACTAGGAGTAGTGCTGTGCACGATGATGCTCTCCACTAACTTCTCGAAGCGGTGTCGTAAACGTTGTTGCCCGAGTACGAGCGAAGTCGACTCAAACATTCTGTGCATATTTACTGTCTCTTGTAACATGACGGCAAGGTTGCCTTTTCCAATGCACACAGTGGCCGGAGGAAAGCTGGCGTCAATCCATTTCGGCGAAAGAAGAGTAGGTGGAATTTCTCGATCGTGTTAGTCTTGGTGGAAGGGTAGCAATTGTATGACTCCCTTGAAGGCAAACCAATTGTCAGCCTATGACTCGTGCCTGCCTCTTCACTGTTCAAAGCACTTACTGCATTTCTGATTCCTACGGGAGACAACACATTCATCACGCTTTTCTCGAAAGAAACAGTCATGGAAGTCCCGAGGGAGGGTTGGGCAGCGGTTGTCGTGCGTAGACGGTGTGCACTGTGAAGAAGGCGCACCAGAACTTACGAAGCCTGACAGAAAAACGAAGGAGCCGATTTCTTCGTGGCGGTTGAGAAAGCCCCAGTGCCTAGCATCGGTTGGACTGCTTACACCGTCGATAAATTCCACCTGCTGACCACAATGTTGGCAGGGCCTTCGGATGTTCTTATCAAGCTCAATGTGACGGGACTATGTCTTACCGATGTGCATTTTATGATGAACGACTGGGCGTTCCCAAAGATGTCGGAGATGGGTCTTTCTTGCGCAGGCCACGAAGGTGCTGGAGTGATTGTGAAGATTGGTGAAAGTGTGAAAAGTTGCAAAGTCGGCCAACGCGCGGCATATGGCCCTATTCATAGCACATGCAGTTTATGCGAGTACTGCAAGTCGGGAAGAGAGACATACTGCCAGCAGGCAGTCTATACAGGCGGGACAGTGGACGGTACGTTGAAAAACTTTGCCTCTGCATGGGCAGGCTGTGTTGCTCATATGCTAAGCTCTCGCAGGAACTTACAAGCAGTATTGCGCCGTCCCAGAGGGGTTTGTCCATGTGCGTTGTCGGACACAATTCTCAGGAGTTGAACGAACAGACACTGATACATTGTCGTGCATTTAGCTAATCCCCGAGGTACCTTGACCAGACTAATGTCAACCGACCACGACTAAAGCAATTAACAGGGAGTTTCTGACTACGTGGCAGGGCCCGCCATGTGCTCTGCAGGTACCATGTACTCTTCGCTCAAAGAATCTGGACTTAGAGCCGGTGACTGGGCCGTTTTCCCTGGTGGAGGCGGTGGAACAGGCATCCAGGGGATACAGCTGGCTTGTGCCATGGGTATACGACCCGTGGTGGTTGATACTGGCGACAGTCGCCGATCGCTCTCGCTCAGCCTTGGTGCTGAATATTTTGTTGACTTCTTAACGGAGGCAGACCCAGTCAAAAAAGTCTTGGAAATCACCAATGGGGGTGCTCACGGCGTGTTTGTTAGTGGTATGTGTTATCTGAAGCTGGAATGACTCTCCGTAATTGGGAGCTGACTTGAACTAGCTGTACAGGCTTATCCGGTCTCGCTTGGCTACCTTGGTTCACGTGTCGGTGGGGTGGTTATGTGGTATGTCAAAAACACTCTGCATCTTCTAGTTGATGAGGAGCGTAGATGAATTAATTTGGAACAGCGTTGGACTCCCACCCAAGGGCAGATACCACATTGATACGGATCCTACCCAGCTTTGCTTGAGAAACCAAACAATCAAGGGTACCTTGTCCAGCAGTCGGAAGGATATAGCTGAGACACTAGACTTTGCGAAACGAGGTGAGACGCTCACAATGGTGGCTGGTGATAGATGAAGCAATGTTGCTTACTGTTGGTTGCAGGAAAGATCCATCTCGAGCCCACCGTGGTTGGATTGAGCAGGTTCAATGAAGCCGTCCAAAGGCTGAAAAACGGACAAGTTGCAGGGTAAGTACTAGTGAGTAATCTGACACGTAAGGGGTTGAATATGGGCCGCTGATATACGTATGTAGGCGCATAGTGGTAGACTTCAACCTTCCGTAAACGAGAAATTTGATCCTACGAAGGAAATCAGGGCGGTTTTTCACCTCCATGAGTCCACCAGTCATTTCGCCGAAGTTCTCTTTGACGACGAAGGTCTAGCTAGCTAGCTACTATAAAATCTGACCTCGTTTGTGGTTCTCCAGCATGACACTGTTTAACATAGTTCAGCAATGGATCTTCGCACAATTTGTTCCAGATATGCGGCCTGCATGAGTGAGCGCAAGTTTACACAGTTACCAGAGTTTGTCCATGATGGTGTGGTTTACAACGCACAACCGCCAATGACTTGCGAAGAATATGGCAGAATGATTGATGGGATTGTCCGCCAATTCGACAATTTTCGTCTTGATGTGGAGATGTTGGTTGTGGACGGCTGCTCGACTGACCTGGACGGCATGGTCTCAGCAAGATTCAGCCTGAGTTATGATTCTCCGAGCGAAAAGTTGGTGAAAGATCGCGTTGTGTTCTACGAGCACGTATTCTTTCAGTTCAGGGGAGGAAAGATTGCAAAGATATGGCCACTGATCGCTTGGCCGGAAAAGTGAGGGCAGATTCTCCTTGAAGCAATATGAGTCAAGAGGATGGTAGTGTCAGAGTTTGGAGGATCCTAAGCATCCCCAGCGCCCTAGGACACAAGTATATAAGGGTGCTTGGAACCCTTGATAATCCAACAGAGATTCTTTCACACTTCATCGGAACCTATACCTTTGCCAGGTAGCATGGTGGGAAACTCGCAGCCCAGCCTACTGTGCTCCGTACAGGACCGAGTAAGAACCCAGCTCAACCCGCAAACCTGTAGGTCAAGGCCAACCATTCTTTAATTGTGTCTTCGACTGCCTTCCCACGATCCAGCCCTGATAATCATTCTCCAAAGTCTCATCAAGCATCTGCATATACGAAGGGAGCCCACCTGCCCAGCTGAGAGGCTGCACTTTCTTGCCCGGGATGTTGGCACCAGTCCACCAGCTGTGGGAAAGGTCAGTACAGCACACCCTTTGACGAGAGATACTTATCTTGCCCTGGGGAAGCAGAGTTGCCTCCCATCGCTCACGAATCTTTTCGACCCAAGTATCGGCTGCTTCCTCCTTGGCTTCCAATGTTTCTATGCCGCTGGCGAGCATCTTCTGGACTAGCTTGTCAAACCATCGGCCCTGAAATTGGATACAGGACGGGCCGTTTCTGAGAAGATATACTGTTAGCGCAAGAGAAGCTGGAGCCGAGGGGGAAGGGGGTTCGCCTACGAGAATGTCGACGGTGCTTGCGGTCCAAACAGGAAAAACAGGTTGGGAAACCCTGGGATCGCTACCCCCATGGACGTTTTGACTCCGTCACTCCAGTATTGCTTCAGAGTCCTCCTACCAATGCCTTGGAGATCAATGTCCATGAAGCCACCTGTCAAGCCATCGAAGCCGGTGGCGAGAACAATCAAGTCCACATCGACTTGTCCTGCGGCGGTGCGGATGCCCTTTGCGTTGATTTCCTTTATAGGGAGCTCGTTCAAGTCCATGATGTCAACATTTGGCTGGCTGAGAACCTCAAAATAGTTCTGTTCTAGCGATGGACGCTTCGCGCCAAAAGGATGCGGCGGGACCTCCGGCGCCAACAGCCGCGCTTTCTGGGGATCCTTGATGCGTTGAAGTACCATGCGGCGCCAAAAGTCGTAGGCAGCATCGTTGGCCTTTTGGTCCAAGTTTAGGTCGGCGTAGCCTGCGACCCAGAATTTAAAGCCGCCGTCCTGTACGAGTTGGTTCCAGAACACTTCGCGCTCTTCACTTGTGTCATCGAAGGTCTTACGGCCGTTCGTTTGGTATGGCACACCAGCATCGGTCTTCTCGCAGGCTTTGAAAGCCGCCTCATAGATGCCACTATCTTTCTTCCTCTGCTCTTCCACAGGATCGAGACGGTGTTGCTGCATCGGTAGACTAAGGGCGGTTAGAACGCGTCCGACGTCGGATGGGCGGCAACTCACCAGAAATTGGGGGTGCGTTGGTACACCGTGAGATGCTTGCAGACCTTACCGGCTTCTTGAATCACCTGAATCCCACTGGCCCCAGTTCCGATGACGGCGATACGTTTATCTTTCAGAGCGACATCGTGGTGTGGCCAATGAGCCGTATGGTACATCTCACCCTGAAAGTCGGCAGAGCCTTTGAGATACGGTTTGTACCTATACTATCCTCAGTCATGCTGCAGAAAGATTATAAACATGTCGACGCACTTACTCCTTAGCCGCAAAACCCACATTCGCAAACAGCCACTTGCATCGCGTCTCTGTTCCATCAGAACAGCCTACCCTCCATCGTCGAATGTCGGGATCCCAGTGCGCATAAGTGACGTTTTTGTGATATTCAATGTCTTTTCGGAGGTCCCATCTTTTCTCTACGTGCTGAAAATACCTTTGCAGTTCGCGGAACCCGGGGAACCGCTCAGAGAAGGTAAACTCCTCCCAAATCTCCCGGTCGAAGAACTGGTAAGCCGGCGAGTCGCTGTCGACGCGGGCCCCGGGGTCTGAACGATTAGCGTCTCGCCAGTCATGAAGAATGCTTTCACCTACACTGATTCCAATGCCTGCAGAATGCTTTAGTCAGACACTTCCATAACTATGTCACGACGGGAACACGAACCAAACACCTCCAGAGCCCGACCCACGCTCAAATATCTTGGCTTGAAGCCCTAATTTACGCAGTTTCGGAAGCATGGTGTAGCCTCCGAAGCCGGCACCGATGAGTACGGCGTCATACTCGGGGCTCTCCTCTATTGAACCCATGTCCTGCCAGAGTACGGTCTGGTGACGGTGAGCAACCTGTGTTTCGAGTGCTGCTGTCGAATAAAGGCGTAGCCCTTTGATGAGGGTGTTTGACGAACAAATTGGAGAGAGATATTAACCACGCGGAATCGAAATTGTGTCTCAAGACCAATATCTCCTTGAAGCATTTATCAAATTTCCCCGGTGCGGAGAGGAATCATTGTGGCGTGTCGAGATTGAACCTCGCAGAGAGGTATTCGGCGATTGAGGTCTTTGACCTTGGCCCATCTCAAGGTCATCACTGGTATGCCAGTCCATGGTCCTAATTCACGGCCAAATGGCTGGACGCGTCTACATTATCGGTCAAGCCTTTTCGCCGAAAGGGGACTTGAATCTCTCGGAGAATCGAGCTTACGATCCACATTTACCCGCATCGGGTACTCCTTACCAGGCTGGTCTCCGTATTGCAGCCAGCTACCTGGTCATTCCGCCGGCAAGGCTGTACATGGCACTAACCTCAACCTCAACCTTAGTCACAGTCCGAGAGGATTGGATTTATTCCTCGAGTTGATGCCACTTCCGGTTACCACACACTCCCGACAGTATCTTGTTCATTTACCACAGGACAATGGCGCACCATGGTGAAACCAACGGTATCGCCACTTACGCTACCGAAAGTACACCGGATGGCACCAGCAAGGGCGTTGGCATCACGTCTGACTACTTCCCTGAGCAAACTGCACATGCCGGCGATGCACAATCTCTGAAAGACGCGAGGACTCTACTGAAACCTCTGCCAGCATACACACCCAGAAAGCTTCGTATCATCACGATTGGTGCAGGCTATTCGGGGCTCACATTGGCTCATAAGTTCCAGCATCAACACACCGACCTCGCCGATGTGATTGACCACACGATCTACGAAGTGAGGTCCGAGCTAGGCGGCACTTGGCTGGTCAACACCTACCCCGGCGTTGTCTGCGACGTTCCATCACACATATATGTACGTGCTCAGAGGCCTAGAGGCCTAGAGGCTGCAAGCTTGATGCTGACCAGTGACCGGCCGAAGGCTTTTCCATTCGACCCCAATCCTAGCTGGACTCGGTTTTTCTCAACCGGCCCTGAAATTTGGGCATACATGAAGAAAACGGCTCAGAAGTGGAATCTCGAACGGGACGTCAAATACAATCATCGCGTCACTGGCGCGTATTGGCAAGAAGATCGCGGTCAATGGCAGGTGATGGTCGAGCATGACAACACTATCATAGAGGACTATGCGGACATCTTAATATCAGCGCAGGGCTTCCTGAAGTGAGCTGCTCTTCCAGTCAGGAAATGGTTATCCTTTGAAAGGGTTCGAAATCGACCAACGTTAGCTGACTCGTGAGTTACAGCACCTGGAACTGGCCGTCGATTCCTGGATTGTCGCAATTCAGGGGCAAGAAGGTCCATTCGGCCAGTTGGGATCACGAATACGACTACAGCAACAAACGAATTGCAGTGGTCGGTAACGGCTCATCTGGAATTCAAATTCTACCTCAGTTGGCCAGATTACCTGGCACCAAGGTCACGAGCTTTCAACGGGGGCCTACATGGGTGGTCAGCACCATGAACCCTGCGTCCCTGCTTGGAAAAGACGACCCAGCATATAACCCTGAATACACCGCCGAAGAGAAGCAAGCTTTCCTGAACGATCCCGGGAAGCACCATCAATATCGCAAGAAGATAATACACAGCATCAACGACAGTTTCAAGATGGTATGGTATCGGCCCACGGCTAACTATGCTAGTATTGGATCACTAACAGACAGCGCAGTTTGTGAAGGGCTCGGAGCTCAACCAGCAGATTTACGACCTTGCCCGTCGACAGATGACGAGCAAATTAGAGAACAACTCGGAACTATGCGACCTACTCATTCCGAAGTGGGAGCTAGGCTGTCGGAGGATCACACCGGGCGAAGGTTATCTGGAATCCTTCTTGCGCGACAATGTTGAGCTCACTCAAAGCCCCATCACAAGGATTGATGCCGACAGCATCCTTACCGCCGACGGAAAGACCTATAAGGTGGATGTTGGTAAGGTTCCCCTCTTCGACACACCTCCTAAGAGGCCAAGGCCAGGAAGCTAATACAGCGAATCAGTTGTTTGTGCCACCGGATTCGACGTCTCCTACCGCCCTCAGTACCCTGTCGTTGGTCGTAACTCGGCGAGTCTCGCAGACAAATGGGCCGAGGAGCCTTCGTCCTACTTGTCACTCGCGTCGGCCGACATGCCCAACTACTTCATGTTCACCGGCCCGAACGCATTAATCGGCCACGGCTCTCTGATGGAGAGTTTAGGATGGAGTGCCGAGTACATGATCAAATGGATCCGGAAGATTGCCTCGGAGGACATCAAAGCCGTCGTGCCCAAGCAGAGTGCCGTGGACGATTTTATTGTCTATTCGGACCAGATCCACAAGACGTTAACCTGGACCGGGTCGTGTCGGAGCTGGTACAAGAACAACACCGTCGACGGGCGCGTGACGGCCACCTTTGCTGGCAGCGCGTTGTTGTTCAAGCGGCTTATCCAGGACCTCCGGGCCGAAGACTTTGACATTGAGCCAAGAGACAAGAACCGTTTTCGATTCTTGGGCAACGGATTCTTGGAGTATGAGCTGCAGAAGGGAAATGACCTGGCTTGGTATGTGGAAAAGTGAACAGTCCAGACTGAGGAGTCAAATCTGCCGCCAATGAATCAACCCCGTACGGAGTACTGTAGAGGCAAAGACAAAATGTCTTTCCTCTCAAGATGTGACTGGTTGACAAGTGAACTCCGGGCATGGCAGTGGGTTTACACTCCTCCTTTTTAGACAAGGCTCCATCGTGAAAATATTCTTCCTTTGAATCATGATATATCGTAGTCCATCCATCGTGACCTAAGTCTCAGTCAAAGCCTTCCCCAACCGAAACACTGACTTCCCTTCCTTTCTGCCGGCTAATCTTGGGTTCCATGTTCCCCTGTTGCGCAGCAATGGATTCCATCTTCCTTAGTAAGCTCCCATCGGTAAATTCACTGGTCGGGTGAAGATCGACGAGCGGCTTCCCATCCACGACACAACCTGGCCGACTTCCTCCTTGTGACTTACGACTAGCACTGCGCGCAAGTAATCCAGTGCCGGTGAAGGGGTTCTCTTCAGCATGGCTTCTTGTTGACGATTCAATTGTCATTTTGCCGGGATATGCGCTTGGAGGCGGACCCTGACTTGTCGAATGCCTCGGACTTCCACTCTTGCTGTTGACGCTGGGTTTCTCTGGACCGAAATCAAGTAAGGGCCTGGGAACATCGCTCTGAGACGGGCGAATCAGAGTTGCGCGATCGGCTCGAGCACTGATCTCTGTGCTCGACTTCGAAGGTCCAGCATCAAGCAGCGGCTTGCATAATCTTAGCACTTGAGACGACGATTCTTTCGAACTCCGGCCCGTACTTGGTCGATTTGCTGAACGCAAGCCTGTCGCAGGAACTTCGCGAATCTGTTGTCCTTCGCCGATCATGTGGAACAGATACCAGCTCCGCCAGGATTGCACTTCATGGTACCATTTCCCAGCCGTAGTCTGATCCTTCGTGCTAAAAAAGTGGACGAAGTTGGCACCATCAAGGAACATGGAGGATTTCTCTTGGCTCTTCAATGCGAAGCACATCTTCCTCGGTGGTTTGAGCTGCTTTAGTTGTTTTGGCGTCGGGGTGTAGAGATCGAAATCTGAAAGATGACAGATATTCGTACAATCAATGCCATTCTCATTTTTTGAGATGGTGATCTGTCCATCTTCCTTCAACCTCAACCATCTTTTCTCCCATTTGCCTGGTCGTTGCGAATAATACATTTGAACAGTCGTGCCAAGCGGCTGTTGTCTGGGAGCATCTGTTTCGTGTAGGCCTGGTGCAGCACATTCCAATTGAGCCACGATACAAAGACAGTTTTCATCGTCGTTGGCCCATGAGTTCATCACGTCACGAATCCTCTCATACCTACGTAGAGGTCTCTCCAAGCCGAGCTGTGAGAAGGACTCTAGAAGTACTGCTGTCCGAGTGTCGATATGCTCTGAGAGACACGATGCCGCGGATCTTAAGATGTCTTTGCACGTGGTAGTAGGTGTGATAGGTAGAGTAATGAATGATCCCTTGTATTGGATCCGGACCCTTCTTTCACCAGCATTGATTGCGGATACTGGAGCATCGAACTGGGGTACTGCGGCTAGTGGAGCAGAGTCGCGATGCTCGCCAATCTTCCCGGTACTGCTTGACCTCGTGTGAGCAGAAAAGACTCGCTTGTGTTTCCTTTCTTCTGTGGTGGCACTCGACCCGCCAATGACTAAAGTACGTGGCTTTGGTTTTTGTGATTCCGACACTGGCAGACCATCTCCGGCCACAGGTTGCGATCCTCTCGTTTGAGCTTCTAGTGCGGCTTCTCGCTTCTCTTGCTGTCGCTGTACCTCCTTCTGCTTCAACGCCTGGATGCGATCGAACTCGCCTTCAAGAATCAGTCGAGCTTCTTCCCGAGCAACTTCCAGCGACCTTCGGAGCTGTTCAGGCGATGGTGGTTCTGTACTCGACCCCGGCATCCCTGTCTTGTCTATGCTTCTTTCCGCTCTGTGTATTGGTGTGTGACCATGTCCGATGATCATCTTGCGGTTTCCACTCAGTTTCTTCTCCTGACTCGTAGTATCCGGAAGCACTTCTGCTGGGTTCTCCTGTACCCGCCAGGGCTCTTGACCCGCTCGACTGGAAGAGGGATTTTGTGTAACAACATTCTGCGACGGCGTAGGTAAAGGAGGGGCTTCAGTGCTCCGGTTTGGTCTCCGATGGTACCTCGACGGTAACCGTGTCAAGGATGTTTGTGAAGCGTTTGGCAAAGGCGGCGGAGGAGAAGCACTTGTAGGCTCAGGATCTTTCGCAACTGCTCTGCGCACGGATCTGTAGCGCAAGAACTTCTGTGGTTGCGCCGGTTGCGCGGTCGCTTCGGGAGAATTGTTATTCATGGTGGAAATCTGCGCAAAGTATCGAGCGATGAGGTATTCGCCGTACAAGGGTGCATTGCGCGAGTTCCATCTGCTCGTCAAGAAGGATACATGTCGCGTGTGTGGTCAGGAATGCGAAAGCGAAACGAGTAAACAACCTGGGCGGAATTATTATTATCTGCACGGCTGGTGCGTCAGAGTTACAGCAGTACTTAAGGTAGGCTCAGTGGGCCCGTGGGCTGGGGACCGCCTAACAATCTCCCCCGCAGGCCCACGATGGCCCCCATAAAATTGGATGCAAGGTACCCGAATACCCGTAGGCGTACAGTATACTTCACATGCTTCTAACAAGCCGCGAGGCCGCCATCGTCAGCCTCGTCGACATTCTGTTCCCACTTGCATAGGCAACAACAAGGTCAGTCCCACCGATGAAGCACTGCAAACCCTCCGATGCCTTCAATGCCCATTGCTGTCATTCTGGCAGACTCCCCAACCACGATACACCACTTCCCACAAGGACTCCAATCAGCTGCTCTGGCGTTGAAATGTGCATGATTCTTAAATTGCAATTCCATCAGCGACACTTTGGCATGCGGTTTAAGAGGTGTATCGGCATCGTGAATGGGGTATCGTTCGCGATCTCGACTGGGGAATTTAGATATATTGTTTGCATCGGAGATTTCGCTGGTCGCGTCAGTAGAGCTTTGCCGTGGCCAGGCTCCAGAGCTGGGGTTGGAATTTAGAGACGCTGGTGAAGATTCCTTGTTGGTGCTTTGAGGCGTGCCATTTGCCCGAGTCACACGGTCCTGTGGTCGAATTGGCTGTGCCACACCTTTGTGCTTTTTTCGTGGTTGTGGATTCTTGGGCTCATCAAGTCCTCCAGCATGGCCAAGTGCTAACCGCTCGAGATCCCAGAAGCGTAACTCGGATGTAGCATTCGCGAAAGCCAGAACTGGGTGTAAATTAGGGTATGCAAGCGATGGCAGCAGCAAGCCGAATCGAAGGTAGAACTGTTCGACCCTAGTGGTCTCAAACTCCAACAGTCTCTCATACAATGGTAGTCCCTCATATTCCTCTGCAATGTCCACATCCACGATTCCGTCCTCACGGGTGGTGACTGTTCGGATAAAGCCATTGCGAGTGTCTAGATAATCCTCAAGCTTGGGGGCAGTGGTAGAATCTGGAGGAGCTTGTCGGGAATCGAAACCGGTCACCTTCCACAGGACGATCTTGTCTTCATTGGCAGCCTTTGATATGATCAGGTCACCAAAGAATCTTGCACAGTCGACGAAGTTGGAATGTACTGCTGAGCTGACGAAATGAGGATAGTACATTGTTAAGACGTCGTGAGAGCTCCGCTTTCTGTGCTGGGGTGATATTTGTCGCCAAAAGGGAGAGTTATCGGCCAAATCCGGGACTGTCCAAACACATATCCTTTGGTCATGACCTCCGGTAACCATGTATCGCCCACTGGCATGCCAAGAGACGGTCAGAACGCCCTCGCAATGTCCTGTTGCTTGACCACATATGACTATGGTTGGTGATTGGTGTCGATTGGCATGCCGTCGTAAATCCCAAATTCGAAGGCTCCTATCCATCGAAGCGGTTACGACAATCCATGGGTAGAGTGGATGTGTCGCGATATCGTTGATGCCCCCGTGCCCGTGGCCAATTAACGTCGTAAAAAGGTCTCCTTCGAGTGCATCAATGATTTTCAACTGCCCCGACCCTCCAGCCAAGGCGAGCAAAGGCTTCTGTGGTTCGATGTAACACCACGAACAAGAGTTCAATCCTGGTGAGTTCGGGTCGTCCCTCTCCTGCTGATCTACTAATTCATGCAACGTTGTCAAAAACTGACTGGGTCGGAGTGACAAGCGATAGATGGTGACTTTCGTCTGGGCCACTACCGCAAACATTGGCTCGTCATCTGGTGGGCTTGCATAGGGGTAGAATTTGACATCGTAGTAATTGAACCGATCCGTCTGGACGGGAGATTTGTGTTTGAATTTCAGTTTCGGAAGGATGAAGGATTCCTTTGTCGTTGCCTGAGTATTCATCCTGAGTTGAGAAGGATGAGCCTAGATCGTCGTGTCGGTTGCTTTGTAGATTGCTGGAATGGAGGAATAATGGTTGTTCATATCAAAAGCCCGTGCCATACCGCTTCACCTGTTCTTCCGGTCAGAGACAGACATCAGTTACGCGATCAGATCTCGACTTTCGGTGTTCCGTATGCAAGCGGAGTCTTTACCGTGCTGGTCATAATCACAGTGAGCTAGAGGATTGGGATTCAGGAGGATTTGTTATTTCGCGTTTCCCGCACGCGTCAAGAGGCTTTATGCGCCGCTTTAACCATAACGACACCTCGCGACATGCCACCAGGGTACCATACCGTCGCTTCTTCGATAGAGGTATTCAACATCAATCGATCGCTTAATGATTCTGTTTTCCGACACTAATGGTAGTAATGCTCGATTTTTTCTGCTTATCCTGTTTGTAGAGCTCAACATGAAATCTTTGCTTACGATTCTGCTTTCTGACACCAAGTACAGGTAATAGCAATCCTTGTCCTCTTCCAGTTTGCGCGTCTAGGACCATTCAACATCAACCATATCTCTCAATGATGCTGTTCTCTGACTCCAATAACAGCAGTACTTGTCCCTTTCTCTTTGTGCATTTGGAGCCGCTCAGTATTCACCTGTTGCTCACCATCATTGGTCCTGAATCTTGATCCATGGAAACACCGCCATGACCGCCTAGAGCTTGTACAATACATCCTCCACAATCTCCTCTCCGAGCTTTGGATAGCCGCGTACCATAAGGCCGAGTTCTAAGCCCGTCAGTCTGAGACAAAGGGCGCTCGTCGGAAAGATCTTACGTCACGTTCTTCTGTGTCCAATTCGCCGAGGAAGTCACAGTGAACCACGTAAGTGGCGTCTCCAAAGCTAGCGATGCGAGTGTGCGGTTGGATGTCTCGGTGAGGGTGACTTGCACAGCAAAGCCAAACATCTTGTGCAAGTGACTGGGAAGTGCAAAAGCGACCTGGGACATCGGGGAACCCCATCTTGAGACGCTCTGCCAGAGCTTGATTGAGCAGGGAGCTGTCCTGCAGTCGAGGTCGTAGAGCTTCAAACGAACGCTTCAGCGCGTCCAGACGATCGCCAGCATCGAAAGCCAAGCACAAGAATTCAACAGTGCGGAAGACGAAGGTGGATTGTCCCTCAGAGAAGCTCGTCTGGTCAGATGGCGCGAGGACTAGGATGGCAGCCTCGAGAAACGCCAATGCCTGAGAGAAGTTGTTAGTTGTATCTGCTGCATAGGACTGGACGAAGGTACTGATAGTAGTGTGATTGAGCCGATCAGGTTTCAGGACAACCATTTGGAACAAGCCACAGGCAACCGAGCAAGCATAGTCCAGGCATGCACCGTGGTTCATTCTGTCGATGACTTCGCCCATCCACATCTGGGCCGTTCTTCGTCTTGCATCGTCATAAAGCCACAATTCAGCAAAGCTGACACAGAAGACAGATCAAACGTCGTGGGCGTGACTGAAGGCTCGCCACAGTAGACGATGGTCTGCCATTGTCGGACATGGTTTGCGGTTTCTTCTTGCTCTTGCTCTGCTTGTGCAAGGAGTGTCTCGACCGCTCTCTTTTCAGATTCGATCTTCCGCGTCTCACTCTGGGCGTCACGCATTGAATTGAGGTACTTCCGGGCACGGATCTGCGCTCTATCCAAGTCGTCGCGGGCGACTCGAAGCTCGCGTCGCTCGGCGTTCAACTCGATTTTCGAGTCTTCCAATTCTGGCTGTGTACGACGAAGCTTTTCTGCGTCTTGAATACGGCGGCCCACGTGGACCACTGTCTCATGCAAGTGAAATTTTGGAAAACATGTTTTTGCTTTCTCCAAAAAATTTTTGAAACTTCCCATATAAATACCCGCTAACTCAGCGAACTTGTTATGATCATTAGTAACACCTCGTTCTGTCTCCTCTTACTTTGACCTCACGATTACCTTGTTACCTAACGATTACGTATCTAATGGAAGACCAAAAAAGGTAGAAATACTAGGGACTCTAGGACTCGAACCTAAGATCTTGCCTTTAGTCTACGTATCTATCGGAGAATTATTACTTCTCTAGATAAATTGTCAGAAGCGTAATTCTTTAGTTAGTAAGGCGACTAGTAGTAAAGTTCTACTAACTATATTATCGGTTAAAGAATTATATCTCTAATAACTAATCTAGAGGAAGTGATAATCCTCTAGTAGATATATAGTTAATTAGGTATATATTACTACTACACTAAGTCCTCTTTAGCTATTATTTTTAAGTAAAATAATAGTCCCTAAAAATATAAACTAAATATTAATATTATTAAAGTTATTTTTAATATACTTCTAAAGTTTATAGTTATTAAAATCTATAGTAATAAAGGTTGATAGTATTCTAGCGTCTATCTCGCTTAACTTATTAATTTTAGATACTATCTTAGTCTCGCTCTAACGTCGCTTTACTAAATATTATTTATAAGATTAATAGTTAATATTTACAATTATCTTTCTTAATAATAACGTTAGAAAATTAAATTATTAAGACACTAACTTACTCACTAAAAGATACGCTATTAATTACTTATAGAGTTTCCTAATAATCGCATTATTACTATAGAAAGAAACTAAGAATTACTTACCGCTTTTTCTAAAGAGTAAGAGCGTAAACTTTAACTTAACGAGATAATTAACGGCTTAAAAGATAAAATTCTTAAGCGATATCGATAGAGTATTAAAGTCGATAATATCCTAACTTAGATTAAGTAGGAGTATACGTAGATTAGTCGCGCTTAGCTCTATCGCTTTATCTTTAAGTGGAATAGTTAGCTATAACGATAATCGCTAAATAACGACGATATAGTTAAAGCTATACTTTTACTCGCTTAGATAACTCGTCTCTTTAATTACTAGATCGCTAATAGAGTATTAATAGACCTAGATATTAATATCTTATAGCGTTAGGTTAAATATCTTCGCCTTAAGTATCGAGTTATACGTCTTTATTGAAATCCTTTAGAGCGAGAGCTTAATAAATAGAATATATACTATTATATTAAGAAGTTTATTCGTTAAGGAGACGACTTAACTTATAGAAGATAATAGATTATTACTAATCTCTATCGTCGTCTTAATTATTATACTATATATTTTAATATAGCTAAGGTTATACGGACTATTAATTCTATAGAAGTATAATATTGGCTATTTAATATAAAATAATAATAGTAGTATAATAACTTTATAATAAACGAACTCGATTTTATCTAGATTATAAATAAATATAATAAGTTACTTCGCTTTAGTATTTAAATCTATAGTGTCATCGATATCTATAGCTATAAGATTATATAGTGATACTACGATAATAGTAATAAAACTTAAATTAGTGTAGTTCGCTAATTTATTAATATTATTAGTGTATATAGAAAGATTTCTAACTTTATCTATATAGATACAAGAATAAAGTATACTATACTCACTAATTATTAATTCTCTCTCTACTAGACTACGAGCCTTATAAAGGATTAAATAAATAAAGAATTCTACGAGATAAGTATAGTAAACTACTATATCTAAGCTAGATTTATATAGAATATTAGGATTAAGAGTATATAGCGTCGATAGCGAGATACTACTATAGATACTTAGCTCCACTATTTTAGATAACTAAAATTAGTAGACTACTTCTATAATTATCTCCTCTATAATAAATTTATAATATACTTTATCTTTATATTTATTATTCAATAATAACTAGCGATATTTATAAAGATTTACAATATAAACCTAATTCATAAGTAAAAATAAAGGATTCTATATATTTTCAAAGTATTTAATTAGCTCTATAAGAATAATACTTTATAAGTTAAAATATTTATATAGTCTCTATTAATTAATTAGTAAAGTTAATAGATTATAAACTACGATATTAACGTCTATCTAACTAAAGAGATAAAAGTCTAGTTTATAGCGATTATATAATACCTAGGATACTCTATACCACTAATTATAAAGGAATTCGCTACTTCTAAAGAGGATATTATTTTATAATAGTTAGTAGATCTCTTTAATATTGTAAGAGCTTATATCGTAAGAAACTAAACTTCGCTATTAGTATTAGTATTACGACTTAAAGAATTATACTATATTAATATAATTTCGCTATTAATAATAGATTATTAAGAGATATCCCTAAACAATAATAATACCACTAGTAAAATAAATAAAGAGAAGAAGAAGGATAAGAAGAAGAAGGATAAGAAGAAGAAGTAAATATATAAATAGAATAAGTTACTATTCTAAGCTCTTCTTCTTTACTTCTATTATTTTTATCTCTATTTCTCTTAACTTAATAGTATAATTTACCCTAAGTTTCTAAATCTTATATATACTAAAATTTTTCCTAATAAAGTTTATTACTCTCTTTATTATAGTCTAATCTATCTTAAAATAATAATAGTAAAGCTATCGATCGCTTTACTAGCTTAAATAAGTACTCTATCTTAAGCTTAAATCGTCGCTCTAAAATAAGGAACTATAGCGACGATCTTTACGGCCCTTAGAAAAAATATTAATTAAGGGACTTAAATATATTAACTTAATAATTCTCTCGCTATAATATTAATAAAGAAAGCTATAAAGCTAGCGAAGCGATAAGTATCTTCTTCTTTAATTAAGATTAAAAAGATAATACCCTTTAAGTTAGCTATTAAGATAGCTTATCGAGTCCTTAAGTACAACGTTAATAATAACTATAAAACTACCTTCGTTAATATCTATAACGATATTTTTATTCTTACTCTTAATCTATACTAGTTTAAGTTTAGATATTATAAGTTCTTTATATATCTTAAGCGTATTTATTAATAATAGATACGCTCCTAGTTAAGTAAATTTTAGATAAAAGTATTTAATATTAATAATATCTAGAATAATAAAAAGTAATAGATCTATATAAATTATCTCTAAAGAGATATCGATAATAAAGGAAAACTACTCTATTATATCCCTCTATAGAATAAGAAAAAGAGCCTTACTTATATCTTTCCTTATTATTATTTTATTACTCTAGAGAGAGCTATCCTTAAGAGTTAATAAGAGAGAAAGAAAAAGATATCTCTATTATAGTTAAAGCTATATTTACTTATAAATCTATATACTATAATAATTATATACTAGTATAAAATATCTTTCGTTAAGAGCTTAAATTTATAGAAAATATAAGATAACGATAATAACTATAATAATAATAGCTATAATATCTTAATCCAAGAGAAATACCTACTAAAGAAGAATCTACTAATAAAGACGTCTTCTCTACTACTACTACTATCTCCTCTACGTCGATCGCTTTCTATATCTTTCTCTTTAACTAAATTATTCTCGAGGTATATCTAGACGTCTACTAAAAGTAATAATATAGCTATTAAACTTAAGAATAATATTAACAATAAAAAAGTAAAGCTATATAAGAGATAGATCTCGAAGGCTATTATAAGAGATAAAAGAGAGAAACAGCCTCGATCATCTCGAAGTAGTCTTCGAGAGCGGCGTAAGCCCCGCCGCTACGAATGAGGAGGACAGCGACGGCAAGGACAAGGAGGAGTATGAGGATAGACGTTAGTAACACCATGATTCCTATACCAATCGCCTACTAGGGCAATGAGAGAGGCTTCAAATCTGCTAGATCCGCGAGAACAGGAAGTGTCGTTGCCTCGTTTACAGGATGACTAGATTACTATGGGAATTACTAGGCAGGCTAGTCGACGCAAGAACTGCGAATTTAAAAAATTTCATGTGGTTGAGACAGTGGTCCACGTGGGCCGCCGTACTTGTACCACCTGAAGCTGGCACGTCGACAACTCTCCGCGGAGTTGGTGCAATTTGTTTTTGAAGTCGTCTCGTTCGTTGCGTATTTCCCTCAACTCCAGGCGGCCTGCGTCTATAGTATCCAGGAATTGACATAGCTTGTCGTCGTCAGAGAGCAGCTTCCCTTCGAGGCCTCTTTCCTTGTCATGCGATGCCAGAAGCTCTTTGCGCAACTGCTCAATCTCATTGTTGGCTGTTTCAATATCTCCTCTGTGACAGCGGCAGCGGTAGGTGACGAGCCAAGACGTGCTTGGAGGTTATCTAGATTCGCTCGCGCAGTGTCCAACTCCATCTGGCGATTCAGAAGTTGAGTTGTCAACGACGCCTGATGTCTGCGCAGCGTTTCGACCTCAGGCTCGGTTCGAAACAAGCACTTCTCGGCGTCATCGAGCTCGGACTGCAACGCAAGTATGTTACCCTGCAGAGTGTGCTTCTCAGCATTGAAATTCTCGTAAACGGTCTCTTGTTCACGAAAACGGCCATCCAGCGTGGCAACTTCGGTTTGAAGAGAACTCAATTCCGGTTGGCTTCGACCAGTTCATCTTGTTTCGCAGCGACCAGGCCTTTTTATTCTCGTATCTCTTCGTCCTTGGCTTTGATTTGGGCATTTTTATGGGCAACCTCTGCAATGCGAGCCTCGAAGTCGTTGAGCAAGATGTTTTTGGTGTGTGTAGCATGTTCCTGTACCTGCATTGCCTCTGACCTCTTCTTCTTTCGACCTCAATTGCTGCGCATCCTTCTTGTGGCTGGCTTCCAACCTGGGAACTTTGTCACGCTCGGCTTTCAGCTTGTCCGTCAGGTGCTTGTTGTCCGATGCCAATGAGATCTTCTGCTCGGACATTCTGGACAGCTGCTCTAGGATTTCTCCCTTCTCCGCGTAGACATCGTCTATCATTGCGGCTAGTTCTCTGCGGGTGTTCTCAGCCTCTTCACATGCCTCATCGATTCCTTTTCTTTCGCGCTCGATTTCTTCGTTGGCGGAGTTTTCGATGGCTTCAATCGCCTCCCAAGCTTGATCCATGGTCTGAACAGTATTCTCGAGGGTTTTCAATGGCAGAATTCCGAATGGGGAGATTATTGCGCGATTGGAAGGTAAGAACTCTCTGTGGATGTAATGGTTGGTTTATTTTCGAGCAGAAGATTGTTTCGTTGTTCAGGCGGCGGTGCCTGCCTTTGTTGGGATGAATCCTGGGACAGAGTGAAGATGCATTTTTACACTAGTGCATGACAAGGTAGTGAAGACAAGAGTGTCGTTGAGCAACTGTTTGATGTTGAAGGGCTCCGAATACACAAAGTAGTAGGAGACTAGCGTTGTTAATGTTTAGTGCCAGACAAACAAAGCTCATATAGGAGGGTAGGCTGATTTGAGGGGGCATAGATAGCATCCGAGACCGGGAAAACGCTTCTTCAGATGCATCTCTCGCCTGGAACACATTGCGGGATATCCTGCATTGTACGCCTACAGTATCCCTATCAATTCCTAACCTGCCAACCCCGAGAATTGAAGAAATCACATCGGGCGGCCGCGTCGGGATCTGGTGTTGGGCTTATACTGTTATACGTGACAGCCTGGATAGTAAAGCCCACCCCTTCCCCGTCTGCCTCCGACCCTTGCCCACTCGATATGTAGCTTGGCCAGTATGGTGCGCTTGCATCTCTTAACGGATTCGGATCATGGAATACCGTGAAACTTACCCAGTAACTCGTCATGATGTGTGCCAGACTTAGATTGTTCGCACTGGGGTAGTTTGTCACGTTAGAGGAGATGAAGGGGTTGGTGGCACCGTGGAGCTCAGTGCCGGCAGCAAAAGTAAGTTTGAAGACGGCGGAGCTGTTGGAGAGCGAATCCACCATGGACGAGGCCATATAGTACGTCGGACAGTTTATGATGAAGTCGCCAAACCAGGTCTGGCGCTGGAAGAAGGTGCTGTTGAAGGAGCTGCGCGGATAAAGCGAGTAGAGACGCGAGAAGAACGAAGGCCCAGCAGAGGGGAAGAGATCCTCAGCCTGTTTCGGAAGTTCCGTCAGTAGCTGCAGAAAAGAAAGGAAGAGGGAGATTGTCAAAGCTCACGTCTGTGGTCTCGTCAATCTGGGATGTTTGGGTGACGTTGGAGAAGATGTAGCCCTCGTAAGCATCACGGTTGGTGATCAATGGGACCTTGTAGAAATTTCCCCTGGCAAATTCTTGGTCGGGCAGATCGCGAATGAACTTGCCGTCCACCACAGGGCCCCAGTAGTAAACGCCGTACGCGTTCCCAGGTCCGGGGTACGTTGCATTGATCACCGCCTGGTTGAGGTCTCCCAGCGTCTCAAACGACAGGCCTCGGAGGCAGTTAAGATCCGAGCAGTTTGACAGTTTCAACGCCGTATTGTACTGAATGTTCTGGCTGCTCCGGTTCACCAGTGGTTGCCACCAGGGATGATCCGCAATCGCCGCCGCAAAGGGAGCAAAATCAGAGCCGCCATTGGCGATCAGCTGGCATGATACGCTGCCACCACCAGCCGAACCTCCCCAAAGCGTCACCCGGCCTGGATCGCCCCCGAAGGCACGAATATTACGTTGGACCCAATCCAACGCAGCACGTTGATCGAGAAGACCAGCGTTCAAGGCTCCATTCTCTGCAATGACATCCCCGCCCATGAAGCCAAACATTCCCAAACGGTACTGGATGCCCACGTAGATAATGTTGCCGTTGGACCGGTTTACCAGAGCATCGCCAGGGTAGGAGAACGGAGCGCTGCCACTAACGTAGCCACCACCGTGAATGCTAGTTTACGACATTCCAAGTCAAAGTCTGCAAGTTTGATGGGGACGGAAGCTGAATGATGCCGAACCAGAAAAGAAGACCTTCTCCAGGGCCTGACTGCGGAGTGGTATGCAGCCATGTTCCGCGAAGGGCTTGCCCCAATGACCAGAAGAGGATTGGATGTCTACTTACGTGAAAAGTACTGGCAGAGCTGTTGAAACCGGGTTGGAAGGCACCAAGACATCAAGTAGAAGACAATCCTCTGATTGTCCCTGTGGCGCTGATGGGGAAGTGTAGGTTGACTTTGCGGAGGACTGATAGCACGCTGGGCCGAGGGTCGAAGCATTTATGGTCCGACCGTTATAGTTGTTCATGTATTCGATTGGTGACGGCTTGCCCCAGCGTGATTCGCCTGTTGGAGGAGCAGCATAACGGATGCCACGGTAGTAGTTGATGCCGGCGGTGGCATTCTGGTAGCCGCTATATTTCACATAGCCGAGATCAATGACCGGAAAGGTTGACGAAGGCGGCTGTGCTTCCGAGAAAGTGGTAAGGAAGAGGAGGAGGGCAGATGCTGCTCTAGGGAAGGAGAATATCATCGCTGGGCCCTTTCCAAGTCAAGCAGATAAATGAAGGCGAATCGAAGGAATACGATGCATTTGTGATTGATTCTCATCTCCCACTTACCGTCTTATGTAGTCCCAGGACTCGACCTTTAGCCGGCCTGCAGCAAGCGAGAGAGGGGAAGTTCCTCGTGGATACATGGATGGTGTGGAGGTAGACCCGTAGAAGCGACGATATGGAGATTTTCTGGGGGATGAACACTGATCTCGCAGTCGGAATGTGGCCGGGGAAATATCATTGGGCCTCGTTACAGGAGGTGAAGACGGGACGAGGACTGCCTGACTCTTAAAAATCCATGATATTGGTGCGAGTTTTAATGCCGGCGGGGTAGCGGCACCAGTAGGTTTCTGCCGACTCTATCAAGAATAGTTCAAGCAAAAGAACGCAACCTGCTGTGCCGCAAAGAGAGGAGTTGGTTGGGTCAACAGGCGCGAAGGGGGAAATCTGGGCGATCCAGAACACAGCCATCAAATCGTGAATGGGAAGTATTTCGCCGGAGTTTAGAGCAGTGCACAATATTTTTTGATCGGCCCTAAGTAAGGACAATGGGAACATTTGGCACGTGAGTTCATAGTATGCATTATCTCAGGTTGGCGTAAAACAACACGAGTGTGAGTGCCCCATCCTGCCCAAAGATAAGCTATCATTGCAAGTCGGTATGGCGAAAGTCCATCTTGACGGCAATGTTCAACCCGGGGAGCACGGGGACTTCTTGTTGCTGAATTTGCTGCCGCTGTTGTCCAAGGCTTATGACGGTGTCGCCGATATGCTTCGGCAGCGGATCAGCACCAGAGCGGTCCTTGGCCTGATCAATCAAGTCCTCGAAGTCGAGATGGTTCGTGACGCGAACAATGGTCGAGAAGTTGTTGGTGAAGCAGGCGCCGTTCTTGTAGATAGCGAAAGCCCCGATACCAATACAAAGCAGGGACATTGTGTTGCTGATGAAGTAGGCGATGATCAGGGCTTCTGGCTCATAGACATAGTCGGAGCGAAACCACCTCGAAGTCGCATTAACGGCGGTCATGGATGAATCAGAATCACCAGTGTGCCTGCAAGGACGTCAATCATGTAGCATTCAAAAGCTCGTGTAGTGACTTACTCTGGCAATTCTCCGTAACGGAGACCCACAGTCATGTTCTTGAAAAAATCCTCCATCTGGTGCATCATGTACTGAGCAGAATCGCTCGGGTCCAATCCAGGTTGTACGGGGAGCAGGGCCGAGTTCATTTGCAGTGTATGCGTACCGTAAATGGTTGTGGATCCGTTGGAGGGAGGAAGCACGTAGAAGAATTGAGTAAAAGTCCAGCCAAAAGCTTCCATGAGAGCTTGCGTGCTGAAAGCGTTTCCGATTTCCAGTGAGCTCATATCGTCCGAAATGTGGGCTTGAGTAGCTTGCCAGTTCAAAAAGGTGGTGTTCGCCGTCACATTCTGCTCTCCTGTCGTTCGAACATCAAAATGCGTTTGATATGACGCATTGTACATAGCACAAGTTATCAGGGCATCGGACGTTTGTGTTACGGTCGAGACTCGTTCCATTTGACCATCACCATTGTTCCCTTGAGTAAGTCCACTGGTATTGAGGTAGACGTAGAATCGTGCTGCATCGGAGGAGACATAATCAAGGTTGTCACTGCTTAAGCCGTTGCCCTGTTTGATCAGATCTTCGAAAAATGAAGTATTGACATCCGAAGCACCAACTTGTGGCACCCAACCAAAATAAACGATTTGTGAGTTTGAAAAGGAGTACCCGTGATATGCAAACAAACTGTTGGTAAGATTCCGGAGAGCATGTCCAACCGACTTAAGCATCTCATCCTCTGCAGGTGAGCAAGATAGGGCTGGACCAAAGAAATGGGTCGAATACGTGACGTTCGTATCTGGTCGTGGCACTGAAAGCAGCGCATTGGCTAATTGGACCCTTCCTACATTCCGCGTGGTCTCCACGGTCATTCCCTTGTACAGAGAAGAGCCATTGCCTGGCACGGTAGTAGCGTAGAACGAAATGCCGCCATATTGCCTGTCGGGAATCATGATCATCGTATTGGAGGTTTGTAGCTGAGATTGCACTGTCAAGGTACCCGGCGTAAATACAGCCGACAGAGGTAGACACCTGCTATTCATTAGCTGTTTTGATCGACCACTCTCATAGAATAGCGAACCATATCACAAACGCCAGAAAAGCCAGCATTGGTCGTTTGCGCCAGAAACCGACATTGACGAACCGCAAAGTGTTGTTCGTTGCAGCCAACATGGTGTCTATTGACGACACTCTGGAAGGCTTCCGCTGCAGATACAGCCAGAGGTACTGAGAGTACGCGACTGTCGTAGAAGCAGCTAGAAAGAGTCTCGACATGAAAGCAAAGGCAGTTTCAAGCCGACGAACCCATTGCTGCTCGGTTGCACTGCCGGCACTCCGACCCTCAAGAAAGCTATTGAACAGGTGGTGGAACAGAGACACCATGATGCCACTGAACAGGCTGACAACCATGATAGCTGGTGCTCGCCAGTGTATGCCGTCCTCGGCTCGGAGACAGGCAAGATGTGTCCCCCATGGCTTGACTATGTCCGACAATGACATTGAGTATTCCCGAGCCTGCTGTCGCAGCATGTTGGGCAGGTGAGTCAAGTTGTGACATCGCTTGGGGCGCAGAAGGGCTCGAGGTGAGGCGGTGAGTTATGATTCTGATATAAAGAACTCCATCTCTCCTCCCGTCACGACCTAGGGATCCCAGCCGCGCGAGAGGGATGATCCACGATCCACGCTGGAAAGCCGTGTTGATAGTGCTTTCAGCCGAGCCGTGGGAGGGTCTGCAAGGGGAATAGTATCTTTCAGTACCATACCACAGTCTGGGGTCGATTGACGGTCCTATCACGGGCTTCCGTCAAGCGTTATTTTGAGGGTTGTCGATCCTCGCTCGTCTCAGGCAATGGAGATTCGCTCTTAATTAATCCTCGCCTCAAGCTTACTTACTATGCATGAACGAAGAGTCTTGACGTCAGTCCTTGAATGCATTTTGGTAGGAATTACCTTGAAACGGTAAACGATATGTGGTTGGCGGCTCCGAAATTTGGGGGCCACGAAAGACGATGGCGCGGGCGGGCTAAAAGTGCTTCTTTCTTAAGCGAACTTGGTGTGCATCACCTAATGCAGGGGATCGCCTTCGAGGATGACTGAAGGAATGGAGGCGGCCTGACTCCAGAGAAGTGTTTCGATGGATCAGGGAGGTCTAGCAGTCCTCTTATCAAAAGCAGTCAACTCGGTCCACTGTCATCATCTCAAATTCGTATCTCCTTCATGGGAGGGACCGGCAGACGTTCTCTTTGCTTGGTTGAAGTCCCATTGACCATCTACGAGTTCAGGTCACATAGGGGAAAATGGCCCCTCCCCTCAATATCAGATCGTTCCATTTTCGTCAGATCTGCTGCGGTAAAGACGCCTAACCAACACTGATAACTCATCCGCAAGATTTGGTCAGCACCTTTTTGCGAGGTTCGGACGCTTACTTGCTGTGACTTCAGGGATGTTGCGGGTTCGATTGGTTGACTTCTGAAACAAGGCCTCATGAATACGGTCGATGCATGTGGCCAAAGGTCTGATCATGGCGCGTAAAGTACAAGTATGTATATTCACCGGCAATACTGCCTTGTAGAGTCTAGCCAGGCAAACGTTGGCGGCCTTAATGCCCCATTGTCGGCTCGAGGGGCTTCGATTCTAGACAATACTCGTACCGAGTTGTACTTGTATGCCGCGATCTCGGTGGACGCTTCTCATTGAGTGACAGGATCGACGTCGAAGTTGTAGGCGCGTGCCGTGGGTAAGGCACCTGCCTGTTCGGGGCGAGGCACAATCCCGCCCCCACGGTCTGGAGTACTCAGGACATGATTTTCTTGAAGCCTTGGGTGTTCCGCATCCTTGATCAACTGACAAGACTGGAATTATCAAGGAGCACTTCAGCGAATGCTCGTGTGCTTTGGAAGAGAACCTCTTCGGATTCTCAGCTTTGGCAGATCTCAGTCCCAGACAATTGCGCAGCTCGAAGATAACCGTTCCGCTGAGTTAAACGTGCAACGACGTGCATATCCGAGTTCATTTTCCAGTTGTTATTCGTCCAGTTGAGCCGCTCTTGCATGATATGCTTTGTTGAGCAATGGTTTCCATTGCCATGAGTGAGACCGGTGTATGCGCCATAGGCATGCATGCCAACATCCCTTGGATCTTGGTATCTCGTCAGAACAGCTGTGTTCAGCCTGTTTGTCCGGTGTCCTTTCTACTCTTTCTCACGACGAAATACTGTCCTCTTTTCTTGTCCAATTCGTGCTTAGGATCATCGCTCAGTCGGAAAGGATTCTCAAGCCGGTCGTCCGCTTTCTCAGGCTGCCATGGTTTTGCATTTTGATAAACGACTCTCGAAGGCTCTATATCCTTCTTTCTGCGTATTGTGCCGTTCTTACCGCGTTCCTCCTCAAGAGCTAGGAACTCACTCAGAGACTCTTTCGTAATCCGGCGCTCGGATTTCGCCTCTTCGGTCTCGTCACGGATGGCCACCAAAGGTTCAACTCCTGTTGTGTCTACCTTCTGGATCTCCTTGACGAAGTGAATTTGCTGGCGGAGGGTGTCCAGCATGCTCGACTCTTCTTCTTCATTGGTTGGTAGAGGGAGCGCAGAAAGACGTAGGAGGTGATGTAATTTCTCGCGCGTGATCTCAGAGTTGTCCTCGGCCTTTGCGCGAAGAGGAGGCATCAACGAGGCCACAGACCACGTAGGCTTTTCGAGGAGTTGGGAGATTCGAGGATTAATATCGATATGCTTGACGAGTCTGAGAAATTTGTCTCTCTCCGGACTCTTTTCGGGACCACAGAGATGCGTCCGGATAGAAAACTGTGGCCTTGGAATTCGAGGCATATTAAGGGTTCTGAAGCTGTACCCTACATTGCTTTGTACATCGGGATTTCAGCGGATGGCTGTAAACAATGGGAGTTCGCGCTGCGGAACATTTCCATCGCAGCCAAAATGTCTGGGCGGAACGACTAACATGTGGGGCTCCGCTGCGCAAGGCTCCATCTGGCGTCTCTCTTGACCTTACGTATCACCCATTGATTGACATACACATATACATCTTCCTCGAAGTCTCGATAACCTTGGACGAAGGGGCATCTGAGAACCCCAGTCATCGAATCCTTTCTACGGCCGGTTCACCATCTTCATCCATTCGGTCTCCGCCCTCACAATGGCCGGCGACCCTCGAGCACTACTCCAAAAAGCCGAGAAAGCCGCCTCAGGTGCAACAGGCGGCTTCAGCTTCTTCGGCGGACGAGGAGAGAAATGGGAAAACGCAGCAGATCTCTACACACAAGCAGCCAATGCCTTCCGGGTACAAAAGCAGAGTAAGCATACACAAAACAGTTCCTGACCAGACACTAACATGCATGTTCTTGTGTAGATCTTGAAGCAGGCAAGGCGTTCGAGAAGGCCGCATCGATACAACAAACCAAACTCAACGAGCCCGACGACATGGCCAACACCCTCACCGAGGCCTTCAAAGTCTACCGCAAAGAGTCACCGAACGATGCCGCGCGCGTCCTCACCACCGCCATCACACACTACACCACAAAAGGCAATTTCCGGCGCGCCGCAACACACCAGCAGAATCTCGCAGAGGTATACGAGATGGAGATCGGCGACCAGAAAAAGGCCCTGGAAGCCTACGATACCGCCGCGCAATGGTACGAGAGCGACAACGCCGAAGCCCTGGCGAACAAGCTGTACCTGAAAGTTGCGGACCTCGCGGCGCTCGAGGGCGACTATCAGAATGCGATTTCGAAACTCGAAACCGTGGCCAAGTCGTCGCTCAACAACAACCTCATGCGCTGGTCCGTGAAAGATTATTTCCTCAAGGCCGGCATCTGCCACCTGGCGGCGGGAGATCAGGTGGCTACGAAGCGCGCTCTCGAGCATTACAAAGAACTGGATAACAGTTTCGCGGGGACGAGGGAGAATATGCTGCTTACGGACTTGGTGGCTGCGGTCGAAGAAGGTGATCAGGAGGGCTTTGCGGATAAATTGTTCCAATTCGATCAGTTGAGTAAATTGGACAAGTGGAAGACGACGCTGTTGTTGAGGGTTAAGAACGCTATTGAGAAGGAAGAAGAAGACTTTTCGTAAGCAATTACTGCTGATGAGGTTGTGATATGAAGTTACGAGCAATAGCAGAGTACAATTCATGAGGCGTTGACGGGTTGATGGGCTGGTGGCTGCATTGAAATTCGACACCGAGCAGTAAGCTCAATCACTAGATCGGCGTATTTCCATATCGATTCGATCGAGCCTTGACCTTGTCTATTGGCAATGCACAAATAACTACGGTTGCCCTCCCGTGTGTATATCATAACCCAAAATGCTAGCTCGTACAATATATCACATCCCAATGCGGTCGTCCGGTTGTTTTTCTTTACGCTGTCGAGAGCCATTGTTTTCTCGTAAAGTCCATGCATTAACCGGCAACATCATGACAAGAAACAAAGATTAGGCCGGCCCATCATCCAGATTAGCACCACGTGAAGACTGGCTGCTTTCCCTTGATCGTCTCAAGCCTTTCAACAATAACCTTGCGCTTATGCTGCTCCATATCACTTGCCGCGGCATAGCCAAGGTCCCCTTCAAGATCATCACCCTCGTACACTATGGGTGGCTGTTTTCCACTTCTTGTGGACATAGAGCGCTGCCTACGCGTACTCGTCCGTGAAGTGGTGTCGCGGCGTGGAAATTCAAAGCTGAATCGATTCTTATTCTTCATGGCCGGTCGGGGCGGTAGACTTGCGCTGTTCCCCAGACTGTTTCTCGCTTCCTTGGCGAAATCCATCGTGTCAAATCCGCTGATATTAACAGGACTGGCCGGTCCTTCTTCGCCAGGCATGAATGAAAGATCAGCAGCACTGTCCTCACGTGTCAAATCGAAGCGGTTTGGGTTTGGCAACTCCATGGTCGGCGATCCAAGAAGGTCGTGCACTGGAGCCTGGCGCCCAGGCGGAGCAGAAGCGTAGGAAGCTCCTATGTCCATCTCTTCCTGCTGATCATACCGTCGCGGTTTGCGGTGCATCTCAGTCGACGGCATGCGCATGGGGATCGCTACTGGGACGTCAACCAGGTCGTCCCAGACACAGACCCGGGTCCTTCTGGTCAGTTCGAGCGGTCCGTGGTCATCCTGTTTAAGAGTCTCGACTACATTCCACGCTTGACCTTTCATGACGGCGATTTGTCGGGCAAACATGCTCTCCTTGAAGTCGTCATCAAGTGCAAACACCCTTCTTAGAGCTAATTGGGTCTCGCTCCACCATGCTGTAGAGGTCAAGAGAGGGAGGAAATGATCTCGAGTTTTCTTGGAAAAGGGCTGTCCGATGAGTGATACCGGCAGAAATAGCCAGCCAAAGGGAAAGCTTCGCCACTGCGCATCATTAGCAAAGAAGATAAGACGGCGACACAAGTACTTACAGCATCGGGATGCTTCCAAGGCCAGGACAGACTGTTGTCGATGGCTCCAAGCGTTATTGAGCAACTGTTTTCTTGACCGACGGAAGGTGTAGTTGACCGACTCTCCATAGCCTCATACCTTCGATAAGGCCTCGACGTATTTGACTCCGGTCGTGGGCTCACAGATGCCTGCCGCGGGAGGGCCTCTCCGTTCTGAGCATTGCCATTCAGCTTTGGAGGTTCGGCCACAATTGAAACCTCCTCCAGCTTCCAATCAATCTTGATCATCCAGTTATCCAATCCTCGATCCGTATTTCGCATGATATAGTCTAGTATGACAAGCTTTTCTAGCTCTTCTCGGAATGCTTGCTTTATCGTTGGTGTCCAATGGAATTTCGGAGCCTGCTCTTGAGGCTGTGGTGACTGAATTCGAGGCGCCTCCTCTTCGTCATCAGATTGTGCCGCATTCGGCATACAGTTCGACAGCGGCCTCCTCTTCCTTTTATGTTCTATATCAGCCCGGAAGTCGGTTGTTTGATCTGGCCAGGGGTTCTCGCGGAGGAATATGTTCGCGTCCTTGAATCCCTTGAGGAAGACTTGAAAGCTGCCCACTTTCGCAGGCAAGCTCTTCTTTCCTCTCCAACTACTCCTTCGTTCCCAGAAATCGTAGTAGAATGACTTTGACGACAGCCAGACCACGTCGGTATATGGCACGAGAAAGGTTCTCAGCTGGCAGTCAAGGACGTACGCGGCGGCTTCGGAGACGTAGGACAAGTTCGGAATGAGGCAGGCTCTGCCAAAGAAGAAGGGAAACAGGTTTCTGTGGATCCATTTGGTCCATTTCGGGTTTCTGGAAGCATAGGGTTCTTCATCTTTGGGTTTGAACACTCCAACGACTTTGCCTTCGCTGTTACGAGCAAAATAGCTTCCGGAGCTACCCTGAGATATCATCTTCGGGTGAACATTCATCTCGATAGCAATTCTGACACTCTCGACAATATCGTCAAACTGGTATTTGGTCATTCGCTGGTCTTCTGCGGCGGCATAGCTAGCCAGGTCTTGCGCAGTGTAAGGTTGGATTCCAGGAGGCGCTTGAAAGACGGAATGGTGTATCTCCAACTGCTCCTCCTCTTGCGTTTTGCCCTTGACAGAATGTATCTTGAACTTTGTTACAATCTCTTCTGCCCATCTCTCTAACCGAGCATTGATGGCTTTGATGTCCACACCGGACGAATTGCTTCTCATACGTCGCGCAGGTCTTCGTCTGTGGTCCTGGTAAGGGCCGGAGCGCATGCTCTCTCGAGGCCCTGGTTGTATCGAGGCATATCGAGTCGTCAGAGGCGTCGTGTGGTAGGTTTCGTTATCTGATTCTTCATCTCCTAACGGCTCATCTTCGTCTGCCTGCGCAAGTCGAGCGTATCCGGATGTCGGTCTGTGGCGCGGCATGGCTCAGACTGAAAGCCATACGTGGACGATGTTACTATAGGAGGGTCCGATTTTGTTCTTCCAAAGAATAGGTTCTAGAAGGAATAATACAGCATGGTGAAGTAGAAATCGGATCTACGCCTGGATACTACGAGTATTCAAGCCACCTCCTGCAAATGTTTAGGTAAGGCCCGGATGTATTCTAGGGGCTGCGCGTCAGTGATCACATACTCGAACCTACGGTAGGCATACGGCGCATCATAATTGCACCCGATTCCGACACTGGATCTCATTTCTCTCTGGAAGCAATTGCCTGTAGTGCCTGTGAAGTTGCGCTCTGAAGCTTTCGCATGCAGGTAATTTCAATATCAGGCGACGAGATTACTGTCTAGGATCAGGTCAAGCACATCGTGTTCGTCAGCAAATCGTTCTACTGGATTCCTTCCTTGATTTCGATTGCATTTCGGGCCTTGTTGAGGCTTGCAAAGATTGATCTCGTTGTCATGCAGGGAATCCGCAAGAGGGAGTCCACAGTCTCATCAAATCCTACCTTGCCCTACTTCATTTATTCGATGATGCCACAGACCCTAGGCCTACTCGTATGGGTTCTTGACCAGGACAGTATTTCCAGCGAATAACGCCGGTTGATATCTTGCAACGGCAAGGATCTTAGGGGGCATCCATGGGGTCTCCAGAACTTGTGGTGATCGACCATGATCAGCCTGCGGCTTTGATCCTCGCAAAAATGTAGCATCGACCCTCGAACATGGGGCACGTGGGGTGCATATGTGACCGTTCCAGACATCTCGGAGCTGTCATCAGACTTGAAAAGCTGAGCAACCGCGACAACATCCTTCGATGTGCTTGGTGAAGACTTGCTTATACCTCACCGCATGCTCATTCTTGCAATAAGGAAAAGAAATATTGGAAAAACAAAGTGTCAGGAGTACTAGGTAGGTTGCTGCTCATCTGCATATTTGCCGTTGTTAGCCAAACCCATTTTTGAGCCCAACGCGAGTCCTTATCGTCAAAGCCTGATTGGCGCAAACCTTCCATTCGGCCACAAAACGCAATGACATGCAACGAAATCGGAATATATTTTGGTGACGGAAGAAAACTTCGGTACAGAACGAGCTGCAAGGTACCGAATATTAGTTGCTGGGATAATTCATGCCTAGAACGCTGTCATTGCTTCTGTGATGTTGGCCAGGCAGTTATGTTGTTTTCTAGTAGACACAATCATGCCACACTCCAGTGTCTGGCCTATTCTAACTCGGGTTGATGATAGAGCGACTACACGTAGTAGGCAACCAAGACCGTGCTATAGAAATCCCACTGTGGAGTTTACTATTACTTTTGGGTGTCGGCACAATGACCGTGTGCCGGATTCGGGCGCACCGTTACCCATGAAAGAGCCCTTGTTGTTGTCGCAGGTTTCTTGCATTTCAGGATACGTGTGTCACCGTTTCTTTGTTTCCTGCTTTGTGTCTGTTTGTGGTCGTCATAGCACACATCATCGCGCGGGAATCACGGTGACACACGGGGAGTGAACAAGGGTTGAGCTGTAATCTCGAGCGATTCAAAGAAGCAAAACCGAGCGAGTTCCTTATCGCGCGCACTTTGTTGGAATTGGATGGATGCTGAATGGTTGAAAGGGAGAAGAAGAACAGTGGAGAAGGAAGCGAGAAGCGATAATCGGATTCCGATAATTGCCACGAGTCGGCACAGCTTTGGGGACCCTGCACTCCGTTTGTTGAGAATCGGGGCCAGTGGTTAGGCGGAGTGGCCGCCGGCGCGGTAACCAGCAGGCGGTTCTAGGCTTGCTTGCGTTACTTGGTACAGGGTGAGGGGGCCAATCTTTTGGACTGGCGGGGCAAAGGGCGGGCGGGCAACACACACTTGCGCTTCCAGGGTGGCTGCGTGCAGAATCACTGACGAACAAGAGCTCCCTCCCGCCCTCGGAGCAGCGAGCTCCATTTGTAGATTTATTTATTCTTTACTCCCTGCCCTTCTTCCCTCGTTATCTATCTTCACTTTCACACCTCACTCCTCTGCCTGATTTTCTCCTACGCCGTTCAATTGATCTTTGGACAATTGTACATACCACAATCCTCGTCCATACCACTTTTCTTCACATTCCTGACCACCACAGCTCATCATGGTATGCTGCCCATATCTCACCACGTGCGCACTTGTGACCAGGCCACTGACTCTTCTCAGGCTTCAGGCATCGGTGAATCTACCGTCGTTTCTAACGCTTCCAACGTGAGTCTTGTTTCTGGTGTCCTTTGTCTGGGCAAATCTGACTCTCCTCCAGTTGGCCAAGTACATGAAATTGGACCAAAGAGGCAAGGTTCTCGCTGAATACATCTGGATTGATGGTTCAAACGGCCTCCGAAATAAGACAAAGGTAAGCGCATCCTTTCTCCCCTTCGTCTCACTCAGCATCACACCGCCAATTCCCTTCTCGGCATTCCTGCACTGCACCTGGACAAAGCCAACACCCGATATATCGCATTCAACGATTATCCAAAATCCCGCAGTTCCGACAAACAACCGGCTTGTTATTTCAATGGTTGACCCCACGCTGGGTAACCCTGGCCCATGCAGCGTTGCGCTAGAGGCGTGGCTCAACAACCGATACTTTTGGTGCTGCGCCGCCGCCCAAACCATCTTTCTCGCCAATCAATTTCGGGTCGGCCGATCTCGGGACATCGGATAACGACGTCAAAGTGCGCCCTGCGCCAACGTTATTAATGGCTACTCCGATGCGGTTCAACGGCGAATTGACACATTTAAATTGATCTGACTCGTGGAACCATCTTGCTGACTGACTTGGCGATTTCTAGACTTTGAGCAAGGCTCCCAAGAGCGTTGATGATCTCCCAGAATGGAATTTCGACGGCTCCTCGACGGGTCAAGCCCCCGGTGACAATTCCGATGTCTACATCCGACCAGTTGCCATGTACCCCGATCCCATACGGTTGGGCGAGAACATCCTCGTCATGTGCGAGACCTGGGATCCCGATGGAACACCCAACAAATACAACTTTCGCCACGAAGCCGCACGTCTGATGGAAGCCAATGCCAAACATCAAGTTTGGTTCGGTCTGGAGCAAGAATACACTATGTTGGGTCCTGATGGCTGGCCATACGGCTGGCCCAAGGGTGGCTTTCCCGGTCCTCAAGGTCCTTATTACTGTGGTGTCGGCACTGGCCGTGTCTACTGCCGTGACATTGTCGAGGCACACCACAAGGCTTGCATGTACGCTGGTATCGAAATTTCTGGCACAAACGCCGAAGTTATGCCTGCGCAATGGGAGTACCAGGTCGGGCCTTGCGAGGGTATTGATCGTGAGTTTTTGACCTTGTCTAAATCTTGAATGGCTGCTGACAGTTTTAGTCGGTGACCAACTCTGGGTCTCTCGATGGCTCCTCCACCGTATCGCCGAAGAATTTGGTGTCGTCGTCTCCTTCAAGCCCAAGCCTATCCCCGGTGACTGGAACGGTGCTGGTCTCCACACCAACGTCTCATCCAAGGAGATGCGTGAGGAGGGTGGAATGAAATACATTGAAGAAGCCATGAAGAAGCTTGAGAAGCGTCATGTTGAACACATCAAGGTCTACGGCGAGGGCAACGAATTGCGTATGACTGGTGCCCACGAGACCTCAAGCCTCGACAAATTCACCTGGGGTATTGCCAACCGTGGCTCATCCGTCCGAATTCCCAGAGCCTGCGCCAGAGAAGGAAAGGGATACTTTGAAGACCGACGACCTGCTTCCAACGGTGACCCATACCGTAAGTTTTATTCTTACCATCAAGCCATAAGCACGTTGTGATTGACATCTTGGACACAGAAATCACTGGAATCATTATGGAAACTATCTATGGATCCTTACCCGAGGAGAAGTTCGAGTAAATGCTATGATTAGCGAGGCGAAAGTGATGGTGGTAAAGCAAGTCTAAACATAACAAGTTTGCTCTACGGATTCTACAAGGCGTTGATGGTGGTGATGACAATGGTGAAGCTGCTGCTTGCTGCTGTTCATGAGCGAATCCAATCGATTTGATGTGTCGTGGTAAATGATGGGACTCGAATAGAGCCGCTAGAGTTATAGCTGAATGAGTTGACACGATAAAAGACAATACCTAGTAGGCTTCTTGTTGCAACTGTCTTCGTACTTGCTACCTAGGTAAATATTGACTCGACCATTTCTCAGCTGCTATATCCTGCCTGCCTGTAGACGTGGTGACAGTAATTTCATTGCTTGTCCTTTCGCCAACTATGCAACTCGCAAAAGATACCCAGGATTCCGCTCTATTGCCTAACGACGGATCTACTTTGTTCAGAGATTTACACGTACTTTTGCGGCTTTTTTAACTCTTTCGAACCTCATGAATGGCAACACCAAGAACGAGACTGGAATACACACAGATCGAGCTCAAGATAAAGTTATCTTACAGTATGAGCGGTTTCCACACAACATTTGACGTCCACGCAGCCAATTGGGCTCGAGTATCGATGACACGGCAGAAATCGATCTGACCTCGACGTCCACCGCGTACAGACCCAATCAGACCCCGTCAGATAGCAGCAAAAGTCCCATCCGACACAATGAATCTGATTAGGTCAGCAGCCTGATATGCTTCCCATGATGAACAGACGGAGATGGTCGTCTTCTGATAGGCAGACCCGACCTGGCGCAAGGCTGGATCGTGCATGAGACGTGTCCAAACTGATGGCTCTCTGCTTCTCGATAAGGGTCGGGCCATGCTCTTACCCGTCCATGCACAGTTATATCATCTTTAGCTTCTCCCCAGAGAGCGCATGGACTGGCCGTCGACGACCTCCAGGGACTGCAGGCTCGCACATGTCATTTGTTGCTCCAGGGTCGTCTTACCTCCCGTGCCTCCAGACCTTGATTTTCCCAGACGAGCGGCTAGGCACTCTGCCGAGCAATCTGACAAGGGCTCCTGACTTGAAGCAAACTCTTCCATCAGCTCATGCGATCTCGATGGAGCTTTCCTTATCAGTAACCGCAACCCGCAGCAACCACATTTGCATTATCCCTCAAGATCGATATCTTCAAGGGCATCAGCGGCTACCGTGATCGTCGTGTTCTGACATCTGAATTTCCTTTTGTCATTCAAAGATCATGTTGGTTGGTCGGAGGTGAGCTCCATTGGGTTAAAGTACAACCACCACCTGATAAGCACCTGAGACAGCTTGACCGGCAGATGTCTTGTCCCTGCTCATCATGAGGAGTTCCTTTTCCTCGAAACCCTCAAGGATTGAGGCTAGGGTGATTTGCTTCTCAAGCGTAGGTTTCAATATCAAGCTGGCGGTATGGTGAAAATTTTCCATCAGCATGACAGGAAAAACAAGTACAGCATATCTCAAGAAGGCAAGGTCTGATCTCGCATGCACGCAAGCAGTCTCCAGCCACGTCTCAAGAGCATGGGGAAGCTTCAAAATTCCATCTCAATTCCCCGGAAAATGCTGGTTCCAGAGGCGATAACGACAGGTACAGCAAAGGGGCACACCTCGAACGTCGGCGCGGTGGAATGGAAGCTCACGTGCTCGGTTGTCAATCTGCATATACGATTGGTTAAAGATAAGAGCCGCATTTGGACTCGCATTAAGCTCGCATAAAGCTAGCGACGACCCTGATCCCACCGACGCACGTCTGCGGAGCCCATGGCTTACCAGGCTGGCTAGCTCGCTAGGGGTTGGCCCCTGTCGCAATCTATCTTCATGATAAGAGTCTACGTATTCTGATTGGTTTGACAGTTTACATTTCTGATGGCCTTCAGCAATTGCATTTCAGCAGAGCGTCCATTTGAAGCCCATCGCCAAAAAGCAATCCCAGAGGCATCAGCCAGCTACTCTTGGCATTACGAGACATAAATCTTCTTTCTACGAGAATGCCCGACATTCGCTGCGTCTTTACTCGCAGTTGTCCCAACCAAACGAAGCTCAATTGAAGTCGATTCTACCGGGCGAGTCGGCTTTGCAGATGCGGGTCACAATTGTGGCAAGCTCATGCTAAGCATGCTTGAGCCACTCCAAATAGATCACCCTGTTCGCCAGTGGACCTGATCAGGCAACAAGTCTTGCTTTTGATACTCATGTATCAGCAGCCAGGAAGCTCGAAAGGCTGGGCGTTCAAGGAGTGATGTGCTCAAGATTAGAGCAATCGAACTCAGCTCTTGATAACAGATCATGCTCCGACCAGTCACAGTGAAAATGCAAGGCATGGCATCCGTCATGAGCGCCTCAACTTACTGTGCGAGCACAGAATGTAAGGCTCTGTGGGCGAGCGACACCGTGTGCAACCCCTGGTCTCACGCACCAGCTCACGGACTCCATTATTTGACTCCACCATTTTATCAATCGAGTGACGTGAGTTCCACTGATCCACGCCACCGACCCATGCTCCACGACAATTCGAGATTCTAGCTTCACACTCGTACGGGAAGAATGACGCTGTGCCAAACCGCCGATTTCGCCCAGACGTGTCAAATGTTTCTCGTCCATATGCTCACGAGTCTGGTATACTTTCTTTTTCCCTTACACCATACGACGGGACTGCCTTGATATACGGCAGGACTCGGCCTTGCAATCTTGTTGTTTTCCTGCCTACCTAGCCGGAGTGTCACTTTACTTCCGCCACTGGACGACAGCTATACCCCAACGAAATCTACGTCCTGATTGCTCTGCAGGCTAATACGACTGCATCGATTTCCTTTCGCCTGTCGAGGCAACACAACAACAAGCGCAGGACCAGCGACTCGAAACCGCCACTATGTCGGCTCCTGGCATCAGCGATTACCTCCCGACCTACGCGTCCTACAACTGGACTGGAGCTCCTGCGGACTATACCCAGGTTACAAATGCCCGAACTGGAGGGGACTCGAGTATGTAAATGCTAGAATGTCTTCTGCGTCTCTCTAACGGGTACAAGGGCATGAAAATCTGAACAAATGGTTTCAGTCCGGCGATACGGCTTATATTATCATCTCCTCATGTCTCGTCCTAATCATGGTACCGGGTCTTGGTTTCTTATACTCGGGCCTTGCAAGAAGAAAGTCAGCCCTCTCCATGATGTGGGCGTGTATGGCTGCCGGCAGCATCATCAACTTTCAGTGGTATTTCTGGGGTTACTCGTTAACTTTCTCACCAACGGGTCAAAGTGGCTTCATTGGTGATCTTGTCCACTTTGGCTTGAAGAGAGTGCTCGGGAACCCCAGTCCTGGATCTCCCCTTGTTTCTAGTCTTCTCTACTCGTTCTATCAGGTACGATCACAGTCGGGGTCAGGAGTCAATCTTTATCTAACTCGAGAGCAGATGCAATTCTGTTGCGTTACAGCTGCCATTGTGGCAGGTGCGGTAGCCGAACGTGGTCGACTCATGCCCTTCTTGGTCTGGACGTTCCTCTGGGCTACCCTGGTCTACAACCCGATCGCTTGTTGGGCTTGGAATGCGAACGGATGGGCTTTCAAGTATGGTGTCATGGATTATGCGGGTGGTGGCCCGGTCGAGATCGGGTCTGGTTTGTCTGCTCTGGCATATTCCATGGTTCTCGGAAAGCGACAAGAGAAGATGATGCTCAACTTCCGTCCCCATAACGTCTCTTTCATCTTGTTAGGCACCATCCTGCTTTGGTTCGGATGGCTCGGCTTCAACGGTGGTTCCTCTTTTGGAGCAAACCTGCGAGCTGTTATGGCTTGCTGGAACTCGAACTTGGCTGCCACCTTTGCAGCAATTACCTGGACACTACTCGATTTCCGTCTTGCTCGAAAATGGACCATGGTCGGTTGGTGTTCCGGCACAATCTCTGGGCTGGTAGCCGCCACTCCCGCTTCCGGCTTCATTGATACGTGGGGTGCCGTTGTTCTCGGTATTGTGACTGGCGTTTGTTGTAACTTTGGCACCAAAAGTGAGTTTTTTTCCCCCAGAAGCATCTGGTGTATGTCCGTTCATTTGCTGACCTTTCCGGTGCTAGTCAAATACTGGATCCGAATCGACGACTCTATGGACGTGTTTGCCGAACACGGTCTTGCTGGCATGATTGGCCTCATGTTCAACGCTCTGTTCGGCGTTGATTACGTGGTCGGCCTCGATGGAGTCAATACTGGAGCCAGCAATCCCGAGACCGGTACGGGCATTGGAGGATGGCCCATTGGCAACTATCGCCAATTCTACATCCAACTCGCCTACATTGTCGCATGTACCGGCTATTCCTTTGTTGTGAGCGCCATCCTGGCGTACATTGTCAACTACATTCCCGGGCTGCACCTTCGAGCGTCCGAAGAGGCTGAACTGCTCGGTATGGACGACGACCAGCTCGGCGAATTCGCCTATGACTACGTCGAAGTTCGCCGGGATTACCTGGCTTGGACGCCACAAAAGACCGATTATGGTGCCGACCCCAATCTGCCACAAGAGGATCGCCACGGTATTGGTGAGCATTCCAAGATGATCAAGGATGGATCACATGATACCAGCTCCGGATCGGGTCACCAATTGCCTGCACAAGGCGACCGACATGCTGTTGCCATGGAGGACCTCGAGAAGGAGAAGAATGTTGCGGACCATGAGAAGTGAAGTGAAGAACACGACGGGCTCAAAATTTGACTCCGCTTGTATCCGTACTCAAATAAATGTTTATGTGGTTGTGGCTTCGTGATCCCTGCTGGTTGACGGGAGATACAAAAAGTCTGGTTGCTGCTGCTGCCGAAATTTCCCCCCCGAGATGAACTGAACTGTGACTGATTGAGCGAAGAATGATTGCTTGGGTTTCAACTAGAGGGGACCTGCGAAATGGTCGATCGGATTGGAATGGATTGGATTGGTGTTGAGGTGTAACAATGATGATGACAGGAACAAGGAGGCTCGGGTAGACTGTCCTTTTCTCACGCAAGCGAGTTGATTGTTCTATTGTTCAAGAGAGCGAATATGATTGCGAAGTATACGCAGTACTCTGTACTTGATGCTACATTGGATTCTTGTTTACTTGTGCTGTTATCAAGCCTCTAGAATGTATCGAACCGAGGCCGTCGACTCTACAGAAAGGCCCGCCTCATACCGGGTATCAGACTATCAGTATACCTCCATCCACCAAACGCCTCGCTGTGTGTATACGCATCACTCAAATACCACATCATTGGGTCTTCGCCCGCGGAATCCTTTTGTTGTTCTTGCCCCCATTTTGCGGCGCCATGTTCAGCAATGGTTTTCGCTTCTCCTTTTCCCGGCCCTCGATTACCTTGTCTTTCTCGTGTGTCGTCCACTGGCGCAAAGCGTAATCTCGAAGCTCATCAATCTCGTGATGCTGCGACGGGTATGGCGGCTGATCCTTCAACCTTTTTTGGCCCTTGACAATAGCAGCATCCCTTTGACCCTGCGCAATTCTAGCTCTGCGAATCCATCGATCTGTCTTCTCCGTGTCGCGAACTCGTCGCCGAATACTGTAGTGGATGCCCTTGAAGGTGTACGCTCCTAGTCCAAGGGACCCCGCGATGGGTTTCAAGACCAATCCGCCAAACCCTTTGGCACACCCTTTGGGCAGTCCTTTCCAACCTTCGTCGTGAACTTCAAGTTGGGGTAAGCGGACGACTCCGGTGACCCCATCATACATGCCCAGCCAGCATTCGGTCACTGCAGCCTTCATGCCACTTCTCAAACCAGTGATCTTCTTGTTCGGTGCTGGACGAACGGTAGTGTCGCCATACAGTCTAGGTGCATTGTGAAATCCAAGAGTCGTAGCATCCCACATCTTGAATGGCAATGCCAAAATTGCATGAGCTGAGTGGCCAATACCTTTGCCAATATCCTTCATGATGACCACGGCTGCAGGCTGCCCTTCGGTAGACGAGCAGGTTGTGACCCGACTTAGGTCCGTTAGTCCATCTTGATCGGGACGTGAAGGGGCAAAGGGAAATCTAGCTGGCTCCGCACTTCCTTGGAGTTTGAGTTGTGCCTCCAGACGAGCGTGTTCTTTGCGCTGCTCCTCTACGCTTGTCCCTCGTGCAGCGTAAGCAATCTTTCCAGGCAGAACCAGCCCCTGGGTGGTCGACTTTTCCTTGTGCTTTCGTCTGTGCTTCTCGAATTTTTTGAGATCTCTTTTCGTGTCGTCATGCATCGCACTCAACCCATGCAAAGCTTCTTGAAATGCCTGAACGACGGCACCCCCGGCGCCGGTAATGGGTTCTCCAGGCCCCTGGAAGTCATTCCATTCACGAATCTTCTTCAGTTCCAAGTCTGAATATTGCAATTCCCTGTTCTCCACAAGCAGATCAGCCGCAAGAGGCGACAATTGCGTATAGGCGTGTTTGACTTTCCAAACAGCAACCCGGTCTGGCATGATATTGCATCGGATGGAGTGTGGACCGTCCAGCGGTAATGCTCTATGAAAAGAGTCGACGGCATTCTCTGCGCCGTCTCCTTCCTCTTGAATGCTCTTAGCAATTTCTTCAGCTTTTGCTCGAGCATCTGGCTCCAGGCACTGTCGGATGCTTTCTGCGAATTTGTTGCTGTCAAGTTTCTTTAGCGGTAGAGCCTGTTTCGCTCCTGCTCCTGCCCTGGCAACCATGGCACTCCAAAATGGCTGATCGCCGAAGAAAGGTACAATCATTGTAGGTTTGCCAAATCTCAGACCGGCTGCAGTGGTACCCGCACCACCATGGTGGACGACAGCATCGACTTTGGGGAATAACCAGTCATGAGGTACATTATCGACCATAAAGATCCCGTCTGGTTTGTCCATTCCGTCGCCCATTCCGCCCCAGCCTCGACTGATCACCGCGCGGACATTGGCTTTGTCGACAGCGTCGAATATCATCCGACAGAAGGCCGCCGGATCGTCAATTCCAGAGATCGACCCAAAGCCAATGTATATTATCGGTCGCTTGTCTTCTCCTGATCTGTCCAAAAACTTAGCCAAATCTGCCGGCGGTTTGTAGGAGGATGCAAGGTCCAGGAAGACATAGCCGGCAATGTCGATTTCCGGGCCCCAATCTGCAGGCTTAGGCACGAGACCGGGAGACCAAAGGTAGGTCATGGGGACTCTCAAGCGGGAAAGCTGGCCGGGAGCCCATAGTGTCGAGACAGGCTCCAGACCCAAGGTCTTGACTCTGAATCTATTGACAAGATCTCCCAAACCCTGCCACGTCATCAGGTCAACCAGCGGGTACGACATGAAATTGACATAGCTCTGGTCAACATTGGTAGACTTTATATTGGCCAAGGGATGAGGGAAAGCCTGGGTAGGTGAGTATGGGAACGTAAAGACAAGATGTAGAGGAATGCTCAATCGCTCGGCACAGTGATAGTGCGCAAAAGAAGGTGGATTTGCAATGATTGCGTCGGCGACAAAGGGAGGCTTGGAGCCCATCAACTTCAAGTTGGCCGTGTCTGTTTCATCGTCGGTCGCGTTGATGCAGGCCCTCCAAAACCCCTGGAACATCTGGTACATTGACTCTCTTCTTCTTCCAATCTCTCCAGCCTTGACAGTCTCCAGAGAAGGGATCAAGCCCGGATTTTTGACCATGAACGACATCAATTCGGCGGGGTTTCCACCCACGGAGAAGAACTCTAGGCCGACGTCTTCTTCAACAAATTTCTTGAAAGCGGGATGCGACGCAATTCTGACTCTATGGTTGTATTTGTCCTGCAGGATCTTTCCAATCTTGAGAAATGGTTGAATATCACCGCGACTGCCGATGACCATGATGACAATATTAAGTTGCGGGATCTGGACTTTCGATTTCGCTTGCAGGAAGTCTGTCTTTGCTTGTGCCTCATCCTTGACATCTTGGGCGTGATGGGTACCGAGTTGACGTTCAATTGTAGCCCCAAGTGCTTTTGCCAGATAGCCAGTTTCTGCTTTTTCACTGACAGAGATATTCAGTCTACCATCCCTTGCTATCCTGCCCCTTGACTGGAAGAATTCATTTCCAACGCGGAGATTTGAGGGCCTCGATGTAACTGGAGTGCGATTGAGGTGAGATTTCGCCAAAGGCTTGTCATTTGGTGATGTCTGTGACCTTTGTAATTCTGAGACTGATTCGTCATCCGAAGAAGACAAGCCATCGGATTCACTGAAGACTGCAGCGTCTTCGGAAGCTCGAGCGATCCGCTCATTTATTGTGGAACGGTGCTGTCTTATGGGGACCAGCGTCCGCTGCGCCACTGGCCGGGAGATTTCAGTCTCGAACTTGTGAGGAGCGAGGACAGGTCTTTGGAGAGCACCATCTTCTGTAGCTACTGTATCTGAAAGTGGCCTCCCCGAGTTCTTTCGGCTATTTGCTGCGTCGTATAGTGTAGTGTCCGAGTCAACTTGTGATTGTTCGCCCTCGGAATGTTGTCTCTTGGGATAAGGGAAGGTAGTGGGAGGAGGATCGACGGTTGGACTTCGCTTGTAATCGATCGCAGTCGTCGCGACCGGAGCCAGTGCGTCCGCCATGGAATGCTGTTATGTCTTGTGCCACATGTTGAACTCACGGACGCCAGGTGCGATGTGAAGCGGAGGAGCGAGGGATGTGGTGTGACGAGGATTCTCTTGGGGTGTTGTCTGCAACGACAGTAACGAGATTCGAGTGATTGAGGTGTTATTCCTTTGAATAGTTGAATGGAGAAAGAATTGCGCAGTGTGTGCAGTGTGTGCAGTGTGAGCAATTGACAAAAATGGATATTGAGCCCTCGACTGAATACCGCCGAGGAAGAAGATGACGAAGTTGCGTCACAGGCGTACTAAGTTACAATGTCATGGCTCGATGGGTACCTGAAAGCGTGTAATTTGGCGCTAGGGTGCCATTTGACGACAAACAGCAGCGAGAACAATTTGTGCGGTGGGAGGACCTCCTGTTGAATGCGAGGTCCAACTACTGCTTCGACGACTCAAGCGGCAGCTGTTTTGTATTACACGATTTACCCCATGAGACCATACATGGTAGAGAGTATTGAATCTTCTCTTTCCGGGGCGAACCGACACATGCTTGATTAAAAGACGCCATTCACTGCGGGAATCTTACCCATCCAACAGGAATCTCTCCCTCTATTGTGATACAACTATTCTCTCCTTCGTTGGATGGATGAACTCGATTTTCCAAGGCACTACAGCTTAGTTACAGCTACGAGTCAGTGAATGCCATATATCTACCTAGGTTTGTCTGTGCTTGAATCTTGAATGGTCCGAGAATAGCTCGCAGCAGTCCACGGTCTCTACAAATATGCTGTTTCGCTAACGACAGCCACCCGCATTATTTTGCGGCAAGCGTCAAGCTGGCTTCGGGGCTAGCTAGGCGTTCCTGACAGGGGTTGTGAAGATCATCAATGCACAATCTGCGGGCCAGTCATTATTATTATCGTGCCCATACATTTCCATCCAGGCGCCTCAGGGGAGTCTACTGTGTAGAACAACCGCTGCAAAGGCCGCATAGGTTACCTAGGTAATATTCTGATACAGCCATGCTTGTTTGGTACGGTCTCTGGAAGCACGGCATGCTGACCACCATCCTTTTCCCAGAGAGCACGGAGATGCCACGGTTCCAGCTGCAGGGTACGAGATTAGCTTCGGCAGTTTCAAGTCTTGCCATACATGGATGCCGAAGGAGCGAGAAGGAGTAGCGGCGACGTGCCCGAGATTGAGAGAGACACCACCAAGACCAGACCCTACCTTCGCGTAAGGAAAACATCCCAGCATGCTATCGCATAGCTACTGCGCGACCTGCAGCATACCCATGTTCGAGGATGCAGAAAACCATGTGGATGTGGAATGATTGCATTGAGAAACTACCAACTGCTCGAACTTGTCGGCAGTCTTCGTTCAGGTCCCGGCCAAGGCCACGCTCTAGCCACGACCTTTTGGGCAACCAACTCGATTTCGTTGATACACAACACGCGTCAGAGGCGCGAAAGGAACGGAACCCAAGCCTTTCGAGCAGTCAGCTAGGCAGTGAAAGCCTGACAGGTAGATCCCGGGTGAGCCCAGCCGCTCAAATTTGGAGAGAGCCGGCGTCGCTGCAGTGCGCTGCACCTCATGGAGTCTGCCGCAACCACCGGTTGCTGGTCGGGCCGAAGATGCTGGCCAAACGATCCTATCCCAGCAGATAATCAATGCAATCAGCAGCGCTTCGGTAGCACTACTTAAGTGAGCCGTGGTGAGCACCTCCTCCTCCTCCTCCTCTCTTGATCGTCGACCTATTCGTCATCGATTTGCTGACATCCTCCATCTTGATTTGTCCACGGCGGACGACACCTGGCTCCCATGGCATCTTCTGCTATTGGTATATTTGGCAACCTCGAACAATGTTTCTCCCACTCTTCCCATCTTCACCTTCAAAGTCTGCCCTTGTTGCCCAGTACTCGAAGCGCAGTGTTCTCACGGCTGCACTCTGGAGCTCGAGTGTGGTCTGACGATCGACCGAAATGTGATTCGCCAGCAACGATAGGGTTGATGCGAAGGAAGGGGTCCCGACGGGATGGTATCGCTACTGTCGGCGCAAGCATTGAGATTGTTCACCTTGTTCTGGTTGCAGTAGATCCCTCACCTCCATCCTCGTCATCAGCTCCTCCCTTGCCGGTCCTTGTTCGTGTTCTTCCTGTCTGCTGCCAGGTCCTGCGGCATTGATGCAGTCTTTGCTCACATCCAGACTCGATGAGCGTTCGGTTGGTCCCCGGAGGAAATAGCCTTCCGTCAATACACAGGTTGTACATCAGTCGGATGACATCCAACTTTTCTCTTTCCGGGATTGCCGACCAGACGGCGCTCCTGTCAGCCCACCTGGAATTCGGATGGGCTGCGCAATACTCTCGATGCACATTCAAGGCAAAACTGCAACATGGTCAGAACAGCGACTGGGGGCCAGAACGGAGCCGGAGCCGCACGTACTTTTTGAAGTTCTCGAACGACCGGTCACTAAGGCCAAGTTTTGCCCGCACCTCGGCCGGCGAATCTCGAAGCCTGATGGGCGAAGCAGGCATGTCGAATCAGAATCGAGATCAGCAGTCGACCGTCCGACAGGAAGACAAAGTCTAATACTCGTAGACGGACGACGAGACATGGACAGGCATATGTTGTCGACCGGACAGCACATGGCGGATCCTTCTTGCAGCCTGACCCGACACCGGGGAATGGGAGGGGCCTTTTCTTGCAAGTTGCGACTTGTGACCAAGTCCTTCGTCTCGCTTTGACTGCATCAATCACCCACCGTTCACGCCTGCTGCTTGCTGTTACCAGCACAAAAGGCCGTCTTCCAATTGGGCTTCCCCCCACCGCCCGACCGCCAAGAGGCAAGGAAGACAGTCTGAAAAGGTCGTTAAGCGATATTCCTAACCGCCGCTAGCCTGGCCTCACATTACGGTAGTGCGCAATTCATCGACACGGATGAGGCGCCGGGAGACCGGGGTGCTGAGGTCTGAATGAGCCCAGGCATAGAGAAAGCCTCGTTAGGGATCGACCGGCACCTAACCACCCTAGGCCCCTAGCAGGTAGGTACTCGTAGGAAGAGTACTACGTATTACGAGCGACTGGGGGACTTAATTGTCGCTCATCCGAGCCTACATTAGCAGCCCAGTGGTAGCCCTAACGGTCGTGCATCGGAAAGCCAGAGCCACGGTGCCATGTTAGTTGTTTGCAGCCAATCATGTTTCCCAGAGCCCATCAGAGCCCATCATCGCCTCACCCACTTCACTTTGGGCCTTTTCTCACAGCAACTGTTTCATCTTCTCTTCCTCCTCCGCAAATGATTCGAGACTCGTCACAGATCACCCATCTTCTTTCACGAGCCGTCTCAAGAGTGTCGACGGGATTGTCGTATCCGCCCTAGCAATTACGAATGCACCAAGTAAGCTGAGTAGGCTGAGCAGGTCAACAACATGAAGCCAACACCCTTCTCCTCGATTGTAGGTCTGGTTTTTCTTCTACTCTTCATTCCTTTTGGCCATTACGGAGTATTGTGCGATCCATCCTTCATTTCCCTCATAATCATCTTCTTCTACTTTCTACTTCCACTTCCTGGCGAAGACTCTTGCTGGCAAGATCATACAGTTTTGCATTTTACACTTACAGAATCTTTTTTTACGATTGCCGCCCTCGAACGGATCCAACAAGACCATCCCTCAAGATGCTCACAAAACAACTCCTCCTCACACCGTCCTACCCCTCCTCAAACGCCGCAGTCCTCTCCCCAGCCAAACGCTTCCGCAAATCTCTCACCACAGTCCTACACATAGCGAGTCTAGTCTTCACTTTTCTCTCCATGTCCCTCTTCGCAGCCGCCATCCCCCGCTGGAACGCCAACTTCTTCCACAATACCGGCCCATCCCGCGGCGACTGGACAGACGGCATGCCTCTCGGCCCTCTGGTCTTTGCCCTCCTGTACCACACGGGAACACTGATCCACTCCCGCAGCATCCAAAAGATCCGCCCTTCCAACACCAACAACACCCTCCCCAACAATACCCTGACGTCCCGCCGAACGCTGCTCATCGACGCCGCCGTATCCAGCCTTATCCTCGTCACACTCTTCCCATCGCTATTCCTCGCCGGCTATGGCTCGCTCTTCCGCTTCTGGCGCCCCGCCATGCGCACACAGTCCGGCGGCGTACCGTGCACGATGCTCAACGTCTTCTCTCGCGAGTGTCAGCCTGTCTTGTACTCCGTCGGCAATCTTCAACTCGCCGGCATCGTCTTTGGCTGTACGGTGTGGATGTGCCATTTCGCGCTATTGCTGGTCACGCTGAGAAACGTCCGCAGACACAGTCTGATCAAAAAAGTTCAGAGTGAGAAGTGGACGCAATTCACCAACTCCTCGTCGTCGTCCGACGGTGGCTCCACGAGGAGTGCGAGCCGAAGTGCACGTTCCAGGACGCTGTCGATCAAGGCGTACTACACGCATGGAAATCGACGAGGTCCAGGAAGTCGGACGGCCTCTCGCGATGGATCAGCGGAGCGACGAAGCGGTTCACGACTAGCGACTGGGTCGGGCGATGAGGTACAGATCCCCATAGAGAGCCGCCCCCCTGTATTGCAGCGGAATGCTTGAAGATGCTCCGGTGACGAGTTCGACCAAGCTCCATGAAGACTTAAAACAAGGCGTTGATATTTAGCTGGAATCATCTTATATATGCATCGGCGAGGGCGTTGTGGAAATTCATAGTCGTACACGCATGGACGAATAACATGTCACTTCCATCCAAGAAAATATCATCAGTGAGCTGCAGCAATTAGGCCACGCTTATCATTCGTCATTGAAAGCTACATAGTGTTGTTGTACTATGAAGGGGAAATAATACATCCCAATTTCCTCGTTATCGTCAAAAAGAGACAATCGATTGTCGTTGTCTGCGCCCATTGCCGTGTACTCCTTCCAACCGACCGCTTCACTTCTGGCGGTGGTCGCGTCGGAAATCGCGAATCGCTCGAAAAAGACCGAACTCAATGCAATGCGCCTGTTCCATGCCCTTGAACACGCCGGCCAATGTTGATTTCTCATGCAATTTGTTGAAAGCGTTATTTCGATTCATGAGACACCCTGTCCCCCTGTCACCTGTGCCTATCCTGAGCTCGTGTCGCGAGGCCCTCATCCAAGCACAATCACAGCACGCCATCCCCTTCTCAACCCGCCTCGCATTTGTCAACATTCCACTCATGCTCCGAGTCTCATTTTCGGTCAAGATCAAGATAAGTGGAAAGCACCCTGGCCTTCTCGGATAGCCACAAACAGTTTTTCCTTCAGCACAGCCTGAGAGCTGTAGTCTGGCAATTTCAGATAATTGACACAAGTCATTACACTCGGCAAGTAGTCATCCGAGGTGTACGGTGGCTCACTCGGTTTGCACACGACGGTGAACATTGGTGTAAGACTCTTGAATCCGCCGATTGGAAGTTTTGGGCTTCCGGTGACAAATTGCAGGAAGTCTCGTCGCTGAGATGGTTTGAGTTCCGACATCGTCTGCAAGAGATTCTTGACGCTCTTGCTGTCCATATTGAAGCCGTGATCTGCTTTGACAGAATCCATCAAAGTCTCGATAGACCAATCTTCCTCGACCCGCCCGAAGAGCATGACCAATTCGTCCGGTGTAAAGGCCTTGAGAGTGGTATACGAGAAGACTTGAGAGAAACCGACTTGGAATGCTTCGACTTGAGAACGAACACCTCGTCCAAGACTCACATCGAGGACTTGATCAATGTACTTCTGTACATTTTCCATATCGACATTGACGTTCGCGCCGTTCTCGACCAGTTCAATACCTGGGTAGCCAGGAAGAGTGAAGTCGAGCATTAGATCCTCGATCTTCGCACCAAGGATAGTGAGATCCTCAATCGCTTCCGCTTTCTCCACCTTTGTCAGTGACGAATCAAGTTCGATCTTTGCCTTTGCCTTGACAAATTGCTGCAGTTGAGAGAGGGAATTCGCAAGATCCTGGTCAATTGTCCGGAGCAAGCCGATCGATGGTACAACACTGGAAATGCCTCCTACTTTGAAAAAAGTCGGACTGAATGAGATGTCGATAATGCGTGAGTCAAGCATCGACCGGGCGACAAACTTCCCGAGGGTCTTGAAGAGCAGCAACAGTTTCTTGCCTGCGTCTGTATGGACATCTGCCTCGCTCATGGGTGCTGGGAAGAGTCCAGTTTTTCCGAAAGCGAATTGGTCGGTATCGGCTGAATCGTTTTCTCGCCACATCTTCAGTTTTTTCTTGCAGAACTCCTTCGACACAGTCGAATAGAATTCAAGGGTCGGTCCGAGGCCAGTTCCAACTTCTTCGAAGTATTCAACCTCCAGCACGCTTGGAGACCCTCCATACATGTCCATAACCTTCATGGCAGACTCCAAAATGCGGTGGCGGGAGATACGAACCTTCTGTCGTTGCGGTCGACCCAGTATTGGTCTATCGTCTCGGCGGCGATCTCGACGATCATCGTTCTCAGATTGACTGTTTTGCCAGCGGATCATGGAACGAGAGTATCCGAATGATGTTGACTGCAAGAACAAATGTCGTGTCTCAAACGGAAACAAGAACGGAAAGGACCTAGCAAGATCTTCGCTCCAGTCTGGCAGGCAGTTGCTTGCAACGATCAGAGGTTCCTCGAGCTGACGATTCATCTTGGCTGTCAGCTTGGTGTTGATGAATGATGCAAGTGGCTCTTTGTAGAGTTTCATGGCGACCCGTCCAGTGATCTCCTCGATTTCATCCAAGTTTGCGTTGAGCTCATGAAGGATCCGAAGTAGAGCAAGAATTGAAGAAGTAACTGGGTGGCCATTGAGCGAAGCTGGCAAAGTTTCACTGGATCCCGGCTTCTCCGTCTCGGCTCGAGGAGAAAGGTTCGAAGTACTTGGTGGAGCTCCTCGGATTTTCCTGAATCTGACAGTATGGATACCAGACCAAACGCTGCGGGAGGATATATCTTGCGGTTGATCACGATTATGGTGAACGGCTCGGTAGATTGTTGTGTTGTTGGGGATGACTTTGCCATCGATGCTGAATTCGATATGCCAGTCTTGTGGAGTCGAAGCGAGTGCTGCAGCGTAAGATTGACGAATACTAGCGGCTGGCGACTGACCCGGGGATTGTCCTGACGAAGGTGGACGAGTGGTTCCTGGGACAGGAGTGCCGGGCTGAGGAGTATAGACTCTTGTTCCGTCTTCTTGACGAGCAGTGACCTTGCCAGTAGAACCTACCTCCATATTGACAGCGCCGGGTTCGGGCATGTCTTCATCGGACATATCTTCCTCCAGACCGTCAACGAAGGCTTCCAATGCACCCTCGTCGTCTGCACCGGGAGCTTCTTCATCGTCAAGGACTTTCTCATCTGCACATTCGAGCTTGTTTGTGTCATCTTCAGTACTTGGCTCTGGAGCATGAGTCTGTTCTTTCGAGGAAGAGGCCTGGCTACGTCGGCTCGATCGTTTACCTGCTGGCTTGTGGACAGGCTTCTTCTCAGTGGCCGTCTGAGTCTCTTCAGATCGCTGTTTGGTTCGAGACGAAAGACGTGATGCAGGGCGTGAGTTTCGGCCACCTGGAGTAGCTGGAGTAACAGGAGAGGCTAGGTCTTGTCCGAAAGGAGACAATAGTCCTGATTCGGCGGCACCTGACAGATGCGCGAGACGGGCATTAGCAAGCTGCTGCAGCATGTCTCTTCGTCGCTGCGCAGAGGCCGGTCGGTCAGAAGTACTGAAACGGGGTCGCAAATAGTCATCAAGAGCTTTGAAAGTTGCGATGGCATGGATGGAGACGATCATCTCACGATATGTCAGAGGAATGTCGCTGTCCCCATCCGCCGAGAGTCTCAGTCGCAGTTGACGGGAGAGCATAGAAGTAGAGCTGCTTCTGCTGCTTTCAGAAGCGTTGTTGTTGACCGTGAGCACTTCGAAATGCTCCGCACGACTGAGCAGGTCTTGCAATTTCTGGATCAGGACTGTGAATGGTGTCGCTGAAGAAGATGCCGTAGTCTTCTTGATCTTGGCCTGGGTAATGGATTCCATGAAAGCGGATACGAAATGTGCTCTGGCAGTGCTGTGATTCGTAGATGAATCTGCAGACAAGACTTGCACCAGGACCCGGATGATACCAGAGTCTAACAGCTCTGAGCTTGTTATGCTCTCAAGCGCATCACCATCGAAATAGCTGGCCAGACGTGTGAAAAGTTGGTTGCTGGATTCGACGGGGTGATGTTGACGATAGTAAGCTTCAATGTTGTCCGCCAGTTTGTGAAGATCCTCGCGAATTTTAGAAGCCTTCTCTTTCATCTCTTTGCCTTTGGCAGTGTCGTATTTCTCCAGGAAGTTCTTTGCTCTCATGATGACCAAATCGGACAATCCGGAGATGGTGAGGGGAGACGGCAATTCATCGTCATCTGACGAATCTGAGCTTTCCGAATCATCCATACCGTGATCGTGTCTGGCTGCCATTTCATCTTCGTCCTGCTCTTCATCGATGTCTTCATCTTCGTCGTCATCGACTTCGTCGTCATCAGCCTCGTGGTCGTCTTTGGACCGGGTGCCATTGCTATCTTCTGGCTTACGAGAGCCGTCAATCGTCTCAGACTTCCCACCGATGTCGCCGTCGCGATCAGCTGTCGAACTCTGAGAAGGCTTTCGATCACGTTCCAGGGGTCTCCCGGCAAGTTTCTTAATCTCACCAATGACACCTTCGCGATGAAATTGATACTGATAGATGTATTCGAGTCTCTCGAACAGGAGGACGGATGCTTGAAGAGCAAACATGACCAAGCTCGGATGATCCTCTTGGGACAGGATCGACGCAAGGAAGGAAGCATATGGTACTGGTCGAAGTGCTTCTTCAATGACAGATGTCTCGAGGTTGGAAAGGATCTTCAGCTGTGCGATCAGAACCTTTTGTCGAACGCTCAAGTTGACAGTGCTAGAATAAGCATCGGTCAGAGTAGGCAGCAAAATCATCGCAAATCGACGTGTCTCTTGTTTGCAGTCTTCGAGCAACTTGATTCTCTGCTCTATTTTGGACGTCTTTTTCGCTGCATCACCGTCATCGGAAAGATCGTCTTCCATCTCGTCGTAGACATCGAACTCGGAGTCGCCGTCGAGCTTCGGGAGCGGAAGCAATTCGCAGATGACATTGAGAGTCTCGAACACCTGTTCACGAGGTCTATGAATGAGAGCTTGCATGATGACAACACTGTCGATTTTTGACGCAGCATCGGCAGTCTCGGAAGGAGGAGAAACCCCGGTGAGAATCTGATACAGGGTGTCGACCACATTCATCTTCAATAGTTCTGCCGACAAACGTGGACTTGCTCGGGCGACGATTGCCAGCACGCGGAGGAATTCTGTATGGATATTTGCACCAATCAGGTTTGTGGTACCGGGAAGGAGGAGTCCGAGAACAGCTCGAAGCAGTGGGGCATCGACCAACTGCTCGAGCTTGTCGGGACTGTGCTTGAAGCTATCGATGACTCTTGTGACACAAAGAGAGCCCTGTTCAACAACCTTCTGGTCGTGACTTGACAAGACATTTAGAAGGATTGGCATCACATCTCGTATGACAGGGAAGGAATCGTGCGGTATGTTTCGACAGCAATTGGCCGCTGTAGTGACAGCAGTGCGCTGTGTACCGGTAGCAAAGAAGTCAAGAAACTGTAGGCAGGCGGTTAAGCCACCTTCGCGGACAATCGATCCTGGAAAGTCGACGGATATCTTGGATAACGTGCTCAAGGCCTGCTCGGCAACGTCGATGTACTGAATATCAAGCAATTTCTGGCATAGAACAGGGACTGCACCACCATAGACGACATTGGCAACAGAGCCTCGCAAGGCCTCCATCAAATTGGCAATGCAACGGCAGGCCAGCAGCATGACTTCAGGATTCTCCTCGCCCGTGATGGGGTTGGGTTGCATCAAAGCCACCAGTTCCTTGACGTACGGATCTGGCGAGAATTGACCAGAGAGGTTGTCCTCGTTCGAGACCAGTAAGAGATTGGACAATTCCTCCAAAGCCACCAGCTGCATGGTAGGGTTGTCAACTTGTCGGAGGTTGTTCAATATGTCTCTGAGTCTCGACGACATGCCGCTCATCATGCCACTCAAAGCTCTTAAGGTACTCGACAGACCTGAAGGAGGGCCACGGCTCGAACCAAATAGGGCTGCGGCGAAAGGGTCGGGTCCGTCATCCTCATCCATCCCACTGTGATCTTCTTCGTCGTTGCTATCGCTATTTGATCGGTGAGGAGGCGATGTTGTTTCCTTTTCTCTTCTGGTACTCTTCTCGTTCTCTTCTTCGTCCTCCTTCATGGCGACATCTTGATCCTTCTTGCTCGGACGTTTCTTCTGTCGGCGAGACGATGGTAGGGGTGCAGGAGGCGAGACTTCTGCAAAGGTAGTCAGCATGATTTGATCCTCGTCAAACAAATCTGCGCTACCTGGTTGTGCTTTTTTGCTTCCTCTGCTCGGGGGACGTCTCGATGTCGATTTCGAAGATGTCTGTTTGATAGATTCGTCGGTATATTTTGAAGATGAACTAGATCCGTTAGCCATCCTTCTCATTTGTGCATCTCCGCTGATCACCAACCCATTATTAGACATCTCTGGTTCGTTCGCTCCCCCTCTCCTCCGAGTGCTTCGTGAAGGTGGTTGGGCAGTTGTGGTCCGAGGCGGTGAGGGCTCGGTCAACTTTTGTCTCTTTCCTCCTCGTCGGCCAGATGCAGGGCCCGATTCGTCAGACTGATCAGCAGGATCAGAGGTTCGACGGCTTGATGCTTTTCGTTTCTTGGATGAGGGAGATGGTGCGCGGATCGGCTGGGTCGAATCGGTAGAAGGGGTGGGTGTGGCAGCCTCTGCTGCGAGCCTCGCAGAAGAACGAGTGACTCTGCCAGACATGAGTAATGGGTCTCATCAAGCGAGGTTGAAGTGAGATGGCAAAAGATGGAAATGACAGATCAAAAGAAGGTTCTATCATGCAGGATGATTTGAGGGCGGCAGTTGGCTGCCGTGTTTGGAACAAAAGGCAAGCAAGGCAATAACGTGCGGCCAAGTAACAAGGGAATCTTTATGGTGAAGCACAAGGCAGTGAATGGAGGAAAAGTACCTGTTTCTGCGGGCAGAAGATGTTGTTGGGTGGGAAGGAGCGAGGTGGTGATCGGGACCAAGTGATGTGCCTGCTGTGCGTCCGCTGGTAAAGGTGGAAGAGCGTGCGGGCAAATTTGCCATTCTCAACCCGCCATCGAAGGGCGGCGGTGGCGTGAGCGGAGCAGAAACTTGCAAGTGAAGCGGCTAATGTGGCCAAAACAGATATTAGGGAATGAGATGAAGACACAAAGACTATCAACAGCAAATGTCTTTCGGGTAGTTATGAGTATGCTATGAGGACGAGAATGAATTAAGACGACGTCGGCAACCCGACCGTAGGCGCTGGACTAAACGAATCCTGACTGGATGGCTGGAAACAAGCGGAGAACCACCGTATTCTTTGGCCCTTAGCCACGTCTCTTAGCACTTACACGATATCTCTCCCTTTCTACGGAGTACTCGCAGTCTCTTTCTTTGGCCGAAGACTGCCTGTTAGCCTCATCTGAGGTCGAACGACCTCCTCGCCGCATCTTGTTCACCTCGCGGGATCTGACCTTGCATCAGTGACCAAACTCCTGTTGCCATTCTTGCCGAGAGAGAATAGGAGGGGTGGTCCACGGAAACCTAACCAACGGGCTCTGTGGTTGTCATCTGTGGTCAGGTCGTAAGGAGTCAATGGTCACGAAAGTCACATTATATAGGAAATCCAGACGGGTCGTCCAAGTCAGCCTTGTGCACAGGAGTTGGAACACGAGTATTATGACTTGGGCTGCCACTGGTCCGCCACGGCACAGGCAATCGTCATCCACTGTCATGAACTTACCACGGTATATTAGTTTGAAAGATCTTCCTCAAGGTTATTCATTGGGCCAGCTATACTCGTGACGGCAGAATACGGCATTGCCGGCATGATGATGAGTATGACATCCAACATCTGATTTGTACCACGTACGAGTCCGTGGATGAAGAAGATATTCTTATTATTGCTTAAGAAGAGCGGATGATGGCGGGTATATATGAAACGCAGCATCTCGTGGTACAGTACGACATCATAAGCTCGGCCCTGCATATATCTATTTGCTGCATCAGCACTCCAGGTCCGTACAGTAATCAGCATTCATCACATATCTCAATTCACTTACTCCGTACCGGGTCTCTAATCTCTGCCTTCTTTCTTCCTCTCAGCATCCCCGCTCTGTCGCTGATTCCCCTCCAACTCGGGCGCACTACCAATTTTAGCCCGCCGCCGCAAGAAAGCAAGCGCACTGACACTGGCACCACTTGGGTGCGACTGGCTAAGTGCCGGAAAAACACAAACGCTTGCGCCCATCATCGCCCCAACTTGGCCGAAGTCGCTGGTCTCCAACACAAGCCAGGCCGTGCCAGGCCCACCGGAGATCTAAAGGTCCTCGCCGGCGCTTTCTGGCCGTCAAAAAGAAAACTCCATCCTAGATCGGTGCCTCTCTCTTCGTCTCCTCCACACGACCGACACACCCTGCCACCCCCAACTTTTCTCACACTTCCCGGGCCATGAAGCCCTGAGATGCTGAGTCGTCCTTCACGATTCCTCCTTTTGTCCTTTTCAAAACCCGTCATTTCGACTAAGCAGCTGTTCTGTTCGATCTTCCCCTCAAGCTGTCGTACTTTGCCAGCCTCAACTGCCCCGCCCGCCGACTCGCCCACCTTTATAACTACACGAGCCTTCTCTGACAAATCCACACCACCTCCCTCGGCTTGCCGCCTGTCCTCGTCCTCTTCCTCCTCGCACTCGTACCGACCATTGAGAAAGAAGACAACTGCCTTACTACAAAGGAGGTCAACTGTTTTACAAGTCATAACCGGAGACGGAGACAAAATGGACGAATACCGCTTCCCAGATTCCCGCCTCAAGAAGAAGATGGATGATCCATCCAAGACACCACTTCTGCTGGTTGCGTGCGGTTCTTTTTCCCCAATCACATTCTTACATCTACGCATGTTTGTTATGGCAGCAGATTACGTTAAACACAATACCGAGTTTGAAATGATCGGAGGTTACTTGTCACCTGTGTCGGATGCCTACAAGAAACAGGGCTTAGCTGCAGCCGAGCATAGGTGCGCAATCCCCCCGGGATGCGAATGGAGACGCTGACTGTTCTCTACAGAGTTGCCATGTGCCAGCTTGCTATTGACAAGGCCTCTACTTGGCTTATGGTCGATACCTGGGAAGCGGAGAAGAAGGAATACCAACCCACCGCGAAGGTTTTGGACCACTTCGATTACGAAATAAACACCGTTCGGAAGGGAATAGATGCTGGAGACGGAACGCGAAAGCCCGTGCGAATAGCCCTGCTTGCTGGGGCCGATTTAATTCAGACCATGTCCACTCCCGGAATCTGGAGTGAGAAAGATTTGGACCATATACTAGGACGCTACGGCACATTCATCATTGAACGATCTGGAACAGATATCGACGAGGCTCTGGCTAGTCTGGGGAACTATCGCGACAACATCCATGTTATCCAGCAATTGATCCAAAATGACGTCAGCAGCACAAAGATACGATTGTTCTTGAAGCGAGGAATGAGTGTACAATACCTGATCCCAGCCCCCGTTGTGGAATATATTGAGCAGAACCACCTATACGCTGATGATCATCGGGGATCAAATACTTCCCTGGCCTATCCACAGGAAAGCGACAAGGGAAAGAACAAAGAAGTGACTGCGTCAGCCAGCTGAACACCTTTTTAAAGCGGGAATTTCGAAGTAATTAAAAGAAAATGTCCGTATGACTCAGTGACGACGCCTGGTATCAAGGCCCAGCTTGGTGTTGTCTCGAGCAAAAAGCGTGGGCCATGACCAACCACCAAGCATAAGAGTCTATATGTTTACCACCAGACGAGAGATGATGGGCTGTGTCCGATCAGAAATGAACTCCAAGTCACGGAAGATCCCTGACCTGACGCGGAGATGGAGTCGAGTCGAGCGTAGCGTTGTGAGCGTATGGAGTCTGTGGAGTTGGGATTGACGCCGTGTCTGAATGGAAGCGGTGATCGTATTTGTCTAAGCAGGCGTCGAGGTCTCTAGATATGAAGCTAGAAGGCTTGCAAGAACCATTGATGAACTGCCTCACAGAGCCGAGACCCGTGTGATTCGTCAGTCATCATCGTCTGGTACATGAGGGAAACCAGGAATTGGCCGCCGAGAATAGATCAAGACGGTAATATAGGTTTCCACGCCAGGAAATGTTTGATATAAAGCTCATATTCTCGAACCCAGTTTTCCTTTTGTCCGTGACTACACAACCTGCCTCAGAACAACTTATGAGTGATACGCCATGTCATGTACAAGACTCCCCGTCTTCTTTCGAATCTTTATTCCTGTTCTCAGCTCTGCCGGTCGTTTCTCATTTCTCGTCTCACTCCATTTTAGTGCCAGCCACTCTAGCTGCCATACGAACCTTCAGCCGCGGACCGCGGGTCCATCGCAGCCTGCCGCCCTCCTACACCTGGCTGCTGGGCCGCCCACTCATCGAACTCTGCCCGATCCTTGCCTGTATACTTCTTCAAGTCGTCGTCGGAGATACCAGGACCCTGCTTGGCGGCTTGATAGGATGCGTATTTTTGACCGAGCCAGGACTTTTTGTTCTCATTGTCGTCATTGCCATAACCATCGTCGTGATAATCTCCTCCCGAGGGGTCCATGTTCTCGTCGCCGCCATCGTCACCGTCATTGCCGTTGTAACCGTGCTGCTGGTGATTCTGGACACGATTGTATCTGGATTCCTGGTTCATTGGATTCGCCGGGTCATTGTCATCGGCAAAGTCGTCTTTGGCTTGTGAGGATGTTGGGTCTCGTGCGTATCCGGACCCAGCACCAGCACCAGCACCAGCGCCGCTGTCATGAGGGTAGTGCTGTTGACTTTGGTTGGGGACGCCGGAAGAGTAGTTGTTCGGGGTCGGATTCGAGTTTTGGTTTGAGGCTTGATAGTCTTGTCCTTGGTCCTGATACTGTCCCTGGGAATGGTAGTTGTCATCGTCCCAATCACCAGCATCCGTCGTCTGATACGGCTTCAGGGCGTTGGTGGCATCAGGATCATCATTGAAACCGGGACGATTTTGATTCGGATCGCTCTGGTCGATGCCGCGTCCCTGGTAAGGGTATGCTACGTTTTCAGGAGCACCAGCACCGATGCCTGAGCCGAAGCCTGGAGATGCAGCGCTCATGGGGTCATAGCTGTGGTTCTGGCCGTAAGGTTGGCCTTGTCCTAGCGACGGTGCAAGCATACCTTGTTGTTGGGAGGGCGGATGTTGTCGTGGAGTCTCATCTGGCCCATATTCTGTCAGGCGTCTTTGCTGGGGGTCCTGGTCGTAATTGATGTCCGAGAAATTCGTGGTGACTTTCTTCATGGGCCGGTTGATTTCCACGGGTTGGCTGTTCGGGTTGGGCACGTCACCCTTGAGACTGGAGTGCCCACACCCCATCTTGATGTTAATTGCAGGAATTGTAGTTCCAAAAGTTGGCGATATGACAAGCCGGTGATGAGTACAGTCGCTTTCACCTATACGTATGAGATCACGAGGGCAAGATGGAATCGCAGAGATGAGAGCTCAGCTTGCGCCCGGGTAGTTCTGGGCTAATTCGAGATCAAGATGTTGAAATTGCTGTCGCGAGAGGGATATATCGAGGTTACCTCTGTAGTCAACGAGCTATTATGAGCCTCAGGAACACTACAATAACAAAGCAAGAAGCTTGCATGGCGTATGCTGCCCCATGAGGCATCCCAATGCCAGCCCCGGCCCGTTCGGCTAGGGCGACCCAAGAATAGCGTCAGCCCACGGTACTAACTTACTCGTACGAAGTCGTGTGTCCCAGGTTGCATGGTCTCTCTGAGGAGGGGAGGAGGGGAATGAACCGCCCACCTTTTTCCGCGCCACTGATGGGGTCACGGGGTCCAAGTAATGGAGCTGCCAGTGCGTGGCATTTGACGCATGTCATGAACATGTCACCTGCCGCTTTGTTCGATAAACCCCGTCGATAAATTTATTCGTATTTTTCGACGACTACTGAGGAATGAGGGTTGGTAGAAGTAGTAGAATCACTACTTCTCCGATACAGTAGTTTTACGGGTGAAGATGCCGATAGGATAACTACCTGATAGTATAGGTACACTTGCTGATGCGGGCTCACGTACAGACTGTACATCGAGCAAGGTGATCATTTTCTTTCTCCTTCGGCTGCTTTCAGCATGCGATTTCTGCATTGCTTCCGCCAGTCCTCGAGAAGAGAGGGAATTCGGTCGAGTCTTGCTTGTTGAGCTGCTATTCGAAATACCGTTTGTTCTGCTTTTTCTCCATTCTCTTCTTGCAGCGTCCGCGCGAGGCGACCAAGTGTCGAGAATGGCTGTCAAAGTGAAGGGTGGGTGAAGGGATTAACCTCCGATAAAACCGAGGTTCAATATATCATGTTTATCTGAGTCCTGAATGATGCTGATGTATCTACCTAGGTAGAGCACTTGCTTCATGGATTAGACTATCTAATACCTCCGAACTTAATAACAGTATCACGAGAAGGCTAGGTACACAAGGGTGACAAGGCTACCTAGGTATGCTTATGGGGCATCTCAACAAGCTCACGACTTGAGGTCAACACCGGCCACGAGTACTTCTTGTCACTCCGGTCCACAAGCCACTGTTTTACTGCTTTGACTACCTAGGTAAAGATTAATGCCACCCTCCTCTACCGGGTAATTTTGTCAAGATGGAGGGGCAGTCGGACCGGGAAGAGGGGCAAAAGGGTGGGCATGCACCCAACAACAACACAGATACAGAGGACGGAAGTGCAGGTTTAATGCATCCATCGCTCGCTACTCGTTGTGCCATTGCCCATATGAGAATCACGGAAATCATGTGCGAATCATGCTGGGACAGGGATGCCAATGACGTCTACCAGGTACCTACTGGGTAACTACTACGAGTAAGAGTCCTCAGTCCTCCGTACATGTGGCTTGCTGTGGTCATCGTTTGGCCTTATCTTCTTTCATCGAGATCTTGACTCAGCACGACAGGGTGACACGGATGAGTACACACAACCAGTGCATCATCTGCTTAAATTCTTCTCTTCACACACAGGTAATTTAAAAATTCCAACCCTTCATCCTCATCTCCTCATACTCACTCGCTCCCTTCCACCACTCATCCATCCTTACTACACCTCGAGATGGTCAACGCAAAGCTACCTGTCGACCTTTCCAAGTTCAAGAAACTCTCCCTCGACCCTCGAAATCCCAAACTCGATCCCCAACAGAAAAAAGATCTCCAGCATAACATTGGAATCTTTCGAGATGCCATCGTCGCTTTCACAGCCACCGGTGCCGCACGCGGAGTGGCCGGTCACACAGGCGGACCCTTTGATACTGCTCCCGAAGTGTGCATCCTAACTGCCATGATGAATGGAAATCCGGATAGATTCGTCGATGCTCTCTTTGACGAAGCAGGTCACCGTGTCGCAACTCAATACCTTCTCGCTGCCATCAATGGAGACATCGATCCTGACCACCTGCTAGACTACCGCGCAGCTGGCTCTAAGCTTCCCGGACACCCTGAGTTGGGCTTGACCCCCGGTATCAAATTCAGCTCCGGGCGTCTTGGCCACATGTGGGCTATGGCGAATGGCATCGCTATGAAGAACAAGGATAAAACTGTCCTGCTGCTTGGCTCTGATGGTTCTCAGCAGGAGGGAAATGACGCAGAAGCTGCTCGTATTGCTGCGGCTAGGAATCTGAATGTCAAGGTGTTTGTCGACAACAACGATGTCACGATCGCCGGAAAGCCCTCGGAATATCTCAAGGGCTATGAAATCGGTCGCACCTTGGCAGGACACGGCTTGCATGTTGTTCGTGCAGACGGAGAGGATCTGGACTCGCTCTACCCCAAAATTTGCGAGGTTCTGAACCATGATGGCCCTGCTGCTCTCATTAGTGACCGCAAGATGGCTCCACACATTGAAGGCCTGGAGGGCCAGATCAAGGCGCACGATGTCATTCCTGTTGACATTGCCCGCAAGTACCTCACCAACAAAGGCTATACTCAGGAGCAGCTGGCATTCTACGACGAAATCAAACCGAGAAGCAACCCTTGGAAATATCGAGGATCTTCAAAGGACAAAGTGGCCAACCGTATGGTCTTCGGCGAGGCAGTCAATATGGTCCTTGACGGTCTCAGCAAAGACGAAGCTGCTCGTCGTGTCATGGTTATCGACTCGGATCTGGAGGGCTCCACGGGTCTGAAAGCCATCCATCAGAAACATCCAGAAGTTTTCGTCCCGTCTGGCGTCATGGAGCGAGGAAACTTCTCAGCCGCCGCCGGTTTTGGTTTTGGTAGTGACGGCTCAGTCCAGGGTGTCTTCTCAACCTTCTCAGCTTTCCTTGAGATGATCGTTTCCGAAGTCACCATGGCTCGTTTGAATGACTGCACTGTTCTCTCCCATTTTTCCCACAGTGGAGTGGATGAGATCGCCGACAACACTTGCCATTTCGGCCTGAACCACTTTTTCGCCGACAATGGCCTCATGGACGCCGAGAGCACGACCTTGTATTTCCCTGCTGATGGTGAGCAGATGAAGGCAGTCGTTCAAAAGGTGTTTTTCCAGAAAGGTCTGAGATTTATCTTCTCGACCCGCTCGAAACTGCCCTACATCTACAAGGAAGGTACCGAGGATCTCCTATACGGTGACGATTACGAGTTTGTTCCTGGAAAGGACGAATTCCTCCGTAAGGGATCTGCCGGATACGTTGTCACCTATGGAGACATGGTGTACCGCTCTTTGGACGCCGTTGAGCGGCTCCGAGAGGAAGGTCTAGATGTTGGTCTCGTCAACAAACCCACTCTCAACACTGTGGATGAAGAGTCGATCAAGATCTACGGTTCGACCGGCTTCGTGCTCGTGGTTGAATCCATTGCCCAGAAGACTGGTCTCGGCTCTCGTATGGGTACCCATTTGCTCGAGCGCAAGCTTACTCCGAACTATCTCAGTATGGGCGCAAGGAAAGAGGGCAGTGGTGGTTTGTATGAGCAGGTCAACGAGCAGGGTCTGGGTCCGGATGACATTGTGGCAGCCATTCGAAAGGTTGCTGGTAAATAAAGCCTGGTCTTCTTGACTCGAATGTCGTTATTACTCTAATATGATATAGAAATCAGCGACATCCGCGTATTTGTCATATAGTAATTGATTGAGTGATTCTCTAAGATGCAAGGATGCAGGAATACTGTAAACAGGCTATCTGCCTAACGTTGGCATAAGGGTACTGCGATGAAGGTCCAAAGTGCAGGGAAGGTGTACCCCGTAACACTTGAGGTCCCGCCGACATGAATTGCGGGGTAGTCGTCCAGGGTAAATCAGCGATCTCGTACGGAGTATGCCCCTAAGTCCCAGGCCTTTTCTGACCCCAAATACAGGTAAGGAATGGTCTTGGGGAGACTCGGTCGACCAAAGATACAGTTGGGGGAAGTGTTTCCTTTTGTCAATGGGCAGACCGCCGAGAATTATAAGTTAACCTCTCAGCAAGTCCTGTCTCTTCACCGCAAGAGGCTGTGCGCTTTCGACACCATCCACAATGCTATCACACAGAGGGGTCACCTTCGTAAAGAATATTAACAAAGTCTGCCGCCCTACGCAGCTGGCCAGGATATCAACCACGTCCGCGAGACGAAGCGAACTCCATGATGGAGACCTGAGAAGCGTGCGGCCCATGTTCGACTTGAAAGGCCGCAACTACATCATTACCGGCGGCGGCCGAGGAATCGGCTATGGAATTACTAGAGCGATTGCAGAGATGGGAGGCAATGTAGCTGTTCTTGATGTCCTGGACTCACCCGTGAAAGACTTTGGCACCTTGGAAGGCGACTTTGGAGTCAAGGCCAGGTACATCCACACCGATGTCACGAGTGAAGAGAGTTTGACCAAGGCATTCGAGCAAACTGTTTCTGAGTTTGGGAGTCTGGAGGGCTGGTAGGTTGTGCTCTATGAGGCATGAAAGCTCGATTAACTCCCAGAAACAGTGTGACAGCAGCCGGCATATGCGTTGACAAGCCCTTCGGAGAACAATCATGGGACGAGGTTCGTAGGGTTTTGGATATAAATGTAAGCAGCGAATTTCGTTCTTCTTGTTGTGCTGCTCATATTGTACAGGTTACTGGTACATTCTTCGCAGCTCAGATGGCTGCGAAGCAAATGGAGCAACAAGGTACAGGAGGCAGCCTCATCCTAATCGCCTCTGTCTGTGCCCACTGCGCCATTCCCGGGCATCGACTGTCAGCGTACTATGCCTCAAAAGGAGCGGTCAGGATGCTCAGCACAGCTCTGAGCGTCGAACTGGCGCCACAGGGCATTCGCTGCAATACAATATCTCCTGGATTCATCGAAACAGATATGAGTAGATCGTTGCGCGAACAACATCCGCACCTGGTGGAATTGATGCACTCCTCGCCGCCATTGCGGAGGATTGGCAACCGCAACGATCTGACCGGCACAGCCGTATATCTGCTGAGTGACGCCGCTTCATATACCACGGGTGCCGACATCACAGTGACTGGAGGGTTGCATGCCGGGAGAATATAAGAGTAGCAGTGATGATGTCTGGAGAACTTCCTGCATCACCGCTAGAACTCATGTGCGACACGTGGCGTTTTGGTCGAAGGTTTCTGAATGTGTTCATAGCGGCTTGACGCCTCGGTGGATGCTGGCTATACCTCCGGTCAGGTTTTCATACCCTTGGCCGGGAGTAACGAAACCGGCCGCTTGAATCATTGCCTTGAACTCCTCTTGTGTCGGAAATCGCTCAATGCTCTCAACCAGGTATTGATAGCTGTCTCGGTCTCCTGCAACTAGCTGTCCGATGAGCGGGATAGCTCCGAAGCTCCATCTCTTGTATACAGCGTTGAACAGAGAACTATTGACATGACTGAACTCGAGGCAAGCGAAGACACCGCCGGGTTTAAGGATTCGAAAGGCCTCGCGGACTGCGGCGTCTTTGTTTGTAAAATTCCGGATACCGAATGCCACAGTGTAGAGGTCCACAGAGTTGGACTCGATTGACGGCATGGATTCTGCATTGCCTTGCATGAAGGACAACCTTCCAGATTTCCCATACGGTGTTTGCAAAGCTCTTTTTTGGCCTTCAGCCAGCATGTCTGGGTTGATGTCCGCAATGGTGACCTTGGTATTGAGGTCAAGGTTAACGTTTGTTGCATGATCGAGCATGCGAAATGCAATGTCTCCTGTTCCGCCTGCCACATCGAGGATGTTCCAGCCTTTTTGATCTGTCCGACTGCCGGGATTGAGGCTTCTGACAAAATAGTCTTTCCATAACCGGTGGACTCCCAGAGACATGAGGTCGTTCATCGTGTCATACGATGATGCTACCGACGAGAAAACGGCTCCAACTGTAGCATGTTAGCTATGTACCCTGAGCATATCAAGTGCTGGCTATACCTCTTCCTTCCTTCTGGGCTTCTGCAATGGTTTCGAAGCCGAAGTGCGTGGTCCGCTCATTCTCCCCAGGTAGCTGCTGCGATCGCAAGGGTGTCGCACAGAATGGTCGTTGCAAGGGTCTGGGGCCGAGCCCACAGCTCCTCAGAGAGGCACCTCGCCGAGCGACAGGACGCAGCATCGTTGTGATGGCTATTCGGAAGAGTCTACTGTATGCCGCTAATCCCTCAATCATGCGCGAACTTTTGCTGCAAGATCGAGAAAGTCCAGAAAGGGTTTAGTCGTTGGAGTTGGCGTATCTCACGGCCCATCATCGCAAGGGTTGCCGTGGATAACCGAAGGGGCCCTGCCTCAGTTCTTGCTATCCCGTTTGCTTTCAAGTCTCTGTTTTCTTCTGGAAATGTTATTATAATCATTGTGCAAAAGAAAGCCTGGAGTCAAGAGTTGGGTTAGCAAGCATGAAAAGTCGATTAGTCGTCAGACCTTTGGTGGGCTCCTGTCGATACAAGACCGGAGTCCTGTCACGCAGACTCGGGTTGCGATGGGCAAGCGACACTTGGTCTTCTGGACCAGCGCAAAAACCTGGGTCAGACTCGTATGGACAAGGCATTCAAAATTCTCAACGATCATCATGCTGACTGAGATTCCCAGAGTAAATTTTCCTGGGGCTCTGAATAGCAAGTTTACGGCGACAATGAAGTTTCATAATCCCGCCGAGCAGACCGCGATACCAACATACAGGATCATGGATGCCGACGGCAACATTGTCGACAATACCAGAGATCCTCAGTCGGCGTCTGACGAGGAAATCATCGGTTGGTATAAGAACATGCTGACCGTCAGCATTATGGATTTGATTATGTTTGACGCTCAACGCCAGGGGCGGACCAGCTTTTACATGGTCTCAGCAGGTGAGGAAGGCATAGCTGTTGGGTCAGCTTCTGCCTTGGTTCCCGAGGATGTTTGCTTTCTACAATATCGGGAACAAGGCGTGCTGATACAGCGAGGCTTTACACTAAAAGAAATGATGAGCCAGCTGTTTGCGAACAAAGATGACCATGGCAAGGGACGAAACATGCCTGTGCACTACGGCAGTGGCAAACTCAATGTACACACCATTTCCAGTCCTCTCGCGACACAGATACCACAAGCATCTGGAGCAGCATATGCCTTGAAGATGCAACGTCTGATAAATCCGAATGTCCCGCCGAGAATTGTGGCTTGCTATTTTGGCGAAGGCGCAGCAAGTGAGGGAGACTTTCATGCAGCATTGAATATTGCTGCTACAAAATCATGCCCCATTGTATTTGTATGCCGCAATAATGGATTTGCCATCTCGACGGCAAGCATTGAGCAATACAAGGGCGATGGCATAGCCAGCCGTGGGATGGGATATGGTATCGACACTATCAGAGTCGACGGGAACGATATCTTTGCTGTTCGGGAAGTCATGCTGGAAGCTAGAACACGAGCGCTGGAAGGGGATTGCAAGCCAATTCTTGTCGAAGCGATGAGTTATCGAGTCAGCCATCACAGCACCAGCGACGACAGCTTTGCCTACCGAGCGAAAAGAGAAGTGGAGGAATGGAAACGAAGGGATAACCCAATTACTCGGCTCCGCAAGTGGATGGAAAAGAAGGGTCTCTGGGATGAAGACAAAGAGAAAGAAGCCAGAGCATCAATCCGCAAAGAGGTCTTGCGTGAGTTCTCGGCAGCAGAGAAAATCAAAAAGCCAGCCTTGCGAGAGATGTTCACCGATGTTTATGAGGAGATTACGCCGGAGGCTCGTAGCCAGATGGAGCAGCTGAAAGCGCTCATCGAGAAGTATCCGAAGGAGTATGATGTGTCGGTCCATGAAGGGGGTCTGAAGAGCTTGGAATGATTGAATCCAGTCTACAATTCACGGCACTTACAGATCGGCATTAGGACCAAAAGACCATCGGATTGAATCTCTGAAGAACGTCATGCCTGGTGTAAACAGGCTCCAACGACATGAAACCTGCATTTTGTGAGGACATGTTTGGCAATGTTCCAGAATCCTGGGGGTCAACTCTCCATGGGATGACCTGTCAAACGGCAAGGGACAAACCGGCAATAAATTCCCCGATTGGATGGGCGACAGTATCAGCCACCGTGCCAAGCCGGGAGTGGCGGCTGGATTCGGAGCTTGTAGGTTAGCGCCATTCTAGCTGCAACCAGCCACCGCAAACGAATCATCAGGGTCCTCCGAGCCTCTCGAGTCGTCGAATTCGAGATGAAAAGATATCACCTCTTCCAGCCTCTCTTGATTCCATCCAATGCAAAGCCCGTAACGCCATTGTCACTGTGAATAGCAAACCTGTACCAAGGGCATGTCTCACTAATGCAGATTCGTCTCCTCTTGGCAGGCTTCGCTGTCATGCGATGGTCAGGCGCTGACGTTTGCGTTGTTTACCAGCCTCCTTCACACTAGTATACTAACATCTACTAACTGCGTGCATTCGTACTTTTTTCGCCCACGATCCAAAGGTTCCTTACAGTTCAGTGTTTACTACGCAGCTACTTCTGTTAGCAATTGTGTGCTTACAAGCTAAGAAAGAGGATCGCTGTGCTCACTCAGCCTTCATCTTTTCGTCTTGCATTGTTCCGGCGTTGGATATTGTTTTTTGTACAATATGTATTCCTCCCTCCTGGACTCCGTGCTCACATCATTGACCCTCTACTCCTTGCTTCTACCCGCTGTTGCCCAAACATATTCATCATGTAACCCACTAACACAGAGTAAGTACGACTCATGCCGTCAGTGCAATAACGACTGACAAAGTGCAGGTGGAGTGTGTCCAGCAGATCCTGCTCTGGGAAAGAGTGTTGATATTGACTTCACATCTGGATCTTCCAGCGAATTCTCAGAATCTGGCGGTCCAACTTACGACTCCAATGGCGCGGCATTCACCATTGCAAAATCTGGTGACTCACCTTCCATCTCATCAAAATGGTACATCATGTTCGGTCATGTCGACTTCGTCGTCAAAACAGCTCCAGGAACAGGAATTGTCAGTGCAGCTATTCTCCAGTCAGATTGTCTGGACGAGATAGACTGGGAGTGGTTGGGAGGCGATGACACGCAGGCCCAGAGCAACTATTTCGGAAAAGGTCAAACCACCACAGGCTACAATCGAGGTGCCTTTCACAGTGCACCAGGCAACCACGACAGCTTCCACACCTACAGCATCGACTGGACTGCCGATCAGATTGTCTGGTCAATTGATGGAACCACTGTACGAGCCATGACTCAAGCTCAAGCTGAGGCCAACCAGTACCCTCAGACACCAATGTATATCAAAGTCGGTGTCTGGGCTGGCGGAGATCCATCCAACGCTGAGGGCACAATCGAATGGGCTGGAGGCCTCACAGACTATTCCGCCGGTCCCTTCACCATGTACCTCAAGTCCATCCACGTCACAGATTACTCGACAGGCTCCAAGTATTCATACAGTGGTACTAGTGGAACCTGGCAATCGATTGTCTCGACCGGCGGTCAGATCAACAGCGAAGGCAACGGCACTCCAGTCTCAAGTTCGGCACCTGCAGTTACTTCTCAAGTCACGACGGGAAGTGCTCCACTTGCCTTTGGGAACGGCGACGATTCTAGCACTGTGACTCGGACGGGCTGGCCGTGGTCAGGAACCGCAACGACCACAGCTGTCACTGTGGTAAGCGCCTCGATCTCTGGGCTGACGAGTCAGTTCTTCCTTTTACTCCAGCTCAGTCTCCGTACTCTTTGCTAATGTTTCACAGATCCCTACCCCTTCTTCGTCCTCATTACAAGTCTCACCATCGGGTTCGGCATCGGTTTCTTCGCCTGAAGTGTCTGTGTCAGTGAGTCCTGGTGCGACCTCAATCCCTGCAGCCAGCTCAGGCGTCGAAACCGGCAGCAGCGCGGCGTCGTCTGGTCCCGACTCGGGAACAACCCAACCGATCAGCCTACGACCGACTTCCAACACCGCGAGTGAGAACCAGCCAACTTCCACAGCGGTCACTACTGGCGCACCGGAGAGCTCAACCACAACGGAATCTGAGCAGGCTGGCACGACAACAACTGGCACTGGAGGATCATCTGGAACCGCATCAGGAGGCTCGCCTTCCGCATCCGCATCAGCTTCCGCTGGCTCTGGCTCATCGACCTCGACAGGCACCAGAGCGACAAGCAGGACGACCGAGACATTGCAGAGTACAACGATGGCCACCTCTACACGCACCACCGGCTTGCAATCATCGACATCGGCTTCACCAACAGGCACACCACCAGCACCAAACGGTGTAGCTCACGGTCTTGCTTTCACACACTGGATGATGCTTCTCAGCGTTGGAGCAACATATGTCTTTCTCTTGTGAAATGAATGGCAAGTTTTGGCCACATTTGTCAGCATAGGCTTTATTAATGGACGTGGCGTTGGAAGGATTCTAGAAGGCCAAGAGATCTCGGAGTAACGAGGACACGAGGCTGCGATAAGACATGGAGGATTTTAACGACTGTGATACCCTGTTAGAACGAGAGGCTCTCACACGAGTCTTTGAGGTGAAATACTATTAATTGGTGGTTGATCAGACTGCCTTTCAACCGTATCCATTCCACCATTGTGAACAACTCTCATGTGAGGGGCAGTAGAGTGACGGTCAAATCTCTCGGTAGGCTTGAGAAGTATTTCGAGATGATTAAAGGACCGCCACTTGTGCCTGAACACGCGAAAGGCAAGCTTTGTCCCTGCGCATGGAACCTCCCACGACTGGTGGAGATGCTTTACGAAATTGATGTCCGCCCGCACGTCATATTTTTTTCTTACTCGCATTATTTGAATCTTTTCCGTTTCGTCCGACTGTCAACCGGCCAAAAACGCCACAAGCGGCCTCCTAATGCAACCATCCCACCTTCAAGACTCCCACTTGCGTCTCTCGATCAATTCATTTTGCAGACTCATCTCTCCTCTACTACCCCTCTACGCACCTCAACATGGCTGCCAACGCGCCTACGCCCACCGAAATCTCTCAGACTCATCCTTACACATGCAATTCCTGCGCAGTCGCCTTCCGCAACAGTGACGCCCAACGGACTCACATGCGAAGTGACTGGCACAGATACAACCTGAAGAGAAGATTAGCAGAACTGCCTGCGGTATCGTCAGAAGACTACAATGAGAAAGTCCTAGCTGCTCAGGCAAGCAACAATGAGGCAGCCGCTCAAGCAGCCTTCGCAAAATCGTGCGCCACCTGCCAGAAGACATACTACAGTGAAAATGCATACCAAAACCACCTTGCAAGCAAAGCACACAGATTACGAGTTCTCGCCGATCGTGGCAAGGCATCAAGAGGAGACAAGAGCACTGCAACAGATACGGCAGTTTCCAGGGTGGATTCTGCTGGAGATTCAGAATCTCGGGATCCGGAGGCCGAAGCAGAATTTGAAAAGGTGGTAGCAGGCATGAAGGACACAACTTTACAAGACGTCCCTGCGATCACACGAAGGCCGTTTGCACCGCCTCCAGATGCAGAGCCACGGGAGGATCATCCAATGTCGCCAGAGAAGCCTGCCGTCTCCTCGATCCCGCTGTCCCGCTGCTTGTTCTGCAATTATGACTCGCCAAACCTCAAGCTCAGTGTTATGCATATGACCAAGATCCACAGTCTGTTTATTCCCGAGCAGTATTATCTGGTGGATCCAGAGGGGCTCGTGAGATACATGCAGGCCAAAATCTACCAGAATTTTGAATGTTTATACTGCCATCGCCTTAGGGGGAACGCCGAGGGTGTTCAGACACATATGAGAGATAAGGGCCACTGCAAGATTGCTTTTGAGACCGAGGAGGAAATGATTGAGGTCGGGCAATTCTACGATTTCTCAAGCACCTACTCGGATGACGGAGCAGGCGATTCCGACATGGAGCTGGACGCTTCGAAATCGGGTCAGAACGGTGGAGTCAAGTTGGCAAATGGAGAGCAAAACGGCGAGGACGAAGGATGGGAGACAGATTCTTCATTCTCATCACTTGACACCGAAGATCTCGCTTCCGTACCAATCGACGACCGATCCTCATCCTACCAGCGGCTCCCTCTGCACAGGCACCACTCGAACGCCGAACCCAGACCACATAAGCATCTTGATGGATTTCATTCTCATGCACACAACCACAACAATGCAGTCTTCTACGACGAGTATGAGATGCATCTTCCCAGCGGCCGTATTGCGGGCCACAGAAATTTGAGGAAATACTATAGACAGAATCTGCATTCTTACCCTACGGCGGCGGAGAGAATGGAACGAGCACAAAGATTGATTGAAGAAGGCAGCTCCGACGCAGATATGGAAGATGTTGGTGATCTTCCGATTACACCGCCTCGGAACAGTCTTATGAGACGAGGCGAACAAGGCATGATTGGTGCGACGAATCAACAACGACGTGATGTGCGCTCGCAGGAGATTCGTTCAAGACAGAAAGAGCAGCGTACCCAGAACAGGTATCAGGCCAAGCTGGAGAAGCAGGCCAACTCCCAGAAACACTTCAGGGTACGTTGTCGAACTCTGAGCGCGGTTGACAATTATTTGCTAACAAACTATAGGACCCTCTACTGCAATGATCGTTTGGTTCCCGGTTTGGTCGTTCTTTGCGAGTTGTATGCAGCTCTTCTGCCTTTTCGCATAGCGGTCATACGCATGGGTTACGGCTAGAGAAAATCATTGGCGTGACTGGAATGACCTTGCATGAGGCGAAAATATGTCCACAGAACGTGGGACAGTCTCTAATGGTGTCAGTCCGTATTCATCAATCAACATCGACAATCGTCGCGATTCAGGCAAGGCTAGTCCTTGTCTAGAGCGGCTTATTGTTAGAGTACGTATTCATATCAACGATGGTACTCACGGCGTATTGAGTTTCTTGGTGTCCGTTCGAGAGTCCTTCCCATGCCCGATTCGGTCCTTCTGAAGGCCGCTGTCTCTTCCAAGCCGACCAGTAATGAACCCGCCCTGGGTCACATCAAAAGGATGTTTCGCCCTTAAGAAATAGATCTCGTTAAGGTTGTAAATATGTGCAAGGCTCGTACGATTGGGGGGCGTGGAGGGCGCACCAGGATTTGTACGGTGGAACATATGGCATCAAGCGCAATCTTGGCTCGGTCTCCAACTTCGATTGCGAGCTCCAATTGTCGCAGCCATTTTCCTTCATCTCTCGTGCAGCATCCATCAACTCGTTCTGTCACTGTCCTCGACACACTCAATCGTGGATTTTTAAGAGCACCCAATCTCGCTCCACGGCTGCGGTCTGCAGCGGCCACTCTATTTCCTCGAAGCGAGGCAACGTTGGTTCAAATAGATTCATCATCGAGTCCTACAGCTTCAACTCTATTCACTGCCCGTAACCTCCAATAATGGCGAAGAAAGGTATGATCCGCTTCTGCAACTTGCCAGTCTCCCTGGCGATAGCTCGATACAGCCGACGAACCCTCGCTGACTCCTATGACAGTCAAATCTCGTACCGTCGCTGTGCGGCTCATCAGCATGGCAATGACCGGCTTCTATCGAACAATGATCCGACCTCGCGCGTCCCGACCTTTGAGCATGATGAAATATGATCCAGTGGTAAAACGGCAGGTGTTATTCTTGGAGCAGAAACGTGGTAAATAAGACACGTAAGGATCTATTCGAAATCAGGAGAGTTGTCCGTCGACAGGAGCTGTGGCAGCGCACATGAAGAGCTCCAGGATCGGGCACCGGACGCTTGAGCTGGCGCTGGCGGTTTGCGGTTGGCTGCTACCGCCCAGCGAGGCCGAAGATGCTCTCCCGCTTCTAATGGGTATCGGCTTTGTTCCGCCACCAGCGAGCAGAAGAGGTTCTCTGGACTGATGGCAACGCCATATACCTAGAGGGACACAGTTTGGATACAACACGTCGGCAGAACCTGCGGATCGCACGTATCGCCGCATGTGTGCGGTCCTGGACTGCATACAAAGCAAATAAGGGACGACCGATCATTATCAATCAAGACCAAAGGGACCGCATGATACGGCGTCGACTCGTGTTGTTCCCAAACAACCTTCACAAAGCCAGGTCCAGCAAGTCTTTTCACCAGTGCTATAACTAGCCTCGGACCGGGAAGAGAGCAGAGGCAATATGCAATTGTGGCACAGCTTTCTTACGGAAGATCGGCGGAAATACCAGCGTTGGACAGCCAGACTGCTTGCGGTCGGTACCCGACACTTTCGGCAGTATCTTGCTTATCTTACGATAATGACAATTTTAGACCATCAAACATCGCGCTCGAACAGATTTTCCAGGCGCCTCCAGTCCAAAAATCACAGACTGTTGTTGCCTTTTCTCATGTCGACCAGGCTGAATGTTATGTTACTTAGCTTTTAAGGGACAGATTTTGCTGCCTCACACTACTTTTCTTTGACTTATTATTTGTTGGCTCACCGATATCGTGGCCAGCCACGTCTTCTTATAATTCGGATTGTTTTGTACGACGGTATATGCATTAGCGGATTCTTAAGCGAGACTGACAACCAATCCTCGGATCAGCACGTGGAGAGCATTTGGAACTTTGGTACTCCTCCAAGAAAGAGTGTGGTACGTGACGTGTATGATGCACAAGATCAGGAGCTGTCTATACATATCGCCGCAGAGCCCAAGATGGAAAAATCATGACAGTTGAAGAGACCACCCTTTCAACACTCTTGGAATTGATAGTCGACCATGGAACACCTGCCTGTCGTGGAGCATCGTCCCCGAATCCGAGTCAAATTCAGACGCCACCACCTTTATGAATATGACCAGAGAGGATTTTCTCGGCTTCCCAAGCCGCGTCGGGGTCGATGAGAGGAAGTTGCTCGATTCAGGCGATCATGATTTGGATGAAGACAGTTTTGCTGCCTTTTTGCAAGCTTGGCTGTATTGGGGACTTCTCAGTGAGTTTATGATAACACCAGGACAAATCGAGTTCAATCATTTCATGGAACCTGACGGCACAATCACCACCAAACAACTACTGTCGTGTTTGTTGGGATGGAAAAATAGATTGAGCTAACGGCGGAGCCTGCAGTCGAGCGGCATCTACATCATAAGATTGAATATTGCAGTGAATCTCGCTAAGTCGGTTATGCGAGAGTGCTCACGTTTTTCACCCTTTTCAAGCTGGGCCTATTCGGACCGTTGGCCATTGAGGCCCGAAGAAAGTATTGTATTAGGGGTGCTGGGCGAGACGTTGCAATGGACTCTTACCGAAGCTCAAAAGGGCTTAGGAATGTCGATACCTGGCTGGCTCATTGACGATGAGCGAGGCTGGGCAATAGCCACACTGGAATATGGCGACACAGATGGTCTCTTTCCCTGTCCTAACGGCTACTTCTTTTCCAATGGGGTGATGAAGCAAAGCATCTGCGGACTATACTACGCGGCTTCATTAAATCGCTTTTACCCCAGCGGATCATCGGAATCTCACCAAGACTGCACTCATGAAGTATGTTACGAGAATACGATCCACGAGACAACCTACGAGACACGCCATGTGCTGATTGCACTGGCTCGTGTGCATTTCTTGAGCCAGACCAAGAAAGGGTGACGCAGATCGTCATGGAAGGCAGAATTCCTCTACTCAGATACGTGGAGGATACACATGGCACGCCATCACTAGTCGTCACACCACAGTCCCACGGTATACCGTTTGTCGTCATCAGTCATGTTTGGGTGAGACCTTCCTCCTCTCGACCGGCAGAACCCTGAACAACTCGCGTCTGACAATCAACCTTTAGGCTGATGGCCTGGGGAATCCTCGGGGCAATGCAATGGTAGCTTGCCAGATGAAAAGACTACACGATCTGGTAGAGAAATTCTCCAAATTTCAAAATCAGACCGTGGGGGTTTGGATCGACTCGATTTGCGTTCCTATTGGAGACCGAGAGGCCCGTCGGAAGGCTATTAGCATGATGTTTCGCATCTAGACCGAAGCCTACGCGACGATAGTACTTTCTGCAGACCTAACGGACCACGAGGCTGGCACCACGTCCTATCTCGAACCTGCAATGCGAATTACTACTTCGAGTTGGAAGCGTCGTTTATGGACTTTTCAAGAAGGAGTGATGAGTCGAGATCTCTACTTCTTGTTTGCAGATGTGAGTGTTGCTTTTCCAGACAGCGCATACCAAGAGTTAGATGTTGCAAACTTGCAAGCTGGATCGTACAATGCCGTTTTAAAATGGGTATTCGTCAGACTGATTCTCAGAGTAGGGGCTGAAAAACATCGAAGATCTCGAGGTGCTTTATTCGGCGGCAGCGGCTGAATCTGTGATTGCCGCTCCTGCAAGATCATTCTACACCAATCTTCTTCGTCCACGTGGCTTCCGCCGCAGAGCCGACGCAGAGTTTGTGAGCTCGGTGTATCGAGCGGTTCAATGGAGGACAACATCCCGCTTGAGTGATGAGACTTTGGCTTTGGGCCTCATTCTCAACGTCAACGACGCGAGGCTTGCAGACTTTCATGGCGATGAGAGGATGGAGTTGCTTTTGCGGAATCTTCCCGAGATACCAGCAGGTCTCATTTTTATGCCTGGGCAGCGACTGAAAAACAGCCCTTTCCGTTGGGCTCCCCGAACCTGGATGATAGGTGACAACCCTCGGTATCCAGATCCATTTGTCAATCCCATATCAACGTACCTACCGACCGGCTACTCAATGACCCTGGCGCAAAGCGTTCTCACAGATCGAGGATTGCTAGTTCGCTATCCCGGGTACCGACTTCGTGGAGCTCGTAGTATACGGTTCGATTTCGACTTTCCTACTGACCTTACTCTTCGGCGATGGTATCAAGTCAGACGCCTGTTTCCCGGCATTGTAACGGACTTGACGTTGGAGAAGAAACAGAGCATAAAGTTGGGAATCATATGTTGTCGGCCGAATGCTGGGGTTCTCCCCGAAATAGCAGTTTTGGTGTTTATCGAAGGCGAGAGCAATGGCACCCTGCACAGTCGGTGGCTGGATCTAGTCCGAATTAATCTTCTGGATCAAGATGATGATATTTTGCGAGCGCAAAAAAGGTTCATGGCGGAGAATGCGCAATGTGTTCCTGGTGAGACATTGAGTCCTGAGCAGCTCTGGACGGTTGATTGATGCCGCATATTGGGAGGTTATTTCTCTCATCTATGCGGACGAGAGAAGACCGACAAGGAGGGATCGAAAAACGGCACCGACATTAGCGTGAGATATATGCTACCATAGACATCGTGGACAATATAGAAACAAAGGCATCAGGCTGGGTACGGAAGGCTACACAATGCTACACAACGCTCGACGAGGCTGAACGAGGCTGAACGAGGCTGAACAAGTTAGCCTAGTGAGCCATTGACGTCAGTAGTCATAAAGTTCTTGATGGCCGCCTGGCGCGCGTGTAGAGGGCAAGCACTGCGCACTCGGCCAAGTACACCTCGACTCTACAGAGAGATCCTACAATGCATATATGTATTATGATATCATGATCCTCATCTCCCTCCGGCCATGTCGTCCTCCCGAGTGATGCCTGCGGGCACCTTGACAACCACCCACGACTTCGAGGCATTAGATCCGGACTCGTACACTGCCCACCGACTGAAGCATGCCTCTCCCGATCATTTACACCTTACCTCCCGCCGGTTCTTCATTGGCCCCATACCCGAAGGCTGGCTCAATAGTAACAGGAAGTCATGGTACAGGCAAAGATTTGAGCTGAGTACCTATTCATCAAGAACAGCAAGCTTTAACGCAGCTGCCGACACTGGGCCTTACCATCGAACTTTGACTGGACTAGGTGGTCCCTCGACAGCAGCAAGGATATCATTTAGCTTTCCACAACCAGAAGATGTCTACGATGAGGATTCAAGTGTAGGCGACGAAGCGCAGGAAGAGACTCCGGAAGAGGAAGAAGTTATTGAGACAACAAACATCGAGCCTATTGCAACAAGTGAAATACCACGTATAACAGGAGTTGAAGAGCAAAATGTGGGCGGTATCGCGTCTCCGAAAGCCATACCGGTCCCTGCAGATAAGGGATTAGATGGAACGAGAAACAAACCAAGCGTGAGTGCGCAAGGGAGCGCCATGTCACCAGATCCTGCATCCTTCTCAACTGCAAGGGAGCATGCCTTGGCGCCACCCGGAGCAGACTCGCCTCTGTTGGAAGGCCGTCGGTCTGGACAAGACACCGATCAGAGCGACACGGATGGTCATGATTTTAATAGGACTTCTTCCAACGTGGAGACGAGTTCTAGGACGGCTTTGTTACCTCCGCAAGCTGGACCGTCAGCCACCAAGACTCTTCGAGAACGTGAACCCTCTCCTATACGGGACGACAGTTCGTATCAATTAAAGCGTTCTGCTACGGGCGTCAGATTCAAGGTTGCAGAAGGAGTACAGCAACGCAGACGGCGGATAGAGAGCAAAGCAGAACGAGCTATAGACCGTGTGGCCGATCACAGGTTACGACGCAACGCCCTGAAAGAGGGAACTATTGTCAAGATGGAGAGGATGCTGGTTAGGTGTGACCTGGTCATGCAGTCTCTTCCAGAAGATTTTGACGAGAATGAAAGTCAGAAGGTAGAGATGAGGTTGCTTGAGAAGTGGCGTGAGTACATGGTTGTTGCCAGGAAAAGCAAAAAGCAAGACGTCGATGACTTTCGGCTACAAATATACAAGACCAGAGTCATCCCGGAGATTGACACCGAGTCGACCAAGAAGAAACCACAACATGAGATCAGGCTTGACCCCAAAACCACAAGGGTCAATATGTACTCATCTCTGGACAAGACAGTGGTTATTTGGCATCCCTACAAGAAAGGGACCCGGGTGTTTGTGATGAGGCCGAGTTCAACTGCACATTCAGTGGAATGGTATACCTTCCTTCGTGATGCTCTAGGATGGCAAAGACCGGACATGTTGCATGTCAATGTTCCAGATCTTGATGTGGTCCTGAAACTAGACAGGCCTTTTGAAGGACTTGAGGCTGCAGGTCTTGGCGCTACCGACGAGCAGACTGCCTTCGCCCAAACCGTTGAGGCCGAGAAGGCAGTCGCCGGCACGATCATCTCGCAATGCATTGACATGCTGGAAGGCGACCCAGAGTGGTCTAGTGTACTCAAGGTCTGGAGCGAAACAGCAAAGATGGGCCTTGCCTGGAAGAGATATGATAGACTGGAATGGGTGTATGGTACTAATGAGCAGAAGATGTATGGGTCGATGGCCATGCAACGATCTCATGACCTCGAATTGCGGCCGAAACAGCACTATCCAACGTGCGCTCACGGCAGAAAGGGCAAGCTGCATGAGGAACCTGCACCTATTGAAGGCTTTCTTGTTCGTCTCACCTCTCAAAAAGGAGTCCAGCAGAGGTTTGGCAAGGCATTTTTCAAACGACTATATTTTTCCACCCATGACCAGTTTCTGATGTTCAATCGACCCGCAAAAGCAACTCCTCCACATCCGCCTCGACTGGCCACGATTGGTGGTAGAGACATCCCCTCGTCACACGAGATTATCGAGAAGACACCGTTGATGTTTGATGTGGAACCTTACAAACTGAAGGATGGTGAAGTCTCCTGGTTGACTTCCGGGAACAGACTGGCCATCCAGGATCACGACCGTGACGCTCTCGAAGAATCACGACGCATTGTGGCCAATCTTTTGCAGTCTGATGGTTTCATCAATTTGTGCTATGTGCGGAAAGTACGGACCATCAAATGGGGCGCTTCTCCAGCTGATGATACCCTCGAGGCTGGTTCCGACTCGGACGTTGATTTTCATCAGGACGTCTCCGACACACGGATGGAGGACGGTACGACCAAACAGATTGATGATGACCGCGTCTTTGAGATTCTCCTTGACAATGGTCTGGTGATTCGCTTGCAAGCATATTCCAAGCAGACTCGAGATGAGTGGATCAGTCGACTGAAAAAGCTGGTTAAGTACTGGAAGTTACGTACAGCTGCGGAGATGGATACGTACAAAGCGATCCGACGAGCCAATCTTCAGGAGCTCAATGTGGACGAGGAACTGGAAGCTATTATCGGACAGTTTGCGAAGAAGTGGGAAGTAAGTCGAAGTCAGGCCAGTCCAGAGCTTTACAACATGTGCGGAATCAGTGTATGTCGGAGCATTATCATGGCTGGCCCACTCTACTTGAAAACACGGCGTCGCTCAACCTTTCATCGCAGCCAGGTCATTTTAACCGGTGGAAAGCTTCTGATATACCAGGCCACATTGAGGAAAAGGACAGGCGAGCAGATCCGCCATATCCACCAAGAAAAGCAACAGGCCGTTGACTTGAGGGATTGTTATGTGTACAGCGGCTTGATCGTCGAAGATGATCTGCTGTATCAGAACAAGACCTTCGACGCGAATCATCCGGGCATGGCTAGTCTGCCGCGTGTGTACCTCGAAGATGGCTGGACCAGTGCGGATGTCGACGTCATGACTTGTTTTGTCGTGTGGATGAACCGACGGAAGGGATGGTTCCGCACTGCATCTGTTGAAGATAAGTCCGCGGATGGCAACGCCGAAGATGGCAAGACGAGAGGCAAGACCAGAGCCAAACTGCGCAGAGTCGGACAGCTTGGTGTACCGGGTCGTGGAATGGTATTCAAGTGTCGTTCTCGAGCCGAACGGGATCGCTGGGTTCTAAGTGTGGCCAGCGAGATTGAAAGGGTCGTTGAGCACGAGGTTGAAGAACTTGGTGACGAGGGTGAATTCAGATTCGACAATTGAGGGCTTGATCTGCAGTGATTCAAGCATTCGAATGACTTGGGCGAGAGTCTGCGGGCGTTTCGTCGGCGTATAATTAAGCAAAGCATTATGAGCGGGCATTTCTAGGCAGTGGCATGCTTGTTAGTATTAGGCATATTTTGGACTGGAGGGAGCGAAGATCGTCTGGCCAGGGGTAAGACGGTAAATGGTACGCAGTCGCCCCAACAGTGGCGAACGATTGATTCTTCCAGCATGGCTGAACGGGCGCAAGGGAAGAAAACTGGGAAGGGTATTGTTATGAAGCACATACGTGACTAGCTAGTAATATAATTGGTATTGATCGTTAATGAGTTGGTCACTTGATGATCTACGTACTTTCCGTGCTTCACTGGGCTGAAGAAGTGACTTGATTGTTGCATTGTGATTCAATCTTGGTGCTTTTTATACTTTTGATTCATAAGGACGCCATCGCCCAGGACCCCTTTTTTGCTGGAACCTTCATCGTCAAGTCATGTCACCCATCATAAGCTCTGCACCGCCACCAACCGATCAGGACTGCGTGTGTCTACATTAGACCATCTTAGCTGCATCATCAATGATCTTCTTCGCCTCATCCCGGCCCAGTCTGCCTTCCAGCCAAGCCATAGCCTTCTCGACGACCATCTCCCAAACATCTTCCTCATTGGGGACTCTGGTCTTCAACCATGATACTGCCAGGGCCGTGGCTTTCGCGGCATCGGCATCGGAATCAGAGTGTGCGTGTGGGTGCGCCTCCATCTGATTGTTGACCTGTTGGACAGTCACACCGATAATGTTGAGCAGTGCAACCGAAATGAGCCATGGTCCGCCAAATTGTTGCAGGTCAATGATACGGTGCATCTTGTCGGTGTCGGAGAGTGTGGACAGGTCTTGCTGGATCTGGACTTCCATCAGATCTGAGGTGGTATTGCCGTCGTCGAGCTCGTCCTCTTCGTCAGGGAGCGCCAATGCGTTTGCGGGATTCAATGCCTTCGCAGGAGAAGAGGCGAGTTGTTTGCGCGGTGCCATGCCGCCGGTAGATTTGCGCGCGGCCACTCCGGGGCCGCGCTTACGGTGACGTGCCGGATCTGTCGGAGCTGCAAAGGCGCTGGGAGCGGGTGGTGGGAGCACTCGCATGCGTCCATCGACCTGAAATGGGCCGGCGGCTTGCATCATCAACGTGTAGTCATTTACTGGCTGCTGGTTGAGCGCCATGAGTCCGGATTGATACTGAGAGAGTTGGGTAGATGGAGCTTGCGCGTGCCCCGGCGCATAGCAGTAATGGGCTTGCGTCTGCGGTACCTGCATTGGCATTTGTGCTTGGGCTTGCATCTGCTGCATCTGCATTGGCATCTGTGTTTGCAAAGGTTGTTGTTGGGCAGCAGGGTACACGGGGTTTTGGCTGGTGGGTGCACGTTTGACACTGCGTTCGGGATCTGTGCCAGAGGAGTCAGCATCTTGGGAAGCAGCTCTGCATGCACCGAAACCAGAATGACTGAGCCCGAACAAGCTATCTGTTGGGGCTTGCATAGGCTGTTGGGAGGTACATCCAAAGCGGGCGCCGGCCGACTGAGTCGGAGTTGGTGTAGATGTTGCTCCAAAGAGGCTTCCCCCAGTCGAGTTTCCTGGAATGGCAGTGCCGGCGAAAAGTGAAAAGGCGTGATTCGGGTACGACGATGACGAGGGAGCGGCACTAGGAAATCCATAAGCAGGACGAGACTTACTGGACGCATCTGCGGCACGTTTCCCTGGTCTGTCAACGACTTCGGCAGTGGATGGAGAAGCGTTGTTCTCGTCTTGGGCATTCTTCTCGACAGCCACGAATGAGCACCATTTCCCACCGACCTGGAATTTCACACCCAATCTGACGGCTTCGCGTTCGACCATGAGATCCCATTTGCCTCGATGAGCGGATTTCAGGAGTTTACCTTGGTCGTTGCGTACTTCGGTGATCCAGCCTCGACCTTCTTCGAGCTCAAGAATTGCTTTCTTCGCGGCGAGTTGGTGGATGGTTTCGCCAACTCCGGCATCTCGGATGGGTATCTCGAGCTCCAACGGTCCAAGCTCACTCGTACCGCGTAGTGTGACGGCCTTTGGTGTCTTCTGAGGAGAGTCAGGGCCAAGAATGAGATAAGCAGTTGTGCGGTTGAACGGAAAGAGAGCTGGAATTTTGTATGGAGTCTGCAACACTTTGGGGACAGGTACATCGGGAACATGATCGTAACGTCCTGCTGGTGGGTTGGTCGGTTCTTCTGGTGCAGTGGTGTCAAACAGTGAAATAGGCTTCTGTATCATTGGCCTCTTCAATTCAGCAACGACTGTCTTAGTGGAGCTGGGCGTGACCTCGACCATTTCGAAGTCATCATCTGCAGAGATGGATTCCTCTTCATATGTGACTGCGAGAGTGTAGTCGGTGATGTGGGGAGACAAGGCTCCTTTCAGCATGCGGACGACGCGTTTGTCGATTCTCTCGTTGTCTCCTACAAATTGTGCGAAGCCATTGCCAGCACGAGCAATGCCTTCAACAAGTGCAGAGGATGCGCCATGGCCAATACCCAAGGAGAAAAAGCGGGCATTGGTGGCTTCGTTCACAAAGGTGAAAAGCTCTTCCTGATTCCAAATCTGTCCATCGGTCAGAATCATAACCTCAAGAGGAAGATCTTGATATCTGTTCTTGACGGTCTGCCTGACAGGTGCCAGCAACTCAGTGCCGCCCATGTCAGCGGCAAAACTCTCGAGGTGTTTGAGAGCTTCACTCAAGCTTGATTGATCATATGTCTTGCTCTTCTTGAAAAGGAAAGAGTGGCTCGAACCAAATGAGCAGATGTTGAATTTGACCCCGACCGGCAACGACTTCAAAAATATCTTCAAAGCATCGACAACAAGTGGAGTATTACTCCCCATACTGCCACTTCTGTCCACAACGAAGACAATCTCTGGGGAGATGTTTGGAAGGTTGAATTTGGGCACGAGTGTTGCCATGATTGCGCGCTGATGAGGAATAGTGGAGTGTGTTTCGAGAAAGGCTCGTGGGGTGTCTGTGCCTTTAGCAAGTACAACAATGATGAAGTCTTTGTCAAGCTCAGTCGTGCCGAGTGTCAATGTCGCCGATGCATTGTTGGTACAGAAGGAATCTTCTTCCATAGTACTGGTTCGGCCCATGGTGACAGCGATCGGATGACTCGGTGATTGAAGGCCTCGCACGATTGCACCTTCTTCGAGGGTGACGTCCACTGAGATGGAAATACCGCCTTTGGTGTATGTGCTGGCAAGAGCGTCTGCCGATTCAGCCGAGACAGAGCCGTAGCGAGGTGCAATGATGGTTGGGATGGTGAAACGTGAACCATCTGTTTCGGCATCGTGTTTGAGCTCACCAAGGTACACAATTTCAACATGAATCTTTCCCTTTGGTGGGACATTGCCAATGGATGTAGTGAAGACATCGGAAGCCTCTGGAAGTTGTTGAAGGAGGCCAGCAGTCTCACCACGAGCGATGGCGCCTTGGTAATCCACCTTGGCTTGTTGCTTTTCCTTGACCACGCCAACAATGGTTTTGGCACCAATAGTGCAAGTGAAGCCAACCACACTTATTCCATCGTAGAGCGGGAATGTGTATTGAATCTCGTCAAGGGTTTTGTCTTCAGGGTTGACAAAGGTCTGTGTGAGAGTTGTTCGAGAGGTGACGGCGAGGATGTTTGTGGATGATGACAACTCAACTTGTGGAAGATATCTTCTTTCAATCGGATTCATCCAGTTGCTGTTGTTCTGCACGGGATACCAACATCCGCACATGGTTTGTCCGCTGTAGCACGACATGGCGAGTGCTGTAGAAGAATGAGAATGGAGGATGACAGATTGAGGAAAAGACAGGATGAGAAAAAGAGGGCACCGGAGGATTGGAGTTTAAGTAGTCGTGAAAGGATGTAGGCAACCGCAAGGCAGCACTGGTCATCCCAAATAGGCGAACAGTGAAGCATCACTCAGCCAATCACATTGCGAGGGAAGTGACTGGAGTGCCAACGATCCTTCACAGGACTCCCTCTTTCACAGCTTTTAGTACGTAGTACTGTGATCGAACACGCTGGGCTGGAGTAGTGAATGTGCACCGAGGCTTGACTCAGTCACTGCCTCCACTGTCATCGTACCATGGACGACAATCTATCTCGAGGTCAATCCGGTGGTCCCCGCGGCAGCAGACCTAATGGGCACAAGGCGCCATTTTCGTGGAACCGTGACCCGAACCTGCTTTTTCGCCATCTGAACTTTTCGTCTCGACCACGGTTGTACATTCTGGCCATCGTGACTGAAGGTCTGTCTCTGAAATTGGTGAGAGACAGGTAATAGTTGATGCGTGCCAAGACAATCCGGCCCCAACCTGTATGTCGCAGCCTGGCCATTGAGACGGAACAGCAATCATCTCGTCCGGCTTCTAGAAGCACAAGATGACGTACATTGCAATTCAAGGTTTTCCACGTCGGGCTATTGTAAATGTAGCTCCATGTACATAGTGTCAATCCTGGAGAAAGTGTCAATAGCGTCAGGTTGTCCTCGAGGCGGACGCTCACATTCTGCCTTTCTTGTATCCAACACCTTTGAGTCTTCCGACTTCCTCAAACCCCCAACGTCTGTACCAATCTCTTAACGCGAGTCCTTGTCCAGGAGCATCCTCATCCACAGCCATGACGGCGAAGACTTTCTTAACATCACACTCGACTGGGTTGTCTTCGTGGCCGGCCTCCTTGGTAACATGTTTGGTCTTACGAAGGGCGCTGAGAAGCTCTTTCAGCATTTGACTGCCGATGCCCTTGTCCCGATGCTCGGGGTGACAAAATAAACTGACTTCCACGGAATGTCCATAACCCAGCATGAATCCTCGAAAGGCGGACGCATACGAGTAGCCCACCACACGGTTTTCCTCGTCGACCGCCACCAAATATGGCAAATTGCGGTTAGTGGACTCTTTGAAGCGAGATGCAATATAATTAGCTGGAGGCTTCTGGACAAGAAAAGACACTACGGTGTTCAGTACATAGTGCTCGAATATTGCATGGATTTGTGGCAGGTCGGTTTCGATAGCTGGTCGAACAGTCACAGACATTGTCACTAGTGATCACTTCGGAACGCAACTCACAGTCAAGTTCACCGTCATGGTAGATATTTTGAGAGGCGTTGACGTTCGTGTCGGATATTCTGACCTTGACTCATCCTGCAACGATTCTGCTGATAAGAAGTAGATATCGGCCAAATATTTCCCCGCTGATCTTGTCACGTGTATTCAGGCTTGGCATAATTTCCCCGCGTTTCGCTCGGTGGATTTTATTTTGACTGTGACGCAGTTGGAGTCGCGAATGGAGTTGAAATGTCACTGCCTCTAAGAGTTCCTCGAGTGAGGTCCTGTTGATGAGGTTTCTTCTTGCTACTCCTTCTCTCTTCTTATCATACGAGTCTTCTCTATCTGTATGCTCTCACGTCTACGAGCTGGTGCAATGAGTTCCGGACTCATCGCCGCAAAGGACATTCCTTCCATCTCCCACCTCTACCGCAACATGTCTCTCCGACCATCCTCAGACGAAGACCTTCCAAACCCAAATCAACAGCACAATGACAGAATTTGCGTCATTCAGGAAGATATCACAAAGCTAGAAGTTCACGCAATAGTCAATGCTGCAAACCGACGCCTTCTCGGTGGAGGAGGTGTTGATGGTGCTATCCACCGCGGAGCTGGGCCACAACTTGTGAAAGAATGTGCTACCCTCGGTGGATGTGAGACTGGCTCTGCAAAGATAACCGACGCTTACAGACTACCTTGCAAAAAGGTCATCCACGCCGTTGGTCCGGTCTACGACAGCTTAGAAGAATCAGAACCTTTGCTCCGTTCTTGCTATCGAACAGCCTTCCGACTAGCAATTGAGCATGACTGCAAAACAATTGCATTTCCTAACATTTCGTGTGGAGTCTATGGCTATCCAAGCACGCATGCAGCCCGTGCGGCCATCCGAGAGACCCTTGCATTCTTGAAGAGACCGGAAGGCCAGAAATTGGAGAAAATCGTCTTCTGTAACTTCTTGGACAAGGATATGGACGCTTATGCTGAATGCCTACCGTATGTTGGTCTTGAAGCCTTTCCAAATGGAATCTGACACCGTGACCAGGACCGTGTTCCCACCTACCGAGGATGACCTGTCCCATACAGGTGAGTATGATGGCAAAGAGAATCTTCCCCCAAAGGTTATTGTGCCAACCACCCAACAGATAATTCCCAAGGAAACCTATGAACACCCTGAGAGAATCTCGCTCATCGAAGACACCGGAAGAAATAAGAGCTCCGCTATCGAGTCTCTTTTCCCCGAGAAAGACATCGAGTTCTTTGAAAAGACGACGCTAGCTGCTGAAAAGGACGAGTTTCTGGCGAGACATGCTTGTTCGGACGCCGACAGTACTGGATCAGACAGCGACTCCTCCACGGGCTCTAAACGATCTCGGAATGGGGAAGATCAGCTTGGATCGCACTCAAAAAAGAGACGGCTCACAAATGGCGAACTCAACAGCGGCGAGCGCTCTGAAGATGAAGATGCTGTGGAATACATCGATTCAGACCCAGAGGATGTCGCTAAAACCCTGGACAAGACCACTATATCCATACCCTCGTCCGTTCCTCTGGAAGACAGCAGCTGCTACCACAGCCGCTTCGAAAAGGATGATGGCACTTCTTCTCATGGGTTGTGGCCACATTGTGCAATGATCTGTGAATGCGGCAAAAACTACATTCAAGCGCGTGGGACCGACTTACCGTCAATCGGCCGCGGTGACTTCAGAGGGTTTTATTGAGCAAGGAAACCGATAGGGCAACGAATACTTGCTTTTAATAGGTGTCAAGACATCTACAGCCCTGCTGTAAGTTGACTTTTGCCCAGTTGCTGGCTGATGTGTTTCTTCGATCAACCAGTATCTTGTGCTAGCGTGGATTGAGCTTTGAGTGGTTATCAGATACCATATTGGTTTTAGAATGGCGTTATTACCTGATTCTAATCACTACCTACGGATATTGAGCCTGATCATCTTGACTACCTGGGTAGTGAATCAATCACGTTCTTGCAGAAAGTTGTTGCTTTAGCTTCGCTTACCTCAGGCAGCAATCCATTCGAACCGTCTACAAAAATGTTGCCACTCCTCGGACGGACCTTGACAAGATCGTCTGAATACTATTTCTTTTGCTGCATGTCGACATCTTCCGGTCAAGGAGTTATGACAGGAGGAGAATTCCTCGTTTTGATTTGACAGTATTCGTCGATTACCTTAAGTCCGCACTCGTAATCAATCACCCCGACGGACTTTAGCCCTGTATACGTCGGCTGAGATAACCCGCAAGTATCTAGAGAAGACATGCACATGCTAGGTGCTCAGCATTCATATAAGTATCAAAGATCTATCCTGCTACTGCGCTCATTTTTCTTCTTCAGCACGAAAGAATCCTACGACTGCGGAGCGTTTAGTGAGACTCCTCCATACCCAGCTCGCAATGGCTGCGCTTCCACAATCTCATCGTGCCCTCGTGCTCGTTTCTTTCGATGCACCTTTGGAGGTCGAGACCGTCGACATTCCTGGGGTCATTCCAGGTAGCGCCGTCGTCGAGATTCTTTCCACCCCGATCCTCTCATATGCATCCAAGCTCTACTCGGGCGAACTCCAATACCCCCTGCACCCACCCATGACCGTTGGTGGTGGGGCGATCGCACGCGTTGTGGCTGTCGGCAGCGATGCGACGCACCTCTCGCCGGGCCAACTCGTGCTGATCGACCCTATGATTCGCGGCCGCGACGATCCAGCTAAGAGCATCCTTCTTGGTGTCCATGGTGGGCTCACCGAGGGCGCCGCCCGTCTTATGCAGGGCGACTGGAGGCACGGGTCGTGCGCAGAGTACGCCCACTGGCCACTGGAGAATGTCCATGCCCTTGACGAGGAAAAGTTGACAACATCGCTAGGTTACTCGTACCATGATCTAGCCTACCTCCAACGCCTACTGGTCCCAACGGGTGGGCTGTTCGAACTGGATGTGAAGACGGGTGATCGAGTTATCGTCGCACCTGCGACGGGCCAGTTTGGAGGTGCGGCCGTCGAAGTGGCATTGGCGATGGGCGCCGACGTGGTCATCTGTGGACGGCGAAGGGACAGCCTGAATAAGATGAGACACACTCTTGCGCCGGTGTATCCTCAGGCCCAGATCGACGTTGTTCAGCTCTCCGGCACGGTCGACACGGATGTTGCAGCCCTTCAGGCCACGGGATCCATCGACAAGTACATCGACTTCTCGCCTGCGGTCGCAGCGGGATCGACTCATATCACCAGCTGTCTTATGGCGCTGAGGAAAGGAGGAAAGGCGTGTTTGATGGGCGGTATCACGAAGAGTGTCGAAATCCCGTACCCGGTGGTCATGTTCAATGACCTCAAGATTTGCGGGAAATTCATGTATGAGCGTGATGCGGTCAAGAGGCTGATCTCGCTGGTGGAGAGTGGACGGCTGAGGTTCGAAGTGCCTGACACAAAGGTCTTTGGCTTGGAGCAGTGGAAAGTTGGGTTTGAGACCGCAGGCGAGGGGAGCGGGTGGAGAGAGATGGCTGTCTTTGAGCCTGGAAGAGAGTAGATACCTCGATAAGGGAGTACTGTAAGTAGTTGGTTGACATTTTGTAGGAGTGCATGGATGAAGAATGAATGTATTTTTGTGTCGACTCACATATGGCTTGCGTAATTGTCGTCTGAGCCCTTTCCTGCTTTCATTTCGACGTCTTGCCTATGCGTTGAATTTCTTCACAAATCTTGTCGGTGACTTCTTCGGTGCCGGCACTCCCACCTAGATCTCTCGTCTTCACACCCTGACCAAGAACATTTTCCACCGCCTCCATCAATAAATCCGCAGCCTCCTCCTGCCCAAGCCACCTAACCATCTCCGCACAAGTCCAGAACGTTCCCACTGGATTCGCCACGCCCTTGCCCGCAATATCCCAGGCCGAGCCGTGAATGGGCTCGAACATACTCGGGTTCTTCCTCGTGGGGTCGAGGTTACTCGTCGGCGCGATACCAATACTTCCCGCCAACGCAGCCGCCAGATCACTCAGGATGTCTGCATGCAGATTCGTCGCGACCACGGTGTCGATACTCTCGGGCTGCAGGGTCATCCGGCATGTCATCGCGTCAACGAGCATCTTATCCGTCTCGACGTCTGGATAGTCCTTGGCCACGATTTTCTGGACCTCGTCCCACAGAACCATGCCGTTGCGCTGGGCGTTCGACTTGGTCACGAAGGTCAACTTCTTGCGCGGCCGAGACCGGGCCGTCTCGTACGCGAATCGGAGCAGTCGTTCGGCACCGTGGCGCGTGAAGACGGAAACTTCGGTCGCAACCTCCCATGCTTGTCCGACGTGCGAGCGGCCGCCTTGGCCGGCGTACTCGCCCTCGCTGTTCTCACGGATGATGACCCAGTCGAGCTTCTTGGTGGCGGCTTCGCTGCCCTGACACGAGGACAAAGGGGATGTGACGCCCTTGAGGATGCGCGTCGGGCGGACGTTGGCGTATTGTTGTAATGGTTGGCAGATGGCGAGACGGAGTCCCCATAGGGAGATGTGGTCGGGGACGCGCAGGTCGCCGACGGCACCGAAGAGGATGGCTTTGAATTTGCGTAGCTCGTCCAGCCCGCCGTCTGGGATGTATTTGCCCGTCTGGAGGTAGGTGTCGCTCGACCAGTCGAAGTGTGTGAAGTTAAACTTGAACGTCGAGAATGTCTGGGCTAGAGTGTTGAGTACACGGATGCCGGCTGAGATGACTTCAGGGCCGATCCCGTCGGCGGGGATCGAGGCGATGTTATAGGTTGTGGTGGAGGGTGGAGGAGCAAGTGGTTGCTCGACAGATATGGAGCCCATGGTTGGGTACAGTATGTGTGTGTCCTTTGAGACGTGGAGGTCGACAAGAGATGCTGAGATTAGACTTAGAGATGGGTTGGAGGATGTCTAGAGTGCGAATAGAGAGGGAGTCCTTTTCCTCGTCGTCGGTTTTTATATACGAGTAAAAAGGTCATACTGTCGATCTCAATGCGGACAATCTTTTAGGCGATCGGTGGCAGGCCGTCGAGCCGTATCCGTGTCGCCGGCGACATCCTCCGACAAAGACCGCTTGAAATTTCATGACCCATGATGACCCCAACTCGCTCTGCGTAGACCCGAGGTCTTCTAGAACTGAGGAGGGAGGCACTGGAGGCCATGGAGGCTCAGCCTGTAGATGCTCACGGAATGTGCTAACGGCTGTAACTCTTACGCACTTGAGATACGTTATTTGGTCCTCACATATTTGGGTGACCACAAAAGGTAGACGCATCTAGTGCATTTCCGTGAAGTTTCTGTCGGTCTCTTACCCGCCAACTTGTCCGGTAAGATGGCGCCAGAATACGACTTGTATATTAACGGAAAAGAGTGTAAGGGTGGCTCAGGCTACGAGGATGCCTTGAACCCGTACACGGAGCAACCGTGGGCCAAAATAGCACAGGCTTCAGCGGGAGACGTCCAAGATGCTGTCCAAGCGGCCGAGACGGCGTTCGAGAGTTGGAGCAAAGTTCCAGGCGTGCAACGAGCCAAACTGATGCATAAACTCGCCGACTTGATCGAACAAGAGGCCGAGACCTTGTCTAAGATCGAGACTTCAGACAACGGCAAGATTCGTCGTGAGACCAAGAGCCAGATGTTTTTCGCGGCGCGAAACTACAGGTTCTTCGCTGGAATGGCCGATAAGCTGGTCGGCGAGACGAAACCCTTAGATAATCCTCAAGCATTCGACTTCACGACGCGCGAGCCGATCGGCGTTTGCGCTCTCATCACTCCCTGGAACAGCCCTATTGCGATCCTCACCAACAAACTCGCCCCATGCCTTGCGGCGGGCAATACTTGTGTCATCAAGCCGAGCGAGTTCACCACGGCGAGCACCTTGTATTTCGTCAAGAGTTGTGTCGAACGAGCAGGTTTTCCGCCGGGCGTTGTCAACGTTGTGGCGGGCAAGGCTGACGTCGGCCAGGCTCTGGTGACACATCCCGCCATCGGACGGATCAGTTTCACGGGCAGCGTGAACATAGGGCGGGTCATTGCGCGGCAGGCCTCTCAGAACATCGTCCCCGTCACGCTCGAATTGGGCGGGAAGTCGGCCAACATCATCCTCGACGACGCCGAGCTGGATCGAGCCATTCCGGGCAGTGTTGCGGGCATCTTTGCCGCCTCGGGACAGACGTGCATCGCCGGTTCGAGACTCCTCGTTCATCGTTCCGTCTACGACGACGTACTGGACGGTATACTGGAGCGAATCAAGTCCATCCGTTTTGGCGATCCGCAGGATATGACTACAGACATTGGACCCGTCGCCCATGGAGGCCAGTGGGAAGCCATCCACCGCCACATTGAAAAGGCGGAAAAGGACGGGGCGAAACTCCTCGCTGGTGGACGAACCGAGAGCGAAAAAATGGATGGACTCTTCGTTGCGCCAACGGTGTTTGCCGATGTCGATCCGAAAAGTGATCTGGCACAGAATGAAGTGTTTGGCCCGGTTCTGGCCTTGATACCTTTCGACTCGGACGACGAGGCGGTCAGGATCGCCAATGGCACCAAATTCGGACTGGCGGCAGGCGTGTGGACGTCAAATATACGCCGTGCTCACAATCTGGCTGGTCGACTCAATGCGGGACAGGTTTGGGTCAATACCTACAGGTCCAGTGCGGCCATGGCCCCCTTTGGCGGATTCGGACAGAGCGGGTACGGCAAGGAGCGAGGCACAGAGGCTTTGTTGGAGTATACCCGATTGAAAAACGTCATGATAGATCTCAGCGAAGTGGTCCGGGATCCTTTTACCATCAAGTTGTAATGATCATGCTGTGATTCGACATTCTTTCGGAATGAGGTGGAAGTGCATATTTCCACAACCTGCATTGGATGTCGGCCTCAGACTCGGTTTCGGATCCTGCGCGACTGTCCGAATGTTTCCCACGACGCCGACAGCACAGGATTTCGGTTCTGGACGCCTTGACTTCGCAAATTCTGGCGAGCTGGCTCAGTAGTATCACACACCAGTAATGAATGATGAATGATGACTTGATGCTGCATGACCCTCTTTTCGGCTTCATGGAATGCGTTCGACGTCCATGGGGAGGAGGTTGCGGTGACATGAGATGCCTACCATATTCCCAGCAGGACCTCAGATACTGCCGCACCCCCAGGGCTCTCCGCCATCATTGAAGATCGACATATCTTACCCGGTGCATATCATCACATGACTATTCTTCACTGCAGCCTCACCTTTGCCATTATGTATTAAAGTCGCTGAATTTCTCCCAACAATCTGGACATAGTCATCTTCTTGGCCACTAATGGTGTATGTGGTTTCATAGTTGGTGGTTGCTGTGCACGAAGGGTTGTTGTAGTTCTGTAGAACACCACACAAACAAAACCAACACCTCGAAAGAGGCGCAGAGTTTGACTTTCCCACCCGTTAACCGTAACCCAGATGAACCTCTGCAAAAAAGAGCAAGTTCAAATCCTGGTAGGGTGGAAGAAGTTTTTTTTGCTTTTTTGCGTATTGCGCTTCATGGATGGAATGATATGGATTTGTGGGTGGTGTATGGCATGACTGGTCTGGTCCAGGGATGGAAGGACAGCCGGCAACACCACCTAGTAGTATATGGCATGAGTATCACCCTCGGTCGTCGGTCGTGCCACCGTGGACAGTAAAGCAAGGATTCCTACTCCTTACCCAGATACTCCAGAACATATTTTATGTTGACCAGATAAACAGTAAGTGAATGGGCGGGCATCTCCAACACGCGGATAAGAGCGGGACCAACTCTGAGAAGTACACGGCCCCGGTACGGATCCTGGACGCCCTTTGAGCACTGGCAAAAGACCACGAGCTTGTAGCAGCTATGCCCTGCCGCAAGTAGGATACTCTCACAATCTCTTCCTGACCTTCCTTGCTTCTTAAATTAAGCAGTCATTCGAAACCAAAATCATAATCAACAGGGTCGCCTTCACAATATCATACTAGTAGCAAAGCGCCAAAGATGGCCGAGAAAGCAAGAGTCCTCCTCATCGGGAGCGGCGGCATCGGTACAATGACAGCCTTAAACCTCGAACGCGGCGGCCATGCTGTCGTGACGGCGGTGCTGAGGTCCAACTACACCGCAGTCAAGGAGAAAGGGTTCACGATCGATTCATGCGACCACGGCAAGCTTGATGGCTGGCGACCGACGGAGATCCTCAATAAAATCCCAGATGTCTCGGCAGACTCGTCCATCAAGCCATTCGACTACATCATCTGCACGACGAAAAACATCCCCGATGTCCCGCCTACATTAGTCGACATCATCAAGCCAGCAGTGACACCGGGCCACTCTGTCATTGTGCTGATCCAAAACGGGCTCAACATCGAGAAGCCGCTTCACAAGGAATTCCCCACGAACATTGTGCTGTCTGGCGTATCGTTCATGGGCGCCGACGAAGTCAAACCGGGCCACATCCTCGAAAATGATACTGATCGACTGTCCGTGGGCCCATTCTTCAACCCCGCTCTAGACATCGAAGCCCAGGTCGCTGCAGCCGAGAAATTCGTCAGAATCTACTCTGCGACCGGAAAAGTGCAATGCTCGTACGAAAGAGACGTGCTGTTCGTCCGGTGGAGGAAGCTGCTGTACAATGCCGTCTGGAACCCGATCTGTGCAATCACGGAGATGGACACGACGCGTCTGCGACTCGCTTCCGACGAGGACGACGGCTCTAGTCCGCTCAACACGCTCGTCAGGCCTGCGATGAACGAGGTTCGTGCTGCAGCCAAAGCAGTGGCAAATGTCGAGCTGCCTGAGTCGTTGGTGGAAGTCATGGTCGACGCAGACCCCCTCGAGATCTGGTGCGCACCGAGTATGATGCAGGACACGCGGAAAAAGAGATTCATCGAGTACGAGTACCTGGTTGGCGAGGCATTGAGGGCAGGCGAGAAAGCGGGGGTGTCGATGCCGACGCTAAGATGCATTTACGGCTTCTGCAAGGCCGTGCAATGGCGGACGAAAGAATACAATGGCTTGGTGGATCCGCAGAAGCTGATGGAGGAGAGGAAGAAGCTCCAAGGCTGAATCTCGAGGCAGTAGTGTCGAATGATCTGGGTTGTCCATTATATTCGAGCGAGCATCTGGCTCCGGAGAAACAATCAGAAGTCGTTGGTGAAAAGTGGATGTTGAATCTGTAGTGAGGTCTGATCCTTACTCCATCGTTTGACTTCCTATTCTGTGGCCGAAACACGTTGTTCCATGAGCATTCCTACAGCAATACCGCAAGGGCTCGTGTCGTCGTCCAGCAGAGCATCAGAAGTGTGGCTAACGCTGGGAACAGGTCTCTCGATCATCGCGTGACATCTCCAGGAGAGAATACCATGACTTCTCTGTGCAGCAAGGCGAGCCTTGGCCTTGTGAGCCCGTCCATATAGCTAGATACTAGTACATAACAGAGTCAACATCGACTCATTCTTTCGCTGTTGGCTGATGATAGAGCTGCGAGTCTGGGGCCAGCTCAAATGGAGTTACGGCCTGTGTGGCGCAAGGCTGCCGAATATTTCCCCGAGAATCTAGCAGAGTAGGTTTGTTGCTAGGTGGTTGGAGATCGTCGTGAAACCTGGTGTAACCTCCAGCACCTTGCAGTGCCGTTGCGAGCTATCTCCCACGCAGAATGGCCTGCGCCTCCAGTGTCCCGAAGGCTTGCTGCTTCAGGGGAGTCGTTGAAAGAGATATGCCCCCTGAAATGGTGAATTATCCCCTTTCCAACCGTGCGACCTGGCCTCATTGTCCGAGAACAAAGCCTTAGCGATTTTCATGTTCCGCTTCCTCAATTCTTTTCCGTCCTTGAATATCTCTCAGCGCTCCAACTGCTCCCAAAGCCTCAGCAATCAAATGAACAACATGATGCCGCCGGTCGCCGAGCAATTCTTTGCCCAGACTGTAAGCTCCAGCGGCCTCCTCAAGGAGGTGTCTTCCATGGCCCGGCGGGTCTGGATGGTGATGATGATGTTTCTCGCCGCTATGCTCGCGATGCTCCTTGTGGATGTGGTCGTCTTCATCGGATGAACTGTCGGAATCGTCGTGGTGCCTTTTCTTCTGCAGTTGATGGTACGCGCCAACCGCTACTGCGGCGCCGACGGCAGCCCTGAGATAATGATCCGTGTTGTCATGGGCGTCTTCGTCCGTCAGTGCCTTGCTGAGCTCATTTGCTGCATAGACGGAGCCTAAGGCGGCAGCCGCCAGCTCGGCGTGAGACTTGAAAGTGTGCAAGTCACGATCAGACATTGTCGAAATCGTATGCTGTGTTCAAGGTTTCTCAAGATATGTGTGATGTGTAACTTCAAAAGGGTTGGTCGGTGAAACATAAGGACGGGCACGACGGGTCTAACCGACGTATATATACTAGTCGGTTATCAGAATGGTCTTGTGGTACTCCCCGTAAAAGATCATAAGATGTGCATCAGACTGGATGACTCGCATTTTCTGGCGACTTCCTCGTATGCAGTTAGCCTAGGAATGCCCCGTGGGGAGGGACTGTAGCGAGCACGCCAATGAACGATCATGCGCGAACCGGTGAGGACTTCGTTCTCGCTCGGAATGACCAAGATTTCTGTTCTGTTCGTGTTGGAATCATATAGAGTCGTCCGAGCCTGGAAAGTATGCGTCCCGATCCGAAAGGCGGAGAATCAATCCACTGGGCGGATAGGGCCAATAAGATGCGCTCTGGTCATACCACTCTCAACCTCCGCCGTCTGCGATGGTGGGTTCAGAAACCAAGCGAGATGTTAAGCTGGTCATGTGCAGCTAGATGTACGCCTGCGTCACACCAGCTTTCATCATGAGCATGGCGTGATGGCTCGCTTACGGCGGTGGCCGATGAATATATGCCTGATGGCTGCTGGGTCTTGCGAAACAGGTGAAACAGTACCCGAAGCCACAATCTGCAGAAAGAAAATCCTGGATAAACCATCAACAGAGACAAAATGTCACCTCCATTGTACCTGAGGACGATATTGAACCCGCCTCATGTTACGCTTGGACTTCATGGTCCCTCACATCGCCATTCGCTGCGGTCCGTCTTCGACTATCTAGGCAGCTCAGAACTAGATGCCATATTCAGCTCTCATCGACACGAAGAAAGTGACAAGGAGGCTGTTGCATTTCCAAATTTTGACGTCAGAGAAACACCTAGCACATATTTTCTGGAGGGAGAATTTCCTGGCATACATGATCCCCTAGAAATCGTCATCGAACCTCTCGGTGCCAAGGGACTCTCAATCGAGGCTCGGACAACGGACATGGATTTGAAAGATGAATGGGGCGTGGATGTGATTGCACCCCATCACCGGAGGGATTCCAGAGAAACTCGAAGACACCCAGATGTGCAAACATCGAGCCTCGCAAGGCCCGAGGAGAGTGCTCCACGCTCCGAATATACTGAGCTGGATTCGTATACCCAGCAGACAGAAGAGCACCCAACCCGACCTGGATCGAAGCCGAACGAGCCCACAGCCGGAGAGAAATTGACAATTTTGCTGTCCGAACGGCATGTTGGTAGACTTCGTCGCTCATTCTCTTTCCCAGAATCCATTGATTTTGACAATATGAAAGCAAAGCTCAAGGATGGAATTTTGCGCATCAAGGTGCCCAAGAGCAGTGTGAAGAAACGGAGCCAAAGAGTGGCGGTGGAGTATGCAAGCTGAGAAGCGGAAAGATGCATTGATCGGCGGGTATGATTTTGTTTGATGGAGGGCCTCGAAGATTTTGCAGCAGGTGCCGAGACTGGCCATGTATCGCAGTCAGCTGAATGGTATGACCATAAGAAAAGGTGTTTGGGTCCTAGCAAATCAGCAGGAGCCTAGATAGACCCAACAGTCTGTGACGGATGATGGCACGAATTGGAGTAGTCTAGGTGGTAGTGACTGTGCCACGGTCTTGAGCCATGCCATCCCTGGAGTCTGGAGGTACCCAATTTATCACACATGGAATCTCCATCTTGGATCTTCATCTCCGATCCAAGGTCCTTGATAATCGTTCGCCAGAGTATTTCCCTCTTTACGCTTGTTCTCTCGCTTGAGTACCCACCACAAGGCACTGGTCACAGCAAGGTTTGCGATCAGGTAGCCTAATGCAAATGAGTGCCCCAGGTAATATCTCGGCGCTGTCTCGGTCCGATAAAGCTGGTTTCCTAGCACGGCACCTAGACTAAAGTCAGCACAACGTCATGTGCAGTCTTTGATGAGAGGAACCACTGAAGGTAGTCAACTGCCTGGGAAAACTTGCCTAAATTTCCAATACTGATTTGAAGTGCTGTCGAGATTGCTCGCTTGGTCTGTCCACTGACATTGTTGGCAGGCCAGGCCAGATGCAATGCAACCGAGGGATAAATCCCGGCAGCGGCAAAGATGGTCCCCAAGTATGAGACTCCAGGGCGGTAATCAGTAAGAAGTAAGATATATCCAATGATGGCAATAGATGAGGACGCCAGGATAATCGGCGCTCGTAGTTGTAACCGTTCTGATAGTATCGCTGATCCGACAGTGAGAAAAAATGCTATTGCGTAAGGTGGAATTGTCATAAGCTGCGCTTGCGCCGACGTGTATCCTAGTGACTTGATGATACTCGGCAAAAATAAGGATAGCGTGTACAAAGGTAGCGAAAGAGAATGGAAGCCAAAAGCATACAAGTAGCATTTGATGTCGGTGAAGGCCTTCCGGACATTGTTCCAGTTGAACTTCTCGTCTTGAGTCGCATCGCTATCGTCCTTGAGGCGTTTCTGAATGAAATCCCGCTCCGTGTCCGTAAGGAATTGAGCTGTGTCGGGATAGTTGTATATGAAGAAATACGAAATGGCAGACACAACCACAGTGAGCAAGCCTTCCTGGGGATGGTCAGTCACAGGCAGATCCAAGGCTCTGAAGACGTACCAGTATGAAGATCCACCTCCAACCGTTGTATCCCCCAACGCCTTTCATATGAGCAATGCCCCATGCCAGAATGCCACCAAATGCTCCAGCCAGGGAGGCAGCACTGAAGAACAGGGCAACTCTGAACTGTCGCTCATTGCGCTTGTACCACCTGTGAGCAGTCAGCATCACGAAAACGGTACGAGGGACTACCCACATTGACAGATAGAACACAATTCCAGGGAATAACCCGGCCTCGGTCACACCCAAGAAAAAGCGGACCACAAAGAAGCCAGCCCGTGATTGAGTCACGCCCATCAACGTCGAAACAACACCCCATGCAAGGGTTAATGTTGGCAGCCATAAATTCGGCTTCCAGATCTTCAAGACCATATTGGCAGGGACTTCGAAGAGAACATAGCCAATGAAGTAAAGCGTAAGACCCGTAAGGTATTGGTCGCCGGTCATGTGTAGATCTGTGGCCAGCCCTTCGATGCGAGCATTGCCCACATTGCTCCTGTCTAGGAAGGAGAGCAGGTACAGAAGAGTCAGTGCCGGTAGCAGGGTAATGTCCAATTTTCGGACAAGAGAACTCTCATTGAGATTTTGTGAGAGGGCTTCTTCGTCGACTGGACTAAAATGGTTGTCTTTCTCGTCTGGCGTTGCATAGTCGGGTCCGGTCTTCTCTGTAGCGGTCATTTCGTTGTTGCAAGAAAGTTTCGCCTAACCAAAAATATCTGTCGTCTTAAGCTGAGAGTGTAAGATATACCTCTACAACCAGACAGTGTTGTTTGACCAGAAGGAATGAAAAAGGAGGATGACCATGATGCCAGGACTTGGATACGCCATTTGCTCAAATACAAGGCGAGGAAACCGCCCTAGGACGTAAGCAGCAGGAGGATTCGAGAGGGAACAACCGTCATCGAACAGTCTTCCATCAATAGGTTGTAAGATCCCAGACAGTGTGGTGCAAACATGGCACTGGATTGCGTGATTGTGATATCGCGATCAGTGGCCGCATCTCCAGGTTGTCGAAGCTGATTGGTCAGCTTCCTGCAACGTGACTTTCGATGACTGACAAGCAATATATTATGGTGGAAATGTTCCATTGCTGTTCTCGATACGTGGCCAGACTCATCACCTTTGTTACACCTATAGGGACAAGTTTCTCGCGTGTCAAATGCAACCATGGCGAACCCGGTGGTGTGGCCGACAAAAAGCTTGTTAGATCCAAGCCGTGGATCGGATCACGGAGCCATGCTACGTCGCTCAACTTGTTGTTTACTCCGCACGGCTGCTGCTTTGAATGATTCCCTGTCAACTCACAGAAGCTAGGAATATCCAGGCTGCGCAAGAAGGAGAAAAGCTCTTTGGCGGACATGGTGGGCGCATCAGGCGGTGGGACCGGGAAGAGGCCCCCTTGCTTCAACTTCTGGATAAGAGATCCAAGAACTAGTGCGTCGCAGGCTCTGTGCCGCTGGCATTGCTGCATAGGACTGTCGTACCGGTCAAGCATATCGGTAAGCCAAATGAGACATGCTGTTACGAGGGCCAATCTCTGAGACTCGACTTTTGCTAGACAGCATGTTACGAAACTGTATCCTGGAGGAGCAGGACTAGTTACTGACGATGAAGGCTGGACAAGGCCCTGTATCAGACTGTCCGAGGCCAGACTGACTCTCCAGGATCGCAGTCTGAGTCAGAGACTTGAATTCGGATGCTCTCCTTAACACCCAACAGATGTGGATCCAGTGAAAGAGACGGGGAGGTGGGCTTTCGGTCCATTTCCAGAGATATCCAAACCAGATGTCGGTGAAGACATATGCTGCTTCGTAGAGTTCATACTTGTCGATCAGCATGATAATGTCGAGAAAAAAGGTCTCACTGATCTTCGTCGGTACTTGTCCGTTTAGTCCATGCACGATGTTCAATAGAATAACCATCGCATTAGGGTTATCATCGGGCAAAGGTACTTTGGTCACTTCTTGACTGCGCAGCTCAGCAGCCTCGCGAAAATTGCCGTTGAACATGGCACGAAACACGCGTGACGCCAATATGAGATGTCTTGAAGAGACTTTGGCCTCAAGACTATCTGTACCGAACAAGAAACAGGTGGGGCGGAGTATCAGCAACACGTCGCCATCAGGGTCGAAAATCTTCTCTTTCTGTGCCTTCATACTCAAGGATGTGAGAGGAGGGATCAAATCAATCAGTGTACTTGATCCGTGATTTGTCGCGTGTATATCAAAAGATAGCTTAATGCTTTATGACTTTGCGTGATATGAAGCCAAGCTGAGGCGCGGACTTTACGGGAATAGCGAGCTGCATGCCAAGATCAAGATCCGACCTCCGACTGCGCATTGATGAGGACACGCAGCATCTCCAACTCGTTGTATTGAGTACCTGCGTAGACAGCTACAACACCACAACTGTCCTCTGTGCAGGCAGAACGATGCATTTCCTCAAGTTCCTGACGCTTGCTGCGCTCTCCATAACCTCCGTCAGCGCCAAAAAGGCCTCCTCGACGAAATTCGACACATACTTCGCAAAACAAGCCAGCTCGGCTCCATTCGAAATTGACGAGAAGGGGTACAATGAGCTGACAACAGCACCTCGCGACTACTCCCTAGCTGTCCTTCTCACAGCTCGAGACGCAAGATACGCATGCGGTCTCTGCAAAGAATTCGACCCGGAGTGGAAGCTCCTCGGTCGAAGCTGGCAGAAAGGAGACAAGAACGGAGAACACAGAGTGCTTTTGAGCACAGTTGACTTTGACAATGGCAGAAACGTCTTCATGAGAGTGAGTGAGAAGCTTTATCCGCAGGGGCATAATCTGGGAGCTAACTCAAACCACAGCTTCAACTCCAAACGGCCCCCGTCCTCCTGCTCTTCCCTCCTACTGTCGGCGAGCATGCCAAACCTGATGCTCAGCCCTCACGACTCGACTTCATTGGACCTCAAACCGCGGAAGGCGTCCACAGCTGGCTACTGCGGCATCTTCCTCCTGGTGGAAGCTACCCTACAGTAAGCCGACCGATCAACTATGGAAAGATCGCAGTGACAGTGACTCTGCTCCTTGGAGCCTTTACTTTCCTTACTGTGGCGTATCCCTACGTGCTTCCTGTCATACAAAATCGCAACCTGTGGGCCGGCATCAGCTTGATCTTGATTCTACTGTTCACTAGTGGCCATATGTTCAACCACATCCGAAGAGTACCATATGTTGCAGGCAATGGTCGCGGTGGAATCAGCTATTTCGCAGGAGGGTTCCAGAACCAGTTTGGCATGGAGACCCAAATCGTTGCCGCAATGTGTAAGTAATCTGCTCATTTTCTCGAGACTTTACTAATCCCAACAGATGCACTGCTTGCCTTCGCTTCGATCAATTTGGCCCTACGAGTTTCGCGGATCAAAGATGCCCGCACACAGCAGGTTGCTGTGATCATCTGGGCAACAGTCGTCTTCGGAATGTACAGCTTCTTGATGAGTGTCTTCAGAATCAAGAACGGTGGATATCCCTTCTGGCTGCCACCTTTTTAAACTTTGCCAGTTTGCCAGGCTGTTTGGGATGATGACCCATGTATTGTAAAAAATAACCGGCATACAAAAGGCGAGGGATTGCAGGTAGTCCGCTTAGGGACTGGTCAATAGAATGCTTATGTACCACGAAATTGGAAGTGGGCTGCTCATGATCAACATCTCCCGATTTTGACTGTTTACTTCTTCCTATGCTGCATTCTTTGAGGGTTCCAATTTCAACACAGCTACGAGTGTTGCCATGTCAAACACCAACCTGTGTCGCGAAGCTCTGACTGGCCTTTGACAGCTACTGATGCCTTCAGAAACCAGAAGTCCTTCGACCTGTATGTAGTTTCGGGCTCGTATTGTTATCTCGAGGGAGAGGACAACAGAGTGCCACGTCTCCAGATAGATCTGATAGAAAGCGTGCTTCGAATATCGCTCGTTGGGTCTCCTTGTACAAGCAGCAAATCTGCACGTAGTCCTTCTTGGATTCGTCCTCGGTCAGTCAGGCCAAAGCAACGAGCTGGCATACTTGTTGCCGCACGTAACGCCTCGGTTGGCGTGAACCCAGCCCGCACCAAAAGCTGTAGTTCGTGATGCACGCTGGCACCATGAGCAATACCAGCAAGGTGAGGCACTGGGAAAGAACTGTCCGTGCCGACCAAAATGTCGATTCCGGCCTTATGGAGGTCCGCCACAGTCTTTAGCACGACGTCGAAATCGGCGTCGGTAAATGTGTCCATGCTACCTTGGAGGTGAGTAAGCCACGCTGAAGGCAGCTTTGCAGACACTCGAGGATCCGCGGCGAACTCTGTAGGCTTGTTCCCTAAGAGAGAAGCGTTGAGGCAGAGGCATGGTGTGACGAACATGCCGGCCAGTTTCTCCACGATGCGGGCATCGGCGCCACGGTCAATGAACAGATGAGCCAGTCCATCGATCCCCGCTCCAGCGGCCGTTTCTGCAGCATCATAAGTCATGGCATGAGCGATTGCCAACTTGTTGTGTCGATGCGCTTCCTGGACCGCCGCCGATATCGTCTCCTGCGACAACATTGGGAGACCGGGGGATTGAAACACCGAACCTTCTTCGATCATGATTTTGACGTAATCGGCGCCTTCGTTGACACGTTGCCTCACAAATGCGATCGCCTCATCTGGTGTTCGAGCATTCATGAGCAGTGGCTCATGGTCCGACCCGCAAGAATGATCTGGCTGAGGCTGAGGCTGAGGCAGGTTGAGCTTTTTGGTCAATTGGTTAGGATGGCCATCTGGCGGTGTCAAGCCATAACTCGCAGTACGTAGGTCCGCAAGGTCGTCTCGCTCTGAGATTTCGCTGCGCTGGGCGGCGGTCCAATGGCCCATCATCTCTAGCTCCGTGGTCACCCCAAATCTGAGAGCCAGCTCCAATTGTGGGATCCCCGTGTGGACGTGAGAGTCGATGAGTCCTGGTAACAGTGTACAACCTTTACCGTCGACAACTGTGGCTGCATCGGGAACAATCCCTCCCACACTAGATATGGTTGTGCCGGATATGACCACCGTCGTAGCCAGGTGGATGTTTTCGCCATCAAAAACGCGGACATTGGTGATTGCTGTGGAAGACATGACTGTTGCTGTCACGCATTGGACGAGACATGCACGTAAGTAGTACGGAATGAATTTGAGAAAGCCAAGGTTTGGTACCTTACATAGCGAGAGACATGTGTTAAGAACGCCGACCTACCTTTGACTGGCAAACCGAGGCGGGAGCGCCTTTTTGCGCAGTTCGGACCAAAACGTTGACAAGCAGAGCATTCGTGAGGCTGGATAACGGACGAATTTATCTGCTTGCTGAACAATCCTCGCCCTTAGCTTGCGAGTTCAGTTGAACAATTCCAGCTGGCCAATGATAAACAATGCCGATTCCAACATCTGACCGTGCGGCTGGATGTCCAGATCTGTACGAGTAGCCTCGCCATGCTTTCCCCGCGACGATGGGGCCGAAAGCATGGTAGGTACCGCTGTTGTCGAGTGACCTCCGCGTCTGGACGGCCAAGATGTGGTTTTGAAAGCCCTTCGAGGACAAGAGCAAGTGTATGGCAAGACGAAGGTGACGTGACAGGCCGTGGACAGAGACGATAGTATGCTAGTAGAATCCGTGTAGGCATCAGAGGTCTCGACTGGCTTTCGATGCGAGGGAGAGGCTCTTATGATGCGGCGGTAATGCTGAGACGAACGACGAGAACTGTCACAGCAGAGCACCGGGTCATATACTGATGGCATCGAAGAAAAATTAAGCTGTCTCGCCTGTTCTTTCCCCCAGTGAACCCCGTCAACCCCCAATCATCTCCCCCTCAAAACTCGTGACTAAGCTTACAGTAGGTGATCGCAGCAGAAGGCCGGCTAAACTTCAAGCCCCCATCATCCTCCAAGCCACCACCGCATGATACTGCTTACTGCCTCAGCCCGACTTCGGTGATTTTCAAACTTCATCCATTCCAACATTCACAATATTTTCATTTCCACCGACAGATGGACCCCTCGACCAACAGCCTGCTGGACAGGTCAACGCAGGCGCCCGTCCGAAGTCGGGGCCGACCTCGCAAAATCCGCTCAACAACATGCACCACATGTGGTCAGGAGTTCTCAAAGCTAGAGCATCTTCAACGCCACGAACGAAGCCGTGCGTACTGGCAAAGTGGACAAACGTCGCTTCCAAGGCTGACTCCATTCTGCAGATACAGGCGAACGCCCATTCCAGTGCTCACTATGTGAAAAGCGCTTTTCTCGTAGGGATGTCCTCACTCGTCACGTCCAGAAACATGCGAAGTCTCCTTGCAAGGAAGGCGCTCCTTCTGCGCAACCCGGGTCACGACAGCAACGGCCTCTCAAGGCTCAAAGAAAGCTCTCTAGCGACGTCGTCCGAGGTCAATATCCATCACAAGAACCTCCATGTGAAGACATGCTTGAGGAGACCAACAGTCTTGGCATGCAGCACTCCATGTCAGCCACAGCCTATCTTGACCCGTCGATTGGATCATGGCAGGGATCTGTCGACACACTGGCCACAATAACCTCCACTGGGCCAGCACTGACAGACTCTGATGCGAATTTCGATTTCAATGTTATCGATTTCGAGCCCGGCAGAGCGGTGCCACTGGACCCCAGCATCATCAATGAGTTCGAGCTTAACCAGACAGATAGTGGCTGTGCTGAAGATCTTCTGTGGAACACCTCTGACCTCTCTGCTTTCAACGTGGGCTCTCTCACCCCCTGGCTCTCTTTCCCAGGTCAATCATCTCAGTTTGCATACGGCTTCCAGGTTCAGGGTGGTCCGCGTGCACCAATACCAGACGAAAGATTCGACAGAGTGCGTCAGTGCTGGCCTACGAAAAAGGCCGATCCTCTCAGTCGCTGTCAGCTCTGGAATGAGGTCGCAGCTCACCCGGAAGACAATCTCTTCTCGCAATCAAATGGAGACAATCTCTTTGCGCAGCCAGATGTCTGTGCATTGACTCAGGATCATTCCGCTTCAAGATGGAAATTTGACGAAAGATGCAGATGGCGCGTGATGAGAAGTCTAGGTGTTGTTAACTTGGACAGCCTCGATGGTTGTTCTCATGCTGTAACAACTACTGCCCAGATTTCCCCGACTCACCCATGCACCATCTCCAAAGACCAGCGGCGTCGAGAGGATGTCACAGCGAAGAAATTTCCATCGCTCAACACACTCGACCTCAGCTTGGATTTGTTCTTCGAAAAGTTTCACAATTTTGTGCCATTTGTCCACGTTGCCACTTTTGATGCGACGAAGACGCCCGATCTACTATTAGCGTCGTTATGTACTCTAGGCTTCGTGATGCTGAGAAGCCCTGCAGCCAAAGAATTCCTCGAGGAGCATACCATAGTAAGGGACCCCGGTGTTCGAGCTAGAAGTATCAGATTGGGGATGGACTGACTGATCTATACTAGGGCCTCATTGCACGTTGTCGTCAAGAGCTCGGAGCGACCACACGCCAAACAACAGCACCTGCTCTATTGACTGTTTTAGCAAGTTCATACCTTAGTATAGTCTTGGGCATTATAACAGTATGCGCACCTAGAGAATACTTAATATGAAGTCCAGGCTAACTCATCCTTAGGGCAAAAGCGACACAGAAGCGTGTCAAGCACTCTATGTCGAGGCTGTGGCGGTTGGTTCAAGTTCCCTTCTCGCAACAATAGTTTCTGACGTGCCGCGAGACAATGATTACTCACGGCTTTTTTGGCGACGACAGCATCCAAATGACGGAGAAAGACGTCCCTGACGACGTCCTGGCTGAAAGCCACGGCTGGAAGATCTGGGGTCGTCTTGAATCGACCAAGAGGTTTGTTATGGACTCTCACGCCTTGATCATCCCGCTCGACTAACCCCGGAAGGCTAATAATCGCCGTTGTCATGGTCGATGCGTTTTATTCGAGCACACTAGACTTGGCTCCCGTCGTCCCGACCAAGGTGCTCAACTTGTACCTCCCCTCCGATGAGAAGCTGTTCTTTGCCTCGACGGAAGCAGACTGGAGGAAGTCTTTGCAGGCCGGGTGCAGAGTTTCTTCGTCCGTCTTGGAGTGTTACGCCGACCAAGTTTCGCTATCCGACAGGGCCTTCTACCTGACCTCCCTCGGTCTTCATGCCATTTTTGCTACAGTCTGGATTCGACTATCTGAGGCTCATCATAGACTCATGTCCCGCAACGATTTGTCAGGCCAAGGGTGGGGTCTCGTTCCGTACGAGGTCTATTCGACTGACCCCTATGCAAAGCCCGTGGCACCTTTTCTGGTAAATATGATGCAATGGCATGGAGATATTCTGCAGAACTCGAATCCTCACTGCCTAATCCAATGGAATGTCTTGTGTATGTCACTTCTGGGTAATTCCTGGATGTTCGAACTGGGCGCTGGACGACAAGGGGCCAAGCCTGCAAAAGCCGCTCTGAATTGCATTGCTTCGTGGGCCGACACTCCAGCAGCCAGACGAGCTTGTGTCCATGCAGCTCAGATATTTTGGATCTGCTCGAAAAGGAAAGTATCCGATAGTATGATGTTCCAATCAGAAACCGGACTATTCCAGGCGGCACTCCTCCTCGGGCTTTATGTCTTGGTCATGAAGACTCCCGCTGATGTTCCCACGCAACACAACTACTACGAGCTTTTAGCCGACCTAGATTGGAGGGATGTGGGGGACGTTGGCATGGGAGGCAACGAACATTATGCTGATGGTGTCTGTCTTCCTTCTTCGGCGGCTTTCATCACCACCGGAGGTTGCCTTACGTTCTCCGGAATCCCCATAGCCGGAGGCTATGCTTCGGCAAGACGGATCCTCGTTCAGTTCGCGAACCTTCTTGAGGACGCCGGAGTGTGGCGGACGTCCGAAATCTGTCGCATACTTCACATCATGGGAGACGTCCTAATGGAAGACGGAGTCGAGGAAAGCGCTAGGAGCATTGTCGCCTTTTACAACTCTGATGCTCTTGTGTGAAATTGAACACTTTTAGCTCCACTATGGGGAATCCAGCCATCCATCCGACCCAGGCGATGCGTTTGCCGCCATGCGACGAAAAAGGTTCGGCAAGCTGCCGTCGACTCGTAACAATGTGAGTAAATTCACAGACCTGGAGATTGTCTCCCAACTCGTACCCCTGGTCTGCCAAGAGTGTGGAGGAGAAAATGTGGTTGTGGGGATGCAAGCCTATCAAGCATATACCACCTTATACTTCCTTGCTTAGGCCTTCCACTTATGGTCAGTCCGCTCTTTCAAGTAAGCCGGGCAAGAACAGCGTCGATGGAGAAGAAATTCTTTGACCTTCCTCCATCGGACGTAGGGGTTCAAGGGAGTAGTGGACTACGCGGAAGGGTATAAATGTGCTGCTGGCACTCTACGTGGACATCCTCCTCAAGATCTTCCATGCCCAGTCACGATGTCCTCCAAGCGGCTCATCGCTGTATTAGGCGCGACAGGGGCCCAAGGTGGTGCCGTGAGTGATCCCTGAAACAAACACCCTGATCGTGCTGATGGTACTAGGTTGTCCGATACCTTTCGACACAGCCCGAATATGAAGTCCGCGGCCTTACCCGGAACCCTGCTGGCAACGCAGCGAAGGAATTGGCTCAACTACCACACGTCTCGATGGTCAAGGCTCACTTCAACGATCCCACGTCACTGCGCACAGCCTTCGAAGGAGCGGAAGCCGTCTACGCGCTGACCAATTTCTACGATGCAGAGAACCAATCAAACAAGGTGCATGAGGCGCAACAAGGCATAATGATCGCAGACGCGGCCAAAGAAGCAGGCGTCAAGTTCCTCATCTGGTCGACTGTCCCAAGTGCCTTCCTCAGAACCAAGGGCAAATTCGAATCTCCTCGCCTCGTTGAGAACAAGTTCTACGTTTCAGCTTACCTGAAGCAGATCAAGATGCCACATGTCGACATGTATTTGGGGTTTTATTACGATAATTGGGCCAATTTCAACCTTCTCTCGGTCGGCTCAGATGGTACTATCGAACTCATCCAGCCCGTGATGAAGCCGGAGCAAAAGCTCGGGATGATCTGGGTTGAACGTGACCTGGGACCGACGGTGGACGCCATTCTCAAGAACTACCGGACCAAACCGGACTTGCTCGCTGATGCCGTCTACTGCGTTGGAGGATTCCATAGCGCTGCCGATGTGGCAAGAGAGATCCAGAGGCAGACTGGCAAGGAGACAAGAGTTGTTACTGCGCCGACGTCGGGATTCGAGGACTTGGACATCATGTACGAGTACTACAATCAGTGCAGCTTGTATAACGAGTTTCCCATTCCGACAAAGGAGTCGCAGCAGTTGGGCATCAGGTCCCACACAATGGAAGATTTTGTCAGGGAGGGTGCCGTGCCTCATATCAACAAGCTGCTCCAGAGCAAGTGATGGAATGATGTCTCAGTACTATTTCAGTATGGAGCAAAACCTGATTTGCCCAATACCATGTATTCTCCGTCTTCCGGACATAATGTGACGTTTCCACTTCCGTTGTCGTCGATGTGTCGTTTGACAAGCCGCATTGTATACTATTGATCAACCACTCCGGTCTTTGGTGCTACCTTTCTCCGTGAACAGCACTCACTGATCACTTCTTTGCTGCCTCTCGCAAATGACCAGAGAAATTTGCCTCTCTACCAGGATCATTCGGCCAATCGATACCATAGAACCGCTTCATTATGTCCTGCACCACGTCGTAGCAAGCACCAAAACGCATCAACTCGACGGTTCGGAAATCAATCATTGTCGACGATGGCCGTGGGTAAGAATACTTCCGCTTCCCATAGTCAATGACGATATCTGCAACACCCAAAATTTCAGGCTCGATGGCCTCGACCAGGCTCTTCGTCCCTTTTCCTGACAAGTTCGCGGACGAGCCCATCAAAGGCAGACCAGCCTCGGTGGCCAGTCGTGACAATTCATCCTGAAACGCTCCGCCGTTCACCAGCATAGCCAATGTACCGTCCACAGAGCTTCTTGCCAATGTCTCCGTTCCAAGTTTTCGGATGATGGGGTGATCCGCCTTCATGGGAGCAATAACCCCGAGAGGGATGTCGAGATCTTGTGTGAATAATTCCACCATTCTTGCCTCTCTCTCTGGCAGCACGTGCAATTCTTTATGAAGTGCATAACTCCCGATCATGGCGTGCCGCTTGTGGGGTTGTCTTTGCTTTGTGACGAAGGCACGTTCAAGTGCAGCAGGGTCGATCGCGACGAGCCCGTAACCAACATCAGCTGGGACGATAGCAAGCCCACCCTTGACTAAAACATCGAAGACTCGACGGGCATCGGCTGCAACATCGACCTTTTTGTCTGCATGAGGATTGCTCGAAAGTATTGTTCTCGGAACCTGGACCGTCGTTTCGGTTGCCATTTGGTCGACTTGAGACAGCTATTAATTGGTGGTTGCCTCTCGAGTTTCGGGTCCCCTCGACGAACGAGCTAACTTTTATACTGGAGTTGTTGTCATGTCGTGGTCAAGGATTGCACTTGAAGTGCGCTCCGATCCAGGTCCGGTCCCCGGATATCGCCAGCCTGATAGCGGCCGCACCAAAGTGTTCGTCTTTCTCCAGACGGCGGCATCAGGCCATCTGGGTACCTTCTTTCGGCGGCACACCCTACCATTGCTGGAGTTGCGGCGTATTGCCTCTCCGCAATGAGCCGAAGAACTATGGAGTTCCCCGAAGTCCTCCAGTTTGGCCGAGATTGCGGGGAGAGTGCTGATGGTGCCTAGATAATTCGGCGAGCTGATCTTCATTTGGCCGACCTTTTCCTCGTTCACAACCATGGAAGCAACATCGATCGAACGGCCAGCCTCGCAGAGGCACCGGTCAGTAGCTTGTTCAGAGTGTCGCCAGCACAAGGTTAGTCAGTATCTTTGGTCGACCTATAGACTGACAGAAGATTAGCTGAAATGCGATGCGCATCAAGACTATTCCAAGCCATGTTCTCGTTGTCGGCGCAGGAGTCTAGAGTGCAAGATATTGGGAGACTACAAGAGAATCAAGAAACCAACGTATAAAATCCCCTCCGGAGAATGCCACATCCAGAGTCCAGACACGTGCTGAATCATAGCCAGGAAGGCTGAGCTAGTTCGCGAAATCGAGCGCATTCGTAAAGAAGTCAATCCGACGACAGCATCAGATGTGCGACCATTAGAACATGACTCGACGCTTCAGGGCCAGACGAATCATGGTTCCAAATCCACCACCCCATACAATATCGCAGCGGCCCTGAGCGAGATTCCTTACAGTCCAGCTTCTTCCGTCTCGACAGAGTACCAGCACAACTTGCAACAGGATGCTATCTTGGACCTGCAGGGTCAAAGCAGAACGATTGACGGTGTAACGATCGCCTCAGAAAAGATCAATGACTGCTTCAATATGTAAGGACCGCCCGACAACCACGTTGATGGTGATGTTCGTCGTTTCGGTTGACCAACTGTTGCTCAGCTTCGCTACCCACTACTCACCTCAAGTACCAATTGTCGAACAGCCGATGTTATTGGATGCCACATTTGAAAAATCGCCCTTGCTCTTCTGGACAATTGTCACCTTAGGATCGCGAAAGTACAGTCAGGATCCGACTGTATTCCATCAACTTTCTCATCGAATGGCTACTCTGGCATTTCAGAGCTTGAAATCGCGGCAATCACCCATCCAAACTGTTCAGGCGCTTGTTCTTTTGTGCGCTTGGCCGCTTCCTGTGAAACACCTACTTAATGATAAGATTCACACTTTGGCCGGTGCCTGTATGCAGCTTGCTCTCCAGATCGGGCTACACGTTTCTGGTGTCGGGCAAGACTTTGCTAGGGAGCGTGTGCAGGCTCAAGTGTCGGAGCAAAATTACAGGGCTCTGCTGTGGCGATATTGCACCATAGTTTGCCAAAGGTAATTGAGAGAACAGCGCAATGCATGTAATAAGCGACTGACTTGCTCGCGCCAGTGCCAGTATCGGCGACGGCCTACCTCCAAGCATGATCGTCGAGGCTTTTAATCCGGATTGGGTGGATCAGAACACCATGAGTCCAGATTTCAATCAACTGGCTCTCAGGACCAAGCTTCACCATATTCAGAGTTCCGCCATTTCCAAAGTCGTACCATATATCATGGCCCCGGCCGATGATGCGAGTCTTGAAGGAATCATTGAGATCTTTGATTCTCAAGCACGAATGCTTCAGTCACAGCTGCAGGACGACATAGGTACGAAACAACTCCCGTGGGACGTGGTCATAGCTAAAGCTCTCACAGATATGTTGACGATGTACTGCGTCCGTTTGCACATATGTGTCTCTCGATTCATGGTCAGACAGCCTGTATCGATGACTGGACTCATCGAGCTCTATGGCATAGCCATCAACTTAATCGAGAAATATTCGTCGATGGACGCAGCCTCGGACCTTGCACTGTACTCAACATTCTACCTTTCCCGTGCGCTTGGGCTTGCTGCGTTTGTGGTACTCAAGCTCCACCACTCGCCACAGCATCTAGTCATCGATCGCGAAAGAGGGGAGCGCTGCTACTTTAGCGTCATCAGGCTATGTCGTCGAAGGTCCTTGGATACCCCGGATCTGGACTCGAGGCTTGCAACAATTTTGACTGAGCTGTGGTCCAGCTCAATGGTCTTTCGCGGCCCTGACGGAATTTTCGATGCTCTCAATGTGAGAATTCGAAGCCGTCTGGTAAGTGCTGAGTTTCGGATGTCGTAGCGGAGTCACTGACAGCTCTTCCAGACAATGAGCGTATTCTTCGATTGTCTCTGGTGGTGGAGACAGGAGTTTCGAGGCCAGCCAGATCCATTTGTCTCACAACCGTCGGCCGTCAGACAGACAGCTGCGGATAGTTTGACACAACTAGTCGACCCATTTATGGTGTTTTCAGACGGCTTAGACTACGATGAAAACTACTTCGGGATGTATGGGACATACCACGCTACGTTGCCATACTCATAGTGTAGTATTTTCCCAACCCTCGATCGGCCTGCTCAAGTTGTCAATAGTGTTAGTGTATGATATGGTGACCGTGCTCTCGGGTATGTGGCTGCTCCGACTATCTCCTCAATTTCCTACAAAGACAACACCGTTTCCAATTGAATCCCTTTTGCATACTCAGCCTTTCCCAGTGTCATTTGGCCGATCAGCCCGATTTTGGCCGAGCCCACTGGCCGATACTGGCCGAACCACTCCATTTTCGCGAGGCTTGCAAGCCTAGACCCTCATCTTTTCAATTGAGGAGGATTCCCCACAGCCGGTGGTGGGCTTCATTTGCGGGCAGAAACAATTCGTGTCAAGTGAGTCAGAAGTACATTTCCTGAACAAAGCCCGGGCTTAGTGATGAGAGGCCGTTTCTAGGAGTAGAGTCCCAAACGCTCTAGCCTGGAATCAATGTGGTGGGCGGCCGACCTACAAACTATATAAGAAGTCAAGAATTTCCTCCCCAGTGCGGAGACCCCAGACACCCGAAAGATTCGTGCAGTCTCTAGCCACTTACACAAACTCACAAGGTCAAAATGGCGGACGATGAGAAAACAGTCTTAGCCTTACATGAGCACGCCGAGCAACCGGGTGCCGCCTGTACCGCAGCTGAAGATCCTTCAGGGTCATTGGTAGCACGGCGGAAGATGGAAAGACGATTGGTATGGAAGCAGGACGTGACTATCCTCCCGCTTCTAGCCATGTGCTTCTTTTTCTCTTACGTGGTATGGCCACCTCTTTCCAAAAGTTGAACGGCTCTCATATGGAATTGTGTTCAGGACCGTGGCCAGATTGGCAACGCACGCTTGATGGGGTTGCAGAAGGACCTACATCTGAGTGCCAGTCAGTATTACAATGCCTTGCTGGTATTCTGTAAGTTACTTCAAGACAGATTCTCTCAGGTTCACCTACTGACTCACATCCCAAGTCATCGGTTATATGGTCATCGAACTGCCCTGCTGCCTTGGTCTGATGTATGTCAAACCGGGACACCAATTCGGCTTCGCCACCATCGCCTTCGGCGTGCTTGCTACTTGCATTGCCGCGTGCAAGACCTACGGCTCCCTCATCGCCATCAGGTTCTTGCTTGGTTTGAGTGAGGCGTTCGTACAAGTCGGCTTCCTATATCTAAGTTTGTGGTACCGCCACGACGAGATCGCGCTGCGTTGTGCTCTCTTTTACGTTTCGGGGCCCCTCGCCGGTGCTGTCAGCGGGTTGATTGCGTACGGAGTTGCCAAAAACTTGAATGAAGCCCATGGAATTGCATCGTGGCGTTGGCTTTTCATCGTCGAAGGTATCCCAACCATCACCTGGGGCATCCTGGTCTTCTTTGCCTTGCCTTCGAGGCCTGAAGTGATTGCTGAAAAGGGAACATGGCTCTTCTCCGACAGGACGGAGAGAGAGCTGATACTCGAAAGGACCGTCGCAGGTTTGGCCCCACTCATCCTCTTGTCTTGCCATGGTCGCTGACGGTGAGAAAAAGCCAAAAACACCGCACATGCCAAGTTTGTGCCGCGTCAAGTCCTTCTTGCTTTGACCGACGTCAAGGCCTACCTCGATGCTTTGATCGTTGCCGCCTTCGGTCTTGGTGTGGCCGCCTTCGGACTCTTCATGCCGACTTTCATCAATGAATTTGGCTTCTCGCCTCGTGAGTTTTTCTGCAGGATGCCCCTCAGTCAAGTGCAGACTTGCTAATGGGACCTACTAGTACACACCCAACTGTTCACAATGATCCCATACGCGTGTGCGGCGATTGCCTTGCCGATCATCTGCACAGTGGCCGACCGATTCACCATGCGAGCGATGCCAATCCTCTTTTGCTACATTTTGTGTTTGGCTGGGTTCATTTTGCTCCTTGTGACGACCCAAAAAGCTGCACGAATCGTTGGGACTTGCCTTGTGTCGGCGGGATCTTACCCGGGAGTCATCCTGGCTGCCACTTGGGTCATGTCCACCCACGGAGGATACACGAAACGGTCAACAACCTGGGCAATGTGCCAGCTGCTTATTCAATGCTACAGCATTTTGGGGACCAAGATCTACGACAAGCCACCACGGTTCTTCAAAGGCCATGGCATTCTGCTCGGTTTGCAGACACTGGCGGCGGTGTGCGTTATGTTGAAATGGTGGATGATGTGGAGGGGGAACAGGCAGAAGGATGCTTTAAAAGAGGAGTACGATGGTAGAGAGGAACCGATCCCGGGATTAGAGGAGAGCATTGAGGTGCTCAATGATCGGCATCCCGGCTTCAAATATCTCTTGTAAGAGTATATTGCAGGTGACGACCCCCAGGATGCTTGATGGGGAATGAATTCAAGGATATTGAAGAAACAAACAGACCTGTAGTAGCCAGTACGGACAATCCTGGGGATCTACAAATCTCGTTCTCCGGCTTACAGTTTCGCACTGTCTTTTCGAGGTCGTACATCTCCACTAGACTCGCAGACAATGCTCTCCCCATCCCAGCCGGAGATCAAGTCCTCAACCACAGCAGTCTCATCCTGACCCCAGATAATACCATTAGCGAGTTTCCATTCCTCGTTCCCACTTCCAATTTTCCGTCTGAAAACTCTGTAGCTCGGGACACCACAGATACCAGTGTCCTTGGCTTCCTTCGTCCTGAGCCTTAAGTCCTGCCTGATCTCGAGGCTGTTGGCCTTAGCCATGATATCTTCAGCATTATGGCCTGCTTCCGCGATAACGGAGTGAAGGACGTCGTCGGAAGCTATGTTTTTGTTACGTTCCCAGCATGCTCTGACTGCGGTATGGTTAGCCTCACCAGCCAGTAGGCCTGCATACCAGGCGATCAAATTTGGGGAACCCACATAATGCGTCGACTAGTCTTGGCTCTACAAGAACGGTTCTCAAGACTGCGGGTGTACGAATGGGAAAAACATCGGCCCAATGGAAGTCAATGTTTTTGTCCGGCCGTCCGTTTTGCTTGTTGACATCGTTCCACCACCTGCACCAGTCCGAGTGGTCGAGCTGTATGTACTTTCTCTTTGCTTCGGACTCAGCGGCCAGGGGCAGATTAGGCGCGCCAATCCTGGAGAGAAAAAAAGTCAGCTCGATACTCACAGCAAGAAGCAAGGCGCGTACGTACTCCCTAAACAAGATTCCAAGTAAGAACGGCTTCATCTCAATCTTCAGCCTCTGTCCAAAGATCCGCTGCAACCTTGCGAGTTGTGTCCAACCCAGGAAGGCCCAAGGACTGCTAAAATCGTACCAGAACTCCAGCTTCACCTCTTCCCCGTCTGGGATTTCCCTGCTTTGAGGAGCCACAAACCGTGGTACCACTCCTTCTAGTGTTGGGGTTAGGTTTCCCTGGCCCCTTTCCAGCGTGAACAACGCTTTGTCCACGAACTGTAGCCGATCCTGACCCCAATACATCCTCTCCTCCTCGTGGACCCAAAAGACAGGCACACCAAATGCTCCCCTCTGCAGCGCCAAGGCCGTCGTCGCCTCAAGCTTCTTCCTCTGCTCGACAGCCTCGAACCCTCCCGTCTCAAGCAGCCCTAGAACTCTTTCCCGCGTTTTCGGATCCAGACCTTGACATTCTCGCACCAGGCTTCTTAGCATCTCCGAATCACTCAGATCCAGTCCATCAACCCAATAAGCCCGGTACAAGGATCCCGTCAGGGCTACCCTCTCCAGCCCTTCCACACAGTAGAGCAGACGCAAAGCCCTAGTCGTCTTCTGCGGATGCTTTGGCGGCTGCTTATACTCCACGCCCAGCCGAAGCAGCGTGCGTACGAAGGCCGCGGACGCGACAGTGCGTTTGGTCGGATTGAAGACGTCCGAGGCAGAGCCGGCGGCACCATGTGCAGCGGATGTGGCGCGGTAGAGTGCCCCGAGCAATACAGGACGGTAATTGATCGTAAGAGTAGGATGACGGCGCTGGAGAGCCGGCAACCGCAGAGAAGCGATATAGGCGAATGGGCATGAGATATCGTAGTGGAAGTCAAGGTGGAGACCTGAAGTCATGTTGGTGGATCTGTGGTGTACTGTAAGGCTTCTACGAGACAGACAGGTGCGCTGAGAACGCTGGGGAATTGCACGGCTAAGTACGATATGATACTCCAGTCATCTTGTTAGGACATTTGAAGGATTAGATTTTGATCGTCTCTACCATAAACTTGAAGTGAGGATAAGGTTATGGGACGGAACCGAGGTAGAACGAGTACTCCTCGTTCCCGACAACGAGGATCGGGGATTGCGGACACGGTGTTGCGTGCAAGACGGCATCATAGGGTGTCCGGAATTAACCCCAAATACGGGGTTGACTACGTGACTACGCAGTTCCTCAGCTGACAAACACTAGCCATTGAAGTCTGTAGAGTTCGATCAATCTTTTGGCTCCATCAAAAGGGCCAGTCGCAAAAGTACGCAGTCTTTGCCCAGCGAGCATCCTTCTCGAGGTTGCAGAATATCAATTTGCGAGTTCCGGCTACCAAGGCCATCGGCATCATGCACATTTGTCTGCAGTAATTTCGCCTTTCTTATCGGGTCGAGTACCAGGCGAAGCTCTTCCATAGAGCAGTAAAGCAAGGTGTCGACGTGCACATCCCAAATGGCTTCGGAAACAGAGGTCTACATTGCCGGTGTTGGATTTCCAACCTTGTCTCTGGCAGGAACTTCTGTGAAGACCATTGTGGCCTCCCTTGTCTCTGCTGCCACTAAGGCTCTTTTGGATGCCAGTGTGACGTTTGATGATGTTACCCAAACTGTGGTAACTCTCAGTGGAAACACGCCCAATTATGGCTCCGAGGTGTCTGGGGCATTTTGCCACCGAGATATCGCTATGGACGAAGTGGAAAAAGGATACGAATTCGATACTTCGTTCACCTTGATAAGGGATCGAAGTGCCCAGTGTGGTATGCTAAATACCGTAAAGAAGGTATGTCTCCAGATGTCTGGTGTATATGGTTCGAGATGCTTCTTGTCCAGAGGGCTGATACTTTGATCCAGTCCGCCGCAGTCGCATTTATTTTAGTGTGCGACGCTTTTCTCCAGAGTCACACTTATCTAAAAGATTCGGCGGTGCTTGTGCGCAAGCCACACACTCGACGAGTGGATGCAAAGGGACGGACGGTGGACAGGCTGTATGATATCTGCCAGATTGGTACGTGGATCAAGGGCCCTGGAGTAATTTCTGCTAAAATGGAATCTAGTTTGGGCGCTCAGAGGATGGTCGCGGCCCCACGACACGGATAAAAGGGAGGCGTGTCTCTCTTATTGCGGGGTGGGAAGTAGCAAGATGGTTGAACTAAGTCGCGCCGACGCTAGGGCAGTTCCAAATTGGAAAGATGTTGAGCTCAAACAAGAGGGAAAGCATCGGCTTGGGTATAACCCGGCAACAGGGTATAGAGAAATATCACAGGAGGATTTTGAAACCGTCCGAGCAAGCGGTAAGGCATACAACACCGGGACCAACTCGATACGCTTTCGTCGCAAAGGTGGCAATAGAGCTGCTCTTTCAAAGGTATGAGCTTCGTTTCTTCTCAGAGCAAACTACATAGCGGTTAGGCAAGGTTGTCAGATATAACACCGTTTGGGCACCACTCGGTGTCCGAAATCGATCCCGTCTGTTTGCCGGGGCTGACATACAGTTCGTAGTAGTACGCTTTTGGGCACCAGAAATTCAGCGTCAGCTTTGATCAGTTCCACATGCCTTAGGCATAGAGGTGGCCACCTGCACTCCTGTGTCTACCTTAATTACTCTACCTTCGATACCTAGGTATTCTTCCTAAACAACGGCATGGCTTCGGCGATGGAGCGAAAACGCTCAATTGTGTATGGGCCCGCAAGCTCCACGTCCTCTCCTCCTAACATTTGGCCAGCTTCTTGACCATCATGCCGAAGCGCGACCAGATAGTACTGCTGTCATTTCTCATGTACAAGGCTGCACAATATCCTTCCGGCAATTACAGGACAGAAGCGTCAATTTGGCCAAAGCTATGGCCCGAGCAGGGATCAGAAAAAGCAGCCTAGTTGGCATCATATCAGGAACCCGATATGATTATCTCGAAGTAAATACGGAGTATCCCTCCAACCTTTTGGGACGGTAGTCAATACTTCTGATTTGGCAGATCTTCTTCGCGTGTGCCAGACTAGGCGCTGCGTTGATCCTTTTCAACTATGCATACACCGATTCGGAGATGCTGGCCCTGCTCGAAGCCATCAGTATGTCTAGTTCAGTTTCAGTCCATAGCTCTTCAGCGGCTTGTTGAACTGATATCTCGGATATAGAACCCCAAATTCTCTTCTCACCTCCAGAAGCTAAAGCCTTCGACTACGTACTCGGTTTTACATGCAGCAACGACGTCTCTGCACGGACTTTCCAGTCGATCACGACACAATGGTCTTTCTCAAAAGGTCTGGACGGCAGCTGTCCTCTTGGTCGGGTATTGGTTACTAAAGACGCTATTCCTGATCCCCAAGCGCTAGATATCAAGGCCATCTACAATGGCGTCACTGTCCAGGACGGGAATACTAAGTACGTCGCTGCTAAGCTTCAACCTATGTTTTGATTACTCTTCGAATGAGACATTAACCGTGATTAACAGAGATATGATCTTCAACATCGCTAAGCAGATCAGCTATCTCTCGCAGGGCACGACCATCGAGGCGGGTACAATCTTTCTCACCGGAACCCCAGCGGGTATTGGCTTCATTCGCAATTCTCGAGTGGTGCTGGAAGATGGAGATGACATCAGAGTCTGGATCGAAAAGATAGGTACATTAGTGAACAAGGTGCGGTACGAGGAGTGGTAGGGGCGCCTGAAAGAGAAGAAGGGGGGAGAAGGGAGCGGACGATGGAGCGATTCGACTAAATAGTAGTTGGCGGGAGATCAAGCGGCGTGGGATCAGTCAGCGAAAGAATAGTGGGAGACAACTGTTCGGGGATCATATATATCCAGAGGGACCTTGCATTGATTGACAGGGGACTCGGGTAGAGACTTGAGAAACCCAAGTGGGCCGACAGGTAGGACAGGACATGCATGACCTGAGGTGAGCTAAAGGTAGCTACTGTACCAATGGAGTATTCGGAAACTATGCAATATCACTGGTCGAGTCACCGCAAACGCCCTGGTTATACTCATGAGAGGCGGTATATAAATGTGCTGCTGGCGCATTCCGTCGACATTCTCATCCCACTTCTTCTACAGCATCGATTCCAACCATCATCAACTATTCAAACCAATTTAGAAAAAGTAACCTATCCGTGATCACCATGACTATGACCACTCATGCCGAGTATGACGGACACACTGAGGCAGTCACCGTTGCTGCCGCTTTTCCATCTGCCATCAAGGACCGCACCATTGTCATTACTGGTGCCAACAAGCTTGGTATCGGCTTCACCACTGCGCAGGCTCTTGCCTCTCAAGCACCACGCCGACTCATTCTTGCGGGGAGGTCGACTGCAAAGGTCCAAGAGTGTATCGATGCACTACGTTCAGAATACCCGGATGTAGACTATCGCCCATTACAGGTCGATCTCAGCTCCCAAGAATCGGTCAGAAAGGCCGCTTCCACCGTGATGGCTTGGGAGGATGTTCCTGACATTGATCTTCTCATCAACAACGCTGGAGTCATGAATCTTCCAGAGCGCACGCTCAGCCCCGAAGGAATAGAAATGCACCTCGCAACCAACCACGTCGGGCATTTCCTCTTCACCAACCAGATTTTGCCAAAACTCATTGCTGCCGCGAAGGACTCACCACGAGGTTTTGTCCGGGTCATTAACATCAGCAGCGTCGGCACTGTAAGCATTCTCCTTCCCAAAAGACTGCCCATCCAAGCACGAGCCCATGGTTGGTTCCCTTCTACGCCCGTACCGATTCCTAACAAATCCGCTGCAGATGGTCTCACCTCTTCGTGTCAGCGACGTCAACTTTACCAAGGCAATCAAGGAGCTACCAGAAAATGAACGACCGAACCAGGCCATATTGAAGGGTGCTAACCTGCCAGCCGACGACGACACGACTTATATTCCCATGGCAGCGTACGGGCAAAGCAAGACCTGTAACGTCCTGTTTTCGGTTGGTTTGAACCAGCAATTGTACGAGAAGTACGGCATTCTGAGTCTCGCCGTGCATCCTGGGGAGATTCAAAGCGAACTGGCAAGGCACACGGACAAGCAATGGTTGGAAAAGGTCATTGAGATCAGAGAGGCACGTGGGCTGTTCTGGAAGACTTTACAGGAGGGAGCAAGCACTACACTTGTCGCCGCGTTGGATCCCAAGTTGGAGCGACCAGAGAGTGATGGAAAGGGATACTTCCTGAGTGACTGTCAGGTTGGGGGTGTCCAACCTTATGCTGTCGACGAGGACATCGCGCGCAAGTTGTGGGAAATGAGTGAGGGATTTGTCGGCGAGAAGTTTGCCTGGTGAATCGTCGAAAATGTCTCCGCCCCCATGATGGCGCCGGGCCCATTTAAAAGAAGGTCGACTGCCAATCAGCTCTACAAAAGTCCGATCGTGCCAATAGATCAAGAGACGGGCGGCCTGATGGATCTCTGGTGACAGACTTATTCATAACTCACAGAAACCACCCGTCCATGTCCACAATGCTCGTGCTATCAGGATTTGTCTTACGAACCACATCTCACACTTCCCGAGCAGACCTCTCTTAGCTAAGGTCGATGCATCTTTGGCAACAAATTGAGTGTCCCGACAAACGCCATTAACATGTAACCTGTTTGACAGCCCTCGTGTCCATCACTGACGGCTGAACAATGACTCAACACTGCAGTCCACCATTGGACCTGGTTCAAACTCCTCCCAGGACCCGCAGGGTGAAGACAGGATGTAGAACATGCAAGTAAGTGCCCCCGGGAATGCTTTACCCCGTTTCAAGGAGCCTTGTGCTAGGGGAAGTGAAGCTCCATTATTCGTGCTCGAATGGCTAAAGATCCTCATCGTCCAGAATTCGCAAAGTGAAATGCGATGAGGCATGGCCATCGTGCCGGAAATGCTTGTCGACAGGCAGAGTGTGCGAAGGATACAGCGTCTGGGGCGGTGGGAATAAACCCGTCATCCAAAGCCGCTCAAGGGGGCAGCACCAGGCTCCTACATCTTCATCTTCATCTTCATCTTCGAATCCCAAGATTGCAATCCCGCCTGTCAAACCCCTCACACGGGGCACATTGGCCTTCATCGAAGATGCAAACGCAGCAACAGCCTTGCGTCGCTTCCCCCTCCATGTCCTGCCCGCCGATCAGCATGCCTACATGGAGTGGTTCGTCCAAAGAACTGCGCAAAAGCTCCCTGGTGCTTTCGACCCACCTTTTTGGAGGACTCTCCTTCCACAGGCAAGCCGCTCCGAGCCAGCCGTGTTGCACGCCGTGCTCACACTGGGTTCAATCCACAAGAGAGCAGTGCTTGGTGTCGGCCCCTGTAGCGAACTGAGCACGACCGACGCGGCCGGATTGTTCACCTTACAGCAATACACTCTTGCCACAGGTGACCTCCGCTGTCGCATTGAGAAGAAGAGCAAGACTTCGGTCAGAGTAGCCCTGATCACCTGCGCAGTCTTCGTCCAGCTCGAGTATTTGCGGGGATGCTACAAAATTGCACTCACCCATCTTCGACATGGTCTCACCTTGCTTGAGGAGTGTCTCAGCGACAATGATGATGAGCAGCAGCGTACCGGCGGTGGCTGGGGCTGCCGCGGGCGCGGGCGCCGCGATAATACCACCGAAACCGACGAGGCGATCTTACACACCTTCATGTCGCTGTTGATCCAGGCAAGACTCCTCGGACAAGAAGACGTCTGCCACACTCGTCTCCTCCATTTGATAATCAACAGCGTCTTCGAGCCCATTGGTGCACAGTTCCAGTCCCTCATGGATGCCAGGAAATCCCTAGAGCATATTCTCCTCGAGATATTCAGCTTCATGGACGAAACGAGATCTGCTACGAGTGGTCTTGCTGGACGATCAAGATCAGGCTCTGACGCAGACCCAGTCCCAGTCCACTGTGGCCACCCACCTCTTTCGGACCTCGAGCTCTACCGAATCGCATCCATTCAAGAGAATCTGGATCTGTGGCTAAAAGCTCACGAAACAACCACGACGAGTCCTCGGCACAAGTTCTCCGCCCTGGACAGATTTGCCTTGAAACTGCTGCAAGTCTATCACACCATGGCTTGCGCCATGCTTGAAGACTGTCTTTGCTTTCCTTGTCCGCCTGTCAGCAGCAGTACCACCATCATCACCACCATCTCACCTCCACTGCACTCTTCCTCTTCTACAAGCTCCCCCTCTCCTCCATCAAGCGCCACCCTTTCCACATTATCATCATCGTCGTCGTCATCGTCATTTGCATTCCACAACCGCTCCAGCCAAGGACATACCCCTCCCCAATCCGGCTCTTGCTCTTCATGCACAGCGACCAGCACCAGCAAGACACGCACCACCAGCACTGATACCGAACGACCCCCGGACCGACCGGACCTCTTCAAATCCATTCTCTCTCAATCCACCTGGCTCTACAACGTCGTCTCGGACCCTTTGTCTCATTTACCCGTGTTGCACCCGCTCTCCATCAACGAATCCGCCGCGTCCTCCATCGCCGACATCGGCTTGTTGCCGCCTCTTTTCTACACGGCAATCCACGCTCGGGAATTCAGCACCCGCGCCGAGGCCGTCAGGATGCTGCCCCTCAGGCCGCACAGAGAGGGCATCTGGGAATCCCGTACGGCTGCTACCCTGGCCGGAAAGATCCTCGATCTCGAGCGAGAGCAGGCGGTGAGCCTGCGAGTGAGACGCCAAAACAACAAAATCGGGCTCACCAGGCAAAACAACCAGCCCCTCGCCGCAAATGTAGATACAGGTACAGATACAGATATAGTCCCCGCTCAATGCAGACTGAGAGACCTGCAGATTGAATTACCTGCGGAATCGGACGGTAAGTTGGTGGTAACCTACAGGATGCGAGACGAGCACATGGCACTGGGACGCTGGACCAAAGGCCGGAGCATCCATGATTTGAAAACGGGCCTCTGGACCGATGAATGGCGCTGATGCGGAATGCAAATGAAAAGGAGCTTGAGCGAAACCAAATGAACGTGGAGCCGAACAAAAGCAGAGAGTTATAGTGATGTTCATTCTATTCTCCATGGTCTTTGGACCGAACGCGCTGATGCGAGGCACGAGGGTATTAAAGATAACACGACCTGCCACCCTTACCCTGCCTTGCCTACAATATAACCACAAACCAAATGCAAGAATGCAATCACAAGTCCTTGACCTTCGCCTTACCCTTGACCACCTTATCTGGCTTGGGCTCGGAAAAATTATGCAACCGCTCACCAATTAGGTAGACTTCATCCCGGATCCTCGCCCTCCAGCTCGCAACCTGTTGTTTGACGCCCAGCATGCCGAGCCAGGTGACCAACAAACCCAAGGCACTGGGGTATGCGAAGCGATATAGACGTATCTTCACCTCCTGGTCTTGGATGCCGGCAATCATGATGATGGCCTTTGCGTAAAAGAGAGGGCCGCCGAGGAGAGCCAGACACACCACCGTCACAGGTAGAACGAACGCACGACTCGCGAGACGTACGTCCGGCTTGAGAACGCCGTTGCGGGTGATGGCGTACAGGGTAGTACTGATTCGAGAGCCAGGACCCATGTGCAGCAGGAATTGTCTGTACAGGAGTCGTGAGTAGAGCAGTCCTATGACCCAGGATTGGAGGATGAAGATGGTAGCGATATGGTGGTTGATTGTGGCTGCATCCCCCGGCGAGGAACCCTTTCGGTGCCATGCCATATATGTGACCAGTGGGATGTGGATGTACAATTCCAGGATGAGGGAAAGAACAAAGGGAAGGACTAAGGCCGTGAATGAGAGAAGATAGACCAAGCCGAGAACGTACTTGGCGGTCCCGATGACCTGAGACCAAGACGATTGAGGAATCTTAGACTTGACATAATCTAATGCCGGTCTAGCATAAGCGATAGCATAACCCACAACTGCTAGAATTTGAACGCCTGTCGTGAAGGCATACAGATCGTTCGGTGGAAGGGAAGATTGGGTTACAAAATAGAGAACCAGTCGACCGAGCAAGAGAGGTCCAATGGTGAAGGCTACACCGGTTGTGGCAGCGAACACCCATAGCAGAAAGACAAACGTTGAGATTCGAGCTCCAAACCGGGGTGGCAGGTAAACTTTGGTGAATCGCGTATCTTTCTTGCCGTGATTGCCAAAGTCTACATCAGGTTGGCCATCGATCCTTTCGTTTTGCTCGTTGACTGGCAAAAAAACATTTCGTCCTTTAGGAATGCGTACAGAATCCGATGCCGGAGCTCGAACATAAGTGCCGTCTTTAAGTAGCGCTGTGCTCGCCTTTTTGCCGGTAAAGAGACCCCAGAGTCGATTTGTGGTACTGTATGTTTCGTCTTGTGCTTCTTCTCCGAAGAGGAAATTTGTCAACCTCAGACTTCTAGCACAACCTCGGAACCACCATTTGTACACTGCTGAAATCTTTTTCGAGGGTTCCGCCATTCGTAAGACATACCGCAGCATAAAGTTGTAGAAGAGGATGTCGACCGGAAACGCCAATCTCGGTTCAGGAGTTGCCCACTGTATAGGCAAAACGCCGGGAACGCAGCTCAACGTCCATACCACTCCACCTAAGCACACAATAACAAGGCCGCCGTAGACCAATGCCGAAAATGCAATTTTTCCCAATTGGGCTGGTACAGGTCGCTCAAGCACATCTCGTACCGGATGAAACGTTGGATCGTCAGGATCCCGGATGAAATAAAGAACGCCGGTGCGCATGATCTTTCGACATATTGATACAAACAAAGCGAAGTGGAACATATAGCAAGTTCCGATGAACCAGTGAATGAAGACGCCTGTAAAAGGAGCTCGGGCGATGAAAGCAAACCGTCCAGCAATGGTGGCGTCTGCAAATAACGGTAAAAGGGCCACATCGAGGAGCAGTCCGCAATAGAGCGGAAATAGTAACATTTCGAGTCCGATGATGACGATGACTTTCATGACGCCTCCAGCTTGTCGGAGGCTGTCGGCAAGATAGCCTTCAACTTTCTCGTTGTGATTGAGGCCCATGATCATATGGGCAAATTCCATGAACAAAACCCCGGCCGCTGCAAAGAAGGCATATCCAATCAGGATTGTGATGATCCTGTCCTCCGTGCTCCATTCAACCAGGGACTGGTCGACCTCGAATGAAGGTTTGCCTGATGTGGTAATCAAATCTTGTGGAAAGGTACGAATCGCATCTAATGTGGGTCCCATGAGCTGAGGAAGCTTCGCTAGAAACTGGGGGGCTGATCTGACTCCTGGTCCGAACCGCTCAAGCATCGTATATAAAGGCCGAGAATCACCTGCCGCAACGTCCTGAATCCAGGAGACTGCGGAGACTGCCCATTGTACAGTGTCGCGGAACGAGGCTTTGTAGGAGACCAGGGCATGGTGCGCCATGATGGAAAAGGTCGGTAAGTCAGGCTTGAGGTTGAGGATGGCGCCCGACAAAGTCTTTTCTAAGCGTGCACCACTCTTTTGGCTTAGATCGAGCGTAAAGCCTTCCAGAAACGTAGGGTCCACGATGCTAGTGAGGGCTGGCAGGAACGGTGAGATGATGGCCTTGATGATCTTAAGTGGTTGATTAAGAATGAAGCCGCCAAGGCCAGCCACGAAAAAGAAGACATCGACCGCCATGTCGGCAGTCGTGGATAAAACCAGCAGAGGTGCCTTGATCAGCATGACAGGGTTATGCATGAATAAGAGTGCAATCTTGCCCCAGATGTAAGGACACCAAACACTGGCTGACAGAGTTATCGTGATCAGGAAAAGACTGAAGATGACGTTTTGAATCATGCCAAAAATGGGACCCTCCATACCGAGCAGCTCCAGGACGCCATCCAGATCTTCGATATCTTCTGCAGCATTGGGATCATTGAGATCGACACCAAGCACGATGTTGGGCTGATGACCTGGGACGTCAGCCGCATCGACAGCAGGAGCTTGAGGCTGAGGAAGCGGATCTCGATGGTGGTTTGGCACGAATGGGGCTCCAGCCAAGGCATCTTCCATGATTTCTTCATCATCTTGGCCTCCCTCTGCAGCATCAAGTTGGGCTTCAGCAAGAACTTGGACGTTGTCGAAGTTTTCAGCCGGCCAAAGCCAACGTGCGATCTCTTCCCACCACGATAGTCGATTGCCCTCTTCCCCGTGTGGCTCTTGGTTGCTGGTCGAAGAGCCAGGACTGTCAACGGTGGTCGCCTCGACTGTTTGATTCGGTTGGCCAGCATCGCTCGAGGCGGGTGTCGGGATGATCACGCCTTCTGAATCAGTCTCATCTTCAATTGCGCCTATTCTGTTCCAGTTTCGAGACTCGCTGTCTTCCCCAACAGTATCAGCGTTGGTTTTGAACGACACTCGGCGACTGCCACTATGCGTTGCCATAGACGAGGAAGCATCCACATCCTGAGCATCAATTTCCGCTAATTGTCTTGCATCGAAAAATTCGGGTTCGTCAGAGGAGGTAGAGTTGTCGAAATATACCGGAAATCTCTCCCTATGAGCAGCTTCGGGAGCACTGGTCACTTCGAATCCTCTTTGAACGAGAATAGAATTGCTGAGACTGTGTCTTCTCACCGGTCGAGGCTCCGTGTCATCGGCTATCGCAGAACTTTCACCAATGGAAATCTCGGGTTCTGACTCCTGTGTGTTGTCATGACCTACGCTTTGTGATCTGGCAGTGAAATTTGGTCTGGCCAAAACAGTCCCTGTGTCATTCAAGATGTTGTCGTCTGTCACTACCCGGCGTAATCTTGGAATGGCTATTGGTCTTTGCACCGGTCCTTGAACAGCCACATCGTGGTTCTCTTCAGGTGGAGCTGGATGAGTCGGCTGTTGTTCCGGGATCTCATTCCGAGCGTCTTCTGCAGCATCGGCGAGGTCAGGGTCTGGCATGTTCAGGTTTGGCTGCTGATTTATCACCCATTCTCGAATTAAGAACACCAGAATAAATGCAGTGACCAGAGAAATACATATCAGTTGGCCTTCAACGACATCAATGCATATGCTGTTGACAGCAGGAACATCGGTCAAGGTAGCCAGGAACTCAACCTCGGACAGAAGGGAAGGTGGACGTCTAACCGTGCCCAGAGGCAGAGTCATATTGGACGAGGATACCGGACGTGGGTGTTCCCCCAAGCCTGGCATGAAGATGGACAGAAAGAGTTGGAATACCCTTCCTACAAGGCCTCGACTGAGAAAGATCCGAGCGATATCAGCCAAGGAGAGTTGCATAGGAGGGAAAACCAGTTTTATCCTTTCAAGATATTCAGGCATCGTGAAGTTGAGGGCAAAGGCATCGAGTGACATGTTCGACGCGACTGTAGAAGTCATGTTGGACGTAGTCGCCGTCATCAACTGCATTTGCTCCTCATCTAGCCAGTTTCCATCGGCAAACCAGATCATTCCACGCCAGATTTGTCGTATACACCATGGCAGGCAACAGATCCATATCAGACCGACGATAACATAGCGTGTCCAGCGGAGTACCCCTTTTACTCCGTGTCTTACAAGTTGACCAATGAAGAGGGGAAGCGGTAGGGTTGCAGGCATGGATCGATCGTAGAGTTTGGTGAAGCGAAAGGACGTCTTGCATAGTTCGCAGTATTTCTTCTGAGAATGAGACAGCCATTCCATGAGACATTCTTGATGGACGAATCTGATACTGCCGCTGCATTTGCAAGGATAGAAGAGAGGTTGACTAGGGGTGCCTTCACCACGGCAGATACGACAGTAGTCCTGACCTTCTTCATAGGGAGCATCGTGGGTGTGGGCGCTGGCTGTTTGGCCGGCCAGGGCCACAGGGTGGTTGTCTTCGAGGTTCGGCGGCATCTTGCCAGGATGAGACCATGGCGAGGAGAAGAGGATAGAGGAGAGATGAGAACACGCCGTCACTTGGAGGGGATAAAAGAATAAGTCAAGAGGATATGGATATACCACATGTATTGGAAAGCCGATCGCAGGCAATCCCGCAGACAAAGAAGTGGTGTGGCGTCTGGAGCAAGGTCACGTGTATTGCTTAGATATTATGGTCTGACCGAGCAGGATAGGCCGCTGCCACAGAACTTTTCGGGCAAATATGAATAAGTACTCTGTATCCCCAGTCCACTTGATGTTTTGGTGGAGGGCGGTCATCATATCAAGTCTACATACGCCTAGCATCTCAGGAAAGCATCATCTCAAATCGTGAAGAGGACGTGTACAGTACTTTTGTGATATGGGGTTTCCTGTCAGACCAATGTGTATTTTATCTGGTGAGGCGCAGGCAGCCTTTACTTATCGCCGGGCTCGCATATGCTCTGACGTCGACCTATCTTCCAGTACTTGATTCTGACGCAACCTAAACCTGGTCTGTGGCTCACCCCGTTATCCGTGTTTGAAGCTGCGACACCTCCACAGCTGCTTCACAATCCAGAACTATCCAGAATCCTTGTCCTGACACTGATACGGAGCAAACACGCTTCCCATCCTCAACAGCGTGTCCTCGGTATCCTAATTGTCCTCCTCTGTCCTCCTTGAATTCCCTTTCCCGGTTGAATCGAAGGACTCTCCTTCAGAGCTGGTCCACCAGTCGCCGCTTCATCTCATCTGCAGTGGATCCGTGGCTGCACTGAGTGAGTTGGTGGAAGACGATTCCCATTCAGAAATACACCACCCGTTGCAATGGCGGTGGCTGAGAACGGCAGGCCCATAGAGAGTGTCAAGGACAGACCCAATGGACATGCTGTAGGTCCAGTGGTCCGAAGATCTCGTGCTCGTCGTCAAAGTTGGACATTTTGGCTGTTCAACAATCTTGCAAGGTATGGAGTGTCATCACACTATCAGTACGCACCTCTGACCGACTTATAGGCTTACTATCTGGTATGCCCTTCTGACCATCATCTTCCGATGTCCTTCAACCCCCGAAAAACTCACCGAATCCTCTCCACAAATATGTCAGACATACCTCAGCGCCAAGTCGTATGCTCAACCACATCTACAACCATACTACGACGAGTATGCGGCTCCTTATGTGGCGAAAGCTCAACCGTACGCAGAATTGGCAAATAGACGTCTGGTCCGTCCTGCGTCCATTTTCGTGCGGCTCAACTACGACAAATATGCTGCTCCTCAGATTGATACTGCAAAGGAATATCTAGACGCTCAATGGGAAAAGTCCGCTGTGCCTCAGCTCAAATTGGCACAACAAAATGCTGCAAGATTATACCATGCCCATCTTGCTCCTTATGTTGACAAGGTTACCGCTGTGACTGTTCCTTATTTCTCTACCGCTCGCGAATCCGCAGACCACATGTACCAGCATTACCTTCTGCCATCAGCGAAGTATTCGAGGCCGCACTTGGACAATGCATACAATACTACTCAGCGATTTGTCTCCACGACTGCATATCCCCTGGCTCGACATGCTTGGTCAGACGTGGTCATTTTTGTAAATGGCACATTCTGGCCTTTCTTGAAAGGTCTTTACATTGACAATGTAAGACCACAGCTCGTCATGATCAACGAGAGAGTGGCCAAATATCGAGAGTCGCGGAAATTGAAGGCTGCCATGGACGACGTGGACAAAACCTATTCAAGCTCCACGGCTTCTGCAAGTCCTACTGGCTCTGCAACAGTTGACGACGTTTATGCAATGTTTGATGCTGACGAGGAAACCACGACGTCCACGACCACTACTGTGGCAGAATCTCAATCTACGGTGGAGCCACCACCACCACGACCGACATATGCATGGGCAACCGAGGAGCAGATCTCCGAAGACCTCAAAAACTGGCAAGAGAAATTTGCCGTGGCGGCTGACAAAGGCACTGACGATCTCCGCGAACGAGTCACGTCCATTGTCAATAGTCTTGTCAAGAGTGACATAGACGGGATCGGACGAGGCTTAGCCACAGCTCTCGAGAAAACAGTCGAAAACGAGATTGACAATGTCAAGACCAAGATCAAGTCTGTTGTTGGTGCAGTCCCTGAAGATGCGAGCTCAGAGGAAGTCAAGAAAGCAGCAGAGGAGATTCTGAGCTCAATCCGTGCATCGGGTGCTGAGATAAAGAATCGTGCTCAAAAAGTGCGCGACTGGGCCCAGAATTTCGAGACTGGTCTGACCCAGCGCTTGGCCGCCGCTTCTGCTTCCACTCTGGAAGTTCTGGATGAGATTAAAGATCTCGGGCTTCAAGAAGTTGGTATGCGCTGGGCTTGGATGGAAGGTGTCACCTATAAGCACTGGGCAAAATTCCATGCGGTTCGAAAGCAGCTTGACGATTGGAAAGAAGAAGTTCAAAATGTCGCGACCGAAAGTCCCGAAGCAGTAAAGGCCATTTCTACGGCTCGACAAATCATGGAAGAGAGCATGGCAATAACCGAAGATGCTGCAAAAGAACTGGTCAGACTCAAGAGTGTTGCGCAATGGAAATTACGAGCACGAGATGCGACCGACGACTTCGAGGCCAAGAGCATGCCAGCAGAAGCCGTGTCTGCAGCATCTAGCCTGGCATCGGAGCTTCAAGGCGTTCCTTCACAAGCAGTCGGTTCCGCCAGCTCTGCCTTGTCTCAGGCGAGCGAAGCTGTTGCTGGTGCTGTCTCATCTGCTTCTTCTGCGGTCGTCGGCACCAGCACGGGCACCGTGGAATCCGCCACGTCAAAGCTCAGTGAATTAGCCGATGAAGCACTCTCATCGGCATCATCCGCAGCTGGCCGTTCCAGCACCGGTTCGCTTGAGTCAGCAGCATCTCAGGCCAGTTCATCGGTAGCTGATGCTTACGAATCTGCTTCTTCAGTAGTTGCTGGCGCTAGCACTGGCACTGCCGAATCACTTGCTTCCCGGTTATCAGAGTCTGCCTCGAGCTTGACCGATGGAATGCCAGAATCTTTCAGCTCAGCCACCAGCGTCATTGCAAGCTCGGTGTCGTCGCTGACAGACTCGGTCGTCAGCCCTTCGACAGACTCTCTTTCCTCGGCAAGCTCAGCAGCCGAAGAGATGGCTAGCTCATTGTCCTCTGTAGCAGATTCGGCTACCAGCCAGGTCTCAGCCAAGGTTTTCGCTGGAGCTATGGCGCAGGAAGTCAAGGGTACCAAGCCTATCCTGGACGACGTCTTTGACGACGACACTGCATCAAGCTTTTCAGAGAAAGTTCAAAGCGTTGTCAATGACGCTGGAGATCGGTATGCTGAAGTCACACGAGCAGTCTCTGAGGCTATCTACGGTACTCAACAGGGGACTGTTGAAAGCATCACATCGGTCGCAAGCGATCAGTATGCAAGTGCTCTTGCAGCCGCATCGAGCGTGATATACGGTGCTCCTCAGGGAACTGCAGAAAGTATTGCTAGTGTGGCATCCGAGCAATATAATCAAGCTGTTGCAGCTGCAAGTGCTGCCATCTATGGCACCCCTGCACCTGTCACTGACTCGATACTTCAGCAAGCCAGCTCTTTGTACAGCCAGGCCATGAGCAGGGCTGAGGAGAACTACAATGCTGCGAAGTCTGCTGCCTCAAAACAGATCTCGGGAACACCAAAGCCAATTCATGAAGAAATGCTATCCTCCATCGAGTCAGCATATTCTGGTGCGACTGCTGCTGCCAACAGCAGACTTGAATCTGCTCGCTCTGCAGTGCATAAAGTAACCGCCAGCGCCCTTCCAACAACCAATCCGCTTCGCTCTGTCACCGCAATGGCCTCTTCTGCCTTGCAAGACTCATTGGCCGCGGCCTCAGCGCAATACTCGAGGGCTAAGGTCGCCGTGGGCGCCACCCCAGCTCCAGCACATGAGCGATACCTCAAAGAGGCTCAGAAGAATTACTACGCTGCTATCGGCATGGCACATGAACAATATGACGATTTTGTCAAAGCTGCTTCTAGCGCCATATATGGTACTCCCACTCCTGTTCTGAGCAGTATGTCAAGTGCTGCGTCGGCTGCAGTGTATGGAACTCCTGTCCCAGCATACCAGAGTCTCATCAATGCAGCTGCTTCCCAATATTCCGCAGCCTCGGCTGCAGCGGCCGCCAGCCTTGAGTCGTACCGATCATCGATCAACTCAGCAGCTACCCCAGCACAAAGCGCACTAGACGAGGCTCTAGCTTCATATTCTAGTGCTGTCGAGGCTGCGTCTTCCTCGCTATCGTCAGCTTCCTATGCCGCCAGCACAGCCGTGTATGGTACGCCCGCTCCCTTCTATCAGAGTGCCCTGGATGGAGCGTCTTCGTCCTATATTGCGGCTTCATCTGCTGCTGCGTCACACATGTCAGCAATGCTTGACTCGGCATCTTCGGCGGCTGGCGGCAAAAAAGGACCTTCGCAGGGTGTCCTTGACAGCATCTCTTCCCAATACGAAGCAGCCATTTCCGCCGCGTCGTCCTCACTATCTTCCGCCAGCGTTGCCGCCAGCACCGCAATCTACGGTGCACCCACAGGCTCAATCGAATCCATGTCAAGCGTAGCTTCTCAAAATTGGGAAGCTCTTGTTTCCAAAGCAAGCGAGCAAGTATATGGTACTCCAAGACCATTCTACGATGAATGGGTTAGTCAAGCTGGCGACTACTCGGCACAAGTAACCAATCTCGCCGGGGACAAATATGTCATCATTCAGTCTTATGTTTCTGAATTGATTGTCGGCAAAGAACCCGATTTCACCGAATCCGTCATGAACCGACTCAGCTCAGCCTACTACACTGGCTACGCTTCTGCCAGCAGTCTAGCCAACGATGCTTACGACTCTGCATCTTCGATGGCCTCATCCGTGTCATCTGTTGCAAGTTCCTACTTCACACCACCCCCGGAAGTATCGTCGATCATTGACACGGTCACCGAACAGCTCAACGCGGCCGTCGATGCAGCAAGTGCACAAATGTACGGCACGACGAAGGGAACAGTCGAACAAGCCACTTCTGCCGCTGCCGACTCGTACTCTTCAGCCAGTGCTGCTGTCAGTGAAGCTATCTATGGAACCCAGGTCGGATACGCCGAAGCTGCGCAGTCCTCGTTCGGTGATATGGCAAAGAGCGCACAAGGTGCTATCTCTGTGGCCATCTACGGCACACCAACAGGTACAGTCGAGTCCGTCACGAGTGCGGCGGCAGATACCTACTCTTCTGTCTCGTCTGTTGTTGGAGACAGTATCTCAGCTGCCGCTTCCGTGGTTGGAGACATGCCGGGTCAAGCAGCCAGTATGGCCGATGGCATGAGGTCAAAGGTGTCAGAGGCCGTCTATGGACCTGAGCAGAGCGCAATGGAGAGTGCCCAGTCACGTATCGCCGAAGCTGTGGAGAGCGCCAGGATGGCTATCGCGGCTATGGCAAGCGGTGCCGGAGCAAGTGGTGCGAGTGTCGCTGATGCCGTCAGCAGCAGTGTTGACGAGATGGCAAGTGCTGTGAGCAGCACGGTGAGCAGCGCTACTCAGTATGTGAGGGATGAGTTGTGAGCGGCCAGTCCGCACAAGACAAAGCTGGTGAAGTTGCCAAAAGCAAATGATGCGCCTTATGAACTGATTGAGGATGTGAAGATGAGATGACTTTTCCCACCGATACACCATTCGAAGGGGAAGGTTGGGCATGTTGATATCTTATTTTGATTTGTCGTAACTTGCGACAAGCAGGCAGCGTGGGCTCCTCGAGAATGCTTTACTCTGCGTTTGTGGCTTTGCTGTGTGTGCTCGGAATGATACCTATCTTGCTTTTGCTTTTCCTTGAGTATATGATAGCCGACATTATGTACCAACCACTCTAATTAGGATGACATGAACCCCAACGTACTCTGCCAAATTGGCAACAACACGAACGTTGCGAGAAATGAGTTGGTATGGGATGTTGTTATCGACGCGATGCATGATACTGCATTCATTCATGGCGGGAGTTCAGAGGAAGACGAACCACGGTGACATTCTACCGGTCTTCTCTATGGTACTGACGAGAGTACATACACTAACACATGTGCGATGACCATTGCTGATCCAACCGCCTCCCAGCGGATGAACCTTTGATTCCCTCCCACCCTCCTCAACTTCCCCATCTCAACCGCCGCCAACCTTCAATCCCATCCGGAGCACCTAGGTATCCGACTACTCGCTACTCGACGCGCGCGCACTCGAGCCGACTTCAAATCCGCACCCACCCACCTCGGTCAACGCCGATAATGGCCTAAATTGAGTTGACTTCGGTCGGTCGTTCCAATCTCATCCTCTCATCCTCAATGACAATCACCCGTGGTAGTCCAGCGCTGTTTTGCCTCAACGCCCTCAGCGTCCCTCAGCTTGCGAGAGGTCGTCATCCTCGTGGTCCCATTTCTCCTTGCCAGACTTTCAAGGGCTTTCGTTCTTTGGCCCTCATTTCCGGCTCCGGATCAGACCAGACCAGACCAGACCAGAACAAACCATACCAATGCAAATCAAGCCAGAATTGAAGAACCAAAACTAAAACGCCCGTAACCCATGCGATGTGAATGGGCTATGCTGAGCTATGCTTCTCCCTTTCTCCCGTCTTTCTCTTTCCCTTTCCCTTTCCCTTTCCCACCTCCACTCTCCAGTGCAATGCCAATACGTCTTGCAAATATCAAAAATGTCGAACATGAAATGAAATGGAACGCAACGCAACGCAACGCAACGCAACGCAACGCAACGCAACGCAATGCAGTGCCCGTGCCATACCGTGCTCAAGTTTCCAATAACTCATGCTCTGCACTCACGTTCTGCACTTACAGAGTGTCGGAACTCCTGATGCAGTCCCAAGGAGGGTACCAGTAAAGTGCGGTGTCGATATCGAACCCATACTGACCAAAGACGTCGATTTGCTAAAGCTGTCACCTGTCGAATGGAGTATTGTAAGTGAGGTGCTTCTCCTCATGCTCGTGCTTATCTTGCTTGTCGCTCTCAAGCAGTCGGGTCCCGGCTATGTCATTGGTACATGGCCTCGTCTCAGTCATACTTGATCACTTTCAATCAGTTGGAGGGCCAGGGCATGGAAATGGCGCATTCACATCGTTTCACCCCAGGCTTCTGGGACCATGATAGGCTGTTGCGGAGGCATCAGGAACACCATTCCCTGCTCAATGGCATGGAAATATATGGCCAATAATTTCATAGGCCGCATATAATATGTTCGAATACTCATTCCAAAAAGACCAAGTATGATCATGCCGCGAATGCCCTCCCAACCGTTCCATTCGAAAGGATGATCATGCCCAGTAAGACCTCATCAATCCATATCTTCATCCTCGTCATATCCGTCCTCATCTTCATCATCCAGACTCTCCATAGCATCCTTGATGAATTGTGCAGCCTATGACGAATGAGTCAGTATTCCGCCACAGCAGTCACTGTTATCATGAGACATACCTTCGGGTCCAAATTCAACGCCATGGTAAACGCCCTCACAGCATTGGCTTTTTCTCGGAGGGTTTTATACAACCTGCCCATCAAGAACCACACATTCGCCTCATCAGGGGCCACATCCCTTAAAACAAGCAGTTCTGTCAACGCGTCCCTTGGCCTGCCCAAACTCATCAGACATCTGGCCTTCTTGAACCGGCCGAGTGCGCTGTTGGGAGCCAAGGCGCATGCGCGAGTGTACATCTGCAGCGCCTTCTCCGGCTCTTTGAGCCTCTCGAGGACCAAGCCAATACAACAGATCAGTACCGCGTTCGTCGGGTTAATTTTGGCAGCTGTTCGATAATGCTGCTCCGCGATGGACCACTTGCCCATCTTTTCATACACTTTGCCGAGACCATACCAGGCGTTGTAATGTCTACCATCGGCGGCTATGGCGGCCCTGTACGCTTCCAGCGCCTTTTCAAACTCCTCGTTCGAAATATATTCATGGCCTTGCAGTGTGAATCCGTAGGCGAACTGAGGGTCAAGTTGTGTTGACCGCCTGAAGCATTTCAACGCGTGTTCGTGTTCGCGTTGGAGTGAGAACGAATTGCCGATGGCACACCAAGCTTGAGGTGAAAGTCTTTCCACCTCGATAAGTTCGTGTGCCAGATTGGCTAGTTCAATTTCGTTCTTCAGGTGCCACAGGACCGTGGAGTATATCTCCATATCTTCTAGACGAGTAGGCGCAAGCTGTCGCACTCGAACAAAGAACTTGTCGGCCTCCACGTACTGGGCTTGCTCATAGTATGCTTTGCCAATTTGGGCCAGGACATACGGGGTTTCGCGTTGTGCAGACGGTAAAGAGTTGTAGATTTGGATGGCTGTCTGGCAGTCGTAGTTGGCTAAACACAACTGAGCCGATGCGAGTCGTCCAAAGAGGTCGAGTAGTGTCTGGATGGCCTCGAGCTCTTTTGTAGCAATTGACTCTGCTCGAAGGCGGGCATTCGGTAGAGGTGGCACTGGTGGTATGTTTGTCGATTTCTGCTCCTTGCTATCGACGTCCATTGCATCGGCAGAACCAGTCCTCGTCCGGTTGCCACTGACTACTCTTCCTACGGTTGAAGTGTTTGCTGTCCTAGCTCTCACAGCCGGCGCTTTTGCTTTCTTGATATCTCGTCCTTCCCGAAGGCCAAGGGTGTTCGCCAAGGACGATATCTTGCTTCCGGCTGTGCTGCTTGCGCTCGGCTGTCTTGTAGTATTGAGCAGCCGGTTACTCCTTCTCGTCCCTTCTGCGACTGAGGTGGCTGTGTGATTCGTGGAGGTAGGCTGCCCCGAGACCGTTCTCTTAGAAGGCGCGGCTGGTGGAGGTGGGTCCTGCAATACCGTGGTATCGTCAGTAGGACCCTTGGCCTTTGCTCTCACCCGGGATGACCCAGTCTTCCACCTTGGAGGAGGGTCTGCAGGAACTTCTGCTGCACTCTTCACTTTCCGGACAGGAGCTGGGGGTGGGTCGTGAAATTGGTTAATGGGCGCTCCATTCAATACAGCTTCTTCCGCTTCTGGTTCCGTCGATGGAGTATTCAGGCCCTCTTCGTCCAAGATAGTGCTTGCTGTGTTGACACTGATCTTACTACCGTTCAACTTCTCCCAGAGAACAGAATTGTTTCCATTCGCTTTGTGTGACGAGACGAAGGGATCTTGAGACCCCTGATTTCGCTCCGTTTGAGGAACATGACTAGATGTCGGAACCTTCTCAGTGCCACCCGCCGTTTCTACCTTTGCTGTTTGTTGTTGCGCCAGATGTGTAGCGGCTATCACCTCGGCGGACATTTTGTAAATGTTTGGAACGCTGACCTTTGCACCCGACTCGGACAGTCCTGCAAATGCATCCCACATGAACGGATTCAGCTTAAGCGCCGCCGCCCACGATTCCACGGCCTGATCGATGTTCTTGTGGGCCTTCCACAGTTTTCCCTTGAGACACAGGACTGCCGCAGCGTCTGGCAGATGTTGGCGCCTGGTCTCGTTGTGTTGACCCCAAGTATTCCGATTGTGCCATAGTTGTTTACTCTTATCCAGTGCCGTCAGTCCATCGACGTAGCGACCCAGCTCGAGGGAGGCCTGTGCAAAGATATAGCTGCATCCAAGGTGTGAACCTCTCAGACCAGCAGATCGGCTTGTGTCCCAAGCAGCTTTCACGAAACCAGACTGGTACTGGCAATATGACAACAGGTAGGCGGCTTCAGCGGATCTGGGTTCGTAGGCTAGTAATCGAGCAGCGAGGAACAGAGCGTTCTTTAAGAGGTTGTTATCGAGGTGATAATAGACCAACTGCCGCAGCTGGCCCGCGATGTGTGCAACGGTAGGCGCCATGAGTGCATGGAAGCGGAAGGGAATGTGATAGGAGGGTATGAGAGGATTGGTAATTGCCTCAATGGGCGACCAGAGGTGAAGAAGGCGGTTGGGAGGACATGAATGACGGATGGTGTCAGTGTCCAAAACAAAGCACCGCGGTCGAGATGATCAACTCATGAGGTCGATTAGAGGTGTTGGAGACTCTCAGCACGAGGATAACACCAGAGTAATATTAACGTTAGGCAAGGCTAATGTCGAGTATGAATAGATCCGAGCGGTTACAATGTCGAGTGCTGGTGTTGTTTTGGCAGAGAAGGCGGGATGGTCCGTTGCTGGCCTGCGCTGCGCTACACATAAAATGTGGCTGGAAAGGAAAACACCATCAATTGATTGTGGCGGCGGGGAATGTGTTTTACTGAATTTCAATCCACTTTATCAATTGCTCTTTAAGTCCAGAAGTGGCTCTTTCCTGGCCTCAGTCACCATCAGCATTCCGTTGTCAGCTTATTCCTGCTGCTTGCAACAAAGGCACTTCACTCAGCTAGGGTATTGTCGCGCCTCAGCCCTCTCGGGATTGAGCACACGACTGCCCATTGCATAAGACAGCAACTTCTCACCATGGCCAAAGTACAATCCCTTCAAGCCTTCAGATACCAATTCTTATGATTCTCCAGAAAGCAGCCAAAAATCTAACCGTCCGTAACGCCGCCCGTCTCCAACAGACGCATCTCATCACTCTAGCCATCAACTCAGTCTTCCTCCTTTCACGCTTCACGTTCCGTCGTTCGCTCTCCCTAAAAAGCTACGTTTGTTTCTCCCTTCCAGGAGCCATCATTGAATTCTACCTCGACCGCGTTGCTCGACCTACTTACGCTGCCGATGGGACGATACGAAGTGGAGGTGAAGATCTTGATGCTGAAGGTCTGACTGAGTTCATGTGGGATGTCCTCTACTGGACCTGGATCAACGTGATCCTGGTGATTATATTGGGCAATCGAGCTTGGTGGCTGTACCTCGTTGTTCCTGGATATGCCATCTACGCCGCTGTCACTACCGCGAGCGGACTCAAGGGCATGCTAAGCGGGATGTCTGGCGCTGGCGGAGGAGGCGGAGGAGGCGGAGAGGGAGAAGGTAGTGCATCGCAGAGCAAGCGGCAAGCCAAGATGGAAAAAAGAGGAGGCCAGCGAGTTGCATATCGATGAGCGAGCGGATCTAATGAACATAATGCCCTCATATACCTATGATTTCCATACCGTGTATACTATGCACCCCTGCCATTCACCCACCTGCTCGGTACGAGGCCGAGAATGTGGGGTACGAACACTGAAGCGCGTCAATGCGATGTTGTCATTTCGACGCTGTACTTCTCCTCTCTTCAACGTCTGTCCTCGCTGTCAACTCGTCTCACCATCCTTCATCGATTCTGTCCCTTGCGCGATGATGCGAAAGCCTGTCCGCTACCATGTCCGACACATACCCTTATAACAGTCAATTGGTACGTGTTCATCTCTGGCATCGCTCTTCCCCAGATTCTCAACTAACCATACCAACCATCGTTTCAGGACGCCTTCGAGCTCTACCACAAAGTCAAAGAGGACTCGCAGCGCCCTCGATCCTCTTCCCCTAACGCCGCCCTCCTTGAAGCCCTAGGGCATGCGATTTCTGGCTCCATCGGCGCCTCCATATCCAATGCGGCTCTCTATCCCATCGACCTGATCATAACACGCCTCCAGATCCAACGCCAACTACGTGGTAAAGATCAATCTCACCCTTCCGACACCGAGTACAAATCCTTCACCGATGCTGTTCAAAAGATCTACACCAAGGAAGGCGGTATCGCCGGACTCTTTACTGGCCTCGCACAAGACACCGCCAAAACCATCGCCGACTCCTTCATCTTCTTCCTGCTGTACAGCTATTTCCGCAACCGCAGACTCGCGACTCACGCAAGCGCTCATTCTCTGCCTGCTCTCGAAGAACTATCCGTAGGCTTCCTCGCCGGCAGTCTGACCAAACTCGCAACAACACCCATTGCGAATGTCGTGACCCGTAAACAAGCCGCCGCACTTCTTGCTTCGAAAGATGTAGATACGAACAGCAATCCAAAAGGAGAGTTCAGGGTCCCCAATACCAATCAAATCATCCAGGACATCCTCTCAGAAAGAGGCTTGCCGGGCTTCTGGTCCGGCTACTCAGCCAGTCTGGTTTTGACACTGAACCCGAGCATCACATTCTTCCTCTTTGAAACGCTGAAAAGGGTCCTTCTCCCCCGTCACCGGCGTGCCCATCCACCACCATCCCTGACATTCCTCCTCTCCGCAATCTCCAAAGCGACCGCAAGTAGCATCACATACCCATTCAGCCTGGCCAAGGCGCGCTTACAAGCCGGAGGCGCCAAATCATCATCACCGTCGTCACGATCATCCGACGACGACGCCGAGACCGAAAGGAAGGTTGTCGACGACGACATCCCAAGCAAACAAGGCCGCCGCGCCGCCCGGGCGACCATTTTCAGCACAGTGCTCGCCATCGCGCAAACCGAGGGCCTAACTTCACTGTACGAAGGCTTACATCTCGAGATTCTACGCGCCTTCTTCTCGCACGGCCTCACGATGCTGGTAAAGCAGGCCATCCAGCGATTCTTGGTGCGAGCGTACTACATCACCTCCATCATCGTCGGCCGGTATCAGCGGAAGACGAAGAGAGGCGCGAACAGACTGTCCGCCAAGGCCAGAGCGAGTGTCGAATATTACAATCTCGCCATGGCCAGGGCGGGTGAGAGGGTCGAGGAGGCCTCGCATGCCGTTCAACAAAGAGCGAATGAGACGGCCGAGTTTGTGGCCGAGTATGTCGAGGAAGAAGGCGGGGAATGGAGAAATCTTTATGGCACGGCTGGCCTGGCGCGCTGGTTGGATAAGGATCGTCATATGTGAGAAGGGGCGTACAGTTGCGTTGGTGTGTAATTTCATGTGAGAAACGGGGAGCATGGACGTCGTGATCACCTACAGTTATGTCCCTCAACATCCGAAGGGGAATGGTCAAGCGTTTGGAGTGGATGCGAGGACGAATGGCTTCAACATACGGAGTTTCTACATTGTTAATTCATGGGTGCGAAAGACACATGCTCGAACCTGTTGCTCACCGCGGCCGAGAACATGTTTTGCGAGGGGCTGCAGCACAAGACAGATCGGTTCGAGTTAAAAACCTCTAGCAAAGCATTGATACTTGGAGATGAAAAGGACTTCTTAATCGACATCTTCCGCAGAACCAACCATGGCACACGATTGACGCGCGATTGTATTGAAGTCCATGGGACATTCCAAATCCACCGCAAGTGCTTGTATAGTTGCCATTGTAGAGGATTTACAATCTCATTGTCCCGGAGGTCTTTACGGCTCGCCAAGCCCATGCTTGACAGTCCTCTCCAAAGGACCGATGATACTATCTGGGTATTAGAAAGAACAAAAACCATGAAAGATCAATCCTTGTATCAACCACCTGAGGACCATCCAGAAGATGACGAGCGATATCCTTTTGCCAGTTTGCAAGAGCCTGCTCTCCTCATCCATAAACGCCCGTTCTTCTTTCCTATCATAACATCATAACAGACATGCCCGGCTGCCGACTGGTCTGAGTCGACGCGCACCAGGACTTTATGCTCTCATACTCGTCCGTCGCCTCAGTCCGTTCTCCGCTGCCTGCAAGTCTCGAGCGAATCTCTCGTCTGCATCCACATCACTTTCCGCTGTACTCCCGCTACTATTGGGTCGGGCGGAAGCTTCGATAGACGCACTATGTCCGGCCAGCATTCCTACTCTTGCCATCTGATGTAGGGTCGAGGAAGTATGGCTTGACGATCTCCGGCTTTTCTCACTCATCATCGCAGTTTGTGCACTCGCAGCACTGGACCCACGTCTGTCGCTTCTCGGGGGCTTCGGGTATGTTTTGCTTGGTGACCTTTTGTCCTCTGGCGTGTATCTCTCCACTTGTTTGTGCTGCCTAGAAGATTGCCTCGATCCTGGAGTCGAAGTGGCTATTGCTGAATGGTCTCCGTTGACAGATGATCCATTCTTGATGGGGACAGGAGTGGCAAATGCGCTATCGTGTCTCGAGGCTACGGATTCCGTGACATCGCCGCCGACCACGATAGTGTCGGCTTGGTCATGCTCCATCTTGATATCAACTGTTTCGGCTGTTTCGACCGCAATCGCGGTGAATGCCGGATCGACCGGTGGCGTGTCAGGACCGTCATCGTCGGTTAGCTGGGGATCGGTCCGTCCATTCAACATAGGGATAGCGTCCTCAGAGTCGTCATGATCATTGTCCATAAACGGCCCCGGCGTATGGAAACTCTCCTCTACTGCCTCTGCGCCAAAAACAGCAGTATCGCCATTTGTGAGCGCTGGATCAATCAAGTCGTCCAACGCATCATCGGATGTCTTTGCACGTTTGTTGGGTCCATTCTCGTCACTGGGTCGAGACGGGCGTTTTGAGCTGGACGATCCACGAGGCTTTGATGGTTCTGCAGCCTTCGCAGGATCGACACGGCCATATTCATCATGCACGCATCGCCGCTAGAAGTCGTAAGTAGCTGACAGATTCAAGTTCCATGGATCACTGACCTTGCTCTTCCGACATTCTTCACAAGCTTTAGTCCTTCCCTTCTTGGACGACTGCGGGTCGTTCGGGTCTGACCCATTCCCCGGCGTATCCAAGGCTGGATACTGTTCGACATTTCCATTCAATAGGCCTCCTTTGACCGGAAGAGCACCATTCGAGAAGCTCCGTGGTCGGATCTCAGGAGCAGGTCTTGTTGGAGTTTCGCTGCCTGACTTGTGCTTGCATTTTATTCGGCGCTTTCTGCAGCTCTCACAAGCTGACTTGCTCCCATTGCCTTTGGAACCAAGCTTCGCAGTCTGTTTCGCAGGAACAACGACACTGATAGCAGGAGGAGGGCTCTGCGCTTGTGCTTGAGCCTGAGCTGCCTTGCGTGCCGAAGTACGTTCTCCGGGGAGACGATAATTGTCGGGTTTCCTGATCTTTTCAATTTGTTCGACTTCCAAAGGGCCATCAGAGTGTACCCATTCAGGAGCTGCCACATTCCCAGTCTTCCATGCAATCCAGATGGCGAACAGTTTGATCATGACTAAGGGTTCGCTGCATTCTTTTGGGATAGAGTTTTTGACCGCTTCGATTTGCTTCTTGTTGATGTCAGCAACAGGCAAGCCGGCATGTACTCGAGCAGTCCGGTAGAGGTAATCCCTTAGTGAAGGCCATCCTGAAACTTCTGCTTTGGGGTAATATCTAGAATTATAGGCCGGATGTCCGGGTTCTGCAGTGTTTTCCAAATGACCAATTTCATGCCATACAGGATTTGCGCGCAAGAAGGTATGATCAGGGTCTTCCCGAAAGTCTTCGACCACTTCCTCTGGCACGGGATCCTCATCGAGATATTTCATCAAGGCATACCACATGACCTTTTGGAAGAAGGGATATCGAAATTTGGCGGCGACTTTTGTTGCCTTTTCAACGTTGAAGACCTTGAGTTGGGTTTCATAGTCGATTCGGGTAAGAAAGTTGCCTCCAATGACAAGGCTGTCTTCTGGTGTCCAAACAGAATGGATCCAGCCGGCAGGGATGAAAGCCGTATCTCCTTCGTGAAGATCGACTCTTGTGACATTTCCGCCACAAAGATCTCCCAGCCATGTCTCGTTCTGTGAGTCTGAGTTACACCATTCTTCGTACTTTTTGAGGTATTTGTCTTCCGGCGGAATGAAAAAGAAGGTTTTCGTCCCCTTCAGGATGTGGTAATAGACAGACGAGCCTCCGAAATCGATGTGGAAGTCGGTATAGCTGTCAGCAACAGACATCAGGCAATAAAACTGGACAGGTCGCTTCTTGGCTCGTGTTTCCGGGTCGACATGCCAGACGGTGTCTTCAAGATCAAGCTCTCGAACAACCCTGGGACGTCGTAGAAGCTTGCCGAGAGGACTGTGGGAGACTTCCAGGCTGATGACATTTCGAATTGGTTTCTCGCCTTGCTTTTCGTAGTAGTCTGCCCATTCTCCTAGAGTCCATTGTCCCTTCGTTTCTTGTGTTTTGACATCAATGACAGGGACATGCTCGTGTGGTCCGTAAAGCTCTGCCACTTTTCGAACGGTCAGATGGCGTGGAATTACCATGTCGAGTAAATCTTGATCACAGTCAATGACTTCTTCATCTGCTGGTTCGAGAGTGGGTGTCATCTCCCGGACTACCGAGTCACCCTCTCCATTGATGAGCACAGAGGTGGCAGTCTCAGATTCGGGCTTTGGGCTTCTTGGACGATTTGCGCCGAATCGGGGGTTCCAACATGATGGAACCACAAAAGGTCGCTTCATTCCATCAACGCTCTCCATGAACTCTACCGTGAGGAGCTCTGGCCGGATTCGTGCAAAGTCATCCGTCAAAATAGCGATCTTTCCCTCCTTGATCGGTTGTATGTAGTGATGGGTGTGAGTATCATCAGAAGACTTGACCACGCCCTGATTAAGATTCACATAGTCAACGGCAGTTCTTTGGCGGGAAGACTTGCGCACATAAGTGGTCTTTCCATGGGAAGGTTCACAGTCCTTGCAGATGTATTTGTCTACACCTCTGGCCTCTGCTTTTGTTCTGAACCCTGCGCACTTCTCGTGGAACCACAGCTCGCAGGGACCGCACTGTATCCAGGTAATCTCGATGTCTTCTTCATTTGTAGCTTCTGGCTGGAGACGATGGCATCCAGCACACGTATCCTGTTGTTTCTCTGGTCGTATCCTTTTCTGCTTCTGATTAAGCACAGTCGATGGCGATGTAGGACCGAGGGCGAGCTGCGTATCGGGATTTTGTGGGAGAGTCCCATCGGTAGCCTCGGTGGATGCGGTACCTTGCTTCGAGAAGTCTGGTGGTTGAACTGGAAGGTTGTCTGTCCCTGGCATCGAGATGTGGCCAGGGTCAGCATCTACCGCCTTTGTAGTCTCCTTGTTCGGTGCAAGCGCCGAGTCTATCAACTCTCTTTCCGGGCTCTGGTATGGTTGTGCCTGCGCAGCAGGAGTCTCCTGAATATTCCAATCTCCTAAAGTCTGCCGCGATGGAGGCGGTGAATACGCCTGTTTATGAAGAGTTGCTGGTTGAAGTGACGGAGTCTTACGCTTGAAGTTGACTTCATTTTTCAGACTGAGCAAGAGCCAAGCATCTTCATGTGTTATGTCTTCTGGCGTTTCGTAACCGCTGGTTTTCGGTCTGTTTGGTCGCGGCGACCATTCAAGGTTGGGAATCCGCTCAGATTTGATTCGTTTCGCTGGAGGCCCACTGGAGAGCTCCTCGTAGCTATATCGCTGGATATAGGAGGTAGATGGTCGCGTCGCAGAGTAAGGACTTCGTACGGAAAAGGAGGGAGAGGCTGCGTTGACCGTGCCAGGACTGGTGGCAATGGCAGCACTGGCGAGATCATCAATGGTTGAACCGGAGCGTGTGTGGCCTTTCGCTCGGGAGTTTCGAGTCTCTTGAATGAGTTTAGGATTTCTCGATAACCAGTCCGGGAGGTCTTGCGAAGGTAGGCTATTGTGTGTAGTCGCTCCGCCGACGACTCGAGCACCGACGTGGGCGGCACCATCTTGATCATAGTATAAGTGGTCTGGTTGTAACGTAGTTCCTGTATTATCTGATATTCCCGCGTCGGACAGCCCGAGTCCGCTTAACGAGTAGCCATTCTCGTATGAGGTCTGAGGCAGAGTCGAAGGTTCGGCGACGGTGGAGGGTGGGAGGATCGGTTCAGGAGAAAGTCTTTCGATTGAATCGGCTTGGGGCCGTATAGGGCTGACTCCTCGAGGTCTCTGAGGGTCTTCGGAGAGGCGCCATACAGTAGAGGTAGGCATGATTTTCGTTCAGCAGATGCGCAGGGAGGCGGGGTTGTTGACTTTAGGAGTGTACGCGGTCGGAGCTGAGAACGAGCCACGAGCGAAATTGGCTACATTTGTGGAAGAGCATTGGGAAATGCTGGCAGAGACAAAGGGAGTGACAACAATTATAGGTGTTGCATGGTGGTGAGTGGTGAAGCGATTCTGGTGCGTGGTTGAGGAAGCGGAAGTTAAGTTGTTACTGTCGAATTGCGCCGTCACTTTCTTCCTCGCCGCAGATCTTGACCACTGTCCGCAACACGCCCGGAATCTGGCACCACACAGTCGTCGAGTTAAGAGTCTTGTACTGCACGACTATTCACAGTCTCTGAGCTCCTCACGGACGTAGCCTTTTTTCCGCTCCTTTTGCACCGTTGCACCTTCCAGTGTCGAGTCAGGAGGGATTGTCTCGGCAAAGCGCAGTCTGCATATTGACCACAAGGCTGCGCATCCAACCACAGAAAACGACGACATCCTCAAAACACTCTCGCCACAGTCTCGCGGACGCTCCAATACTTATTCGACGACCGCAAAGCCTCCTTGAAGCCATAACCGTTGCTCAAAATGTCACGCAGCAACAAACTCGCCCCCGAGGCCAACCGCATCCTCTTCGTCAAGAATCTAGCATACAACGTTGACAGTGAGAGTTTATGGGCTCTATTCTCTAAGTTTGGACATGTACTTCAAATCAGGGTAGGAAATTCGAATACCACAAAGGGCACAGCGTTCGTGGTGTACAATGATGTGTTGGACGCGAAGTCAGCCTGCGACAAACTAAACGGGTTCAACTTTATGAATCGCTACCTCGTGGTCTTGTACCACCAACCTGAGAAAATGAAGGTCGAGGCCAAAGAAGACATCGCGGCCAGGCAGGAGAACCTGGAACGCATGAAGCGGGAACATGGGATTGAATGACCGGCGCATATTGCGGCGAATGACTTGGCCAAAAGGCCAACTGATACTGCCGGCAAAATTCTGATATATGAACAAAGCTGGGACAGTGCTCACTGGGAAGCGCCTGAACGGAGTTCTGCTGCTGATGACATGAGTCCGGGGCTCTACAAGGTCGGGGAGCACAACGCTCGCTATCATCTGCATTCGCACTCGAGGGATGTGTTGCGCAGTCGCAAGGGCGCAAAGGCAAGGCGAAGTGAATCAGGGAGGCTATGCGGAGAGTCGGATTGAGGAAGTCAATGGCCTTAGTAACATGTCAAGCACACCTTATAACATGTCAAGCACACCTTATAACATGTCAAGCACAGGAGCATTGGTCTCAAGGTCAGACATTGGATTATTCGCTCAAGCCTGCGCATTTCAGCCAGGAGCACCGCCAGGCACGTATGGCCTCCTAAAAGCCAGGCTCCTCTCTATGCGTTCCATGCAGTGGAGCTTCAATACCGTAGCATCTCAAGCATCCAACTTCTTGTACACCTTCCATCCCTCCCTCTGCAATCGGTGTTCCTTCTCCATGTTCTCATCATCCATCTTCTGCAAATGGTTCTCGACCCACTGTTGCACCTTCGCATCACTCGTGCCCACGATTCTCGCCGCAAGAATCGCCGCATTCGTGCTATTCCCAATGCCAACCGTAGCCACAGGCACGCCCCGCGGCATCTGCACAATACTCAACAAGCTGTCCAGCCCATCCAGACTGCTCGCTTTGACCGGCACACCAATAACAGGAACAGACGTCTCCGATGCCATCATACCAGGAAGATGTGCCGCACCGCCAGCAGCAGCAATAATCGCCTTGGTCCCACGCGCAGCAGCCGCCTTGCCGAAATCCAACATATACTGCGGCGTCCGATGAGCAGATGTGATGTGCACTTCGTAGGGAATTTCCATCGTATCGAGGATCGTAAGACCGGGTTTCAATGTCGCCAGATCAGTATCTGAGCCCATGACAACCGCAACGACCGGTCGTGGGGCTGGCGCAGGGTTGCTCTTCCCTAATTCCGCAGCAGTATTCGCTATCGACGCAGCAGAAGCTGGTGAAGTATCCGTGCGATGAGCACGCAACGCGTCGACCATGTTGATAAGAGGCTGCATTTTTGTCTCGCACTCCGACATACTAGCGCCGATCATCGTGATATGGCCCATCTTACGTCCCGGTCGTCCATCGCCTTTGCCATACAAATGGACTTTCGCTTCGGGAACATCCTGAGCGGCTTCCACCACGAGAAGGTGAGAGTCGGGCTGTGGTCCGCCGAGGATATTCAACATGATTGCCGCTGATGTTGGAACCAGTAGGCTTGTCGCGCCAGGCCGTATCCGGGGAGCCATATCGGGCAATATGGCTTTGATATGGGCCTCGTATTGAGACATATGACATGCCTCAATGGTATAGTGGCCTGAGTTATGTGGTCTTGGGGCGATTTCGTTGACAACTAAGCTATCGTCGCTGAGGAGGAAGAGTTCGACGCCGAACACGCCGGTCCCGAGAAAAGTCGAAACAGCTCGTCGAGCAAGGTCCTGAGCAGCTTGTATCACTTTCTTCGAGACGTCTCTTGGCGGAACGTACACAAGCTTGCAGATACTGTCTTCATGGATAGTCTCGACCGTAGGGTAAGCCAGAGTACTCGACTGCCAGAATTCAATAGACGCTTCCTGCGCGGTCTTGACGACCATGACTGCGAGCTCCATTTTGAAATGAGCCCATTTCTCAGCGTACAGAGGACGATCCTTCAGAGCTTTCAAGCCTGGTTCAATGTCTGATACCGACTTGATTGGATAGTTACCTCGTCCATCATATGCCTCTGTTCTCGATTTCAGCATGAGAGGGTAGCCAAGTTGGTCAGCAATATCTTTGAGGCCCTGAGGATGCGACGTGCCAACTGCGATGGATTTGGCTGTCGCAATGCTGAATTTTGCAAAGTGTTGTTTCTGTAGGAATTTGTCTTGAATGACTCGGACGGTCCTCCAGCTTGGCTGGATTCTCCCCCACTCAGTGCCATCAACGAAGGCTTTCTCACCTTCCAGCTCCTCTAGGACTTTCGTATCAACGTGCTCAATTTCATATGTGAGAACATCACATCTGGACGCGAGCTCTTTGACATCTGAGGCCTTGGCGAATGACCCAGTAACATGCTTGTCAGATGCTATTCGGTTGATCTGCTTGGCTGGAGCATTTTCACTATCCAATACCGCAACTTCAATGTTGAGTCTGTTTGCAGCTTCGACGAGCATACGACCCAGCTGACCGCCACCCAGCACGCCCACCACGTACCTACCCATTTTACTGTGCGATGTGGTCCGAAAAAGGGTCGTAAAAAGGCAGGTGACAGCCTTATGTTAGAAGTGACAGACTCGTGATGTAGTCAAGCGGGGAGAAGTTTGACCCGATATCTCTTCACCTGTTGTGTCAGGCTTGTTCCAGTCCAGAGGTTGAAAAGACGATCCCAACCACAGCGTCGAGCAAGCGGAGGAAGATAGAGATAACTCCAACCAGGCGCACTGATGTTCGGCCTTTTGCTGCAAGCTCTATCCTAGTCTACTGAATGAGAGAGTGCTGGTGTCCTAGGAAGGGTGGAAGTGGAATTGAGGACAGAGACGGCCTTTGTTGTTGCAACACAAGGATAGATCTTAAGTGTAGCACAAAAATTTTGTAAGGACCTGCAGCAGCTGTGCAAATTCTTTGGCTCTGTCTGACAGACGCGGCCGCATTTCGCCAATGAGCACCTGTTCCTTTTACAGCCCAAGTGAGCCCCCCTTACAATTGAATGCATCAGATAGGTTCTTACCTTTGAGATGCCACAGGCACCACCGGATCATCGAGTAAAGTATCTCTCTTTCCATCAAGCATGCACTGGCTTGAGACCCCAAAAGCACCCTTCGGAGATGTCGAAATATTCGGTGTCTGACAATCACATTTTCTATGTGTCGAGTGCGTGCAGCTGTGCTCTTTTGAATGGTTGGAGATCCTGACAAGTCTGTCCCAAGAGAACGGCACCAGTAACTCCTGCGAGGTGCCTCATGCTACAAGCCTCACGTGAGGCCTTCAAGTTGGGCACCGTGGGCACCCAAGGTCTGCTACAGAACTTGCACATTCTGTCCATGGCACTTCGAGATTGGCTCGTTGGAGCCCGGCGAAAATTGCGATAGAGTGGAATTAGAATCCGTAGCATGAACTACTGAGAGGTCCTGAATTACATCTCCTACAGTACCTTCGCGACATCTCCACCAGAGGCTTTTGGGAGGTGGTTTACCGCAACTTGGTCGAAAATGTTGGACAAGAGCACAGCCATACCTTCCAACACCGAAGATCTACCTGCAGTGAGGCCTGAGCAGTGAAAGACGCTGGTACTGTGCTCCCACGGCCGAGGCTTTGCGCAACTAGCTATGGCGTAGATGGCTTTCCTGGCGACCAGCCTATCTTAAGCCTCATCACCAAGTCTAGGGTTCCCGCTTGCTAATTTCCCCGTTCGCCAGCAGGACACCTTCCGGGGCTCTCCGGGGAAGGCAGTGGGTTACACACGCCAGGCAGACAACATGACAATTGACAACATGATAGTTGGTCCAGTCGTACGAGGTAATCGGCGGCGAAGGGGGAAGGTGACACAACCGAAGAAGCCACCATCCCAGTGCGAGGGCCTGCGCATGAAGAGAAGATGATGATCACTTGTCATTATTCCCTCGTATAGACTTTCGGACTCGAGGGTGCCAGGGAAGACCTTGTTGGGCATCTCACACAGATTATTTCCTGACCTCGGCCTGTAATTGTACAACTGTTACTCCGTACGCATCAATCATTTGCCGGTAATAAGCAAGGAGTTGACGAATGTCTTGGTGCAAACCACGCAAATGGATCTGAATGGTCGCATCCGGTAGCAAAGCCGCCATCCCCCCGTCCAACTTTGCAAAGGGCCGTTGCGTTTGTGGCGGGAGCCCCATGCTTTGCGTTCCGGCCGCATTGCCGCAACAGACGGCGGCATCTGTTGATCAACCTAGACAGGGATTGTGATGGGGACCCTGGGGCCTAAAACGATCGCTAAGCAGGCTTCGGTTACTTCTGGCATCGGATGCGGACGTTCTGGCGTGGGATGGGGAACTTGAATTTCCTCCAGGCTTCCAGGCTCTGGGAAGTAACTTCCTGGCTCTGGGAAGTAACTTCCTGGCTACTGAGTTCCGACGGCACCAGTGTCTCTGTTAGCTGACGCGGAGAGTAATAGTTCCTTGTCCTGGCGCTTCCGAACTTTGGGAAGCCCCAGAAAGTACGGGACATGATCGATCATGCCATCCATCGAATACCAGTCCAGGAGATCCCCCGGTCAACAAGCACGACGAGGGCAATGTGTCAACGCATTCCGCGAAAGGCCATGTTTCAGGCTGATGACGAAAACGGCACAATTCAAACAGCCACAACAAAACGTTTAGGCCGCAAGAAAAGAGAACCGGAGATAGCAAATGGATGGAAATCATACTCGTATGAATGAATGCAAGCGGCGTTGGTCAGCTCCCCATTCATTTACCCCTGCCCCAGCAAGGGATCCAGGATCCAAAGGCCCAAGAAGCCGCCCTCGTGGTTACGGGGAAACAGCTCTGGCCCATTTGGGGTCGACTGGCCAGCCGGATTCGTTTGAAATGTGACATCCCACGTCGTCTTTCACCGCCATGATTTCTGAACGACAAGTCCCAGACTCTTTTTTCTCCAGGCGAAGGGGGTATTTGACTGCCGTCAATTCTTCTTGGAAAACTCCGACTTCCCTGTTCCTGATCTGAATTTTCCTCTCACCCACCCATTGCCTGCCACAGACCATAAGTAGTCCCAGATATCCCTGCTGATCACAACGATTCTCCTCATCGGCTGTACCTAGTACCTGCAGCACATAGCCGGCGATCACCATTGCGAAGCACACCACCGACAAGTGAGTTGATCTCCATGTAAGCATCAGCCTAACACTTGCAGAGCGCTGACTGTGGAGGGCCAGCATCGCAGCTGCCTATATACAGATCATCCTTGCACGACCGAGAAAATGCCTGCTCCGCACGAAGCCATGCATCGATCTTCTTATCGATCAACGGTCCTCGCATCTGAGACCTCGAGCCGAGATATCCGAAAAGCTGTTGAGGCCTCTCCGCGACCCAAATATGCCTCTTACACTGAGCGAAGACAGTTTCCGGAACATTCACCTCCACCTCCTCCACCATCTCCAGTGCACTGGAACCGCGATAAGCACGACGAATGAAACGACATCTTCCTCCTTACATTCTTGGTCGTTTCGGTTCATTTGGAGCGTGGTGTGGTGGCTGGCTGCAACCTATGGGTTCACTTCTGCATTGTCATTCTTAGGTTTGCATTCTGGCAATATTGCACCGAAGGCTGGAGTTCTGGTTAGCGACACCAAGCGTTGGAAAAATATGGGAGTTGGTCGTGTCAGTCAGGTTTATCGCCCAGCGTTGGAGCTTCTTGTTGGGACTCTCCGTCCTGGTTTTGTTCATTTAGTCGAGAATAGATTTCTTGAAGCCTCGTGAGAGCACCAGCATCTCCTCTGATCACTTGTCGATTCAAGTCGTCTATCTCGTCGTGCATAGTCTCATGCATTGCAGGCTTCTCTCTTGCAACAGATCTTTCGTTGACGTATGTTCGGACAAGGTCTTGTTCTCCACGTTGACGTTTGATGTTCATCAATTTCTCAAGGAATGATGCCTGTTTTTTCATCTGCACATTCACCTTGGGGTTTGAGCGGTGGAAATCTCCCAGACTACTACCATCCACAACGTCATCCGATCCGGCTCGCTGTCGTCTTGTGTTGTCGCCTTTTTCCTGGAGTCCTTCACCCGGCGCGTTGCTCTTCACCACTTTTGCCCCTTCAGCAACGAGTTTGATCCGTGACGTTCCGATCAGATCATAGTCGTCAGTGGATTGCAAAGTGTCCATACGGGCCGTTGAGCCAGGATGAGTGAAGAACATGTTGGTGCCAATCATATCTGTCCACATGCAGCTGTATACTTGACCCATGTAGGAAACGATCGGGTTGGTAGAGTGGAGGTCTAAAATCTGGACAGTCTCCCTAAAGGGTGACATCCCGGGACCTTCGTCTCCTGCCTCACCATATGGTGATCCCTGAGTTGTCGTAGGTCCATTGGTGCCTGCATCGAGGTTCTCTGTTGGATTGGGAGTGGCTTCAGGTCCATCGGGCGATTGCGGAAGATAGTCGTCGGCTGCTCTCTTGGAAGGGATCACCCGCTTAGGCGCTCCAGGAACTCTTGCGCGGGTAGTTTGATTCACCGACGAAAGGTCAAGATCCACGAGGAATGTCTGTCCAGAAGATATAAGGAACCGCCAAAATGAAAGCGAAGCGAGTTTGTGCTCAATGCATCTCCTACCTCTGTTTCGTTCTCATCATACTCATACTCATACTCATCATCTGCGAACATGGTTGTGTGAGAATTCAGGATATTGCTCTATCATGGCTGTTTGAGTCTGAATAGAGGTCGAATTGCAGGTAAGGAAATCTGGACTCGGTGGGTTTTGGATGAAGCCACAATCACGTGAACACGTGATATGCATAAAAAGCGGCTTGAAACTCGGCTGCTTCCGTGTCCGTGTTGAGTGATGTTGGCTAACCCAATACCCAAAAGCTGGCAGTGCCTTTCCTGTCAAGGTCAAACGGGCAGGAGTAATTGCCTACCAGGTAAGTAGCAAGTATCGAATGCCAACTTGTCAAGGCAAGGTGAGACATGACCAAGTGAGGAGGTTGATGAACTCGAACTGAGCAAGAATCGTCACAAACAAACTATGGCCGATTGAGCTTAGCGCTCGGACTTGGGGGATTTTCTTCTTCAGCCAACGATGTCATCAGTCAGGCCCACGGCCCAGACACAGTCAGCCTCAGATGGACCTCCGAAGCCTGTTTCCCTTCCACCCGTCTCACCCTCTCTTCACAATCCATCGTGGCACTTGGAGCGAGGGATGTGTCTCATCAATTATTATCAATACCCCCAAACCTACTTGAGATAGGTGAATGCTAGCACATCGTCCCCAAGACACCAGACCGCTATATCGCACGGCCCTCGCCGGTTGGTCCATTTGACCAATCACATCTACTAGTACGTCAAGCCGTCTCCCCAAGATCCCAAGGCGAGTCCTCCCGGGCCTTAGGCGGATGTTGGCGGAACTGCACTATCGTGGTATTATTCATCCTCAGCAGTGGACCGGGGCTTAATGTTGCATAACGGCGGAGCTTCGCTGTGTCATTAAGCCCGGATACAGGTCCCTCTTTCGTGAGGTGTTGGCTCCATGCAGTTGCGATAGGCATTTCGACAGCCTTGACGGTGCCAGACCCTGTTTCCACCCTGGCCGCAACATCCGTGTGGTGAACATTGTTTACCCAGTCATATACCTTGCCCTTATGTCAGATCTATAGCACTCGTGATAAGATGGCTAATTTTTCTCGGCTTTCGCTCTTACAGTGTCTATGACCTTGCATCATGCCGGCCCAGTTCGGCTGACAAACACCATATATACCTCGACGGCGGGCTCCTCGATCCTCCCCACCATTCGCTTTGTAGAGACTCCGGCCAGCCCGACAGTCCACGATTACATTCTCTCAACAGCGCAGGCGCCCTTTGATACAGACGACCCGACTGATCTCGAACCTACCTCCGTCGTGGTCCCGATTGAGTCGAGTGCGGCAGGTCCTGAAGCAGACAACACCCTCTATGACTCGGTAACAGACAAGTCTCTGCACGGAGAGGAGATGGGTGGAACCAAGGTCAAGGCCACTATAGGTGTCCTGTCAACCATAATATCTTACATGTGCATAAACAGCATACTGAAGGCGACAAACCCTGAAGCTTTCATTTGGCAAGATGAAGATCGGGAAGAAGCGAAATGGGTGGCTACGTCTAGGTCGTGGTTAGACCGGAAAGCCTGTCGCTGGCTCGCAGTCTGCGGCGGTACACACATACACTATGCTTCAGAGACCACCAAGTTTGGACATCGGCCTTTGATGCAGCACACATCTAAGAAGTTGGTTGACCACCAACCAGACTGGGACTGGCAGCATGCATGGACAGAAAGCAATGACAGGCCGGAGGATTGGACAGACGATGAGCGTGTCTTGAGAGAGATCCCTGACTATGTCATGGAACACGCACCACTTGTTCACCTCTACTCCGGAGAGCAGTTCTGGCCATGTGACATTGCGGAACATCTGTTCCACGTAACACCTACACTCAACTATACGCGACTTCAATCTGGAGAACAACACCTGAACCTACAGAACTTGGACGAGCTGAACCAGTGGCAGAATGGTCGTTGGGTGTTTCTGACCAGCAATGATGACGTTGAGGAACGGCCAGAATGGCTGGAGGGTGAAAAGAACATTCCCAGCAAGCCTTCAAACCCGAATGATGCTTTCGAAGATAATGACGGGTGGGTCCACAAGCCTGGTCGGACCTATGCTCAAGGCATCAAGGACGCGATGTATGATCTCAAAGACTGGTTTGCGCCTGACCTGAAAGATTCGGAGGATGCAGCCGATTTTCGTGAGTCTTTCACCAGCCAATCAGCAGCAGAGAAGGCTGCACGCCAGGTACACCTCGAATTGAAACGCTCCATGCTTCAAGATAATGCGCCGGGCAGGATTCGAGGCGGCCGAAGTGACGCCCCTGCCGTTCTGGTCACTATCAACAAAGGACACGGCATTGTCGATGCATTCTGGTTCTTCTTCTACAGTTTCAATCTAGGCAATGTGGTGTTGAACGTCCGATTCGGCAACCATGTAGGCGACTGGGAACACACTGTCGTTCGATTCCAACATGGACAACCCAAGGCTGTATTCTTCAGTGAACACAATTTTGGATCTGCCTACAGTTATGACGCTGTCGAGAAGATCGGCAAACGACCTGTCATCTATTCTGCGTACGGAACGCACGCAATGTATGCAACTCCAGGAACACACCCATACATCCTACCTTGGGGTATTCTCCACGACTTGACCGACCGTGGTCCGCTATGGGATCCGTCCCTGAATGCCCACACCTATACCTACGACCACAAGACCGAAAACCTACGATCCTCCAACATCACTTCCAGCGCACCCACTGAATGGTTTCATTTTGCTGGGCACTGGGGTGACAAGTTTTATCCGCTCGGCGACAAGAGACAATATCGCTTTGCCGGACAGTACCATTACGTGAACGGACCTATTGGTCCCAAATTCAAGCATCTCGGAAGAAAGAAGATATGTCAAGGTCCAGAAACGGCACCCTGTGTCATCAAGAATTGGCTTGGCTCTGGTGATAAGATTGGACGTTTGAACCCTGGAAACAAGAATGGAGAAGATGATATGTAACGAAGACATGAAGACGGCGTTCTGGTTGAGCTCACCCGGTGATTCGCATCATGATACCCTTCGGAGTGTGCCTTTGGTTGGCGGTTCAGGTTGGCGGTTCAGGATTGATTTTTATGATACCCGCCGGTTCTAGACCCGATTCTGGGCTCTTTGTACGCAGTTATGAGTGTAGGAGATAGAAGCAGGACAGACATATTCTGTTCAGTGTTTTTGTTTCTGAGCACCTTCGCTCTAGGAAGGTCCACGGGTACATACGTAAGTACCACAGTGGAATAATACCCTACCGAGGCGTGACTTCTCTGGACTACTAGGCAGGCTTGCTGGTTAGTACGAGCTCGTACTGAAATACGAAGGCGGACGCATGACGATGGACTTGGCATCTCCCCGCCAGTGCCCGCCTCACATGATGGCCACTGCGTCAATACTGCGACCACCTAGACCTCCCTAGGAAACAATGGGCAGCGCCTTCTTTGCCATTACCCTTCACGATTCATCAAGACCTCTCAGCAGGCTGAGAGATATTTTTCTTTTAAACCAATGACCTTACAATAACAGAGTCACGCGTCCTCTTCTCTGCTCATGCAGCCTCCTGATCTCTTAGCCTCCTCGACGGTGGTTCATGATGTGATCGTCTCAGCGTCGCCTTTACCCACGAGCATCATGACAACCACCACTACCTTCCTGTTTGAAATAGCAACAGTTGCCGCCTCATCTGCACAGACATCATTGTCACCGCTGGCTTCAGCTGCGCCGTCAGCGATCGCGTCGATAGCTGATTCGGACGACGAGAGTAATGGCGAATGCAAATTACTCGGGCCCTTCGCCATCCTCATTCAAAGCGCTCTAGGCGCTCTTGCGTTGTTATCTTTGGTTTTCAAGAGATGGAGAGAACGACCGCAGCGGCCGCTGAAGATTTGGTCCTTTGACGTCTCAAAACAAGTCGTGGGATCGATCCTCCTGCATCTGGCAAATCTTCTCATGTCGATGATTTCCTCTGGTCAGATTGAGCAGAGTATTGCTCAGGCGGCGGCAAACACATTCGCAGCGGATGTCACTGATGTGTATCAGCCCAATCCTTGCTCTTTCTATCTACTCAATTTGGCCATTGATACAACGATTGGGATTCCGATATTGATTGGTATCCTGAAGATCCTTACCATCGGCGCTAGTTACACACCTCTGGCAAATCCAAAAGAGTCAATCGAATCTGGGCATTACGGCACTCCGCCAAGAGCCACCTGGTGGCTTAAGCAGTGTCTTATCTATTTTTTAGGCCTGTTGGGAATGAAAGCATGTGTTTTCCTGATCTTTCACCTGTGCCCCTGGCTCGGACGAGTAGGTGACTGGGCACTCCGATGGACGGAAGGCAACGAGGCTCTACAAATTGCCTTTGTCATGCTTATCTTCCCGCTGATCATGAATGCCCTGCAATACTATATTATCGACACGTTCATCAAAAACTACAAGGGTCCTGCTGATGACGCCGAGCATGAAAGAGAGCACGGTGAAGAAGAAGAGCACGGCGGCTTGCTGGAAGAAGATTATCCTGACCATGGTCAATCCATCGACGAAGTTGAGATATTCAAGAGCGCTGAAGGGACGCCCGACCCCAAGTTCCAGAGCAAGCCTATCGCAGCCTATGACCCCAACAAAGATGGAGAAGTGGATATAACCGGTCGGGAAGGGGAGAGCAGTTCGCTGGCAAGTCACGCGGAAGAAGAAGCTGTAGAACACAGGCCACGAATTTGATTTGACTTGTGCCATTGGGGTCTGGGACCTATGTTTTGGATGGTGTCAATCCAAGGTATACTATGTCCCAAGCATGCCAGTCTTCGGGGTGATACGGAGTCAACGTACTGCACTATCGGAAGACACATGCAATACCAGCGCCTTGCGACATTTCTTTACTCAATTGTGCAGGCTTTGTCGAAGTTCTTCTGACAACATTGACTTGTTACTGGCCAAGAATAACCACTCTGACCCGTTTCGCCCGCAGCTAGCCGCCCCGCCACCTATCAAGGGATTGCCCTCGCCCCCTGAGGCAACTAACATGTATGTGGTTAAGCCGGTGCCTGGAAAATCTGGTCACTTAGCTGTCAAGTGGCGATGCGATCCAATTGCGGGGGACGCTTGTGCGTAATTAGTTCCTGCATTCGCTTCGGAGGGTCATTGTTTGCAACCATGTGATGCAAGACGAGGAAAACTTTGCGCAATGTGTCTCAACATAAATAGCTAGAGCAAAGGACACGTATCGAAAGGAACCTCAAAGGCCGAATTCTCTTGTGCAGTGATCTGTGCCCCTAGATTGAATAGTGTTTCAGCTGGTGAGATTTTGGTCGCTTATCGACGATAAAAGACCAAAAGGGCTGTTGCGGCTACCGAATGGAAAGCCCGTGCCTTGACCAACATCAACCACGCGGACATTGTGCCATCTCAAATACCAACTAGACGTCTGCCCTGCCAGCGTTCGACTGGTACTGACGAAGACCAAATAGCTGAGCCAGATATACTACTCTAACCCTCCAAACCACCTCCTGTCTCCTCTCATCCTTCAACATCTCCTTGTGTCACTCGCTTCTATTGTCCCTTGTACTGGGTACTCTCTACTCACTCGACATACAACATGGATGGTCCAGCTACCAACGGCGAAGGAGTGCTTAACCCAGCTAAGCACCGACTTGTCGAGCAGGTCATCAGAACACCAGGAAGACAACCCTCACCTCAGCCGACACTGCTAGGAGTTCCAGGAGCCTCACCCTCCAGCTCCAACGTATCCCTGCACCGCACACTTGGTGCAGATCACAATGGGCCAGGCTATGTGGCACCGAAATTTGAAGGGAAGAAGGCTCAGATGGAAGAGGGTAAGCAAGAGACTCCCGTGGTAGACTGCCCATGTACTGACCCCATTATAGTTATGGACCTCATCGAAGAGAAAGGCTTCCTACCCACCGAGTTCATTGCCTCCGAAACAGAATGGTTCTACAGCGCGTTGGGCATTGATGACATGTACTTCTCCACAGAGTCCGTCGAGGCTGTCGCGAGTAATATCCTCTCCTTGTATGCTGCAAAACTAGCAGCCTACGCTCGAGATGACAAGAAGCTGGAGATTCAACTGGCCAAAGAGGCGGCTGACCATGCGGTCTATATTGACACGAGCAAGCCAGGCGTGAGTATAATCGAAGGTCCAAGATACGAGCAGAGAATCGACGAGAAATATATCGACGGGTCTACACCTGCCCACAGCTTCCGTGTCGAATCCTTCAGGTCCAACAACGCACTGCCCGAGAATCCAGATGAGTCGCTTCGCTGCTACTTTGTCTACCAAAGTCAGTTCAAGAACCCCAACCCAAGGCCGGACGAGACGGACCTGGAAGAGATTGGCGAGAAGAGGTTCCTACAGAAGGCCACCAAGAACACAAAAGAGATCTACCAGGAGATCATTACATATGCAGTTCAACGCACTGGTCCCGTCATAGAGATGTTTGATATGCAAGGTACAAGGGAGAAGAGACTAGTCATTGCATACCGACAAGGCTCCGCACTGGGTGTCTACAGCGCCTTATCCGATCTCTACCACTATTACGGGGTTACAAGCTCCAGAAAGTATGTCGAGCAATTCTCCAATGGCATCACGGTCATCTCGCTCTACCTCAAACCTGCGAGCGCCGACGTTACCAAACCTAGACACCCTCCCATCGAAGCGGCCATTCACCAGATTATCAAAGAAGTGTCTTTGCTGTTTTGCATTCCTCAAAACAAGCTACAAGGACAGTTTGCTAGTGGCAACTTGAGCCTGCAAGAAAGTATCTACGCGCACTGCGTCCATATATTTGTGCAGCAATTCCTCAACCGCCTTGGTTCCGAGTATACCTCGCTGGTCGCAGCACTAAAAGGCGACAGCAATACCAATGCCGAGCTGCTGGCCAAGATCAAGAAGCGACTTCGAACGGAGACTTTCACTTCAGAGTACATACTCGAAATCATCAACAAATACCCCGACCTGATCAGGAATTTGTACCTTTCATTTGCAAATACGCATTATGTTCAAACCCGGGGCGAACAGGACGACTTCATACCAACGCTCAGCTACCTTCGACTGAACGTGGAACAGGTCCTTGACGACAGTAGCTTGTCGGAGTTGATCTCCAAAACCGTCCACAATGAGCACGATGAAATGGTCATGCAGTACTTCTTGACCTTCAACCGAGCCGTTGTGAAGACGAATTTCTACACGCCAACAAAGGTCGCCCTCAGTTTCAGACTCAAGCCAAGCACAGACTTCTTGCCGGAATACGAATATCCTCAGCCATTGTATGGTATGTTCGTGGTTATTGGTTCAGAATTCAGAGGCTTCCACCTACGATTCCGGGATATTGCTCGTGGTGGTATTCGAATTGTAAAGTCTCGCAACAAGGAACTCTACGCCATCAATGCCAGAACTCAATTCGATGAGAACTACAACCTCGCAAATACTCAACAGAGAAAGAACAAAGACATTCCCGAGGGTGGTTCCAAGGGCGTCATCCTGCTAGATTTCAATCACCAGGACAAGGCTCGTGTGGCATTTGAGAAGTACATTGACAGCATAATGGATCTCCTGCTGAAACCCACGAGTCCCGGTATCAAGGATCCAATCGTTGATCTTCACGGACAGGAGGAGATCTTGTTTATGGGTCCGGATGAAAACACCGCTGATCTGGTCGACTGGGCGACAGAGCATGCGCGCGCCAGAGGTGCACCTTGGTGGAAGTCTTTCTTCACGGGCAAAAGTCCTAAGCTGGGAGGTATTCCTCATGACGCATATGGCATGACGACGTTGTCTGTCCGACAATATGTGCTCGGCATCTACCGCAAGTTGGGTCTTGATCCAAGCAAGGTCAGAAAGCTACAGACTGGTGGACCGGACGGCGACTTGGGCTCAAACGAGATCCTGCTCGGCAATGAGAAGTACACTGCCATCGTTGACGGATCTGGTGTCCTCGTTGACCCTGCTGGCCTTGACCGTGCTGAACTGATACGTTTAGCCAAGAAGCGGGTCATGATCTCGGATTACGATGTCTCGAAACTGTCGTCCGAAGGCTACCGAGTTTTGGTCGAAGAGTCAAACATCACGCTGCCATCAGGCGAAAAGGTCAACAACGGCATGACGTTCCGAAACACTTTCCATCTCCGCGACGGATCTCACTATGATTTGTTTGTCCCCTGTGGCGGTCGTCCAGAGTCCATTGACCTGTCGTCGGCAAACAAGCTGATTGTCGACGGCAAATGCACAATTCCATATATCGTTGAGGGTGCCAACCTCTTCATCACTCAGGATGCCAAGCTCCGGCTCGAAAAGGCCGGCTGCATCCTGTACAAGGACGCCTCTGCCAACAAAGGAGGTGTTACTTCGTCTTCACTCGAGGTGCTGGCAAGTTTGTCCTTTGACGACCAAGGCTTTATCGAGAATATGTGTGTCGGCGCTGATGGCACTGTTCCGGAGTTCTACAAAACGTACGTCAAGGAAGTGCAAGAGACGATTCAAAACAACGCCAGACTCGAGTTCGAAGCAATCTGGCGAGAAAACGAGAAGACGGGCGTGTCACGGTCTCAACTGTCCGATCAGTTGTCACTGGCCATCACCAAGCTAGACGAGGAACTGCAGAATTTCAAAGAGCTTTGGGATAACAAGACACTGCGGGTGGCGGTCTTCAAAGAAGCACTTCCTAGGACGTTGCAAGCCAAGGTCGGCCTAGAGAAGATTTTGGAACGTGTGCCGGAGAATTATCTCAAGTCTATCTTTGGAAGTTATATGGCTAGTCGGTTTGTCTACGAGTACGGTGCGACACCGAGTCAGTTCGCTTTCTTTGACTTCATGAGGAAGAGGATGGCTGGGGCAATTGGCAATGGACAGTAAGAAGGAACAAGGGTGGGCTGCTATGGCAGGAAAAGTATGAAGTTCAGAACCTTGCATTTCTTATATGGGGTGGAGTACAGTGGTATAGTTTTAAAGGAAAGATGACGATACGAAGTCTTGTCAAGGTAGACTTGGATACTGGGTTGTTGGGGCAAATGTTAGAGGAAAGACACAAGCAGACTCGGTTGACGGATAAAAACATCCAGATTTTGAAAATCTTTAATCTTTCGAAGCTGTTCATTGCTCACTTGGTTGCCGGCCGCCATTGATTTTGTATGTCACCCTTGTAGGGAAACGACCATTTGGATTCCTTTGTCGTCCGGCTTTGCATAGGTACAAGGGTCCCTACTTGCAGCTACTCCCATCTGCTTGGGCGACTCAGATTGGTCAAGACATGAAACTACCTCATTTATCATCTTCAAGCCTTGTGCCTGGCGTAAAATTCAGGAGACTCGTACTGCTCTCGCAGTGGGCGCTGTTCGTTTGGTGGGAGTTGATGACTTTGTACAGGCCTCTGTCCTTCTGGGCGCCGTGGGCGCTTTCGGTGTCGAAGTGACTGGCGGCTTCTTCGTCTCGTCAGGCTTTCGATCATCTAGTTTTGATACTGGGGCTGGGGCTGGGGCTCGCGGTGCCGGAGTATGAGTATGATTCTCGGCGATTTGAGAGTCGTCCTTTGAGTCGTCGTCGAGCATGGAAATATCCTCCTGCTCATCTTCTTGTCGAGCCTGTCCGGGTTCGGCGGCATCCTGGGCAGCGTCCAATTTCTTCCTCTTCTCCCTCTCCTTGCGCTTGACTTTCTTTTCACGATTGCGTTGCGTGCGTTTCTGGCGCTCTAGTTCGTCCGACTTTTCGGCCTGGGCGGCTAGTTCGGCGCGGAGGGCGAGACGGCGGCGAAGGAGGATCCGGCTTTTCTTGGACGGTCTTGTTCGTTGTCTGTTGGCGTATGAAGATCTGGTGCTGTCTTGTTTTGTTGCCGCACGGGTGGGGACGGAGATGGACGGTTTATTCGAGGGATCCGAGAGCTTGTGGCGAGAGTTGAGTAGCTCGACGTGAACACATCTCCAGGGCAGGGCTGTCCCGGGCCAGTTTGTCGAGCTTGCGCGCGAGAGAACGTCTGAGGTGGAGAGTGCGACTTGCGTATATTGAGATCTCAGATCCTCGAGCAGTCGCTGAGGAATGGCTGACGTGAAGTAGTAAGACTCGGGTCGATTAGGTCGGATGAAGTTGGCTTTGTCGAGGGACAAGGACTCCGCAAGATCTTCTGGTGGTGGAGTTGCTGAGAGTCTGATTTTTGGGTTTGTAGATTGAGATGGTTGGGCTGCTGATTGCTGCTGAGGGGCTGAGGTGAAGAGGCGGAATTGGTATTCTTGTTCCTCTTGGTTTTGGTCGTCATCTGCTTTGGTCGACCCCTGGGACTCGTGGGCAGCGGTCTCTGATGTGTAAGATACGGGGTTTATGAAGTCGTATTGGAAGCCGTAGTTTGGCTTCACATTCTGATCACTTTCGTCTTCTTCCGCGCCGAAAGGGGTCGTTGACCTTGATGAAGATCGAGATTGTGGGCTCTCATCACGCTGAAGTAGTTCAGATCGCTTGATCCTTGATTTCACATGTCAGAATTTTGTCGAGTGCTCGACCGACGACTTATGGTGGCCTACCTCTTTGCATTTGGGACTTCAAACATGTCTGCTGCCGGACTTGTACCTCAGGTGTACCTGTAGTTACGAGTAGAATGAAGCGGAGAAAAAAGCGATGATTCAGCCCTACAGAAAGAAGGATTTTCGTGGGATGCTCATTCAACAAGAAGATTGGTAGATGGCGAGATGGAACTCGGCGAAATTCAAGGCTCTGCCCGAGGCTCGTGGCAGCCACGTTTTCATGCTGCAAGACAATCCATGTTGCATGATTTCTGTTTTACCATAGTCCTGTATGTCTTCGATCCTGGTCGACTTTCTTATTGCAAGGTAGGTTATCACTCATGGTACCCCGTACTCATGTATAAGATGTAGTACGGAGTGTTTCACGGTTTATCGAGGCGGCTAGCAGAGAAGTGATGCTTCGCCCAGCTCCCCTCGCTTCAAGTCCCCTGTCCGCAGCGGGAGCAACACCATCCACCCACCAATGCACACCGTCTGCGACCAAGCACGCTGTGGCTTTCCGCTAAACGTACTTAGCAGCATGTCAGGAAGTGACCGAAGTGAGGCGCAGCCTTATGCGACAGAATGCCTTTGTCTCGCTCTTCTTCGCTCCTGTTCACTGCAAGTTTCCTCCACCGCCCATACTTTCTTTTGATTTGAGTAACTCTAAGCTCGTCACTCTCGCCACGCCATGTCCGGAGTTGGCGAGGCTCTCGCTATCGTGAGCTGCGTCGCAGGTCTCATCCAAGCCTATGATGCGGGCGCTCGCATCATCCGGCAAATCAAGGCTCGACGGCAAGCCCACGTTGCCCTACCACCATCTGATCTACTAGAGGAGTCAATTGAGAAAGGCAAGAAAGAGATAGAACAAGTCGTCGCTGAAGGAAACAAGCGATTTGGCCCTGCCTTTGAACAGGGCGATAGTACGGACCTTACCCAGACACTTTATTGGATGTTGCTGACTGATAACAGCGACTGCCATCATCGCACTACAAAAGATCACAATCGATACTCAGAATGCCCTCCTAGAAGGCCTCACGCAGGCCAGAGGCGACGATGGTATCATTGATTTCGACACTTGTATCGATGCCTCTGATAATGGCCGACATGACGCCCTCGCTGCCCTTCATGCGCTCTTTCAGCGCAAGTTAAAGGAAGAAATGCAAAGAAAGAGAAATGCGCAATCGAAACAAGACTCCACATCGCGACCGGCCAGTATCGAGTCTTCGGCGAATGCAAGCATTCAGCCCGTGGCATCCCAGTCGACGCTACCAGTGGTAGAGCAGACACCTGCTGCCAGTCCGCCTCCGCAACAGAGGGCCAAAAAGTCTCACACTTTGGGCAGCCTCCTCCGCCGGAGGGAGACCAGCCAACAGGGTATCCCATCTTCACAGATGGCAGCTAGTCCTCCAAGTCCAGCGACATGTTCGCCGCGGGCATCGCAACAAGAGGTCTTCCCGCGGGCTTCTCGTCGAGATACTACGGCTTCAACCAGTTCATCTGCTACATGGTCCAGCTCGGGCAGTCGGTCATCTGTGGTAGGCACCTATGACTTGGCCATGCGACCAGCAGGTCCGACCGCGCGATCGAACACCGAGATGCCCTCTACCCCGATCGTTTCAAGGCAGACCACCTCGCTGTCCACGTTTTCAATGGCATCAAACCTGTCCACTGCATCCACGCTGTATCCCATCACAAATTTTGGTGGATGCTGCAAGAAGGCCTACGAGCTTCGCGAGGGGTCAACCAAGAAAGCACTTTCATTAGCATTCCTCGGCATGTACCGCAGTGACATGGCTTACAAGTGTGCCAGCACCAAATGCCACTTCGCTGGCAAAGCTATCTCAGATAAGAAGGGCCATCAGATTGATACTCGCATTTGGCAGACTACAGGCGGAGTTCGGTATCGTTGGCTGTTTCTCGCCAAGTCACATATGCAACAACAGAAAGAAGGAGAACTACCATCTTTCCGTTGTTTGATATGTACGCTGCTTGGTGACGAGTCAGGGATCTATCATGGAAGTAAGGTTCTACTTGCTCATGTTGCTAGCCATCAAGGTGGTTATCTAGGCGACAACCGGCTCGCTGGACCGTTGTCATTCTCCAACCGATGTGCAGCAGCAGCCTTTGAGGATGACTTCGACCTCAGTTTTGCAGACATCGAACAGCAGTTGTCGCTCCCCGATGAGGGTATACAACACGGCGCTGCAATGATGGTGCCGGCGAGTGTCCCGCGGGATGCACGCACCACTGACACGGGAGTGCTTTTGAAAGAGATGACTTCTTCCGCCTCTGAGGCTTATGACGACAATCCCTGGGTGACTGAAGGGCGGATGTGATTGCCCTTTGATTTGTGCTATCGGGTGAATGTCTGTATATAATTGTGCATTCAAGGTGTTGGTCCGTACTCGTGGTACGTACTGTTCGTGCCGACCATATCTATCACAGTACCTAGTACTGCGTACTCGTAGCGGGTATGGCGCAATTGGTGAAGGGCTGGATAATCTTCGGTGAAATCTTTTTGTGTCCGAAGTGGAGTGGACGATGGATGACATGCAATTTTTATGAGGGCACGATTGACATGTGAAGGATGAGGCAACGGATTTATTTACTGTGAATGAATACCTTGGATTCTAATACTTGGGTTCTCGAATCTTGACCAGAATTTGTTTGATTGCCGCCGCAGTCCGCTAAGGATCTGGTCTCCACGTTGCTCAATTCTAATATAAAAATATCTTTTCTTTATAGACCGCCAGTCAGCAAACAGCAAGCAGCAAACCTGAATTCACCAAGGCACCAAACCTGTTACTACGATTGATCACATCCTATACAAGATGTCTCCAGATCCGGACAATGTCCCTACCAGTTATGCAGGTCCGTATCTGTCCCATTCATCCTGCGCAACCCTACTGTGTACTCTTCCCATCCCACTGGTCGAGTCTATCAATCCACCATCCCCGGTCTTTCTTATCTTTCCGGGACCGGAGGAGTCGAGCATCTTTATCTGTACATGCTTCTGCTCTGTACATGAAGCCTCGTCAACCTGGCACACAAACCGCTGCACAAACCTCTCAAAGTAACCACTCCTTAACATCTGACGGGAACAACAGGCCCCGTCCACATCGCCGTGATCGGCGGCACCGGCCTCGACCACCTCCCGCACTTCCACAAGGCGGCCGTTTTGACGGTCGACACGCCCTGGGGACCGCCGTCCAGCCCGATCACCATCCTCGAACACCCGTCGCCCACGACGGGCAAACAGATCCCCATCGCGTTCATTGCCCGCCACGGCCCGCACCACGAACTCAACCCTTCTGAAATCCCCGCGCGCGCCAACATCGCCGCCCTGCGCAAACTCGGCGTGCGATGTATCATCGCGTTCAGCGCCGCCGGCAGTCTCGCCGAAGAAGTCAAGCCGCGCGACTTCGTGGTGCCGGATCAGGTCATCGACCGAACAAAGGGGATCAGGCCGCATACGTTCTTTGAGGACGGGTTCGTGGTGCATGTGCCCTTTGCGGATCCGTTCGATAAGCGCGTCGGCGATGTGGTGAGGAAGTGCGGGCATAGTCTTGAGGGCGATGGGGTGGTGTTGCATGATAAAGGTGTCGTTATTGTCATGGGTATGTACGGAGTACGAGCCTTTTTTTTCGTTTGCAGTCCTATGCCGTTCAAGGGGTGGGGCGGGCTTCGCACTACTTCGAAAGACCTTACTTTTAACGAGATCGATCGCTGACTCACAGACATGCAGAGGGACCCCAATTCAGCACCCGCGCAGAGTCCAACATGTACCGCAGCTGGGGCGGCACGGTGATCAACATGTCGACATTACCCGAAGCCAAACTTGCCGCTGAAGCCGAGATCGCGTATCAGGTCATTCTCATGAGCACGGATTACGATGTACGTATTTTTATATCTTCTCTGCGCCCTCCTCTTTGGCGCCGTTGTCTTCTGTCACATCGCCTTTCCTTTCTATGTTTGCTCTATGTTGTGTTTGGAGATATACTCCGTTTCCGCGAACAAGCCTATTGAGCTTCTTTCTGATTTTGAGAGTTTTTGAGCCGTTTGTTTTTGAACGAGTTTGAGCTTCTTTGTCTTCCTCGAGATGTCTCCCATCGGTCTAACGTCGGCGTTGTCCAGTGCTGGCATGATTCGGGCGACGTCTCCGTTGAGATGGTGATGGGACACATGCGCGCCAACGCGCTGAACGCACGACGCTTTATCGCCGCCGTGCTGGATGAATTGTCCAAGGAAGAGCACGACGATCTGGTCCAGGCAACGCACCTCCAGGGCGCGAGGGAGTTTGGCATAAGCACCGCGCCGGCGGGGCGCAGTCAGCAGGTCAACGAGAAGATGAAGTGGTTGTTTGAGGGCTACTTTGAGTAAGATAAAAAAGGGGAGCTGAAACAAAGGAGGCCCCGCGGAAGGAGGGCTGGAACAACAGTAGCGAGGGTGCTTCAGCTTGGATGTTTAGCGGCCGCACTCAGAGCCGGAAACGAGAGCTTGGGCTTGGTCATTACGAGATATAGATAGATAGACGTGCTGCATCTTGGGTTAGAGGGTGTATGTAGAACTGGGGACACAGATGTTTTGATGTGGTTGACTTCAACGTCAATGCCACGATCAATCGACAGCCATAGTGCTTTCATCATGGGCTTGCTTTTGCAATAATGGGGCCGAGAATGGGGTTTCGCAACATTGTGATGTATGTGCTCTGGGCAGCGTATATTGTTTAGAAAACGCCAATGTTGTGTTGTATGCCCACTTCACGTGTATCAAGTCGCTTCCTTGCCGCAGGAATTACCGCTATGCTGCAGACAGGGGAATGATAAGGAACAGTCTGGAGCTGACGCACGCCGATGCCCAAGATGAGAAGCTATTCCCACATGGAAACAGAGAATGCATCTGCGTATCTTTGGTAGTTGTTACACTTCCTAGGGCACGCCCCAGGTGAAGCTTTCGAAAGCCTGAACAGTGACCCGGGCAAGGGTGTGAATCGTCCCGAGGCTGCAATGTTATATTTGGTTTCTGTTTCTGTTTCATAACATGTGATGTCGTCACCATCCTGCACATCTGAGATCAGTGTCGATCGCAATATACAAAGATTGAGGCTCGAGCGCGATCTGCTCGATCGACAGGTCTGCCGAGTTCGTGATCACCCAAATGGAATTGCGACACGTTATGTACGTCATTTGCAAGGGTTGGGATATATCAGCTGCAAGGCTCCGAGATTAGTATCAACAAGTCGAAGTCAACAATGACGTGAAAAGAGACACAATTGAGGTTACTTCCCATTTCACGTGTTGTAACGTGAATGTCTGTCACGATGCATGATTTCGCCATGGGTGGCTCGCTCTGGCAACCTGTTCAGCGTCGGAACCGGTGGCGTGGAACTTGAGTTTGCCTTGAGAAAGGTAGAATATCACATGGAGTGTGTTGCCGAGAGCGCGCGGTCAGGAAATTTGAGAAAGGTCCACGCGGAAAATAGCCACTCTTTGCTCGCGTTTTGGTTCAAAGAGCATATTACGAGGCAGAGATAATGACAGGCTGCGTTGTCTCTTACCGTCTTGATAGCCACTACGAACAACATCCCGTAGCACAGGAAATGTTCTAGAAGCCTCACATGATTTTTGTGACTTGCATCGAAAGCTTCAGGATCGGGATGGAAGACTGCCACCACTTTTGTATCACACTCGACTGAGAGGCCAATGCTCTAATCAAGGGGCATACCGTTGAAGTTCTGATTAGCCATGGCATGCTGTATAGTATCATGTCTTCCTGGAGTCTCGGTGATGACTCGAAAACGCGGTAACCTCGGAGGTCAGTGCAAATGCAGGATAGTTCTGGAGTGGTTTCTGAAGCTGGTGACTGAGACAAGAAAGAACAGCCCTGAACGCCACCTTGATCACCTCGAACTATTGAGCCCGTGTGCTGTCAGAGAAGTATTTTCAGGGTCCGAGAATCATCCAAGACGATGCTGAACCGCGGCGGAAGCGCTTTTTCTGACAAAGAACATGTTTGAAAGATGTCGTTCAGAACCAGAATTCCGGGTAAGCTTCTGTCAAGCCAAATTGACAACCAATGGCTTGACTTCGAGACGCCGACCTAAAAGGAAATGCAGTATCTGTGCCGTGCTTTCGCCACCGAAGTCATTGTTGCACTGTGCTCGGCTGGCTCGAACACACATACGGCAGCCAGAGGTCAGCCAGAGGCCAGCCAGAGGTTGAGAAGCGGGCAGTCGCTCACGTGGACAGGCGACCATAGCGCGTTATGCTTGTTGATATTCGGGCTTGGCGACACGTCTCCTCGACGATGATCCAACCGAGCTTGACGGAGATTGTGTCCCATCGAGGACCAGGCAACCAGGTCCCGGCATTCGGCAAACCGTTCTTCAAGCACTATAGGCAATGCAATAAGAGACTGGAAGAGTCGTAAAATCCAAATTGATGATGACTGATACAACAATGTCCATGTTGAATTGACTGAAGACGCGTGTGGGTGACCAAAAACCCAAAACGCAAATAATACGAGTAGTTAGCTTCACCATCACACCAGGAAATTCCCCGGACTCATCCTGTGTCGCAGTGGGTGGGGGAGTCAGCCTGTAATCGGGCTGAATTGATCCAAAGCTTCCGTACTGCCCCTCATCTTGTCCAGCCCTAGCCAGCATCATTGCAACACCATTACGCGAGACCGGCAGATGGTGTTTTGTTGTTGTGGTCACGATCTCGATCAAACGCGTGTGTGCAAGTTCAATGCAAGACCTTGATAACTAGTACTGGAAAACAGGGAAGAGAAGTACAAAGTTGATTGCATGACGTCTCACCGCGGCAAGAGACAGAGGTGACTCTATCTTCGGATCGAGGTTTTCAGCCAGCATCGTGGGGACATGGAGTGGAAGGCCGTCGCAACCGTGGACAATCATTGCTAGTGTGAAACCATGTGCCGACAAAGGCTCATCAAAATCCTGCGGTCTTGACTCAAATCGGTCCTGGCCGTGGCCGCTTGTTAGGAGCGTTTTCAACCTTGGCCGACTCTTCCCCCGAAAGGGTTGATGAGCTTCGACGATGAAGTTCGTTAGCACGGTGTCGCCGGTGGACTAAGGTCACACAAGCGAGTAGATGAAGCGGCTAGGGCCTGAAGCCATGCTGAATCAGTCAAGCTCCACGCTGACCATGATACATAGTAGATAAGACGGAAGAATGATGGCGCAATTCTTGACTCAAACTTCTCTTCTGCTTGCTGCATGTGATGGATGTCAAGGTGCCCATCCGAACAGCTATTGACCTGCGATACTGGGGCCATTTCTAGCTGGGACGACGAGCCATGCTCTCACAAATTCTTCAGTTCCACGAGAAGCTCAGAAGACCCAGCAATAGACCATTGGGCGATCTAGACCGTCGAGCAGCATATTGCTCTGTGCTTTGAGGCATTCCAATCGCAATGTGATTTCCGCACGCGCCCATTACTGGAAGGCTAAGCAATACGGTCTTGTATTTCTACTGCCAGAAAAGGGCAGCCGACGACGGGATGATGACATACTAAGCATGATCAAGAAGCAACCCGAGGTGTTTGACATGCAGTGTGGCAGCTGTGATAGGTAGACTGAAGTCGGTTATTGCACAGGGCAACCTCGTGTCATGGCGTAAGAACCTTGTCAGGCACGGGGCTATTCTTGCAGCTGAGCTGGATAAGGCCTTTGGCCTTCCCAAAAGAGGCGCACTGGACCTGTCAAGAGACTTCTCCACTCGTACAATGGTCGTCAAAGTATCGTCCTTTGGAGGTCTCTTGAAGCGTGGATAGACGAGCAAACAGATTTTTGATCGAGATCGCTGCGGTTGCAATATAGGCCGTCGGTGCCTGTGGATCAATGGATCAACAAAAGGTCATGGTCAGCAAGATGAGCAATGACATAGGTGGACATTCCGGAAACGAGAAGCATGGCCTTGTCTGGTTCTTGAATGGTCGACATGGTTGCTTGATGAAACGAGACTTGGAAAAAGTTGGTCGTCCGCGTTGCCTGTGTTTCTGACTTGCCGGCGGGGGCGTGAAAACTCGCCATACCGAATCCAAGGTTAGTGATGAACTCTAGGCTGTGGGGTGCCCTGGCAAAGATATCTGTAAGGCTCGTGGGTTAAGGAATGGGCATGATGGGGCTTATGAGAATTATGGGCATGGGCGGCCCAGGTCAGGTACCAGGTGCGCATTATTGCTCCGTATCTGGGCGTCATTCCTCCAGCGCTTCTCTCTCCTATCGGTCCTGTTCCTTTGGTCTGTGTCGTGTAACGAGACAACCAGTTACCGTACCACAATTGCAGTTAGAACGTTCGTTTTACCGTACACTGCATACAGCTCGCTGCATATCAGTAGCTGTCAGAAAGAAGTGGTCCATTGGGCGGTTCCTTCTGGATTCGCAGCCAAGGCTCCGCATTGCATCGCTTGCTACTCCATCGCTCCTCACCACTCCAATGCTGCCCAGCAACAACCTGGGCCTTCACCTGCATTCAGCTTAAAACTCTCCCCATCCCTCCTCTTCTCTTCCTCAAGCCACCGAGCTGCAGGTCAAGGCTTCTTCTCAATCCAACATTGTTGCACATTGTCCAGGGAAGAAGACCTATCTGCTCCTTGGTGGTTGGATCCTTTGGCATTGACCCTCTCCATCCTCGCCTCATCCATCGCCATTGGCAGCACGAAACCACCTCGCAGTCGCTCTTTATAACCTGCCGTTGGGGACCATGTTCGCCTGAGAAGTCTACTCGGCCGCCCTTCAAGCCTTCCGCTCTCACGGACCAGCGAGGGTCACTCGGTTTTCGACTCTTGTACCTAGACTTCTGTCCCTCGACGACTCTGTGGAACAGTCTTTGCTGGGCAGAATCCGAATTTGCATAAAGGCCCGGTCCTGATTGAGAGGGAAACGTCGGGACTGTTACTTCTATGTATGCATAAGAGAGGGTGTTCAAATAAAGAGGTTTCGTCGGCACCATGATTGAGGCATCTTCACCGTTGGCGGCCATGCAGCCTCCAGCATTCTTGGGCCATTGTGGCTTCAGACACGACGGTCCTTCTACATATGCCTCGTTTGCGACTGCCAAACCCTTTGGCAACAACAGCTTCAACTTCAAGGACCTATCAATGAAGAGGTCCCCTAGCGATTATTTCAGCCTGAAGCCTGTTCGAGGGTCTTCGCCCACTGCCAGCCTTGCTGCCGATCTTTCACAAAACTTCCACATTGATCAGAGGTATGCCCACATATGGCACCAAATGCATGTCAACGAAGGGCTAACTAGAGTCTAGTCCTCAATTGCCGACACCTCGGAGAGCCTTGTTCCCTAATAGCATCTTTGCATCGCAGGATGGCCACCGTAAGCAGACATTGGAGGTTCGAGGTTGCCCTTTAGACTGATACACCGCCTAGTGAACCTCACCACACCTCCTATACCTACATCCTCACCTGGAGCTCAAGATGCTATGGACCTGGACCTCTCTCCTCTACCACACAAAGCACCCTTTGGTTCGGTAGAAATACAACTACAGTCACCGACCCCAGAACCTACACCTGCGGAGTCTCCTATGTCGGCGATGGCCTCGCCCACTGTCATAAATACTCGATCAGAAACTCTCAGTGTGCCTCAGGAGCGGCGAAAGCCAGGTCCGCTACGGCCGTCTTTGTGCAGAGCTAAAGGCTACAGCACTGGTACTCTTCCGCAGCGACCTGCACCGGAGAGTCAAGGGCCTCCATTCCAGTTTCTCGACTACATGAGTAACAAGCCAGCAACCTCCTCATCCTTGTCCCTCTCAGAGATCTTCGCCGATTCTCCTGTCCAAGAGAAGCAAGTCTCTCGTTTGCCTCCTGCCCCTTTCGCGGCTGCACGATCTCGCAACAGCTTGTGTGCTGGAAATTCCCGTAATGGATCCCCTATCGGCGGACACGTGCGGAAAGGATCAAACCCGTTAGTGAGACCTCGCAAGCAATTCCGTCGGTCCTTGAGTATGTTTGAGCATCCGGAAGAGGTTATGAACCGTGAGAAAGAACGGATGAGCCCACCTCCACCCTTGCTACCCTCCATCATGGACAACGAAGCACCTCACGTGCCTCAACTCCCTCACTTCGTCCCTGACGGCGAAGCTGGCGCCCTCCCACGCATCACAAAGGAGACCATGGTTGAGGTGCTAGATGGCAGGTACAATCACTCATATGAGAAGCTTGTGGTCATCGATTGCAGATTCGAGTACGAATACAATGGCGGCCATATCGACGGCGCTGTAAATTTCAACGACAAAGAACAACTATCTTCACAACTCTTCACCGTCGAGCCAACCTCGAAAGCCTTATTAATATTCCACTGCGAATATTCTGCTCACCGTGCACCTCTTATGGCCAAGTTTATCCGCAACAGGGATCGTACAGTCAATGCGGATCGATATCCTGCTCTGACTTATCCTGAGGTCTACATTCTAGACGGTGGCTATAGCACTTTCTTCAAGGACTATAGAGCTCGATGTTTCCCACAAAACTATGTCGAGATGGATGCCAAAGAGCACGTTCTTGATTGCGAGCGTGGTCTCGGCAAGGTGAAACAACGTTCCAAACTTGTTCGAGCTCAGACTTTTGCCTTTGGCCAACATTCTCCCTCGATTGATTCAAGTCCCACTGCCATGGGTCGGAGCCGGCTTGACAGTGACATGGACTTGGATATGGGCCTTGAATTCACCCCTGTCGCCGGATCACGAATCAATCTAGGTGCTCTCCGTGGCATGAACCAACGAATGGCTTCTTATTAGCGAACCTTTCTTCTTCAAACATCGAATGCGTATTAGCCTGGCGTTGGGAGCGAAACTCACATTGTACTTTTTCGGGCATCAAAGGACATTGATGCTTCTCCTAATGGACAGGTCGAGCTTCTTGGACTCTTTGAGTTATATCCCAAGCATTTTTCCTTTTTTTGCACCATCTTGCCAACCAGCATTGGCATGACTTTGGTGCTGGCCTCTTACGACGCCTTCAGCATTGGGCCTTGGGCACGCTGAGCGTGTTTGGTCGTACTACGACTGAGACCGGGAATCACGGTCAGACACATAACCTCTTTTTACCGAAATCTTCTTCAGCACCTTCGCAGGACATGCAAGGAAGTCAACTGAACAAAACCCACACATTACAGAAATTCACGATTGTTGATCTCTCCCTTCAGCAAGCTTTCACTGCCAATAAATCGACTTTCAATCAGCCTCAACATTTATTTGGTGCTCTTCTTCTCTGGCCGGGCTCTGGACTCCATGGTACTATACTTTAGCTTGGGCAAAAGTTTTGTGGATCGATGGAATGCTACAAAAGTCAGGAATGGATGATAACCCAAGTCTTGTCCCTGATTGGAACTCGGGGAGGCTTCCCTGGTGTTTATTAGCATCGTTTACTGCCAGCGTTCAGCAAGCGAGCTCTTGTTTGGCTCGGTCTCGATCGAAAGCATTATTCGAAGTAGCGGATGGTAGATTACCAGCATTGGCATGAGCGAGCATTGGAGTAGATACCTTCAGTTTAGGGACTGTACATGGCGTACCGTTTGGGGTTCGCAAGGAATTGCAGCATCGAATTGAATCAATTGTGCAAATCAACTGACATTCTCCTCGATGTGCAGAGTTACCGTGGTTTTGCCTTTCATTTTAACATACGGCACAGTCTTATGTCTCTTATCCTCTGTCATATTCCATCCCCACGCAGTGATTTAGGTTTGGTCTTCATGGCCGAGTATTGAACTCGTGAACATAGCTAGTCGTTACCAGCATTCGGCTCGAGGACTACAGCCACACCTAGTAGCAGGGGTCTTAGGCCTGAGGGAGAACGGAAGAGGGAAGAAAGTCATTTTCCTTCTTTCTCACGTTTTGTTCACAGCTCAATCAGGATTACTGATGAGACATGGCATCCCTCATTCATAAAACTTATCGACAAAGACAAAGTAAGGACACATTTTACTTTTCGCCTGTGATTACCTCCCTCAATTTCTCTCGCATGGCAACTTAGGCCTCACCGCGATCACACCAGCTTCAAGACATCCTGGCAAGCCTGGCATTCAAGATCTCTCCCTCCCACATGCCATCGATGTCTTTACACAGGTTAAGAAAGTCCGGCTGCATGATCAGGCGACAGAAGTAGGATTTCAGAGTCTGCAGTCGAACGGACGGAGGTTGTTCAGACCAGGCGTGAAGTTTGTCCATGGCGTTTGCGAAATTTGGGTCACCGTCCAGATTGGTCAGCATGGAGGGGATGGCTTGAACCGGGTCGGTGCTTGGTTCTGGCTGGTGCTGGTGCTGGTTCGGTCGGGGCTGGGGGTCGGCGCATGTGAATGATGACGGTGGCACGGTGGTGGGCTCTGACTGAATTAGGAGGTTTCGAGCTGAGGGCTGGACGTTGGTGTTGAGGTTGGGGTTGATGGCGACGTGTTGTGCTTCTGGCGAGGCTGGAGTCAAAGGATCAATGATCTGTTCGGCTGGTGTGCATGGGTAGGGATTGCCCTTCCCCTGTTGAGGCTGAGTATCGGGTTCGGGGATCTTCATGTGTTCCACACTAGCAGAGACTTTTGAGGTAGATCGCGTGATTCGTCTCGTCGGGCTACCGAGCAAAGGACTCGGTTCTCGATGGGCTTCGTGGCTGGCTTCAGGTTGGGGCGAAGGCTGCTCAGGTTCGGCGATGTCGGCCTTTGTCGGCTTCAGCTGCTGGGTGTGGTCATTCTGAGTACTAAGAATGCTCATTGCGCGCGTCATGCGGCGAGTAAGGCCGGGGCTTGATTGTTTGAGCAATTCCTCGACGGTAGGGACTGGGCGGGCGTTTGCTGTGGACTTGCAGCCAGCTTTTGCCCTTTTGTTAGGGGCTCGTGGTTTTCGAGCAGCTGGGGGCTTTCCCGTAGATTTGGCTGCGCCTCGTTTGCGTTTGCCGGTGGCTTGAGGTGATGCTACAGTGGATAAATCGTCCTCTGCTGCAACTGAGGGAACGGCCATTGAGTCTGACTCTGCCTGGTTGGTAAGGCGAACGCTTCTGCTTCCTGATGTTGAGCCGGAGGTGTTGGCACTGGGTTCTGGCTTGCGGAATGGCAGTGTCCTTCTCGGTGGGAGACCTAGAGCAAACTCGTGCTGGTCTAATCGGGCAGTGCTTGACTGCTGAGCCGGCTTGGTGTCCACCTGCAGGTGGCTGATGCCTGGTGGTTGTGAAGTTGGTAGGTAGGAATTGACGTCATAACGACCGTATGTATTCTGAATGCCAAATTGCTCTTTAGCGTTCACCAGAGTGGTAGCTGTGCTCAGCGAGATATTCGAACGAGGTCCGCCTGGTTGACCTCGAAGTGTTGGTCCTGTCTGCAAGTGGTCAAGAATGGGTTGGTTCGCAGCTGAGCGAGACTGAGCGTTGTCGAGGGCGGCAGGAACATATGCGGGAGGAGCCATTGCTGGGCGCAAGGTGTGGATCGTAGGACGCCCGAGACTTGAAAATCCAAGCATCTGGTTGTGAGACGTCGATGCTTCGTTGGAAGTCCCTATTTGAGAGGCCGAGTCATTCGGTGTCAACATAATTGGTGGAGGTGGATGTTGGGGCTTTGATTGAGCAGGAAACGAGCCTGCCTCGACGGTAGGGACATTGGCACGAGATAGCATTTTCATAGCTTCATAATAGTCTTCGTCACGCGTAAATCGAATTTGAAATCGACGGTACTGTTGCACTGTGAGCAAGGAAGGCTTGAGAGTCAGATGGTACCACCTGTCCATTGCTCATAGGGTATTTCATTGCGATGTTTGGCACTTTGACAATAACGGCAACTTCAGGGATTTGAGCACTGCTCAGCAGATTGGATGCTTGTGCCATCGATCGCTGGGCTTCAACAGAGAGCAAATTCAGGTCCAGTTCTTCCTGTGGACATGTGAGCTTGGAGAATAAGATTGGCGAAATGAGTAAAGTCTCGGTCAAAATACCATTACTTCAGGATCCTGCAAGACCTTCAGCTTCTGCCTGCCTTCGACCCGACCGTCGTCCAGCTGAACTAGGGTTGTTTCGAAGACAGCAAAAAGTCTGTTCTTGCCAGAAATGTGAATCCATGGTATAGGGGCAATACTTTCCGCTGACACTGTAGCATAAGAAAATTTGTACAAAGGGAGACACATAGGAGACTGGGATAGCTGTTGAGATCCTTGAGAAGGCATGATTAGTCAAATTTGGGTTAGTAAAACATCAAAATGTGCAGGAACTTTCAGAGATGGACATGCTGTTCAAGACAATGTCGGGGATGCAAATTCATACGATCATGAAGGATGTGCACAGATGTGGAAGAAACGAATCACGAGAAATATGATGCATCGCGCACATCGAGGCATCCAGCGAGTGTGCTGTGGTTCTGCAAATGGCATGTTAGCCGAGAGGAAACTCCAGCCGAAGACTGCGCGCCGGAGTGGAAGTGAAATGGAAGTGAAAGGGTCGAAACAAGTGACAATCTACCATCGACAGCCTGCATAGTTTCCCTCACTCGTTCTCTCGCCAGACTAGTCTACTGCTCGTCCTGATCGCTACGCGCTTCTTTAGCAGCCTCTCCTGTTCAATCTCCAACCTGATCGCGACATGACCACAGCCGGTGGTAACAATTCCACTCTACCCCGGTAGCCCCGTTGCGTCGCATTAAAAGCAAAAAGTCCGCGCAACATGGCACCTCCACCTCAGAGGATCATTGAGGACGAGGAGGAATTCCTCAACGATGTCGCAGCTTTCCATGAAAAACGAGGGTACGTAACCAGCGAGGAGTTCCTTTCACCGTCGTTCACAATATTGACTTTCATAGGACCAATTTTGACCGCGATGGAAAGGTCAGCGGCCGTCCAATATCTCTTCACAAATTGTACAAGCTGGTCCTTGCTAGAGGCGGCTACGATGCACTGTCAGCAGAGCGCATGCAATGGCGAACCTTGGTTAGAGAGTTCGGGTTTGGCAAGAATCATGAAGGCGTCATGACATTTCAACTGAAAACTGTGTATTACAAGAACCTTGCGTGAGTGAATCGGCGTCTCTGTCTCTGTCGTGCCAGTGGGAGCGTCTAAGACTGACTGGGTTTTACTTAACAGGGCCTATGAAATCGCGACATACTGGGGCGAAGAGCCACCTCCAAAAGAGATCTTAGAGGATCGAAGTGCGAAAGGAGGAAACTTGCGGACAAGAACTCTCGAGAACTATGCTCCCGCCAGCTCACAGGCGAATGAGCCTGCGACTGCGGCACTCGATGGCAACTTTGATTCTGCCGATGAGGAACAGGTGACGCCTAAGCAGGAGAAGACAGAATCCGAAGAGCCGGGAAGTGCAAGCAGATACCCTATGCGTAAGTGGCCAAATTTGTAGTCACTTGCACGATGTCGTGCTTCACGCGTCCACCTTTGCGACGTGAACGCGTGCACGCATTTTTGGGTCTTTACTGACATTCAGATGCAGGTCAATTGAGACAAGATCCCAAGCGCACTCAAATGTACCAACCAGAGACTCAACCAGCACGCACGCGTAACATTCGAGCCACAGACTCTCCATCTGCGCCCCCTGTACAACAGCAAGTCTATCAGAACACTGCCAGCGACCCTTACAACCCAACATTTGACTGGTTCAACAATTACAAACCAAGCCTGAGCAGACCACTGACTCTTCAGCAAGTGAAGACACCTGGCAATGACCCCGAATTCCACACAAACAAGGCCAAACAAAAGTTGCAAAAGGAGTTGGAGAAGGACCCGAGAAAATTGAGGGAAGCCGCACGAAAATTCGAGCTGCTACCTGGTCTTGATGAAAAGGATTCCAGAAAAGTCGTGCCTACAGGGCTCAATGGTCCGAACATCTATCAACGATGTCTCTATGGTCTGCGATCTGGTATTCCAGAAGAGGAGGAGTTTGCGCTACACCACCTCGTCAAAGTCTCATGTGAGCGTGGTGACAAGTACAAGTTTGAAGGATTCCCATACCTTGCCGAGTCCCTGCTGGAGAAGGCATTGCAGATAACCGAGCTCGTGTACGGCGTGAAATGGGATGTCACCTACGACGAGGATGATGAAGGACTCCCCCTGAATACGTTGAACGCCGCTTTCGGAACGAAGAATCTCCTGGAGCGTATTCAGCTTACTTCAACAAATGTGGTTGACGAAAATGTGGAAGATACCGACACATCTCGGAAACTGGACCGCCTGAAGGAGACCATCCTTGTACTTCGGAACATGGTCACTCTCGCGGACAACGCGATCTTTCTATCAAGATTTCCGCTGTTCAAAGACTGTCTTACTATCGCCATCACTCTGCCCGACCAACCTCGCCTGACCGAGTTCAAACTATCTGCGCTGGAAGTTCTGGAACATGTAACCAGATACTGGGCGCTGGTACCAAAAGATCCCCTGTATCTATCGTTGATACCCTACATGGAGTCTAGCGATCGAGCAACGCTCATTTCGGCCATTCGGGCCATCAACAACATCGGCATCGATACGCCAGAAATTCACCGCTTGACCGACATACCAATTGCGACCGTCAACCAATTATTCAATTTCACTCTCCTGGACGATGATTTGCTTATGGAGACCACACTGGACTTCCTCTACGAATACACAGCCATGCCGGAGAATAACACCGAGCTATTGACAAAGATTCCTTGGCTGCTACCCAGAATGGTCGGCCGCTTGACGTCCCTCCTGCTGCATGAGTCTATCACGCGTGAAGAATCCATAATAGCCAGGCAGCCTGCGAAAACGTCACCACTACCATGTCCAGTACCAACCATTGCCAACGAACTCTACGTTGAGCTCTTGCGATATCACGAACCGGAGCGATCTTCCAGATGGCTACGGTGCTGCTTTGAAGAGTCTCCGAATGACGACATAACGCAAATCGCCATTTGGCAAGCTTACCAGCAGAGATTCGTACAGCACAACCCCATCCCTGCCGCCGACTTCATTAAGAACGTGTCGACCACCTTCAGCACGGCTCAAGCGCAGGTCATTAACAGCCCAGTTCAAGCGAGGTTCATCATCAAGGGTATCAAGCCTCGCAGAGTATTGGTCGACGTGCATGGTCGCCCATACTACAAGTGTCTCTGGCACATCACTCATCCAGAGCAAGGGGACCAAGCATCGCGCCTGACGCAAAAGTATTTGTGCAGCACCTGGTACTCCAGTCGTGAGAAGTTGCTCGCTCACCTCATATCCGATCACATGGGAATTCAAAGAACAGTTGAAGGTCAATTCGCAGAGAAAGACTTGCCGAACCACCGGATCTGTCGATGGCATCAGTGTAAGCATCGATCTCCGTTCGCGACTGGCCGCGAAGTCACACTCCATCTCTCTGTGCACATCCCGGCGACGCCCGAGGCCATGTCCAAGCTACTGCATGAAGTGGCGTTCGATGGGAGAGAGCCGGAGCCCACCACCATCAAGCATCACATCCATTACACGGCTTTCGATACCGAAGTGCATCCTCCCCAGCCATGTGGGATTGCGTGGATGAGCGTCATGATATTGCGCAATCTCGCTCGGTATGCGAACAAGCATGGTCAACCGTTCGAAAAGGATGGTGTCAAACTTATTGAGCAGTTGTTCGGCAGCCATAAGTACGCGCTGTTCAAGAACCTGGCCTCCAATAAAACTCTGGGAAATTACATCTCGGATCTGATGCAGTTGTTGGACAAAGCTGAAAACGAGGAAAAGAGAGGTACAAAGAGAGAACGTGAAGAAGATGGAGAAACTACTGCTTGAGTGGCGGCAAAGGAGAGAACATGAAGAAGATGAAGAGATTACTGCTTGAGTGATCAGGTGGTGGTGCTCCTTGGTTGATCATCAAGGACATGACGACGTGGACACTCTTGTGACATGTGTGAATGGTCTAAGGGGAATCGGGAATCAGGTTCGATTGATTTTTGACACCGTATGTGCGTATGTGTTGAGCTTGGGAAGGAAAATCGAAATCAAAATGGCAGCATGGCGCTGGTTGGGTTGGGTTGGGCTGGTTCAGCATCTGTTGGTGTGACTGAGGACCTGGAGATCTCTTAGGTATGGTTCACGAACCGGCCTGGATCTAGGGGTATCGGCTCGAGCTGCTGCTGCGCCCCGTCACTTGTTGTAGATTACATTGATGTTAGTGTAGGACTACTATCACACAATGCTTTGAGCTACGTGAATTGGGCTTGATCACAGCTTTAACTCATGAATTGAGGAGATTAACTACAAAACCCATGATCTGTCTCCTTCCTCTTGCATGTCGCGAGACAGCCTATTTACAGGAAAGTGGTACATACCCTCGCTCCCAAGGTGTCGGATATTGGCCAGATCTTTTGAGGTCGCTGGAGGAGCTGACTCGTTCTCAAGTCTTTGTTGCTTTGCCACGGCAGAGAGACAGTTTGGCTCTCAAGGCTTCTGGCAAAATCAAAAGACGTTGGACAGGTACCACACTCACTCCAGAGGTCACAGTCTAGATCATAAACCGATAACCCTTCTGCATACTCCTTGCGGCTGCGATATCGATGCCCTCGAATTCGGCCGTCTTTCTCAACTTGGCCAACTCGCGCTCGCTGAGCTGCACATTCTCATCCTCAAGCCTAGCGAGCTGCTTGTTCTGTCTCTCCAAAACGAATCTCAAGGCGATGGCACTGACTCCTGCGAGGACCATCAAGCCAATCACAACGCCAAGTGCCACAGGATAGTGGTTGCCCTGCCCGGCGTAGTATGTGAATGGGGTCCAGATACTCGCCGCATTGCCGACCGAGTTGACGAATGCTAGAGCTGCGGCGCGCTTGGCTGGCGGACGGGGAATGGCGTTGGAGATCCAGGCGTAGCAGGTCCCGTTCATGGCGAAGACAAAGTTCAAGAGGAACAGACTGAAGTAGCGCGGGCCGAAGCTGTCGGTGGTCATGAAGATGACACAGCCAACGATGACCACGGGGATGGGGTACATGAAGAACCAGAAGCGGTTGCCAACCTTGTCGGACGTCCAGCTGTGCAGGAATGAGTAGAAGACCAGAAAGACGTAGGGCGGTGCGACGAGCAATAGCGAAATGACGTGGTTGTAGCCCAGGGTGGCGGTGAGCGTGGGGAAGAAGTTCTGAAAGCCAGCGGCGCCGGTGATACCGTGGTAGGCGATGGCTAGGATATAGGTCTTGGGGTCGAGGAAGGCGAGCTTCATGCCTTGGACTTGGCTCATGGCACCGGCTTCGTCGACGTCGGCTTCGGCAGCGTCGATGGCCAGACGACGGTTCGCGACGCGCTTCATTTCAGGCGTGAGTGCACCCCAGGTGTCGGGGAAGTCGGGCAGGATGACGACGATGATGAGGCCAATCAAAACGGTTATGGAACCTTCGATGATATACTGTGGATTGTGAGAACAGAGGACTGTGGCTGTTCTGTGAGGAATAAGGACTTACCAACCACTGCCACGCAGACATGCCTCGCGCACCAGCGAGACCAGAGAGAATTCCTGCCGCGATGAGGTTGCCGAAGGCGCCGGAGATGAGGGAGCCAGAGTAGAAGATGGCCATTCGGAGTGAAAGTTCCTTCTTCGAGTACCATTTACTGAGATAGAATAGGACACCGGCAAAGAAGGGCGCCTCTGGAGGAAAGTCAGGAAAAGGTCTATAAAGAAAGAAGCAGGGAAGGAGAGATGTTGGAACTTACCAACAAGTCCGAGGATGAATCTGCAAGCAACGATTTGTCCGTACGTGCTGACCTGGCTGGTAAGAGCAGACACGAGACCCCATGCGACGGTGAAGAACCCCAGGTACCACGAGGGTCGGCCGCTGTAGTTGAGAAGCAGGTTGGAAGGCACTTGCATGAGGACCTAGACGGTTGTCAGTCACAGTCTCGCATTCATGTTGACCTGACGTTTGGACTTACATATGCCACAAAGAGGATACTCAGGCCGACTTGATACTGGTCTCCTTTCAAATTCAAGTCCTTTTCGAGACCCTGCAGTCGCGCAGCCGCATAATTGTTTCTGCGGAGGCAACATTAGCATGCCGGTCACGGCTGAAGCATGAAGGACGGCCGTCTTACCGGTCAATGTAGTTCATCAAATAGACCAGGATGACCAATGGCATGATAAGCATGTCGATTCTCAGTAGCAGCTTCTTCTCAACGTGGACTTCCTCCTCGGTCAATTGCCCCCAGTGCATGGCTTCCTCATGCAAGGTGCCCTGCTTCTCGCCCATGAGCTGGGCATCGGTGATCTTGTCGTCTGAGGCCATTGTACCTGTTGTTGAGGACACACAGAGAGTAATACTTCTAAGAATAGTGTCTGGAATGAAAGAGGAAGAGCACCAGGAGTAGTTGTCTTCTTTCCAGACTGCGCTCACAACCAGGAGAGGAGATCAGCAGAACAGCTTCAGCAGACAGGTCAAGGCTCGCAGCTCTTGTACTTCTACAACTCCGTACATTGATCAATCTGCGGGGTCCATCGTCCATGAAATCATGGGGGCGCACAGTCAACCAGGCCATCGCATCACCACACCCACGGCGCCTGGCCGCAGTGACTGCCGTCGGTGTTGATCGGGGTGGGGAGCACATGGCGTGTATGGGGCATGACGGACCCTCCAGCATGTCTGATCCGGGGTTTGTATGGAAAGCTTGGGGATCTTTGCTCGCTTCAAGGAGCAGACCAACCTCATCGAGTCATGGATCGGCATGACAATGTTGCAGCCAAGAGTCGGGAGGTGCGGGAGGCAATTGAAAGAATGGAGACGGATGGGCGGCTTCTCCTCGCATACGACCTTTTTGGTCAAAGGCTTTAGCCTCCACTCCGTCGTACGAGGGTCGGCAATTCGCACTGCATCTTCGACTGACATTCCCCGGTCAGATGAGGAAGCTTGCCCCCACGAATTGGTTGGTCTGGAGGATTGGGTGGAGGCCGCTCGTTGCCCCCAAGCCAAGCTCGTGGCGTCCTTCAAGCACGCTGGAGACAGCAGAGACAGCTTGGACAGCCGCCTTGGAAGGACTTTCTCCTGAACACGGTACGGAGTACGACGCCGTTGTCAACCGTGTAGTACCTAGGTAGGTATTTCCACCTCCTGCGTCTGGCAATTTCTCGGTCTTTGAAGAATCCTTCCTGCTGACCGGATCCTCGGCTTGACACTCTGTACTGTGGTAAGCAAGGCGAGGTGCGTTTGACGCATGTCCGTGTCTGAATCAGGTTGTTCGCAAGCTGAGAATCACCCCTTCTGCCGCAAGTCACGGTCCATCTCCGGGGCCAGACGGAGTAGGTAAGCCTTTGTTCGTATTTCCTTGTGGCCGAGAACTTATTAGCCACGGCTAGACTGCAAAGCTTATGCGAGCTTCAACTTCAAGTTATTTTGCACGTGTTACTTGCAGGCCCATCATGCGCTGATGATGAAGAGGAGTAGTAGATATTCATGATTCTTGCGTCTAAAGCCTTCTGTTGAAAGGGTGAGAGTCTGAATATGCAGCCGCAGGTATATGGGTCAAATCGAAACAACTCGGAAGTGATGTTGTATCTCTTCCTCCAGTCGTACTGTATATACGGTCGCCACTCAAGCTGATGAGTTTTGATTCCGCAAGAGTGCGCCATCGTGGGCGATTCCAGTGTTTTCCCGTTCTGTTTACCTGAAGCACCTAGGTAGGTATGGGCAGGTGCCTCCACGTGCTGCGCTCGAACAACCTCAAGCACCTTAGGCACAAAGGCCTATAAAATGTTACCCACCTCGCGAAGCAATTTTTCAAGCACTTACCTCGTCGCGCACCATGGTACTGCGCAGCGAGAATCAATGCGCGCAATGCTGCCTTCCAGTCCTTCAATTACCCGTCCGATTCTTTTTTGTCCATGAATGTTCACTCAAATGCATGAGTAAGGACGGGCAATAATGCGCAGGTGGATGGGGCATTTTTCGATGATATACTTCCACTGACATGGTGATGACAGGCCGCCAACGATCAAAAATCCGGATGTGGCTCAATACAAGGTTGAGCCAAAACCTATTCATCGAAGATGACTTGACGAATACTCGGGAGACGTTGGGTCTGGCCTTCGCTAGTGTCGTGTCCCGACCCAGCAACTCTACGAGTGCAACACTTTTGATCAGGGCATGGCCTGAGCACACGCTGACATGCCAAAATTTGTAATCGCTGGTGGGCTGGATATACTTGAACTGTGCGATTACTCTCAAAGAGCGGTTCTGTTACCAATTGCACCCTCCCGAAGGCGGAATGGAGATGGCACCTTGATGTGACCTCGACCGTGCTCCCTGAGCTCTACGAAATGCTCTGGTTGTATCGTAAATGTCCCAGGACTGTGTCACTGCCAACTTCCACGAAGCTACAGCAGACTGCATATGCCTTCAATCAACTTGAGCACAAGCGGTTTGCAGCAAACCAGTCATGCTGAGTGGCACGACTTCCGTGATAATCTCATTGGTATTCACGATACTCAGCATCTTATTCACCTCTGCGCGAATCTATACACGAGTGACGGTGATCAGGCGATTCGGCATTGATGACTACTTGTTGCTCTTCTCAGTTGCTACAACCATCCGTCCTGACATCGCTTATTGTTTGGCGTACGGCATCGACCTGTCCTGTTCTTCCATGGTCATTACTAAATTTATACAGAATCTCAAAATGGTCTCGGTTTGCGCATCGACGACTTGACCGAGCATCAACTCCGCGTTTCGCAGAAGGTAATTCTTGACTACAAATGACAAGCCAGGGCACTTCTCAAGATTGACACCGCTCTAGGCAACATGGGCCATCAAGCTCGTCTATCCACTTGCCGTTATGTCGGTCCAGAATGCTTTCCTATTTCAATACCGAACGATAGTCATCCGCCAATGGCAGCGGTGGATTATACATACAATGATCGCGGTTGTCACTAGCTTCGCAATTGCCACGACCGTTGTTGCGGCCACCGAATGCTTGCCCTTGCGAGCACTCTGGCAAACCGCCACCCGAAATGAGCGATGTATCAATCTTGTAGCATATTGGATGTTTTCAGCCTCTTTCAACACGATCACTGCGTTGGTTGTTTGGATGATCCCCATTCCGGTGATCAGGTCGCTCCATCTGCCGACACGACAGAAACGCTGGCTGATGTTGGTATTTCTGCTTGGAATTTTGTAAGTGCACCTTCTTGGTGTGTGAAAGACTAGCAGATGTCGCTGACCGACTGGGGATTATAGTACTTGCTTAGCAGCCGGTCTGCGGATCTGGGTTCTTCATATCACCCTTGAACGTACGCGCGCCAAGCTGGGACGATACCTCGCCCTGGTGGCGACTTGGACTTCGTTGGAGATCAACATCGGAATCATCTGCGCCTGCTTACCGACATGCAAACCTATCGTGGATCGTATGTTCCCCAACCTACTACGAGAGCCTGCCAAAGAGCCGGATTTTCTGAGGATGGAGCGGTATAATCAGAATGGCGCAGGGCATACAGCTCCAAAAGTAGATAATGACTGTGGCGCTGACCAGACCATTACCGTCGCCACGTCGTTCAGCTGCCACGACCTTGAAGGATCAAGAGATGAGAACGCCATATCCGGGGCATATTCGTTCGTCTGAGATGAGGTGGATTTCCCAGTACCAGCCGAGAGCAACGGCGAGCCCATGTCAAAAGCGATGTGACTTGACCGGCAAAAGCCAGGAGTTGGCGGAGGCTGAGGCTGAGACCAAGCTCAAACGCTCAGAGGGTCCAGTTCACTACTAATTGAGAACGGTGTTGCAATAATGACCGGATTAGTGATATTGACGAATGCCATGCCACTATGCGGTGTTAGCCTCACGAAGGTCATGTGTTTGTGCTGTGGTTTTTGGATGCCGTGGATGCCTGAGGCTGAGTCCGATGGTGAAATTCATATGCTATTGGACGAGCGGCACATAGAACCCAAAGTGGTTAGCTCGAATTGCCAGGCTGGTGACTGAGCCCTGTTGACGGGATCTTTCAGGCGGCAGCGCATCGTTATACTGAATACGATGATGAAAGAATACTAGTAGGTATGCTCGTGGTATATATGGGCCTGTGGCCGTGATGAATGGTCGGTCTATATTATTCACTCCCAGCAACACTCCCAGCAAAACTCCCAGCCAAAAGCAATCACGAACGACAAACCTGAGATAACCTATACCCACAAGCACACACCCGAGATGGAATTCGCACATGACATACCTCAATCTAATAGTACCTTGTCCACCTCGTCCCAACCTACCGAGCTACAAGTCGACTTCTCCTGGAGAAAGTATCAAGCCATCGTCACCGAGAAATCGAAGCCGGCTGAGCCCCTCTACAATATCCACTGCCGGGCGATCAGATGGCCGCATCTCACCTTCAAATCCGCAACAACCGACGAGATTGTCGGTACCGGCACGCTGAACTGCGTGTCCATCAATGCGAAATATGAGGTTCACGGACAGAAGGGCACACTGAAAGCACTCAAGAGGTTCCACACAAAGTACACGTATTTGTCACATGCTTCTTCGGACGACGACAAGCCTGTCCCCATGACTTGGACGAGCAGCTGTGGTCTGAAGAAGTGGGATTTTGTTTGCGTGGATCAGCACCAGAACCCCGTGGCCAAGTTGTCGGTCAACATCTGGGCGATCCGTAAGTTGGGCGGATTCGAATTTATGGGCCCGAAAGCGGACTCTAGGGAGCTGAGAGAGGAGATTATCGTGACCGGGTTGACGTTGTTCTATCTCATGTTTTTGCGCGCCAACAATATCTTGTCTTTGGTCGGGGCAGTGTTCGCAAGGCCTGGTCCGCTCGAGGCGCCCGAGGGTGAGAAATCGCCCGAGCTGAAAACACAGTAGGAGGCAGTTTGATGATGGCGGCGTCGAGGGGTCAGGATTAAGGGATGTTTTATGATTGTATGGTCAAAGGGATTTGAGGCGCTTGACGATGAGATGGAGTTGTTGATAGAAGCGAACGGCGCAATGAAAGTATTCGCTCTGTACTCTGTATTGTCTGTCATATTATGATAAAGGAGAATTAATAACAAAGATACAGAGTCGTGAGAGTCCAGGTGGTAGGTGATAGAAACAGCCGGATGTTATTGGCTGCGATCTAGCGTGGCTTCTTAGGTCGCGGCGTTGCCTGGCGGCCTGCATTGACGTTTGTTGACGGTGGCCGCCCTTTTGACATTGCATCAACCCATTGCCATCTGCATCCCATACGGCGTCGACGACCATCGCCTTCGGGCGCAGCGAAACGGTAATACTAATTCTAGCAGCATAGCATCGTCGACCATCACGGCCACCAGCAACGGCCTTAACGATCCCGTCCACACCGCCCTCAATCTCTAAACACCCCGGATCGACCAACAAACGCAAACGACGACCTACCCCGGCAAATGATATCCTAACCACGATTCTTTCGTATTCCACAAAGAGATACCTGCTCGGAGAGTGACAATATTGCGACAACTTGAAAGACACGACTGACGCGAACATGCCCCTATCCGATGGCGTCCCCTCCTCCCCTCCCAGACCGGGAGCATCCCTGGAAGACTCCCTGAAATACTACAAAGCGCAATATGAGCTCTTAGAAGCCGAATTGGAAGACTTTCAAGCATCCAGCAAAGAACTTGAAGCAGAATTGGAAAAGGATATTGAAGCGTCCGAAAAGCGAGAACGTCAATTAAAGGAGAAGGCCACCAATCTCCAATATGAAGTAGACGAATGGAAGGCCAAATACAAGCAATCCAAGACCGAGGCTTCAAACGCTCAAAATGTGCTACAAAAAGAGATTACAGAACTACGAGACATCAATCGCACGCTACAGATGCGCCTGCGCGACATCGAGGTTGCCAATGATGACTTTGAGAAGAAACAACGAAATACCGAGTCTTCGCTAGAGGATATGGAGGCCAAGTATAACCAAACAATTGAGCGCAGTGTGCTACTGGAAGAGGAAATGCGCTCAACCGAACAAGAACGGGAAGACCTGCGCATCGAGGCGCAAAGGTTGAGAGACGAGCTCTCCGACCTCAAGATCGAGACCGACATCACCAAAGAAAAGTTACGGAAAGCAGAGGCTGCAGCTCGAAAGAACTTGACACTGCAACCTATAAACATTACTAACTCATCTCCTCGCTCCGAACTGTCGCCTACAACTACGAACGCTTCTTCCCCTACATTCGACACTCCGCCCGCAAAGACTGCTTCATCTTCTGGACTTTCCGATACGCCAACTCCGCCATCACCACCCATATCAGACAAGTCCGGCCATGTTTCAAAACCTTTGACAACTCCAGGCATTCCCAAAAGACTGTCTACGACGAATGGGTCCGGCATCCAGCGTCCAGCTTCTTCAGTCTCCAACACAAGGCCCAACGGCCATGTCCGTGGACCTTCGACATTATCGCGGACTGGTCCTTCATCTTCCTTTCGTCAGAGTCTGTCAAAGACCACTCTTCCTCAACGATCAGCCGCGCTACCTCAATCTGCATCGCTCATCCATATTAGAAACCTGCGCGGCAAGATGCAAAAGTTGGAGGAACGTGTGCACAACGCAAGGTCCAAACTTCCGGCTCCTGTAAATACTCCTCCGAAGATGTCTCCCAGATCAGGTTCGGCACTGGGCACTCACATCCCATCATCCGTGACTGTTCGTACCCGAAAACGTACTGGTGGCAGTACCATAAGTGGAGCAGAGTCACTACCGGACAAGGCGCAAGAATCTCCTTCCAAACCCAAACCAAAACCTAGTCGGCTGTCCTTGAGTCAAAATCAGCCGCCATCTCCGACAAGAGGCGACATGGCCGCACCCCCGCCGCTACGACCTTCGTCTCGAGCGAGTGGGATATCAGGGCGGTCGTCGTTCGCACCAAGCCACAGTCGTCCGGGTAGTCGGGCGAGCGTTTCGGGCTTCCGAGCAACCCTAGGTGGCGGCGTCGGAGCAAACTTTGCCCCGAATGCTTCGACGGATAGAGTTCGGCCGAAGAGCAGTCTGAGCAGCTACGGGTATGACGGCGCAGTGGACGAAGACAGCAGTGAGATTGCCTCGACGGACTTGAAAGATGCAGCGACCCCGACCCCCCGACGGACAACTTTTGCCAAAAGGGGCAGCGATGTTGGGTCGGCCATTCCAAGCCCGACCAAGCGGACCAGTCTAGGCGGTGCGACAAGCAAATTGCCTGGTCCTGGCAGAAGGCAGAGCTCTGGTTTTGTCCGTGCGAGCAGTGGTACTGGCCCCGGTGACATGAGGCCGCCGTCTCGACAATTGAATCATGTCCGGGAAGGTTATGACGTGAATGAATCGTATTGACTGGGCGCATATTCTGGACAGTGGTGTTTAGAACGACGTTGCCGGGTGCTTGGAATGCATCGAGTCATGCCGGTCATGAGTTTACGGTCGCATTTTGGGAACTAGCAAGGTGTTTACGGCACACGACTTGACAACCTCAGGATCACGACATTGCATATTGGGTGGATATGATATTTGGGTGGCTCTACGATGTATGTTCTTCTTGATTGTCTCGATTGGTATGTTCCGAGACCGATTGGCATGATTGATACCCTTGGGAACAAGAGAATAAGATGATCGAACGTGAAACCACGGACCACGATAATTTCAATGCATTCTCCGGTCGATTTTGGAGAGGTTCTCCGAGTGGTGACTGTACAATTGTATATCTGTTCGGTGCCTGTACATCGTATCGCAGACCACACATTTCCGTTGCTTGGTCTGCCAGTTACCGTAGTTAGCACTGGAAAGCCACACCCTCTCGTTTCGCCATGTTCGTCCCACCACCCGCGAACCCAGTCCCTTCGCAACTGATCTCGACCAGCCTGCCTACTTTCTTCTCCTTCTTGGCCTTGTCCTTTCGAGATTCTTTTGCTGCGGGCTTGGCCGCGCTTCCATTTTGTTGTCCTTCAAGGAGGCTGCTGCTGCTGCCATTCCCATCATGATCGAGAGGATTCTGATTCTGATTCGGATTCTGGTTGCCGCTGAGATCGGCTTCACATACATAGCAAGCAATCCTTTCTGATGGTGGCGATCCGCCGAAGCCGACGACGAAGTCCTTTTCATTTGCTTGTCCCTGTGCATGTCCAGGTCCCTGTCCTTGAGTGGTGGTGCCGGTGTTCTTCATCTTGGTGTTGTTGCTGTCCCGCCCACGCAGTCCGTAGAGTAGATCCGCGCACCCTTTACACACCACATGGCCGCAGTTTTCGGCCGTGCCCAGCATCGCCCGCGACGTGTTCGTCAGCATCTTCTTGCAACTAGGGCAGATCGGGGCAGCACCTGTCGTTGTACAGTTACTAGTATTAGTATTGGTCTTGTTCTGGTCGCCTGCGCTTTCGCTTTGTTCCGTCGAAAATCGGACCGCGATCAGGCCCTTGAGCGAATAGGGATGCTTGTTTTCAGGCGTGCTCGCCGGACAGAGAGGGTGCAGTTTCGCGGTGGTGGCGCGGGAGGAGCGTTGTGAACGTGACTGCGACGCAAGTACTTCGGACGAGCCGGGGATCCAGAAACTCGTTTCGGAATCTTTCTTTGCCTTTTTTGTTGCGTTTGCGTTTGCGTTTGCGTCCGGCGCAGCAGCAGCAGTGCGTGCGTGCATCTCTTCAGCAGCACCAGCAGCAGCAGCGACGTCGCGCTTCCTCTTCGTACCCGCCGCCGTCGTCTCGTCATAGCCCATCTCCGCCCTTTCGAACCTCTCCACCTCCTCCCTCCTTCGCTCTTCCTCGGCTCTCGTCTCTTCGTCCTCTTTCTCCTTCTCTCGAACTTCGGCCTCGCGTTCGAGGCGTTTGATCTCCTTCCGTTGAGCCATGAGGTCGTTCAGTGCGCATTCTCTGCAGAAGAGGTGCACTTTGACATTGCCATCGGCATTGCCCGTCGTGCCGCCGGTGGTGTTCGATTCCGAGTCCGAGTCATGATGCTCGCCGGGACACGTCACGGGGTCAACGGCCAGACTCAAACAGAGCCTACAGTATCCAAATGGCAGGAAACTATCGCGCGAGAGACGCGTCGATTGCGTACCCCAGCTCGATCGCAGCAGTGAGCGTTCGTGCGCCGTGAAGAACGCGAGGGAAGTGTTTCGTTTGGCGTGAGACATGGCTTTCTCTTTCTCTTCTCTATCGCAAGGAGAGACACAGATGAGAGAGGAGGAGGGAGTACTTTGTAGCGAAGATGGCGTTGTGTCCGGGAAGAAAGTTGACAGGTAGAGAGGGAAGCCCAAATCTGCTTGAGATGAAATGTAGGTAGATACCCGGTTCAATGTGCTGCTGCTGTTAGATTTGGACTTATGTCGCCCACCGTGTCTAATGAAGTCGGTCGCACACTTGTCGCTGAGGTACTACGTCCGCCAGAAACTTGATCCTTCTGGTATTGGCCTCGACGTGCTTTTCCCGGTCAATCTGGCCGACGCTGCTAAAACAAAACTTCTCGCTCTGTCGTCCGCCAGTCTCTAATCGCACCTCATCCCAAGCTTGGACTTGGATCTCTTCCTGTGGCCAACCGTGTCGTAGTTCGTGTTGCGCTTGAAAACCTCTTCTTCTCAATCGATGTTATCCTGCTCCTTCGTAATAGTGTCCGACTCTTAACTTGACATGGCGAACTGCCCGGAGGAAAGATTTCCCGGCGCCAAGAACCAAGCTTTCACGGCTTCCTGTCGACGACATTTCCTCAAGTTCAGCCTCGTTAAGAGATACTTCATCGGCATGCTTGATCTGTACTGACCTCTAGAACATCCAGTAGGCAGTGAGTGCTGCGGAAGTCTTGCATCTCATTCTCACTAAGTATATCCTAGCGATGCTTCGCCGTGAAAGCGAATCATTCCGAAACCAAAGTCAATCAATGCTTTTATTTGTCTCAGCCAGCGGCCAGCCGCCAGAGATATCTCTTCGCTATTTAAAACATGCAATTGAACTTGGAAAACTCTGGAAATGACGCTTTTGGGGGCACAGCAACCCAAGAAAAGCACACAGCACCGCAAGCACACCAGCACCAGCACCACCACAAGCATAAGCATAAGCACGCACCGACACACAAGCGACCCAGCACCAGGGATCAATACTCCTTGCTCTCTCTGACTTCTGCTTGCTTCAAGAAGTCCCTCTTCGAAGCGTCATTCCCGAAGGAATGCGCCCGAAGGCGACCTCCAGCCACGAACACCTCCTTCTCCCCCTCCATACGCCCACAGACCGAATCTCGTCGTGCACGAAGCACGAACCCCTCCAAACGCGCACCGACACCATCCTTGGCCGCAAGGAGGTGGCCTACGTCACGGGGATTGTGACACAGGGCCTCCCTGCTGGCAGCGCAGGCAAGCCATGCTGATTTGGATGTGCCGTCCTCTGCACCAAACGGACACACGAAAGGAACCGTGGCGAGGGCATCTTTCTCGGCCACAAGACCGGCAACAGCCTCCAGGAATTGGTTCCTGGATTCCAGCTCTGCAACCCTCTTTTCCAGGTCGATATTTACTTGACGATCGCCTGGTGTCGAAATGCAGACTTGCTCGGTCTGCGTGGCACAGTCTCGGAAGGTCTTGGTTGCTGGTGCATTGCGGCCTTTCTTGACCTGTTGATTCTTCTGGACCTCATGGCGAGCAGGGGTGGAAGCTCGATCACCAGCTTGGTTCCGCCGTCTACGAGGCATTGCGATCTTCCAGCTTGCTTCGTCAGCTTCAGAGCGTCTGGTTGTCCTCTCAGGCTGATTGTAGAGAGGATTCGCCCTCTTGAATGGCTCTTTCTGCGGTCTTGGGGTAGTGAAATCGCCACCTAAGGAGGCCGAAGGCGAGCGGACGGGAGATGGCGCGACGAGAGGCTGTGGAATTGTAGGAGGGCTTTTGGAACCTCTAGGCGAGAAGTGTGATGGGACTGCACTCGAATCATTGGTGTTCTGCTCATCTTCACTTTCGTTCGGGGTCACGATGGCTCCTGGACCATCATTGCTCGTGGAGCCCATGTCCGCAAACTGGGACAGAAAGTTAACTGCGTCCAACTGCGATGGTGGCAAGTCTTCAACGCTTCGCGATGTCGGAGAGTCGTGACCATTCACCGAAGGGACGTTCAGATGGCCAGCTTCCGGTTTGTCCAGATGGTCTGAGTCTTGTTGAACAGCCAAAGGTGATTCATTGACGCTTCCGTCTGCCGCACCTGTCTCATATCCGCCATCGAAGACCTTGTCGGCCATAGATGCAGCCTGACTAAGTATCTCCATAGCTTCGTGCTTAGGGAATACTTTGGTATCGACCTGACCTCGGACTTCGCGCGCTACAGGCTTTTCTTCTCGGACAGGCGTGGAGATGGCTTCGTCGAGTTGAGGCAGGCTTTCTTCGCGTTCCTTGGTTGTCTCAGCGACCTCTGCTAAAGGTGTGTCCTCCTCTTTCGTCGTATTGGTGGCCTTTCTCCTCTTCTTGGGCTTTTTATTCTTCTTGGATGTGCTTGTCGGCTCGCCCTCTAGCTCTCTGGCGAGCTCATCAATGCTCTTCTCCCAAAGCTGTGCCCTATGCTGCTCTGACTCGAGCTTTGTTTCCCATCTTTTCTTGCTGACTTCGACAGGAACTTCTTCGACCAAGCCATCGACTACTTCCAAGCAACGGTACACGTCGTCGTCTGGACTGTGGTTCAACATGAACATCAATTGAGGCAAGCCCTCTTGGATCAAATTGTAATCTTCGAAGATCGAGTGTCCTTCTGTGGATTCGCCAATTGCCTCTTTGTTATTCTGTATTCCCCGTATCATGTTGGTCGCTTGTTCGGCCTCTGGACGACCGTTGCGTTCGGCAAACCAGAATTTCATGCAGATGGCGAAATAGTAGGCGCGAATCGCGTCGCTGACACTGAACGCCATGTTAATCAGCAGGAAATAAAGTTCTCCCACTGGTTCATGGTTGAGGTCGAGCAAGAAATATCCGTCAAGCAGAAGAGCAGCCATTCGATACATTTTCGATAGCCGTTGGACATCCTTGCCGAGGGTAGACCATTCCACCCTGAGGTTGTAAACATCCTTCCTCAAAATGCGGAAGTTGCGGTCTTGCTCAGAGGTCACACAGGTATCGCAACGACAACAAAATCCAAACATGTAGCGGAGGCTGCCGATATATTCGTCAACGGTCCCGTCTAGGGGACGGTATGATCTTGTGATCTCCTCCCCTTTCTTAATTGGTTTCACAGCATACACCTGGAGAGTGACAGCAGGGACGACGACACCAGCTGGTTGCTTGGCATCCCACCGGTAAATGGCGTTAGGATGGCATGCATGATTCATGAGGCCGACCAGCAGTCCGAATACGTACACCCATTTTCCCCTGTCATCCTGCAGTCTTAGAGCATCCTCGAGAATTCGAGCCAGGCCTCTCCATACCGTCTCATCTCTCCAGGTGCTTTCTCCAAAACTCATGCCGCACCACTCGAAGAAGTCCCAGCGTGTCATATGATTCGGGTAAGCTTCGCGCTCGAGGGCACAATCGGCGTCTGCAGGGTATTCGAGGCCGGCTATCGTTCCCTTCTTTAGGAAGCCGCGTATCGATGGCATGGCCGAAGCTGCAATCGCCGCGATAGTGGTGAGATATTCGTCCCAGCGTTCTCGACTCATCTGGTAGCGATCTTTCCAAGGGCGTCGCCCCAGCTCATCTGAGTCGCACACAATGGTTGCGTATTCGGAAAATATCAGGTCGCCAGGCTCGAAGTCTTTTGGGGCGAACAGGCCAGCATTCTTCCAATGATCCGCATTTCTGTCCCACTCGGCACGAAGTCTTGGTTGATCTGACATGTTGTTCGATTGAGGATGAGGATTTCGTGGGGCGATGCTGTGGAGTCTCGATTCACCCAGAGCACTGAACAGCTTTTTGTAAGCTATCTGCGTGCTGGGCCATTTGGAGCCGAGAGGGTTATCTGAGGGACCTTTTGATCCGAGACTCATGTTGAGGGAAGAGGGAGGTAGGGTCAGGTAGGAGCGATCAAGGTGATATTGACTCTGTATCACCACAATAGGAAGGAGACACCGGATGATTGGGTTTCTACTGGCAGACGATGATTGAGCAGTGAGGAGACAAAGCAGAAGAAAAGTTGTTTGCGAGATGTTTGACTCATGGAGCGTTTGGAAGAGTGATGATATGTCTTTGAAAAGTGAGAATGCGGCCGTGCATGATTGTTCCTTGTCGACCCCTCGGCGACATCATCATGGCAAACAATGGGATCAAACCAGTTCGGCAGATCGCATCGCATCGCATTTCGACGACTAAGCAGACACGCAAGCGAGGGGAACCTCTGATGAAGTGCGAGCATACGTCGTTGCGGAACAATACAGCCAGACAGACTGACACCACCACCATCTTCATTGAGACAGGGGACTATCCTTGACAAACATCCAACGATCCTCTACTTCCTGCCAGGCGCCGTGTGTCACAATGGAGCTAGAGATCGCCATCTTCATCGCCGTCATGGCTGTTGTTGTAGCCCTGGTGTGCGTCTGGGCTCTTTACACCATGAACAACAGACCAGCGAGGTTCTTTCCGGGGTACACCCACCAACTCTGGTATCAGATGGAAGCACCTCGACGGGGCAGGTCGACGTCTAGACCGGGAGGTCAACATGGTGGACAAGAGGAGCTAGCCGTCTGAGAAACAAACATGCGCACACTCGAGGGATCCACGGGCTCCCCTTTGGTCTCTTCCTGGGCTTGGACATGTCGGTGGAAACCAAGCGCAACGAGAGGTGGTCGGAGATCTCATGGAAATGTTGATATTTCGCAATCTGCCCGACTTTGGGCCCATGAAAAGCTATGTTAGCTGTTGTGGAGGAGAAATACGCCTGGGCTATTGGGAGATCGGCGTCGGCGACCTCGCAAGCGTAACGCGCAAGCAATTGGCCAAACATTAAAACCTGGATTGAGAACAACCGGAGCATATGAAACGACGTCGTGGCGGGCGACGGATTTACAGAGGCGTCATCAAGCCTGCGCCGTTACTTGCAGCTGGCACATACAGAAGAGAGCGGGATGGATAGATCCTCAGAGAGATTAGTGGTGGACCGACACCACATTACTTCAACGGTGTCATTGCATGCTCACCACCGGTCGAAGAAGAAGCCATGGAGATAGAGCATTCAAAGCACGCATGCACAGCCTGTTGCAGTCAAGTCCCTCATACCAATCTATACTAGTAACGTGCTTTGTGATTGCACTTGCCAAACCCGCCCATCCCTTCAAATCCCAGCGTGATATTCTAGAAAATCGAATAATCACGGCGGCGCCCGCGTCAACCAGGGTTTTCCTTTACCCGTGCCAAGGCCGGTCACGGTATGATTGGAGCAGTGAAAGTCATCCGTCTGTCGCAAAGCTTAAAGATTGTCAAGTCGTCGTCATCGGAGGCAAGAGCACCCTCGGAACAGCTCGATGATGAAATATGCTGGAATCCAGAGCGTCACGGCCAGTACTGGAAGGAGAATCTGTGCCCACAATGGCCATGAGAGATACTCGCCGGCTGAACGTCGGACAATCGCTTCAGGGATGTCACTCGCAACGAGACTGATCGGCGCCATGATTGTCCTCGGGGCCTTGGAGGTGGCTGTTCGTGCTGGATTGCTTTGGCGTTTTGGGAAAAGGATGTTCGCCGTCGCAAAGCGAAGTGGGTTGGCAGATGCTCAGCGAAGGCTTTCCAAGTCGTCTAAGGGTGGAAGCTGTACAGGCCTTGGGCGGTGTCGGGTTGGATGGCGTGGCGAAGTTTGTGACGGAGGGCTGACTCTGATGAAGCGATCGGTTGATTCTCAAGACTCATGTTCGCACTCCGTGACTTTGTGTGTAATAATCAGACCTTGCGCGAGCAATATCTCTTGAGGGGGTGTAGTGGTGTTTTGGCGTAGATGCCTTTCTTTGTCGTTACGTTGACCAGCGTGGGCCGCAAACAACGGGTCAAACAAAGAAACTTTCTTTCTCAAACATGCCACTATAACCATTTTCGGCCAGCAGCAGTAACTCTTTGCCTGAACACGGGACTTTTGATAGGTTTGCCGATACTATAGAATGGGTTCATCAATGTCTTGGCCCACAGTTCGAAGACCTCGTTCATGAATTGGCGGATGGCTTCCTCCGTCTGGGGACTCGTAGGATTTTGAGGAATCGAGGTTGACGAGATGGTCGAGGTCCGGCTGCCAGCGGAAGCATTCGTCATGGCTGATGGTTGGTGGAGGAGCATGAAGCGGACATTTGTGCCCGTGATGAAGCAGCTGATGTGGGAGTTTGTCGGGGCGTAGTTGTCGATGACCTTGAGCCACATGTTGGGAGTCAACCATTGGACTTCCTCCACCACATCTAGAGCTGCGTGAACGATGAATTGATTCATGTACCGCGATGTCTCTCCATTGCGAAACCGAGCGACGCCGTCACCTCCAGCCTTGGAAGTGCCAAAAGTCAACTCAAACAGAGGAGTGTCGGTGGGCGAAATGATTACAAAGTAGTATGACATTATGATCGAATAGCATTAACAGGGCCTAGCAACGAAGACGCCGGGCAGCATGAGAATGCTGGATCAACGAGGCTCTGACCAGCCGGTGTTGCCTCCTGTAATAGGTATGTACCAGGACTGGTGTCGTCTACAGGACGTCTTGCTCAGCAAGGCGTCGTGATCGGAAATGGACTAGAGATTCTTGGCAGCGCTAGTCCCAATCCGATTCCTTGATTTTGGCCTCCGCTAGGTTTCGTCGTTCTGCGATTTCTCTCCTCGGGTACTTTCCCTGCTCTTGCAGTGATGAACATCTTCTACTGAGTCGAGGCACCGTCCAAAGGCACGCTCCAGACTCTAACATCATTGTCAGCGACAGCTGCCATCATGACTTTGCCATTCCTCGAGTCCTCCCATATGGCCGCTTCGTAGCCACTCTTACCCTGGGGCTCATCTACCGGGGGCTCGTGAGGGATGTCCTCGTCAGTTCCAAGTCGGGCGAAGCGCCACTTGTGTTGCTTCTGAAGGTCGTACACTTCGATCCCTCCATCTCCAACGGTAAAGACAACAAGCTTGCAGCCTGAATCCACGTAACGAACGCTGTGCACTTCAAGGTAGCTTTTCAGTAATCTTTTTTTACGTTCATCATCCACCTTGCACGCATCTGTACTCAGCTCCCGTTGCTGAACGATTTCATTCTGCTCCACGTCAATCACAAACACGGTGCCCAGCCTACGACCTCCAATGGCTAGCATGCGACTATCTGCCGACCACGACAAATGTCGACACCAGTCGACATTCATTTGACGCGACCACAAAGTTGAACCATCTGACATTGAGTAGAGATAAAGTGTGCCATCACCGCTGGTTCCCGCAAAGAGCTTGGAATCCGGTGAGAAGCCGCCGGTCCAATTTTGTTTTCCGGTCTCGAATCTGAACTTGAGATTGCCGTTCTGGGCTTCCCATATCCTCATGGTGGTGTCCCAGCAGCAGGTGCCTATCAATGTTTCATCAGGACTGAAGCCGGACCACATGATCGCGTCGGTATGGCCGTCCAAAGTAAAAAGATCCTTGCGTGTCTCCATGGACAGCACACGCATCTCCCAAGGGACGTTCGAGTTGGATCGAGGTCGATTGCCGGGTAGGTACATGAGTTTATCCCCCGAGGGATTGAAGTAATTGGTGTCGAAAGAAGTCAACAATCGCCCTGCAATTTTCGCATCTTCTGCAACGCTGTGTTTGGTGGTAAGCTTTGTTACCAGGCTCTCAATGTCTTTTGACAAATTTCCACTTTCGGCCTCTGTGAGAATCAGGGGAACTTCGCCTTCGGAGAGGCGCGCTGCGACAGCGTCGCTAGCTTCTCTGGCAATGTTGGAGATGGTGGCTTCATCAATTCTGGGGCGAGTCTTTTGCGCATGCAAATCCCAAATGATGACTTCGCAGTCGGCCTTCACGGATCCGCCATAGTTGTTTGTGGCCGCCGAGACAAGAACATTCGCATCGCCTGGCTGGAAGGCGATAGCGTCGACTCGCGAAATGTGGCCCTTCAGCACTTGTTGGAGTTTGAATTCCTCTGTGCCGAAAATATGAATGTCGTGTTCAACAGCAACCGCAAGGAGCGAGTTGTCCGAGCTCACGACAACCGCGGTTGGTTGTGACGGCAGCATGATTTTGTAGTCTTCAGAACCCCATTCCAAGTGCCCTCCTTCGACGTAGGGAAACGGCTCATCGCTGTCGGTTTTAAAATCCTGGTTGATTTTGTACCGCCAGTCATGGGAGAACTGCTCACCGGAATAGCTGAACATGTTCGATAGATTGCGTTGAAAGGTTTGCCGTTAAGATGGCCTATCCGTCGTCAACGTTCGTGAATGGTCTATGCAACAGAAGCTGATAATTCGCATTCCTGTGGCTAAAGAGCATATTAAGTGCTTTACTGCGTGGTCATGTCGATGTTGCTGCCTGGACGGATCGGCATTCGCATCCTGCGAGACCCTGTTCACGCTCTGCCGTTCTTGCCGAATGCGACTGGTAACACAACCCAACTCTGTGCATTGCTATGTCTGTGACGATCTGTTAGGGGGTTCCCAGAGTCGTTTTACAGTTGCGCCATACCATGGACACCTTGAGGACGAGGCTGGAGAGCGCATCGGAAGCGGCGGCGATAAGATAAGATTTTCGTGTTCTGTGCCAAAATCACAGCGATATTTCGTTTTCTCTACACAAATACGCAGCCTGGCAGCTTTGTTGTCAAGCTGGAGATCAATATGCCCGCGCTTGCATTTGGCTTGACCTCTGCTAGATCGAAGCCTGGTCTGTCAAAACCTCAGAAGCGGAAAGCTTTCTTCGATGAAGAAGAAGAAGCCCCAGAGAACCAACCCCCGCCATCATACGGCGCAAAGAAAACCTCGAAACCTCTGCGACCATTAAGCGGCTTTGGGGACGACGATGACGATGCTGAACCTCCCAAAGAAGAGCCGAAGCAATATGGACTGCAGCCTGCGAAGGGGAAACCTGCGGCGCTCGGAGGAGGAACGGAGAAATATACGAACCTCTCTGCTCTACGGAGTGCCAAATTACACGATGAGACAGCCTCGAAGATAGATGCCTCGGTCTACGACTACGACGCCGCTTATGACACATTCCACGCAGATAAAGAGAAGAAATCGTCGTCTGATGGCCAGGAGTCTGGTCCGAAGTACATGACATCCCTCCTACAAAGCGCCGAAGTTCGCAAACGAGATCAACTACGAGCGCGAGAGAAATTACTACAACGAGAAAGAGAAGCTGAAGGGGATGAGTTTGCAGATAAAGAAAAGTTCGTGACCGGTGCATACAAGAAGCAACAAGAAGAAATAAGGCGATTGGAAGAGGAAGAGAAGAAACGCGAAGAAGCCGAGGAAGAGCGACGGAGGAAAGGTGGTGGCATGACTGCGTTCCATAAGCAGATGCTTCAGAAGGATGAGGAGAGGATGCGTATAATCAAGGAGGCAGAAGATGAGGCTGCCAGCAAGAAAGCGACCGGAGTACAAGCGGACACCGAGGTCGAGGAAGAGGAGTCTGATGCGAAGATTGCTGAAGAGTTGAACAAGCAAGGAGCAAGAATCGTGGTCAACGATGAAGGAGAGATTGTCGACAAGAGACAGCTGCTCTCTGCTGGTCTGAACGTCGCACCCAAGAAGCCTGGAAGAGAGGCAGAAGCACCAAAGAAACAAGACAGCACCCGTCCTCAAGAGTACTGGAAGTCTTCCAAGGCTCAGGACGCGCGACAAGGCCAGCGTGAGAGACAATCGCGCATGGTGGAACGGCAGATCGAGGAGATGGCGGCGAAACAGAAAGAAGCTGAAGCTGAAGAGGGTAACGCGCTTCAGGAGAAGAACAAGAGCAAAGTCACTGAGGCTGACAAGATGGGTGCTAAGGAGAGATATCTGCAGCGAAAGAAAGAGAGGGAAGAGGAAGCCAGGAAGAAGAAGGAAGATGGTGGCTGAAGCTGTGATGAGCTTTTCCAGTCTCTTCCCTCTCCATCGACGCCAAAGCATCTTCTTGAGCCAGAGGCGCTCACTGGACGAACAAGCCACCATCAACAGAGATGACCTTGTTATGCACATATCCAGTCTTGACCATCCAGACGACGGTTTCAGCAATCTCTTCCGGCTTTCCTAATCTGCCGATTGGAATTCCTGCGACACAGCATATCAGTCTACGGCCCTGAAAACTCAACGCGGTGCAGACTTACTCGCTGCTAGTTCGGTGCTCCCTGGTAACATCTTCGTCTCCTCGATCAATGCTGGGGCCACTCCATTCACAGTAATGCCCTTCTTTCCATATGCTCCAGCCAACCAGTGCACAAGCCCGTGCATGGCGGACTTGGAAGACCTACAGCACAACATTGGTCAGTCAGCCATGGCGCCCCTCAGCGTGGACAACAAAACAGACAACCTCTCAACGAGGACGGGGACCAGTATTTCTCCGGAGCCTCAAGGAAGAAGAACATACGCATAATGAGGCCCGACCACACCTCCCGTGAACCCAGCCACGCTCGAGCAGAAGATCACTCGTCCCCAACCCTTCTCCACCATACTCGGCAAGCAAAGCTGCGTCAGCAGAAACGCTGTCCCACAGTTTGCACGCCACGTCTGCTCGAAGTCTTCGATAGTGATCTCCGAAATGTCCTTGACGCCAGACTTGCCCAGCGTCAAGCCAGCGTTGTTGAACAGGATGGTTGGTTGACCCATCTCACGTACGACAGCAGCATGTAAGTTGCGTGCCCCGTCGTAGCTGCTCAGGTCAGCCTGGAAAGACGATGCCTTGACGCCCATTGACTGGAGCTGTGAAACGAGGCTTTTCGCAGTGTCTGCAGCGCTGTTGTAGTGTACGGCGATGCTACAGCCCAAGCGCGCCAACGACAGGCATGTTGCGTGACCGATGCCGCCGGTCGCGCCTGTGATAAGGGCCAAGTAGGAGGAGAGGTCGGTTGTAAGCGCAGACATTGTGATGATGTTTCTTGCGCTGGGGATGGTGAATGAGCAGATACCGGCCAGTGCTGGGTGTTGGTGCTGTAGATGTAAAGCCTGGTGATCTGATCAGAATCTGCGTAACGTTCAATATACGATTGTCCGCAGCATGCGATAGGCTCGATGCAGACGAGAATTCGCTGTTGCTTCTCTGCTCGTCTCGGCTCAGTGAAATGCTGCTTATTGTCTTCTGAGATCACCACTATTCTGTGCGTCAGGTGCTTTTCATACAATATCTGACTCGGCCACGACCATCCGATAAGATTGCAAGATCGACTCTAGACAGTTTGGGCGTCTGACTGCAACGAGAGCGCAAAAGACCGGATGGCTTTCCGAAGTAAAGAAGTATGTTTCGCAGTTCACGACATCTCGACGGCAGCAAGCGGAGAGATGTTGATATTGGCGGCCAAGGAGATTACAAGTGGAACGCGCGGGGGAACTTTACACATTTCATCGATCGCTGCAAAGTACTCACCTAGTTGGTACTATGCGCGACAACTGGATTGTACCTAACGCTCTTCTCCATCCTCTTTCCAGACATAGGCAATTTGTCTTTCTTCTCCCTCCGCATCTCCTCCGTGCTCCCCTCGTCTGCCGCTCTTTGCTGTATGACAAGAAGTCAAGCAAGCCAGTTACTGTCAGCCTGTTCCATCGTGGGCCACGTTAATTGGGCAGATTGATAGCGGACGGCTCAGAGAGCTGAGTGTCCAACTGACCTCTCCAGGGGACAGACGACAAAAGGATAGAAGATAGTCCTCGACATACACGCGCCTGGGAGGGGCTGTGCGTCCGTAAACAGTTGAGTGTGCTATTTTGATCGAGTCGACTGGCCGGCACGACGATGCGAGGCGCAAGTTCTTGGCCAGCGTACTCCCTACCTGGCCTGCCTGGTACACTACAGCCTAACTAAGGTACATTAGTCTGGTCGTCAAGGAGCGGAACACAAGCGCTTCTCGCTGGAAGTGGTCTTATTCAAGACTATAGCATAACAGCAGCTCGAACACCTGCCACCCTGTTCATCAAGCCCACCTACAGCTACAGCTATCAGACTTCCATCTCCGGACCACACCACCATAATGTCGACGCTGCACGTTCCATCCCCAGCCTGCCCGCCAGCTGTGGCCTCCACAGAGCTGGAGCTACACTATCTCGCCGAAGGGGCCGCCAACATTATATACAGCGTCTCCGTTCTCTCGCCGCAATCACTGCAGGAGCACTCGCACTGCTGCGTGATGCGGCTACGCAAAGACCTGCGGTCCACTAAGCCCGCCGTGGCAGTTATGGCCGACTTCGACAGGCGTATCGCCCCCCTCTTCACCGGCTACGAGTCCCTCCTCATGACGCAAAGCTTGTACAAGCTCACTCCTGAAATGGTCCGCGCGGCAACAGAGGAGCTCCTGGAAATGGACCACGTGGACTTATCCGCCCTGTCAGCGGATCTCGACAATTTGGAGGGCAAGCCGAGAAGGGGTCTCCGCCCTCACCACAGACGGCACGTGTATTTGCCCGCGTACGAAGATGAGCAGTATGGCATCTTGATGCAGAATCTCCAAGGCCCGGGAATAGACTGGCTCGTGGAGTTCAAGCCAAAGTGGCTGGTACAGAGTCCAAGTGCGCCTGTGGAGGCGAAGAATTGCCGCACGTGCGCGTTGAATGCGATGCGGAGACAAAAACAGAAGCACCAAGGGAGAGGTGATTCCGGATTCTGTCCTTTGGATCTGCTCGAGGAAGGCGACGCGTTGGAGCGCGCACTGGCGAAGATCTGGCCGCCAATCGAAGGAGACTTCCGGGAGTTTGTGGCAGCTTTCAAGAAGACGGTTCAGCCTGCGCTGTTTCACTTGAGAAAGCTTCAGGAGGAGCACGGAAGCGTCGGGCTGAAGGATTTCCAGAACCCGATAGGGAAGGATTTTGGGGTGGCTATGGCCTTGAGAGACTGCAGTGTTTTTCTGGCGCTGAGGAGGAGGAAGAACGAGCCCCAGGATCAAGGTGTGCTTGTCGAACTAGTTGATGTCAAGTTCGCGGACTTGGACTTGAAGAGCATCGAAGGGGGAAAGGTCCAGAAATGGGCAACCATGGAGCAAGAGCTGCTCGATGGCGGATGGTATTATAGCCGTGAAGATTCTAATTGTTCGTTATCCCGTTAAAATCGTTAAATCGTAAATGGCGTTCGTTGGCCAACTCGTATGAAGCTTCCACCCATCCGTTTCTTCACCAATTATGATGTATGGGGAAGACGAGCTCAGCCAGTCTCTCGACACTGTGGTCCTTGATATTCTTTATCTCATTCCGGATGCGTTCGAGGAGCTCTGCTGAAAGCCCGCCTTTCCGTCGAGCGTATATATCTATGCCTGCGGGCGTGAAGAGTGTCTTCTGGAAGTATGTGACGCACCATCCGTCGTCTTCACCACCGTAGCCCAAGACTTGCCAATGGCTAGATGCTATCTTCAAGAGGCCTTTCCCTCGCCAACTGTATGCGGCGCAGACCTTCGCGTCTGGTGTATCGTACCCTTCCACCTTTTTGTGCTTGTTGGACTTGAGAGGCTGGTACTCGACGAGGTCGTCAAGGACCTCTACATTGTTCGGAAGAGGCGTATAGGTGATCGTGACGTTTCGGTTGGACTTCCACATGGGCAGAGTCGAATGTGTCACGTACCATTTGCCATGTAGGGAGGACGCTTGAGGAGTCGCGAAGTCTACGCTTTTGTCGTCAACGCTCGTGGAAGGTGGGCGGAAGTTAAGACGGTTGTTTTCGACGTCGGCCATATTGACTGAAAGGTCTATATAGCCATACAAGAATAGCAAAAGTACAAGTAATGCTAGGAGGTAAGACTGGGGACGGAAAAAGAGTTGGAGATGGCACGTCAACAACAAACACGCTTCCCCTTTAGACGAGATGATGGTGGCGCCCAAGCGCGTCATCTTCACTCCAGACTTCCTGCAACCCGTAACAATTTCTTACAGTCTGAGTCCTCGGAAAGAGAGGCATGAATGGTTTTTGTGAAGTCGAGACTGACTCGCTCGTTTGAGCAACGCTGCCCAACGGTCAATACGATTTATCAGCGCGACAGGAACTGCGTCATCTCAATCTACCCCTTGTAGAATCACCTTGGCCGGCGTGGATGTTGAAGTCAGAGGCGAGTACCTCTCCAGGTCATCTTTGTCGAGACTCATCTCCATTGACTGCATCCTCCAAAAGCTGTCATGATCATGGTGGACCAGTACAACCATGTCAATGACACGAATGTGTGGCTCGAGTCCTTCACTGGGTCTCCCACGATGAAAGCTCGTCCAAAGGTATATGCATATCTTCGTTCTTCCACACCCGTCTATACGTAGGCCGAGAGTATTATAGTAAAGATGTATGGACCCCAAAAAGACACCCAGGACCATCCTCATTCTCTGGGCTGCTGGCCGAATTTGCCAGCCTTTGGCGAAATTCTTGCTCAGCCAAGATCAAAACATACAACTGAGATTGGTCACAAGCAAAGCCGAAAAGAAGACCGACTTCCACCAGAAATGGTCAAGCTGTGAAGGAATTGTCGCAGACTACTACGACGTCCCATCGTTGCAGAATGCTGTTGAAGGCATGGAGGGGGGTTTTCTCGTCATGACGCTCTCAAGGAGTCGCGTGGACCCTATACACCAGTGACACTACTTCAAAATTGTGCAGCATCAGCAGGGTGATTGGCGAAGGAAGATGGATATATCTCGTAAGCATCATCGTTTAGGCAGCCATGGATGACCGCATTCCAATCCGGGCAGAATGGAATTTCCGGCATTGACAGATCCAAAGGCGAAAAGATACTTTGGCTGGAATCAGGAATATAGTCTTGGACCAATTCGGGGAGGCCGGATGTTCCATGTTCTGTTGCTGTCGTGCCGGTGGGCGGCGGGATTTCGGTACCTGAAAGAAGCTGGGAAGTACAATGTTCACCACTGTTGGACGACTGGATCCCGACATCTGCGGTGGCCACAGACAGCTGGGTACGCTGCCTCGACGATAAAGCCAGGCATCGGAGCAGATTGATATATCTCCAAATGCTACCGTGCCCATATTCATCATGGATCCCCGCCGAAGGACGGTGGAGCCTCATTGCGCGAGGGAAGAGCTCTTCAACCAAAGCCCAGGCACGTTCTGTCTCGAATCCACAGGGGCTGCTACAGAGACAGCGTAGAACGTAGGCAAGGGCGTACCATGGAGTGTAGATGTTGAAGAACCATTTGAATCTGGAACCAAGTCCCCCAATCGATAACACATAATTACTTTCCAGCCCATCACAGGCCAATTTGAAGGACGGCTTGAGCACGTCAGGTGTCGTATCACCTTGTGCCCCTTTTTGCTTTCGCATGCTGATCTCCTCTCGTAGTTGCAGCACGAATTCCATTTTCTTACAGGCAGTGGTCCCATGTTGAATTGCGAGGCGTGACAGATGGGTGGATGTTCCCGAATATTTAGCTGCCAAATATTGATAACGCTGCTGGAGAATCTTTCTCTTTTCTGTGACATCAAGAAGAGCATCTGCGGAATGTTGCTCATGACTATCAAGAACTGGATGTAGTAGCCGGCAGGACTCGGTCTGAATCAGAAAGAAAGACATTTCTGTCCAACCATCCGACTCCACTGGAAAGCATGTCATGTCTGGATAGATTTGGTTGTCATTCACATTCAAGGGAAGCCGTAGTTCCCGGTTCACGAGATCAACCGTAGGTCGAAATCCTTGATCTTCTGGGGCACGGGATTCAAGCACACATAGATGCCACCAGAGACGAAGACGCATTTCCGTCTCAAAGGGGCTCAGTCGGAGGCTGGCACCATCTCGGTGCAGGCCGATCGCTTGGGCGAGCCGAATCCCAAGCCCATTGAGGACCCATACACTCCGGCCAACTTCGTGGGCCCGTAAACAGGTCTAGAACAGATATGGTCAGTTAGATAGACCAACCGAGTGAGAGAACATCACCGATTCCAGGGCCAGCCTCGGTACTCACCACATAGATTGCGAGAGCTTGTAATGCCTCTATTTCAGGTCGTTTCATGAGATCTGTTACCACGAGTAGTCGGTCCAAGGATATCTTGTAGTGGTTCAAAAGCGCCTGTTTCTCGCAGGATAGGTCAATGGGTTCATGATCATCATCATGACAAAGTGCCGTGACGGCGGCAAAATAGATGGCAAATGTCAACGCCACTGTTGAAGATTGTGCGGACCTGGGTTCCAAGATGGTTGCAAGAACAGTAGACTGGACAGTTGGTATATGCAAAATTTTGAGGACCGGATCGACCGACTTGACGTACACATTCCATAACCGAAGGGCTAGTTGGATATCAGGATAGAACTCCAGCACATCTGAAACCATGTCTGAAGGAGCACAAGCACCTGGCTGCGCACGAAGTGTCTGATGAGCTTTTGTACTCTTCTGAAGATGCGAGGCTGCTGTTTCCGAGCCAGTAGGTTGGGTCGTTTTGATATTTTCTCCCTAGTGGATGCGTCATATTAGCTTGGCCGCGTTATGTATGATACCTTTATAGGGAAGAGAGTAAAACTCAGAGGCATTCTAAGAAAAATCCAGACTCACATCTTGCGGTAGATCTGCGATATTCGGATTGTTCTCATACCGGACAACTCGTTCATCATTCAATAATAGCTCCCATGTTAGCTTGCAGGGGAGCTGATCGGATGGATGTTGATTTGCAGTTCCAATTGCATTGACATTTGCACCAGGTTGAACCTGAATCTGAGTCTGAGTCCCGCCGCCATCACCATCACAAGCTGCTGCAGATCCTGTAGTGCCTTGACTACTGTCAATCAAACGTGATAGCAAAATTTCCAATCGTTCCAGGCGGTTGGAGACGCTTTGCAGAGAGGGACTTTTCCTTGCCACGTCTGTGGCCTTTGTGGGATACACGCAGGATATGCCACATCTCGAACAGTTGGTGCAAGGCACTCCACGGTCACAGCGGACCTTCCGCTGATGGCAGCCTCGACAGGACCGTGCCCCTTGTTTATAACTTTGCGGGGACGAGTCCCGGATTGGGTGTGACATGCTAGGTTTTGGGGAAAGATTTAAGAGAATTCCAACAATTCAAAGTTGGAAAATGATGGGAGAGTTGTTGACAGAAAATGCTCTTGAAGAGAGGAACTGTGGTGACGGTGGCTGACGGTGGCAGTCGAGGCAGTCTCCTCGGGCATCTCGGAACCTCTCAGTCTGCAATTAACACCTAACCATAAGAAGCAATTGCGCTAAGCCCTACATAGGTAACCCCGGCATTTTCGGCGCCGCTGGGGCCGAAGTAGTCAGATACTGACCAGTCACAATTCAGCGGTCCTGATGCCAGCATGCGCCTAGCATAGTATACAAAAAGTACAAATGACTATATATGTTAATCAAGTAGTAACTATGAGCACTCCAGCGACTGAGCTGTGTTTCTAGTCAAGCCTTGATTGCAAAATTTAGTTGATTTGATCGCGCATCTCTGGCATTCAATCCTCAGACCTTTTCATCATGTCAAATATCGAAATCAAGGAAGATGTCAACGAAAGGAATAGCCCGGAATCAACTTCGAGCCCAGGCAATGAGCGTCATGAGCACGGTCAGGCCATAAATGCCATGAACTGGAGTCTGGGAATGAAACTGTATCATACTGCTATCCCTTGCTTCTTAGCCTTCTTGATGTAGGTCTTGAACAACCCAGAGCATGTTGTTTACTCCTGCTGACCAAGTCATAATCAACTGAAGCACATTTTCCGCGTCCGTCACAGGTCCTGCCACCTCTGTACTCATGACTGAGTTCAACATCAATCGTACCAAAGCCCTCCTCCCAGGAACTCTGTACATGGTGGGGTTGGCCTTCGGCCCTCTGATCATGGCGCCCCTGTCAGAGTTTGTTGGTCGTCGTTGGCTGTACCTGGTAACCTCGTCAAGCATAGTTGCTTTTGCAGGAGCTTCTGGAGCTGCACAAAGTTTTGCCACACTTTTGATCTGCCGTTTTTTCTGTGGATTCTTGGGATCAGCTGGAGTTGCTATCGGTGCAGGAACAATCCTAGATCTTTGGGGGATGGCAAATGCTGGAGGGTTGGCAAGGCTCCTCTTCATCTGGGGCCCTTTCTTGGGGCCTACTTTGGGCCCATTGGCAGGGGCATATGTTATGCACGAACACCATGGCGATTGGAGATGGACTCAGTGGATCGTGGCCTTGATTGGAGCACCCATCTGGATTTTGATCCTTTTCATGAAGGAGACTTCTGACTTTCGAATCCAACACAGTGTTAAACACCCAGGTCGTTTTGGCACTCTTGAATTGGCCTTGTCAACACTCAAGGCTGCAGTGCTCCGCTCAATGAGCATACTTACCACTGAGGCTATTGCATTCTCGCTGACTCTGTACACAGGATATGCATATGCAGTCGTCTTCAGCTTTTTTGCAAGTGCCACTTATGTCTATTCCCTAGACTATGGTTTCAACAGTCGAGAGATTGGTCTTTCTTTTCTCGGTGTGGTCATTGGTTATTGTCTGGCTGCTGTCATGCATGTGATAGTTCAAGGGACACTTTATGCTCGAGCTGTGCGGAAAGCACCCAACGGCCGTCCAGCTCCAGAGCACCGACTGTACACCGGTATGGCAGGAAGCGTTTTCTTGCCTATTGGGCTATTCTGGTTCGTTTGGTATCTTCCTGCAGAACGCTGAGTTCAGCTTCCAGTGTCAAGCTAATCATCTTGTTTCTGCCCCCTGTAGGTACGCATGGGGAGCTCACCCGGGGGGACACTGGGCAACAGTTGTGGCTAGCGGTATCCCTTTTGGTCTTGGTGCCTTTGTTCTCTTTGTGAGTATTCTATTCTCCCTTGCGAAAACCAGCAGTTTCTTACTAATCGCCCTTTCTCCAAAGCTGTCCTCCATAAGCTACCTTATCGAATCATACGGGGCTGGTGCTGCTGCGTCTGGTAAGCCCCCTTCTTTTTGTTTCAAGTGTATAATTTGAGACTCACTCCAACAGCTATCGCTGCAAATGGATCTTTTCGATACCTTCTCGGAGCGGTATTCCCTTTGTTCACCATTCAAAAGTATGAGAATTTGGGCATCCATTGGGCTGGAAGTGTGTTTGCTTTTCTGTCTCTGGCACTGCTTCCTATACCTTGGATACTCTTCAAATTCGGCCATAGACTCCGGAAGAACAGCCATTTCATAGCATCTGCATGAGTAAGCAGCAGAATATTACGACACCAAGCTGCCTTAGCGATCTCACTAGGCAGAATGGTTGGCGGAGGGATGTGATAGCGAGATGCAGAGGAGTATATAAAGATTTTTATTTACCAGATGTATTTAGTTCTTCATGACTCTTTACGATCAAGTGTTCGGATTGCCAAAAGATTTGGATTTGCACCTGGTTTCAGACATATGCCTCATCTGGGCTGAGTCACCGGAAAGCTGGAGTATGGGTTTATTGAAAGTTTCTCAGGCGCTTGCAGTAAAAAACGCCGTCAACAAGGCAAAGCGTACGAAGCTTCGCCACCGTCTTTCCGATTGTCGTCGATACCGCGTATATTATCGACGCGAGCTGTCCATCAGTGAGTGTTTGGTGGTTGATCCCAGATATCGGATGTCACGAGTCTTCTAGCATCTGACTCCAGGTGTGCATGGAATTTCGAATTCCTTCCTTCTTGCTTGCTCATTCTCTTCCAAAGATCAACCAATGCGACTCCATTGACGGGGTCGACTCTTTGATAAAAAGAGAAAGCAGAGATTGGTTGTCTCATGCTGCATGGGCCCAATACCTCGTTGATTTCGGACAGTAAATGTGCCTCCCAGTCGATCATGAACATTCTGAAACAAAACAAATTGTCCAGTTCGCTTTCAAACCACCGTCTACCTACCGTCCTCCCATAGGCAAAGTCTTCTCAAACTTCTTCTCCTCGCTTCTCATGTCAAGAGCATACTCAACCCGTCAATGCACTGAATCCCATCAAGCCTGATCATCGCAGCTATATTCTCAGTATGGGTCCGTCGCTTTCCATCCTGACAACAATTATCCTGCGCTATTCATTCGTCCAAGCCTACAACGAGATGATGTTCACAGAACCTCTCATCGCGGCTGGTGAATCGTTCACGCTCACTTGGACAAATTCCTCCTCCTACATTGTCAATATTTGGCTATTCACTGTGAGTCGATGTCAAAGCACCGGGTTCTATCTGACGGTCTTACCAGGTCGGCGAGGGAGTCAATGACTATCTAGTGGACGAGCTTGCGCGTGAGTAATCCCTGCTCGGATCTCTCAATGCCTTTGAGCTCACCATAAGAGATTCGATACCTGCCTCCGACCAAGAAATGACTCTCATTATACCGCCCAGCCTCGTTCATGCAGACGCTGCCTACTACTTCGTGATTCTGGCTGTTCCAGAAGCAGAATGGAGCCCGCCGTCTGCCAACTTCTACATGTCCGGCGCTGAGGGGGAGACTAGTACCGCATCTGCGGCTGATACTACGACAGGGACACCGGTAGCTTCTGCAAGCAGCCCAGCAGCCGATCAATCTTCAGCCAGCAATGCAGAAGCCACGGACTCATCGCAACAGGATCCAGATTCTGGTGTGCCTACTGGTGCCGTCGCGGGTTTAGCAGTCGGTTGTACAATGGCGGGAATTCAGATAGGAATGATGATATCCGGTGGGGTATTCACGCATCGGGTCATAAGAGTGATGAGGAGGAGGAGGTTGATGACAGATAGAGCGGTCCAAGCATCAACAGACGACTTCAATGAAGAGAAGACTGCAACGCAAACCGATACACAGCATATGAGAGACATCTATTCGGGGACAACGGGCCAAGATGGATTCTGGGTAATGGACCCACATACGAGTCGTCCCATACCAGAAGTCCAGGGCGATTCGAGACAATTGTGATGTTCGATCGGCTGCAGATCACCCGGTTTCCTCAAAGAGACATCCTTTGACCAATCTTTCTTCGCTTGGGCAGATTCGCATGCAAGTGCGCGCATTGCCATACCAAACAATCCACTACTTCACTTTCGTCAACGTGCCCGAGAGATATGGCAAAGCCGACCACTCGAAATTCGTCTTCAACTCCACCGCCTCCCACTGCCCGGCCTTCTTCAACGATGAAGCAGTATCCCGACCCATTTCGCAACCAGCCAGGAAGAACGTCCACCCGAGGACTGTGTACAATATCTGCATAAACCTGCCCAGAACACTTCCATTCTTGGTCCAAGGATTCCTGATGTGCTCAACGACCATCAATTCTCCCCCAGGTCGGAGAAGAGAGTACAACTCGCGCACTGCGTCGTCCAGGTTCGGCACAGAACAAAGCACTCGGACACATACAATGGTATCGAAGATTTCATCCGATGACGGCTTGACGCCTTGCTTTTCAAGCGCGGAGAGCAATTCCTTCTTATCGGCGGTGCACCCCAGGACGTGGTACCTATCTGTGAGTTTGGCTTCGTAGATCCGCTGCTGCAATGGCGCGTGGAGACCTAGCGTCGGCTCTGCGCCGTATATAGCTGTTATATTGGCATTGTCGGAGAAACAGGAGACGTGAGAACCGGATCCAGGGCCAATGTCCAGGACGACGCCGTGGGCGCGAGATAAGATGGGCGGAACCAGTGTTGCTGATCCTGCCGGCGGTGGTGGTGGGTCGACGGGGGCTGGATACTGGAGCTTAGCGACTCCGTCTCTGCTGCATGCGGGAAGATCTCAAGAATCAGAAAGGGAAATTGGTAAGCTTACCAGTCACCTTTGTCCAGAAATCCGAGAAGGCGTCGTCTCTAACCTGCTTGAGTTTGAGAGACGTGGGGAAATTGCCTCCGAGAATGAAGGATCGGAAGGCGTGAATGAAGAAGGCTACCTCGGGTGTCAGTACAGATCGCATAAGCCCTTCCTGGTCCAGAAGGGGTAGTGGAACAAGTTTCCCATTTCTGACTTACCTCGGGCACTGTGGTAGAGAAGATAGCCCGGGTCAAGCAAACTCAATAAGCGGTCTTTGAGTGGTGGCCACGCCATGGTCGGAATTCCTTTCTTTCCCTTGCTTCTGTCGCCGCACACTGTTCGCAAAGTTCCCAGAGCCTGTCACTAGAGCCTCGTGAACCTCCTATATCTTGTCGTGCCTCTCATAGGCTTTTAGTTTGCTCAGGTGTGCTCGGGGTCTGTCAAAGAGGGAAATCGGGGACGTTGGTGCCGCTAAATTGTTGCATATAAATAACTGGGGGTAAGGTTCGTACATATACCTTACTCCTTAGGTTGGCCTCGATATCCTCGGCTACCACAACGCCCCTTTCGGCGCCTTACCACACATTGATGGGGTCCTGGTCCCCGAGACGCGCCAAAAGCCAAGCGAGCGGAAATTCTTATGTGTAATTCGGTCCAACCACCTCGTCCGTGCCACGAAACGGACGGACTATTCCTTATCGTTATCGGTTGTTCCCCGCATTGAGGGGTCTGTCGCTATATTTTTTTGACGCCTCTGTGATTGGTCCAGAAACAGACTGAAGACGTGCTCGAAAGATCACATCATGAGTTCACAGCTCATCCAGAGCTCTTTTTCCCTCTCTGAACTTGTTCCACACACAAAGATTCCGAAGACTCACCACCCTTGAATACGCAGGTGCCTTCGACACTCGGGACTAGAGGGCTGGAGTCAAGGGCAGGTCGAAAGGCAGGAAGAGGCTCAGCACGCAACAGTGTAGCGGAGGCAGAGGAGCACCAGTACCAAGCTACCAGACGCAGTACCCGGTCGAGCTCCCAGCACCATGGAGGAGGCGTCTGGCACGTCACCCCCGGAGTACGAAGAGTCACCGTCAACACCGGGTTGCTCTTCGAAAAATCCACTCAAAAGGAACATCAGCCGGCTGCATACCCGCCTCTCCCACCTTCACGCACGCACACCCTACCTCCGCTCACTCCCACTCCCAGCGATCCTGATCATAGCCCTGCTCATCCTGATCAACCTCCTGGCGTGGGCGATATGCGGTCTCATCCTCGCACGACACACACACCTCCTCTCCACGGCGGCGCTCGCCTACACGCTGGGCCTCCGCCACGCCCTGGATGCCGACCACATCTCTGCCATCGACCTGATGACGCGCCGGCTCATCGCGACCGGCGCCCGCCCCGTGACCGTCGGCACATTCTTCAGTCTGGGCCATTCCACCATTGTCGTGGTGACATCCATCGTGGTCGCCGCGACTGCCGCCAGCGTCTCCAGCCGCTTCGACTCGTTCGGCACCGTCGGCGGCATCATCGGGTCCTCCGTGAGTGCGGCCTTTCTGATCCTCCTGGGCATCATGAACGCGTACATCCTGTACAAACTATTTATGCAGATCCGCAAGGTCATCCGTCTGCAGCCTGACCAGGATCAGGGCGAGGCATGGAAAGTCGAAGGCGGCGGCTGCCTTTTCCGTGCGCTCAAGAAGGCGTTCAAGCTCATCGACCGGCCCTGGAAAATGTACCCACTCGGCGTACTCTTCGGGCTGGGGTTCGATACGAGCTCCGAGATAGCCTTGTTGGGCATCAGCAGCATCCAAGGCGCCAAGGGCACGAATATGTGGCTCATTCTGATCTTTCCCGTCCTGTTTACCGTCGGCATGTGTCTCGTCGACACCATTGACGGGGCCTTGATGATGAGCCTGTACGTTGCGCCCATGGGCATGGGTGGGGGTGGGGACGATAAGAAGGATCACCTGGAGGCACAGCAGGACTTCGATCACGCAATCATCGCGGCGTCGTCCGCGGATCCTGACCGACTTGGAAGTGGACCTGAACATGGTCGTGAACCTGGACATAGTTTTGAAGGTATTGGTCATGTACATGTTCTGCCCGACAACGACGTCGAACGGACAGCAGCGCCAGCCCAACACCACCAACGACAACAGAGGCAGAGGCAGCAAAAGAACGACCGTACACCGCGGGTCAAAGATCCATTGACGTTCCTGTACTATTCCATCGTGTTGACGACGTTGACAGTCATCTGCGCGTTCATCATCGGCATAATCCAGCTTCTGACGATGATTCTCAACGTCGCGACTCCGCACGGGAAATTCTGGGACGGCGTCGAGGTCGCGGGCGACAACTACGAAATCATCGGAGGCGCCATCTGCGCGAGTTTCATTGTCTTTGGCGGGATCAGCGTCCTCTGCTACAAGCCCTGGAGGCGGTGGGTCGATAGGAAGAGGGACCGTTTGAGAAGCGAAGCAGAAGCAACAGACGCAGGTGGCCATGAGCGAAGAGAAAGAGACTTTATTCTGGAAGACGAAGTAGAAGATCTTGTCTCACCACCGGACCATGGCGAAGCAGAGGAATTGGTCGAGGTCCAGGTTCAGGGAAAGACGCCGACCGAACGAGTAGGCGTAAAGGCTTGGGAGGCGGACGACGAAAACATGGACATCCCTGGCGCAAGCGGTGGCACGAGATGAGATGGGAACTTTTCCTGGCGCATTCAAGTGAGGGTCATGGGGGTCAAGATCGTTAAAAGACTTAAATATCTTCAGATTTATACAACTCGGTACCGAAGCGGCATCGCCTGCAAATGCTCTAGAGGTACTGTAGCTAACAAGAAGTGAACCGCTCACCTGCTCTAAGTACCTCCACATAACTACTCTATAGGATACCTGTGACGCCTTTGTCATTTCTAAGGTAGACACCAGGACACCAGGACACGAGGACAAGATGCTCTCCAGTTGTAATGCTCAAAAGGAAATCAACTAGAAGCAGCAGCAATGGTCTGCTCTAGAACCCCTGCACAGGCCGCCACAAACCCCAGGTAAGGTGGGCTAGGCCGGAGCACTCTACTCAGGTACTCAGGGTGGAACTGGACGCCGACAAAGAAGGGATGGTCTTTTAGCTCAATGATCTCCATACGCTCGCCCTTGTCGTCCTTGCCGATGAAATTCAGACCGGAGAGTCGGTCGATGTAGTCCGGGTTCACTTCATACCTATGCCGATGTCGTTCGTGGATGCTTGGTTCATTGTGGTACAATTTCCGCAACCGCGACCATTCGGTACCTTCTTGAAAATTCGTCGCTCGCAGTCCAAGTCGCATATTGCCGCCCATTGTGGCCTTGTCGATTTCCGGCATGAAGATAATCACCGGGTCGGAAGGGTGGTCTTCTAGCTCGACAGAACCGGCGGACTTCAAGCCGCATACATTCCGCGCGTACTCGATCACAGCGAGTTGCATGCCCAGACAGATGCCCAAGTAAGGTTTGGGTTTCGTACGAGCCCAGTTGGCGGCAGCAATCATACCTTCAGTTCCTCGGTGACCGAATCCACCGGGAACCAGAACCCCATCAGCTGTACACAAATCGTGCCACGCTTTATGATAAGATTCTGGGGAGGACTCAAGAGTGGTCTTTTCCAGATTGCTCGCGTCGATCCAGACGAGGTTGAGTGCTCGTGAGCAGGCCATGGCGCTATGCTCGAGAGATTTGATGACAGAGAGGTAAGAATCGTGCAAATTCGTGTACTTGCCAACCAATGCGATGGTAACTTCTTCCAGGTGGAGACGTCGATTTTGGGACTTTGTCAAGGTCTTCCAGTCGCGCCATATCTGCCGACCTTTTTCGACCAGGAAAGGAGGGATCGTATAGTGATCGAGACGGAACAGCTCACGCAGCTGGACAAGGATGCCCTGTTGCTCGAGGAGCATAGGAACGTGGTAAGTAGAGTCTACGTCGTGCACGGCGATGACTTGGGACGGTTCGACTTGACAGAACATGGCGATTTTGCTGGTTGTAGCCTCGATAAGCTGATCCTGGCAGCGACAAGCAATCTGACCGTCTGTTAGTCCTTAGCCACAAACAGTTGTCATGATGTCGAATACCAAATCAGGCGACAGACCAGCTGATCGCACTTCTCGAATCGCCTGCTGCGTGGGCTTGGTCTTCTGTTCCCCACCTATCACTGGAACCAAGGAGACATGAATCTGGCAGAAATTGTCTCGGCCAGCTCTTCTGCGCAGTTGCCGCATAGCCTCGATGAAAGGAGCACTTTCAATGTCGCCCACGGTACCACCCAGTTCAATTATGCAGACGTCTGGCTCTTCACGTGTGTCATCGACGGGCAGCCTCGCGGCGCGTTCGATCCAGTCTTGAATTCCATTTGTGATGTGCGGCACCACTTGAACTGTCTTGCCCAGATAGTCGCCTCGTCGCTCTCGCTCGATAACGTGCTGGTAGATCTTTCCCGTCGTGATGCTGTGTTCTCGTGTGAGGGTGATGTTGAGATATCTAGAGGATATGAGAGGTTTGTTCCTTTGCATAGCGGCAAGACTTGTTTTACCGCTCATAGTTGCCGAGATCGAGATCGACTTCTCCGCCGTCGTCAAGGACAAAACACTCGCCATGTTCGGTTGGCGCCATGGTGCCAGCATCGACATTCAAATAAGGATCGATTTTAATACTTGTCACCTATCTCAGCCGTCAGTGGGAAAACGAACTAAGCAAGTGGGCAAGGTTTAACAGACCTTGAGTCCCATGGTCTTCAGCAACAAGCCTGTCGAGCTGGCGATGATGCCCTTCCCGATCCCGGAAATGACACCACCGCTGACGAGAACGTACTTCATCTTGACAAGAGAATACAAGTATTAACAAACAAAGAAATGTAGGTAGCCGTCGCTGGCGGTCGCCAGGCGGGAAAGAAGTAGAAATCCAAGGCGCGGTGTGGACAACAGAAATAAATTTTCGGAGGGCACAAAATGCGGGGCAACCATTGGCGACAACAAACGCGTAAAGTGCATTCATGGTAACGCGTATCAAGACCCTAGAGACTGAGGTACTCACACCTACTGTGGGAACCTAGCATCATCATGCATCATCCACTGATTCGATCGATACAAGTCAGAGGCGGCCACAGTGTGGACGGAAACTCAACTCAAAAACTCAGGTGCTAGGATCAACCATGTACAACTCCTGGTAGATAATCAGCTGAAATTCACTGATCACGCCGTCGACCAGGTCCTCGTCAACAACACCCTTCTGCCACGTAAAGCCTAGCACAAGTCGACCGTCCCGTCCAGTCACGCAACTGACTTTGATCGCACCGCTGAGTGCCCCAGCACTTTGACTGAACACCAAACTCTCAATCACATAGTCTTTCACCGCGACAAGACTGGGAAGCTTGCCCACGTTCGACAGCTCCAAGCTCGTAGTCCTGCGATGGCCCATCCTCTCCATCGTCCAGGACTTGACATCTTGTACCTGCGACAACCGCCCTATCAAACCATCTCCCTTTCGTTCCTGTACGACCCTGTCAATTCTCTTCCCCGTCTCCTTCGCCATTGCCCAAGAGAAAGCACATTTGGGTCTGTCCTGTAACGCCGGTCGTTGGTGCGTTTCGAAAAAAGTATCTACGAAAACACCCATAGAGTCTGCATCAATCGGATCCGGAAGCCAGTCACGTAGCGAAATAGCGCAGTCTGTTTTGACCGTCCTGTACTCTCGTGGCAACTTCGAGAAAAGAGCTCCGACAAGCATGGCTTGCAACGCAGCCGTCAGTGATACCCTGTTGATTTTGCACACGTGTAAGAATCGACTCGTGTGGTCGGTCGTGAGCCAGAGCGATCGGAATCTGGTCTGTACAGGGAGTGACTGAACAGCGCCGGTCCAGACCTTGTCTGGCTGCTCTTGACTTTGTGATTCATTCGAACATCCTGTTGCCGGCGTGTCGACGAAATAGTCCAGCGGTGGTAGGAGTGGTAACCTGGATGTCTCGACTTTCGACACTGGCTCGCCTTCGACCGGACTATTCAGCGCAGCTTCGAGAGCTTGGTGAAAGACCAGAGCACTTTTTGTATCGCCAATTGAGTGGTGGAAGAAGTAGCACAGGATGAAAGTCGACGCGTTGCCGCCGTGCTGCTGGAGAACGTGAAGCCGCCATAGCGGCAGTGTGGGCGGTGTGGTAAGCTTCCAAGGCTGACTGTGCTCGCTCTCCAGGATGCGATCTAGAGCCGGAAATCTGTGATCGCCATCCGCAAGTTCGTCGACCTCGACGAATCTAACAATTTGATCGAGATCAACCGAGGGCAGACGGGCGAAAGATGGTTCTGGCGAGTCAAGGTTGACCGGTACAATTGAGAGGTTTGGATACCGTGAGATGACCACAGTCAGAGCGGCGCATAAAGCTTTCTTCAAGTCCCCTCGGCTTGCACGTTTGTATCGTGCTGTCACTGCTACTTTTTGGTAGACACCAAGTTGACTTCGAGCAACCATGAACTTCTCCAGTACGCCTGCCAGAATATCAGGTTGGCACAAGCGATACAACCAACTACACACTTACCTAGAGGACGAAGCAAAGGAAGCCGGGGTGCCTCTGGAGCCATGGTGCAAGTAAATCGTCTGCTCTTCCGACCGTCTGGAGCATATGTGAAAGTAGAAAAATGGAAAGGATCTCAGGTAACAGTGTTGATTCTTTGGTAGTGATCCTCTGCCCTTTTCCCCACAGGTTTCGGTACTCAGTGAACGTGCTGGCTGCAACAGCTGAGGACGATACGGTTGGGAAAGGAGCCATCAAGATCTTGAAGGTACTGCGTTCCCAATATTCGACTTGAGCAGTGCGAATGCGAAGGGTTGCTGTCGGTCCGGATATGTGCGACCTTGAACAGAATTGGTGCCCACTCTTGACATGGTGACTTTGCGCCCTTCGAAATGACAAGCTGCAGCCTCGTCGACTTGACTTCCACGGCCAACACTTTCATCGTCGTGCTCAAAGTACTTTGATCCGGGCACAAGTTGCACGGCCTCGGAAAACTCATCAATCATGATCAACTGTTGAACTGTCTCCTGTCTGGTTGTTACATAGCTCGTATTCGCTCATAGGCCTTAAAGCTCCGCAAATTCCTGCCCAAAAATTCTTGGACCATCATCAAGTGCCGAAGAGTAATCAAAGTCATTGCACTCTTCACTGATAACAAGGCATGAGCCGCATCTCAATCACCGAAGCGCAGCGTCAAATCATTGCGTTTGACTCTCAACAAAATCCAGTGCATCCTCCTTAGTCTCTTCTCGAATACTGCTGAGATTGTTGCCAAATCGCACTCCGAAGCACTTGTCGGCGACTCGTAACATCTCAGGTCGGAACGTTGTGCAAATAAACTGACCTCCGGTAGGCCTGTCGTCTCCATCCGCGGGCTGCTCATCCGCCCTATTCGCAAGATACAGAAGATGGTCCGCGACAGCGGTACGGTACTGGGCATCCAGATTGGCATCGATCTCATCGAAGATGTAGAAAGGCGCTGGATCAGTTGCTTGAATGGCGAAGATAAGTGCAAGACTGCAAAGACCTGAAAATCTGGTTAGCGGGATGCACACAGCCCCATTGAGGAAACTTACTCTTTTGCCCGCCACTGAGCTGCTGAATGCGCTGTTGATCATCGTGCTTACTGTTGAAGCTGACACTGATACCCACGCCGGTATAATTCTCCACTCCACGCTTGTTGACAGGCTGTTCATCTTCGGACTCGTCATCACCGGCTTGTCGCTTGTCGGTCTTGCGCTGAATGATCAATCTGCCACGACCTGCCGGGACGAGTTTCTGGAAGACCTCGGCGAATGCTTTGCTGACTTGTTTGAACGTACGCTCAATGGCTTCGTCCTTTCTCTGATCGAGAACCTCGATGAGATTCTGGATCGATGCTTTTGCAGCTTCGAGATCCTTTCTTCTCGCTTCCAACTCCTCGCGCTGTTTGGCTGACTTTCGGTAATGCTCGAAAGCGTGCTTGTTGACAGAACTGTATTTCTTGAGAGATTCTTTGGCCTTCTGAAGTTTCTTGACAATGGTATTGGAGTCCGTTTTGCGATATCTCTGTCGCAGGTCTTCCGGTATTGCTCCTAATTCACGAATATTGTCAATTGCTTCCTGTTTCGAGGCTTGCAAAGCCGCCTTCTTCTGTACGTTCTTCTCGAGCCGACGTTGATGGCGTTCGATAGCTTTCGCGAGCTCATCCTGCTGTCGTCGAGTCTCAGCAGCTTCTGCTTCCAGCTGGGCAACTTGGGCTGTCCACGTCTCGATCTGATCTTCGAGCTCATCCAGGCTCTCTTGTACAGCGTCTAGTTCTTTGGTTAGACGTGCCAGCTCGGCCTTCTTGGCACCCAAATTGGCTGGGACGTTGCCCTCACTCTCGAAGTCGTCCCCTTCAAGTGCAGCCAATTGAGGTCTGAGACTCGAATTCAAGCGAACTTCCAGATTTGCCTTTCTCGTCTCGGTTTCTGCCCTGGAAGCTGAAAGCTCGTTGTACTCTCGTCGTAGGTTCTGGATAGTTGCGGTGAGGTTTTCAAGCTGTGTCTCTTCAGCTGGTGTCAGTGCTTTCTTAAAGTCTGAACCCAGCTCGGCCTGGAAAGCATTCTGTGAATCGGTCAAGCGCTTGACGCTGGCAGCAATAATCGCCTCTTGCTTCTGTTTCGCTTCAAGATCGTCCTTCTTCCGTTGAAGCATGTCCATCTTGTTTCTGATCTCCTGCCTGAGCAATCTGTGATTGCCTTGGGACTGACTCTTTCGTTGCTCGAGCTTCTGGAGGTCACTCATAGCTTTTGTGATTGTCTGGTCTATCTTTTCAATCTTTTTCTTGTTGTCACTACTCTCAAATTTGACCGCTTCGAACTTCTCCCGAGCTGCCAGGACAGCTTTCGTCGCCTTCAGTCTCGAAGCACGTACGTCGTGATATCCACCCGTCAATGCACCTTTCTTGTCAGATCTGTCACCCTCAGGAGTTACAGCGGTGAGTCCATGAGTCCTTGCATACTGGGCTGCAATGCTGAGATTTTGTGCGATGATTGCTTTGCCGAATACCTGCTGTACCGCCTTCTCATATTTTTCATCATATCTGATGAGGGACATGAGAGGTCTTGCGTCCTGGGCATTGGGGAAAGCCACGGACTTTGGATTCAGTCGATTCAAAGGCATGAAGGTGATCCGACCAGCTCGTTCCCGATTCAAGATCTCCATGACTTTGGTGGCTGTGTCATCATTGTCGACGACATAGTGAAACAGCGAGTTTCCTGCTGTGACTTCCACTGCAGTATGGTGCTGGGGCACGTCAATGAGCTCCGCAAGAGTACCAAAACAGCCTTGGAGATTGTGTTGCTGTTTGATGCGACGCACAGCCTCCAGACCTCGACTGGTATTTCCGTCCATCATATGCGACAGGCTGCGTTCAGCTTTTCTTAAGTCATCCTGTGCGGCTGCATATTCGGAGTCAAGTTGTGCCTCTCTGCGCCAAAGAAGTTTTCGTTCATCCATAAGGCTTTCTCTTCGCTCATGAGCCTTTTGGATGTCTTGGTCAATTGAGTCGTCCTGGCCTCCTGCTTGCTGCTGTAAGCTTTCAATTTCTTTCTCGAGGCTAGAGATCGCCTTTTGGTCTTCTTGTATGCCTTCTGTTGTCTGCATTCTGGTGGCTTTGAAACGGGACAGTGACTCGAAAGCCTCTGAAATTTGTGCCTGAAGCCAGTTATCCCGATCTTTCTTCGACTTGAAACGAGCGTTTCTTCCTTGCTTGCCATAAAGCCGTTCCTGTGTCGCAACGGCTTCATCCAAGCGGCTCTTCACGGACTGCTCCTTAGCGACCTCTGCTTCAAACTGTGGAATGATACTATTGAGTTCTTTTTCCGCCTTTTGTATCTCCGCCCGGACTTGCTGCAATTCTCTGTCGTGAGTTTGTTTCGCACGTTGAGCCGCAGCTTGGCCATGGGAGAGGTTCCTCTCCTCTAGCTCTGCCTGCGCCCGTGCCTTGGCCTTCTCGCGCTTCTCGTCATCGTACTGTTTCTTTTCGAGTCTGGCGGCATGGATTTGCTGGTTGAGGGTTTGGATTTGTTGAGTAATTCTCGCCAACTCATCCTCACCTTCTGCATAACGGTCACGGTTTTCATCAGCATCGTCTATTCCTCCTGCTCTTTTGTCTTCCAAATCTGCCAGGGCTTTGTTGATTTCGTCTTGCTCTCGATTGAACAGGGTATATTCCAAAGCTCGCTTCTCCTTGTCTTGTTCCTGAAAATCTCGCAACTCTTTTTGCTCTTCCTCGAGTTCGCCGAGGCGCTCATTGATCTGCTCGAAGGTCTGATCGATTGCGAGGAGCTTGTTGTTCGTTTCGCTCATGATCTTCTGCGACTCCTCCTTTTTTGCCACGAACTGTTGCGTACCAGCCACACTCTTTAACACGTCAAGTCGCTCAGAGTCCTTCATGTTTGTCAATCGCGTAATTCGACCTTGAGGAACAATGTAGTAGGGATTCGCCCGTGAGAAGCCTGCATTCTCCAGAAGTTGCATGACGTCTTGTTTGGTCGCGTTCTTGCGATCGAGAGAGTATTCGTCCTTTTTCAGGCCAATCGTACGGCGCAGGATCAATTCGTCGTTGCCGGTAGGAAAGCGACCGTCAGAGTTATCAAAGACGATCTCTACGTACGCAGACATGACTGCCGACCCGGTCCCCTCCTAGTCATAGTGTTAGATCGTCGCGAATCCAATCGATCAGAGATACTAACATGGATGAGTGCCTGCCTCTCCTCGCGACCCATCTGTGAGTAAGCATCACTGAGGACGAAACGAATCGCTGCGAAGAAGTTGCTCTTGCCAGATCCATTGCGCCCGACAATAACATTGAGTTTGGGAGAGAACGGGTTGACGACTGTCTGGTTTTTGTAGCTGCGACTTCAATTAATGGAAAATCCCAGCAGGGTTACGGATACTTGCGCACCTTTTGAAGCCTTGTATCGAGATCTGCTTGATATGCATCTTGCTTAAGGCGAGCTATCACCCTAGCTTCTCATGTCGCATTGGTGCATCAAGTGGTGGGATTCCTTCGATACGCGCCTCAACTAACACGCGAACGCGATCCAGGCACGTGACTTGGCTTAATGGCGTCGAATGATTAGTCAGGAAGGCTTCTGGACAAGGCTGTGCATTAGCTGTCCGCTCGAATTTACCTCAGCCGCATCGTTCACCTCTCTCAGTCCCGCAATGATGGGGGGCCTTAAGAACCTTTTTATCCAACACCCTTACCGCCCGGTCTAAGATGGGAAAGGAGGACGAGATTTGCTCGATATACGAGTCACGTGGGTGGAATCTTACGCCGAGCCCTCATTCTGCCCTATCGCAGACCATGCTAGAGTCCCGCTGATGGGCAACACGCACTCGATCAGGTGCGCGCCATTCGGAGCCTACGTGTTCTGGCATAAGAATGCCTGTTCAACTCGACAGGATGATACCTCTTTCGTCTGATGGGGCGGACTCTTGTCTCCAGCTCTGTCAACGTACCGACTCGATGTAGTACAAAAGGCAAGTGCAAGTCCGTCTCTCACCGAGCTTCTGCCTTCGACACAGCCAGGCACACTCTGTCAAAGACTTGATCCCCAAACCACTCCTTGTGATACTTCCTCAGCCCCTAACCACTGAGAATGGGGTCCAAGCCCCGTTTCACTATTCCTCCTGAGTATCAGGATCAGCTCCGTGTCGTTGAGAATCCCGACAGCCGCTCAGATGACGAGATCCTGCACTCTTTGCAGCAGCATGCCCCAGTGACATCCGAGAAGAATGTCTGGGGGTTCTGGGACAGGGGTGTCGAAAGAATGCCGGGCTGGTGCCAAGGGCGCAACGTTTGTGACTGGGTGCGCATAAGTGGTCCTTCATGGACCGTTCGCATTCTGGACGCAGTACCTGACTCGCCAAATTATGCTCTCAAGTTCGTGTCTCCTGATCTTCTGCCACAGACGTTCGTCAACGGCACCATGACTGGGGAGTACGTCGGCCCTCATAGCTGCGACTTCCTTCGAGGAGCTTGCTTGTGGACTCACGGGGGAGTGTTCATGGATGTTGGTAACATCTTGTTCCGCAATTTCGACAGAGTCTGTTGGAACCAGCTTGCGGACCTAGAATCGCCTTACGAGGTGTGCACCGCTCTTATGTACGGAACCGTCATGGCAAATCATTTCGTGGCAAGCCGAAAGGGCAACGAATTCATCAAGCGTTGGTGAGTAGAGATAGTCCCACTGACAAAGGTACCTCGCTGAAGTTGATATTATAGGCACGATCTTTTCGTCCATCTTTGGCAGGATCGAACCAATCATGACAAGATCATCGAGAACCCTTTGGTCGCTTTCGCTCTGCAACTCTCTTTCAAGGAATCCCAAGATGCAGACTTCAAGTGGGACTTCAAAGTTGAGCCGGTGGTCGTTATGAACTACATTGCCCAAGTCTTGGCCTGGATCAGGCTTTGTATGTTGGAGGACGCCGGAGATGGGTTTTCTGGAGTCGACTATTGGATGAAGCACGTCCTCCTCTTTGACTCTCTGCAGGAATCATGGGGTGCTGAAGCGACTGCCGGCTTTGGCGGACCAAAACTGTTCAATGCACTGGCGACAAAACTGGACGCTCCCGAGGACTCTGAGGAATACAAGACAGGGTACAACTTGGTCTGGCGTCTCTTTTCGGCATCGACCTTGCAGAAGATCACCCATGGTAAGAACTTGACTGCCACCCCATCAGCGGGCGTGTTATGGGAAGAGACCGGCAACGAAAACAAGGATCATGAGCCTGGAACATTTGCCGAATTGATGAGGTATGGCTGTACTCACTTTGAGCAGACTAGAGAAAGTGTCAAGTATGTGCAAGCAAAAAGGCCGGAGATGACCTTGAAGAAGGGCTTGCTTGAACCATAGTGCCGAGAGGTTAGGAGTCGCTAGAGGGGTCTTCGAGCAGCTCCTGTCTTACTTTCATGCGATGCTGAGCCGGAGAAGTACAAGAAAGAGTAGAATAGATCCGCTTCCTCTCTTTACCTGCGATGCAGGCATTGAACACATAATATGTCTCCTCGAGGTGTTTTCTTGAGGCAATAATTCGAGAAGTAGTTTCCAACAACTACCAGGTAACTCTGCTTCTTGACTCTATGCCGCTTACCCTGGAACTCGGCTTATCGGTGCTAAACCGAGTAAAGTCGGCCGAAAAACCTCACCCTGGTCACCCTGGTCTTAAACCAAGACTACTGTAGGCTACTAGGCTACCAAGACCCACGGAGTATCCGGGCCTGCCGAACATCGGAGCGCAGTCTCGAGCCTTTTCTATACTGGGCTGTCCGGGATCGATGAAAGATTTTTATCAGATAAGATCTCAAGTCCCCTTTTCTTCTCTGGCCTTGTGCCATGTCTTTGCTGTTTCCCAAGATGCTACAAAAGGTCTTCCTTTTCTTCAAACTAATTGGCCTCGCAATATCAATCACTTGGGACACAATTGGACTCAAAATATCCGCTCGGATCCATCGCTTTACGTACAAGTCTGTTCCCGACCCGAAGAATGTCGTTGTCGTCGGCGGCTCCTTCGCGGGCTATTTCCTGGCGAGACAGCTTGCGGACTCTCTCCCCACCGGCTATCGAGTCATGGTGATTGAGAAGCACTCGCACTATCATTTCACCTGGAACTTCCCCCGAATCACCGTCATCCAGGGCCACACGAAGAACGCATTCATCCCTTACCCGCAGCCAACTTCAGTCAAGCCCGACGGAATATACTCCTTCCGCCAAGGAGAGGTCATCAAGATCGGAGCCAAGGAGGTGATACTGTCCGATGGCTCCAACATTCCGTTCGAGTACCTCGCAATCGCGACTGGTTCGCAGGCTCGATATCCGGCCACGATGGACGCCGACGACAAGGCCGGATGCATGAAATTCTTCGAAGAGCGACAAGAACGCATCAAAGCTGCGCATCATATTGTCGTAGTCGGTGCAGGTGCGGCAGGAGTCGAAGTCGCGGGTGATATCAAAACCCAGTATCCGCAGAAAAAGGTGACCTTGGTCCATTCACGGGAGCAGTTGTTGAACAACTTCGGACGTGGTCTGCATGATATAGCCAAGTCGGCTCTTGAAGAGCTTGGCGTCGAACTGTACCTGGGGCAGCGCGTCATATCTGGTCTGGAGGATGACAACCCTACCGAAGTCACCATTCAGAGTGAGAAGGTGCTCCAGTGTGACGCTCTGGTGAATATTCCGAATATGGTTGAGCGCAACCTGCTGACCACTTCACAGATTAGGTGCACCGGACAGTACGCTCGCTCGGCCCTCGTCAAGGACGCGTTCCCATCCTCGGTATCTCCTTCTGGGTCAGTCCTTGTCGGGCAGACATTGCAAATCACTGGCGCTCCTCCGAACGTCTTCGCTTGTGGTGATGTGATTGATCTTCCTGGTCCAAGGTTGGGAAGAGCAGCCGCATTCCAGGGTATTATCGTGGCGCAGAATATTGTACGATCCATCAGCGGCAGGCCACTGAAGACGTATAAGCCAGGAGTGGTGGATACTTCGATAGAGTTGACACTGGGTTTGGTAAGTGCTGACGATCAAGAAGAAGTTTCAATGTAAGCTGATCAAGTACCCTTTTTGAACAGGGCAATAATGTGACCTATGTCAATGACGGAGGCAAGGAGATGTCCTTCCCGAAGAAAGTGCCAGATCTCGACATGCATGCCGCTCAAGCGTGGAAGATGATGGGTGCCAACCCTTTTGATGATCCAGAAGATGTGCAGAAGGACAAGGGACTGGTAGTGTAAAGTAGACCTGCAAAGAGTCACATCGGCAGCAAGGAGGCCACATCAGGACAGCTCATTCCCGACACCAACGTCGACTAGTCCAGCAGCTAGAAAATCAAATACAACATACCATCACAACTAACAAGCGCGCTCGCGAGTAGGAGAACCCCCTGATGGCACCGCGCTCACTCCGTCGCTGAATGAAGCCTCTGATGCTGAGATCTCTCAATCCAAAATCTGTACCACCTTGCTTTCGCTCGGCTCTCGAAGCCAGCTCAGCGTCTGTCGAGCCGAGCGCCAGAAGCGTGTACGGGAAGATGACGAGACTCATTGCTCCGGCGGCCAGGAAGCGATAGTGCTGCGGCTGCGTGTGGGTGAACTAGGCATTGAGGAAGTTGGCACCACTGGCCGCCAAAGCGAGTGGCGGTACGACTGGAGGAGGACTGAAATACGCAATCTCCAGATTCACAAGCTCTTGCTGCATTCGAAGTCTTCAGCGGGATGATGGGATGGTTGCGAAATCCTAGAACCCTGGATACAGATATTCGTTCACACTTCCAAAGCCTCATACCTTGGACAGGTTATGTGCCCGGGTGGCGCGCAACCCGCAAACCTCCCAGGTAATCATTCACTGTTTAATAGCTACGTTACCCGGTGTCTTAGGCATTGTCTTCATGTGTCTTAGACACTCACACACACAGTTCACTACACTTCTTGAATTTAGGCGAGTCAACGCCCGGACTGAGGTCTCAACTAGAAAACAACTACCGCCAAGTTTTCTCCGTGTCTCAAGCAAATCCGCAGAACTGACACAAGGTCTTAGACATGTCTTTGCCAAAATCGAGTTAAAGCAAATCCTCCTCGAAAATTGCATAAAGCAATCCATGGATGCGTCAAATAAAATGGTGATTCAATACCACCATTTTGTTAATGGCGGATTATGACTGTGCGTATTTTATACTTTGACAGTCTCTGGGTGCAGGCATGAGAAGAAGCGATTTCGTACTATAGGATATCAACGTATATATATATATATATATATATCGACTCGAAGAGAGTTTTCAAGCTTGAAGACCTCAAGGGCTGGAGCTGCTGGGCAAACGTTGCCTACCGTTCTTTCTTCCCTCTTCTTCCTGAGCAATTCCAATCTCATTGCGTTACTGCCAATAGTAAAGAGTACACCGCCACCGTCCCCAATACGTAGCGCCAACTTACTTCTACAGCCTATATAGAAAGATCATCGGAATTCATGGCGGGGAATGGAGCACAGATGTCATAGGGATCCGCCAAAGTAACTCTCAAACACGGACATGTCGTCAAGCCTCGTATTCACCTCCGCATTCATCTACAGCTCCAGAACGACCTACACGCTACCTCGGGACCCAGAACTCGTCTCTTCTTTTATCGTCGATGCGGGTCTTTTAAATACTCTCATCATACCGAGAAGACATAGCTGATATCACTCACAAGACTTCCGAAAGCACAATAATTACTGAGTTTCGGGCCCATGCACATTCGCGATCAGCAATGTGATAAAGTGATGGTTTTGGCCGCTCCTTGCAAATTCAAAGGACGGCCGGCAAACTTCTGACTTCCTGAGAGTAGGGACGATGATCCAAGTTTGGATGACTTTGTATCCACTGGCCGCGTGCCGAACTTGTCCCTCGGCTCGTCTAGTGCGAAACTTTCGCATAGGCGCAGCCAGATGGGTCTATCATATCCTCTGTAGGATTTTACCACGCGACCATTCAGTTGTAGAATGATGTCATGGGGAATGGTGATCTGTTCATGGTGGATTGTGTATAATAAACGTGTTCCTTCCCCGGGTCAACCACAGCTGCAACCTACAAGGCTTGAGGATTTCCCAGAATAAGTCACTACGCCCATTAATCGCGCCCAACATGAAGAGCATGAGTATGAAGGTCTATTTTGACAAGTACAATCCCAGCTCTGAGAAAGGCAATGATGTAAGACACTCTTTGGCCGGCCTGGATTACTCTCCGCTTCCTCGGGTGACGGCTCGCTCATTGGCCATGGGCTGCCTGGTTTCCATGGGTGGCTTAATGTAAGCGCAACCGACAGAACAGGTGCGCATACACTGATGCATGATGCAGCTTTGGCTATGATACCGGACAGATTTCGGGCTTTTTGCAAATGCCAGATTTCCAAAAACGCTTTGGACAGCCGACATCAGGTGGGAAGCATAAGTTCAGCGATGTCAGATCCGGCCTTATAGTCGCAATGGTGAGGGTAGATTGCTCCCAATCGCAAGGCATTACTGACACTGTCAGCTATCCATTGGAACGCTACTTGGCGCTTTGCTCGCGGCTCCATTAGCGGATAGAATCGGTCGTCGGTTCTCGATCAGTTTCTGGTCTGTCATTGTCTCCGTCGGGTTCATCGTCCAGATCGCAGCCGATTATGCATGGATTCAAGTTATGATCGGTCGGCTAGTTTCCGGTTTTGGAGTTGGTGCGTTGTCAGTGCTTGTACCCATGTTCCAAGCTGAGACTGCTCCGCCTTGGATCCGTGGCGCCTTGGTCTGCACCTACCAGCTTTTCATCACGTTCGGCATTTTCCTGGCCGCATGCTTCAATTACGGAACTTATAAAGGCCAACAGAACAACTCTGCGTCGTGGAGAATTGTCCTTGGCCTTGGTTGGATATGGACACTCGTCCTGGGCGCAGGCGTGCTCCTCTTTGACGAAACCCCACGATATGCGTATCGCAAAGGCAGGACCGAGGCTGCCAAGGCTACTCTGATGAGGGTGTACGGTGCTCCAGCTAATCACTACGCTATCTATACACAGATGGAGGAAATAGAGAGCAAATTTCGTGCCGAGGATCAATCGAAAGGCAATGCCATCCACGAATTCAGAGTGATGCTTAGAGCACCAAGAATGGCGTAAGCAGCAACCTATGGACGCACATGAAGAACGCCTTACTGACATGTCGCTCTTTAGATATCGAATTGTGCTCGGCATGATGCTACAAGCACTGCAACAACTGACGGGCGCAAATTTCTTCTTCTATTACGGGACTACCATATTCAAGTCTGTCCAGATCAACTCCTTTGTGACCCAATTGATCCTTAACGGTGTCAATTTCGGAGTCACCTTCATTGGCCTCTATCTCGTTGAGCACTATGGGCGAAGGAGGTCTTTGATAGCGGGCAGTCTATGGATGTTCGCTTGCTTCATGGTTTTCGCCTCAGTCGGCCACTTCTCGTTGGATGACAAGGACCCATCGAAAACTCCCAAGGCTGGTGTGGCAATGATCGTCTTTGCTTGTCTGTTCATCTTGGGCTTTGCTACAACATGGGGCCCAATGGTTTGGTAAGCGTTTACTGGATATATCTATCTACCGGTGATATCTGCTAACTACTGATGATAATCAAGGACTTTGATTGCCGAACTCTTTCCCTCACGCTACAGGGCCAAGGGCATGGCAATGGCAACCGCAAGCAACTGGACCTGGAATTTCCTGCTCGCTTTCTTCACCCCTTTTATCGTCAGTGCGATCGATTTCCGCTACGGCTACGTATTCGCGGGGTGCAATTTGGCTGGAGGACTTCTCGTATACTTCTTCGTCATTGAAGGTCAAGGTAGGACTCTCGAAGAAATTGACACCATGTACATCGAACATGTGTCTCCCATGAAGTCGAGCAGTTGGGAGCCACCCTCGACGGCGGAAATGGCACGAATCAGGCAGCAGGCTGGGACTGAGGTGGCCCATTCGGAAGCACAGTCAAGGGGGATCTACAGCGGAGAGACCGAAAGAGGGACTGACCATGGCAGAGAAGTAAGGAAGGCTGAGAACGACCATGTTGAGAAAGTGTGATTCTGGGTAGGGCCTATTTCGGGGAGTTTTTATACGTGTGTGCCGAATGAAGCAATTGAGCAATGTCGACTCTACACGACGTAGGAGCAGTAAACACACTGGTCAATTGTCAGAGAATTAGGATGGAAGTAGCGCCTTTACCACCAGCCAGCCGCACGCGCTTAGCCCGTCAGGCCGACGGCTGGATTGTCACATGGTGCAGCTACGCCATCCCTTCTCTTCAGCCGTGAGGCAAGGCTCCCACAAGTCACAGCCTCTACTAATGTCATTCGCCATATTAGAAGGGTGTATCACTGTCCTTCATCAGATTGCCTGTCATGTCGTACGACCGTGCGCACGCGCATACCCATACCCATACCCATCATCAGCCCGATACTCGAGGTACCTTTAAGATAGCAATCATCTGTGCGTTGCGAACCAAATCGGATGCCTCCGAGGCTATCTTTGATCAGTTCTCCGAAGAGGAAGTCGATTATACTGAAGCCAGGGGTCCCAAAACTCTTACCCCTTGGGTCGAATTGGCCGCCACAACGTGGTCATAACGTATTGAAAGTGAGATGTAGTGTAGAGCGGTGGAAAAGGGTGAGAGCTTAGTCGACATTGCGGTCGTATTTGTAATATTTCCTTTAGCGGGGTGGTCGTGGGATGGAAACATAGCCCTCAGACACAAGGTGGAATCGAAGTGCTAGGCACAAATAGGTCGGCAGCGGCCGATATAATATTCGAAACGACAGCCTTGCCGGCAATTTGCGTCAGATCAGAAAGGTAACTCGGCAGACAGCATCTCGATCATGAACTTGCCCTATTACCGGGAAACATGATCGCTCCATCTGCTCCTCTTTCTCCTTCAAGTGCTCTTGATGGATCGTCTGACACTGTCTCCTCAATTTTGGGTGCGCCCGATTCAACCTCGATAGCATTGATTGATGACTTCTCCTTTGTCGCCATTCGCCAGAATACCCAAGCGCCGAGTAATTGGGCGGCGCTGAAGAGTGCATGCAGAATAGGAGTCACGATTTTGAAAGGCAATGTCCATTGATCCCACAATGTTCCCCAGAGCCAGAACACGATAATGGTCTCGAACACGGTCCCTGCAAGCTCGACAATTGTCGTGGCAAGAAAGAGTCTGTACATCAAGGAGTGCCGACCTGGGTGCAAGCGGTAGAGAATCATGGCAATGTGAGGCCAGAGTTCGGCTACGATGTCGAAAGCACCTAGTCATGAACGAAAGGATTAGCTACAAGTTTGCTGGAGTGAGGCCCAGAACGAACAACGGAAGAGAAGACGTACCCCATACAAAGCACAAGACAAACTCAAAAGTTGCATCCTTTTCGTGCTGGAAGTTCAAGCTGATGGCCACAGCTGATTGCGTTATGACGATTGCCCCAATATGGTGTGCCGCACTGATGACACTAATTGTCCTTCGAAAGAAGAGCTCGAAGATGTACATGGCAGTAAAGATCTGCGCGCAGACGATCAGAACGTCTCCGTTCGTAGGTCTGTGATGTGGTATGATTGGTGATTGGAGTGTCGAGTGACCGAAAGCAACAGCCAAAAATGGATAGGCTGCCGAAAACAGAAGAACGATCTTGCAACCTGCAGCGACGTGGTGGTTGATGAAAGTACATTGTTGGATCGGGCCAAGATGGTCGAAATGGCGACGGTAGCGTTTCGTGCGCATGAGTATTCTCTCGATGACATAGAGTTTGATCAGAAAGAGCATCACGATAGTAATCGTGAGGATCAGAGCAGTAAAGGGGGCGAGCGCCGAGACGGACTCGTTGACAAGCTGGTCGAGATGGGGTTCATCAAAGTCAGCATGGTAATGACCACGACGGATGCTACCTAGATGTCCTGCTGCCATGTCGTTGGTTCTTTTCTCCTGCGAGCAGGAGCTCACTTAAGAAGACTGTCGATGGAAAAGGGGCCGTAAACAATTTTTGATTTCTCGAAATGGGCTCCAGCCATTGATTGCCGGAAAAGGTCACACAACTACTAGTATTCAAAGTGAGCGCAAGTTACGGAAAAGAGAGAATAATTGGTTTCGAAGTCCTAAGTTAGCTCTCGAAAGATCAATCTCAGTAAAGAAGGAGCTAACCGTGGTGCGTTTTGGACTTTCGAGGAATCATTACCGCACCGCAGGACGAATAAATCCTCTTGAGTGACAAACATCAACAAGCTCTCCCACGTGTTGCCATTCCGCGCTATGGAGCGCTATGGCGGGGACATAATGATATCATAGCAAGGGGACAAGCACGAGGTTCACCAGCCTTGTCAGCAAAGCGATCACTTCTAACCAAAGCGAAGGTGAAACTGAGTCTCACAGCGACTAGCCATATTATGAAGCTCCTAGCAAAGTTTGGAAGCAAAATATCTTGAATTGGTGAAGAGATGGGGGATAGTGCAACGATGGCATCGAGACGGTTCTAGACTTCACAGGTATGTATGGAGTCTGGTGGTCTCCTTATGGCCTGACTTGGCGCCAAGTTACAAACTAAAACCTTAGCTAGGTATTGTGACATGGGACTCAGCCTGACTTCCCAACATTACCGAGGTACTATGTAAATTGGATTAAGCGAAACGCATCGAGGAACAGGAGTGGTGGTTTCAATGTGATGCGGTTCGCGTCGCGGATTTTCTCCTTCTCCACATCTGTTCGGTTATGCGCGACCTCATTTGCCGGTGGGGAGTTTCTGCCCCGCTGTTGGCTGAAATAACTGTCAAGCTTTCGCCAAGGTCACCCCATAAATGCTTGAGCACTTTCATTTCTACCTATATGTAACTCCGTACTCCGTACCGTAGTAGACACCTTGGCCCACCACCTCGTGCACCTCAATATCCCCCCTATTACGCAATTCTCCACGCTTTGGGGGCCAGAACTTTCCCACACCGATGGAAGTATTCAGATTCAAAAGCCACCACCGGCCCCCTTTTTGCCATTTGGGCAGGCATCAACCCTGACGAAACCGACCTTTCTCAGATCTATACCGAATGACATTGATGCAGTGACTCACTGTTTCCCTTCCATTGCTCCAGCACTCCGCAAGTCAATGCGGCCATGCCCATGCCGCTCGTCTCGAGAACGATGGATCTAATGTCATGCAGGATGATACCCCTCGTGTTGGTTCCATCCATCAAGCGAGGAGCATCTTCTCAATGATCGTTGACGCTTTATAATTTGACCGCGTGGCCGTCGATTTGGGAGCCTCTTCCATTCTATCTTCCAGCAAAAATGTTTACCTGAGTTGCTTGTTTGAAGTATTTTCATTCCCCCGGGCTGGCCCTGTCATTCGTTACCCCTTTCGAGCCAGAGCACTTCCCCCACCCTGCACGTTCTTTACAGCACATCATCAACATGACTGGCTTCTCTGCACTCGCCCTAGCGGCGTTTTCCTTCCTTATCGCCGCCACTCATGCGGCTCCGCGAGGCGGGAATGGCTTTCGCAACTCGCGCAGCTCTACCGCAGTAGCATCAAGCACGTTCTTGGCAAATACAACCACCACGACAGCAGGCACTACCACGATGGTGGGCGGCACCGCAGCAGCAAATTCCATAGCCTTGGACCCAAATGCCGTGGATTGCAAACTACAAGTTCCTGCCAATGCCCTGATTGCTGAGGGACTTTCAACACCCTGGGTGCTACTCCCTCCCTGTTCTCAAGCTGTTACTACTCAACAAGCATTCGCCGAAGCCGCCGTTCTAGATCCCCAAGGACAATTGTCAGTCTACCATCCACTGATCATTGACCAGGGGAAGACCGCTCAAGCGGCACCCGTCGTGCCGAACATCGCCGATGGATCTCAGGTGATCCTGTATTTCGGGTTCAATGGTAATACGTTAACACTCGTGGACACACATGGACAAGACAGCAATGCATCCCCAATATTGCAGAGCTTGAAGTGTGTCAATGGTCTACCTGGAGCACAGGGGGATGTGTTTGGCCAAGTCAGTTGGTGTAACACAGTTTCTTTCTGGGAGGCAACCAATGCTGCTGTGGCAAGTGGGAAGTTGCAAGTCCCTCCCCTCGGAACCGACAACAACGGAAACCAGTGCATATCTAGCCATTCCTTTGCCATTGTTGACCAAGATCAGTCCGACAACTTACCGACCAAGTACTTGCTGCTGGCTGATGGGAGTACTGTTCAATTTACTGCTGCCAACCAAGCCAAATTTCCCACCGCCACAGAAATCGACAATGCCTCGGACGAGGCTCTGATTGCCGACTTTGTTGATCCAGTAATTGGGTGTACGCCCTTCAGTATTCCAAGCATTGACGACCCTGGCACAACGGTGCCGTCCATGGCCTCTCAAGAACTTCAAGCGATGCTCCTGCAGAACGAACCTGCGGCCCTGGCCCCTCTCAATGATCCGGACACTCTGCTCACATCAGACGGCCAGATGAGCGCGACGAAGACCAATGCTTATCGCTTGGGCGTCAACATGCCACCTTTGGGCAATGGGGCCAAAACCGACGATGGTTCACCTACAGCCTATTGCAACAACCTGATTGCCATTCAGCCTCCTTTCCTGGCAAGTTTCCAGACTCAACTCTCAAACGCCCAGACGCCTGATGCAACGGTTGGCAACAGTCTTTTCACTTTCCTGGCCAACCGATTCCTGCAGTCTCTTACCAATCTTAACTGCCCCAATAAGAACATCCCCGTCACCTGTACGCTTGATGGAAACGGTGTTGCCACGGCCTGCAGCATCACCGCAACCCTAAGCACCGGAAATGGGACGACGATCGGCCATGCCGCCGGCAGTGGTTCAGTAGGCTCTACAGCCACTGATCTTGCACCGACCTCTGCCTTCACCATGACAACAATCCCGAAACACCATCTTCACAGCCACGGTTTTGGCGGGCACACGATAGCCGCGAACCCTCATACCTTCAGAGCTACAGCAGTCACAACTGCTGTGGCGATGGTTACGGGTACTGGTGCAAACGCTGGAAATGGCGCCGCTTTGTCGAGTCAACTCTTGGCTGAAACTGGAGCAGCTTCTGCCAGTCAGATTTCTGCCGTTAACGCGACAGCTTCTACTGGCTCGATTTCAGCTGGAAATGGAGGAGGGGGAAATTTCACTTCTACGCCGACGCTGAGACCCTTTAAATCATGGGAACCCCAGTATTCTCATGTATGATATGTTTCGACTGAGTTGATAGGAGACTTGTACAATACCATTTCGGGCTGGCCAGTCCATTTGCGCCCGCAGTGTTTGCTGACTCAAAGTCCCGCTTTCCAGCAGGTGTCTATGATTGTTCTTTGGCCTGTACCTTGGACTTTGAATTCAAAACCACTGAAAACAGAATACGAGACTTTTTCTATATTGATAGAGCAACCCTTCAAGCGAACAGCGTGAACCGATTATTCGTACGAATTGAGATGGTAGAGAGGACGAGCTTTTAGCTGGAAACAAATTGACGCTGTCTGACCGGGGTCCCTGTCAATGTGATACTCTCGTGACTGCTGTAAAACACGGGCGTAGTCCTCGGTCAGACGGTGTCGTTTTTTCCATATTTGAAGATTACATCATCCAAGAACGCGCAAACAAACGTACTAGGCTCCAACTCCTTCACAATTCATACCATTCAACCGCGATTGAACATTCTCACTGTCGCGATACGATGCTTATGAGAATCGGCGCATCAAGTCCCAATCAGTTATAGAATAATAGTATCGCTGCGAGCGCCATACTACGAGATTAGCCATGACTGAGACCGCAAATCTCCGCTTTTGCCACCAGCATGCCAGCCAGAAAGAGTCAACCAGGAAGGCCTTCCACGCGAAGGACGCGTCAATCGGCTCGCCAACGCCAGGACTCCGACGATGGCATCCCCGAAGTGTACGGTGAGATGCTAGCGGAAGCCGCGCGCGAAGAACAAGCCGCATCCTCTAACCCAAGAGCAACAAAGCGGAGAAAGCTTGATGAAGAACCCTCGACCAAGATTGGGCTCGACTTTGATCTTTTCGGCTCTGACGATGTCGTCGCTAATAAAAGTGTGACCGCTGCTAACGACCAGCCTTCAGAAAAGCTGCAACAGATCGTCTATGACGAATTCGAAGGCTCAGGCGACTCGGATGTCGAATTCGAGGACGTCGATTTGGAAGCCCTTCCGGAAGAGAACGATGATATAGCTGAAAAGCCGCAGCCAAAGTTTCTCGAACTCGACTTGTCAACTACGAATTTGGAAACACCAAAGCGTGCTGCGACACGACGCAAGCCAGTTGGACCCGGTGAGCGAAAGCTCCGTTTGGAAGTGCACAAGGCACATCTGGTCTGTCTGCTATCCCACCTCAACTGTAGAAACAGGTGGTGCGAGGCCGAATCTGTGCAGTCTGTCTTAAAGCCGCTCATACCCCGAAAGATCACCGCGTTACTGCACGTCGATGAGTCCCAACCTCAATATCAACGCTCGCATTGCTTTACAAAAGGCATCGAAGAAGTGTGTTCGATTTGGAGGCTGCAATGGCAAATAACAGCAAGAGGTATGAGGCGTGCGCATTGGAAGGACGATGTCGATGCATTGAAAGAGAGCGACGACATGGAAGATTTGATCGACTTCGACGATTTCAAAGCTGCTGCAAAATCAAGATCGGGATCGAGAGATCTGGCAGCCCAGCTATTCTGTGCATTGCTCCGGTCAGTCGCCGTCGACACTCGACTGGTCTGTTCACTCCAGGTCTTACCATTCTCGGGCGTTGCTAAAGGCCAAACACCCGAAAAGCCAAAGCCGCAGTACTACCATGCACCGGCGCAGAATTACTCTGCGTCTCCAACAGGGGCACGTCCCGAGCGAACCACTCCGAAAAAGAAAAGAATAGTCGAATCTCCGTTTCCGATCTTCTGGGTGGAGGTGTACTCGCCTTCTACAGCCACCTGGATACCCTTGGACCCCATAGTACGCAACACCATCAACAAACCAAAGACGGGCTTTGAGCCACCTGCAGCCGATCAGTTGAACAGCATGACGTACGTGGTCGCGTTCGAGGACGATGGATCCGCCAAAGACGTAACGAGGCGATACACGCAATGGTACAATGCAAAGACACGGAAGCTAAGAGTCGAGAGTACGAAAGGCGGGCAGGAATGGTGGCAGAGAACGATGCAGGCATTCGAGAAGCCCTTTGCAGAGGACAGAGACGACATCGAAGACGCAATGCTCACCAAGCGTGCCGAAAGCGAACCAATGCCACGGAACGTGCAGGATTTTAAGGGACATCCTGTCTATGTTCTTGAGAGGCATTTGCGCATGAATGAGGTCATACACCCTAAGCACGAAGTGGGCAAAGTGAGCACTGGTCCAAGCAAGACCGCCAAGCTGGAGAGTGTCTATCGTCGGCGAGATATTCATCTCTGTCGCAGTGCCGACGCCTGGTACCGGCGTGGAAGAGATGTGAACGAAGGAGAGCAACCTCTGAAACGAGTGGTGACAAAGAAAAGGCGTGATCAAGCTGTAGTGCTCGATGAGGACCTTGGCGAGGATCACGAGGCCAATGAAGGCACCGCTCTCTATGCCGAGTATCAGACGAGCCTCTACATACCGCCTCCTGTGGTCGATGGTCAGATCCCCAAGAACGCGTACGGCAACCTGGATGTCTACGTGCCCACAATGATTCCAGCAGGAGCAGTCCACATCCGCCACCCTCTCGCAGCCGAAGCAGCACTTGTCCTTGGTGTCGATTACACGGACGCCGTGACCGGTTTTGAGTTCAAAGGGCGGCAGGGTACTGCTGTTGTCGACGGTGTGGTCGTAAGCGAAGACACGACCGATGCAATGATACATGTTATCGAAGGACTGGAGTCTCAAGCATCAGACGCAGCCGAAGAGGCCAGGAGCAGGATCATTCTCGGAGTGTGGAAGAGATGGCTTACGGCGTTGCGAGTACGAGAGCGCGTCCACCAGCAGTATGGCGACAACGAGGAAAGTCAGACAGTTGCAGCTGGCGACGATGACGAGGAGGACGAAACGTATGAAGGCGACGATGCAGATCATGGAGGCGGGTTCATGCACGAAGCAGCCGAGCCAGGCCAACCAAGTGCAAAGCAATCAGCAACTGATACTGAAGCTGCATTGGCAAAGTTGAAACCTACCGAACAACTTCTGCCGCCTGAAGTCATCCATCAAGATGTCGTGGTTGTCAGATCTCCGAATAAGCTACCCACATCAGCCGTGCTGGAAGACGGCAAGCGGCAGAAGGGCAGTAGCTTGGCTCGAGCAGACTACGAAGATGGCGGCGGCGGAGGATTCGTGCCAGAAGAAGCAGACGACATTGAAGGTGGAGGATTTCTTCCCGAGGACAATGATGCCGGTGGCGGTTTCATCCGTGAAGCCGAGGATGATCACAAGGGGAATCCAGTTCCTGGCATGGACGACGGCGAAGTCGGAGGCGGCTTCCTGCCTGAAGAGAGCACAACTACAATCCAGACCACAGAAAGACCTAAAGATTCCCCGACTCTGGACAAGCCACGCGCAACTCCAGCGAACGATGCAGCCGCCGAACACGCCTCCCCAGCTGATCCGACAGTAGCCGATGAGCCAGACCCCAGTGCCCGTGCCGCTGCGAGGACGGCTTTGGCGGGCGAAGGTACAGGCTCCATTCAACCTCCATCGGACATCGAAGCGAAAAGCGCATCTCCCCCCGCTGCAGAATCCAGACCACAAAACGATCCTGACGCAGAAACTCCTCAGTCCGAAACGTCGCTCCTCTCGCACGATCCGGATGAAGAAGACGCAGAGCCCGAGTGGTTGTTGAACAGTCTAGGGGAACTTTGATGCTCTCGCACTGCTCTCGCACGAATAATCCAGACGATGAAGACGCAGAGCCCGAATGGTTATTGAACAGCCTAGGGGAGCTTTGATGCTCTCGCACTGCTCTCGCACGGATAATCCAGACGAAGAAGACGCAGCGCCCGAGTGGTTTGTTGAACGGTCAAGTAGGAAACTCTAATGGAGCATCTGCACGATCCTGCGATGGGAAGCAAGCGAGCCAAGCTAGGTTCAAGGGGTTTATTTATACGCAAAAAGTCCTGTAAACCATGGAGGACAATTCCTTAACGGCAACATGGCCAAAGGACCCAGTTTGGCTGTTTTTCCAGATCTGGCTGTTGCCTCCGTAGCCTGACGCATCCAGACCGGACCGGACAGGACTGTACGTGCGAGCCTCGTACGAGTCACATATACAGTTGCCCTGATAGACACACAAAGTATGAGATAAATGACTTGTTCAGTCCCTTGTTTACTTGCGCGGTTAGGTTCATTCTACACGGCGAGGTCTTGGTATGACAAAAGTTCGCTACTACAATATCATGAAATCCGTCTACGTTGGACGTCGTGCTAAAGTTCAACAATCAACAGGATGACCATCGAGACGAAGCCCTTATCTTCACTCATAAGTAGACCAACATCTTATGTGTAGCAAAAGGTATGAGAAAAGCTCGTTGTTTGAAAATCTGTCCGATAACAATACGAAAGGGGGTATATCAACACCATGAAACTCTGCAACGGAAAGGAACACCGTGTACCTCTTCGGACTATGGACATTCGTCCAGTCCAGGACCACAAACATCACAATTGGTTCTCTGCAATTTGTCGCTCAATCGCTTGCTCGCTGAGGAAAAGTGAGGGTGAGTCAAACCCAATGGAATGCAAAGATTAGACTCAAGGAAAACGTGGAAGAAGCCATAAACAAAAAAGCCCCGACGAACGAAAACCCACCACAGGAGACCTCATCTTGGTAGTTCCTGTCCCCTCCAAGACCTTGCCCAACGATACATGTCCTGATCTGACAAGACAACAATCCCATCGAAACACCATCAAAGGCTCCTCGTCATATCGATCACGCATCCACGCCTTCCTCCTGAACATCAACTGTGGTCGTCGTGCTATCGTCAACCTTGTTCAACGTTCTCGCCATCTTCTGATGGTCTTCGAACATGTCCTCACTGAGCTCGCCTAGTTGTTTAATCTCCTCATGAATGCCGGCCAATTGACCGGCCAGGTTACGCTTTCCGTCTGTTGATGCTGTCTGTGCCGATTCAGAGAAGACTGACTCAGCACCGACAGCAGCATCAATGGCTTGATTCTCCGTGTCTCCGCCTCTCGGACCACGTGGAGATTCTTCGCCTTGGGTCGGAGAGACCTGTGCCTCTCCTGATACAGAACTTTCAGGAGCAGCCCATTTGCTAGATTCAAGACCTTTCTTCGGACCTGCAGGCGACAATGGATTCATGGATTTTCTTCTTGGACTTCTGCTTTTTCCTCGAGGCTTGGGACTAGGTAGCGCAACCATTTCGCGTTCCTTTTGAGCCTGTTTCAACTGTCCGAGCTCTTTTTGTGCGATCTCTGCCATGGTTCGTTGTGTCTCGATCTCAAGCATCGCCCCATCTAGTTCGGACTGAAGGGAAGCAATTGACTTCGTTGCCGCTTGGAGATTTGCTTTGGCATCTTCCAGTTCTGCGGCGTCTGGCATGTCTTCAGCGCCCTTCTTGACTTCATTCAGTTCTGTAAAGAGCTTCTCCAACTTGTCGTCATATTGTGCCTGAGTCTCGCGAATGGCCTGCTCATGCTTTTCACGCAGCTCGTCGAGCGATTGCTGCGCTTCAATATACTTGCTGTTCAACTCCTCAAACTGGGCAGGATCCGGTCGTTGCTCGGCCATCTCTTTTGCTGTGTCTAGCTCTTGTTTCATGGCCGCCAAGGCAGACTCGCGCTCTTGAACAGCAACGGCCATTGCCTCTTGGTGACTCTGCTCGAGATGCAGGACTTGTTCACGAGCTCGGGTGAGCTGGTCTTTAAGTTCATCAAGCTCAGTGGTGTCCTTGGCGAGGTCAGAAGCCTTACGAGCAGCTTCCAACTCTGCGTGCAAAGTCGCAATAGCTGCTTCATGTTCCGACTTCAGGCTCTTGATAGCTTCCGCATGGTCCGCGGTAGCTTCTGCGAGGCGGGAACTAGCGGCCGCATTTGTCTCTTCCAGCTGCTCGACTTGAGACTTCCACTGACTTTCCAAGGTCTTCAAGATCTCATCCATTTGACTATCGTGCGCCTCCTTCATTCTGCTCTCCAACTCCTCGTGTTGCAACTTGTTCCTCTCCTGATCAGCCTCAATCGACCTGGCATGCTCTTCCCGAATCTTGTCCGTGGCCTGCTTGTGTTCTTCCTCCAGTGTGTCTCGGAGTGCCGCAATCGCATTTTCGTGGTCAGCACGCAGATTGGCCAATTCTTGTTGAGAGTTCCTCTCCAGGGTTCTCTTTGCCTCAGTCAAAGCCTGGTCATGGCTCATCTGCAGATTCATAAATTGCGTGGACTTTTCTGCCACCTTCTGAACAGCCGTGGACAACTCCTGATCCATCTTTTCAAGGGCTTCGGCGTGTTCTTGGTCTTTCGATCTGCTCTCTTCGTCCAATGATTGGAGAATCCCCTTCAAGCTTTGGAGCTGAAATCTGGTGCCCTCCAGGTCGGACTGGAGGGCTCTGGACTGCGATTCAAGCTGACGCTTGTCCTCAGCCAAAGAAGCACGCACCTCCTCGATAGCTTGCTCTTGACCAACCTTGGCTTTGGATTCAACCTCATTCAAGAGCTCGGCGTGGCTGGCTTTCAACGACTCGATCGTCTTGGCATGCTTGGAATCGGTCTCCTCTTCCAATTTCTTGAGTTGCAAACTATGCTCGGCTTGTGCTGACTCCAATGCATCCTGGGCGGACCTCAGCTGCGTCTCGAGTTCCTTGATACTGTTCGTATGAGACTCTTTAAGTGCACTTATGGCGACTTCATGATCCAGAACTCGTTGTCTTTCCAACTCAGCGAGTTCCTGGGCGTGCCCAGACTCCACACCCGACAACTCAGCCCCAACAGCGTTGAGTTGCTGCTCCAATTGTCGAACTCTCTCGACATGGGTCTTCTCTGCTTCTGCAAGTGCTTTTTGCTGCAGTTCTGCAGCCTTAGCCTTGGCTCGGTTGAGCTCTTCAACATGACCGGTTTCGAGGGTTTCCAGGTCCGACAACGATGCTCTCGTTTGCTCCTCAAGCTGTTGAATACGAGCCGCATGGGTCTCCTTAAGAGATGACATTTCCTTTTGTGAAGAGTGGACCTTCTCTTCAAGCTGCTGCACCTCATTTGCATGAGCGACCTTCAAACTAGCAATATCTTCTTCGTGCTTTGACAGCGCTTCAGTGCGTGCTTGGTGAAGTTGCTCATTATGGCTGGCCTTCAGGCGAGATAATTCTTCCTTGGCAGTGTTACTTTGAGTTTCGTGGTCTTGAAGAAGCTTCTGGTGTTTCTCGATAGCTTCCGTAAGAGCCAACTTTGCCTCGTCTAATTGAGCTTGGAGGGCCGAAACTGATTTTTCGTGGTCGTCTTGTCTGACGTTGGCTTGGTCGCTGAGGTTTCGAAGTTCAGCTTGCATAGCTTCTAGTTTGCTGGCATGAGAGGCTTTTGCATCCTGAAGCTCTGTATTGGCAGCACTGAGTCCGTCTTCAGACTTCTTCAAGGCCTCCTCGAGTCTAGTCTTGTGCAAGTCTTCAGCCTTCACAAGCTGCTCTTTCGCTGCACCTAATTGACTCTCGATGTCCCGGATATTCTCGAGGTGTGCCTTCTCAGCATTTGCCAGTTCATCGGCCTTTTGTTGCTGAAGAGCTTGAATCTGGTCTCGCAATTCAGAGATCAACGCAGTTTGAGCGTCGTTTTCTTCCTTCTTGCTTTGTTGGAAATCCAGAAGTTGCTGTTTCAGGGACTGCATAACCTGGCCTTGGCGAGACATTTCCTCGTTGATCTTTGCATGTTCCTCTCGTTGTTGGTCAATTTGTTTCTGTTTGTCCACAGACTCGGCCTCTGCTTGCTCCAGCTTCTCCTTGAACATCTTCAGTTCGCCCTGGTGCTGTGCTTCAAGAGCAGCGGTTTTGGTCTCCAATTCTTCCTGCAACTTTGCGATTTTTGTCTTTGCGTTCTCCTTTGCAGCCTGATGTCGAGACTGGGCAGCTGCGAGCTTCTTCTGCGCATCCTCGAGCTCCGTAGCATGACTTGGCGACTGACTCGGCGACGGCACAAATTCGCTTGCACTTACACTGTCTGGTTCGACTTTCTTGGCTTCGAGATCAAGCTTGAGCTTTGCGATTTCTGCATCCTTTGTGAACTGGTCCTTCGCGGCCGAGGTCTGAAGATCTGAGAGTTCAACTTTCAGTTTCTCGACCTCCGCCTCCATTGCAGACTCATTCTCGGAATTGGACTTTCGAAGTTGATCGAGCTCGGACCTCAGCTCATCAGCCTCAGATTCTTTAGCGGCTATATGGGTAGACAACTGTTGCTTGAGTGCGTCTGCCTGGGACGTTTGACTGCTAGTCAATTCCTGTACCTTTGTTTCATGTGCACTGTCCAATTCGCGAAGCTTGCTTTCGTGCAGTGTAGTAAGCTCCTCGATCTTGGTGGCATGCTCAACTCTGATTGCTTCGGTTGCTTGCTGCACGCGTTGGCTTTCTTCCTCTGCGCTTTTGCTGAACGTGTCCAGTTTGTTCTTCAGGTCGACCAATTCTGCTTGTAATGTGTCGACTTGAGCCTTGCTTTGCGCCAATTCGTTCTGCAACCCAGTCTCTACAGTAGGAGCATCTTCAACCTGGCCTGCAGGTTCTTCGGGTTGATGCTTGCCTTCGCTGTCCACTGTGGCGGACGCAAGCTCTTCAAGCTCGGCATTGGTGGGTAGGCGACTATGTGTCCGTTCGAATTCCCGGACTTTGCTGAGATCCGACTTGAGCTTTGAGATTGTAGCCGCAGCCTCGTCGTTGACAGACTGTTGTTCTTGGTCGTCTGCACCATCCGAAGCCATAGCAGCTTGGAGCATGGTGTTGACAAGCTCAAAGTCACGGATTTGCTGCTCGATCATGACCGACCGGGTCGATTTTCTAGATCCTAGTGCGGGCCGGACGGGTCTCTTTGCTCCAGATGTGACGACATTCTCCTTGTTGTCTTCGGGCTCCTCAGCACCTGTCTTGGCGGCAGGAGAGGCAGGGATTGTACTCAGCCGTTTTTTCTCGGCCAGGGTGCTGGGGACAACATTCCGCGAGGAAGTGGTTGCAAGTGGTCTCGGTCGTGTGGTGGTGCTGGTAGCGGTACGCGAGGTGCTAGGTGTAGCAGGTACCTTTCTTGCGCCTACTGGGCTGGCAGCACTTGGTCGGGTGGACGTAGCTGGCTGGAGAGTTGTCCGTCTTGCTGGGGTTGCGGCAACGGTCTTGGTGGTCGCAGTCCGGTCTGCACTTGTGTTTGAAGCCAAGGACATCCTCTTAGGTCTGGCAGATATTCCAGCTTTGCCCTTCTCATCACCAGACGGTCTCTCATCAACGGAACTGACCGACTGTCTCTTCTGGTGGGCTGCAGTTGCAGGGTTCGAAGAAGTAGTTGTACTTGCAGGTTTTCTGACAGTGGTAGTTGTTGGACGAGCAGGAGGTTTACTCAGGGAACTGCCACCATTTGCCCTGGCCGCAGAGGAAGTTGTTGACGGTCTTGTGGAAGTAGACAGCCTGGGTGTGGACGGCTTTGTCAAAGGTCTGGGGGTTGCATTGGACGATTTGAGTTTCGACTCATCAGCGCGTGAAGAGGCATGATTATCCATGGCTGTGATGCGGCTAGAAGGTTGTATGAAGAGAACGAAATCAATGTGGAAAAAGGAAGAGACAAGCAAACGATGAGGTGGAAAGCACTGCCAACATGAAAGATGAATGGTCAATGCCCAACATGAATGAAATGCCAACAACGCTGAGACATGCCCTGCGACTGGGATGCGCAGAATGCGGTGCGCCAGTCGCGACCCAAACCAATGGATGAAATTACGCGACACTGCGCTTCTTTTGCCCTCTGCTCCGCCTCAGACCCTGTGATTCGGCGGAGTGCAAGACCAAAATAGTGCCTTTCACAAACACATATTGACCCTGCTCATTTCCACCGGCTCTGAAAGTCTCACCATCTACGTACTTGTAGTACTGTGGTACATAGCTCAGTGTCCAGAACGACGAAGTTGAGCACCTGATGGTTTCACGTGAAAGTACAGAACCAAACAGGAGTTGGGACCTGCTTCGCATCGAAGTATCGGCCTCCTTGCTACACAGATATTCAGGCTCATCCACACTGCTTTGAATCCTTGAGGACATCAAATAAGATATTGCTATGGATGCTGTCCGCTGGAACAGAGGATAATACATTGCCTCATAAGAATGCTAATGTTAACGCCTAGGTGGGAAAATAAGCTTTGGTAGTCGCTTTTGTCTACAAACCGCCGGCCTGTGCGAATGCCATAAATCGTGCCGTTATATCGTAGAATGCCGCCCTTCCCATCGAAATCGCGTAGTATCCTTACTATCGACGCATTCCCTACGGCCAACGAAGACTCTGCTATCTCCAATTCAGGGATCGCTGACACGACACGGTGGGCGCGATTGTAGATCTTCCACTCTTCTTCGCTGGCTTCGCCAGGCTTGGCATTTCCTGCAGTCTTCACGACGTGCATACTACACGTAAACCTTAGGTACCTTCGAGCCGTATCTGATCTCTTACCACCACAATCACGCGCATGAGAAAATGCCAAAAAAAATAATGGTACGAGCTCCTGTTCACTGTTCAAGGAGCAAAAAAGGGCTTGACTGGGAATTGAACCCAGGACCTCTTGCAATCGTGAATAACCCAAAGCAAGAATCATACCACTAGACCATCAAGCCAAATGTGGGACGGATTTAGTGCAAAAGTTGGTGGGTAAAATATATGATATGTTTTGACCGTCAGTTGGGGTGCCAAGTATCTTTGCAATTGGCTTGCATGTCACTTCATACCTGGTACCACGTGCTGGTACCAAAAGTCTGTGGAAGTTCAAATAATATTTCATCAATTAATTGTAGACTATATACTATTCTTTAACGATTTGATTCTTAATTTTTATGCAGTAGTAATACATCCTTATTCTAGACTTAGGCGCATTGACGTGCTACTTCTCGCATAAGTAGCGTTCGGTAGGTTCAGAGACTCATGCTAGATTTAACGTCGAAGGGCTTAAAGCCATACTCGAATGACAATGAGGTATCTATCACCCCATAACATCTAGAAGAGATCAAAATATCTACCTAACTTTCTTGCCACCGCATTATACGGAGATTCTGCTAGTAGCCAGCAGCAATGGCGTAACAACTGATTTGCTACCACTGCACGAACTTAGCATCAGCTTTGTTGATATTTGCAGTTACTTCTTTCCCGCTGGAGAGGTTCTCGCGTTGTGAGGAGGACTTCCTCGTGCGCCATCATTAGTGGCGCAGACGCCTGGCTTCGGCCCTGACGGTTTCCGGGATATCTGCTGCCAGGGACGGAGCTGAGGGCTGCCACCCTAGAATTTTCTGGGCTCTTTCCGACGAAAATACTGCATTGGTGCCCCATAAAACAGCTCCGTGGGATGTAGCTTCGTTGGCCCCATCAACATCAATCGTCCGCTGTACCTTTGGGCTTTCGATCAAATTCTGATCGTATGCCGCCTGTGCAACGCGCTCGTACACTTCGCCAAATGACTATTCCCGTGTTAGTGGTTCCCCTTCTGGACGAGCGCAACACAATATACCATGTCACCTTGGGCCGGGAGGTAGATGCCCTCCTTGTTCCAGCCATCGGTCTTTCCCTTCAGCGAAGCCTGTGCCAATCGGAGGAATAAATCACCCAGATCGCTAATGTTGATGTTACTCCATCGGTTGAGGCCTTTGGCGAAACGAAATCCATCCCCGTAGCTAAGGGTCGTCTTGACGATTTCTGGTACTTGGATGCTTCTTCGATTCACAGGACCAGCTCCTGGCCCATATATGAGTGGACCGACAATCAAACCCGTTCGTATTCTCGACCAGTCCTGGGCTATGATGAGGTTATCCACACTTCGCGAAGGATTGTTTCGGATGGTTGCCAGAATTTTCTCGGTATCTCTCAGGTCGTCATAGATTTGGTTGGATGATTCGCCGTATCGTCCTTCTTTGATCTCGGAGATGGCGAACAGCGTAGCACCTGACATTTGTATCCAGTATGCTTCGACCTTCGTTAGTTTGAAAGACTCAGTTGGTTGAGATACTCACAAATGGATCCATCTGGCTTCTTGCTAAGCCCGCGGGAGATCGCCTGGGCACTTGCGAGGTGATTCGTGCTAGCAAGATCTGAGAGAACATTGATAAGTGGCCTGGCACATTTCCCATGGCTAAACGGAGTAAGCTCACGAAACACAATATCAGCCTGCTGACTCTGGCTCTCAATCAGCCCGTCGTTGTCCAGATCGCCAACCACGGTCTGAACGTGATCCGGATAGGCATTTTTGACCTGTTGGGCTTTGTCGGGGTCTCGACACAAACACGAGATGACTGTGTCCGTGGCAGGAAGTGACGAAGCTATGGTGTGCAAGGCCTGACCGCCGATGTAGCCAGTGGCGCCCGTCCTGCTCACTTAGTTTTCTAACTATTTGACCTCGAGCCATTTTCGCACTTACAGAAAGATCCTGACCATGGTCGCCTTTTGTCTCTTGATTTACTCTGGAGCATGCCCGGTGTATGCTCGATACAGTGAGACCGGGTTGGTTGATGGTGCTGGTCAAATACTGGCGGCTACATCTAGTTTCCGCCAATAAGAATCATTGCACCGAAAGAGGAAGGCCATTCCGTCGGGTCTTACAAGCGAAGGGCGCCAACCTTTGCAACATCTTTGATTCTTTCAGAAACAGCAGGCCATCCAAATCTTCGTTCTGGAACAGTCATAACACTCAGGCACTTGTTTCCACACGGTTTCAGCTCACCATCAGGGCCAGAGTGAGGCTACGTCATAGGATGAAGTCGAGCCGCACCAAAAAGACAACCCGCTCTCATACATTTGGAGGCTGCGGGACGTGCAGGAGACGCCACGTGAAGTGCGACAAGGTCCGACCTGCTTGCTTGAGCTGTAGGGCTATCGGCGCTGTCTGCGATGGGTTTCGTCAGGAGTTGAAATGGGTTACCAACCCTGAGAGTCAAGGAGACGAGAAAGGTCCCAATAGCGACATCCACGGTCATTCGGCAAGACAGCATCTCTATACGGGTTGGTAGCAAACTCCGGCAGACTCCCCTAGACCGCACTGACTGGCGCATCTGAAGAACAGAGTCGGGCTTCTATGAGCACGGCCCTACGCTCCAATTTGGCATCGAAACCGGTTGATGAGTCTCTTGCGGAACTAGATGCCAGGTGCAAAGATGGCCCATTGACTTCAATCGATAATCTGAATGTGGGACCCTTCGGCGTCTTCAGCCTGGAGCAGGAGCAGGATTCTCACAATCCTCAGTCTCACCACGACTCACCTCAACTGGCCGTTGACGCGCCATCTTTCGATGGCCCCGAACAAGAGGAAGCCTTGCCATCGGTTAGGTCTTTCGATACATTAAACGACATGCATGACTTTCTCGACTGGCCAGATCTCTTTGACCTTGACTTCACTGGCAGTGAACCACTTCCCCAAGATTTTGAGTGGGACATTGAGGAAATATCGACCCAACATCAGGACTTTAATTCACTGATTGCTCATGAGCACCAGCCCACCTCCAGTATTCTGGGTGCACCTCAGGTCAACGTGGCTAGCGCACATTCTGGCCTCAATCCCAGCGTGCCTGAGTTTTCTATTAAGAGAGCAACGCCGAAAGACTTACGACCTGAAGAGGCGGAGTTACTTCTGAGACATTTCAAAGACCATGTCATTCCCCACATGCGAATCATGCTTGTTGAGAAAAAGTCGCCCTGGGAAATCATCCACCTAGACTCTGCTATGGTCACTTTGGCCAGATTGACTTACATGACTTCTCAGGGTGTATCACATGCTGCTTTGACCAATCTGCTGGCACTGTTGGCGATCTCAGCACAACATTTGTCTGCTCAACAGGCAGGGCAGGGCACCGCTTCGGTTTCGCACTGGCAAGAAGTTGCAAATAAGACGATCGATGAAGCAAAGGAAAATTTGCAACTATCTCTAAGGAACGAAACCAGAGGACAGAATCAAGCAAAGTACAAAGAACAACTCTCGGCAATTATTGCTATGCTTGCTTTTGCCGTAGGAACACCGGCTGATCTCAACTTCATGCTTGCGAACTGACATGGTGCTACAGACCCTTTACGATAAACAACAGGATGCTCGAGCGTATATGATTGACGCCGAGCGGCTTCTCCGACTGCGTGGCTTAGCTAAGAGAAACATCTCACGGAAAGCCAGAGAACTGCATCATGTTTATACATGGATGAGAATCATCGGAGAAAGCAGTTATGTCCTACGCAACTATCAGAACGTAGGAGTAAATGCGGCCATTGGAAACAAGCGACAATCCGCAAATGAGCCACGCAGGGATGCGAACAATCTCGGCCCAACAGAGCCTCAATACCAAGTGGGGCCCAATCCTCGGTTGGACGACTTCCTTCGACTTGAGCCGAGACCTTCTGACAGCGATGTTGACGACATGGCTCAGAAGGACCGTGAAATTGGTTTGCATGATATCCACCTTGAAGACACTCGCCAGTTTGCCGAGACAATGTACATGGAGCTCTACGGCATCTCGGAAACCTGGTTGAGCCTTGTATCTCAAACTACCCGGCTGGCCAACGTTATGGACAGCTTGAATGTCAACAAAGAACGGAGAGATGTGGAGTTCATGGAGCTGCTAGAACGACGCAAACAGCGTTTAGAAAACATGGTCTGCTCGTTTGCAGCAATGGACCGTCGAGCCGCTGAGCTTTCAACTTCAAGCGGAACGGCCAGAACCATTGAGGGCCCTCGCCATCACATGGTACGAGCCCTCAACGCAGCACTGGTGATTCTTTTTTACCGAAGGATCAGAAAGGTCAACGCATGGATATTACAAGAGCACGTCGACAATGTCATACGTGCTCTGAAAGACTTTGAAATGCTCTGCCAGAGAGCCAACATTGAAGAACCTGGAACCCCTTGGCCTGCCTTTCTAGCCGGCTGTGAAGCGTTGTATCCTGCTCAACGCGAGTATCTCCTGGGCTACCTCGACAGGACGTTTACTTTGACAGGCTTCACTAGATTGGAGACGGCCCGTACATGCATGGTCAAGGTCTGGAGGCGGCGCGATGACTCTGCCGAAGGTGGAGATAAGAGAATGCGAGATCAAGTCTGGACATGGGAACATATCTCGAAAGAGAGCTTCCTCCACGTGTTATTATCCTGAGTATCCCAAATAGCGACGTACCGCAGCGCTAACACTTGAGTTGGCAACCGTCATCATGGTCACCGCCGCATCTCCCCGTGCCTGGACCACCTTTATGGGTTTACGACCTCCAAACCTGCAGCTTGCAATAACCTTGCCAGCTCGGCTTTTGGCTCGCCCTCGAGAAGTTTGAAAGGCTTCCTCAACCCTCCGGTGCGGTGGCCCAGCAACTCCATACCCGTCTTCACAGCTGATGGGTAGTTGTATTCTTCCAAGAATTTGCAGATGGGATAGATCTTGGACCACAATTCACGACCCGTCTTGAGGTCTCCTTCAACTGCAATGGCGTCCCACAGCAGGACTGAAAGTTCTGGGATAATATTGGATGCTCCCCATACCGAACCTTTGCACCCAGCTGCTAGACCGTAGAATGTCAATGTATCCCAACCGTTAAAGGCGGTGATCTGATCGCTCAAGCCAAACACTAGCTCGGTAAAGGCTGGCGCGTTGCCCGAAGTATCCTTCAGGTACTTCACTCCGACTTTCGAGAGGCCGGCAATTTCTTTGGGGCTCAGGGTGAGCCCTGATGCCGAAGGTATATTGTAGTAGACAATATCCAAGTCTGAGGCAGCATGGATCTCAGACATAAGTTCCTGCAGTTGTTCATAGTTGACTGGATCATAGAAAGGCGGCACGACCATTAGAGCTGCTGCTCCGACCTTTGCGGCATGTCCGGCCAGCTCGATACAGTCTTTCGTCGTTGTCGCACCAATTCCTGCCACAACCGGTGCCCTCCCAGCAGCGTATTCAATGCAAAGTTCGAGATTTCGTTTTCGCTCATCCATGGACAGAGCGGTGAATTCTCCCGTGGTGCCACCAGGAACCAAACCATGACACCCAGCATTGAGCAAATGGTCGATATGTGATTTTAGACGACTCTCGTCGATGGCAGAGCCATCATCGGTGAATGGTGTGATCAAAGCCACTAAAATGCCGGCTATGGGCGTTCGCGAACTCGCAATCATTGTGTCACACTTTAAAGTAGTATAGTGACTGTTTAAGTCGAACGGCAAGGACGATCAGGGAAGGATGGATTCGAAGGATTATTGGGAAGATCTGTGAGGGAGACGGAGGCTCTCATTGTCCTGGGCGTGAGATATATGCCCTTTTGTCAAGGGTCACCTCCCCAGACAAACCATCTCCGGGAATGACCTCCCCTTATCCGAGCCGCATTGATCGCGGAGAAAATCGCAAGCTGTCTTGCCTAAATCATTGAAACATTTCCGTGAGACAAATGCCTTTAGCATCTTCACACATTCCTGGAAAATCGGAAGGTGCGGACCTTACGGTATCTCGAACCAGACATGTGTGGCAAGTGATGGGAAAGAGGGGTTCTCCCAATCTGGAAGGTCTTCCCATTGTGGCAGGGCATTCCCGTATCGCTCTTCAAAGAAGGCGAAGTTGACAGCCGCAGCCTAAAGGATCAATCCATGGTTGTCTATGATCGGAAACGATGACCGTCTCAGGTTTGATGTAGGCCGCCGCACATCGCCGCCCTTTGGGAGGAATATTGTCTGGCGTAGAGGACATCGTATCACCAGGGTTGTTTCAAGCTCGAATCTCATCGACCAAGGCCAAACACTTGCGTGGCCGCCTACAGGAGCCTTCCAAGCAAACCCGGATCCGATATCTTATTGTTCGCAACGGCGCCTACTGTATCCTGATGTCAATATGGCAAACCGAGCAGCTACACTGGACCCCAATGTCTTCGCCATCAGCGATCTTGAGGTCCTTGGAGGCAAAAAGCTCCCCAAAATGTATCGTGGTTAGTAATTGTGCCTTCAGCTTCTTGGTTTATCTCGTGGCTGGGCTTGACTGACCGTTCTAAGATTATTACAATGAAGGTGCCATGGACATGATATCGTGAGTGCTCCTAACAAAACACTTTGGTGTATGCAGAACCTGCTGGCAGGAGGAAAGCCCTTTCCAGCACTTGAATGCTCACGGGTCTCAGACTACGTGACAATGTTGCAGCCTTTGATCGTTATAAAATTTTGCCACGTTCACTGCGCAATGTCAAAGATATCGATACGTCGACCTTTTTCTTCGGTCACAAGGTAGGGGATCCTCCGTCCACGCTGTATTGGTGCATGTAAGACACCATGGGAACTTGGGACTGATTTTGGCTGTCCAGGTAACATTTCCATTGGCCATCAGCCCTTCTGCAATGCACAAACTTGCCCATCCAGATGGAGAACTAGCGACGTCGAGGGCAGCGTCAAGTATGAATATCGGCATGTGCCTTTCGTCGTATTCGACAACCTCGCTTGAAGATGTTAAAGCTCAGGGGCGAGGCAACCCTTACATGATGCAAATGTGCGTCGTCAAGGACAGGACTCTTACCAAGCAGCTCCTTGACAGAGCCAAAGGTTGGTTACTCTACGTGTCTTCTGAATGAGTTTCTCATGTACCAAACCTGCAGGTGCCGGTTACAAAGCACTCTTCCTCTCTGTTGATGTACCAGTCCTGGGTCGTCGTCTAAATGAGTATCGGAACGAGTTCACACTTCCAGATCATCTCGACTTCCCAAACATCTTGTCAAGTGGCCTGAAAGAATTCGCGGAGGGTGAAAACTCGCATGACTACGGTATTCTCATGGTGTTCTGTAAGAGCGGACGGATGTAAATGCTAATGTCCGCCGGTACAGACGCAAGTTTGGAGTGGGCCGAGATCATACCTTGGTTGAGGAGAAATACCGACATGCAAATCTGGTTGAAAGGGAGTAAGCATAGCTCGACACCGACACACTCCTAGAAGGGCTCCAAACTGAGACATTGCTGCAGTTCTGAATCCAGCAGACGTACTGCTCGCCATCGAGCACGGGGTGGACGGAATCTTGGTATCCAACCATGGAGGTCGACAGCTCGATAGCGTTCCTGCCACTCTGGACTGCCTCCGAGAATGCGCGCGTGTTGCCAGAGGTCGAATACCGATCGCAGTGGACGGAGGCATCCGTCGAGGCTCGGACATCTTCAAGGCTCTTGCATTGGGAGCTCAGCATTGCTTCATTGGACGCATAGCTATATGGGGACTTGCGGTTGGTGGCTATCGCTCTCGCATATTCTGTCATGCTAATATGTGAATGCAGTACAATGGGCAGGAAGGGGTGGAACTCGCGTTGAAAATCCTGTTAGATGAGTTCAGGACGACCATGGCGCTCGCAGGGTGAGTTGCTATCACTTTGGTTTCGTCACGAATTCGCAATATGCTAAGCCGACTTCTTACAGGTGTCGCACTGTGCACGAGATCACACCAGAGCACCTCACATACATTGGACCTAGCGGACTGTTATGTAAGCTGTAGACAGGCTGAATGTTCGATCGACCCATAACAGCTTCCTGTCGGAGAAGCCCCGGCCCATACAGTACCAGAAGCGTAGGAATGGCTTGACATATTCTGACCGCCGGCATGAGAGAAACTGAAAACGCTTGGTCAACGAGGTCGGTCTTGAAAGTGGGTGTGGAGTCTTTAGCAGCACGTAGAGTGGTAGAGAACGGCGTAGAGACCAGAAGAATCAATATATCGCGGATGCACGGGGTTGGGCCCATGTTTTGAATACCTTAAGTATTTCTCAATGCTTGCAACTCGTCTACTTGTTGATATATTACTTTTGCATACAGTACGGGATTGTGGCATGACACCGGCAGACCATGACTTTACTTTTCAAACCCACCGGCTGTGAAGTTTATCGGTACTAATAACCCTTTACAATCTGATAGACAACAATGTAATGAAAGAAACCAAACGTAATCTGCGTTCGATCTCGACTCTGCGTACCCATCTCTTCATCCTTTCACTTGCATTCACAGGACGTTTAAAAAGCAACAGGCCGTGCTATTACGTCTCTCAAAACCGATTCCAAGGTGTTCAAGAGAATGTCAGCTGCAAGACAATGATCAGCCACGCAAACATCCACCCTGACAGACGCGTACTTACCGTGTTGCTTTTCAAAGATGAGCATGGGTCTCAGTCTTATCGCTTGCTCGCCGCTGACTCCGACGTTGACGCCTTTCTGCTTACATCGGCGGACCACGTCGTCTCGGTGAGGACTGTCGAATGCAATGAACGTGCCTCTGTCCTTACCTCGGAGGTTGAGTATCTGATCAGGGAACTTCTGCCCAAGACTGGCCAGTCCGGCATAGAGATATTCGCCGGTTTGTGCCGTCCGCGCCACCAGATCGTGCTGTTGAATCTCTTCCAAGATGGCGCGCATGATGATGGCCTTGGAGGGGTCGCCCATCCATGTGTTGAATTGGCGGTACGCCTTATTTGGTCTCAGGGCGGCGTCGCGGAAGAAGTAGCCTGCTGCCTGGGCCTTTTTCGAAAAGGTGACAATGTCGGGAGCCTGGCTGAGGTTCCAATGCTCATGGGCCCACAGCTTGCCGGTAGCTCCCACACCTGTAAACATGTTGGAATCAGCTTCTTGGATTTGTCGCGGATGTTTCTCTTACCGGTTTGGACCTCGTCGACGATGAAGATAACGTTGTGGCGGAGAGTCATTTCACGAAGACACTGGAAGAACGCTGGCGAGGCGTGGTTATCGCCGCCTTCAGACTGGATGGGCTCCACCACAACTGCCGCCACGGGGTTGTGGAACGATGTGATAAGCCTCTCGGTTTCCTCGAGGCATCGAGCTTCCTCTTCGGCGTTGGCGCGGATGTTATCCTCGAGCGGGTAGCGCAGCTTTGGAAAGGGTGCGCAGGGCCAATCGAAGGCCGGGATGTCGAGTTTGTGGATCGGCTTGCTGCGGGTGGTAGCAAGACTGCCAAAGAGACGACCGTGGAATCCACCCTTGAAAGAGAGAATGGAGTAGTTTGGGCTTCCAGGGGCTTTGTTCAGCATCGCAGACTCGATTTCCTCAGGCGTGAAGTCGACCCCGGGTCCTCCCCGGTCCATCTGGGCCTTCCACATACAAGCTGCCTTGTAGGCAGACTCGTTGGCATCGGAACCATTCATAGAGGTGAAGACCTGGTCAAAGCCTGGGGGTGCAGCTTTGAGGATTCCCTGCCGCAGTGTCTCGAGCCAGTCAGTGGGAGGAAAGCTCCCAAGGGCAGGACGGTTGACCAGCGCGCGGATCATCTCAGGACTTTGAGCCGCCTTCACGAGACGAGGGTTGTTGTATCCAACTGGAATTGACGCAATCTGAGCAAAGCTGAGCTGGTCGTTAACTAACACTGTCGACACAGAACTCTCAGTCAACATTACCAGTCCAGAAATCTGTTTCCATCCGCGTCTACGATGCTGGGGAGGAATGTCAATATTGTGCCGGCAGAATTGCTCTACGATTGGGGCCCTTACTAGCTGCCACGACTCTTTTCGTAGTCGACAAACATGTTCAAACTGCGGATATCGAACACGTGGTCTAGTTTCTGGGCAGCCGAGACCCCTCGAGGTCCAGGCAAATCGGTAAGCACATCTGGCCCTGCGTGTTCATCAGGCACCTCCGATGACCTTGTGCGCGAGGCTGTTGCGATCGATGCGAAGCTTCGTTGGCAAAGGTCTGAACAGCTTAGTAAACCATCAACGATACTTGGAGAACTTGAAAGTGTTTACTTCTGCCACGAAAGCTAGGTCTCGTGACCGCTATCCTATGCCATTTCTGCATTTTTCCTTACGTTCCAACTTGGCTCTGAATGCATCCAGGAACCATCGGAAGTGCTTCATTTGTATCATCGCGTGTGCCTCACATCTTGCTATGTTGGGAATGAGGGCTTGCCTCTCACACGCGGATGCAGAAATCGAATATCAGATTCAGGAAGGCCAATCTTTTCCCTCACGGTATCGCCTGCCTGAAATGTCCAACATATTGTCCGAGCCTTATCACATCCCCAGATGGGAACCGTGGGGTCCTCGGATTGCAACTTACAAGGGTTTCGGCTTGGTCATCAAAAAACTAGGTTTCCGGCAGGGTTTGCTGAAACAGGTCATTGTCTCCGTCCAGCGCTAGGTTGTACGTGCGATATCTGCATGCTCGACGCTTTCGATCAAAGGGCGTCATCTGGCTGCCCCAACAAGCTGTGTCCAGCCACCTGAGACTGCTCGGTGACATTTCCCGCGATAACATCTCCAAACTCGGCACTGGGGCCACCAGCTGGTCTCGATCGCTGTGGACAAGAACAGTATAGTAACCTACTGTAAAAGGTAAATTTCACCTCAAGGGCGTGCCGATGTGGAGATCGTGCTCGAGGCGACAGGTAATTGACGCCACAATGACCCCAATGAGCAGAGTGATTCGGTTTCTCGTGTCGTCCATGACTACAAGATGGCTGTTGCGTCGCGATTGACGGTCGAAAGAGATGATGTTTACAGCAAGCTAGGTCCGAGTCTGCAAAAGATCGAAAACGTCCACTTTATCACCGTAGAGAGGCGACCATGAGTGTCACCAGTCGGGGGTTTTCCACGTGGCGCCTGTGCCTGAAGTCTACGGCCAGAGTACGACGATTGTCAGTCAAAGCTGATGGATATCGCGGCCAACGGGGGTACTCTCTCCTGTCAGAGCCTTATCAACAGTCTCATCAGAAACTCCAGCAGCCAGGGGAAACTCGCAACTTCATTGATAACGAGTTTCGAAAATCCCAAGCCCATGTATGGGCAGATCTCAAAGATCCAGCAACTGGGCACCTTGTTACACGCGTGCCACTGAGCACAGACGACGAACTTGAAGCCGCAGTTGAGAGCGCCCAAAGGGCTTTCGAGACGTGGAAAGACCTGGGCATTCTCAGAAGACAGCAGATCATGTTCCGCTTTGTCAGCCTCATTAGGGAACACTGGGACAGGCTGGCAGCCAACATTACGTTGGAGCAAGGCAAGACCCTGGCAGATGCTCGTGGCGACGTCCTCAGGGGCCTGCAAGTGGCCGAGACCGCATGTGGCATTACAACTCAACTGACTGGTGAGGTGTTGGAGGTTTCGCAGGATATGGAGACAAGGAGTTATCGGGAACCCCTTGGTGTTGTTGCAGCAATTTGCCCTTTCAGTAAGTCTCATGAACCGGCTCGCTTTGAGATCTTCCCGAAGGCGAACTTATGCTGTGCAGATTTCCCAGCCATGATCCCTCTCTGGTGTATCCCCATCGCAACCATAACAGGCAACACTATCGTCGTCAAACCATCGGAGCGGGATCCTGGGGCGGCTATGATCCTAGCAGAGATCGCTAAGGAAGCTGGATTTCCTGACGGCGTAATCAACATCATTCATGGCACCAAGAGAGCAGTCGATTTCATTATTCGTGAGCCTCGAATCAAGGCTATTAGCTTCGTCGGTGGAACGGCTACTGGCGAATACATCTTCGCCGAAGGCTCGGCTCAAGGCAAGCGAGTTCAAGCAAATCTAGGGGCCAAAAATCATGCTATCATCATGCCCGACAGTAACAGGAACCAAGCTCTCAATGCTGTTCTTGGAGCTGCTTTCGGGGCCGCCGGCCAGCGTTGCATGGCACTCAGTACCCTGGTTACCCTACCGGAGACCCAGTCCTGGATACCGGAACTGGTCACTCGGGCAAGAGCACTGAGAGCAGGGCCGGGCTTTGACCCCGACTCTGACCTGGGGCCGGTCATTTCACCTGAAAGCAAAGCCAGAATCAACGGTCTCATTGCCAGTGCAGAGGAAGAAGGCGCCCAAATTCTACTCGACGGTCGAGATTTTAGTCCAGAAGGCTATGCGGATGGCAATTGGGTAAGTTTTGACGCTCTTTACCATTTACTAAGTCTAGGAAGCAGACTTACTAAATTTCTATCAGATTGGGCCTACCATCATCGCAGGAGTCAAGCCTCACATGAAGTGTTACCGAGAGGAGATTTTTGGCCCGGTATTGATATGTGTCGAGGCTCACGATATCGACGATGCTATCTCACTCATCAACAAAAACGAGTATGGAAATGGCGTGTCGATCTTCACGTCTTCGGGAAGCAACGCTTCGTATTTCCAGAAAAAGATCGAGGCCGGACAAGTGGGTGTCAACGTCCCAATTCCGGTGCCGCTGCCCATGTTCAGTTTCACCGGAAATAAGCGCAGCGTGGCTGGAGGAGGTGTGGGCACCTTCTACGGGAAGCCGGGGTTGGCTTTCTATACTCAGACAAAGACGGTGACGAGTCTGTGGAAGAGGGTAGACACTACAGGAACCAAGGCACAAGTCGCAATGCCAGTACAGCATTGAGGGGGAATATGAACCGAATAGACCCTTTACAGTAATCCAATCGTGTTCGCATTTCAGAAGCAATCAAACAGGAAGGCGAACCCGAACGCCACCCGGAGACATGTTCGCTTATCACTGCGCTTCTCACGCGCTTGTTACGAGTGGCTTTGTCAGAAAAGCTTGGACTAGGAAGAGTATGACTGTTGCAGGGAATCGTTTCCTCGGGATACCCTGACATACTACTACGGTCTGATGGGTAAATCGTGTAATGAAACTGGCTTAAACGGGGTGTAAAACAGCTGCCGCTTGAATCCTCGAAGCAGCAGTTGACGCGGCATTGAACAGGAGGCCCTCCTGCCACACAGTTTGTTCTCGCTGCTGTTTGTCGTCGAATGGCACCTTAGCGCCAAATTACACGATTTACCCAGGAGACTATAGTAGTACTAGTATCCTACGGCAAAGCAATATGGTGGCAGTCGTCTCATCTAGTGTTGAATTGCATCTTTCGACCCCGAATGCTCAGCGGTGCCCAAAAGCCTTCTATTTCAGACCAACTCCTGGCCAGTACTCGCAACCAGTTCTATCAATATTGAACGGCGCAATGGACGCGTTGTTCCAAGAAATCACGACACCCAATGGGCACACATATCAACAACCTCTCGGCCTTTTCATCAACAATGACTTTGTACAGGCATCTGTCGGCCAGACGATTACTAGCGTGGACCCAGCGTTCGTATTTTCCTCCCCTGGCTGACATTATAGTAATACTCAATTGTCGGCAGAACCGAAGAAAAGATAGCCACCGTGCAGGCAGCCTCGGCCGAGGATGTAGGCAAAGCGGTTGAAGCTGCTCAACGGGCGTTGAGGGACTCGTCGTGGAAGCTTCTCCCAGGAACAGGTCGGGGACGGCTGATGGCCAAGTTAGCGGACCTGATAGAGGAGCGTAAGGAGCTCCTGGCCTCTATTGATGCCTGGGACAATGGTCAGTCTTGAAGCCTCGGAACGGTCTCAGCTCTTGTTGACGTGGATGACAAGGCAAACCCTACACAGTAGCCTTGAACGAAGATTTGCCCGAAACCTTCAACACCATCCGGTATTATGCTGGCTGGTGCGACAAGATGTCGGGCCAGACCATTGAGACAGCGCCCAGCAAACTTGCCTACACTCTTCGACAACCGATCGGAGTTGTCGGCCAGATCATCCCTTGGAACTATCCACTGTCTATGGCGGCCTGGAAACTCGGACCTGCCCTTGCGTGTGGAAACACCGTGGTGCTCAAAGCCGCCGAGCAGACTCCCCTCAGCATCCTCGTGCTTGGTCAACTCGTCAAGGAAGCAGGCTTTCCTCCAGGTGTGGTCAACTTCGTAAATGGCTACGGAGCGGAGGCTGGTTCGGCGTTAGTCCAGCATCCTCTTGTCGACATGGTGGCCTTTACAGGGTCGACGGGTACAGCGAAGCAGATTATGACCATGGCAGCCAAAACTCTAAAGAACATCACCCTGGAGACCGGGGGCAAGAGTCCTCTGATTGTGTTTTCCGACGCCGACCTCCAACAGGCGGTCAAATGGTCGCATCTGGGCATTATGTCGAACCAAGGACAAATCTGTACGGCCACCTCGCGAATCTTTGTGGAGCACGACATCTATGACAAGTTCCTGACCAAATTTAAGGATACGGTCAACGACATCTCCAAGATCGGCAGTCAATGGGACGAGACGACGTACCAGGGCCCACAGGTATCTAAAGCGCAGTACGATCGAATTCTCTCGTATGTCCAGGCGGGCAAAGACGAAGGGGCGACTTTGCTGATGGGGGGAGAACCTCGCCCTATTGATAACAAGGGATACTTTATCTCGCCCACGGTTTTCGCCGACGTAAAGGACTCTATGCGGATCTACCGTGAAGAGATCTTCGGTCCTTTTGTCGTTATCTCCACCTTCCAGACCGAAGAGGAGGCTATTTCTCGCGCAAACGACTCTACCTACGGCCTGGGAGCCGCAGTCTTCACCGAGAATCTAAGAAGGGCTCACAGAGTGGCGGCCGAGATCGAGGCTGGTATGGTCTGGGTCAACAGTAGTCAAGATTGCGACTTCCGGGTACCATTTGGCGGCGTCAAACAAAGCGGCATTGGCCGAGAACTTGGTGAGGCTGGCTTGATGGCTTATTCTCAAATCAAAGCCATCCATGTCAATATGGGCAGTGGGCCATAGTGGTGCGAGATACCGCAGCAGTATCCGTAGTAGAAGGAAAGATACTCCTGCTTGCTGGTCCGTGGCTTTTTCTGACGTCGGCAGGTCTATCTCACGGAAAAGTAATCTGTCGTACACGTGCATTTTCTGCACTGATCCTATCTTGCCATAGACCGACAAAATAACCGATCAGGCTCTTCCAGATAACCATCAACATTGTTGTGGCATGCGCCGTTGATGATAGGGCCTTTTGCAAACCGGAGAGCGTGGAAAGTCAAAATAGCGCGGAGATCCCCAAGAAGAAGGCGATTCCGGCAACCCTGGCATATGCGAGGGTGCATCGTGGGACTCCCTGCTTAGTCTGGGGTACTACTCTCAACAACCCTGACTTCTAGCTTTGGTAGGGGAGTCGTATATGCAGGCCAATTGGACAATTGGACAATTCATGACATCTGGTAGAGACTCTGAAGTTCTATATAATGGCCGCAGTCCTCTCTGCAATGGGTCAGCACAGCACGGTGCCTTTTTCTCACTACCCAGACCAAAAGACATCTCGGTTTTTGTATAGCAGTCCTTCCAACCACCCCTCATGGCCGAATACACCAGCGACAAAATGACCAAAGAAGAAGCAGCAGGTGCAGACACGGAAATGGCTCTCACTCCCGTAGAGACCTATGCTGTGGGCATCAATTACCCTGAAAATCTCGTTCCGACCGGGACGAAGCGTGGGCTCAAGTCCCGACATGCTCAAATGATTGCCCTCGGTGGCACTATTGGCACTGGCCTGTTTGTTGGGTCTGGCCAGGCTCTACGTATCGGCGGCGCTGCCTTCTTTTTCTTCGGCTACTGCCTGATCACGATTATGGTCTTTGGCATTGTGAGATCCCGTCTTAACGCGTGGTTACCTTCGATATCGGTGACTGACTCCCCCTCTCCAGGTCACTGCCACCACCGAGATGAGCTCGTACCTGCCCGTCGTGGGTTCCTCGGTGTCGTACTTCGGCTCTCGATTTTTCTCTCCCAGCTTAGGTTTCGCTTTGGGCTGGATGTATTGGTATATCTTCACCATCACCGTGCCGGCCGAGATCACGGCGGCCAGTGTCGTCGTGCAATACTGGAATCCACCCGTCAACGTGGCAGTCTGGATCACCATCTTTATGATCGTCATCATCGGGCTCAACTGCTTCCCGGTCAAAGTGTACGGTGAATCGGAATTCTGGTTCGCCTCCCTCAAAGTGTTCGGCATCATAGGACTCTTGATCATGGCTCTCGTCTTGATCTTTGGTGGCGGGCCCAACCACCAGCTTCTCGGATTTCACTACTGGAAGCACCCTGGAGCTGTCAACGAGTATCTGGTCAGTGGTTCCTCGGGCCGCTTGTGTGCATTTGTCGGCACCGTGACCTTCTCGGTCTTCGCGTTCGCCTTTGCCCCCGAGCTTCTGGTGCAGACGGGAGGAGAGATGGAGTCGCCTCGGATCAATCTGCCCAAGGCTGGCAAGCGATACTTCTACCGCCTGGTGACCTTCTACGTCCTCGGAGCTCTCGCGATCAGTATGATCATCTCCAGTGACGACAAGAAACTCCTCGGCGGAGGATCGGGTGCTGGAGCATCGCCATGGGCCATTGCGGCCAAGAACGCCGGCATCACAGGCCTCGACTCTGTCATCAACGCCGTTATTCTGACCTCGGCCTGGTCGGCAGGGAATTCGTACCTCTTCTTGGCTAGCCGTGCACTCTTCTCCATGGCACAGGTCGGTAGTGCTCCTCGCATCTTCCTGAAGTGCACCAAGTCCGGCATACCTTGGGTAGCCACTGCCACCAGCGCGCTGTTCTGTCTCCTGGCGTACCTCAACGTCTCCGACTCCGGGGCGACCGTGTTCAACTGGTTTGTCAACCTCATCAACACTGGTGCCTACCAGAGCTGGCTTGCCATCTGCATCATCTACATCCAATTCCGTAAGGCCACCTTCGCCCAGAACGTCACGGATCTCCCGTACCGTTCGCGGTTCCAGCCCTACATGTCCTACATTTCTGGGGCGTTCTTTTTCTTGCTCCTACTGATCTCCGGATTTGCCAATTTCGTCAATGGGGGCTGGAACACGTCGAATTTCTTGACCTCGTATATTGGCATCCCCATCTTCCTTGTATTCTATGTGGGACATAAGTGCATCGCTGGAAGAAATGATCCTTGGGTCATTCCTGCGGACCAAGTCGACCTGATCAGTGGGCTGGACGAGGTCATTGCACGCGAGCAGCCCCGCCAACCAAAGGAGCTCTGGTGGCAGAGGGTGCAGGCTCTGTGGTCGTGAGCTGGACAGATCAGGTACCATACGGTGCTCAGTATCCAAGGTGTCCAGACTGCAATGTTGACATATCCGTAGACGGCGCAACTTAGGGTTACGGCTGGCAACGGGAGATGTGAGGCGCAAGAGCTTTTCACAATCCCACCCAGATTTCGTAAACGAATGAGACACTCTATGAGAAATCGTCGGATGATTGGTCACGGCTCTGGTCATGGAGTGCCAAAGATGCTGTTGTGCTGACTTAAATCCCTTGCTCGCCCTAAGTCGGCGACCTCCAGAACCCCTCCACATTGGCCATTTTGGTTGCATGTGCATATTTTCTGCGCCGACACACCGACTCGAGATCCTGGAGTATAACCTTGCTTGTTGGTTACCCTGGTTCTTCCTGGTCTGAAGCGGTTCCACCCGTGTGCGACATATTGGCCACCTGCGTACCCGGTCCTTGTTGAGAAGTGCTTCTCGTCCGCTCTGCACATCCACGTGTGTCTGGCGCTCTACGCGGACCAACGATGGTTACCGTCTTGTTATTCAAGTATGTGCCAACGACGCAATTATTTTCCCTACTTTCCCCTCCGGTTATCGCTGCAAATCTAAGTGAATGTAATGTAGGAGCCTTCCCCCGTCTCAACTCGAGGCTCTAACCGGCTCGTGGTGTCGAACTAATAGGTACATGAGGTTGCACAATAAGCCCACACCCAGAAGCCCGATCGAACTAGTTCGCCGGCCCCTAGATTTCCCCTTTTCACCTACAATGTCCAATCGCTTGTAATCCTCCGCACGACTTGGAAAGCGTCAATCTTGTCCATAATGTACTGCAACTTTGAGACTTTAGCCCTGTCTACGCGACTAGGCCTCTTGGTGACCGTTGCAGGGCACGAAGGACCAAATCCGAGCCTTGATATCGCTAGAACCCGTAGCGAACAGATCTCCTGTAGGGGAAGGTGCCATCGAGATAATGGAGCCCTTATATGTGCCTGGAGCATCATTTGCGCGTTGCCAGCCTGAGGATCCCAGAACTGGACATTGCGGTCTTTGGAACCTGACATGAGCCAGTCAGCGCTGGGGGTCAAACAAACAGAAAGCACACGACCACTGACTTTTTGTACCCCCTAAGGCATGCCGATGCGGTGTCTCCCTTAGCCTTTCTGGCTTCGACTATAGGAATACTGTGACAACTTTGGGAATGTAAGCCTTGAGACACAAATAATTCAGCATCTGTGAATTTCTCTTATAGCTGGCATCATATTCAAGTAAAGTCGATGACCTCTATAAACGAATATTCGGTCTTGGTAGACCTATTTTGCCCATTGGTACCGGTAATGAACAGAGGTGCAGGAGCAAATGCCAACTCTACGATGCAGCTCTTCTCTCCAAACTTGACTCCGAGAATCTTCAGACGCCTTTGCTGACCAGTCCTGTCTTGAATAGGGTCAAACTGCTTCTTGCGCTCGATAATACGGTTCGCCAGATCAGAAGCCCATTTGCTGTCCCAGATGCCTTCTCTTCGATTGGAGCAACGCAAAAGTCGGAGGGCCTCGTCTCGAATTTCAGGTTTATTGCTTTTGATGGATACCAAGACCAGAACAGGGATCACCCCCATGCTCATGGAGAACGTTGGTACTGTGGGAGGCTTGGACAAAGCTAATGCAGTCCCACAGAGTCTGGCACCAAGCACACCTGTATCATGCGGACCTAACCGACCAGAGCTGCCTTGAAGCTGTAGGAAGACTTCTGCAAGCTTTAATGCCCCTGCCAGCTCGGAGTTGAAAGTGTCGAAAACATCTTCCTCACGCAGCAGGGCCTCTAGGAGAACCTTCAGGATGGATTGGTATATTTTCAGAATCAGGAATGCCTGGTACCGAGTGCCGCTGTTTATGTCAGCACGAGACTCGATGTTGTTCACCGCTATGCTCCAACTTTCAACCCGCTGGCGGAGCATACAGAACTTGGGGATCGTAGACATGTTCACCGTTCCGGACGAAAGCCTCTGCGCCTCGTAAATTGGCTCATGGTCGTTCAAGAAGGCCATGACTTCATTGAGAAGAATCTCGAGCCAAGTCTGAGCTTCCTCGACAGATTCGAGCTGTTGAGGGACAGGTCCAAACTTCTGGTGCAGGTTCTGGAAGACTTCGGAAGTGCTTGAATCCCCCAATCTCATGATCTGGTTTTGTAGCGCGGTGAACGTCCTGTCCAGCATTTCCAGGTCGACCGAACGAGTTTTCTGACCACTGTGGGCTTCCTGTCGAACCTGCTCGGCAATCTTCATGCCAGATCGTGCGTGTTGTAAACATTTGGAAAAATTACCACGAAGGCTCTCTATCGCACAGAACATAATACAGGTAAGAAGAACCCCAACCCATGACGACTCGGAGTCCGTGACGCGGACAATTTGTCGGATGGCGATATTGTAGTGATGCATAGCGTGTTGATGCGAGGAAGGGTGGCCTTTTTCTGGTAGACAGAATTTTTCGTGCATAATGCTCAGGGCAAGGAGGGCATGCTTCACAGCCGGAAATTCCTGTGCCAATCGGAGTATTGTAGATGACCAGAATGGTGAATTAAAGGGTCCCATTACATCTCGAGATGTGCGGTGTTGGAAGTGCTCCCAGGCTCGTAGATCGTTGTGGCTGAGAACTGGAAACGGCGCCGGCGGATTTCGAGTGGCATATATGATCATCTTGAATGGGTTTTCTTGGACTTTACCCTCATCCCAAAGACAAATACGATTCGATTTCGTACACTTCTGACATCGTGGCGCGCATTCGTCGCACTTGACTCGGCGCTGTTTGCCTGGAGGGCATGGGTCAGAATTTCTCCCAATGCAGACAGTCTTGTTGAGGTGTAGAGAATAGGGAGAGTAACTAAGAACGCGCTTTAATGAAACAATAGAAGATCACTATGAGATCCATTCCAGAGCCTGGCGCTTAAATTTGTACTTACTAGGGGGTTGTTAGTCGTTGTCGTAAAGATAAGGACGGAAAATTGCGAAGGATCTCAGCCCAGGGAGGACTCGTTCGTCCAGTCCGGACCAGACAAGGCTAAGGGTTTTCTGAACTACTCACCAAGTTCGACATCCGGAATGGGACCGAGACATTTGAACCCGAAGCTGCTTCTCGCCTCGAACGAAAGACATATATTATTGAAGACCAATTGTACACTTTCAAGTAGAGCTTCGGCAATTACCTCATATTTTGCACTCCACGATGCCAGGAAGGGCTTTCCTGTCCAGAAAAATAGACCTCTTCAGATAGTTTGGGCAGCCAGCTAATTGAGAGGCAGTAAAGTACACAAAAGGCGATTTGGCGCGAAAGAAAACGGAAAGATATCGTCCCGAATTCGAGGCTCGAGGTCAGGCCTTGTGTTGCCAACCATGAAACCACACAACAACCACCCAGAGCCATATTGGCACGCCTGAAGAAAGCCAGTCTTACAAGGCCGGAGAAGTGACTGCCAATGACACTGAGCCACAAATTGGGGGCCATCAGGACTGGGCGGCCTGTGGTATGCGTCATCGGCAGTCGCCTGCTAAGTCACTCAAGGACTTGGTCGGTGTCCCACTACTCAGAGTGCTAGGAGCAGAGAGGCTAGCGTTCGCGAAAGATTCTGTGATTGGCCAACGACACTATATCAAGGAGGAATCTTGAGCGACAACAGCTTCATTATTTTCTCTACGATATTTCACAGCCTCTAAAGCTCGTGAACGCTAGCCAAGAATCGTAGTATTAAGGTAGGTCAATCTATTCTGCGGCCTCTACCATTGTGCACTGCCTCCTTCCGACCGAGTATATATGTCCTTGAAACTGCCAGCATTAGACGACTTGTCTCTTGTCCATCTACACATCTGCATTGAAGTACACCATATCTATCAAGTTTCTCACTCAGTCTCGTTATCCTCTTCATCTCAAAATGCCCGAGTGTGTCATCCTGCCACAGCCAGACCGGTTATGGGAGTATTGCCCATCGTACGGCGCGGCCATCACGTTCCTTACCATCTACTCGTGTACGACACTTGTACATTTCATCCAAACCATTGTGTATCGAAAGCCATTTGTCATGGTTCTTATCATGGGTGGCATCTGGGAGCTGGTCGGGTTCACCTTGCGCGTCTGTTCAATCCTCGAGCCCGACAATGGCGGGTTCTACAGTAACATGGGAATTCTGGTTCTGCTGGCTCCGCTATGGATCAACGCCTTTGTCTACATGGCACTGGGACGATTGGTCCATTTCGCGCTGGTACATGACACCGTCATGCGCATCCGAGCTCGACGCTTGACCTTCATGTTCGTCACCTTCGACATCACCGCGTTCATCATGCAGGCATCAGGAGGGATCATGGCCGCCAAAAGTGGAGCTGCTTCGACCAAGAGGACGGGGTACAACATCTATACCGCGGGAGTTGGCATTCAGATGGGTTTTATCGTTTGGTTTGTCGCCTTAGCCGTCAGGTTCCATTACAAGCTCTGCAAGCCTGTCATGTACGACCTGTTCGATGAGACCAAGCAATCGCTCGCCTCCATCAAGCGGATACTCTTTGGGCTGTACACCGTCCTCACGCTAATTCTGTGCCGCAACTCGTGGCGCCTTGCGGAATATGCAACGGGCGTGGACTCGTCCCTCCGGCTCAACGAATGGTGGTTCTATGTGTTCGATGCCCTTCCCATGGCTGGAGCAATGGTGCTGCTGAATATCTGCAATCCAGCACAGGTGTTGACCGGGCCTCGCGCAGACTTCTCAGAGGAGAAGAAGACTCGAAAGCTTGCAAAGAAAGAGCAGAAGATGGCCAAGCAAGACCAAAGACAAACTGCCCTGTATGGACGTCTCCCAACGGCAGACCTCTGAGCAGGTTTTCGGAATGCCCGTCAAGAGTCAAACAAAGATTTTTGTGATCAGCGACAGGACAAAATGGCACAACCTTGAGCTGGGCAATGTGATCAGAGGACGAGGATTGTTTTAGTAAAGGAGATATATAGAGTCGTAATATGGCGTCTTTTCACACTTTTCGTCCTTGGTATGATGTTAGCCAAAACTACAGGAGTTCACGTTTCATTTCAAAAGCTAAGCTGCGGCAAGAAATTATCACCGTAGAGAATTACGTAGGTAAAACTTGTCCGAGGCGATATAAGACTACGCTACGAGGATCAAGCCACGGCGCCGTGTAGGAGCCTTCTAAAATTGGGCACGACAAGACCGCGAAAAGCGAGTTCTTGGGCCTACCGACGATGTTTACCTAGTCACAACGTTGAGCCTCGATATTTATTATACTGAGAGAGCGTTCTCTTAGTAGCTTTTAAGGAAGAAAAGATTCAAATCACTTAGACTACCCACTAGATGAGTGAATGATGGTGAGATCTCAAAAAAAAACTGTTAAGTCTTACGATAGCTATCAAGAATTCCTAAACAATTTACTATCTATAATACAGGAATCCTCAGATTCTCCGGATAAGTATTATCGAGTAGAATACCAGAACTACCTTGTCTTTCAAGACTGAGACACAATTCTATTTATAATATAGCTGATATTCTCAAGCCCTGCTTCACCTCATCGCTATGTCTCAACCATATTGGAGGCTCAAATAAGTAGCGACTCCGACTTCCACACGGCCTGAGGTACTAATACTTGCGAATATACATAGGAATGCCCGTCATAATCACAATCCCTGCCCTAATCGTGGTTCTGCGACTGAGTTGTTGCAGTATTTCTCTCATACCAACACGTAGATCGATTAAGACAGTGTTACGCCTCAGCTGGCCGTTCACCCATGTAGACAATTCCAGCTTCAGAGAGTCCTTGACGAAAGCTACCAACGCAATCGCAGGTCGTATTGGGGCGAATTTGTCAAATGACTTGGCGAAGCCATGCTGTCCAACCCATCTCTCAAGGTGATAAGCAGACTGGTCCATTAAAAATATAAGTAAGATAGCGTATTAGCATAAGACAACGATAACGGCCTTCCACCAGTAGCCATGAATCACTCGTCACGCTTTGCGCCCTTGCTACAACCAACGCTGAAGACGGGCACAGTGGCTCTGACTGTGGCAGCGCTGGCTTGTTGGAACGAAGAGCTCGATGTACAGCATATGCTGTGAGCGTTTCACCATTGTACCAAAGGGACCGCAGGCTTGGACCTTGCGATATCTTCGTCGAAGAGTGTTGCCATTTATCGACAGTCCAACTGGCTTGCTGCGTTGAACTAGAACTGCTGTTTCTCGACCATGTAGAACAAGGGGAGTCTGTGACTTTGCCTCGGGGATACCATAGGGAAGAATGAAATAACAATTGAAATCCATATGTCCCGTCCCTGACCGAGGCATCTCCACGTCATCATCAAGGGGTTTTGATCCTTCCACCTCTTGGGCCCTCAGTCAGTATCCCATCGTGACAAGTCATTGCCCCTGTCTCAACTTGACCAGATCCGTCGAAGCCCGTAATGAATAGGTTCTCGAGGAGGGATGTAATGAAGGCGAGTGATGTGGGAAGTTGAACGTGAAATACAGAAAATTGGCAGCACTTGTCTGCTGATAGACCAAGTCCATGCGCGTAGCCTCGTCAACGAAGCTGGGCCTGCTACGCCAATAGTAGTTCGCAATACCCATCAGTGTAGCTCAAGTCGGTGGTATTCTGGATCGAATGTACCATCCTTGAACAACTCTCCGTCCATGACACCGGGCACAAGAGTGGGGCCCACAAGCTGGTAACTTGAATCGACCTTTCGGAGCGCCACAGGCATTTTACAACCTTTCAGTGCAAAAATTGTGTCATCCACCTGAACATTGGGTCCCATACCGAGTAAGCCTCGGTCTGTATAGAAGATGTTGTTGTGGATGAGATGTCTTGCCATGCGCGTTAAAAGATATTGGCAATGTCCGTGGTTGATACCAGAAAGAGTGTCTTCCAAGGAATGCCACGGAGTTGTGATTGATGTGTCTCCCAAGAACTCCTGACAGAAGGATGCCGTAAAACCTTGGTCCACTGAAATGCGGAATTCTGGGATGCGTTTGGTCCAATCGCGATTCGAAAGGTCATTTTGCTGTCCAGAATAGCAGCACAATACTTTCAACAAAGCAGCTGCCAGTGTGAAGAACTCATTGCTCGGCACCTTGAGTCTAGGCCGATAGATGTCTGAGCTCAAGATGTTACCGTCGACCAGGACCAGGCGAAGGATCGCTTGCAGTACTGGAATTGCCACCGCGGATGCAGTACTATCATGTCGTTCCAGGGCGCATTTGGCGAATTGGGTGAAGCAGACTGCTGCGTCATGGTCAGTCGAAGGTTGTGGAAGGGGTGGCGCAAGGTCAGTAACGTTTGCCACCGGAAAGCCGGACACGTGTAAGACCTTGGGATTGCTGGGATCCACTTCAAAATATCGGTTGTTGGATGAGTCTATTTCAACGCCATCCCAACGCTCGGGATCCCATCCGAGCCACTTTTCGAAAGACCAGTCAGGCGCCCAGGACGGGAGATCGCGATCGTTGCGCAAAGCATTCCCGGCTTCTCCAAAGCAGAGTGTCAGACCCTCTTCGTTCAGCATCTCAATAGCTGTCTTTACATAGACCTCGGAAACCGGACAGGAGTAGTCTGGTTCAATGTCAAGCTTCGTCACTCCGAGAAGACCATACACCTTATCGCGTAGATCTGTTGCGCGAGTTCTGCGAGCTTGTGTGAGAGGGTAGAAGCGAGAGTCATGTCTGTCACGGAAAGAGCCGCGCCAAAAATGTCGCAGAAGGACGATGCAATCGATATACACACCAACGTGAACATTTGGAATGGAAGGATCAGTTGCCCAAATCCTGGGAACTTGAGTGTCAAACCTGTACAGATCGTCAATGTACAATGAACTGGTCCCACAAAGCAGTAGAACATGGTCGTTCAGGACCAGCTCCTGCATGATCCATGTGCGCTTCCAATATTCGCGGCGCAATAGGCTGTCGATAGCTTGCCAGACATTGGGGAAGTCAATGGTTGTCGGATGCCGCTTTATCCACTCGTCAATGTCATGCTGGCTGGAAATCTTCGGCATCTCCTTCGCAATTGCTCGGACCGCTGCGATTGCTCGAGCGCTATCTTCTGCTTCGGGACCTAGCCAAGCAATGACTGCCGAAGCATTTTGATAGATCTCCCCCATCAATTTGACCTGCCATGCTCTTTCTCTCCGGTTATTCTGGTTCATGCAAATAGCATCAGCCCAAAAATGTAGTGTAGGAGCTGGCTCCATGTTCGTCGGGTCTTCTGGAGCATGTGCGTCGCCATTGATGATAGCGATGAGGTCCGAAGACTTGGAAGGATGAGACAGGAATGCTCGTAATTGCCGAAGCATAGCAATCAGATTGACTGTGACATGTAGCTCCACTCCGTTGACCATGATCCTGTCGGTCACATCCGGGTCGCCGCAAAGGTAGGACAAAGCGTAATAAGGTGGAGCGTCGCGTAAAAAGGTCGTACGCATGGAGCAGTTGAGGGGGCTGTCGAAATCTTGTGATGGTTCAATGGAAAGCAGTCTAATCTCCTGTGCCTCCTCATTTATGTCCCTGTATAAGTCAGCAATACTCAGCGCCATTCTAAGAAGCCGGTGCAGAGACTGGAGTTGGCTCTCGGTCCGACCTGACCTGGAGTCATTGGGGCATTAATAGAGGAAATTCCAGCGAGCGTCTGAAGGTAGGCATATGCTCACGGACATTGACTTACCCGACACGATGGTCGGTTTGTAGGTCGTCATTGGACTGAGGCTCTTGCGGAAGTACAAGACTAGCCCGAAGGCGGTCAAAGAGGTCGACCACGTATCTCCTGAAGCCTTCCATGTTGAAGAAAAGCCCTACTATACCGTGAGCAGTCTTTGAGGCGTTGTCAACGGTCACAACGCTCTACAATAGAGGGGTCAATACGAAGTGCCAAGGTGCCGACACAGTGTGATTGGCGCAAATGTCCGACTCAGGGAGGAGACTTATTAGGGACGACTGCAGTTTGATGATTGCAACGTCGCTTGGGAACGTGCAGGAACGTGGTCAGGACCATCTAGGGTGAGCTGGGTGAGCTGCACAGTAGCGGGGCAGGACCAACAGACCCTGGGGGCCTGGCGCAAATGTGGCTAATCGCAGAAGTGATTAAGCCGAGCTATTTACCTTCCCTTCAGATAAGCCCCTGTGCTTTTCTACGCTCGACAACAGCGAAAACAATGCTGACAGCATAGCCGAGATGAGTTCGACGAAAAGCGATGCTGCAGTGCTGACGGTGGCGCGAGCGGTCAAAGTCGGAATTACGCTTTGTGATAACGTGAAGCAATAAATTGTCGGCCGATGTTCTGGCTGCGAAGACCAGCATCGAGATGGACGAAGATTACGGAGTAATGGACGAGGAACGGCCCAAACCCTTTGCCAAGGCTTCCCGCACGTGAGCGTAGCCGTGTGTGATTGTAGCGGCGGAAGAGATTGATTAACTAACTAATCTAAGAGGGAAAGACTGGCCGCTATATGGAGTCACTCGTAACTGAGTCCAAGGAGCGGGGAGTACTAGACTGGGCAAGTATCCCGACGCTAATACTACACATGAATCTTGTTCGCATTGCTCGAAAGTACCAGCTAAGAATTTCTACCTAGTAGGTAGGATAGGGCGAAGTAAGATTGGATGCTTCAATGTTACTAGTATTTGAGGTTATGCTAATTATTGTATTATTGTAAAGGGGTCGGCGTCGTCTTTGATAAAGAAGCTATATAAATTAGGTGGTAATGTTTGCTAGACTACCTGGCCCCGCTGGGTAAGGTATTGCTGCTCAGTACATTTGCACCTTCGGGGCATATTTCCCTTCAGGGCATATTTGAACATGCTAAGTGATACTCAGTATGCCCTCAGGGAGACCTCCCACCGGTTGAGATACTCGATCGAGACGACCTCGAGACGATTCGACAACCAAGAAAAGCCTGTCTGCGATTCTGCGGTGACGTGATGTTCAGCCTCGTGTAGTTTGTAAGCCATAATAGCCATATCAGCCAATGGAAGCCCATCTGTGCCCATACGAGGTTTCCGACGGCCCGTTTTGCTGATTAATGCGAATTCAACTACCGAAATCTCGACATTCCCACCGACCTGAACCCACCACCATCCATCATCCATCATCATCCAATTCACTCATCGACCCCAAGGCCATGCTCGGATCGGATATCCCCCCGGTTCCCAGAGCACCCATAACTACTAAATTCTACTAGTATCTAAAGACGATTTGTGAGCAACAAAGCCCTCGTTTATCTTGCTTCCATCGGCTGCCCTGTCGATCAAACGCCTATTTTTTTTTTACCTTAAAACAAATTTAAACAACTCGATAAGACCACAGGTACTGTCTCTCTCTATATATATTTCTTTCTCTCGTCCTGGCATACACCAGTCACGTAAATACCATACCCCAAGACACCAACTCACAAAACACGACCAAACAATCCAAAATGGGATCCCTGGCCCCCTCGTCATCCCGGCTCTTCGAGCCCCTTCGCATCGGCACCATGGACCTACACCACCGCCTCGTCATGGCTCCTTTGACGCGCTTCCGCGCCGAAGACGATACCCACGTGCCACTCCCCTTCGTATCGACCTACTACGCCCAACGCGCCGCCGTCCCGGGCACGCTCCTCATCACCGAAGCGACCTTCATCTCGCACCGCGCCGCCGGCTACGCCAACGTTCCGGGCATCTACTCGCGCGCCCAGATCGAGGCCTGGAAGTCCATCACCTCCGCCGTCCACGCCAAAGGTAGCTACATCTACTGCCAACTGTGGGCGCTGGGCCGCACCGCCGACGCCGCCAACGCCAAAGCCGAAGGCATCGAAATCGTCTCGTCGTCCGCCAACGCCCTCGACTCCGCACACGCCGTCCCCAAAGAAATGACCCGCGACGACATCAAGCAGTTCGTGTCCGACTACGCCCAAGCCGCCCGCAATGCCATCGAGGCCGGCTTCGACGGCGTCGAGGTCCACGGCGCAAACGGCTACCTCATCGACCAATTCACCCAGGACACCTGCAACACCCGCACCGACGAGTACGGCGGCAGCATCGAGAACCGCTCCCGCTTCGGCCTGGAGGTCACCCGCGCCGTCGTCGATGCCGTCGGTGCTGATAAGGTCGGCATTCGTCTCTCGCCATTCTCGAGCTTCCAGGGCATGAAAATGGACGACCCCATCCCCCAGTTCACCCATCTCATCAAGGGCTTGAAAGAGCTCAAGCTCGCCTACATCCATGTCGTCGAGTCGAGGGTCTCGGGCAACGCCGATATCGAATCTACGGAGAAGATCGACTTCGCGCTCGATGTCTGGGGCAAGACCAGTCCCGTCCTCGTTGCTGGTGGCTTTAGACCCGACTCGGCGAAACGTGCGGTCGACGAGGAGTACAAGGACCAGGACATCGCGATCGTGTTTGGCCGGTATTTCATTTCAACGCCTGATCTGCCGTTCAGAATTCAAAAGGGAATCGATCTCACCCCATACGACAGGGAGTCCTTCTACATTCCAAAATCCGAAAAGGGCTACACCGATTATCCTTTCAGCCCAGAGTTTGAGCAGGAAGTGAAGGCATAAATTCCCCAGAAGCTGCATAGAAAGTCAACAAATCATAGACTTCTAGACTAGCGAGCGCTATATAAGAATAGAACTACCTGAGCTGCCTGCTGTGAGGCTGAAGCATTCAGATCCCAGAATCATGCCTTTCACAGCATTGCCGGCTTGTGAGTCGATGACAAATGACCTCCTGCTTCAACAAACATCCGTTTCTCAAAGGCCAAGTCACGATCACTCAGACCACTGGCGTGCCAATCGTCCTTGAGCCTCGTCTTCTCCAAGTCTTCAGCCAATACCTGCTCCACAATATCCTTGACCATGGCAGGCTGCCGATAATCATAGCCCAGGAAAGCGGACATTTTGCGTATCTCCAATGCCTCACGGCCGGTGCTCGGGTCGCGTAAGATAATGTCTCGTGGTCGTTTCTTGTCCTTGTCCTTTCCTTTTGGCTTTATGTTCTCAGCAGCGGCTTTTTCGTCTGGCCCATCAACATGGCCTGCATGGTCCATGGCGGGTGAGGTACGCTCGTCGACACCTGAGACGGGCAGATCGGGTGGCTGCAGCAATGGATTTCTCATGTCGTTCATGCTGTCCGCCCGGGACAAGCCTGGTACAGGCGTAGCGGATCCCTTGCGGGGCATGTTGATGGCCAGTGATGGTACGATATTTTGGTCCTCATGTTGATGCTGACTGATTTGCGATGATGCCTGGGCGAGGAGCGGCGACACATTGAGGTTTACATCTCCATCAACGGTTGGGGTGGCGGCAGCATCCTCGTCGTCTTCATCAAAGGTACTTGCAGAGTCGATGTCGGAGATGGGGTCTTCTTCGTCAAAGTATGTCGTATCCTCCCAATCCTTTACATTGGGTGGATAAGGCGCACGTCGAAGATGGATTGTGTTCCAGTCGATGTCTTTGAGGAATGGATGGCGCTTGATATCTTCTGCATCACCCGCATGCACAAAGTAGCCTTCATAATGTGGACTCTTCTTATCGGCACTGACTTTGACCACTCTACCTCCAATAATCTTTCTTTCGTAGTCATTGACCTGGTACTGCCTGCTACAAAGTCTTCTCTCTTTCTCGACGAGTAGTTGCATCATCAGGTCTATGGCCTCGATGCTCGGCTCCACGGGAGCTGCTCCCTCTGGGAACGTCAGGGTCTTTCTGTGATGAAGGATCTTGAGCTTGGTTTGCTGGCGGTCGTCACAGGCGAACGGGGTGAAGCCGTAGAGACATTCAAACATGATGATGCCAAGGCTCTACCAGTCGCATCGTCCATCATACATCTCGCCTCGAATGACCTCCGGGGCCATGTACTGCGATGTCCCAACGACAGATCGTGCGAGGCGTCGACATTGAGCACGGTTTCGCCAATCCAGGATTGGCTCGCCAACAGATGGTTCGTCTTTGGATTCGGATTTGTTATGGTTCCCAGTCTTCCGTAAAGGGTGCGTTGCATTGTCTGCGCACTGTTCGAGTTGCCTTTCCTGTTTATCTTGCTCATCGCCTTCGATATCAATCCCTAGTTGTTCGAGCAGGGAGTTACGACTCTTTTGATAGAACTTCTGGTCATGGCACCAGTCTCCATCGAAAGCAAGGCCAAAATCGGATATTTTCAGATGGCCATCGACAGCAATGAGGAAATTGTCCGGCTTCACGTCACGATGTATCCATCCCATGCGGTGAGCCTCCTCGACGCACAAAATCATTTCTGCAATGTACCATTTGGTGGCCTCTTCGCTGAGAATGTTCTTTCGAATGAGGAGTCCGAGAAAGTCGCCTCCAATACAATACTCCATAACAAGATATAAGTGCTTCTGATCCTGGAAGGCGGCAATCAACGGAATGATCCACCTGGATCCTTCTGCTGCAGCAAGGAAGTCTCGTTCGGCTCGCAGATGTCCCTCTTGGGCGTTCCGAATCATCTCGGACTTGCGGATGACTTTCATGGCGAACACTTCTTTCTTCCCCTTGGCTAGATCTCGTCTCCTGTTGGGGAGCGGACCAGGCCATCGTGCAGGCGAGGACTTCAGACTGGCTCGTGACTGCTTGCATTCTGGCCGCTTCTCGGTGGCGCTGATCTCGGCGTCACCTCTTGCGTTCTCCGCCTTCCCTTTCACGAGACGAACAACCCCGAAACTGCCTTTGCCGAGAACACTGATGACTTCAAACCCACCAATATGGATCCCTTCGCTCGCTCTTGCAAGATTTGTGGTATTCTTGAGTACTCGAGTCTGTCGGAGATGCTCGCTTTCTGCACGTTCCCATGCCTTTCTAGCTCGATGCTGACTGCCAGCAGGAAAATGGTGTTCTCTGAGCTTGGTCTCCAATTCTCGACACCGGATTGCCCTTGAAGGGGTTTCATTGAGTAAAGAGTTGAAGTGCAGCTCGAAGAAGAGTTTCGCAGCTGCGGCAGCCTCGACTGTTTTGATAGTGAGGGACGGTGTGACAGTAGACTCAGGAATGGGTGTCAGAAGCCTGGACTCTACCAAATAGGTTTGACGGTCCATGTCAAAAGGATTCATGCTCTCTCTGCGGGCAATGGATGTCGGGGTGACAGGCACGGACGTGAGTGGAGTTGATGAGGCCTGTTCGGCCGGTGAGGCCCAGCCACTGTTGAGGGTAGAAGGTGTCGACGACTGTAGAGCTGATACTACCTCCACTGCTTCTTGCACTAGAGCTTGAACACTTGGTCGAGACCGCAATTCTGACCGTTTCACGACGGTTGGATTGCCAAACGTCTGATGGAACTTTTGTGTTATGAGGCGTTGTAGGCCTGGGACTGATTGACTGCGTCGAACGCCGCGGCGGCCATGGTTGACAACCCATTCAGCTGCTTCCATCATGTGCTCGTCCGTCTCTTGTGGTACAGGACTCATCGGGGCACTCTTGACGGTTGAGGAGGGGATGTCATTGGCATTTACATCAGGAATGTCGTTCATGCCGGTCAACCGAATGGTCAAGGGATGGTATAGGGTGGTAGCATCGGAGTCATTCTGGAGGATGTAGCCCAGCTGAGAGCCTTGAGTTGAGGCGAAAACAGTCTGATGTGGTAGATTGGTATCATTGGTTCTTCCTCCTAGACCTAATATCGTCTTGATGCTGGAAACGCCTCTCTTGAGTTGAGTCTTGACGCTGGCCTTAGATCGACCAGTGCTGGTAGACTCCATCGACCGGGAACTGGTGCCATCGTAGAGGAGATGATTGAGCTTGGGCAGTTTAGACGGTCGTGGACTCGGCTCTCTTCTTGTCGGAGACCGCTTGGCTGTAGAGGATTGACGTCGCTTCCGACTAACGGCGTTGACGAAAGGCATGCTGCTTGCACCGAGAAAGTAGTCCTGGGATGATGACCGCTTCCTGCGCTATGCATAAAGAGCATAACAATGTTGATGTAAGTGAGGCAAAAGCCAAAAGAGAAGAATGAGAAGAGTGTAAGATGAAGAACGAAGAATGAAGACCCAGAAGACTGCACGAAATGAAGCATGAGAGCCGCGCTTGCCTTCCTACCACTTGCCGGACGCAAAGAAAGCAGAAAGAGCAATACAGGAAATATTGAATGTACATTACCAAGTCTTGCTCGTTGCGCAAGAGATTCATGAACTATGTCAACAATCAAATGTGACTGCAGGTAAACCTCTACCCTTCACCGCCACCTGGACATCTTGCTTGAGGGCAGAAAGAGCCTCCTCCCAAGCGATACGGACGGCCTCACTGGGGAAATTTTCATACTCTATGACCAGACCAAGCCAATTGACCACAGCAATGCCCTTGGCCATGTCTCGCTCAATTGAGATCACCTTGCTGAGATAGTCCGAGAGAGCACTAACATCTTCTTTGTCGGGACCTTCTCCATCTGAAGAGAACTCCCGAACCCAAGCCGACGTAGCATCCCGCAGTTCTGGCAGGCTGCTCAACCTCTGAGACGTGAAGGTCGGTTTGTCCGGAGGCTTCGTCAACTGAAGTCTTTGCTGGCCTCGTGTAGTCGACTCGACTTGATTAGCAGGTTTGGACTTTTTCTTGGCTCCTTCATAATTGAGCCCGGATTTCGCCTTCATCCTGTTCCTTTTCTGCTCGGCTAGGATCTCAAGCCGGATGTCTGCTGGCAATTCATTCAAGAACGACTCTGAAATCTCGTTGGTGTCAAAGGCAGCAGCTTGGTCCTGGCCGGCAGACATCGTCGGGAGAGATAAGAAGTTGGATTGCGTCAAAGTGGAGGACGTATCCCCTGTTCGTTTGGACCGTGCTTTTCCAAATAAATTGGTAGTCCTCTGTTTCTTCGTGGGAGTAACAGTCAATTTCTTTGCCGGAGCTATAGGCTTGGGCTTCTGCGGCGAATATGTCAGTGGTCGTGACAATCTCTCAGCGTTGTTGTGAACTCTGTACTGGTTCAGCACTTCATCTCTCAGGTCTGGAGGAAGGGCAGCCAGCGTTTCTGGGTCGATCTGGCTCTCTCGCGGTAGCAAAGTTTCGTTGTCGCTGGGATATGGCGATGCCGACCGCGAAGGTCCATCGGCTTGGGGCGTCTCTGAACGACTCGAGCGGGCCATGCTGTCCAATATGCTCTTCTGTTTAGGTGCAAGCTTCGTTCTGATGTCGGCCGGTAGCTCCGCTAGGACGGTTGGGTCGATCTGAGAGGGCATGATGAACTGAGTGCCGCTGACATTTAAAGGCCGCTGATTTTCTACGTCGTTGCCGTCGGGAACATTTAGAGCGCTAGCGATGGTATCTGGCACGCTTGGCTTCTCTGGTGTTGGTATCTCCTCAATAGGGTCATCTATTCCCTTCAACTTTGGCGAACGAAGGACTGGCGGAGCCGGTGTGTGGGCTTGTGGCTGTTCTGGAGGCCTTGATGGTGTAGTGGGCTTCTTGAACTGCAACCGGCGCTGACTGCTGTCGAATAAGCTAGCACTACCTGTTCCTGAAGGCTTCAAAGGCTCCAACTTTTGCATTTGCACACCAAGGCCTCGAAGCTCTCCAGGCGGGAAACCGTAGCTGCGGAGGATAGAGATCGCTTCTTTGCCCAAAATTGCTCCATCATTCGTGGCAACTCCGAGCATTACACTTTTGTTGAATGTGTCGCACTTGCCATGACCTAGATTCTTGGGAGGATCCAAGCCCGCATCTGCAGCTTTCCGCATGATTTTCATGGTTAGCTGTTTGCCTTTGACCAGCTGTTCGAGCAGCCGCCTCGAGAGTTCGTCACTGAGACTCTGCACGAATTCTTCGGCCTGCTGCTGGTTGATGAATCTGATGCCCCAATTGATCTCCGCGGATACAGACTTTCGGACGACCTGGTCGCCTACTTCTTGCTTGTCGATTCCTCTGGAGTAGTCCCACAACTTCTCTCCAGTCTTCGGCCCCAAAGCACTGGTCAATCTTTCTTTGGTGCACGTTCTGATGTCCTTCACAAATTTGATCCCGATTTCCTCCAGCTTGTTGCCTAGACTCCAAGCAATACCGGGAAGTTCAGTGACTGTCAGCTCACCAATGAATTCCAGAACTTCTTCCGGCTTGATGAGGTGCTGGCCGGCCGGTTTGGCCTTCCGTAATGCAACCTTTGCCAGAAGGATATTTCCCCCAATCCCGACTGAGACATCACATCCAGTCTTCTCTTTCACGGAAGCTCTCAGATCATGGGAAATGCGTAAGGCAATTTCTTGTTCACGATAAAGCGAGCCCTCTGAAATACCTCGACCATCAGAACCACCAGCCTTGATGCACTGTTCACTTATGTCGATAAGAGCTTCATCGATGCTGATGCTCTGAACGACCCCATCGATCGCAAGGATGGAATCGTAGAACTGACGACTAGCCTCTTCATATGCTTTGTAGTCGTATGGCAAAACCTTCAGATCCGCACACATGCCAAGCGCAGCTTTCATCCACATGCCATTCTTTATACCAAACTTCCTGGCAGGATAGTTGCAGCTCGCGATTTCCGAGCCGGGGCCACTACCATGCGCGATGACCACCGGTTTATCGGCCAAGTGAGGATGTTTGCGCAACGAGACTGCCGCAAAGAAGCTGTCAAAATCCACGTGCATGATGTATCTTCTGGCGCCAGGCTTCCTATTCTGCTTCGGTCTTTGTGATAAGGACTTTTCTTGCGCACGGGCTTGCATTCGTGCTTTCAAATCGGCTTTCCAGGTTGATAGATGGTGCAGTCTGGACTCGCGATAATACTGATTAATGAAATCTGGGTTCGCAGTGCTGGACTTGGCCATGTGTGGGTTCTGGAGCAATATCGCATTGTGTTCTTCGGCTGTCAATTCGCGCTTTTCAGGTTTTGGGCCGTCATCTGAAGCCGGTACCACATTCTGAACTTGAGCAGGTGAGTCTTGCCGGCCTATAGGCAGAAACTGTGGCTGAACATCCATGAAAGCAGGTGCTGGCAATTTTTGCTCCGAATCGATGAGCTTTGTTTCTGTCGAAGCGACTGCTTCCTCATCATCATCAAGCAGCTCTTCGACTTGCTCTATCTGTTTGAAACCATCGTCCTCATCCGGAGGGTTTTGATCTTCTGCGGCTTGTCCGCCTTGACCTGGGGGAGGTTCCGGCTGTTGACGCAGTTGCGAAGTATACCAGCTCGTATCGGATTGATCCCTGTACGTATGTCTTTGACTGTTCGTCTGACTGACAATCTGTCCATTGTCAAACCCCAAGACTTTTTGGGTCACGCCTTCGTCCACAATCCGGTATGCATCCCAAGGCAAGAGTCTCCCAGCTTTTACACTATCGACCACCCAGGCAGGTTTCACAATGCGGTATCGCGCAAACTCGACAGTCTTCTTAGGAGTGAGGTGACTTGCGACGACATGTGTGACGGCGGTCTTGCCATCGAGATATTGTAGGAACCCACCTCCATAGCTAACGACGAGCTTGTGCAGGTCACTCAAAGAAGGCTGAGTGTAGCCATTGACATGGACTACCACACCGCGGAATATAGGTGGGTTGTCCGCAGAATGCGATCTGAGCTCTGCATCGAGATTTTGTAACTTTATCTTCTTTCGCCGCATGTAGTCGGCAAAACCGCCGAACTTGGATGCTTCATATTCTTCGCCCTGCTCGTCGCTGAAGGTGTGGTTTTCGATGCGTTTGCGTACGAAGGAAGAGTTCTTTTCCAGCCTGGAGCCCATGGGGGGCTATGAGATAGTATCATAACGGGTCCAATGTTTGATCATAATTGCCCACGGCGCACAACGAGCGTTGGCGTGGTGAATGTTCAATAATGAATCAGGGTGGCGCGTCAGGGTTCCAAGACGCAACGTAAGAAGCGCAGGCAGAATGGCTGGATTAGCTAAGCATGCCGCCTAAGGTAGTCGTAGGTAGTGATCCTTTATCTTATCGAGAAGATCCAGTTACATTGACCCAGAGATTTTTTTTTAGCGGCCTCCGTTTCTGAGGCAGCGGCATCAAGTCTCCAGTTTGCAAAAGCTCGAGTTTCAGAGATCTTTTTTCTGCTCAAATTTCTCACTCACATTGCTCAATTCTTGCAGCAAGTTCTTTCCAAAGATACACTGCAGAGCTTTGTCTATCACACCACCAAATTCCTTTCCAAGATGTCCGGCATTCAGCCTGTGGCGGTCTACGCCATGAAAGTCCCTCCAGGAGACATTCTGGTTCCTGCCGTTCCCGAATTTGCGGCTATGGTGAGTTCACCATGAGGCTTCGATGCTTTTTGCGAGTTGTCTAACAAGTGGCTCGTCTAGTTTCGTGTGACCATGGCTGCGATCGACCCAAGCGCCGACCCTGACTTCGAAGCCGCCGACGACAAGAAACCAGCTCGCGCGACCCTCAAACTGGTCCGTCTCCCATTCGACGAGGACGACGACGAGGATGACTCGGAAGATGAGGACTTCGACCTCGACGGACTTCTAGACGAGGACGAGGACGAGTCTGATGAAGAGGACGAAGAGGTCAATGGAGGCCCAAGTGAAAAGAAGACCAAGAAACAAGCCGCAGATGAGGACGACGAAGACGAAGACATGGAAGACGAGGATGATGAGGACGATGACGATCCCGAAGCTACCATGAAAGCGATCAAGGAACTGAAGAAAATCATGATGGCTGCTAAGGGTAAAGGAAAGGCCGTCGAGGGCGAGGACGACGAGGACGACGAGGAGGATTCCGATGACGAGTCACTCGAATTGGACGAAGTCGTCATCTGCACTCTGGACCCAGAAAAGGTTTGTCTTCATGCTCCCCCAACTCGATTCTAGCTAACGCAGATTCCAGAACTACCAACAACCTATCGACTTTGTGGTTGGCGAAGGCGAAAAGGTCTTCTTCAAGGTCTCGGGCACGCACACGGTCCACCTCACCGGCAACTACGTGATCCCTCAAGACGATGGCCAAGCCTCACTCTACGATGAAGACGACGAGGATGAGGACGTCTACGACCTGTCTCCCGATGAAGATGAACTCGACCTCCTCGAAGGTGCCGGTTCCGACTCCGAGTCTGACGAACTCGATGATCTGGATGATCCCCGTGTCACTGAGGTCCACGAAGATGAAGACGAGGTGCCCAAGCTGGTCAAGGATACGGGTAAAGGCAAGAACAAGCGTCCCGCCCAGGACAGTGAAGAGGAAGACGAAGCAAACCTCGACGATATCATGGCCAAGTCGTTGAAGAAGGATGAAGCCGCTCCTGCTGGCGAGAGCAAGAAACTCAGCAAGGAGGAGAAGAAGCGCCTGAAGAAGCTCAAGAAGAATGATGGCGAGGCTGCTCCTGTCGATACCCCAGCTGCCGATTCCAAGAAGGAAGTCAACGGTGGCTCGGAAAAAAAGGTCCAATTCGCGAAGAACCTCGAACAAGGTCCCACCCCATCTGGCCCGACACCCGCCAAATCCGACAAGAAGGAAAAGGCCAGTGGTGCGTCGGTCGGTGTCAAGGAAGTTCAAGGTGTGACTGTTGATGACCGAAAGGTGGGTGAAGGCCCCGCCGCGAAGAAGGGCAATCGTCTGGAAATGCGCTACATCGGCAAACTCGACAATGGCAAGGTCTTCGACAGCAATAAGTCAGGAAAGCCCTTCAGCTTCAAGCTGGGTGCCGGCGAGGTGATCAAGGGTTGGGACATCGGACTCCAAGGCATCCAAGTCGGTGGAGAGAGACGCCTGGTCATCCCGGCTCATCTGGCCTACGGCAACAAGGCTTTGCCTGGAATTCCGAAGAACAGCAAGTTGACGTTCGACATCAAGTGCTTGAGCGTGAAATAAGCGAACCGGTGGAGCAGACAGAGACGTCAAGTGAGGTTGCGAGGGCATGTTGGCCTTTCGTCGCTTTTTCAGGTCGGACTGACTCGTGCTCTACGTCCAGCACTTGAGGACGACTGCACCTCCAAAAAGGGTCGGGGTATGTGGATAAAAGTGGTTTTTGGCTGTGTATGATTGCGGTTCAGCGGCGTTCATGGCCCATCAAAGGAGACATGCAGTACTCATCGGGATTCCCTCGTACCTAATATCCATCGGCTTCAGACAAAGCACGATCTACTGCAGTGGTGACTGTGTATGAGTAAGGCCTCCCTATCCCGCAAATAGGCAGAAGAGAACAAATGGAAAAAGTCTTGTTTAGTGTAGTCTCAGTCCTCAATGCCGAGCATGTCATTATGATGCTGGATATATGTGTACGCCCAGAAAGCGGGCATCATATGAACGCCATTGCTGATAATGAACCCCAAGCTCCCTGGATACACAAAGGCCCTGAAACGCCGACTGAAAAAGGAAAGCAAATCGCATTGTTCATTTCAAATAACCAACGCTCCTCATTCAAGCGTCTGCCGCTGCCGCTCACGGTAAGAAGATGTTCTTCTCGCACCAGCCTTCGAGCTTGAATCATCTTCACTATCAAAATCATCTTCGTCGTCGATCTCGTTTGCGGGTGCGGCATATCGATGGGCACTCATGAGTATCTCTCTGTTGGTCATCGTCTTGACATTCTTGTCCGCGCCGACCCCGCAACCACATAGCGACCCGCAGAAGGTATCCATTGAATTGTCGTCACAGTGGCTGTAGCTGGGGCATGATATCCGGCCTTCTTCACAGATACAGCTTAACGCGCAGGTCTGGGGTGTGACGAAAGGTCCGCCGTAACATCGCATCCGTTGTGCTGTGGCTTTGCATACGAGTTTGTTTGGCGCTTGTAGTGAGCTGAGTCTGGCGAGGTGGGTTTGCTGGTTTCTGTCGGAGGTACTGGGAAGGACAGCTGCGAGAGCGACCGTGGCGAGGAGAAAGATGCAGAACGCAAAACGCGCTGCACTCATCATGCTGAATGGTTGCGTTGCGTTGCTCGCCTCACACGAAAAACTGATATGATGTTCAGCCTCGTGGCCGAGGTCAATTGTTGGTAGATCGACCGGTGGCGTTGGGAATCCGAATTCCAGGATACGAGGATCCTTATGGGCGAACAGTAGATGGTTCGTGCCTGATAGAATTTGAAACATGTACTCGCGGATGGCTGAAAGGAGCAGTCCAGAGAGGATATCTCCGCAGTTTTGATTGCTAGTATAACGGTGACGGATGTCTAGTGGGATCAATGACCACTTCTCACAAGAAGGTTGGACTGTGTGCAGTCACAACCACACAGCAGCTACCCCAAGGGAAGACCTGTGTTAGAACGCGTGGTTGGGGTCCAGAGATATCACTGGTGGTTGCCTTTGAGGTGACAGATGTCAAACCGAATTCTCTGGGGCGCACAGCCATAGGACAAGAGTTGAGGGTACAGAACTGATCAGATCTAGCGTCTAATTCGAAAGCCTAGAACCCAGTTTCTCCAGAGAGTACTAGAGGATCTTCTCGTCACCGTCAAGTTGCATTTATACGGTGATTGCATGTTCTCAGTCCGTCATACTGGGGAACAAAGTCGATCTTCGAGCTTATTGACACACTGCTGAATCTTTGACAGTCTCGATCCAGAGGCTGGGGATGTAGACCACGGCAGACCTTGTGTAGATGACTGGTTGTAGACAAAAAGGGATCTTGTAGAGGTGAAACTGTGCGGTCAGGTTCAGAGCTCACCTTTTGGAATCATCCCGGCTCATGATGTTGGACAAATACCGAGATCAACTCCTGTTCGCTCGCTGGGAGAAAACACCAGGTGATGATAACAGACCTCTAGAAGGACCGTGCGGTGTCTTGAGAAGATGCATCTCGTTGACAGTCGGTGACTTTGAGAGACATGGAGGGAGATTGGTGGCAGAGAGAGGAAGCCGTCATTACCTTCGAGCCGTCCTTGCCGTGTGACAGCCAAAAAACAAGCTCACGGGATCTAAATTTTGGCGGGCTTGGCATCATTGCACCTTCCGTTTTCGAGTTAGACCGAATTTCTTTCATTTCCCGTCGATCACTATCACACTCCCTCTACTCCGTCCTCCTTACAGAATACTAAGTTGTTCGTTCTACCGCCGTCTACTGGGCCTTTGGAGTGTTTCGGTTTCGTTCTTGCCTTTGTTATATGTACGAGAAGGCTTGCTCAGGAATGTCACAGTAGGCATGCATGGCGGCATGACTTTTTGTGGTTACTCCAGCATCTCCGCACAATTCATCCCACCCACCGAGGCCACCCAACTCCCACCATGCAGTATGCAGCCGTGGCAGCATACCTTGTCGTGCTCTGGTACGATGATCGCCGCTCGTCGATCTTTGAGGTCATACGCACAGTAGATCGCCCTGAAATTTAATCACACAATTCTTTCTCCTCACTTCTCTCGCTTGCGCCTTTCATCCTTAAATTGTTCTTTGTCGCAGAGGCTGATCTGTTGATATCTTGACTGATCGACATGGGCATCTTCAAGCCAAGGCAAGCGCCTGCTACGCCAGTTTCTGCTGAAGATCTGCCGATCACGCAGGCTGAACAGAATATCGCTAGGGACGTGGAGAAAGACGGTGTTTTGCAAAATGAGGCCACTGGCCAAAATGTGCGCGCCCATGCTGAGATGGAGAAGCGAGTCGTGCGTAAAATTGATTACCACGTACCACCACTGGTGACATTTTTGTGTATGTGACTTTCCTCAGCATGAGAAAGGACGACACGGCCTGATGGCAAGGAGGAGCACCGTTGCGGCTGTCGAAACTGGTCATGTCGTCCTGTCGATGTCCGAAGATGTCATCAACACCAAGGACTGCACACTGACGAATCTAGTTCTGCTATCCTACCTCGATCGGTCAAACATTGGCAATGCACGCATAGCAGGAATGGAAGATGACCTCTCTTTGACTGGCGACCGCTATGACTGGCTGTTGACCATATTCTACATCTCCTACATCATCTTTCAGTTTCAGGTAGGCAATATCCTCACTCCTACGTGACAATCCCATGCTCATGAGACAACAGGGTTTTATGTGGAAATTACTGTACGGAAGCTTGACATTGTCATAGACGTGCGGTGCTGACGCTCCGCAGGAAGCCACATACGTGGGCATGCCTCATCACACTCGCTTGGTAGTTAGCCTCCTTGACTGCATGTCTTGAGAACACTGACTTTCATTTACAGGGGCATTATTGCCACCTGTCAAGCAGCAACTCAATCGTGGAGAGGCGAGATGGCACTACGCTTCTTGCTAGGCGCTGCCGAGGCGGGCTTTGGTCCCAGCATTCGTAAGTTCTCCTGTGCATCATGTTGCGGTAGTGAAGCGCGAGCTTCTCATTCAATTCATTCGTAGACAGATTACTAACTACTGCAGCGTACCTGCTCAGCTTCTTTTATCTACGACACGAGCATGGCTTCCGAAGTGGCATCTTTCTGGCGGCCGCGCCGTTTGCCAGCATGTTCGCCGGCGCCCTGGCTTATGGCATTACGAGCGGCCACTCCAAGCTCGCCAATTGGAGGCTGCTCTTCCTTGTGGAAGGCATTCCGACCATTTTGGCAGCTCCGTTGGCATGGTTTTTCCTTCCTGACAGTCCCACCAGTGCAAAGTTCTTAACAGAAGAAGAGAAGGAAGTGGCTCGAGCCAGGGTTATCCGGCAACATGGAGTTCAAGAGGATGGACACAGGATCAGCTTCAAGGAGATTGGGCTGACTCTCGTGGACCCGAAAGCCTGGTTTACTGCGGTACGTTGAATATTTCTGACGAAACATAGAATGCTGACGAGCTTTAGTTGATGTACTTTTCGTGCAACGTCTCTTACTCGTCGCTCCCAGTCTTTCTACCTACCATTCTAAACCAGATGGGCTTTTCATCGATCAATGCTCAAGGACTTTCGGCACCGCCGTATTTTGTGTCGACTATTGTGACGATCATCAGCTGTTATATTGCCGATCGAACGCAGCAACGTGGATTGATGATTGCCTTCCTGAGTATTGTAGGAGGTATTGGATATATCCTGCTCGCGACGTGCAGGCCGGTGGCTCCGAGATATTTTGGCACATTTCTGTGTGCGAGTGGTGTGTTCCCTGCGATCGCAAACATTTTGCCGTGGGTGGTCAATAACCAAGGAAGCGATAGCCGAAGAGGCATGGGGTGAGTTAGCTATCAGTTATTATCGATCCATTGCGCTGATGCTGTCTAGTATCATCTTGCTCAATCTTGTCGGTCAATGCGGACCACTTCTAGGAACGAGGAGTTTCCCCAAAAGTCAGGCTCCACGATATGTGGAAGGACAAAGCATCTGTGCGGCTTTTATGTTCTTCAATGCTCTCCTAGCTCTCAGTCTGAGAACCTTGCTGGTTTGGGAAAATAAGAAGCTCGACAAGAGACATGGCAAAGTGGACGAACAACAGACAGCCAGCGCCCATACCGGTGAAGCTGAACCGAACGCCGGCCAGGAAAATTACGGACGTGGATTCAGATATATCCTCTAGTGAGGGCATCTGACTATATTGAGTATCGCTACGGTGGAGAAATCTGTCCATTTCGAGTCTTGGGTCTGGTTCAAAAATTCCCCTAGTCGACATTTACTGCCGCAACAGAGCCTATGTCGTAGACCTGGAGTTCAACCACCATGTCCACGACGGCGTTTCCGGCCACTGGATCTTGGAAGAGCGATGATCGTTCGGATAAAACGAATACTGATCGGATATGTTGGGCTATTTGTCGCAATGAGAATTAGCTATCCGCCAAATACTTAGGTATGTTTACTACTCTTCTCTGACAAAAGGTACCACTGTTACAGTCTACGCTAGATAGTGAGTTCACCTACAGAGAAGCTTAGCATTCAAAGTGCCGTGATCTGTGGAGCGAGATCCAACCTTTGAACCATTTGCCCAGCGCGATCGCCAGACTGTTATCCGGCTGCGGCCCGACAGTCGGACTCTTTCCCAGTCAAAACGGCCCGGTTCGAGTGGACAGTGGACGTCATTTCACAGCACTCGTACTCCGTAGCTCTGGCTGCCTTTGTAGCTGGTGCTTTATCTCCGTTAAAAGCGATGAGAAAATGAGGGGCAACATGGCGCGTCTCAATGCAGCCTCCATCCCGACGAATCTGATGCCCCTCTTTACCAAAAGTTGCATATGGCGCAACTGGCTCTCCCATTCACAGTCCCGAATTCTCCTTCCGATAGCTCGTACTCGTTACTGGTTACCCATAACTCGTACAGGAATTAGCTTGCCGTGCTTAATTAGTATATTGATCCTCCACTAGGCACCTCGCTGCTTACACACCCTCCTGTCCTCAAAAAGGGTAAATAAAGGACGCCCCTCACTGCCACACCTTTTACTCTTCCCTTCGTACCTATTTACCGTCAATACAGTCGCAGTCGAACACAGTCAACCATGGCATCCAATCCACCGGGAAAATGCTGCTACCAAGGCGTCAAGCACGAAGGCAACGCCACCGGCGAGATCTCGACGCTGGGCGACTTTGAAATCTACACCAAATACCCCGAGAACAAGAGTACAGAGAAGGGTATCTTGATGTACGTCCGCCACTGGGCCCTGTCCACTCTGCGATTTTCCTGAAGAGGGATGCGTTAGAAAGAAAATTGCCATACTGACCGGTTTGTGTACTGCAGTATCACCGACGTCATCGGCCACCGCTTCATCAACGCACAGCTCATCGCCGACCAGTTCGCGGCCAACGGCTACTTTGTCGTGATGCCCGACTTGTTCCATGGCGACCCCATCCCACTCAACCGACCGGGCGACTTTGACATCATGAAGTGGATACAAGGAGAGTATAATGAGAAAAAGATCGCACACTTGCCGCCCGTGGTCGATCCTATCATCGACTCGTGTCTGGTCGAGATGAGGACGAAATATGGATGCAAGGTTAGTACCTACATACCTTATATACCTACCCGAGCCGCAGGCGAAGCTCCTTTCTCCGACGTCCACAATATCGAAAGGGCTTGAAGAGGTACCGGAGTCAGGCCTGAGCCCTCATGGCCGGGGACATCGTCCTTGCGTCAGCGTGAGGCCAAGGACATGATACCGGTCGCCAGAATGAAAAGAAGAGACACTAGACAACCCCATTCCATTGGAAGATCTTAGGCACACAGGCTGCCGAGGGAAGGAGAAGAAGGATCTTTCGCGTGCCCAACACACAAGACATGAATTGACCCGAGCTCATACTGACATTCATTTCTTCTAGAAAATCGGCGCCGTGGGCTACTGCTTCGGCGGCAAATACGTAATCCGACACCTGCGTCCGGACGCCGGCAAGATCGACGCCGGATACACGGCGCACCCGTCGTTCGTCGAGGGCGACGAGCTGCGCGACATGAAAGGCCCACTGGCCATCGCCGCCGCCGAGACCGATGCCATCTTCCCGACCGAGAAGCGCCACGAGACCGAGCAGATCCTCAAGGACCTCGGCCTGCCATACCAGATCAACCTGTACAGCGGTGTCGAGCACGGCTTCGCGGTCCGCGGAGATCCAGAGTACAGGGTCGGCCTGTATGCCAAGGAGAATGCTTTTTTGCAGGCCGTGCAGTGGTTCGAGGAGCATTTGAAGTAAGTCCTACCGTGGTACAGTACTCGTCGACGAAGACGAAGACGAGGATGACATTGCGGGTGTGGATGAGAGAGTACCAAGCAGGTAGAGGCAGAGGTAGTGAGTTGTCAATAAAGGACCATGAACATACCTACGTACAGATGTCCTGACGGTGTATCTACTGTGTAGGACTTCAAATGGCTCGGCGAGGCTCTAGTGAACAAATAGATTCGCGCGGCAGAGGTCAAACAAGGAACGTAGACAGAATAATAAATCTGTTTACAGAGCTGTCATCCCGCTCACGACCGGCAATGTGCCACACCTTTTTCCCTGGGCTTCAACGGTCGGCATTTTTGTCTGCTAATGTCTTTATAATTTTTTGTCTTGTCGAAGATCGCAGCGCCGATCGATCGCTAAACGTGGCTCACTCGACAGAAAGAGTCAGCCTAATCAGGTGCTCCGGGAATGAAGCTTCCACGACACTCATCGTCCCTGGTCAGCTCAAGACCATCCTATGCCGGGGCGGCAATTTAGACCACTTGTAACATAAGACACACAGGAAGAAGTGGGCCCCCTTGATTTCCAAATGCGACCAGCTTCCAGAGGCCTGCTGCAGCGTCCCACCATCAACGACCTAAGGCAAAGGTTCCTCTTCTACACTCCCATCTTCTCCGCGGTCCGCATGAGTGCACCTAGGATGCGTGTTAGCACGCCAATCTCGAATCGTATCAGATAGAGAAAGTACTTACCAACAAAGGTGGTCACCAATCGAGCACGCCCTTGCACGATATCGTCTGGAAGGAGATAGATAGTGGTACCTAATCACCTCGTTAGTAAGTGACTCTCATGCGCCAAGCGACTGGAGAGCTGAAACGTACCCATCTTCCTAGCTATGCTGATGGATAGCTTAGCATTGGCATATGCATCATCTGGCGTCTTTCCTGGGGTAACGAGATCATAATCGACATAATTGCTCTTCATTCCGTTCAAGACATCGAGGAGGAAAATGCCGCTGGTGATGGCTGGATCCCGGAATGTACGGACCGAGGAGTTCTTGCCGCCTTTTCGGGACATGTCGTTTGCCCACCTGACCATGTCGGAGTCGGACAGATCGCGCTTACCCATGCGTTGAGCTAGGCCTGACAGTGTGCTGACAATGTCGCGGCGCATCAATTGCCAGACCAACCCGAGCGTCAGCGTTCGTTGACCGTCCGTGAGATCTGCACCTTGGATACCGACGAGGGAGAATCGGTTCTGTTTGCCCAGTTCAACGACGTAGTTCGTGTTCTCGACCATCTTAAACCGAGACATCTCTCCTCCATGAGCAGGAGGCTTGTTGACGTGACGCCAATTAACGCTGCCGGGGATGACCTTGTCATAGGCTTGAAGCAGAATGTTTCCATCACGTAGATCTTCCCAAAAATTGTTGATCGTAGGCTGGACATCCAAACTGTTGAGCCAGAGGGTGAATACACGAGCCTCGCGTTCGCCTTCAGCGTCAAAGTCCTCAATGTCTGGCTTCTCCTCCTCTGTAAGAGGATCGAGGCCTGGATGAGTGTTGAAGAGGTTGGCAACAAATGCGAGATTGAGTTTGGGGTTTCCTGCTACCAAAGCGGTAGGGGTCAAGAACTTTCTGCAATCAATCTTTTCGGCGTTCTGTAACACTTGCTCTGCTCGCTGAAGGAGATCCCTGGTCTGTAAGGGCGCTCTAGAGCAGGTGTCTGGCTTTAGTTGGTTGAGAAGAACGGTGTAGTTCTCGCCGTCCTTGACGTCTCCGGAGAAGTTGGCGACTCTTCGCTGCCACCCAGCGTTCTTCAGGTGGTAATTGAACCATCGGAGTAGGATCTGCTCCGGTGGGAGTCGAAGGAATTGCTCAAGGGTTTCATCTTCTTCAAGCAGGCGGTAAAGTTCAGGATGCAACTTGATATCAATCTTCCCCAGTAGACCTCGTCGGATGATCTGCCAGATCAAACCCAGAATCAAGTGTTCTCGGACCTCGATAATATCACCACTGCCAATGTTGACGACGGAGCAGCCAATACCTTTTGCAGATTCTATGACAATGTTGTTGTTCTCGGTCATGTGGAACGCGTTCAGTGTCTTGACTTTCCTGCCTGGAATATTCAGTACACGTTCGTCGATTGTGTCGGGCACGCTGTCGTTGATGAGTTTCGCCAGAACCAACCCATCTTTGCAGTGGTCAAACATCTCAAAGGTATCGGTAGGGAAAGGCAGGAGATGACCGATCTCAGGATCACCAGCAAGGACAGCATTGATATGGGTGGTGAAGGCGGTTCGCTCTTCCTCATTTATCGTGTGTGTAACATTTGCAGAAGAGCCTTGGACTTGAATCTTTCCAGCTCCTCCTCCTAAACTAGGCTTTGAAGCATGGCCATGCGAGGGCGTTCCGTTACCCGCAGCCGGCCGCACCGGTCCACTAGGGGCACGCTGTTGAGGCGGCTCAGCACCGCGTACTTTCGAGATGAGGTCGACATAGTCTTCAAGTTCCACTCTCCTCGAGCTGTCGAGTTCCACCTCCTTCAGTGCTTGTCTGACCACGTCGTAAGACTGTCTCTCAGACTGTTGGGTGGCTTTGATGACGGTGGCTTCATCGAGGTACCCCTTGTCGTCGACGTCAAGTTTCCGAAACGCATCTTGCAGCTGGAAGATTTCGTTCTGCGGGAATTGGGGGTATTTGCGCTGGAGTTTGAGTATGCCTGCCATGGTGGTTGGAGGGGGAGGGGCTGTTGCCCGGGCGTGAGGATCTGGAGGACGAAAGTGGTGAGAATGTGATGGATGCAATCGGCCTGCTGTAGATAGTCGACAGGTTGTCGAGGGCGTCAGGCTGAGGATATGTAGTATTTCCTAATTGTGGTGCCTGGTCAGGCGTCGCAAGCATAAGCAGTTGGCATCGCATGAAAGGCCTGCATTCAGGCGCCGCGAATTCTATGACGTGCCACACCAGAACAAAGCACGTGATTGAGCACAGCCACAGCCACAGCTGGCATGTGGCTGGTTCACTTCCACTTGCTTCCACTTGGCCTCGTTGGATATCAAAGTGACACGTTCACAACAAGGCAACAAACATCTTTATACTCGTACAGAGAGAATCTTCCTTGTCATCAAACCCTCCAGATTTATTCCAGATTTACTCTCATCCACTCAAAGGCTTCTTCTGGCCTCAACTGGATTCTTAGATGAGTCTACCTATGCCGTCACATTGGATCGATTTCCGGCCCTCGTAAGGGCTGTCCGGAAGGGGATGGCTGATGCAACCAAGTCGTCGTCTTCCTTTCTTGGTTCCATAACGTCTTGGAACAGAAGCAACACTCCGCCTCCCAAATCACCGCTCCACAAACCAAAGGAAGAACCTCCTGGCCTCAAACAATCAACAGGACTTGATCACACCATCAACCTCCGGCCTTCACCAAGTCTCCGGAGGTACCCTAAGGATTGTCCGCCTCTTAAGACAAGATGGTTTTATGCCGTCGATGTGGCTAAACGGAAGCCGTTCTCGGTAGAACCAAGTCCAGAAGAAAAAGCAAAGCCTCCACCAGTCCCGAAGAAATTAGTGGCTTTCTCGGCATCCGACTCGGCTACTATTGAGAAAGCCTTCCAGACTCTTGACAGAGAAGACAGTGACCATCGAGACGGCCACGAAGTTACCAGCACCAAGGTTCCGGTCAATGAGGATTACCTTTTCGATGTCCATATTGAGAAACGCGAGTTGGAGCCTGCATACTGGCTAGGTCCGGTGTACGAAGTCCGCAGGGGGAGTTGGTTCTACACTGATGGCTCGACTCTAAAGCCCTGCGATGAGAACTTGGCGAATCAACTTGAGGAGGGTTACCTGAAGGTTGCGCCATGGAGGAGGATTGGCCTGTCGGCTCCTCGTTCCGCCTCGCAACCTAGGAGCAGACCAAGCTCTCAAGTTTTCGACGGCACGTCTCATTCGGCACAAACCTCGCAAGATGATGATCAACCTATGGGGTCCAACACCTACCGCCTCTTCGGCTCTCATATGAACACGACTGTGACCTATCAAGACGCTACCGTAGCGTATCTATCGACCGACGACTTTCTTTCTCGTATGAGCACCACAGTCTATGGGCGCTTCGTCGGCTATGGAGGGACCAAAGTCCTTCGAGGATGGACAGATCTCAAGGTTGCAGATGGAAAAGTCGCCGACACAAAGTTTGACTCCAAAGCTGGAGATGGCACAAGCACGAAAGAGAAGCGCAGATCTGCCAAGATATCGCCCGAGACAACACCAGTCGAAGACCAGAACAAGGACCAGGAGCCTGAGAAACCTCGTCGGACTGCGCTAGAACGGCAAATCTCGTCCTTGGCGGGGATGCCAGACACCCAAGACTCGCAAGATTTGGCGGAGGAAGAAGCACGGGAAGAAGAGGAAAGAGAAATGGAGAATGCAAGAGAAAAGGATGGCGACGATCAAGCCAGGCAAATTGATCATCTGGTTCTGGTGACACACGGTATTGGTCAACGTCTAGGCCTCAGGCTAGACAGTATCAACTTCATTCACGACGTTAATACTCTTCGAAAGACGATGAAAGCAGTCTATGAGTCAGCTCCGGACTTGCAGGCTCTGAGCGGTGACCCCAAGAACTGCAAAGTGCAGGTGCTCCCTATTTGTTGGCGACATCTTCTGGACTTTCCCAAACAGAGTGTCAAGCAGAACCGCAAAGAGTCCGACATTGGGGATGCTGACGATGGCTTTGACGATGAATATCCCTCTCTCCAAGATATCACCGTTGAAGGGGTCCCGGCGGTTCGAAACCTGATTACAGATCTCGCCATGGACGTTCTCCTATATCAGAGTGCCTATCGAGAACATATTGCGTCAATCGTACAAAAGGAGTGTAACCGCGTCTATCAGCTTTTCAAACAACGTACAGGTTTCTCTGGCAAAGTCAGCTTTTGTGGCCACTCGCTCGGCAGCGCTGTCCTCTTTGACATACTTTGTCGACAAGAAGAGACAGGTAAGACTAGACCACGGCGGGTATCTAGCAAGACGTCAAGAGAGTTCAATGTTGAGCAAAAAGATCTGCGCCTTGATTTTGAGGTGGAGAATTTCTTCTGTCTCGGCTCTCCCATCGCGCTGTTCCAGATGCTGAAAGGAAGGACTATCGCTGCTCGATCGACTTTGGGCGCTGGTACTTTCGGGGCAGCCGCCGTGCCTACATCACCCTTCGACCCAGACCCAATGCGCAACGATCCCTTTGATAGAGCCCTCAGACCTCCCGGTGGGGGAAGCTCCAAAGACCTCATTCCAATTGGCACCTCCTCCCCTAAATGCAACGAGCTCTTCAATATCTTTCACCCTACAGACCCCATCGCATACCGCATGGAGCCTCTAATATCGCCGGCCATGGCACAACTCAAATCTCAACCTCTTCCATACACCAAGAAAGGGCTCTTTGCAGCACCTGGCATTGCAAACGTGACAGCCCGGATGGGGCAGCAGGTTATGTCAAGCTGGTACAACCTGACGTCTGGCGTAGCATCTAGCCTGATTAACCGAAGTCTCGGCATCACAGGCGAGGAACAAGCTTTGCCACAAGACAAATTGAAAGCATCAGGTGGCATTGCCACCAATCCCTCGGGACCTACAAGCGCTCAGCATACCATGCCCGTTGCCGACGACAAGAGACAACAAGATCTTGCCGACGCCGCCAAGTCTTCGCCCTCTAGCGAACAAGTACCGACTCTGATAGATTCGGAAATCGAAACATTGTATGCCGGCTTCCAAAAGCGGCGATCTTCACATGCTGCGACTGAAGGCAATGAAGAAGGCGGGTCAACCTCGCCGTCTGCGGAATATCAGCTGTCGCAAGAACGGGCACGCAAATTGAAACGTGAAGAAATGAAAGTGCGGGCGTTGAACAGCAACGGTCGCGTCGACTATCATATCCAGGAAGGTATGTTCGACGTGTCACTACTTGCCAGTATCGCCAGCCACTTGAGCTATTGGGCCGACGAGGACGTGAACCATTTTATGATTGGACAAATGTCGAAGACAAGAGGTCACGATCGGGACAGAGAGAGAGGGTTCTCGCGGTGAGTCTGCTTGGCAGCCGTTGCGCCAATTCGAGTTTCAAGCTGGTTTGGTTGGCTTGGACCGTTGCGAAAGACCTGAACATGAACGGACTGCGTGTTGCGTTGACTACATGGAATTGAGATATCCCCTAGAGCAGGAATGTTATTTTTATTGTGTCCACTCCTCTCACTCAAGCAACCACAAATGGTCTGAATTGACCATTATGCATGACCATGTTTCAAGTGGGCTCTCTACGCCAGAATGCTACACCATGCTGACTTGTTGTTTGCTGTGGTATTCGCCAGGATTGTATGCACTAGCCTCTGCCCGATGCCCTTTTCGTGAATCGGGCGCCGTCCGCGGGAATGTGATGGACACTGCTTTAACACGTCCGTACACTAAATGCCAGACTGAACCAACCTTGAGTTTGTGATGTAGACTTCGCGTGCTTCGGCTGTGCGATATAGCATTAGGCTCTTAAACCCCGGATCCCACCAGTACCCGGGACTCTGCGTTTGTTTGCGTGCGCTTATCATCCCATCCCGGAGCGAGCCCACAATCACCAGGTCAATGGTATGGTATGTTCAACCCACCCGTCCGTCAACATACATCTTGTGCGGGCGGTTCTCCTGCACAGTGACGGGCGTCTCGCAATAGACCAGGTCTCCACCGGCGTAATGTTCGAGTTCAAGCCCGACTCATCGTACCAATAGTCGAAGATCTGGCTGCCAAGCACATGTCCCCCGACTCTCCAGGACAGCTTGTAGCCCTTGGACTCGAGGTAATTGTGCGCCGCCCCGCCATGCATGGACAGATGGTTGAACACCTAGCATTGACCAGCAAACCTTAGCTGCGCACAGCATTTGTCTGATAGAAATAGTCGAACACGGCGGGAATTCATGTACATCTGGTTGTTGCCATGGTTGCTGGCGCGTCGCCTAGATATGGGTCGCTTTTTGGAGAAACTCAAATTCAAATCCGGGGTGGGATCGGAAAGCCTGGTAAACCGTCCAAAGCGGCAACCAGCGTCCCCACAGTTGAACGACGACAGCGCAACGATTGTCTCTTCACAAGCAAAGGCTAACGGCAATAATGATGTAAGTACAGCTACAAGAAGGATTCTTATACCACGATGGCCTCTTCCTCAAGCTCACGAATAGCTGGAGTCGCAGTCCCTTCCGCCGCCGCTTCAGACCATCACTTCCGAAGCTCAAGTGCAAAGCAAGCCTTCCTTTGATGAGCGTCCATCTGCCTAAGAATATCATTCCTTGCCGCGAACTTCTACTCCCGACCTGAAAGATGCCACGTCCTTCACTACAGAACCAGGCCTCTGGAGTCGAGCGTACAAGTCCATCCAAGCGAAGCTTAAGCGCCGTGATACTCGACAGTTCATCATCAACCTAGCTGGCAAATCCATTAAGGTTCGTGAATATGGTGAAAGCATCGCCAAATTTGTGATCTGGAGCGAGGACATCGTGTCGACAGCGATAAACGCCCAGCCGTTTGCAGCATTGGCCTGGGCGGGAGTGTCTATACTCCTTCCCGTAAGTAATTATGGTCAAACCTACGGCTTCGCTTCTCTTGTTGACCCTTAACTTCAATGTCTAGGTCCTCCTCAGCCCCAGCGAGCAGAGTGAGGACATGCTGCAAGGCCTTGATCATGCTGCCACCCTGATACGGCTTTACGAGATCCGAATGAGCTACTACAATAAGTTGGACAGTCAAGGCGCCTTTGAGAATGCCGTGGTGCAACTTTATTCTCGGATACTCGAATACCAGGCTCACATGGTTTGCCACCTATCTCATAACACGGCCAAGAGAGGCTGGTCAAATATCATCAAGCCGGGGCACTGGGCAGATCTTCCAGCCGCCGTCAAGAATGCGGACCAGGAGTGCCAGCAGTATGCATCATTCCTCGACAAGACGGCAGAAAGAGAGCTATTGCAAGAGCAAACGCTGCAGATCGAACGGTCTACAAAGGTCCAACGGCAGATCCTTGACGCACTATCGGACATCGAAAAGGTTCGAGCAGCTGAGCGTGATGATGATCTGCTAAAAGATTTTCTCCAGAGCTTTTCCACCGATTATGAGGGCGACAAAGATATCAATACCAAACGAGTACCTGGAACTTGCCAATGGTTTCTGGACCATAAAAGATTTCAGACATGGCGCGACTCTCCTACATCTGCCTTGCTTTGGGTCTCGGCCGGCCCCGGCTGCGGCAAATCTGTCTTGTCCCGCTGTCTTGTTGACGAGCGGTTACTTACAAACAGCAGGATGACTTCGACAGTGTGCTACTTTTTCTTCAAAGACGGCTTGGATGGACGTGACCAGGCTGAGAACGCACTCACCGCCATGTTGCACCAACTATACACGCACAATCTCGACAAGAATTTGATCACACATGCCTTATCGCGATTTAAGGAGAATGGTACATCTTTACGCAGTATGCTCAGTAAGTTGTGGGCTATTCTCGTGGAGACGGCAAAGAATCCTGCATCTGGCGAGATTGTCTGTATCTTGGATGCCTTGGATGAGTTCCATGAAACCTCTAGGAGCGCCCTCATGGAAATGCTTGTCGATTTCTTCTCGGATCCATTGTTGACGCAGAATCCTAATATCCGCTTGAAGTTCTTGATCACAAGTCGACCGTATGACGATATTGAACTTGAGTTTTCCCGCCTCCAGGATGCATCTATCTTCCTTCAATTTGCCGGCGACGACCAGTCTGAGAGGATCAGCGAAGAAATCAACCTTGTAATCGACCACAGAGTTCCGAGGGTGTTACCAAAGCTTGATTCGCAGAGCCGGACAACCATTGTCGAACGCTTGAAAAAGCTGAAGCATCGAACGTATCTTTGGCTCCATCTCATTCTTGCCGTCATTCAAAAAGAATTCGTCAACCACTGCACCGCTCAAAAACTTCAAACTGTCATTGACAAATTACCTTCTTCTGTCAGCGAAGCGTATGAGGCCATCCTAGGAAAGACCACAGATCCAAGACAAGCTCGATTTATATTTCAAATCATCCTCGTGGCGAAGAGAGTCCTGACCGTTCCTGAGATAAAGGTTGCCCTGGAGCTAGCTAAGCGTATTGACGCCGAATCATTGAAAGACCTAGATCTCCCGACAGATGCGGTTTTTACTTCGACTCTTCCGAAAATCTGTGGCCTTTTTGTCAGTATTCACGATGATCGAGTTTATCTGATCCGTCAGACAGCCCGAGAATTTCTGATTCATGGATCAGGGCGAAATACATTGACAGAAGGGGCACCTCCTCAAGCACCTACATGGCAGCATTCGATTGACTTGTCAGATGCTGAACTCCTCTTGGCGAAGGTATGTGTTGCGTTCTTGAAGTTTCGAGATTTCCGGAATCTCCCCTGGCTTGAAGACAATCGCACTCGTTGGTTTGAATGGGAAGAAAAATACGGTGCTCAAGTACAAGACAGAGTTTTTCTGGACTACAGTGCGACATCCTGGTTTAGCCACTACCGAGCAGTCCAAGCGACTTTGGACCCCGGTCTGATAACATCAGCCCTTGAGCATTGCCAGCCTAATGAGAAGCTGTACCGGGTTTGGTACGCACTTTATTGCTCCAGCCGCCGCTGGAATATATCCTACGATGAAACTAATCTGACAATTACGAGTACTCTGGGCTTACGTGAGTTGATCTTGAGACTTCTAAGGGCTGAACTCCAAGATCGTTCAGATGTCGATGAAGAAAGTGCTGGCTCGGGCACAAACATCAGTCTTAGTGTCAATAGGAGGGGTGGAGAATACGGTAATGCACTAATAGCTGCATCGGCAGGAGGCCATACAGACGTTGTGGGAATTCTCATAGCGAATGGCGCTGATGTCAATGCTCAAGGACGGTGGGGTACTGCGCTACAGTGGGCGTCAAGGTATAGCCACGAGAAGATAGTGCAGATACTCGTGGACAACGGCGCGGACGTCAATGCTCGAGGATATTTTGGTGATGCACTCTCTTTGGCATCAGAGAATGGCCACGAGAAGGTGGTGCAGATACTCGTGGACAACGGCGCGGACGTCAATGCTCGAGGAT